ACCCTAACCCTAACCCTAACCCTAACCCTAACCCTAACCCTAACCCTAACCCTAACCCTAACCCTAACCCTAAACCCTAACCCTAACCCTAACCCTAACCCTAACCCTAACCCTAACCCTAACCCTAAGTAACCCTAAAATCCCGCCGTATTCACAGGCTAGTCCCTATTTTGTCGCTGGTCTCGCGGCCACAGTGGGGCATTGGTATGCCACTTTGGGGTTCTTGGTGCTAGCGCTGCGCCGGACACACGGGAGGAAGAGAAGGAGGGGCCAGCTAATTGAGGCGATGGGCTGCACATTTGGCGAGCTCTACCTTCCACGCTCTACGGCAACAAATCGCTCAGGATCTTCCGTGCTTGCTCCTGCAGCGCACGAGTTCCTGCAATACGACGTGATCATCCTTGTTGCGGCTTATCTTCCGTGCACGTACTTTCTGCTCATGCCTGTCAGTTCCCTGCCAGCCTGGGTCATAGTTCCGTCTCTTATGCTGGCGACTGTTGTATTCGGACCGGGAGCACTCTTGGCTTTTGCATATGCCGCGCGCTGGAGCGCTGGGGAGCATTGATATAAAGAGCTACTTCTTCCCCCAATTAAACCCACCCTTGATATGTGTATATATATATATATATATATATAATACTGCTTAGCGGTGTGCTCGACATGGCCTTACGCGGCGCGAGCAGTGTAAGCATTTGCAAATCCAGAGAAGTTACTTGGACCAGAGTATTACTCAAACTTTAATGCACTACTACATTGGCATTTCCACAGATCATGTCCAGGGGTTCGAATCCTACGGGTCAGGTTTTGTATCTTGAGAAGTGAAAAACCTGTCTTGGTTTAGGTTGAAAATAACTCAGCCCACCGTGCCCCTCATCACCTCTGTGAGCTTGGTGTGTAGACAATAGATAAAGGGCGCCACTGTGATCCAAGACTGTCTGACCACTTTCTATAGAGTAGACAGCCTGGCGTTTGAGGCTCAATGCAAGAGGCTGAAGCCAAACACGGCAAACGCGGCAAACAGACAAACAGACAAACCACACAAACCAGACAAACAGACACGAGGTGGTGTCCAGTTCTCCACCACATCCTCCCCCACTCCTCATCGCCAGTCGCGTAACGCTGCTCATCATGCGTCCAGAGCTCGCTGGCAGTTGGGAGCGTCTGCGCAAGTCTTGCGACACTTGCCAGGATGCAAAGGTCAAATGCAGTCAGCACAAACCCTCCTGCCACCGATGTGTACGACTTCGTCAGCCCTGCGTCTACAGCCCGCAACGTCGGACCGGCCGCCCTCCCAAGAGGTCCAGTCCGGCGAGTCGCAGAGCGCCCAATGCCAACGCCACCAGCGGTGATACTCAACCAGGACCCACGGTAGCTAGCACGGCACAAACAAATGCTAACCACTCCGATGAACATGCTATGACGGACGCGAGGAGTGTCGATCCCTGGGTGCTGACCGGGGACTTCACCAGTGCCGGCATGGACCCCGTGGACGATGTCTTCCAATCCTCCTTTGAAGCCTTCCTGGCGGCCTCGATGCCTCCTAAAGATGGGTTTGCAACGAATACGCCCAACGAACTTTCCATAAACTCTCCCTCAATTCCAGACCCATTCGGCGGCTTTCCCTTTCCTATCCCCGACTGCAATCGCCTCATCTCACTGCTGCCGGCAGAAGTGCCCCCCATCGATCAGTTGCCAGTGCTTAGTGCTGGGACTTCAAACATAGGCGCAGAATGCGGAGATTGCGGCGCGAAATGCTACACTTCAGTACTACAGCAGCTCCTGTTTCTCCGCCAGACCTTGCCCGAGACAACGAGACCCTCAATAGACGTGATAATGCAGGCTGAAAGCCACGGGAGAGCACTGCTAGATCGCGTGTTAGGATGCAGCTCCTGTATGAGTAATCGCTCTTCTGTGCTGCTCATCTCCACGATTACGGAGCGTATAGTTCAGATGCTGGACTGGATCATCGAGGAGAAGACTTTAATGGACACGGAAAACATACGGTCAAACAGACGAGCATTCAGCTCGTGGGGGCGGCCTTCACGATTACCTGCTAGTCGAAGGAACGTTTGTCGCATTCCATTGCGCGTGGGTAACAACGAACTCGACGAGGATGCGAAGCAATACTTCCTCAAACAGTTCATTCTGCTTCGCCTAAAGAAACTCGCGGTCAAGGTGCAGGAGGTTCGACGGGCAACTGGCACCCGACCGGGCGATTGCATCTACCGCGCTGCAGAATTGGTGCTGACGGATTCCATCCAACGGTTGGATTACCTACGGGGGCAGTGCCAATTATGGGAGTGATGGCAAGCGATTCGTATTACTATGAGACTATTTCCTTTTTCCGTTCAGCGACTGGCGTTTCAGGACCTTTTTGTATTCGTGAATATGGAGTCGGGACGGTGAGGATGATGGACTTATCGCGTTGCTCATTACAATTTACTTTCCTACTCTTTCAATAAGCCTGGCAATGCCATCTGGTGTCGCCTTCCATTGCTGGTTTTCGTCCAGCGACACCTCCAACTCCTCCTTCCAGGTGTCTTCAATCACCCTGGAATGCCGAGGCGAACGAGGTGTGATCTTTGCCTCAAACGGATTCAGGCAGACGATGAACCCGGGCCTCAAATCATTCCTGTCGATGGGGACCTTGTTCTTCTCGTCATCCGTCGCTTGCAAAGTATCAAAGGCCCATAACCAATGCGAAATGACAAGGAACAGACTTCTTTCTGCAAGATGCTGCCCCGGACAGATTCGACGGCCTGCACCGAACGTGAAAAGAAGCTGCGAATCGCCGTTGGAGCCCGCATTGGGCTTACCTGCCCATCGCTCGGGCTTGAACTTGTCCGGCTCTGGGAAGATATCTGGGTCGTTGTGGACTGCGTGAGAGTTCATTATCAGACCGGTTTCCTCGGGGATTGTATATCCCCCCCAGTGCACTGGGCCATTTGCTGCGCGGGGGAGTGACAGAGGAACAGACGTGATCCAGCGTTGGCTCCTAGTGGGAAGTGAGATTTGCGAAATTTGGGCCAGTTATGCAAAGGGCATACTCACTCTTGGATTACCTGCTGGACGTACGGCAGTTTGGCCGCGTCCTCGTCGGTGGGCAACCGCTCCGGGCCGACAACCCGATCAATTTCTGAATCGATCAGCCCTGGCCATGATTACGAGGAAGAAATGAAGGAGGTCTCACCTTCCTGGGCCTTTCGCTGTGCTTCTGGGTTCAGACACATGGCGGCGACCCAGTTGACCAGGGTTGAAGCCGTTGTATCGGTGGTGCCCGTCAGTAGATGGTGACCAATCTCTGCACCTTCGATCTCCGACACTCCTGACCAGCCCTGCTTGAGCTTTTCCTGGATGGCATGGTTGATAGACGGCAACACCTCGCCTTGGCGTGTCCGCTTTGCAACATCCGAGTAATTCCTCCAGATGAACTCGCGATGTTTCGCGGCGATCTCGCGTGCCCTTTTACACACTGGAAAGATCCACTCCGGGAGTTTCCAAAGGAATGGCCACGAGTCGAGAAATGCACCGCGCACGCCCGTTTCGGCCAGGTCGTACAGATCTTGGATGGTCTCCTTGACCCGCGGGTCCGCGGCGTCGCTGATGCGCCTCCCATTGACCATTGTCATCGCCACACTGTTACTGTAGCGCTCAATGTGGTTTCTCCACTCCTCCGGTTCACGGTGGAGATCAAATAGCAGCTGGCGAGTCTCTAGCTCCTGGTAGGGTAGGTACTGTTTGGCTGCGCTGCCGTTGAGGACGGTTTGCCACATTTTACGCGCCTGCTGCCACTTCTCCCCGTTGTTCAGCCCCGGGAAGAAACCGTCGCGCATGAGTAGCTGGAACCGAGAGGGTGGCCGCGCCTGCGACTTTGCCCCCTGCTTGATGAAAATGTTGCGCAGCTCTTGGAGTCCACTGACAATAACATGCGCCGTGTCGCCCAGCATGACTGTGTAAACGGGTCCGTACTTCGCTGCCCATTCTGCGTACTGGTATTGTGGGTATAGCAGGTTGATCTGGAACGAAGTCAGCCATGTGCCGGGGGGGGGGCATCCTGTATACACCCTCGGGAGATGGTGGTGACCTGTCTTGTATTTCCCCAAATCAGCTCGGTTGGCGGACCGGGCGGAAGTCCCTTTGGACGCGAACCAACGCGCAGGGCCTTGCCAGCGATGAAGACGATTAAAGCGAGGGCTGCGCTTGCTACGAAGAGGAGGGATGCCGTGGCCATGGTGGACTGGTTTGAATACGTATACTGTAACCCTAAGAGTAAGCTCCAATTGAGCGCTTTGTGTTTACAATTATACCCATTCCGATCGATTGTAACTGGTTAATTTGCATCTGTTTTGAAATCTCCCGACCTGCATCTCGGGTCCTTCTCCTATACCTGCAGTCACTCGGGCACAATCTTGCCCAGCAGCGCCAAAACCCCCGAGAGACATTGACTGACACCCCCAATGCCCTCGCGCCCGTACAGCGCCCCCCCAGCGCCAGAATATTCCTGTCCAGCGCCGAGGCTCATGGCGTGACCCTGCCCGGCCTCCCTATCCTGAATGTAAACCACCCGCAACAAAGCACTTAGACTGGTCAGGACCGTGTAAACGATTTGCCTCGCGAGGAGGGCCTCTTCGTCGCCCCGCAGAGTCAGCGAACCCAGCACCATGGGCGTCTTTATACAGCGCCAGGTGGCTGATGGATTCGAGAACAAGACCCCAGCGCGATCGTGCTGCTGCGCTGGTCCTGGCTCTGTCCCTGCGCCTGCAATCGATGGACTCGGTGTGTTTTCGCTGCTCCCCGGACTCCTAGATGTAGTACCACCAGCTCCGCCGCCGCCGCCATCGTCAACAAGATCATATGTTGCACACGAAGCGTGACAGATCGCGAGGATTGAATCGGCGAGCGGGACCAGCCCGCGGTTTGCTTCGGGATTTTGGCTCGGGTTCTGGTTCTGGTTCTGGTTCTGGGCGCCTATAGTGACGGCCGCGGCGGTACTAGTCGGTTGGTTATGCTGCTCCTTGCAGCGTTCCACGCATTTCAGGAGATCTTCTAGCGGTGCGGTGAGGGTCGTCAGGAGACTGAATTCAAAGGGGCCTGGCGCGGGGTTTGGCAGGAGAGAGGAGAGTTGGGTTAGCTCGGCTGTGCAGGAGCAGTCCTGGAGCAGTTAAGAGTAAGAATTGCTCTTCGACATGGCGAGGTTTATATTAACGTGTTGCTTACTGGCTGGTTCGTCCAGGACATTTCTCCTGATTGCGTTGGTGGGATGGAGGGGTTAAAGTATTAACAGCTGCTTCTTATGGTGTCAGTCCTGGGGGCTTGGCAGATTAAATTGTTTCATAAACAAGTCAAGTCGTGATTGACCTGGTTGCCCAATAATGGGGGATAGACCTCTAGTTCAGTATACTCTCTCCTGGTGAAAGATCTCAAGAATGATCGTGTGATGCCGTATAGTTACCCAAGCTGTCTTGCGGAGGGAGAGTCTTTAGTAAGAGTCTAATCCCCCAATCCTATTACTAGTGCTTACACCAAATTTTTATTGTTACAGCCTTGTCGGATGACAGCTTCCCAATTACCTTCTGCCCAGCCACCCCATAAACTCCAGGATTGAGATCAGCTTGCCATCTCCCTTCCCCGTGGATCATTCACTTGGCCAGCATGCCCGCGCGGTGGCATAATGAGTATAGTGTCGGATGGATCTGTGCACTTCCGATAGAGATGGCCGCTGCCAGAGCTATGCTGGACAAAGTCCACCCTAGGCTACAGCAACCTCGGGATGATCACAACACATATATACTCGGGCAAGTTTCTGGTCACAATGTGGTTATCGCATGTCTTCCATCAGGTATATACGGAACTGTTTCTGCAGCCGTTATAGCGAAACAAATGCTATTAACTTTCCAGTCAATCCATTTCGGGCTCATGGTTGGTATCGGTGGTGGTGTCCCGTCTGCATTAACAGATATCCGTCTGGGCGATGTCGTGGTAAGTAAACCCACCGGCCTTTCACCGGGTGTTGTGCAGTATGACTATGGGAAGGCCTTGGGTTCAGGGCGCCTGGAACGCATCGGAACGCGGAACCTGCCACCACAGGCTCTGCTTACTGCGCTCTCAAAAGTGGAATCCAACCACATGGTCGGGAAGTATAAGTTCCAGGAATATCTTTCTGCTATCATTCCCCAAAGCATGGAGCACCCATCCGCTTTCCGCTCTCCGGGGGAAGAGGCGGATATGTTATTCAATGCTGCCTACAATCACGAGGCATATTCTCCGGACTGTTCGTCTTGTGACCGCAGTCAAAGAGTGGCCCGAAAGCGGCGATCTATATCCACACCAAGAATCCATTATGGCACTATTGCGTCTGGAAACCAAGTCATGAAGGATGGCCGGACTCGTGATAGCCTGGCACAGGAGTTGGGGGTTCTATGTTTTGAGATGGAGGCAGCAGGACTCATGGACCATTTCCCTTGTCTGGTGATTCGAGGGGTTTCTGATTATGCCGATTCCCACAAGAACAACGACTGGCAGGGTCATGCGGCAATCACGGCAGCTGCTTATGCGAAGGAATTGCTATCGGAAGTTCCATTGAGACAGGAACAGGACTACGGATCTGCAAGGAGTAGGTCAAGATAATGCTCCTGGAGAGTGGCAATAACTAACTATGAATATATAGAGCTATTCTTTGTTAGGTTCAACACCATTGATATCCCCCGGGTGCCGTACGCTATGGGGCGAGCACAAGAGCTTGCGTGTATTCAGCAGAAGCTGCAAGCCAACCTCTCCAATGGAACGGTTATTTTGCAAGGAAGAGCCGGATCTGGTAAGACCCAACTTGCGGTGTCATATGTGATGCGTCATTGGAATCAATACTCAGCAGTGTTTTGGCTCGATGCAACCTCCGTGGGCACTTTAAAATCGAGCTTTATGGTGATGGCAAAGCGCATCCTTCTCGACGATTCTTCGTGTGGAACGCTGAGCGGGATCATCAACAATGGAGACACCGATAAGGCCGTTGAGGAGACAAAAGAGTGGCTGAGCAAGGGCATGAACTATTGTTGGTTACTTATATATGACAACTACAATGCTGCGAAATCCTACGGCGCCATCGAGACCGGGGAGGATCTTGACATCAAGCGTTTCCTTCCAGATGTCCGACAGGGTCATATCATAATTACAACAAGGTCATCCGGACTAGGCCTTGGTCACACAATCCAAGTCAAGCCACTCATGGATATAAATCAAAGCGACTCGATAGCAGTACAAACCTCGAGGAGGCAAGACTCGGATACCAACTTGTGGAGTAGCCTGTGGAGTGAAGATGTTAATGCTGTTAATTTTTCTGTATTTATTATACTATCTGCCTTGACTATCGGAGGTGTTCTCGTTGGCATGCATTCAATGCAATTAAAGCAATAACCATCACGGACCTCGGCAAAGCGGCGCTTAGCTGGGCCCGGCTTCATTAATTATCTGCCTCTTCCTCTTCTTTTAAACTTACTAGTATTAGTATCTTTAGCTATAGCTAGTTATTATATATTACTTATAGTAATAATCAGCACCTGTTAATATTAGTAGTAGATTATAGTTTAGACTATAGTCTATAGAGTATATAGAGATTTATAAGTGTCTACTGGTATAAACAATAGACTATAAGTTAAACTATAATTAGAATAGAGATATATAGAATATTCTTATCTTTATAGAGAAGATATAGATATATAGCTAAGAATTAGCTACTAGAAGAGAGTTTTATTAGTAATGGATACGTCTATTCTGTCCTTTTCTTTTCACTTAGGTTCTATATTAATACATTCAGGGAGAGCACTATCATGCACTGTGTATTATGACAACTAGGATACATGACTCGTTATGTGAAGGTTGTAGACATGGAACATGCTCCAAGAAAGCCCTTTGTGCCCACCTCAAGGGTGAGAGTCTTTCGGAACCTCGCTGCTTCTCTGATTGCCGAATAATGCCGCAAGAAGATGAATTCTGGTACCGTGGCGGAACACAAACGGAAGCTCGGAACATGCCCAGCAGTCTATATCCAAGGCCGATCCGACCTCAAGAATTGCACCCTGATATCATCAATACACTCCGATATTCGATTGCCATGGACAGTGGTCAGCGATATAAAGCGGCAGTGATTACAGCCGCCCGGCAGCCGATCGAGCTTTGGGAGTACCAAGCCATTCCACCACCTGCTGGCTGCATCAACATCGCCGTGGTGCGCGCCGGCGTATGCGGCACGGACTTGCATCTATGGCAAGGAGACAGCGAAAGCAATGAGCCCTTCATCATCGGACACGAGGGTCTGGGCCGGATCATGGCGCTAGGCGACGGGGTAACCACCGACCACAGTGGAGCGTCCGTGGCTGTAGGCGATATAGTCTACTGGAACCCTATCCGGCCGTGCCACGCCTGTTATGAGTGTACCATTCGCCGCGATCTTACCGGCTGTCAGAATGGAACATTTGTCTCGCCTGCGCGAAACAATATCACCTGGGCCAGCTACACCCAGGTCGCTACCTTGCAGCAGAACAACAACTTCTACCGCGTCTCTCCAGACGTGCCGCTGGACAACTTCATCGCCCTGGGCTGTGCGCTGCCGACCATGCTGAAGGGGCTGGAAAACATGGGGCCCATAGAGCGCGGTTCAGCGGTGTTGGTGCAAGGGTGCGGCGCCGTTGGGCTGGCGGCCATCTTCCTGGCCAAGATCGCAGGCGCCAGGGCGATCATCTGTATCGAAGGAAATGCCGCGCGGATGCAGATGGCCAAGAAATTCGGCGCCACCGAGGTGCTGAACATGGCGAGCACTGAGTACAGCACCCGGCAGGCTCGCGCGCGACGAATTCAGGATATTGTGGGATCGCAGGGGCTAGAGCTAGCAATTGAATGCAGTGGACATGCATCAGCGGTGGAGGAAGGACTGGCCTTGGTGACCAGAAACGCTCGATACCTCCTGGTGGGAACCTGGGCAGGGGCTGGAACAGTGCCGTTGTCTCCATTTGAGACTGTTCACAAGGCCCTCAAGATCATCGGGACCACCTATGCCTCCCCTGAGAACTACTATGAGGCGGCACGCCTGGTAGAAGCCCACTTTCAAGAGTTTCCCTTTGCCGAGTGTGTTACCCATCGATTCCCCCTGTCTGGAGTGAGCGAGGCGCTCCAGACAGTTTCAACAGGGACGGCCGTTAAGGCCGTCATTGAACCCCAGGCGGAGTGAACATAGGCGACATGACTGAACAGAAGAGTTGTTGTATAGTAGGGATAGGAAAAGGCAGCTGTTTGTTGTTACCACATAGAATCCCAGCTAACAATGAATAAAATTTAATAGAAACCTGCAAGCTGCCCCAGTTGCTACTGTTCCCGAATATCCCTTAGTTTGGCACGCGATCTGCTCGTTATAGCCTTGCCTCTAGAACATATCTTGGAACCCATTGGAGCTTTTTTCATTCACTACGGAGCAGTTATTACAAAATACTTGTTCCAGTACCCTCACGAGATGTGAGCTCAGACAACAGCATAACAATCAAATGTCCCATACTTCCCCAGTACATCTACCTCGCCCACCTCCACACACTGCAGGCCATTCACCCACTGATAATCCGGATGGTCTGTCTGCATGTGCGGCCCACAGCGAATCCGCACCTTCTCCGGCATCTTCCCGTTGAGGACGTCATGGTAGCCCGTCGGCCCAAAGGACCCTTTCCCAACATACGTGAATTTGATGCGCGCTCCGTCATCTGTAAGAATCACACAACGCACTTCGTGGATCGAGCTTCCGTCAGGGCGAAGCGTGACATAGTCGTTTCCCTCGCGGATGAAGCTCCCATTGATGCGAGGCCCAGAAACCCGCGTGCCTCGCTCCGTGATAATCATCGAGATTCCGTCAGGGTTGTTGCCGATGATGAAGGGAGGATCATCCTCGGGAAGCTCCATAACGTATGTGAAGAGGTACTCGGTCTTAAATTCGAGGCGCTTCACGGGGGGGATTTTCAGCGTGCTGGTGTCCCTGGGGACGTAGGCTTTGGGGACGTTGGGTAGAGGCATTGCAAAGACAGAAGCTAGAATGACAGCGAGAGACAAAGGAGTGGTCCTTGGTTTAAGAAGTATCACGGCTGGGTTGGAACGTGTAGTGGATGTTGGCAGCTCTTAAAGTCTGCCAAATGCCAGAACGACCTTCACTTCATGACGGTGGCCGGAACAGGGGGCGTTCCGTATAGTCGGCAACAGCATTCCGCTCAGTTCCGACGGAGAGCCGCTCTCAGAGCTTCGGTCTATATAACTCGACCACCTGGAGTGTCCAGGGCATAGCAGATTGCGAATAATCGACGAGATAGATTCCTCAAAATGGGCATTGAAGATCTTATGGTTGTTTGCCCCAAGCTATCTATCTCCCAATGCGTGTTCGTATGACTGACTTACGCTGTTATAGAACAAGCGAGTGCTGTACCACTACACCGAGGGTGTGGACTGGGCGTATGAGATGTGGTACAGGTCGCCAGTGAGTTTAGATCATCTTGCCAAAGTTGAACATTCTCTAACAACGCTCAAAGGACCGCGTCGTCTATCGGGTGGTATCAGGCCCCCTTGCTGGCCGTACAAACTATGTCAAGGGCTGGTACCAGGAGATTTATCCCGGGAAGATGTACAAAGTCTCCTGGATGGAAGGTGAGACTCAAGATCCCATACCTAGAAAAAAACAAGAAGACTGAATGACCGCAACTCAGAAACTGGCACAATCGTCTCGCAGACGATCGATGTCAAGGAGAAGAAAATCTGGACATTTGCAGCCTTTTCCAAGGGACATCATGTAAGGGCACCTACGCTCTCTGCGCGCTTGCCTACGCTAATGACGTACGCAGGAAAACCGAGGGATCTGTCAAGGCCACAAGACGACCCATTTGGACCAGTGGCGAGAGCTGGCCAAGATCGGTATTCAGACTGATAGACATATGGTGCCGTCATCCGGTGTTATTGATGAGATTCTCGAGGGACCCGGAGAGCACCTACCCAAGATCGGCGACGACTGGGCGGTTCTGTAAAGGCTGTTTATAACTGATAGAAGTCAACTATGGCTCTGCCTATGGCAGACACAGGCCGAGTTAAGGCAAGAGACTTTAGCTGTGCTTCTCCAACTATAGAATGTTATCCTGAATATTGAAATGTTCTCTATTTGCCATCTTTCTGGCAGATGCATATATACCGAAGCAAGCATCCAGCTGGGCTTCTCCAGCATGAGAAAGAACACCGAATGCATGCCTGTCAAAAGCTGCACCAAGCGGAATAAGCGGAACAGGCGGCACCGGTGGTACGGGAACATAAAGCGAAAATACTTGGCGTAGTGGATAGACTGGGGAATATAAGACTAACGCATTGAAGCCCAAAATAATACCAATCGCACACTGTACACTCTTGGACTTGAATCTGGTTGCCTCTATCGGATATGCCTGTATTGCAGACCACGTACCTGGGGCTGGTTCGTGGGAGAAGTGATGGCCGTGTTGATGAATATCTGGGAATCCCGTATGCAACGCTTTCGAACCGCTTGGCTGGAGCAGTCTTGGTGAGCAGGTCTCAAGGTGCCGTGCTCGATGCAACGACATACGGGTAGGTACCGGGGTTAAGAGCAGGCGGAAACCATCCTTGCTGTGCTGACCGTCGCATTACAGACCTACGACCATATCTCCCTTACAGGGGTGCGACCTGGAATTCAGTATCATGCAACATAGCCTCCCCAAGGGAGCTCTACCCCAGTCAGACACCGAGTGCTTGAATCTCAACATCACGGTCCCCGCGGGTGTGGACAGATCAGCTAAACTCCCCGTGCTGGTCTTCATCCACGGCGGTGGCTTTAACATTGGAGCCAATTCCTGGCCGCAGTTCAACATGGCTCGATTTGTAAACCTTTCCGCAGAGCTGGGGCTGCCAATAGTCGCTGTCACTATCAAGTAAGAGGACTTTCGTCATTCGTGCGTCCAGAGCAAAGCTGATCAGGAACAAGTTATCGCCTGGGGCCGTTCGGGTTTCTGACTTCAGAAGAGCTTCGCGCGGCCGGCTACAAGGCCAACAACGGCCTTCGTGACCAACAGGTCGCTCTGGAGTGGATTCAGAGACACATCATCGATTTCGGTGGAGATCCAGGTAACGTCACGCTTTCAGGAATGAGTGCTGGGGGAGGTGAGTGCCACTCTTCATTACCACGGCAGCAAAGCCATGAAACAGGGTTAGAGGGAATTGTTGACTTGCAAGTAACCTCGGTCATGTACCAGTTAAGCTCTGCCAGGGCCCTGTTTAAACGTGCTATCGTAATGAGTGGTAACTACTTTCTCCTCCCACCGCTTCCACTTGCGCAACACGAAGAGAACTACAGCCGAGCCATCGCAGCGCTGGGGCTGGCGAGTGCCTCGACTGAGGAAAGGATCCACGCCCTTCTTGAGACCCCCGGTCAAGAGATCATCTCTCGGCTGCCGCAATCTGTCATTGCAGCCCCTGCTGTCGACGGCGAGCTGATAACCGACTTCCCTACGTTTGCTGAACTCGCAGATCCAACCGTGGATGTTCCTCTTGGTAAGAAATGGTGCAAGACGTTAATAATTGGGGACGCACAGATGGATGTAAGTGCGGGCCAGGCTTGGCCTGTCTGTTGTTTACAGGCATCCAACTGACCTCCGCAGGCGAACATCGTCCGAGTACTCATGCCGGGGGCGCAAAAGGGGTGTGCAAGGAGATTTATCAGCATCCTTAAATCAACCTTGTGCTCCAGGCCAAAGGTCGCCCAGGACATCCTAGACAGATATGGTATCTCCATACACATCTCGGACGACCAAGCCTTTGCCGCAATTCTGGACTACATCAACGATATTGCTTTCTTTGCACCTACCTTGGCCGCAGCACAGGGCTGGCGCGGAAATGCGCGAGTGTATTATTTCAACCAAGGAAATCCTTGGGAAGGTCCGAGCAAAGGCCGAGCCGGACACCTGCTCGACATTGTCCATCTGTTCCAGAACTTCCGAGAATTCTTGACACCTGAGCAGCAAGCCTTGGGGGTTCGCTTTGCAGGCGACTTTCTCAGGTTCTGCCATGCAGACTCTCCTTGGCCTGCTGTCGATCCACCGAACGTAGACGGCGGGTTTGTTGCGCAAGTGTATGGATTGCGCGAAAGCTCTGGGACGATAGTAAACAGGGTTTACTCCCCATTCAATGGGAACGCTGACCGCAGGAGTATCTTATTTGACTGTGCTGATGATGTATCGCTGGACAAACTCATAAATGTTTTTTATCAGTTCCGCGGTTTCTAAGAAGGGTAGCAGTGTTACGGTAACTCGCTGTATGCGCCTTGCTGAATCACAACTGTGACCATTTACATGATGTACGTTGGTTGGAATACTCTATATTCTGCACATATACTCGTCGGCATTATTGTTTGTACACGCGATAGCAAAACTCCGTGGAGGGCTGATGTAAATCACGTCAAAACTAGACCTTTTTAACGTTCGCAGCTCAATATATAACGTGCCCAAGATATATCTTCATATGTTTACTAGGGCACCTATTTCGACGTTTGAAGTTGGTTAATAGGTCTAAAAGGAACATTTATCGTGAGATACGTCTGAACCGTGTAGCATTCAATTATACCTTCATCAATGACGACGGACTTTCTATTTACACGCCTTCCTATGAATTGGACAAAGCCGCTCGCGACGGCAGAATCCCTGCATTCTCGAAAGACTAATAGGTCTCAAACCAAGTATCAAGCGTGCTGTCATGCCGACTCCAGCCAAGTTTCCGTGCTTTGTTCACGGATGAGATTGTCAGCCAGGACTTCCCACTTGCCCAGTTCATGAAGCCCCAGGTCCCATAGTCAAAGGCGCCGGTGTGACCCCCATATTTCTTAACAACCTGCTCCCATACCGCACGTTTATCTTTAGCCCACTCAACCAGGTCTACTTCGTTTGCCAACGTGGTGGCCTGGCCGGCTGCTTTCTCAAAAACAGGCTCGGGGGCCTGGTGTACAATGAGGTGAGCGGATGAATCAGAGGAAGGAGATGAGGACTGATTAAATACCTCGAGACCTAGAAACGCAGCAAAGTCGTTCCATATGTGTTTCCAAACAAAAACGTCTCCATTCGTATGGTTGAAAATCTCATTCTTACAGCGGCCCTCCGAGACGGCCCAGATTGTCATGTCCGCTAGACTTGGTGCGTAAGAGTTGTTGTCAACGGCATTCCAGAAGTATTCGTTTCCTGGGAAAACTGGTGCTTGGTTCAGCTCGCGGCAGATCAGCATGTAGATGGCAACTGTGACCACTTCGGACATGCCATTCGCTGGGGTTGCACGTTAGCAGAGTAAGAGCTTGTCTGAAAAACGGAGTAAGTGTGCACACCCTGCGGCGAGTAGCCGATGATAGCGTTGCGGCGGATGATGTTGTATGACCATTTCTTTCCAGCCGCTTGCATGCCCTTTAAGTAGTCTTCCTGCTGGAAGTAGAAGTTATATCCCCCATCGTCATAGCGAGGAAACCACTCCTCTAGTGGCACCTTCACCGGGCCCAAATGCACACCGTAGTACTTGAGCGCCATGTATTAGCACTCTTGTTCGTACGTGTGTATGTGTGTGTAGAACCTCACCTTACCACCAGTCTGTAGACAGACACGCTCCAGCTTCGGGCAAGCTCTGTCCACTGCCTCCAGAAAGTTACGGAACAGTGGCACATTTTTGTCTCGGAGAAGTTTAAAATCATCGCTATGGACGTATGACGCGAAGAAAGCGTGTGTCACACTCTCTGTGAAAGGTTTCATCTTCGCAATAATATCATCCACCGGCTCTAGAAAGTCCAGTGCAACGAACTGCACCCTAGGATCAACCAGGGCCGTCTTGATGGGTCGGCGAGAAGTGATGATAATCTTGCTCCTATGGGTCACGATCTGTCAGTAATTCCATTCATGCTAATGATTAACCGGTCTAGAAAAGAGCGTCGATGCTCATCCGAGGGGCTAATTACCACTCATTCTTGGGCTGGCGGATTAGGTGGTCTATGAGGGCGTAGCCAGTGATGCCGTTGGCACCGGTGACAAAGGCAACTTTTCCAAAGGTAGGAACATCCATGGTGCTGGTGAGGGGGTTCTGAATCCTGCTTCTGTCTGAGACCAGTGTCCAAGGACGTGGGTATTGACTTTCATATGTAGTCTTTCCGTATGGCTTCTTTCTACCGCCTATTGAGGTCCCCATCAAACCCGGAAACGGCGGAACGGCCTATTGAGCGCAGCACAGCACTATGTCTGTTCGGAACGCCGGGTTCCATTACAGATGCTGTCCCTCGGTGAATCAGTGGAACTGGATTCGGCAGAAGGAGGGAATTGGCGGCGCAGTCTATAACCGTATTCTATGCCGCCTGGCACCTTCTTGAGAAGTATGCCTGGTTTTATTCCACCTGCGTTCCGTGCTCTCTTCCTCGGCATCGATCTCGCAGCAGCATCAACTTTCAGATGGTTTGAGCGAGATAGTGGGAACGGACTCGCAGGTAACCACGCGCGTTGGGAGAGCCCGTTCAGCTTTTCTACCCTAGGTCGTGTGCCAATTACCAAAAGTATGTCACGCCGGACAATTACGAGTTAGACGAGGATTGGGAGATGCCGCGACACCGTGTATAGGCCCGCCTTCTACGGTCTATCTTGTCATATAGTGTTAAGGGTACGACTAGCGAGCGAGCTGCAGGTGCTAGGACAGGCACATGGTGCATTAACGCAAACAATGTAAATATTTATTCGCTATTCAAAAAGTATTTCAATCGGCAAGAGTATGATGGGTGCGAGGAGGGTCTACAACTTCGGTTCCGCCTTGCTCATCGCCGGCTCCGGGAGTTGGTGGCGAATAATTTTGCCAGATGCACTGTATGAGAGGGCAAGTCAGACGATAGTTCTTGAACAGATGGTAGTGCTTCATCACTTTGGGAATGTCTCACTTCCTAGGGATTGTTGGGACAACGTGAACTCCACCTCGTAACCATTTATACCTGACCACCTGGCTGTTGACGAGCGCCTCAAGATCGACTTTTAACTGCCCTTGGTCAACAACATCGGGGCCCACGCAAACATAGGCCGCGGGATACTCAGTTCCTTGGTCTGGAAAGTTGATTCCTCTAACAGCCGCATCACGCACCTGCGGATGGCTGAGCAAAATGGCCTCTAGTTCGGCGGGCGCAACCTGGTTACTAGTGATATGCCCCAATGGGATTTTCTTAGCTTTCTGAATTTCCTTTAAGGATAAAAGCTCCAGCTGGAGTACTTACCCATTGACCTTGATCAGCTCTTTGGAGCGACCGACGAGGAACACATAGCCTTGCTCGTCGACATATCCAATATCCCCCGTTTTGAAATACCCATCAGCAAAGGTGTCGATAGAGTGCTCAGCAGAGGATCCAACATAGCCACGCATGATGTTGGGACCCTTGATTAGAAGCTCTCCAGACGATCCTGATTCACATTCTATACTCGCGTCAGCAATAATGTTTGGCGCCCGTGCTTGTGCCATCCGGCAGTATCATACCTTTGCCGTCTGCACCAATTACCTTCATTGACATGCCAGGTAACAGCCTGCCAACTGTGCCAGTCATTGCTACTTCATCGTCTTGCTGGGAGATGACACTGGGGCTTGCCTCGGTCATGCCATACCACTGAGTGATAGTACACCCCATGCGACGCGACAATTCTGACGACACTACTTCCTTCAGTGGGGCGGCTGCATTGATAAGACATTTCACGGAGGAGAAGTCAGTTCTCTCGTTGGTTGACTGGAGCAGTCTCAGGGCAATGGGCGGCACGATATTGATATGGCTAACTGGAAGGGTCTGTCAATTGGAGCACGGCTGAGCTGGGGCGATCTGTTGTCACATACTGCGGTCGCGGGGAATGGCGTTGAGAAGCACCGGCAACTCGAACTTGGGGAAAACAACAATTGTGATACCCTAGAGGGCGGTTGAGCCGTCGGTCATTGTTCAGCGAGGCTGGAGAGAAAGTCTTACCTGGCAAATGTACTGACATACAAATACGCCGAGCCCAAGGATGTGAAAGAAAGGAGTGATGAGGGCTGCAACTGTGGTATTTCCAGGACCGAACATTCCGTGCAATCTCTGTCGGTGTTGGAAGATATTCGAGACTATATTGTCGTGCGAGAGATAGACCCCCTTCATCGGCCCTGTCGTGCCAGAGCTGAAGCAGATAAACGCCAAGTTACTTTTGGACTGGCTTTTCTGTAGCTCTGGGAGGAGGGGCACGTCTGAGCCATCATTAATAGCATTATAAAGGTCAAATACCCTCCAAGATGCTCCGTGATCTGCGCGGGATGACAGCAAGTACAGGTCCGGTTTATAGTCCAGATTCGCAACCAAGAGCACCTCTGTCAATGTGGTCGTCAGAGAGGGCTCTGCTATTACGATAGTGGGGCGTGCGATACGCAGGTAATGAGCTATCTCCTATAAATCTGCGTTAAGCGACTGCTGTGCAGCTCGAACAGGGCTGGCCACCTACCGGCGCCTGATGTAAAGGGTTGAATGCCGAAACAACACCACCAGCTGCCAAAATCCCATGCACAAGCACAGGGAAGTCATTCTGTAGGCGCAGCAAACACATTAGCGCCTTCATCGAGCAGGTATTGAATCGGACAACATCGTCTCACTCTATTTGACGCCAGAATCGCCACGACGCTGCCGCTACGGACGCCGATCGCGGTTCGAAGGTAGTTGGCCAACCTCCTCACTGCAGTCCGAAAGGTGCTGTAGGTATACACTGTCTTTCCGGATACACCGTCAATGATGGCGGGTTTGTCGGCGAATACATCGTTCACGTTGTGCTCAAGCAGAAGCTGCGGCAGTGTTGTCCCTTCCGGGTAGCGCAAGGACTCTGCGGTGTATACCATGCCAGGCCGTCGAATAAACGAAAAGTCAGACCAGAAGTATAGATAAAAAGTTCATGTATCTGACGTGGAAGTGATTGAGAATTAGATGGCTTTTGAAAACTTATGCGAGAGCCGTGACTGCCGGAGAAGCCAGCCCCCGACAGCTAATGGGCCTCTCTTGGGGCACGACGGCAGGCATTCGGCATACTCGTTCCGCGAGCCAGTTCCGCAGGTTGGGAAAGACTAAAAAAGCCTAGAGTGGGAATGGATTTTGAGATTTACTGCTCTAATATCGGCGGACTTTAAATTTGAAGCTGCTTAGGGTGGGTTAGGGTTACTGAAGCTGCCCTTGTGATAAATTTGATTCACTATCATCGACGAGGCCTGTCCGGGTCGCATGGATTCAAAGCCTCATTCTGTTCTCATTTCACATAATAGGCCAGGTCGCTCTGTTCAATCTCACGTTGGGTAGTACCATTTCCCATGAACCGGAACCGATTCGGGGAGCGGTATTGAATATCGAAATCCTCGACCCGGAAACGATCTAGGATTTCTGGAGTTTGTTAGTATTAATCCCAGCGTAGAATTCTGGCAAAAAAGAAGATACCTTTGTAATGGATAATGCTACCGGCATACATGGCAGTGACTGGCCCGTTGACTTTGCCGCCCTTGAACCAACTGCGACAGCCTCCGGTCCACACCGTGCGCTTTAGGGCCTCTTGCGTGTACACATTGTAGTCGTCGAGAGCAGCCTGTTTGACGCAAATGTTCCTAGCAAACCTCTTTAGTGTGCGATATAGAAATCTCGAGCTTGGGACAACTTTACTTGATATCTTCAGTTATAATCTTCCGCCACCATCTCAGTATCCAGTCCGCAGTGGAATCCATGGCTGCAAGTAAGGAGCCATGCGCGACTAGGGTCGTTAGTGTCAGGCACACAAGAGACGAATGCTGACCTACCTGGGCAGTTCGGCCCGTTGAAGATAAAGTAATTGGGCTGCTGGGGCGCACAGATTCCGAAGTATGCCCTGGGCGTCTCTTGCCATAACTCCGAGAGATTCTGGCCATTGCGCCCGACAAGATGCCAAAATGGGGTGAAACTCACGTCAAAACCCGTAGCACAGATTATAATGTCGTAGTCGGTGACGTTGTTGTCAATCGTGCGGATGCCGGTTTCCGTGATTCTTTCAATGCCACTGAAGCAGCAGGACACATTACTTTCCTGGAGGGCCTCAAGATATCCCTCACCGGGAGAAATACGGCGACAGCCAAACTCGAAGGTGGGAATAAGTTTGGCACAGAGCTCCGGGTCGTGGTTCAGACGCTCTTCCATGATCCTTTTGGACATCCGGTTGATTTCGAGCTGGCGGTCTGTCCCCTTCAACAGTCCCATAAAAAGCTGGTTAATCCTAGGGAGAATGAGTTAATGTGAATGACACAGTTCATCCTCAGAAGAGATATTACCCGTGTTCGATGTCTTTGCGTAGCTTCAGAAACTCCTCTGGATGCTGTTGAAATGACTGCTTCTGCTCCTCCGAATATTTAAAGTTCTTGCCCTCGGGCGTAAATTCGGCGGCAAAATTAGCTGCAACCCATGTCGGCGATCGGATGTAGTTCGTCACGTTCTTCGCTGTGGACTGGACGTTGGGAAGAATCTGGATGGCCGACGATCCATTTCCGATGAGCGCTACTCTCTTCCCCGTCCAGTCAAGCGTGGATGGCCTAGTGCTGTATCAGTATGCAAAAACTGTCTTTATAGGTATTTCTGCTGGCTGACCATGAAGCACTATGGACGAGCTGCCCCTTGAAGTCTTCAAGGCCCCCGATATCTGGCCAACGCCATTTGCTAACACTGGATATCAGCACATATAACGTAACGGGAAAGCGGAGTTCATTCTAATCAGAGGCTTACTTCAATATACCAGAGCCATTGATCAGGACATCGGCTTCGTCAGTAATAATATGCTGGCCCTGTTGCACTTTGATCTTCCAGCGCGAGACCCTTTCGTCCCAAATTGATTCGATGACTCTGGAGTTCAGCTGCACGCGCTCCTGGAGGGCATATTTGTCTGAGGTGTCCTTGATGTACCGCCAAATCTCGTCTCCACCCGCATAGAACGAGGACCAGCTCGGGTTGGGCTCAAATGGAAAGGTGTAGACATGGGCCGGAATATCACAGGCGACTCCCGGGTATTTGTTTTCCAGCCATGTCCCGCCTATATCATGGTTCTTTTCATAGATCGTCAGGTCGACCATATCCGACAGGTCGAACTGATACTTGTGCTTGTGTGCTAGCAGCAGACCTGAAAACCCGGCCCCTACACAGACCACGCGGATCTTCCTGGGCGTGAAAACCGGCTGATCCGGCGCAGGGATCCAGCTTCCTGGAAGCCTGGTGTCTGGGCTGTTGATTTCAGTGGTCTGTACAGTCATTGCGTTACTATGGCCCATGAAAGGATTCGTGGTCTCTGTACTAGCTTGATGCAGGATACCTGGGTCTATATTATCCTGATACGATGACTTCATGTAATATCGCGCCGCAAAGGAGTGGACGGAACGTGACCAGCAAAGTTCGTCTCTCCATTCCGTTGCGGAACCGGAAGACAAAAGTGGATGCCGTAATGACACAGTGGATGTTCATGTCGACTCCGCATTCCCACCGGTTCATGGTTAGTAGCCGATTGGGTGTTGTCCAGATTTGTAGACATATCACCGCCATCATTCCGCCGCGGAACAACCTCCTAGGAAAGCCGACTGATCCCAAAATTACAATTGAATCCATTGATGGCACGGGCTACTCATACAGAAGGAGGGTTCTAATCTTCCTTTTACCCTCTGACTAGTCTTAAATTGTCTCGCGTAGAACTTTTTATCCCGGGGTTTTCAACTACCTCCCGCCCCCCTCCCACCCACTCATGACAATTTGAGTCAATATCACCATTTCACAAGATCTTGGTTGTTTTCTCGCTAGCTAGCTGAGTTATTGCAACTCCTTCACATCCAACATGCCACCAGCCGTAAGTGGTATCGAAACGTACGGGTCAGCGATTCCATACGCGGAGCCGCCGTGGGCACGCGGCCTTCCATCCCCCTTCATTCGAGAATCGCACCGTCAATTGCAAAAGGCAATGCGGGAATGGGTTGAAACAGTAAGAGGCCCGCTTGTGTGCCTTGTATTTCACTTATCAGTGCCAACGGTGTTCTAGAATATGATTCCATTTGTGACCGAATGGGAGGCATCCCGCAGTATCCCTCACGGTCTTTACAAGGCCTGTGCGGTGGGCGGCATTCTGATGCCCATGGCCGCCGGTGCACGAATTCCAGAGAGTTGGCGAGGAAAGTATCCGATCTTGGGAGATGTCGACGGCAGTGATTGGGATGGATTCCATGACTTCATCATCCACGATGAAATGATGAGAGTTGGGGGCATTGGGTAAGAATCGCCGCTTGTTCTTTGAACTTGGGTAATAACCTAGACCAGAATTCCAAATGGCTTAATTGGTGGACTGGTATGTGTTCCTCTAACGTCAAATATTTTCTTTCTACGTCTATCTGACGAGTGGCGTGGTAAAGACGCTGTGTGTTCCGGCCATCTGGAAACACGGTAGGGGCCCAGCGATCGACAGGTAACCAACTAGACCACCCTGCTCTTACAGCTCCTCCTGACCATTGTAGAATCATCGACGAGGTACTTTCCGGAGACAGTCGACTATCACTCGCGGTGACAGAGCCCGAAGCCGGGTCGGATGTGCAAGGAATCACAACTGCTGCCACGTTAAGCTCCGACAAAACACACTTTGTCGTGAATGGACAGAAGAAGGTACCTGACATTGCTGCGAACCCTACTCTGCGAGAACAACCCGTCTAACGCGAGAAAACACGACGCACAGTGGATTACTGGGGGGATGTACGCCGACTACTTCCTGACGCTCATTCGGGCTCCAGATGGCGGATTCAATCTCGTCATCATCCCCAAAGACTCAACTGTAACTGTCCGACCCATGGAGATGTGTGGATCCACCTGCGCTGGCACTGCCTTTGTCGAGTTCGACGACACTCATGTCCCGGTAGCAAACCGCGCGGGCGTAGAAGGCAAGGGGCTCACGTACGTTATGTCAAATTTCAACCACGAGGTCAGTCAGTCATCAGGCGTATCATATACCCCGGAAAGGTACCAGCTAATGATATCGATGCGGGGTTTTAGCGATTATTTATCTCCTTCCAATCGCTTCGCTGTGCTCGAATGTGTCTGGAGGACTCTATTTCGTGAGTCCACCACTCTTTCAAGTATTCCTGGTCACCGTTTTAACATGATCTCTTGTACTTGGTACTAGGCACACCATAGCCCGCGAGACATTCGGCCAGAAGCTTGCTGCACATGGTATTGTGGTCTTCCCTTGCAAGCATATTCTCCTACTTACTAAACCCTCGATCAGCGGCAGTACGGAACAGACTAGCGCACATGGCGCGTGAAACAGAAGCCCTACAGGGTTGGATTGAGGTGAGTCTGGCAGAAACCACCGAGTGCTGAACGGGAACGACGGCTAAACGTGAACGAAACAAACTGCAGGGCCTGGTCTATCAGTTGGACCACCTGAGTGAGGAGGCCGCCGTAGCTCTTCTTGCCGGGCAGACAGCGCAACTGAAGGCCCACTCGGGGATAATTCTTGAGCGTGTTGCTAGCCACGCCATACAGCTGATGGGCGGACTGGGCTTGACACGAGGTGGCCGCGGAGAGCGACTAGAACGGATTTGGAGGGACGTCAAGGCTATTACTATTCCTGGAGGTAGCGAGGATATCCTCTTGGATTTCTCCATCCGCCGCGCCTTACGGGGCTGCATGGACCATTCTGAGTCTCGACATCGCCCCACCAAGATATAGAGGACTTTCTGGAATGCTCGAACGCTGTTCTATCTCAGTACGGCTAAGCGTAGATATGGGATTAATTGGGGTAGTATAAATAGTTCCGAGCTAAACGATTGTACAGTTGGCCACGCTGCGTACGAGCCAGTCATGCAAGACAATTGAATAAGACTTATCACACTTGATTCAAGGTATTCAAGTCGAACAATGCGGCAGAATAACTGTCGGTCATACAACTGGTGGATGCATGCAGCAAATTACGATCCGAAACAGACATCTCGAACGGATAATCAGCCAGCACGAGATTCGCCAGATCCGGGGCAAAGTTGTGAAGCAGATCAGGCGCAGCGCTGGGGTCCTGGGCGTCCAGAAATTCGAAGGCTGGTGTCACGGATGGTAACTGTAGGGTTGGGTAACTACGAGTGCTTGTTTCCCCATTCCGCACCTCTGCATCGCTCTTTTTGCCAGCGAAATCCGCGGAAGACTGCCGGCGGGTGTGACTTTGGCCTCGTCTCTGTCTATCTGTATCTGATAGAAGCCTAGTGGGAACGGATTCAGGAGTATTAATTGCAATGTTGCCGGGGATCCTGGCGTCGCCTCCGCCCACGACCTTGGCAACCATGTCTGTATATCGCCTCACAGATCGGAGTGTCTTTCCCGACACCCAATTAGCGCAAAATGTGTTCATCATCTGAGCTGCTTGCACTACTGAGCTGGTGTGCCTCTGTCGAAAGGCGGGGGTCCTGATAACCAGCCCTAGAATCGTAGATGCCGCCCCGAGCAGATATTGGAGGAAAGGAAAAGTATAGATGCGGTGAGGCTCGAATATGCGTGAAAAAAAGACGACAATCCGATCTGCAAGGGCAATGCAGGTGGACTCGTTGTCAAAATTTTCGATCCAGACGATCGAGGAGCTGCGGCTTCGCATGGGTTTACGTATTATGATGCGTAGCCAGAGGGAGCGCTGTGAATACAAGAATGAACAATGCGTTAGTTCTGAAGACATGGCACCATGATAATGAACGATAAGGGACCCCGTACAATACGAATCAAAAACTTGTTCTTTAGCTGCCATGGACGCCGGGCAGCATTGGAGTATGAGTCGCTATGAGGGTTAAGCTCATCACAAGCCAGGTCAGCAGGTAGGGTCCGCTCCCACATGGCTAAAAGTTCTTCGAACGAGTCGGTAAGGGCAGGGTCAGACGCCCGATCCATCGAATGCGCCTGGTACAAAGCGTTCCAAACTTTGCCTACGATCTTTGAGTAGCCCGTCATCGAGATCAGGTAGGGTATCGGGGTATTCCCGCCCTGTACGGGCTCATCAGCGGGAACAGGCGTGGTGGCGGTGTTATGACGGAGCTGATCCAGCGTTGTTTCAGATAGTAGGAGTGGCAGGTCAGTGTCGGTGTTTGTGTCCTGAATCAGAAATGGCTGGCCAACATCTAATGCTAATCGCCGGTCAAGAATATATAAACACCACCAGAGCCGTCGGGCATATTCCGCACAAAAGACGGGGACGGTGTTGAGTACGATCTCTCGGTGCAAACCCAGGTGGCATGCTTCAACAATTGCCAGGGACAACACCTTCTGAGCTCGTTCGTTGGCGTGAATGCGGATGAGATATACAACCTACAGTCCGTTAGGACTCCCTTGGCCCAAGGCGGAGGAGAAATAGGAGTTATCGATCGTACCATGAGCGTTAGGACTTGCAGTCGGGGCAGGCCGGAGCCGTTCTCCCCAGATGGTTTATATATATCTCCCAGGCAGTCCAATGCCGCGCAGTAGAACGTCCACCCAGACGATTGGGTGCCTTCGCCTGTCTCAGCACGCACCGAGGTCGTGCAGCGTCCCAAAGCGAGGCAGATGAGAACCTGCACAAAGGAATCCATGCCCGCGATATCGGGCTCTGTGGAATCTGCACCGTGATCACTAAGATAAGCGTACGACCTGCGTAAGGATGGCAAATGGAGAAAAGGGTACAGTGGATGGACATCTTCGCAGAATAAGTCCAGCAAGACATCCCAGTCAGCCTTTTGTGGTGACAGCTTGTGCGCCGTGAGAACTTCCAGCACCCGCATACGCTGCCAGCTCGAGCCAGCGGTATTGCCTTCACCAAGGAGAGCGGACCCTGGACTGACAATTGCAGAAGATTCGGCCTCTTGTGCTGGAACTTCTAGCTCGTAGAGGCTTTCTTCCACATGCCGAAGGGTGCGGTCGATTGACGTCTCGCCAACGTAGCTAGTCTCGTCCCCGCCTTCAGGCTCTGTGTCAGAGTTGCCATGGTCTTCCTGTATATCATTATGAGCCTCGCAACAAGCCGCACTGTCGGCTGTCTGCTCCGGATCAGTAAATGTTTCTGTTTGCTCCAACCCCGGCCCGTGGTCTAGGATGTTTGGCTTGGGGGCGATTTGATGTAACCGCCGCTCAATTTCGGAGAGTCGTTCGAGAATCAGAGAAGTAGTCGAGCTGCGAATTCCAAGCGGAAACGTGAGCCAATGCCTCGCAGCACTCGACACTGTGATACAAGATATACCTTGGGGGTTCATCATCTTCTTCCGTATTTGAAAGCTCCGCCTGCTGACCGCGTTTTCGCTTCCTCCCAGGCAGGACGCGGTAGGTCGGCGTGTAGTCCTTGACGCACTCGCGCTCTGTTCTCTGACACGCCTGGCAGGGAAACTCCCCGTTGCACTAGTCCCAGGGTTATTCACGACCTTTGAGTGGTAACCGCGGTCCAAAATAGGCTCACTTTGATTTTTCGACGATGGCAATATTCGCTGAGTGTACGGTTAGTATCGGACTGGACGAGAGGAAGCAGGGAGATCGAGTCTATACCAGGCTTTCGCGGTGTATTTGGCCCGTTTGTTCCGCGGGTTCGCAGGATGTGCAGCCTCGTTATGCTCGGTAGGATCTATTGGAGACTGCATGTTACCATTCCAATAAAGATATGCTCTGATATCGAGATGGCAACCCGAGAACTACGGGCTGAGTCAAAGAAATGGGGGCAGGCTGGGAGTGTGCTCGGTAGGTTGAAAGCTGCCCCCGCAACTGCGGGGAGTAGCTGCACCGGGGTAACAAATTGGCATTGGCCAAGGAAAATAGTCAAGTATATTGACAAAGTGGATTGGCGAAATCTCCGTGTCCGGAGTTCTCCATCGTGCTGGATGGGCGGAACTGGGCGGAACTGGACGGAACAGCGGCCCATTCTTTTCCAACCAGCCACCATATCCGTACGGACTAAAGCAGCCCATTGGTGTTACCAGGCCAAATTTGCGTCTCGCCTTATGGCAGAGGCTCACTCGCTGCTCTCCGAATGGCTGGGGTACAAGTGAAGGATTCCAGCCATTTATAACACTGTAATCGAAGTATGAACTATGCTGAACTAGGCAGCTAAGACATCAGCAAATAAATAAGATTAACAGTAAAGAACATAGCCCGACATCCCCTAACCACACGCTAGGAACAGCATATAAGCTACAAGAGCCCTTGCTGATTGGCTGTCCACGGAAACAACGGAATCCGAGTCTCCCACAAACCGAAGCAGCAATAGCTTGCTGCATGGTATTGACAGTGGGTCTATCAGGTTACCAGTGCGCAACCCTGGGTCAATCCATCCCAAGGCCTTGTCTCAAAAGACATACAAACTTGCCGGGGCGGCCTAGCCGGCCCAGCCGCTCCAGCTGATTCAATACAATGCGCACCTGGTACTCTGAATGCGCCTTGAGCCCTTCTTTGCCTATCGGCTCGGCCCCCGTCAATGAGGGATGAGATACTAACTCGGCCATCAATGCGGCCAGCGCTTCCCTGTCGGACCTCAATTGCCACACTGAGAGCCAAATAAGGCCCGCCTGGAATAAGGTGCGAGGGACATGTACTGCTGGTTCCGCCATACGCTGCAGGGTCCCAATATGCTTCTGAATTTCGCGTGCGTGTAGCAGGCATCCTAGTACTTCTTTAGACATGACCCATTCGCGCGCCGCAGCCATTGCGTGGCTCTCGGGCCGGAGATGATCACCCTTGTAGCAAAGAATTCTCTCCAGAAGTTCACAGTCTGCGTAGAGCGACAGATACGAAGCATGCCACAGAGCCCCGAGTGACAGCTGATTGGGCTTCTTTGCAAGCTGGCTCCGATGAAAGATTTGCCACCATTCCATCAGCATCTGGGACAAACGTTTCCTCATACGTGCGTCCAGTGTATGCGATCGACGAGAGTCAATGATCTGGGTGTTAATGCTTACGAGCTCGCTGTAGGCGGCCAACTGTGAATTCATGATGCTCGAGGGCCCGTCACAGAAGGGATGGCCTCGCTGGTATGACGCAGCCCAGGCCTCGGGGGTAGGCGCTGTGAAGAGGTGATCGGTTGCGGTGCTAGGTGCGTCAAATGATCGATGTCTCAACAGGGGCTCATGATGGAGCAAATTCGCCAGCTCTGCATCGTGGATCCTGATCGCATGGTACGCTCGAGCCCGCTGCTCGGTAGCGGCCCATTCACGCCAGACGTCCTCCACGATCTCCCTACCATCCAAGGAAAACATCTTGTCGGTCTGTCGAACTTCTTCCGTGTATCGTCGGGTGGTTCCTCGCATTGCCGCTATGATAGGACCTCGTAGATAGTCGGCCAGGAGGAGATCTTCAGGGCTCCCAGAGTGAAGCGCAAATGCCAGGCTTACCATTCCAGCTTGGATAATGGAAAACGGGTCATCGTCTTCATGATTAGGGGAAAGAATGAGTTCCCAGGATGTCAAGATCGTCTTGCTCACAGAGTCAATAATACGCCGGCCGAACAGCGCATCCTGGGGACAGCCAGCAAAAGAGCTCCCAACCGCGCATAGGCAGAGAAAGAGGATGGTATTTCTGGTGGTGACTTTGAAAGACGGCGCATGAATAAAAGGCATCATGGGATTGAACTGTGTAAAGTAAAGCTTCGCAAACATGCCCAGGCGGCCAATATCAGGCAAATCGTCTCGGGGTATGTAACCTTGGATCCGACGAAACAGCTTCGCTCGACAGCCGTCGCTTGTGTATAGGCCAGCGTAGGACCCTGATGAAGGTGTCGTTTCCAGCCCATCCGCATTGCCCGCGTCTTGAGTATCTCTCTGGTACGGTGTAAGGCTGTGATCGCTGCTCACTGTCGGAGTGGGCTGTGCAAGCTCAACCCCGGCCTGCTCATCGCAAGCAAGTCCAGGCAGTTGCGGTGATTGTAATCCTATGAGCCTCTCTGAGCTTAACCGGGCGGATTCGTGGAATGTCGACGTCAAATTCTCAACGAAATCCAACTGGCATGAATCGCTCGGCGCAACATCCAAGGGGCTGGCATGCAGAGCAGCGCTGTCCGAAGGCAAAAGGTATTCCACTTCGGCCATGGTCACCGTCATGGGCCTGGCGCCCAATATTGCCCCCGGATCCAAGTCCATTTCAGGCGTCGGCATGGATGACAGCCGGGGAGCTGGTTTGCGCCTAGACTCATTCTCGTGGCCTTTGGCATGGCGTCGAAGCGAATCACTATAACCATCAGCTGCCATTCATCTAACCGGCTTTCCACCGACGACTACCTCCGTGAATAACGTCTGCCGCAAGACACGCATCGAAACGGCTTCTCTTGAGTGTGCGTTCGCAGATGGCGCGTCAAGTGTTCGGCCTTGGAAAAAGTGCGATTACAGCTCTGGCACCAACGCTGCTTGTTCCGCCGACCTGGATCAATCTTGAGGCCTAACTCTGGCATGGCGATCCTGCTCAGTTGTCCACTCTGCCTGGCATTCGCCATGGCCCCACAGAGATAATAGTCTGCCGTAGTACGGCCCATTGCCGGCGACGGAATGTTTGCGGCATCTTCAGTTCCGCCCGGCCAAAGCCAAGTCAACAAACAACCTTCCGCGGTCGCCCTACTCGTGCACGATTCCACGCTGCGAATCGATCAGAATGAGGAGCGTCACATCCAGTGCCCTGCTCAGAGAGTCGCGTTTGGTCCCTGCCGCGCACCCTCGTGCCCTTTCTACTGTGAAGTCGCCCGATGACCGGTTGTTCGTCTCAGTCAACGAGTATCGACCGGAAACCGCAACCTCGGGAGTCACATTGCTGCTCACACACGGTACATCCTTCTGTAAAGAGCTGTGGGAGCCGTTGATTGAATTTTGGCTGCGGGAGGGCGGCCCTCTTCGCATTTCCGCCGTCTTTGCCCTTGACGCCGTCAACCATGGCGACAGCGCTGTCGCAAATGAAAAGCAGCTGGGTTCGTCAAGTAAGTGCCTTGCTCTCTGTTGTTTTCTCAAAGAGCTTCCCCGGTGGCGTTGTCACTATATTCCAATGCCGGAGAACGGTACCCACAGATATCCGTCTTTGAAACGACACTCACTCATTATATGGGTATATTAGCATACTGGCCCGATCATTCAAGGGACATCCTTAAAGTTCTGGACCATCTTGGAGCCACCCGACCTTTGATCGGTATAGGACACTCTTTTGGCGGCGGGACACTGTGAGCCATCCCTACAGCCTGCACTCCTGATCTTCAGTTCGCCGGCTGACTGGTCTTTAGAGCACATGCATCCTTAATGCAGCCGCTCAGATTCGATGCCACCATTCTGGTGGAGCCCGTACTATTCCAAATGAGAGAGCAAACAGCAGCGATTTCCAGGCAGGCGCTGAAGCGACGTGACACGTGGGAGAACTTGTAAGGCACTCAGTTGCTACTTAGATAACGATACATTTCCTATTCTGCCGCTGATGCTGCAAATAGAGAAGAAACGTATACGGCTATATCAGGGAGCAAAGGTTTTTCCGACTGGACTACCGATCAACGAGAGCGGTATGCTGTATGTAAACAACCCAATGGCTGCTTAACGATCTGCTCACACCCCGTCAAGGTATATGCAACCAGGGATAGAACGAGCGACTGTGGTGTTGTCAGGACACTGAAAACTACCAAGGAGCAGGAATCCGTAAGTTTTCTTTCTCGCAATATGTCTTTCAGCGAAGCCCACTCACTCTATACTCAAGGCCACCTACCTTGCTGCCCCTTATCCAACTATCATCGACCTCCTCTCGGCCTCGCGTGAGCCCCGTTATTACATCCTGGGCGAGCGAAGCCCAGTTTTGTAAGTGTTCTCCTGCTGCAGGCGCCATCCAGCTCCTGTTGGGCTAATGCCCCGTGTACCTCCAGAAACAAGGACTGCCAAGCGGCCGTCGAAAAAATGGCGCAGATTCATGGCGACGTGAAATACATCCAGGATGGAGGCCATCTGGTACGATAGAACTATCAGACATCTTCCCTATGAAAGCATAATATACTGATGGCTTCGGATCGCGCAGTTGCCAATGACACACCCAATCGAACTTGGTATGTTGTCTCCCTCGCTATCCGCTCGTGTGTGTAGCATCGTACTGATTGATGTCCAGGGGTAATCTTAGAGCAAACGATCATCACAGCCATGTCGAAAATTGGCACTGTGCGATGTCATTTCTGAGTACTATACGGAGTAGATGCGGGAGTGGACCTCACTATAGTTATACAAAGTACACCAACACTAGCTGAATACAACCATGGACCCCTTCGGAATGAGGTACCCATTGTACCACGAAGCGTGTAGCTTTCTACCTTCCACCACCCCAGAGAACCATCGATTGCAGACTTTGGTTCAAATCAATCTCTCAATGATGATAAGGTGTTGTTTACTGGCTGGTTCGTCCAGGGCATTTCTACAGATTGAGGGGTTAGAGCATTAACAGCTGCTTGTTATGGTGAGAGTCCTGCAGGGCTTGGCGGATAATCCTTGATAATAACTTCTTTAACTGCTAACCTTGATGTCCAGAACACAACTCATAAAAGTCGTTCCAGAACATGATATCCTGAAAACTTTCCTCACTAATGCTCCTGAGGGCGCACGGTCACTCAAATCAACCGGTACAATCCTTGATGCCAAGAAAGATGGTGTTATCTTTGCTACTGTCAGTAGTCTCACCTGGACAGAATAGTAGTGTTCGGTAGGATCCCATCACTATTAAGGAACATGTTACTGGCAGTAAACACGGTATGGAAGACCGAAGTCATTCATCGCGTAATCGCGAGTCCCTCCATGTGCTTTATATTATTGTTCTTGAAAGCAACTTGATCTTGATATAGTTCTGCTGTCGTAACCATCACGGACCTCGGCAAAGCGGCCTGGCTGGGCCCCGCGGCTTCATTAATTAATTATCTGCCTCTTCCTCTTCTTTGATTTCCCTCGTCATCCCTTCCATCACAACTGCCAGACACCTGCCATGCCAGCAATTACCCCATCGGAGCCGCTGAGCTTCGTTCAGGCGCTGCACCTGGAGAAATTACCCGCTGCGGACGAACGATACATGAGCACGTTCCCCGCGCTATCGTACGACTACGCGCCCGGGAAACCCCTGAGCGTCAATCGCTCTTACGGAGGACACGCTTTCGCACAGGCCATCTGGGCAGCCAGCTTGGGGATCCGAGATTCCGGTCTGCGCATCCATGAAGCGAATGGCTACTGGACAGTGGCAGGCTACGCCAACCGGCCATTCATCTACGAAGTCAAAACACTGTCAATAACGCGGTCATTTGCTCTGCGCGAGGTGATTGCTCGCCAGCCAACGACCCCTTCGGATGAGTGCCCGTTCCCCAAATCAGACGGTGATAAGGAACTTGGTCCGGTCGCATTCGCCCTCACCTGCTCCTTCAAGCAAAGAGAAAGCGGGCCAGCATACTGGCTGAAGTTTGATGCCAACAAGTATGGCGATCTCCTACAAAAAGATCCCAGTTCATACCCGCAGGATGTCTACCTAAAGGGACCCAACGGGGCCGGCATAATCAGGCTCGCCGACTTTCCAAGTATAGATGTCCGAACTCCTGATTTGCAGGAGCACGGCATCCAAAACCTAGGAACTTCCCACCGACGCTTACATGTGTATCGTGCTACGGAGGCGTTGGATCTCGACCCAAATCTAGTGGCAGCTCTCCACGCCTACGTCTCCGATCGGGCCGGCTTGAGCGTCCTGCTGCATGCCTTTGGAGCCACTGACCTGGGCATCTCCGGCAGCCTCAGCCACAAGATGCTTTTTCACGTCAGTCCGGAGGAGATGGCTGTTAACACGAAGGGGTGGTTCACCCAAGAGATGTCCAGCAGTCGTGGTGGAGAGGGAAGGGGGGTTGTCGACAGTCGCATCTTTAGTCCGTCGGGAGAGCTGGTGGCAACCACCATCCAGGACGCCCTCTTTCGCCAGCCCAGGGCGAAGCTGGCGTAACAGTATGCTTGATAGAAATAAAATGATTCTGGCTGCATGAGTCCCATCTGCCTGGTGTTGGTATCAAACAATATCTATATTCCTCAAGAACGGCCTCTGTAGCCGATAGCCCCTCTAGCTATATTCGAGCTATATTGAAGCTATCTCACACCATTGAACAAGCCTGTTGGACATCAAATATCCTTATCAGGTACCCCTACTCTAAGCCCTCTCTCCTCTTAACAAAACACATCAACGGCTTCTTCTCCCACAACATGAAAGACCTCTGCTCCTCCCACCCAGAAGTACTCTCCGGGCAAAGCTTCAAATCAAAATTCCACAACACGCGCGCCAGAATCATGCGCATCTCAGCATTCGCCAGGTTGCGCCCGATGCAATTGCGCGGACCTACCGAGAACGGCTGCAGCACATCACGGTTGTCATGGTAAAATGGCGATGAGGGATCTTCCTTAGCGCATGGGAGCCACCGTTCAGGCAGGAATTCAGAGGCGCGGTGGAAGTTTAACGGCGAGCGGTATGCGGAAAGTTGGTGGACGGATACTTTTGTCTGGCGAGGACTTTGTTAACTTTGTTTGTTCTTTGCGAGATAAATTGGTATGGAGAAGGGCATTGACTTACTCCTGGTGGAATCATGTACCCAGAGATATTCACTGGATTTGGGGGCAGCGTTGACCTCTCGAGTCCCCCAGGCACAGGAGGATAAATCCGCAGGGCCTCGGTCAGGCAAGCGAGCATATACGGCAAGTGAGAGGTAGTCCGGAAAGTGATATCTGTATCAGACTTGATGGATGAGCGGATCTCGTCAGTCACTTTGCGTAGCGCATCGGGCGTTCTAAGCAGCCAGTAGGTGACGCCCGACAGCAGTGTTGCTGTTGTTTCACTACCGGCAATAATGAGTATATTGGCATTGGCTTCGATTTCCTTGTCAGTCATCCCCTTTTCCTTGTCGCCATGGTGACGGAGCATGCTATCCATGAAGTCTGCTGGGCCACGGTTAAGGCTGTTTTGGAGGCGTTTTCGGACCGTCAGAGTGCTGTATTCGATTTGTCGTTCGCGGGCCTCCATCAGTGACTCTGAGGCAAGCCATGGCGATAAGATCCGGAATAGGAGAGGGTATGCATCGCGCAGCTTGACAAAGGCCATGCCCTGCATGGCTTTGAAGATCGTAGCGACCCAGTGATGGTATTCCCCCGAGTCCAGGCCACCGAACGATTCTCCGAACGCCAGGTCGCCGATTAAATCAAAGCCCGTAAGGTTGTACCACTTGACCATGTTCGTTACTGGGGTGGGCGACGCAGCGATCTCGTCTAGTCGCTGGATGAGTTTGTCTACATAGCCGCGCAGGATGGGCTCCTGGGCTTGCAGACCTCTAGCGGAGAAGGCGTGTGAGAGGGCCCGTCGGAAGCGGCTGTGGTCGGCATTTCTGGCGCTTATTATGTCCGATGGGTTGCTTGTTGAGTGTAGAACCTTGGGGAGTTGCTCGTCGCCGTGGCCGTGCCTGTATATATCCTTCCACGCTTGGGCTGTTATGAAGGAGACCTGATCAGGCCCGAAGCGGACTGCTTCTCCGTATTTACCGTGGAAGGTCCGCATATCAATCTCAAGTCTCCCTCTCACTGAAGATATATAGCGGAGGATGGGGAATGCTATCCATGTCTTGGGCCCGAGCAAGTTGTGGAGTGGGTGAAGATACAGTGTCCGAATGATGGACAGACACTGCCACAGAAGGAATACAGCAGAGACAGCGAATACATAAAACATGGCGATAGTTCTTTGTGTCTTTGTATGTGAGGAGAATGAAAGAACAAGTCACCATCGCAATATCAAGTATTGCTCTCGGATCCGCTGGCTGCTCTTCGGCTCCGCTGCGGCGGCTCCGCGTACCACGATAGTTAATTGACACCACGCCAATACGACAGTCAAGCGCATATTATTTTAAGCAGCCTTGATGTCTAAACTAGGGTTTACCAGAAAATATTGCAATTGTCCTTCTGTTGACAAGAGCGGGCCTCAGGGGGGTTCGTTAGTGCTATAACTACGGGTACGAAATTAGTGCTATTTAGATAGTATATATATTGATATACAGTATAATTCATTCTTTCCTGTCCATTCAAGTAGTACCTGCAGTGAAATTCGTGTATAGCACCTATTATCAGTCCATAGCAAAACCCTCTTTCCGTCCGTGACCTGGTAGACACTCCCTCACGCCTCGGTTTCAGTCCAATGGGCTCATTGAAATGGCGTGCCAGAATCTCCTTGTTGCAACTTGCTCCGCCGGGATCGGACAGTCCATTGAGATCCGCACGATTCAAGGAACATCCCAGGGGTGCTCACCACGATCAGTCCAATACAGCTTCTGCAACTCTTGGTCCAATTCCAGGTCAATTGGCTCTGGCAACCCCTCCAGCAGCAATTCAATATCGATCTGACCCCCAGGAGTCTGGCCAACAGGCAGGTCAATGCCCGCCCGGAATACTCGGCCTCGACCAGCCTTACTGGGTCCCTTCTGCGTCCAGTACACATATCCACGGGCCGTAACACTGCGGACCGAGCCAAAGATAGGTATTTGTAGTTATTAGCCCTTCCACATCCTTTGGATGGAGTTCCCAAGCCCTACCAACGACTGCACGATGAATGCGACACTCCGTCTGGATACCCCGGCCATGCAGAGACGCGCCGAAAACAGCCCTCCATCCCAACAGAGCCGTGAGTGAATGAACCTTGACACATGTGTTTTCGGGAAGCAGTGTGACTTTTGCTCTACAAGAAAGGTACAGAAAGGCACACCAACTGGGACACGAGAGAACTTTGTTGAAACTTGGAAACGATCTGGGATAGATGCGGTGTGGAGGGCAGCAGCTCTCTTGCGCCTCCTGCTCGAAAAGGAATATTCTCTGCACTCGCAGCCACCCGAGGACGTAGAGGACGGCGGAGAAAAGGTACGGAATGCCGGCCTACATGTAGGTCGTGGAAGTCGGCATACTCGAGCCCCAGCACTAGCAGTAAGCAGGAAGCCGGTCAATAAAGCAGCCGGCCAGGCGCTCGGCCGCCGTACCATGAAGGAATTCGAGAACGTCAGGGTATTTCACGGCCGACATTGCGACTATAATGAGGTCCCGACGTCGGTGGCAGGCGTCTCTGGCGTCTCAGACCTCAAGGCAGCGCGTCCCTGATGCGCAACTGGTTGGCTCAGTGGCAGTTCTGGTCATATCTCCAGATAAAACCCGAGTGGTTGCGGTATTAGATACATATAGAATTAATCTAGATCATGGCAACGTATAGTCCCGCAGTTAGCGATTGTGTACTGGGGCTTGAACCCCGTGAGATGTCTGGCTGGGGATGGGTGTATCAACATTATGTGTGATTGAAGAGACCATGCTCATTGTGTCCCTTTGTAATTTGACGCTGGAATTCCTTGTTCGGATCCTGTTCAGGGAATGTATGTTCCAGCTATAAAGCAGCCTCCAATAGATGACATCGAATGTGTAGCTCCATCCCGCTCAATGGCGCTGCTCCCCTGGACGCTGACAGGGCAGCAGCATCGGGCAGTGAGAGATCGCGCGACAGAATATAGACAGACCCCTGAGATCTCCAAGGATTGATACGGAGATGGTCGCCTTTGCAGAGGTAGTCTTGTCCCACCGCATACCAATGTCGCCGTGGGTGCTCCGGTACGTGGCCTCCACTTCGGTGGGGGAGGGCCCCCAAATGATAGTGGTATGTAGGGGATGGAAATGATTATTTGTTAAGGTTAAACATTCAAGTGCTCAACACAATATAGGGGCTTTCGAAGGCAGTTCAAGTAATCAATTGCATACAACTAGATGACACATCACTGAGATCGATCCCCCGTACTCTGGCTTATCCCGAACTTAGCCAGGCATTTACCATTAGGACAGGCCTCAAAGTCTAGCAAGATGCCTTCTGGACGATAACGCCCCAACCGTCAGAGCTTGAGAGACGTCCCTTTACCCGTGTGGCATCGAGACAGCGGCCCAAGACCTTTGCAGTCACATCTGCCACAGTTTCCCAGCTGTTGAGTGTGTGGTCCTTGTTATCCTGTCGATCCATTAGTATTATTGCCCCTGTAGTAGTCCCAGGCGATACTTGCATTGGAGCAGACATAGATACCTGCGCCCCAGGAACAGCTGACACGGTTGCACTTCCCAGCCCTAGCAACGGGTTGCCCAGAAAGGCCCCGAAGATACTTCTCCCCGGCCACAGCGTCGCCAACATCACACTTGTCTGCATCGATATCGCAATCAATTGTGTCGGTTCCAGCAATTGACTGGGGGTGAATTAGCCATATGGTTTAATACCCTATTGGCAAGCAGATCCTACCGGGCTGGCAAGAGCGCCTAGAAGAAGGAGAGACTGCCACTTCATTTCGGGAGACTGGATGAAATTGTTAGATAGATTGAGAAAAACGCAAAACTTGGGTCCCCAGGCTCCTATTTATATATGGTTGCGCACCCTGCTGTAAGCTCCATTGTATACTCTGTGTCGGTATAATGTAGTCCCCTATTAGGCGTGCCGCCGTGCCGAGCTGTCAGTATGAAACGGCTTGCTGCTGCTGTTGTATTTGACTCATCCAACCATGTTTGTTATGGAGGGTGTTCACATTCATCCCATTGGCTCACTGGAATAACCCCAATCTATGCTGGTTTGCCCTGCCTTCACTGCCCCGGAAGCCAGGCAAGGCCCCCAGAGACAGCGGCAGATCGTCCCGCTCTCCGGCTTCATGCAGCGCACCGTTTTCCCCGAATGGGAGTCCTGTGCGCTGGAATAACTCTGGGTCGAAATGCTGGCATCCCGGTATCAATATCTTACGGTACTGCTATCCAAATTCCTCAGCAACAGTTTTGAGTCTATTTTGGCTGCAGTCGGCTCCCAGTTCAAGGGCTGGTGAATCAAGGATGGCAGGTCTTTGCGAATTGTTTCGGGTATCGCGCAGGTATTTACCCTCTTGCTCCGCCTAGCCTGCTGCTATTACAACTCTGCTCTCGGGGTTAAGTCGATATCGTCCAGCGGGGTCCGGTTTAGTTTTGTGCTGATCAACGCCTGTTGGAAGTAGGCAATGGCTCTCGTAGGGAACGGTGACTTGGAGACAGCATGGGCCCTCAGCAGTAGAATCCGACAGGCATTCCCTGCATTAGGCCAGCCAAAAATCGAGTGCCTCGTATCCAGAGACCACCAGGATCAAGACGGAGAGTTGCGTGCTTGCGTTCGTCATCATATAATCCTCGACAGGATTTTATTGGCCCAGCTTAATCTGCCCTTCTGACTACCGGGGACCGAGATGGGCATTCTGACCCTGGCACCGCCCGGGGACGATCCATTCTCGCATGCCCTCTCGTCGATATTGCTGAAAATTGCAGAGGCCGAAGAGAGCGCGACGCATGCGAGGAAAGCGCCCAATTACTATCTCGGCATACTACAGACGCAAGTTCATGACATCGAGCTCGACCTCCACCAGGTACGTGTAGATAGGACCAGCTCTCGAATGACCATCAACCCTTGGGCTGACCACGAGGTAATGCAGGCCCAGGGCTCCAACTACCTGAACTGGACCCCTCTCCTCCGCAACAGGTGGGTCGGCATGGAGCTGCTTTTCCATTCGACTATGACGGACTGCCTCAGCTTGCATCCTGGAGCAAAGAGCCAGAGCACCAGAGATGGCTGTCTGCAACATGCCCGCTCTGCTCTGTAGTGTCTACAGGCCCGACGCAGAATATCGTCCGGTTCAACTCCTTCATTTCAAACCTATCATGGTACGTCCCTGTGTTCTGCTCCTTCTAAGCAACCGCTCACTATTATTTAAAAGGACCATCACGATGATGCCACTATCCCCATTCTTCTTGCTTTTCTGTAATATTGTGTTAGCTAGCAACGCGAGCGACTTTGACCTCTTGAAGCGGGTGGAGGTCAGTATTCCACCTGCAGTGTCTCCGAACCTTCCTTACCACCTCTCTGCCTCGGGATTAGGGCGAGTATTCAAGGATGCAGTTGAAGGCGCCCGCCCAGAGGTCCAAGGCAGCTTCATGCTGATCTGGCGTCGTCGAGAGAGGTCATGGTGGAAAGACTATAGCAGGACCCTTTTAGCGCGGTTCGGGACTTGGACAGCGTCCAGATTTATCCTATTGTCAGTGGCTCTCGCAGGCCTCTGCCTAACCCGATCATTAAATTGCAATTCCAGAGCCCGTACTACCTTATAGATCACATAATTTAACCACTATGAGCTACGATGGCGTCTATCGACGTATCACTTAAGCAGAAATGTGACCGATGCGAATATGAGATAGATTAAGGCTTGCTCCTTCTGATGAGCGGCTATCTTGAGGGATATCATATATGGCTTCGAGATAGCTTGACGCAAGCCCTAAGACAGCAATGATCCTCCATGCATCTGAAGGCAATAAACAGGCAATAATTGAAGCAATAATGGAGGCAGGAAGATGGTTGACCTGCGAGGTGGTGGGTTCGTATATCCTAATTACTACATTTTCTCCATTCCAAATGAAGCCAGCGAGTAATAATCTATCCCGAGATTGTGAGCTATGGCCAAGCGACGGTCTATAAAGCAGTCTCCGGCGCCGTTCCATCGCTGTTCTCTTTAATCTGTACAAGCAAAGTTATTTGGTCTCCAATCTATTTTCGCGTCTTAATTAAACAAAGGAATAATGAAGGCTACCTTGATTATAACCTTCCTCGCACTCGGCGCCTCAGCCGCCGCAATTCCAACCCCCAAACTCGAGCCTAAGGGTAAGCTTTCCTGTCTAACACTAGAAATAAATATGCTAATATGCCCAAAGCTGTCACTGCTAATACCACTCCCGATAAGCCTGACGCTGATTCTGCTGGTGGCAATATACCTCGTATGTTCTTATACTATAACTTCACAACAGCCTGACTAACTCAATGTATAGGCAGTGCTCAACGTGGTGCAGTGGGAGCACTCCAAGATACTGTTGGTTCCCTTGGACTAGCACCTCCGCCGCCGCCGCCTTCTGACGACAATTAGCTTGGATTGGTGGGATTCTCACCAGCAAAAGTTGAGCATTATGGACTCCTTGGGTGACTGACCGGTTATAGCATTAGGGCAGTGGGGTTAGGGGTACCATATTAGAATCGTGATATTTCTGTTTCCCATTATCAGGCTTCACAATCCATATGGGCGTCGTATGTATATGAATAGTGAATTCACGATACTATTCAAATTAGTTTTTCTGTGAGGCCTCGTATGAAGGACCATTAAGTGGATTATGTGATACTCGGCAGGAAAGCTCATAATCACGCCGAAGTAGAACAATCTGGTGGCATTTTCACAAGAACATCTGACATGAAGAGAGGAATCAACCATAGCTACCACCTCTCGGTCTTGCGATTGGGGCCAGTATTCAAGGACGCAGTTAAAGGGCCCCGCTGAGAGGTCCAGGGTAGCTTCTGTGGTTCCAGAGGGGCTGGTTGAAATATTTATATATCTACGTACCGGTACACTAAAGTGTTGCGGCGCTCTTGAGAGTGAATGACAGGTGCAAGGCAAAAAAGCATCTAATGATGTATTCCGTATAAGCCGTCTCATTCCTCTGTAGGTGGTTCCTCTGTTGGCGATTCCTCTGTACGGGGACACTGCTTCCCCCACAACGCCTGGCACCGGGCACTGTATACAATATTCTCGGTCGAACCCATGAGCGACTCGAATGCCTCATCCTGCGCCTGATCGCCCTTGTGATTGCCAACGTCCACATCGCTCATAACATCAAACTCGGGCGGCGGGAAGTACTGGTGAAAGACTTCCGGCACCACCGAGATACACGCAAGTCGTCCCCCCTGGCATTCATGCTGCAGCTTGACGTCAAATGCCTCGTCCTGACCAGCCCCTGCAATACGCAGAATCTTGCGGGCGCCCTCGTGTGAGACGGCGTATGCAAAGGTGCAGACGGGGCTGGAGGACCAGTACACTGCCCGCTTAAAATCCGGTAGCTGAGCTAGCTCATCCGGCCAGAAGCCGTGATAAGCTTCATGGGGGTTGACATTGACGTCGTCAAAGATTACCGTCTCGATCTGGTCATCCCACTGTTCGCCGCAATGCCCAAGCCAGAGCACGTCCCAGCCATCACCATACGGCGTCAAGTCGGTTTCTGCAGTGCCAGTAAGATTTCGCACCGCCAACGAAATATTTTGCATCTGCTGGCGTAGTGCCGTGTCCCAGTCGGCGTCGTCCTCGAGAATCAGGGCAGTTTCAAGGTCCAGCATGTAGACGTGCTTCAGCAAGTCCAGGTGCGCAAGCCAGGCCTTGCTTGCCCCGGGCGCTGGCTGCTGCGCACCGACAAGATGGGGCTCGATGTCTGCAAACGCCTCCGCAAGCCGATTGTCCACGGGGGGCTGGGGTGGGATGGTGATGTCCAGCCCGGTCAGGTTGGCAGCAGCATCGAGCCCACGGGTGCGCCACGACGGGCGCTGGGACAGGGCGAATATTTGTTGGAACTGGAAAGTATGTCAGTATAAATTAAGTACTGCGAAGAGTGTGCTGGCTTACGCCTATTGTGCTGTTGCTAGCGTGATCCTGCGGCCGAAGAACCACCACGCGCGCATTCCTGGCCCGGTGCAGCAGGAAAAAGCAGAGGACCAGGGCGACGGCGACTAGAAGCCGGAAGCGCGACCGGACAAACATATTGGGCGCATAGTACGCGTTCTGCTAGCTGGTTGCGGTGTTGTGGTCGCGAAAAGGACACATCGCTGTTGACACTTGGCGGCTGCCGATCGCTCGTTTCAGCCTCAGCGCCTGTGACAGCAAAGATCGCTAACAAAGCGCGTAGATTCTTTATTATTTTATACTATCAAGACGATCCTATTTGTAGCTCATTGACTTAGTATGGTACGGGGCGAGTTCCTCTACTTGTGTGGCATCGTCAACCACTATAGCACCGCACTGTCACATTATATATATATATCCTTTCCTGCCTGTTCACTGCCAGCCTCATTTTGCCTCGTGCCCATCTGATGGTGATGCAGAATATGATTCAAGCTGAAGAATTGGAGAAGGTCCATTTGACTGATATAAAAGCCCTCAAATCCCCTCGGAATGGAGACGAGCTGACCAAGGAGCAGGGTGTGGGGGGGTACCCTTATTCACAGCTTGTGGCAAGACCCCAGATCCCAGCATCGACGGCCACAATGGTTGAGGCGTTGAAATATAAGCAGGGATTGAAATGCGGGAGAAGATGCACTCATACACAACTCGTAGCTTGTGAAGGTCAATGTCCCGGCCCGGTCAACTGCAGCCGGCAGCAGTCCCGGCGGTGCTTTTCCCAAAGAGGAAAGTCGAGCCTACACCAAGAGAGCTTATCACCAAACACTCGCTCAAAACTACAACAAACAGCTTCGATTACCCCAAATCCTGGTGCCCACCCGGGCCATATCCGGTTGTAGACCCCACGATTACCCCAAGCTGTCTCCAGAATATCCCCGCAGCCGTAGTATGGCCAGCTGCCCAGGGGATGGTATAAGGCTGCCATTTCTGTATGTGCCATTGTAACCTATCTCTTACCTCCATTGACTGGGAAACAGTCCTACTTTATAACAACTCCACAGCGTTTTCCTCACCAGCTACTCGGGATATGGACATTGAGCGACAGGGCAATGACGCATCCAAGGCCGTGGGAGACAGCTCGAACCGCGACCCTTCGATTCGAAGCAACCATGCAGGAGATATTTACGACCTCGCCACCGAAAAGCATGCAGAGAACGGGGCGAATTCTGTGCCGAACCTGCAACGGAAGCTGAAGAGTAGACATCTGCAGATGATAGCAATTGGTGAGCCGTCCTTCTCCCTCTACCACAATCGCCTGCTGACCAGTACCAGGCGGTACTATTGGAACAGGTCTCTTCATCGGCAGCGGGACTGCCATTGCCCATTCGGGACCCGTCGGCGCTCTTATTGCTTATATCTTTGTCGGTACCCTTGTCTACTCGGTCATGACATCTCTGGGGGAGCTAGCAACTTATATCCCGATTCCTGGCGCGTACATGACATATGCATGCCGGTTTGTTGACCCCAGCCTGGGCTTTGCCATGGGCTGGATTTGCTGGTTCTCCTGGGCAATCAACTTTGCCCTCGAGCTGACTGCCACCGGCCTCATTATCCAGTACTGGGACTCTTCAATCCCAATATCCATCTTCATCGCCATATTCTGGGTTGTCGTCATTGTGCTGAACCTTATGCCGGTGAATTTCTACGGTGAAATGGAATTTTGGCTTTGCAGTATCAAAGTCATAACCATCGTGGGATTCCTCATCTTCGGTATCTGCATCAATGCCGGTGCTAGCCCGCAAGGCTATATTGGTTTCCATTATTGGGTTGACCCGGGGCCTTTCGCCTCATACTTGATTACACCAGGGCCGACTGCAAAGTTCGTCGGCTTTTGGGCTGTCCTTATACAGGCCGGCTTCTCCTACCAGGGCACGGAGCTCGTCGGCCTTGCAGCTGCAGAGGCAGAGAACCCTCACAAGAGTGTCCCCTCCGCAATCCGTAAGAGCTTTGTTCGGATTTTGCTCTTCTTCGTTGCGACCATCTTCTTTATTGGAATTGTGGTACCGTCTGACAACAAGAGCCTGCTATCTGGCGCGACCGATGCCTCTGCATCCCCCTTCGTGATTGCTGCTAAGCTAGCCGGCGTCAAAGCCCTGCCCAGCATTATCAACGCAGTTCTACTCACAGTTGTGCTTTCTGCCGCAAACTCCAATGTGTACAGTGGCAGCCGCGTGCTAGTTGGGTTAGCAAAGGAAGGGCTCGCCCCTAAATGGGTGGGAAAAACATCGGCTCGAGGTGTCCCATACTACAGTGTCGGTATTACAGTTGCCTTTGGCCTGCTGGGCTTCCTCAACGTGTCCAGCTCCGGGAGTACTGTCTTTAACTGGCTTCTCAATATCTGTGGCGTGGCAGGCTTCATCACCTGGACCACGCTGAATGCTTGCCATATCGGCTTCATGCGCGCACTGAAAGCCCAGAACATGTCTCGCGATCTGCTTCCCTACAGGGCGATGTGGCAGCCATATCTGGCGTGGTACGGACTCGTTTGCAATATCGTCATCATCCTCACGCAGGGCTTCACCGCGTGGGTGCCGGATTTCAGCGTGTCTCAGTTCTTCGTGGCATATATTAGTTTGATCTTATTCGTCATTCTGTATCTGGGCCACAAGCTCATCTGTCGCACACAGTTCGTCGAGCCTCTTTCTGCCGATTTATATACCGGGCGTCTGCAGGTCGAGGAGGAGGCCTGGGAAACCACTACGCCTGCCAGCTGGTATGGTAAAATGTGGAAATCGATAAAGAGTTGATTCGTTTACCTCGGGTCCTGTCGGGTATCTTACACAAGAGGACCACCGTGAGAAGATATATTAGACCGACAACAATATGTAAATACACTCTCACCAGTTGAATAGAATTCCGACATTAGATTTATCTGGATCTTCCAATAGACACCCAGTATAATAACGTATGCAGAGCGATGTAATTGCGGCGGTCACGGTGATTGAATGCCGATACCGTAATACCGTATCGTATTGTCTCCAATTCCCCGCTTCTTCCGTCGATAACCAGGACTGACTGAGACTGAGACAGATTGAGACTAACTGAGACAGACTGAGACAGACTGAGACGACTGAGACAGACTGAGACTGACTGGGTGCGGGACTATGGGCAACCAGGAGAAACGACGTGATATCACTTGCCGCACCTGCAACTGCTGTCGGCTAAAGAAGGTGTGCAGCCTGTCTTCAATGTCCTCCATGTCTTTAATAGCAGTTGCACCATTCACTAACTCGTAATCATAGGTGCGATGCGATGGCATCCGGCCTCGCTGCCGATCATGTCGCGTGCGAGACCAGGCGTGCGAGTATCCCCCAGATGCCCGACGAGCTGCGACTCGGGGAAAGAAAGAAGACATCAGGCAGCTCCAGGGACAGCTAGAACAATATCGCCGCATGACCTGGCCTGGGCCCAACCCGGTCAGTTCGAGGAACGGAGGTCTAGGCCCGGTCTGTCTGTCTGAGACCTCCATGGAGCTGCCGGCGCCCTCACAGTACTCGACTCCGCTTCCTGCTTGCATGAATGAAGTAGTAGACTCCCAGCGTGCGCAGACGACGGAAGTGCCCCAGCCTGACGCGCCAGTTCAGGTGCCATCGCCAGAGTCCGTGGCCGATGACAGTGAAGAGCAAGTCTACGGAGTCACCAATCTCCTACGCATACAGTCCCTGCAAGGGATCTTAGTATCTCCTCCCTCAGGTACGGGATACGCCGTGCCATCCTGTGACAAAAGGGCGCAGCAGGAACTCATCTCCGCCGCAGCCATAGGAAGGCAGGCTGAATTGACCATCTTCTCCATGCCGAGCATTCTTCAACATATTGACTTCGACGGGGTCTCCAGAGACCTGGGCATGCATCTGCTTGGTCTTCACTGGAACCGACAGCACCTATCATATCTTCTCTCGTACCGTCCGGCCATCATGGACAGTCTGATTAACAATGGCCCATACGTTAATAAACTGCTTCTTAACGCTATCTTCTATACCAGCTCTCTGTACAGTGACCATTGCTTCTCGTACTTGAAAGACTCCAATCCACAAGAAAGTGCGAGAAGATTCTACACCCGTTTCAAAACCCTCCTCCCTGATTATCTCGAGAAGCCCAGTATGCCCACAATTGTGGCTCTTTTATTATGCGGCTCTACCCTGGTGCCACAGAGCAAACAAAGTGCCGGATGGACGTTGTGCGGAATGGCGTATAGAATGCTGATCGATCTTGGATATCATCTCGATGTCTCGCCTACCGCGCAGAAACACTTACCGACAAGCCTCTCGACGACCGAGACTGAAATCCGCAAACGAGTGTTTTGGGGCGCTTATGTTTGCGACAAATTCCAATCCATCTTCCTTGGGCGATGCCCAGCGCTCCACGCCTCGGTGGGCACCATCTCCATGGGGTATCTCGACACATATGAAGAGCTGGAAGAATGGAAGCCTTATACCGACCATCTCACGCCTGTAGATCCCAGAGTTCCTGCCTATAGAGGCCGGCCTTCGTATGCGCTTAGCACATTCCACAATCTTATCCCCCTGTGCACCATCGCCGGGCGGATCATTGAGGAATTTTACTCCCCTCGTGTAGACTGCGTCCCTGAATCAAGATTACTGCAGGTCAAACTGGAGGTCCGAGACTCTCTAGATAACTGGAGATCTTCTCTCCCATTGCATTTGCGGTTTGACCCGAATACCGATGAGACACCCCCGCCACATCAGATCACAGCACAGTCAGTACAATATCCCTTGCTTTAGTGGAGGTGTTCTAACTTCGGCGCTGCTAGCACAACCTATTGGACTTTGATAATTCTTCTCGAACAGCCGTTCATTAAGCATGATGTCTCTGCAGACTCGGAATTGCAAGAGGATGGAACTGAGAAGTGCATCGAAGCAGCGATTCAAATCTGGAGATTGGTTCAAGCTTATAGAGAAGCATTTACGCTGCGGAGAGCGCAATACAGCATCTCGTACGCTACATATTGTGCTGCCTTGGTTATGCTGAAACAATGCCCGCGAGACCGCGTCGGCTATATCCAGTGCGTTCACTTTTTCTGGGATGCACTTCTAGAATTTCAGAGGGGCTGCAGTGCGGGCCTAAAAAAGCCGCTGAAGTTACTGAAGTCTCTGATGGCCTGCATTGAGGACGTGGCCCGCGAGAACGACGTCAATCAGCCTGGCGGTACACAGGCATCTGGTCCTAATAGTAAGTGCCTGCACATGGTTTAAAAGGTAGCAGCAGCTAACTCTATGGTAGTGCAAGGAAACGGTGTTAGGGATTTTGACCAAGGCCTTGCCAACCTTGGGGACCCTGGCAGCTGGGGTGACCTGGGATTCGACGCCCTTTCAGATGAATTCTCATTTGCAAACGACATGACATTCGACCTCTTTATATAGGAGTACCTAGTAGAGATTACCAAGTACTCACTGATCTGCTATTGAGAGATCTGTTACTGTTTCCTCTCGGTGAACGCTTTCATGTAGTGCTTCGGCTCTGAGCCCCCATCCTGGAACATCCTCGCATAGGCATGGATACCAGCTTCAATACCAGACGCCAGGTCACTTTCCTCCCAGATTTGGCACAGTGCTTTCTGCTCCCTCATAGCCTTTGGTCCAAAAGAAGAGATCGTGGTGACTGCCTCATGAACCACCTCTTCTAACTCCTGCACGTCCTTGCAGCTCTTATCCACCAGACCCCAAGGCTCGACATCTTCAGCACTATAGAACCTTGCAAAATAAACCATCTCCTTTGCTTTCTGCCAGCCAATGAGGTTTGCTAAGAGACGCGCTTCGATAACGGACGGAATTCCAAACTTTGTTTCTGGCATGCTGAAGGTCGATGTCCGAGTTGCGTAACGAAAGTCACACGCAGCAGCAAATTCCAGACCTCCCCCGAGACATAGGCCATTGATCTTTGCAATTGTCGGAACAGGTATGTCACGCATGGCCTGGCAGGCCTCGTGAAGTCCGGAGATGAAATCCTCCGCTTCTTCATAGGAACTGATATTGGCCATTTGGAAGATGTTCGCACCCGATGTGAAGGACGGGCTTTTCGTGGTAGTTGTGGCACCTTGGACCACGAGACACCGTATATCAGGCTGTTGGGATAGCTGTCGGAGCGTCGAGGTGAGCTTCTTGACCATGTCTCTGTCCATACTATTCAGGCGTTTCGGGTTTGAGATGGTGACATTGGCCACTGTTCCGCTTCCTGCGACGGGTGCTTCTGTAACAGAGTAGAGAATATCGGCTGGTGTATCGGCTTTGCGTTGCTTGTTGGATTGTGAAGTTGCCTGAAGTCTCGCTGGAATAGTATGGAACGATTTTCCACCCATGGTTCTCTGCCGGCCATTGACCAGCTGGCGCGTTGGAACGCCCGTGCTGCTAGGACTAGCGAATATCCGTGCCAGTCCCTGAGGAAAGGCTCGGGTGGGCCCGGCGGCCTTTCGAATGGCAAGAGTTCGAATCATGGTCTCAGCTGCAGCAGATGTTGAGTTTGGGTCAATGGACGGCAAAGTACATTCCTTTAAATGGGACAGGCATGCGAGACCCGGACTTCCCATGGCCGGATCGACTGGGGTTACCAGGGAGTACTCGCTGTATGTATCGGACATGCAGACTACTTCCGATACAGGCCCAAACAATACGCGTTATGGGATGACAAGCCCAGGCATCATACATTGGAAGGAGTATTATACGGCATGTTATCTTAGGTGAACAGGAAGCTTAATATATCAGCTTCTTGGTTAATAGCGTAAGATATTTTGATATATCCTAGCACATCAAAAGATAAAAGGTCGTTAGATTACGCCAGTCTCCCTAAAACCTTTGATCTCCGCAGCAGAATATCCCATCTCGCAGAGCACTTCATCCGTGTGCTCACCCAGCTTAGGCGGGTTGAATCGAACCCCCGTTTCTGTACCTGCAAACCTGACAGCAGGAGCAATCAGCTTCAAACTTCCATCTCTCGACGCGTCAAAGTTAGATACATTCATGACCATATCCCGTGCTGTTGATTGAGGGTGCTCCAGTGCCTCCACCACGTCGTTTATTGCTCCGTATGGCAGACCACTGTTCTGCAATTGCTGATGCCACTCTTCCTTGGTTTGTTTCTTGATTGTGTCTTGCACAATCTCGTTGATCTCATCGCGACATTGTAGGCGACCGTCATTCGAGCTGAATCTGGCGTCTTGGAGCAAATGTGCGAGACCGGTTTTTTCGCACAGTATTTTCCACTGGCGATCATTGTTCGCAGCTATAAAAATGGTCTTTCCGTCTTGTGTTTCAAAACCACCATAGGGCACCAGGCTGGGATGCTCCAACCCCCAGCGCTGCCCTCGGCGTCGGTCCTCAGGCGCTCCATTCGTGTCAAGGTTCAAAGCGTTGAGGCCTACGTTGATAAGAAGGCTGAGGCCCGTTTCAAACAAACTTCCCTCAATCTTAGTCCCTAGGCCAGTGGCTTGCCTCTGTGCCAAAGCAGCCAAGATGGCTCCATGGGCGTATAAGCCGGTGCACATGTCAGCAATGGCAACCCCGGGCTTCGACGCGGGCCCTCCTTTCTGTCCAGTGATATGGAGGAGACCTGCTTCTGCCAGTGCAATCGCATCATATCCAGGGCGCGACCGATTAGGCCCATTGGTACCGTACCCAGAGATAGAAGAGTAGATCAGGCGCTTGTTGTCCTTCTTCAACTCTTCATATCCAAGCCCCATTGCTTCGGCAGTTCCAGGCAGAAAGTTATGAATAAGAACATCGCTCTCGCAAGCCAGCCTTTTGGCAATTTCTACTCCGACTTGGGACTTGAGGTTGAGTGTCATTGAACGCTTGTTGCGGTTGACAGCTGAGAAATAAAGACTCATTTTAGAGACATCATCCTTCCACATCTGCGCCTCCTTGGGAGCTCGCCAGCTGCGTGTCTCATCGCCGACCTGGGGCTGCTCCACCTTTACAACAGACGCCCCATAGTCACTGAGAATCTGCGTACAGAATGGACCAGCCAGCACTCTTGACAGGTCCAAAATACGTAACCCGGCCAGTGGAAGATTCTGGGTGTTTGCATCTAATGCAGTCGAGGCTTTCCGATGAGAGCGATACTAAGTTTTCTAGTGAGCAATTCTAGCAAGGTATCTATATTTCATGTGTTAAACGCACCGGCAATGTAGCCCTCGCCGCGGAAGTTCTGAGTGCGAAAGGTCGAGGCCACGATCTCATGTTGGTATATGAGGCACAGATTGAATCGGATGTGAAAATGTAGACTTACGTACGCCTACTGGGGTTCCTATGGATAATTATCTTTGCAGTTTCGGACAAACAGTTGCGAGTATTACAGCCTGCATTTCCGATACGGATTACTGTTTTACTGGACTGGCCATCAATCTCCACAATGATCTGCGCCGTGTTTCAAGCCCTGGTAATGCGTTGGGAGCGGAGCTGATGCTCAACAGTGTTGTAGGTATTCTGCATAGTATTTCTTTTGCTTTGCTGTCCGATCCTGATACCCATTAAAAGCGAGCGTTCAATTTATACCTCTACTCCCCTACACGAACCCCCAGCCTGGTGGAACGAAGCAGGTGTCTACCAGATATACCCAGTGGCCTTCTGCGACTCCCACGGCGATTGCGAGGAAATGCTGGTTGATTTGCCTCCCGAGGCCACTCGCCTGTGATGAACCAAACTTATCCACTTCCAGAACGCGGTTTCACAATCGTCTAATCGATTTACCAGAAGGCCATCATTCCAAATACGAGACCATGCTTGGGTGACAAATTCATGTGCCTTCTTTATCAAGTGAATCTTATCGTTACTCCAGGTGAGTTTAGTGCTTGTGGGTAAGGAGATCATTGCGTGGATAGCGGGTAGTTGCCACCCATGATTAGTGAACAGCCCGCTGGCTTAATAAAGTTGTGTGTCCGCATGCAAAAGCATGCTACAGGGCCGATACAGTCACCAAGGCCATATAAAGGAGGCCTTCGGCTGTCCTAATAACACCCATAGATAGCAGTTCACACTTTGTTACGCTGAACCAGGAAAGGCCCTGCCGACAGTTATAGTACTTCATCCAAAGCCCGACTCATACTGTCCGCGAGCAGCACAAGTCTCATATCTTATGGCAAAACGTTCTGTTCTCATTACTGGGTACGTCAAGCAGAAACCAGGATCCTTTACAATACCCAAAACTAAAGAAACATCCGAATAGATGCTCGTTGGGCGGGGCTGGACATCACATTGCGTTGGAACTGGCATCCCGCGAATGGCGTGTTTTCGCAACAGCACGATCAACCAAATCTCTCTCTACTCTGGAAGAGAAGGGAGTGGAGACCTTTGAGCTTGATGTTACAAAGCCGGAGAGCATCAGTGCGTTGAAGGATGAGATAGCGTATAGGACGGGCGGCAAATTGGACATGCTGTTCAATAACGCTGGAATAAGTATATACCACCTTGCTCTTCGGCGCCGCCACTATCTGGCTGCTGGTATAATGTGCTAAATTAACACCTGCTCACCAAATCTGTTCTTGCATTCTAGTGTATGAAGCTCCGGCCATTGAAGCAGACCCTACTCGTATCCGCAGTATGTTCGACGCCAACGTGTTCGGTTTGTTCGACATGGTCCAAGCATTCACTCCTCTTCTGCTATCGTACAACGCAGACAAAAGCGCTCCTCCCGTGATTATAAACACAGCATCGGTGCTTGCCCGTCTGCCGTTTGCGTTTTCATCAGCGTACAATGCCTCGAAAGCGGCCGTGGCTAGTTACAGTGACACCCTTCGAATTGAACTCGAGCCCCTGGGCATCAAAGTTGTGACAGTATTCATGGGCGAGGTTTCCACCAAGCTCATGTCCCCCGATAATGTCTCCTTCATACAGGGGAGTCTCTACAGTGATGTATTGGAGCGGACCAGGGAGAGAAGTCGAAAGCACGCGAAGAACAGCATGTCACCGGAGACCTTCGCTAGACAGGTCGTCGACCAAATACTGACCCAATCGCCCAATCTCGGAAAGGGCGAATATATATGGAAGGGCACTAATGCGTGGGTGGTTTGGCTCCTGAACGCCGTGGGATGGAGAAAGATATTCGACGGCCTAGTCAAAGGGATGGTCGGCCTGGACAACCAGCAGATCCGGATGGCCATTCTCCAAAAGGGTCGTGCTTCGGTGAGCCGGGCGACGGATGTATAATAGTTTTACATCTGCTTAGTGTATGTAGCATGTTTTTTCCTGTCTGTTCCTGCCGTATGCAGTGAATGCTCCTTGTTATCAACGTGTAGAAATATTAGTGGGTTCCGTGCAACAGCTGCATCGATGAAAGCAGGGCCCGCTAGAGGTGCCGATAACCTGGTTCCCTCGCCGGCAAATGGACTTCCGCCCAATTCGCAGTGATGAGTGATCAATTTACTCCTAGTATGGTGTTGATCGGAGCATATTCCATTGTTTCACTTAATTGAGCCTCCCCTACCCCCGATTAGTAATATGCCCGCATCCGGGCGTGTGTGCCCCCCGACTATTGGTATAACTTCATATTTATAATTAGTCATAGGGCAGAGCCAATCGTGTCAACATGTTAGACTGATAGAGACAAGGTACATGGTTCAATTTTATATATAAAGCTTGGCCATCTTGGGCCGATTGGTGAAGCCTGGCTCGCGAACGAGAATCAATACCACAAGTGAAAAGATTGGTTTCTATCCATTTGTGCACGGTCAAATATTGCGATTAAGTGAGCAAGAATTCTAGCGATTTCTATACATCTATATACTAATATCTGTCCCATTCTGTACCTTGTAACATACCTAGGTGGTTGAATCGTCCAACGCCGCCGAAAGGAAATACTAACGGGCGTGTTTACACTGGCTATTATTCCTTTTCACCTCGCACCTCAGGTCTCAGCCTTTTTGGTGGCCTTAGTCCTGAGTTTCATCATAAGGAAAACGAGGCCGTAGATGCCGACAACAAACACAACGACGATGCCAGCATTTCTCCATCCGTAGTACCGCTCCTCCAAGTTTAGTGTACGCAGGTAATCACCTCCTCGAGTATACTGGCAGACTTGGCATCCGAGGGTGTCATCCGGGTTCAGAAGGTTGCTCGCCATCCCCGCGCCGCGCTGGTAGATATTGAGATATTCACCGCATGTAAAATTAGGAGCCGGATCAAAAACAGCCAGCTCATCGGGTTTACAGTGGACGGGCTTGTCCCAGGTAGTGAACACTAGCAGAGAACTCATGAGGTAGTTGAACGGGTCGAGGTAGTACATCCTAGAGGGACACGACGTTATCACCTGCTCAAACTGCATCACCATGGCTCACGCAGGGGGATGTCTTACCAGTATCGCCAGAATGGTACAATCTGGCTGTATGGAATCATCACGCCGCAGAAGGAGACGAGAGTGGTAATCACCAGAGGGTTGACCAGAGACGCAAACACGGCATTTGGTGTGTAGGCGGCAATCATCTGCCCGATGCCGGTGTAAAGGCACTCGTACATCACCTAGGAAGAAGTTAGCAAATCGTATGCAGAAGCCGGATGAATTAGAAGCCTGGCGGGCTTACTGCAACGAAAAAGACGCTTCCAGCGTGGTAAGGGGAGGTAGGAAGGCCGCTGGTAAAGTACCAGCAAACGTAATACAGCAGCGCACAGACAAGCAAGTATGGAAACTCTGAGACTATCAGGCCCGTGACAAAGGGAGCCCAGTGGTACATCTTGCTCTTCTTCTCTCGCGCCTCGAAAATATCCCGACGGTCAAGAAAGAGTGGCTGAAGCTGCGAGATGACGCCCGGCGCAACGAAGATAAAATTAAACACAGTAAAAAGATTCTGCTGTAGATCTGTAAGTGCATCCCCAATCTTCCAAAAAGTGAAGCCGTTCAACAGCGCGAGGCTGATATGCATGGCGAATTTATTGTTGAGGTATTCGGTGTTTCGAAAGAGAGAGACATTCATACGATGCGTCACCAGCTTGGTTTGTGTCCAGAGAGAAGCAGCAAATTCATGCGGATCAGTGTTTGCTGTTGTAGATCGACCAGCAGCTTCATCAACCATGTTGTCCAGCTCCTCCGAGAGCTTGCCATGTTCCGGTGAGTCCAGCCAGACCCGGTTCCAGTCGAGACTCCCTCCTGACGACACAACATCAATAATATGTTCGGCAGGATTGGCTTCATCCGGGCAAGGTGCACCATGGCGGCCAAAGTATCCCTTGACAATGTTCGCATTCCGGCCAATATCTCCAAAGTACACTGTTTTGCCCCCGGCGGCTAGCAACAATAGTTTATCAAATTGCGCAAACAACTGAGCTGACGGTTGATGGATAGTGACGAGGATAGCCTGTCCTGCTTCAGCAAGCTTGCGAAGGAATCGCACAGTATTATAGGCCGCCTGGCCATCGAGCCCTGACGTGGGCTCATCCAGGAAGATCAAGATACTTGGCTTTGCCACGAGTTCAACACCAATAGTAAGGCGCTTACGCTGTTCCACCGAGAGGCCAGCGCCTGGTCGGCCAATAAGGGTATGCTCAAGGTCACTCAGCTCAAGAAGATTAACAATAGTGTCCACATAACGCAGCTTATCTTCGGTGGGCGTGTCGCGGGATTGGCGCAACAGCGCCGAAAACTCAAGAGCCTCACGGACAGTCGCATAGGGCTCATGAATATCCAACTGCTCGACATAGCCGGCGGAGCGTTGAAAGGAAATAGGAAGAGGACGCCCATCCACTAAGACGGACCCATGGATTGTCCCTGATGTCTTGCGTTGTGCCAGAACATCCAGCAAGGTCGTCTTTCCGGCCCCAGACGAGCCCATCAGGGCTCCAAGCATGCCCGGTTTGACATATCCTTGAACGTTATCAAGGAGGACACGGTCGCCATCCGCCGTTGGGACGGAATAAGTCAGGTTCTTCCAGGTGAAAATGCTCTTGTTGCGAAGCAGCTCATTTCCAAGCCTGTCGTCTGATCCATCGGAGCTGGTGCTCATACTCTTCTCCGTCGGCTGTGCTTCCTCGTCTCGGCTCTGCAAAAGGTGTTTTGATTTGTGCTGTAGCTCGCGAGGAATCAAAACTTTGCGGCCTCCCTCTCCAAGTAGCTTCCACCTGGAGGTGAAAACGATCGTGAGCCCAACGAAGAACACCCACCAGGCGCAGATTATTCCAAAATTACGCCAGATATGGCTGTGGCTAAAGGACATGGCTGCGAGATATTTGTCCCCGGTCAGACTCGTCGCGCCAGGTGCTGCACCAACAACACCAGCACACGATTGCCCCCCTTCGCCAACGTAGTCAGGGCCATTGGGGATTAGGTTAGGTCCATAACACGGAATGACCTGGTCATGGAATTCGTTCCCAAGAAGAGCTTCGAATCCGTAGGCCATAGGGTTGATCCAAAAGATCCAGACAAACCATGGATGCATCTCAGGCTTGATAATCATATATCCCATGTAGACAAACAGCGCTACGATCGAAAGTCCTGAGACTTTGGACGCAGCGTCGAACGTAGGAAACGCGGCGCCAACGAGACGAAAGAAGGCTGTCATGGACATTGCAGTCATGAAGTTGGTGGCCAGATAAGTAAAGAATGCCGCGGCCGTGGTCTTCAGGCCGACCATGAAGTATAGGATGAGCCCGAAATGCGTGACCTGGAATAATAGGATCGGTAAGTCGGCAGCAATCTGGGCAATGCAGATGGCCGCAGGATGGTACAATGCGAAGGAGCGGTGTTTTGCGAGAACAGGCCGGCCCGTGAAGGAGTCAGTAACCTCTGCCAGGGCTATAAGGGCATTGTATAGAATGGAGAAAAAGAGGGCACCACCCTTGAGGAAAAGACCAATCGAATTGTCAGGGGCGGCATAGAAGAGAGAACCACCAAGGAGGGCCTGGATAACGGTGGCGCCTTGCTTCATCATCACAGTCGCCTTGTCACCCCACATGAGCTGGTACTGCCTGCTAATCGCAGCCGTTACTTGGGTGACGAAATCCGTGGTGACGGAGGACCGTCGTGGCACGCCCTTGTGCTTCTCACGAGCAACCATTTCTTTGAATGTAGTGGTGTTCTCAGCCGCGTCTTTGCTTGTCGGATAGCTTTGCGACTCTTCCAGCATTCTGGGCTTTGTATGGGACTGGTCGTATGCAGCCCGAATCTCGTCCGCGGTGCGTGGGAACTTGTGCTCGTATCCAGGGGAAATAACGCGTTCAGTAGGGACAGTCACGCCCGTCAGGAAGTCTCCCCGGTTAGAACCAGGATCACGGAGGAAGCCCAGGCCCTCCATGAATGGGACGGCGTCCTTTTGAGGCCCGTAAAATATTTGCTTACCCTCATCAAGAAGCAGAACCTTGTCGAAATGCTCGTAGATGCCGTTACCCGCCTGATAGAGAGTGACAATTGTACTGAGCCCGAGGAGGTCTGTCATTACCCTGATGGCCCTGATCCACTCGAGAGCTGTGCTGGCATCAAGGCCTCTTGTCGAATTGTCCCAACAAAAAACGCTGGCACGAGTGGTAAGACACTCCAGGATCGAGACACGCTTCCTCTCTCCCCCAGAGACACCCCTAATAAAGGCATCCCCAACCTTGGTCCTTGCGGTATGAGAGATTCCAACGGATCGCAGGAGAAAATCCTTATATAGCTGAACGTATTCCTCATGAGTTGTAACGCCGGGTGGTAACTGATATGGGACTTTCATGCGAGCGGCAAAATCAATCGTATCTTCAACAGTCAAGGTCGGAAAGAAGATTTCCTCCTCCGTATTCATGACAATCTGCCCACGGTACTGTCTAGCCTCCATAGCAGACATGCTCCCGTAGCTGACGTCTCCGATGACTTCTTCATAGCCAATACGGTGGTTTGCGAGCACGTTCAGCAGTGTAGTGCAACCCGCTCCAGGTCGTCCCAAAACAAGCAGCATCTCCCCCGGCTTAACACATCCAAACGAACTTTCGATAATGGTCTTTGTTTTGGCACCTTTACCACGCCTATGGAAAGGGAAAAGCTGCGAGAGGACGTTTTCATTGAACATGGAGTTGCCGCCAACGCCCTTGACGGTGAGGTTGTGCCACGCAACACCGAGCATTTTAGGCTTCTCTCCCCCATCTTCGTCCCGTTTCCTCATCTGGCGCAATTCAGGCGCCATGTGCCATGTCGTTCCCGTATCAGCCTCGGTATCCGCAGGTTGCGCTCTATCATCAGCAATTGTGGACTCGGCATCCGTGCTTGATGAGCCCAACTCCATGTTTGACGGCAGACGGACGTAGTAAAGCTGCTATTTTTATGACCGCCAAAGGATATTTAAGGTGCGAAAATCAGTAATTTTCCACCGAATTAGATACAAATGATAAGCAACGAGAAGGGGTTTTTTATCTGTGTTTGGTCGGTGATACAGTACCTCTTATATTGCTTTCTCACCAAGCCCCTATCTTGCGCCATACTGCATCTTCAGTACATGTGGGCATTGGATCTTCCGTGGCTGGACGATCAAAGATTACTCGATTACTGAACATTACAACTCTTTCGCGGTATGATCACTTAGTGGAGCCGGCTCGAATTAATTATGGAGCTGGCCTGATCGGAATGATTACTATTCCAGTCTTGAGCTTAATCGCAGCCACCCGTGGGACCCCAGCTCTGATGCGTCGCCTGGACTAGATTATTTATCGAGCGGTCCAGACCACTGAGGGTTTACTACCAGAAAGATAAACTACCTGAAAGTTCTACAGGGCTCATTCTGTCTGTTGTCTCCAGAATCAAGGCAGCCATGCCGACCGACGGCGGAACGAAGTTCACGAGACGTGCCTGCGATTCGTGTTATAAACGAAAGGTGAGATATCTTTGCATACTGGTGATGGCCATTGTGGTTGACCCCCTATAGATCAAATGTGACACGGCAGTCCCGCAGTGCAAAGGGTGCAGCGACCACGACGTTCCCTGTACTTTTAACCGAGTACAACGGAGGCGAAAGCCTAAGATTAATCGCCAGTGAGACAGACCATCGCAATTCACGTTCCAATTCCTTCAGCTGCGGCTCATATCTCGTGTCCTAACGCCCTTTATAGGCCGCGGAAACTTACTGAGCTCTCTGAGCGCCTCTCACGAATCGAGAAGCTTCTAGTCGAACACTCCACGCAGAATCCCAGCTTCAGTAAGAAAAGGTGCCCCGGGGTATACATATGTGTAGATTTTTTGCGGAGTGCACTGATGAAATAGTACCGCATACACCACAGATGGAGAGCTCCCTAAGCGCCATTGTCGGGGACAAGCCCCAGCTTTCATATTTAATGCACGTGTGGCTGAACGATAGGGAAGCATGCCGTATAATCTTGCCTACAGTCCCTACCCTGCTTCCAGGCATCCGGAAATGGGCACAAGCTCGTGCTGGGCTGACGGTCTCGGGCGACAACCTGGGCCTTACATTGGCATCAAGGCAGCGTGGGCAGAGCCGTGAATCCAGTGCTGCTCTGTCCAGCCTACCGAGGCATATATTTGAACTTCCAGACTGGTGGGCTGTGCGCCTGTACTTCGACGCCTATAGGAAATCCCCACTGATGCGAGTGTTTCCAGTCATCGAGGCCAAATTGTTTGAAGACACAATCAGCGCCGTATATTGGCCACAGCAGTCGGGCTTGAGAAAAGTGCAGGCCAGCAGCAGAACGTGCATTCTCGCGTTTCTCAGCTTTGTCGCCCGTCTGGGGCTCACAAATCTGCCGGCTGTCGACCATGGTAGGCTGGCTTCTAAGAGCCAGCATTTTATGACCCAGATCCACCAAGAAAGCGCAAGTTTGGATGCAGCACAGGCAGCAACTATTCTGGCAAGTCTTGCACCCCTCACCCATGTAGTGTCTGAATAGTCACAGCTCAGTGCTAACAACTTGACCTACTCCATAGGCACTCTACGAGTTGTTGTCAGGGAGGCTGTCAGCTGTCAATTACTTCCTATCCATTGCTACTCGTCAGCTCATGTTGCTAGGTGCTAATATGGGACCCGATCGAGTCTCTTCCTATCGTGAACACGGAGAGAACAAGCGGAAACAGCTGCGTAATCTTTTCTGGATCTGCTACACAGTAGACAAGGATGTCTCCCTGCACACTGGCCAAGCACCTATAATAACGGACGAAACTGCGATTTGACACTGCCCCATGGTTATCTGGATAGGGTGTTCGCCGACCCGGAGAAGGATGATAATGCCTATGATGGGCCGGTGTTCCCCCTCGACTTGCGCCTGAGCCTGATCAAATCAAAAGTATATAGCAGGCTGTACTCAGTCAAAGCACGCGAGCAATCCGATGCCGATCTCTTGAAGGCTATCCGGGAATTGGACGAGGCCCTGGAAGAGTGGCGGCTGTCCATTCCGCCCGATTGGCGTCCTCGTATGTCGTCTGCGGCGCAGAAGTCCGACCATGGTGTGAGCATTCGTTCCATCATGTTGCACCTGAACTACTATCTGTGCATTATTGCCATCCACCAAGCAACCATTCAGTGCAAAGCGTCGGGGAAAGGCCACAGACTCGAGGGTGGGCTAAGCTCGAGTCTGGCTCTTTCCGTTCAGGCGAGTCGGTCGACTCTTCATCACCTAAAACGAGCGGAAAATATGCTGGTCAGCTGGGCATTCTGGTATGAATTAGACATGTTCTGTTTGTGTGGTCTTATCCTAATTTGATCCGTTGCTTACCAGGACCAATAATATCTAGGGTTCTATCCTTTTACGCTATGGCGGCACTGCTCACTGTATTCTGCAACATCCTTCAGGACCCACTGGGCTCGTGCTCGGGGGATGATGCGATGCTTCTGAAGGTCGCTACAAGCATCATGGAACGCATTCTCTCATCAAATATCTCGGCCACAGATGCTTCGAATGCGAGGGTGGTGGCCGACTTCGTAGCGGAATTGAGGTTGCTAGCGGAGAATTACAGTAGGAGAGCCCGACATGAGACGGACATGGATCGCATCTACTAGACTTGGTATCTTGATAGAAAGGGCATCACCATCTGGCTTGTTATCGACCATGTTGTCTCTTGGGCCCTTCTGGTCGCACTCGGCGTTGGCAAAGGGTTACTGGTAGTACTTCGCGTTCAGGACAGCAGGAGGAAGATCCGAAGGGTTCAGACGATGATTTCAGCCTTGAGGAGTATGTTGAGAAACCAGGGCGAAATGAAATAGAAAATAGTGACAATCTGGAACTGAAAATAAATCGCCACTCAGTCCCATTCCAAAGCTATAGGGAAACTGCGGTGCGCTAAGTGGGTTCCCGCAGTCATTGCTCTGTGTCCCGATAATTGGTCTATACGGCAAGTCTGCTGCGGGTTGTTCAGCTGCAAATGGACGAGTGATTCAGAATGAAATATCCTCAATAGAAAGGCAGTGCATTAAATGTGTTGACTCAGGCAGTTGGCCCACAGCAACGATTACTGATCTAGCTGCTAACTTGGCATATTACTGCGGCTTTTAGCTCGAAGATCAACAGGCTAATTCGAAATGTCAAATGCTGGCTACGGCATCCACGAGGGCAAGACAAGAGTAATCCGTACTGATTTAGTGTCGCAATCTTGGTTGAAATGTGGATCCATTCCACCCTTTGCAGTCGGAGCTGAATAGTAATCGATAAATAGTAATCAGCCCGAGCAGTACCAAATCTTGGTGAACCTGATTTCGCCACGCAAGTCGGTCCAAGATACAGTAGTCTCATTCATCTTTCCCTCGTTGTCTTCCCTACGCATCCTTACGCAGGACGGCGTTCATCACTTGCAAACACCTGCTCTTTCCTCGGCGACACTTTTTGATCGGTCCAGACAGGCCAGAGTAAGACAGAGAGGAACAGCCAATACGTTCAAGTGCATACCCTTACTTGTTCGAGATGGCGGAAGCTAGAATCGCTTTGACTCCTGAGGATGATACTGGACGGAGGAAAAGGGGTCGTCCAAAACGCGCGACCAGAGAAGACACGTCTCCAAATGTAGGCTTTTCCCAGCTGTCAAGAACAGTCCAGGAATGCTGATCAGGAAGCAAAGAGACGGCGGACCCAGATCAGGTTGGCACAGCGTGCATATCGCTCACGAAGGGAGACCGAGATGCAGGCACTCCGTACTCGCGTTGATGAGCTGGAATCACTCCTCGAGCAAATGAACGAGACATTCCTGTCCTTCACCGACGATCTGATCAAATCCGGCGCGTTGTCCACACGCCCAGCTGTCGCACGGAGGCTCCACCAGACAATAGCGCAATCTCTATCGCTTACAAACGAGGCCGTGTTGGTGGCAGACGACGCCAACCCCAGCACTGCCGAGATAAATGCGCTGGAGACAACAGCGCCAGCTAACGACACTTGTGAGGCCGGCAATGTCCCTATCGCTGACAGCCAGCGAGAAGATAGCATCCATTACACCTCCTCGGTGGCCCCAAGATATGCCTTTGCAGTACCGGACGTACCAGCACAAGTGACATCTCTTTATCCATCACCGCTGTTCCTGAATTCCCAGCCATATAGCACGTCTAGCCTGGAAAGCGTAAGCTTTGCCGACCGACTTTATCGTGCTTGTATCGAACAAGGCCATCACTGTCTAACGAATCCGTCATCTCAGCTCGAGGAACTCATGTACAAATTCAGGCTTCCACTAACAGTCCTTCCGCTACATAATATCAGAGCACACTTCGAAGAGTTCCTAAATGGTGGATATCACGGAGCCCTTGTGGCAATGAGTATCCCTTTCATTAGTATTGGTGGGGCAGGGACGCATTTCAAACACAGCCAGAGGAGCTATGCTGTCGAAGATGCCTGGTTCCAGCCGAGCATGATGCAGGCTACGACAGGACGAGTTGACTCGGATATGCGAGGCGACTGGTTTGATTGTTATGATGTGGAGGGATATCTGGATAATTGTGGTATCGTCCCCGTCCGTTCTCTTGCTGGCGGCCGGAGCATTCCCCAGCAGATGGGAAACAAAAAGATCATTGACGAAACTATATTGATTCAACGTAAGGCCCCTATTGCCTGATTAAATCTATCCGCAGCTCTGGCTAACTCTTCATAGTGCTGAGGGTGTCTTGCGTGTGTCTAGGCAGAGCCCCCGGGTTTCCTCGCGGCATTGTCGAGTCCTTCGCAACTCAGCACTCAATTGGATGTTCGAGCTAATCTGGAGTACCCGAATAATGTTCACGGGCGTCGAAAAGTATAGAACTTGGCTTAATGACACAATGTTCGCTGGAACATCCACGGCCAAAATATAAAGATTTATGCATAATCACGCCTACGATGACCTAGAGGTTCGTCCCATGGCCAACCAATAACTATAGCCTGGGCTTAGAAACCAGAGTCAGATGTCCTCTAGTCGGTATGCGTGCGTTACTCTCACCAAACCGATAAAGTAATAGTCTATGCGCTTGTTGGCGTGTATGTGAATGAACTCATGGATGTTAATAAGCTACCATGACCAACCAGGGGTGTTTTCTAGTTATCCTGTGGAAATAGAATGGAGTCTAATAAACATTAGATATGAAACAATTACTAATTAGTTGGCTGGTTCATCCGTGTTCACTAATCGCCAGATCCGCCACTGACATATTAGGAGCAGTTGATAACATGGATGTTGTTTTGGTGGGTCAAGCGCCGGCCCAGACTGCAATGCCCAGTAGCCCGACAATGCAGGTGACGCCTTTGGCCATGGTTAACATGTACCCTATTTGGTGGGCTGTTGCAGAAACTCCACCTCCACAAGAAACCGTTGACCCCAGGGCTTCGAGTAAATCGGCGGATTACTATTCAGGATTTGTCGAAGATACGTGGATTAGTTACGTAGCGACCGCCAGAATCGGGTGGAAAACTAATTGCGAAATTGCCATCGGGTCTTTCTTTTATTTTATTGCCTACTTATAAATATCTGGAAGCTGCACTTGCTCCCAGGCAGCTTAGAAACTCCGCTTCTATACTGCATTTATATCGACGTGTGACTTGACTATTAATACAGCTAGCACGATGGTCGACTTGAGAGAAATTGCCGTAATCGGAGGCACTGGCGCGCAGGGAATGCCAGTGGTTAAAGGTGAGAGTTGACCATTCGTGTAACTTGCTCCCTGGCTCGCGCTGACTTTGGAGTATAGCCCTGGCAGAGAGCGGGCGATACCGTCTCAGAGTCTTGACCCGCAACCCCAGCTCCACTCGTGCACAGCAGCTGGCTGCTCTCCCTAATGTGACCTTGCTCCAGGGTGCGCAGGACAACCAACGGGATCTACATAGTGTATTCCGGGGATCCTATGGTGCCTGGGTCAACACGGATGGTTTCACTCTAGGGGAAAAGGATGAACTGTTCTACGGCTTTAGGGCCTATGAGATTGCGAGATCGGAAGGGGTACAGCACTACGTCTGGGCTAACATCGAATATGCCATGGATAGCGCCAACTTCGACGAAAAGTACCATTGCGGCCATATGGAGTCCAAAGGCAGAGTTGGCAAATTTATCCTTGCCGAAGGACAGGACAGTATGAAGAGCACACTCTTCAGTACTGGACCATACATGGATATGCTTATGGATGGATTGTTTGTGCCAATCGAGCAGCAGGACGGGTCATTTCTGTGGGCCAATCCAGCTCGTGAGTCCGACCCCAAGATTTGAGGTAGATGGACTTGTCTAACTTGTATTAAAGCCAGTGACGTGAAGATTCCATTGATAGCGCTCTGTGACATTGGTGCCTACAATCTCTGGATCTTCGACAACCCATCCAAGTCGGCCGGCATGGACCTCCAAGTCATGACGGATAATGTCAGTTTCGGAGAGATCGCGACGATTTTCACTGAAGTTACCGGAAAGCCCGCGGTCCACAAGCCCATCCCATTTGAAACATACGCCTCCGTCGCAGAGCCTTACCCTGGCGCATCCGTTAACTGGGTCCTCGGCCCCGATGCCGCTCGAGATGACTCTGTCATGAGCTGGCGCGAGAATTTCGGGGCGTGGTGGCGCTATTGGGGAGACGGCATCACCAAGCCACGGGATACAACAGTTTTGGATCACATCCACCCTCAGCGCATCAAGACCTTGGCAGACTGGATGAAGCATGTCAGCTATGACGGGAAACAGAGGAGCGTCCTGAAAATGGTTGAAGACTGGAGTATCAAAAGTGGAGAGTCGCCTCAGAAGTGAATTAAATCTCTAGCTTGCTAGGCCAACGGCAGAGTTCTCCGTTTATTCATTAATGAATATTATGTCTTAACTTCAAATCTTATGCGTTTGGTAAATAAAGTACGTATGCTAGCTAAGAATATGGATCGGCAAAGCCGGATGCTCGATCCTGAAGGTGTCCACCAGGCTGCTGCTGCGAGAGGAAAGCATTTCCACAATAGGACTCCGAGGATAGTAGCTGGGCAGGCTTCGAGATGCAGCTTAGGGACACTGGTAACGCTGACCGGCCGTCGCGGGCCATTCCCAAGGTGACGGCAAGTCCATGAGTTGCCATACATCGCTCCAGGCCGGTCTCCAGTATCTGTAACTACATGGATACTGGTATATCCAGCTTCTAGTTCGTATTCTACTGATGTCGCTGCGGTCTAGATCTAGTTTATTCATATATCTATTCACATTGTCTCTATCCAACCCACGGAACGCCAGTCCACTGCGCCACACTACGACGAAGGATTCTCCTGGTTTCGAGGTCGATATTCTGAAAACTCCGGCCACAAAAACATCTTCTCTTCCTTCGACGGCGTGGCTGCGACGAATTTCGGGACCTGGCAAAGTTAGTACCCTCCATTACCTCTGTAAACTGTGAACTTACAGCTTGCCTGCTCGAGACACGTCGCCACATATTGGCCCGCGGATTGAAGCGAGCGGGCGTGCCCACTCCGCCAGTCTTGTCCTGATCCTCCTGCATGATGGCTTCAACTTCCTTCTTGATCTCGGAAAAGGAGTCAAATCCAGTAAAGGGGATTTTGTTCTCGATGCAGTATTGTTCCAAGCGCAGCCCCTTCCGGGCAAAGAGCACGTCTGCTTCCCGCGCAGCCGGCAGGTCAGATACACCGTCGCCGATGAAGATGATAAGGGGGATCTCTCCATTCTCGTCTTCAGCTGCCGCATTCGCGCGACCCTCCTTGACGGACAGCGCCTTGTCATGGCCGAGCTCGGTGTTGTCCCGCCATACGGGCTTCCATTCGGAGCCATCGGGCTCGATTTCTGCGTCGTTGGCAACGATCCCGATTCGCGAAGCCTGTTATTCGAAGAGTCGTCAGTGAGACTGAACTCAAGAAACTTAGAGTTGGTATTATACCTCTTCCTTCCCCAGAAAACCGGCCAGCACTCTGCGCAAGATGGGTTTAAGCCCTGCACTGATCACGTTGAACTCAATGCCATTAGCGACGCAGAACTGGTAAAATTCACGAAAGCCCTCATCCATTTCCAGCTCCTTTTCCATAATTTTAAACCCGTCTTCAAAGGGGACGTGCAATGACCCCCACATCTCCTCTGAGACCTCGCGGAATGAACGCTCGCCGGACTTGAGCTGTTGGTCGAGCTCTTGGCGGCGCTTCTCGCCACAGCCTATATTATCGAAAAGTATATGGCCTGTGTCCTGCATGAAAATAGTCCCATCGAAGTCTGAGAAGCAGACGATTTTTCTGGTGGTGGGCGCCATGGCGAGTCGTTGAGGTGCGGAATGGACAGCGGTTGCAATTGAGTTGCAATCAATTGACGAGGGGCAATCGCGGGAAATATTTGGCGGCGACAGTGATGTAAACCGGATTGCCTGAATGACGTACGATTTCTCAGTTGCTAGACTACCAGGCATTAAAGTGGAACTGGGTTGATTCTTGCTGTCTTGACCCACGCATAGATGGCGGTGGCATTGCTGAGTAAGCACGCATAACTGAGCATAAACATAATATATATATATACACAGATCAGACAATAAACTTGATCGGACAGCTCGTCGGCCCAATTTCCGGCAGCTTTGCATACACAACTTCGCCTGCTACTTCCCAATTTGCACACTTATCCAGCATTGTCTCCAGAAAGATCCTGATGATCATCCGAGCCAGCCATGTTCCAGCACACCGATGGATCCCCCTCCCGAACCCCAGGTGTGAGCTGATATTCTCGCGGTCAAGAATAAACTTGTCTGGTTCCGGAAACTGCTCGGGGTCCCTGTTCGCAGCCGAGTAAACTACGGTAATGGGCTCTTCGGGGGGCACTTTGGTGCCAGAGATCTCCTCTTCTGTCACGGCAGTTCGCGAGAAGCCGCGGTAGGGGACGTGCAAGCGAATGAACTCCTCAATTGCAGCTGGGAGGAGAGAGCGGTCAATGCGGAGGTTGTTCTGCAGCTCCTTGTCTTCGCTGAGGTGCTTGGTGATGGCTGTGATGATAATGGTAGGGGCCACCATGGCAATTATAACAATCTGCCGAATACAGCCACTGACTGCGTTAGCCTAAGCTCGTTGTTAAGGTGCAAACAAGGAAACACACATGATATGCTCCTCTTCAAGTGGATTCCCGTCCCTGTCCCGTTCCAGTAGTAGGCTTGAAGCCGGGTCCATTTCCGGATCCAACGGATTCTCTTTCCTTGCTGCAACCACGCGATTTGCAATGCTGTACCATGTATCACTCCACTTCTTCACTGTGACCCAATCCCCCGTCCGCCAGGCATACACAAACTTACCGAATCCTTCGACGAGAAGCTCACCGTCTGTCTCATCCAGGTTCAGCCACTCTCTCTCGATCCAGCTTGTGAAATTGGACCCGAACTCTTCGTAGATATCACCCTGGCCTCGATCAATGAGAGATTGCAGCTCTCTCTCACAATGAGCGCGGATGATTGGCTCAAGACGCTTCAGTCGTGCTGGCTTCAGAGTGCGGTCGATAGCGGTGCGATACGGCTTGTGGTTCTCCCCGTCAAACTTGAGAGGAGGACGTCTGATACCACGAGGGTCAGCCGGAACGACGGCACAGACGTACGAGATGAACTTGTCGTTGTTGGACGCGACTTCCTTGACGTCATTGTATCTGCCCCTTTTAGCGTCCAATAGTGTACATATACCAAGGGATTTACCTTGTCAAAACCCAGTACCCGCCATGCCGGTCAACATGGGCAACGGGGCAGTTGGTACGCAAGTAGTCGTACTCCCGCAATATCTTCTCGGGCTCGTTACTCGTGACAAGGGCACTAGTGTTGATATCCCAGCCATTTGGAACGTCTGCGGGAGGTTGGGCCTGTGCCAGTGGTGCTTCCATGGCGAAGTGTTTGGAACCTGCTTTACAGCCGGCCAGGAAACGGTGCCTTTGTTGGGGATATAAGATATGCAGGGTTGCGTACCCGACTCACAAGGGATATGGCCCAAATGATATCACAGCTCCTGACCTCGGCCTACTGGGATCCAAACAGCAAGCGCACTTAAGTACCGTCCTTGAGATCCGGATATTAAAAAGCAATTGATCCATTACGAGTGGGCGAGTTCGTCTGAGGCCCTTCCCCGGTTCCCCAGACTGTCCCCACTGCGTCCCCACAGGCCTCATGATCGATCTGATATTGCAATTCCCGTGTCCCATCCGACCAGCAACCAATAGTGCACGCGCTGTTTCAAAGGATTCGATTATCGTCAGGCCTTATTCCAATGCTTTGCAGCTGCCAAGCTGGTCAAAGTGAGGGGGAGGTGCTGGGTGATTGCTGATTTTAGCAAACCAGGTGATTCGATCTTGCTACACTCTCCGTGATGCTTAGGCCGAACAGACCTGCCGGTCACATCTCCCGGCAATATGATGGGCTACTTAATACGGCCCCGGGGATCGTAAGCCGACCCACTACCGCTAGTATCCTTGCTCATTCTTGAAATGCCCAACATGAAGAGAGGGCAGGAGACGCATATCGAGGACGTTGACAAAGTCAGCAATGCCGGTCCTGCTCCGACGACAACAAGGCGACAGGGCTACTGTGCCCTATCGGAGGAGGAGCTCCGACTGGATAAGCGAATTAATCTCAAAATGGACCTCACCGTGGTTCCTGTCCTTGCCCTGGGGTTCCTGGTACGTTCCCCCCTCCTGATGAACGATGAAAACTGACCAAGGTGCTTAGCTGCAAGGAATTGATAAATCCAATATTGGCAATGCAGCAACCTCTGAGACCTTCGTGCCTGACACCAACATCCGGGAGACTGATGTTTCTGACTCGGTGTCGCTCTTTGCAGCAACATATGTCCCCTTCATGCCCATTTCTGTCGCAATAGGCCGCATCGTGGGGCCAAGTCGCTGGATCCCCTTGCTGCTCCTTGCCTGGGGAGCTGTTACCACCGCTCAGTGCGCCATGGACTCGCGAGCAGACCTTTACGGACTCCGCTTGCTCTTGGGAGTCTGTGAGGCTGGCTTCCTCCCCACGACCTACTACTACATTGGAACAGTTTACCCAGCTTACATGGCCGGCCTTCGCATGGGGTTGATTTCGACTAGCTTTACCTTTTCTGGAGCCTTCTCCTCCCTCATCGCGTACGGCATTCTGCAGGTCCAGTCATCCACCTGGAAGAATTGGCAGCTGCTCTTTATTATTGAAGGCGCCATTACCATGTTCGTCGGTGCCATCGCCTTTCTCATCCTGCCCCATAAGCTCAGCACCGCGTGGCTCTTCACCCCCGATGAGCGTCGCCACGCCGCTCGTCGCATGGAAATGGACACAGCGGGCGTTGACAGAGCCACAGGTGCGAATTCGGAGGAGATGGACCACAGCATCTCCTGGCAAAACATCAAAACCGCCTTCAAGGACTGGCGAAAACTCTTGATTATCCTCTGGACAACATGCGCAACCGTCCCGGCTTACGGCTTCGCCATCTTTCTCCCCCTCATTGTTAAGGGCATGGGATACGAGGGCGTTCGTGCGAATCTCATGTCAGTACCGCCCTTTATGGCTGGAGCTGTGGCACTCACCACGTTTGTATACATCTCCGACCGCTTCCACGAGCGTTCGTTGATAGCGGCCGTTGCCATGCTCTTCTCCATCATCGGGTACATCGCACTGGTTGCATGCGGGACAGGGAAAAACGACATCCGGTACGGGTTCCTGTTTGTGATAATGATTGGAGCCGGGTCGGTGAATCCCCTGACAGCAGCGTGGCTTAATGACAACACTACGGACAAGGCGACACGGAACATCCTCATGGGGATATACGGTTGGAATAATGTATCAGGTGTCATTGCGGGCCAGATATACTCGTCTCAGTACGGGCCCAGTTACTACACCAGCGTGCGCATCACACTAGGCATTGTGACGTTTGGCATGCTGGGGATGGTGGTCTCGCGACTCTTGTATATATGGGAGAATCGGCGCCGGAGGAGAATCATTTCCACTTGGACTGAAGAGGACTTTGAAAGGGAGCGAACTGACCTGACCAGGAAGGGGCATGAGAAAAGGTTTTTCATATTTGGGTATTAGCAGTGTCCTAGGTATAGTCGTCCAATGCAGTGGGTTGTGATGTGAATGGATTCTGAACGTACCAAGTAGAGTGGTTGAATAGCAGCCCGTGCCGTGCTACGGCCATGCTATATTACAGAATTCAGGGTTGATTTATGCCTGGCTACCGATTGATTGCTGTAAACCGGCAGAGATGCTAGGGCACATCCCAAATAGGAAATACTACAACTCGGGGCCATCACATGACTCATGACGTCAAGCATCATGGGCCCTCGCTATGTAAATACGCCAGCTACACTCGTTGATTTAGCGTAGATGCGACCATATTTCTCTGGAAGAAGTGGCTGTACACCAAATGGAAGAAGGTATGAGTGTTCCTCCAGTAGAAAAAAGGTACTCACGGTGTCGAAGATGCCTCTGATAGCCTGCATGACACACAGTCGGCACCCCCACGGTGTCCAACGTCCGAAAAGCTGATGCAAAGAAGTCCCAAGGTTAAGGACCATCTATGGATAGTATTGGGACCCCCTGCGATCCTGATCTTTGACCTGGTGGTGCCGTGCATAATCTACTACTGCTGGTATGGCATCCATAAATCTCGGTGGAGGGACCAGTGCAAAGCGCAGGGACACGATCCAAATGAATGCCCGCTCACAAAGCCCGAGTTCGACAAAGATATCCTGGGCTATGCAATCATCAGCTTCGGCTTTGGGGAGCTCTACATCTTGGTAGCCCGGGTATGTCGTCTTCTTTTACATCCCAAACAATGTGCACCTTTGCTATCGAACTCGCGCTGGGAGCTGGACGCAACTTCCTGGGTCTACGGGGTTTCCATGATTTGCGCATTGATCCCTTTTGTTATAAGTAGCACCAGGGAGATTCCCGTGCTGTATCTCTACTCCCCCGCATTTCTCCTTGGATTCCTTGCCGTGTTGATGCTCATTACTCTGATCCCCTTCCCCATACCTATTGGCATCGACTCAGAACGAAGGGGGTTACCATTGCGCCCTTTCGTCTACTACGCCGCGGAAGACATGATTGCCGTTGACTGTCTGCAAGATCGCGAATTCCGCGTCAGGTTGAACATTCGGTACGAAACATCCATTGCTTTCAGGAATATGTTTGTACATTTGACGCTTGGGTGGTTCTTTGGCGTTTGTGTCTATATCGGATGTCTGTCGGCCATAATATGGACGGTAACGTTTCACATTGCTTTTGGGCTTTCTCTTGGTGTCCTATTCAGCTTTCTTATTCTCTGGGCGCTGCTATCATGTCTTTGGGTCCAGCATTGTGTAGGCCGGCAAGAAAGACGTGAAAGAATCTACTTCATGCGACACTAATGTTTAATAATGCGAATACTAGGCTTTCTCACGTCCCTATGAAGATAATGAAGTGCTTTTACGGCATGAGATGATGCCAACTGCGAGATGCACGTTCGCAATACCGCAATAAGACAGTGTAGCCCGACGAAGTAACTCCATGCCTAATACTGAGTACTTACTCGCAGGCAGAATTGTAGTGATGGCTGTGGTTGAGGAGGCCTGGCTGCTGTGTATATTGTGCTGACGAGGACTCGCGCCAGGACTCGCCCGATACAAGAGTCCAGCAAACCAATGCAGCACTAACAACGAGAAAGGCCGCCGAGATAGTCGAGGTCCATCCGATGCCGATGTGTTGGATCAGGGGCAGGCAGACTGTCGTCCCGGCGGCCCCGATCGCAAACCTCATCATATAATGGCTTGCTTGAGTGGGATTAGCATCGTCCTTGTATTCCAGGGTAAATGGGGATAATTACCAGAAACCTGCCCGCTTCGGTGCTGCATGACGTCCAGAATGTAAGCGTTCAAGCTGACGAACGATGCAGTTTGCGCGAACCACTGTAGCAGCATGCATATTATAGGAACAGGAATGCCACCAAGCCGGCGATCAATCATCCACCCATACACAATCATAGCACCGGGGTTCAGAATTCCTAAAAAGAAGAGAGAGCTCCGCAGACGGTCCTCTGGTCTTCGGTATCCACGCTTCTCAGTCCAGTATTTCATCACAAAGTCTGCCCAACGACCTCCAATTTGGACCCCAGTTAGATACCCAGCTCCGGGTGCCAGGAATAGCAGTCCAGACTGTAATGGATTGGCTAGGTTTAGGCGTGGGTTAAGAGTATATCGTACGGGGGTCAGCAGCGAATACATATTCCACACCAGTGCCGAGGACGCGAGAATCTACAATCACAGCGATCAGTAGGAATCTGAGCAATTGGACTGTCAAGGATGGCACAAGGCCACGAACTGTGAAAAGAAGATTCCGCTGCCCATATAATTTTATTGTTCCCAAAGGATTGATCCATTGCCAAAGCTTCAGAACCAGTTTCCGTGGCGTTGTCCCACCCAATTCAGAAGCGCGATATTGCCGGTTGACTGGAAGGAGTGTCTCTTTGAGGAAGAAGTAGATGGATATTAAGGAGAACGCACTCATTCCGGTCTGTAGCCAGAAGATGACCCTCCAGGATGTATATGTGACGATGGCGCCGCCAATAACAGGTCCAAACGCATAGCCACTCATCGAGCCAGCAAGGAACCAGGCCAGTGACGTACCGCGTTCTCTCTGAAAGGTAGCTGTTAGCGCTCAGCCTAGACTAAGACGTATACTTACCGGATGGTATATATCGGAAATGCAACTGGAGCCCAGGATCAGAAAGGCTATTCCCTGAGACGCAGTGATTGCACGGAAGGCAAAGAAGGCCGCGATATTTGGCGACAGCGCAGTAGCAAGTGAGAATCCACAGAAAAGAATCAGCGTACACAGGTAGATCTACAGTAATTAATTAGCCGATCAGAGCGATATTATGGGAGTGCAAAGGGGGTTCTCGGTAACCGACCTTTCTCCTGCCAAAGACATCAGAGGCCGGGCCCCATAAGCACGAGGATAGACCCATTATCAGGAGATAGACAGCGTTGCTGATGGTCACAACTGTCGCGGTTGTCCCAAAGTCACTCACAATCTCAGGCACAGCAGCGAGCACACTGGTCGTCGACATTGTGGCTGAAAAGCCGCAGCAGGCGAGCAGGGCCGTCATGCATCGTTTCTGGAACGGACTGAACCTTGAGTATACCTCGACGTATGTGTTTCTCGCCTCCTGCAGTGGGGCGATCACAGCTGTAGTGGTAGCAGACATCTAGAGGGAGCTGCAGTTACCTGCAAGGCACAATAGAAATGGAATGTCGGAAGAATGGGACAAAGGCCCTGCTGTTATACCGGTATCCGGATAATTATCCCAAGTCTCCAACGATTATAGTCTTTTCACCGGCCAGCCGGTGCGCACGTAGATGACTCAATCTCGGTCTGTGGGGCGCATGAAATGGAGGCGAATCAAGACTCGAGATCAATGGCCGAGAGCGTCCAATTCATGTTAGCTGGTTTTTAATTTGTCCTTGAGGTCTGCTTTGGTGAAGCCCATGCGGTGTGACTTTATACACGCGGTAGAGATTGAATATGACAGGGGAATCCTCTTATACCGCCATGTTCTCCTCCCTCGACATCTACCCACCAAAGGGACTTACACCCGTAATTTGATAACGGTAAGTGCAGTCTCTGTAGGTGCGGCAGGTATTCTCGGATATATGCCTATCAGTTTGATATCTTTTCAAATACAAGACCAAGACTCGCACCGACACCTCGTCAGTCCGTGCGAAATCCGCGGAGATAGAGAAGAGGTGAACGGTCTTCCAGATATAGATGGGCGCCTAATGGCGGTACGTCACGACTCTGAACCCACAATTTAGCCCTAACGAACCTCAATGTTGACTGGCTGTTTACTCCTTCCCAAAGCGTCGTGTTTTCTTAATTGAGTTCCTGTCAGATACTTAAATAGAGTCATTCCGTACATCAAAGATACAGCCATATCTGTCTCGCGTTCAAAATGGATGAGCCCTTCAACCCAACAAAGGAAACCATCTCGCTGCTCATTCGTTCAGGCGTCGCAAAGTCCCGACTCCCATGGTCTGATTTGATAATAAAGGCCTTCCTTGCAGGCGCATTTCTGTCTCTCGGGGCGATGTTTGACCTCGTCATTGCTGGTGGCGCTACGAAGATGCGAGAGGAGAATCCTGGGCTGGTTACTCTTCTGTCCAGCTTCACTTTTCCAACTGGGTTCGTCATCCTCACGGTCGTCAACACTGAGCTGTTCACCGCAAATCTGTTTGTTGTTGTCTTCTCGACGCTTCTGCGCAGGGCCCGCATTGTCGACCTGGCGAAGAACCTGGTCACCTCCTACATCTTCAACCTCGCCGGTGCGCTGTTTGTCGCCGGCTTTCTCTGCTGGTGGTCCGACACGCTCTCCACAGATGTAGAAAAGCAGTTTGCAGTCACGCAGGCTGAAGGGCGCGTCAACGTGCAGTGGTCGGTCAACTTCCTCCGCGGTGTAGGCTGCAACTGGCTTGTCGGTCTGGCCATGTTCCTCTCGATTGCTGCCCATGATCAGGTCTCGAAGATTTACGCCATATGGATCCCGATCTGGACCTTTGTTGCACTGGGCTATCAGCATTCTATTGCCAACTTCTTCCTTGTGCCCATTGGCATGTTCTACGGGGTCAACTTTGGTGTGGGCAAATTCATTTACCAATGCATCATCCCCGTTACATTGGGAAACATCGTCGGCGCGGTCCTCCTTGATGCCATTGTCCTTTGGTATATCTACGGGCGTGGTGAGTTGTTGGAGGAGGAAAGGAAGCAGGAAATGCCCTCGCTCCAAAGCTCCACGCCATCGCCCACAAAGCAGGTGTAGGAAAAATAGCACAAACGCTATATCAGAACGCTATATATCAGTGCTTCCAATGGCGCTTTATTTACAATGATTGATTGGGACATGTATAAAGTCAACCATAGTAAATACTCCTACACCACCACGCCTTCCTCTTTCTGCAGATGTTCCACCACCAAGCTCAGATACTCCCTGGCTCTTGGTGTCGTTTGCTCGATATGAGGAACCTTTGCAGCATCGTCCCAGAGTCTTAATGCAACCATCTCGTCCCTTAACGGGTCATTTCTGAAGCACTCCAGCTCCTCTCCTCTAAACGGACCACCCTGGAACTGTAATGACTTTTTCGATGCTGACGAGAGTGTGTCCATGTAGTCACTGCTCACGGCTGTGAGGTATCTATTGAAAGGTTAGCTCAGATGTGCCGCCCTCATGGTAAACGTGAAAAAGGTGGCTACCGTTTCGCGTCAACATGGCTCCCGACCAACCGACAGACACTGTCACCAAATCCGAGTGATCGCAAGAATTCAGCGCCAATTGATTCATGGCCAATCCGTCCTACATTCTCCGGGCTGTCTTCTTTTAATGTCATGCGGGCCTCCTTCGTTGCGGCCAGTGGGATTATCTGTCCGATGTCATGGAGCAGAGCGGCCAGGACAAGGTCGGATCGTGCCCCTGCGCACCCCGTTAGAACTGACCTTGGAGGCTGGTTTCGGACGTACCTGATTTCTGTGCCTGGTGCGCTGTTTGAAGGGAGTGTTCCAGCTGATTGATTGATTCGCCGATGTAGTCGCCCTGACCATGATCTTCGAGCGACCTGATGAGGTATTCTGCTCTCTCTGAGGGTGGAGGTAATGGCATTCTGAGCTTGGCTTGATTCTTCGTCTGGGGTCTGCAGAGTGTAGATGATGATATGCGGTTGATAGGTCGGCACGACTCGACCCGAGAGCAACCGGGACGAAGACCGAGACTGAACGATCTGGACCCCTGGCGACCACAAGAGGGGCAAAACTCAATATTAAGCTGGAGACCGTTCCACCCTGCTGAGCAGATTTATCCAAGGCTTTTAAGCGAGGACATCTGGTAATGGCAGTTGGGGCGAATTCAAGCTGTTACTACGCTGTGATTCCCACCAACAATCTCGGACAGGCAGGACCTCAAGCATCTGGATCATATGGAACTCATTCTCATAAAATATTACATTCAGGCGTATGTAGTAAAAGGGACTATGCAGCAACGCCTTGCTGGCTTCTCCCCTCCACTGTCAGCATCGGAGACCCGTAGCCATATCGCATTCTCCCCTCTTCATATGTCTCCCCATCCTTGCGCATATGCGTCGCAGGCCACAGCTTCCTCCGATCCTCATAGTATTGGTCATGGAGATCACCCTCGGCCTGTCTGTTATAAGTCGCATAGACGGCACGACGGTCCTTGGAGCTCAGGTTGGCGCCACTCCTGTGAGCCAGGTAAGATCCGAAGACCAGAATATCACCTATTATTTATCAGTAGGATAGCAAATTACCAGTGCAGGCACGACAAACCAGGATTCAAGTCGCAGGCTGTCCACTCTTGGCTCTCAACCCAGGCCGGTTCAATACACCGGTCGTCGCCGAGTGGCACTGACATGCGATGGCTGCCTTTGACGACATCGAGACCCCCGTTTGCTGAATTCATCTCATCAACTGCAGCGAGCACAGTCAGGTGCTTGATGTCCTTGACATGGGTGTACGCGTTAGCGTCAATATGAGGGGAGAATCCGCCTGTGTCTACAGTCAGATCCTGATCTATTAACGGTATCAATTGGTCATACCACTGCCAGCAAGCTTGTAGTTGATCTTCTCCTTGAAGAGCAGCATCTCCTCTGTTGCCAGCTGCTGCAGAACACTTAGGACACGCTCCCCCCGCAGAAGACTGTTAAATCCAGAGTGGCTGTTCGCGTAGTTTTCCGTCCGACAGAGAACGCGTTTCCCCTGGGCATTCACCTCCTATGGCTGGTTATTGTGCGTCCATCGCATTGAGCTTGGGCCGAGGGTTACCTCATAGGGCATGTAGGAAGCATCTGCCGTGCGTGGCAGGTCATGGACCTCCTGAGCCCACTCCTGCAGATGTCTCGCCTCTTGTGTATTCAGGAAGTCCCGAACGAGGAGGAATCCATCCTCTTGGTAGGATGCGATCTGCTGTGGGGATAGGGGGTAGTGTTGATTTTCCATTTGCGACTTGTTGAAGTATTGACCTTGCACTAGGTGAAGCCTTGGAGACGCGATCCGTGGTCAGGAGCCAAATTCTACAATTAAATATCAGCCATCACTAGCAACTGCCGACATCCTGTCGTGCCTGTGAGTCAAAACTACCGGATGGAACTCCGCACCACGAGCCCAAGGGATACTACAACGTGAGACAAGAAGAATAAATCGATTCCACGTCCTTAATTGCTACATCCCTAAATAAACCCTTGCCGATTGGCCTGCGAGCAGAGCGTGGGGGAATCGACCCACACCGGCGCCACGACCGGCTTGAGCCGTCAGTCAAGTTCGAGTAATTCTCGCTGTTCGCCCCGGCGCTTGCAAGGAGGTGGACGGGCCCTTGATGCCATGTGCGTCTCTTCTTGGTGCTCGTAGCCTGAGCTTGTTGATCGATGTGGAGTCGGAAAGAAAGCTTCGACAGTGGCTGGTTAGCGACTGCATCGTGCTCTCGTCGTGGGCGGCCATTGGCGCTGTAAAGTAGATGCTGATATCGCAGTTGTTTATTAAATTCATCCCATCATGGAACGAAACATGGACCAAGTAGCCTGTCTTTCCTTTTTGTCATCAGCGTTACCAGCGGCGCTGCACAAGACCCAATGGCTGCTGTTCAGGATGGCTCAATCGGCAGCGACGCCCAGATTTCGCTAAGCAAGCAGCATGATGCGAGCGCAAAGCAAATTTCCGTGGACGAAGAGGTGGCCTCGAGTCCTATATCAAAAGCACGGAGCGGAGTCCTCAACGTCGCTATTGCAGGGCTCGCTCTCTTTAGCGATGGATACAACGCGCAAATAAGTATGTCACCAGATACTACGACAAGCATTGCCTCTAACCACAACCGACCATTCAGTTGGCTACATGGAGCCTCTATTCTCAGTCATGTATGATGGCCTGCTCTCCCCAATGTTGGATACCAGGCACCTGCTAACTGGCTAGATACCCCAACACCATGTCCTCCGATATCAAGTCCCGGCTGTCCAACTCGTTCCTGATCGGTGAGATCTTCGGTATGATCTTCTTCGGTGCCTTGATCGACCGACTGGGCCGGAGAACTGGTGTTGTTGCAGCCACCTTATTCCTCGTTCTCGGTGTCGCCCTCGCAGCTGCTGCCCATGGAACGTCAGAGCTGGGGTATTCATTTTTGTACCTTTTCACTTCTGTCACCCGAGCGCTAACAAAAACAGGATGTTCTGGATGATGATTATCTCTCGAGGAATCGCCGGCTTTGGCGCTGGCGGCGAATATCCTGTCTGTGGGACAAGCGCCACCGAGGCCGCTGATGAGACAGGCAAACTGCGCAAGAAGCGAGGGTTTCTCGTTGCGTTAACAACGGACTTTGCCATTGACCTGGTAATTTTCCTTGCTATTACATGAGTGAAGTGTTAATTCGTTCAGGGCTTTATCACTGCGGGCATCGTGGCCCTGATTGTGCTCGCCTGCTTCCATCAGGAAACCCGCCAGGGTGTTTGGAGAGTCTGCTTTGGCCTTGGATTCGTGGTACGTCTCTCATTGAAATGTCAAATATTTACTGACGAGAAAGCTCCCGGTCATCATCTGCTTCTTCCGAATTCGCATGATCAACTCGACGCAATACCGCAAGCACGCAATCAAGTCCAAGTATCCATACTGGTTGGTGCTCAAAAGATACTGGAAGCCAATGCTGGGAACATGTACGTACTCACCTTGGTTGTATATATAGTAACTAACTTCGTAGCCCTCGCCTGGTTCTGCTACGACTTCGTCACGTATCCATTCGGTCTCTTCTCGTCTACCATCATCTCGCAGCTCAACCCTGACAACACGACGGTTCAAAACATCGGCTACGGGGTGCGTTCATACATCCATTCTATTTGTCGACTGCTAATTTCCTTGCAGACTGTAATCAACTGCTTCTACCTGCCCGGCTGCCTCCTCGGTGGCCTGCTAATGGATCGCATCGGCCGCAAACAGACAATGACCCTGGGCTTTTTCATCTGGGCCATCTGGGGCTTCATCCTTGGTGGTGCCCTCGGTCCCATCCAGTCCGTCTTCCCGCTCTTCATTGTCATGTACGGCATCTTCAACGCCCTTGGTGAGATGGGCCCGGGCGTGTCAACATTTCTCTGCGCCGCCGAGTCCTTCCCTACCCCCTTGCGCGGTCACTTCCTCGGCCTTGCAGCGGCAGTTGGCAAAGCCGGGGCGAGCATCGGGACAGAAGTGTTTACCCCTATCCAAGACTCGTTTGACGATGTACACAAGGGGCAGCAGGCGGTGTTCTTGATCGGGTCCGCCTTCACGATTGTGGGGTGTATTATCGCATGGTGGTTGATTCCCGATATGCAGCGTGAGTTGGAGAGTGAGGACGTCAAGTTCCGGGCCTATTTGGAGGAGAATGGCTATGATTCTGCGGACTTGGGCGTGAAACATGAAACTGGCTGAACAACAGAAATGTATAAACCCCAAATAGAGTAAGGGACAGGACATTGCCGGTCCACCAACATTATAAGTACCGCAGTTATATATATCCAAGTATACACCTCAGTCCGAGTTCGGGTCGCACTCGGCACTTTCAACTTTATAAAAACTTAAAGAATAATATACATCGGCCATATGAATACACCACCAGATTATATATATTGTATGTACTGTGTAGGGTCCGTTCTCATTTCTGTTGGTGCCTCAGGCAGCAATATATGACTCACTCTCTTCGTATTTCATCTCCTTTTTTCTTTTCTTTCCACCTCATCTCTGTTGAGTAAAAAAATCGGTCAATCACTGCAATGCCTGAAACCGTCCTCACCGAGTATTCCTCACTCAGCGGGTTCCTCTCTCGCACCGAGAATGACCCCCGGCCGGTCGTTGCGATGACTTGCGGCGTTGCAGGTCAGGTCCACATATTCACCAGGAGAAATCATAATTAATTCAGAGACAGGCTCTGGAAAGTCGACCGTTTCTAAATGGATCACATCTAATCACCAATCCTTCAAACGTCTGTCAATTGATGCGTATATCTACACCAAGTACGGTCTTTATGGCGTCGACTATCCCAAGGACAAGTACAACGACTTGCAGGAAGAGGCCGAGCCTGCCCTGCGAACCGAACTGGTGCAGCTGCTTCATCAAGGCTCCCATGACATCATACTTGACCTCTCCCTTGCATTCCAAGCGACTCGCGATACGTGGAAGGCGCTGGTCGAGGGTGCAGGAGGCCGGTGGGTACTTATGTTCATCGAAGTCGACCCGGACGAGCTGCGGCGGCGAGTCAGAGCAAGGAACCATCTGACTGTTAAAGACGGTGATTCGGCGTACTTTGTGACAGAACAGGTTCTAGAAAGCTTCATTGCAGGCTTCGAGAGGCCGACTGGGGAGGGCGAGCTGGTTTTACGACTGGAAAATAGGGCTGTTTAAAGCTGCCAGGCCCTCGCGCTTTACGACCATTGTATGATAGACGCAGATGCCCTCTTAATATTGAAATCTCTATTCAGAATTTTAATACATCTATAGCTTTGCAAACTGCCCACTCTGCAGGTGGTTCCCTCCATCGATCGGAATCAGGGCGCCGTTCACATACGAGCCTGCAGGACCGCAGAGATAGACCATCACACCGGCAATATCCTCAGGACTCCCTAGTCGTCTTCTTGGATTTGCAGCTGCCATTGAATCGGCGCCTCCCAGGTGCTCGATCAGACCGTTGGCCAGTTTGGACGGGAAGAATCCCGGGGCCACGACGTTCGAACAGATATTCCGCGGCCCCAGCTCAACCGCCAGGTTTGTAGCCAAATGATGTGCTGCAGCCTTGGAAATTGCATACATTATTGTGCCATGCTTGCCCACAACTGGCACCGATAAGCCTGCAATCGCGCCAACGATGATGATGCGTGACGGCGAGTCGGGGGTTCCAGAACGCTCCAGTAAGGGCGTAAGACTTGACAGATGATCAGTAAACCTCTACTTCACCAAACGAATGAATCCTTACAGTCGTGTGAGGTGGAATATGCTGCGGACATTCAAGTCCAGGACTTTGGTGACAGCCCAGTCTGGCGTGGGCTCAAAGGCTCCTCCCCATGTCGCCGCCGCATTCGCAACCAGAATATCAACGCGCCTCTCTGCTTTTAACATGTCGACAAGCTTCTCCATGTCAGAGAGCTTCGAGAGATCTGCAGCATACCCGACCGCGGTTCCCGAACAGCTAGGGAGCGCGTTGAGCTTGTCAACGGCCTGTTTGAATCCCTGCGGGCCTTCGGCCTTTCGCGCGACAATTACCACCTTCTCTGCACCTGCAAGAAGAAGTGATGTTGCAGTATGCAGTCCTAGGCCTCGGGATCCTGTATAGCTCCTGTTAGTGCTGGAAATATTCCCTGGAAACTGGGACCACGCACCACCAGTGACGACGGCCACCTTGCCGTCGAGGCGAAAAAGCCGGGGAAATTCAGGTAATTCGGACATGAGAGCGTAATTGAATGGTATCTTTTCTTTACAGGTGTCTCCTTCGTTTTATGTGTAGGGGATGGACGTTCCACCTGTGGATATGCTTTTCCGGTTGCCGGTCAGCCTCCAACACTACATTGAAAGGCCCAACAAACGCCTGGGAATATATTCTGATTGAATAATAAATTAAAGGTGTGTTCAGGCTACAGTAGAGGCACTATTCAAACACAACTGCCATCCGTTTCGTCGCCGTCCCTGCCTTCATCTCGCGTATCATATCATCCATGGCCTCCAGGGATCGTATTTCTATTTCCGGGGTGATGGAGTGTTTCGCAGTAAAGTCCACTGCTTTGCCCATGCGCTGTGGGGTGCTTGTGCTGTCGGATTTAATGTTGTATAAGCCTACTGCCAGCTCAAAGGTAGAGACTTCCATTGGACGGGGGCTGATTCCAATGACCATGAGAGTTCCCCCGACGCGAATAACAGACGGTGCTCCCTTGTAGGCCACTGATGAGCCACTGAAAACCGCTGCAGCATGCACACCACCGCTGGTAAGCTTCTTCACTTCAGCGGCATAGGTATCGGCGCTGGCCAAGGAGTTGAATGTCACATCTGCGCCTTGACTTTTGCATGCCTCGAGCGTCTTGTCGTTGATGTCAATGGCGATGACTTGGATGCCCATTGCCTTTGCGTACTGCGTAGCCAGCTGTCCTAGTCCTCCAGCTCCGATGACAGCGAGCCACTGCCCGGGCTTGAGGTTGCACGAGTCCACGGCATGGAAAGCTACAGATATTAGCAAGGCCCGAGCTCAAACAATAGGCTATATATATCATACCCGTAATCCCAGCACAGAACACCGCTGAGCTGCGCTTTGGATCCAGCTGAGAGGGAAGATGGATGACATTCTGCCAGTCGACGGCAGCGTATTCCTGAAAGAATCCAAACTCGCCGAATCCGGCGACGCTGGGCTTGCCTTCAGTGCATTGTGTGTTATGCACCATGCACGCTTCACACTCGAAACAGCAGCCGTTGATATACAAGAACCCAACTGGGTTCCCTTCCTGGAAGCCCTTGTCCGCGCAGTCGGCACCTACCTTGGCGACATAGCCAGCGCCTTCATGACCGATAGTAAAGGGCTCAGTCTTGTCGGGCTGGGAGATTGCCATTATGTCTGAGTGGCAGAGAGAGGCCGATGCCATCTTAACGAGGATCTGGTTTGGGGCAGGCTCTGGAACGGGGATCTCGTTGACAACAGCCTTTTGCTGCTTGGGATCCCATTGTGCTGCCTTCATCGTTTTTCCTATAGAGCCCATATCGTGTTACTTGCTATATTTGCACCGACTTAGAAGTTTGTTTTGCTGGTGTTCATATTGCGGGGGCGTGAATTAATAAACTTGATTTCGGGAATGTTTTTCCTGTGCTCGACCAGTTCTCCTCATTCGAATTATTGAAAGTAGAGCTACACCCGGACTGTGTTGAACACAGTATATTTATCTTATGTTTAGTATGTAGGCAATAATGCGGATGGCTTCTTCAAGTAGCGGATGCTTTACTATGGAGAGCTAAGCTGATGCTATCAAGGCAACCTTTACCTTAACTGCCAATGAAATAGTATTGAAGACTGCTACCAAGGTACCCCCTAACCGCCAATAAAATCGTAGCTAAGACTGATGGTATATCAAGCTCGTCTCTCCACATTCTCGACCATCTCAACCTCGGGCTTGCTGTCGGATTCACCCTTTGTGTTGTCCTTTGTGTTGTCCTGGAGGCGCTTGGCGACATCGTAGTGGAGGAAGTTCTTCATATCCGGAATAAAGCAGCTGGATATAATAAGCAGAACACTGAATGGAATTGTGCAGTAAAAGACAATTCGAAAGCTCTCCGAGTACGCGATCTTTAGCGCTGCAGTGGCAGCCGCAAGTACACTATCCGTCGCACCAGGGACGCTCTCCACGCCTGTTCCTGCGGTCAAGGCCGCCAGGAGCGCAGGCAGTGACGACTCCGGTAAACCGGCTGCAGTGGCTGCTGGACCGACATACTTGGGCATGTTCTTGGCCTGCTCATTGTTCAAGACGGACACATATACAGCTTGCGCGACAGCTCCTCCAAGGGCGCGGAGAGAGCCCAGAACCCCAGTGGCAAGGCCGATATCCTGAGGCTCGATCACGAGCGTCACAGCTGGGAATGTGATGTTGTCGACATATCCGACAGCTAAGTACGATTAGTGTATGAAGGAATTGGAAAGGACAAATAAATACGTACAAATGCAACCAAGCGTGCCTAGAGCGATGGTCATGGACCAGGTGTCTGGACCCAAGGCACTGAGCGGAGTGATAAATGCGAATGCCAACAGAGACGCAATCACGCATTGATACTTAACTCGGGGGACAAATCCAAGGGCCAGACCTCCCAGTAGCTGGCCCATAAGGACGCCGCCACCGACGACCGAGCTCTGCAGACCTATCTTAATAGAATCCGTGGTATATATCCCCTCAATGAGAGTTGGCCAAAGGACAGTAAATGAGTAATATACCATGGCACCGACGGCTGCATCGGTCACAATGGCGCTGAATCCAAGGTTCTTAAATAGCCTTGGAGGCATGAATGGTCGTGTCTTGCACACGAAAGCCTCTGGCATGTTCGTCAGCGGGAATGGACGGCTTGTTGATCTAGGTGATTTCACCTACCGTAAAGCACAAATACAGCCAGGCATGCTATCCCGATAAGTAGAGTGCAGAGAGTCGGGGCACTCTGCCAGGGGTACGCGGTTCCTCCCCAGGAGAGGCCAATAAGGAAGAGAACACTTCCAGCAATGAAGAGAAAGATACCAATAAAGTCCAGCTCTTTGAACATCTCCCACTTTGTCTTGCCTTCCACATGCAGCTGGGCGTATCTCGGCGGGTGGTAGAGGAAATGATAGAGTGCAGTCGCAATGACCGCCAGGATCAGTCCGATATAGTAGCTCCACCGCCAGCCTTCACCGGTGTTCTGGATCAGCAGCCGGGCAATGACGGGACCAAAGACGGCGAAGGGAAGCGAGGACATGAAGACGATCGTAACTATCACACCGCGGTATTTGTTGGGAACGAGCTCACCCAGGATGATACCAAAGGACAGCTGGCCAGCGGCTGAGAGGCCATTGAAGATATTGGCAACAATCAGCATCTCAACATACGTAGCTCGTGCCCCTACAACGCATCCAATAATAGAGAGTATCATGGACGCTTGCACAATCCACTTTCGACCAAATATATCAGACAGTCGGCCGATGAGGAGAAACCCGACGCAGCTCGACAGGGTCCAGACGGTGGCAACCCAGTTGATATTTGGGGAATTGCCCAGTTCGGCGTTGATTAAGGTCAAGGTGTTGGACGGTAGAACCCAGCCAAGGTAGGCCACTATAGATCCTAAGCATTGTGCCTTTCTAAAGTGTTAGAACCTTTAATGCATTCCAGGTCCTCCAGCAACTGGGGATAGCCTGGGGCGTACCAGGACGGTGCCGAGGAAGGGCAGGCTTCTGAAGTAGCCCTTGGGCATATCTTGCACGTCGCCCCCAATAGCATGCTCATCAACATAGTTGACAGTGCCGTCTGTATGTACAACGGCTCTAGCACCAGCGTACTGCGGTCTTGGCTCCTGGGAGCTTTCAGTGTCATCTTGGCTCATGGTTGCTCTTTGGCGGTGATACAACACAACGATCCTCAAGAAGCGATTGAGGAGAATGAAAAGAGTTAGGGCAACGAGGACTACTCCATATCAACTGGCATTCCGGAAATGTTGTCCCCTGTTTCTGGTCAAAAGCACATATATGAAGCTACCCCAGGCGTTCGTGTAGATCTGGCCGGAAATGGTTTTCCTCCCCGCATTTACCCCAGACTGCCAGGGGGATGGCCAAGATTCAGATGCTGCTGGAGGCTGGGGATATGGTATGGGGTGGTGGTGTTGGCAGGGCAATGCAGTATGACGCCTATATAGTGCTTTACCACGATCCCCGCTGGGTGGTACACACGACTACTTCATCTAAAATGCTCTATTGCACTGTCTGGGCATCACATTCACTGTCTCATAATATTCTAGTAGTGATCTCATATAAACGTTCTGGTATAACTACCTAACACGCCCAGCCGCCATCGATCGAATATACCGCACCGGAGATGAACGACGAAGCTTCGCTCAAAAGAAAGACAATCAGATTCGCCGGTTCCTCTGGCACACCATTTCGAGTCAACGCAATGTTTGACTGTTTAACGCTGACATTGCCATTGATTTTATTCGATTGCGCCAGCATGGGTGTTTGGATGGCACCGCTAGTAGAGTCAGCTTCATGTATGGATACGCTGGGAAGATACTCACGGTGCAATGCAATTGACTCGAATGTTCTGCTCGCCGGCCTCCTTGGCGGCAGAACGTGAAAGTCCGATGACGCCATGTTTACTGGCAGAGTACGCAGCGTTTCGTTCCATTCCCATGATGCCAGCAATACTGGATGCATTCACGATCGAGCCATTGTCGGCCATGACCTGCAGTTCGGCTCGCAGGCAGTGCATCAGGCCTTTCAGGTTGATGTCCATGACAAAGTCCCATTCTTCGCTGTCTATATCTTTGACCTGGACCAATCTTGTTAGAAAGTGACCTCCAGCTTAGAATTACCATACTTGCCCCCTTCAGCCCGATAGACTTCCCAATGACTCCTGCCAGGTTGGCTGCACCGTCGAGTCTCCCTCCCCATTTGACCGTCTCTTGGATCCAGGTGTCCACTGTGCTAGCCTTGCGGACGTCAATGGCCATTGAAAATACATCGCCGTGACCGGCGCTCTTGATTTCCTGGGCTACAGCATCCAGGCCTTCTTGCTGCAGGTCGGCAATGGACACTTTGGCCCCGAGAGACGCAGCGAGTATCGCAGTACTGCGCCCGATGCCAGAGGCGCCGCCGGTAATGGCAATCACTTTACCAGATAGAGAAATCATATTGCAAATTGGTTTCAGGTGTGTCTAAAGGCAAATAGAGGCAGCCTTCGATATAAGCTTTACATAAGAACAAGTCTGTCGGGAATAAACAGCCATGTTGAATCGAGTGCAATGGATAATCTCTTCCTATGATCAACAGATCTAGGATTCAGATCACATCTGACATTGGCAAATCTTAAGCCCCCTACAGCGGTTGCTCTCTATGTACAGGATCAACGAGAGAAACAATAGCCCTCACGGTCTTGTCGGCGCCCATAATGTGCGCTCCATCGGGCCCCAGAACGTCTCGCATTTCATCGCTGGCGGCAAACCGGCGATAGTCCTCCCAGCTGTGGAAATACATCTCCGAGCAGGCATCCCATTCGAAGTCCAGAACGGATAATCCCATCTCTGCAGCCTCCTTGCTCAGCTCGCGGGTGTTGTGGACTTGAGTGTATCCTTGAATTCTGGTGTCGCGATAGATTTTGGACGCGACGACGAGCGATCCATGCGTATCCCGCCAGTAGGTGTTGAATTCTTCCTGCGATATTGAAGGATCTTTGCGGAAGAAGCAGCTCACGCGAATTAGGAGGCTCGAGGGTTGAGGAAGGAGAATATCCTTCTGGCTTGAGGCTGCCATGGTGGAGGGTCAGGTATCGTTGGGTAGGAATGAATCAGTACCAAGTCATCGCTGCATATTCAGTCTGTCTCTTATAATCGTGCATACACGCCTCCTCCTTCTCCGGTGTTCGTGACACTCTGGATGGCTGCTGGCGGGTGTCTTTTTCCGGCCTGCTGTCTTTAGCCCTACATGGCCATTTCTAAATCCATTTTAATCATACGACTCATAGACTCTTGATTTGAAAGTTACACAACCAGCAATTTCCTGTTCTAATCGTGTAAACATGCTGGGCGCGCGCACTGCCACCGAGGGTGCTTGGTATCTGGCATCAGTCGGCTTCGTGCTGGCTTCTTGCTATACTGTTGTACTGGCCATCTATCGTCTGAATTTCCACCCCTTAGCAAAATTCCCCGGTCCCAGAACCAATGCAATCAGCTCACTGCCGTCTATTTACTCGCTCTTGCGCGGTCGATTGGGGTTCGATAACAAGAAACTGCACGACAAGTATGGCCCCGTCGTGCGAGTCTCGCCAAACGAGCTATCGTTCAACTCAGCCCAGTCTTGGGAAGATATTTACGGATTCAAGACTGGCGGACGCAAGAACATGCACAAGGATCCAATTCACGTCGGTTCAGTGGACCCCTTGCCGGGCGCTTCGACCCTGACGATGTCTGACGATGCCAATCACTCACGACAACGACGAGCACTCTCGTATTCTTTCTCGGAGCGTGCGTTGAAGGATCAGGAGTATATAATCCAACATTACGTCGACATCCTGATCACCAAGCTGAAGGCCAAGGCCGACCAGGGGGAACACTTCAACCTGGTCAACTGGTTGAACTTCACCACCTTCGACATCATCGGTGATCTGGCCTTTGGAGAGCCCTTCGGGTGTCTGGACTTGGGCGCATTCCACTCCTGGGTTGCTCTGATCTTTGAGACAGTCAAAGTCGGTGCCCTGGAGCAGGCAACCCGGCGATTTGCTGAGGCAGGCTCGTGGACACAGTCTGTCCTACTGAATATGATCCCAGAATACATGAGGAAGAGACGCCGCGATCACTTGTCCCTCAGCAAGGATAAGGTCGAGCAACGGCTTCGAAACGGAGGAACGGACCATGTGGACTTTATCTACTATATCCTGCGACAGCGGGAGAAGTACGACCTGCACGACAACGAGATCATTCTCAACAGTGCTCTGTTCATTGTTGCCGGCAGTGAAACCACGGCGAACCTGCTGTCAGGCCTCTTTGCACGGCTGCTGCGAAACACAGACAAGATGCAGAAACTCTACGCTGAGGTGCGTTCAACGTTCCAGAGCGAGGACGTGATCAACTACGAAACCACCAGCCAGCTGCCCTATCTCAACGCGTGTCTGGAAGAGGGACTACGCATCCACCCTCCAGTGCCGGTCGGGTTGTTGCGCACTGTGCCCAAGGCTGGCGATACGATCGATGGCCACTGGATCCCTGGCGGGACTTCTGTCTCGACAGGTGGATGGGCTGCGTCACACAACCCAGCCAACTTCAGCAAGTGTGACACCTTCATCCCTGAGCGCTGGCTGGATGGTGCATCTGGAGCCTTTGCGAACGATATAAAGAGCGGGATGCAGCCTTTCTCGCTGGGCCCTCGGGGCTGTATTGGAAAGAATCTCTCTTACATGGAGATGCGCATCATCTTGGCGCGACTGGTGTGGAACTTTGACATTGTCAGTACCGACGGGGTATGGCAGTGGAGTCCTGAGGGCGAGATGAAACATATGAAGGCGTTTACGACGTGGCAGAAGCCCGATCTCAATGTGCGAGCGATAAGGAAGCAGGGGGCTGGTGGGCGGACTGCCAGCTCGTATACAGCAAAGACGCAGGCGGAGAGGTTAGGAGAGAAGGTTTAAGGCCATGAACTAGTTATGATTGTTACGTTCTAGTGATTCAAATTGCATTCTGTGTTGTAAATATAATATAAAGTCCATTAACCACTCGTACATCACTCTTTCAGACATCTCGCACCATCAGCACCAGGTTGCCATAGCCTCTAGTTCAGCATTTCCACATCATACGATGCATAACTATTCTCGGTAGGCAAGTGGGGGCACAATCTCGTTTGCCGTCATCATTATTGGATATGATTATTGTTGGAAACGATATGCATCCCAGCCGGACGTATTCAGCCTGAGCACAACCGCCCGAGGTTATACAGCAACACGAATCATGTATTATCCACCTCAATCCAGGGCAATACCATTTATAATAGGAGCTCTTAGAAGCAAGTCAACGCTTGTCGCCAATTTTATTTCCATCATCAACCATGGCTGCAAACTACCGTCAATCCAGCCAGCCCATCCATACCGAGCGGCACGTCCGCATCGTTTGCATTGGAGCTGGCGCATCGGGTTTACTCTTCGCATACAAGCTCCAGCGGAGCTTCTCCAATTTCTCTCTTGTCATTTATGAAAAGAATCCGAAGATTTCTGGAACATGGTTCGAGAACCGGTATCCAGGGTACGTTGCCTGCTTGAAGCTTAAGATTTATGATAGTTCTAACTCGACCAGCTGCGCCTGCGATGTACCATCGCATAACTACACCTGGTCTTTTGAGCCCAAGACCGACTGGTCAGGGACCTACGCCAGCAGTAAAGAAATCTTCAACTACTTTAACTCGTTTTCAGACAAGTACGGGCTGCGCCAGTACTGCCGCATGAACCACCAAGTCATGGGAGCCGTATGGGATTCTGGTAAAGGGAGCTACGATGTGCATGTCCAAGACCTGGAAACTGGCCGTCAGTGGAACGACTCGTGCGATATCCTGATCAATGCCGGGGGAATCTTGAATTCATGGCGATGGCCGGCCATTCCTGGTCTTGAGCGCTACAAGGGGACGCTGGTCCACACCGCGAATTGGGATGATTCTATTTCACTAGAAGGGAAGCACGTCGGGCTGATTGGAAATGGGTGAGAATGCCGCAGAATCTTCACTATATTCTCAGACATAGCTGACCTGTACAGCTCTTCAGGTATCCAGGTACTGCCGGCCATTCTCCCAGAAGTCAGCAAGATCACGACATTTATCCGCGAGCCAACGTGGGTGTCGCCCGTTCAGGGTCTCGAACAGCACATCTTCTCAACGGAGGAGAAGCAGACATTTGAACGAGACTCTGAGGCACTGACCGAGTACCGACGAGGCATCGAACGGGGCATGAACGGCCAGTTCGCCATCTTCCTGCGCGGCACCCAGGGACAGAGGGACACCCGAGAGTATATGACCCAGCAGATGAAGGAGAAACTACACAATGTGGACCTCGAAAAGGTACTCATCCCCGAATGGTCTGTTGGCTGTCGACGCATCACGCCAGGGGTTGGCTATCTGGAGTCTCTGGGCCACGAAAAGGTCAACGTCGTGTACGGCAATATCAACGAGGTCACCGAAAAAGGCTGCATTTGTGACGACGGCAAGGAGTATCCAGTGGATGTCTTGATCTGTGCCACTGGCTTTGATACCTCATTCAGGCCACGATTTCCCATTATTGGTCCGAACGACAACAATCTGCAGGACCAATGGAAGGACGAGCCTCATTCGTACTTTGGCATCGCTGCCGCTGGTATCCCGAATTATTTGACCTTCCTGGGACCTAACAGTCCTATTGGAAACGGCCCTGTCCTATCTGCGATTGGTAAGGAGAGTCCCTATCCCCATTTTGAAAAAATTGTCTAACCCGTCGCAGAGGCCCAAGCAGACCATATGTTGAAGCTGATTGACCGGTACCAAACGACCAACATCAAGAGCTTCGCACCCCGGGCTGAGGCAATCAACGACTTCATCAACTTCAAGGATGAGTTCATGCGCAACACCGTCTGGGCAGACGGCTGCCGGTCGTGGTACAAAACCAACCAGGCCGACGCTCCTGTCACAGCCCTGTGGCCCGGGTCGACACTCCATTATATCGAGGCGATGGACGAACTACGACTCGATGACTGGGATGTTAAGTACAACGGCAACCGGTTCTCATGGCTGGGAAATGGTTACAGTCAGACTGAGATCGATGAGACGGCCGACTGGGGATACTATATCCGCGCCCACGACGACGGGGAATATTTGAGTCGGGGGAAGAGATTGCGCATCCTGAACAAGTCTGGGACTCGCCAGCCAGAGGCCACTTCGTTTACCGTCTTTCCACGGATTTAACCTCTTGCTATAGTCTAGCTTAATCTGTACTGTTATGAAACTGTTCTGTTGGATGCCCTCACTAGATGTCTGGAGCCCTACTGTGCATGTCTATCATACTTCATTCTGGTTCGAGTCTGAACAGAAGAAATAATTCCAACGTCGTATTCATTGCATCTGACCACATCGGTGGATTTTAGCAGCAGCCAACTGAAGGTCGCAATTGCCAGGGCAATACGTCAGCGCTTGAGAATTCAGGCGAAGGGATGGCTGTGTTTGAGGTAGGTCAATGTAGGCAACAGTCACGTACGCCGCCGTCTTCACCGTGGGATTTCCACTGCTTCGTATTTTCAGCGTCGAATCGCCCTTCCGGTGATATTTGTTGGCTATCAGCAATGCGAGATGCAGCCTCATGGGCCCACTGCGGCTGATAGCAAGAGAGAAATCCCGCAACTCAAAGTGCCGAGAATGTCACAGAGACCAGTCCTGAACCTTGACAGGTACAGATGTGGTCACAGGCTACGCAGGATCGACGAGGTGCAGGGTCAAATGAGAACCCCAAGCAAGCACAGCCTTGTCTTAACCTTGCTTCCTTGAGATCTATTCGATGAGAGGTTGGTATGCCAAGGTCTGAGGCAGAACTGGCAATGTTGCTCCTGATTCTCATAATCCGGCAACACTGTCTGAGTGGCGGGAAACAAGTACGGGATACCAATATAATATAGATATCAGGCTTGAACAATGGCTAGTATCTCAGCTTACTGGCCCATATAACCCAAGCCCATGCCCGAACTTCGTATTGTTCAGCCGCAACCTCATGGTCGATCGCAGACACACTTCACCCACGATCGTCCATGTGTATACCTTGGATAGTATCAAAGTGCGAGGGTGAACTATTTCTATCAATGGGCCATTGGAGATTCATCCTTGTACGTAACATGCTCCTCTGAAGGTGACATATGTACACCGTTGCATATGGAGAGCCTCAGGACGCAGTCATACCAGGGGAACATAAATAGCCTCTCGTTCCCAGTGAATTTCATCGAGTTCGAAATATTATCATTCAACTGTTACTGCAAGTCTATTCTATCCTCCTTCACTTCTCTGAAACAAACCACAGTCAATCACACCGTGTCCCAGGATGCATTTCTCTTCCGCTTTCGCTACCACCATCGCTGTGCTGCCCTTGGCCGCCAATGCTTGGAACTACAGCATCAACAACGCTCCTATCCACAACGGTGAAAAGGACGTCCCTTGTACTGCACAGCCTGGTAAGGCTGGTAGCCACCTCAGTTACTCTGTTGGATGGACAGAGTCCTGCGTTGTTCATGTCTATTCAGACGGCAATTGCGCCACTGAGGTTGGACTCTCGTCTAAGAACTGGGAAACCACTCTCACCCGGGACGTTGCTGCGTTCAGCATCACCGACTGCTAAAGGTAAGCATCCTCTACGACTATTCAGTTTATGGACTGGGCTGACTGAAGTGCAGATGGATGTTGAGCAAACATGACTGCCTGGCGGATGTTATTACGTTGTTTGATCTCTGTCTCTTCGTAACTGCGAGTGACAGCTCTGACAAGTTGTTCTTGATTTTGATATGCTTATAGTCACTCGTTTGTATCATTGAAAATGACAGGCTATCTGTTGAAGCAAAATTCCACGTACCTGCCTTTTATGTAACATGGTAAAATATTCCAATAGTAAGGAATTCATCATGCCTGTCTGCAAGACCTGGCTCAGGAGGACTCAATACAGCTCACGCAGAAGAGATCTCCGCTCCTCAAACATAAGCCTCTGTGACACGAGAACGCACTATCCCGGGTAAATAACCTCAGAGCCGCAGAGGGCTTCAGCTGCCAAGAAGAACTCGTATTCCGACAAAAGTCCAAATGCTGATCAGAGCCTTGACCAGCAGCTTCACCAGAGATCGGGACTTCATATTTCTCTTACGTCAACCTTTGCTGCTGCAGATGGTCGGAATGAATCCGAGCCTGTAAGCACCGCCGGCAGTCTGTTGAGATCAGTTTTGGGTAGCTGTCAAGGATGCATTCAACAGGAAGAATGCATTGAGCACGAACTTCCAGATGGCCATAGGCTTGGTACTAAAGCAAAGTGGACCCGCGCGGGAGGGTGAGAAGCTGAGGGCCCCTGAAACCCTATGTTGACGGCATTTGGTATTCATCAACACCGTTATACGTCCTCAATCCCACTCCATTCCAATCCCACAGCCAGGGCCTGCACACTGCCTGATTTCTGAGTTCAGATACACATTCTGGTTCCAAGTTCTACGCCAAAGGCACGCACAACGGTGTTCTTTCGCTGGCACCCGGATTGACTCGGTAGTGCTAACAGTTATTTTTACGGAGTTGACCAATCGGTCTTGACATATACAACTTGCGGGATAGAAGTAAAATCCATTCATTCATTATCTACATTTCTCAGTAAGTCAGGTTAATCATGACAGTCTTGGGCTCAGTGAAGTGCTCCAGCGCGTTGCGACCGCATTCACGACCAAGGCCACTCTGCTTGGAGCCCCCAAAGGGCACGTTGAGGAAGTTCAGGCTGATGCAGTTGATGCCGACCATGCCAGACTCAAATTCACTGGCAACTCGCAGGGCCTTGTTGATGTCCTGCGTGAAGACGCCCGCCATCAGGCCATATTCCGTCGCATTGGCCTTGCTCAGGACCTCTTCTTCGGTCTTGAAGAAGTTCAAGATAGACACTGGACCGAATATCTCCTCGCGGTAGAGCTCTGCACCGGGTTCGACGCCTGTGAAGACAGTCGGCTGGACGAAGAAGCCCTTGTCGCCGACGGGCTTCCCGCCAGTGAGTAGAGAGTGAGCCTTCGCTCCACGCTCGAGGAATCCGCTGACACGCTTGAATTGGGCTTCGTCAACCAGAGGCCCCATCAGGGTGTCCTCCCTTTCTGGGTCATTGATCTTTTTGGCGCGCTCTTCCAATGCAGCCTTGTATCGCTTGGTGAACTCGTCGCGGATGCCCTCCTGGACGTAGACCCTCGACGCGGCGAAACAGACCTGGCCACTGTTTGCTGTGATCGCATTGACACACCAGGTCACTGCATTGTCTATGTTGCAGTCGTCAAAGACCACTGCGGGTGATTTACCACCTAGTTCAAGAGTGACTCGTTTCAGGTTCGACTCGGCGGCCATCTTCTGGATGCGCTTCCCAGTAGCAATAGACCCGGTAAAGCTGACCTTGCGGATGCGCATGTGGCTGGCCAGCAGGGCGCCTGTAAAGCCGTCGCCAGAGAGCACCTGGAAAACACCTGGAGGAAATCCAGCCTCGCGGATCAACGGTCCCAGGGCAAGGGCTGCAAAGGGGGTCTTCTCCGAGGGCTTGAGAATGAAGCAGTTGCCGGTCGCAAGAGCTGGCGCTGCCTTGAGACCGACAGTGCCCATGGGTCCATTCCAGGGCACCACGCCTGCAGTTACTCCGAGAGGTTCATTCCGCGTAATCTTCATGAAGCCATTCTCCTGGGGGAAGGCCTCGCCAGCAAACTTGTCAATCCAGCCGGCATTGTACTGGAACGACTCCGCGCAGAGACCAACCTCAAACCGGCCAAAGGCTTGGTATGGGGCACCGAGGGTGATCCTGGTCAGTTCTCCAAGCACTTCTGCGTGTTTCTCCACCAAGTCTGCAAACTTCAGCATGATTGCGCGTCTCTCAGAGGCCGAGATGGCCTTCCACTTGGGAAATGCAGCCTCCGCAGCGGCAACGGCGGCGTCGACATCGTCTGCACCGGCGAGGGGCACCTTGTCTGAAACAAGAGAGTTGTCGCGGGGGTTGGACACGGAGAAGACGGCGGGGGACTTGGGGTCGACGTATTCGTTGTTGATGAAGAGCTGCGTGGGCAGCTTGGTGCGTGAAAAGTCGAGCATCTTGTGTTATCCGTGAAGCTGATCCTGGCGACGACGGTGAGCTGGACTGCATCCTGCGACTTATAGCACGGCTGACGATCAGTGAGGAAAACGTTGTCCAGCATCAGACACAGCCAGACCGAAGACTGCCAGCCAGTAGGGATTCCTTTTCCAGCCGTGTGTCTCCAATTCGACAGCATCCTGCGCCTCTGCAGCCAATAGAGCAGCCAATAGCGCAGAGACAAAGAGTCTGAATCAGGTCTAGACGTGGGGAAGCGCTCCCAATGACTCGCAAAGTTTGCTGCGGGCCTCGGGAATCGCCACGGAATGCGGGGAAGGTTAAATAGATAATCACAGCAGGGGAGTCGGAGGCTATCACATTCAACCACCATGACTATGACTGCCTCTGCCGACCGTCAGCCTGATCTGTCCGGCTCGGGCGCTGAGACGTCCAAGCCGCGCCATCGAGCGTCTGTCGCCTGCGTGGCCTGCCGAGAGCGCCGGACAAGGTGCGTCGTCAATGCAGGCCAGGGCGCGTGTACGCAGTGCCTGGACAGTGGCCAGGAGTGCGTCATCAAGAACGATGACCAGCGGCGAAAGTACAGTCCTCTCTGTGTAACTTTCTATCGTTGTCTATGCTGACTTTATAGGCCTGTTTCTAAAGCATACGTGAATCTACTGCAAGACCGCATCCAGCAGCTGGAGAATGCCCTCCAGGAGAAAGAGACCCAGTCGGAAAACCACACACAGAATAATGAGCAAAATCAGAATAATCAGCCCGACGCTTCCGGTGATCACTCGTCACCGTCCGCGCAGTCGGACTCGCACAATATCGCCGTCGAGACACCTCCCTCCCCAGACCCCCCCGTCTTCCCCCATCCAGACACCATCTTCCAACAGCAGGCTTCAGCAAATTCACACAGTTCACCGTCCAGATCGCATACGAGACAAGCCTCCATGACGCATCGACTGTTGTCCACTCGCGGCCATGTCAGCTTCGACCAGCTGGCAGGCCGCCAACGCTACTTTGGTCCCACCACCAACTGCCATATATACTTGGACCCTTCTTCAGAGTCGGAGGAGAGTCGGGGGCAGGCGAGAGAGCAGAGTCGGCGGACCCAGCGAGTGCTGTCTACCTTATCGCAGGCTTCTCAGGACTACTTGATGCAGCTATATTGGAAATACTACAACTCTGTAATCCGCGTAGTCGACCAAGAAGCCTTCGAAGAGGGCAAAGAAGCCGGCGGAGGACCCTTCTACTCGGGCTTCCTGCACATCTGCATTCTCGCAGCTGGGTTTCGCTTTGCAGACAAGCAGCGACCAGACATGATGCGCATTTCCCTCACGAGCAGAGAGTCTCTCCTGCACCGCGAGGCCAAGTATATGCTGGACTACGAGATAGAGCGACCGGGCGGCCTCCCCTCCATCGCTGCCCTGCTTCTGCTCGGTGATTTGGAGGTCGGCTGTGGTCGTGATAATGTCGGCTGGCTGTACTCTGGCATGGCATATCGACTGTGCTTTGATGTTGGCCTGCATCTCGACCGATCCGGCTCCGGCCTCTCCCAGAGCGACATCGAGATCGGACGCATGACGTTGTGGGCGTGTGTGATCTTCGATCGATACTGGGCGCTCTTTCTCGGTCGTCCAACAGCTCTGAAGCCAGACGATCTGGAAATCTACGAGCTCTCACAGCAGTTCGACCGGCTGGGCACGTCGCAGCCAGGGCCGGAGAAGAGCCTCGAGATGCAGATATACCAAGCCCTCTTCGAGCTCATGGAGCTCGGGGGTAAGATCACTGGGATCCAGCATAACATGTCCAGTCGTAACCCCGATGTCGACCGGGTCATGCATCTGCGCATGGCAGCGCTAGACAGCGAGCTGGATCGATGGTATGCCCGCCTGCCACAGCCCCTGCGATACACTGCAGAAAACGCCAGTGCGGCGCCTCCGCCGTTCTTCCTGTTGCACCAGCAGTACTATTCCACCATGATCATGCTCCATCGTCCATTCGCTGGCTACGACGACATCCTCGACAGCAGTGGCCAGCGCAGACGAGAGGACAGCAGCCCCTCCGACCCAGCCGGAAAGCATATGTCGGCGCTTTCCCACGCAACCTGCACAAAATGCGCCGGACGCATAGCCCAGATATTCTGGCAGCAGCGCCAGCGCTTCGACGCGAGACGCATCTTCGTGACCGGCCTGCAGCATGCCGGAAATGCAGCTACTGCGCTGGTTGCGGCCATCGCCTCGTCGACCGACCTGGTCTCCAACGACCGCAGCATGAGATATCTCGAATGTCTGGCCGCCGTGCTGGACGACATGACGGAGGCATATCAGCCCGCTGAACAGATGGCTGCCATACTCAAGTCTGTCATGCAAGAGCTCAGGGAGCTTCAGCCAGCCCTACAACCGTCCAACTCAATACCAGCCCGCAGAGGCAGCTCAGTAGATTGCGACAGCGAGCCGGATCATATGCCATCGAAACGAGGCCCATCGACCCGGGCGCAGGCAAATGCACAGTCTATGCAATCAATGTCATGGCCGGGCGAGAGTCAATTCGCGAAACCTGCAGCAACCGCAATGTCGACCATCATGCCCTCGCCAGCTCTCACCTACCAGTCAATGGCAGAGAAGCCTGCTGCCCGTCGCTATACAGACCAAGACAACCTCATCGCCGACAGCAACATCGCCAACATGGACGACTCCTGGTCCATCTTTAGTGCGCCAGATCGCTTCGCCATCAACAACGTCATGGCCGGCCACGGCTCGCCCTCAGCCTTCTGTTCCCCCTGGCCCAGTGCCGACACGCCGTCGTTCTTCCGGCTTGCAAACGACGCGACAATCGAGCCAGGTAGTATGAACAGCGACTTTATGCATCTTGTGGACGACGCTGACCGCACGGCGCAGGGCACGGCAATTGGTGAGAGCGGAATGGGCGCTCCTGGCAGCGGCGTCGAGGGCAGTCTCCCTGAAGCATCAGGGCTTTCTTCTCACAGGATTACGCATTCTACTGACTCGGCCTTTTCTCCATTGAACTCGCGGATACGAGGCCAGCAGGGGAAGAGGAAAGCCCCGGGGAATAGGCCAGACAATATTTGGACGGAGATAATCAGCTAACGTTTATTTTGGATATTACCTTGTGTGAATGTATTTCAAGCGAGCCGATATAGTACCAATTCCTGTGCAAATGGATAGATTCTGTTAATATAACAATATATGTCTTTACTGAATCGTGAAGCCCCTGCCCCAGTTAGTTGATTGTATAAAAGAAAGGAACCATTGACTCACCCATCAGCCACCATTGATGCGCCGTACATGTAGCTGCTCATCGGCGACGCCAGGAAAGTGATGTGGTCTGCGATTTCATCCATCTCTGCCAGTCTGCCCACAGGAATCTTGTCGATTTCCCTCTGTATCACTGCAGACTGCATCGTTCCCTGGATCAGTGGTGTTGCCACGTATCCAGGGCAGACCGCGTTGATTCTGATGCCTTTGGGCGCATAGGCGATGGCGTCTGCTCGCGTGAGACCAACTACACCATGCTTGGATGCTGTGTATGCCACAACAGGAGTGTTGAGCGACGTTGCCACAATCCCATACATCGAGGCGACGTTGATGATGACACCGCGATTATACCGGGGAGTGCTGCACAGGTTAGCCATGAACAGAAACTACCAGGAATCATCCTTACTCCTCCCTCCTTTCCTGCTGCAGCATCGTCCGGATTTCAGCCCGGCTGCTCATCCACACGCCGTGCAGATTGATATGGACCGTCTTGTTCCATTCCTCGACGCTGTGCTCTGCAGACAGCGTTGGCGGCCCTCCAATACCAGCATTATTCACAGCAAAATCAATTCTTCCAAATCGATGAGCCGTTTCGGCCACCGCATCATTGATCGATGTCTCCTTCGTCACATCGATGGCCAGGGGAATCGCTTTTGTGCCTGGAAACTTGGACTCGATCTCTTTGGCTGCTTGCTCTGCCGCAGAGATGTTGATATCCGCCAGGGCTAGCTGTCTGGCACCATGCTGAGCGAATGAGTACGCCGTGGCTTTTCCTATACCTATATCCAGTGTTAGCCCATTCATGCTCAATAGAGTCGCTGTGCCTACCAGACGCCGCGCCCGTGATGAAGCCTGCCCCTCGCAGTAGAGACGCCATGATATCTTTAGAAGTGCAGAGAATCACGGGTAGTCCTGTTGATTAATTATGTCTACTAGATGGCCGTCTATTTCTATCAGCTAATATCGGGTCTGTTTAGGCGTGTTGCAGGGTACCCTGGCTCTTATTCCCCAGTTCCTCGCAGCCGAATTTCTGTTGGGAGATATTTACGTGCATATTTGGAGCCGGCTATTGTTTTCCAGATCCGGTGTTAATATCTAATACACCACTAATTTGTCCGATTATCAGTCCAAAGGTAACCATTTATGTTTCAAATTCAAAGCTACTAAATCATACAAATCATAATAATAATGCTAAGCAACAGCCCAGTCATGATCGCTGTTGCGGACATATGTCGCCAGCCCCAATGCATCCTGCTTCACTCCAGCCTTGACTGGCCCATTACCCAGGAAGGCAAACCGGTTCCTGTAGCGATATTTGATATCATAGTCCTCAAACCGTGGGTCCTTGATAGTTTTCAGGAAGTGGATTGTCGGTCCTGGCCAGAGATAGACGCGGTTCTTGATCTTGCCGTCCTTGAACCACGAGCGACATTCTTCCTGGAACACTGTGTTCTTGTGGAATGCGTCAAAGTGCTCGTAGATGTCGTTGAGGGCCTCTTGCTTGACGGACATGGACTTGATCGTCTCAGTCTGCATCTTCCTCATGCATTTGACGCTGTATTCGATTGTCGTCTCGATCGAGGGCAGCAGAGTCCCGCTGGACCATGTCGCCCCGGGCCCGACGATCGTGTAATAATTGGGAAACCTAATTTATCAGTAAACGTATCCGTAAGAGGCATAATGGTTCAATAACTCACCTTGGTGCAGAAACTCCAAAGTACAGGTTGACATTGTCCCCCCAGTCCTCTTGGATGGACCTGCCCTCGCTGTTGATCACCTTAAACGCTGGCCTGAAGGCAACATTGAACCCAGTGGCGCAGACGAGGACATCTATCTTGTGTTCTGTCCCATCCTTTGCCATGAGGCCGTTCTTGGTCGCTCTCTTGATATCTCCAAAGACAGGCTGCACATTGGGCTGAACCAGTGCTTCGAGATAGCCATCGCCTGGGGAGATACGTCGGCAGCCAGGGGCAAACTTAGGAATGATGAAAGTCTTGAGTTCCTCATGTCCTGGACCCATTCTCCGCATCATCTCCTCGGTGATGACCTCCCTGAACATCTTGGACAGCTCCGAGCCCTGGGTATACATGCCGAACAGCCCGTTGATCTCGGCCTCGATACCCTTCCGGAAGGCCAGGTGATACTCGGGGTCCTCTCTGAACCGCTTCTTGTTTTCCTCTGTAAATTTGTACTGGCGACATCCAGGGTCATTGTCAACGCCGTGGCGGAGGTCCTGCGTCAGCGCCGTGGCACCGAACGGGGGACTGATCCATGTCGGGCTCCTCATGTAGACCTGGACCTGCTTGCAAACCTTTTGCAGCTCTGGGACAATCTGCACACTTGTAGAGCCCGTGCCAATGACGCCAACAACTTTATCCTTGAGGTCGACGCTGTGGTCCCATGCTGCAGAGTGCATCTTGGGCCCTTCAAAGTCCTCAAACCCCTCGACGTCTGGCCACTTCCACGAGTTCAATATCCCTGTGCCGTTGACCACGCAGTGCGCCCAGTCCTGCCATTTCTCCTTGGTTTGAGTATTCTCAACCGTGATGTTCCAGAGACCCTGTTCGTCGTCCCACCGACACTCGACCACCTTGCTATTCAGCTTCATGTACTTGCGGAGATCGTATCTCTCGGCAAACCCTTCAAAGTATCTCTGAATCTCATCACCGTACGCAAAGTAGTGCGACCACTCCGGATTCGGGTCAAACGAGAAGGTGTAAAGGTGCGAAGGGATATCGCAGGCCACGCCGGGGTACGTATTCTCATACCAAGTGCCCCCAAAGTGCGGGTTCTTCTCGAACAGCGTCAATTCCCAGGACTCGGGCTCAAGCATTGCGCCCATTTTATATGCCAGGCAAAGACCAGAGGCGCCGGCGCCAACGCAGGCAACCCTCAGCTTTGCCGGCTTCGAGTGGTACTGATCGAGCACTTTGTATGAGCCGCTCGGGTTGGCTTCGGGATATGCGAACTCGTGGGTGTCGTGAGTGCCATTCTGGGTACCATTACTGGTCCCATTCGTAGTGGATCGTGTCATGTTTCTGGTATCGCTAGAGGCTAGCGATTCGGAGGATATCAGGGCGACGGGATTCAGGGCAGACAAGCGACGACGAGCGTCATTCAGAAGAAAGCACAATGCGACTGTCAAATAAGCTTCAGGGTGTCTTGTGCTTTCTTTTCAAGTACATAGCAGATTTCTAGTGCATCCTGCCCAGCCTGGTGGTGGCCTGAGGGCCCGGAGAAGGTTCTCCCTGGGCCAACAGCAGCACACCAAGAACGAGCAGGAAGAGCGGCTGACTGGGAAACAATATCCAAAAATTTATTCTCTGTTTCTACTGGCCTGCTCGTGTTGTTGGCGTCATACGTGGTCGGTCACTAGTTGGTTTCATCTAGATCTATAACTTTGCTCTTATGCTGGCAGCGTCTTTGCGTGCCCATTCCTTCAACGTCTTTCGCTGGATCTTCCCACTGGCCAGCCGGGGCACCTCGTCGACAAACTGGACTCCCCCAGTCAGCTGCTTGTGCTTTGCCACACGCTGCTTCATGTATTCCTCGATCTGCGCCCCTGAGAGCTTCCCACGGGCCTCGTCCTTTGCTTGCACGTAGGCCCGCGGGCACTCCTGGCCATCCAGCATCACTCCGACTACTCCAGCATCGGCAATGCTGTCGTGGGCAAGAAGGACAGCCTCGAGCTCTGCCGGGGAGACCTGCAGCGCATTGACCTTGATCAATTCCTTCTTGCGATCGACGACCCAGAACCAGTTATCCTTCACCACCATAATATCTCCCGTTTTCAACCATCCCTCGCTATCTAAACTCGCCTTTGTAGCTTCATCGTTCCTCCAGTATCCAAGACAGACATTAGGGCCGCGTACATGCAGTTCACCTGGCTCGCCAGCTGGCACTGGGCGTCCATCCTCGTCCAGCAGCCTACACTCGCAGTTCGGATCCAGCAGGCCAACACTTCCAGACTCGTCGTAGAGACCGCCAGGGACATGTATTGCGCCACAGGTCACCTCTGTCATCCCCCAGCCCTGCACGACGTTGGTGCGGAAGCGCTTCTGGATCCTGTTCTGCAAGTCCAGCGAGAGAGGAGCTGCGCCACAGAGGATATTCTTGACGCTGCTGAGGTCAAACCGCGAGGTCTCGGGCCTCTTGTCCAGCATGATCAGGATGGGAGGCGCCACCTGCAAGTGCGTGATGCGATATCGCTGGATCGCGTCCAGGAACTCCTCGTAGACGAACTTGCGCATGATGTAGACTGGGAAGCCTAGCTTTGGGGCCATCAGGCATGCGTACAGTTGTCCTGTTTCAGATATTAGAGCTGGCAATTTCTTTAAGATGGTAAATCAAGAGTAATCCTACCGTATGCATGATACAGAGGGAGAAAGCCAACCCATCGCTCTTCCGGCCGACTCGCCGGCACCAGCGCATGAGACAGCTCTTGATCGCGCATGAAGATCGTCTGCTCTACATTCGCGATCAGATTGTAATGCGAGACGCAGACTCCCTTGGGCAGGCCGGTCGTGCCAGAGGAATAGTTGATCGTTGCTGCCGTCGACGCAGACGAGTCCACCATTTCGTCCCATTTCCACCTACTTCCCTCCTCCTCAGTCCCAATCATGCTTCTCCAGTCCAAGACTCCTTCTATGGGCGCACAAGGATGGTCCGAGAACTGGAAGATGCGCTCCTTTGGCAGCCCGACTCGCGACGCAGCAGCCACAGCCGTCGAGACCAAACTGGGATGCACAAGAATTGTCTTCACACCAGCGTCTTTAATTTGGTGCTCAATCTCGAACTGCGTGTATATCGGGTTCGCACCGCTAAAGATGCGCCCTGAGCCCACGATTCCTTGATATGCGACCGGCACGAAGATGTGGTTTGGCGTGTATATCATGACCACCTCGCCCTTGCCCACGCCCAGACGGTCCAGCCCATATCCCAGTCGCCTTACCCAGGACAGCATCTGCCGGGGCGACAGTGAATTGTTGGGGTCATTGGCATCGATCCATATCGGCTGGTTCGATACTGTCTGGTTTGCTGGGTAGAGATACGACAGGATGTTCGACCTGGGGATGTCCAGCGGGGGGAAGACCGAACTGTACGCCATAGTGAATTGTTCGTTGAATGTTTAATTTACATTGAATAGAATAGCTAGGCTGTACATATAAAGAATCCTGGCTTGTAGTATTAACATGTTATGCGAGCGGAGGTGTCGAGCGGATAATGTTATCCAGCCCGAATACCTCGGGCTTCAGCAGTAATTTTGTTAGCTAGTTGCAGAGAAACATATTCTATCAGATTGTGCTGGCCAGATATGCATTAATTATACATCAAATTGCATTTGTACTACAGCTTGGGCTGGGCCCCCGGAATGTTGATGTACTCCCAAGTGCAGTCGTCCGCCAGCTCGTCCTGCAGTCCAAACTGCTTCTTCAGCTCCTGCGCGATCTCAAAGTACTGTGCATGTCTTGCCAGAACACCATCCGCCGTCTTCAGCTGGTCTCTCCCAACCTGGTGACGGTGGGCAGCATCCGGTCCATCGGCAAGACGCACAAAGCGGGCGTACGTCCACATCTCTGGCAACGGCGTGTGCTGCGTGAGACCCTGACCCCCGTAGAGCTGCATGCATTCGTCGATGATTTTCGCTACTGCAATTGGGACGAGGATCTTGCTCTGTGCAATGACATATCGCCCGCTTTTATTGCCAGAGGCGTCCATCGTATGCGCTGCATTGAAGACCACCAAGCGCAGCGCGTCCAACTCCAGTCGCATCTGCGCGATACGCTCTATATTGCTGTCGAACTGGCCGATGAGCTTCCCTCGAGGTTGCTTTCGTTTATCGGTCGCGCGTACAAGAGCGTACTCGTATGCCAACTCGCACTGCCCGATCAGTCGCATACAATGGTGGATGCGCCCGGGCCCCAACCGGCCCTGCGCAATCTCAAACGCTCTCCCTTCGCCCAGGATAACATTCGAGACGGGGATGCGGACGTTCTCGTAGATATACTCTCCATGGCCCTCCGGGGCGCAGTCGTAGCCCATGATAGACAGGTTCTGGCGCATGCGCAGCCCGGGAGTATCGCTCGGCACCAGGAGCATCGAATGGCGCCTCCAGGGGTCTGGATTAGTCGGATCGGTGCATCCCATCAGGATATACAGCTTGACCTCGGGGTTCCATTTGGCGTTGGCAAACAGCTTGCGCCCGTTGATCACGTACTCGTCTCCCTCGCGGCGGATGCTGATCGAGATATTCGTCGCATCAGACGATGCCACAGCAGGTTCCGTCATTGAGTAGGCAGAGGCAAAGTCTCCTCGTAACAGAGGCTGCAGCCACTGCTGCTTCTGCTGCTCGTTGCAGTATTTGGCGAGTAGCTCGATGTTTCCGGTCTCGGGCGCATGGCAGTTCATCGTCTGCGCAGCCCAATACACCTTCCCCATGAGCTCTGCACAGCATGCATACTCCAGATTCGTGAGCCCTGGAGACTCTGCAAAGTGGTTTGGGAGGAATAAATTGAAGAGCCCGCGCGCCTTCGCCTCAGCCCGCAGCTCCTTCATCAGCGGTGGCATCTTCCACCGGTCCTTCGCCAGCTGCGCCTTCATGATTCCCTGCGCGGGGATGCACTTCGTCTCGACCCAGTCGTGGACGGCCTGGATCTTCTCGATCGCGATCGGTCGCAGTCTTTCGACAGCCCATGTTGGATATCTGCTGAACGGCAGCGTCGAGGTGTCGGGCTTGGTCGCTGTCATGGCGACTAATCAACCGTACAGGTTTCTGAATGAATATTAGGAATAGTAATCCAAAATTCAAATTCAAATCAAAGACGATCGTTGTAGAATTCGACGATATAAATCCCGGATATTGATAGGCAGAGCTCTACCCCACACCGAACGACAGTTTATGAATGGAGCACCCCTCACATCACAGTATCTCTTTCAACATCCTATTATACCTAATCCAATATGACGAAGCCAGAAGTTGCACCAGAGTGGCAAGAGGTACGTAGCCCAGCCAATATGGAGCTGCCACTAACAGATGCAGTTCCTCAACGAACTCGGCGAGTCGTCCGTAGCTCTCCATGGCTCGCTCAGTGATATTCAGAATCGCTGGGGCGAGATCATCCTAACCATGTTGAAAAAGTCCAAGCTGCCAGAGCCCGACCGGACAGTGCAAACTCGGGACGTAACTCTCAAGGACTTCTGGCTCAGGGTGTATACTCCGCCTGGAACCACAGCGAACAAGCCAGTGGGCATTTACTTCCACGGCGGAGGATGGGCCATGGGCAGCGTTAACCAGGAGGACGCCATCTGTCGGCTGATAAGCAAACACCACGAAATGACGCTGGTCAGTGTCTCGTATCGACTCGCGCCGGAATACAAATGCCCGATTCCCCTCGACGACTGCGTGGCAGGCGTAGACTGGGCGCTCGCCAACCTGCAAGCATCGTCTGCAGTGATCATCGGCGCATCTGCAGGGGGCAATCTGGCCTTTGGTGCCGCACTCAAGATGATCGACCAGGGACGCGCCGAGCAGATCGAGGGTGTAGTGTCTCTTGTTCCTATCACTGTGCATCGAGACGCCGTCCCCGAGGAGGCGAGGGCGCGATACACCGCGTACGACGTCAATGCCAACGCTACTGTGAATTCCGCAGCTGCAATGCAGACGTTCTTCGATGCATACGGCCCATCACCGGATGACAAGTACACGTCGTGTCTTCTGCATCCGAACCTCAAGCAGCTGAAGAAGGTGTACATCGCCGAGTGTGGCTTGGATACGCTGCGAGACGACGCAGTCCTGATGAAGGAGGCTTTAGAGAGAGACGGTGTCCCTGTTTCCTACGATTCTTACCCTGGATTTCCCCATTACTCTTGGACTTTTCCCTCGAAACATCTTGACAAGCACCGCGAGCAGTTCCTATCTCAGATGCTAGACGGGGTGAAATGGGTAGCAGGCATTCAATAGACAATATGCTCGATAGCAATATTACCACAATATAATCTACCTTATTGATATAACTAAATTGACATCTCCATCTGCTCATTTTCAGATAATAGAAATCCATATGTCAGTTGGAGAAGGCGGGAAAACAATACCCGGACACTGGGAGAATGATGTCCGCCACGGTTTTCACGATAGGTTAAATTCTATTAAATACTCAAGTGACAACTCCATAGTTCCATCCAATGCAAGATCCTTGTATATCACAGTAAAATGTCTCCAGCAGCAACAGCAAGAGGCCCAGTGCGCGTTGGCGGCGCCAGCGGTGGATTCTCCGACAGGGTGTGCGCCATCAGCCAGCTGGCCCAGGGTGGCGAGTGCGATATCATCATCGGAGACTGGCTCTCTGAAATGACCATGACCGTGCATGGCGTCGGCAAAGTGCGCAATAAGCAAGAGGCCAAGTCGCTCTCGCTGGAGGAACGGGTGAAGACTGCCATGTTCGCAGAGAACTTCATCGACTGCTTCGAACCCGCCATTCCCCATCTCTATAACAACAAGGTCAAGCTGGCAGTCAATGCCGGCGCCAGTGACACTGAGATCCTGGCAGAGCTGGTGAAGAAGAAGTGTGAGGACGCCGGCTGTCCCATGAAAGTCGCCTGGCTGGAAGGAGACGACGTCACAGACGCAGTCAGCGACTTGGTCGGCAAGGGCGAAAAGTTCGAGAGTCTCGTCCACGGCAGGAAACTGGAGGAATGGGGGTTCGAGCCCGTCTGTGCCCAAGCATACCTGGGCGGCCTTGGAATCGCCAAAGCCCTAACAGACGGGGCTGATATTGTCATCTGCGGCCGTGTCGCCGACGCATCGCCAGCAATTGGAGCGGCGGCATGGTGGCATCAATGGCGCCCTGACCAGTTCGACGAGCTCGCCAGTGCTCTCGTCGCTGGCCATCTGATTGAATGCGCCTCGTATGTGTGCGGTGGCTACTACTCGGCCTTCAAGGATCTCCTAAAGGCGAAGAAGCACTTGAACGTCGGCTTTCCCATTGCCCACATTGAACATACCGGTGAAACTCTCTTGACCAAGGAAGTCAATACTGGTGGCTGCATCACAGTCGGCTCTGTGACCTCGCAGCTGGTCTATGAAATCCAGGGTCCCCTGTACTACAACTCGGATGTCACCGCACAGCTGGAGGGCATCCGCATGGAGCAGGTTGGCGAGGACCAAGTACGAATTACCGGTGTCAAGGGGCTTCCTCCTCCTCCGACAGCCAAAGTTGGGTATGTTCTATTTCTCAAGATAATGTGATGTACAAGGCTAATAGGAACAGCATCACCGCACCAGCAGGCTACCAGGCCGAGTACCACGTCTATCTTGTCGGTCTAGACATCGAAGAAAAGGCCAAGTTTACTGAGGATCAGATCCGTGAATCACTGGGCCCTGAAGTCCTGAAGAAGTTCAGCCTGCTCAAGTTCCATGTCAACGGCTCATCGCCTATCGATGCGCGCAATCAAGATCTTGCGACAGTGGACTTCCGCATATTCGCCCAGTCTCGCGACAGAGATCTCCTGCGGATGTCCAACCCAGATGGCTTCTTCCGGCGATCAATGGTGACCTTCCTCGAGGGCGTCCCGGTATGTAGCTCCCAGGCCATCGAGAAGCTTGACACTAACAGCAACAGGGCGCTTCCCTTGGAAACGACATGAGACAGGCTGAGGGCAAGCCATATTACCGCTACTGGCCTGCACTGCTGCCACAGACTGCACTCAGACAGCGACTGCATTTCCTATATGACGATCAAAAGGTAATTGACATTCCTGCCCCTAAGATCACCCGCGAGTACCCTCGCCAGCAGCCCAGCTACGAGACCACAAACCCGGTCGATCTATCGAGCTTTGGCGAGACAGTCCGCGCACCTCTGGGATACATCGTTCTCGGACGGAGTGGTGACAAGGCGTCCGACTGCAACGGAGGTTTCTTCGTGCGTCATGACGACGAATGGGACTGGCTACGCAGTCTCCTGACGGTCAATAAGATCATCGAACTGCTGGGCCCAGAGGAGTACAATGGCAAGCAGATCGATCGATTCGAGATTCCGCATATACGCACAGTCCATTTCCTGCTCAAGGACCACATGCAGGGCGAGTATAACGCATCTTCCAGCTATGATACCTTGGGGAAGAACTTCATGGAGTATATACGGGCGAAGACAGTAGACCTGCCCAAGCGTTTCCTGGACAGAGGACGGGTTTAGTGATGTTATTACTGTAATTGATAGCACTATCCTTATCCAATATGACTTCACATAATTTTAATCCATCTGTAAAGGAACAAGCCATTCCCCACATATTACCCCAGACTTGGAGTCAACAAAGAACTGGAACGGCTCGGAATTGTTTATCCAGGGAAAAGGACGGGTCTGCGAGTCAGATCTTACCCCAGATCCTGACAGTTGCAGGCTCGTGTACTTGACACCTTGATGGTTTATAAACTACCCATGTTCTCAGGTGCAGGCGTTACAGCCTACAACCCACTCCGCAGCGATGTCGTCTGAGAAGATCGAACAGATTCAGGATGAAGAAGTCAGAGGCAGTACCGGAGTCATGGAGGCAATTGAAAACAAAGAGAAGCCACGTCTGGCACCGCAGACGATCCTGGCAATTATCGTAAGTCCTGCGTTGAAGATCTTGAGTGACATCTGCTAATACAAACAGTCCCTATGTCTCTTGTATAACTCCTATCTCTTCACGCAATTGATGCCCGCCGTCATCCTGTCGAGCATCAATGCAGACCTTGGACCGGATCCCAACTATCCGTGGATTACTATCTGGTACGCCTTTTCCCTTCCTTCGATACGATGCAAGCTGATCGTTGTCTAGCTGGAATCTCGGAGCAGCAGTCATCGTTACCGTCGGTGGCCGTCTATCTGATATCTTCGGACGCCGCTGGTTTCTTATATCTGGTGCAGTCTTTGGTGCAATTGGTGCAGTAGTAGGGGCCACTGGCCAGACAGTCAACCAGATGATCGGTGCCGGCGTCCTGATGGGCGTCGGAGGTGGCTTTGGCGAGATGGTCTTCGCCAGTGTACAGGAGATTGTTCCAAATGAACGTCGACTATTTATCCTAGGTATCTATCATCTCAACCCTCTCTCTTCACTGCTAATGGGCAATGTAGGATGTGTGGAAATATCGAACATCCCCGCGATGCTCAGCCCTATGATCGGATATGCCTTCATCACGCATGCCAAACTGGGCTGGCGAGTCTGCTACTGGTGGATGTTTGCCTTTGAGGGCTTCACAGCCATTGCCCTTTTTCTCTTTTATAAGCCGCCTTCTTTTGAAACGAAGCATCGCGACGACGGGAAGACCAAGAGACAGCTGGTGGCTGCGCTCGATTATGTCGGCGTCTTGCTGTTCCTGGCCGCCATCATCCTCCTCCTTTTGGGTCTGAACTGGGTATGTTGCTGATCACTCCTCTGTATAAAAGTGGCTGCTAATGAACACCAGGGAGGCCGTAACTTTGCGTGGAAGAGTGCTGCTGTTATTGTCTCCATCGTTCTCTCTGCGGTTCTCTTCGTGCTGTTGGGATGCTGGGAAACATATGCCAATCTGGAATATCCCATTCTACCTCCCAGGCTGTTCAAAAAATGGCGAGAGTAAGTCTCCTGGGTCCCCATTTCATCATCCTGCTAAGCGTTGTACAGCTTCTCTTCGATCATCGCCGTGACGTTTGTTGGGGGAATGCTCTACTACAGCATGAACATGTAAGACTTGCATACATTCGAATCTCGATTGAGTAACTGATTATTATAACAGTCTGTGGCCCCGTCAGTCCACTCTTCTCTACGTCCCAGCCGGCGACTCCACAATGCAAGGTGTATATGCGAACATGGTCTCCTTTGGAACAATCCTTGCCGGCACAATGGTCATCACTATTGTACCAAGGTGTGGACACGAGCGGTGGCAGATGATCGGATTCCTGGTCGTGCAGACTGGCATGATAGGATCAATGGGATCAGTCGGCGTCCATGACAAGGCGCAGGCCATTGCCACGATTATCATCGTTGCAGCCACAGTAACGCCACCGCAATTCCTCGCATTCGGCATGATGTCTCTCGGGCTTGAAAACCAGGCCGACATGTAAGTTCTCCTTGTCCTATCTAGGAGGTATAGTCTCATTAAAATCCAATTACAGCGGCCTCAGCCAAGGACTGTTGTGCACCTTCAGGCTGATCGGTGGCGCCATTGCCACAGCCATTTACACGGCTATTCAAACAAACACCTACAGTGGCATTATTGGCGATAACGTGCGCTCCGCTGCAAGTCAGGCTGGTTTTGACGGCTCTATATCTGCTCTTCTCGCGGCGGCAGAGACCAATACAGATGCTGCGTACCAGCAAATACCTGGGATCACCGACCAGGCCATGCGGGCTGTTCAATACGCGGTTAAAGAGGCAAATGCAGTGTCTTACCAGCGGGTCTACGAGATTGCAGTTGTCTTTGGTGGCCTTGCCATCCTTACAGCGCTTACGACACGGGATATCGACAAGAAGAAGAAGACGAGCGAAACCGCTGTTCAGCTAGAGAACCAATCTCAGCCAGTGCATGCGGCTGTATGAAGAATACTGCTAGAAACTTTCTCTCGAGCCAATAAATAAAATGATTTATAGCATTCTATTTCTAAAGTTTTGCGCCATCTACTTTCCGTAGTTTTATCTCTCGAATAAGCTGTTTTGCCAGCTCAGCAGATGGATACCTTGCCTGACCAAGCTTGCGCGCTTCAGGACTTGTTGCCTGCCTCGCTGCATATCTCGCAGCAATGCCTTGGTAGATGATACTCAATCGGAAGAGACAGAAGGCTTCGGCCCATTTCAGCTCTGGTGCCGGATCCCACCCAGCTTCGCCTTTGTACCACGCAAGGCACTGGGCTACGGATGGCAATCCCTCAATCTTATTTGTCACGGATGGGAGATACAGGTCCTGAGCAGCGGAGGGCGAGATCGCATTGACCGTCCATGGATGCACAACGTTGGCGATATCAGCAAACGGATGGCCGACAGTCGACATCTCCCAGCTGAAATACGTCAGTTTCTTGACCTAATATAGATTTCAGTTTACTCACTCTAGGATTCCGATTATTCTGGGCTCAGTCTTGTGGTAAACGATGTTGTCGATCTTGAAGTCTCCGTGGATGAGACTCACTCGGTCTCTGGGCTGGCAATCTGGGTCAGAGAAGAATCGAAGCAAGTCTTCAGTCCCTGGAACCCGGCCAACCGCTTCCTTTGTCTCTTTGTCGAGCACGGCGCCTTGAGTATCGTTGAGGTTTCTCCACGTGTTGAGCTGGCGATTGTAGAATCCCCCTGCCTTCCCATATCCTGCAAGTCCAACAGCGACAGGATCAATACGGTGGAATCTGGCCAGGGTGACCATCGCTTCGCGCCATCTATATCAAGTCAGCATTGATTCAGTACTATTGGCCAACACATACAAGGCCTTCCTCTCCTCCGCAGGAAGTCCAGGCAACGTCGGGTCTTCGAAAATGCGCCCATCCAAGAACTCCATGATGTAGAACGGGGTGCCGACAACGCCCTCATCCTCGCAAAGACAGTATACCTTGGGGACTGGAATATCTGTCTTTGCTAAGGCGTTGAGAATGCGATACTCACGCTCGACCTTGTGCGCGCTCTTCGACACCAGTTTGCCTGGTGGCTTCTTGCGCATCACGAATCTGGCTCCATCGCTGGCAGTGATCTGGTATGTCGGGTTTGATTGACCGAAGCCGAACTATATATCACGTCAGGTCATTCTACTAATGCATGGAGCGATAATTACCTGTTTGAGGGTTATTGGAGCTTGGACCTCAGGTACATGCGACGCAATGAATTGCTCCAGCGATCGCACGTCGATGGGTTGTCGGAGTGCGCCCGCCATTTGGATTTCTTTGTTTCTGGTATCTACTACTAAATTTGCAGAGTATTATATTTGATTTGTTTACCGCCTATTACTGTCTGGATTGAGTGACCAAAAGGGTAACCAAGAGTTGTGCTGCAAGGCGGATATGGACAGGCAGTCGGATATCGTTTTCCAGCACAAGAGCTGCCCAGAACGCCACCAGAATTTCCAAGCCTCATTCTAAGGAATGAATTGCGGGGGAAGCTTGCTAGTTTGGTTGAGCTTCCTGAGTTGGAGTAATCTGTAGAGCTTGCTGCTGTAACGTATTCATAGCACTAGATCGAGGAATAGATACTTCAATAAACTAAGGAATAATTCTGGCAGCACGGAATCGATCAAAAGCCGTATGCCAGCCGCCCTGGATGTCTATCTCCTCCTTTGCAGGGCCCCATGCCTCGTGCATTTTGGTGAGATCGATCTCGCGGTCAAAGTCAAACTGGCCCATGAGGAAGTTGGGAACGGCAGTCAAGCTGCGGTCATTTCCCACCCTGCCGGTCTTCAATCCATACTTCTTCTCCATCTCAAACCACTTGTCTTTGTTCTCCTGTACGTACGCACTGGGATTCGGTCCAGAGCCCTCGGCGGGGGGCGGCACACCTCGTAGACCAAAGTACTCGCAGATAACAGGCCATTTGGCGGACCAGGTCGACCATTGGGCGTTGTCGCCAACATTGTATCTCTGCTCCCCTGTAGTCTCTGGGTGTAGACTGGCATGCACAGTGAACCGGCCAATAATGTCCTGGCTGCTGTCGTTGCTCTTGATGGTCCAGCTCTTGCTATTGCCAGGGAAGACTACCTCCGTGCCCTTGCCATGGATTTCGGCGACGAGACTGAGATACAGAGCCAGCCACTGTGCCAGGCAGTACGCATTGTTATTGGGGACAAAGCCGACCACAATGTCGGGAATGACATCGATGAACGTCCAGGGCTTATCGGCGGACAGCCGTTGCAGCAGTTCGATCTGGGGATAGTAGAAAAGCTGCGACTTGAACGGCTCAGGAATAGCCGGCAGAGTCTCCTTCAAAGGCAGCTTGTCTGCAAATGGGAATTTGTCTATCAGATGGACACCGTAGGTCTAGAAATTCCGGTTAGCAGTTGAATCCATTCATTGACTGGGAGACTCCACCTTTACGCCAGTGGGGATAACGACGACAGACAGCTTGGTGCTCAGGCTGTCCACTGCGGTCACGGCCCTCCTAAGCAGATCGATATTGATTTGAATCTCCTTCTCCGGGTCAGGGTTGAAAAGGTATGCGAAGAAATACAGGTGGGTGACGGATGCAATATCGGGAACGCGCTGGCGCATGGATTCCTCGAAGGAGGCCTGGTCGCCGGACAGGAGATCCAATCCAGAGACGGCCGACAGCTTCTTCGAGGCAGGCCACTGCGAATCGTCCACCGAGAGAGGCCTGTTGGTCAATGCAGTGACACGCTCGAAGGCGTCGGCGGTTGGATAGTCGCTCAACAGGGCGTTGACGACGCCCCAGCCGGTGATTCCGGAGGCACCAAATACCAGAGCGTGAGCCATGATTGAGAAAATGAGTATTAGTTCAGATCGGGGAAGATGAGGGGCCGATTCCTGGTTCTGATCGTCTTATTTAGGAGCATCGATTAGTCTGCCCTAATGCACCGCGATCCCATTTCCGGCAGTCTTTGCGTGCTCTGATGCGCTGCCTATTGTTATCCACCAGCGGAAGCCCAACACTAAACCTCTTTATGTCTGGTACAGCACTGTGCATATCCTGCTCTCTTTAATTATCGATTACCTTTGTCCCACTCACCGACGCATGGATTTACATCTGCATCTGGTTGCTCTTGGATCTTGTCTGGCCTCCCTCATCACCACATATAAGGTGTTGTATGACGTTGCCGAATAGTGCAGTGGGAATTGCATTATTTTTGATGTTTTTTTGAACGGCATCCAGGATCGAACCCCCGGTCGACCACTTTTTTTTCTTTTACCTTTCGACCCCCAGATAAGTCCATTTGGAGTTAATCTGCATTTCAAGAGTTTCTATGGATATAAATATTCGGGACATAGACATCTATCGATAATATAAGCTTGTTGGGCCGTAGAAATTGGTTCGATGAGGAATTGTTGTTATCCGGCTGAAAGATATATATTCCTGTATCCACTTTGTAGTGCATCTTTCCCTCTCCCAAACCAACATTTCGCTTAATGAAATTCCCAAACTGGTTGAAATTATTCAAAACACATAGTTCAATTTCCTTCGTGCACCGTTTTTATGAATCGTACTGGTCTTCGCAGACTCCAGCCAGTTCAAACACTCATCATGTACACGGAACTTTTCCGACAGTGAAAGTGCCAAGTCGGACCCCAAGGCGGGGGGGCTCCACGACGATGGCTTCACCGACTGAAATACCAAATATTCTGCGGATGCGGAGATTTCCCGTTCTTCCTCTGTCACTTCTCAGAAGAGACTGCACTGCCACCACTGCTGATGGCCAAGTCGGACACGTGCGATGCTCCATAGATGGATGTCATGCCATGTCCCAGCCCGTAATATGCATATTCTGGGGAAGGAGACCCTTGGGGCACGTTGATCTGGAGTAAAACCGGGGCTGGACACGGAGAAGCTCCAGGTGCTGTCACTTGAACAAGGTCTATAAAGGGGAATCCCTGACCGCAGAGAAAAAAGACGTGCTCTTCACCCATCGCAGCAGTTTTCGAAAAGATGCCTGCTACAGATACCAAAGCAACGTTTAACGATGGAGAGCCCAAGGCAGCCCTTGAAGCCCTGGAGGATGTATCAGAGGCAGACCGGCTGCTGGTCCATTTCCCAATTCTCCAGGACAAGTCGCCGGAGGAGTTGGAGAGGTTGAACAAGGCGGTCCTTCGCAAGCTGGACTGGTATTTCCTTCCCTGCGTGACGATGATGCTCTTGATGAGGTAGGCAGATGGACAGCCCTTGACTCCGAATCGTTCACTTACATGTTTGTTATATAGCTACCTTGACCGCATTAACGTCTCGAATGCCCGTCTTGCCGGCATGCAGGAGGACCTGAATATGTCAGATACGACCTGGTCTGCTGGAATATCTCTGTTTTATGTTGGCTACATTATCTCGCAAGTACCAGCCAATGTGATCATCGCCAAAGGCAAACCAAGCATCCTGATGCCCTCGATTATGCTGGCCTGGTCTGCAGTGACCATATGTATGCCTGCACTCACAACAGGCTGGGGCTTCTGCCTCTGCCGGTTCTTGGTTGGATTCACAGAGGGCCCATTTGTCCCTGCAGTTTCTCTCCTCACGTCTTCGTGGTATACAAAGAAGGAGTCGCCTCTCCGCATGGGGATCTGGCATGCAGGGAACATCATCTCTAATGTGTTCTCCGGGCTTCTCGCGGCAGCAATCCTCACAAACATGGACGGAATCGCGAAGCTCCATGCATGGCAGTGGTTCATCCTCCTTGAAGGCATCGTGAGTATCATCGTTGCCCTGCTCGGTTATCGTTTCCTGCCCAACTTCCCCGACAACACCAGCCGAAGATGGTTCTCTGAAGAAGAGGCGGCGATGGCCCAGTATCGACAGGCTGTCTCTGCCGGTGGAGTCCTCGAAGGAGGAGAGGGAGAGGGGGATTATTGGGGTGGAGTGATTCTTGCAGCCAAGGATCCGTTTACCTGGCTGTTCTCGGCGATTCACTTTTCATTGATCATTGCCCAGTCTTTCAAGGACTTCTTTCCATCGGTATGTTAAGCGCCTAACCAAAGATAACATGCTAATGAGTGCAGATCGTCGAGACGCTTGGGTTCAGCGAGGTGGTGACATATCTCGTCCAGGCTCCGCCATATGTTATTGCTTATTTCGCCACGCTCGCCATATCCTGGTCGTCAGGGAGGTTCGGCGAGCACTGTTTCCATATCATAGTGCCTATTCTGGTCGCACTGGCCGGTTCGGTCCTCATGATCTCAACTCTGAACTTGGGAGCTCGGTATTTCAGTCTAATCTTGCTCTGCACTGGACCGTTTGTAGGACTGAACGTAAGATTCCCTATCACTGAATATCAGACCGCAGGTAACCATAATCCAGATACAAATTTCCTGGGAAACCACAGTCGTTCCACGGCCGCGAACAAAGAGAGCTGCGCTGGTTGCCATAGCCAACTGTGTCTCTTCCGTCTCGCACTGGTTTACGCCGTACTTCTTCCTTAGATCTCAGGAACCGCGATATCAGACCGGCGGTGGGATCATCATTGCCGGGTGTGGATTGTCGGCAATATTTTGTCTTGCAGCCCGGTGGTGGTGCACTAGAAAGAACAAGCAGTTGGACGAAGCTGAGGCAGCCAGTGGAAACGTGTCTGAATGGAGATATGTTACTTGATAGAGGTGTTGGAATGACGAACGATTCGTGTGGATATGAACCAACAATGTAAATGGGTTAAGCTGATGCACGACATTCATTGATATGACATGAGTATGAATATATTGAGAATATCAGCTTGCAATGACAGACTCCCAGCACCACTTAGCCAGCATAACATATCTAAGCAGTCATTATACAAACCTCCGCTCCATAGTTGGAAGCTCGATTGGAGGTCGTGCATGTGCGCGCCTCATATCACCGTCCAATTCGCGCAGCCCAGCCCCTGAGAGCTCGGTTGGATACTGCTGCATCCCATGGAGCTCACCGATACTGTTACCCACCAACTCATTTACATTTGGGCGGGACGCGTTGGAATGCAGCTCCATTGTTGATCCATGCGCATTCTTCGTCATGCTTGGATTAGGATTCGAGGTAAGGGGAAAGGACTGATCTCCAGGCGTGGTCTGTTTGCGACGCCTCATGCAGCAAAAGCCAATAAAGACCACTACTACTACAACAACAACACCAACTCCGCCGCCAATACCAATACCGGCTTTGGCTGCTGTTGTTAGGCCGTTACTCGTTTCATCCAGATTCGAATCTTCGCTCGGTGTCGGCTCGGGCGTGCTGGTGGGGGAGCTTGAGGGGGTGGCCGAAGAAGAAGTCTTGGACTTGGAATCGCCTGCTCCATCAATCGAGAAAATCGGAAGACAGTCGAAGTTCTGCGGCGGCTGGTCTGGATATATGCAGATGGTGTAGTTGTCGAAGTCCTTGACATCGTCTGGCGGAGTCCAGGTAAAGCGCCCTGAATCTGGGATTTCGGCTAGACGAGGTAAAGATGAGATTCAGCCCATTATCATGTTAGAATATTGAAAAGGAATAAGACGCACATGCTATAACATCTCCATCGTCAGAGGCAATGGCTGCCCCCCACATAAACTCCAGAGTCACTGTCCCGTTTGAAGCAACGGGCTTCCATTTGATCGTTGTCGGCTCGCCAACAGCGAATTCATAGCCATCAGGCGGGTCGATTAATTCAATCGCAGCGACCTTGAGTAGCAGCAGCACCGCAAGTGCCAGGAAGAGAATAGAGGACATTGATTAACTCTGGTAGGAGGAGCTGGGTATCGACATGGTCTCTTGCTAGAGATGGAAAACATGGGAAAGAACATTCAGGAACAACAGAGTAACCCCCTTTGAACCGGAAACAGAAATTTCCAACCAACCTCGACGAATACGAAGATTCGGTGGGGATTATTGAAGGATTGCAGGGTTGCTCGTATTCATCTGCAGGCTCCCATCCAACAACTGGCCAGAGATGGCGATAGCAGTCCTTGGCAGGGGCAACAATTCTCAAGACAGGAACAGAAATAACCCTGCTGGAGCCATTCAAGTTGATGAAGAGGGTTGGCCATCTGCAGTTGATTTGGGAAGAAACATGCCAGATGCGCGAATGCAGGTCCAATCTCGAACAGACCGAATGGACAGCAGCGCCTCAGCTACATTTGGGTCAGGATCGAGGGGAAGAATCCAGCGGTAATTGCCACTGATATCGCTTATATGTGCAATCGGGTGGCCTTTACCGCGCGTTTCAAAGAGCACCCCGGGAGGGAGAGCAGAGTCGTCGGACTGCACCTTCTGCCATAGCTCGCGCAGTCCGAGTTTCATATTTTCGACAACAAAGTCAGCTATGACAGTCGAATGCAGATATCCCTCCGAGTGTGGCCATCTTCGAAGAGCATCGATTGCTCGCAAACGAACTGCATAGTCGGGACACCGCGCGGCTATAGCGTACAGTGTCGGGTTTATGCTACTATCAACCGTCATGAATGGACGCTCTGGGAACTTGTCGATGATCACCAATGCCTTGGATAGCAGGTCCTTGTATTCAGCAACAACGGAAGCTGGCTTTGGGCGGCTCCTTGCATACAGGCATGTCTTGACCGTTAGCACTGCTGTCCGGTGAAACAGTTGGATTATACCCGCACCCCGCTGCTCTTTGCGAGTAAGTCGATGATAGAAGCTCTGTAGGTACTGGGATAGATGCGAGTCGAATTGATGGAGGCACGACAGGAGTCGCTGTTGCTTGGCATGGAAATACCCATAGTTGGCTGCAATTTCGGCGTCTGATTTGGCAGAGCACTCCTCTAAAAAGGGGTAGGTGGTGTTGGCAAGAGGGTTGAACGCTTGCCAGACGTCCTGAAGACTGCGAAACTCATACAAGTATGCTTCGTATCGCTGCTCATGGACGAGCTCGTGGTCAATATAGAGAGGCGGCTGTACGGCGCCAAAGTGCGTGGCCTGGGACTCGAGCTGCAGAAAGGCCTCGAGCAGACTGTTCTCGACAGAGCCCCCTGATCCACCCACTACCTTGCGTTGGACCTTCATCTCCTTCAAAATGGCGAGACCGCTTTGCAGATGTATGGTGGCGTCGTCGAAGTGACCGCAAGCCAGCTCCAATATCACGAACAAGAGGCAGCAAACCAACACAACCTGACGCAGCTGAGGATCATGGGCTGTGCGCCGTTTGCTAAGCAGCGCAAACGATCTCATGGACTGTTCCAAGGCATATCGGCGCCATGAGCTGATAGCAACAGCGCCTGACGATGAACCCTGTTTCGCAAGGTCCTGATTGACGGCACTTAGGGCAACGACGGCATGGAAAACAGCGGAGTCTTCGCAGCACATCTGGAGGACCAGCTTATTCCACAGCGACGAGTCATAGTAGCTCGTGAGGCTTGAAATAGTGTGATGGAGGAAGAACGAGACGCATCGCTTCTCGTCGGTGGTTATCGCCCAGCAGAACCCGGTTACCAGAGGGGCAGATGGCGTTGACGACGACGACGACGATGATGCGTATATCTGAGCGCGAGGTGGCAGTCTGTTCTGTTCGTACCCCCCGCAGGTCCATCCATTGGCCTTGCAGTTACGACATCCACCCGGGGCCTCGTCGCACTTGACATGTCGAACACTGAAGCAAAGTGAGAACAGATACAGATTGACCGTCAATCACGACTTACCGACATGTCCGACATCCAGTGCGAGACCGCTTGGTAAAAGCCCTTTGCCGGTTGGACTGAGACGATAGCATCTGGCAGGACAGAATTTGATTGAGATATGATGGAGTATAACCTGAAACCATCGAATCTGCAGCCTTTATAAGCACTTTGGCTGTCAGGCCTCCCAGCTGTAACAGTTCGAGCATGCCTGGCTCAGCCCTCCTCAGCCGCGTGCCTGGGCGCGAGTTTCATCACATAACTACCTTGGCGCCTGCTTTGGTTGGTCAATTACGGTTTCACCCAAGATTGAGTATTTTAGAGCCGCGATTACCGTGGGTCGAGGCTTATTCACGCCGGCTGAATGGGGTTGCGCACTTCGCAGATGCAGATGGGCTGGCTGTGCTGCGAAGGCAGACCTCCTAACAGTTGTGTCTATATCTGTGGTCTACGGATTGGTATCCATACCGTAGAGACTAAAAGATGCAGCTGTGTCATTGCTCTTCTATTCGTTTCCTTGGTTGTCCTTGCATACACTTTGGGTGAGGGACGCGACATTCTCCATGCAGCCTCCTTGCATCGTATCATCCAGCCTATACCGCCATTCTGCTTTCCCTCGATCAGAGATGATTATTTCAACTTAACACATCCTGCACATTCATTGAACGCCAGTTTTTGTTTCTCTGGTATCGCTCATAGCACTGGCGACCTCGCGATGGACGTCCTCCCAGAGAACATACGCCTTCGGCGTGCAAAGCCACTCAGCGACTTCGATGAGAAGCGGAATCTGTGCACCGACATCCATGATCCTCGAGTGGACGACTCTGGAAACTTTGAGTTTGGAGGCTCTGTGGGCTGTCTTGCCCTAATGGTTGGGTTTCCCCTGTTGATGTACTATATGTGGATTGGCGCTACGTATTATGATGGCCATCTTCCACTCCCACACGATAATCAAACCTGGAAAGAGTTTGGAGAGCACCTTTTTAATCTCGTCTACACGGGTGCCTATCCGAGCGGTCGAGCATGGCGCATCTACTGGGCCTACTACGTCTTCGAGGCCGCATGCTATATTATACTTCCTGGCTTCGAATCGTACGGAAAGCCCATCGCCCACGAAGGAGGCAGGCAGCTCAAGTACCATTGTTCTGCATACGCCAGCCTGTATGTGACTATACTCACTATGATCGCCTTGCACACCTCCGGAAAATTCCAGATTTACACCTTCCTTGACGAGTTCGGCCCATTGATGTCGGTTGCAATCATCTCGGGCTTTCTAATGAGCATCTACGCCTATATCTCTGCCTTTGCCCGTGGAACGCATCATCGATTAACTGGCTATCCGATTTATGATTTTTTCATGGGCGCCGAGTTGAACCCCCGCCTGTTCGGAATCCTGGATTTCAAAATGTTCTACGAAGTCCGCATTCCCTGGTTCATGTTGCTAGGCTTCAGCAGTGCTGCCGCTGCCCGACAGTATGAGAAGTATGGATATGTCTCTGGAGAAGTCTTGTTCTTGGTGATGGCCCATTTCCTGTACGCGAACGCCTGTGCGAAGGGGGAGCATCTGATCACTACCAGCTGGGATATGCACTACGAGAAGCTAGGATTCATGTTGACCTTTTGGAACCTCGCCGGCGTCCCTATGTCTTACTGCCATTGTACGCTGTATCTGGCTAATCGAGACCCTGCGACTTATGCATGGAACAAGTACGCTCTGGGTGTCCTCTACGCCTCCTATCTGTTCGCCTACTATGTATGGGACACGACCAATAGCCAGAAGAACTCCTTCCGCCTGATGGAGAGAGGCACCTTTGTCAAACGAAAGACATTCCCTCAGCTCCCTTGGCAGGAGATACATAATCCGCGAACAATCAGCACCAGCTGTGGCGAGAAGATCCTGGCCGACGGATGGTATGGCTACGCTCGCAAAATCCATTACACCTGCGACACTTTCTTTGCCATTTCCTGGGGACTTATCACCGGATTTGACAGCCCCTTCCCCTGGTTTTACTCTGTGTTTTTCGTGATCATGATCGCCCATCGAACTATGCGGGATGTGGCCAAGTGCAGGAAGAAGTACGGCAAAGCATGGACGGAGTATGAGCGTCTGGTCCCTTATCTCTTCATACCGGTATGTATCGTATCTGACTATGGATGCTGGTGTCTAACGCAGTTTATAGCACGTGGTTTAGCTACCTCAGCTCGACGATGGAGGTCCAGGATTGAAATTGGGATGGAAATACAATATTGCTTGCTTTAGTATGAAATAAATGTTCGAAATATTGGTAGAATAGCCAGGGAAGATAACTATAGCCTGCTCTTGCTGGGCCCAGTGCCAGTTATCCACTGGAACAGCAGGCCCCTTCCAACTCTTCTATTGCAGCCCTCTCCAGAGTGTCTAAATAAACTATATGGAAATGCATTATCTATATGAGATATAACTCGTTATTGACAAGTCAGTACACTGTATCCGGCAAGATGAATCATGCCACCATGCGGATATAGAATCCGGTGTTATATACACCGTATATTCCAGCTGAGACTGGGAACGGGACTTGACAGGACTACGCAGATTCCAGATGCTCGACCCTGCCATCCTCCTTCCTGCCCAAGTCCTTTCCAGGACTCTCCATTTGCAGATCATCTTTGCTGGCATAGGCGACCTTGTGCACAGTGTACCAGGGCCTCTCAAACAGCTTGTCAAGTGCCTCAAGAGATCTACCTGTGGTATCCTGTTAAAATTGTTAGCACTGGCCTGGAGCAGAAAATGTACGGGAATGCATCTTACTGGCATAGCAACGCAAACATAAACGAGCCCTACTACACAAATAATGCCAAAGAACAGGAACGCGCCCCATCTGTGAGTCGCGGCGAGTAGGCTAGGCATTGCCCTTGAGCAACCAAAGTAGAATGCCCAATGCAGCGCCATCGAGATGGACATGTTTAAGGACCTGATGCGAGTGGGAAAAATCTCTGGGCCGATCAGATAAGGGATACTGAACCAGCCAATACTCCAGGCGACGGCGTGCAGGTAGATAGCCACGATTGCTGCAGTCGACGCCCGCTCTGCATTAGGCGAGGCTTTGATATCGTCTGTACTCATGTCTTTGGTGGCTCCCAGATAGGCGCCGACAAAGGCGAGAGTGAGGATTTGCAGAGTGATTCCTGTCAAGAGTGACCGTCGCCGGCCGACAAAGTCCACGATGACCACAGCGAATACCAAAGTACTGACGAACTTGACGACACCGTAGATTCCCGTCGCTAGGAAAGTCGCTTCGTCCCCGACGATACCCAGATATCCAAAGATGGTCGGGCTATACTGGGTGATTGCGTTGGCCCCCGACCACTGGCTAAACAACGTGGCCATGAACAGAAGGAAGAAGCGGCGACGGTTCTCAACGGGGATCAGAGTCTCTTTAAGCAGCTGCCACTGGGACGCAGAAGCAACTGACTCGTGTTCGTGCAGGAGTTGAGCCTCCATACCGTCCAGCTCACCAGCCACGACCGGATGCTCGACAGGCAAATGGCGTAGTTTAGACAGCACGGCGGCACTTTCTTCTCGTCGACCAACTGAGAGCAGCCATCGAGGCGATTCTGGGCAAATGAATGTCCCAAGGCCCCAGAGGGCGGCCGGAAGCAGCTGGAGGAGTGTTGGGAGCATCCATTGAGTGTTGGTCCCGGTATATTTCCTGGTGACGCCGTAGTTGATGAAGAAGCCCAGGACAACCCCCAATTGCTGACAGGCAGCATATTGAAGCGTCAGCAGACCTCGTATGGCCTTGGGCGCGATTTCTGAGATATAAACAGGCGGAACTATCGTTGTCACTCCGATGCCCATGCCAGTGATGATCCTCGACGCATACAGCCCTCCTAGGTCTCCGTCACATAGCCCTTGTCCTAGCACGCCGGCAATGTATATCAGTGTCCCTAATCGCAGGGACCAGCGTCGGCCCAGCCGGTCATTGAGTGGGAGAACCTGCATCCGGTATTAGTTGGGTTGTCTTTGCATGGGATGTTCAAGCACGTACACCAAGACAGCCAAATACGGCACCAGCAGTGGCAATAGATACGATCCATCCTTTCGTGTCTGCGTATTCAGCCTCTGATTGCTGGTCAATCCCGAATTGCTGCTTGAAGTGTGACTGAACGACGATGGACGCGATGTTGCCTAGTTCGCCTTATTAGCACAGGATGGTATGTTTATCAACCTCACTTACCTTCGTCGAAGCCCTTGGCCACGCCAGCCAAGGCAAAGATCCATGTCACGCTAAATACATAGGCATTGAAGATTCCCTTGGGTGCCTCGCGCAAAGCCTTCCTCGTATCTGCGATTAGTCCCATGGTATGCGGCCCAGTCAGGTCAGAAAGGAGCAGAGCAGTCAAGGATGCCGAGAATTGGGATACATCCTTGGATTCCTTTAAGATACTTTAGAGAAGATGCACTGCTCCACACTACCGGTATTGCTCCAACGGCTTCGGGACGCGAATGTCCGATTCCCCCAGAGTATCGGAAATAATCCGCCTGGGGGAGAAGTATTAGTTGGGGACGACGACCCAGCCCAAACTAAGCAAGACACATTCCTCCGCCATGAACTTCTATCCCGCACCCCCGACAATCCAAGCGGAGGTTTATCTCCACATTCCTGACTCGCTGCGCTGTACAGGTCAGCCGACCGAGTGGCGTGGTGGCTTCGCTGGGCCCGCATCGGACATCTTCCTGGAGGGCCCGATCTGCACCCCAGATGGAGCTCTGTACCTCGTGGACGTTCCTTACGGCCGAATCCTGCGGCTGGACACGGAGAAGCAGGTTACAGAGTGTGTGAGGTATGATGGAGAGCCGAATGGACTCGCCCTGCTCCCGGATGGCTGTTTTGCTGTGGCAGACTACAAGCAGGTACGCCCCTGCATCCATCGTCCTCACTATACTAAATCTAATGTAATGTAAATATAGGGAATTCTCAAGTTTGACCCTCGTTCAGGGCAAACCTCACCGCTCCTTACTCGCCGCAATCTCGAGAGATTCAAGGGCCCGAATGACCTGATCGTTGCTTCTAATGGCGACCTCTACTTCACCGACCAGGGCCAAACAGGTCTCACAGACCCGACCGGGTGTGTTTATAGACTGTCTTCAACTGGAAAGCTAGACTGTCTTGTGTCCAATGGAGTCTCTCCCAATGGCCTCGCACTTTCGCCGGACGAGAGATTCTTGTACGTGGCCATGACCCGCGCAAATGCCGTCTGGCGTCTACCATTGCACGCCGATGGAACAACTACAAAAGTTGGACTGTTTTTCCAGTCGTTTGGAAATGCAGGGCCCGACGGACTGAAGGTTGACGAGGAGGGAAACGTCCTGATCTGCCACCCCAGTCTTGGTTCTGTGTTCGTCGTAGACGCAGAGGGAGTGCCCAAGGCGAGGATAGTCACAGCGCCGGAGGGAGGAAAGAATCTCACAAACTGCTGCTTTGGGGGTGAAGACGGTCGAACATTGTTTATAACGGACAGCTTGAAGGGGAATGTCCAGCATGTTAAATGGCACTGTGCTGGGATGGACTGGATAAAGAGTAGGAAGAGAAACTAGACATCAAGCACTGTAATTGTATAATTGGTATTCTATTGTTTATGTTTAATGCTGCTCAATACTAGCCAGATAACGATACAGGTTGTCCACCGCTGCCATTGAACTGGCCCTCTGCGCCGTGTTTGTGGCTGCCCCGATATGCGGCGTGCTGACGACGTTGAGATTCTCCCATAGCTTTCCATATTTCTCGACTGAAGGAGGTTCCTGCTCGTGGCAGTCCAGTCCAGCTCCCCAGAGATGACCCTCAGACAGAACGCGTGTCAAATCCTCCTCGTTGACAATGCCTCCCCGGGCCGCGTTTATAAGGATGGCGTCAGGCTTCATCTGTCGCAGCTGGGCGTACGAGAGGAGATCTCGGGTCTCATCAGTCAATGGAACATGTAAAGTAACAACGTCGGCCTGTTCAATAACCTCCTGTATACTCTGCGCGCGGCGATGCGGTAGCTGAGGCCATGCGCCTTCCGGCATATAAACATCGTAGGCAATCAACTCTGCATCGAACCCCCGGTGGAAGATCTCTGCGACAGTGCGCCCAATATTGCCCATGCCAATAACCCCGACCGTCTTCTTGTGTAGTGTTAACCCCGAGCATGTCTCCTTAGGGACCGGCGCAGTCATCTGTCGTGTAGTGATAGATCGAATCGTTCGAGCAACGGTCATTGTGAGTGCAACCACCAGCTCCGCCACGTCTCTGGCATTCGCACCGGGCGTGTTCAGGATTTTAATCCCCCGCTTTGCGCAGGCAGCTTGGTCAATCTTGTCGATACCGACACCATGCTTGCCGATCGCGATGAGGTTGGGAGAGCGGGCGATATCGTCTGCCGTGATATAAGACCCCCGGATGACTACTGCCGACGCGTTCTCCCTCCAGTTGTTCAACTCCTTGTCGCCAGGAGCTACAACGTTCCAGAGTGTCCTTGCGTGCTCGACGGCGTCAGGGTGAAGTGTGTCTAGCAAGTAGACAGTGCGCTTGTTTGACGACACAGGGGCTGGGGATGCCGGCTCCGGGGAGTAGGTGATTCCAGGCGCCATTTTGTGGATTGCAAATATCGATAGCGAATATCAACACAGGCGATCGAAGTCCAGTACCTGCGAGTCATTCATATATATCTTCCTCTACTCCGATCCCCGTCGGACATGCCCCAGGCCCTGTCCAAAGGCGCGTCACATCGTCGGACTGGGTCCGGACCACTTCCGAAGAAAGTCCTGGATCAGCAGGCGCATCCCATCTGGGATTTCGGGAGGGAGGCACTGCAATAGCTACTCAAGTCAGTTTGAAATATGGTTGTGGTAATGGTGGGATACACACCGAGATGTCGTCCGACCTCCCCAGGGCCATGTCCGAAACCGCCAGCAAGACCCTCCGGAAGACCTTGACGCCAGAGAAGCGCTCTCCCAGGGCTGTGAGGATGGCAACGCATTTGTTAACTACGCCGGCGTCTGTCAGAGTATGTGCCGGTGGAGATAAACTCCCAATACAGATAATGGCCACTCCAGCGGCAAATATATCGTAGCCATCTGTAAACGCAGTGACCGACGAGGCATGGTCTAGGCTACGATACATGTGCTCGATCATCTGCTCACAGCTACTCCGTACATCATGCTCGATCTCTAACTGATGTGAACCGGGAATGGAGTCGCTATGGGTATGGCTTGTGATGTACAATGGCAGGATCTGGATCAATGCCCGACAGGAGAGTCGGTGGATATGGCTTCTTGCGACCTCGTTCGAGGCCAGGAATGGGCGTAGCTCCCTGGGGACCTCTCGCCAGAAGCAGATGTTTCTATAATGGAACACCGGGCATTGCTCGTCGCTGTCGCGGATACTCGAGGCGAGTTTCGCATGCATCAGCAGATGCAGCTCGAAGGCGTCCCTGCCTTCATCGTCAGGGGATAGTTGGTGTGGGAGTGACAGCGAAATATCCTCATCTTGAATGCCAAATGGTCGGTCCATGATGGTGCACAGTGTGCGATCAAGGAGATATAAAGTCCAGAAAAGATACATCCGTTTGGTGACTATCTCGACCGGCAGAGGAGAATCGCCCTCCTGGTCTTTATGCAGTCCAAAAGCAATCGATCTCTTCATCGCCAATCCAAGTAGATGCCATGAGGACCCTCCGTTCGGGCTCAACATAGAGTATACTAGAAGTAGCAGCAGACAATGAACCAAGCTGAGATAGTTTCCTGACTGCAGGATCCTGGGCAGCAGCTTGACGGCCGCCGAGTGCAGGCTCTGGGCCAGCAGGTCAATGCGGCCAGACTGGGGAGACAGCAGCATGCCAATAGCAAGAGCGAGATAGACACTGAAATCACGATGACTTCGCGCAGAGTCGACTGCATCAGATGGCCCATTGCTTTCAGCGAAGAAGCCCTCGTACTGCTCCTCCATCTCTTTCCTGTCGAAGTGCAGGTAGAACATACCGATCTGCTGCAGAAAGCGATCCAGAAACGACGCCATACTCCCCTTGTTGAGAGCCTGTAAAGGATCCGAGAATGCGAGGAAATTCCACTGCGATGTCTCGTCGGTGCTGCGAGACTGCGATGGGCTGCCGCCGCTCAGGCTCAGCATCGCCTGCAGCATTTCGCTCAATTCAAGCTGTCGCGGAAATCCGCTTGCACCGTCGCGAGGTTCGGCCATCGCACTGCGCGAGAGGAATCCAATTTCCCCCATGGCAGCCTGCACCGAGCTATCCAGGCCTGCATGGCTGTCGGGGGCCACAGACGGCGTCGCATCCTCGGTGTCATCCTCTGCCATGCGCCGCCGCTTTCGCTGGGAGAGCGACTCGAGAACATGGATCCGCTGCTTCAGCGAGTCAACATAGCCAGGCAGAGCAGCATGCGACAGGCCGCTGTTGTCCTCGGAGGACTCGACGCGGATGTGTCGCGGGCTGCACTGCGCGCTGGCCTCGATGCAGGCCGAACAGGTGGGAATCAACCGGTCGCACTGGTTCAATTAGCCTGGAAGTGGATACTGGATTCTGAGAGAAAACCTTTTGCTTTCGCTTCCAGCAGCGCTCGCAGGCCTGGGGGCGCCTGGAGGGGGTCGAGCTGGCGGACATCGGAGTCGGACGGTCCCTCGTCGGGGTGCTGGCAGCCATCCCTGGCGGAGTCCGGAGTCTGCATTCAGTCTGTTATTAGTCTGTTACTGGGAAGAAGTGGCGTCGTCTTTGTAGGCATTCGGGGGATTTCCGGTGCACATTCTCCATCGGAAATCTTCCGTGTCTCTACTGCTTGATATCAGCCGTTGCTCTACCACTCTCCATCACAACCGAGTATCCTTCACAATGCAAACTAATAAGTTGTCTACGCGATGGGACTGCCATATTCACGTCTGGGATCCTGAACACTACCCATACAGACCAGGTCGCGTGTACACTCCACCCCCCGCCCTATTGGAGTCTTTCCTGCAGGACAGTGCAGTCCGCCGTGTTATGGTTGTGCAGGCTTCAGTCGAGGATGGATACTCTGGGCTAGTAGCAACTCTATCGCATTGTCAAAGACACCATCCGGACGTCGTCATTCGGGGCACCATTGCAATTCAGGCGGCCTGGGTTGAGCCGGATGCGACTAGCCTTGACTCCCTGCACAAATTAGGCGTACGTTCAATCCGCATTCACGGCTTTCACAATGGGCCGGGTGATGATATAAATTCCATATACATGCTCCTACAGTCACTGTCTCGTTCCTACTCCGTCGGGACCCTAGGCTGGACGGTCTCTGCGCAGTTACCACTCCGGACATGGGCAGCTCTCAAAACGAGGTTGCTTACAGATCTAGCCCTGGCTAACCTCCACCTGATTGCGGATCATAATGCATGTGCTACTCCAGCTGACGCGGGGAGCGCTGATTTTGCATCCTTTCTGGATCTACTCCACACGAAGAGGGTAAGCGTCAAGGTCTCTGCACTGTACCGAAGGAGCCCGGGCAATACCAAAGCTATGCAGCCCATCATTGAAGCATTCGCACAGACAGAGCCTAATGCTCTACTCTGGGGAAGCGACTGGCCGCATTGCGACAGTACTCCTGGAGGTCGCGAGCTTCCTCCTCTCCGGGGCCCAGTCGAGGTGGCCGAAGAGCTACAACTGCTGCAAAGCTGGCTTACAGCAGACCAATGGAGATTAATGATGGACGAGAACCCCAGCACGATCTTTACCTAGCAGCCCGGCGCTGCTAAGAGACAGTCAAGACATGACAAGGAGCCGAGGCATATCTAGCGGGTGGACCCTTTGGCCGGACGATTTCCGATGGAGATTTGGAGGAAGTCTGGGGCTGTCTTTTCTGTTAGGAATCGTTTGCTACGTTGCGTTTTGATGTACTACAATTTAATCGTGGGTAAAACCTTCACCAGTATTCTAACTATAGATAATATTAATAAGCCAGCCAGATCTACCCCTATAGGTACTCAGCCTACTGGGTCAAGTAGCTATAGGCTAGTATTATTAATCTTACCTGCCTGGACCATATATTCCTACTACTGCCTCTACTATTCTTACTATAATAAATATATATATATACTATCTACTGTCTGCTAGATCTATATAATAGGGGATAATAGCAGGACTAATCTTCAGTGAGAAGACCTTGCCATATCTTGCGACCTCTCCAGAGTACAGTAAGAACAACCGTGGCAATAAGAGCAGCCATTGCAGGACCCTGCGAAACCGTCATAAGTAGAATAGCGGTAACGCTGTCTATATGCTAAGAGTCCCACAACTAGAGAATGTCCTGTTTGGCGTGATTATTCAACGTGATCAAATGGGACAAGAAGCCAAGGTTGGTCGGCGGTGGGTATCTTCGCAAAGGTAGGTCTGATATCGGCGATATGGCTCGGCTCCATCAGATCTGAACTAGACCTGTTGAAACGAGATCGCCGCTCAGAAGCTGAGCCGCTGATAACTACAGGGCTAAGACCCTCACTACAGGGGCGGGGGTGGGGGTGGGGGCTTGGTTCCTTGACAGGAATCCCGCTCAGACCTATAGGTAATACGAGTGTATGTTTGACTAGTCGTGGAGGTCCAATTTAAATTATTATGCTAGCTAACAATCTATAACAGCATCCTGGGCCAGCGGACCACCCTGCTCAGAGCTGTCCAGATTATGACTCTATAACGTGATTTATGTAAGTTCCCTGACCCATATCGAATTAGACAGCATTTGGGTTAAGATGAAGAACTCCTATCACGCCTAAAGTTCCTTTGGGGACATTCCGCAACTTGCAAACCCTGCTTACATTTGTTTGATGTAGGGTAGATTGGACTAGGAAACCCCTCTGCTAGTAGCTCAAACCGCCATCACGCGATATTAGGGATCTCGCATCACCTAGTGGCATGGGAGCCACAGTTTTATGCGTCTGAAGCAGATCCTTGTTGAACAGGGATAGGAAAGCAATCAGAATGTTCCTAGAACGCTAGGACAGCGCCACCTGCGAAATCGGTATGTGGAGGGAGCATTAGACAAAGGGGAACTCGGTGTATCATTCTCCGAGCTACTCACTATCCGTAATTTCATTACTAGATATTGAATCGGGATGTGGACTCCACATCAGCACTCGACAAGATGGATCTGGGGTGCGCAACGCCCAACCCCGGCTTCCCCAGTGTGGCGTTTCGTCACCACAGGCACCAAATGGCGTATTGCGTGAACAGTTTGTTCCAGGGGTACGTTTCTATTACAGAAACAGGGTCGATAATATGTTCTCGCGGAGATGAGCTGGATCAGTCGTCGCGACGTGTGCAATATAAATACCGGACATTCGCCCCCTCGAGGAACAAGAACAAACAAGCACATTGAGCGAGCCACCAGCTTATTCTTCGTCATTCAAAATGAAGATTTCATCGATTCTGCCATTTGTTGGGCTTTCAATGGCCCAATACATCAATTGGTCTACTTATAAGGCCAATGGAGTGAACCTGGGCGGCTGGCTCTGCCAGGAATCCACCATCGATACGACCTGGTGGGCAGCAAACTCCAAAGGCGCTGAGGATGAATGGGGTCTCTGCGCCAACCAAAGAAACCAGTGCGGTCCGATCCTCGAACGCCGATATGCAACCTACATCACCACGAGCGACATCGACAAGCTGGCGAGCGCGGGTGTCAACACACTCCGTATCCCAACGACCTACGCTGCCTGGGTTGACGTCCCTGGATCGCAGCTGTACAGCGGCAAGCAGGTCAGCTTCCTCGGGAACATAGCCACGTATGCCATTACCAAGCACCAAATGCATATTATCATCGATGTGCACTCGCTTCCCGGCGGCGTGAACGGGATGCCCTTCGGCGAGGCCTCTGGCCACTTTGGCTGGTTCAATAACCAAACCGCCTACGACTACTCATTGCAAGCCATCGACGCCGTCATCGACTACGTGCAGAACCAATCTGGCAATCCGGAATCCTACACGATTGCTCCTATCAATGAGCCAGTCGACAATATCGCATCCTTTGGCTTCCCCGCCGCCCTCACCGATAACGGCGCAGCCTGGGTACTCAAATACATTCTTGCCGTCAACAGCAAAGTAAGGGCCGTGAATGCCAATATTCCCATCATGTTTCAGGGCTCCTTCCGCCCTGTATCCTACTGGTCGTCGAAGCTCCCCTCCACCGCAAACATCGTGTTCGATGTTCACAACTACTACTTCGCAGGCCGCTCTGCCGCTGGGGCCAACATTACCGAGTATATCTGCCAAGATGCAGAGGCTGCGGCTGGGGATGGGAAGTTCCCTGTCTTCGTCGGCGAGTGGTCGATCCAGGCGGAGCTCGATAATACCTTTGCAGGACGGCAGAAGGCGTTGAACACTGGCTTGTATGCGTTCGCGCAATACACCCGCGGTAGTGCGTACTGGACGGCTAAGTTCTCAGGCAACGCCACTGTGGACGGCGAGGGCACTCAGGCAGACTATTGGAACTATCTTTACTTTGTAAACAATGGCTTGATTGACCCGAGTCAGGGGGCTGGGGTCTGTTCTTAGACCTTTTGCGCAAGATTGAGTGGGTGGCTGCGTGTGTTTCTTGGTGGCCAAAGGTATATTGTTGCCCGAGTAAGGTACAGTTGTGTCTAGTAAGATACGCACCTAGCTCGAGGGTTATTCGAGTTCAGAATGATGACTGGTAAGACTATCAGTGGTGCCATATCTAACAGTATGAATGCATCTAGACCATACCGTCTATATCAGCAATGTTTTCTAGGAGTGGTGATTTAGTCACAGCAAACTCCAATTTCTGACAGACTGCGGTTATGATATTGTAACTAGTGTAATCTATTAACATATTGTAACTGTAGAGCAACGTCTCGTTGAGGCGGGATACCATATTGAAGCAAGACAGCGAAGCAAATACAATCAAACGCAGGCACTGTATAAAATAATGCAACTATATTTCATATTCGCAGTGTTCTCTCCACTGCATGACTCAGGCAGTTAAGCGACCGGAGAATTTCCGACTCCATCCCCGACTCTGCTTCATCTCCAGATCACCCCGGATTCTCTCCCCAGAGTCACTGCAGGTATCACTGCGTGGTCCGATAAATGTCAGAGCTTGATTATGCCTGTGGATTCCCGATTTCCGCGTCTCCCTGCATGCCACGCCTGCTATACGAAAAAGGTCAAGGTCGGTCTGAGTCCCTGTCTGCCCAGAACTGCATCGGACTGACAGTCCAGTGCGATAATAATCGACCGAAATGTGCGCCTTGCGTCCGCAGCGGAGCTGAATGCATTACACTTGGCCTTGATGGCCACCAGCCGGTGTCTCGAGGGTAGTCTCTCTCTCTCTCTCTCTCTCTCTGTTAAGGCGCCTGCTCACCCTGTAGGTACATCACCGACCTCGAGCAGAAAGTCCGGTCGCTGCAGAGCAACCTGCAAGATGCCATCGACGATCTGCCTGATGACGGTGGAGATTCTAGCAGGAAAAGGAGGAACAGTACGCGCTCGACATACAGCTCGCCCAACTTCACCGAAGGAGCGGGACTGAGGTACGACTCTGGCCCTTGAAACTGAACGATGCTAACTGCGCAGTTTTATGCGACCGCTATTTTCTGATCCTGGCTGGAGAGCGCATAATCCCACGATTCTGCAGAATCTGTCGCGGTCTGCGCGCCTGGCGGAGGCCACAGTCACCCCGAATGGCCTGCCCTCTGCAGAGGATGCGCGGGTTATTTTTGATAAGTAGTATGTATCCATCCAAGGCTTTTCAGCGGATCTACTGACAACGTAGTCTTAATGGGAGCCATGTGCTGAATCCGTTCCTGCTTCGGCGAGAGGTCGAGGACGTCTACCAGCGTGTCTTCTCTGGCAACGAGTCGCAGTCTGCATCGCATGATCTATTTCGTGCCTTTATGCTACTCGCCACTGGCTCAATCCAGTCGTATCGCAGGGGATCTCACCAGTGGCATCCGTACGGATACTTCCTGTCTGCCATGCAGCACTTCAAGTCCGACTTCCTGTCGCGCGGCATCCAGTCAATCCAGGACCTGCTGCTCGTCGGCCGGTTTGGCATCTATCATCACATTGGCACGTCCATCTGGGAGCTCACCCAGCTGTGTATTCGTCTCTGCATCGAGCAGGGCCTGCACAAGCCACCTACAACGCGTAAAGGCCTCCTCCAGGAGCAGCTGGAGCGCAGGGTGTTCTGGGAATGCTACGTAATTGACCGATACAGTTCTATTACTCTTGATCGGCCTCTGGCAATCTCTGATCGCGATATACGCGTCTTACTGCCTGTTGATGCCAATGACGAGGAACTGGAGGCCGCCGAGGGCACCATCTCAGACCTCGACCTCTTCCAGGTCTCCCCGCAGATCCGGTCAGGACATTCCGAATTGACTGTTTTCTTCACCTCTGTGCGTCATCGCCAGATCACATCCAAGATCCACAGTCTGTTCCAGTCCAAAGGCCCGTCAGATGGTGCTCCATCGGTAACCGCCACCGGACGCATATACGCAAACCTATACCGGCTCCTGGACGAGCTAGACAACTGGCGACGGTCGAACCCCGTGTTCGAGAATCCACGCTGTCTGTACGAAACGCAGGACTGGTTTGACCTACGATGGATGCGCGAGCGACTGATTCTAGTGCGAAAGGCCATGGACCTGGTTCCGAAGCGTGGCAATATCCCTCCTCGCGACCTTCTTTCGCTCTGTCTGCAGAACGCGACAAAGGTCATTACTGTCTATTGTCGACTGTATGGAAGCCAGCAAATGACCTACACCCGAAGCTACTTCCAGACCCTCTTTACCGCAGGCCTCTCTGTTTTGTTCTACCTGTCTGTGACGCCTGATCCGGATTCTGGTACGGTTGACCAGGCTATGGACGCTCTTGCGCAGTGTGAGCAGGGGTTGAAAGAATTAGGAGACGATCTACCAGATGCAGCTCAGTATGTCGCTGTATATGAAGCTTTATACCGGCACATATCCCACAAACTCCGACAGAACGGGCGATGGAGTGGCCTTGCATCTGCCAATGTGAATTCGTATACCCAGCTCCATTCCCATCATAATGCAGTTGAGAATGGCATATCCCATACGCAGCTTTCTGGCATGCTCGGAGAATGGCCGCTGCCGACTCCAAACAGCCTCCCTGCAGGGACGGACGACTCGATTGGCAGCCAACCACCCGTGCCAGAGGAACTGCTCTCCTTCGGTACGCTCTTCTGGGACGACACCGTCTGGAATATGGAAGCTGGGCTTGGGGAGTACGCATACGGCAATCCACACGGCATTCCAGCCTGGGACGATGGGACTTTTCCATTATAACAAGAAATGATAGTGTTCTATAATGCTAAATATAATGCTATACTATTGCTGAGCCCTCGTTTTCTCAACCCGTTCACTGATCTCTGCGTAATTCTGCGTAATCTTCTTCATGCCAGCCTGTAGAATCGCGCCATCTGCACCGCTGAGCGACCATGTTGCCCCCAGCGCGAACCACCTCTCCAGCAGATCCAGTCTCCCTCCAATGCCTCCGATGCCAATTGGCTTCCCAGCCTTCTTCCCAGCGAGCACAATCTTCTCCACGGAATTTTGATATAGCGGGCTATCGTACTGCCCTGGAATCCCCAGATCGGTGCACAGATCGTTCGACCCGATCAGGATCCCATCAACACCGTCCACAGCCAGATACTGCTCCGCCAACTCCACCGCAGCAGGCGTCTCAACCATCGGAATCAGCATCGTCTCGCGATTCAACACCTCATTCTGCACCTTAGTCGGCAGATGCTGGAAGTTCAAAATGGGCTGGTTATTCGCCGATCCACGCGTCCCCAGCGGGGGATACTTCGCATGCTTGACTAGCTCCTTCACCTCCTCAACCGAGTCCACATGGGGGACCACAACGGCCGCAGCACCAGCGTCCAGAATGCGACTAACATGCCAGTGCGACTTGGACGGCGAGCGGACAATGGGCGAGACACCCGCCGACAAACACGCCAGGATGAGCTGGGCGATTGTCTGGAAGTTGAGGGCCGAGTGCTCCATGTCGATAAAGACGGCCTCGAACCCGGCCATGCGCGCCATGATGGCGATCTCGTTCCCTGTCCAGAACTTGATGGACATGACGGGGCAGATTTGGCCGCTGGTGACGCGTGTGCGGAAGGGCGCGTTCACGGCGACGGTGTCCTGGGGGGCGACGGATCCCATTGTATAGATTAAGATGACTTGATAATCAATTAATGTGTATATACTTTTAGATTGTATTTTTAACGCAGTGCAGCTGATTCTGGTTTCTTAAATGGCCGCATGCGGCGGGATTTCTCCGACGCTTCGGGGCCCGTCCGTCGTTCTATCCGATGCTGCTAACTGTTTGTAGAGTCGAGATTGGAGCTCGGGTTATTGTTGTTATTGTTCTTCATCTCCCCTACCCACCCACCACTCCGATCCTTAGCACAGAATGATTATTCCATTATTGTGATAGAATGTTTGATGTTATTCACTCTCAAGGCAGCTATATTATGATTGGCCGAGTCTACTAATATCTGAGTCATCACACAATGGCCCAATCCAGTCCGGAATTCGTTCCGCCACTCAGTGTCCAGGCCACCTCCAGCATCCATGGATTCCTTCACGGTCTCTGAAAGCTCAAGGAGAAGGGGATCGTGAAGCTTGAGCCTTCCAACCTCTGTTATGCTATGGCACTATGATGCTGAATGGACAGCTATCCGCACTTTCTCTACAAGATGACCAGGAGCAACAACATAAGGCAGCGCATTCGCAGGATGCCTCGCCTGGTGATGTCATGGCAGCGAATGGCCCTCCCCCGCTGGGTCGCATCTACCGCTATACGCCCGTCCCAACCCTCGTCCTCGATCCGTCCATGACCATCGTCGAGGTCTCCAACAGCCATTCTACTATTTCCTGCCAGTCGCGCGATTCCCTACTCCATGCGACCGTTGGCGACCTCGACCCAGAGGCCATTCCGGTCCCCAACATCCCCACGCTCTACGGCGCATTACACGCGGCCTGTACGACTCGAGAGACCCAACTCATCGAGCGCATCGTCGCCAATAATAAGATCGCACTTAATCTCAGGGTGACCCCCATATTTGACGGGCCAACCCTGCTCTACGTCGTTTTGGAGGCCCAGAAGCTCACGGGAGAGGCCCAGAACCACCAGCATGGATACATGGATGAGACCTACAAAGTCCTGGTCGATACAGTCAGGGACTATGCGATCTTCATGCTCGATCCGCACGGGCGCATCGCCACCTGGAACGCAGGCGCCGGCGTTCTCAAGGGATACAAAGCAGAGGAGATCATCGGCAAGCACTTCTCCCTCTTCTACAGCCCAGAGGACAGAGCGAGCGGCAAGCCAGCCAAGGCACTTGACGTGTGCATGCGCGACGGCCGCTTCGAAGACGAGGGATGGAGGTATCGACGCGATGGCTCCAGATTCTGGGCCAACGCGCTCATCACCCCGATCTACCAGTTCGGGCAACACGTCGGCTTCGTCAAAATCACCCGCGACCTGACGGAGCGCAAGGAGGCGGAGGCGCGAATGATCACGGCGTTCGAGGAGTCGTCTCGACTAAAGACGGACTTCCTGGCTAATATCAGTCATGAGATTCGCACGCCGATGAATGGGATGCAGATTGCCTTGACCATGCTGGCTGATACGGGGCTGTCACCGCAGCAGGCTGAGCATGCTACCATTATTCAAGATTCAATGGCGCTGCTGCTTCAGATCGTCAATGACGTGTTGGACTACTCGAAACTGTCATCTGGCTCGTTCTCGCTGCACGCTGACATGGTCGACGTGAGGGATGTTGTTGGCGCCGTCGTGCGCAACTCTCGGCCGGCACTCAACGACGGCGTAGAACTGACCACGTCTATCCCTCCGGATCTCCCTCAGAGATTGCGAGGCGATCCCCTCAGGTACAGGCAGGTCCTGCAGAACCTAGTAGGCAACGCCGTCAAGTTCACCGACAAGGGATCCATCCGCGTGTCAATATCCTGCTCCCTCGACGAAGAAGATCCGGCCGTTTCTGTCATCAAAACAGAAGTAACAGACACCGGAATAGGCGTCCCTGAAAGTGCAATCCACACCCTCTTTACCCCCTTCACGTGCCTCGCCACTTCAACCAGACGCATGTATCAAGGCACCGGTCTGGGCCTCTCCATCTGCAAGAGCCTAGCAGAGCTCATGCAGGGGACGGTCGGATATGCACCCAACCCAGATGAGCACGGTAGCATCTTCTGGTTCACCGCGAAGATGGGCGGTGGATCCATCGCACTACCATCGTCGCCAAAGCAAGCCAATCCCTCCGCAACGGCAACGCCCGTACAACCAGACATCGCGACCGAGCTCCGGGCCGTCGCGCCCCGCAAGCAGGTCCTGCTAGTGGAAGACAACATGGTCAATCACACAGTGATGCTGAAACTGCTGCACAGTATGGGCTTCGAACGGGTTGACGGGGCGTGGAATGGCGCCGAGGCAGTGCGCCTGGTCAAGCAGAAACCATTATCATACGACGCCGTGCTAATGGACATCTCGATGCCGGTCATGGATGGGCTTACGGCGATGGCTCACATCCGCAAAATGGGTTTGCAGATTCCAATTATTGCAATCACGGGGAATGCATTGAAGGGCGATGCCGAGACGTACATGGCCCAGGGGATGAACGACTGCATAGACAAGCCGGTAAACCGCGACCGGCTGTTGAAAGTATTATGGAAGTGGATAGGGGATGGGTCTAATTCATAGCGACTTTAGGACCTAAACTCAGCTGTCTAGTATTATGGAGCTGTCTGGGCTTGGAGGTTAGAGTACGCAGTGGACCGGGCACACTCCGAACAGCGCAGTGATTAGGAATTCGGAACATACCATTGAATTGCTCCCGACATAAAGCGGAGCTGTAAGTAGCATTAGGGAGATTAGAGGCCTTGAATGTGCGATAATTCGTCGGAAATATCCGAGTCTGGAGCTTTGGAGAGGCTTCGTCCGATAATCGGCGATTCCACCATCTATATACAGCCCACCCAGTGCGAGTACGTAGTGTAGACTGTACTGTATCGCTATACTGCAAGATGTCGGCCCAGAAAGTGCCGCGCGAGATCAAGAAGAAGGATGTCACTCTCAGCAACCTTCTACGTAAGCCCTCACTCCTCTTATTGGAGACCCTAGCTAACTAGACAGTCGGCGCCTCGCTGAACATGTTCGAGTACGTTACGAGCACAATGCCTGATATTTCCTACTAGTTAACATTAAACTTCAGGGTTACCTCACTCGGCCAGGTACGTTATCTTGCATACCTTTCTAGCTCGTCTAACTGTGCAGCCTCTCGAAGTCATAAAAACCACCATGGCCGCCCACCGCAAAGACTCCTTCCCAGCTGCCATGCGACGCGTCTGGGCAAGAGGAGGCCTCTCAGGCTGTACGTTCCCCTCCCATAACCCAATAATGTCTAACGCTTCGCAGTCTACCAAGGCCTAATCCCGTGGGCATGGATCGAAGCCTCCTCCAAAGGCGCCGTGCTCCTCTTCGTCGCCTCCGAAGCCGAATACCACATCAAACGCCTCGGCGCCGCCGACGTGCTTGCCGGAATCGGTGGCGGTATGGTCGGTGGTGTCGCGCAGGCATACGCCACCGTAGGCTTCTGCACCTGCATGAAGACAGCAGAGATCACACGGTCCAAGCTCGCATCAGAGGGCACAAAACCACCCAGCACACTCGAGATGTTCCGCAACATCTACCGCACCGAGGGGCTGCGCGGGATCAACAAGGGCGTGCACGCCGTTGCCATTCGGCAAGTGACGAACTGGGGGTCTCGGTTTGGATTCTCGCGGCTAGCGGAGGACGTGATCCGGCGAGGAGCAGGGAAGGAAGAGGGTCATAAACTGAGTGCTGTTGAGAAGGTGCTTGCGTCGTCGATTGGAGGTGGTTTATCTGCTTGGAACCAGCCGGTTGAGGTGATCAGGGTTGAGCTGCAGAGTATGAAGAAGGATCCGTCTCGGCCGTCGAATATGACTATTGCCAGTGCTGCAAAGTACATATACCGGGAGAATGGCATTCGGGGGTTGTATCGTGGAGCAACACCGCGGATTGGGCTGGGGATCTGGCAGACTGTTTGCATGGTTGCGCTGGGGGATATGTATGTCTCTCTATGGCTTCATTTGATTTGATACTGACCGTGAACAGGGCCAAAGATGCGGTTGAGCGAGTTACTGGGGAGCGGGCTGGTGGGCATTGACGTATAGATATTAGACTTATAGACTTCTAGAATATTCAAAAGTTCTTTTCATTTGGTATACTATGTACTCTATTCCTAGCAATGGTCTAATTGTATAAGGCAGCCGGATTATCCACCATAAGAGCATTCCACTCCTCGTCTGACAGCCATGAACGAAGGCTCCGCAACCAGGCCAGATCATCGATGTTCAGATACGGAGTCTCCGTCAAAGCCTCCTCGGGCGTGCGGACCTTCATATGTGGTGTATGTGGCCTAACTAGTCAGCCAGGTGTCTCTTATAGTAATTAATGGTTCTTACCAGTCACTCCCCCAAACAACCTGTGTCGGATTTGCATCAAAGAACGCCCGGACAAGGGGCTTCAGATCTCCGTATTCCGGAGCCTGGTTACTGACTCGATACGGAGCACTAATCTTCACGTAAAGATGTCCAGATCTCATGAGCTCCAGAATCTCCCGGAACCCAGGCTGCTCGCTGACCTCGCCCTGTCCGGAAAGCATACTCGCACCTTTCAGCAGCGCAAAATGATCTGTGACTATCCGAGTCCCACTGGGTACAATCTCCCGTTCAAGGAACGGCTTCAGCTCCACCCAGAACTCAGGATGGGTATGCGTGAACGCCATGCTCCAGTCAGGGCAGACGTCGCGAATGGCACTCGCGTGAGCGCGCAATGCAGCCATCTGAAGCTGCACGTCGTGCATGGCTTTATACTGATACAGGTTGACGCGGATGCCGCAGATCCCAGCACGGCGCATGTCTTGCAGCTCCCCTGCCGTCACTGTTTGCGGGTCAATCACCCCTATGGCCTTGGTGTCGTTCGTTCCGAGCTCGGCCACGAATCCTCGGAGCGACGAGCAGTCGGAGCCATACGAGAGACCATGGGTGAGGACTGATTTGGTAATGCCGAGTGTTTTCTTGAATGCAATGAACTGGTCGATGGTTGCTGGAGGGGGCGTCAGGTGGCGATTGGGAGAGTATGCGAATCGTGCAGCTACAAGCAGAGTTAATATCTTAAATCAAAAACATAATAATCAAGAAACTGCATGTCGTGGAAGACATACGATCGAAGATGTGATGGTGGACATCCCACGCGCCGTTAGGGAACAATTCAGTAGCAACTTCCATCTTACTGGCCAGGGGAATCTAGTATATTGAACTGTCGATTCCAACTCTTGGATACCTTGCGTTAGATAGTAATAATAACCATTATCCCCGTCCGCTGTCGTGATCATTATTCCGGTGCCTGGTGCCGCCGGACTGATCCGAGGATCGCTCTGATGGGGGCTCGGAACACTCCGAAAACCGGGCCCTGTATACAAGTCCCCCGCTATATATGCATACAATGTCTAGAACAAGTATAGACGGCATAACTAAACATCATCATGTCTCAAAACCGAAACCCGTCTCCCTGGCAGTCAATTCTGGCCGGTGGGGCTGCTGGCGGCTTCGAGAGCCTCTTGACTGTATGTTTTCGCTACGCCACTGATGGCACCGACGTTGACTTGCACAGTACCCAACAGAATATCTCAAAACCAGACAGCAGCTACAGGCTACAGAGACGGGGAAGCCCATTTCTCCGGGTACGCTGCTCATCAGGACTCTCCGGCAGCATGGACCGGGACCCATGTATACCGGAAGCGCGGCGTTCTGCATCTCCAACGCGGGTAAGTCCGGGGTACGTTTCTTCGCATTCGACACAGCACGACAATACGTCACCAAGGACTCCTCCGGAAAGGCCACAGCATGGGGTAACATGCTCGCCGGAATGGTCGCGGGGGTCGCGGAGAGCGTCCTGGTGGTGACTCCGGGCGAGACACTCAAGACCAAAATCATCGACGACCAGGCCGGAGCAAAGCGCTACACATCGGCGACCCATGCAGTCCGATCCGTGCTATCGACCGAGGGCATTTCGGGCCTCTACCGGGGGGTAGTCCCGGTTACGCTGAAACAGTCCGCCAATGCCATGGTGCGCTTCACGAGCTACAACTTCTTCCTTGGGCAGCTCCGCGCGCTGTCCGGGCAGGATAAGCCCATCGCCGGCGCAACTGTTATTGCTGGGGGGCTGGCGGGTGTTGTCACTGTTTATGCCACTATGCCTTTTGACACCATCAAGACACGGCTACAAGCTCTTGACGGTCGGCAAAGGTACTCGGGAACTTTCGACTGCTTGCGCTCCATCGTATCCCGTGAAGGCGTTGCCGTTCTATGGCGTGGCACAACTCCTCGCCTAGCTCGACTAAGTGTACGTTTCCCAGTCGACGGTCCTATTGGGGTTGTATATTAACGTGCATTTCCAGATTTCCGGTGCCATAAGCTTCACTATCTATGAAAGCGTCATTCAATGGACTTGGTCTTTGCGTGATTAGGTGAAATATTATATACATCATCGAATATATATATATTAGATTCAAGGTGGGGTGCGCAAGAGCCCCGCTGTTTGTTTTACTAAATAAATATATACACCATAAAATACAATGATATACCAAAGTGTCCGGAAGACTGAATATAAAGTCGAGGACGAGCCAGCCTGTAAGAGTGATCCTCATCGAAGACTGATTCAACGGGCCGGGGCATAACGCGCTAGTCGAGAATGGGTTAGACCACTCAATTGACAAGCGTCTTGACCAATAGCACCACGCTTAAGCTTGCCTTTGAGTGGGACAGTTTATGCCTGAGGCATACATGGTTCAAGCTAGAATGTTTGCTGCCGCGAGTGGAAGCCACACTTGACATAAACTCCAAATATCGCCAGACGTGGGTTTGATTTTGATATTGTTGGTTTGGAGACACGTCAAACTTCAGAGGATTGAAGTGTCCAGGCAGACAGAGAATGGATCCCAGCCCCAATCCCCGTGGAGGAATTCTGCGAAAAAGTTCTCCATAACAGAGTCTACTGGGGTGGCTGCAGCCTCGTCAGGATGTCGCATGTCGTAGGGGAATGATTGCGCTGCAAAGAGCTGAGCAGTGTGGTGTCCGGTGTCGTCCGCGGGGAATGCGTCGTTGGATAGCATCGCCGACCCGTTATTGGGCAAGGGGTCAGTTGATTGTCCATCACCACTGATTCGCCTGCGCTGATTTGACCGTTGAGCCTCAGCCGATGCGTTCGTGGCACGCAAACGGCTCAACTGTTTGATCGTCAGATCGACAATCCTGTCGAAGTTCTCTTTGCCATTGCGCACGGAGGGCCACCACTGCCCTCCAATGCTTAGAAGATTTGAGCAGACCCGAAGATCACGCAAAGCGTCCGCAAAAGGCACCACTAGTTGTATATCCGGAGATGCCCAAAGGCAGTAGACGATGGTGGCCCCAGAGGAGAATATGCCATGGATGTTCCGCCAGTTGTAATACAGGCATTCCTCATTGTTCAGATGGTTATAGATATGGATACGCTCACTGGAGGACTGATAGCACTGGAGAAGGGCGGATTGTGAGGGGGACGGGAATGCCTGCGATGGCTGGTATAGAAGCGTTACCGCACCATGATACAGAGCTTCCAGCTTGAGCTGTTTGTGGTGGGACTTTGCTAACTCGTCCGGCTCTTGCTGGTGCCTGTTGGATTCCGACCAAGCGAGTCTGGCATCCGCGAGCCAGCTGTCAAGCGAAGCCTTGATGCGTTCCTGTTCCGCTGAATGATCGGCAGGCCAGTGGAATGCACTTCCCTGGCTCGGGAGATGATAGAATAACATTTTAATCTCTGAAATATAAGGATCCAATAAGAAACGATAAACAGATAATGTCATATCGTGCGGGATGCGTGGACGTAGGCCGCTCAAGCCATTCGCAATCGGGACATGCTCAACGGGGATATCGGCGGTTTGCGGGATCCGAAGATCAAAGGTTTCGTCGCGTATGCCGAGTGGTCGACCTTGGATGGTTGAGATTGACCTGTCCAAGTTGTAAACCGTATAAAAGACAAAACGCCGCATCGCAAGCGAAATAGGTGTCCCGTCGGAGGCACCCCGGGGCTCCCGGTGTAAACCCAAATCAATGCAGTGGGACATGGCCACATGCACCAAGGTCCAAATATTGAGATTCGTAGGAGCGGTCATTCCCTGAACTGTAAAGAGGAGAATGCTTTGTAGCCCCGACAAGGATATGCTAGACAAACATTCTGGCGCTGAGCTCACCGCAAATTTATAGAAACGAGTGGGTGAAAAGTCAAAATTTTTATTTCGAGTGAGCACCGTAGCTGCAAGGGAGAACACCATAAATACATGCAGGACAGCCGTAAAAATGGAGATGGGCGTAACATCCTTGTCGGCTACTTTATCATAGCGCCCATTATAGGGAAATGGAGCCATTTCGTCGGGCCAGCCATTCGCGTCCACATTAGTAGCTTGTTCCAGACTTTGTCCCGCGCAAAAGCTTAGAGCGTTATAAGCCTCGAGTAGTGATGTTGGGTGAAGGAATGGGTGATCGAGATGAATTTCCTGCAGGTAAACATTGAACAATGTCGTGGCCTCTTCGGGGGAAGGGAGATCAGCCGAGAGCTTTTTATATAGCAAGTAGAACGTCTCTAAAGAAGGGCGAGAGCGTTGGCGCCGATTTTGTGCCGGTCCTGTCGATGTCGACGCTGGACTTGCTAGAGAATCGCTGTGGGCACCGATCAGGTTGGTAAAGAAAAGGCCAGAGGAGGAGCCTAGGTAATGCGTTTGGCGGGAGTCTGAGTGAAGGGATAGCATTCCCAGGTCAACAGCAACCGAACGGGCCTCCGCAGCCGGTGCGGGATCAGAAACTGCATGGGAACTGGAAGTTTCGAGTGCAGTATGTGGTCGTTTCCGCGATGATGATGGCTCAATCGTCTGTTCAGGCGTGTACTGGTGAACAGCTTCGACTATGCTTATATCATGACTGCCATCAGAGGTGCTGCCATCCAGCTGCGGGCCCTGTGTCAGGTCGAAATCAGCATCCAGAGTCTTGATTTGCTGTTCTAGCCACTGGATGCGAGAGCGACAGCGTGCAGCGTAGCTGGTCTGGTCAACAGGATATCAACAACAAGCCAACTGAAAGTAAGCTTACTCGCGGGGAATGGAACGGTCATTATTGCGACCGTCGACATCGACACAGGAGACACCAGCCTTTGCGCAATTTGAGCAGGCAGGGATGCCCCCATCACACTTGATTCGCTTGGTCCTGCATCGTCGACATGCAAGGCGCACCTTTTTATGTGGAGTGACTTGGCCATCTGCGGATCTCATGATGAACAGAGCTCCAGTCGCGGTGGTTGATACATGAGGAGTGATGCTGAAGGTGAAGCCCGGAGCGTTCCGACGACCGAAAGGGAAGGAGAACGATGCCAAGTCATGTGGCCTTGTCACGCGTTACTGGATTTGGACTAGTCTATTTATATCTGCCTGAGGCCTCAACTACTTGTACAACAACACCATCTCACTTCCTCAACCTCTTGATGGTAGGGCCCATCTCATCTCCGTTCTCAAGATACTCCCTAGTCTGCTCATCTATATCGTACCTGCTCTGGCATAAATCCACGCATCCCTCCACCTTGTCTACCGGCACCGCGACAACCCCATCGGCATCTCCCACAATGTAGTCGCCTGGCTGGATCACAACGGTCTCTCCACCTTCTGTGCTGGTGTACGTGACGGGTACGTTCAATTCGGATGATCGAGTGAATGTGTTCGAGCCTAGTATGCTTATGTCTCGCGCGAATAGTCCAACCCCTAACTCCTGATGCTCGGCGAGATCGCGAAATCGTCCGTCAATCACAACCCCGGCAGCTCCCAACTTCTTCGCTCTTGTACTCATCAATCCGCCCCAGCATGCGCTGACTAGTCCTTTTGGTTGCGAAACAAAGACGACACTGTCCTTCGGGATCGCATCGGCAAAGTGTTTCGGGGGACTGGGGGAGGCCTTGTCGGAATCCCGAACCATGCGTACAGTGTAGGCCGGCCCGAAAATCTTACTCTTGGTACACATAACCCCGGGCGAGAACATCTTCAGGCCCGGGAGGTAACCACCGTTCGGAACTCCAAGTCGGACGAGGGCATCGCCAATCTATCCACGAGCCCTGGAGGTCAGCAACAGATCCCGTCAAAGTCGCAAGGTCACTTACGTCGCACGAGGCGAACTTTCGTAGTGCGCGGAGAGTCTCTGTTTTGAATGCCATCGTGATATGTGTATGAAGGGATGATTAGGATGCGAGCATGGGTTAAGAAGTCTTGTATCGGAGTTGTGGATGGCCTGGCTCTCCCGCCCTGGACTGCTCCGAGCCCCCTTCTGAGGCCACCGGATTACTCCGCATACAATGTTGCGGGCAAATCGCCGCAGTCGGACAAGGCCTGCAAACCTCGGCAGTCTAGGAGCTCCTGATCTTTTCTTTCGCGATTGAATTTGCTGAATCTTTTTTCTTTCTTCCTGTGATGACCCTTGTGGCGCGATATTCCCAAAAATGCAGCGAATACTCCCAACTCTGCGGCGAGACGGAATGGCGCGCCATGTCGCCAAAACCACGCTGAGCAGACGGTTCGCAACGCACCCAGGTTCGTCAGTGGTATGTACACCTTAATGGACATTGCGGTATAATGCGCTGATTGGTCGCACCTACGTATAGCTTTTCGGCGTAGATTACGCTCGCCAGATTCGCAACCTGGAGGTCGCGAAAGGCGGTTCAGCTCGACCGCTCACGTTGACCGAAAAACTACTCTACTCACACCTGATCACATCGGAAAAGAGCACCTGGGATGTGGAGCGCATTGAAAGGGGAAAGACTATCCTGGAACTGCGGCCTGACCGTGTAGCCTGCCACGATGCTACGGCGACAATGGCTCTGTTGCAATTCATTAGCGCGGGGCTTCCGCGAGTCGCAGTTCCCACGACAGTACACAGCGACCATTTGATCATCTCGGAGAAGGGCGCTGAGGAAGATATGCGACGCGCTCTGGGAGAGCATTCGGAAGTTTACGATTTCCTCAGTAGTGCGTCGCGCAAATACGGTATTGGATTCTGGAAGCCAGGCTCGGGCATTATACATACGGTGATATTCGAGAATTATGCTACGTAAGAGCACCAAGTGCGAGACTTCCCCCCGGCAAGCGTAGCTGACCTTTATGCGTAGACCTGGAGGCCTCATTATTGGGACAGACTCTCATACCCCCAATGCTGGAGGAATGGGCATGCTAGGTATTGGGGTTGGCGGCGCAGATGCTGTGGATGCGATGTCAGGAATGCCATGGGAGTTGGTGGCTCCCAAGGTTGTTGGAGTGCGCTTGACAGGGAAAATGTCGGGGTGGACGTCAACAAAAGATATCATCTGCAAGATTGCAGGCCTATTGACAGTATCGGGTGGAAAAGGTCGAGTGATCGAGTTCTTTGGTCCAGGGACCCAGACACTGGGAGCAACGGCCATGGCGACCATTTGTAACATGTCAGCAGAGATTGGGTCGACCTCATGCATCTTCCCATACAATGATGCAATGGGCCGGTATCTGAAGGCCACTAAACGAGCACACGTTATTGAACAGGCGCAGCAAGCAAAGGATGTCCTCCTAACGGCCGATGAGGGCTCCGACAGCTACTACGACCAGGTTATCGAGATCGATCTCAGCTCGCTAGAACCCCACGTCAATGGCCCATATACACCCGACCTTGCGCATCCGATATCCAAGTTGAAGACAGCTTTCAATGGGGAACAATGGCCGGTGGAGCTGAGCCATGCAATGGTAGGCAGCTGCACGAATAGTTCGTACGAGGACCTTGACAAGACACGGCAGATTGTATCGCAGGCGCGCGCGGCAGGATTCACAAAATTCCCAACGCCTTTCATGGTCACGCCTGGCAGCGAACAGATTCGGGCTACAGCGGAGGCAGATGGAATTCTCGATGAACTTAGGGACGCCGGGGCCGTCGTTCTCAGCAGTTCATGTGGTCCCTGCGTTGGATCCTGGGATCGCAAAGATGTCGATGTGCGTGGAAAGGAAAAGAACTCTGTCGTATCCAGCTTCAATCGCAATTTTGTCGGACGCCATGATAGTAACCCTGCGACGCACTCGTTTGTGACCTCACCCGAGTTGACGACCGCGTTCGCCTATGCAGGACGACTGGATTTTAATCCCCTAACAGACAGCGTCAATGTACCCGGGGACGCGCACAAAGAGCTGCACTTCTTGCCCCCTGTCAGTCATGAGCTCCCTTCGAGTTTCGAAACTGGCAACGATACGTTCCAGGAGCCCTCCTCAGATGGTTCAAACTTGACCGTGGACATAAGCCCGCAATCTGACCGACTACAACTGCTTCAGCCATTCCACGCCTGGAAGCCTGGAAGCGCTGATGGCATGGAGTTACTCATTAAAGTGAAGGGGAAGTGCACGACGGACCACATCTCCCCTGCTGGGCCGTGGTATAAGTACCGAGGTCATCTCGAGAACATCAGTAATAACATGTTCACAACCGCTGTGAACGCGTTCCTTGGAGGAGACAATCCGAATGAGCTCGGCCATACCCGCCATCCCATAACCTCGGAACTGCAGGTCGTTCCCCAAGTAGCACGGGATTTGAAGCGCCAGGGCGTGCGATGGTGCATAGTAGGTGACCACAACTACGGCGAAGGCAGCTCGCGTGAACACGCAGCCCTTGAACCTCGTTACCTCGGAGGAGTCGCAGTCATTGCACGGTCATTTGCGCGAATCCACGAGACCAACCTTAAGAAGCAGGGCATGCTGCCGCTGACTTTTGCGGACATTGCAACATACGATCGTATTGCTGATGGTGACCGGATAACTTTGGTCGGAGTAGAAGAGGGCGAGCTGAGCCCTGGATCGCGAGTAACGATGCGGGTTGAAACCAAGCAGGGCGAGACCTGGGAAGCAGAACTGACACACAGCTACCACAGCGGGCAGATTCCATGGCTGCGGGCTGGCAGCGCCCTCAACCATATCAAAGCTACGGCTCTAGCGCAATAGACAATCACACAAGAGTCCACTAGTCGAATCTTCTCCACACCCCGTAGGCGTTACTCCAACCCGCGGAATATTGCACGTAATTCCTTTGCTATGATTTGCCCTGGTTGGGCCCGGGGTAGTCCAAGGCCCCGGAGACGCACGTCCGGAGCCTTCCGGGGTCTCTCTCCGCATTCTCTGCTCTCCAGTGCAGCAGACAATGGACAGACAGACGTTCAGCCGGCCAGCCTGACTGGAGCCAGCTGGATCGGCTTGCTGGGTACTATGGTATATTTCCCTATAAAAGACGCCGTTGACTTGGCTTTCTCTTGACACTTGTTTATGCAGAACCCTGAGCGAAGGCACCCCCTGCACTCCTCCATTCAACTCAAGACCTTTCACAATGCCGGCAGCAGGTGGTGGAATTGACCGCAATGCCCTACAGAAAGTCCCCAAGGCTGCCTGCGGGCCGTACATATGGCTGGCAGCCATCTGGGCGTCTTACTGTGGCGGTCTTCATGGCTTCAACACCGCCAACATCTCCGGCGCCATGGGCCTAGATCCGTTTGTTCGGGACTTTGGTTGGACAAATCTGTCGGAGGAGCAAGTCTCAAACAACTCAGGCTGGGCAGTCTCGTCCATGTTACTTGTAAGTGACCATCGACCTCTATTGCTGCTTGACTCTCCTGACCCGATATCTCTGTCTAGGGCCAGACTGCCGGTGTTATCTTGTCAGGTCCTCTCCTTGAACGTCGAGGCCGCAAGCCAGTTATCCTTGCCAGTGCCATCTTCTACACCATCGGAGCTCTCCTGATGTGTGCCAATGTTGGTTCGTTTGCCGAGTTGCTCGTCGGCCGCGTGCTCTCAGGGCTGGGATCTGGATGTGGCATGACTGCTGGTCCAGTTTACATCTCTGAAGTAGCGCCACGAGAGCTGCGAGGAATGATGACAACCTTTTACAATATTAATATTATGGGTGGCGTCGCCGGTAGTTACTGGATAAACTACGCCTCGCTTCAAGTGATCCCGTCTAGCTCCAGCTGGCAGTGGCGAACCACCCTGGTGCTTCAGCTGATTCCTTCGATTGCGATTTTCGTCGGATTCCTGTTCTTTCCAGAGAGTCCTCGGTATTTGCTGATGCGTGGTAGTGTCGACGCTGCTCGACACAGCTTGTGCAAGCTTCGTGGTGGCTTGGATGAAAGTGATCCATACCTGGCCCAAGAATACAGAGAGCTACAGAGCATGGCAGAGACCGGGTCTGAGAGCAAGCGTGGCCTGGATGCCCTCAAGTCGCTTTTTAAGGAGTGTACCCAAGACTCCACAGCTCGCCATCTTCTCGTCTTCGTGGTGCTCATCCAGACGTTCTTCATCATGTCTGGAGGAAACTCGATTACCTACTACGCACCGACTATCCTATCATCCATGGGACTTGATTCCAACCAAGTTCTCCTATTCACCGCTGTTTATGGATTGATCAAGGTTGTCTCTGTCATTCTCTACGCATTCTTCCTCACCGATCGATACGGCCGTCGACCGCTGCTACTGATAGGCTCAGCTATGAACGTCGCGTGTCTGGTATATCTTGCAGCCTTCCTCGGCACTGCGAACATTTCCGACACAGGCTCGCCATCAGCAGCAGCCTGGGTTGCCATTGTGGCGATCTGCCTGTTCGCCATCGGTTACGGCTTTGGATGGGCACCAGCATTCTCCCTGACAGCATCAGAAATCTGCCCGACTCATTTGCGAGGCCCCATAGTGTCTATTGCCTTCACGTACCAAAATCTGCTGAACTTTGGGATCTCGCGTGGGTTTCCAAACATGACCCAGGATATGCATGCATGGGGTCCCTTTGCTCTATTCGCGGCGTTCACCGGGTGCGCAACGGTCTGGGTATATTTCGCTTTCCCTGAATGTAAGGGCAGGAGCATGGAGAGCGTCGGCGAGATCTTCACGCTGCCATGGTATCGCACAGGGTTCTCCAAAGTGGTGCCCCGGGAAACATCGGAGGACTGCGACCTGGAGAAGAACGGAATCGGCAGTGTGCACCAGGAGACCACCAAGAGCACTTAGAAATAGCTTACTAGTTACTAGATTGGGTAGCAATAGCAACTGTGGATATAGCTAAGCCTTACTACTATGGAACAAGCGTCGCTGTGGACCCGATCGGCCTCGCATAAGCTTATGCGTAACAATGCCAACAATTCTGCCTTCCTCACTCCTTTCTCTTTTCTTTACTTTCAAACCATTAACAGAAGCAACATGGCGACTCAACGTCCTCTGCGAAGCTGTATTCTCTGTCGCCAGCGCAAGGTCAAATGCGACCGACAGCAACCCTGCGCCAACTGCGTGCGATCCGAATCGCAATGCGTATACCCAGCAGGCGTTGGGCGCGCTCCAAAACGACCTCGCAAGGCCGTCGAAGCGCGGCTTCTGGCCCAGTTGACCCGGCTGGAGAGTGCCGTCAAGCGCATGGAAGGGCAATCAGTCGAGACCAGTTCCAGCACCCGAGTCGAAGGTGAAACCGACGATCGCAAACCGGAGGTCGAGCAGCAATTCGGCCGGCTGGTTATCGACAACAACCAGAGCTGCTACGTGAGCAGTGCGCCGTGGACGCAGCTGGGAGATGAGATCGAGGAGATGCGCGATTTGCTGCATCAGCCTGCCTCCGACGACGAGGAAGAGCAGTCCGTTTCGGCATTCGAAGGGCCTAGTCCTGGGCCCGGTATGAATGGAGCCATCATGGGCTTTCGCGCGCTGGCGCATTCCCTGCATGTATATCACCCTTCTCTGTCGCATGCAGTCGCCTTGTTCGATATATTCAAGGCAAATGTGGCACCCCTTGTGCGCGTCTTCCATATGCCCACGCTGGAGAGGCTCTTCTGGGATGCAGTGGCCTCCATGGAGAGCATCGAGAAGAACATGGAAGCCCTACTCTTCTCTATCTACTACTCGGCCCTGATCAGTCTGGACTCGGAACAATGCTTGAGCACGCTTGGAATATCCAGATCCGCTGCTCTCGAGAAATATCGCTTCGCCGTCGAGCAGGCCCTGGCTCGCGCGAATCTACTCAACACGCAGAACCTCCTCCTCCTACAGGCAACGGTCCTGTTCCTCACAGCTGTGCGCAACGAAGACGACTCACGCACGGTATGGTCGCTCACTGCCCTCGTCTACCACATCGCACAAGCCATGGGCCTCCATCGCGACGGCGAAGCCTTCGGGCTAAGACCTCTAGAGACCGAACTACGACGCCGGCTCTGGTGGCACATCTGTCTCCTCGACAACCGCTCAACAGACTATCATGGCAGCGAGCCCATCGTGCACGAATCCGTCTTCGACACGAGAATGCCCCTCAACATCAACGACTGCGATATAACTGCCGAAATGACCCAACCACCGCCAGAGCACGAGGGTGCAACGGAAATGACCCTCTCCCTTATCCGCTGCACTTCTATGCAAGTCGTCTGGAAGGTCGGGTACATGGCACCTCGCGAGAACTACAGCTCAAAAACCGACCAGCAAGACTCAGCGGATCGAATTGCCCTAGCAGAAGACCTAGAGCGTCGTCTCCACGACCAATTCCTGAAGTACTGCGACCCAAGCATCCCACTGCTGCGGGTCGCCTCAACGGTAGCCCGAATCATAACACGGCGCATGTGGATGGGAATCCTCTCCCCGCTCGCCCGGAAGGACAGAATCATCCGGGACCGTCTATTCCAGGACTCGATCCAAGTGCTGGAACTCTCGACCGCGCTGCTAACAGAAGAAGACGTGAGCCGGTGGGCGTGGCACTCCCGGACACATATCCAGTGGTACTCGGTAGCCTTCCTCCTCGCTGAACTCTGCTGGAGGGCCCCGTCCGCGGAATGTGATCATGCCTGGGAATGCGTTACGGCTGTGTACGACCGGTGGGCTTCAATGGACTTGGACAAGAAGGTGACTCTCTGGCGTCCTATCCGGCGATTGATGGCGCGGGCTCGGTATGTGCGTGAGATACGGAATGTCACGCATCCTGCTGGAGTGGTGCATCACTGGAGATCTGCTGGTGGCTCGCAATCGCAGTCACAATCACAATCCAAATCACCATCGGCAGAGAATATTAGCCCACGGACTGGGCTGATGTCCCAGCCTTTACCGGGATCCCGGGGAGACATGGCATTGACGCCGAGTCAGGACCCCCTGATGGAGATGTTACCCTCAAGGAACGATGGGCTTTTCGATCCCTCGGCCACGGGCCTTTTTGGCTTACTGTCCGAGACGAATGCGTTTCCTTGGGGACCGGGGTATATCGCTGATATAAATGGTTTACCTGATCCAGGGCAGTCGCCTTGGTCGACGGGGTGATCTTGAGAAGATCGGCTTGATCTCATAAGTTAAGGCTTTTTAATAAATTATTAGAGAGCTACGTAGGGTTAATATGTAATATTTTTATATCGACACTCGCCCCGGTGCTCCTGGGGACCAGTATTGTCCCATCTTTTACATTCCGTGATGAATAGCGGTGTATACCTTTGTTATTTGATGATTTGGAATATATACTCCCTGACCATACATGTAGTTCGAGATCTAGAAATGTCAGGGCAGTAAACGACGAGGGTTCAGGTTGTTGGTGGGCGGTGCCGAAAGCAGGATGTCCAACCAACAAAGACTATATTGACTGTATCAAATCAATTCAGCTATCAGACTTGACAACTGCCCAAATATCAGGTTCAACACGGACAGCCGGTGCCACCAGCTTCGAGACCTCAAGCACAGTTGGACTCGGGGGAGGCTGACCCATAACAGCGTAGGCTGCTTGTTGGATCTCTGGCCACTCCCGAAGATCCATAACATACCATGTTGTCTTGAAGACATTGTCCCAGTCAGATCCTGCGGCCGCGAGGATATGTTCGAGGTTCCTCAGCGCGACGACCGTTTGCTCAGCCGCAGAGGCTTCGGGCCTGTGCTTATACGTATCCCGCGCCTTGCCGCCGACAAAAACAGGAATCGCCGGCTGCCCTGAAATTGCAACTATCCGCTTATCGAAGGTCACTCGGGAAATGTCAGACGTGCCCTCAGTCACCGACGGCAATTCAAATGTGGCCTCCACATTGATGCAAGAGCCTTCTTCAAGAACCTTGGGGGCAGAAATAGGCACGACAACAGGAGGGCGAGTCGGGTATCGCGATCTAACAACGTCCTGGCAGATAGGCCACACTCGCATGTCGGATAGGTATACCTCCAGCTTGACAACACGGCCCGAACCACCTACTGCAGATACGCGATTGGTGATAGCATCGATCGCGGCGTTGAACTCCGCCGCCGCGCCCTTTCCGGCAGCAAGGCCGGCACTCGCATTGGCAAAGCCCAGAAAACCGGGGGATTTCGAACGACGCTCATGAGAGTCGGGAACTGCCGCCCACACGTCGAGTTCAACGCGGAATCCAAATTCGGAACAGACAGGAACCTCAATCAGCGTGCTGGTCGGGAGATCGGATCCGAAATGTTGGTCGAACTCCGGCTGGCTGGACCATATTTCACGCACGTCTGTCATGAAGCGGACGAGTTTGACAGCTCTTGCGCTAGGTCCATGCTCAGACAGAGCATCAGAGAGGTTTAGCAAGCAGTCGCGCGTTTGATCGGCTATTGAAGAGCGGACGGTGCCATCTCGCTTGGGCGATATGAGGCCGAGGGGTTTTATACGGGTCCCTGGCTGGAGGACGAAGGCAGGAGTGTAGGCGAAGCCTTCGGGGGTGTTGGCGGGGAAGATCGGATCCATGGTGTTAACTTGTGCGGCGATACATCGGTATTGGAGCTGAGGAGATGTGAAGGTGGTGAAGGTGGTGAAGATTGGACAAGTTCGCTAGGATGACTTCATGGGCCTCGGCGATGACGGCTTACTAAGCCATATCCACTTTGGCGTCATTGTAGATAGAGATGCCAGAAAGTTTAATACTTGCTAAGGGAGTAATGAGATTTCGATTATATATCATTACAAGTTTATTGTTGTAATTAGACACGGTGCTAGTATGTCATGGTAGGGTGAATGCTACGAATTATATGGAGAATTGTCGCGCATAATATAAACCTCACCAACAAGCACCGCACACCCAACAGCCATAGAGATAGCAATGATAGGCAAGTTAACCATGGCAAAATCCAAACTGCGAACATGGATATGCTTGCGCGCGAGGATATCGCGCCATAACAGACCAGCCAGCGAGGCACTGAAAGCCGTGCTGAACGCCCCGTAGTTGACCCCGAGAGCCATGCTGTAGACCGTGGCCCAGAATGTTCGGTCGCTGATGGGAATGCCATTTGCCTCGTGGATGGATTGCCATGTCTGGACCACTCGTGAAAGAAGGATGGTTGTGCCGATATTGGTGCCGGCGAACTATACAGTTAGCGGGGATAGCTCCAATGACTAAAGAGGGTGCTTACATTGCACAGTATCACAGAGAGAAAGCCCATTCCGCCTATGGCCCCAATAGTGCCAGTTCGGTTGACCCAATGGTCCCATCCGTATGCAAATACCTCAATCCATCCCTTAGTGGCCAGTGCCTGCACGAGGATAAACATGGCAAAGGCGAATGGGACTAGCGCAAAAGGCATATGTGAAACTACAGCCGTAACAGTTGGAAATGTCTCCTGCAGCCAGCGGTAGGTACTAATCGCGAGGGACTCCAGTGTCTTGCTTTTATCATGCTCGGTTATATTCGACAAGGGTGGCTGCATTTCCTTTGCCTTGGCAGGACTGACTGGGTTTGGCAGAAGAGAATTGACGTTTGCGAGGCCCAACCCTTGCTTTTCATCCAGCGCACTGATAACATTAGGAGATGCCTGAGCTGATGCAGTAGACGGGGGAATGGATGCTTCACAGTCCATCGGGTCAAGCACCACTGCTGAAGGAACTCTCAACGCTCCTGTAGACTGAGGATCAGAACTGTCACTGGTCATCTCTTCACCGTGAAAAATTCCTTGCGCCCGCATACGTTCCACGTCCTCTCGGCCTTTCCGTGCGATGTTGCGGGTCTCATGGCGGTGATGCCACCCATACGCGATATCCCAGCAAAAGAGCACAAACGCAGCCGGCAGAGTGACCCAGAAGACAGGATGAGTACGGCCTTGACTTGCTGCATTTAAAGCCAGTACAGTAATGAGTGTCGCAGCCATGATGACGGCACCAAAGGCCGCCCCTCTCTTGTCAAGGAAAGGGTTAAGGATCTCCTCGAGGGACAGCAGTTTATCTTCCTGGCCGGTCGCCGCCGCCTCCTTTTCCTGCTCCTCCGCGTTTCCACGCGCATTTGGGATATTAGGGTTAACTGGCTTTTTGGATCTGACGTCCTCTGGAAGTTCGTGCATTTCGATTGATAACGGGACAAGCGACTCGTCGGCGAAGATGATGTACAGTAAAAACGGAAACAGCACGATCGCCGTGATAACAACGGGAACGATCATGTTCGCCGTGTAATCAATGAACTTGATCTGGAACGCACTCGTCAGAACAAGGTTAGTTGGGTTCGAAGTGACCAAGATGGCCGATGCGATGTTGGCGACGGCGAACTGGGTGTATATCCACGCTCGAGGATGCACGATATTGCTGGACACCCGGGTCATGTAGGCCAGGAACGCGGTGCCAGACAGAATAATAGGATCATTACCGATGAAACTGCCCAGGATGAAGAAAAATGCATAAAGATAGAAGAACAGGCGATGTCCGACCTTGCCGCCCTTTTGCAGCACCTTGAAGGCTAGGTAGCGGATGAGGCCGGACGCATCAATGGAGATGGCGATATATGCAAGGGAGAAAAAGAAGACCATAATATCAATGGGCGAGATATTGTCAGCCTCGATGGTCCCATCATGCACCTCCTTGCGTCCAATCGCCAGAATGGCCAGAAGGAAGAGATCTGCAATTAAGGGCGCCGTGACGAAGTTGAAGGGGAAGTTGAGGCGCACAAATCGGCCATCATGGTGGCCATATTGACGGGGTTCAATCACTCGCAGTGAACTCAGGCCACGTAGTATCGCATTTGCAAAAGAGCGAGGAATGTAAATCGGGACGTGGAAGGGGAAGAGAACGACAATATCTGTGGTGGTTAGACATGCAGAGAGCAGACGGCAAGGGCCTTACTGGCGAGCACAAAGACAATCAGGGTGATGATCGATCGCCAGTCTTTGATGCGATTTGTGTCAAGTTCGTCCGCCATCTCAATATAATTTGGCTGCGCAAAATGTCATCAAGTCGTATAAAAATAAGATGAAAATATCAACAGCCCCGCGTTCCCCGCTTGTGCTCCCACTGTGACACTGTACCACTTGCAGCAACCACTGTTGAATGAGTTCCTTTAATTCTCCGAGATGAATATCACGACTCTCGGAGTTTAATTCTCAACGCAGTTCCAAAGCCGACGTCCTGGTGGTGATCCATGGAGCGATAATGGTCGAATTCTGTGTCTCGTGGTTGTCGGTGGCGGGACCGGAGATGCCAATCCTCTTATGCAGACCGCAGCCTCGCAAACCTCACCGCTATAATAAATCGGTCGATATATTAGTGCGTCATTGGAATGCTTCTAATTTTCAGCACTATCAGGCCTCCATGTTGGGTTCGTCTGGTTCGCTTGTTGGTAGCAGGATGGGATGGGCCAGCCGGGCACAGGGCTGCACCGCCTCAATCGGGCACCTGCAACGTTCAGGATCTAAGACAATTTCAGTTAGTTAACTCGCAATTAGAATGCCAGTAATTGGCCGGCCGTTTGCTCCCGCGCTTGGACCCTTTTCTCCTGTCGAAATGCCTCAGCGCGAGGGTTCCCTGTCTTTGCCCCATGCCGTCGACAGCGTCATCCTCAGCAGCGAAATCGAGATAATATGATTCAAACTCTCCCTCGAACAGGAAGTCACGCGAGTAGCGGCCGCGCCTCAAAGTCAAAATGTTTACTTTTTCGGTCTAAGAGCGATCCTTTCACCGTGCCCGCCGAGTCGGAGACGATCCTGCGGCTCTTCACAGGCATGATGACCCCCTAGCGGACCCTTTTCTCTTGCCCGGGCTTGTCGAGGGTTTCTGTTGGCTGCCCTACTTCAGCGCGGTATATATACTTCTTTACGGGTCCAGACTTTCCCCAGACCAAGTTCTCGCCTCTCATCCAGACCCATGCAAGCCCCATCTGCTCTCACGTCTCTACGCCCATGGCAGGCGGATGATGAACGATGCCTCCTCTTGTTGTTCCCTCACATCTCCAAGTCCCCAGAGATGTTCCTTCTCCCGGTAATGCCACGGACATCGGCCTCGAAGTCGTCTGTGCGTGGCCAGTATCTGGCCAGTACGGGCCTGGTACAAGAGTCCTGTATGTCTCGTAACTGTTTCTTATTTGGCAGTCACTGACATTTTTCTCGAGATACTACGTCCTTATCGCTGCCTGCGTATTCGCAAGAAAAGAAGAGTGGCTGAGAAATGCCTGCCTAGCCGGTGCTCTGCTCTTCCCGGCAATCGCGGCCGTACATGGGATCGTCCTCGCCGCAATACATGTTGATGGTGCGATTGATATGGATGTATACGGGGCCTTCCAGCTGTGCTCGATTGGAATCCTGACTGCTCCCCTTACTGCAAGGATGTCTGGCACATACTTCAAGGACCCGCGTCGGAATATCATCTTTCTGTGGACTGGCCTTGTTCTTGCTGGTGAGTTGAAGAAACATTAATATTGCGACACGTCTGACTGAAATTCTAGGACTGCTGAGTATCACCGTCGAGCTCTTTCGGGTTGAGACGTCGATGTGCACTCATGACAACGCAGGGAACCCACTATCCAGCGATGTATCCCAGTTCCCCTACGAGGGTGCTAACTGCAGCCTGCGCTGTTCCACCGAGGAAGGTCCCTTCTCGCCCATACGACTCGGAGCAACGAATGAAATATTCGTGATTCCCGCACCAAAGAAGCTCACGTTCGGCGCCACAACACTACTGGCTGCCGCCTGCTGTATCCCAGCCATAATATCCATCTTATACTTCTGGTCCTTGATCCTTCAAGAGACCTGGAAAAATCACGTCAATGTCGAGACCGAGTCAGATCCACGGGATGAGCCCATTACGGGTACCAACGGGGCCACTGTGGGAAAGATGCTGCAAATCAACGGCCTGGTACGGACGGTTCTGAGCACAGTGGAAGCCCCAGTATTCGCAGCAGCAGTGCTAGCCATTCTGATCCTGGGAGAAAAGAACTTTTTCAGTAAGCCGGTAGACCATGGAACCGAGCCCATAGCCAGCATCGGCCAGTGGGCGCCGATTGTAGGCGCAGGCTTCGCAATATTCGGTTCATTGTATCTGTTTCTTACCGCCGACGATCGAGAGCAAAGCTCTGCTTGTAAATGCACCTGCCATAATGTGGACGGTGTAAAACGACAGTCCACCCCGGTCGACAACGAATCGAGATCAATCGCGACGACCACAACGACCCCCGGGCCTGCCCATACCCACCCAGCGCGACGTGAAACCCCTGATATTGGCAACCGCCGTGGGATCAACCGAGCCCTGATGCGCTTCGCAACGACCCTCAGCATCGCCGCCCACGACCGTCTCACGGACTACGACTTCCAGATAGGCCGTGCACAAGACTTCCCTGAGATACCGGCCGAGGCGCAGAGGAACCGAACACTACAGCAAATCCGTGAACAATATAACCCCAGGCGAGACTCCAATGGTAACCTCACTCTCTCGCGTGTCGGTTCAACCATCAGTATAGCTTCATGGAGGGACGGGGAGCGCAGCTCCACAACGTCGCAACCGCGGTCTTCCAGGGCGTCCACGCGTTCGCGGTCCCCCTCTCCATTCCCAGCGTCGTCTCGACAAGAGGAAGGACCTGCTTCAGTGGATTGTCAAGATCTTCGTCCACCCCGACGGCGCCGTGATACCTTGGAAGTCCCTAATCAGCATGGCTCTACAAGGCGCAGCCCCTCAGCATCGTCGGTTTCTACAGCCGGAATTGCGATACCTGGAGGGCAGGGATCACCAGCGATAGTAATATCAACCGGGGATGAAGTATCGAGTTCTCCGTTTGATTCGTCAGAGTCTGAACCCTCGGAGTCACTGCGAGGGAGTAGATATGGACGGCGGTTCACATCCTAGAAGCTAAATATGAATATAGCCCAGAGAACCACACCTGAAGCAGATTTCGACCCCTTGCAACCTCCAGTTGGAGCCATCGTGTTGCTTGAAAGCTACATCTCTCTTTGTCCAGCATAAGTGTATAAAATGTATACCAGATTAATTTTTTATAGCAGTGTATTGTAATACTCAAGCCGCTCTTGAGACCAATTGAATCAGGTTTATGGAAACTAATTATGTCCCAGACCCCGAAGATTTCCACTGTAAGTCAGGGAGGAGGGTCACGGAATCCTAGCTGCTGGTGCCTTTCCTGATTATGGGTTGTCACCTTTTGATAATAGAAATTATTATATGTATTTGTGAAACTGTCCATGCTGTGGGGAGTTAACAGCCCGGATTCACAAACTAGTCCCGCGATATTCATGGCTGTATAGACAACCTGAGTAAATCTTGTCTTGTTTGTTATACTTACCCATAAGAAAGCCGCGCGCCGCTCAGACTTTTGCACTTGGGCTGATTCAAGCAACTCCTACATCTGCCATGAATCTTTACTAATCATGGTTAAACACAATCCTTATTAATTTGATCCTAGCGAGGTCTGAAACCGCCTAATAAAGAGCGGCTGGGCTATATACAGAGTAATGCCGAAATCGTCCATTAAAGCAGACACAATCCGCGGGCAAACCCTAGAACCCAAGAGAGTTACAACCAAATTATGCTAAGTCTTTAGCAGCTGTCGGTGTGGCCGTCGCCTCCGTTCTTGCACTGGTATCCGCACTTCTGGATGACCTTGATTTCGCCGTTGGAGCCTCCCAGGCACTCGAACAGGGCGTTGTCTCTGGTCACGCCAGGGAAGTCGTCCTCGGCGTCTGCAACCGCGTTCCGGATCTGGGTGTCATAGTTGCCTGATTATCAACTCAGTAACTAGCTTTATCATTACTTAATGATATAATTTGGCTCACTAACCTCTGCTGAGAAGGGCCGAGGAACAGTAGTTGAACTGGGTTTGGCAGTTCTTTGCCGCACCAAGAGAGGCAAAGGCAGCCACGGAGGCAATGGAGAGGATGCTAAGCTTAACCATTTTGTCGGTGGAAGATGGGATTGAAGAGAGTTGGGTTGGAGTTGTTCAGTGATTCAGATGATGAGAAGATGATTGTGAGTAGACATTGAGGGGAGGAGGAAGCGCTCTTTATAGCCCTCGTTCCAGCCAAGGCCTGTATATTTACCACGTAGTAGATCTCCGGACAATGAACTTTCTCAGAGATCAGCGCATCCTGAAAGGTCCCCCCAAATACTGGCTTACGGGAAAGGACGAATAATATCCCCGGATATCAAGGGATCGCTGTCTCGTTGCAGCGTTGAAGCTATGGCCTGGGTTCCGTAGAAGTGATGAGATAGGTACTTTCCTTGAATTACCTACGCTAACCCTGCTCCTTGTTCCTACATCACCCTTTGCCATACAAAGTCTAACTAATATAACAGGAAGACAAAACCAAGAGCGCAAAATAGGTGTGAACCACCAGTCTGTTTTGCCCTTGCAGATCAGCAAGAGTTGGCTATGAAATTAAACCCTTTACTGACCCACTTAAGCACTCAGTTCTACAGAAAAGGCTGCAGGGAGCTGCATCCAAGTGGAGGTGAACATTGCTCAAGAAGAACCTGATAAGCGAATCTGGCTGCACCGATCCGCTCCACAAAGCACTCTTACCTAGTGCTTCGTGGCTTGCGAGGTGGAGGTCAATGGCTTCCTTCAGCCCCCAAATACCTACGCGTCGCGGAGTGTAATCCATCCGACTATTTTTCCACCGCCATCGGGGCTTGCGGACCATCTCGGGGCTGGGACAAGCAACATGAGGCCTTATGAACGTGCAAAAGGAATTCATTAGGCTAAGAGGGTACGTAGTTTGCAGTGTGTTTTTGCCCGATTATTATCCACACCGGGAGAAAGAGCCCGCGCACGACCTATCGGAAGACACTTCCAACCCAGGCCAACAGTCCTTATGGGTGGTTCCATCCCGCTTTCCTGACGAGTGTCGTCAGGGACTACGGTGTAAACCAGAGGAGGCGTCAGCGCTAAGCTTAGGCTCAGGGCTGGACTCTCACCGCATGGTTTAACATTACGACGACGACGATGGAGAGTATTTTTACGGCCAACTAGAACGAGGCCCAGACCCATACCTCCTTGTGGAAAGCATCCCATATTGAATAGTAGCCTTGTTCCGATGTTCTAGCACCGCCCCATAGATACATGTGAGAAGAATATTGTTTGTACTTTGGAATCATATCCAAATGAAAAGGAGTAACGCATAAAGCCGTCGGCGTTACCAGGCCTAGGACGGTAGATGCGTCGAGTCCGCTTTTCCCTGCCACTGCACTCGCTGGATTGCCTATGCCTCTACACCAACTAACCATCAGAGCTTGCTTGCTCAACCATTACAGTAGATGGCTCCAGTTTTCTTAACCAAAGCGTCCGCTCATGCTCACAGAGATATCGATCACTAGAGAAATTCTTGTAGATATTCTTATAATCTAAAGTCCTAACCTGGGGCGCTTTCTATCGAAATGGTAAAAATTACCATTCGACCAAAAAGGCCACTAGTGGTTATCTGACCGTCTTTCTAATTGCATTATATGCTGACACTCTCTTAGTCTTGTTATATATCTACTGCGAGAGCTGCTGGACTCCTACTAGAGACAGCCGCAGTGGTAATGTTAGTAGTATATGCCTGTTATTATCTTCTGTAAAGGCAGCCTATTACTCTAGTAATAATAGGGTGCAGGTTTAGGCTCCTGTGAGAAAAATATGATTATTAGGCACCATAATCTTGCTGAACCTTTGCCCTCAGGCTTGGTCGGTCACCCCACAGAAGGAGAGGCTTGCGGAAATATTTCCCGGAATTTGGTAGATTACAGCGCCTGAGAAATCAAGCGATGAGGAGAGTCGACCATGCCGGGGCACATACAGGACCTGTACCCAGATAGAAACTGATTCCAGTGTTTCTCGGAACCACCTCGCCACTGCTCGGTTTGGAATTCCCGGGGTTTTATGAAGAGGGTTGGGTCTCTATTATTCATTGAATTAGTCGTCAGGTTTAGGGAAGAAAGACGAGGATGTGGGAGAATGTAGTGTAACAGTAAGGAGATATAGAAGCAGAGTACTTTCTTAACCAGGGCTAGGATATAGTTCATATCTTTTATTTCGATACCTCAAATTAACCAATGTAGCCCGCCCGCTAGCAGTCGGGCCCTCCCGCTCTCGCTGGTTCCTAGAGGGCGGGCCGTACCTCTGCAAAATTAGTTCATTATGGCGAATAATTAGTATACCGCGTACACCAGGGTGCTGCCTGGTTCGCCTCGCTTTTTTCAAGGGCAATATTTCCACCCAATACTCTTCTCCTTCCTTCATCAACAGTGGTCATGGACGTAAATTCCGATTCCACAGCCAGCTTGTCGGCTACGCTGACCCCTATAGTCGTGGCGGCTAGAGAAAATGAGGTTAAAGGTCGCGAGATCTTCCAGAAGACAACAGACGAGTTTACGCTGCCCAGGGTCAACGAGGTCATGTCTGAAATCAACGCCGACCAGCCTAGCGGAGGTACCGACATGGCATATGGAAAGGCAGATCCCCAGATTCTTCGCTTTGGAAGGCCAATCCAGTCAAATCACCCAAATCGTCCAAAGCTCCGATTATCATCTTCGTTCACGGGGGAAGCTTGAGCTCAGGGACTTATTTAGACTCTATTGGGTCCGCCAAAGTTGGCTATTTCATTGACAAAGGTTATACTTTCGCTACGGTCAACTATACGCTCATCCCTTCTGTAACGGTGGAAGAGCAGGTACAAGACGTGGCCAACTCGATCAGCCATCTAGTAGGAAACGAGACTAGACTCGACATTGATTCTGAAAGACTTATATTAATGGGGCACAGTTCCGGCGCCCACGTTGTCACTCTGTTAGGAACTGATTCGAGCTACCTGGAGCGAGCGGGAACCAGTATTTCTATTATACAAGCCGTCATCACCCTGGACGGCTCCAACTACAATGCAGCGGCTGAGCTTCTCGATAATCCGGGCCCGATTGTGGAGAACATGATATATAGGTTCGGTACCGATCTGAAGCGACTAACTGCCATGTCACCTACTTATCATGCCCACGCGCCCAATGCCCGCGCGTTCCTGCTTCTCCACGCTCATCGACATGGGGACATCCGTCAGACAGTTGAACTATCCGTGGCGCTAAACGCTGCAGGTACTGATGTTAGGTTTCATGTGTTTGAGGGACAGGGTTTCGAGGGCCAGGTGCTTGACGGGGGAGCAAACGTCAATGTTAGATCGGACAATGGACGAACACTTGCCGTGAGACATGGTCATGGAGAACTGGTAGCCTTGCTCGTCTAGCACGGGGCAGAAATAAATGACGAGTGTAGGGAGATAATGGATCTGTGTGTGGAAGATATGCCTCGAGCTTGTCATATAGCCTCCCCAAGGAGCGAAGCGGAGCCCATCACTCGCAGAAGACCCCTTGAATTCCAGACTGCCTAAGTGTATCCATGGCCCCATGTCATAGCAGACTCGGTGACCTCCCCACTATCAGGACTGCCCTGAGAATGAGCTAGAGGTCTTGTCTTTCATACTTTCTTTGTGTCGGGGCTTTTGTTGTATGAGTGGCCAGAACTGTCGGGATTCACTTCCCCGCACGCACTACAATCCACCCGCCTCCACTTCTCCAGGTTTGATATAGGACCCGATTACTCCACAAGTTGCTCTTGTTGCTTTGTCCTTGCTGTTCCCGTCGGTCTTTTGCCAAAGTGAGGCTACTCAATTAACCGTGCAGCGGATCGAACCATGTTTCCACTCAATTCTGCCATATATAACCCTGGAGTCGACTCTACTCTGAGCCCACTGGGGACTTCGCAGAGGCCACCTCGAGCTTCACTTTCCAAGCGAAATCCCAGGACATATTCGGCCGGACACCAGCCCAAACATGACAACCCAACGTGTTGTCCCATCCGACCGCGAGGTCGCTGAGCTGCAGAGGGCAGAAGGGCAAACAACGGATCTCATCCGACAGGCCCAAGAAAGCGATGAGACCGACCGAAAGTTAACAATCCGGCAGGCCGTGAGCAAATACAAAAAGGCCGTTTTCTGGGCCATGTTTCTTTCGACTAGCCTAGTCATGGAGGGTTATGATCTTGTTATTGTGAGAGTTGACCCCTTACTGTTTGAAGCAAGCTAGTGCTGACTCGCAGTAGATAACATCCTTTTATGGGCAAAGCCAGTTCCAAGAGCGATTCGGTGTATACGACCCCGCCTCAGACAAGAAATTGATTCCAGCTGCGTGGCAGTCTGGTCTTTCAAACTCAGCCCTCGTTGGCCAGCTTGCAGGCCTCATCGTTAACGCAACCTGCCAGGACCGGTTTGGGTGCCGGCCTACTATGATGTTCTTCATGGGATGGATGGCAGTGGCAATATTCATTCCTGTTTTCGCTCCATCGCTTCAAGTTCTGGCCTTTGGAGAGGCGTTTTGCGGTATATCCTGGGGTGTATTTCAGGTATGTCGCCAGAATTCGGGCTGGGTTTCCGACTAATAGTCCATAGACACTATCGACTACGTATGCTTCCGAGGTCGTGCCTACTATTCTCAGACCATACGTCACAGCATATGTTTGTATGTGCTGGGGTGGTGGAATCCTTCTCTCATCCGGGGTTGTCCGCGCCGTGGCTGGGCTAGAGGGTGACATGGGCTGGCGACTTCCATTTATTCTGCAATGGGTCTGGCCCATTCCTCTATTTATCGGCGCATATTTTGCGCCAGAGTCTCCATGGAACTCCGTTCGTAGGGATAAACCCCACGAAGCAAGGCGGAGCCTAATGCGTCTGTATCAAAACATGCCGGACAGCGAAGAACGAGCTGAACAGACCCTGGCGTATATCAAGTACACGACAGAGATGGAAAGGTCCGAAACGGCCAATGCAAGCTTCCTCGAGTGCTTCAAGGGAACTAATTTGCGGAGGACAGAGATCGTGAGATAACTCATCACTTCGTCTATAACCAAGCAAAAAGTAATTTGATTTTCCAGAATTGCGTCGTCTGGGCCGCCCAGATACTCTGTGGGAATGCCATTCTCGGATACTCGGTGGTGTTTCTCCAAGCCGCGGGTTTCAGCGAGCTGCAAGCGTTCAACATCAACATTTCATTATCGGCCTGCTATATCGTTGGTGGGATCATTTGCTGGTTCCTCTTCCCACATGTTGGGAGAGCGACGATCTACATAAGCGGCTTGACCTTCATGTTCTTTTGCCTTGTCACCATCGGAGGTCTCTCCTGGGGTCCCGGGAAGGATGCCCAGCTCGCGATTGGAATCATATTGGTGATATCCACACTATGCAATATGATTGCAATCGGACCGACATGCTACCCCATTGTGGCGGAAACACCATCTGGGCGCCTGAGGTATAAGACAATCACTATTGGGCGGTTCGTCTACAATCTGACCAGCATCTTCTCCAACTCTGTCACGCCTCGTATGCTTTCACCAACATGTAAGTCGACCCTGGTATTTTCCCTGGCCAAGGCAGGTCTGACCGTGAACAGCGTGGAATTGGGGAGCCAAAGCGGCCTTCTTCTACGCGGGCACCAATTTACTCTGCAACATATGGTGCTGGTTCCGATTGCCAGAAACTAAGGACCGGACCTTTGGAGAAATCGACTTGCTCTTCACTCATCGTGTACCAGCGAGGAAATTCAAGTCCACTCATGTTGACCGTATGTTATACCCATCCGTTCTTTGGCAGACACTGACTAGTCCACAGAATTCGCGCATGGTGGGGACTACTTATCCAAGGAGGAATTGGAGCATCGGGAGAATGTGGAGTGAGCCGGCAGGCTTTTATGATTCGGTATATTGGTAGTGATCGTAATAGCGCAAAGAACTGTGCAGATAGGTAGTTGATAGCAATTTATTTTTTTTTTTTTCAAGAAATTGCGTTCGTGCATGGGAGTTTTGATTAACCGATAAATAAACCGGCCGTATTGGGCACTGACAATGCCCTCAACATTAACCTATAGAGAAAGGCAGTACTAGTCTCCCTGTCCCTGGTAGCGCACAGTAACGTATTCCGCAGATGTTCAAGGTGGTCAATGCAGGACCAATTCCGCCACAGCAACCAATCAGATCAGGATAGCCCCGACACTCTCTGGTTGATGCGGGGAAAGAATATCATCCGGTACGGAACGACCCCGGGTGCGAAGCCATTATCTATGCAGCTGACGGCTAAATATCCCATGGGGCTTTGTCTACAGGCAGCTTGTGGATTCAGGAGAGCGCGGGCCCCACTGCGGTTAGTTTACTGAGAAATGGCAGACCTTAGCACAAGGACGACGTCGACAAAGGTTTAAAACCGGAGAGATACCTTTTAATGCCCCGATGTTCCCTGCGACTTGAACCCCTACCGATAGTCAAACGAATTTGTCTATCCAACCCAACATCCTAGGAATCATGTCCTTCCAGCAGGTGCCTGTTCGCAGTGTCGACATCACGTCGGCCTTCTGGTCGCAGATGCAACGCTGCTCCAGAGAGAAAACGATTCCGGCCATCATCAAGGCCCAGAAGTCCTTAGGCCATTGGTATTGCCTGACGTGGAAAGAAGGCCACGAGATCCAGCCCCATGTATGTTACCTGACAACCAAATTGGGAAATAGACTCTGACAATTTGCAGCCATTTTGGGATAGTGACATATACAAGATCGTTGAAGCCGCCTGCTACTTTCTCATAAAGAGCATGGATGAAGAGTTGATGGCTACAGTGGAAGAAGCCGTGGACATGATCAGGGCAGCCCAGCACCCTGACGGATATATCAATTCCTATTATACCGTCCTAGGTATCGATAAACGATGGACGAATCTGCGGGATATGCACGAGCTATACTGCCTAGGCCACTTGACCGAGGCCTGCGTTGCATACGAGACCCTCACGAATAGCGGACGACTATTGGAACCGGTATTGAAAGCACTCCGGCATGTCGACTCGGTCTTCGGCTCCGAACCAGGAAAGAAGAGGGGATATCCAGGACACCAGGAGATCGAGATCGGCCTTCTAAGGCTATATGAGCTGTGCGAAGAGCCCGTTCTGCTGAAACTCGCCAAATATTTCATCACTGAGCGAGGCCACAGGGATGCCAACGGTGAGACGTATTTCGACCACGAGGCCAAAGCCCGTGGTGGGGATCCGTATGACCATTTTGGTGGCGAAATGAAGGCCTGGTTTGAGCATCCGCGAGACTATAGCTACAACCAAGCTGACCGACCCCTCGTCGAGGCTGCTGATGTCAAGGGCCACGCCGTGCGTGCCATGTACTACTACATTGCAGCAACCGACCTGGTCCGTCTTACTGGCGACAATGAGGTGAAAAGAGCACTCGACCGAATGTGGACGGACATGACGGAAAGGAAATTATACGTCACGGGTGGTATTGGGGCCATGCGCCAGTGGGAAGGGTTCGGCGCTAAATACGTGCTCGGGGATACCGAAGAGTCAGGGACATGTTACGCTGAGACTTGTGCATCTTTCGCATTGATTCTCTGGTGTCAAAGAATGCTTCAACTGGATTTGAATGTCAAGTACTCTGACGTGATGGAAATCGCGCTGTACAATGGTTTTCTTGGGGCTGTGGGCCTGGATGGTGGGTCATTTTATTATCAAAACCCATTACGAACATACACCGGGCATCCAAAGGAAAGGAGCGAGTGGTTTGAAGTGGCCTGCTGTCCACCAAATGTCGCCAAGCTGCTAGGCTCGATGGGTGCCCTCATATACTCGTTCAAGGAGAATCTCATCGCCATTCACCTGTATATCGAAAGTGAGTTCACGGTTCCTGGAACGAACGTGGTTGTTTCCCAGAAAACAAACATGCCCTGGTCGGGCGACGTCAACATAAAGGTGCAAGGTTCAACGGCTCTCGCGCTGCGCATCCCGATCTGGGCAGATGGCTATACCAGCTCGGTCGAAGGGGAAATCAGGGACGGCTACCTTTGGATTCCTCAAACGCAGGATGCGGAGGTAAATCTTTCTTTCGCACTCGAGGCGCGCAAGGTATATCCTAATCCGGCAACCGAGAAAGATCAAATTTGTATCATGCGCGGTCCCTTGGTATACTGCATCGAAGATGTGGATAACGATGTGGACGTCGACCACGTTGGCTTGGTAGACGACGCTGTCAGCGACGGTAACCCGATCAATATTGCGACAGTAAAGGGTGTGATTCCAGTGAAAGCTACTGGGAGAGAATTGGTCGAGGGACAGACCGGCCTGTACGCCTCTAAGCCGTGGAAGTATGGGGGAGAGAAGAGCCTTCTATATGTGCCATACTTCCTCCGGGCCAATCGGGGAGGAAAGGGTGGCATGACGGTATGGGCGAGACGGCTGGGCCCTAAATAGTGTTCATCTCGTTGGGTAAACAGCTTAGCATGGTAATATATTTATTAGCTCTTCGTGGGAGCCTTTTAAGATCAGACGACTCCATTGGCATAGGTAGCCGGCAGTTTCATGTTAAAGGTGTAGTAGGACTGGTGCGATGTCGATCGAGCAGTCACATAGATTCCAAAAAGTCCACCACCAATGGTGAATTCTGTCCTGTTGACTCCTCCCATAGAGCAGGATCAGTTCCCGTACGGGAATTTGCCTCAAGATAGACCCCGTCACTATATCGCTCCGATACGTTGGCATCGTAACGATTCAGGAAATAGATCATCCAACGGTCCATATCAAAGTTCTTCTGCGTACTGTTCATTTGGCAGGCTCGATGAAACGCTCTTAAACGTGACAGGGAAAGCTCAACGAGTGACCAGTGCTTCCGAAATTGAAGAAGCATGATGAAATTTTGCTCCAACAGCTTCTTCGCTCTGGCAATGCTTTCGTCGTCTGTGTCGAAAAGAAGGCTGTATAATAGAACAGATGATGCCACAACGAGTAGATGACCGTTGACTGGCGACCAGAGGCATTCCATTCCGGAACATGAGTTGGTGTCCCACATCACCTGGCTAAGAGCCGTTGCGTGCGTTTTGCACCGCGCCGCGTACATGGCAGCTTCGTGATCAGTCCCACCCTCTGGTGACTCGGACTTCTTGTTGAGGAATTGATAATAGAGCATCTGACACTGGTGATGATAGTTCAATTGTAGAATGGTAAATTCTCGTCCCAATCCACGACTAGCGTGTCGTTCCTTGTTTTCGGCGGTGTGCTTGAGGTGCTCGGGCAGGCTTTGGAGATACCTGTCCAGCTGCTGTGATATTTCTCTCACCCGCCCACGGACATCAACGTCGGTCACTGTATTCTGAACTATTTCGTCGTTCAGTCGCATGACCTGGTCATGAAACTCGGACAAGGGAAGCATCCAAGTCCACAGGCCGCATTCTCGGAGTCCCAACGCATTGATCCTCGCTTCTGACTGTTCACCAGGCAGGTCGTCGTGTCTCATTTTCTTGTAAGCCTCTTCTTCCAGTGGACGCTTAAAAGTAGGACTCGTCATGAGCTGCTTGGGAATAAGAGCGCGGGCCGCGTGCCAGTTTTCCATCATCCACATAACCCAGAAGACTGAATGTAGCTGTTAGATTGACAGGTATAACCTGAGCGGCGTTCGGACTCACTTCGAATTTCCACCTCTCGCTGGATGGGGTCCGGGCTTAGGCTCTCCGGCAAGCGCAGCATTCGCACCATACAGATAGCCTGAGACGACAGTAGTGCCTCTTGGGCGGAATCACCTTCTGCAAGTGCCACGAAGGACAGTAAAATGCATCCCTGCAGGGCAGGTAAATCAATCAATTCCGTTCGAGCATTGAAAGACTGCATAGCAGCTGAGAACCAGCGCTTGGCTCTGTGCCAGGGGTGGATATTCTCGAAGTAAGGATTAGATGAGAACCTGTTTGTCAAAGGATGGCTGTCAATACCAAAACTGCAGTCGGAAAGAATAGGGACAGCTTACCGAGCCATCAGAGCAATCATTCCGAGCACAATAAATTGAGGGATATGGCCCGCACGCTGTGCTGTAACAAATGTATGGCGATGAAAGAGAAGCAGCTGCTTCTCATCAATGAGCTCAAAGTAAAGGTCGATAATCTCATTGCACACAGAATCCGGCGGTAGACTTGTGTCTGTCTGAACCGATTGTACGGCAGAAGGAGCGGCCTTCATCTGAGGCACCGGTCTGAGTTGGGGGAGACGGGAGGCCCCATTCTGGGAGGGTTTCCAAGAGTCGCTGGCCAGCTCACACTGCCATTTCTTTCTGGCACATGAAGCACAAGGATGCCCTGGACCCCAGACTACGCATCGTTTCTTTCCCGCGCTAGATTACCTAGGTCAGTGGCAGAATCCCGCGAGTTGCGCGTGTACTTGCCGGCACTTGGTGCACGATGAGCTAGGCCGCATCTTGCAAATTTCATCCGTTGGAGATAATGGTAACTACATTGGATAAGCTTGGGATGGAATGAATATAATGAAAGCAGAATAGCTGCTTCGAGAAGGGTAGTTGGACAACTTGAAGTGAGGAGATGAGGGGAGACAAAGGAGAGACAAATTACGCCGGGCGGGAGAGACCATTACAGCAGTGATGGTTTACGATCAGGGCACAACGCATCGAATTCCAATATAGTCGGTCTTTCAGATAGATTGGATTGCCTGATATTACGGGACCACTACAGTCAATTATACAGATGCGCGAAGCAATCACATTCACCGGTCTATAGGTTTGCAGTCTACTCTATGAACCTACACAACCTAAAATATATACAGTCATGCAATACTGTCCGGCTGTGGTCGACGCATGAAAGGAATTCTGGGCTTTGGCGGCCAATCGCTACTGTATCGGCGCCAGTTAAACGGTATCGAGAAGTGATGTTTCCCAGATCCTACCCAGCTCCCCTGCAGCGCCTGGTTGGAGTGATCATCACTAGGAAGGGTGACCAACGCTCGCGAATTGGGCGGAATCAAGAGGTCTAGTACAAATAACTCTTTGCTAGCTTGGATGGACCACCGGCATTCCAGGCGTCCATAGGGGGTATTGTACGTCGCCTCCGCGGAATCAATAGTCCCGCCCAGGATCGGTTGTACTTTGATTTCCTTCCACCCCTTCGCGAGGGGGCTGATACCAGCTACAGTGCTATGAAGCCAATTGATAATTGACCCAAAGGCGTAGTGGTTGAAGCTGGTCATCTCTCCTGGATTAATCGATCCATCAGGCTGCATACTATCCCATCGTTCCCACATGGTTGTTGCCCCCATTGTGATAGGATACATCCAGGATGGACAACCTTTCTCTAGCAACATCCGATATGCAACCTGGGGATGACCTCCCTTGGTTAGGGCATGGGTGATGATCGGAGTCCCTGCAAATCCAGTGGCTACCCGGAATTTCGCCGACCGTACCAAGTCAACCAGACGGTTTGCTGCAACCTTGACCTGTTCAGGAGTAGCATGTAAATCAAACATTATTGCAAGGCTCAGCGCGGTTTGACTGTCGCCGACAAGTAGCCCGGAGTGTGCGATGTATTTGGCTTGAAAGGTCTTCTGTAGCCGGACTAGGTCTTCTGCGAACCGCCTGGAATCGGCAGTTTCTCCTAGGATACCACTGATCTGTGATATTACCGAGGTGATGCGCACCAAGAACGCATCTGCCACTAATGTCCCGTTTGTCCTCGCATCCCCAGGCTCTACTGGAGGCGCAGTTGGGTCCAGCCAGTCGCCCAACTGCCACACCTCAGGATCCCAAAGGCCATCAAGTCCGCGCTGGATCCCTCTATCAATCCACGCGAGCATACTCTTGTATTGCCGACGCAGGATATCGACATCACCATAGGACTGATACAGAGCCCACGGGCCCAGGATCACCACATCATCCCACTGCGCCTGGGGCGTCGGAGGCCAAAGCTCTTCAGAGATGACATTTGGAACAACAAATGGAGGGACGCAGCCGTCTCTGCCTTCATTAAACTGCTCGGCGGCTACATCCTGAAGCCATTCGCCCAGCATGCCAGCAGTATTGTAGAGGAAATTGGCAGAGGGTCCAAAGATCTGGATATCGCCCGTCCAGCCGAGACGCTCATCACGTTGAGGACAATCAGTCGGGATAGAAACAAAGTTCCCACGCATGCTCCACAATGCATTTTGATGGAGCTGGTTGACCATAGGGTGCGAGCACGAGAACCAGCCAGTGCGAGTCATATCGGTGTGCATCACCTGCGCGGTAAAGTTGGTGATCAAGTCGCCATCACGCTCCTGATCCCAGCCATCAACCTGCACATATCTAAATCCGTGAAATGTATATTGTGGTGACCAATTGGTCAGCTCTGTTCCAGCACAGATAATCTCATCTGTGCATTTCGCGATACGCAACGGTCGAGTCCCGAGCTCTCCATGTTCCAGCACTTCGGCATGCGTGAGAACAAGACGCTTCCCTGATTGTTTATCTATCGAGCGGACGCGCAATCGACCAACGAGGTTCTGACCGAAATCAAGAATGGTTTTGCCAGACGGGGTTCGTTGAACTGAGGCAGACCTGATCTCTTCTGTGATTCGAACTGGTGGCGCGTCGGGTGAGACGAGGGTAGCAGACGGAAAGGCAAGCTCCTGAACTGGACCCCAGGAGGAATTGGTGCTGTTATCACCGGAAGAAATACGATTCCAGTTGGGGTCTTCCTGGCGGGCATCATAGAGCTCACCGTCGTAGAACTCGCTCTTCACGATTGCGCTCGGTTGGCAAGTCCAGGTGCGGTCCGTTGCCAGAGAAAAACGTTCAGCATCAGAGTCAAAATGAATTTCAAGCTGAGCGATAGCAGCGAGTCTGTCACCATATAGCTTCCCTCGTCCACCCTTGAAGCCGAGACGTGTTGCATACCAGCCCTCCGCGACCTCGATGGCGATGACATTTGGCCCATCGTGATTGAGAAACGGCGCAACGTCGAGGGTCTGATAATTCAGGCGATAGCGATAGCTTGTCCAGCCTGGGGACAGGCAGTGGTCGCTAACCTCTTGTCCATTGATGAAGGCCCGATAAATTCCTAAACTTGTTATGTAGAGCCGCGCCTTCTGGATAGTTCCCTTCCCTGTCAGAGTGAATGATTTTCTGAAGCGAGTGGGACGTAATGGCCCGTCAACAACATCTTCCCTCAGCTCTGTAATAGGAAGCGCAACCCAATCGCCTTTCCGGAGTAGCGAGCACTCAACGTCTGTCCAGGGCGACCAATCTGTCGATTCTACCTGGCCCTGCCCCTCGCGGCCGAAGGAACGTACCCGCAAGCGAACGCTTTCCCGAGATTTCAACGGTGTGCTTGGCCATGGGACGAGCACGGATGTATCACTGGTAACAGAATGTGTTTCTGTTTCTGAATCTGTACGCGCAATCTGAATTTCGTATGCTGTTTGTTGCCAGTCGCGTGGGCAGTTCTCAGCAAGGAATCGCCAGGATACTCGAGGGGTGGCCGTTCCCACGCCGAAACCGGTGGGGTGTTGCTCGACTGTTGGCGCCAAGAGAGAGAGCTGGCCAGCCATTATGAGGGGCAAAGATAATTATTTGAGACGGAATAATTATGAGATGAAGGTCGCAGTCTTATAGTCGCCTGTCACTGTCGCTCATTCTTCTCCAATTCCACAGCCAATCAGGATTAAACTACGCCGCCAAGCTCCACAGATGTCCGCCTCTTACAATCAGCCAATCAGGTTTAATTTCAATGTTGAATGGCTTGATATTGAAGAAATGCAGTAAACTAGGTAATGTTCATCAGGACAGCCTTGATGTTGCAATATGCTTCCAATCCAGCCTGTCCAAGCTGTCTCCCAATGCCGCTCTGCTTCAAGCCACCAAACGGGACCCGGAAGTCACTGTTGTTGGTAGCATTCGAGACCATCCCAGCCCCGAGCTTGGGCACAACCCAGTGGATCCTGGAATTGTCGCGAGTACAGATAGCTGCAGCAAGGCTGTAGTCCGTATCGATATTCTTCAAAATCCAGACAGACAATTCTATATTTAACCTTAAAATCACTTTATCCAACTGCCAGTTCACTATGACTACCATCACACCAACCGCAGTGCAGGAAGACTCCTTCAAAAAAAGAAGCCCTGGGCAAGTTCAGCGGCGACGTGTACTTCCACCACCTCCACAAAGACCAGCATGTCTCAATCCTCGATGTCAAGTTTTCACCCTGTGCCCGCACAGACTGGCATTGGCACGAAAAGGGCCAGCTGCTCGAAGTAACCACCGGCTCTGGGTGGGTATGCGACAAAGGAGAGGAGCCCCGGAGAATCAAAGCGGGCGACATTGTTTGGTGTCCCCCTGGGGTTGCCCATTGGCACGGTTCAGATGACAGCAGTTTGATGATCCATCGTGCAGTTTCATTTGGTGGTATGGAATGGTACGATCCAGTCTCTGCGGAGGATTTGAAGGGTACCCATTAAGTAGGTCTATCCGTCTCTTAGTAGATAAGGTGCTAATCCGCGAAGACTTCGGAACGCTGGTACGGAGTACGTGATGAAGGAGTTCTGTCGGCGTGTGTAAATAGATCCCGGGGGATAGTTACGCATGTATCAGATCTGATAATAGGACCACTGGTGCCAGCAGAGGTGTTCGTCGGTCTGACAGTTTATAATATATGCAAGGGGGGCAATACGGAGTTGGCGGCCAGGTAGAATGTACAGAGTAAATTAGCTATTTAAGACTACTTGATGTCTTAGACCATTTTACCCTTACAGTTGCGCCGCGTAACCTGTGTCATCCGATTCGAGAAACAGATATATTACTTTATGTAGTTTCTAACAATGAGTGCATAACTTCGATCTCAGCAGTTTCTCGTAAGATAGGAATACATCAGTATTGAGTAGCAGCCCACTGCGTTTGTGTACCAGAACGTGATCCCTACTATTCGGAATGCTTGTACAGTAGGGGCCATTTTATCCTTGAGTCGGTCATTTTTAAACCGATGCTTATTCTTGTATAGGAAATAATCATATACTCAGGGAGCAGTAGCCTCCACACCGAAGCCGACCACATGGTCGTAACAGAGATACAAAGGCCTTGCCGGATATGGGCAACTTATCCGCGACGTGAGTCGTTCTACTCGGGCCACAACACACCGAGAATAGTATAGTTGGAGAATGGCACTGGAGCTCGGATTATCGAAGCAGGTATTAGCTTCAGGGTCATCACCGCAAGACTCAAAAGGCGGCCATTTGTGGAGACTGAGGCGGCGGACTTGGGCTCCGATTTGCTGTGGCTGTCATTGTCCGCCTCCAAGACGGTCCCGGCGTTGGGGTCATAGCCGTGCTGGGTATTTCCCCACGGGGCCGTTTCCTCGGCAGTTCTGTTGCAGTTAATGGTCACAGGAGCTAATTTTCGGGTCACTGAGAGCCCGCCTCGTCTCAGCGGGCAGGTATAAATCTGATCTCGGTACTCGACAGGTCATGAAGGAAGCTAAAACATTGAGACTGCAGGCCGCTTGTATACTGCATAATGGGTTATTACGTCGTTCTGATTGCTTGCGTCGTCGCCATAGGGGGCTTTACATATGGAGTGGATTCAGGTTAGTCCAAAGGTTGAGTGGCTGGCTACTTCGAGCATCATGTCTAACGTGATATAGGGATCATCGCGACTACCTTGGGCCATGACACATTCAAATTCGCCATGTTGGGACCAACAGGTACCAATGCTGCCTTGACAGGTATGTGGTAGCTCTTGACCAGGCTTACGCTTCCTGCTGATATAGGTAGGTGCGATCGTATCTCTCTATAACGTTGGGCAGGCCGTTGGGACATTTGGGGCAGGATACTCGGCCAATCGATTAAGCAGACGGTGGACGATCTGCGGAAGCGCGCTGATTTGCGAGTTCACTCAAAGTTATTGAATTTCTGATCAAAAAGAGCCAAACTAACTTGTCATTTTGTGTAGCTATCGTTGGAGCCGTGCTCCAGTGCGCAGCCGTGAACGCAGGGATGATGATAGCTGGACGATTCTTCGCTGGCGTTGGCTGCGGCATCATTCTCACTGTCGTCCCCGTATACATCGCCGAAGTCTCTCCTCCCGAGAAGCGAGGAATGATCGTGGGACTGCAGGGTTTCATGATTGCCGTGGGGTTCTTTGCAGCAAACTGGATAGGCTATGGAGGAGATGTTGCGAATGGCGATTCGCAGTGGCGCATACCGTTGGCCATGCAAATCCCAGCGCCGCTCGCTTTGGCAGTCGGTTGCTGCTTCGTCCCGTATAGCCCGAGATGGTGTATGTCCTCTGCGTCCATTATGCATAACTGCCGTTCCAATAACTGATAACAGTAGTGGTTCAACAGGAGCGGTACGAGGACGCGCAAGCCGTTTTACAAGTCATCCACGGCCAGGCCGACAACGACGACCGCGCGCTGCAAGAGCTCTCAGAAATTCGAAATCAAATTCAAGCTGAATCAGCCACGGAAACCAGTTTTTCAACTGCGATCACAAGTCTCTTTTCGCGGAAATACCTCCACCGGACCCTGCTAGCCTGTTTTCTACTCGTTATGGGCCAGTTCAGCGGGTCACAGGTCATTCAGAACTATCAGGGAACATTCTATGCGGCTGTTGGATTTACCGGGAGGTCATCGCTCCTGATCAGCGGGATATACGGGATCATGGGTGTATTGGGCCAAGTTATTTATCTGTTTTGCGCCGCAGACAAGTGGCCTCGCACCCGGACGCTATGGGCGGGCTCTATATTCCTATCGGCGATGATTGCCATCTGCATGCCCTTATCCGCGGTATACGGAGACGAAGACAATAGTAATTTGAACGGGGCCAGAGCAGCAATCGCCATGATCTTCCTCTACTCATGCGGATATGCTGTGTTCTTTAACGCCACTATCTGGGTCGTGCCTTCTGAGCTGTTCCCGTTCTTCCTGCGGTCAACTGGCATGGGCCTGGCCGTTTTCTCCAAGTCAGTGGCGGCCATTGTGCTTTCCCAAATCACGCCGACTGCAATGGAGAACGTTGGCTGGAGGTACTATGCCCTTTTTCATTGCCACCAACCTTGCCGCTGCGCTTGTCTATTTCTTCTTGCTTCCAGAGACAGGTGGGAAGACTCTCGAGGAAATAGCCGAACTATTCGGAGACAGTGTGATTACCAGTCCTTCGAAAATAGACGATGACATGACGCACCACACACCATTACCTGGCGATAAAAAATAACCTGCTTTTAAGTATTTATTAAAAAGAAACCTTTAGTAACTCTATATTAAAATACAAGTACTTCATCTTATTTATCTTAGAAGAGATCTATTTAATGCTAAATAACCCTGGTAATATATTTTAGTTACTTTTTATATCTTATTAATGTAATCCCAGAGCGATCCAGTATATTATATATTAGAAGTCTACTTATCTTAGTATATATTTACATTCTATGTCTATTATAGTTAAAGCTAACCTTAGAAGATATATTTCTATTAATTGTTGAGTAGATACTACTCTATCCATCTATTTATAGGTAATATACTCTAACTAGATCTTACTACTAGCCTAAATTATAATATTCCCAGGAGCCAGAATATAAGTATAAAAGACTATAGACTGCTTCTAGGGGCCCAAGTCCGGGTTTCCTATATAGATTTATAATAATAATATCTATATTAATCTACCATTAACTTTGCCGGGTAGAGTTAATAATAGCTAATTTTTAGATAGCGCATACCAGACTGCGACCATAGAACTGGCTCGCATGACGGGAAACACGATAAGAGAGATATATAGACAGAGTAAGCACAGCAAGTGCTTTCTCAAACACGAGCAGCGGCTTCTATCCCAGCTGAAATCGTGCAGTGGTCAACGTCTGAGCGCTAAGCCCGACCGAGCCAAACCCAAGAGGATCCTACCTATATGTATATCAACCCCAGTCCAGGTGTTGCGCAAAATCTCATCCACTCCACGAAAGTTCGCTCGAACGGTCCATTTCGAGTCAGGAAGAAAGGGATCCTTTCTACATCAATTATGGAAAGGCAATTTGGGTGACATATGTATGGGTATTGGAGAGGAGCTGCTCGCATTTATCCGCGCGTCAGAGATCCCGACTTTCGAAGCCAATGGCTAGTATCGTCAGCTCAAGTTCAGTTACTTAGGACTAACCAATTCATCTTTAAGCTCTATATATACTGTTTTGTTCCACGGGCTAGTGTAGCCTACCGCAGCTAGTCTGCTATGTATCCTCACTAGATTCTTGCAGTTCACAGTATGTATCAGTCCAACTGGTTCTAAATCAGCCCAACACAAGCATAGGTCTCTGCCCAAAGCCCCGAACAATCATTCTTAACCGCCGGATTCCACCTCACAAAGTTAGCAGTGGTAATACCATACGTCGCCGCAATGGAGGCACAGATATCCCCCTGGACAACAAAATGGAACCTCCCGCAGTTGCTCACCATGCCGTCCTGGATTGGTGTAGGGGTTGCGACGCCATTACCGGAGCTTGTTGTCGTCGTTGTTGGTTCAGGGTTGGTTGGTGTTCCGATCCGGTGAACACAGACGTACGCGTCGGCCCACAGCCCAGCGCAGTCGGAGCCTACTGAGGGGTTCCACTCAGCGAACTGGGCCTGGGAAATTCCATGCTCGGAGGCAATTGCCGCGCACGAGTCGCCTACCTCAACGAAGTAGAAGTCATCGCAGTCGTCGACCATGCCGGGCTGTGTTGGGGTTGGCGTGGCGATTCCATTGCCCGGTGGGCTGGTGGTGGTTGCGGTAGGGCTGGGGCCAGGGGCAGCGCCGCCGATCAGCCCGACGCAGGCGTAGGCGTTGGCCCAGAGGCCAGTGCAGTGCGAGCCGACGGAGGGGTTCCACTCGACGAATTGGGCCTGGGAGATGTCTTGCTCCGAGGCAATGGCTGCGCACGAGTCGCCGATTTCAACAAAGTAGAAGTCCTCGCAGTCATCGACCATGCCGGGCTGCGTGGGCAGTGGTGTCTCCACCCCATTTCCATCGGTTGGCATTGGCCCTGCGGATGTGGTCGTCGGTGGAGGTTCGCTGCCGCCTGCAGGCGCCTCAACACAGTAGGAGCGACCTGTCAGGTAGTTCCCGCAGTCGGAGGTGATGGAAGGGTTCTGTTGCGAGCAGGTCAGTGAGAACATGGGATTCTGCATCAGACAAACTCACCCAGAGGAGGAAGTCCTCCATGCTGATGCCCCATTGGGACGGCATGTTCTCGCACGCAATGGATCCATCGACATTGTCCCACCACCAGGTGCACGTCGAGATAGTGTTGGGGTCAGATGGCAGATTAGGCGTCGCATCTTTTAAAAAGAACTGCGGCCGTCCCTCGACGCTGCCAAGGGCAACGGCGAGGGTGAGAATGCCCGCCAATCGAGACGAAGACTTGGACATGATGGGAGAAAACGGAGGGAGAGATGTCCAAGATGTGGGAATGCGGTAACAAGGAGGTGCCTTGGGCAAGATCAGAGCAATGTCCCGGTGTAGAGAGTGAGCGTGACCGGAGGCTTTATACGTGAAGTATTAATATGTGGGAACTTCCAGGGCGCCGAAACCGGGAGTTCAGAGTGCCATTGTAGAAGACCACCACTTTGGTCGGCATTTTACGGAGTAATTACTCGGATACCTTTATGGTCCGAGCAAAATTAATTGCTTCATTTACTTTGCAGGCGCTGCTAGCCTGGGTTTCACTTCACCGACTCTTGAAAGGGAGCAGGATTACATCCAACGAGCACACTAGCAAAGTATGAAGGTATCATCCAACTCCAAGCTGGACCGGAAAAAGAGCGGTAGCGCTGAATGTGTGCCTGGGATGCCTGTTGGCACGGCCCCGTTTTCGCCTGTACTCACACATCGCCCAGCGCAGGAAGAGGCCAGGAGCTGGTGCAGGGACCATGCAGGAACGGTGCAGGAATGGTGTGGTAATGGCGGAGAAGCAGTGCAACATGGCATGGCCCAACAGCACGACGTCCAGGATTATTGGATGGTGTTTTACAGGTGCCAAGGTAGCATTTGTCAAAGCCCGTACAAAAGAGCATGGACTACCAAGGAAGCCAAGAAAGCTCATTCTCTAGGGAGGGTTAGACCTGCGCCTCGGCTCTCATCGCCCGTACCCTAAGATTTAGCCTCCTGTCTGGGCACTTGAGGGACAGGCGAGGCGAGTTGGAATACAATCTCGGGCGAGAGGGGAAGATGGAAGTATCGAGACACTAATAAGATTAAACCCCGCTTGCCCTCTCACATGGGCATGCAATAGACAATACGATTGTTGTTAGTCGAGGCAGCAGGATGCAAAACAAACAAAGCTGATTGGGCGTTTATATAGAGACAGACTTAGAGCGCTTGAATCATGCTTTCTAACTTATCAGATAAAGCCTACAGGAAGTCTGCTTACCGAGATTACTACCCGTCAAATTACGTCCGTCTCCCTCCCCATTCTCGCAATAAGTCGGGGAATGAGCATCCTAGTGGGAACATGGAGGAGAAGGAGGGGAGCCCCAGGAGGGCCCCGGAGATTAGGCACTATACAAGTAGCTTGGCGCCGCGACCACGGCGCTTGGGGACGGGCGCGGGAATCGGCGGGAACGGGCCGCATGCCAGACGAGGCGTTTTATTGGTGGATCTCCAAGGGTTGGGTGTCCTGGTTGCATTGATATTGTATACGGGCTGCGACTCGGTTACATTGCTTCTCCCTGGACATAGCCACAGGATTCGGACTCGGCTGTACAGATACGACTTTCAGCGTTATAAAAGCCCCCGGCTGCCTGCCCTATTTATTCATGATAAGCAAAAAAGGCTTCTGCAAGACTTCGTCTCTCCCGCACCATGTGGGCATCAAGGCTGGTGCTGCTCTCTGCGGCCGGCGGCCTGGCGGCGATACTTTCGCCGTTCGAGCGCCTCCAGCTGAACAGAAAGCCCTGTCCAAGCGCGTGCGACCCTGGCGGGGATACCACCGAGTGGTTCACCTACCACAGCGTGGACGAGTTCGCCGCCTGCGACGAGCCACTTTTGCTCAACCTGAATTTGTACCATAACGTCGATGACGATTCCGTCCTTCCATCGATCCGTGCCTGTACCCTTGGCAACGCGAACAGCGAGGTCAACTTCCTTACCGCGTCCGGCTACGTCGCCCCTGATGCCCTGGGGGAAACAAACTTTGGCCCCCCGTCTCTGGAGAGGCGTGAGGACCCTGACCCTACCGCAAATGTCGCCGCCTGCGACGGAAGTACCGTCACTGCCTCCAGTGCTGTCGCCTCCCAGACAGAGGATGAGACCATCAGCGATCCCCTCAGCGGCGAGGCAATCAATGACCTGATTCTCGCCGTGCAGGCCCTCCGAAGAAGCCTAGGCCAGGAGCCCGCGAGCTGTGGGAAGAAGGTCACCTTTCTTTATTTCCATGGCACGCTCGTCGGCCTCTATTCCGGTTCGCAGGTCGAGTTGATGCAGACCTCCGCATCCATGCTAGACCAGCTACTGGCGGCTCTCGGAGAACAGGACTCGCCCTCGGCTCTCTCGCGAACGGTTACTGAGATCTGCGCGAGCCACTGTACCGCAAGCTATATCTTCGGTGTTGTAGCGGACCCGGCTGGAGATTTCAAGGCCGTCCAGAGGATTATGAAGTCCTGGAACGACGGCGACCTTCTCTCGGGCCAGTCAGAAGCGAGAACCCAGTCCACCGGCAAACCCTCCCTGTGGACGTATACCCCCAACAATGGCACCGAGCCCCAGGCACGCAGCCATGTGCGGGACCTCAATCCACGAGCGGAATGCCGCAGCATCAGAGCCGAGGGCAGCGACACTTGTTTATCGCTGGCATCTCGCTGCGGCATTGGTGTCATAGCGCTCCAGAGCTTCAACAAGGACACGCCAGACTTTTGCAACTCATTTAAGACCGGCCAGCCCGTGTGCTGCTCGTCCGGCACGCTGCCTGATGTCGGACCAAGCCCAAACCCCGATGGGTCCTGCCAGTACCACGAGGTTCAGGAGGACGAATACTGCCAGATGATTGCCGCAAGCTACGGGCTGACGACTGATGATCTGTATGACCTGAACACGAAGACGTGGGGCTGGGATGGATGCGACAACAACATCCCGGTGGGCCTCCGGATCTGTGTCAGTGAAGGGCTCCCTCCTCTGCCTGCGTCCGTCTACAATGCCGTCTGTGGGCCTACAGTCCCTGGAACGGAGCCTCCGCAGGAAGGTGAAGAGCTCGCCGAGATAAACCCCTGCCCGCTGGATGTCTGCTGCAACATTTGGGGCCAGTGTGGCACCACGGTCGACTTCTGCATCCCCTCCAGCTCGTCAACTGGCAATCCCGGCACATCCGCGCCCGGGGAGAACGGCTGCGTCGACAACTGTGGTATGGAGATGGTGAACAACAACAGCGGACCAGAGACGTACCGAAAGATCGGTTACTTTGAGGGCTGGAACTACAACCGCCCGTGCCTGAACATGCACGTCGATGACATCCCTGACGGCTACACGCATATCCACTTCGCCTTTGGCGAGTTCTCGTCCGACCTGCAGATTATCATCAAAGAAGACCATCAGGAGCAGTGGGACGCCTTTATCAGCGCGGACCGGGGCTACCGGAAGATCCTGTCCTTTGGAGGGTGGGAATTCTCTAATGCCGCTGCCACCTCCGGCCTCTTCCGCCTGGCCGTGTCGCCGGGGAATAGGGAGACCTTTGCCGAGAATGTCGTCAATTTTGCGCTCGACAACGGCCTGGATGGCCTTGACTTTGACTGGGAGTATCCTGGCGCCACCGACATTCCGGGATCAGATCCCGGTCAAGAGGATGACGGTGAGAATTACCTCGAGTTCCTCAAGCTCGTGCGGGAGAAGTTGCCCGAAGACAAGTCGGTTTCGATTGCCACGGCGGCCTCGTTCTGGTATCTGCAGGGCTTCCCAGTCAAGGAAATCGCGCCGGTGGTGGATTACTTTATCCACATGACTTATGACTTTCATGGTGAGTTTGCCAAGGATACTTGAATCCCTTTCAGCCAGTTGATCATCACTGACGCTTCCTGACTACAGGTCAATGGGATGTGGGCAGGGAGTGGTCGATGGAGGGATGTCCCGCGGGCAACTGTCTCCGCTCCCACGTCAACTCAACCCAAACGTACAACTCCCTGGTCATGATGACCAAGGCCGGCGTCCCATCGCACAAGATCGTCGTGGGCGTGACAAGCTATGGCAGATCGTTCAAGATGGCTGATGCGACTTGCCGCGGCCCAATGTGTACGCCCCCTTCCTGTCTTGTCTTCTGATATAGCTGTGGGATATATGTGATTTAACTGATGAACAGGCACCTTTCTTGGCGGGAGGAACGATTCGCCTGCAAAGCCCGGCAGGTGCACGGAGACCGGCGGATACATCTCTAACTTCGAGATGAACGAGATCATGGAGGAGGGCGGTGCCATCAAGAGCTGGTATGATAAGGAGACAGACTCGGACTACCTGGTCTATGACTCGGTGGAGTGGGTGGCGTACATGACCGACGAGACCAAAGACCGCCGGCGCGGGCAGTACAAAGGTCTCAACTGCGGCGGTACCACCGACTGGGCCATTGACCTTCAAGGGGTGAGTCTCCATTCGGTTAAGCATAGACCATCGCTAACCACCGAGACCTCAATAGGAAGGGCGGCGCGGCAGCACAGGCGACCCGGTCTATCTGGACCCGATCGTCTACCAGGATTCCGATGCCTACTGCGAGCCACCATGCGTGCTGGTTTTCCCGCCCAGCCAGCTGCCCTCGCCAACGACCATCGACCCGGGGGAGTACACCACTTCGCTTCTATACGGCCGCAGCAGCGAAACCAACGAGGACGGCGAAGCGGTCACCGTGTTCGTGACGCAGACGACAACCATCACCATCGACCTGCCCGCCATCACGACCGACGAGCTGTCGTACTCGAACATCAATATCAGCCGGAGTCAAGATACCAGCTCCCTGTGGGTTGGCGTCAGTATCCCGATCGACCCCGTCACCGTGAGCCTGGACGACGGGGAGGGCGGGACCACCACGCGTGTTCTTACCCTCCCTCCGTGGCCGGCTGTTACCCAGGGCCCACTATCTGGTGGTGAGAGTGGTGGTGGTGGCGGCGGCGGCGGCGACGACGACAACGAGGAGGAAGACTGGGAATTCCCGAACCCAATTACGGAAACGGGCGAGTTAGAGCCCGATGAGGTACTTCATTATGTCCTTTCACGACCTTTTCGTGTTTTGCAACTGTCAAAGAGCTAACATGATGCCCAAAACAATAGCCATCCCCGACGACCATGCCTACTTGGCAAACATATCCACCATACATTGTCGAGCCCGTTGACGAGGAAGACGGCGGCGAAGATGGCGACGACGACGACGATGATGATGATGATGACGACGACGACGACGGCGGCGGTGGGATCATCACGCCCTGCAACCTCTGGTTTTTCAATGTATGTTGTGCTCTCCGTTTACTGTAGCAAACGCAGCCTGTGCTAATGGTCTCCAGTTCTGCGGCGGAGGAAGAGTTAAATCTCTCAGATGGCGCCTGCCCCCTGGCATTTACCCACCGTGAGTGTCACCCCGACATCAGCCATGGCCGGTTAGCATCAGGGCTAACATACCTTGATTCTCCCTGACCAACAGCGGTCCGCCACCCCCGGATATCTTAGGACCCCCTCCGGACCCCAAGTGGAGTGTTATCCTGCCGCCATTGCCACCCTGGCCGGAAATCACGTAAGAAATAGCCCTGCTCGAGACAAGCACGCCTCAATCAGCTAACTTCCCCTGGTGCAGCGTCGGCCATGACAACCAACTCACCTACAGCGAGGAGCCCCCCTGTGAAACTGAGTCGGCCGAGCTCTGCTCCACGACAGTCACACACTCGGAGACACTGGTTGGGACAACCACGTCGACGGCCACTGAAACCTCGTCCTACTGCGGGACAGTATATGGCTGCGCCGCAACAGGGTCGGAGACAGCCACAACGACCACTGCAACAGCTTGCCCCCTCGCAGCAATGGCAACAACGGCCGCGGACGACGGCACATTTGTGCCGCCCCCACCCGGCTGTCCGGCTCCTGCCATTGTCTACCCCAAGGACCCTGAGAACGTGGGCAACATCCCGAGCCTACTGCAGGGGTATAGCGACTACGTCGAGGTCGGGCAGACCACGGAGAACTGGGTAGCGTTCTACTGGATTCCGAAGCTGGGTCAAGACACCATGAACGCTCTGAGACAGTCGGCAAGTCTTCATATCCTCCACTACGCCGCGCTCTTCCCTGGCGGGGTTTGTGAATCAGACTAACCTAAAAGCTGAACAGCCCGATGTCGCGCATGCATACTATTACGAGGAGTCAAACTACAACATAGGGGCCCCCTTCACGCTGGAGGACGAAGAGGAGGACGAGGAATCTCTGTACTGGGATATTCCCTCCTATCCCAAAGCTCCACTTACCCCGAGCAACCTCGACGATAGAGTGTCAGATAAGCTGCCAAATGGTCTGGACCCTGAGTTGATTGTGAGCCCCAGCACACTGAACGAGACCCTCCAGTTCGAGCCGCGGCGCGACAAGAGACAGGAACAGAACCATGTGTCTCGAGACACGCCGTTCTGGAGTGCTTCACAGGTTTCGCTGCCCAAGGACAGTATCTGGGGCGCGCCGGGCAGCAAGAGCTTTAACCCCAAAAAGGACAAGGGCAAATTCTCGTATCACTATGACAGCGCGGACGCCAGCGATACTTATGTGTATATGCTGGGCGAGCGGGGGATTTACAATGGGCACGAAGTTTGTCCACCAAGCCGTGTTCTGCGGGGTGTCTGCTGACAGATCGACCGTAGGAGTTCGCTGGCCAGAGAATCGAGTATCTTGACTCGCAGCACAGCTTCGGGCCAGCGAGCCCCCCTTCAAAGCAGTATCGACATGGTGCTGGAGTTGCCGCCCACGTTCTCGGCAAGAGGCTTGGGATTTGTCCGTCGTGCACCTTGGTCGTCACCACAACAACAATGCCGAGCAAAAATATCGAGAATTGGCATATGTTTCCCAACGAGAAACTGCTTTCCCAACTCATTGACGTGCTGGATGATATCAAGAAGAAGAACAGGCAGGGCAAGGCGTCCATCAACATGAGCTTTTCGTACAAAGTCGGCTCCAAGTCTTTCGTCTTCCACACTGCGGCCCGTGAGTAGCAGCACCTGCGCTTACCTTTGCTGTCCCTCCAGGTCCTCTGCTAACACGCGCCTCTTGTTCCAGGGAGCCTATTTCTCAAGCTTGACGCGCTGGGCGTTGTAGTCGTCGCGTCAGCCAACAACCATGCCAAAGAGGAGGGCGTCGCGGTGGAAAGATATCCTGCCAAATTCGGTGACCCTAACGAGTGGACTGGCGGCCTTCCCAATATGATTGTGGTCTCCGCTTCAGACTGGAAGACCCAGAGGGGCGACTTCTCCCAGTACTCCCCTTGGGTCACAACGTTTGCACCGGGGACCGACGTCCGATGCCCAGCCATCAAGGAGTTTGACGACGGCAAAGAACCTATGAGGGTTTGCAGAGGTACATCCTTCGGTACGTAAGCCAAGGAACATCTCCTTTTGCGAGAAAGACTTTTTAGCCGACGGCTTCGACTAACATCTCTTGCTTTATTTCTGCAGCCGCTCCACAGGTCGCTGCCCTCGCCGCTTATTTCCGCGCAGTGCCCTCTCCTTGGCAGTCTCAGTTGAGCAAGCCGAGCAACGTCAAAAAGCTCATCCAACTCTTCGCCCGCCGCTTTGCGGTGGAGGACCATAATGTTGACCCGGTAGCCCGGCGGCCAATTATCTGGAACGGCCAGGTCGGCGAGCACAGCTGTCTGCGCGACTACGGGTCCAAGGAAGACTGGGCCAAGGTGTGCCCAACGATCAAGGACAACCTGGAGGACGAGCCGGTAAACCCTGGACAGCCGGTCGAGCCCTGCGATGCCGGCCAAGCTGGAAGTTTTGCGAATCCCGGTAGGCGGCGGCGCAGGCAAGCCGGCGGCGGGGGGAGCTGCCCCTATGTCCCCGGGGACAATGGCCCCGGCAAGAATATCAACTGGGAAGAGGGACCGTCGGCGCCAGAATGTGCCGGCGACGACAATTGCGGCGGAGAGCTTTGCGAGGGGTACTACTGCGATCCGGACCCGGAGATTCCTCATCCCCCGGACTACTACGACCCCAAGGATCCTGGGAACCCTCATGGCCAGCCCCCGCAGACGCCCCCGGACCCGGACCCGGAGCCAACGTCGACGACAACCAGCAGCACGCCGCCCACGAATACACCAAAGCCCCCGGTAGAAACTATGCCACTGTGTGTTGGCTCCTCGGTAACGCCCACAGGGCAATTTCCCGTCTACGCCTATAGCGCCTATTCGCCTGGTAAGTGGACTTATAGTTTCCCGCCTAGGTCTCAGTTCCCAAGCCCATAGACGATTAACACCTCTAGGACTCCACTGCGATGGCATCTTTATCGTCGACGGTAATATTGGCTCATCTCCGGACATCTGCGACGCGCCTAATGACAACTTCTCCTTCGATATCTGTGACACCGAGCTTACCTTTGTTAATGAAGGTCCTGAATTTTTCTCGAAATGTGGCTTCCAAATTGAAATTGAGGGCAAGAAGTATACTCCTCGCCAGTTGGATCCCCTTGATGAGGATAACCCTTGCTCGGGTTACTGTGACACGGTGGGGATCTCGGGGCTTTTGTTGTATGATTTACCTGCACCCGCTTGTGACTGATTGATTAGGCAGTGGGAGAGAGACGCCAGTTTGAGTTGGAACGGAACATGAATAGATATTGATACATGGTTTAGGGCTAGGTCGTGTCCTATTGCGCCTCACTTGCAGACAGGGGTCGTTTGCGCGGGTAAATAATGTATAGAACGGATATGGTACTTTGCTCCTTCTTAGGGTGGCCGCCACACTGTAGTCAGACAGGGCTTCGGAATATCCAACGTCCAGTTTATAGAAACCCAAAGCAGCTTCTACCAGCTATCCTATAATATAGCTCACGCCTCTCTCTTGTAGGCGCTCCTAGAATGCAGATGAAAGACCAGCATGGTTATGTCTTTCAGCAAGTGCACTACGTACTATTTACGAATGAGCAAGTGGGAATCTGGATAATGAAGTGCTATTATACAGCTGCAACAGCGATCATACCCGCCTAGCTTTGACGCTTATATACAATTCAAACATAGAAGATAGCAAGGGGAAGAAAGCCCAGTGCTGCCAACGTTCACGATAAACATTCCCTGCAGTTGTTGTGGTACCAGGCTCAGAGTAACTGGTTAAGCAAAGCCCTGGCCCTGATTTCAGTCATGACGCCGATGTCGATCCCAATGGGAGCTCGCCGGGTGCGAAGGCTCATCACCATCTCCCCGATCCGTTTCTCCCACGCGGGGATGTCGCTTCCCGGCGCGGCCTGACGGAGGAAGTCTGTTAGTCCGCCAACTACCTCGGCGCGATTAGGTGTGGAAATGGGCATTTGTTGGTGTCGGTCGTCAATCTCAGTAAAGGGTTGCCGAACCTTTACAAAGGAGTAATGTACGAAGACAGCGTTCTCCGCGACCACAGTGTCGTCGCTTGACCTGGACATGCGGCTTCCTCGGTCCATATTGGCGGAGGTTTGACTGGTGTCAGCGTGGCACTCAGTCGGGTAATAGGGTGGAGGTGGTCTGCAAGGTCCTGATGGCGTGCCCCCCAACGTTTCATTATGATCAGAACTCTGATCCGAAGAGCCCACCAGTATCACCCAGCTGCCGGAATGTATATCATTAAGTTTGGCTCTTGAAGGGTCATTAGGCGGGAGCTCGTAATCAAAAAATCCGGCCGGGATAGGGATGACACCGAGTTGACCTGACGATGACGATGTGGCCCTGTTGAATGTAAATTGCAGAATGGCTTTCTCGGAATCCGAACCCGAGCCCAAGGACTGAAGATAGGCCAGGAACTGGACGGCGAAGCTCTCAGCCTCTAGCAGGGTATTGTTCATGGTGTAGTAATTCCGGTACGGCTGGATGTTGTCTGCAGCTAGGCCTGGGCCATCTTCGCTCTGGTAGTGGCTAAACATGAATATGTGCATCACGGGAAGGATCTGGCCGTGGGGGGAGGTGGAGCTGCGGGTGATAGTGGAGGACGACGTTAGGAATTTGTGGCTGCGCAGAGATGTTGAAAAGGCACAGGTCGCATAGATGGTTTTGCCGTGGAGCCACCCCAAGCCTCCTCGTTCTTCTGATGGCCCCTGCTGCGATAGAAGCAGCAGCTGCGAGCAAAAATGAGCGGAGGCATCGTCACTATCCCTGTCTGGTCGCTGCAAGAGGCATAGCTGTCTCAGGCCGGTGCACTGCGCCACAGTCGCTGTGAACTCTTCGAGGCCTTCCTCTCGCTCCATCTCAAACTGATCCACGCAGACGCTGAGCGCAGACGCGCCCCGAAGCTCATCCGATGCGACGGCGGCAGCGATCACGCTGAGCGTGAGGTTCTGAAACGCGACCCAGTTGAGGTGGCTGCGTCCGGCGTATGCAACAGCCAGAACATGGCTTGAAACCCTGGATGGGCCGAGCCTGTCTGGCTCCTCCTCAAGCCGCTGCCACAGCTGCTCGGGGAACCTGGCTAGCAGTTGCAAGTTACTGACCGCAGATCTGTCCGGGGGAGGCCCGGCCGGCTCTTGGGTAAGGACAAGCAGATCATCAATGACGGCGTCTATGTCCTCTGGAATATTTTGCGGCAGGTCGTCTGACATGGTAAAGCTTGAGGCTCTCGATTTCGAATAATCTTTTGCGTGGTACCAGGACATACCTCTCGGCGGGTTCTCTAATACGGTGCTTCCTACCATCTCTGCTGGGGATCCCGGGGTTGAGCTCTCCTCCCAAGGCCAAATATCTACCATTTCGTCAGTTGACGCAATTCACCCTGGCCCCCTGGCTGACAGGTGGCATGGAAACAGACATACAATCCAAGGTTGCAGGATCAGCAAGCGGCATATTATCCAGGCGGCGGAAATTAGGGTCATTGCTCAGGTAGTTGTAGTGGAAGTACCTGCTTAGCCACTGATGAAGAGATAACAGCTCTCGAGGCCGTGGGCTGAAGTGTACAACGTCAGGCTCCTTCTCAGGCGGGGGGTCTTCCACCGGATCCCAGCCGCTTGACTCGTCTTCGTACTCAACGTCGGCCATGTAGCGGACAGGAAAGGCAGTGATGCCGTACTTGACGCCGCTGTCAAGGTCAGAAATGTCGAGAACAACAAGCCCATACTCGATGCAGTCGCCGAGGAAAACAGTGGATAGTGGCTGAAGCTGTACGTCGCCCCGGCGCGTGCGACTCCGTTTAGTGGCATTCCCATTGTCGCCCAACAATCCCAGTAATAGGCAAGTTGTTGTGAATGGAAACTCGGTAAGCGCTTCATCACGCCAAGGCAGCTGGGGTCGGTGCTGCGAAGATTTGTTCTCCGTCCCTTCATCCTCCTCCTCCTCCTCCTCCTCTTCCTCCTCTTCCTCCTTCCACGGCACATAAGGGGGCTGGGCCGAATCTGGAACGTTGGGTCGCGGATCAAGGGGAGCCCCATTGCCCCCGAGAGACCGCCAATAGCAGTTTTCTGCGAGCGCCCTCTCCGCCTCAAGCGGCGCGCGGTTCGCCGGATCCGAAAGGATCTCGATAAGCGCAAGGATGTCTGCCACGAAATGGTCCACGCGCTCCAGATGCGTCTCTTTGATGTGGTTATCACCCTGGCGGTAGGCCACGGCCAGGGAGCGGCTGGCGCCACCGGGGCCGACATTCGCGACGACGGCGAAGAGGAAGGAGCGCGGGCACATGCGACATAACTCGGTGTATTCGTGCGGCATCTTCTTTCGATCCTTAAGCAGAAGAGAGGGAGGAAGAGGGGGATTACGCAGGCTAGGAAATGAGAAGAAGGGTGGGGGGTTAGGAATAGCAGAGGAGTTTCTCCAAGTCACCTACCCCGCCCACGCCAAGGCACAAGGGGGTAGTGTGGTCAAAAGCAGTGTAGTTTAGCAAGAGATTACGTGAAATTTCTATAGGCTTGTTAGAAGCCTCTTAAATCAGAGATACGAACTTTTTATCTCTATGGTTAGAATTTAGTTACTCGCGCTAAGCCTTCGTTAGCCCCCGAAGCCCCCGCAGCCATACCAGAATCCCTAGGTAGCCATGCAACAGAACCCAAACGAACTCCTAATATCATCGGCTTATGTCTTTTTCTCTAGTACACGCTTGCCACTAATAAGCGTCTGCTACTCAAAAGAACGCAGAACTTGCAAGGGACATACCAGATTATAGAGCCTTGAAGACACTGCACAGGTATCCCTATTTTGCTGGGGGAGTACAGAAAGAACAGTCTTCCCGCTCGCATGGATGGCTGAGAAAGAATAACTTCATTGAAATTGTCCCTGCCACATGAAGAAGCCCCCCTCTTACAGCGACGATGTTACCCCTGTCCTACTTATACAGAGTGAAGCATGCATCCACGTTGCAAAATACTCGCTGATGCTATGTCAGGAATAATTAAAGATTAGCTACTAGATGTAAGACCCTCCGCAAAACTCTCTACCTGCTTGCGGGGAGCAGGGCTGAGTTAGCCTCTAGCTTATTTAATATATAAGAGAATCTCTTTACTTTATAAAGATTAAAGAGAAGATATATAGAACTTTAGGATTAATCTATTAATAATTCTTATTTCTTAAAATATACTATTTATAATCTCTATCTCTTTTTATTAGGTGTATTACACTTTTTCACACTATTAGTATTTATAACAACCCTAAAGGACAAGGACCTTATACTTAGAATATTTAAAATTATATATTTTAATATATCTGTCTGGATTTTAATAGGTGATCTTAGGTTATAATATTATAATAATAATTCTAAAAGAAAAGTATTCTTAAAATTTTAGAATAACTTAAGTTTCTTTCTTTTTAGTAAAAAGTATAATTCTATATCTTTTTTTATTATTTTATTGTAGCCTAGGTCGGGCCAGCCACCTATGGCACGGAAGGTCCATCGTTCTGAAGGAGTGAAATATGTAGCAACTTTGTATGGTCTTTATACCTTTCTATGGTCCTTTATACAACTCATGTCGGGGTCACTTGGTGGCTGTCGTAGCGATCATCTAGGAGCCAGCTCAAGGCGCTGTTAATCAAGGCTTCCCCCGTTATCTCCTGGTCATGCAGTAATCGAGAAATGTCATTCCACTGAGCAGAATCATCCGTCGACATCGTCTCTTCATTTTCGCTTCCCTGGGTCGTAAGAAATTCGATACTAGGCCGCGCAGGCGTAGCATTTCCAGAACTACTTTTAGGATCGCCCGGTATGAACGTGCCAGGTTCCGTGGATTGAGGAGCCAGCTGCCTCTCCGATAGAAGCGAAGAGTGTTCGATCAGGAAACGAGCCATCCAGTTGTCAAGCACAAACGGATCCGACATTGAGTCTCTGCAGGAGTTCTGGAATGTCCGCAGATGGGTAGTCTAAGACTCATCAGCAAAAGGGCAACATGTCTTCTAAGGCATTGACCTACATAGTGTTCCACAATAGGCCAGTATGATTTAACGGTCATGAGATACTGAAAGTTCGCCACTAGACGCTGGCGCACCATTGAAAGTTCGCGGTAGTCGTCGCTGAATAGCAAGGTATGAAGATGAACGCAAGAGCTGACAACCCCAATATGGCCGTAAATAAAGTAGTCCAATTCACAGTTCTTGATGTTCCGGGAGTACTGTAGAATAGAAGAGACCACCGCCGCACTGTCCTTACACTTGATTGCATGATCTGGCCGCGAGTTCCTCGCGGCTCTCGCATCCAGGAAGGGGAAAAGCAGCATCTGTTTGAAATGGAAGTAGCCAATATGCATCGCGAGGTAAATTTGACCAAGACTCCTTCCTGCAAGGAACATGAGATTGTCGAAACTCCACGTCAGTCTTGGAGGCAGGTTCGCCGCCCACCCGTCCAACGCCAGTTCCACATCGGCTGCTTGCGCGCAGTAGTCAGCGAACGCGATCTGGTCGCAGCTAAGCTGTCGCATTAGAGTGTTTATTTTGGCGAATATACCAAGAGTGCGTGCCATCTGAGCCCACATATCACAGCCGGAAGGATCCTGCACATGGCTCACATTCAGCACCTCTGCGCGGACAGTGCGGAACGTCGCGTCATCAATCTTTGGGAGAAAGTCTGGCTGCTCAGGTAGACTCAAAGGCTCCATGGCCATATCCCAGGCCGACCAATGGCTTGCCACGTGGATTGACAGCCAACTCCGCCGGAGTTCCTCCTGGTGCACAGCAGGTGCATTATCACCGAGTGACAGTCTCTCCGCGTGTAACCGAGCCAATCCTATATAGATATGTTTGCCATCAACATTTCCCTCGCCGCTGAGATAGTATCCGATCAATAGAAAGCCTTGGACGGTTTCCAAGCTCGGGGATATCATGTACGGTTGGCTGAGGCGAACTGCTTCTATGGCAAAGACTTTTCCGCGATCACAGGGGGGTATCCCGTCGAAAACTGGATTATTGGAGAATCTGCGCGACCGAGGTTACTAATGTTGGGCGGTTATCAAGCTTATAACGCAGTGAAGCTTTACCTCGCAGCCAACGCACACATCGCATAAACATGGATCATCGGGGCCGTGCCTTCATCCAGGCGGCGCAGGAATGTAGGCCCATGGAATATGGTATGAGGTATATCGTGGATAAAGCGAAAATAAAGGTGACACAGCTCGATCCATATTTGTCGTGATGTCAGTACTGTGGGGGAATCATCCGACGCGTTGGACAAGCCAGTTTCCTCGCTATTCCGGGGGTATCCTCGATCGACGTCTCTTCTCTCCGGCAGAACACTAAGACTGCAAGGTCGCGAGAGGGATCGGCATAGTTCGCACGCGTCTCCGGTGGAGGATGGGATGCAGCGACGTTTTCTTGAGCTGTTGCGGGGTGTCAGTGTTGACTTGTCACTCCAGTCGGCTAGATCTTACCGGCACGTCACGCAGGCCCCGGCTCTGGGCCTTCTCAAGTCGGTTGACATGTCATGAATGGCGATCCTCTGGCCGTACTAGACACCATTCGATGCATCTAGATGGGCTGGCTGACCACCGTCCAAAGAAGTGTTGAATGTTTGTTCTCTCGTCGCGTCGTTGCTGGCGGAGTGCTGACTAATCAGGATCCCCAGACCAGCTTCTGAATGAGACCGAGGTTTGGGGTAGGAAGTACCGAAATAGTGTTATTCCTTTCGGATAATTCAGGGTCTGATATCTTTTGGGCCTGTAAGAATCGTTCAGAGCTTACTTAAGGGTGCCGTCATCCAGTACAATAAGTTTCGAAGCGAACACTCAGCAGACATATATATATCTAGATCCAAGTGTTATAATCTACATTGCAAAAAGAACAACTAAATGAGAATGTTTGATTGATATTTTCTTCCCTCTCCTTTTATCCTGTTGAATATGCACAACATAGACTATGACTGACAATTGCCATCTAACCTGTGATGTCCCCGGAGCTAGTATTAGTCCCATTCTATGGCGACCAAGGTCAGCCCCCCATCCAGGGTAGATCAGCCAGACACTACACAGCCGCAAGGCCTTTATTTGGGTATAGAACGGGTCATAGCGTGACTTTGGAGCTCAGGCCTCGAGTGGAAATTCTCATCCTATGCTTTTCCGGTATGCTTGGCTATGGGGGGTGGATATCCTAGACACGAGTATATGATGTGGCTATGATCTATACACCAGTAACTTCACTGAGACAACATCGTGAAAGCACTGTCCCCAAATTTGGACGGCATGTTTATTATTTTCGGCAACGTCCAGTTCATACCTGGTAGATACGGCGAGGTGAGCCCCCTTCCTTTCCATCCCAAAACTAACACTGAAGACCTGCAGTGGCAAACTGCCTACGACAAACTGGCCGACTATGTTGCCGTTCAAGAGCGAACCTCGACTTTAACATATTATTTTGGGATACCGTTCGAATTTAAGATAAACTTCAAAGATACACCACATATGCTGGCATTCGAGGCCTATAACACGCGTGAGGTTGGTTAACCCCATACCTGCTACGCGTGGGAGATATCTAGTGACCCAGAATTAACACGGCACAGGATTTATATGACACTCATTTGAACTCCCCGGAGATGCAGGACTTTCTGGCCGCGGTCCCTAGCACCATGTCAACAGGCCTTGACCTCTCGCACTACACCGAGACAGCGGGGTTCCTAGATAAATCCGGGAATTGCCAGGAGTGTGAGGCCATCTACGACACGCGGGTTGAATGCTATACACTAGAGGATAGAAATACTGCTTTAGCTAAGCTCGCTGTAATAGCTGAGCACATTGCCGAATATGAAGACGGCACATGTACATTCCTGGTTCTGAAGAGCCTAGACAGCGACACTCATTTGAGGATTTTTGGACGGTATTCTAGCTGGGACGCAATGCTTTCACATCAGAAGGGAGACAAACTGGTAGATTTATGGCTGGGTTCAAAGACAGGAATCAAGAGTATGGAAGGAAGAGCATATGTCCCGAATGGTAAAGGTTGGCTGCACCATTAGGACCTCGTGAAGGATAGTTTTGACAACGCTCGAATAGCCCGCTACTTGATAGTCCGGCAGAATGTGTAACACGGCTGCTAAATAGTCCTAGTGGAAGTGCATATGACTAGACTTTCAATGGTTGCTACTAGATGTGATGAAGAAAGAGATTTACTAAACTCACCAGCTAGCTTGTTGAAAACACTACACAGTATACCCTCTTCGGATTGTCCCATACTCAATTGGCCTGGCAGAGCTGTCTGGAGGTTCCCTAACTAATTATATCCAATTTTATACTATATACGGCCCCTACAGCGCGAACTTTAGGCACAGACGCCTCCATGCACTTAGGAAAGCGGCTGAAAGCCTTCCCAAGCTTCATTGACAGCTTTGTTCCACACGGCTCTATAACGATTGAGCCCACCCAAATAAGCCCTCACGCCGTGAGACTTGCCAGGTATATTGCCTCCGTTAATCCAGGAATACTTTGATTTGCTGAAGATGCTCTCTTTGGCCAGTTCCCTGCAGAGCTTGTCCCACCCCTCCTGTGCCTCGGGCGTGGCAACGACGATACCCTTAGAGCCCAAATCGCGTCTCGCTGCTTCTGCTCGCTGAATAGCACATGTGTTCACGTCAACGCTTGCTTGAATTGTCTGCGGAACGTTTCCAAAGGACGACTGCGGACCATTGACAATAAACATGTTCGGAAAACCAGACACGAAATTTCCAAGATAAGCCGTTGGCCCAGCAGCCCATACATCCTTGAGAGTACTGCCATCGCGGCCAGTGATATTGACGCGCATGAGGTTGCCTTCAATGGCATCGAACCCGGTAGCGAAAATGATCACGTCCAGTTCATGAAGGGTGCCGTCTCCGGTCCGGATACCGTCAGGAGTGATCTCCACGATGGGGTGCGCTTTCAGGTCCACAATGGACACATTCTCGCGATTAAAGGTCTCATAGTACCCATCGTTCGACACGGGGCGGCGCGCAAAAAGCTCATCAGGGATAAGCTTACTGGCCTTTTTGGGGTCGTTCACAATGCAGCGAATCTTGTTGCGGAGAAACTCGCATACCTCCTCGTTTGCTTTCTGGTTCGTGACGATGTCGCTAAAGCTCTCCAGTAGGAAATGAATCCCGTTGCCATTATTCCATTGATCCTCCAGCAATTCCTGACGTCGCTCGGGGGTGACGGAAAAGAACGGACGATTGGACTCGACGAAGCCAAACCCAGAAAAGGAGTCCCGAACTTGATTCCATATCTGATCGTAGTTGTCATTGAGCCAGTCCATATGAGCGTGTGAAAGGGCTCTGTCATTGTTAGGCACCGTGAACTGCGGGTGACGGATAAACGCCGTCAATGACTTGACAATGGGAGCAGTGTTGGTGATGATCTGGACTCCACTGGCACCGCAGCCTATAACTCCAATACGCTTGTTCCTGACATCCAGATCCTTGGGCCAGCTTGACGAGTGCGTAAAACAGCCCTTGAAGGTGGAGACTCCAGGGATATCAGGGAGGTAGACTTTGGACAAGACACCCAACGCAGGAATGAAATAGCGAACGCGGAAGATTTCTCCCGTGCTGGTCTGGATAACCCACATACTAGTGTCCTGATCCCACGTCGCCGATAACATTTCCGTGTTGAACTGCATGTACTTGCGTAGATCATGCTTTGCAACGATGCGATTAAGATATGCTAGGATCTCGGGTTGTCGAAGATAGCGGCGATTCCACGGATGAGCCTTCTGGTCTTCGCGGTCCCAAGAGAAACGATACACAAAGCTCTCCGTGTCGCTCAAAGCTCCAGGATAGATATTAGTGAGCCAGGTACCTCCAACATCCGGAAGGGAGTCGATGACTTTAATGGACAGTCCGAGGTTACGCAGGGTGTATGCCTGGCATATCCCACTGAAGCCGGCGCCGACAATAAGCACGTCCAACTGTTGCTCTGAGACAGATCCCATGGTGTTGAGAAATGGAAGCTTTTCTGCAAAGTGATGATAATACGTCTGAAGGAGATTCACAGCTGGACATGCGTCCGACTTTATATAGCATTCTCGCACCAGGCATATGGTATTAAGGGGACTTGGGCCATGGAATCTCAAATTAAACAGAGAAAGGCAGGGCTCTATCCGCCGCCGGTATTCGCTTCGGACTCCCGGTCCTGAGCCCGAGACCTGTCTTCCAAATGCACTAGGAAACTGCTAGACTTGGATCCCCTGGTGGAGTGTTGGAGTACTAAATGCGTCCGATGACTGGGCGAGTGGACACTCACTTGTCCCTCTACCAGCACCGCAGCAGGACATGTTGCAGCAGAGCTTCGGCGTAATAGGGCAAAGGCCGTGGGATAACCAGGTCGTCCCTCCGGATTATTGCTGTTGTCATCTCACGGATCAGATAACAAAAGTGGAGCAGATCCACGTCCAAGTGCAGTGAACAACCAACCGTGCAAAGGTTTGGTTCCACAGGGAAAAGACAGTAGCCGGACCGTGGCGACAACTTACCAGATGGCCGTGTGGCGGACTATTTCCCATCAAAAATTTCTTCGAACCTGCTCAAAGTGGACAGCGGCAACGCATAGTATACAAGACAGCCGTGTCTCAACTGCGTCAAAGCAGGGATACCCTGCGTTTTCCCAAAGCCTGCAAGAAACTTACGCAGGGTTCGCGAGTCACCAGGAACCGACATTTGGTGCCGACTGAAACAACTAGAAGATCTTGTTCGTGACCTTCAGCATCCCATCTACTCGGACGTGGAGGCCATAGGATCTACCGCGGCTGGCAGTGGCCAAGCAACAATCATTGAAAAATGCCCATATCTTGAGACAGATCCACGCGTGATGCCACAGAAATACGGCACCCATGAGGAGTTCGGGCGGCTCGTGGTTGATCATGGATGCGGTCGCTATATAAGTAATCGGCTATGGGCGAGTCTCAGTGACCAGGTATACTTTCCACTATCAGTTTTTCGTTCTTGCTGTTAATAGTCAGATCGACGAGCTGCATGAGCTGCTGGAGCCGTCGTATAGTGCTGGTGAATATCTATCCCCGGACAGTAGCCGACCAAATAATCATTACCACAACGACTGCTTCCTCTTCGGGTTCAACTCTGTTGCGCACACCCTAGCGAATTATCATCCGTCAGCGACACAGATAGCTGTTCTGTGGAATAAGTATCAACAGAATGTGGCTCCACTCGTGATGGTTCTACACCCGGAGACCGTAAATATGGCGTTTCAGTGCTATCAAGTTTGTCCGGAAGTCTTGGATGAGGTTTCAGAGTGTATGCTGTTTGCCGTGTATTTCTCAGCTGCTGCCAGCATGAGCGAACAGGAATGTCTTGTGGAGTTTGAGGATACCAAAGAAGCAGTAAGAAGTCACTTCCGATTTGCTATAGAGCAGGGGTTTGTAAAGGCAGGTTTGACGACGGCGAAGAATCTGAATTTACTCCAGGCTGCTGTTCTCTACCTGAAGAGCCTACGTTCGCTCGGAGAGACGCGATTTGCCTGGTCTATGACTTCTCTTGTTGTCCGTCTTGCCACTGGCCTGGGCTTACATCGTGACGGTTCCACATTTGGCCTGGAACCATTCGAGGTCGAGATGCGCCGTCGTCTGTGGTGGTGCATCTGCATACTCGACATTGAAACTGCAGAAGATCAGGGCACAGATCCAATGCTGCACGACGTCTTTTACGACACTCGTCTTCCGTTGAATATCAACGACGACGATGTCGACCCGTTCGTGAAGGACTTACCGCAAGAGCAATCTGGCTTTACAGATTTAACTTACTTTCTCTTGCAATGCGAGGTTGCGTTGGCTACACGCCGACTGACTTATCACCTTCCCGGAAGTCCCTGCCCTGCCCTGCAATCAATCGAAGAGCGTCGATCTCTTGTTGAAGACCTGGACAGACGCCTAAATGAGCGATATGTGCGCCATCTCGATCCTAATTCTGCCCTCCAGTCGGTTTGCATAAAGCTTGTCCGCATATCTATTGCGAAGCTGTCACTGATCATACATCAACCCCTGGACAAAGACCAAAAGATACCTCATGATGTACGAGACAAGATCATTTCTCATGCAATCGAAATGATTGAACTAAGCCATACCCTGCATATGGATGTCAGGCTCGCAAAGTGGAAATGGGAATTCCAAACGCACATACCTTGGCACGCACTTGCATTTGTCCTATCTGAGATGTGCTGCGGCAGAGAAAGCTCAATACTGGAGCGTGCGTGGCCCTCGATAAGCACGATCTTCAAAGAGTGGCAACGAGACGCAATCAGCCAGAGCAGAACCATCTGGCAGCCCTTATCAAAACTGATGGTCCGGGCAACATATTGCCGAAGCAAACAAGACGGCAAGGGTTTGACACGCAGACTTTTGCGTCCAGCTGATTCCAACGGGCAATATTTCGATCCGACCGGGGGTATGCTCCCCTCTCTCGAGCCGATCTTCGGATCCTACCCCTCAGCTACGTGCATGCCCTTCGATCCTCACCCGACGAACTCGAAAGAAACAGAGATTGCCGGCGAGTGGGGCATCCCATGTAGATCTCATCCATTGGACAAGGCCGACAGGCAGCGACAATTAGATGAGTTACCAGTTTCGCTATTAGCAGCACGGTCCATGCCTTGGTTGAATATTGGTCAACACGAGCATTGGGATTCCCCAGACTCGGGGCTTGGGTAGGGTCATTTATTTTCACGCTCACATTCGTTTGTGGGCTAAGGTTATTCTCATCTCTCTTTAGTGCAGGGCGGATATTAGAGAGGACAGTCTGAAGAATTAGGATATCCTGATAAAGCATTGCTGAGGAAATACTAAGAACATAGTATATGTGGCGTGGACTCAGTAGTACTAATATACAATACGGTCTGGTGCCTGTGATAAAGTGGCTATTTATTTAGTAGAAGTACTGGTAAGCCCAACTCATACATCCAGTCTCTGCATTCGCATTACAGTATAGGGAAAACCTAATCTACGGCAAAAACCTATACCGAGACACGCAATGACCAGCCAAATCGCTCACATAAGCCATGCACTTAACACCTAGTTAGCAGGAGTCTTGCGAGACTTCCATCTGGTTGCACTCGGAGTAGATCGTATCTGGACTTCCACATTGGGAAAGTCGGACCCTGTACGGACTAAAAATGCGGATGAGTTAGTGCTGTTCTAGTACGTAGGGAAAACAGTTACTCACCTGTCTACGACCCCCAAGTTGCAGGATCCAGAAACAGTTGTTCCGCCATTGTTAGTATTCACTGGACCGGCGACGCGGATTGTGTGGGGATTCTGAGCCAGCTGGAAGTTGGAGAGATAGACACAAAGTTGGGAAGGGTCGGTGCTGGTGATGGCCGTCAGCTTACTGCCCTGAAGAACATACACCAAATGTATTAGGCGGATCATACTTGACATGGCTCCACTGAACGTTCCAGTTTTCAGACAGGTCCACGGTACCTGGAGGCGGGGGCGAGATGCATTGGACAGCAGCTGTGGTTGCCACAAGGGCAGCAATGAATGGGATGCTGGAGTACATTTTTGAGTATTGTTTTATATGTTGAGAGAAAATGAGAATCTGGAGTTGAGGAAGATCGTTGCAAGCGATGTTGAGGGTTTCAGGGCCCCTATTTATACCTGTTGCCCGCAGCAGCATAGGATTAACAAAGTCAAACAGCCACCCATCATGAAGCTGAGGGGTACTTCTGATAAGTCATTAGCCAGCTAAGATCGAGCTGTATCCTTCCTTTCCGTATCAAGGCAATGAACCATAATACCGAACATTGTGTAACTTCCAACTGACAGAGCCTCAGCTTACGGTTCTTTACAGACTTCGCAGAGACCGTCATCCGTTAAGCACAGTGGCGTTAAACTCACATACTACACCCCGATTATACTTGATGAAAAGGTGCTTCCTATGAAAGAGTTCCTGGAGCCTAGTGTACAGAACAAAGTAAACACGGGGCAGTTTTCTCCAAGACCAAACCACGAGCTCGTATGGCCACCCACGAGTCACATGCAGCGAGGCCAATAAAAAGCCAAGTGGCTGGCGGATGGATCATTTCCAGCGTCATCCAAGACATGCATCTGACGGACGAACCATCCGGGTGCTTTACAGCCTGGCGATTTGTAATTCATTGGGGGGGCGGCAAATGCGAGAACTGATTGGCGCATCCAAAAGTCGCCCATCCAATGTTGGCCCGTGAATCTGAACAAGCCCCAACCCCATGCGTCTTGGTTACACAGCAGCTCGTAAATCCAAGAGGAGGCCAAATCTGAGGTCAGAGGCCACCATGGGCGCAGTCAGCAGGTCGAGCGCCATGACAGGTCGCAGAGGGCTGGTGGAGGGAGAGGCGTATTGGAGCGGTGCAGGAAGGGAAACTAGAACGCTGTGAGGTGGTCTGGTGTAACGGTAATGGATTTGGCTGAATGGACGAAGCCTGGAATAGGAGGGAATGCTGCCCACTGCTGCCTATCGCGACGGCGCGTTGGAGATGACAACCTTTCAAAATGGAAGGTGAGACTGGCTATGCTATAATGGAAAAACCGAAGTAGGCCATGCACGGAGAAGGCAGGTGCGCGCAAAGCCAGACCCTGAGGGCCGCTACTGGTATATATTAAGGAAACAATACACGGCCTGGTGAGTATGGAAGATGGTATATAACATAGGACGGTTGTACTTAACCCACAGATGCAGATCCCAGAGCACCCAAGGTAGAATCACTGCATGCAAGTCCCATTACGAGGCATGCCAATATAATGAGTAAATAGCACCAAAGACCGACAACAAAAATGGAGACATATAAAACACTATCCAAGTACAGACGGCCAGGAAAATCCCAGGATAACCTAGTATCAGTATCCACATTTTATCGGTCGCAATCACACTCAATACGACGAGAGCCGGGGAGGCATAATAGTAAATCTGACGACAGATCCGGTACGCCTTACCAGGATCAATTACGATTCGAATAGCGGAACAGGCATAATGTTTGGATTGGTTCGATTTGATGGTGTTCACAACTCCGCAAAGGGGTATGGTTGAGAGGCACAGACAGCAGCCCCCGAGAAGTAAACATGCATATTGCACAAAAAACAGGTTCAGGTGCTGGAAGTCTTCCTCGGCAAACAAGAGGTAAACTGGTGCTGCCCCGACAATAAATGATATCATGAAATATAGGTTATCCAGGTACCACGGGCACGAGCGAAAGTCGCGCTCGCAGGCCGCTATGATAATGTCATATACCCGATCGCCCTCCGATTGAGTTGGCCGAATGCATGACATTGCCCGCAGGGGAGCTGGGGGATTGCTCTGGGGGCTGGGCGTTGACTGTGCTTGTTGGCCATCCCTTAGCTCTAAGAGTTGGAGATTCTCGTATTGGGTTGGGATATCTGGGGCCTTTCCACTAGACACCTCTGTTTCTATTAGTACAGAAAGCCCATAATGTAAGCTAGCGGACGAGAGCATACCGGAGAGACTTTCCACAACCACCAAGCCTGGAACAAGAAGAAGTAATACTGGAATGACCTGGCCGAAGCCCCAATAGCTCTCTTCCAGCATATCTCTGCTGCTCTGCATGCTATAGCGGACAGTAAATAGCCGCATGGTACCCCATATGAGGGAAAATAGCAGCCATAGTAGCTTTAAACATTAGCATATAGAATACACAAATATGCGGCAAACTGTACCTCCCATGTGCGGGATCGCCAGAAGTCAAGCAAGGCTTGGACTGAGACCAGGACGGACAGACTCAAGACAGGTACCCAAAGAGTAAACGCGGCAGTGAATTTGCTGCGTGCCTGCAGCCTTTTACAAAGCCAAACTATGGAGGCCAGCCACTTTGCACGCACAACCCTAAGAATTCTCATACCAACGTGGCTCGTGTGTGAAAGCATTCGCAGAAGCCGAGTAACGAGGGTCCCAAGAAGTATGACTTCCGATAAAATCGTGTACACGCCGTCCTGAGAGATCCAGTCGCCGACTGGGTCAGATCCATTGGCCACACTTCCACACATGGCCGGGGCATCCCGATCGCCGCTTCGAAGCAAGGCTATTGCCAGCATAATAGCGACCCCTGACATCAACATCACCCTCAGGCAGAGGAGCAACTTGTGGCTTTGGAGGAACTCTTGAAGGAATGGGAGAGTTGCGAGATGGGTTATCGATGCGAACCAGGCCAGAGTCGTTGCCACCTGCCAGTGGTAAAATGATATGCCACAGTTGAGCTGGCTAAATGCCCCGATGAGCATAGCAAGCCCCGTGACAAGCTGCTGATCACTTATGGCGAGTATGAGCTGTATTTATCAGATATCAGCACGGTATATCTTGCTCCAGGGCACTGTATATACTAACAGTTCTGAGCGGCCTCGACCAGTCTCTACTTGAATTCCACCTTAGGGCACGCCGCACGGCGCCTTGTAGCGACGAGTCCAACAGGTTGGATGACGGTTCAACCTGCACTGCGACATAATGGACTGCCAAGCATACGAGGGTCAACCAGGCGGTTCCAAGGGACGCTGCCAAAACCTGTCCACATAAGCGTTGTGTAGTGTGACTGCTCAAGACAGGAGCATACCCCAATCCCCGAAATATCAGGGTCCGGTTCCAGATGCAGGTCGCTCAGACCAGCAGCCGAACAGTCGATTGGCCTACATGACATTTTCGGGCTGAACTGGCAGACGCGAGGATGGAAGAACCGTTCAGCTTATGGCGGTGGAAATGGCCCCACCGCATGCGCGTGTCAGGACAAAAATATCAATTGGGTGCAGATCTTTACGGTAGACAACGTCACCCAAACAGGCGAAGGAACGGAGATTGACATACACTATTACCAGAAGGTATTAGCGCCATCGTGAGAATTAGCATGAAGGTATGCTATGACTGCTGCAAAGAAATAAACCAAAGTCGGTTTATGAAATATAACGGGCTAATATGATCCAGGTTAACATGCTTCCCTACTGAGAAAGAAAATAATGACTTCAGAAATGCTTTCTTCATGAATACCGATAGAACAAGACTTTCAGTAACGATGCTTGCTTAACAACAGATGATCATGCAATGCCTGGTCGGAACAATGTCTTTTAGATTGTATAATAAGCACTAGACATGCAAGATCATGCCATTTGTACTGAAACTGCTTAATAGCGCGAGATATCCCGCCCAAAAACCCGATTCAACATCCACCGAAACGCAACCCTTAGCTTATTGCGCCAGCTAATAGTCATCGTCAAGTACGCCGAATTCCAGACCAACCAGGCCATTCTCCCTGTTACTTTCTGTGGCAGAAATTTGCCATCCCCTTCATCCGGCAGCTGCATGAGCGCCCGCGCATCCCCAATATACGCCAGCGTGCCCATATTCTTGAATGAGAACGGCGGCGATGTCTGCAAGTCGCCGTGATTAAACCGCGTCGCAAGCCACTTTGCTTCCTGGGCGGTCGCCTGTGCTGTTGCTGGTGGTGCGCCATTCTCGGGCATGGCGTTGTCTCCAAGCGCAAAGACGTCCTTGAGAACGGCTGTACTACCGGTGCCGTCTTGAAGCTGGACGCGCAAGTGTCCATCGACTAGGAGTGCACCTGTCTGCGAGGCCTTCTTATACGACCACGACCGCGTCGATGCATCCTGCGGCGGCTTCGAACCGTCCTGCATAACGGCCGAATTCGCCGGAAACACATCGACATCTCGCAGAGAATCGCGAACGAGCTCGTTCATGGCATTCCCTGTAGCCCAGACACACATTCCCACTCCCACCTCTCCCTCCTCCTTCGTTGTAAGTGTTAAACAACTCCGCGGATCCATCTCGTACGGCGGTTCAGCACCGGGAACACCCCAACGGAGATTTTCGATATGATGGGAAGTGCGGACGTCAATACCCTCCTTCTTCATCGTCTCTTTCGCATACCGCGACAACGACTCATCGAACATCGACAGCACCTTCGGCGCAACATCATACAGCGAGATACGTGGTAAGCCGACCAAAGTCGGATACAGGGAGATCAGATCAGCGTGGATAAAGTCGCGCAATGCCGCAGCAAGTTCCGTACCAGTTGGACCAGCGCCAACGATGGCGAAATGCAGCAGATGCCGGCGCATTTCGTCGCTGGTGGTTGGGAGGACGGCGAGTTCGAAGCATTCGCGGAGGCGCCGACGGACACGGCGCGAGTCGCCAATATCGCGGAAGAAGATGGCGTTATCCTTGACGCCTGGTGTTTTGAATGTCCGGCTGATTGCGCCCACTGATATGATCAACTTGTCGTAGGGGACGTGGAACATCTCGCTGTGTTCCCATTTATTCACCTGCTTGCCATTATTCTGGTTCTCCTCCTCTGTATGCGTCTCGGTAACGCCGCTTTGGACGATAGTCGGTTCGCAGAGGACGGTCTTGCGGTCTAGATCGATTGCCCGCGCGGCAGCTTGGATAAAGTCGAGCTTGACCCTGGGATCGCGCACAGGCTCGACGATATGGGAGAAGTCCAGGTCGCCGCCGGCAGTGTCGGTGAGCAACGGGGTAAAGACGAAGTACGACCGAGGGGATATCACGACGGGGGCGAACTGGCGATGCGATAGTTTTCGCGAGAGAGTGTATCCTCCCCATCCGGAGCCCAGGACGACGATGCGCTGCTTGTCGTTGCCCGGATGCTCCCGGATGTCGGCGAAGCGGCGTATCTGCCACCGCAGGAGAGGATATCGCGGAATGGACCTGAACAGAGGTTTCATCGTAGGCTGAGAGGTTCATTGTCTGAATATTCTGCAGCAAGGAATTTTTTGAGCGAAGTCGGCGCGTTGAGCCAGGTTAACCCATTATGACCTCATCATCCGGTCATCCCGACGTTCTCGTAGCCCTAAACAGCATTCTGTAAACAGATCTATCTTATCTACGAACTATAAACCAGATCTTCACATGCCTGTGCGCTAAGTGAGATATGGTTAGTGCTTAGTTTGGTCTTCGTATACTCTTCGTATCCAGAGCGTCAGCATGACTCAGTAATTCAACCATCGTCAACACACAACAGTCATAATGACCAAACCCATGTCAATCCGAATAGTCAATACTGTCCGCTCATACTCAACCCGCACCAAGCAGAGTCTGTCTCTCCCCGACGGCCGCACTCTCAGCTACGCCGAATACGGCATCCCATCAGGCACGCCCCTACTGTATCTCCACGGCTTCCCCTCCTCACGCCTGGAAGCCTCCGCATTCGATCCCATCGCCCGCAGTCGCAATCTCCGCATCATTGCACCAGAGCGGCCCGGATACGGCCAATCCACATTCCAACCCAACCGCCAGATACGCGACTACCCCGCCGACATCCAGTCCCTGGCCGACCACCTCAACCTTCCCAGTTTCGCCGTCCTAGGCGGATCCGGCGGTGGCCCGTACGCACTTGCATGCGCGCACTCACTACCACACCACCGTCTCTCCGGCGTTGGGGTCCTCGCGGGCGCTGGACCATGGAGCGCCGGTATGCAGTACGTGTCGGTTTCAAGACGACTAACATCGCTTGCGGCGACGCATACACCGGTCGGATTCCGACTAGTCCTGGATGGGCTAGTTAATGCTTTAAAATGGACTGTAACCACGCGCCCCGCGACGCGGTGGATCAACGCCTGGCTTGAGAAACAGGCTAGCTCTGAGAAGGGAACACTGAGCATAGACGAGCGCCGGCAGATGGTGCTGGATATGTCGTTTGAAGCGTTTGCGCAGGGCAGCGGTGCGACTGTGCAGGAGGCTGTTCTGCTATCGCATGATTGGGGGTTTAGATTTGAGGATATCGCCTATGACAAGGTGAGGATCTGGCATGGTGTCAACGATTCAAATGCACCGGTTGAGATGATTAGGTATATGGCTGGGCGGATTCCGCATTGTGCGTTGACCGAGTTTGATGATACCCATTATACGGTTGCGAGGCATATTGAACGCATTTTGGATGAGCTTGTTCCTGTTGCTTGATTGTTGACTCTACCTGTATACTAGACCCCGACTGTTGTACATTATGGCGCCTCTCTCCTCATCAATCAACCCTGAATAATTTATACTGGTCCAATGGGTTAAATCAATACGGCTGTGCATGTCTAGTATATGGATGTTAAACTTGTTGTATTGGTAGACATGCTCATTCCTTAAACCTTCCCAGCCAGAAACTCAAGGGCATCCGGGACATCCTGACTATAAGAAAAATGCGCATCTGTGATAATAAGCGTCCCCTCGCACACCTTATCTCCCTCCGCACAATAAATCTTCGTCTTATCCGTCGAAAAGTTCGGAATCCGCTCGTTATCCTGTTGATTGCGGGTGTCCCCGAAGAGCACGACACCGCTGATCTGGTTCTGCACGCTACTCGAGAGAGTCGAAACGGACCCGTGCATCACTGCCGCTCCTTGACTGTATAATTGTCAGACTCCGTATGGTGGTATAGGGGAGACAACAAACCTGTAACCACCCGCAACGACCTTGGTATCGGGACACTTGGACGCCGCAAGCTCAAACAGCTCCGTGGCTTCATTAATCGCCGCATCGGACGTTCCTTTGGGAAGGAGGTTTGATCCCAGGTCCGCTTTATATGCCGGCGCAACACCCTGGCATGCAACCTGATCGGGCTTCAGCGATTTGAGGCCGTCACAGACCTCCACTCCGAGTGAGCCCTAGATGGTCAGTCCCTTGCACTAGTCATATGGTGGAAGTAGTCTACCAGGTAGTCGTCCTCCGTCGACCCGCGGGCAAAGATAAGAGTTATATCCTTGCAATCCCCATCGCGCAGTTCATTCTGGCCAGATGCTACGTTGGGAGCTTAGCCAAGTCCTGGTTGGGAGGGAGAATTTGCATACACTGGCGCTTCTCGAGGCAAATGGGGCTTGCTGCAGTAAGTGCAGCGAAGAGGGATACGGCAAGTTGGAGCTTCATGTTGGTAACGGAGTATATTTGGAATGACTCTTTGTACTGTCACTCAGAAAGATGACATCTAGGACATGTTTCCAAGCGCTTTATATATTCCCGCCCCCCAAGGCACCGTTCGTAACTTCTGCACAGCGCATATCTGTCGATGTCGACCTCATCGTATTCCTCACACACCAAACACGACCCTAATCGGCATCATACCCCCAAGTCGTCTCCTCGCCCGCGAGCATGAAACGCCCAGGTTCAAAGGCTAAAGCGATATGTGGTTATTCTGCAATTAGGACTCTTGGACAGTCACGCGACGGGCATTCTGTCCACTCGCAAGCAAGCGAGAGTTGCATCGCATTCCCCTGCAGCACTTGGCAGATGCGTATTCATCTATTTATACTGATTAAGTTTGCAGCACCGAGTGTAAGCGGGGTGCCCTCCGGCGGGGTAAATATTATCATAGGGCTTTGATCGGCCCCGTGTTCGGCAGTTGCATTCGATGGCTTTTTTGCCTATTTAAATGCCTTGGCCGGAAGTGGGGAGAGTATGCTCCACGAGTCTTTATAGTGCTGCGACTCGGACTGATGGGTTGACGTACAGCTCCTCGGTCTACAGTACCCTTCACACTCGACCTGTCAAGAGATAATATAATGAGCATGTCAACCTAACTTGGAATATATATCTATGTGTCAAATCATCGCGAGAATCATGCTAGCCTCCACTCTCCGCAACCCCATCTTTGGCCAACGTACTCCAGGCTATACAGGGATCCCCACTTTGCGACATGAGGACCGTAGAATAAAACCACATCCCTTCAGTATTGTCCATCGTAGATCAATAACTAATACCAAATACCCACAATGACTGTCAAACAACGACCTCCACGCCAAACAACCCCCAAACCACGCCCCGAAAGCTCCACCCTCAATGTAATCCACCAAACCCTATCATAAACCCACGTCTAACATGCACCATGCAGGTAATAATAATAGGCGCAGGCCTCGGCGGTCTCGGCGCCGCAATCTCTATCCTCCTCGCGGGACACAGGGTAAAAGTGCTCGAATCGGCAAAAAGCATCGGGGAAGTCGGCGCGGGCATCCAGTGTCTACCGAACAGTACCAGAATCCTGCAGTCCTGGGATATACACGGGACGCTTACATCGAAAGCCTCGCAAACAGAGACATGCAATATCCTCAACTGGAAGGGAGACTTGATATCGTCTATGGACTTCGCGGCAGCGGGAAGGGAGCACGGGGCACCGTTTAATGATTTCCATCGGGCTGATCTACACGGCGTCCTCCTTTCTCGGGCGATCGAGTTAGGCGCGGATATACAGACGAGTAGTGAAGTCGTGGATATTACCTTCGACGATGACAAGAGCATCGCCACGGTGCTGGTGAAAAACCAACAACCGCAAGAAGCAGACCTCGTCATCGGCGCAGACGGGATCAACTCGCGGTGTCGCGAGATCTTGCTCGGACGGCGCGAACCACCGCATCGCACCGGCGACATGGCGTACCGGATCCTCCTAGATGGCGAAGATGTTCGGAAGGATCCAGAGCTGGTGCGGTATCTAGATGAGAAGGCCGTGAATTATTGGTACGGGCCTGGAGCGCATGCCGGTAACCACTATCCACCACTATATCGACGTCGAGTAGAAATGTTGACTATGGCAGTAACGTACGCCCTCCGCGACGGGTCCCAGCTCAACCTCGTCCTGCTCGTCCCAGATAACATGCCCGAAGAAGGCCCGTCAACACTACAAGGCTACGTCGACGAGATGCAGGGACTATTCAAGGAGTGGGATCCAAAGTATGCGACCACAGTACGATATAGATAGAGATAAGCTAACAGCGATAGAATCGGCAAACTGCTCGCTCTCTGCCCATCCGTCCTGCGATGGCGCCTCTGTATCCGCAATAGCATCGACTCATGGGTCCATCCGAGCCAGACTTTCGCGCTGCTCGGGGATTCCGCGCACGCGACACTGCCCTACCTCGCCAGCGGGGCGGGGATAACATTCGAAGACGCAGCTGTGCTAGGTGAGTGTCTGAGCCGGATTGAATCGCTTTCGAAAGACGACAAGGCCAAGGCGCTAGGTGTTTACGAGCTGTGCCGGAAACTGCGGACGGAGACTGTTGTCCGGCGCGGGTCGATCCAGCAGGATCTGAATCACCTTGATGATGGAGAGGAGCAGAGGGAGCGGGATTGGAAGATGCGTGGGTTTGAGGCTGTTGAGAGGCAGTGGGTTCAGGGGAAGCGAGGGCCGTTACCTGAGGGTTTGAAGGAGGGGGAGGATCCTTTGGTGTGGAGGAGGTATGGGGTTGGGGGGTGGCTGTTCCAGTATGATGCTTGGGAAGACGTAGAAGCGAAGTGGGACGTCAATTAGTTCTCCGGTTTATATGATTTGTAGAAGATATATGTTTTTATTAAGGTCTAATTATATACACCGCCCATTAAGATTAAAGATAGACGTAGCAAAAAGGCCCCCCAGTCGTATCAAGCAGCTCACGGATGGTCCTGTCCTCGGCCAACACACTGAAATACTGCATATCATCGAGGGTAGCATTCGCAGTATTCGGAATGCCAAAGCCAGGAAGGACAGTCGGGCCCTGGACCACAAAAGTACGATCCTTAGGCTGCACATTCTGCCACGTCCAGAAAACACGATCAATGGCCGCGTGGTGCAGGTAGAAGACCGGGTCACCGGGGGAGGCAAAGAAGTCGCCAGCAGGATCACCGCTGATGGTGTAGTGACCGCCGCTGTGTACCCCGAGGTATTTATTAGGGAAGTCGCCCTGAAGGCGGTTTTGGAAGGACGTGATATCATTGCGCTCGAACAGGTCCATCACCTTGTCGATTGTCGTCCAGGTTGCGGCATCTGGGTTGAGATCGCGACGCAGGCAGCGAGGGTTGTAGTCCAGCCCTGTTCCATTCTGGTTTTCCAATCCAGGAATGTTGAGGGTGGTGGCGATGGGCCCAAGGTTCACTTGGAAGCTGTCACAGTCAGTACAGTCTGAATATTGTGGAAGCAAGAAATACATACTCCTTGAACGGCCCAGATGTCACACAGCCACCACCATGTCCAGGCTCCAGGAAGATATCCGGACCAGCTTCAGGACCTTCATGAGGAACATACGACCCGTCGCCCGACATGCTGTACTCGGAGCCATCGAAGATGGGATTGCTATGCGGGTCGTCGGCGTATTTCGGCCACGACCAGTACGGCTGGTAGCCTCTATACCCGCATTCATTGCGAAGAGCTTGCTCGTAGGCCCAGGTGAAGTAGCGATGCCATGTCAAGAAGTTACCCTACGCAATTAGTATCTTTCAGGCTTATATAAATGGCAGGACATACTGTTGTGTGGATCCAGGCCGTCTGGTTAATGTGGACGGCGGTAAAGTCATCAAAACGAGTGCGCGCGCCGGGAGCAAAAGAAGGATCAATCTGAGATGGCGAGTCGATGAGGCATTGAACTGCCTCGATGTACTCTTTGCGCTCAGTCTTGGTTAATGTGCCCCTATGCGATCGGTTAGACAGCTCAAGCGAAACAAGGACAGACACGAACCATTCCCGACGGACAGCAGCGTTCAGGGGCGTACACGTGCTCTCGAAGTAACGAGGCTTTGTGAATTGGTACAGCACCTGGTTCACCAGGGCCTTGCCTGCGAGGAGATCCCACTCGTCGATGTCAGGGGAGGCCGTGGCATGGGGGACAGCAGCCAGAGCTGCCACCACGGCAGTGAGTGAGAAACGCATGGCAGAGCTGTTCGGGGCAGAAGCAAAAAAGAACAAAAATGCAGGAGAAAGGAAAATGCCGAGGGAGTGAAAGACAGCAGGGATCGTCGCGACCGTTCTTATACGATCAGGGGCATCTCGACGGGCACTCAGGAGAAGGCCTGCTGCTGCGGACACCCCAATTTACGAGATCCAGACGCAGAGATCTGGCCATACTGGCGTCGGAGCAATTAATTGGCTTTGTTTAACTTGCTTAGACTACGTGGTTAGGGCATCGCCGGACAACCGACTGATATAGCAAATGCGTGCGGCTTTTTGGCACGTTTCCTTGGCCCAACGACAGCAAATCCAGCCAGTAGCGCAAATCGCAGTGGGGAGGTGGGCTTCGATTTCGGTTGCCGCAGTCAACTCGCATATAAAGTTGACAGGACTGGTCCGGTGGGGCAGACTCGGTTGTTGGGGGCATCGGAATCCGGAAAGACGCAGGAATGTTCATCTCCACCAGCAGCAGTCCAGGCTGAATGGCGTCCCAAGATTAGCGAGATTACAGTTTACAGAGTTGGTGCCTGTGCCTGCGCCCGCTGACAGCAAAGGAGCCAGGCTGGCCGCATGCCCATCTTCCTGCCCATCTTCCTCTGGCATAATGGGATTGACATTCTTTATACCAGAATTACTGGGTGAGCCGCCCGAGGTTGCAAGCGCAGAGAACGGCCTTGTCTCGAAGGGAACGGACGGACAAGCCGTGATTGACAGGGTTCATTATTGAGTTAATCTGCGATCGCTTTTCTTCTGGGTCTTCCGATTCCCCGACACTGACAGGGATGGGGATCCTGGTCCACTTATCCACTGGCCACTTCGAGTACGGGCGGAATAATTATCGAGAATGGAGAATACGACTAGGATAGCGGTAAAATGGCGGGATAATCACGGTAGAATTGCAGATTGACAACAATATCAAGTCCCAGAAACAGTCCTCTCCCACGACCGGACCCAGCCTCCGATTCGATTGATCAGGCCAAGAATCAACCTGGCCAGAAGCTGAAAGCTTGTCGAGTCAGGCAAAGAGAATTTGAGAATGCTGCTGCGAATCAGCACGCCCAGCTCCACCGCAGCCAACACAGCTGCCTGCCAACGCAGTTGCACAGGCTTCCAGAATCTCGACCGTGGAATCCCGGACACTCGGCCGCGGGCCCTGTGGAGTCTGGGTGAATCAAGGTTTAACCGGTCGTGTTGGCGTCAGAATTTGGCCCCTGCGATGTTTCATCGTGACTGCGCCAGCCCTCTCGCTGCCGCTGCAGCTGCCTAGAAGGGCAACAGCTTTCCGTGGGAGACGCCTCGCATGCGAGGGCAATATAAGGAATACTCGCCTGTTGACTATTGTGGTAACAATTCGAGTCAGTCTGGAGCCGATTGTAGACTTCTCTTGGATATCTGGGTATATCGGATCAGCACACGATTGTAACTCTGCCGTCGCAGTGTAAATCATTCGCCGTGCACGCAAATCCCGCCTGCTCCATTCTTGGACCGGGCTCAGCCTTGCCCACTTTGCCCAGCTAGCCCTATCTCCGTCGCTGACTGCAACCCACAATGATGACAATTAGTGATAGTAACACTGATGGCCGTAAACTTCCTGTTGCGACAACCCGGAATAGCTCTCACCGGGGTCTCTTCCGGTCCTCGCCCTCAAAGTCAAACCCATGTGCGTGGCTTATGCATCCCGGAGGCACAACCGCACTCGGACGGGTCGTCTTCCTCCGGAGTCCACGTTTCACCTCTCCAGGGGTCTTGCGCGCCAGATGCAACTTCATGCAGGCCACGGGATACTTCAGGCGGGGGAACATGGGGCCGTCTCGTTCTTGGGTTCAGACAGACGGGTTCTCCTTGTGTCTGACTCGAAACTTAATCCCCCGTATAAGCATCAATTGGCTCCGTATCAGCCTTCAGGATAACATGGAATCCCTGTGCCTTCCCTTTAGCGAATAATGAAAGACGAATACGTTCGAGACTTCATGGGTAGAATTTGCACCATTGATCCTTTTACCATTCTAGAATAGCTTGACAAGTTCTCAAATACACCGATTATCCACTAGCCCTCGCTGGAGCTCGGGGGAACTCGATCGATGCACTGGATCTGCCTGGCGCCCCGTCCACATTCTTCACTCAATGGTTCGGAAATGAGCTAGGGTTCATACAGGGAACCATTACTTGCATCTGATTGATATACCCCTCCTGGGACAGTTTTGTTTCTCCTGGCTGTTCCCGTCACCTATGTAGCCAAATAGCCAAATGGCAACGACTCTCGTCTTTCCAGGCTTGCAGGCCAGGCAAGAAGCTGAGCCTGATCCGGCAGATATCGACTTTTCGTCGAACAGCCCTCGCATTCTCGCCATCGTTGGGACATTAACAGGGCTCGCTGCGCTGCTTGTCACACTACGATGCTACGTCCGGATATTCATCCTGCGCCGGTTCTACGTCGAGGACTGGATTATGGTCGTGGCCGCGGTACGTATAATCCTTGAATAGCTCCGTCTATCCTCGTTTTATTTTTGACCATCTGTTTATGCTATTCTCTAGATGTGCTCCTTCGGCGTCCTCGCATGTTTCGTCGGCGAAAGTCACCACGGCCTGGGCCAGTTCAATGCCGCCATCGCAGCCAACAATGATAACGAGATGCTGAGCAAGTGGTTCTGGCCGCATGCGATCGTTCTGGTGTTGGGGATTAGCCTTGTCAAGATATCGATCGGGTTCTTTTTGCTGCGCTTCACGACGCAGAAGAAACTTTTGAAGCCGTTCATTATGGGATCTCTCGGTGGGTGGCCATACTTTTTTCAGTGGTAACCGGCTAATGGCGTTGCAAAGTGTTTCTTGTATTGTTTACGATTGCCTGCATGTTGACCCTCATCCTGCAGTGCATTCCAATCGACGCTGCGTGGGATTTCAAAAAGCGCCTGGCCAAGGGGACCAAGTGCTACTCTAGTGAAACGTATCTGAAGATTGGAAAGTTCAACAGCGGTATGTCAGACGTGAACTATTGAAGTTGTTACTGATATCTGTAGCTATCAATATCGTCACGGACTTTATCTACGCCACGTTGCCCGTATTCATGTTCTACGATATCCAGGTCAACCGGCGGACTAAGGCTTCGCTTATGGGCATTCTCAGTCTGGGTTATTTGTGAGTGTAGTGAATATATATCAGACAACAACAACTAACATCAGCAGTGCCTGCGCCGCGGCGATCACCAAGGCTGTTCTCCAGGGCAGAGTATACGAGGAGAAGAACATGTACCGGTACGTTTCCACATACTTCCATACCATCGTCTACTAACAAGCCGCAGCAACGCCGACTACCACATCTGGAACTCGTAAGCCTTTTTTTCCTTACCCACTACAACAGACAGAGTACATCACTGACTAATAATTAGAGTCGAGCTCAACGTCGGCATAATCGCGGCCTGCTTCCCAACAATCAAGCCCCTAGTCAAGAGCATAATCGGGAGCACAAGAGGTCTAACAGGGTACTACGGATCCCGCACACGCACACGCAAACGCACGGGCGATGCCTACTACGGCCCCAACAGCAACGTGCACCACAACAGCCACGCCCTAGCCTCGCTGCAGCGCAGCCGGCTCGATCCCGAGGAGCAGAAATACCACGTCCACATTCACGGGAACCAGCCGTCGCTGTCGGAGGGGTCGGAGGAGGGGAGTCAGGAGAATCTTGCGAGTGGGGCGAGGGTGTTGTCCCGGCAGGGAATGCATCCGGTGGGGAGGATTATACAGACGACGGAGGTTATTGTGCAGAGTGAGGATGGGAGTGAGCATGGGGTTATGGCGATGGGGCCGAGGAGGACGGTGGAGGATCGGATATAACCTTCGTTTTCTTTTCGCTGTTTATTTGTATATAGTAGCGGTTAATGACCGGGAAAAACGGTAAAGTTTACGATATGGATAGCAATAGATAGTATTAATGATTATTACAACAGGACTCCAGGGAAATGAGCCAGACATCGTGGCGTGCATACTGGCGGGGCTTGAGTGTCTAGAATCGAGTCTGGCCCATTATCCACCCATTAATCTATATCGTCTCGATATCTTGGGCTTCATCTCCGCTTTGGTCTTGGCTAATATATATTAGCCGACGACAACGAGGGATGGAAGATGGGGCTCCAATCTAGGTCGGAGAGATATCTTGAACCTTTATTAATGAGCACGGCTTGGATATTACCATAATATGGCATGTTGTCCTGACATTATGGAACCGTATCCCAGCAGACCCTCCTCTGCTCCGTGCCCGCATCAATATATACCGGTGGCTTTAGCACGTTTCAGGTGAGATCCAGCGGGAGATTGCCTGATCTCGACGCCCGCTGTGGGATACGCAATACGCCTCGGAGATTGATGTGCCGAGTCTCTGTTACACGCATGGCTTGGTTCTAACACAGCGGATAGCGTAAGCTGGGGCTCTATATCACTAATAATGCGCTGCAATACAATTAACGACAAGTTTGACTTTCCCCTAGTTCTTGAAGCAGGCAACTTACATACTTGAATATATACCCAAGGTCGAGTACGACGAACGTGTCTGGGCACCGGGTTTGCAAGGCCAGGTCTGACTGTAGTATGTCTACTAAAGAGCTCGGAGGAAGACAGAAGGTTTCCCTGCGACTTTAAACGGGCAGAAATGGCCACAAGGATATTGACACCTTTCGATTATGGTTCTGTTGATCCTTGAATATTGCACGGAGTCAAGTTACGCTGTAGTGAGCTCACCTACCTCTTTAACTACTTGAAACGCTCATCGGTCACTAACGTCGTTCGAGAGAGCTGCAAGTAAGCCGACGGACTGACTTACGCGTCTATAATCCATTCGATTTGTTGCGCTCTCCGGCTGTGGACTATATATAGGACTCGTGCGACGCTGAGGGCTAGTCCGAAACATTACGTGATGTGCGCCACCAGCTCGATGCAGATATGCATCCTGATAGGAATTCACTTTCCGTGGTCTGTTTCCTATTCTGTCCGTTTTTGTCTGGACTGGTTCGCAGATCGTGGGTCTTGTCGTGGGTCGTAGCTCCTCTCCACCACCATGAACTCTGGTACGAACCATGGGACGCGAACATGTTTGTCCCTTGGCGGCCCTCGTATCAGTCATATCGGCCAGCTGAGCTTCTACAGGGATCCCACTGGATTTATTCCTGGACAACGCGTCACATCTCTCTGCACCCCAGACCCGACCGGCCGGTAGGCTTCTCACAGCATCGAAGCGAAGTGGAGGATCAAGTCTGCGTAACCAAAGTTAGTGCGAGTGATCTCAGCTGAGGTCTAGTTGTTGGGAATGACAAATACTCCAAGTTCGAACCTGATCATCCTGGCGCGTAGCAGCAGATGGAAGCCTGGCAGACCCCGCCAGCCCACCTGCATGTCTCCAAGTCAGGAAAACCTAACAAGAGGGGAACAGGTCTTCCATCATACTCCCTGATCTACCTCGACACCTCGAGTCCACAATATCGGGCATTACAGCTGCACGATCCGATTATCATCACCTCTGTACGACCAACCGAGTCAGCGCCGGGCCCTCCGAGCAGTCTTCGCGAGCGACAGTTCCTGGTCAGCCCCCATGCAGTCTGACGCACACCATTCGGACACAGTAAATCGGATCTCCTGCTTGCAGAGACTCGAATTTGCGCCTCGCTTCCCGTCATGTCCGAGACATTCTAAACCCAGCCGCTGATATCTCAGGGGCCCCCGTCCCACCACGCTGGCAAGATGAAGCCGACTCGGGCGAAGGCATCTCACAATAAAGATGATCTTGACCCCTCCGATCGCCATCGCATCCTCTAGATAATGGCACTCGGACATCCCGTCGAGATCCGCCCGCTAGCCCGAAGGAATCGAGGTATTTGCTCCACAAAGCACGAACTATAGGCTTGGACTGGTCCTGGTTTGGTCACGTCACAGTGCCACAATGCATAACAGGATTCCGTCCCTTTGGGACCTCCGTGGGGGCTCCAAGGCCATCAGGTTGACATGCGAGCGAGTGGGAGGCCTCTGAACAAGGCGTCTTAAGGCGAACCAGGCTATGGGTAAGCCAGGTTGTACAGCCCCTTGCTGTCTCTGTCGGCAGTGGGCTCATATGCGAGGGACCCTGGGCAGGAAGAGAAAAGCCGCAGCAGGATGCGATAGTCCGATCCTTTCGTAGTAGCGCGCGGGCCATGCCTTGATGCTGCGGGAGAAAGTGTCCTCCATGGACCTGTTGGGAACTGAGGCGCACAGATTGGCTCAATTCCTGGTAGATCCGAGAGGCGGCGCATGTATCGTGCATGGTTGGGTTTGATCCTGGACTGGATGGAGCTGCGACTGGCCTATGAAGCTGGATAGCGAGGGCATGAACGATCTCAGTGCAAGGACGGGGTTTGCAAACAGGGGAGTGCCCCAGTTCATCTGCAAATGCTAGCGAGGCCATGAAGCCAATGGAATACCTGGAATAGCAGAGCTGACGTCTGACCAGGCCGCGCTGTGGCTGTTTGCGAAGAATACGCAGAATCAGCCGACCTGTTTCCACGAAGACTCAGACTCTGCGTTGGGTGGGGTGTTAAATAGGTCGCTTTAGTCCGTGTCTCTTCTGATTGAGATTTAGAATCTTGCTGTGTTTTATCTCATTTCGTTCAGTCAGTCTACTTGTATATACGTCATGGGAGCGTCGGATACGGCTGCAGTAGCAGCCCCTGCATACAACAAGAACATCGAACGTCTGCGAGAGACCGAGTATCCTACCCTACGGGATAACATATATCTGGACCACGCTGGATCCACAGTATACGCACAATCACTTATCCAGTCATACGCGGTAGACCTGCAGAGCAACTTGTACGGGAACCCTCATTCGGACAACACTCCATCTCGCATGTCCGGTGCCCACGTTGATGCGATTCGCGAGCAGCTTCTTCGCTTCTTCGGGGCAGGCCCTGACGAGTTCGACCTTGTTTTCACAGCCAACACGACCGCCTCAATTAAACTAGTTGGCGAGTGCTTGTCCAACTATACTCGGCCTCGTGGAATGTCCCCTTTGGGCAAGCGGGGATTCAAGTACGTTTACCACCAGGATTCTCACACAAGTCTAGTCGGACTGCGTGAGATAGCGACTGGCGGGAGTATGTGCCTGGCAAGCGATGCAGTGGAGAAATGGATTGACCAAGGACATGGTTCACGACGCAATGCCACACTCTTCGCGTATCCCGGACAGAGCAATATGACTGGGCGCAGAATGCCACGGTCATGGTACGTCTCTCGCTTCTCCCAACCCAGCTCCTACTAACTACTGCAGGCCCCGTAGGATCCGTCAGAATTTTAGAAATACATACGTTCTCTGGGATGCTGCCGCGATTGCCTCTACCTCTCCGCTAGACCTCTCAGACGCCGAATCCGCCCCCGACTTCACCGCAGTCTCGCTATACAAGATACTTGGATATCCGGATGTCGGATGCTTGATTGTGCGCAAGGCAGCGGCCAGCATCCTCCAGCAGCGCCGGTACTTCGGTGGCGGCACGGTCGATATGGTCATCAACTCCCCCTCAGCCCGAGTCCCCTCCTGGCATGCAACCAAGACCGAGTCAATCCATGACGCATTAGAAGACGGAACACTACCCTTCCACTCAATTGCAGCAATTCCGCATGCCATCGAAACACACAAAAAACTATTCGGGAGAATGAGCGATATCTCATCCCACTGCGCATTCCTCGTCGCGGACCTATACCAAAAACTGCTATCGTTGCGGCACTCAAACAACGGCCCCCTCTGCCGGATCTACACCGGCTCAGAGAAACAAAACTTCGGAGATCCAAATCTGCAAGGGCCCACCATCGCCCTCTCCGTGCTCGACCCATCGGGAAATATCCACGGGTACGCAGACGTCGAGCGCCACGCAGACAAGGAGAGAATCTACCTCCGCAGCGGGAGCGTGTGTAATCCCGGGGGCATGGCATATCTGGGCTGGGTGCGGATGGAAGATATGAAAGCGGCCTGGGGGGCGGGACACCGCTGCTCCGACCCCATCCAAGAGGTTTATGGACAGGCGACGGGTATTGTACGGGTTAGTCTTGGGGCGATGAGCACGATGGCTGATGTTGATGGGTTTGTGGAGTGGTTGGGGCGGAGTTATCTTGATCGAGATATTAGGTTGTCGTGCTCGGAGAAAGGGGAGAGGTCGCAGTGTTCTCTTGACATGGCGAAGGCAAGTATGAGAACTGGTAAGCAGGGGAGATTGTGGGAAAGAATGGTGAAGAGTATTGGTTTGATGTTTTGTCAACGTGCATGTTGATTTATGTTATATATGCATGCTTATATGTATATAGAAACCTGATTTCCCAGAATCGATATTTCGTGCGCTATTTGGATGGGACCGGATGACAGGAATAGATCTAGTAGCCACTAAGTAATATTCGCACAGTATAGTGAGTGTAGCGTAACTAAGAATTGATTAACATTGGCGTGCGTCATGCCTGTATAGCTGTATTGAGTATATGGGAAGGGTTTGCTTAGGTAGTAGAGGTCTAGAAGGGTATATTCTTGAATAGTATAGTATGCCTATACAGACATGTCTATACTAAAGATTATATAATTGTCTTTAGATATATAAGATTCCACAATAATAGTCTACTCTTACTGGATATTGGCATCCTGTCTTTGGTACTCATAGTGTGTACTTCAAGAGATATAAGATATATGAATTAGACTTATAACAAGCCTGGCAGGCAGGATGGTTATCCTAGATACCTGACTAGCAGATTGCCCAAAATGAACACTTTTGTTTAATTAATTTCCCGTGCACGTCGAGCATGGGCAATTAAAATTAATCACGTACTTACCTATGCCTGCATAATCAATGCATTAAGGTCTATTTTTACTCCGCACTGCCATTCTTCAACCACCACGGAGGTCAATGCACTGCCATCTGCAAGGCTGCCTCACCTGTCTCTCTGATAGGCCCTGAACATGCAGATTAGAGGGGACTTCAGCCTCGTCCTCTTGAGGGGCCAGAACCCGCCCGTGGCAGTCAGCTCTTTAACGGTCGGAGCGCTTCAGTTGCCCACTTTCGTGGTCTTCTTTCCGCTGAAACTGAGTAACCACTGTCTCAGCATGTCCCACGAACCCGGCAACGAAACAACCGCGAACCACCACTACCATGGTGTCGAGCAAGTGCCGTCTCGAGCTGTGAGCCGTATGGAAGAGGAGGAGGGGCTGGAATCTGACAGCGACAGCGACAACAATAGCCGCCAGTCTACTGATCCTTCAATCGGGCTCGCCGACTGGCTGCTTGCAACCCTTGATACCTGGCTCCACGAGGTTATTGCGACAGTATTCAGCCTGGCCTGCTTTGCTTCCATCGTCGGTGTTCTGGTAGCGTACGACCAGGAACCAACGCCGAGTCTGTCGTACGGACTGACACTCAACGCCATCATTTCTATCTTAGCCACGGCATCCAAGTCTTCCCTCGTATTCACCATTGGAGAATGTATCGGGCAGCTGAAATGGGTCTGGTTCCACAAAAGTCCGAGGCAGGTGGATGACATGCAGTTATTCGACAGCGCCAGCAGAGGCCCGCTTGGATCATTGACGGTTATATTCAAGCATAGGGGACAGTCTCTCGTGTCTCTTGGTGCAATCGTGATAATACTGGCACTCGCCTTTGAGCCGTTTCTCCAGCAGATCGTGACTTATCCAATCCGAATCACCGCTGATGCGTCCACCCCCATCGTCGCTACAGCTAAACAAGTCCCTTATATTCTTCCAACTCAGTTAGACTCGCCTGCTTCCATTGTCTATAAAGCACAATGGTCTGATCGTGAGGGCGATATCGAACCCCCAGCTTGCCCCACGGGGAACTGCACTTGGTCACCCTTTGAATCCATTGGGTTGTGCCACAAGTGCGAAGACATCACTGCATTGACGACAGTCCAATGTAAACCGGTTTTTCTAAACACAAGCAGGCAGTATTTGGGCGAGGAACAGTCATGCTTTGTTAGTCCACCAAAAGGATACGGCTACGATATTACCGTCACCTATTCATCCACCACCAGCGACGGCATAGCGATATTTGACAAACGTGACGGGAATGACCTGTGGTTTGAGGTTATATCCCCTCACCACGCAGTGTGGTCGCCGTTCAGCCTCGACGGCCCCGGCCCTGGTCTTACATTCAACAACTATACATATGCCGGTATCGCGAACCCTCAGCTGGTCATGGCGCATGCGGAATTCAGTCTCCCAGCGAACTACTCGCTGCGCTCGACTGCCAGGTTAGATATAGGGCCGGACTTGAAGGTCACAAAGGCCACGCAGTGCGCCCTGACAGTGTGCCTGCAAGAGTACGAGATCTCCGTTTCGAACGGCGCTGTTTCATCCAACACCACTTCAGCTGACTTCGGCGAGATCCTATACGTTGACGTCACTAATGGAAGCGTATACGCCGAGTTCCCCGAGGAAAAGGCCAAAGATAGTGATTCAGGTCGCCTGGGCAGCATGGGCCTTACCAGATTCTGGAAACCGGCAAATAGACCCGGAACCGATATCACACTCAGCAACACATCGTCGATTTGGCTAAATGCGTCCGAGTTTGCTTTTGAACCGCCAGCACTTACGGCCTTATCAACCTATATTGGGGGCGACTCCGCGTCTCGTTTGCTGATAACGCAGAATTCTTCACAACAAGACCTCGGGTATGAGGAAACAGACCCAGCTATTCTCAAAACCATCGAAAACGGACTCGAGCACACGATGGGGAAAATCGCTAGCTCCTTGACACGGTCTGCAATGAAGCACAGCAACACCCAAGTCAACGGCACCATATCCTCGGCGAAAGTCTACGTGTCCGTGAACTGGGCCTGGATTATCCTCCCCGCGGCCCTGCAGGCACTGGGCGTGGCTTTTCTGGTGTTGACCATTTTCACGAATAGACGGCGACGACTGCAATTGTGGAAGACGTCGCTCCTGGCTGTGCTTTTCCACGGTCTGGATGGCTGGAGGAGTGTGGATGACAGGCACGCAACTGTCAGTCAGATGGAGTGGGATGCGCAGGGGTTGGAGGTAGAATTGAAGGCTGCAGGGGAGGGGAAGGACCTTATGCTGAGAGGTGTTGAATCCTAGCATATGCAGTATGATAACGCAGTGTTGTAGTCTGTATTATAGTTAGGGCTCAATATAGTAGTCTTGCTAGTGTCAGCTTTGACGGCAATATATGTTAATTCCATTAATTGCACCGCATCCGAGACTCAGTGCGACGTTTTCAACATAAAGATGTTCCTTCAACTGGCGCTCCATGGTAGGGCCGTATGGACGATACTCGATCGTGTAAGATGGAATCACGTGGATTGCTTCAGCCAATGATAACGTGGGACAGGAGGGGACCGGGTCTGAATCTGGGAAGGTGCGATCGACTGTAAGGTCATTCTCCGTAATGTTACACCTCGGCATGGCCACATCTACATTCAATTAGGGCACAGCCAAAACACCTCGAGACAATGAGATAGCTTAATAACGGACTTTTCTGCGGATTGGTTGAGGCTGAATACGAGAGCATGCAGACACATAACAGAATCACCCGTCGCCGACTCGGCTCGTGCTCCCACAAGCAAGTGCGATTCATTTCACTCAGGCGCAAATTGGCCTCGTATTCGCAGCCCAAACACCAATAGGACAAGGTACTAGAGTGCATTTGGCAAAGCTCTGGCGTTGAAAACTCTTGGACTGTGCGGAACGGTCCAGGGTCTCGCTCACTCAAGAGCGCGCGCTCTGCTGATTGTTTTCCATTTTCAGCGTTGTCCTCTTTCCGCGAGATGGAGTTGACCGTGGCGGAGGTCTCTGGCCTCATTGCCGCTGGGGTTTTTATTCTCCAGATCTTGATTCCTCTTGCTATTCCCTGGGCTCTTATTGCGTTTCTGACGAATGAGCATTCTATTCTTACATGGTACGTAGGGCTGTTTTTCTGAGTTGCTCGCCTAACAGTAGTCTAGGACTGTCCTCAGCCGGACACTGCATTCATCGCTCTGGCCGGGTATTCTCAACTCGAGCAGCGCAGAGACAGCGGGCGTCCCATGGCGGATTTATTTGACATCTTGGGGCCAGACTATTCTACTGTTTGTGCTATCCGTCGCTGCCATCTGCTCGCCGCTGGGGCTTTACTCGTCTATTGAGCCCGCCGACTCATTCACGGAGAAACCGTTCCATTATATTCCCGATAAATCTGCGTTTGGATATGGAACGCCCTCGCGCAGTTCAGGGCCGTTTACGCGTTTTTGTGGGCTTGAAGTTCCGTGCCCGGGGACGACGCTCAATCAGACATGCCAGACGAAGGGACTGACGGAGGTTTGCAATAATACTGTATACGAGAGCCGGATTCCGCAGGAATTAATGACCATCTATAATGACGGCGTTGCTTCCATGAGTCCCACTATTTCCAGTATATTTGATATCCAGTATCGGATGTACAGGAACTCGACGGACCCGTACAGCGTTCTGTCGTGGTACACGAAGCCAGACTACAGGACCATGTCGACAATCCTCCTCGAAGATAAGATAAAGCTGGTAGAAGGTCTAATTACTGATCTCCAGAAGGGGGGTATTGGATTTCGCAACCACACCGCGCCAAACGCGACGCTGAAGTATGGGGCTACCTGGACCGAGGACATCTTATTTATCGAGCCCGAGACAGAGTGTGTTTCGCTGAACCTGAGCATAAACGCCCTCACGCCGCCGTGGAACTTCAACGAACGATATCTGCGGAATGTATCTCTCGTTGATGAGGGGGGGTTCTCTGCCCTGCCCCGGACAGGACCTGAGATGTCTCGGACGGGAACTGTCAATGGACAGAGTGGATTTGACCTGAGAGAACGTGCATCCAGGGCTGCATGGGTGAACAACTACTACACCATGTTATACTTGAACCTGACGGATCGTGACTCGGACTCTCTTACCCGCGTTGACTCAAGCAAGGGCCAGATATTCGAGCTCGCGGATGATGCTAAGAGCAATAACTTCACCATCGCCTTCTCTGCCATCCAGACCAACATCAACTTCGGGTCGTATCTCAACCTGACTACCAACCATAGCCAAAGTTCCAACCCGTATAATGTTACTGCTACGGATTTCGACACCGCCTGTAAGCCTCTCCTACATTCCTATCACTATTTATGCTGACCCCCAAAGCCGCGGCCTGTGGTGGCACAACCAGCCAGAGTCCATCTAATATCAACAGCTCCCTAATCGCCTGCGGCCTTGTTGTGGGAGCTGCGACGCGGATTGATGGAGGCGACGACCTGATCCTAGACCCAGACACAAGATGGAAGATCCCACTATATTCCTGCGCAACAGCCATGAAAGCAACTTTAAAAACCGTCGAGTTCCAATACAACGGCACCGGGCTCGACGCACTCAAAGTACGATCCCTAAAGCTAAAAACGTATGAGGATGGAAATGAACCCGTCTGGGGCGTGGAAAATATACCACGGCGGAGCATCGACACCGCGCCTCCTATGTGGGGGATCATCGGTCCTAATGCCACTGTTTCTCAGTCTACTCTCGATGAATATAACATCTCATCAATCAAGGCGGAAAGTCTTTATCTGCCTGGGTACATGGACCAGAATTACCCCCTGCTCCGCGGTCTCAATTCCGTACCTGTAGGGACTGGGCAGAACCTCCCTGGAGTTGAATTCTATAATCAGGCGCTGATGACAGCATACACTATAAATGTCGCAGGATTTAACCCGGAGGCAGACTACTCCGGCGCTCGCAGTCTCGCGCTGTATGCCAAGTGGCAACGACTGTTGCAGTCCGCAGATGGAGCTGCGTCCATTATCAATCTTGTCTGGACAGACATTGCGACCAATGCAGTTGTTGGAACTAAGGGATGGGGGTTGAATGCTGCTGCATCGAGAATCTCCTCGTCGATATCTGACAGTAGCCCGGTGTCGTCGAATACAAATGTACCTGTTACTGTGTATGGCAGCCATATCCGCTACGAAATCCCCTATGCAGTCCCGGCCTTTGTCACGCTAGCTGGTACTACAGCTCTCCTATGTCTGCTTATCGCATTGTTGATTATGAGACGGACTAGGCTGAAGCGGCTACGTATTTTTCTTGAGTTGACAACTATTGGAAGGGTTCTCTCTCCGTTTATCCAGCCGGACGATGCGACATCTGAAACCAGCTCTTTGAAAGGCTGGGTTAAGAGTGTTGGCCAGCAGAAGGTCATGATCACGCCTGACTCTATCTCAATAGATTCTGTGCCTCTTGGTCAGAGACCTGGATCCGAAGCGGAAGATGAAGCAGAACATTCGGAGGAAGAGGCTGCAGAACACTCAGAGGAAGAGGAAGCAACCAGGCCTCTCGCCTCCGCGAACACATCATAGTTTTATATATCCATTAAGTCATTAAAGATTAAATACCAGCCCAATGCCCTGTCTCATGAATCCTTTGTACAGCCTTCTTCAAGTCCTCCATATACTCCACGTGTCTTCTCCCCCTCCACGCCTGCGGCAGCATAGGATACACAGCCCTCACCCACGCCACAAACGCAACATACGTAGCCTGATTCAACAACGTCGGCTGCAGATTATACTCCCTGGCCAACCTCTCCGGCAACCAATTCACTGTAAGCACCCTGGCAACAGGCAACGTCAACGCCATCTCTCTCGGCAGATTCCTCGGATACATGAGATCCTTGGCCAAACTCCTGGCCATATCCGTAACCTGCAGCGTGGCAATATTATAATCCCAGTACTCCCAAAACTCCTCCAGCGAATCAAACCACATCTCGGGGGGCATTCTCAACGACGTCCCAAATACCGCACTCTCCCTAAGCATATTCTCCATCTCTGCCTTCTCCATCTTCCCAAAGAACGTCTCGCGCACTAGCACAATCGAAATAAACAACGTCGCCGCCGTCCATTTATGCAGCTCGGGATCGTCAGCGCTATAATCGTCCCCCTTCACGCGCGAATGGTAGCGATGGATCACGCCGAATATGGCCCTCTTCTCCTCTTCATTTCCACAAACCGCGACATTCAGGAACCGCGCCGTGTTTCGGAGACGCTGCGGGATGCGGTCGGCAAATGACGAGTGCTTGAAGCTACCCTTTGCAAGAGCTGGGTGTGCGAACTGGCATAGGATGGCGACTTGGCCGCCTAGGAGGTAGATGTCGTTTTCGACGATGGAGTTGAGGGCTCGGGGCGGGGTTATGGTTTCGTAGATGGGGATTTCCTTTTCTTTCCCTTTTATTCCGCTTTCCCGTGACGCGGATGAGGAGGGGACTCGTTGAGTTAGTGTGGTCGTTGTTGTTGCCGTTTCTGACATTTTGGGTAGGGTTTGCTCGTTTGTATGTTGTATGACCGTTGGAGGGGTGCAGTACTTCCCAGACGCTTTATATTGTCATTCTTTCTTTGCAGAAGCGGGAACGACGGACCGAGGGAGTCTGTGGAGAGGGTTTGGCACTCTGTATGTATTTTTAGTGGCGGTGGTTCGTGGGGAGGAGGCTGAGGAGCGACTCAGAGGATCTGATTCAGGCACATGTGAGCGCTCCCCGCAGATTGGCGCTGCCAGCAGTGGATGAATCACATGCAAATAGCTGTAAGAGGTTCAGACTTGGGCGACAGAAAGCTTGGTCTATACTGGGTCTCATACTACAAAGCAGGGGACTGGTGGTACACATGAAACAGCTCACCTGGTTGACAAAGAGGATGAGATTTCATTGATTACATTCAGGGTAGACACTCTTTATTATTATCTCCTTGTTCACTCCTTGTCGACCCTTTGTTATGGCGTCTTTGTCATGTAGACTATAATATTGCAGTAGATTCCTCTCAAAAGCAGGTAAGACTATCAAATTATCGAAGCAAGACAAACCAGCAAAATGCTCTGCACCTCATATGAAACAATGTGCCCCCGTTGCAAGCACCATTTCAAGGCCCTCCGGAAAACCGCGGCGAGCGCAGCGGATCTCGAATACACGCCCAACACCTTTCCGGTCGTATTCACCTGCACCCAGAAAATCCCAGTCCCAGTTCGCAGAGGAACGCTGATGCAAGCAGTGTACGAGCAGCGCAGAAGGACAGTGACAGAACTAAAAGAGAGACTAGCCAACCACTTCCACCGGCCAGTCAATGTATACGACGACTTTGACGAAGGTGAGTTCCGGTTTTGCGAGAAAACCACTGTGACGTATAAAATACTCGTGGACTTCCCCGGTGTCATCGCAAACCCTAATGGGTGGGCATCCTGGATTTCACAGTCTATGTACAGCATCAAGTTCTATGAACTCGTTGTCCGGTCAGATGGGGGTAAGAATGCTTGTCCTAAGGCGATTGTTAAACCGGAGGAATATCAGTGGGATGGCTGTGTCCCCGAGAATAAGGGACATCTATGTTGGACTCGTCTGGAGTTCTTCTTGGGGAGGCAAGGCCTGGTGCCTTTTATTTAGTTATACAGCCTATGTTCAATAGAAAATCAAGTATGCTAAAATACTTCCCATTTTAGACTGATATCTGTAAACTTCACAGTAACCTTTTACCATAGAGCGCTCAATTCATGCAGAAAGTCCGCCAGCACGGGCTGTTCTAAATATCCCTGCAGAACAATTATATTGTCCTCCTAAGTGTCTTAATTTTCCCGTCTTTCTAAATGAAGCCAAGCCATAGCCAAACATTCCCGTGGCCAGATTTCATTGCTCAGTGTGATGAGGAAAGATCGTCGCGAATTGCGATAGAATACAAGCAGCCAAGGCGCCTCGTTAGGTAATTGGACTCGGGGCATGTTCTGTTTCGATCTGACGCGGACAAGGGTGTTTACAGCGTCTTTTCTGATTCGCGAGATTAGATGAATGGCAGATGACACCGGCAGACACCGACAGCCCTAAATCACGACTGAAACCACTAAGGGTTGCCGCTACCCATTCCGGGTATGCCGGACCTACATTTGATTAAGGGACTTTGGGTCTTTAAAATGGGCCTCCCCGATCTCCGTCCCTGATCGTCATTCTCCAGTCTTATCCGTGGAGACTGACCTGGAAGGTCGTGGTTTATCATGAAGTCGACTTTGCTGCCCGCGTTTGTCGCGCTCGCCTTCAGCTGCTCTGGGAGTGCAGCAGGTATCCCTTCGTTTGGAACGATCATTGCACGAGAGGCAGACTTACTTCCTGAGTATGATTATGTTGTTGTTGGCGGTGGTGTCGGCGGCCTGGTTGTCGCGAATCGTCTCTCTGAAGACCCTGATAGTATGCCTCCAATTGTCAAGTATAGCTGAGGACTAACAAAGAACAGCTACGGTATTGGTGATTGAGGCAGGCAAAATGTAACCCCTACTCTGACCTACCAGTTCGAAGCTGACCCTCCAGTGACAATTACTCCGCCGTCGTGCAATACCCCCGATATGCCTCGATAGCTCGAACCAACTACAGCTGGCCCATCACCTCGCTGCCTGTCCCTGCACTCAATAACCGCACTGCATCAGTTGCATTTGCCAGGGTTCTCGGTGGAGGAAGCGCCATCAATGGCATGGCTTTTGACCGCGGCTCTCCGGGCGATTATGACCTCTGGGCGGAACTTATTGAGGACGATGCTTGGAGCTGGGAAGGGCTTCTGCCGTACTTCAAGAAGGTATTTACCAGATCGGGGGTATACAAAAAACGGCTATTGACATAACCAGAGCGAGACTTTCACCCCTCCCACCGAAGCCCAGCAGGAACAACTAGGCATTACATTCGATTTGGAAGCCCATGGCACATCTGGCCCTGTCCAGTCGTCGTATCCCCCATGGATCTCTACCACTGGCAGTAAGTGATCCAACGACCAAATACGGTCCATACTTACCGCAGCAGAGGCCTTTATCGATGCCCTCCGCCAGCTACACATTCCTATCCAACTAGACGGAACCGCCAACGCAATCGGTGGATTCTGGAATCCCAACTCTCTGGATCCAGTAGCAAAAGAGCGCTCGTACGCAAGGACAACCTTCCATGAGATTGCCAAAAGCAGACCCAACTACCATGTCCTGCCTGAGACGCTCGTCACAAACCTCACCCCAGACCTGTCCAGCGTGGAGTATATCACCAGCTACAACCCAGCAGTAAAGATCGCTCCTCGGGCAAATAGCAGCAAAGTCCAAGCACGAAAGGAAATCATCATGGCCGCCGGTGCCCTCCACACGCCCAAGATCCTGCAACTATCGGGAATAGGATCCTCCTCCATCCTCAAGCCCCTAGGCATCGAGCAAGTTCTCGACGTCCCAGGTGTTGGAGAGAATTTCCAAGACCATCCAGTCCTCTACGGCGCAATGAAACTCACGAACCTTGACGATCCAGCCCAGGATCCATCATACCTGAGCACCAACGCCACCTACGACGCCGCGATGGGTCAGCTCTACGAGCAAAACCGGACAGGTCCTTGGACATTCTCAACTTCCAACGTCTTTGCCTTCCTAACAGCACAACATCTGAATGTGTCAACAACAGCCATTGCTCATGCTGCCTCTGAACCAGCCGAGAAGTACCTCCGGAGCGGATTAGACAGCACAATCATCCACGGCTATGAGAAGATCAAATCCGCAGTCCTCAGGTCTACAGCCGAGGGCAAAATAGCCCTAACTGAAAACTTATTCGGCAGCGTCGCGAGTCTCCAGAAGCCACTCAGCCGTGGCTCGGTCCATGCTGCATCGACGGACCCTTACAAGATGCCCCTCGTTGACTACCGGTCCTTCACGAACCCGCTAGATTTGCAAATCCTGATCCAGTCCCTCCGCTTCAACGCCGATGTGATTTCCCAAACTCGCGCCTACAAGGCAATTGGGGCTGTTGTCCAGACTCCCGAGCCGGGATTGTCTGACAAGGAACTCGCGGAGCTGGTTCGGACAGCCGGGTCGCCGAGCTTTTCGCACCCGAGTGGTTCGTGCGCGATGCTCAAGCTGGAGGATGGTGGATGTGTCGATAATGAGCTCAGATTGTACGGATCCGAAGGGCGAGTGCGTGTTGTTGATGCATCTGTCTTCCCTGTCGTGCCGTCGACGCATACACAGAGCACGGTGTATGCTGTTGCTGAAAAGGCTGCGGATCTCATCAGGGGTGCGAAGTAGTCCATTATATCTACTTCTATATATAAATCAAGACAGGTTTTCTCTCGCCCATTCCTCTGCCGACTGGAGCCGGATCCCATGCTTGTAGTTCCAGGTCTCCTCCGCGTCCCATGCAACGCCTTTTCCCTCCCCAAATACAATCTCATACTTATACAGAGAATTCCCAGGATCACTGGCCAAGTCCTCTCTTGCCGCTTCAACAGTCCTGACCCTCCTTTCAACCTTCCTCCCCGTAACACCGTCCACAATCTCCGCCAGCCGTCCATAACTCAATGTATCCCCTGTAACAAAGACAGGCTTATCCTCAAACACATCCCCATAATCGCCAAGAATAATCTCCGCCGTAACCCTCCCAATATCACCCGGCGCCGTAACAGTAACCCGATTCCCCAACCCCCCAAGCGCAGTCACAACCCCTTTCTCCAAATCCACAACCCCGAAACTCGGCTCGAACAGGAAACTCGTAAACATCCCCGTCGAGATAATCGTCCACCGCGTAGACTTCTGGCTCCTTAGTACGTCTCGCACATCGAGTTGCTCATCGAACAGATCCTGTCCGGATCCACGACCGATCGTGTCGTAGTCGACACCGAATTGCCAGGGGATGTATCTTGCGACTTTGGCGTCGAGAACGGCTCGAGCGAGTTTAAGCTGTGTTCCTGATCCCGCGGCGAAACCGGTACAGCTGACGACCGTGTCGAATTGTTTGAAAATAGACGACAGGGTTTGGGGTGAGTCGAGGGCGATGTCGCCCGGTATGAAGGAGACGTTGTTATCGCGAAGGACCTGAAGTTCCTTATCTTTTTGGGGACTTGGGGAGGTAATTGTCGATTGACGGAGGAGGACAGATATAGATATATTGCTGTTGTTGGTGGCATGGGGGTGTTTGGCGAGTGCAAGGAGAACAGCCGTGCCCAGCTCGCCAGCGCCGAGGACGAGGATTTTATTGGTTGGAGCCATGAATATTGCTCGCTTGGGTTTATTATCGCTCAGTCGTGGAAAATTTCTTGTATTGGGCTTGATTATTTATGTATGTTGTGTTGTCGGCTTACCGTATGCTGATGGTGGTTGCTAAGCAGATCTGCACTCGGCGACTTTAACGCCATCGGATGAACCGGAGGCAGCTCACTTTGGCTCGAAATATAGAATTCCTGAAGAATAGATAATATTTAATTGGTGTATTTCTCTGATTCTTGAATTTAAAGAATCAATTTTTTTTTTTTTTTTCGCTACGTGCGTACCCATTCTTGCTGTATTATAAATGCAGTAGGATGAAAATATATATTGACCAACATGCCAAGACCGGTATACAATCATCAGAACAAACACACAATAGAAATAGACGTATTTTAATGTCAAGTTTCTATCCAAATCCCGTACAAGAGCAATCACCGAGACTGCAGCTTATCCCACCGGCAAGGCTGATGAATACGAATGATGACGCCACGCCATAGAAGGCGCGGAGTTTGCGGGGTTTGTCTCGCAGTCAAACAACTCTAGGCCAGCTATAGAATCAAACTCCAACCATGGGAACGGCGTATGCATTCGCTGCAAACAGCCAGGATGGTCATTGCAGACTGACGACGATGTTTGCAAGGTCAGAGTATATATAGGTGCGGTGGGTCCGACAGCTTGTTACAATCAACACCATTGTTCAGTATACTAGCATCTTTACGATACTTACTGGCGCATACTTACCTGGCTACGATTCCACTACAAGGCAAACATGTCGCGTGTTCAGCTACTCAGCCAAGACCTCCCCTCCAAAGCCAAGGTCTTCTACAGACAGGCCGGCCCCGAATCCGCCCCAGTGATACTGCTCCTCCACGGCTTCCCGTCCTCCTCCCACCAATACCGCAACCTGATCCCCATCCTGGCGAAGAAGTACCGCATTCTCGCCCCAGATCTGCCTGGATTCGGATTCACCACTGTCCCAGAGGGCTTCAAGTATACGTTCGACAATCTCGCCGCGGTGGTGTCGGAGTTCCTGGATAAGCTCTCGATCACGCGCTTCTCCGTCTACATCTTCGACTACGGCGCTCCCACCGGCCTCCGACTCGCTCTGCAACGGTCAGACGCTGTGCAAGCCATCATCTCCCAGAATGGCAACGCGTACGACGAAGGGCTAGGAGCCTTCTGGGACCCGATCCGCGAGTTCTGGAAGAGCAACAATGATCCCAAAATCCGAGCAAAGCTCGTACCAGCCCTGCTCAGTTTCGAAGCAACCAAGTGGCAGTATGACGAGGGGACACAGAGTGGCAGGACGGTCGCGCCGGAGTCATATCACCTTGACTATGCGCTGCTGCAGCGTCCTGGTAACGCGGATATCCAGATCGATCTGTTTTGGGACTATCAGAACAACCTGCCGCTATATCCCAAGTTCCAGGAATACTTCCGGCAGTCTAACGTGCCGGTCCTTGCGGTCTGGGGCAAAAACGACCAAATTTTTGTCCCCCCTGGTGCTGAAGCGTTCAAACGAGACTTGCCCAAGGCGGAGGTGCATCTTTTGGACGCAGGACATTTCGCAGTTGAAACCGAGACCGAGGAGATCGGGGGCCTCATTTTGGACTTTCTGGCCCGCAATGGAATCTAATCCACGAGATGAATAGTTGTTGGAATCGGTCGGGACGTAATCAGCTGCACGGGAAAACTGTATGTAATAGCAATTGACAAGAATGCCAATGAATCAGTTTAACGAGTCGTACAAAAACCTCACCGTAAGAGCTGGGAAGAACGCCGAGAGCGTAGGTCGCGGGGTAACCTCTCCAAATCACGGATAGAAACTCGTCAACGAAAACACATGGTCGTTCGAACGGGGCAATAACGAATCGGCCATCGTGATGCTGCGGATCTTGTCAGCGACATCGCAGTGCAAGCGAACACCTGACGCGCGATTTCCGAGGTGGTTGCCCTGACTTTTATCATGAGTGGTGGGAAGACATCCCACTCGCTGACGTGGATGGAAATGTGGCGACAAGGATTAAACGGGCCAAATTGAAGCTATTCGCACAGGACCAGGACGGTCAGATTAATGCCTGGGGCAGGAATTCAAGGCCTGGGCCGGTCACCTGACCGGGGAGCGTCGGGAGATAGCCAATGAAGCGTGAGGCTCGGGTGCAGACCCACCCGACGCAGCCCAATCCGGATCTGTTGGGACCAATCGCGGGCGACTTCTTCCAGATTAGGCGGGATCGACCCCACCATTCCGTTCGGTGCGGATTCTAGAATGACAGGGACGCAGCGAGTCCCTGAAAAATGCTGGAGATGCTGGAAGCTCTCGGGAAGAGTCGGAAAAGCTGGGGCGAAGTTAAGGTATATTTTAAGATTGGAGATAGTGGTGGAATGATGACCGGGTAGGGTTCATGAACCCTGAACAGCTGCAGCTGTTGGAATGTGTGATGGCGACATTTTCTGGGGTCAACTCGCCATGCGAAAAGTTAGACGAGCGCACTGTGGGATCGAGGAAGCAAAAACGGTGTAGTGGACGAAGACGTGTGGTGGGGGTGGACCGCGATCTCCATATATCCTCGACTGTCTGTGCAGCACAGCCAATCTCAAGAATTGCCGCCCGCCATGATCTCATCACTCGGGACAAAGAACCTTGGGAGGTCGCAATCCCGGAAGGGCAGCCGCAGGAATGGAACGAGCAGTTGGAGAGCTGTGTCCCTGGCTGCCCTGAGTGCGCTGAGAAAAGCCGGCGAGCACTAGGTTGGATGCAGTTAGAGGGTGAAACCAACAAAAAAAAAAGCATGTGAACCCCCACTGGTGATAACGCTGAAGCTATCTGCCTGCTGTCAACTCGTCGCTTGTCATTTTTGCCTCCTCTGCATCTCTTTGCCTCCTCCAATTCCCCTCTCCTCTCTTTGCTTTTCTCGCAACTCACTTTCTGCGACCACCGTCAGGCAGCCGGTGTCCTTGCCATCCACATTCCCCCTCCCCGCCCGCGTTGACCGTATAAGACAGCTGCCTGTCCTGCTTGTCGTGCGAGGCTTTCGTTGAACTTCACTTTTTTTTTTCTCAATCGGTCGCTGCACCGTTGCTAATCGAACATGGCGATCATTGACACCACCAAAGACCTCGCGGCCCTGTTCACGCAACAGGCCAAGGCGACTCCCGACGCCCTCGCCCTGGAGGACGACAAGTCCTCATACACATATGCTGAGCTAGACAAGGAAGTGGAGGATCTGTCGCAGCGCCTGCGTCGCTATGGCGTGAGCCGGGATAGCTTGGTTGGCGTGCTGCTCCCCCGCAGTGCACATTATGTCATTGCCTGTCTGGCCGCTTTGCGTGCCGGCGGAGCATTCCTCGTGCTGGAGCTGGCTTACCCTCCAGACCTGTTGGCAGACGTGCTCGAAGACGCGACTCCCGCAGTGGTAGTCACTCACAGGGCAGAGACCGGCAAAATCAAGGGCAATGTGCCTGTCATCACGCTCGATGAGTCCGCCGCCGACGCCAATGGCCACACCACCGAGCCGGCACCGCTGCCGGCCAGCGACGACCTGGATAGACTGGCCTTTGTTTCGTATTCCTCTGGCACAACCGGAAAGCCCAAGGGCATTGCAAACCCACACCGGGCCCCCGTTCTCTCATATAATCTGCGTTTCGGCGTGCAGGACCTCCAGCCCGGTGATCGCGTGGCCTGCAACGTCTTTTTCATTTGGGAAATTATTCGTCCCCTGCTGCGTGGAGCTGCTGTCGTCGCTGTTCCTGACGACCACAGCTACGATCCCGCTGCGCTGGTGGACCTTCTTGCATCGAAGCGTATTAGCGAAACTCTCATGACCCCGACTCTCCTTGCTACCATTCTCTCCCGACACCCGCATATCGGCACGCGACTGCCCGAGCTGCGTACGCTGTGGCTCAACGGCGAGGTCGTAACCACTGATTTGGCCCGACGGGCAATCAAAGCGCTGCCCAACACCCGGCTTCTTAACTGCTACAGCGCCTGCGAGACACATGAAATTGCGTGCGGTGACATCCGCAACATGTTGGACGATGAAGCCCAGTACTGCCCGGTCGGCCCGCCGCTGGACCCGAAGCACGCCTACATTGTTAACGAGCAGGGCGACAAGGTGGAAGATGGAACCTGTGGCGAGCTCTGCGTCGGCGGACCCATGCTTGCCAGGGGATACATCAACCGACCAGAGACAACGGCCAAGACTTTCATTCCCAACACTTTCTCGGGGATCAAGGGCGATCTTATGTACCGCACCGGAGACCAGGCGCGCATGCTACCGTCAGGCCTTCTTGAAATCACCGGTCGCGTAGGTGCGATGATCAAATTGCGCGGGTACTCTGTCGTTCCCGGAAAAGTCGAGAACGATATCGTCAAGCACCTGGCTGTGCGGCAATGCGCCGTAATCCCTCACGGCGAGGGTGTGGAAAAGCAATTGGTGGCATACATTGTCGCCGACAAGGAGACTTCTGAAGGGCGCCCGGTTGTGGAAATCAACCCGTCGGGACACAGCCCAGGTGCTCGCAGGGCCCTTACACAGTTCCTCGCACACTACATGATCCCAGCCTTGTGGGTGCAAGTAGAGGAGCTACCAACCCACGAGGTCTCTGGAAAGGTCGACCTCAAGCGTCTCCCGCCGCCACCGACAGAGGTCGTTACTAACGGAAATGGGAAGAAGGAGGATCCCATTGGTATTGACGATATCGCGGCGGTTTGGGCGGTCGCATTGAAGGTTCCCAAGGCGCAACTGCAGCCAGACGATAACTTCTTCGACCTCGGTGGTCACTCGCTTTCTATCGCCGACCTATCCTCCAGACTGTCTCGCAAGTTCGGATTCCGCGTTCCAATCGCGCGGCTAGCAGAAAATTCGACACTGGCTGGCCATGTGGAAACCGTCCGGGGTGTCCGAGACGGTCACGCAGCCGCCGTCCAGGCAGACCTGCCTGCGGTGTTGCGCGCCGATGCCACGCTCGACGAAAGTATTCGCGCGACAGATGCGAAGATCTGCTCGCTTACCGATGCAAAGACAGTACTGTTGACCGGTGTCACCGGTTTCCTTGGTGCCTTCCTCCTAAAGGATCTCGTTGAAAGCACGTCTGCGCACATCATCTGTCTTGTAAGATTTACTGAGCCAGAGGACGATGACCAGCCCGGTGGTGTTGCTCGAATTCGTCGCAACCTGCTTGACCTGGGAATCTGGCACGACTCGATCATGGAGCGTGTCCAGATTCTCCCGGGTAACCTTTCGCGATCGCGGTTTGGTCTCGCCCCTGATGCATTCGAAGAGCTTGCACAGAAGGTTGACGTTATTGTCCACTCCGCCGCCTCAGTCAACCTTGTCTATCCTTACGCCGCGCTGCGGGCAGCCAACGTAGGCGGTACTCGTGAGGTCCTTCGCCTGGCAGCCCAGGGCGGTGCAACCGTCCAGTACGTCTCAACCAACGGTGTTCTACCGCCATCTGGAGAGAAGGGCTGGCCCGAGGATGCAATGTTGGACGTGGATGATGTGCCAACCAAACTGTTGGATGGGTACGGACAGACCAAATGGGTCGCGGAGCAGCTCGTCCTTGAAGCCGGTCGTCGCGGTCTGCCGGTGAGAGTCCACCGTGCCGGTACGATCAGTGGTCACAGTCAATCGGGTGCCGCCAACGCCTGGGATCTGCTGTCCGCGCTGATCGTCGAGTCCGTCAAGCTCGGGAAGTATCCAGACGTGAAGGGCTGGCGGGCAGAAATGACGCCTGTTGACTTTGTTAGCAAGTCCATCATTCATCTCGGGAACCAGACCTCGGTCGACCAGACTGTTTTCCACCTGGGTGACCCAGACCCAGTGAACACGCAGTCGGTCTTTGAAAACCTGAAGCTGCTCGGATATGCGACCGACCCTCTTCCCTGGGACGAGTGGGTGGCGCTTTGGACCAGCAAGCGCGGCGATGTCAAGGGTGGTGACGGTGGCTTCACAGTCGATATTCTTCGCAGCGGTATGCCATCGATCGAGTTCCTGCGCGGCATCGTCGTACTGGACAACGCCGTCACCCGTCCTATTCGCCGTGAAGTTGAGCGACCAAAGGTCGACCAGTTCTTGCTGGAGACGTATACCCGGCACTGGTTCGCTAGAGGGTGGCTGAGGAAGCCCCCAACCCGCCAGAGACCGCTAAGCGGCATCTCTCGCGGTGCTTTGAGCGGCAAGGTGGCCGTTGTCACCGGTGCATCATCTGGAATTGGAGCTGCGGTCGCAACTGCTCTGGCCAGAGAAGGCGCCCATGTCGCGATCGGCGCTCGACGCCTAGATGCTCTGGAAGCACTCAAGGCCAAGATCTCCGGCTACGGCGGCAAGATCGCAATCTGCAAAACAGACGTTACAGACAAGAAGCAGGTGGAGGCCCTCGTGAAGACCGCAACTGACGAGCTCGGTCCGGTAGACACCCTCGTCGCTTGCGCTGGCGTCATGTACTTCACAATGATGGCTAACACCCAGATGGACGAGTGGGAGCGCACGGTCGACGTCAACTGCAAGGGCATTCTCAACTCTCTTGCATCTACAGTACCGGGCATGCTGTCGCGCGGGCGTGGTCATGTCGTCGCAATCTCTTCAGATGCCGGTCGCAAGGTATTCCCCGGTCTGGGAGTCTACTCGGCCAGCAAGTTCTTCGTCGAGGCGACGCTGCAAGCACTGCGTCTGGAGACGGCCGGTCAAGGCCTGCGCGTGACAGCCGTGCAGCCAGGAAACACAAACACCGATCTCTTGGGCATGTCGACCGACACAGAGGCCGTCAAGAAGTACGGCGAGGCATCGGGGGCACAGATCCTGTGCCCGGAGGACGTGGCTAACGCGATTGTCTACGCTCTCCGCCAGCCTGAGCATGTCGCGATGAACGAGATCCTGATTGAGCCGCGAGACGAGCCGATCTAGATGTAATTGCTGCACTGGGATTGTCATGAACTTTCGCATCACTTGTCGCATGGGTTCTTTTTTTGCTTGTTGCCTGTCGCTTTGGGATTTGCGTCGTCTTACGCAATTTAGACGTATATAAATAAGTGGACCATTATTTTAGTCGTGGTAATGAATCGAATATATGAATATCTGGATATTAGCTTTCTATAAACTGTATTGGCGTAGTAGCTTTGGGGAGACTTGAGTCGGAGAGACAGGGAGAGACAGGTAGTGAGAGGGAGGAGGTTGATTGCACAGGGCTGTCAGGCAAGAAGTGCGGTCGGGCGGGCCTCTTATATACGCGATATTCGGACCCCTGCTGCCATCAGCCTATCATCAGCGCCCTCCCCGCACATGGGGCCACTGCCCAGCGTCATAGGATGGGGACTCCACAGTCTGCACTTATCGGTATTCTGACAGCTGACTGTAACCTCTTGTACCTGAATATCTTTATTCTACTTCATCGAGACTGGACGGACAGGCGAAAGTGTATTCACTGCGGGTGACGCAAGCGTATATACTTTGGCGTTCCGCGGTACTGCTTCACCCCGGATATAGGTAACTCTCATCGATGGAAAGCATGTCACGGCAAGGTTAGTCGCTAGAGAAGATGCAAATGAAGATGCTGCGCTTCGTCCACGGTCATTAAAGCATAGAATGGGAGAGGGCACGGTTGAGGGAGAAGATGGTTAGAGCAGTTAATTCTGATGTCGATGATAGACCTGGTGAAGGTAGCCAGAATGAAAGAGTAACTGAGATTGTGCAGTGGTAGAAAGGGATGGTTCAGTACTGGCCACGGTCGCTGGAGTATTGAAGCGTGAGGTGGTCTGACCATGGACTGATGGCAGTATAAAGTTCTGCCTGTGGAAGCTTCCTGCTTGCCTGTTCTTCTCTTCTTCTCCCTCTTAATTTTGACTTACCTTTCATCTTCTCTCTTCCATAACACATCTTCTCAACCAAAAACTCTGTCTCCTTGACATCCCTTCAACCCCATGTCTTCTTCATTGTCTTCCAAAACAGTTGTTCTTTTAGTCTTAAGGCAACCTCCCTTCGAACCTCATCACATCGTTTAATCTCAAACATGGACAAGAAAATAACAACCGAAGAGTTCCACCGTACCATTCAAGACGCTGTACTGCAACGATCGACAACTTACAGTGAATCATATGCCATATCCATCCGTTGGCAGCTCGATGACACACTCGCCCACCAGGACGTGGGACACTTCCAGTCCTTATTAAACACACTTCGACTCGCCGCAGCCCGGGAGGTCATACTAAAAGCGGGCGATGTCACACCAGGGTGGACGGTACAGGGAGAGTTCATCAAGGCATTAAACGAAGCAAGGCAGACCAACGGTCGCGCCCTTGTTGTCGTCCATTACGCCGGACACGGGTCCCAGGGGCCTGGAGGTATCTTGCGATTTGTTGAGTGTCCGGGTGGCAGAAGGCTGAATGCAATGATGTACATGGTGGGACATGTCCTGCCTGGTGAAGGCTACTACCTCCAAGACGATGACAAGGTCGATGTTTTATTTATTTTCGATTGTTGTTATTCGTTTATCGCTCCTCGTGCTCCTCGACCCAGCCAGCGCATCGTGGAGGTGATCGCTGCCACCGACGAAACCCAGCCAGAAGCTTTCTCGCCCCAGCGCAACACCATAACAGGGAAATTGGCGGGAGAGATAAGGGACCGCGAACGTGCAGGCCATCGGTACATTGAGTTTGCTGAAGTCATTGCGACTTTGCAAGCACGACCAGATTCTTCCAGGTCGCCATCCCACGGTCTTAGAACCGGTGCAATGTCGATTTGCCTCCCTTTTTCTGGGCTTACCGGTACGCCTGGAGACTGCCGACGCATCCAGCCCGCATTGAGAGTGGTTTTCGGCGTTCATATAGCCGATAATATGACTCCGACTACCGTCAAAGATGTCGTCCAGTGGATTCGTACGCTACCCGCGAGTGCCAGCATTACCCTCGAAGGAGTATACCCGGCCGCGTCGACTTTGCTTGTGCTGTGTGGGCCATGGTCGATATGGTCTAAGCTGAGCGGGATCTTTGGATACTCGTTTATGGCGAAAGTAACGGGAGGGAACCAGATGGGACCATGGACGCCTTCTAACNCCCCCCAGTGAACCAAGTGCTGGCGTCCTTTTCAAGAAAGAGAATATACCACCACGACGTGCCCCGTACGCGGAAATCAAGGCTCCTAAGGTGGCTTTGCTGGTGTTTATTTGCCCCCCTCGACTTTGCTTGTCCTCCGCGCTCCATGGTCGTCTTCTACAGCTGAGCGGAATAGGTGAGAACGGATTCTAGGGTGTTCTGGTCGTTCTCCCCTATGATCCAAGCACAGGTTAGTCAGGCTGCGGTGATATCAAAATAGAATACCATTTTGAAATAGACGTCTAGCGCGACTTTCTAGTGACATTACAGATTCAATATGATCTGGTTCATGGCCATGAAAGAGAAGAAGTGGATGATCATGACAACGACGCAAACGCAGGGAAAACGTGAAATATCTGGCCATCACAGCCCTTTGCTGTATTTCTCCTATATTTTACCTTCTTGGTTATTCCAATCTTCTCTTCCTTCCTCGTCTTGATTCCTCTATTATTTTATGTCTAAATCCCCTCTTGATTACCCTTATATTTACTGTCTTCTGTGCTTTATTCCACCCAGTCCTCATCCTACTCCACCCAAGACATCAACACTCACCACCACGATGGAGGACAATCAGCATAATCTTGAAATAATCGGTGATGGAAACTGGAAAGTTTACTGCAAGCATGCCACATTTCAGGTCTCACAAGAAGCTATTTCAGCAGCCGGTGCACAAATACTTACTCCGCACATGAATCCTAGAGTGCGATACCGAGACACAAAGCATATTTTCTACCATGACGCAGATGCCACTCGAATCATTTTGAACATTATTCACCATAATTCAGAGAAAGTTCCCCTCGACCTGAGCGCTGAGGCGTTGCTCCATGTTGCAGTCGTCGCTTCCGATGCCCGATGCGTACCGATACTGGGCGGTTATGGTAGAGTTTGGCTCTACAGGGCTATAGGGAAAGCCACCGCAGTTTTCGACTTAGCGAGGCTTCTCCGTTGCGCAGACCTATTGATAATGAATGATCTCGTTGCCGTCTTCTCACAGAGGCTTGTTTGCCGAAACGCAGCGATGTTTAAGCACACCACGATACGCTCCAACGACTTAAATTCCTGGCTTGAGGATAGTCTGTTGGGTATGGATCCAGAAACAGCACGCTCTTACCCTATCTTGGTACTAATAAACCACTTCAATAGATAAACTAGAGCGCAACAGACAAATCATACTGAGGCGAACCGAAATCGCGATTTGGGACCTGTATGAGAACCTGTGCAAATGCCAACATGCCACAGCCCGGGAGTTTGCCCGCGGCTATTTCACGACACTGACAAGGGAAGGCATCCTACCCGGGACAGAGTCTTTCAAGAGTAAATGCTATGCAGAGATATGCGAGATCGCTGCTAGATTGCCGCCAAAGGTCTACTATCCGCCGGGAAAGTGTACTGCGCAGCGCAACTGTGACGTCTGCAATCGTGGACCAATTGAACAAGTTGCCTATCTAAGTCAAAAGTTAACACTATGTGTTTCTGACAACAGCCTCCAATTATGTCGGTGGTGTGCAAGAGATCTTCCCTGCACGGAGCATCCTTAGCTTTCATTATGGACGGACTTTGGGGCAGGGAATGGACGGTGGATTGAAGTTATGAAGGCGAATATTTGTTATGAAAGCCAGTATTTAAGCACTACTATACAAAACCAGGGTTTCTAGAATCATTGGCGTCTCCAGAAAAACGTATAATCCATAATGCAATACAGGCATTGATCACAAATTTTGAAATTTCTTCAGCCTTTGAACGCGCTCGGCTGTTTGTTTGTTTCCTCCGTTCACTCCTTAAGACCTTCTCCCCTCTCCACCTCAACACAACCGACAGTTTCATCCAACCTTCTTCATCTCGACAGAATGGCGCGTGAGGTAATAGACTCCGAAGGTGATTGCACCATCAAATGCGGCGACACTGAATTCCTCGTTTCGTCCAAGGCCGTCTCACTCGCTGCGCCCCAGCTCAGCGGTGACAGTATCCAGCGCCTCGCTTCGGAAAACCCACGGACGATTCAAATATTCCTTAATATTTCTCATCACCGCTCGAATGATAATCTATCAGAAGTAGATTCTGATGATATGTTGAGCCTCGCTGATCTAATCGAGAAGTATGAATGCCGCTCTGCCATGATGGCTCACGCCCAGCAATGGCTACTGAAGGACCTGGAGGCTTTATCCGTAGAGGATCTTTGGAAGATGCTTCGCTTTGCACATAGCATGAAGATCAAGGAAAGCGCCATAGAGATATGTCAGCAGCTGGTTGCCCACCATTCGGGAGCATTGCACTCGTGGGCATTCGCTATTGATAATCTCGGTTCTATGCCCCGGGAAATTCTCCGTAGGTGCATCTACTACTAGCATTCTTCCCTTGAAATTCTTTGCTAATAAGCATACTCGCCCCAGGTGACCTAGACGAACTTCAGCGGAGCCTGAAGTTAACGACCACGGAAGCTGTTCTTAGCGTCGCGGCCTTACTAGCGGAGTGCGAGTGCCAACACGCCCAGATTTTCATCGGATCGTATATCCAGTCCTTGGGCAAGCTCGGTATCTTGCCAGGGACTGTGTCCTTCCATTCAAAAACATATTCAGACGTACGCGACCAAGCAGCACAACTGCCTGTTGCTCGATATCCTGCTCACGCGAGTGGGTGCTGCAGTACATACGCTTGGCTAGAGCAAAGGGAGCACTTGTTGGGAAAATTGGAAGATTGCTTAAACAGGATTCTAGAGGAGCTTCTTTGAGGGCTTGGTTGATTATAAAAAAGGGGGTCCATCACAGGGTGCTAGATATGGAGATTTCGAATGTACCCGCCAGCACAAAGGCTTTTTAAGATAATTTAACATGTATTAAGAGTTTATATCGTTCAATAGTCTTACGCAAATCAACCTGGATTAGTGTAGTTGGAGTTGCTACAACGTCGTCCGTGGGCAGCTGCCACTGTCCTGGCGAAACCAAAGTAACCGTACTATATGAACGTCTCTCTTGGGGAAGGGTTTAATATTGTAGTCGTCGATATTAGACGGCAGAAACGGTGATCATAGCTCACTTTGTTAAAGTTCAAGGAGGCAGTGAAATATGGCGTCTGAACAGAAATAGCCCTAGATGCATCAGGTTGAACCTGGAGAAATTGTATACTAAATCCTGTGCCATTAAAGCATTCCACCAGCCCTACTCTACACACTTGGGTGATATCCTTCAAGCAGTACCACGTAGCTGTGCACACCTGAGTTCAAGGACTGAAAGGGAGAAAATCCTTCAAGGTACTTCTTCTTTCGATTCTATCCTAGCCTCTTTTGAAGGTGCTGGGTCATGAGCTTCCCAGCAAAAAGAATTCTTCCTCAAATTCCCATCTCACTCTGTTTTCTCCCTCACCACTCTTCCTTCATCTACCATACCCATCTCCTAGTCATCAGTCTTTACTCTTCCCTACAACAAAATGGCAATCGAGATTAGTGACCCTCGTGGTAATGTCATCCTCCAAACCAAGGATGTTTCATTCCGGGTTTGTCCAGCCGTTATGTCGGACTCCTCTCCATTCTTCGATGCGATGTTTCGTCACGGCTTTAGGGAAGGTCTCGCGGTGCGAAATGCAACGCCTGAAAACCCTGTTACTATTGAGCTTCACGACGACGACCCGGATGCCCTTCGTATTTTCGTTCGTACCGCTCACGATCAGATCGTGGGCGTGCCCACGGTGCCAGCGATTGACCACATTAACCGTTTGGCAATGCTGGTTGATAAATACGACTGCGCTCCGGTAATGATGAACTACGGAGAGGTCCTAATCTATCGCGTGCTGGAGACCATCACGACGATGGAAGAATTGTGGCTGCTGTTGCAATACGCCTACGTCCTGAACTCCCAAACCCTCTTCAACGACCTATCACAGCGACTAGCACTGCAACTACCCTGCGCCCTCGAGAGCTGGATGTATCCGGTGGATGTTATAGCCCCATTTATACCTATCGCAGAGATCATAGGTTTGCAGCAAGATATCCTCAATTTCCTTGGTCTTCATACTAATATGGTGCAATGCTAGACCAGGTTGATGCTCTGCGCGTCTCGTACATGTCCACTATCGAACGGATCCTTGGGGCCCCCTATGACAAAGGCATGAGTTGTACGTGCTTTGCCAATCCAGACATTGTTGGCAATTATTGGCTCCAGCTGGTGCAACTTGACATCCACCCTTTAACTCCTTTCACCGTATTCTGGGAGAAAAGCCCTCCAGAAATCATAGAGAGGACTAAGCGACTGTCTCCTGCTGTGGACGCACCCTACATTAGGAGGTGCCTTGTCTGCTGTATACATGCTGAGCTTTTAGCGCCAGCAAGATTGGCTGCGAGGGTGGAGCGAGATTTGGCACAAGGGTTGTGCGTAGGATGCGTGAACCCGGGTGGTTGCGAGTGGCACCCAGAAGGGTGATAAATCAGTTGCAATAGGGCTATCCAGAGTGTCGTTTCCTGTTTGGATAAAAGTATTTTGAGATTAATGTCGCACCATGATGCTCCAAGCTGAGATCCAACTTGTAGGGTAGTTGCTATAGCCTCACCAAGGATATCTATTCGCACATCTCGGCCTAAACCACCAAGGCAAATCGTGAATCCAACGAACTCCTTTATCCCCAGTTTACCACTGAAACAAACATCAATACAAGTAGATCTCGCTTAGCTAAATACCTGTTTGCCGACAAACGCAGCCTCATAGAGGGATATTAAATCTCACCTTCCAGGCAACTGTGATGACTTCATCAAAATTCGCCAAAAATGGACGCACCTGTGCTTCGCAATGAGAGCATGCTGGCCCCGTACGATCCCCACGGTGACCTCGACATCGTATGCAAGGATAGGCATTTCTGGGTCTCATCGAAAACCCTGTCAGAGGCCTCATCCGTCCTCGGCAAGAAGTTCGCCCCCAAGCTAATAGCAAAATACGAGCCCAACTCCATGAGTAAGGTACCAATGGAGCTTCCTGACGTTGATCCCGCGGTCTTCAAAGTCTTCTGCAACATGTTGTACAATTGCCACCTTCGTCGAATCCAACCCCCACCACAGGCCTCCTAAATTCGTTATACGCCTTCGTCGAGGAGTACAAGTGCCACAAAACGGTGTCGCTCGGGGCCCAGACCTGGATATTGGAGGACATCAATAAACGATCCTGCGAAGAGCTCTGGACAATCCTGAAATTTGCGTACGGAATGAAGTTGGGGGTTTTGTTTCGCACTGCTGCGAAGCGGCTTATCTGGATGAGAGAAAGCGTGCCTGGTTACAGGGACTGGGCTGTCTCTGTCGACAACTACGGCCCCATGCCGGAAAATGTTTTAGGTTGGCTTCTCCTGCTCCATTATTGACTACTTTCCTCATATTAAGGCTTCGCGTTTCTTGCAGATATAATCCAAATGGGTCAAGACCGCCTCCACACGAGGATAGACGAAGAAATCTTCAACATCCTTCGCGCACAAGGTGGAAAAGAAGAGCCCGAGATGGAAAGAAGCCTGCGGATTGGCCGATACACTCAATCCTTGTTCGACGTGGGTCTTATGCCCGGGTCGTCGGAGTATGAGAGGAAGAGCGTCAACGATGTGTATATTGCCGCGGCGAAGTTGCCACATGAAATGCGAGAAGAAACGCAGTTGGACATGAGGGTGCTGAGATGCTGGGAGGTCCAAGAAGGGGTTTGCTTTTTTTGCTTGAGGAGTTGGCATTGCGATCAGCATATGGGGGTATGAAGAGGTGGCTCGTGCCCTGTATTACAGATTGATATTCTTGTTGACTTTATTTTTATGAATCAGCAGTTGCATTAGGCGGAGCTGCTGAGAATTTATTATATTTCTGCTGACGCAGCGCCTGATTCAGCTGTATAGCTCACAGAAGTGCCGCCTCGTCTGCGACAGTCTCTTGGATATACTGTTCCAACTTCCCCTTCGTCGGCTCCCAGCCCAAGAGCTTCCGAGACCGCAAGGCCCGACCCTGACCGTTCGAGCCCAGGAACACCGCGCCGCCATTAATGACGGAATTTGAGTCCTCTAGGCTGATCGAATGAGCCTCGCTAGACGGAATATACCCAAAATTGTGCGCCGCCTTGGCCACCTGCTCTCCGATATCCTTGAACGCCTAAGTGGTATCAGCATCAGTAACTAAGCAAGCCTCGTCTCGCCATTCGACATACCTCAAACCCATTCTCTGCAAAGAACAATCCGTTCTCATTCCACACGGCCGCTGCAGAACTCGTAATGCCCGCCTCAACGAGCCTCACAAATAACTGTCCCAGGTCCGCAATATGGATAGCCCCCCAACGACTCAAACCCTTACCAAGATACAAACCAGACTTCTGCTTCAGGGTCGCCCTGGAGATAGCAGGGACCTGTACACTGCGCCTGTTGACCGGTCCTTCACCCCGTCCAAAGATAATAGGCGGGAAGATAATCGCCGTCTTGGGACCATTATCACCAAGATCAAGGATGAAGTTATCCACAACCCGTCGGTTCCGGTAATCGCGGATGATTTTTCGAAGGTCGCCAATGTTGTCTAGGTCGTCGAAGATTTTATCTGAGGGTTCGCCGTATGTGTTGGAATCGATCTCGGGGCCGGCGAGGACGCTGGCACCTGTGACTTGGATGTAGTATGCTGTTCCGGGAATCAGCTACTGCTCGGTTATCAGTGGAAACGTAAGTGATAAGCTTACCATCCTGGCGTCCTTCGAATGCTCGCGAAATTGCTTTCACGCTTTCCAAGTGTTTGTTGCTAGCGGCATCTGTGCTTTACTGTCAGCATCAGGCAATCGGTCTGCCTTTCTCTAACCAGAACTCACGGACGACGACATTGGCCTTCTTGGCTTCGGTTTCGATGAGATCAACTTGGTCCAGATCTCCAAGGACAATGCGGGTCTTAGGGTAGGCCTTTGTTACCGCTGCAGCTTTCGTCTCATCTCTGACCAGCGCTGCGACTTCATAGTCGGGATGGGTTGTTGATAAGGTGTGGAGCACTTGGCCTCCGATATAGCCTGTGGCGCCAGTTCTAAGGAATCAGGTATGATGGAATTGCAGTCTGGCTTTTTACAGTACTTACAGGAAGATTTTAGGCATGTCGAGAGTTGTAAGAGCGTGGTGATGACTTGGGAGTCCATACAGTGGCGGGGTTCTTATAGCATCCCCGCCAAAATCCGAATCAGGAAGGCCATCCCGTGCAGGAAGGTATTGGAGATTGCGATATATTGCATCATTTCATCAACGAGCTACCGGCATATATTCCACAAGGGTCTTTTTACGATCATACTCAGGGCGGAGAATCACCTCTCAACCATGTGGGCGTCCCCTGTTTGTTGTATCCGCACTCCGTCGCGTCCACGCACGCCGCAAGACTACCGAAATGAATGCCGCGCTTCGTCGTCCCAGGCCCATAATGCGCATATTTTGCGGAATTTGTCATCAGATTCTTCGAGCCCAGCGGAATAACTGGTTCTTCAATGAGACACCAGCATGTATCCGTTATAAAAGTCGCTCCGAAGGCTTCCAGCGAAGCAATATACCCAGCTTCAGCAGCCCTTTCATATACCTCCCGGCTCGTCGTGATGATCATCTGAGTCACGGGTGATCTTTTTCGGCCTCTTGTTAACTTCGCCAGTGCGGCAAACTCGTCAAGAGCAAAATGCGGATTTCCCAGGGACGTCAGTGCGACGGAGCTGTCGACGTGCGTGTTTAGTTTTTCCCAGCACGCCCTCAAATCACTAAAAGTAATCGGGACAGGTTTTAGCTCAGAGAGTAGATGCTCGTGCTTGTGGGCTTCAGGTGTGACGCCCTTCATGTGGAACATTGGGGCTGCCGACGTCGTAGCAAAGGCAGCGCTGAAAGCCTTCAGCTCTGGAATTCCAGGCAGTGGAGTGATATTGTTCAACCCAATGATGAGAGGAATCTCTGCTCCTACTCGCTGCCCGACAAAGTATCCCAGCAAAGGGTATAGGGAGTCATCGAACTCATCCAACTCCGGAAAGTCAATGCGGAGAGTTGGAACCCGTCCACTATCTGTATGGCAATTCGCATTCGGTGCCCGCCCGGTGATGGCAATCATGACGTCCAGATAGTCCGGATACTTCTGTGTTCTAGCGCCCAGGACGCTGTTTGCATATACCACAGCGTTGGACTCTGCCCAGCCGATCTGGTCACCGGGTCCAGGTGCTGTCCCCAGCAGGTAGGGTGCACAGGTGAAGCTCTCTTTCGCACCTATTTTCATATAGATATCACCAACTTCAGACGCAGCATTTGAGAGGATAGGCTCACACCCAAGCTCTTTCCACCTTCGCCGATCAACATTAAGTGAGTTCATCGTCGTGGGAACGGCAACTTCAGCACCGAGAGCGAGGAGCCTTTGGGGAATGAGTAGACTGGTTGGACCGACATATACGCAGGCATCTATGTGCGCCTGCGAGACGTCGATCAGACCGTCTGCACCTTGCGCCTGCGAATAAAGCATGATAATCTCCATTGCCTGCTTTTTTGCCTCGCCTTTTTTTCCGTCCAATATATCTTTATCGTTTGGGCTGAGTGTGATGGAAGTTGGAGGGAAATGGGCGTAGGGTTCGAGCGAAAGACACAAGGCAGCATCTCCGAAGGTGACATTGTTTTCACTAATGGAAGCATGGCTATGATATTGAAGGTCAGAGAATAACGACGTACCGAGAACTAATACAGGGATCGACTTGTTGAACATAGCGCGCGAAACCAATACCCCAAGGGTAACTAGGACTTCTGGCTGGCCAAACACCAGGGCTGCCGGCGCACACCCTGCATGGAGCAATTCCAGGATGCCACCGCTTCCTGCACAAGACCCTCTCCCACCAGGTATCACCAGGATCTTATCTTTGATATTCTGTCCGCAGAGAGGGTGATGCCGATCGATCACCTCACCTGTCTTGGAGTCAACGCCGCCATAGAAACTTATCGGGGTGTCAGTCCAGAGGACATATCCGGTCCCGATTCCTGGGACCAATGTATAACCCTGCTGTTTCATTGTATATCCACAGCGTTACACAGGAGCGATGTTGGAATGGTGCAAGCATCAACGCTGACGTGAGTCAAAAAGGTGGCAACCGATAGTTGTCACGCATTCAGGACATGGCGTCGCGAAGGCCTCATTAACAATATGAATCCCAACGGATGCCGACCGGACTGAAAGCTCAATACCACCAACCTCTTCCATGTCAGCCCCAGATTTGAGATTCAAGTCGGTCATCTGTGGTTAGAGCTTCCGGCGGGGAAGGTGGTTCCGTGATCCCAAAGCAGAGGGTGTTTCCGCGAAGGAAGGACTTGCCGAGGCTGCCACAGACACGGGCGCGATGGGGCGTTTTGATTCTGAAAAGCATCATTCCCCTCACTTCGAAATCATCATCAATGCGCAAGGAAAGAAGGCTAGGCTGGCCCAATGTCTACATTTGGGCCGGTCCTTGCCTCGGACGCTCCGGGGGAAACGCCATCCCCCCTGCTTATCGCCTCAGGTGAGGTTCAAAAACGGCAGATGAAATCGACCAAGGACCAGAAAAGAGACAACACCAATCTTCAGCTGTCACTATCAACCTCCATCTCAACGCCCGACACCACGTTGCTCAGTTCCCCCGGACCGGAAACCGTCCCGGCGTCGTTAACGATGCCGAGTGTATGAAACCGTCGCGACGCCACAATATCCAAGCTTCTGTCGACAAGAAATCGAGAACCACCTATCATAGATCGCTGTCGAAAAGAACCGCGTCTTGTTATCATCCCAATTGGTCCCCCCTACCAGCCACCAAACCGGGAGCCGTCCCGGTCTCGCCAACCATATCGAGTGCATGAAACTCTCGAGGCGCCACAAAACCCAATCTTCCTGTCAAGCGGAAATCAGAAATTTCCTATCATTGAACTCTATTGAATAGTATAATGCTTTGTCGTCGCCTGGATTCCCGTGGGAAAGGCGCTGTCAATACACCATGAGACGCGCTGTAGCTGTCGCGATAGGCTGGTCCACCACGGTGGAGAGAGATATCTGCATCGTGCGCCTGTTATCTGCGACCCGGTCACCGATTATGGATTACGCCTAGACTCTACTATGTAGATCGAGCTGGATGATAAGATGCCCAGGCCTACGATAATTGCCCATTGTGAAGATGGCGCACGTCATGACTGGACTGTTCTGTGGTGAGGATAAGTAAATACCGCACCCTCCCAAGCGCTGATATGCCTATAGGAGGCGTCCATTTTTCGCGGGTTTACCGGCGGGGATGATAAGCTCTCGCGGTGACATTCCCGATTCTCACGGATGCTATAGCCGCTCAGGAAGGCAACGGCGGGAGAAGGCAGGGGCTTATCAACTTAGTTCGCACGTCCATACGGGGCCCGGCGAATGGAAAGCTAAATATCGCAGTTGGATCGTCTTGGGCGACCGTGCTATGCATGACAAGAACGTCATTGACTGGCGTGGATTCATTTTCGTGACAGGAGGAAATCGTCCAGGATGGGAAATTGCTACGATCTCCCAATCGGATAAGTCGTCCAAGAAAAACATGGCCCCATAGTAATATAGTGCATATTTATCGCCTTGGGTAGACCTTTAAGGGGTGCAGATCTCTCTTCAGTTGCATCGTTGAAATGGCGTCTTATCTCTTGGATTAATATCTTATCTGTGAACTCCCGCTGGGGAAGGGCCGGCTGTCGTTGCGGTCGTAACAATGTTGAACGTGGAAGCTGTAAAACCTCCATTCCCATTCCCCAGAAAAGGGAGGCAACTTAACCAGTAATGGGCGACACTACTGCGCCCCGAAAGTCTATCTTGCGGTCTCTAATTCGCTGGCAATGAGGAGGGCGTCCATATCCGGGGTAGCAATCACGGTGGATCTGTCTGGGGTAGTGGGTACTTTTCTTTGCCACTGCCAGTAGGCTGGCGGTACTATCATGTCTGTCTCAAAGCAGACACGAGATCGGCGTATATAACTGTCCCTGCAGCCCCCCTCGTTTCTCTTGAATTCCGCATTCTATCTGTCTATTATCCTTCCCGCAGTTTCATTTCTTTTCGTCACGGTCCTCAACATGTCGAAGCCCAAGTATGAGGACGAGTTCGAGGACATTGCGCCTGCCCCCTCTCAGCTGGGCGAGATCATTGACACCAAGGACACTCGTGATCACGATGCTGTCTTCGGTGGCATAACAGAGGATGGCCCTAACTACCGGAATGTCCGTGTCTTCCGTACTCCTGAATACCATTAGCGGTCTAACATCAAAAAGGTCGGGTGGATGGGGACCGCAGTCCTCATGATCAAGACGCAGATCGGGCTGGGTGTTTTGTCAATACCAACTGCCTTCAACAAGCTCGGTCTGATACCCGGTGTCATTATCATGTTGACTATTGGGGTCATCACGACCTGGTCCGATTATATAGTCGGTGTCTTCAAGATCAACCACCGCCATGTCTACGGTATCGACGATGCCGGAGGCATGATATTTGGACGCATCGGTCGCGAAGTATTCGGCGCTGCATTTTGTCTTTGTAATGCTCCCTCTTGTGGTCTGGTTCCTGTCGAGTATGCATCGGCTAACTGAGATCACATCTAGTCTTCACGTTCGTTTCCGGATCGGCGATGCTTGGTATCTCAATTTCGTTGAACGCACTTTCAGTGCACGGTGCCTGTACTGCCATATTTGTCGCCATTGCGGCGGTCGTCACCTTTGGCTTGTCAAGTATCCGGACTCTCGGTCGTATTAGCTGGCTAGCATGGATTGGTTCAATCTGCATCATTGTTGCCGGTGAGTGTCACTGCCTCATCCTAAGAGTTGGAACTATCTGACCTATTCCTTAGTCTTCACCGTTACCATCGCAGTCGGACTGCAAGGTCGCCCATCTACAGCACCGAAAGATATCCCTTGGGAATCCGACTTCAAACTGTTCGGTAACCCTACCTTTGCCGAAGCCTCCACGGCAATGTCTTCCCTCGTTTTCGCGTACTGCGGAACACCCGCGTTCTTCTCAATTGCTGCTGAAATGCGCGATCCACGTGAATTTAACAAGGCATTGATTGTCTGTCAAAGCATTGTTACGGCCACGTACATCATTGTCGGTATCATCGTTTACTACTATGCCGGCTCGTATGTGGCTTCCCCGGCCCTCGGTACAGCTGGTCCGCTCGTCAAGAAGGTGGCATATGGAATCGCACTTCCAGGATTGTTCGTGACTGCGATACTGTTGACCCATGTAAGCTACTACCCTCTGATCCTTACATCAATGTTTTCCAAAGCTGACAGGTACAGGTTCCGAGCAAATACATCTTCGTCCGTCTCCTCCGCGGAAGCAGACACCTCACCTCAAACTCCCCTATCCACTGGTCCGTCTGGCTTGGATGCACCTTCACGGTCACGATAGTAGCGTACGTCATTGCCAGCGGTATCCCAGTCTTCGATGATCTCGTCTCCCTCGTCGGAGCCCTCCTCGGCACCTTCATCGCGTTCCACCCGATGGCGTGCATGTGGCTGTACGACAACTGGACGAAGGACGGGACAGCTCGAACGTGGAAATGGAAGAGCATGGTGTTCTGGTGTGCCTTTGTGCTTATTTCTGGCACTTTCCTCATTATTGCTGGGACGTATGGCTCGGTTACGGCGATTATTGATTCGTACCGTGAGACTGGGGGAAGTGCGGCTTGGTCTTGTGCCGATAACTCGAATTCGACCTAAGTCGGGCTTGTTTATGCTAGAGTACATAGCACGGGAGATATTGAGATGCAGAAATTTAAATGTTTTGATGTGAAGTCGCTGGGAAGTAAATCACACTATGTAGCCTTCCAGCTGTGTTACCGGCTTGCTCCCTTGTCAGTTCTCAGTTCCAACTTCCATCTTCCTGCTCACTCCACCTTTTTCTGCGTTCACCTTCTTCCACCACTTAACACTTGGAAAACTTGCCTTTCCTTCCGATCCAATTCATAAGACAGTCATCTCGAAATGGCCGTCCAAATCGACCCCGACGGTGACATTTTGGTGAATTGCTCAGGAACTGTCACCTTCCTAGTTTCGAAAAAGGCCCTGTCCCTGGCTTCCCCCGTCCTGACTTGGATGGTGAAGCCGCCAGTCGAAGGTGGATTGGCCATAAAAAACGATACCAGCACATATCCTATTGTCAGCCTCCCACATCAGGACCCGGAAGCATTCCGCGTCTTCGGCGAGGTGGTCCACCATAAATCTACAGGTCTCTCCGATACCCCCACGCCGCGCTGTCTTCGTCATATCGCCTATTTCATTGACGAATATAATTGTACTAAAGCAATGGCTTATTCGGCTCGTGTATGGCTCTCTCAGACACTGAGAGGGAAAACTCGTGAAGAGTTGTGGGACTTGCTACGGCTGGCGTACGTCGTAAACCTCGGGGCCCAATTTTATGATATATCTCGCGAGCTTCTGTGGATAAGTTCAGGCCGATTCGGTTGCTGGGAGCATGCGAGCCAGGATCTCGAAGTAGTCTTTGATAATCTGCTAGGTTTTTTGAACCCCAATTACACTAGTGGAACCTTTGAATTCGCTAACCATCTGTCGCATACATAGTCAGCCTTGATAACAAACTCGAACTCGCTACTCGACACATCCAGCACGCAATTTTACACGTTGTGGACAGGCTCGCAGATACTGAGTGCGATATAGCAGCCGCTTTCATGCGCGATTATGTTAACGCCATCAAGAATATCGGTATCCTACCAGGATCGGACGCAGTCGCGGGGAAGACATTTCTGGAAATTTATCACGATGCAAGACACGCCGAACTAAAACCATTTACTGGTCACGGCAGCTGCAAATGTTCCAGGTTTTCAGGTCACTCGCCGAGGTCAGCATTAATTGCTCGACTAAACGAGTGTTGGAAAGAAATGGGGCTGTGCTTAGCATGTGTTAAGAATGTTCCTTGTGAAGAGCACCCTGCTACACAGTGACTATTCACTCTAGTATCTTGTGAGCACGTTGGGATATTACCTGGATATTACTTCTATTGTTGCGATGAGGGCTTTCAACACCATGTCCCGATTGAGGTTTCGCCAGGTATATGAATAATCGACGCGGTTGTTAGCACTTTCAGTAAATAATTAGTACGCTGCCATAGGCTTTGAGAAAATTGCTGCCCGTTCTTACCTTCTACTGCACCATTTCATAATCCTGACAACCAGATATGTCTGGTGTATAGCCCTACGTCAGGATCGTAGCCTTTGATTCTTGTTCACGCGAGTGGGGAACTCAATCCCCGTCAGGAAGGGGTGCAGTGAAATGTGACTGTATTTGCCATTCGTAAAGACGATATCGGGTTTTGAGCACGACAGGGGACCACGCGAGAAGGAAAGGATATTTGAAGGGACACTGAGACTGAAGCTGCGTAGACCAATCTTTTCTAATATGTAGCTGAGATACCTAGACTGCCATTTCTACCTCTCGCGGCGTCGATGTAGACTATTCTCGGTGCTAGGCAAGATATAGTGCACCCAAAATTACCACGGAGCAAGGTCCGCATAGCAACATCAAAGTACTTGACAGTATTGATCGCAATTAATCCCCGCAAATCACACCTTCAGTTTTAAATTGTATACTATCCGACTAACACCGTCCTAAAACAGCCCGGAGATTGGACCTCCCGTCTGCTTAACACCACCTCTCCACGTAAACACAAACTTCCCTTCACCAGCTAAGCCTTTCTTTCATTCCGCAACTCCCCTTTCAGCATCTGCCACTTCACGATGCGTCTCCTCCTCGCTCTACTGGCAGCGGTATCCATCGTCGCGGCGACAATCCTCGAAAATGGCCAGCCCCGACTCGAGCCGTACCCCGGACACGCTCAGCTCCTAGGATCGGAGGTCGGTGAAGGTTGGAAAACTTATGGGGCAGATGCGGACGAAATATCGTACAAAGGTAGATGGGATAAGGATCATGTTTCTTGTGAGTTCACGACTCCATAAATATGTCACCGATCTAATGAACATCCAGGGTGGTCGTAAGTTGGCTGCCCATTTCAAGGCATCCGTGACTGAAACTTCAAGGGCTGCCGGAATCAAATTCGCTTTTACTGGGAAGAAGGTGTGAATTAATGTCTCTGATCATCGAATTGGCTAACTGGGGGCAGCTCGCATTGAGCTTCGGTAACCATACTTCTGATGGTGTTTTGGTTGCCTATCGGTACGTCGCCACTGTCAACACAATATGCCCATTTCCAGTTAGCCTTACTAATTGTATACAGAATCGGAGGCCAGGATTGGGAGTTCGCGAATGTCACTGCAAACAATTCTTATCAATTCGTTGGGCCTTGGACAACCGGTGTCAATTTGACCGAGGCAGCTGGGCACAAAACTTTCGAACTCAGAGGTATTACTCTTGACTCATCATTATTCGATCTCGCTAACGATTGTAGTGACAAACTGGGCCTATGGATAAGTTAATTCACTTTTGCTTCTTCATCGCTAACCTCTTGCACAGTGCAGTTGGCTGGTGTCGCAGTTGACCGAGGTGCCGCCTTGTACAACATACAACCGTTCCCGAAGATGGTTGAGGTCATTGGCGATTCGTACGTGCCCATCGAACCCTCTGAATGAAGCTAACTTGTGCAGCTTGAGCTCGGGTGATTTTGCAACGTATGAAGGCCTGTCTTCTTGGGCGTACCTCTTTGCTGCCGGACTGGGCAACGTTGAGTATCATCTCACAGTGCGTTCCATCGTCACGTCCTTTGGCACAACTGACAGGCAAACTAGGCATACCCAGGAATTTGTTTGGTCGATCAAAACTGTTGGGGGAACCCCAGGGGCCAGGTAATCTAAATTGCCTATGTTTTGTCTTCGTCTAACCCAACTAGATACACCAATGGTACAGGGTTAGCGATACATCCCCGCGGGCTGCCGAGATCCACGGAGAAGATCCGCCGGAATGGGACTTCAAGGCACAGCAACCCGCAGATCTTGTTGTCATTAACATTGGAACAAACGACAATAATGAAGCGAACAATGTATCCAGTATCGACTACTACAATGACTATGTGAAGCTGGTGGGCGACGTTCATAGGATATGGCCAGACGCTCAGATCGTTCTTATGGTGTGTGACCTCTTCCGTGTATCTTGCTCTTCCACTAACGGGCAAGTCTCTGTGGGGCGGCTTCGGCGCTTCTGGTGATACATACGTCCAAGGCCCACTGTTCGTGAAGGAGATCCGCAACGTCTACGAGTCGTTCCAGGATAATGGAACTTTCGTCCACTATTTCGACACTACTGGCATACTGCAGCAGAACGATATAGGGCCGATGTGGCATCCAACGGACGTCGGCCATATCAAGATCGCGGCGCACTTTATGCAGTGGGTTAAGATCAAGTTTGGATGGGAGATGGAGGCTACGGGGCCAATGGTGCATAGTGGAACGCTTTACTGGAATGATCAGGAGAACTACTGATCTTATATCGTATTTACCATCTCGTTCGCCATATCGGGCCGATCGAATTGACATGCAGTGAATGTCATAGTACGAAGAATTGAAACAACGGTTATCAAACATATCCCCAAGTGCTCCCTATAGCTTTGCCCTATCTCCGCAGAGCGTCTGAGACAGAGTTGATAAAGTCAATTCCATCCTTCCTCCACGTGTCGGGCTCCATATGGGTTCCGTTTGCATCGAGGACCAAATCTACTGGTTTCTCCACTCCGTATCCTTCCCAGTATACATCTTTGCCCTCCTCAATCCCTGAGTTCGGATCCAAATCGTGAATAAACGAAGCCCACATACTAGCCATCAAAACACTCAAATCCTGGTACGACTTGGGCATTCCATCAAAGGGCTTGCCGTAGTGATACCCCAGGCCGGCAATGTTATTAAATACGAACGCAACCTCAGTGAAATGTCCAACTCCACCAATGTAAGGCAGATCCCCACCGCGCGTGTTAAACCGGTAACAATATGCAGGAGTCCCAGATTCCGCCCACGCTTCACACTGTCGGCGGCGGTTCGCGTGCATGGAGTAGTCCCCTGAGTAAGCGCAAGTGCGACGCCATTGGTATCCCATTGATGGAACTCGCTGCGATCCCAGGAATTCAGGAATGCCCTGCGATGGGTCATCCGGGTAGAGTCTTAGGATTTCCTTCGCCATCGCCGGTGGATACTTGAAGCCGGATGAGCCACCTAGGATATAGTTAGATAACTGGCCAGACTTAATTTCGGGGGTCAACCTACTTGTAAGGTATGAGTAGAACTGCTCGGTAGTATTAATCCCTCTGGGACCAAATGAGGCGCCTTCGTCTGTGTTGGTTCCAGCGAGGATGGGAACCTTGACGAACGCCTGCTTGTCAAGCTGGACGCTGCCCCGATCCTGGATCAAATCTCCATCAACAGAAGGCCAGAATGAGTATGCTGGGTTGCCACCAGTCCCGTTGAACACCGCATTCAGGTCTTCGAATGGGACCTCCCTGAGACACTGCAGTGTATCCGGCTCCCCAGTACATCCAACCTTCCTCACAATTTCATCATACATCCCTTGGTAAGATGAGGTATTTCCAGGGTTTGCTGTAACTGAGCCACCAGACTCCATGATGGCACCGCGGAATAGTCCATCATCTCGACCGCCGTACGCAATAAGATGCGAACCAACGGACATCCCACCAGCAGACTCGCCCATTATGGTCACTTTGTCGGGATCACCTCCGAAAGCAGCAATATTCTCCTGTAACCATTGTAGAGCCAGCCGTTGGTCTCGGAGACCCAGGTTAGTAATTCCATTGTCGGTTACTTCCTTCGAGGCAAGGAACCCCCAGGTCGAGAGGCGGTAGTTTATCGTCACGCCGATGAACGGTTTGCCTAGTTAACAGTCTGTCAGTCATTGAATTTCCTAGGAATGCGAAATCTATCCTTACCAATCTTATGCGAGTTTGCGACAATCGCAGACATGTTATATCGCTCGTCCGCGCCAGAGCCCATATAGAAGCCGCCGCCGTGGATCCATACGCCCACGGGGAGCGCAGATTGATCGTCAACGGAAGAATCGCGGATAATGTTCAGCGTCAGGCATGCTTCTGACTGGGGATACCAAATGGAATCAGTCTGCACAGGTTAGCTTTCGGCCTCCTTCCCTGAAAAGAGCGAAGGAAGATGCTCACTCCATATCCAACACAAATATCCGAATACGCCTTCGCATCCCGTTCTCCATCCCAAGTCTCATTCAGGGGCGTCGGCAATGCAAACCGCAGATTCCCGACCGGCTGCTGCGCGAAGGGTATTCCAAGGAAGAAGTCCTGGTTGTAGTGCTTGTTGCTCACACCAACATATGTCCCGTTGAGGACGTCCGCTGTGGGGGGAGATACAGCTCTCGGGCTTGGGACAGCAGCACCCAGCCCAGCCAGGACAGAGAGTCCGAGGAGCGACTTAAGCAACATCTCGACGCAGATGAAAAGGAGATAGCGCTACCCCGCGCAGCGCCCCCCGGATGCGACGCCATATTTATAACAAACGGGATATAGTCGGGAAGTGGACTGTCTTGTCTATCCAGCATCCACCGACCAAAGCGGAGCGGACGAGCGTCATATCCATGACGTGCAAGGTCTCCCCCATACAAACCGTCGGTCCTGTCTGACTCGCATGCCGAACCCATGTCCATTTGCAGAGTAAACTCCGGCGTGAAGATGTGGAGAACCCCTGTCGGTGCATGGTTCCCCCCATAGCATCCCCGAACGAGGGAATGATTGACCCGCGTCTCCGTGGGGCCTCCGATATTAACTGCCTTGCTGAGCCCGTTCAACTTCCGATGTTTTGCCGTGTGAGAGCGAGCGCTAGATTGCCTTTTGGGTTCTTGGTTTGGGAAATTGGAAGCGCGGGTCTAGATGCGTTACGCTTATACTGTGGTTATATGCCCTCGGTAGACATAAGACTTAATTATGAGCATTTGACCCCTGGAGTACCTGGTGAATTTCCAGGGGGAGTGACAATTTGTCAGTGCAGTCAGTAACTGTCATCTCCTGGCCGAATAAATCGAACGAGGCAAATATACCGTTAATTGTTGAATTATATGTATTCCAGGGTTTATTGTGCTGAAAGATCCCCAGGTCGCCCCGCATTTTCTCCCCGGCCGGTTTATGCAATCGATCTTTGCATTATTCATGTGCATGAAACACAGTTTACTGACTAATGTTTTTATTAATTACCATATTAAAGACACTATAAACAATCCTATCCAGCATAGAACATTCTCAATAATATATAGAAGCAAAGTATACACCACCACAGAAATAAATACACAAGTCCTTCGCCTCACAGCCTGTCCTACCACATTACAACAGCCTCCCGACTACCTAGAATCACAAATTCCTACTCCGCCGGCCATGAACCATTCGCCCTCTTCTCCGTTGTCTGCTCCGTATGTTCAGAGGATTGTGCTGGCTCCATTGACTCCGTTCTCTCAGGGTTCACTTCGTCTAGCTCATACAGCTTCGGCAGCGGCTCCAGCTTCTGCCGCAGGATCCAGGTCCGGAAGTGCCATATAGCGTTCTTAATCTGATACCTCGCATGGTGGCGCGTTGAGACGGAGAAAACACGGTCAAGTTCCTCGAGGGTGAGTTCTATGAGTCTAGATGTTAGCATTTATGGCTCCACCGGGCGAATATGACATGAAAGGGAGGGGCTACCTTTCGTTTCCGGCACAAATAACAGTACCAAGACCCAACCAATCAAACACCATGCTGCATACCAACCAAAGGCTCCCTGCGGCTTGAATGCTCGCAGCAACATCGGCCAGGTAAACGACAGAATGAAATTGAAGCACCATGTAGTCGCGGTTGCCCATGACATGCCGACCTCTCGTACATGTAGTGGGAATGCCTCGGCCGAGTACGTGAACGGCACCGGGCCCTCTCCGGGCGAGTAGAACACTTCAAACAGGTACATTCCCGTGGTGACCATTGCGACTCGCGCTTTGCTTGTCGGGTTGTCTGCTTCAATCCAAAAGGAAAATCCAGCCCATAAGAGACATACAGCAAGCCAGGGGAACGTGAATAGGAGGAGATTACGTCGCCCCCATGTGTCAATGGTCAAGAAAGCCGGGATTGCAAAGACCCAGTTCAGAATACCGGTTCCCATCGACGCGAGAAGTGCCTCTTGGATACTATATCCGGAGTCCGCAAAGATCGTGGTTGAGTAGTAGGCGATCACATTGACTCCACAGAATTGTTGAAGAAACATGACGATCCAGCTAGCGAGGGTTGCACGACGATTGCGGGGGATAGTGAAGAGTTCTTTAAACATTGAGAAAAAGTTCTTGCCCTTGTTAACCTCCCGCTCGAGCTCAACCCCGACATAGGCGTAGTAGAGATCTCGGGCGGCCTGTAGGTCTGTGTTGCGCAGGGAGCGAAAGGACTTGAACGCGCTCGGAATCTTGCGGTGTTCGATGAGCCAGCGAGGGGACTCCGGACAGAAATAAACTTGTGCGCATACGATGAGAGGAAGGACAACCGTGCTGCCGAGCATGAGGCGCCAACTTAGGTCTTCTTCAACGCCCATGAACGCAACGCCCATGATGTTACCTATGCAGGTCAGCATCCCATCATTAACTATATTCCGCAGTACATACCTAACATGATACCGAATGCCGTCCACATCTGCCACTGCATGACCAGGGCGCCACGAATTGGAGCCGGCGCGCATTCGGCGGCGTAGACAGGAACAGTCGAGGACTTGGAGCCGATACCGAGACCGAGAACAAAGCGGGCGATGAAGAGATTGACCCAAGAGTTGGCCACACCTTCCCAGACCGAAGCCACGGCAGCAATAACACATGATATGAAAATAGTGCCGCGTCGGGCGAAAAGCCTGTTTAGTGGTTCAGTGAGCCAGCAACCTAGGATCGCGCAGGCTAGATACGGGGCACCGACAACAAGGCCAGTGATATTATCTTGCATCTGGGGGGAGAAGCGATCGGCCTCTATACCAAGGAGCTATGACGGTTAGTGACGTGCCAGGGCTAGAAGCGGATAGATGATCCAAGAGGATAAATCCACGAACCTTGGGGTAAATAACAACAGCCCCGTTGTTAGCAGTCTCGTCCATTCCCTGCACAGCAGCGGCCATAGAGCACATGGCTGAAGTTCAATCAGCATCCCGTTCAACATGGGCCTAGGTTAACTTACTCGCCATGAAATAAAGCATCCAGGGCTGTGACCATTTATGGGTTTTTTCGCGCCGCAAAGCTTCTCTGTCATCCTCACTCAGGTCGGGCATTGTCTCCACTCGTGACGGATCCTGAGAGATGAGGGCGCCTTTCCGAAACAGATCATTATACTCCTCTAGGCCATACTCCTTGCAGAATTTATCGACCTCCATGAAGAGTTGATCACGCGGGACACCGCGGAGCGGGTTTTCAAAGATCGCATTCAGCTTGTTGCGATCTCGGGCTTCAATATCGAAGACACCATGGCCCTTTGGCTCCTCGCTATGAGCCACGCTCGGCTGCCTAGCATCTTTGCTGCTACTAGAAGACTGCGCAATGCCATCCATCTTGGTACAAGCACGCGATGATGGAGCTCTGGGTGGGGAAGGAAAGAGAAACAACAGTCAGGGACGTCAGACTATGGGCGAGGCGGCTTTTATCTTTTTTCCCCACCCCCAACATCTGCAGTCCTACACTGCCCTGCTTATGGGCGGTACTCCACGCGAATGACAGCAGGGCGTTACGACATGGCTTATTGCGGAGTGACCATCACTACCTATGTTGGAAACGAGCAAGAAGTCCAGCAGAGGAACAGCGGCGAGCCAGGGAAGAGGATGAAGTTTGAAATCCCCAGATTCACCCTATCAACTCCAAACAGTTCCCACATGGGCGAGTCATCTGAATGGCCACCGAAGACTATCCCCACATGGATAACAGCTAAGGGTTCCAAGAACCGCTAAGAGTGGTCAAGAATCCTTGGAAAGGCTTAACTCCTCATTCGGCCCCCGCGGGGTGGCGTCACACCATCATGCCGTCAGAAACAGGAGATTGGATGCAAGAGCAAGATCCATATTTCAACTGCGCCCGTCCAGGTCGTCTCAATCAGCCTGGTTTGGGGTCAGACGGTGCGCTGCCGTCCTCACTGCCCGGAACCCGGCGGCATCGCCGTTCCATCCAGCTATATTCCAGCGTAGCAGCAGTGAAATGGCTCGTTTCAACACAAACGCCCTAGCTGCACGAGCAGTCCATATGCGAACCGACTCACGCTAACCAGCAGATCTCTTCTTGTCCGCGGGCCAAAAACGATGGTCGACGTCAGCGGCTGTGTTTCCCTGTTTATAAATGCGCCTCTTACAGCCTTATTCCAAGTCATCGGGTGTCAGATACATCCACATTTGGCGACATATCCAGTCCGTTTCATAACTGTGACAATCGATGGATAGAACGGCAAGGCTGGAAGAGGCGTCCACAATCCATGTTTTGCCCCGGGAGGGGTAGGTGACATTCAGGAGAGACTCGGTCGATCCGGGGTCGATCGTCAGCATTCGTTCCATGACTCGTCGGAGAATGTGCGAGTTACTGTCATCATCGCGTTATATAAGTTGTGACAGCCAGCCCTCCAAACATGATGCGACGGTTGAGGATGGCAGCATCGTCGCAGTCGTCACGACTTGAGCAGACATTAACTCCTCGTGCCAACACCGCTGTCTAAAGCTCCCTGGTCTAACCCCAAGCCTCAGCGGCCCTCAGCGGCAGTGGCTGCCACTAGTCCTAAATCGGCTTGTCAAGAGCTGTGGCGCGTTTTCGTTAACGAACGTCGGCTTCTTAATCAAGGCACATATAACCATGAAATAGAAAAAGCAAGGTTCCAGAACAACAGCGCATAAAATAAACTCAAGTCAATGAGCACAATACTAAACTGAAAAATTGCGGTTGTCGGAAGCACGGGTTACCCGGTGTTGTTGTCGAAGCAGCGAAGGTCCCGCGGAGTGCTACGGTGAGAAATGTCAAGAATTCTGTCAAGAACAATCTGTTAATCGTCAATATCGAATACCCAAAATACTCAGGCATCGGTTTCTGTAACAAGCTATCTCGGAGCCGTTCCTTTCTCTCCTCAAAAGTACCAGACATATCCTGACTGGCCGGGTAAAAATGGCCAGCACACGCGGCTACAACAGCGATAGCGATGAAGCGGTGGCAACCCGATTCGAAATATCGATGGAACTGCTCTTCAGAAAGCGTGATCAAAACACGGCGTGGGATAGATTCTGAGCCGGGTTTTAATTGTAACTTAGCTCGCTTAGCACCTCCAAAAACCCGTGGTTTATATATATATATCCGACCATTATTGAGAAATTATGCTGCACAGGACGACTTGTACATTCCTAATATTTATGAGGCTTCCAGCAGTACGGTTATAACGTATATATGGACGTCTGATAAAACAAAAATTATGTTCTCGCCTATAAAAACCATCCAGACGGATAAAGAGCAAAAAAGATGGAGCAAAAAAATGGAGCAGCTGGGAATCGAACCCAGGACCTCTCCCATGCTAAGGGAACATTATACCACTAAACCACAGCCCCATTGATTGATTGGTCGGCGTTCCTTTTGACTACATATCCATGAGACCTTGACTGGTATGCATGCCGTGTCAAAGCATCCATACAGACCCTTTCCGGCAAATTAAATGATGGGAAGTCCTAAGCCATACTGGTTGAAGGCTATCATGGAAAAGTTAGGAATTATTGATCAATTAAGTAGACTATTATACAGATCCAAAGGAATCCTCGCACTGATATCAATAGTAACACATCGCTCATATCATAAGAATACATTGCAAACACAGACCATCCCAATTAATAACCACGGAAGTTCCAAAGCACACCTGTTCACCCTCTCAGAAATCAAGTCAAGAACCGTTAGAATGAATCTTCCTTTTCAAATGGACTGTGCTTTTGGCCCGGCGGGTTAGGCGTGTATAGCCTTAGAGGCCTTTGGTGTACTCGCCCGCCTTGCTGCTGTAGTCTCCAGCCTTGCTGCCATATTCACCGGCTTTACTGCTGTATTCGCCAGCCTTGCCACCGAATTGGCCGCCCTGGCTACTGTAGTCGCCAGCCTTGTTACCATATTCACCGGCCTTGCTGGCGCTGTCGCTGGCACCGTGGCTGCCGTGGCCGCCGTGGCCAGGCTTGAAGGTGCCAGTGGAGCTGTCAACGCGGGGGTCAAGCTTGTTCAAAAGGCTGGAGCTGTGAGCCTTCTCGGCGTGAGAGGCAGCGCCCTGGGCGCTCTGAGCACCCTGGGAACTCTGGGCACCTTGGGCGCCTTGAGTGCCTTGAGTGCCTTGGGAACCGGCACCGGTACCAGATCCGTACTGACCTCCAGATCCATACTGGCCAGACTCGGCACCAGTGCCAGTGCCCGTGCCAGATCCGTACTGGCCTCCAGAGCCATACTGACCAGACTCAGCGCCATGGCGAGCTCCAGAACCGTAACCGCTCTCGGCACCATATCCAGCACCGCCGGCAGCCCCGGTAGTGCCAGTAGTGCCAGCGCCGGATCCATATCCGCTGGTGCTGGTAGCACCAGTAGTACCTGTGCTAGATCCGTATTGGCCTGCGGATCCATATCCAGAACCGCCGGTGGCTCCGGTAGTGCCAGTACCTGTGCCGGAACCATACTGACCGCTAGATCCATATCCAGCGCCGCTGGCGCCGGTGGTTCCAGTAGTGCCAGCGCCGGATCCGCCATATCCAGCACCGCTGGTGCCGGTAGCACCAGTAGTGCCAGCGCCGGATCCGTATTGACCGCTAGATCCATATCCAGAACCGCCAGTGGCTCCGGTAGTGCCAGTAGTACCTGTGCCGGAACCATACTGACCTCCAGATCCATACCCAGCACCGCTTGTGCCAGTAGCACCAGTGCCAGATCCGTACTGGCTAGACCCATAGCCACTCTCGGCACCAGTGCCAGTGCTAGAGCCGTATTGGCCTCCAGATCCATATCCAGTACCGCCGGTGGTACCCTTCGTGCCAGAACCATATCCAGTGCCGCCGGTGTTGTAGCCGCCAGTGTTGGAGCCATAGCCAGAGGTGACACCGCCAGCACCAGAGCCAGTGCCACTGCCACCGCCAGAGCCGTACTGGGAGGTATCGCCGAAGCCCGAGCCGCCGGTTCCAGAGCCGTACTGGTTCCCGGAGCGGGTGGTGCTAGAACCTAACTGCGACGAGTCGACGCGGGGGTCGAGCTTGTTCGCAAGGTCTGAGGCGTGCGCGCCTGCGTTCGAAGCAGCGTTGTATCCAGACATTTTTGCCGTATTTCTTTTGGGGGGTATAAATTTGAATTGATGAGGCCCAGACAGTTGTTGGTACTGGGGAAAGTTATATAGGGCTGTGTGGCCGCGATGAGGATGACGTCACGCTGAAATCAAGGCTGTCACTGCTGTCCTCATCTGCCAACTGCACGACGCAATTCTCCACACCAGCTCGAGGTTTCTATTAATTTCTCCCAAGTCCATAGGATCCCCATCCCTGTAATGACATCAGGCCGGTCGGACACTGCATATCATTACACAGGCCGTCGTCATGAATCTCTTGCGCCATTCAATGGTGGCCAATGTGGTCGCCGCCACAAGGCAGCACAATTAAGGAGCCATGAATCCAATGGCCCCCTCACGACAATCGCCATCTACCTGACGATGTGATCGCTCTTCGGCGAGATCCTCGGGCAATTCTAGCTCTGCCGATCCAGTCGATTTTCCTGCTTCCCATCCCACCTCCAACTCCAACAAGCCACTTCCCTGCTGAGCAGCTGTAAAGTGACGTCCCCGGGCAGAAACTTGAAGCAAAACTCGGCCGAAGGACAAAGAACGTCGTATAGGCTCGTACCAATCCAAGGCTCGCGTGTCGATTATGACGCCGACACAATCGCTTTCCGCGATGCGCGATCGGATCGGTGTGGCTTTAACTCTTCCCCCGGTTGTAGACCGAGTGACCGGGCCTTGAATTGCCCATTCAAGGCTAGATATGGCGCAACGACTCGCATCGTGGTACGAGACGGATTTTAATCTGAAACTTTAGATGATTCGGCTCCATTGTGGCGTGCGATTAGAGTGTTCGAAGCTTCTAATGGAACACCCGGTTCGTATAGTAATTACTCAGGTTTTCGTCCCAAGGCCCAGGTGTAGCGGAATTGATTCATAAATTCTTCCGGAAGATGCCGTACCCGAATTACCTCGACACATGGGTTCCTGTAAATGCATTGCTCGTGATCCAAGGGTTGCTGCACACTGGCGCTGATTAGCTTTCACTGTCCCCAAGGCCAGCATTCTATTGCAATGTAGAAAGTAAAAACTTGAAGAGGGCGTTTAGAAATTGAATGGGATGACTTGATTGACTAATGAATATCGAGAACAAACCAGATAGTTGGTGGTGATGTGAAGCTCCGAGTACATAAATATATAGAGATCCATTCCGCCCTACATGCAAACCTCACCACGACGGTGGAATCCAATACTTCTGCCAATGCGCCTCTGTATCTGCCTCTCGAAACTTATCGATACCCCTGCGACCCCATCTTCATCTACCACCCAATCGCCCCTCTCAACCCGATCAGCCCAGTTGTTCAGCACCTTATCTATCTGTACCATATCGGAGTTTGTAATCCCATTTATAGTCCCATTCTGATACAAGTCCCCATGGGAATCACGAGGCTCTGGGTATTTGTCCAGATAGTCGGAGTCGGTTATCCCAAACGGTTGTCCATTTGACATTCGAGCCCATCCGGAACCTCCAATAGCAAAGGGTAATAGAAGCCGACATACGTTGCTCCAGAACAGTGGCCATTGCTGCACGACAGGATCGATGTAGAATCCGGCAGCAATATTGTAGAGACCGAGATGGTTTCCACGCGCTACAGGCTGATGATACTCTGCATCATCAATCTGAAATATCCGGAGAGGGCAGTTTCCAGGGTACTGGCCGAGGTGGTTATGTGGCGATGTAACAAAGTCCGTGATGGGTTGGTTCTGAAATTCGAAGACAGTGGGGAATCGGATCCCTGGCGCGATATAACAGAATCGGACGCTGCAGTCGGAAATGGATCTTAAGAACTCGTGAGCAAACGACAAGCGGGGGAGAACATCCTGGTTTTCAAATGTTGCTGGATCATGCCACGGCAAGTTCATGAAAGTAGTAGGATCCTCTCTGGGTGGGATTCGAGACTCAATCACTTCCACGAGACGCTTGAAGGCAGTGGTTGCCCTTTCTAGGTCCGTTTTTGTGTACTGATGAATTACCCAGGGTTCCATTAGCCCATATAGAAAGTCCATCTTTAGTAGTTTTGCCTGATCTTTAGAAACTGCCTGCGCCTTTCCTTCGTCAATCATCTGAAGATATGAATCTAGAATAACTTCTAGAGGCATCCAGCTCCATTCATGACGGGTAATGAGCCTGGTATCATTAATATCCTCAATAAAGGTTGCCCTTAGCGTCATCTGGTCAAACCTAATAAACAAGTCAGCTTGCCCTGTCTCCAAGGCAGTCATGGGACTGCTTGAGGGAATGTAAATATACAAAAGCCCCTCATCGTCTGAGACTCGGTAGTGACTAGACTCATACAGCTTGATAAACCTTCCCTCTTCATATTCATCCTCGTACGAATCCATATGATCCCGCATGTTATCCGGAGATTTCAGTGCTGCAAGGAAAACAAAAAGTCTAGACCGAGGAGGCAGAACGTCCTCATCCCAAGCACGCTTCAGGAACTCGATCAAGGACGGGTGAAGACTGTTAGCAACTTCCTCAGAAGGCGCCCTGGCATCCCACCAGCTTGGAGGCATCGGGGGTATCTCACCGCCACAACCCGTGAGGGCTCTTGTCAAAAGCTCGTTATGTAGAGCTGCACAGCGCTCGTAGTCCATGATCCCACCAAGGTCTCGGACTGGACTGGATTCAGTTATGCGGGGCCATCCATTGGGGAGGGCGGACAAGTGATGCTCGGATGAGGCCATCGAGACAGAGCGGGTGAATAGCTGAGCTGGTTTAGTAAAGATAAAGGTAGGTAAGATGGGGCGACTGGTACGAGGAATGGTGGTGAAGTTCAGGGATCTCTGGCAGGTCGCTGAATGGGGATATCCCCTGTAAATCACGTGGCTCAGTAGAAATTTTGGCCATGACTTACGGACGTGGATTAGAGAACAATCATTAGAACTGAATTTTCTACTCATGAGCAGTCCTTTATCTGCTCTTGGGCCAGAAGCGACGTGTTTATTGTATATCAAGCTTTCTTTCATTGTCACTAGCTACCCGAGGCCATCAATCTTCCATCTATCTGCCTTCTATCTAGATTCTAAACCATTGTATGCCAAACTAAATATTGTTACAGGGCAATTGGTTTCTCGTTCATCTAGGCTATGGTATAGCAAGGTACATATAAATACTCCCAGACTCAAGACTTGCAAGCACCAGAGTAACAGTTGCCAGAACCACAGTAGTCGTCGGAGCTACTATATGCGTACTCCCCCCACCGCCGATATATCCCACGAATCCAACCAGGTCGACTGGCTAAGAGTCAAGCGAGATGTTACTCTGGGTGTGCTGAACCAGGATCTGCCACTTTCCGCCATCCAGGACGCCGAAGAAGCTGAAGCAGGGTCAAAAGTTACCGAGGCTTTCTTACAACACCACTATGGAGCGGAGCCAGCTGCAACAGATGCAGCAGAGCTTTCCATATCCGTCGAGACTAATACGGCGGCGGGGAGTAGCTGGCAGCCCTGGCGCGAACACCACATGCCAGTGGAGACAGGAGTGCTTGAGGCCGAGGGTGAGAATGGCAGCCATATGATGCGGAGAAGGCGGCAGCATTTGCAAGAACACCAGCGGGGACATGTCCATGGACATGGGAATTAGCATGACCATGGGCATCTTTCCCTATTTATGGCAGTCCTGAGAAGCCCACGCAGTATTGCTCGGCGCGACTTTATATTTCTGGCCACAGAATTTATTCGTGAGCCTGACCACCCATTGTGATCGCCTGGCGAGCTTGCTCTTATAATTAGTATCTAACTTGGATCCTAGTCTCTTTTGATCCACTGTAACAGGTGTTATTGAATATGTTGGGTATACGGGAGCTTTCGATTTGGAGGGTAAACAACGAACATTCAATACTGAGTAATACCGTATCCTCGAGCTATAGAGTAGTCTGCTGGTAATTAAAGGGAAAGGGAAGCTAATAAAGCAGTATTAATGTTAGAGGAGCATGATGTTAATGAAGCATTTATGCCTGCTGCTAGATTGCGAGTGATGGGTGGAGCGCTCCGCGAACCTATTGGTGTAGCCAATCAACCAGTACAGTAAGACGGCCTTCCAGATCATTACGTCTGCTCTCAGAACAAGCAGGTCAGTATAGCCTCTCGAGCTTATCCAGAAGGGACCTCGTCTACTCCCCGTACAATTCTCCCACGGTCTCTCGCAGATCATGCACAAAGAAGCCCAAAGTGCGAGCTTGATCTGATTCTACTCCAATCTCGCCTCCACCTCAACCTCTTTGCCCCAACACAGGTTCATCTTTTTGTTACCTAGCTTAATACATATATTAGTATGGTTATAGAAAGAGAAGAGGTGTTAAAAAATACATATTTAATACAGATTCTAAGCAAATAAAGCCTTGGGCAAAGATACCTCTATTTTATAGAGAGTTGTAAAGGCGGAACAAGAAATTGGTATGTTAGGGAGGGGCCAAAGACTAAATAGATAATGGGATGAAATTCCCTTACTTTACTAGAGTTTTGTCCTCAAAAGCCATCTGTTACGAGCCGGCATCATTTACCAGAGGGCGCTCAATTCTTCAAGACCGGATTTTAATGGTTTTTCTTTCCGACTTTCAACAGTATTAATCAGGGGAACTTCCAAGCAAGCTGGACGAGAGCCCAGCCTTTCCTAACGGTACTTTGGATGCGGCGACGAGCAGTTCGTATACTGATGGGCTTTAGAATTATGCCATCAAGCGGTACTAGACATAGGATCTGATACCAAGGTATGCTTGGAGAGCAAGTATGGTAATCTTTTATTGATACTATGCGAGACGGGTACTTAGAGTGTCTACGTCTAATAGAAGAAAGCATGCAAATAAACGAAGCTGAACGTAAGAAAATAAAACACGTACTATCTGTAGATGCCAACCTCGTCGCCGTAAGTACTAAACCACCAGACAACTGTCCCATTATCAGGCAGGGCATTTAGTGGAAGGCTCCGCGGACTGCAAGGCACAATGTCTTTCACATATTTTGCACCGTCGCAAACGTCAGTCGAAATAGCCACAGGGGTACGGGTATCCTGTTCCATCTTCAGATTCCAGCGCACCTGGCCCACAGATTCCATATGTCCGTCCTTGTAGCAAAGCAGCATGCCGATACATGGGTTATGACTCTTCGTTGAGTCTCTCGAGACCCGTACGTGATGAAGGTCATCAAGCCTGGCCTTAGTGATGAACCAGGCAACAGCCGAACCGTCTGATGCTTTGCCCGGTTCTGGCGTAGTATAACGGGGCCACGGTGGATCCGGTTCAGGATCTTTGGCAGCACGGCTGGAATCACAAACAAGGCCGATGACAAATGTTGGATACGGGCCAGGGTTGGGTTCTAGTCCGTCGTGCACAATGCCCAAGATGGGACCGTCGCCCTTGTGGCGGAGACTGCGGTATGTATGAGTTCCTGGGGATATAGAAGAGTGCTCAGGTCCGAAGAGGACGCTCCTCCCGAGGGATGTACGAAGCTATGAAATCATCAATATAGGACCCGCTGGGTGGGCAGGGTACGCGGCAACTCACCATCAAACAAGACGGCCCGTAATGTCCTCGTGACTCGTTGACCCACGCATTCTCTATGGTCTCTCTAGAGTTGATAGGAAAGTAGGTCCAAAAGAGCAAGTTAGAGGGAATTTATCGCTCAGTGATATCCACTATGCGGCGAGAAGAGAAGGCCGAGAGAGTGCTGTTCAGGCGTAGATTCCCTGGATGCCCCAGTCGGCACAACAGACAAGAAGGCCCTTGACATCAGGAGTGAGATGGATACATTCCAGCCGGCTGGACGTTCGATAGTCCCGTATATTCCGCAAATCCAGTTTTGGAGGGTCAGGAGCAGCCCAGAGTGTGTTTCCAAACGACGACTCATCTTTTATAAGGCTCATGTTTCGCACGAATATGCCCTATCAATTGGTAAGAAATGCTTTCTAAGGGACGTTATCGATACACATCATGGCGTATAGTAAGCCGACTGTGAAGATCCGCCACTTCAATCGTTTTATACCAGGGTGATCCGTCGAGAGTAGGTGTCGAAGTCCGGTCCAGGAATTGCACCCCTCGCACACCAACATGATCGGCGGAGATGACTAGTGACTACTTTCTCGACCCGACGCGGTAAATTAATGCGTTGCAGCCGATTATTGATCCGTTATCTAGACCCCTTGCCGCGTATCCCGGATAGGTAAGAGTGTCCTTGGTACTCGAGACGAGTCACATAAGCCGGGTGTGTCAAACTTAGATGTCGAGGATGGGGAGGAGCACGCCTCACCTCCTCGAACAGCGGACGAATTTCTGCAAGAACGGTCAAGTACCAAACGGGACCTGTAAATCGGGCGATCATAACCTGGACTTCCACCGGCAGTCTTACGAACAATGCCTGGTTGTAGGTATCGTGCAGGACATCTCGCACCCGCGGGCAAAGGAGTGCTTGATGCACCGCCAACGTCTCTAACTCCGAGTCTCTAGGTCTATACAAACATTTCACGACGTCTAAGAGTCTCCTGAGCTCCTTTTCCTTGGGTTGATCTGACGGGGTAAAAGTTTCCATTAAGAGATGATGGCACTTGGAGTTCATCCGAAGTCGGAGTGCAGAGTAGAACCAGGGGCAGGGATGGAGGGCTTGTAGGACCTCGATGGCCGGAGACGGTATTAGTGACAGTTTTTGATATTAAATGACAGTTGAAGAAGTACTTTGCTTCCAAAAGCTTAACGTGATGAGACCCGGACTGAAAGTTTGAGCGAGAACAAAGTTTTCTATAGACATGACATGACCATGCTTATCTAGTACTTTAAGTTGGGCTCTCGGGTCTAAGCTTTGACAACCTCCTCAACCGCGCGCCATACTTCATAAACAGAAACGGAATCGGCATGAGAGCCGCTGCAACAGCGCCGATGATAGAAACTGCCGGTCCAACATCCAAGGCACTGATCATAGGCCTCGCCGCAAGGGGAAGGCCCGCGGCCATGATGCTCCGGAGAAAGGTGACTGCCGCAACCGCACTCGCTGCATATATACCATACATATCAATGAGATAGTTCAGACACTGCTGGAAGATGCAGTCGAATCCGAGTCCGAGGAATAATGCTGCAAGACACGGCAGGATCCAATGGTGTGGTGGGTTGGCTGTCCATGCAAACCAGAAGGTAGCGATGACGAAGAATACAGCGCCGACTGCCATGGGGAACAGTCGGGCTTCTGGGACTGCTCTGCCGTTGGCATTGCGCGCGATCTCGTTATACCGGGACTGATTCCAGATGTTGAACCATACGGAACAAATGACACCGATCAAGAGGGCTAGGAAGGGGAGGGCGGCGACGACGGGGTGCCAGCCACGGATCTCTTGGAATACGATGGGGAACACTTCGAGGCAGAGATAAAATACGCCGTAGACGAAGGCGGCATACATGGCAATGCAGGAGACGACTGGCTCTGTGAAGAGCATGAGCAGCGGACGGGAGAACTGCTTGGTGACGATGGAGTGGATGTCGAGATTCATGTGCTCGTGAGGGTGATAGTACCGCTGGTCGCCTGTCTCCTTCCGAAGCCGTTGTGCCTTTTGCTTCAGCAGAAGCAGAGGGTACACTTCGGGGAGAAAGAAGAAGGCCATGGCGAAGATAACGAAGAGCCAGATGGCGAGGATATATCCGGTCCACCGCCAGTCGAGCCTGTCGTTCATAACCAGAGCTGAACCGATGAGAGGGCCGAGAGAAGCGCCTCCGTTCACTGCTACTGCGTAAAAGCTGACGGCCACTCCTCGTCGTTCACGACCCCAGATATCATCCAGTGCAGCCATGACATTGCTGCTGGGGGCAGACCCGAAGAAGCCAGCGAAGAACCTGGTGATAAACACCGAAGCTGCGTTGGTGCTCCTGGAAGTCCCAAGGGCGAAAAGCACCTGGATAAAGACTGCTGGTAGCATACTCACCCTGCGGCCCCAGATTTCCGAGATGGGAGCCCAGATGACAGGGCCGAACATATACCCAGCCCTGCGTAAGTTAGTAAGAAGCAAGCAAAACAATGAAGCCAACTAATGCGGTATCATACAGGTACATAGTAACCTCCAGGACCGAGACCTCGCGGCTGACACCCACATATTTCGCGATGGTAGCGTCGGCTGGCGTTTGGATACTCGAGCCCAGAGTGCTCGTGAGAGCCAACATGCCCAGTTGAAACGTCACCCACCACTTATACCGGTCGGACCAATTATGGGGGTTCATCGGGTCATCCTGGTCCCAACTGACGAGATACACAGGGTTAAGCTCCCTTGGAGGCTTTTCTCCCTTTGTGATCCCATTGGTCTTCAGGCGAACTGCCTGGATGAAGTCCATAATACCAGCCCAGAGCCCAACACAGATAAACCCAGAGGACCAGGGACGGGCCCAGCCAAGCTTTATGGGGTTCCTGTGTGTTCGACCCAGCGTTTTGCAGTGCATTTAACTCGGCGATCCCCGACGGTCGCGCTATTTGCTGCTGCATTACTATCTAGACTAGGAGCCGGCTAAACGTTAATCTGCGGCAGCACATACCTCGCCCTGTGAATGCAGCCATCTATTTCTCTGAAGTAGCGCATTGGTATGGACGAGTGGAGCTCCAGACCGTAAGGAAGTCTCGGGAATGCAATAATATTGAATGCTCGGGGCGACACAGCAGCAAGGAACCGGCAATATATGGGCTTATTACCGGTATTAAATCTGATATCACAACCTCAACTCATAGTCGACGCCTCTACAAACATGACTTCCTTTCCACCAGCCTTAGCACCTCCAGGGCTGCTCCAAAACTGTAGACATACCCCAACCATCCGAACCCATAGGCGTGCACTACATCTCCCTCAGCCTCGAGTCGATATCCGCCCTTCCTCCCCGGCCGGAATGCCACGATGTCCCTCGTCGAGTGCTTCTGCGGATCAATCTCATCGAGGCGCCCTTCCGCCAACTGCCTCACCCGTCTCACAATATCCGGCTTCAACTTCTCATCCACCGCAGTATCCAAATTCCCCTCCTGACTCACTCCGCCCACAATGGCGCCCCGGGTAAACATCCGCGGGATGACATACGTATAATGCGACCCCTGGACCATAGCCATCTCATCAAAATCCGTCTCAACAAACATCGTCTGCCCCCGAACCGGGACAACGTTCTTGTCATTCGCAAGGTACGACGCACCGAGCCCCGACGCATGTACGACAACATCGCACGGCGCCAGACGCTTCGCATCGGGGATAGATTCGATTTCCCTCCGAATAAACCGCACCCCTCGCGCTTCCGGCTTCTGCTTTATCCAGGGTAGGAACACACCTGGGTTGACGGCCAGAGTGCGATACATGAAGCCGACCTTGGATTCTGGATAGAGCGAGTTCGATGCGAGACGCCGGTATTCCGGCACGATCGTTTTGTACCAGACGGTTGAGTCGTCGTTGCGGTCGTCAAGTCCACCCCGCGATCTTGCACCTTTCAAAATTGCGGAAAATATCATCTTCGAGGTATGGAGAAGGCAGGATGCACAGCTAGCTGCAAATCGACGAGAACCGTTACCGACCTGGATTGATGTCTCAAAAGAGCAAGGCGTCTGGCCTATGTTTTGCTAGTCTAATTCTAGTTCTGTATAATAAATGCCATCCATCTAAAAGAAAAATAAAAGGAAAACAAAAGCAAAGAAGAAAGAAAAAAAGAAACATTCAAATCACACCAGGTTCCCCTTCCCCCTCTTTCCCATACACACAGTCCCGCTCGCAACATCACCATTGGCAAGAATCTCCATTCCCATTCTCTTCTCATAAGACTTAACACTCTTCTCCGACCCCGTTCGCAGAATAAGCCACCTCAAATACGGCATCGCCTGCACAAGTTCATCAACGCAGTCGAGTAGCCACCCGCCCAGTCCAAAACCCTGGTACTCTGGCAGAATGTACACATCCGTTAAGTAGGCGAAGGTATACCAATCCGTAGCGAGGCGCGCGAACCCAATCTGCTCTACTCCTGAATGCAGACTACCATCGTTTCCACCTTCATTTTCACTTCTATTTGGGACTTCGGTTGTGGCTGTATTTTGGCTTGGCGATGTTGTTTTGTAAAGCCCGTAACAGAACGAATTATCAACTATTCCCTGCAGTACCTCCTCCGGGAATGGAGTAGCCCAGTAGATAGTATCAGATGCGAGCGCGGCGTTTATTGCTGGGATTGAGAGGAGCGAGTTGTCTGTGGAGATGAGGAAGAATTGGCCCCTGGTTTGTTTTGTCCATTGTTTGGGGGATTTGGGGAGGGGCATTTTGTTTTCTTCCTGAATGGAATTGATCCTGGTTGGGAAGGGTAATTGGAATTTAAGCAAGATAGATGTCAATTGAAAAGGTTGTTTTGCTGCGGAGCTGTGGTTCTTATACTCTCTGGATACGAGGGGGAGTGAGTCACATCAATCTTGCTGATCAATGTATGCATAAATATCGGGCCCAGGTCGCGCCTTTTAACGACATCTAATTACTCATCTAGCGAGTCGGACGCCCGGACGATTTAATATGGAGAGAGAAGTTTCCACTTTTTGGGATAACGGTCCCAATCGCAGAGATTTACCTAAGCTTGATATGATATTGCGAATCCTTGGCGACGTGACAATCAACTTGGTCTATCATAAACAAGTCTAGAAAGAAAAGCTCTGCTCAATATAGAATAACAATCTGGAAAGACTTAAGCAGATGATGAAGGTGCAGCGGTACCACTTGGCATAGCCCCAGAGGGAGCACCAGAAGGCGAGCCCTGGCCACCACCTCCACCACCTCCCATCGCACTGCTGTCAGTGTTCTCGTGGCCGCCGTTCTCATCGTAGTACCCAGCAATGCTGTAGTAGGAGTTGTCCGTGTAGTCGGCAGTCGCATTAATGCCGATCTGGATCCATGCGAACAGGCCATCCTGGAGTCCGTTACCGAGGTAGACGTATTCAGGGAAAGGATCGTAGTCAGAGCTGGCCTGCTCGACACTCCACATGTCCTCTGCGTTGCTGGTGATGGCTTGTGTGTTTTCACTGTAGGGAGATAGCTCCTCCACGGCAGAGCGGAGCACTTCGTTCCAGAACACCTGGCCGATGTGTGCGACGCTGCCGGTTCCGACCTGGAGAGTGCCGTTCTTGCGGTTGACAGTAGACCCGAGGTGAGTGAGGAGATGGGTGTGGGTTGCACGGCCGTCGTAGTGGCCGGGGAATATGGTCTTGAAGGTGACGATGCCATCTTCATTGGACTCTTGGATACCTCGGAGGTACGTAGAGTCCCAGCCATCCTGGGCCTCATTACCTTGGGCGACGACACCACTGCAGTATGTTAGTGACCGGGTAGGCGATTATGATCGAAGGAGTCGTACCTGTAGATGCCAGTAGCATTGGCGTTCCAGATATCAACGTAGGCACCCGGAATGGGCTGGCAGGTGTTGACATCGATGTATTGAACCTCGAGGAAGACGTCGACGCCATCACAGTACAACTCCTCTCTCACGTCTTCCCTAGTCATCTCGCCCCAGATGTAGTACGGGCCATCGGTGATCGTGGGTGCGAGGATGGCACTGGTGTTCCCACCAAAGATCGCCTCCTCAGGAGTGTTGGGTCCGTAGTTGAGGATACCAGTCTTGTTGTGATCGATAGCCTCCCATTCCTCTAGGGCTGCTAGATCTCTGTGCCATTTTCGAGGGTCTAGCCAGTCAATTACTAGTTCCTGCAGAGGGGAAAGGAAACTCACTGGCAGTAATGCCCTTTTCCTTGCGCAGCTCGCGGGTGGTGCGCGCACGACGAGCGATATTGCGCCTGTTCAACTGAACAGCTGCATTCGAGTTGGAGCAGGTGTTCAAGGCCTGCTTTGCCCTGACTGCCTGGGCATCGCGAGCTCTGATTTCCCTCTTCAGAACGGCAGGGTCGTGCTTCTCACCCGGGTGAGCGAGAGCCAGAGTAGCGGCAGTGAGAGTGAGGAAGCTGGAGAAGCGCATTGTGAAGTCGATTCGAATAATTAGAAGCCGTTAACGATCTTTGTTCAATTTCCAGAATCTTGCCCTCTACTTATAGTATTCCTTCTCCAGGCAGTCTCGTTCGAGACCGCGTAACCCCTATCCATTGTGGTTTCATCCACATCGGAATTGAAGCACGGGATGCGTAATCGGAAAAACACCATAGGCTATCTTCAGCCTTAAAATAGAGCTAGACTCGAGCCCGCTCATCTTGCAAGGCTGTGAAGCAGCGGGACTGCTTGGCGCCGCGTACGCTTTGCAGTCCAGTGCTTGGTATGAGCTTAGCGGATCCCCAGCTGGCTCCACCAAGTCCATCCACGGTCTGGTTTGCAGAGGAAAAAGTCGACGTGCCCGGGTTTATCGAATCCCGATTACTAACAGCCAGTTCCTCAGCCACGCTCTAACGGTGTCGTTAACTCTCATCGGGTTTGGCGTCCGGGCTGAAGGTTCCGCTGGGCGGCCACAATCCCTCAATAGGCGAAGAGTGACGACGCTGTCACTCCATTGATCGGCGTTGTTTATTTTTATTCGTTCCTGCACCAGCCGGACTCATCTACTCGCTTCAGCCACACTAAGAGACTGCGTTTCGGGCTGCCGTCGGCAATGGCACTGGGAGGCTCCGAAGCCCTAACATTGAGCCGAGCCAGATCATTTACCTACTTCAAATCGTTCTCTAGGACTGTCCCAGCTAGGAGTCCCCCATTCAATTGTCGAGGCGACTAACTGGACTGTCCATATTCTGCAGGTGCGACCCAGCCTGTTCCTGCCTGTGGTGGTCGTATGCTCCTGTTGCCATGGTAAGAAGACATCTATCTAGGAAGGTGCGACCCCCGTCGTTCCTGCCTAGCTTGCGTCCATGGGTGAGCAGAATACGTTTGGCTCCAGACGTCCTGGGGCGCCAACCTGTCTGCACACATGCGCCATACATTACTCTGCGCGTACAATCTTACTGTCCGTGGTATCATTACCAAAAGTCGCTCGTTAAATATCAAGTACGATGGCGGAACAGCAGGATCTTGAATCCGTGTCCACTTCCCTCGCCGACCCTGCCCTGCTCGAGAAGTTCGACAAGCTCTTCGCGTGCAATGTCGGTGAATATGTGTCTCTACCACAGCTCATCGCAGTGGGGGACCAGTCCAGCGGTAAAAGCTCTGTTCTAGAGGGCTTGACTGGTCTTCCCTTTCCTCGGGACAGCACGTTGTGTACACGCTTTGCCACCCAGATTGTTTTTCGTCGAGCCGCTGGACAGATTACCCGTCGCATCAGGGCGTCAATTAAGCCTGCTCCGAACTCGACCCCAGACTGTGTTTCCAGATTGAAGGCATGGTCGAAGCCAGATATGACCACCTTGGAGCGAAAGGCCTTTTCAAATATGATACATGAGGTAGGAACCTGCGACACTAGTAGTTGATGGCCTCGCCGCTGACATTGAGCAGGTGCACAGCGTTATGGGGGTTCGAAGCCGCGAGGACCAGTCAAACCCGACATTCTCGCGGCATGTCTTTCGTATCGATATCAGCGGTCCTGATGAGGACCATCTTGCGGTCATCGACGTCCCTGGGATATTCAAAAGTGTGACTCCAGGTGTGACAACAAAGAACGACATCGAGATAGTGCGCACAATGGTTCAAGATTATATGAAAAACCCCCGTTCAATAATCCTTGCAGTTGTTCCCGCGAACGTTGACGCTGCCACTCAGGAAGTTATCGAGCGGGCTCGTGAGGTCGATCCTGAGGGTCAGCGAACTCTAGGCGTGCTTACGAAGCCTGATCTGGTGGATCGCGGAGCAGAACAGCAGGTCATAGACCTGATATCCGGTAGGGCCATGCCACTCAAGCACGGCTGGGTGCTTGTTCGCAATCTCGGAAAGAGTGAACTCGCCATCGGTGACAAAGCCCGCGAGGAGGTAGAGGAAGAGCTCAGGACGCGAGGTGGATGGAGTTCCATTCCTCGAGACCGATATGGCATCCAGTCTCTCAGAGAGCGGCTGCAAGAGACAGTAACTGAGAATGCTCGTCGAGAATTTCCAATGGTAATTGACGACAACCTATTTACAAGTTCATATTTACTAACTCAACTAGGTGCGCTTGGATATCAACAAGAAGCTGAGAGAGGCCAAGGCCGCATTGCATGCCCTTGGCCATGAGAGGGCCCATCGCAGTCAGCAAATTGATTTCTTGTTAGATATTGTCGCTAAGTTCCAGGAGATCATGGGCAATGCACTGCGCGGTAACTACGGGGCAGACGGTATCTTCGACAAACTCAAGCGCCTTCGACTTGCAACTATAGTCGTGGACCGCAACGAACAGTTCAAGTCTGATATGGTGCAACTTGGACATGTATATCGCTTTCACAACGAGGCCGAAACTAGCTTCCAGTCACCGTCCGCCAGTCCAAAGCACAGCAGTAGTGCCGAAAGCCAAGTCACCACGCGTAAAGTCGAAACTAGACTAGATGTTAACGATAACCTCATGGAGCCTGAGCTATTAATTGCTCCCGTTGCGGACGATATTTACAAGTGGCTAGAAAGTGAATATCGGAGCTCACGGGGGTTCGAGGTTGGGACCTTCAACACCTCCCTCCTACCCACTGTCATGAGAAGGCAGTCCAAGAAGTGGAAGAGTATCTCACTGGGCTATATTAGCGACATCGTTGCAGTTGTGAATACGTTCATTGTCAGCGTCCTTACCGATCTATGCGGTGACCCCCGTATATCTCGAGGCCTGTTGTCTATAATGACAGATGGTCTCCATAGGGCATACTCCAAAGCAGTAAAGCATACCATTTTCTTGCTAGAGAATGAGAGAAGTGATAGTCTCATGTCACTTCATCAATCATTCACAGATACCCTGCAGTCTCGGTTAGTTACGATCCCCCAAATACTTGTCCTAAAGTGTTCACAATTTCCAGGCCGGAAGCAAAAATGCAAAAGCTCATCACCGAGAAAACATTTCACGCCGGATCTATGGGAAAGGTGGCTCGGGTCGATGATATCAAAGCCGTAATGCCAATATCGGACAGCCAGGAGTATATGGTACGACAAGTACATGACATATTGCAGTCATATTACCATATCGCCCGGGCCCGACTCATCGACAACGTTTGCATACAATCTACAAATTACTATCTGTTGAATGGCCCAAACAGTCCCATGAAGCTTCTGTCGCCGACGTTCGTGTACCGACTGTCCGATCAGGAATTGGAGGACATTGCCGGCGAGGATCCTGTCATTCACAGACAGCGGTTACGACTGTGTAGAGAAATCGAAGATCTTGAAACGGCCAGAAGGATTCTACTCTGAAAGGCCATGTTTACCTTTACACCTCAAGGTCATGGGGAAGATATTATATTTTTCCTTGGTGGCTGCCATTCTTACACGCATCTCTAATTTGTATATGACCATTATTACAACGATACCACTATTGTGCCTGAATTTGCCGGACTAGCTGTTTGACATCCCGTTCAACTTGCAGTAGTGTACCCATGGCAGCGGTGCTCCACGAGCGATCTGCAGAAGCCATGATATAGTGTCTCGTAGTGATGCCAGTTCTCTAATTGGAGGAAAGCCTGACACCGACATCCCGCAGGCAATCAAAGCTACAGGTGTAAATACCCGCAGGTTAATTACTCCATGTGAAGTCGGCATGCCGATCTTGGATTGCAGAGAAGTTCGGGCTGGTTCAATACCTCTGCGAGGATGCGTCGTTTCTGTTGGAGATTGCCCCCGCCCAGACAGGGTCGTTTTTCCTCCTTGCTTTGGCGGCATTATCCTGGTCATGCAGTAGTATAAAACTATTGACATACAAGGAGTCATAGTAGCCCTGATTATCCTGCCGAGAAAGCTGATCTAGATCTTAACGTCATAATGAAGTGACATTCAAGCCCGACTGATGATCTCCTGATCTACATTTATCCTCTTAATCAAGTAATTGTCACTCCTCTGAATAATAATATGATATCACAATTGCATGGACCTAACCTGTTGTGCCCGTTATCTGGCTCGGGTACACAAAGCCAGCAACATCTGCACCAGATTCAACCCCCCGGCAGAATTACTCACGACAAGCGATACAGTCCTCTCAATTATTAAACCCCAAAATGCAATCCGTCCTCCATCCAATACTCGGCCCCAGGAAGGAAATCCACGACCTAACCGGTCGCGTCGCGCTGGTTACCGGTGGTGCACTGGGCATAGGGTTCGCGGCCTCCCTGCCCTACCTTGCCTCGACCTCCGCTGTGTCAAATACTAACCCAGACGAATAAACCACTTAGATATGAGATATCCCGTGCCTTCGCCTTGAATGGGGCGCGCGTGATAATGGTAAACCGCAAAGAAGAACAGGGCGCGGCCGCGATCGACCGGATTAAAGAGGAATCCGACCAAAAGGCACAGATCGAGTGGGTGGAATGCGACCTCGGGAACCTCAATCAGGTGAAGGATGTTTTTACCGGGATTTGTAGGAGTGCAGAGAGATTAGATCTTGTATGCCTCTATTTTACATCGTTTATTCGAGCATACCCAGGACTTTGAAATAATCCATAGGGATGCTTGCTAATGGCGTTGCAGCTCATCCTCTCCGCCGGCATAAACGCAAACCAATACGGCGAGACTGTCGACGGATACGAGCGTATCTTCCAGGTAAACTGGCTCAGCCAGTTCTACGTCGTGAACCTCCTCTACCCCCTTCTCCGCAAGACATCCCAGATGGCAGATACACCAGCACCACGAATCGTCTTCGAAGGGTCCGAGGTGCATCGGGTCACGACACCAAGTACGCAATTCGCATCAAGGGAGGAAATAAATGATCCCAGTAAAGACCCGACGCAGTTGTATGCGCGCACAAAATTGGCAATCATACTTGGCGTCAAGTATGGGCTTTTGGACCGGGTAATTCGGCCGAATGAGGATCGGGTCTTTGCGCTGGTTGTGCATCCTGGGGCTGTGCGTATACGCTTTTTCCCTTCCAACCGGGCCTTTACTAATATTTACTGATGTAGGTCAATACGGATATGCAGGAGCAATGGAAAGAAGCGTATCCCGGTCTTTTAGGTAAACTGCTAACGACCGCGATGACGGCCATCAGTCGCAGTCCGGAACAAGGGTCCTTCAGTGCGTTGTATGCGGCTACAAGTCCTGAGATCGAGGAAAAGGGCTGGAATGGGTACTACTTCACGGACCCAGGGCAGCCGGGCAAGGAGTCGGCCCAAGCATCGGATTTGGGGTTGGCTTCAGCGCTATGGGATTTGAGTCATAAGATGATTAGAGACAAGGTTGGGGAGAGGGGAATGGTGGATTGGGATGTAAAGGTATAATAACCGATATACGAAGTGTTTGATAAAGTAACTGTGGTCCTTCAACATTACAATTTGCCATCTACTAGTCGGTCAACATATCAACACATCAGGTAGAAATATACAGTCCATCACTCTGGCCCAACCAGGTCCTTATTCGGCCACTTCCTGAACAAGTCCATCATTTGGTCAAACGGCGCAACGCCCAGTCCCACGGCCGTCTCGAATGGCGGTTTACTCGGCATATGAGGGTGAGCTCTTGACGGGACAAAGATCTTCGTCCTGGAAAACCACTTGGCCATGCTCCGACTCTCGTGCGGGGAGAGCGTTTCCTCAAGGATCGCCAGGTCCTCCATTTCCTGGGTATGCATGTGCCTTCCCAGATCGTCCATCAGGGTCATGAGCATCGGCTTGAAGTCTCTATTTGACGGGTCGAGCTGTTGGAACGCCTTGAGGCGCTTCTTAGTCTATATCCACCCTTTATCAGCATTTCGTCCCGGATAGGCGCGGAATAGGTATAGATGCTAGGCTAACCTGCTGATTTTCCTGCCTTCCCTTCTTGGCAAGACGATCACCGCCCTGAACGTGCTTCTCGAGTGCTGGGTATAAAACTAATTCCTCACCGACGGTGTTGCGCGCGACCTCCCAGACAAACAGGTTCTGCCAGCGGATCTGCTCATCGCGGACGTCTGACGCGACGATGCGCTGGTAGATTGCCTGTATCTGAATATGGTCTTGCTTGAGGGTAGCACTGATGCTGGGCGACATTGCTATGCTTCAATACGATAGGTAGAGGGCCGTTGTTAGTATAGTATCTCGACTTACAGGAGGACGACAACCGCGTCGGCCGGAATATTCTGAGAGGTCATGAGGACCCCCGGTATATTCCTCATCCGCCAGTCTAGAGCGGTTCTTTCGGATATCCTCGACGTCATGGTGAACGAGATAGAACCATGGTTCACCCTGCCATCTACTTCCGATCTGGACCCATTGCTAGTATACACGAACACCAAGAATGCCATTCATAGAGGACATGCCAAACCAAGTAAATAATGCGGGTCCATGCCGTTATTCTTCACGACAGTGCACAGACAATGAAGGCTAAATAAAACCAATGATGTTCTTCGCGTCTCCTGTCTCTCCTTCATAGGTGGAACCTGCAACGCTGCCAATCTATTCTATACGCAGATCAACTCCACGTTTCACAATTTAGCCGCGAGCGAGTCAACAACGCTGACTTTTCACTCGTGCAACAGATTAAAGTGTCAGAAATATTAATCTATCCAAAGCCGGACCTGAACTCGTCGTTTCTGCACGCTCCGACCGTTCCTCATCAGGCAATGCTCTTCACCACGTTGTCCTAGGCATCGTCGCGCATTAATCATGCCAATAAAATATTAATACAAGGCCAGGTCCTTATAAAAAGCACACCACCCTGCACTCTCAGCAGCGCCAAGCAGCACATCCAAAACTCTAACAACATGCAGCTCCCCCGAGCCCTCCTCCTCGCCGTCCTAGGCCTCACCACCTCAACCAGCGCCCTTGTCGCCTTCCCCGGGGCAGAAGGCTTTGGCGCCAACGCCGTCGGTGGCCGCGGCGGCGATGTCTACGTCGTAACGAACCTCGAGGACTCAGGCGAGGGTTCCCTCCGTGACGCCGTGTCCGCAACCGACCGCATCGTCGTCTTCGCTGTCGGCGGCGTCATCAATATCGAGGATCGCCTTGTTGTCTCCAAGCGCGTGACAATCCTGGGACAGACAGCGCCAGGCGACGGAATCACAGTCTACGGAAATGGCTGGTCGTTTTCGAATGCGGATGATGCGATTGTGCGGTATATCCGGATGTACGACTCCTTCCCTTTCTCTTTTTAGTAGGCTTTCAGGAAGCTAACGTGTTGATAGTCGAATGGGCCGCGGCGGTGACTCGGGCAAAGACGGAATCACCATCGCTGAAGGCGCAAACATGATCTTCGACCATGTCTCCGTGTCCTGGGGCCGGGACGAGACATTCTCGATCAGCGGAACAGCGGAGAATATCACGGTGCAGAACACGATTATCGCGCAGGGCCTGGAGACGCACTCGTGCGGAGGTCTGATGCAGACGGACGGCGGGGTGTCACTGTTCCGGAACCTTTACATCGATAACAAGACGCGCAATCCCAAAGTGAAGGGCGTCAATGAGTTTACGAATAACGTGGTGTATAACTGGGGCGGCGGTGGAGGATATCTTGCGGGAGATTCGGATGGGGAGTCTTGTATGCTTGACTTCTTCCATTTATTTATTCAACTCAGCTGTGGTAACTAACTGGTATCTGCAGTTGCCAACATCATCGGTAACTACTTCATCAGCGGCCCTTCGACCAGCGTGACGGCCTTTTCACGAGGAAACGCCAACTTCCACGGCTACGTCGAGAACAACTTCTACGATCCTGACCAGTATGGCTCTCTCTCTGGGTCTGAACTCGGCGCTACCTCCGATAGCTACGGAGGCATGGAGATCGTCGACACAAAGTACGACTACCCTGCTGTGGCGTCTACGTTGACCCCCGAAGAGGCCGTCACTTACGTTACTGAGAGTATGTCCTTCCTCTCTATCCACAATGCAAAAAAAGAGTCCAGTCAACTAATCTAACCACCATAGACGTCGGCGCCTCTCTTGTCCGTGACGAAGTAGACACGAGCCTCGTCGATCAGGTCCTCTCGTACGGGACAGACGGCGCTTTGATCTCCGACGAGGACGACTTTGGTGGAGTTGGTGATTTGGACGGCGGTTCAGCGCCGACTGATACCGATGGCGATGGTATCCCCGACGATGTGGAAGCCGATCTAGGGACTGATCCGAATGTGAAGGATTCTACCGAGATCGATAGCGAGACGGGCTACTCCTGGTTGGAGGTTTGGGCCAACTCGTTAGTTCCTGCTAGTTATGCGGCGCAGGGCAATGGCACAAGCACAAGGCGCTAGTATAGTAACATTGTTGTATATATTATTTTGTATATATCTGTGGCCATCGCTTTTGTTATGATATTTTGCAGCTATTCGTACATAACAACCTCTTGCATATCCCCCGGAGGGTTTGAACACCAAACAACCGAATTGAAAGCCATATACTGGACAAGAACCCATTCTCAATCCACCTTCACTATACCCAAATCTTCATTCTCGGTTTTGCTTCTCTGGCTCCACTGCGGTGCCTCATCCTCTCCCGCTTCCTCCTGCGCATCCCCCTCGGCCTTGGTCTCGTGGACCGTCCTGGGATCGTGCTCCGCAGGAGAATAGATAGTTACCACCTCCAGCGGAACGTCGCCTACATTCAGAAATTGGTGCTGGGTTCCGGCGGGGACAATTACTACATCCCCCTCCTTGACCTTCTGCTCCTTGCCATCCACAATCGCCTTGCCGGTGCCATGTGTGAAGAGCAGAATCTGGTCAACGGTGTGTTTCTAGTGAAATGTCAGTGCTTTCCATAATATACCTCATGGATTCATGACTCACATACCTCATCACCTATATCTCCATTCACGGGAATTTCCATTGCAACGAATTGCGAGTAGAGTCCGGTATGGATGACTTTGCGGAACACTCCAAAGGAGCGGTTCGGGGATAGAATCCCCGGAAGGTAGACCATCTCATTCGGAGGCGGGTTGCTGACCATCCTGTGTCCCTCGGCTGGGTGTGATTTTGTTGCGTATAACTTGGCTGAGAGGCGAATCGGCTGTCGCGTTAATCTGATATTCGCGAGAATGTCGGGACGGAGGTTTTTGGATAGCTTAAATAGCGCGGGCCTATTCATCATCGATATAATTGATTTGCGATATTTCGGCGTCTGGCCATGGTTCTTATGGCACGATGACTGAGCCTATTCGCCATTACTGTGTGGCTCGGTGGTGTCGGGAGTGACGTCGCTTTCCATCATAAGTAGGTGCATTCACCATAGCGATTAATCAGATGCATGCGACTAAATAGTTTGCCATATTGAACGTCGAGGCGTGTAGTCTATCTTTTGTAAGCGACTACAATGGAATTAGATAATCATCCCTGGTCTGGAAAGGTCGAACGCACGGTATCGCATCAGCAGCCGATTCTCGACGGAGGCGGCTCTCCGGTCTCGGATTGGCACATCATCCGAACACCCGTGAATGAAGTAGTTAACTCCAATAGCACGTCTCTACTTGGGTCGAATCTTTCCAGGCTTGTAGGAGTCCTGCTTAAAGTAGTTAGCCGTGTCCAGCCGAACAGGCGCCGGGATGGAGACGCGATTGCGAGGGCCCAAACCGGTTTTGGCCTGTTCTTCTCCCATGCTTGGCCAACTGGGCTAGTATTGAGGTCCCAGCGGCCCTAGCACAGCCATCGATGGAAGGATGGCCGAGCCTGCAAAGAATACAACCCCTCCGCAGGTGAAATTGCTACGAACTATGACCCAAGCCGAGTCTGGTGTTTCAACCCTACCTCTGCTTTGACGCTTCTTCCTGACGCCGGTGCGCACATCGCATCCTCCGCGCCACCTATATAACTCCACCTTCTAGATGCCACGCTATGTGTAGGAAGGTGATCTTGAGACCAGGAGTTCCTGAGAAATCCGAAGGCGCGGGCCCAGTGGGGGGCCACGCGTGGAATGTTCCCCCATCCCAGCGTCGCTTTCCTCAGTGTTGTAAGGAGAGCCTCGGATCACGCATTCTTGTGCTGCCTCCTGCTCCCGATTCCAACACGTTCCCTCAGACATCCCATTGGTCTGCACAATCATCTCACAATGGCAACTCCAAGACTTTCCTCAGCACGACGGAGCACGGTCATCCGAGGTGAGGGAGCTTTGGCTTGATCCTGAGCAAGGATATCTCGGATCGACCAATAACCTCAACGCCACGAATATTTAGCGTTACTTTTCCGTATAGCCAGCGTCGCATCATTCCCGAGAGCCCCTGTGAAGGATTAATTGCATCATATTGCAGACTGCGGTACTGGGACGATTGTCGGACTACGGCGAAAGTAACACAAGAGGCAACGGGTGCGTGTCCCCGGCCTCACAACTTGGTATTGATTTTCATAACTGGAGTTCATTGACTTCATAGTAAGAGTGCAAACGCAGTGGGGCTCTGGCTGCCAGGCTCAGAAAGCTCGTTCATGGCTGGCGGCTGCCTATGGGGGTGGAGATCATCGCACAGCCGAAAGATTTCCGGACAAGAACAGGAATCTGGCAGGGCCTGTTCAGGCTGCTCCAAATCCGAGCGTCGATGCATAATTGGCGCTCTCCACCTCCTGCTGTTATATCGGATCCTCGCGTCAGCGGGATGACGTCGGCCCACCTGTGCGGCGTGGCGCCACCAATCATCCCAAGAGGCCGGGTGCGTCTTTAATTTCCTGATTAACCGAACTGGGGGATAGATCAGCCTGCCATTCCGATTTGCCTGCGGTGTTCTCGTCCGCGGTCGAGGTCGTTAACGGGGCTCGTATACCCTCCTGGGCACGACCCTAGCCGCACGGATTTCCTGCCATGGCCTTGTCTTATCTTGGGGGGCTTGGGTCGAGAGGCGTGAGTCGTCGTGGCTGCCTGTAGGTCGCTGGAACGAGAAGGGGTCAGCAACCAGCCGAAAGTCAATTAGGACAAGGCAGACGAAATAATTGGTCACCTTTCGGGGATGAACGTGAAGCTGTCGAGTAAGCATGGATAGGACGGCGGCGAGGCAAAGGGGGAACAAGGGACGAGGGGAGAGGGGGAGAACAGCACGGAAACTGGGAAGAGGGGGCCGGGCCAAGGTGAGCGGTTCAGGGTCATTTCCAGGCACGGCGGGAATAATGACCTCAGCGTCTTCAGCCCCTCGGCCGTCCGAAAACAAAGCTTCACTTTCCATCAACACATTTGCCCTCTATCTCTGCTGGACTTTCCATCAGAGCCTCGACCGTCCCAGAACCGCGAACACTCCACGATGCAGCTGTCAATCCCCCAGGTCTTCTCCAGATTTCCAGTCTCCTCCCCCCCTCCCCCGCGCTGTCTGGCCGATCCGATGGTCCACAGTGGGTGTGAAGCACTGGCAGGGAAAGCACACACCATCAGACGAGGTGGATTCGCGCCATCCAACGATGTGCCTCAGGCTTAGGACCCAGCGGCACTGCCTACTGCAATCGTTCAATGTCGCCCATGCAGGCTCCACTTTCAATCCGACCCGAGGATCAAAACAAGTCGCATTCAACACATTCCTCGCATTTTTAGCTCAATGCGTGGCCCGTTTCAGAAGGATTGGCGAGAGTCTGGAGGCGACTGAATAGCGAGTCTGGCGAGTAGATGGCCCGGGTGGATGATATAAAGGCCGCAGCAACGTCCGCAGATTCAGCTAGCATGACTATCTTCCGCGTTCTTCTCTTGCCCTTCAGATTATATCCCTCGCTATCTCAGAGCCCTCCGTGACATAAACCGTGCCTTCAACATGATTTCGAAGATAGATCCCGCTGTTGAGTCCAACTCTAACGTCCCTGTGGCCCAGTACCTTCCTCAGATCTATAAGGAGTCTCTTGATGAGAAGGTCATCATCGTTGTTGGTAGGTAGCTGAAGTTTCCATATCTACACCCCCACTAAACAGGCTTTAGGCGGTGCCAACGGCATTGGTGCAAGCCTTGTCCAGCTGTGCTGCTCAAATGGGGCTTATGTGATAATCGGAGATATCGATGACTCCCGCGGGGAGCGGATGGCCAGCAAATGCGTTGAGAACTGGCCTGTACACTGGGACCCTTCCCAGCCCCCCAAGCCACCACGCTCTATCTTCCAGAAGACAGACGTGACGGACTACCAGGCTGTCTTGGACCTCTTCGAAAACACTTTCAAGAAATACAAGCGTATCGACCATGTCGTTGTCACTGCTGGCAATACTGAGACAGACGAAACATGGTTCGACCACACCCTGAACCTCACCCAAATCCGCAAGGTAAAACATCCATCAAATAGTTTAGACTTTGACTCTAATAATCATCCAGGCCCCATCAAGCAAAGATATTGATGTGAACCTCGTCGGAACTCTCTATGTCACCCGCATCGCCAGCGTTTACCTCCGCCACAACCGCGGCCCCGGTGTCGACCGCTCCATTCTCCTCTTCTCCTGCGCCGCCGGCTTTAAGGAGACCCCTGTCGTGTCTGTCTACCAAGCCGCTAAGCACGGTGTTCAGGGACTAATGCGCTCTCTCCGCTCCAACCTCAATTCGCCATACAGGCACAGCATCCGTATTAACACTATCTGCCCTTGGGTTACGCAGACTAACAACAACTTCCCCAAGACCGTAGCGGAGCGTTGGACAGAGGAAGGCCTACCCATCAGCCTTCCCGAGGACGTGGCCAAGGTTTCCGCTGGCGTTCTATGCGATGACTCCCTCCATGGCACCTCCATGTACGTCGCGGGCACACGCGCCTGGGAAATCGAAAACAACATCGACCGCCTGGAGTCCCAGTGGCTCGGCGAAGAGCCTTCCCAGATCCTCGCCCAGGGGCAGAGCGTTCTGAAGGAGGTATTCGCTGCGTGAGGCGTAGGCTGGCCTACATCATGCAATAACTGCACTGCTTTGAGATTCCATTGATACCCACCCTCATTTTTACATTCTCTGCCAGCAAATTATTATTGAACGATAAATTCGAAGATCTGCCATGATGGTTACTAGATTGGGTGCAGGATGAACGCTTGCTAGAACTCTCGGTATACGGGTCTTGACGATGATGACGTTTAGGTTGCGTGTTATTATGCAATACAATTATCTATCTTCCTAAACTCCAGTTCCTATCTTGAATAACCGTTTTATTCACCCTTGTAAGCCGGATTTGTGCCTTCCATCCAATAATGTAGGATTAAGTTTCCACTTGCCGCCACTGCCCCTGTTGAATTATCTGCAACCACTTTGTCCAAGCTATTCGATGATCAACGATCTCCCGTAGCATCCCACCATCGGCCGACATCATTCGCGGCACCCGACTCCGAGAGGAAGGGCTCGGCGATCATTTCCATCGCAACATCTATCAGGGATAGACCGAATTCACATGAATGAGAGAATATTTACCATCAGGATATTTAAACTTTTTACAGTATACCAACTGCCAATCGTAGGCCCCTCGCCACATGGGCCATGTGAAAAATGCGCGCTGCGAATCTTAACTCTACAGGATGAAGATTTACAACTTTGTATAGCACAATCCGGAATAATGAATAATTACCAGACTTAAGCATAAGGTCTGGCCAGACATTTAGTGTAGTAGTTTCACGCCAGCTGTCCAAAATAGCCCCTGCCCCTAGCAACCCTCGGTCGACAATCAACCAACATGCGGGGCGACTCTAGGAAATTAGGAGTCCCTGAGTTCACGCCTCGGTCTGTGTGCAGGAGTAATTGAATCTAAAAGTGCAAGTGCCAGTTAGTAAGGAGATAAAAGTATTCTGTCAGGGCATATGGACAACTAACATCGTCAAACTCCCGCAATAGCACAACAACCGCCTTCTTCGATTGTAACCAAGCAGCTTCTAACTTCAGACAGTGAGGCGCACAAGCCGTAAAGGGTGCAAGTGATTCTTCCATACAAGCGCGCTGTCGCCGATCCACAGCAATCCAACGCTCAGGGCGGAATACAGCCGGGTCGTTTCCATATATAGACTCGCTCGCTAAGATAAGGCGCGGGTGCCATATCACTGTAGTTCCTTGGGGTATCCGGATGGACGATAACGGTATATCACGAAATCCGGTTTTGATTCGTATACCAGTAGGGTGGGTTTGCAGTAGAACCAGCCTCATTGTCTCCTTTAGAACGGCGTCTAGGTAAAAGGCTCCTGTGAAGTCCCTCGAGTGGGGGATCGTTGTTCGGTCCCAAAACCGCGGCATATTGTCTATTTCGTTCCGCAGTCTGCGGAGAACTCTAGGTTGATCCAGTAGAAACGTGAATACGGAGACTAGAGTCGCTATTATGGTTTCAACACTGGCAGCTATGACGGTCGATTCATTGGGACGGCCAGCGTCTTTGTAGACGCCCTGAGGAGGGACCGGATAATGCCCGTACGCTGGTGCCGATACCTCGCCCGACAGACCATAGCATGAGAAGCGATCTCTCTTGAGAATGTAAACAGGACCTCGTAATAACATTTCCTCTACTGTCGTAAAGAACGAAGAGCTGGACTGAGTCTGGCCCCTGCTATTGGGCTCAGCAAGGCCAGCACCACTAAAGAACCAGGCCCTAAGTTCATCTGTGAACAGCCGCAAGGGCATGCTTAGGTCGATAGTTCGGTGTCGCCGGATTGTCCGGACAGTATCCCGCATGGCCTCCGCGACGGCATCTTCATACCTGAATAGTTCCTGTTGGTCATTCGGCCGGTCCCCCTGGCTATGCCGGCTCAACTGGGTTGCAGTCAGTTATATGCCCGTGCACACAAAACAAGATACGAACGAACCTCGTCTAGAGTCTTCGCACAATATAGGCTTATAATATCGCGAGCATCGCTCAAGCTAATAACGCGCGGTCCCAAGCGCACGGCTTTCCCGTACTTCCGATGCAATTGGGCTAGACGTCGACCGTAACCCGAGGACTGTTGCGCATTCACCCTCCAAAGATCCGAAAATGCCGCAAATATGGGTCCTGGGACGTGCCTCACGGGGTAATAGGTATAAAGAATATGAAATAGAGTTGCGACCACCAAAGCCAACGCGGCCGCGATTACGCACGCGACCATGGCCGAGAGTATCCGAGGATAGCACAGTGCAGCATTATTATGTGGACTGGTGGCGGGGATTTCATAACTGGGCCACTGTAATAGTAAGTAGCCAAATCGGATTCACTCAAGTTCCAGTGGCATGATTCAATTTGCAATTCATCAGAAAAAGGACGCGACAGTCGGCGCAAGGCAGTTATATTAAAGGATGTCAGTCGTGGGATCCCGAAGTCGGGGACCCGGCGCGTCCCGAGATTAATCAACTTCAAGTCGGGGAATTGGTACTTTCCAGACCTCAAGGTACTTCACTCTTGATTGTTGTCCATTACTGCTAGACCCAATCATGACATTTGAGTCACCGCTCTATGCATGCGCAGCTGCCTTCCACTGTCGGATCTGTCACCCGCTCACAGTTGCCTATTCTTGGCCAGCATTCCCTGCTCGTCGGCCAGCTCATATGCATGGTGCCCCAGACCGGAAGAGAGTTCCCTGGCGATTTACTCGTCCGGCGAGCCTGTTGAAATCCAGGGTTAGGCTGAAGAACATGGCCGGGCATGAATAGTCTAAGCGATTCTAGAGTTGCGTCCAATGATGCTAATTCGCTCGGTATTGTTATAAACCCGCTCACGCGCGAAGACAAACGATTCAAATAGATGACGATGTGCATTGCCCCGCGATTGCTACCGGATGGGTCCCAGATGCCATGATCACCATCGCGTGGCCCTACCACTCGGGTGGTTTACTCGTATAATGGCGTCTCCGGGAGCACCAATTCTCGCATAAGGCGCCCTTTCAAATACCCGATCCGCTGAAGAGGATCTCGAGAGCCAAAAATTGATTTGCAGATGAATATGATCATGGACTCGGAGCCTTGCTAACAGTGTTTATTGTGATACAGTTCAGCGGGAGCTAGCTTGCTCCTGTGAGGCGCACGACTTCTGGGAATACAGCTTGATGCCATCGTAACAGCCAAGGAACAAGCCACTTCCCAGCATAGCTGCGACACAAGTCAAAGAGGCGCCTCGAAACAGACCTCGACCTCCCTCCGCGACAGGAATGCCGCGCGCAACGGCAATTGGCCCTTGAGGAGATGTTGAAGTTGATCTCGGGCCACTAAGTTCCGTGTTAATCGGTATTATCTTTGGTGGCAATGAGCTCTGGCCAGTCCGACTTCCTGCAGCGAGTCGCATTCGTGTCTTTACCACATCAATCGGCACCAAAAACAGCGAAACAGCAGCACCCGCCACTCCTGCAGAGAACAGACTCACTCTGACTTGTTCTGGGATGGTCGGGGACTGCTTTTCGAAGCTCCCTAGCCAGGAGGCCTTGAAGTATTCATAGAGACAAAATGTCATGGTAGTACCAGGGAGATGACTAGCGGCAAGAACTGTGTACCCCGTCCACAGCTTCCGAGGACGGCTCATAAGCTGGCGAAGCATGGTCAAAACAGGATACTTAAGGCCCCCTGACCCGTGAGACTTGGAAACTTGTGCGTTCTGCTTCAGTACTTCTGCGGGATTGAGAATGGCACAGGACGCAAGCTCCGCAGCTGCACTGCTGATTGCATGGGCCGCTGCTGCGGGCATCTTTTCGGAACTTGTCTCTTCACTGCCATTTAAAAGGGCATATTTTGCAGTCTCATAGATGTAAAAGAAGGCGACGGATGACGGTATAGCTGTAACCATCGTAGGACCAATGCCTTGGTAAAGCCCCCGGAACATGGTTGGTCGAAACCCGCCTTTGATGTTTTTGTATGTCACCACATAGCCAGGGGACTGGATACGCGTGATTAGCGTATCAAAAGGGTGGATGATGGATTCAACAGCCATGGCAGAAACCCCTGCAGACTTGGTACTCGATCAGCCATTTCCAAGTAAACGGTCACCACATGGTTTACATACAACCGGGATCTCTATACTCGAGCTCCAATGCATGGCAACATATGTCGTTAATTGTACGTTTATAAAATTGTTGGAGAATTGTACATGAAATTGGTTCGCGACAAAATACTCAAGACCATCGTAACCTTAATATGGTCACCTGCAAGCAAAAGCAAGGGGAATTCGGTCCATCGGAGTCCGCGGCTTCCATTGACTTGGATGGTATTCCCGAAGCCCGTCGAATTGCTTCAGGCAGCCCCGATCTGAGTAACGAAGAGCCAGGGGAAATAATACACAGGTGCAGTCCTGTTGACCTTCAGCCTCAGGAAGCTGGGGAAGCTGATGCACCATACTTAGCGTGGCAAATGGTGTGATCTGCCCGGAGTCTGGCCGGTTCGCTGCCAACCATAATTGCACATGGCAACCTTCAAAGTTACGACTCAGTAAAGAAGCCTGTCTTGCACTCGTTTTTCATCTCTTCGACACAGTTCATCGATCCGAAATGTTGAATACTCTGTACCGTATACAGACAACTGAACAACAAGTTACTACAGGCTGACCTAATCCCAATCACATGCTTGCGACAAAAATGCCAAGAGAAAAATGAATCTTCTCTTTTTCCTCTCGCGATGTCGGAGAAACTCCCTAGTCTTCCGTGAATAATGCAAGCTGCATTCTCACAAAGCCATGCAGGTAGCTGACCTGTCATCATGCCACTTTTCTTCTCCTGTCTCCGCTGATTCGTGCGCTGCAGGCCTCGTGTCTCTGTGTCTCCACGATCGCCCTGAGAATGCTCTGACATTTCCCTACCCCGCCTAGGTACAGTAACCATTACCAGTAGCCTGTTTGGCGCCAGCACCTCACCTCTTTTCTTGCTCGTATCTTTGGTCGATCATTTCCCTGGCCCAAATCTCTTCTCGTTGCTTCCTACAACGTCATCATGGGCAAACCTCCGGCGGCCATATTCATTGCGCGGTATGCAATAGCATCTCTCACCTTATGACCCTGGCCAATGCTGATTAACTGTTCAAAATAGGCACGGCGCGCGTCTAGATGCTGCCAACAAAGACTGGCACTTGACTTCTTCAACGCCCTATGACCCACCCTTATCGTATGGCGGCTGGCTCCAGTCTCGCGCTCTTGGGTCACGAATAATCAGCGAGGTGCGTTCGTTGGAGGATAAACTAGATGGATCGACGCACGATGCCGAAGACTCCCACCGACAAGCCCGTCGCCCTCGAGAGCGAAAACAGAAGCCGAGAATCATCATCCACACCTCCCCATTCCTGCGCTGCGTGCAAACGGCCATCGCTATTAGCTCCGGTATCAACCAAAATTATACCGACCTAGAATCCCTACGTGAATCGCGACTGCCGACGTCACCAAGCTCAAACAGCACTCCTGCTATACCCGAGTCGGTACCCAGTCCCGCATCAGGGACTCACTCTAAAAATAACTCTCGGTCCGTTCTACGCGTCGACGCCTGTCTTGGGGAATGGCTGAACCCCGAGTACTTCGAGAGTATTATTCCTCCCCCCAAGTCAGAGAGGATGGTTGCGACCGCAAAGACAGAACTATTGCGTCGTGATGAGAGCATCATCCCAGCGGCCGACAAACAAACTCCTCCAACCGTACACCATTTCCCTGGCGGCTGGAACGGTTCAATTCCCAGCCAGGAGGAGGAGGAACCCAAAAACGAAACTGAGTCGACGCCCATTCCCACCAATCCGGGACAAAGGAATCGTGCTGGTAGTTACGATTCTTTGAAGGCAATACACACTCCCTGGGGCCGACGAATGTTGAGGGTCAACACAGATATCCCGGCCGTTCCTGACGCGGCGTACTCGCCACCTATCCCAAGCTACGCGATATCGCCCTCGAACCCTATTCCAGACGGCTACGTAACACACGCGCGTGATGCTTGCGTCCTGGTTGACTATCAGTGGGATAGCATGCGCGAACCGCAGAACTGGGGCAGCGGAGGTGAATATGGCGATGAATGGAGTACCATGCTTACCCGCTTTGGCAACAGTATTGAACGGATGATCTCATGGTACCAAAACGACGACGCTTCCACAACACCCGCTCATCGCCGGACCCGTTCGCAGTTGCAATTCTTGGGACAGGATGAAGTGGAGGATTGTGCAGCCGATACCATTTTAATAATCGTGACTCATGGAGCTGGTTGCAATGCGCTGATTGGTGCGCTATCAGGACAGCCAGCGTTGGTGAACGTCGCCACAGCTTCTCTCACACTCGCTGTTCGTAAGGACTATATGGGACAGACATTGCCGGTTCACGAGCAAGCAGAGAAATATGACTCGCACTACAAGACATCTGGGCCAGAAGATTATAGCCTAGTCGAAGTTGCTTCAACAGATCATTTGCGACCCGGAACAAGTCCGAGTACCTCGATCCGCTCTCCCACGGCGAGCAGAATACCACCTCCCTCCATTCCTTCATATCGGCATCGTTCGACAATCTCCTCAGGCCCCATTCTACTAAGCCCGTCTCTAAGAGCAGGTGTGGGTCTGCATTCGTGGACAACACCTCGGGCCTCTTCGGGGCTCTGGAGCTCTGTTTCAGGGGATCGCGATACCGCTGACGATCTGGTTCCCAATTTTGGAAGTCCTGTCCCTCCACCCGTCTCGTCACTTTCAGGGACGGATGGTCCCAGCGTGAACCCTGGACCAACTTCCGAGGCGTCAACATCGTCGGAAGAACTACCGCAACGAACACCATCCCAGCGCGGTCTCTGGCGAAGTGCACCGCTTAACAAAGAGCGATCCACTCATTCAAACCGGCGTTGGACAATAGCCGAGAGACCACTATGAATTTTTCTCGTGGATATCACTCCCTGTTGTTATTATTGCATTCCCCTCACGCACCAAGGCGTTTAGGTACCTCACGACATTTACGTTTAATGACTGCAACGATTTGGCATTTTAGGGAAATCGAGTTGACCGATTGGGTCTTTGGATTATGACTCGCTTATATCTTCTCAATCCACGTACAAAAACGCCTCCAATATGGATATTTTTACCTCACTAGTTATCAGACACAGCATCTACAATAGCCTTCTTCCACTAAAGTAGCTTGGTCGATCCTCCGCAATACGTAATTGCTGATTGGCGGGGCACGGCTTGGTGCCTGGGTGCCTGACAGCAATTGTCCCGCAGCTCCCGCGTGCTCACCGTGTCCAAACAATGCTTCCTTCTTCCCTCCCCCCCTTTCCTTGGTCCTCCCTTCTCGTCGCTGCATAATCAGGAGCAATCTGCCCCCTTTTACATATATACGTGCCCAGCATGACTTCCATTGAAACCGATGGCTCATCTGTAACCTATTCTTCTGAAAGAACTGGCGCCCCAGACCTCCGCCTTATTCACTACAATGACGTGTATCACGTTGAGTATGCCATTCCTTCATATACTTTGTTTCCGATACCTTTCAGTATGGGGCTAATTGATGCTTGAAGGCCAGGTTCTGCCGAACCAGTAGGCGGCGCCCCGCGTTTCCAGACCATCATAAACCACTATCGATCACATTCCAACTTTGACGGCCAGCCCGCACCCCTCACCTTCTTCTCCGGCGATGCATTCAATCCCAGTCTCGAGAGTACCGTTACAAAAGGGAGGCATATGGTGCCTTTTCTCAACAAAGCAGGAACAGATGTGGCTTGCGTGGGAGTGAGTGAATCCCGGCGCCCATCAATGGTTGTGAAATTGTGTCAACATAGTTGTCTGACTCTTGGTAGAATCATGATCTTGATTTTGGCGTTGCGCAATTCCGTCATTTGCGCGACCAGTGCCAATTCCCTTGGCTTTTGGCCAATGTCTTAGATCCAGCGCTGGGAGAAGGTGTGCCAATTGCGAACTGCGAAAAAACATGCATGTTGACAACCTCCAATGGAATCAAAGTGGGAGTAATCGGTCTGGGGGAACGCGAATGGTGCGCCCTACATGTCTCATATCAAGCGAATCTGGTACTAATGTCTTCGTCTTCATAGGCTAGGAACGATCAATTCCCTTCCTCCTGATCTTATCTACAAGTCCGCGTCAAAAACCGCGATCGAGCTGGTCCCCGGTTTACGAGAGCAAGGAGCTGAGATAATCGTTGCAGTTACGCACCAGCGAGAACCAAACGACTATAAGCTAGCCCAGAACATTCCCCATGGGATGATAGATATTATCTTAGGAGGGCATGACCATTTCTACGGCCATGCATTTCTGAATGGCGTTCACGTCCTACGGTCAGGTACCGACTTCAAGCAGCTAAGTTACATCGAGGCCTTCCGGAAAGTAGACGGCCCAGGTTGGGATTTCAACATTATTCGACGGGACATTAAACGATCGATCCCCGAAGATCCCCCAAGTGTAGCTCTTGTCGCTAAGCTTACATCCAGTCTAAAGGCTAAGTTAGATAAGCCCGTTGGATACACCGTCCGTCCGCTTGATGGACGATTCTCCACCGTGCGCTGCCGAGAGTCTAATTTGGGAAATTTTGCCTGCGATCTGATGCGCCTCTATTATCGCGCTGACTGTGCGTTAATGGCGGGAGGTACTATTCGTGGTGACCAAATATACCCTCCTGGAGTCCTCCGCCTGCGCGATGTTCTGAACTGCTTTCCTTTCGAAGATCCTGTCGTGCTACTACGTCTGAAGGGCAAGGCCCTTTTTGATGCGCTAGAAAATGGCGTAAGCCAACTTCCAGCCTTAGAAGGCCGCTTCACACAGGTTTCCAACATTAGCTTCAGTTTCAACCCATCGGCGCCTACCGGCTCTCGTATCAACTGGGCTAAGGTAGGCGGCAAACCGATTGATTTCGAACAGAGCTATACTCTAGCTACCAGAGGCTACATGGCACGCGGGAAAGACGGCTTCGCCTCCCTTCTCGTTCAGTCCGAGGGCGGCGAGGTAGAAGAGATCGTCGACGAAGAAAGCGGAACCCTCATCAGCACATTAATACGACAGTACTTCCTAAGTCTAAAAGTCCTAGGTAAATGGCAACACCAGGGGAAGAGCATGACCCGGCATTGGGCCGACGTGCAGAAGAACATGCAGGACAGTGGCTTCCTAAAACCGCCCTCCGCCCTCCCATCGCCAAAGGCAGAAAAGGTCCCTAGCCACTTACAACGCCCGTCTATACAGCGCAAGCAGCACTACTACTACGGCCGCTTCGCCGAAGCCCACACACAAGCCGTAAGCGAGGGGGCAAAAGAGCCAGCGACGGACGATTCAATGGACTCAGATTCCGACGAAGATCCGGATATTCTTATCTCTCCGCGGCCAATAACCAACTATGTCACCCTTCCCGCGCGGTCAGCGGAAGACGAGGAGTACCGACTACGGCTGGCTCGGTGGGCGACGCGCCGGTGGTTGCGCAAGGTAGGGATCAGCTCGACTATGGACCAGGAGAACCAGGACGATTCATATACACCGACGTGGACGCCAGGAATTTCGCCCCGGCTGGAGGGCAGGATTGTCATTGAGGAGAAGGCGTGAGTATATTCACGGCTAGAGATGATTTACGACTATACGATACAAGATCTGCTTTTGGCTGTCGTTTGGTAGAAAGTCTGCCCATACATGTCATGACAGCATAAATGAGGTGCTATTGGTAAAAAGGATGGATATCATTATCGTAGAGATTTCATCTATATACATTTATTCAGATTTTCGGTATCAGAATCAAGAAATCGATTCATCTAATGGGCGATTCTACCACTTCTCGTTCGTAGAAGCTGAGTTTTGACAGGAACCATTGAATCTAGTAGTGGATCGGTTATTGAACACCAACAGGTTTGGCACCAGAGAGGTTCACCACTCTTCCGCCACCGGCTAAAGCAGCAGCACCTCCCATAGCCATAGTCGAGGGCGGTTGAACCCAGCCCGGAACACCCGTGTCCTCAGATTCACGGGCATATATGGTTTGCCATACATTGGGGAATCCGGTGGGCAAAGCACCGCGCAGACGTGCACCGGGGATAGCGAATCGCGGATTCCGATGTGTGAGGTACCCACGCATAAGACCCTGAGTCAGGAGAGAGGCGAGGATGGATTCAATCTCACGTAGCAGTGTAGATGGTTTGTCGGATTCTTCGTTGAATCCTTCCGCGTATGGGTCCAATTCGTATTGGCTATAGTCAGAATCTGGGGCCCCGTCGACCAGAGCTCTAGATGGATTCGGTTGCCACTTCCCTGTTACGTCGAAAGAACCCTCGGGACAAAGGTAGTCGGAATACTTGGATACTAGGGACGGATCGGGACCATTTCCGTTTGCGACATGGTTGTTGAGGGAAATGAAGTCCTGGTCTGGGGCTACTGACACGATCTGTGACCCGTAGGAACTCTTGTTCGCTGGTGATTGTAGGCTGTTTGTAAACGGGGAAGTTGTTGGCATGGTGGATGATGAAGGGTGCTGGGATTGTAGCCACCGTACGGCAGCTTCTAGTTTGTTGAGGTACAGGAATGGGGGTGGCCCTCTCTGGGTTTGGCCCTGGGGCTCTCCATGAAAGCCACCATGTATGAAGACCTTCCGTGCAAGAGAGCGCCATACGAGAATTTCACATCGATTGCGCAATGGAAGCAGGATGCCTTTTCGGGCAAACCATTCAGTGGCTGGTGAGTTCATACTAAGATGGTCCCTGAAGGCAATGTAATCTCCGCGGGCAATAAGTTGGCAAAGCGGGATGAACTTGTCGGCTAACCCCTGGGCCTCGGGTCGCTGTAGAAGGTTTAGGGATGGAAAGCGGCCCATCACAATGTTGCACGAGATGAGGTATGTGAGAATAAGTCGTTTCTGGTTTATGGCCTGGTGGTGGCATTGGTCGTAAGCGGATTGCAACGCAATCTGTGCCGGAAAAAATAGGTTGTTCGATAACAAGTAGCGTCCAAGGTAATAGAGGTAGGTGACCCTCTGGGCCGCAGGAAAGTATTTCAGTGGAGGGGATTGGGCAGTGATACTCGCAAACATCTGCTCTGCGTTACGGAGCTTGCCGCACTAAAAGGGAGTGTCAGTAGCCTTTCACCAAACAAATACATTGAAAACTGTCGCACCTGGAAAAGTAGCTTGAGGCACAAGTTGGCCATTAGATAGATCCCAACCCTCTTTCCCTCAGGCTTCCCGTGGACCCCAGGTGTGCCGCTGCGGTCAGTCAGGCATTTGATGAACGCCTCTCGAACCACATTCGCGGACTTCTCCACTAACGTGACCTTCTCGGTGCTCTCATCCTGATCTGCGCCACCCTCGAGTCTCAACAGGTGTGCAACCAGTTCAGGTCGGCGGTCTAGTCCCATGGCCAGCTTCGCTAGGACTTTAGAGAGGTAAAGTACGGTGGGCAAGACAACGATGCCGAACTGGCTGTCACCGAGTGCCATAACGCATTGGCTGTGATAGAACAAAGCGGTCAGTTATACGATACAGTTAATGATGGTAGATATATCAAACTCACTTGAGGAGGCCTTTTAACACATCATATGTCTCAAGCAGATTCTCGACATTCACGTCGCGCAGGAAGGAGAAGTACAGCTTCATGAATGTTGGGAAAGCAGTCCACGAGCTCCCTCCTTTGGACTTGGGTACCAATCCTTCGCAGCGCCGTAGCAGGTCTGCTTCTTTTGGTGATCCACCGGGGTATCTTTGCTGCAATTCGCCCACCATCTGTCCGTACACGTCGGGCAGTGGCGGCTCAATCTGCAAGAAGTCTTGGAGTTTGGCGCCATCCCGGTCTCTAACTATATCGGCCAGCGATGTGAGAAACCGGTCAAGGACAGGAGTGCCTTGGAACGCCATTGTAGGAGGCGGGCCGTGGGGTAAGGTACGGGCGTAGTGACCGACGCTATGCCGTTGTCATAGGAGCTCGAATCTCGCGCTGGGGGCGTAAAAGGGCTAAATCATCGGAGCTCGCGCATGTTCAAAGGTGCGTGGTTTCAAATTCTCCCGTAAGCCATGAGATAGAGCTGGATTTCGAAGACGATGCGATTTTCACACGGGAAGCTCGTGGCGAGGAGAGCTCAAAGGTGCAACTTTCAAGGTCTCAACTCGCGAGAACTCCGCATGAGGGGCGCTAGTCCGGATCGGGACTGTACAAAAAAAAGGCGCGGGCGGACCCACGATGCATAAAGAACTTGGAACCGTCCGTCATCTCGACCAAGCATGTGAATTCAAGGAACGGATTTACTCGATATTATTTGTGGCCGAAGGCTTGTATTCTGGTTGCCTGGTAAGATAAGAATTCTAGACTCATTTACCTCCTTAATATATGAACACTTTATCTTAACGCTGCGATATGTTGCACGGAAATATATACGCTGAGCTGCATAACAGCGCATATTGAGCTTCAGACGCAACAGGAATCAACTTCCATCGCGGAGCAGACGCTGTAATCATTACCTCTGTAGAAAAAGACATATCCTAACCATGCTTTCTGGTAGCGCAAAGCACGTTGCACATGGTGTAGTTAACGTAATTGTGTCGGCCGGACTGATCCACTCATACGTCATCATAAAACAGCAACACCACCTCTCCAGGGCCTGCTTCCCTGTTCCCAGCGCTTTTTAAGTAGAGGGGGTTTTCTTTCATTTTCTTTTCCCTAGAGTTTCCTACGCGAACTGTTCGGTCCCAACTCCCTCCTGCATAGCGAGTACTTTTTTCCCCGACGCCTCACTGGGACTTCCACTCCCCACATTACCCATTTATTCCCTATAGTTCAATTATCACATGCGAAACCGTCATGCCCAACACGAGCAGCTCCCAGTCTTCTCTCGCGACCTTTATTAGCAATCCGTTTCTTCAGACCTACACCTTTTTCTATCTGATTCTCCAAAATATCCTCAATTGGGTCTTTGCTCCGAGTCCCCCGCCGTCGAGCCCAATTGTCAATGATTTCCCCAGGAAGAGAGTCGCAGTAATTGGAACTGGTCTGACGGGGGTGTCTGCAGCTGCGCATTGTGTCGGCCATGGCTTCGACGTTCAGTTGTTTGAAGCTAGACCCAAAGATAAGGGTCTAGGCGGTATCTGGAGCGTAAGTCTGTCTTTGCCTTTGCAATTGAGCGCTTACTGATGGTATATAGCGAGTCAATTCGACTTCATCGCTTCAAATTCACAGCATTATGTACCGTTTCCACCCATCGGTGCAATACGATACTGCTTATCCCACCCAAGAAGAGGTCCGCGACCAGATCGTCGATGTATGGAAGCGGTATAAGCTTGAAGATCGTACCGTTTTCGACACCCTAGTCCAGTCCGTCAAACAGACCAGGACCGGTAAATGGATAATCAACAATGACGAAGACCAATGGGGCCAGTTTGACGGTGTCGTCGCCTCTGTTGGAGTCTGCGGTGACCCGAAGATGCCTACTCTGCCCGACCAAAAACACTTTGGAGGCGCGATTTACCATTCATCAGAGCTGGACGGCAAAGACGTCAAGGACAAGAAGGTGCTCATTGTTGGTGGCGGTGCAAGTGCTATTGAGGCCCTGGAGTTTGCTGTTAAGTCTGGCGCTTCTGAGATCGATGTTCTATCACGTTCCGACAAATGGATCATTCCGAGAAACGTTTGGGTTCAGTCTCTTCTGGCAATGAATATTTTCGGCCAAGAGACGTTCTTATCCTGGATCCCGGAAAGCCTCCTGCATAAGTTCTTCTATCGCGACCTCCAAGACATTGCACCCTCTGGTGGTCTTTTTACAGAGACTCCGATGGCAAACAGTGAACTCTTCGATCAAATTCGCGAGGGCAAGGCTCGCTGGCTTCGAGGTGATGTCGTGTCTGTCAAGGAAGATGGTATCTTGTTCAACTTCAGGAGCAAGGGGGTTCCAAAAGGTGGCCCTGGGCGCGAATCCGTGGTCCCAGGCGAAGTTATTATTATGGCAACCGGTTTCAAGCGCCCCTCTCTTTCTTTCCTTCCTGAAGACGCCTTCAAGGATCCGTATGGCCCGCCTAGCTGGTATCTCCAAGTATTCCCTCCGATGTACCCCACAATCTGTGCCAACAATAGTACCTATGTCAACGCAATCGGCACTGTTGGAAATATGCACATTGGCATATATACACGGTTCTTACTCATGTTCCTCGTCGACCCGCTGTCGCGCCCTACTGAAGGGCGCATGAAGACCTGGATTGACTTCACCCGCTTCATGAAGCGCCTCTCTCCTGTCGGCGCCTTCGACTTCTTCACATACACTGAGTTGATATACTGGTTTGTGTTTGTCATTCTTGTCAACCCCTTCCGTTGGAAGTGGGCGCCCTTCGTTTTGTTTGGAATTGGTAGAGCTCTACCAGCCCAGGTGGTGAAGCAGGAAGAAGCATTCCGCAACACTTTGAGGAAACAGCACTCCAATTAAAAAAAAAATTCGAGATTATGAAATCAGAACAATCTCTACTGATTGTCCGCTGAGCTCCAGACAAAGGCGAGTATGTGAAAAAGGCAGTCTGAAAAACCGGCTATGACTATCTCAAAATATAATGAACATTGTATACGAACTATTCTATAGACTGACATGCCCCAATGACATCCCAAACAGTTGTGTTCTCTGCTCTATGTAACCTTAAGTTCCTGAACATGGTTATTCAAAACATCAACAACCCCCTCCCGTGCCCCATTCGCAACCCGATAGTTATAGTTGAAAAACCCCTTCTCCTCCGCCCACATAATCGGCCACAGGGCAAAGACTCCAATGATAGAAAACAAGCTAGCGAATGCATGCCACATCGCAACAAGGAGGCTCCCTCCGAACGGCATAACAAATTTGATAAACTCCTGCGGCTGGTAAAAGTCTTCCTGCTTCTGGATGTAGTACCGTTTGGTACCGTCACCTCTCGCCGCATCCTTCTTTTCCTCACCAGGGTCTGTCGTGAGATCCAGGACGGTCGTCAGTGTTACGGGCGCAGAGTAGAATGGAACGAGCCAGATAGAGAATATTTGGAAGATTGTGACGTAGAGCTTTAGGTTTTCTTTATCGTATGCTATAAGCGGTTTCGTTAGCATCCTTATACTGTCGTTTCTCGCTAATCAGGTAGCCATGGAGGAGACATACCGACAGATCCAACATCCAGCTCTATATGCGGCGACATGATCTTGTACCATTGGTATATCTTCTTCACTCCCCATCGGCTGCCATTGTGACTCCAGATGCGACAGAATGGGTGTACGAATGAGGCATCAGGGGTGAAAAACCGGTCGATTGTTGCTTCTTGGAGAGAAGGTGGTGATTGAGTGAGAAGGTGAATAACAGTTGGAATTTCAGTGACTGTTGACAGCGTTAGTTGAAGGTACTCAGATGAGGTATGACATGTTGTGGAAGCGATTGAAGAAATCGAAGCGATTGATTATACTGACCTGGGTCTTCCATATTGTCGATATGATCTGGTTTTAGAAATTTAGGCGCATTGGAATTTTACTGAGGGCAGGGTGGTGGTTAAATGGAAACGGAGGGGATGATGTCATGGTGGTTGATAAATCCCACGTGAAAGTGAGACCTACCAAGAACCCATGACTCATATCCTTGCTCTTTCGGAGAAAAATATGTATAAATTATTCGATAGTAACAATTGAAATTGTAAGGTTATGGTACTCTGCAATTGTTTAATATCGCGTGGCCGGCGAAAGCCAAAGCGCTCATGCAAAGGGTGGTCTAAAAAACATGTAGCAACCGCAAAAGGAAGTGCTCCGTATATTCAAGCAAGGTAACTGACTCCTAACTCCTGAGACAGCGACAAGCTACCGCTTCCAAGATTCAACCTTCTTCCGTCGCTTCTCGAATATTTGGCCGGCTCCAACACCATCACCGCGCTGGCCGTCCTCGGTGGGCTTGCGCTTTCGACTTTTCTCGAGCGCATTTCCGCTTCCTTTGGCCCTCTTCGTAAGTCTTGAGATACGATCCGCGCCTTCAGTAAGGCCTCTCCATTCTTCGCCTCCGAAAGTACCTTCAGCCCGACGAGATGCGGCCTTCTTGGCTCGCTCCTTCTTGTTGTCGCCTGCCAGCCGAACAAAGTTGGTTTCTTCGTAACGAGTACGCTCGGCCTCGTGCTCTCTCTCTTTCTTGCTCTTTGAATATCTTCCTCCATTAACGATTGTGCTACCAATGCTTGGCTCGGCCATCGGCGCCGACGACATCTCAGCGCTGACGAACTCATCAATAACGTTGGACCTCCGCGTGGGTCGCTCCTTACGTTCCTTTCGCTCAGTCGTAGGCATAGCAGTTGGCATAATCTTCGGTGGTCGGTAAATGCCCTCACTTGTAGCTTTCCGCGCACTCTTGTCAATTTTGGCCTCGGGTTCCACCTTCTTCGAGAATGCCGACACGTTAGGTCGATATGCCATCTCGTCAATATCTTCATCCTCTTCGCTGCCATCCTCTTCGTCGCTGCTGGCGTTTTCTGATGTTGATTCAGCCTCGCTGCCGCTTTCGTCATGGTTTTTAGGTTTGGACTTGGTAGCCTGCGCATCCTTCTCCACCCTTTCTGCTTCTTCGGCCGCCTTGATCACCTTGTCAACCTGGTACTTCAACCTCCCCTCCAGTGGCCGGACACCACGATCCAAATATGTGCGCAATTCGATTAATTTATTGGTGACCTTTTCTTGAATTGATTGGCTCGACTCGGGATCGCCATCTTCTTCTGCCGAAGCACCTTTAGAAGGCAGTTCCCTCAATTGAAGAAGCATTAGAAAAACGAGATTTTGAAGGTATGAAAGCAGTAAATCGCACTTGGTGTCGAGCAGCGAAATTCCATCTTGCGGGGGTAAGATCGAAACTTCCGTAGACGATTCGCGCTTCGTGCTCGGTAGCGACGTTCCAGTGGAGGAAAGAGATGTGGTGAGACTTTCCAATAAATCTGATATATTTTGCAGCTCGGGCTGCTGTGATTGTGAGGCTGCAAGTGCCATTTTTGACTGATATGCCGCGTCTGGAATTTTCCAGAGTCTGAGGTTCGCAAAGAGAAAAAATCTCAACAGCTATCTTATCGGCACGTGAAGACCGGCTCCAGCAAGAATCACGTGATAGGACTTGGCTGCCTTGTTGCCGTTGTGGATGTGTCCGCTAGGCTTCTTAATTACGACGCATTTCTGTTGGCACTGCTCCTGAAATCTTTTCCTTTCCTTGCAAGCTAGTGGCGCCATTCTTAGATCTGTATCCCCAAGAATCCTTGATTATTAGTGGTGCGAAAGCTGTAGACTGTATGTTGACTAAACACGGTCTATCCCTCGACTGACCTAATCTCGAAACGACTGTTCCAAGCTAATCGAGCCTTTTCGTTTTCAGAAGCATCCGCAATGCGGTTCGACAGGCGGACGTCGCCATTAATTAACCTTCTTCTAACCGCTCCCACGCTGTCTGCGGCTTTCTACCTTCCAGGTGTAGCACCCACCTCGTACGATGATGGCCAGTCCGTACCTCTCTACGTGAACCATCTCACCCCCGGGATAGCCCAGCAGGACGAGCAGCTACATTCCGTATTCTCATACGACTATTATCACCCAGCTTTCCAATTTTGTGTTCCAGAAAATGGCCCAAAGGATGTTCGAGAGTCGCTGGGGAGCATCCTGTTCGGAGATAGGATCCAAACCTCACCGTTGGAGTTGAGCATGCGCAAGGATGAGACCTGCAAAGCGGCTTGCCAGGAGGCTACCTTTGATTCCCGAAGCGCCACGTTTACCAACCAGAAGATCGGGCAGGGATACAATATCAACTGGCTGGTGGACGGCCTGCCGGCCGCTCAGCAGAATCTCGGGAATGAGCCTCAGGCTTATAGCCCTGGTTTTGCCCTCGGTGAGCTTGATGAGGCCGAACGGCCTGTCTTGCACAACCACTTTGATATCTTGGTTGACTACCATCCCGTGAACGTTGGAAACAAACAGAAATATCGAGTAATCGGTGTGCTAGTTCAACCAAGTTCCCGCAGCGGCTCGAGGGTCTCCGAGGATGGAACGGCAACGTGCGATGAAGGCGACCTAATTTATTTGGACAACGATGACGAGACGAAGGTTACATGGACTTACAGTGTCAGCTGGCGGGAGTCATCCACCCCGTGGGCAACTCGATGGGACAAGTATTTGAAGGTGCAGTATCCGAAAATTCATTGGTTCTCGCTTGTCAACGCAGCTGTCTTCGTTGTTTTCCTCGTCGGAATGGTCAGTGTGATTCTTGTCCGTGCTCTCAAAAAGGATATTGCTCGGTATAACCGTCTGGATTCGTTTAACCTTGACGATTTGGACGGAACATCCGCCGCTGTCGAGGACGGGATTCAAGAAGATTCGGGCTGGAAGCTGGTTCATGGCGATGTCTTTCGGTGTCCGAAGTCTCCTTTGCTTCTCAGTGTGCTTGTCGGAAATGGAGCTCAACTTTTCATGATGACCGGCGCCACTGTTGGTACGTTATCAATACTATGGCATACTTCTATTGCCTGCTAACTCTTTGCACAGTTTTTGCGATGTTTGGCCTGTTGTCCCCTGCCAACCGAGGTTTCCTTGCAACTGCTATCCTCCTCATCTACACACTCTTTGGATTCATCGGAGGCTACGTTTCATCTAGGGTTTACAAAGCATTCGGTGGTGAAGCCTGGAAGCGTAACATTATTATGACCCCCGTACTGGTCCCAGCGTTCATCTTCAGCATTTTCTTCCTGCTTAACCTATTTGTTTGGGCGAAGGGCTCAAGTGGGGCCGTGCCCTTTGGCACAATGCTTGCGCTCGTATTGATCTGGTTCGTTATCAGCGTGCCCCTAAGCGTTGCCGGTAGTTGGCTTGGATTCAAGCAGCAGGTAAGTGAACGAGCCAATACATGTCATCTAGACAGCCTTCTGACAGCCATATAGATTATTGAAGGCCCTACGAAAACCAACCAAATCCCTCGCCAAATCCCACCCATGAGAGGTAGCTTGAAGACGGTTCCATCGCTGTTCTTGACTGGAATCCTCCCATTCGGCGCCATTTTTGTGGAGCTGTACTTCATCATGACATCTCTCTGGACCAACAAGATCTATTACATGTTTGGATTTTTGTTCTTGTGCTACGGACTGATGATCGTCACTACCGCTGCCACAACAGTCTTGCTGGTATACTTCCTCCTTTGCGCTGAGAACTACAGGTGGCACTGGCGAGCTTTTGCCGGCGCAGGAATGACCGGTGTATATGTATTCCTTAATGCTCTGCTTTTCTGGGCCACCAGGGTTAGTTTCGGTGGTCTCACCGGGGCTGTGCTGTACGTGGGCTACTCAGCATTGATTGGATTTATCGTCTTTATCCTTACCGGTATGTTCTCCGCCCCTCCCCCCTGGACTTTCGGGGTTGGCAATTCGCTGATAATATTGATTAGGTGCGATCGGCTTCTTCGCCAGTTGGCTCTTTGTGCAACGCATTTACGGCTCGATCAAGGTCGACTAATTACTTCTATCGTCGGTGATTGTGCGGTGGCGCGATAGACGCTTGCTTTTGGCTCATCCATATCGGGGTTCTTTAAGCGCTTGTTTTACAGGTTTTTTTTATATTTTTTTTTCTGTTTTCTGTCTTGTAAATGCCATTCCCTGTACATAATGTGGGTGTAAGAATGGCGTTCTGAGTCCAATTGTTTGTTTTGGAAAGACGTTCTGTACAATATGTAGAAGCATTCAGTACCGTCATTACTATCCCTTTTTCAGCCCTAGAGACAGCGTGAAGTAAACGGCTAGGCTGCCGATCATCAGGCCAGCAGGCTTGGACTTGGAGGCTCGAATAGAGTTGACTCAGGTTGTGCCAGCTGGCTGGTGTTGGCGATGCGATCGATGGGGAGCGCGCCAAGCCGCCCGGGGTTCTGGACCTGTTCAGGGAAGCTTCTCGCGGGCAAGTGTACTCGGGCGCCGTCATCTCTCCAACCTCTCTTTTACAGGTCAGATTGACTCTACTACGCCGATTCTTTACTTCGAATCCCTTCATTGTGCCGGCCTGTCAGTTTTGACTTGCAGCCCTCGCTCGCTTTTCGTTTTTGCCCCAGCCCCTCCACATCCAGGCGGCCGGTGCACCGATCTTATCAGTCCGCACTCCCACTCCCTTTACCCCGCGGCTTCCGCATTCCCAACCGACGCCAAACACTATTGTCGCATGACAAAGCGTGAGCCTCAGTTAGTCCGGACCTTGTCTCGACAAAGGATTTGCAACATCGCTGAAACAGCCCTCCCACAGAATTGATTGATCATGGGCAAGTCGTAAGTTTTTGTTACCTCGGGTCAACCGCTCTCTCTTTCCCCTCTCGCGCCCCCCTTCCAGACAAACAAGCTTTTCAGCACTGTGTGGGGAACTCGATGGCATGCACTGCCACGAGACTAGCTGGACCCTTTTGCTGTTGCCTGGACGGTCGTTTGTTATCTACGGGGACTAACGGCCCTGTTACGCCGCCTAGACAGTCAAAGTTATCCCCGACCCAGCTTGAGGAGCTTCAGAAAGCAACGCATTTCGATAAAAAAGAGTTGCAGCAATGGTATAAGGGTACGTGATGTTACGGGTGGACAGCGATGTAGCCGGGGGGTTCGTATATTGACAAGATGGTTGCTGACGACGCGTCGTACTACTAGGCTTTCTGAAGGACTGCCCGTCCGGGCAATTAACAAAGGAGGAGTTCCAGGACATCTACCGAAAATTCTTCCCCTTCGGTGATCCGTCCTCGTTCGCGAATTATGTATTTCGGGTTTTCGATTCAGATAATAGCGGCATGATCGATTTCAAAGAGTTTATCTGCGCACTGTCGGTCACCTCGCGTGGGAGGATGGAGGACAAGCTAGACTGGGCGTTCCAACTCTACGACATTGACGGCGACGGGAAGATCACATATGACGAGATGCTGGCGATTGTCGAAGCGATTTACAAGATGGTATGTGGTATTGGATTCATCCTTCTGCTACCCTCGCACGGAACGCCGCGACTTACTGACCGCAACCTGTAGGTTGGCTCGATGGTGAAGCTCCCCGAGGACGAGGATACACCAGAGAAGCGGGTTCGCAAGATCTTCCGGATGATGGACAAGGACGAGAACGGTAGCCTCGACATGGAAGAGTTTAAAGAGGGGAGCAAGCGCGACGAGACGATTGTCAGTGCGCTGTCGCTGTACGATGGACTGGTATAATTGCTTTTATCAGGTCCGTTCCTTTGCTTCAGGCTGGCGATCTCATGTCTTGTTATTGGCGAAATCGGCGCTCGTATCTATGTTCTTTTCATTTCTTTTATATACTACATTGCCCTTTTTCTTCGACATCATGTTCTCTAGGATTCCCACTACCACTCCCGTTTCGCCACCCAGTCGTTTCAGCCTGATTCTGATTGGTGCATACTACGCATGGTCGGGGTGCCAATTCTATCTCAGATGTATGTATGTAGTCTACGCCTTACCAGTACAAATAGTTTTGCGTGAAGAACCAAAATAAGAGACTTCTGAACCAATGAGAACCTGGGGAAATTATTCTCGATGAGACAAGATGTGATGGCAAGCCAATTATCAATGGACAGAGTTACATGCGGGCTCTGGCAGTTGAGACTGCAACCCAAAAACCGCATGATTCTGCAAGATAGACAAAGAGGTCAGTGCTATCTTTTTTTTTTTTTTTTTTTTTTTTTTTTTTTTTTTTAATGATTCTCTCCCGCTTCTGTGTTTTTTTTTTTTTGAAGCCGTTATTCCTGGATAGTGCAGATCACCGGAGGCAACCGGCAGCATCCGTGAGGAAACCATCCAGGGAATGCTAAGATTCTGCAGACTCTGGCTAGAAGACCGCGTTCCTACCTGCCGGGACACCACACATGGCATCATGGATTGGTTTTTGGAATTCCTGTGAGAGCACGCACCTCAACTAGTCAGGATACTCGACGATCTCGCCCAAATAGTCCGAGGCTGCTGGCTGCTTGCTGCTGTTCGTCCCCGATCGTCGCCTCTGCTCCACCGCTCGCCACTCCTCACCACTCTGACCACACCTGCTGCTTGTTCGATAATATCGTCTTATCTTCCAGCTTCCTCCGCCTGCTAGCTGCCCTCGACTGCTCCTCTCCGCGCACAGCTGCGGGCCTTTCTTCCAGAAAGTGCGCCTCGATGTTGCTGCGCTCGCTCATCGCTGTTCCAGCTGCGCTTCTTCCCTCAATCTGTGACCAGCATGGTTAGAGTGTCGCGCGGCTGTCAAGCCTGCGTTGACGCTCAGCTTCAGGTTAGTCCCGCGTCTCGTCGTGCCGTCAGCCGGTCGTTTTTGTTATTGCCCTTTCGGAAAGAGAGAGGGTGGGTGTGCAGAGAACGCCTCTTGTGCGACTGCTCTCAAGCCTCCCCAGACTGCCCAGACCAGACAGACCCCAGCTCCCCCGCCCTCCCGACCGCAGTGTCGGTGCGAGTATTTGCCTTGGACGTCTTAGCAGCAGCACCTCCTCCACGTTTAGACCTTCCATATCCCTACCATCTGTTTTTAACTTTCGCTATAGTGCAATGGCAGGTCTCCCTGTTCGCGATGTCAGGCTATGAGAATCAATTGTTCGAGCGGCCGCCGAGTCTTCAAGTTCAGAGACGAAGCTCCTGCTCTACGCCAACGCTACCACTCAACACCTTCGCCCTCTCCCTCAAAATCCCCGTCTCCTTCCACATCTCCCGAGTTTATTAATCCGCCACGATCCGGCGAGGTGATTGAACTACCGTCGCGACCCTCCTCACGAGTCTCACGAACGTCCCCGCGGGCCGAATATAAAAAAGTATCGCTCCCCATGGATGAATACGTAAACCCCTCCTTGACAGTCAAGGCAATCGGCACCCAGCAAACTCAGGTTTTCACGAACTATATCCTCGCATCTTTCCCCTGCTTCTTCCGGTGTACAGAAGACCGTGTTCCTGTCAATTGGGTTGAATATGTTGACCAACGTCGGGGGTCCATGAACTCTTGCTTTGACTGGGCAGTCCGTGCATGTACAGCCGCATATGTGGGCTTTCTCCATAACGATTTGCGATATCTTCATGCCTCGCAGAGCTTGTACCATCGTGCCCTTCGCGGTCTTGCCAATCTATTATCAAGTGAAGTAACCGCCAAGTCGGACGAGGCCTTGGCTGCCGCAATTACGTTGGCCATTTTCGAGAAACACAACTGCAGCAGCCCAGACGCATGGCTGCGCCATGCATCTGGTGTCCGGACACTGATGAAACTACGTGGGCCGAAGGCCCATTTGCAGGGGTTTGGCCGAGCCATGTACATTGTCTACCGCAATTTTCTCATCACTGCTGCCTTAGTTGAAGGCGAAGCTTGCTTCTTGGAAGAGCCTGAATGGCGGGCGCTCAATGAAGAAATCGCTGCAGATAACGCGAAACTACCGACTTCATCACTATATACCGACGTGGTGGAGCGGGGATTCCTTGAGGTATTAAAGATTCCCGGACTCGTGAAACGAACACGCGAACTACAGCGTCAAGCACCAAAGGAGAGAGCCGGAACTCAACCAGGTCTCCTCCAGGATGTACAGGCACTTCGGGCCGCCCTTCGAGGCATATACACGGAATTTGGTGTTTCGATGTCGATGCTTCGGTCCGGTCAGGAAGACAACGATACGTTCGTGGGCCCTGTGCCTCATTTCTTCTTCGAAGGCTATTCATCACTTTTCGCCCGCGGTATCCGATTAGCCCTACTAATCCTCAACTATCTGATCGTGATGATGGATCCGAAACAGCGATCAACCATCGATTCTGATAACTTTATGCTCCTTAATGATATGGCCCGCAATCAGCAAATTTCACATCCAACCTTCAAATATAAGCTTCCGCTCACGCCCCCCAAGTCGCCAGGAAAACCAGGTATCGTCGTGCAGTCGTTGATAACCGCAGAAACAAGAGAACCGCCGACGACTGACTGGATGGATCGCATCATTACCACAATGGGCCTTGAGGCTGTTCACGTCTGTCTGGTTGGATAGCTGGACGAAAAGTCTTTATATTTTTCCCACGGTTTACGGATGCTAAAAAGCGGGAGTTAGTTGGGTTGCGCAGCGTTCTGTTACGAATTTTCTTTTTTTCCCTGTTCTTTTTTGACCCCCTCATCCTGATTATTTCCTTTCTTTACCATCCCTGGCCGGTATTTGCTATCTTCGCCGCCAACCTTTCTTTTCTACCTTAGGCGATTCGATATATCGCTCCCCCCCCCCCCTTTCTTTTCTTTTCTTGTACATAGCTTCTTTCCTTCCTTTTTCCATTTCTTGATTTGATACCCATGTACGGAGCGATGACAGTCATTTCGATTATTGTAACTTAATTTGGGTGATTTGTGGGCACGCAAGGAGTCTAGGATTATGAGGACAGATATTTTCCCCATCTTCCCCATTTTTGGTGTATCGGATAAACGCACTTACTTGGTTTTCTCTTTGAGCATTTGACAGTTGGAATATAATTTCAATGCATTCTGACCTCCATTCTTGACGATCATAACAAAACAAAAACAAGTCTACTGTAACTCAACGCCACATTTCGCGTCCGGTTCAGGTCGCGATTGCTTGCTGTCTATTTCTTCATGTACATGGGGTATTTGCAAGGACCAAACCCAACCAGTCTATTTCGATGGACGTAGACACTGGGGACTGTGATCCGAAAATAAATCGAGGAACCCTCGATTGGAAAACATGGGAAGTATGTAGATGTGCATATCGACAAGGGCATGATGAGAGCCCACGTACGAGACGAGGAACGAAACGGAAAGAAATGGGTAAGGTCATTGAAAGAAAGCTAGAGCCAACGCCTCTAGCTCTGGCCGCAATCTAGTACTTAGCACCGAAGACTTGGAAGCATAGGATATCCCACCATTTAAAAGAAGCGCCAATCTGTACTGTACTGTGCATAATAGGGGGCTTGGTCGAAGAAAGAAGGAAATGTTGGCAAAGGGAATAGGAGGAAACAAAAGAAAACCATCATAAGCATTTCCAGGTTGAGAGTCTTGTGATCTCCATCTAAATATCTGCATGAAAAGGGTAAAAGAGACAGCAGAAGAGGAAAATTCGTGGATCATCGTCTATCAAAAAACCAACTTGTGCGCTTCCCTGTATCCTGGGACTGGACGGCTGCGACGGGCTCATTGCCGCCCCCTCCACCACGGAGGGGTTTCGCGATCCTGGAGCCCGTGAAACTGAACCCGCCATTGCTGTCCATACTTGGGAGGCCTTTCGTCGAGCCTTGCTTGGCGGCCTCAAGGCGCTCTTTGACAGCTGTGAGTTGGGCTTCGAAGCTGTTGTGGGAGAAGTAAGTCAGTATGATGTGATAGGCTATGGGTGAGAGTGTACAGGAATGGCACGTACCGATGGTTAGCTTGGGTGAGTTTCTCCTGGCTCTCCTGGAGCAGGGCTTCCAAACTGGCTATCCGCTCATTTCTCGCGATGAGCTTGCGCTCTGCGATCGCGACCTCCTTCTTCAGGCTGCTATTTTGCTCCACGAGCTGCCTTTGGACGTGGGTAAGTTGCTCGAGGTTTCGCTCGAGGAAAGCCATCTTCTTCTGCTGGGCCCGGTTGTTTGATGAGCGAAGCACGTTGTTGTACTGCTCCCGAGCGTCATCAAGCGAAATCTCAAGCTCCACCACGCGTTCACAGCGGTTCTGCAAGTCGCGCATCAAGGACTTCTTCATCGCGTCAAACTCGGCAATTTGCTGCTGCAGGCTCTTGCTCGCAGCGCCGTTGGTCGAGCCTCGTGATTGCGAATCTGCAAGAGAGCTCTGAAGTTTCGTGAGCTCCTCATCCTTGCGGGTCAGTTCCTGCTGCAGCTCTGATGCAGCGGCTAATTCGGCATCCTTCCTGGTTATGTACACCTTTTCTAATCGCTCCTTAAGTTCCACCAGATCTTCCTCCCCTAGGTTCCGGGCCAGCAGACCTTCGTAGTCCTTCTCGAGGTTAGTCAGCTTCTGCTCGAGCTCCACCCTACGGCTGTCCTGCAGCACGTTCAGTTCGCTCCGGTCGTTCATTGTGAGTTCAGCCTGTCGGATAAACCCTTGCGTCTCAAGGAGCCTGGCCCGGAGTTCTAGAATGTCGTCTGGAGCAACGACCTCGCCAGTTTCACTGACTTGGTGCAACGAGTCGACCCGTTGTATAAGGTCTTGCAGCTTGCGCTCGTTATCGGAGAACACTTCTCCGCCAAGATCAAACCCGGCCATCATCTTGGCCATCTTCTCGGCCTTCTTCTTCTCCTTTTCATCAAGAGCTGCAGTAGTTTCCTTTGCCTTCATTCTGACGTCTAGAAGTTGTTGCTTCACTTCATCTAGCTCTGTCGTTAACTCTGAGTTGGCCTCACGTAGGCTGTCCATGGTGATAGCAGCTTCTTTGCTTTCGTAGGACACCTTCTCGAGCTGCATTCGAAGCTCATTGACCTCTGTGTTAAGCTTGTCATTATCCTTCCCTGATCGTGCGGAGTTCTCCTTGAGGCCTCTCAACTCCTCTCTTGCTTCACGCAGGCCCCTTTCAACGTTCGCAATATGGGATTCCTTCTCGGCGATCTGATCCTGTAGTTCGTTCTCGCGCCTGAGGAATTCTTCCCTCTCGTCCTTTTCGAGAATGATGCTAGGTGTGCTGGAGCGTTCACCTAAGCGAGAATCCGGCCGTGGAGTTTCAGATCGAGAGACATCCTGTAGACGGGAGGGAGTACTGGGGCGCGGAGCACGAGCTTCGGCTTTTGCAGCTCCCACAGCCTCGACGCCTCTGCCAGGCGTCCACTTATCCTTGGGAACTGCTTCACCACTTCGCCATACAGTAACTTCGGACTCTAGCGCCGATATGTAGGTTTCAAAGTTTGTCACCTGGCTCTGGGCTTTGCGAAGCAATTGCTTCAGTTCCGCAGGGCTCAATTCAGCATTGACCTTCGCCTTGTTCTTAATTGCCTTCGCCCGAACACCAAATCGGAGTGTTGAGACAGTTTCAGCATCGTTGTAGCTGCTGGGAGAGCAGTTGATAATCAGGGTCGTTCTTGAGTTACCTCCCAAACTTTCCTGTAAGATTCGAGTAAGTTTGGAGTCACGGTACGGAATATGGGACGATTTTCCGTCCGTAAGCGCGTTGATAACCATTCCGAGAGCACTCAAACTCTTGTTGATCTTCTTGGCTTCTTCGAGTGTCTGACCGCTAGCTCCGGTTTTGCCGACCTTTTCACTACCTGCCAAATCAACCAAGAACAGCTGGCCACTCTTCGCAGATCCAGTTTCCAGGTTCTTCTGCGTAACAGTAATAACAAAGATGGAATGTGATCGGGACGACTCCTGGTTCATATTGGTCGCAGCAACCGCCCTTGAGTTTCCACCACGTCGCATAACCTCGTAGACCTCCTGTACACTAGAGACATAAACTTCAAGAAGCCCTTTCACATAAACACCTCTTGACTTCTCCTCGTGCACTGGAAGATTATCGTTCTGTGGCACCAAAAGATCGCGAATACGCTCCATGTAAATCTCCATGTAGCTCACCCGGACGGTGTACTCAATGTTGCTCGGACTTGTAAGGATGCTGGCGAAGATCTGCTCGACAATACGCGGAATGATACCCTTCCCCACTTCATCGTCAATATCCGAGCCCATCATGGTATACGACTTTCCTGCGCCGGTCTGACCGTACGCAAAGACCGTTCCGTTATAGCCGTTCAAGATATCGTCGACGGTAGGCGCAATCGAGAAGTTGAAGACATCGGTTTGCTTCGAATCCATCGGAAACACACGATCGAATGTAAACGACCCGGAGGCCTCCTTTGACTATTCTCAAACTTAGCACCCCGTTCCATCCCAACCTATATTAACATTTTCCCGGAGTATGCGGTAGACTCACGCTGACAGCACATGTTTCCTCGTTTTCGAATTCGACGATGGGAAGTCCTCCGGAACCAAGTTCGACTTTGTTTTGAGGTCGAAATCTTGCAACCACTAAGCGAGAGTCAGATTTGGAAGGTTGTAATTAGTGAGAAGTGTTCAGATAGGAAACACGCACCCTTAATGGTGTTGGAGGGGTTGCTGCTGGACCTGTCATTCCCGGTCTATCAGTTCACATCCAACGATAACGATGCGGTGAAGAAGCGGGCAAAACTCACGCCATATTTCGCACAGCGCCCAAGTTGACAACGGTATAAAGAGGGAATTAGGGACACGCGAGGCCCCGATGGGAGGGGAGTAAACTGGCGATTTCGTTCAGGCCAACGGGAAACGAGGAGACGTGCTTGTTTGGGGATTCAGATTGGTGGGCGGCGTTGTTTGGGTCAGGGGTCCACGTGCCGACCGAACAATACAGAATGCGGGAGTTGCAGGAACGCCTGGAGAGGAGGGGTTTGCAAGAGACAGGAAGCCCGCGTGAGTCTGGCAGGGGGTTGGACTCAGTTCGAAGGGAGGTATCGGGCGGAAGGCCACGAGCGTGGAGAAAAATAGTGGTGTTCAACGGTGTGGTCGAAGAGTCGGCGCGGCATGATTTCGACACCACCGTTTAGAGTCATTCTTGGCACCCCTCCACCCGCCTCACTGACGCAGTATGGACTGCAGAATGCTCTACTACTGCGACATCGAAGCGGTGTGGTTTTACTCCACGCAGAGAAGGAATGCTTCATGCATTAAATATGAACAGAGGGGGAATTCCATGCATTAAGCAATCAACAAAACTATCAAATCATGCAGCTATCCACAAAGACAAGAGAACCTTCATTACCAGGCGCCATAACCCCGCGCTGTGCATATCATTATATACTGGGCTGTCCCCTCGCACCCAGGCGCGACATGGCGGTCGTACCCTGGGAATATCGAATAGTCCCAATTGCTTGCGGCTGAAGGGCCTAAAGAACACACTCCAGTTTCATCGTCAAATTGTCATAGTCTCCACACAGAGACCTTCGATCCCAACCGATTTACTCATCCCAGCTCTTCTCCACGGTCTCACGTACACGCTTGATGTACTCCTTGCGGTTGTCTTTGTAAAGATTCGAGGCTTCCACGTTCGCCGGTGATGATGTATTCGGGTCATTGAGTAGACTATGTGTGTGAACAAAATCGTTAGAACGTATGTTTAATCTGCGACGAACACAACTGAAGCTTACCTCTGAATACTGGTGAGAATCGCCGCCACGTCGTAAGTTGGACTCCAACGGTTTTGTAAGATATCGAGACAGAGCTCTCCTGTACCATAAACGTTCGGGTGGAACATCTGACTGATGAATTTGACGCCTGGGGGCTTGTTTGGATATTGTTCTTCGAAGTGCATGACTAGCCGGAATGTGCCGTCCTCGAACGGAGTATCAGCGGGGCCGATGATAACAGCGTTCCTAGAGATGACAGCGTCAGAAGCCACTGGATATGGTGAAAGCTGTCGGAGCTTACCAGGTCATCACATTATCGGCGACCGGGGAGGCTGAGACGCCTGCTGGAGGATCGGTTTGCATGCGCTGGCAAAGCAGAAGCGGATTAGCCGGGTAAATTAAGCAGTATGGTAATATAATATACAATGTCCAGGATGGCAAGGGAATTTTGAAAGCCTGAAAATTGAAGGAATTGGGCATCATATCAATGTACTTACCTTAAAGTCACGCATAAGACGACGGCGTGCGGAGGTCGACATAGTGGTGGCGGGGTGTCAGGAAGATCCAAGAATGCGGGCGGTATTGTGAGGATGGAAAACTCGCGGCAACAGCAACTAACTGACCTTGCAATGCCAGCAGCAAGTCAAGGTCAAAGTAAAAGAGGCTCACCACAGTGGGGACTCAGGAAGAATGGGAAGAAGATAGAGAGGAGGAGCACGAGGGTTGGTATGAGAGCACGGGAGGGGACCGCTTTTTGGGCCGATATCTCAAGCGCTCATCTAAGAGGCGCTAAAATGTACGGCCCCATTCACTGCTCGCCTTCTACAAGGTTCTCGGCACAAGCGGCGCAACTTTCTGAATGGAGAAACCATGGAGAAACCACCCGGATATGGAGGATTCAGTCATGTGATAGTGCATTCCACTAACCCAAAACAGTGACAACAATATCGCTGGCAGATGCTATCGCAATCACAGCATCATTCCAGTTGTCTGTCCCCTTGGAGGAGGTATAGGTGCTGTAGCTGCTGTTTAAATCTGATATTTGGCGCAGACCCGAGCTGAGGGCCGACTATCTTGTATACTAAAAATGCTCGACCCGCTTGAGCTTCAAGTATTTCCGTCTTCATATAACTGTGTTTCCTGGTCAGAGGATGGGGAAATTGCAGTTGCTGCCGGTGAATATATTTATATTTTGGTGAGTCATGATATATCTACTAGACATCACAGCCACTCAAACTGACACATGCAGACGCCAAAAGTATCCTCAAAAAACAAAGCAAATGGCACTCCTTCCCGTTTCTCCAGTGCAGATTGGCATAGGACCCGTTTCCGTGCCAATATCTTCACTATCAATGAGTGGCCGATTATGTTTCCGCAACCACGGGACAATTTCTCAGTAGGTGCGGAGCAATCTCTGAGCACCGTTGTCGGCGTTGCTTGGTCACCACCGGGACTTGCCCAGTACAGGCGCAGCGTACTAGCAGTCCTGACATCCAACATGGTCCTATCTCTTTATGCACTCTCGGGCACTTCGGGGAAATGGTCGCGAGCTGCAGTAGTCAACCAGGCATTAGAAATTTTCTTTCGCGAGAGCATTGAAAATAACACTCTAACAACTCGCTTCCAAAGCTTCTTCCGCAGGGACGCTGAGGACAAGACCCCAAGAACACGCAAAACCAATATACGTGCATTTTCATGGACACCGCCTCTCAAAGTTCCAACCAAAAACCAGTTGTATCCCGGCCCCGAGAGCCGTTGGGGTATTCCTCTACTCGCAGTTGCGAATGATGACAATGATTTGGTCTTCTTACAGGTTCAACAACCTAAATCCCAGCAAGGCTCCCTAGAGTCACTGGATGTGGATGCCGTATCTAGCATTCATTTGCCAGCCTCACCAGATTACGGCCAAGTCCTTCAGCCTGGCTCAATTCTATCTTCCACTCTCCGGACCCAAGTTCGGATGTCCTCCTTGACTAGTGGTCCGTGGATTTACCAGCCGGGAGGAAGTGGACACAACGCAATATCCGCGACTGTCAATGTGGCTGCTCTACAGGGAACAAAGCTTCGCGTCGCCAAGTTGACAGTTGGTGTCGAATCGCAGCCCTATGATTCAGATGGGCAATCACGCTACAGCTTAACGTTCGATGCCGTAGAAAACAATGCAATGCCTCTTGCGCGCATGGAAGAGTCCCAGTGTACTGGTCCGATACATTGGGCACATAAGGTAAGACACTTAATCTGGGTACTCACGACTCTCTGCCTTCTCTAACATATATTGTAGATTGGATCTGGAAGGATTACTATGACCGTTGGCGCCATGACTGGCCTAGCGCTGTTAGACCTACCGGAGGATGTATACAAAGGGCAAAAGTCAGAGACTAGTGATTCACATGTTTTCTATTACCCATTGCTCGACGATTCTACTACCGATACAATGCTACTGCACCAGGAGAGAATAAGTGGTAAGTCCCCGGCTAAATATCGAATCGATAGCCCCACTGATACTTCAAAGGAATGACGGTTGCTATCGAGCCCGAGTCTGGGACGCCGGTGTTACATTTTGGCTCGGTTGGGGGCTATGCAGCAGTCAAGGCTTTAACTGACACGGAACCGCCGTCTCCGGCACCGTGGAATGGTCAGGTAGAAGACATCAGGGAACGATTCGATATTGACCGGGATCTTGGTGGCCTAGCGATTGCAAGGGTCTGGGGTCTTGCATCAATACACGGGCTAGTTGCAGCTGTTGTAACACTACATCCGGGTGATATGGTTGAGTATCGCACTAACGCAGAAGAACGACTAACAGTGGTGTTTTCCACTGCGAATGGACAGCCAGTAGATCTTGAATCCATCCCTTTCCTTCACGAAAGCCCGACTGGCTCGACTGAATTCCTTCGGGAACGCCGAGACATCGTTTTACAGTACATCCTTGGGGACCACGCTGGCACCAAGAATACGCTATCTCCAAAGGTCCTCTATGCTGCAGCTTGCTGTGCAATTGTGCAGTCGCAAAATTTTGAGTTAGTTTCGAACGCCCAGATGGCTCTCGAGAGACTCGCAGCCACTAGTGGTGTGGATATGACAGGCGAAATTGCGAAATGTTCCGCGCCCGGTAGTACCATTGAGCCAAGATCCACAGACATATTAAATGCACCTAGCGGAGATATTTTCGAGAGATGTGAGATTTGCGATGCCGGCATTATCTGGGACTCGGCTCGAGAGGCCCAGTGTGCTACAGGGCACGTTTTCGGTAGGTCGCTGCAGCGTCTATAAATGGAGTCACCCTCGCTAACGGCACAACCAGTCCGGTGCAGTCTGACTTTCCTGGCAATCCAAGAGCCTGGAATTTCAAAGTTCTGCTCCAAGTGTGAAAATGAATATCTAGACGAGGACCTAGTTGGTCTTGCTGGGAAAAAAGACATCCAGCGGACCTGCAAGAGGTTGTCCGACGTCTTTGATACTTGTGTATATTGTGAAGGGAAATTCCGCTCTTAAACCTTCGACTTTGCTTGGCCGCGAAACCCCATATTTGACTCCTTCCGCACTTGGGCCATCCTGTGGTTATGTTCTCTCAACATTAAGCAAGCCCAAATAGCTTCCCAGCTACCGGATTCCACTCATCGTCCCAGCGATACGAACTGGCCTCCCGTGCACCCGAACGGAGCCTCTCTAGCTGATTCGGGTTCCCGAGGAGATCAATCAGCTGTTCTGCAAGTTCGTCGGATCTTCCAAAGCCTCTTCCATTGACACCCTCGGTAACCAATTCGGGCCACGCCTTGAATTTGCTCCAACCAACAACCGGTAAACCAGACCCAAACATATCAACTACTTTCATTGGCAGATCCACGCCGCTGCTACTTGTGTGCAGACTTACCCCCAACGAGGCGGATGCCAACAGTCGCGCGTAGTCGCTCGTACTCAACCATGCAGTACAAATAGTGACCTTGTTGAGTTTTCCCTCTTTTTGTAGGTTAGATACCCGTTCCATATACATCTCACGTTGGGGCCCTTTTCCGGTTATAATAGCAAGGATCGCGGGTAGGTGTGGGCTAGATGTACTGGACAATTCAGAGTAACGACACAGGGCGTCAAGGAGAAGCGAAAAGTCTTCATCTGGTGTCCATGATGTTGAGCTGACAACGACCTTGGCCTTTCCTTCTTTTATAAGGGTGCGTACGGGTGTTGCTTCGGGTAGAGATAGGAGGAACTCTTGACGCTCTCGCTCGTCTAAGATGGGCTTGAAATGACTTGTCGGTCGATCATGCAATGGCAGAATTGGTGCCTGAAGACCGAATTCCTTCTTCAATATTGATACCATGGCTTTGGTAACACAGAAGTGAGCAGTGGCGGACTTGCAAAACGCAATCTCGTACCACCTGGACACTCTGACCAATGGGTGTTTATCACCAAGTTTCAAGGCCAAAATGGTATACCCGAAGTTATGCCAATCGATAATCAATCTAGTTTGCCGAAGATAACAGGCGAGGGATGCAACCGCTAAAGTTGGAATAGAGGGCGGGTTCTGCAACATGATCCGTTAGACGACGCGGACGAGTGGCCACGGGCGTGAATGACCAACCTGAACCAGAAGCCATTTGACAGGCTTTGTACGGTATGCTAGGATCCACCATACAGAGGCGAGCTGGAAAATCACCTTCAAGGGTGCAACCACGAGGAAAAGAAGCTTGTTGCTCGTTTGTAAACAGGGAGGATGAGGAGGAATGGAGAGCACGGAGATATTGGGATGAGCCGAAATGTCAGGGTGAACTTCCGATTCTACAATATCATGTGTTAGGATTGGTTATGAAAAGAGATGAATGGCATCAATTACCGCAGTATCCAATGATATCCACCTGGCCGCCGCCACGAGCAATGCTCAACGCATGGTATTGCATGCGGGGACTGCGGCCGATATCACCGAGCACCAGGACCTGTGCGGTGGTCTCCGGTTCGGTAGAGGCATCGCCACTCCCACAGCGCTTTGACTCGTATTGTGATGGGAGCGACAGTATAAACAAGGTCACGGCAGTGGAAATATAGAATGCGACTTCGATCACGAGTTCGATCATGGCGAGTGGAGGCCGCAACTTATCGGAGCTGGAAAGGGAGGGTTTTTGGCATCGTATAGTAGCAAGAGGGTCGGCGATCGGCTGTATGTGGGCATACAAGTATCGAACAAGCCTTAACTGAGCAGTGACCTGGGACTTGGAGGAATTGGCCTGGAAGAGTACGAAGTGAATGTGGTCTGAAGGTGACGACGGAGGATGGCCTCGATTTAAGGACACCTGAATTTCCAGGCAGCGTTGCGATAACACGCGCGGCGATCACGTGTGGGCTCGTTATCGCCGAATGGGATCGTGGAGAGGAGCTGCAGCAGTTTGTCCCATTTTATCAATACAGCGCAAAGCGAATTTTGCCTGGTCGCTCATTGTCTCAGACCTGTCGCCCCTTCTAGCGCTATGCCGCTCTATTTTGCACAATTGCTCGGCAGGTTGTTGTTTCAGGCCTCCTCAAGCTCGATCGCCCCCCGTTTCTTGGCCGCGCCGCTCCTCGAACTACCTTAGCATCTGTCCTCCTCGCCTCCTATCCCCCGCCCAGCGGCCCAATTTTCTGAGAAACCGGTGCCAAACGTCTGCGCCAGACTGTATACAATGCTGGCGGGGAACACCATGTCCTCTGCGGAGCCAATTCCCTCTCTTCCGCATGGACATGGTCTTGGCCACTCTCGAGGTCGCGGCCACACCCGCCGCTCGACGCCGCTCTCCCAGTCGATCTCCTACGCCCTACCCGCCGCCCAGCAGCAGCCAGTTACAGATGCGAATGGCTTGAACAATTATACTGAGAACTCAAAGCCGGAGGCACACCATCATTCGCACTCACATGCTTCCATCCACCACGATCATTCGGAGTCCGTCACCCACGCCCACAAGAGCCTCGTGATACAGGCGGAGGCTACCCCAAACCAGTTGTGAGTGTTGCGTTAATACTAGTATACCGTTTTCTGACAATCTTCAGCCATGAGATAGTTGCAGGGCTTATAATTGCGTTACCGTGGATCTCTCTATCGTGGTTCTACGAACACTATGTGCAGTGGACGCGACCAGAACCTACCTCAACCTCGTCCGTTGGAAATCTTGATCGCGTTATCTCACGGACATTTGAATTAACTGCCGCAACGCTGATAGTGTACGGGGGTTGGGCTTTAGCCCGTCTGAACCTGCGGGGCGAGGGTGAATACTCGCTAAAGAAGTTGAGATTGGACCCTTCGACGGGGACCGCAACACTCATCCAAATATGTTCGATTGCATTGCCCATCTATGCTACTCTGCAAGTGGGCGGGTTTCTCGTCACATTCTCTTTGGCAGTTTCTGTGGGCTCTGGACTGCCAACAGTTATTCGCGACCATGCTGCGCCTACCAATGACAAAGGGAGGCAAAGTTTCAAGAAACTATCTGCCGCTCTTGTCCCTACTGTCCTGGTGCTGAGCTTTTTTGGCATGAACACATTATGGAATGGTGCACCGCTTTTGGGATATACAGCCTTGCTTACATCCGCTTTTGTCATCCGACCTCCTTTCCCATCAGCGCCCAAAACAACCCCAGAAAAGGGCAGTGGGCTTGGCATTTCTATCCCCGGCCCTCTCAATGGATCAACACAGAACCTCTCTCGAGCATCCCAGCCATCCCTTGATCCAGCTATGGCTACTCTATCCGGTCTGGTGCTGGGATTTTTGACCCTTCTCAGTACAGGAACTTTCTCTTTCGGTGCTTCTGATATCGTCTACTTATCAGCAGTTGTGGCCTCCATGGTCACAAGCATAACGTATCTAGACCTTACTCATGTATATTCTCCTAGCAAAGTTGGCGTTGCAATCGCCACGGGAGGCGCCACATTACTTTGTTCACCACCTGCTCAGGATGACCTTTATATTGTTTATATTTCTCGAGCCTTACTAGCCACTGCGTCTTTCTTTGCCGCGAGGTTTGACGACAAGCGTTCGAGATCTGATGACCATGCTCACCACCATCACCACCACTCAGCTGCGGAATCCTCACCGGCAACGAAGATTATTCTCCGTTACAGCGAGCCCTATCCACTATTGTACAGCATCCTCAAAGAACGTGATTCTCGCCGCATATTTTACTTTATGACGTATACTCACCTCATCACTCTTGATACATACTTCCCACCATGACTAACGCCTTGCAGGCTAAACTTTGGCTTCATGTTGGTCCAACTATCCTACGGTTTCGCAACTGGCTCCCTCGGGTTACTTAGCGACAGCATACATATGTTCTTTGATTGCCTCGCGCTTGTTGTTGGACTATGTGCCGCTGTTATGAGCAAATGGCCTCCGAGCACTAGGTTCCCTTACGGCTATGGTAAGGTAGATACACTTTCGGGGTTCGCCAACGGAATTTTTCTCATGTAAGAATTATCCCACAATGCTATTTGGATTCGATTACTGAGCCTGTACAGGATTATCAGCGTCGAAATTATATACGAGGCGGTGGAGAGGCTGTCCTCAGGCAGCCAGATGCATCGCCTTGGAGAGCTCCTGGCTGTCAGTGTAGCCGGTCTTCTTGTCAACCTTGTTGGAATTATGGCTTTCGACCACGGGCACGCGCATGGACACGACCATGGGCACGACCATTCTCATGGAAACGAGAACATGCACGGGATTTTCCTCCACATTCTAGCGGATACCCTCGGGTCCGTTGCTGTTGTGATATCAACTGTCCTAGTCCATTACTCTGGCTGGTCAGGGTATGATCCTATTGCATCTTGTATGATTGCGGTTTTGATTTTTGCCTCGGCTATCCCATTGGTCAGTAGCACAGCCAAGAGCTTATTGCTCACTCTGCCGGCTGATGTGGAATACAATGTTCGTGACACCCTGTCTGGCGTCAGTACCATAAGAGGCGTTGTCAGCTACACCGTCCCCAAATTTTGGTTGGATGATTCAGAAGCAAAATCTTCGGGCCATGATCACGGCCACAGTCATGGCCACTCTCACAGCCATAGCCATCAACATGACCACCATCATGGTCACTCTCATGCTCACGCCCACAATCACGACCACGATCACGACCACGATCACGACCATGACCACGACCATGACCACGACCACGCCAAAGCCAAAAGCAATTCACCAGTCCTCGGCGTGATTCATGTCATAGCGTCCAGCTCGGCAGATCTGGAGGATGTCAGGCAACGTACGGTTGAATTCCTGCAGGAAAAGGGGATGGATATCCTTGTGCAGGTTGAACGTGAAGGCGAGGGACGATGTTGGTGCGGCGGAGGAGTCAACGGAAACGGGGCAGGCAATCTCAAGGCTTCCTGATCCTACGGCTCTCTTCCTCACATGCCCAACTTAACGGCCACCATTATGCCTTCTTGAGTGATTACGGTTAGATGTCATTGTAGTTAGCTTTTACGTGTTCCGCTACTGTAACTTTTTCACAATACATAGAACCAAAAATTTGGTTGCAACTCTTTCTTGCCAGTAGCAACATTTCTAGGAGAATCGGTTCCTTCGGAAATATATGGGGGAGGAAAAAAGCCGGAGGGCACATGGTCAATTTGAAGGCTTGTGCTACCTTTTTTTCTTAATTAAATAGTCGCGATTGTTTTTGAGTGAAATTTTTTGTTTATTACGCATAATGGTAGAACTCATCGAGGACTAAATAATATTCTGCCGGTGTGGTTGCAGAAAGAGGGAGTTTCGTGGGTATATATATATATACATATAATCTGTGGGAACCGAGGCCCACGGATGTAGAATGTTATTCCTTTAGGTAGTATTATCACCATTCCCCCTTACATTTACGCATAAAAACCAAAACCACCCTGGTTTCAATGGGATATTCCCCGAAAGGTGGCTGGACGAGCCAACGCTTTGTCCCCTCGAGTTGGATTTTAGACTATACCAATAGGAAGAACGACCACTGGAAGTAGAGTGATGCCCTTGAAGAAAGGGCGCCTATCACCGGTATATAAGATGCATAGATGCGTGTATAATCAGGGTAATCAGTGAGATGCTCTAGATGGGATATAATATAGGCCTACACTAGCTGAGCATGCGACCAAACGGGGTATCGAGTAGACCGACTTCATGAGTTGGATAAATGAGGTCGTACAACAAGACTGAACCTCGGCGGCACATGGGTTGCCTATGAATTCTATATACAGGGAGCGTGTTGTTGGTTGCCGTCGCTCGCCAGCAATTTTTTGTTCTCCATATTGGTGGCTGCGGTTAGGATCGCTGTTGCGCTTGATTCTATATACAAATGGCTCTTCCGATGGCTTCGCAAGAGAATGAGGTCAGGAAGAAAGGCTACGCAACGTTCTTTGAAGGCCACACCGTGTTCCTAACTGGGAGCACAGGGTCCCTAGGAGGATGTCTGCTGTTTAAGCTGACGTTGCAGCTGCCGACACGGAAGATCTTTGTTCTTGTGCGAAAGTCATCGGAGCTGGCGGTGAAGAAGTGGAGGAAGAACATGCCTGCCCAGACTCAGGCATTGCTTGCCTCTGGGAAAATTCATTTTGTTATCGGTGACATAACGAAGCCAGACCTGGGGGTGGATATTCCGAGCCTCAAACCATTGCGAGACGAGGTGACCCTTGTTATCCATACCGCAGCCAAAATCTCCCTCGACTCCAATATCATGGATGCTCTCGAAAACAACTGTTTCCCATCTCTAGAGCTGGCGCGGCTTGCTTCGTCGTTCAAGAGGCTCAAGCTTTTTGTCCAGTTGTCCACAGCGTACGCCAATAGTTTCCTTGCAGATGGATATGTTGGAGAGCGCATATATTCGCATTCTGACATAGACTGTGATGATGAGATCGCATCCATACAATCCTCAGGCCAGTCCGCTCATACATCTCGGTTCTCAGCCACGTATACTTATTCTAAGCACCTCATGGAGCGCTTGATGTTGAAACACTATCCAACGCTTCCTCTTCTTTTCGTCCGCCCGACCATTTTCGCACCCGCTCTCCGTCATCCATACCCACTATATGGTCCTGATGGCTCGCATCCTCTTAACAACTTCGCCGACCTTTTTCTTTCAGACCGGCGAGGAAAGCAGACGTGGCATGCGGCTGAGGGATACGAAAGTGGTGCGAATATTTTGGACGAGATCCCCGTCGACTTTGTTGCCAACGCTTGTCTACTACACGCAGCAGCAAAGACACGTGGAATTGTACAGGTTGGATCGCAGTTGTACGTGCAGCGAACGTTTGATGATTTCTTGAATATCGTGCGAGATCATGTTCCAGCGGAGATCCGAGAGCAGTTGCCAGAGGTCACATTCGTGCAAGACAGAAGTATCCCGCAAGTATTTCTTGCAGAATTGGTGAAGGTTGCAAGCCGGAACTGGATTTTTGACTGCGGAAGATCGTTCTGGCTGAAGCAAATGGGTGGTCCTTTAAGTTTGGCAGCGTGTGAATATGACGCGAATCGTTTGAATACCGCGCGGATCGAAGACATCTTCAAGAAAAACATGACAAAGATGGCAAAACTTTAGTAGCCGTTATACTTATAAGTAAATATGGCTTTCATCCTTGTTGGTTAGCTGCTGCGCTTTGGTGGTTCTCACTCTACTTAGCACATAATCAGTACTGCACTTAAATGAATCACATCTATCCATATACATACCCGAGGAAGATAGAAGCCGAAGTTTCCATACCTGAGCGGCGAGCAGCATGTATTCCAATACGGCAGTGCAGAACACCTCGCTCTCAAGCACAGTGTGTATCCTGGTCTGCTGTGGTGCTGGCTTACTCAATGTGGCGTTTTCATGCCACTGCCATTGGAATGGGCCAAAGGGCCCTGAAGGCCAATTCGTTGCTTCGGCCACAATATTATGTCTTCCCAATCTGGTCGGCAAGGTTTTAGTTGAGCCAATAACTCCAGTACGAGGGATGAGCCTGAATTGTGGGCCCACCATAGTCTACCATGAAGTTCATGAAGGAGTACGCCCCAGTACATAAGAATGAGCAAAGCAAGTGGATCGCGACACCTCAATGCGGAGATAAATTCTTTATCCGCCGTAGCAAGCCAGGCAAGTATGGACGCAATATCCCTGGAGTTGGCATACCTTGTGAAACACTGGGTGAGGAGTCTTATCGCTTCTCGGAACATCTCACGCTGGTCTGCATTAGCTATGTGATCGGTCAAATAGGACAGATTCCTCAATGCTGCGTTAGTTTCAAGATCTAGGCCCATATCAGACCGATCCCAGAAGTCGCCTCCTCCTGTAAAGGGCTTCATCTTCAACCATCCACGACAAATTTTGAGGATCTTGCTTACGCCCTGAAGTAGTTCAGTAGCAAGAACTATCTTCTCGCACGCACCGTTGCTCTCATCTTTCTCAGTAGTCAGCTGCGGAAGGGCTATGCTAATGATCGTAGTCACGATCGAGTGAGCAAAAACTGCATCGCAATTATCCGGAGTTATTTTGTCTATGGCGTGGCGGAAGGGCGTGAGCGTCTGGTTGTGGTATTCGAGAGCCGTATTGATATACGTTAGTGCTGCCGAGGGATCCATTGAGGATGCTATATGCAAAGAGGCAGTCGCTAAGATGCCTTTCATCAAAAATTCATGATGGAGGGCCTTTTGTGGAACCGCAATCTGCCAGGTGTAAAAGTCGGCTGAAGAGTTACAGAAGCTCTGAAAGGTTTCGGTGGAAAACTTGTGCATCAACTCTAACTTGCGCAACTCCGCGGCGTTTGAGCAATCTCCGGGCGAGGCGCTTGGAGCTTGCCGATATGTATCGGCTACAAATAGAGTGGGATTATAGCCATATCCTGGGGGCGGGCTTATGGATGTACTGATAGATAGGTTGCGAGATACCGGAGGGTTCGCGTAGGAGCATTCTAGCTCTCTGGACGCGCAATTGGAGCATGGCGGTCCCTGTTCATCACACTAGAGCTGTTAGGTAATGGGAGCAAAGGCTATGCTATATGGATAGCGAGATACTTAGAGCAGAAGGAGATCCCATCTTACCTTGACGCGTCGCTTTTTGCACTGGCCGCAACCGTTGCGGGATTTTGTATGTGATCTCCGGGGTGGCATATCGGAAATACATGTACCGTATCCGCATCCCAAGAAGCACCTGACAAGTACAACCACAGTTCCCGGCAGCCGGCTGATTGATGCAAGAATGCTTTGGGGGAACTTGAAGCTGACGGAGACAACAACCGAAACTCTACGTGGGTCCACGTGCCTATCTCTTATCTGCACGTGGTCTGAATCCCAGGCGCGCAGGGACTTCGGAACGTCGGGAGACCCACCATCCTCTACAGGAAACCAGGCAGGCTTCCTCCGGATCGCTGCGGTCAATGATATTTATTTTTGAATCATCTTTCATTAGCAACATCATTATTCAACGACCCTGGTTGGAAGTAATGCGGAAACTGAGCTATACATGATCTAGCTAATGGGCCCGACTCATAACCGAATGCCGACCGACAACTCTATTTCAGCATCGACGGCCGTGATTCATGAAAATCGATGACTCTTTCGGAGAAAACAATGGCGGAGAAAGCCGCCGTTAACAAGGCCGAATGCCGATTGGATGCTGCCTGCTCAATATGTTTCTCTTTGAAGAACCGATGAAAGATGGGAAAGGATGACGAATCAAATATGAACCCGAAGATGCCCTGGACATGAGGTGAACATTTAACGTGGTCAATGGCTGACTGTGCTAAGCGAAGGCTGCAAAGTATCCAACAGGAAGCATGGCCAAGAAGACTGGGCGGTCTTCCCCTTTCCCGTTGGCCGGCCGCGCTTTTTGGGGCCGGGGATAAGAATCTGATATTGGATCAGTGGGGCATTTGCGAGAGCGAGAACGAAAGCGAGAGCGAACACGACAGATATGGCCAATCACGTATATCATTCGGAAGATTTTGTATGGATTCTAACCGATGCGGATCCACCAAAGGATGGCAGCGCCTCAATCGCGAAATCGCGATGAACGGGGGGTGAAAGGACCCTACCTTCATTTAATAACTACCAGGCTGACCTTAGTAATTCCTGGCCTGAAATCTGCAAACTGTCTACGGTGCAGCTCCCGACATCAAGATACTCTTTTTTGTTCCTCTGATGCCGGCGTCAGCGCTTTAATTTGTCCTTCGTTCTCTCTCTTGCGCGCTTTTCCTTTTCTTATTTGAACCAGTCGACTTCCTCCCGTCGTACTATATCGACCGATCGCTTGCCCTCCATGGCCAACAACGGCACAGTAATCCCTCCGCCCACCTACGACACCTGTTTCGAACCTGGTCCGTTCTGTCCTGTCGAGGCGACTACATACGGATATTATCCCAACTTCGGCGGAAATGTCTTTTTCGCGGTCTGGTTTGGTCTTCTCGGCGTCCTTCAACTTGGAATTGGTGTTTACTACCGATCATGGACGATGATGGTTGCCCTGGCTGTTGGCGGGCTTATGGAACTAGCAGGCTACATAGGGCGGGTACTAATGAGCAATAACCCTTGGAACTCAGACGCATTCAAGCTCCAGATCGTCTGCCTCATTCTCGCCCCGACTTTTGTCGCCGCCGGTGTCTACCTTACCCTGAAACACATCATCCTCGCACTCGGACCTGAACATTCGCGCCTGAATCCCAGGCTGTTCACCTGGATTTTCATCAGTTGCGACGTCGGATCGCTTGTCCTGCAAGCAGTTGGTGGCGGTGTCGCCGCAGCTGCAGGGAACGACCAGAAACTGCTGGAGGTTGGCGACGACATTATCATCGCCGGCATTGCGTTTCAAGTCGCCACGATGGCCGTATGCGGACTTCTCGCCGCCGAGTTCTTCTGGCGGATCAAGCGCAGCGGCAGTGGAGCTTTCAGCGAGAAATCCGTCGGCCGGAGAAGCATCCACCTTATCCTCTTCGCGGAGATTTTCGCCTACACCACCGTGTTGATTCGGTGTATCTATCGACTACCTGAAATGGCTGGCGGCTGGGGTAACCCGCTGATGCAAAAGGAAGACGAGTTCTTGGTGCTCGACGGAATGTAAGTTTGTCCCAAGATGAAACTGTCACGGCTGGTCAAAGTAGACGCTAATCCGCCTGCAGGATGATTGCTATCGCTATCTTGTTACTTACTGTCTTCCACCCGGGCTTCTTCCTTCCCACGTTGAGGAAGGGGGTCAAGGCTCAACCATGAGTACTTATCATGACAAAATAATTAGAAGTACATTACGCATACCTATTTATGTTAGACTTGCATGAAAGCATACCGTTTCTGTGGAACATGCACTCCGCGCCGATGGGCTTGGTGCGTGTCTTGACCTCCTCCAAGACCCCATGCATGTTGCACCAATCCCGCAGTCCGCATTTCCTCAACTAATTAACTGATAGACGATCCATAATTGAATATATTCTTCATTGACCATTAACCCAGAACTCGATGCTAAATATATACCTAGGCAAGCTGTGCTAAGATGATATGCAGCGCAAAACGAAGAACAAGAAATAAAACCATTCCACCATGATATGATGCCCAAAAGGACCAACCAAGGACGTATGATAATTCCAAAAGAGGCCAAAACAACCCGATAGGTAAAGGACCGGGTTGACTTGAATCGTCTATACTGAAAGTGGAGTCCAGGAACGGTGAAGGAGAAACAAGTAGGTAAGTAAATAAAAAGGGCCATCAACTCGAAGAACTCCCAACACCTGTGCGTTGTATGACCCCAGAAAAACAGATCGAGATTCCGGATAGAGAGAAGAAACAAAGAAAAAAAGGTGGACGTATTTAAGGCGACATTAATCCGTAGAAAAGTTACTCCTCCCCAAGGCTCTCGCGGACGCACTTGCGGACACGCTTCTTGAACTCCTTGGGGTCGTCTCTCCACAGACGGGCAGCCTCGACGTTGGCAGCACTCTCGTCGTTCGGGCTAGAGAGCATTGAAATGACGGACAGGAGGATAGTCTCGGGCGTTTGGACGGGTGACCAGCGCTCTGCGGCAGATTCGTAGCCGTATTTGTCTTCCTCGGGAGGGTGGAGGATTGAGATGCAGACTTCGCCATTGGGGTAGACTAGGAAGTGCATCGTAAGTATTTGAATGGATTCTGTAGATCGGAACCTAGGGTACATAGGAGGAAGACGCACTGTTAGGGTGGAATAGAGGTGGCTCGAACTTCATTTTCGGTGGCATGTGAGGATACTCAGAGGGGAAGGAGAGCCGAGCACGAAAAAAACCGCCTTATAAAGAGGAAATAGTTAGTAAACGTCGAGATCGATCGATAGGCTTGTAGAGACCAGGGCACTAGGGGAGGGCACATGAGAGACTGAACTCACCGCCATAGAGCTTGACATCGTCAGAGATCATGAGCATGACCTCCCACTCAAACACATTGCTATCCACGAGACCGCAACTAATCCCTGGTAGATCCTTATCCGATTGCATGTATTGAAGCTGGCGAGACAGCATGCGGCCAGCTGGTGTGGTGGCCATGGTGGGGGCGGGGTGGTGTGGGACGGATGGAAGAGAGGAAGAGCAATGACGAGAGTGAGAGGAATATAGTTGACGCAGAGCAAGAAGCAGAGCGACAGGAAGTGATGAAGAGTAAGGACGGCACGATAATGGAGAAAGAAAGCCCGGAATAGCCTCCAGCAGACCAGGAGAGGGTCACGGAGAGGCTGTCAGTTGATGGTGAAATAATCACAGAGAAAGGCGGTGTGGTGCAGCAGGCACTCTGGTTGGCGGAGGGCAGCGGGGTTCTCCCAGTCTCCCCTCATCGGCGCGCAGTACAGTCAGCACTGTGGACTGAGCCGAGCGCTGCCCTTCTGATTGTCTTCCCTGTTCCCGCCCCAAGGGTCCCTGGCCATGACCCTGCTCTAGGGACACAGGGCTAATTCTGGCATGGTTTTTAATCTTCTGCAAGTTTATCCTTCGCTAGGAAAAGTAACATATTATTTGGTTATGCGTTCAACTGAGATTCTCATTCTTGTTATATAAGATAATTAAAGCATGCAGATACTTGACAGATGTACACTGGGTAAAGGTATGGTGCTTGCAGTCAACCTCAAAACTGACATCCAACACTGTCGTGCCAATGGCTCAAATTCGGGGACAGACTCGTTCGTAGTCTAGGACTTGTCGCTGCCCTCCTTTCGAATGTGAACAACAGACTGGGCAACGATCAAGACCGAGAACAGGAGGATAGCGGCGGCTTGCATAAGCCAGGCCTTCACAGTGGCCTTGATGTAACGCCTCCAGCCATCACGGTCAAAGGTGTTCCATGCGTCAGCGATGCTCAGTACGCCACCACCAGTGATAGCCGGAGCGACCTTTCCGCCGAAGCTGCGGTCAAACGGAACGATAGACTCATCGTCTTCGGGCAGGGTAGAGGCTGCCACACGAGTGAAAATAACCTCAGCAGGAACCGAGACGAGGAAACCAACTAAGGAAGCGACAGCGTATATTATAAAGTCTGACTGGCGAACACCCTTGGTGAAGTCAACGGATGTGTCATTCGGGGTTCCGGCGATTAGGTGGCCGACGAAGATAATAGTAGCAGCAACAACAGAACTGCCAACGTACATCAAAGCGAACGCAGGGAAGACTTTGGGCAGAGAGCGGAAGCTTGGAATGCGTCTGTAAAAGCGCTTGGAAGAGGGCTCAGATATCACGATGTGCACCCATGCGACTTGGATATTGGCTACCACAACAGCGGTGATAAGCTTAACAACAAGTAGCCAAGCGATCGAATTCTGCACCCGGCTGGAAGCGACTATTTCAACGAAGCCGCCAAGCATAGCCATGCTGAACCCACGGAAAATAGCGAGACGGCCACCGCGAGCGCGAAGATGGCGGACAGTTGTGCGCAGCTTGCTGGTGATGGGCTTAGCGGCGGGTGCTTCGACGCCCATGTCTTGGACGGCTGGGTCTCCAGGCTGCTTGTTGGCAGGGTCGTCATTGACGCGGAGAAGCAAATCCGAGTCAGAGTCCTCGACGATAGCGAGAGTTGGAACTAGTGTCCCATAGGTGTAATTGATCTGTATGACAACTGATCAGCCAACCAGCCGGGCTGGTTTAAGCAATAGGGCAGGGGGTCATAACTTACAACGAAGATAGCGAAAGCAAATACTACAACCGAAAGGATAAAGAGCACAATGCCCCAGGGGGAGTCTGGCAACGATGGCTCGATGACGCCGCTCTGGACGAAGGCCTCATCAGCCCGGCGCACCAGATGTGAGATCGCCATGATGAAGAACTTAGCAGCTGGTTCACCCCCGAACAAGGATGAGATGGAATCTGATGAGAAAACGCAAAGGAAAGACAGGAGTTGGATGAAAAGGAAGAAACAAGAGGCACAAGCAATGTTCTTAACTGAGGATCCGTGGGGGCGAGTTATGGGAAATGGCCAGTGAACCCAGGCAGAAGCCCCCGGAGGCTGAGCAGCCTAGGCTATCCCCAGACCAGGTAGCGCGGCGCTTACACCAGCCAATGGCAGCACGCCGTAGTGTTGGTGTTTCAAGAGGCTGATTTCGACGGAGCACACCGGCTCGCCCAGTCTCCGGCCAGGTTATAATTGATATTCAATAAACCGGAAGTATAGGATAAATTGTTATATTAATCTTGTCTTGGATCCATGTTTATCGAAGAGTTGGTTCCTGGCGGCACAGCAACTGGCCCAAGTGACGCAATGTCCCAAAATGGATAGGCGCCTTGGCACCGTCTCAGAGAACAAAGAGCAGTGGACCACAATCCATTGGGTCTGCTCTCTCAAACAACCTATAGGGTGTAGTACCAGTTATCCATCCCTTCCATCTGCTCTCCTGTCTCTCGCGCCCTCTTGTTCTTCTTCCAGAAATACATGTCCATCATTGCCGTCATCACGACGCTGACCATCGTTACTCCAAACGTCACCCAGATCCCCGTCGTGTAGTATGGACTCTCATCCGACTTGAAAGTCACGCTCGCAATGATCCCACCAACCCCTCCGCCAATTAAACAAGTCGCGGATGCCACAGCGCGTTTTGAGTGTGAGGTGATGTTGTTTGCCTGGTACGCAAGTACCCCTGGGATGCAGAACTGCAGGAATCCCACGCCTGATGAGGTTTGGTTAGTAGGAAACCGGAGCAACTTCGGCTACGCCAACTTACCCAGGAAAACCCCAAAATATCGCGCCGCGTTTGATTTGGCATACGCTGTGACCAGCATACCAGCCGCTGTAAGCACTTGATGTACAGCAATCACAGGGCCTCGGATCTGATATCGATCCGTCAGCCAGCCCGAGATGTAGGTGACGGCGGCCGCAAGGATATACGGTGGGGCACTGAGAAGCTGGCTCTCCGTCCCTGTGAATCCCATTCCAGTTAGGATAATTGTCTTGAAGTAGCTGTATGCATATCCAGGGAGCGTTGACGCCATAAGGTTAAACGCCCAGAAATAGAGCTTCCAGTCCTTGAGATGGTGCAGTATCTTTGCCGCAGTCAATGGATCCTCTTCTGCATCTCCACGGTCATAGTTGATCCGATCGATAACAAACTGCTTCTCTTCGGGCGACAAGAAGCCGTCTGCTTTGGTTGGAAAATCAATGATAATGAACCATCCAATAGCACACACTCCGACTGTGATTGCGCCCTCGACAATAAAGATCCCTACATGCTCGCGAGTTAGCCGTTGGTCTCAGTTTTGGAAAGTAGCGCCGCATACATCTCCATCCATTGAGACCATGAGTCCCCTTCAACAGGGTCAATGCATAAGCAAAGATGGCCGCAAAGGCGTTCAAAACCACCGACATCAACCAGAATGTCGCCAGTCTTTTGCCAACCTCGAACCGTTTATACCAGCAGGTAATCAAGTAGGTGCACCCTGATCCTGTTAGTCCAGCTGTAACAGATGGGTTTCTATTGGTTTTCTCTACCTGGCATAAATCCAGCCTCCATGGTCCCTATCACCAATTGCATTAGCAGCCAAGAAGTCGCCAGTGATGGGAGTCTTACCAAGGAGAGCTCGACAAACTGTCATTGTTTTCCAGTTATACGTGAACCCCATTCCGATCAGTATCGCCCCGAAACCTATGCCGAGAAAAGCAAGCCAATTAGCCGCCCCGGCTTTGGGGAGAATAAGATTCTAGGGTATCCCAATGAGCTTGGCCGTTTGTGGTAAGGGATACGGCAGACCAACACTAGGAATTTCAAATACGCTATCGTATTCCTGGTTAGAACGTGGGGTTTGTATGCCATAGATCAACGGGGTCTTACATGTATGCCACAAAAAACACCATCACCATAATGGTATACCGTGCACCAATATCAAGCCCAAGGTCTTCCTCCATGCCCGCCACAAAGGCAAGACCGAGGTTGGTACGATCGATCAGGGATATCGAGTACATTATTCCTAGGACGGGTAGAAGGCGCCAGTCAATTCGTCGCCTACAGATCAATGGGATATCAGTGTGAATCTCGTGGAACAGGTCGACGCGCATCGTACATTACTTTCTTCTGATGGGCCTCATCAATGCCAAATACAGGACGCTCATCATTTTTCCCGTCTTCCAGGCGAATTGACTCCAGGTGCTGCACAGGCGAAGGTTTTTCCTCCATGCTGCGGTCGGATGTTTCTGTCATGTTGTGATGTGTGAGTCAGGTATCAGGAGACACTGAATCCCCAAAACAAAGGCATCAAAAGCGGGACTACAAGAACTTATAGCCACGACTCATGCATATATCCTTTGACCGAAGAAGCCTTCTTCATTGAATCATTCTACTTGTCATTTGGGTAAGCTTAACCGAGTTTAACCTAGGACGTTGGCTCATCGTGTCCAAAATATCGCCAGATAGTTGCATAATCCAGTAATCACTGCCAGTCACATCAGAGAACCTGGGGAAATGGATACCCTACCCCGCAATATTGACATGATGCCAAGGGCCAAGAGTGGCGGAGAAAGTCTAGATACTATCTCCACCATTTCCCCAAACTGGAGTCCCACCAGATCTCAGACAAGACCATTGCACGACCTGCCGTTCTCTTCGACAAGGAGACCCTTTCACGTTGATCTTCTATATAGACGCAGGGCAATTATGTCTCTCACGCCTGGATAATTTTCCCATGAGCTGTGATGGCCTCAACGCCAGTCATCATTAGCTGGATGGCATGATGTCTCCATATAGGATGTCTTTACCCTCGTCCTCTTGGCGCAGCGCGGAGAATTCATGAAGTAGCTTGGCATCGTGTCATTCCACCATTCAGCATGAGGAGAAGGGCGCTTATCTCTGCTCATTGCCGGGTTGACTGCCGTTTTCGAAACTGCCGTCCCTTGGCAGGACTTTTGCGGGTTTGATCACCCCCCCATGTGGGCGACGTGGATGTTCACTGCTCAGAATATGTCAAGACTTGAATGTCAAAGCTTATGCCTTGCCTTTCCAGGGAGATAGGCTAATATGGCCAGGGGTTTAAGAGTTAGGACCGTCGAGACATGAGTCTGCCCTCGAGGATGTCTTGTTTCCCCTCGGGTTGACTTTGCCTAGGATATGTACTGTGTCTCACTAGCACGCTGTAATTCCCTTTGGCCCGATGTTACGAGTCAAGAGCCACCATCCATTGCAAAGTGCTCTTAATCAGCCTCCATTGGTTCGAATCCGGCATTGTCGTGGTTTGCTTTACCGCTCCATCCCACTCGAGTTGCGCCGCTTCCCTCTAATCACGCTGCCCTACACAAGGCCTGGGGAGTAAACAGCCGGCTCATTATGGCCCAACCTTCAAATACCTGGGACGACGTTCATTCTTCAAAATTAAGTGCATATTGCGAATTAGCTATATTCTCATGATACATTGTCAAGCCGAACTCAACCTATACAAGTGCCTTTCTTTTCTAATTCGGTCCCTCAGTATACGAATTCGAATACTCTACGCGCTCATCATATTCGCTCGGCTCCAACCTCTTCAAAAACCCACCGTCAATCAACGCCATAACACTCGAGGACGCAACAAACTGTGTCCCCATGCCTGGCTGCTCAAACCACGGCGCAATCGGGCCCAGCCCAACCACAAACTCCTTCGTCACCTGATAAACATGATAATTGAACGGGTACTCCCCGTCATACGTAACCAAGTTACTGGGCGGCAGCGACCTCTCTATATACGGCGCCCCCAAGGGTGCGAGGAATGTGCCGTATTCGGACCCGAAGCGGTCCAGCTTCTGGCCTACAGGCAGGGAGACGTTTCCGATGATGGTGACGTTCTCGTTGTCAACGACGAAGCCGGTGGCGGGCGGGTATATGTATGTCCCATCGGGCTGTGCGGATGTAGCCCATTTCTCGAGGAACTCGGCAGGGCAGAGCGAGCCGAAGCGCGTATATGTCCGCAGTTCGGTCCGGAGGGGGAATTTGGTTGGGTATTTGACTGGGCCGAGCCGGGAGTCGCCGCAGACGTAGGTCTCGTTTGTGGATGTGATGCCCTTGCAGGGCTCTGGGAAGCAGTGTTTAGGGAATAAGGACTGGTTTCAAGGGCGAGTTAGTCAGTCTGGTTGGGCTGTGTGGGGTGTCAATTGCATAGTGGAGATGGTGTTACCTCGCCCTGATCCTGCGCGAAAACAGTTGGCGCGACGGCGCCGAGTGCCAGCAGGAGTTTGTTGAAATGCATGGTTGGTCCCAGGTAAGTTATGTATGACCAGAGGGCTGAAGGGGAATTCAATACTCAACAGGGAAAAGAACTAACAGCGAGAAGGTTCCTCTTATAACCATGGCCAGCGCATTCTGCAGCTTGGGCACGCTTGTTTTCCTTCGGTCGGCCACTATTGGGAACTAGGAATTCATGCTTTGTACAGCATGCAGGGTGGGTCTCCCTCAAGCCCCTGGCGCGTCGATGAAGGATGTGGCCGCCACTAGCTGAGGGATTGGCGGGCTCCTCATTCCAATTTCCGGGGTTGCTTTGGCCGTGCAAGGGTCGGCTCGCGAGACAGCTACCTTGCTTCCTGAGAATTATGGATGAAAAATGTGGAACGAGGGAGAAAAGGAGTACCGACAGCGAGAATGGCAGCGGGCCCGAGCTCCGATCCCGATGAACTGGGAATCTCACGGATCATCACTCATCACGACGCTAATCGAAAAGACACGGAGATGTTGGCGATGCAAATCTCACCCGCCAATCTCCTCCTCCAATTGCAGCAGGATCGATGGCCGATTTATCAAAGTTCTCTGCATGCAGGACTTGGCGGGCTGTTATTGGACAGGCCAGCCGAAGAATTTCAAAACAGTCACGATCGAGCAATGCATCCCTCAGCTGAAGGGCCAGCCCAGTCTCATCGCGAGGGGCTCAATTATTACCAAGCGCTTGGTCGGATTGCTGCGCAGCCATGTGCATAAATGCTTGAGGCGGACGGTGCACGAGCCCTCAAGACCCCATTGAGAATGCACACCCACAGAGTATCTTTCCCAGTTCAGGGCAGCCACGGCTTTACTCGAAACCCGTCATTAGACCTTTTTGGCTTTTTCGACATCCAGGACCTTGCATATAGTTCCCGATGTCGACGGGGCCAATTGGAAGCATTCTGAGGCAAGCTTTCCAACCGTTCGGGGGTTCGCGCAGAATGAACCAGCTGGAGACCAGTCGCTCGTCCTAAATAGATCGTGTCGCATTCAGCTTGGCTTAACAGATTAATTGAGGCTGCTAGTAGTTTGGTTGCAGGGTTATCTACTTGACCATCCATGCTTGCTTTTGTTAGATCGAAAACAACTGGTAGAGCCTTGGTCACTTTAAAGTTAGCCAAGTTGCCGATTCAATACTTTATAAGCATATCAGCGCTTTTTGTTTCTCACTGTAATGTCCGCAGATAGCCTAAGGAAGCAATACTGTAACTAATGGATGAGATTAACTAACGCTGTGCAGATTGGTTGAATTGTCAGCGTTGATTACCCGGTAGAAGTTGAGCAGGGTAATCAGATCACTGCTTAGTCTGCTTTAGATGTAGCAGCTTATATTCTCCACAAATTGCTTAGGTCTCTGCGTAAGGGATATCCTGCAACATAAGGCTGGATCCACAACTACTCTTCCTGTGGCCCATACAAATGATTTGGAAGCAGCATAGAGGACACCGCAGTATTGCCACGGATAATGAACCAAGGACCGGGGATAAGCATTATGCATTAGTGCATCAGCTCCACTTGTGGTAGCTTCTTCACAAATCCAACCAATAGAATCGAGCAGTGCAGTCGGGACTCGGCGCGCGGTGAACTGGCCCGAATTACTGCCGAGTTCCGTCCAAATAGGGAAGGAACGATGAGGGCAGTCAGTTAGGGCAATGACGACAGTCGCACCTTCCGTTGTTGGAGATGCTGATTTGTAAGCCCGGTTACCTCGGGACCCCGCTTGCATCATTGTCTGTATCTATCTAGATTGCCGGTATGTCCTCCTTGCAAATTCGCTAATACTATCAGCATCAGCATCCCCAACATGAAGGAAGCCCTGGTGCACAAAGGACCCTCCGTCCAGATCGTCGACACAGCCATCCCTACACCTCGCCCAGAGGAGGTCTTGATTAAGGTTGTTGTCAGTGGAACCAACCCAAAAGACTGGTAGGTTTCCCTTGGTTGGTGCCGCCGATGGCAACTTAGTGCTGATAGACCGGTGCCAGGAAACTCCCAGAATGGTTGGATAGAGCGGGAAACCAGGGTGATGACATTGCCGGTATTGTCGAGGCAGTTGGCGACAAGGTGTATGAGTTTAAGCCGGGCGACCGCGTCGCTGCCTTCCATGAGATGGTGACGCCAGGTGGCAGCTATGCCGAGTACGCTATTGCCTGGCAGCATACTACCGTTCACCTCCCAAAGCACGTTTCCTTCGAGGGTGGGTTCAACTACGTCTGGATCAAAAACCATAGCTAACGACGAGATCAGAGGCGGCAACAATCCCGCTGGCGGCATTGACCTCTGTAGCCGTTCTGTACCATCATCTTGCACTCCCAGAGCCATGGCGTCCGGCAACTTCCTCAATCCCATTGGTGATCTACGGCGGTGCATCAGCAATCGGGGCTTATGCTATTCAGCTTGCTCAGAAGAGCAACATCCATCCTGTCATTGCTGTCGCTGGACGCGGAGCACCTTTCGTTGAAAGTCTTATTGACCGATCCAAGGGCGATACTATTGTGGATTACCGCAAGGGTGATGAAGCTGTGATCTCCGGAATAAAAGATGCGTTGAAGGGCGCTAAGCTGCTTCACACCTATGACTGTGTCAGCGAGGGCTCAAGCTACATCAACTTAGGAAAGATTGTCTCGCCCGGAGGCAAGATTGCTACCGTCCTCCCTGGGAAGGACTACCCGGGAGTGCCGGATAACGTTGAGGTGATCAAGAACTCCGTTGGCTGCGTCCATCAGGACCAAAAGGATTTGGGGTACGTCTACTTCCGATACCTTGCCAAGGGATTACTCGACGGCTGGTTCAAACCGCACCCGCACGAGGTGGTTCCCGGTGGACTTGGGGGTTTAGAGAAGGCTTTGACAAACTTGAAGGAGGGCAAGGCCAGTGCTATCAAGTATGTTGTGCGCATTGGGGAGACCGACGGACTTAGTTCGTGATAACCATTAGATGAGCAATTACTTCCGATTACTGTGAGACATCAATCATCAACAGTAGTACGTGTAGGCTAGTTACATACCAGCAAATATACCTGCTACATTTTTAGATTTTCGTAAGCAGTGGAGGCTCGGACTCGGATAGACTCACGCAAGATAAGCATTTAAGTCTCCGAGACTGCTTACCCTTGGGTCCACTCAGGCACGGTACGTAGCTCTATCCAGCATCTACCGATGCTGCAGAAAAAAATAGACTGCTTACGGGCCCACAACGGACTTAATTCTGGATCCTGGGACGGTGCCGTTGGTCGATCCAAACATTGCGCCGGATTCGATGACATTCTGTGTGGGACCCATCGATACAGATCGGCCCTGATCAAAGATTTGCTTATGCGTGGCAATAACTGGTGCCACTCCGGGATTGTATAAAAGGCCCTAGAAGAGACGGATTGATTCTCTCAAGGTCCTTCTTCAAGACAGTTCTATCCAATCACATATCCTCTACTTTATCCTACTCTATTCTTAATCAGGATGACTACCGATTACAAGTTCGAAGGCTGGCTCGGCCTTGACGCCAGCGCCGCCGATGGCAAGATGCAGTGGAAGGAGTTTGAGCCCAAGCCCTGGGAGGAAACAGACATCGACGTTAAGATCTCGCACTGCGGTATCTGTGGATCAGACCTACACACCCTGCGAAGCGGCTGGGTATGTTATCATTCCCCCAAACACCGAATCCCTTACTCCACATCCCACCCATAATCTTAGTTAGGTAGCTAACCAACATGAATAGGGCCCAACAGACTACCCCTGCTGCGTCGGACACGAAATCGTCGGTACCGCCGTCCGCGTCGGCTCCCAAGTAAAGGACTTCAAAGTTGGCGACCGGGTCGGGTTCGGCGCCCAGAGCGAGTCCTGTCTCGGACGCAAGGGCGACTGCGCCGAATGCGCCGCCTCCAACGAACCCTACTGCGTGAAGCACTTCACCGGCACCTACAACGGCAAATATATGAACGGCGGAAAGTCATACGGTGGATACGCTTTGTACCACCGCGCCCCTGCGCACTTCGCTGTGAAGATCCCCGAGGCTCTGTCCTCAGCCGCTGCGGCGCCGATGCTATGTGGTGGTGTGACCGTCTACTCGCCACTGAAGCACTTCGGGTGTGGACCTGGCAAGCGGGTAGGCATTATTGGTGTTGGTGGACTCGGACACTTTGGTGTCTTGTTTGCGAAGGCGCTCGGGGCAGAGGTTGTAGCTATCTCAAGAAAGGCGGACAAGCGCGAGGATGCGCTGAAGATGGGCGCTGAGCTTTACGTCTCGACGCAGGAGGATACGGAGTGGATGGCGCAGAACAAGCGCTCGTTGGATCTGATTGTCTGCACGGTTTCTTCGTCCAAGATGCCCATCACGGACTACACTTCCCTCCTCAAGGTGGACGGCACGCTCGTCCAGGTTGGTGTCCCTGAGGACGGCGCCCTTACTATCCCTGCTGCGGCGCTGGTTATGAACCGCGTCAAGCTTGCTGGTTCTCTGGTCGGTTCTCCCGAGACTATCCGGGAGATGCTGCAGCTGGCTGCGGACCAGAAGGTGCAGCCCTGGATCCAAGAACGCCCGATGAAGGAGGCGAACCAGGCGATTGTGGATATGCATAACGGTGATGCGCGGTACCGCTATGTGTTGGTTAATGAGAACTAGATATACGGAGTAGATGACGAGACGATATACTTATAGACTTCCAATAGAATTGATTACTGCAGTGGATAAGCATAAAGCACGTGCTGGGCCTTAAATTGACGTCCCGCTTTCTCTTCATTAATTTTCATTCACTTCATTAATCTTGGAATTCCAAATCTATTATGTTGTATTTGAAGTCTGGAGTATGTGAACGGACTGAGGCTGTCGATCCCTCCAAGTCACTCTCTCAACTAGACAGATTGTTCAACGAGGGAAGGCCCTTCTTCTCTAAGGACTCACTCCGGAATATCCAGGAACAGCTACAGCAACCGCTCAAAAAAGGAGACAGAATACGAATCCTCGATCTCTCTGACGTGCCTGTCTTCTTCGAGGTCAAAACGGGCGACTGCCAGGCTCATCTGCGTGCCGGCGACATAGTCTATACAGCGTGAGAACCCCTTTCTCAGGCACAATATCAGGCTTACATGTTTCAGAAACGAGCCAACCATACAATACGTCTCATACCAGTCTCTCAGAAAGCGAATTGAGACCGTCAGTGAAAGCCCTGATTTGGCGTTCTGTAGCCTGCGCATTCAACATACCCTCATCCGCCATAACAATATCACCGGTGAGCCTGCAGATGACTCTAAATTCAAGTCAAAAGATGAAGTCCATCGTCTCTTTTCCGCCGCCCTGGAGATCTGGGAAGAGAGCGGCATATGGGCGGAAATTAAAAGGACACTGTCGTCTACAGCTACTGCAGGAAAGATAACCAAGATCATCGGATTCGGATGTGGGATAATGTCTGCTTCGGATGATGTGCCTCACATATCTTATAATGCCGCTTTTCAACACGCATTGCTCCTGACACTGCAACAGTTTCTGCGGCAGAGTTCGAGCCACGAAATTACTTGCGCTGTCCAAGACCCCGCCTACACAGATAGGGACATATCCGTTCTTTATTCTCATGGAATTGAAATATTGAAAGACCCTGAGGGTTTTATCCAGGCCGATGACTCCTCGCTGGTATTTGCATGCGCGCCGGATGTCCCCGTCAGGCAGATTGTTGCTGACATCGCTCGGCCTGCTGTGCTGATGTGGGATAGGGTTTCATCTAGTGATGATTTGACGTATGGAAGGTGTCTACAACTTTTGTACTCTGCTGATTCATATAGGGCCGACCCGGATTCACCGCGGATAAGGAAGATGATTTGTGATTCTTACGATTGTTTCGATTTCCCCTACGACGAGCATTTCGGGGATATGGCTATCTATGTACGGCGGGACCTGAATTCGCAAGGACAGTTCGCCCAGATTGACACCATCGCATGACATTATTGAAGCGTCGTCACCAGTTTGCCAGTATTAGCTCCCTCGAAAAGTCTCATCCAGACTTTCGGCACATCCTCTAACCCTCCTTTGATTATCGTCTCGCTCTTTTCCTCCAGCTGCACTTTCCCTTCAACAACTGCTTTCGCTATAACCTCGATCGCCTTGTCCGCCTCATTGTAATACTTTAAGACAACAAACCCCTCGAATCGAAGCTTCATGCAGACGACATTCCACCAGTTGCGCAACGGCGGACCATTATCACCATTATAACCAGCGATGAACCCGCAAGCGACAACTCGGCCATGGATATTGAGTATCCCCAGGGCTTCGTCCAAGACTGCACCGCCGACATTATCGAAGTAGACATCGATACGGCCCCTCGTTACATCCTGAAGGTCTTGCACAAATGATGGCGATTTGTAATTGACACCTATTTTATATCAGCACTCAGCAAATAACCACAGATAGAAAGACAGATAAAAGACGCACATCGATCAGCACCCAAAGATTCAACCCACCGACATTTCTCCTCCGTGCCCGCAATCCCAACCACATACTTACAACCAAACACCTTCGCAAGCTGCACAACCATACTCCCTGTCGCCCCCGCGGCCCCAGAAACAAGAACCCCTTCGCCCTCCTTGATTTCCGCGATTTTGACCAACCCAAAATAAGCCGTCAGCCCAGTCAGGCCAAACGCGCCCAGATAATGCGTCTCGTCCAGCCCATTCGGCAGCGGCTTCACAGGGACTATAAAATCCTGCTCACCAAGCACCGCGTACTCAGCCCACCCCATCACCCCCGAGATATGATCTCCGGGCTTGAACGCGGATGATGTCGACTCGACCACTTCGCCGACGCCCAGGGACTTCATGACATCGCCCTCTGTGATTTGTTTAGTTTGTTTAGTGTAGAAGAAAGGCTTAATAACGGTTCCTCATGAATATCTATAAAACGGGCCCTCTTCTAATAGATACTCCTAGGTGATAGATAATTGCTGAAACAAAGAGTTCTCATAAAGAGGGTAGAATCCCATGGGCCATGGCCGGTTCCACAACAGTAGCTGGTTTCTCGGCCTTTAGGGCTCAAACGGCCATTCGACGACTACAGATTCTCTAGGGAATACCAGGGCGTATCTAGAAATGGCCTAACATTATACCGGCGATGTAGACTGGCAATCCTAGTTCTGACCGGGAGCGCACCGCGTAGCCTCACTATCCCACAGCGTCCTGGGCATCCTTGGCATCCTGGACATCCTAGACATCCTGGGCGCAACCGCCAAGCAATAGATGTTATGAACGAAACTCCACTAGACGTGGCACAGGGCGTCACTGCCCTGTTACAATAAATCCCCCTGGAGAACGGGGTGGCTGCATGTGCCCGGCTTGGTTCTAAACTAACCGTGAAGCATGCAATGGCTTACCCTCTTACAATTGATTTTTCGACTACCAGGCGTCTTTCCGAGACATCCCCCTATTTCTCCTTATCTCGGGCATTTCCAGGGGTAGATTCCGGTACAAAGGACTCCAAGGCAACGGACTAGTACCCTGACTCTGTCTCGCTCATCCGTGGAGTCCGCGTCGGTAGTGCAGGCGACGGCCGGCCCGGATGCAGCGGAATATACCGCCTGTATGGCAGCTAGGATGGGTTCAGAATTATGCATTGCTTCTTAGTGTTCAAGTGAGGCGTGCGGGGAAAGCTGATTTGTCTTTATGAAGGATCGGGGATGGGGCTGAACGTGCTAGGTGGGTACATCGCTTGTGGCTGTGATTCCTGGGCATCGGACTAAAGGACAAATCAGACGTGAATATAATAGCACTTGTAGAGGCTCAAGAACATTCTATGATTCTATTAGCAAGGCTCAAGTGACAGAAGGTTGACACGCGGCTCTTGGAGGAGCTGGATGTACATGTACTCTGGTCCCAGTCCCACAGGCTGCGGTAGTACATCGCGTGAACTAACCTTGTTCTGTGCCATGCATGGTATTACCCTATTGCCCTGCCTCGGGCAATTCCATTCCATCAATGGTAGTCCAATTATGCTTCTCACAGAGGAGAACAAAGCGTAGATCGAATCCTGAGATCCCCGTACAGCCACTCTGCTTCGTCACGATGGACGAACCACCTGTAAAAGCTCGATACTCAGTGTTGGAAAGATCCATCCTCAGAACACAGCCCTTGTTATTGATATTGTTGCCTGGCTCTGTATCTGGTCCAAGGACCTCGACGCCAAGGCAATCAGATACTATATAGAGCTGGCCAAACCCCCTACAAGTCCGCTCTTCATCAGCACCAGCTTCTTCATTCTACTCGTTCACACAAGGACAAGTCAAAATGAAACTCTCCAACACCCTCCTCCCACTTCTCACCTCCGTCATTTCCGGCACCTTCGCCGGAGAATTGATCATCGGAGGCAACGACGCCGAGATCGAATCCTACCCCTACCAAATCAGTATCCATATAGACGGCGAACACAACTGCGGCGGCAGCATCGTCAGCAAAACACACATCGTAACAGCAGCCCACTGCTTCGCTCAAGTCCAGAACACCTCACAGCTAGGCGTGCGAGCCGGGTCCACCTACCAAGCACACGGCGGCCAGCTCCTCAACGTATCCAACTTCGCCGTCCACCCGCGCTTCAACGAGTCAACCCTCTCCCACGACGTCGCGGTCATCAAACTATCCGAGCCCCTCGAGCTAGGTCCCGCCGTGGCTCCCATCCGTCTTGCCCCTGCGAACGCCGGCTATCCCGAAACAGGAGCAATCACTAACGTGACTGGCTGGGGGAGGACAGACGTGGACACGTTTTTTGTATCAGATACACTGCAGGAACTCGAGCTCCCTGTGGTTGATCGGGGTGAATGTGCCGAGCGTTGGCTACATTACGAGGGTTCTCATTATAATGTCACCGACACCATGTTCTGCTTAAGTACCTTCAAGGAGGGGGAAACTGCGTGTCATGGAGATAGTGGCGGGCCTGTTGCTATTGATGGCACGCTTGTGGGTATTGTTTCGTGGGGAAACCCTCTCTGCAACAGTGAATATTACCCGGGTGTTTATTCGAGTGTTTCTGTCCTGAGGGGATGGATAGATAGGCAATTGCATGGTTAGGTGGATGTTGTGTACGTGTTCGATATCAGGGCAGTGAAGGGGATGAGTTGAGATAGAACTGCTCCAATTCTCGAATAGACAATAATACAGAGAGTTGAAGTCACGGAATTGTTTATCAAAACATCAAGTAATCGATTACTCCGTGAAAATGCAAGGCGATGCTACCTTGTTAGCCGACGAATATTAACCCTACCACATTTAAGGAACTAGTAAGCTCTGATGACGAGCAGATAGCTACACAGCCACAGAACAACATCTCCTTAACTCACAACCGCCGCTAGCTGCAATCCTCCCACGTCCAGTGCGGCTCTATGCTGTCCACGTAGACCAGGTGGAGTCTCTGGCTTACGCGGGCGATGCTGCATTAGGTCCCCGACGAGAGAAAGACGGTGAAAGTGACACAACTCTTGGATGACACATTTATGATCTCTCTCTTTTTATTAGTACATGTCATATGCATGTCTTGAGTTTAATGAAACGCGCTAGGTCTGCCCACCACCGTTCCCAGAACACGAGCCCTTCACACTTTAGGGCTTACTACGGTTAAATCTCATTTGGGAGACGGTTTGGTTATTTGGGTATTTGAGAATCTCTCATTTCTTTTTATCTTTTAATGGTATAGAAGGGATGTTGTGGTGGCTTACACTGACTCGGAAGCCCTAATCCATGACTCACGGAGCAGGCACCAGTGAGTCAAAGACCCTCCAAATTAAATCATCCCATCTATTCACATAGTCAAGAAATCAGTAAATATCATAGAATATATATAAATTCACTAAACATAGAATATAGCTTCTCTGCAATGAAACAAGAATAACCCCCATCTTTACAGCACAAACTCTCTACAAACCAAACCTATCGATCTCCCCATGAAGCACCTCGCCGCATACCTCCTCCTCGCCCTCGGCGGGAACAGCGAACCCTCAGGGGAAGACATCAAGGAGGTTCTCGCCTCGGTCGGTATATACGCTGACGAAAGCCGTCTAGGCCAGCTCTTGGACGAGTTACGCGGGCGCGATATCAACGAGGTTAGTTCTGTCAGTCCTGTAGCTCTTCAGTGGATTAGGAAGAGGGCTCCAGGTATACATTGAGCTGACATATACCTAGTTGATCGCCGAGGGCACGTCCAAGCTCGCTACAATCGGGTCTAACGCCAGTGGAGGGGGCGATAACGTCCCAGATACTGAGAAAGGTGCAGATGATGGATCTGGGTCGGCGAATGGGGGAAGTGACGCGGATGGAGATGAGGATGAGGATGAGGATGGCGACTTTGGATTGGGATTGTTTGAGTGATGTGGTAGATAGGAGAAATGGTAGACAATGGACAAAGCTATCATTGATACTTCACTGGCAGATATACCAAGTTCCAGTTGGACTCTACCAAGACCCCAAGAACGAGTAACCAGCCTTCCCCGTGGCTGTCCGCTCACTTCAATCCACATAGACGCAAGGCAAGGGAATTTATTACTTGGAGGGGAGCTTCGGTCCGTTCCCGACATTACTATGTTCTAAATACCTAGCATATACCTACGCGGTTTTACAGCACAGGAGTATAATGGAAATGAAAAACCCGCAGGCATGGGTATTCTAACCAAAATCGCAAGTCTAAGTAACAGTCTCGCACAAGCTTACAATGCTCAAAGACATCTCACTCTAAACAAGGAATCAAAATATGTCAAGAAACGCCGCAAATAATGGATATCGTGACACTCTCCAGTCGCTTCAAAGACATCTATTTAGTCGAATAGCTTCTTCATGAAATTGTGGGCTATCTCGACACCGGCACTAATGAATTGTTAGCAGTCTGCCAATTAGATAAAGATAAACGTGAAACCTACAATGTGGCAGCGTTCGCAGGAACGGCACGGGCCAAGGCTGGGCCGAACCCGGGGAAGAACGCCTTGAATCCACCATTGCCGTAGACGGCACGAATGGTGCCACCAATTGTGGGCTTGCCCGGTGCACTCTGCAGACGCGACTTGATTGTGTCGACGGGGAAGACAGGAATCCACATGGCAATACCAGCAGCACCACCAGCTGTTAGAACAGCTGGCAGCGACAAATCACCGGTCACGTTGCCTTCCGCGTCCTTGGGAGTGAGCGACCGCTTGATGTATTCGTAGGCAGCGAAGTAGGCAGCCGAGCCGGGGCCGTCACGAGCCAGGGTCATTGCGCTTCCCCGGAACACACTGCGTATTCCTCCCTCCTTGTACAGCTGTCGGACAACATCCACACCGCCGGAGTACTTGGGCTTCTGACCAGGTGGCGGGGGGTTCTGCCCTTGGATCTGCAAAAGCACCTTTACGCGCTCGAAGGGAGCAGTGATGAGAGTCATGGGGATAGCGGAAAAGAATCCAGCAGCAGAAATCTGGCCGATTGTGTACTGCGGAGTGTTGTTGTGGACCTTGACTTCAGACAGGCTGCTGACAAGCGTTTTTCCTAGATCGTAACCCTAGATGCGGTCAATTGCTGTTCGCGACAAAAGTCGCTTTCCATGAGCACATACCCAGAAGCTGACAGCGACTATAATCCACAAACATTAGCTTGGTCGGCGAATTTATTTGAGAGCCGCCACTTACACATGGGCGTAACGCCGACCAGAGGAGCGGAAACACCAGCATAGAGACCCTGCACATGTCAATTGCATGATCACGAATTCCGATCTTCAATTACTCACGCGAGCCAAGCCCTCGCGGGCGATGGTCTTCTTCACCACATCAATGGCGCCCGAGTAGACACCCTGGGCAGCCGTCTGCATCCGCACCTTGACCAGGTCGAAGGGATGACCGACAACAACGGCACAGACACCACCAGCGCCGCCAGCGGCGAAGGAGCGAAGCTGAGCAGCGGTCTGGTTAACTGTCTTGGACTCAGTACCCTTGAGCGACTCCTGGACGGTGTCCGAGGTGGGGGATTCGGCGGAAGACATGATGGCGGGGAGATGCGGAGGCGGGTTAGAGGCGGGTTAAGGAGATAGCGGTGCAGAGGAGCCGCAACACGCTGAAGGACCGGGAGAGTAACAAGAGACGGAGTGTAGAAGAGGAATTGAGAGCTGGACAACCGTTTGAAGAGGAAGACGGAGGACGAAGGAGAAAAAGAGCAGGCCGTGACAGCACCGAAAGCCGAATCTGGGAACAGCAGCAGGCCGATTGTGCCTCGGCTCGGTTCGGATCATTGCTTCTCCGGCCGCCTCAGGCAGTCCTCAGGCAGTCCAGTGTCCACCTCTCCCCACAGTCTCTCCAGACGTCGGAGTGCCGGTCGCCAGCCAGTCCACAGTCGTGTGCACAGGCTGTTGGCACTCACCACTTGGTATCTACACTGTACACATTTCTACTCACACCAGTTCTCCCTTCGTCAATCTTCCAGCATAACTCGGATGAACGGACCGCTGCTCGCTGCCTTTGATCCGTCTGCAGGATCCAACGACCCAGACTCTGGCGCCGGACGACAGGATCTCGCCCACCGCCTTTCACCACCTGCGTAATGCTCCGTTTCCCCTGGCAAGGCTCTGCGGCTACAAAGTACGTCTGTCGTCATTGCACGGGCGCCAAGACAATCACATGAACGGCATCGAGCATCAAGCATCACCAGGCAACAATCAACACTTCACACACACACACTGGACAAGTCTCAAATTAGTTTTGATTGAGCTATTAATATATACAAACAGCACCCGGGCACCATGTCCAATATATACTTCGCTGTAGTTGGGCTGTTCTCAACTACAGCTGTTATCCATCAAATTCCCCATGCGCCCGCTGAATCAATTTCGAAGTTGCTGCTTATTCGCAGTGGCCAACCTTCTGGTCAGGTTTTTGCTATATAAAGGTCAGTAATGTCTCAAGACCAAACACTACAACAGGGAATACATACAACGCAGACCTTGGTGGGGCAGATACCAAGGCTTCCGTCCTTCTTGCACTCGGCGCCGGGTTTAAGCTGAAATACCATCAGTCCATCTTGTACAAAGTACTAGGCAGCGGAACTTGGGGATATTGGACTCACCTGGGTGGTAGGTCCGGCAGGGACGGCAACGGCAGTGCCGAGGACAGCAAGAGCAGCGATGAAAGAGAGCTTCATTATGGCGGTTTGTAAGTTTGAGGTATGTTTAAAATGGTTCTCAGAGATGCGAATGAACACCAAACCATTCGACGAGATCAGAGGTATATTTATACCTCTCCGTGCCAGTCCAACACGCAAGCACTGCATCTCCTTTCCCCTTCCATGGAGCAGCATACCCCAGTAGTCTTGCCTCCCCTGGTGATGATTTTCTGCCACGACTGGTTCCGTCTCTCCATAACCGGTTCAGGAACGAAAATCAGTCACAGGCAGTTCGAACCTGCCCATTGACATTGAAGCTCCAGTATTCTACACCGTCCCCTGACAAGAAGATGACGTGCTTCCGTGTACATATGGTGGATATCAATAAACTCCACCAGACTCAGGAACCAACCATTGACCGGCGGTTTTCTTTCAGTGCTGCCCCATAGTCTTCGGTGCTATTGAAAGAGCCGTTTTTCAGGGCTGCAGCAGTTCCCCATGTTTGGCTCCAAACCCCATTATGATCGTCACTTGGCGCCTTATTCCATCAGCCTTGAACTTGCCCCTGAAAACATCGAGGCCGAAATGTTTCTAATATTGTTCCATCATTCGAAGCCACCACGATGCCAATCAATAATAAGACACCTTCCCCATATTCCACGTCGCCTTGAGGACCAAGGCTCCATCGCGGCGCGCTCCGCCAAATGTATCAGTATGGAGTATGGGCTATGGAGGCTATCCAGACCAGACCGTGTCCACTAATGCCGATTTCCGACTCTCCGAGTCTCAGGACCCGATCGAACACTCCTCAGTCCACCTAGGATATAATAAGAAATACAAAGTACACCGTAGTTTACTCGCGCTGTAAATCACTGACCTGAATCATCTGAAGCTTCCGCCGCTTCCGCTTCTCCACCGACCTTACACAAGACCTTGCTCCCCGGCACACTCTCTCCGAGTCAAGCGCACCTGTACACCACTGTGCAACATTTGCGTAGACACGATTGTATTGTTTGCCAGGCCGCACTCGAGCCTTTTCAATTCCTACCTATACTGTAAAACAGTCGTTGTTTGTATGCGCCTCGGTTACATAAAGAGTCCGCCAGACCCGACTCGAACTCGAAAGATCCAAGTCGGTCGCAGTGGGTCATCACTCACTCAGGTAAAACAGCAAATTATGAGTTATACGGTCATCCAACCAGATAATTGATAAATAATATGTAGGGCTGACATCATACGTAGATGTTATATCATACTCTATAAACGATGCGACCAAGGCCTCACACGCCTGTCCACGAGAGCCATTCTGCCTCTATCGGAGAGAACCAGGGTTTCTTGTAGACTGTTCTAATTCTAACTCAGTACGGTGTTATAGCCTGGATCCTGGGATAAGGGATGAGATGTTTGCGACAAAGTACTTGACGTATACCACGTGCAACCGAGATATTGTTCTCGATATATATATATACACACTGAATTTACTGAATTGTACAATCCAGTCAATTAACTCCAAAGTCTAATATTTCGGCATCTTGCACTCGAAATATATTTAAATGGCCAAGTCAATAATTAATATATCTGCTTGTCACTTTGCCGACGCAGAATTGACAAAATTCTCGATCATAAGTTCAAGGTATCAGGATATGAATAATTCATGACGGGAGGATTAAGATGCCAACTATGGCAAAGCATTGAGTACTAACCAATACAGGCAGGCTACCAGACAGACTACTGCAGATAGAATAGAGATCGTATCAGTTGAATTAATTATCGACGCGTAAGAGTATCTACCAATGGCCATTACAGCGTAACCCGTGATAAAATATACATATTAGGGCCCAACAGTAGTCATCTTCACCATACATCATTAGCGTAAAGAGTATCCAGTAAGCCCAAAACAGGCTATAACATGTTCATCAAAGTCCATCCTTTACAGGACGAGGATGGCGGCAAGACCGAGGGCACCAAGGGCACCGCTGGAGACGGCCATGCGGGTAGCAGCACCAGTGCCAGCATCAGAGTCGCTGCCCTCGCCGCTGCCCTCGCCGCTGTCACCACCGTTACCGCCGCTGCCACTGCCGCTGTCATCGCCGTTGCCACCGTTTCCACTGTCGCTGCCGCCAGTAGAAGAGGAGTCGCTGCCAGACGAAGTGGAGGTGGAGTCAGCACCAGAGGTGGAGGCCGAGGTGCCGAGGGTGCTGCTAGCAGGGGTGGAAGAAGCACCAGAGGACTATACTCCATTAGCATCAAGGTCAATAGCAGGGTACATGTGTTGAGCTTACTCCGGTGGGAGTGGGGGAGCCAGAGGCACCGCCAGCACCGCCGGTGCTGGTGCTGTCGCTGTCAGAGCCGCTGGTGGAGGTAGCGCCGGCACCTCCAGTGGAGTCAGAGTCAGAGCCGGAGCCAGAGGTGCTAGTGGGCTCAGAGTCAGAGTCAGAGTCAGAGCCAGAGCCAGAGCCGGAGCCACCATTGGCGGCAGAGCCCTCAGGGCACTTGTCAAGAGCCGAGCGGACAACAGCAGCAGCATCATCGTCAGGGCAGGCCTGAGAAGTGCAGTCGCGGATACCGAAGCGGTAGTTCTCGCTTTCGCAGAGGCAGGAGAGGTCACCCTTGTCACAGCCAAGCGTGTCGGCCTTGGCGAGCATGTTGCTCAGGCACATGTTCTGCCAGAGTCAGCATATGAAAATTGTGTATTGCGATAGCTTCAAACTTACAGCACACTGGCTGACAGAGACCTGGGCGCCGGCGAGGCCGACGGAGGCCAGAAGGGCCATGGGGAGGGCGAAGGACTTCATTGTGTATTGGGATGAAGGGATAAGAGTGATGGGAGGATGGCCAACGCGATTGCAGCAGATAACGCGACTGAGAGCTTGAAGGGAACGCGAGGATGCAGAGGGAGAAAGCGAGCGAAGAGTGACGAAGGGAAGAGTCGTTATTTAAAAACCGGCAGCAGCTCAGGGCGCAGAACAACAAAGCAGGCTGGTTGGGCCGTGCCTGCCCCGTGTGAACCCTCGGTGTTTCCACCGGCCACAATTTCTTTGACTTTTTCTTTTTTCTCCCAGAGTTTCCTTGGAATTGCTTCGTTACTCAGGGTCGGGTGGCGACGATGATTGGGCCTAGTGCGAAGAGCTTCACCTCGCAGACCGCAGCGCTCGACCAACGTGGCGGCCAGGCCCCACAGCCAATGGCCAGCTGAGGTCATAGAGCAGATAGCAAGCTCCCGAAATCTGGAATTCTGATCCATCTGGAGAGATTGAGAGTTTTCATAGGAGGAGGTGGCGTTGTCACCCCACTGCTGTCTGCCTGGAACTGGGCCACGATCAGATTTCGGCCGGCCAGGGGCCACTGGGCGCGCAGATCGCACTTAAGGGCGGCCTTAGTCCGAGGCTAATTGACGAGGGAGCAGGGAGCAAGAGGCATCGGGCAAGGAGGGAAGAGCTGTGCGACCAGCTACGTCAATGGTAGCGTCACCACGCAGACCGGCGACCACAGCCTCAGTGTTTGCAACGTAGAATTCAGATGCCTACAGGGGGCAGAGGCAGTCGATAACACTCGACGACGGTGTGCAGAGAAAGTGACCCGATCGGCGAGTCTAACCAGCCACAGCAACAGGGTGTTTATCATTCATCAACTGTGTTCAATGGTGGCTGGATCTGGCCCCACGCAAAAAACTATTGCCCAGCAACCGCGGATCAAAGCGAAGAAAAAAACTTGGTTGAGTTTGGTTCTCGCGCATCCTGCTCGATCTGGCAGTTCGACCACTGTGGTCTGCTCGGGGAGTCCGACTCAGTCCCTTGGTTCTGATTTATCTCCTTGGAGTACCTCTGTACTTAGTTCACCTCCCCGTTCTTTGCCACAACACTCATCTGGTAGAACCGATGGAGCTCCTCATTTCCCGCCTCCGCGCAGAGGCCGGCGATCTCGTATCGGGCGCACGAGAGGTGGTACCGGACGTAGCCCTTGAAGAACGCGTGGACACGACCGTACAGTTGCTCGTCGCAGTTCATCGAGCCCAGATTCAGAATCTTCTGCACTCTCTCCCACGGCGCGGCGGCCTTCTCCACCATTTCATTTAGCACCTCCACCCCGGCCGCTGCATGCCGCCTCGTTGAGCGGAAAATTGATCCGTTCAAATGGAGTGTCGCTCTCCTTGTAGAACGAGAACAGGTCGTTGACTAGCGCTACAAAGTCCTCCGACTCGGCCTCCAGGGACGCGATGAGCGAGAGGTACTTCTCCTGGGGGAACTGGGGAACTCAGCCTCGGGGAAGCAAATGGAAGTCTGGACTGGTCCCTACGCGCCGGATATAGCTCGGATACGAGTCGGCGTGGCCCCGAAACAGGGTCCACTCAAGGCAAGTCGCCTGGATGAACTCCAGCGCGCCGCGTAACAGCGTTGTCTACACGTAGGGTCCGTAGTCCTTGAGCAGTAGGGGGATTGCTTTGAAGAACTCGCCCCAGACCGGGTGCTGCACTTTGTCGCCGGCCGAGAGCTGCGCGCACAGACCCTGGAGGCTGTCGTGTTGTTCGACGGGGATGTTGTCCATTGACATTTGAAACGCGTCGTACAGTGCCACTGCCTGGCGGATCTCCAGTAGGAGGAAGGAGAAGGCGCAGTCTACGTAGTCGGCCATCTCACGCACGATCTTTTTGTTTCCCGGGATGTATGGGAGCACGAAGTTGTAGATGGCTTCAAGCTCGGCCTGGGAGAGGCGCTCGTTGTCGTCGTACTCGAACCGGAGGAGGAATCGGACGAGAATCTCGCTGAGGTCTTTTGCTGATGCTTGCTCCATGAAGATCAATTGAGCTGATTGAGTCTATCAGACGGGGGAGAAGCTGAGAGACACAGAGACAAAAACAGAAACAAGAGAGTGCAGTTATATAGCGCAGCGAGGAAACCTCTGAAGCCTTTTGCGTCGATATTCATGGACAGAGTAACACATCTTGGAGGAAGGCAATCTCAGCTTCATGACTTCAGGTATTGAGAGGAAATAACAAGATTATACTAAGAAGAGGTGGAATCTTCAACATAGATAGACCTGAAGAGGTAACAAGAGGCATAACACAGAAATACTGGGTGAATGATAGACTAGCAAGATCTGGATGCTTTTGGTGAGAACGCCAACCAGCTTGTATAATAATGACTACTGGGAGCACAGCCATTGCATTACTGGGTGATAGTAGAATGAACGGATATTCCCAGCAGTCCATGTGCAACCTGACGAGATCGAGCTGGCTATTTAGAGATTTGAAACACCTCATTAGCCTCAACATCAACCTCAACAACTATCCTCAGTGATCATTACTCAACATGATCCTCCAGTTTCTATACCTGGCCATCCTGGCTCTCTTTGCAGCCTTCTTCCTGGCCAGAACAATCTACCGTCTCCACTTCCACCCGCTCAGCAGATTCCCCGGCCCCAAACTGACAGCAGCAACCGGCCTCGTCGAGATCTACCACGATGTCGTCCGGGGCGGAAAGTTCCTCTGGGAAATGGAGAAGATGCATGAGACATACGGTATCCACTCCCTATTCCTTCTGAGACGTCTACGTTTATATATATTGACTTGGATGTTTACAGGCCCCATCGTCCGCATCACCCCCCACGAAATCCACATCAAAGACTCCTCCTACTACGACTCCATCTACACCAACAGCAAGAAACTGAACAAAGACCCCAACTTCGTCGGACTCTTCGGCTCCCCACAGTCTATGATCGCCACCGTCGACCACGCCCACCACCGCTTCAGACGCGGCATCCTCGCCAGCTTCTTCTCCAAACGCTCCATCACAGCCCTGACCCGGTGATAAAGGCCAAGATCCTGCGGCTCATGGAACGCCTGCACGGGTTCCACTCAACCTCTAACAAGGGCAGCAAAGCCGAAGCGCAGCATTCGCAGCATTCGCAGCCCTCACAACTGATATAATCACGCACTACTCGTACGGCGAGAGCTTCGGCTTCCTCGATTCGGAGAGTTTCCGGAGTGAAGTGCGTGTGGCGATTATGGAGACTGAGGAGCTGGACCACATCACGCGTCTGTTTCCATTTGTGTTGACCGTCATGAGGCGTGCGCCGCGGTGGGTGTTTGAGTTTGTGAAGCCTGCTACGGCGGTGGTTGCGATGATACGGAGCTCGGAGCTGGGGTTATGGATGGAGGTGTTACTCTGGCTCAGCTTGAACAGCTGCCGTACCTGGTAAGTTATTTCCATCCTAATTTGATTTAAAGTATGATTATTATCAGTACTGAGGTTGATAACAGACTGGAGTGGTCAATGAAGCACAGCGCCTTTCTCACGGACTTGTTATACGCTCTCCGCGAGTTTCACCTACAGAGGCCCTAATGTACAAGAACTACAGCATTCCCCCCGGAGTACGTTAGCTAATCCATCCAAAGCTCTATGCTAATAGTATCTAGAACCCCCTAGCCATGTCCAGCTACTTCGTCCACATGGACCCGACCCTCTTCCCTGACCCGACAGTCTTCAACCCAGATCGCTGGATCGAAGCCACCAAACGAGGCGACAATCTAACGCGATTCATCACTGCCTTTAGCAAGGGGACCAGACAATGCGTGGGCATAAAGTATGTTAACCCTTTCCAAATATAAATCGCAAGCTAATGATTGGACAGCCTCGGCTACGCAAAGCTGTACTTGACCCTTGCGTACTTTGCAATCTTCTTCGACTACGAGCTGCATGAGACGACCGAGGAGAATATCACTGTCGCGCGAGACCGCGGGGTCCCGTTTCTGGAGAAGGGGCATTTGATGGTGAAGGCGAAGGTTGTCAAGGTCCTTCGTAATCCCTATGCTGCGTAACTGAATAACAGCGGTAAAGCGAGAATTAGCACGGTTCGTAGGCTAACAGAATTAGCCACGCTATTTACCTAAGTACAAATTAAATGACAGAATTAAATGGCTGCACGAAACTCTCCGAAGTCTCCGACGCGAATGTCAAGGTACTCACGGTAAAGTCCTATATCAACACCATGATAACAATCCATACTACATCTAGAGAATGGTTCACTCATCTCAGAGCGATTCAACCAGCAAAAATGGCCGACCTTGCAGAAACAAACCGCAAGCACTTTGAGTACGGAAGACGGATGGGTTTTCTCCTCCACATCCCCCACAGATCCACACCGTAAAGTTACGAACTAACGGACGCCCAGCAAAGTCGCCTCCAACCACCAAACCGACTTTGGCGAGCTCATCGCCGCAGTTATTGCCGAACTCAAACGCCGCCGCGGCTGGATCAGTAGCACCTTAGCCGGCGGCCCAAACACTGACTCGCACACTGCTCCTGCTTTACGAGATGAGGTCCGGCTATTGGATTATGCGTGCGGTGCTGGGACGGTGTCCAAGGTATCTATCTACCCCAATACCAATACCAAGTAGCACAGTAGCTAACAGATATCGTAATCCAGGCGTTAGCCCCCCACGCAACACACACCATCGGCCTGGATCTATCAGCCAACATGGTGGCCGAGTATAATAAAGCGGCGCGGGAAATATTCGACGCGCACGGACCGGGCCTCCAACCAGGACGAATGGAAGGATTCCAACACGATTTACTCGCTGAGTCTTACTCTGGTTCTGGTTCCGATACTGCGGGTGTGGGTGCGGGTAATAATCCGCTCCCCAGCGGAACTCTCGCGCCCTTTGATGTCATTGTTGTCGGGATGGCGCTGCACCATGTTGCCGAGCCTGGGAGGCTGTTGACGCGGTTCAGTGAGTTGTTGAAGCCCGGTGGTGTCTGTGTGGTGCTTGATATGGTCCCGGGGAGTGCTCAATTTGGCCATGACGTTGACCTGAAAGAATCAGGGCATGAAGGAGGTGTGCTGGACACGATTGGGAAGCATGGATTTACCGAGGCGGAGATGCGGGATTTGTATGAGGGGGTCGGGATGTGGAGGGGATTTGAATATGCCGTTTTCGACGAGCGGTTCCAGTTCACTCTCTTTGGGCAGCAGTGTAGTTCCTTGGGGTTTATTGCGAGGGGAGAGATGCTGTGACCTCTGTCTGGTTACTTGGGAGTCGTGGTGACACCGTAGGGCAAGTGGAATGATTCAGGTCGTATTGATGTGGAGAGATCGGGTAGCACGGATAACAATAACAGAAGTATGCAGTCTCTACCAATAGCAGCCAGGCGGTAATTGATATCCCTGGTTGGAGTCTTGAACTGGCACTCAGACGCCGCGCTTGTCTTCTCCACAGCCTTTGACATGCGCCCCAGGTCTGTCCCCGCGGGGAACGACGCAGGGAACGGCGCAGGGCCTCTGGGCACGATGATTTGATTCGGTGGGAGTCGAATATCATCAAATGGAGGGTAATTTGCTGCCGTTTGCCAAGGGGATCAGTAGCCGGTGAGCTCATAGGGCATTTGCCGTTAAGCTATATAAACGTCATGTTGGTGGAAGACTGGATAGAACAAGCACAACAGCTGTCTCGCAGCCATGAAGCTCCTCGCAGGGTTGTCGTTGCTCTCACTGATCCCTTCGTCTCTCTCTCTCCCCCCTGTCCAGCACTATGCCCGCAGCCAGGCCCAGGATCCTCTCCTGATCCAACTGAAGCCCCAGCAGACAACCACCCGAGACCTCGTCTCCCTCGACGGTATCTGGAAGTTTGCCCTAGGAAAGGACAACTCAACTGCAACCCCCTGGACAGGCCCCTTGCCAAAGGGCCTCGAATGCCCCGTCCCAGCCTCGTACAACGACATCTTCACGGACAAGTCCATCCACGACCACGTCGGCTGGGTCTACTACCAGCGCGATGTAATCATCCCCCGGGGCTGGTCTGACCAGCAGTATCTCATCCGTCTTGAATCCGCAACGCACCACGGCCGCGTGTACATCAACGACAAGCTCGTCGCCGAGCACCAGGGCGGATACACCCCGTTCGAAGCAGACATCACAAGCCTCGTCCCTGCTGGAGAGAAATTCCGTCTGACAATCGGCGTCAACAACGAACTAACCCACGAGACTATCCCACCAGGCAGCATTGAAGTCTCCGAATGGACCGGAAAGCGCGTGCAGACGTACCAACACGACTTCTTCAACTATGCCGGTCTCGCGCGCTCTGTCTGGCTCTACTCCGTGCCCAAGCAGCACATCCAAGACGTCACCGTCGTCCCAGACGTCAACGGCGACACTGGTCTGCTCAACTACACCATCAAGTCCTCCAACAGCACCAACGGCAAAATCTCCATCACCATCACCGACGAAGAAGGCAACAAAGTCGCCTCAGCCTCCGGCGCACAGGGAATCGCTGAAATCCCCTCTGTGAACCTCTGGCAACCCGGCGCAGCCTATCTCTACCAATTCACCGTAAGCCTCACCTCGGCCTCCAACAAGGTGCTCGACACATACACACTCCCCGTCGGCGTGCGCACCGTCAAAGTATCCAACAAACAATTCCTCATCAACGACAAACCCTTCTACTTCACAGGCTTCGGCAAGCACGAGGACAGCGCTGTCCGCGGCAAGGGCCACGACCAGGCATACCTAGTCCACGACTTCCAACTCCTCAACTGGATCGGCGCCAACTCGTTCCGAACAAGCCACTACCCCTACGCGGAAGAGGTTATGGAATTCGCTGACCGCCAGGGAATCGTCATCATCGACGAGACTGCGGCTGTGGGACTGAACCTGCAGCTCATGGCGGGCGAAGAAGGCGGCACGGCGACAACGTTCAGCCCGGAGGGAATCAATAATAACACGCAAAGAGCACACGCCCAGGCAATCCGTGAGCTCATCGCGCGCGACAAGAACCACCCCAGCGTTGTGATGTGGAGCATCATGAATGAGCCGGCGAGTTTTGAAGAGGGTTCGCGCGACTACTTCGAGCCGTTGACGAAGCTTGCACGTAGCCTGGATCCAGCCGGGCGACCGATTACATTTGCCAATGTCGGTGATGCTACATACAAACTGGACAAGATCTCAGATCTTTTCGATGTGTTGTGCCTGAACCGGTATTTCGGATGGTACTACAACACTGGGGACCTCGAGGAGGCCGAACTCGCACTCCAAGAAGAAGTCGACGGGTGGACGGAGAAGTACCCTGAAAAGCCGATTATATTTTCAGAGTACGGCGCTGATACGCTCCCCGGCCTGCACTCCGTGTTTGGATTGATGTGGAGCGAGGAGTTCCAGGTAGACATTCTGGATATGTTCCAACGGGTGTTTGACCGCGTGGAGGCCGTTGTGGGCGAGCATGTATGGAACTTCGCGGATTTCCAGACCAATGTCGGTATTACCCGCGTTGATGGGAATAAGAAGGGTGTATTTACGAGGGAGAGACGGCCCAAGGCTGCGGCGCATTCGTTGAGGGCCAGATGGACGAATATGACTGCTGTTTAGCATATATAGTTTGGCAATATATCCCTCCTGCTCATATACGTGACAACTAAATGTAGCATAAATATAGACTGCCAATTAAATCTATTGATACAGATTCCCCTGCTGGGGCATCTCGACGCTCTTCTCAGAGAATGCGCAATGTCCAACTGGTCCATCAACCGGAACAGCGCCCCATTTCAGAGGCATAAATTCAATTCCTTCTGGTGGATCCAAGACTTTGCTCTCCCTAATATTAGGATTAAACATCGGATGGCACGCGGCACCAATTGCAAAGGTACAGCTCCCGGCAACAGTCATGCCAGATGCTAGTTTCTTGCAACCCACAGCAATAAGGCAGATAAACATGAAGATACCAACACCTATGCCCGATATAATTGCACGAGGGGTATATCCGCAAGTCATGACATCGTTCTCCGGTGTGCGGCCACCGCCCACTCTATAAGCATCGATCCCCACCAGGAAGAAGCTCTGCGATATAAGCCAGTGCAGAAGCGCAGAGCAGCTCATCAGAGGAATAGCGTATCGATATGGTAGTGACAGGAAATAGCTGCTTCGCTGGCTGCCCTGTGGATTCCAGGATACACGCAGCCCCCTGCGTGAGAGGCTGAATCTGCTCCATTCTGCAGCGGAGGTCATGGAGGTCAGGATACCGTTGAAGGAGAAGTAGAGACCCGAGAATATAAGCTGCGGAATATTGGCTATAATGGTATTGCCGACGACAGACGTGGGCCAGTCCCCGGCTCTGATTATGGCTTGAGCGCTGATGGCGCCAAACTCGGCATCCCAGGCTGCACCTCCGTCACTTACTACCGTAACGATCAGCAAGAAGATGAAGCCAAAGGCGCAATGGGCCCATCTATTCCGACTTGTCAGTTTTTATACTGTAACAGACCAGGCTTGCTTACATTAAAGAAATGATCCACCACCTCGACCGCGACACTGCAGAGCACCATCTCTTTGGCTTTGCGCTGTACGCAAGAGGCTCATACGGCCTCCCGTGTAAAGGGTCGCTATTCTTGAGCTGGAATTCCTTCTCGGTAACCAAACATTTGCGCAGGGTGATGCTGTCCGGCTGGTGCAGAAAAGAAGCAACTGCATCCCCCGTGGTCAACATGGGCGGCTCTGCTGCTGTAATAGCCATATAGAGCATGATGACTCCTTTTATGACATTCGCCACGATCACGGCTATCGTGAGCGCTAGAGAGTACTGCAACTTGCACAGCTCCGGGACTTTCCGGACGAGGCAGGAATCTGCGTGGTAGTCACCAGAATCCACATGGACAATCCAGTTGCCCTGGTCAGCCTGTGATTGAAGGCTGGGTACATAGGAGCTGCAAGACGCGTTCGGAGCTGGGGGGCATAGCCACTGGAATGGGTCGCCGGAGGGGGCTGGAGAACTTGTATACGAGGAGGGATCGAATACGCTCTGACCATCGACCACGGCATATTGATTGGTGTCGTTGTCAGCTGGAGGGATCAGGAGAACGTCGCCATACTTGGTTTGATAAGTTGTTGCGTAGGCGTTTATACATTCGGTGCCGTCCATCAGTTCATATTCATTGGAGCCATCGCGTGCATCGTTGTAGAATCTCCTCAGGTTAGCTTGTACCTCATCAGAAAGGCCACTAGTTGTGATATTCGGAGGACCGCTTTTCCCAATAGGATTGGGACCAGCGAATATTGTATACGAATATCCCGCCGTGGTAGAGAAGATGGCGGAGTTGTAGCTGCACGGACGTTAGGAAGAACAGCAGCCAGGTGCCATCGCAACTTACACAAGATGGAGAGGGAATGATGAGAGAACCAGGACTATCCACATAAATGACCTTGATCTAGACACGTAGAGGAGGTTTCGAATACTCGGGACACCGACATCCAGCCAGTTGCCCTTCGCATGCGCCTTGTCGATGTCCCTTCTCGTGGGCGCGCACAGACATTGCTATTCAGTTAGAATAATAAAACAAATAGGGATATCCGGCATACCATGCAAAAATTGCTGGCGCCTAGCAGGATCGTGCCCAGGATGTTAATGAGCAAATGGATACCCGTGCTTAGATGCCGTACATGGTCGCATTTGCCTTCATACAGAACTCCCTGGTCATCGTGGACACGATGACGAGCAGCAGCCCACGATAGGAAACCCAGGTTGAAGGCGAGAACTACGACACAGGCTGCTGATGCCAGGGAAAGGGTAACCTTCCACCCATAGCGCCATCTTTGCAGGAAACCTCGCTTCGGCTGGTCTTCCTTGTCGACAATTGGGCTCTGCGACCGACAGGAATTTGTAGTCATTAACGGGAGTTCATGGTCCTCCTTGGGTGCCTTCAATTTCATGGTCCGTCATAGATTGAACATGAGGTGTCGATATGAGGCTGGCTGGAGCTTGACGGAATTTGGGGATTGCCAGCCACCGACCATGGTTAATGCGAGCAGTGCGACTGTCTAAATTCCCGTAGCAAGGTCCAGGGCGCTGGGATTACGATCCCAGTTTGGCCCCAGACGGGTCGGTGAATGAGGCTGTGTTGGGCTGTCGGATTGAGTTGGAAAGCCCTGGTTGGCGTTGGGGGCAGTTGATATGCACGTCCCATACTCCTCGTAGCAGTGATAAACATAAATGACAGGGAGCAGAAGGACCTGTGCGTTCAGCCCGAGACGTATTTCAGCAGGCAAGACGGATATGGCCATTTCCAAAATGAACATCCTAAGAATACTGGAGAATATGATATGCTGGACAAGAAAGCGGAGTATCGTTACCGTCATTTAGACTATATAGAGACATATCAACGTATAAAAGAGAATATCTCCTCCCATACTCCCACAGACTGCGCTACAGTGTCATGGTCAGTCCCTTTGACCATTTTACACTCAAAGTCAACTCCATCCCCCGATGCCTTCCAGCACTCTTCAAAATATTCCTGCCCTCGGCTGCCTACCAAGGCGTCCGTCTCGGAAAAGTATGTCCTGACAGTGGCTCTTTCACCATCCCGCTGCCGTTCCAGCTCTGCCAACTCCTTAATACAGGCAGCATAATCTCCGCAAATACCCCATTCACCCCCCTCACCCTTCCGAAGACACTGCAGCGCCTCGCTGTTCGCACCAACGGTATCCTCCGTGAACATGAACTGGATAGCCAAGCGGGATAGCTCTTCCGATTCTTTTTTTGGAACGCCATAATCTCGCTCAATGCGCCTGAAATTCTCGTCCAGGAACGTGCGGTCTTCATTTGCCTGGCTAGTTCCTATGCCAGATGACTTTGACATTTGGCGCATCACGGCACCACTCGAGGCAAACACGGGACTAGCCTGCGTGACGAAGAAACGCGGGATAAGGTGCCAGTAATCGAATGCTTTATTCGGTATATACTTGGCAACCTGCAATGAAGTAACGCGCGAATGGGCAATATCAACAAACGGAGCTGGTAGCACAGTTAATAAATCATTCCCAGCACAAGTTTACATCAAAGAAATACGCACCTAATAAGAAAACAACCGGATTCACAAAATCCCGACATTTCGCCCATGTATTGAAAAGGTACATTGTGCCCGAACTATGCGAAGCCAGACTCACGCGCTGAATCTCGAGATGCGCCAACAGCCGCGGAACCAGGTCAACCCAGACATCAAAACGCTTTGCAAGTGGCACCTCGGTTGAACCGCCCATCCCCGGGCGATCGACGACAATCATGCGAACACCAGCTCGCTCTGCCATGACGTGCATGGGAACTCCAAGATAACGCGACGCGAACATGCCAGGGAGATACAGTAGCGTGGGACCCGTTGGGCAGCCTATATCGGCGAAAGAGACAGATAAGGGCCCATGGGCAGTGTCGAGGGTGATGCGCCGGTGAAACCGGCTATCGCAGACGAGTGTAATAGGGTCTGACATGGTAGTCAAGGAAAGAAAATGCCTGACCAGAGGGGATGCGAAGAGATGAAGTCTTACATTGGGTTTCATGTCAGCCTACGGATAGTGGGATGGCCCGTACCTTTCCCATTTGGGTTAGTTATGGGCCCATTGCGAGTCAGTATACAGTTGACCAGTACGGTCTTTGGTGTAGCAACTACCTAGTACGTACACTCTTCCTGGTGCTCACATCGCTCCTTCCCTAGCAATTAATCCTAGCGAGATGCGAAGGAACGGCCCGATCAGGGTCCTTCCTATTTGGGCATGTACCATATATGACCGTTTTAGGCAGGTGTCTATACAGTTAGTCGCGCCTTCCGCATATGAGAACAAGGGAGAATGGAAGGAGCGACTAGGGAGGGATGTTGCACCAATGGCTGATATGGCTGAGCTGGCAGCGCAGATAGGAAAAGGGCTATGGAGTAGTATCGGCATAAATTGCACCACCCTAGCTCTTGATCACCAGTATAGTTACATGTGTTTCAACTGAAGAAACCGCAGAAACACCCGACCTTTGCGCCTTGTTTTAAACCCAACTTATTGACTGCGTTGGGATCGCGCATGCGTCCCATTGACGCGCAAAGTCCGGATCCAGATAATTACAAAGAGACTGAGAATCTATCTTCTCGCCGTTCTTCCAAAGGTACTCCCGGACACGACGACACCAACGAGTGCGGATATACTCCAGCAGTGGGATTCTGAGCTGATCGTATTCCCGAATGATATCTTCAAATAGTCCTTCCAAATCAACAAAAAGCAGTCTCTCTTCGTCTTGAATTTCGGCTGCTTCCTCTCCATCGAAGGGTACGTCTTCTATTCTGTTGACATTCCAATTGAAACGGCAGCAGGTGTGGGTCAATCCAAGATCGGTAAACGTAATGAATCGAAGAACATCGTGCGCAGCAGCTGCAAAGCTTGGTATACCCAGAATGAATTGCTGAAGAAAGAATCCATTTTCTTTTGGCTTCCGCCGACACGTGGGATCATAATCCCAAGGCCCGCCGAATATAACGCGCAACGCCATTGAGACCGGAGTGCAGCCTGCCATTGAACAGGAACAAGAGCAATTGTCCTTGTGTCCAGATCCATATACTAGTCCGATCAAATCACGATTATGAGTACCAATGGACTTGGACCATAAACAATGGGGGCCTTCGATAGAGGTTTCGGGGGTGAGCAGTGAAGTTTGTAACAAAAGGTAGGTTATGTTTCTGGAAATATGATGGGACGGCACGCTGCCTGTAATTGTTGGCGGAGAGTGCAGAGTCACACCTTTACCCACAAACCATTGTAGTCTTTCAATGTACTCTTCGAACGAGTGCTCGCTCAAAGAAACAAGATTTACCCTGCCTATGGGTGTATATCCATTGCTATCAGGAACGTCAATATCGCGGAATCCAGCTGTATACAGAAACTCCATATCGTCTACCGAGAGGGTTGGACCATGAAATACGGATGCAACGTGATAACACGTATAAATGTATGGCTGGAGCGATGAAGGCACAAGGATGTTATGTTGTGTAAGCTGAGTGTGAATCTCCCCAGCATTTGAGTCAGGCAAAAGGTCACGTTCGAGACGGAGCTCTTCTTGTGAGTATTCGGGTAGCATAGTCCTGGCCAGTTCCAGTAAGTGCTTTCGCCGGGCTATGAAAGGGTCGAATACAATCCTGCCCTTCGTCTCGTTAGAATGGCAGACCCAAACTGTTGAATCGACAACCAGGGAGCCATAATCAAGGAGAAGTTTAACGGACTCCGGGCAGCCATGCTGTACAGCATCTTGTAACAGCGACACAAGGTCATAGGGCTTAACGACAGACATGGACTCGAAATCGCAAGACCAGGAGCCCAGCTCAAACACATTCCACATAGTTTATATTCATCAGGGGAAACATTTGCTGACTCGATGAGCCTTTTAAGCTCAGTCTCAGACTGAGACAAGATCGCGCGAGTAACGTCTGATATCATAAATGCTGCCGCAGTTAGCTCTGATATCATTCGCGCAACATAAGCTTTTGTATCACCTACATTCCTCGTTATGTATAAACGCCAATCTAAAATGTTGAGAGTCTAGACCTAACAGGTTTCTATCGGTGACCTGAGCCCCAATTTCAGTGAATTTTGTGATAACACTGCCGATATCTGTCCTGTACATGACCAGAAAGCTGAGGGTAATCCAGTTAATCAAGTCCCCCGGGGAATTCGATGCGCTTTCTATTGGACAGCCTATGTCGGCGAGATATCGCAGGATCGGATAGTACGGTAGAAAGCCGATATGTAATGAGGTACTCGGGAAACAAAATATCCGAAAAAATAGGGCCTGGTCCTGTCAGTCTAAAAGCACATGTTGAATTAGTTTAGCACACACCGTTATCAATGTTTCCCCGTCTTGTGTTTGGTCACTGGGGCTGGCCCGACCTTCATTGAACATTTGTTCGAAGTTGCGAATAGTTTGGTTGGCAATTCCCTCACTCTGCTCCGGGCTAGAATGTTTGAGTTGGCTGATCAGGTAGAATGCTGGCGAGTTCTTCGGAACAATGCCACGAAACCGCAGTGTAGGGGACAGAGCAAAGCCCTGCGTCCCGTTTTCAATAGAAATCATCAATTCAACTGACATCCGTAGCCAGCGACTTGCAAAACGGACCCGCTTCGTTGTTTCGGCGTTTCGGTTCCTGTGGGATGTAGGTCGACGTTGTGCTGGATATTCCGACGCAATTTGAAGCCGTGATTCAGAGGAAATAGAGTGTTCTTGCACTACGAGTTGCTGGAGCTGCGGTCAATTGAAAGATGCCTGCAATACTATCATCCGGTGCCCACCATAGTATCAAGGCTTGACTGGACTTGGTTGACCGTGGTGATTATTGAAGCCCCTTGCACCTCGATATTGCGTAGTGACTCCGTCTGCTGTATTTGCAATCTATCACCGCAAGAGTCAATAGGACTAAACCTGTTAGTCGCAGCAGAGAGTGGTCTCACGCTAGTAATGCAGTGTTGAGGTTGATCTGGATATCCTGCAAGTCATTCGCCGCACTTTTCAAGGTATCTCTGCGAAACGGATATTTCGCCTTCTTCGCTGTCTCTCGCAGTTTTTGCTCCACTCCACTGCTCTGTGAAATGACAGAGCATTTGGTAACCTGCTGGCAAACCTTTGTTATCCTGGCCTCAACCTGAGACATTTTAAGTTCAATATCCGCGGTGAGAATCGGATGAACTGCACTGGTCCCGGCCAGTAACTTGTCGAGAAGTTGGAGTGTCGATAGGAGCCCTTCAGCTTTCGTTTTAACACTGTCGATTTCACTATCAAAGGCACGCCAGCCATCGCAGTACGAGACGAGCGCTTTGCACGCCTCGATACTGAGAGATGCGATTCCAAACGGCTCCACCATTGCGTTATGCGCCCGAGGAAGAAGAAAGTAAGAAAGAAAAAACTCCAAAGAGACGGATGGGAGCATTTCATACAGCGGGACGAGGCTGTCCTGCAAAGACTCAGCCCCCTCACACGTCACGTTGGGCTGCTGTTATCCAACCAGACATGCAGGTTCGTCTCCGCCTTGCTGAAGTGCTGGAAGAACCAACGCCAATCAAATATCCATCTATCGTTGCTGGAGGGAATACAATTATCCCAACTATTTGTCTATCATTGCACTGGTGTATATTGATATATCGATTACAGCATTATCCCCGGAAGCCCCATGCAACCGCACCGACAACAGCAACGACGACCCCCCATCGTAAGAGACCCCTCTGAATATGATATTGTGCCGTCTTATCAATCGCTTCTGAATCATTAATCCTCGGAAACGGCACATCAGGAACCTCCACCCCAAGCATCCCACACAACGGCTCCCACCCATCTTTGACATTAAAAAACAGCAATTTCTCCGGCGGAACAACCTCCTTCAACCGTTCCAGATGCTTTTCATAAACACCGATATTTGGCCTGTCGACACCAAAGGCCTTCGTCCACAGCACCTCCAGCTCCCGGGTATAATCCACGAACCACCTCATCCCAGGAAGCGGCAATAACACCACCCTCAGGAACCAAAGCGTCGCAAGACCCGCAACCTGACTCATACTCCGTTCCCACGATTGCGCATCACGGGTCGTCACAATAACAAGCGCATCGGGGTATATCTCCAACAGTTCCGGGACGAGCTGGTCACCGGGGGAATCAGTGACAGCGACGTATCCATCCAAGGTAGATTCCATAAGCGCGAGGGCGGATTTATGGTCATCGGCCTGTCCTGTACCCCAGAGACGGAGAATCTGTATCCAGGATTTTATCTCCGACCCTGGCCCGAGTGTGATCTGCGTGCCGCTGTGGTAGACGGGGCCGTTTAACAGGATGGATAGTGCAGCGCTGAAAGAGGCCGTTCCGGTGCGAGGCAGGCCGGCGCCTATCACTTGGATTTTCTTCCCAGATTGGGGGATTGAGGGTTTTTGGCCCATTCAGATTGTGGTTGACAGGTATTTTTCTTTGGTGCAGTTGGGGTCGGAGGTAGGGCAGGCCTTACGAGGAGTACTGGCATCTGGTGGACTTATATAAATCGCACTCACCACAACGCAACAGTGCATTCAACATCCACCTGTCGTGGCAAGATACCTAAAAGGTCACTCGATTTATGGTACGGGAGTAAGCACTAGGAGAGTGTTCGTATTAAGATTGGATACCACGGCGTTGCACACTTGGCGGCTGAAACCAAGAGACTTGGACGTTTTCAGCTGAGCCTGCCACTGTGACGAGAAAGATTTTCCAGCGTCACATCAAACGCCTTGTAATTCTTCGCCGAGCGTTCAGCCTTACGCTCGTTGGGGGTTAATTTATGCGCGCCTGAGATAAGTAATATGGGCCCTAATGGGTAATAACCATAATTTGTCATGGTTACGACTAGCAAGTGGAGCAGAGATTTCTTGACGTCAGGGGCAACTGGTCCGATAGAATTACAAATTATTAAACTATCTAGCGCTATGTACAGTGTTATGCCGAAAATATGCAGAAATATTATACAAACTCGAAATGAATATGTCCACCTTTACCTCAAGAGCTCTCACTATTCTCCGCCCCACTGTCCTTGCTCTCTCCAGGCCGTTCTTGCGTATACCGGCCAGGCGCAGATGCAGATGAAGACGCGCCCAAACGATTCGGGTCCTTGTACTTCCTCTCCTGCATCTGCTCTGGCGACATGAGATTCGCGATCTTTAGGCCCCTTCTTGCGCCTGAAGACGCAGATCGAGGCGGCCCTTGCTTAACTCGTTCTGAAGGCTCAGGCGGCTGTGTAGATGACGATCTCGGGGGCCAGAGTTGCCCTTGTTTTGGCTGCTGTTCTGTCTCGGCGGGTTTCGCAAGTTTCGCAGAATTCTCCGCTGTAGGCGCCTCTTTAGATTTCTGCTGCGACTCTGCCGTCTTCCAAGATTGACCCTCATCAGACACAGGTGAACTGTCTTTCGACCTGTGTATAGACTTGCGCTGCGGTGATTGCAGCGGCACAGGCGGCCGGCCCTCAACAGGCGTCGGTTCTCGCGTAAGTTCCATATTGGCGATTAATTTCCCACAGAGATCCTCCAGAAAGTCGCGCGGGAAGGTATCCTTCTGGCGCGCATACTCCAGCACAGTGGCGCTCTTCGCCCAAGCATCCACAACCAGCTGGCGCGGCAAAGCGCCCTGGTCGGTGCGCGCATAGACATAACTGACGGTCGCGGCGCTGAGAACCGATTTCTTATTATTCGCGATTTTTTTCTCGCTCATCTCCAGTGCCATTGTTTGCAGCGGGCTGATCTGGAATTTCCCCGCCAGCACCCATAGCTGGAACAGGAAGATGACCTGGCACCGCGACTCGAGATCCGGCGACAGCGCGCCGCGGTACATCCAACTGACTATCTCGGCGAAGACATCGGGGTCTTCGGCTGGGAAGATGACGGGAGGACCCTCGGTGACGCCTGACCGGGCTCTGTCCTTGTAGACGGCGTCGAAATAGGGGGAGCACTCGCACAGCAGCTCCAGGTGCACGTCGAACGGCGTGTGCGAGGGTCCCACGTTGATGTGTGCTATCCCGGCACTTAGGGTTCTGCAATTTTTAGTATAGATATCCAGTGCGTGTATTTCTGGGGGGGGAGAGGTACTTTTTTTTCAGTTGGCCAGCCATTGGAGTGAAGAATCTCGCATCGCGAAACTCAGGGGATGATGTTTTAGGGAGTTTTTGGCTCGTGGCTGATCTGCAAGATTGACTGTGGGGAGTGTTCGTGAGTCCGTGAATGGGGCTTGTGCCAATGAGATCCACTGCTTGAATAATGCACATTGTTCCTTATCTTATCCGTCTATCTTATCGATGGCGTCAATATTCTATTTAAAAGCTGCGGCCCGAGGTGAGACTTCCACAATATAACCCGCTGACAACAGGGTGTCTTCCAACATAGGCTTGTGAAAACTTTCCCTTTGCGGGTTCAGGGATTCCTTGTCCTTTCCTCTGCCATGTCCCTGACTAACCGATCGAGGAAGAACCTTATAGGTATCTGGCCACCGATTTTACACTTCGGATGTACCTTTCCAAGGGCCAGGGGTCCAGGAACCACCTCAGGTCAAACTTTATATGTAAAGGCCAAACCCGGCCAGGCAGGCACGTCAAACTCCAATCGGGCCAATCTACCTAGTTCAGCTGCTGAAACTATATCGGAAAGCGCACTAAAGCAGGCATCATCATAGAAAGAGTCTTGATATAGTAGTTTCATAACCACACCTACTTTACTAGAACTTGTCATCAACCAACTGGAGCCATACTATACTTGTCTGTCTTCTACATGACCGACCACAAGCTCCGTGGAATAGCACACCAAGACCTCCTGGGTGCTGGTACCTATCGGGCGTCGCTATAAGCTAGCTACGCTAAGTTTGCAAATATAGTTCTGGCAGCCCAGGCAAACCTGCAGTGAGAGTTTCATTCCAAGCCAATGGGAGAGTGCCTTTATTATAATCCGACCAGGGCCCTGAGTCACAGGCGAAGTCGCGTGTAATTCAAAAGGCTTCTTTTTCCAAAAAATTTCTTCCCTTCATACATCTACCACATTACAGAATATTGATCAATATCTATCAAAAAGTCTACTCAGATCCAAATGAGCGATACCAACGCACAGCTACGGCGCATCGGCGTTGGCTTCTGCGGCACTGTCTGGGCAGCAGGGGATCATGGCTCGGCCTTCAAGCGCGAGGACGGCGGTCCAGACAGGTCGTTGCTAAACGACTACAACATGCACCAGCGTATACAGGATCACAAATCCTCGATGACCCAGATTCAAATACCCATTTGCCACGGACTTCTCACTCCGGCGAGTAAATGGTGGCACGACAACCTCGATCGATTCCCAGACGGATACGAGCCGTGCAATATGATCCACGCGCAACGAATCCCTCCCATCTCAGAGAATGTCAGACGACTCATTACCGAACGGTATTGTCCACCACAGTTAGTCCGAGAGATCATGGACAGTGAGACAAATCGAGACTGCCTCATCCGGCCATACCTGGGTCGACGGCGACACCATACAAAAAGGGCATCGAGGTTTCAAGCATTTTCTCTACGCAACTACCCCTTACACGTGGACCAGATGGAGGAACTTGGGATCTCTGAAAGTGATATCACCGGGTATGCACAGAGTATGGCAGAAGCTCTGGCTGTAATGCACTGGGATGCTGAGGTAGATGGGAATGATGTGGAGTTTGTTCTTGCCGCACCGAACGACGCCAAAACAACAGTCTTACAAAGGGAATGGTCCAATGTCCTGGGCCAACATTCAATCTGGCTACTCGATTTTGACCTGGTTCGCACAATGGACATGGAAGAACAGGGCGTGCAGCAGGCAGTCAAGGCGTTTTTGAACAACGACCCCTTCTTCCCTCGCCCTGATGGTTCGAGCATATGGAAGGCGTTCCGAGAGCAGTATCTACAGACAAGTAAAATGTGCATCGGGAGGAAGACTGGGGCTGGTTATGGAGAGTTGCACGGCCTACCTGACTTGTTCATTGACTCGCTAGAACAGCCGGGCAGTAACAGCGGCGCATTCGCCTAAGAAACTGTACAGAATATATGTCAATAAAGATCACTCTACCTCCATGGACTAAGACTTATGTAGCGGCATCAGTAACACAACGCAGTGGGTAGCACATCCATAAGTCTGGACAGAAATACCTACAGTAGATTCTTCACCCACCCCATCTAAGTAGGAGTATCTTGCGATTCGGCTCCCACTCTTGGGCCATGGACTGACTCGCGCATTCCGTGGAGTGTGTACCTTGTGATGTTCTCCGTACAAGATCCCGAAATCTGCTCGCATCCGGGTATGACAATCGAAACAGAAAGACTATTCCCCAATAGATCACCGAACGGGAACACGCTCGTAGTAACAAAGCAGGCAGACACTATGTCTCAGGTAGAGTATCTGCCGTAACCACATTCTGTTTCAAGTTCCGCGGTAAATTAAGGGATATATGGCTATATTCCTTGTCAAACTGGTAAAATGGGTAAAATGGCACGCTTAATTATAGGTGATTACGAACAAATCCTCGCCTAGTGCAGTAAATACAGTCCAATATCCCGGGTATACAGCTCAATCAATTTGTAAACGCCAGTCGCCTCTCCCTCCCCATCAACCAACCACACTGGCTCGACGAGAGCTCTTGGGTGTAGTACTCAGGGCACACAAGCCCAGGTGGGTGATTAGCGCTCCTACCGAACCCGATCTGCCGATTCTTGTGCAAATGAGAATGGGCTAGTCGTAACTCAACGGGTGGTAGATTCTGGCGAAGAGCCGGAGAGCAGCGATATCTGCAAAGCACCGATCCAAAGAACGATGCGAAGGAAATAAGAGAATAGCATCACCAGATAGAGAGATGCGATAGAAGCCAACTACGACTTGAAGCAGTATTTCTTGGTCGTCGTCGCCGAAGCAGATCCACAAGGCGCTTTGGCAAAGTAACTCGATTCAGCTATATTCGCACTCGATTGGAGAACGATCTCCGGTGTCAGGGCACACCCGGTACCGCAGGCGGGGACATAAGACAGAAACCGCGCGAGGACGTCTAGGCAGGGATTCGAGTAGGCGTAGAAGACGGCGGTGCGCCCGTGGTTGTCGCGTGCGGAACAGCAGGCGCCGCTCTTGTCTGTCTGCAGGAGGAGGTCGACGATTTCCGGGGAGGAGCCTTGGGCTGCGAGGTGTAAGGCAGTCTGGCCGTTGGTATCTGGGGTTGAGGGAGACATTCCGGCGTCGAGGAGGCTGCGGAGAGTGTCGGGTTGGCCGTGGAGGACTGCCAGGTGGAGTGCTGTGCGGCCATCACAGTCTGACTCTGCGGCTGCGAGGGAGGGCTTGGATCCAGCAGGGTAGCAGCATGAAGTGGTCATGTTGGCAGTCCTTTTAGCAGCACAGTAAGTTACACTGTAGAAGAGAAGAGAGAGACCTGCCTGACAGCCCGGGGACAGCTGTCTTCATAACGGCGATGGCAGCTTAACTGCGCACGCGACCAATTGCTTCTCCCAGCTAGCCTTGCCAGGATCCAAGGCAGAAATAGACTTCGACCGAAAAGTCCGATGGGGCAGATGGGGACGGCTTGCTCCGGGCGATTCGTGGACGAGATTGACCGGCCGAAGCACGTAAGAAGCGCGAGCAGCGAAGCTTCGACTGCTGGTCTGTGCCTGGACCCCGTGGGCAATCTACGGCCTCTGATTCGCCAGTCCGTCTGGTCCAAGACCGGAGCTCAACATCTGCGGTGGGTCTGCCCTGTCGGAATGACATTCCCACGAGAGAGGCAACTGGATAAGAGATGGCAATAGTACGGCCGGTGCTTCACTGCCCTCGACGCCTTTGCAGCGACTCAGCAAATGGCCAACGACTCCCGGCACATCCACCTCCCGGACTCGGATGCCGCGATCATCGTGATGCTCGGCGCCGTTGTCTCAATGACATTCGCGCTAGGCCTGGTAGTCCAAGTAAGTGCTGCTCCCTGTTATTATTACCTGAAACAATTGCCAACAGCCCAGCTCTACAACACAAAGCCCATCTTCCTCAGCGAGGATGAAGAAGCATACGGCTACAATCCCAAAGGAGCACCAAGCCATCGGATGGCCGATCTCGAAGAGGCTCCCCGACCATCACTCCACCGCGCCTCGGCAACTCGGTACGGAAGTATCACCCAGCATGTGGTCGATGCTGACGGGATCCGAAAGATGGTCCTCATTATCGAAGAGAGGCCTGGACGTGTGTCAGCCGCAGACGCGGTTCGGGACGACTACGCGGCGTGGTATGAGGCATGGAGGCAGCGGGGGCACTAGGCGGAAGTCCGACTGAGACGGCGCTCCATGTCGACGACTGGATGCAGGCAGTGCCACGAAATAGCCGGATATAACCCGGATACAGCCCGGGTCAGTGGGACCCTATTTGATCACCATGAATGCGACCCATGAATTCTCCGACAGACAAATTTACCCGGTGCTTGATACCTCTGGTCTCAAGAATACGAGCGGAAAGTGGGGATCCTGGAATTGCTTGGATTCGATTCGAGCCAGGGAATTCCCACCCTCATTAGTATCAGCCATTCAGAAGGCCGGAATCAACACGACCACGTTTTGCGCTGATACGCTGCTGGTCCTGCGCAGCTCTAACGAAGACCACAGGCGTTGGTCGCTGAGCGCAATGACTGGCGAATGCTGCAAGTTGGTCATGGTCGACGCGATGAGATAAAGTGGCCTACAGATATACAGAGAATATAAGTAATAAATTGGCATGCCAAGATAGAAGGACGCTATGTTTGTTGGACGAAGCTTGTCCCGGCATATTGCTGTCCATTATATACAAATGCCGGCACCTTGTCTCGCAATTCCATTGGTTTTATAACTAGAGCAACCTTCTTTAAGTTTGTAAATCGAGGACCTGTGACAGGTTTTCATGAGTACCGAGTTGCCTTTGCTTATCAAGCCGATGCCACTATTTACCAATCCTATTTTTCGCTTGCGGTTGTGTTCTAGCGGCCGTTCCATACTGCCCATCCAAACAGCGGTACAATTCAACAGTTCAGGTGTGAATATCTGGAGGTTCATATGGTGTATGTAATACTCTAGCTCCGCTAGCCGCGCGTCCCGGATCTCGTGGAAGAGCTTCTCCAGGAGTTCAGTCTCAAGGTTATTAAGGATAAATAGATAATTTAGCCTGTCCTTCTACTTCCACCCGCAGTCCTTCAGCACAGTCATCTCCTTTAGAGTTAGACAATGCCGTTGTTCCGGAAGCTCAAGACTTGTTTTACAAATCGAAAATGTAAGAAATAACTAGATAAATGTTTTTGTTTTACAGAAAGAAGATGTAAGCAACCCTTCCTATGCGTTGTTAAACCATGCTTTGCATTGCACGATGCTCTCCTCCTGAATTCTCTGATACAACACCATCTCGTCTGCCACGTCTACGCCGAGAGCCTTCTCAAAGTCACGCTTGCTAGCCGCGTTACTGGACTTCAAGTATACGGCTGCGCTGTCGCCGTTCTTGTTCAGGTTGCTCTGGAAGATACCGGCCGCGCACGGGTATGTTCCAGTCTCGCATGCTTGATTGGACTGCGTCAATGTCCAGTACTCGTGGGGTTAGGTGGTTGATGTGCGGCGACTTGAAGGAAACAATGTCTGCCAGAATAGGGCTTTCAGATGACATCTCCTGGTATTGGGCAAGAGATACTGCCGCCGAGGTGTGCCACTGGAAGGCGCTCGTTGCTTCGGCGACAAACTCTTCGGTTTCAGATTCGACAAGGCCACCGTTGGACTCGTAGATGGCCAGCAGAGTAAACATCTTATCGGAGAATATACGCCGACGGCAAAGAATCCTGGTGGCGCGTTGCCGAAGGTCATCCGACTTAATCAACTCTGGGCGTAGCAAGGACACAAACAATCGAAAAGAATTTTTAGAGAGCTCGGAAGCTTCAGGTGCTCGGAAACAAGTCGCGTGCACAGGGACACCGGCCGATGCGAGATCATAATATCCAGTAGGAAGCATATTCAGGACGTGCAGGACGCGCCGCAGCTGGCTCAGCTCGTCTGGCCGGCCGACTCGTATGGCTCCGTGACGCTCCAAGTGGATTCTGTCGAGATTGTCGGTAGCGGCGAGCTTTTCGCGAAGCTCAGGTTCGTTCTTAAGTACTCTCTGATTCGTCTCTCCAACCAGACTAAGCAGTTTGCCATAGAGAGGGACCTCCTTGGAGTACATGGCCGACATGGCCACCGCGAAGGCTTGCCTGATGCCCGCTGACGGGACATGCTTGCGCTCAGTGCTGTTTGGCATCTTGACGATGCCCGTTGCTGGATGGCGCAAGATCTAAGCTCGTTCTTTATAGCTTAGTTATAGGGATTAAAGAAATGAAGCAGGTAGCTACTTAATATAGCTACTATTAGTTACAAAAAGAGCCTAATTACCCTCGTATAATATACTAGTTATCTTTATTGTTCCAGATCATATAATACACAGGTCCAGACTGCAAAGTCATACTGTGGCCGCACGCAGTAATACCGACCCATTCTTCTAGGAGAGGTTCAAAATATTCGTAAAAAATCGATACCTTAGCTGTTGGGAGGGTTGATGTTGAAAATGCGTGCAAACATTGATGGATCTGTCGAGTCATTAATGGACGAATTTTATTCCAAGCATGTTAAGGTGAACCATCGGTTGGAGCAAATGAGTGGTTATCTAGGTCCAACTAGTAATGTTAATACACGTCATATCTGGATGACAAGTCAAAAGACCCACGATAACCCTGTTGTCATCTGATGCCTCCAGGCACCAAGGTCACCGAGGATGCCTTTTAGTTCAAAGTCCTTCCCCCACCTTTATCTGATTCTTTCAGTTCGCTCGTTGCTTGCTACTGAGGCCTTGAGCATATGAAGAACAAAACCTTGTTTGTCGCCATCTGTTGGTACATTGCAAAACAAAATGTATGCACGTTCACTTCCAAAGCACTATTCATCTACAGACATTGGGCTAAAATTGCGCTATCCTGCCGAAACAGGGAGTAAGTCATCTGCTGGGTGAAGAGAATGCTTATCGATCCATAACTAACAATTCCAGTCTGTAAGTAATCGTCCATAACATATTTTCAATATCAATGACTTGACCTGTTCACCATCTAGTTTGTGAGTGATTCCCATTGCCTGTGGAAACTCACTATCAGTTGACGTTGCCTCTAATAATATACTTTTACCTGTGGGTAGTTTGTAAGTCAGCCATCTCCCCGTGTATAATAACTCAAGGGCTTATACGTTTTTGAATTAAGTGTGTGAGTGTTATGGCTTCGAACCGAACTTGCTGGAGTCTTTATTAGGGCGGCCTTTCTAACTGTATAACACTTAATGGGTTGCAGAGTGTAAGTATATCCAGTTTATCTGAGATTATTCCACACTGACTTCTGATTCAACTCAAGGATGTACGTTTCCTCTGAAGTTAGGTTAGGGTGCTATTAACAGTACTGATGGTGTATCACTTCTCTAGCGAGTAAGTACTTCTTCAAAATATCTCAGTGCTGAGTCAATACCTGACACTTCCTTTTATATAGTTTGTGAGCAGACTCCTTATAATTCTAGTTGCCGGTATTGGATGTTTAGTAACAAGAGCTGCCTCTCCTTCGTGTTGTGAAGATTGTGAGTGACCGTCAGGAAAAATGGAAATTTCACTGCCAAAGACTAATATATATCACGTTAAACTCCTTAAGTGTGTGAGATAGTCCAAGATACCTGCCTATTTGGCTCGGGATACTGATGAGATTTGCATATTCCAACGGCTCTTAGAACGTGAGTTGTTGACCCTAAATGAGCATGAAGAATGATCTAACTTTCCAAATATGAATAATTTCAGGATGTAATCACCCTCAATTAGGCTGCTTTATTTAGTTATCATAGGCTTACCTTCCCTCAATCGGCACTCGCAGGATGTAAGTTATTCCCGTGGATGGAGAGCCAACGCAAAAATTTAGTGCTGAAAGACAAAACAGGAAGAAGAGCGGAAGATCCCCGGACAATAGAGGAAATGAGGTGACTGGTAAAGAGACAGGTACGCCGCGGATAAGTGAAGGATTTCAACTGTTTGCAGAGTTTCTGATCAGCTTTGACTCTACAGGAAATTCCGCGACTCCGAAATAGGCAACAGGCCTATTATAGCGAGAGAGTATGGTGCCAAATGAAGTGGTTGGAGAACGACTCGTATGAGAGTGGATGTATTGGAGTGTTGAACGCGGAACATCTTAAACTCCTTGTTTAATGCATAACACAGGATTTCAAGTATTGGACTTAAACAAAGCTAAGGATGACTTAAGGATAACTAGGCTAGTGACCATGAACAACTGAGCATATTAAGAATATGGAAAAGACAAGCAACTTTACTTCCTCAAGCCTAGATAAGCTTAGATTTAACACCAGGGCATACTCTAGAGCACAACACGGGGAAGCCTGGCGGCGAACAATACACATGATATCTCCTGCGTCCAGGCCCTGGTGCGTTCCCAGAGGAAAACATGCAGAGGGTGGAAGCTAGGTGGCGAGAAACAAGGATAGACTGAAAATCAAAATATGGCATATAATCATCACTATGTTCCATGGTGAAGTTATATCTGCTGAGAGCCATAGGGACAGAATTAAAACAGAATACATGAAAGTATTAAGTACTATAATATTGAGCTAACCTAGTTAATTAGCTACTATTTCTGATAGTAATCTTCTAAAGATCATACCAATATCTAGAAAATACAGACTAACTCTCCTTGTTCTTCGCTCATCATCACGGTGCAGCCCAACACATTGATAGGAAGGCGATGCAGTTTGTAAATATGGGCGATAACCCGCAGATCAGCTTGGCCGCCTTCTCCAATCTTAAGCCGATCCCCCTCTTTACTTTCAACTCCAACAACACACATCAGACCAAATGCCCGACCCAAGCACTCTCCCCCTCGAGCTCTTCACAGAGGTAACAACGCTCGCCCTACAACCTCCTATCGACACAGCCAACCAAGCCGAAAACACAGAACGCGAATACGACTTCCACGCAGGAATAAACATCCCCCACCTCGCCCAACTCACTCTGGTAAACCGACAATGGCACAGTCTGCTTCTCCCAACGCTCTACGCCCGATATATGCATAATGGCGCGAGGCATTCATACACCTCGCTCTGGCGATTCGTGCGAACAGCCATCTCGAACCCACAAATCGCGCAGCTGGTGCGCGCCGTGAGTATCGGCAATTTCGGGTTCTATCCGGGTGTTGCAGCCCACGATGAACTTGTTCGTGGAGATAATGTTGAGTTTACGCAAAAGGAGGTTGAGCTGATGAGCTGCGCATTGAGGAGCGTCTTTACCAGCGGTGATGTGCTAGAGGCGAAGGTGCTTGACCCCGGGCCTTTGGTGGAGAGAGATAGTCGGCCGCTTGTGGTGTTGTTGTTGGTTTGCCTGTCGAATCTTGATACGGTTTATCTGCATCTGCCAGAGCACTTTTCCGTGTTGAGGAGTGTGTTCGAGGAGATACTGCGGTGCCAGGATGAGGATGGCGAACTACCCTGTCTGCGAAACTTAACGAGTCTGTATCTGCTCGGTGAGGCTCCGGTCTACGGGCCGGGTAGAGATGTTTCTCTTGACTGGCCTGAGCCGGCGTTAAGAATGCACGATATATGGCCGTGTCTCTACTTTACCGGACTGCGCAAGCTAGCTCTGTATGGCTTAGAAACACAGGGGATTGCCTCGCTTCTGGCAAAGAGTAATGGTCGGACCTGCCGGATCAAGGAGTTGCGCGTCGTGGTATTGGCCACGACGACTCGCTCTTCTACTGATCTTCTAGCCCTTGTCAACCTGCCACAGTCCCTTGCTTCGTTCTCATTATACTGGGATCACAACATACGCAATCCCATTACACGGCAGAAAGAAGAAGAAGCTCCTGTGATATTAGTCACCGACATCTGGGACGCGTTACAAAAGTATAGAGAGAGTTTAGAGGAGCTAGCAATCACCTACAAAGTCCACCAGGACGACGAACCGCCTCCAGGCCATTTCGGCTCTCTCCGGGAATTCCCACGCCTGAAGCGACTCGACACCCAACTAAGCATCCTCCTGGACGGCATGACGCCAGAGCGCTTTGCGCCATTCCGGTTGAAAGACACTATCCCCGAGAATCTAGACACCCTGGTCATACATCCCGGCTGGGTCGATGAAGTGGATATGTACTTCCCGAACACCGAGTTCCAGGCCGTGGTCGCCGAGCGAAGGCGGCCTCTGAAGCGCCTTGTGATAGATGACTACCTAGCCGTGCCGTTCTATAACAAGGCCAAGACAATAGACGCAGGTAGGGTCTATGTAGGAATGGAGCCAAATGGCCCAGAGTCATATCCAGGGCTCTGGGAACTGTGTAAAAAGGCTGGCACCCAGCTGGATGTCGAAGTTGGCTGTGTCAATATTTGTATCGAGGACTTTTGTGAATTCCACCAGGGAGGCGCCTGTCTCTGGCTCTGGCGCAAGACCTGGAATATCTGCCGCGATGGATTCCATCGGAATAAAGAGGGTGTTGAACGGCTGCGGGAGAAAGAAGAGGACATGCTGAGTATATCTTCATAAATAATACATCCAGTGGCAAGCGAGCCCGCGCCGAATTTATAACGGATTGATCTCCGAGGCATCGTAGGAAATAGTGGGGTAGTTTATAATGGTAGCCCTGGGTCTGGATTCAGTCTCGTTCCGGGTGTGGGTCACATATTCCAAGACACTTCTCCAACAGGAAGCTAATCATATCCAGCATTGGTTACCTACTGATCAGATAAGATACCTAGGCTCCATTTCAGCTCTCGACGCTCATTCTGAGCTCAGTCCCCCAGACGTGACAGTGCTTCTCCAAAATGCCAACCCGGAAACGACCCACTGGGCTTAGATTTGGGGAAATCTTGGAAAGCCGGCGATCAGCGAAGTGCCCACCTGCAGTAAGTAGTGCGGTGGAAACTAACTCCACTGAGGCAATGACTCATACAGTCCGCACTCCTTGAACGATGACAGGAGATCGTATGGAAGGAATGATCCATATCAAGTTCATGGGAGCAAGGGAATTGAAAAGTCCGGGGTCTGGGTCCGAGGAGGTAACGAAGTAGATACTCTATTGACAGCGGTACTGGTTTCGATATCAATCTCGTCTATGAATACAGTAGAGTGACTATCCTTGGTAACAGAAGAAATTGAAGGCCTTAGAGGTATAGACACATCCCTTTCCATTCTACAGTCTGTATACTTTAGAACTTGATTGGGTTTAGTATCTATAACGGAAATGAGAATTAGTTGCGTCCATCTGGCCGGTAAACGCTCATCTCAAACCCATTGGTAAAAGGAAGTGTCATATTCTGGAACCCATTCGCAGGTTCTCGTAAATAAGCCAGTAAATCCGCGTAACCCTTGGCCCCCGAGATAGTGTTGTCAGTAAGGACTACAGCGCCTGGCCTAAGGCGCGGTAGAACGGTCTTGAGCGTGGGCAGAGCCAGAGCCGACCAGACTGCTTAATTAGCAAGGGCTTTGGAAAGGAGAATAAAGACAGACTCACTATCCAGCAAGAGAAGATCAACCTCCGGTAGCCCGTCTCGAAGAGTTTGGAGCAAATCGCCCTCTCTCAAGTCAATCTGCTGCTCAACTTCAGGCCCACACTGCGCCCAGTACTTCCTCGCAATCGCCGCCTTCTCACTCTCCTTTTCAGTCGCAATTACAACGCCCGATTTACCAGTAGCAGCCGTGGTTTTGGCAATAGCAAGAGCGAGGTAAATCGTGCTGACGCCGAAACTCGTCCCTGCCTCGACGACATTGGTTGCACCCGTGGCGTTGATCAGTTGATAAACGAACTGACACTTATCCTCGTCCAGGGCAATGAATTTGTCGAGCATCAAGCGATCGAAGTCATCTCTTGGACTGGTCTTGGACTGCTTATCCTCGAGGTCGCCGAGAATATCTGCCGAGAAGACTTTTCCTGTTTTTGAAATGCCGGCTTCTTGCTCGAGGGAGATTTTGTGCAACTGCGACAGAAGTTGTTGGATATGAGGGGCAGCATTGATTGGAGATGGGGAGGACATCTTGAAGGTATTCAAATCTCAGAATACAGAGTGTAGACAGAAGTCGATAGCAGGACGGGGAGTTGCTCATACTTAACTATGCGGATGTCTTGGCATTTTGGAGAAATATTGGGTGACACACTTACGGTAGTTGGAGAAACAAGGAGAAACTCATTCTCAAAGACTCCTACAGCTTTATTTAGCAGTCACTGAGTGTAACTGATTATCTCTATATACACCACACTCCAGGATCTTCGCATAGGCATCCAAGATCTTCCCTATCATCCGTACCACATTCCAATGCGCCTTCCCACTGAATATCACCGCCCAAATCCGAACAACCCTCGTGCACAAGTCAGCAGAAGACACTGAATCCATTTCCCCTCCAGCCTCTGCCTCAGTCGCCATATCCACTATATACGCATGCAACCTCGCCTCTTCCTCGTCCATAGTCCCTCCCGTCACATCAGGCTGTATAGCAATCAGCCACTTGCTAATAATGAACGCACACTCAAGCGCACAGAGCGAATGCTGCAGAGACCACGAAAACGCCTGATTGTGCTTAACGATATTAATCCCGATTTTGACAGGGATGCTCAGCGCATGCGCGGAGTAGAGGACCGCGCGGGTGATCCTGGAATTCGTCGGTGGAGGCGGACTATTATACATGGACAGCGCAATCTCATACGGGATATGGGTGTTCAGAGCGCGCCACGGGCCGAGATCTACATTAAGCCTGATATAAGCCATGCGGAGCAGGGCGGTTGAGTTGAAGGATATAGGGCCGAGGGGACTCCCCGGGCCTAGGAATGATTCTGGGTCTTGGTTCCATCCGCCTTGCCAGTTTATCAATGCTCGCTCGATGCTGGTTGTCTCCTCGGGGCTAATTGTTTGGTCTCCTGATCTGCACTTTGCTAGTGATCGAAGGAAGTATATGTGCTGTATCAGGGCGAGAATCAATGTGTAGCCACCCAGGGAAGAGCAGTGCTGTTGACAAGCCTTTTCCGTTTGTGGTGAGAATAACAATGCGAACGCTGATTGAAAGTCAGGCTCTGGATCATGTTTGCTGCGAGCCTGTTGCCACTCTTGCTCGCTGTCTGCCTCCCAATCCCTTTCGCGTGAAGGTAGACGAATTTCGAGTTCCGAGTTAAGAAGAGGAGGTGGCAGATCGTAGATGATTGTATGGAAGTTGAAAAAGCAATAAATGATCGCAATAGTCCTAGTAAAGCCCTCCTCTTTGATCCATACATCCCATTCGGGGCTTCCAGATAGTCGTCGCTCTAAGAGCTTTTCGGCTCTCAAGTAGTTGATCAAAATGTTCTGAATCCCGATGGCCTCGTCGTATATAGCTTCTGAATTTCCCCAGGTGGCCATTGCCATAAGTATAAGTAATGCCTGCGCGAGGGGAAGCGGGTCGAATCTGGACTCGTGTCCCATCTCGCGGCCTGGCTCTGGTTGTTTTGTTTCACCGGGAGGGACGTCAGGGATGGCCTCTTTGGGCCCTGGACATTCTAGAGCTGACTGCTCAGTTTGGAATGTCATGAAATGCCACTGCTCGTTGCGTTGACGAAGCCGTTCGTTACAAATTGCAAATGCAGCTCGATATAGCATAACAGCGTTGTTATTCTCGAATGCCGATATCGCACCAATCGTTGCCATCGACAGGATCAGCTCGACAGGGCATTTCGCAGTGGAGAATGTTGGCAAATGGATGAAAGGAAGGTGACGGTGAAACCCAGCAAAGTAGGTAGAAATATACCGGGTCATAGTGTGCCGAGAAGGGAGAAAGAATTCTGTAGGAATTACCGAGCTGAAATGTTGGATTTCGGTAAAGAGACAGTCCCAGTCCCGCTGTGTGACTCTCTGGGGCTCTCTCCTCGCTTTTGCTTCGTGGGACTGCTCAAATGAAGGTAATGTAGATGTGAACTCGTCAAAGAATCGAGGTTCTGGAGCGTATACTCTATTTGATACACCAAGTTGGGTATCTGAGTCCTGGAGTTGAAGTGATTCAAAAGTAGGAAAAAGTCCAGATGGGGCCAGTTGTAATAGTGTTGGGTCGACATAAAACGACGATAGATCACCATCGTATGTCCCATTTATACTGTCTATGAATAAATCAAAGTCGCTTATGCTGTTAGCCTGCTCAGCGAGTCCCACGTCGAGTGTAGGGGTAGACGACGTAAGGTGACTTGAAGCAGGTGCTGAGTGTGAAAGCAATTCAGCGCCATGGTCAGGAACAACGCCAGCTGGCCCTTGAAAAGCTTCTGGATTTGTCGTTCTGGATGTGGATGGTGATCTAAGGTTCTGGCCTTCTGGGTGAGCACCGGACGGGGATGGGGAGGCACTGTAACCTGAATTCTCTATTTTCGGATCCCCATGAGGAGCCTCGGCTTTCTCGTGAGTCAGGCCAGTATGACGAGCCAAGAGATCTCTATTATGCTGTTAATCAGCCCATTTTTAGGAGTGGCGTATATGGAAGGAGATATACCTTCGCGCAAACCCAGCAGGGCAGATTGTGCACCGAAAAGGCTTCTCCTTAGTATCTATACAAGTCAGTTAAAGCAGTTCATAAAGAGACAGGGGTATTACGCAGTCTTTCATGTCGCTGTAGATGCTCCTTTCGATGGAAGGCCCTGGTACAGAAACTGCAGTGGAACGCCTTTTCGGCCTCGCGACGGCCACTCTCTGTTTCGATAGACTTTTCTTGTATCTGGCTGACGCAGCTGAGTCTAGTCCGTTTCCTTGGAGGCATAATAGAATGACGGGACAAATAACCAGCAGTATGTGAGATTAAATGAAGGACAAGATGAACCCCGCGAATGAGTCAGGCGATTGTGGCCCGTGATTGGCTGTCTCCACCGGTAACTGTCCACCATCAGCAGTGGCCATCTGATAACATATGGGGGGCTGGGAGGGATAGATGATATCTATTATGCTGCCCATTACAGACGGGGCATGTTATTAACAGCAAAATTACTGCCCTGTTGTTTCCGCAATTTGGCATGGTGTATCTTACTAGCTATTAACCGTGGATCAACTACAGTATATAGTACAGTACTAGAAATGAAGCTCAAGGAAGTGTCCCGCCCCCTGCTCAATCCACGATATGCTAACTGCGGGTGGGTTGCTGTTAGGGCTGTGCCTGGGTTTTAGGTGATTGTTCTGTTTGTATAAGAGCATCGGCGCCGAGGTATGCAGTGTATCAGAATAGAAGCCAGCAAGTAAATGCACTCAGGCTAATGATTAGCTGCAATTCTTGCCAACGTCTGGAGGGGATACACGACCGCCGCAGCGTAGGCATCTGGCAAGCACGACGCAATGACCTCAACCATCCGCAAGCCCCAGTTCCCACACCACCACTGAGCGCTGCACTGTCCGAGTAGAACGGCATAGTGAGCTAGGATAACCAGGGATACGGGGTTACGCGACCTCAGAAGATCTAGAAAGCCATCTTGAATGAGGTTCGGCCATGCAAAGGGTCGCAGATATAAATTCAAATTGAGCGACATGGCCTGGCTGAATACCTGCACTGCGTGAGTGTTGGTCGCGCGGACAGCCTCATTATCGCCAGACGCGTCCACGAGTGACTGTATGCCTTTGACCGCGTTCACCAGATCTGTATCCCCTGCGTAGCCCTCCGGCTGGGCTAGGGTGTCTTCTTCCCGCAGCCATTGGGCCCGTTCACGGTATTTGTCCAATGCCTTGTCTCGGCGTGAAAGACCGGCTGCTCTCCGAGTCACCACATGTCCCTTGATCAGGAGGAGGATGTGGATTGTTTCATCTAGTACAGTGTCCTCATTCCATTCCGGTCGATCAAATTGCGCCAGTGCCAGGACGTAAATGGAGACGAGGAAAGCAAAGGCCTGTATTACTTGCACTGTTTCGAGGTTTAGGGTCTCGATATTGGCGGCTTCTTTCTGAAACCCGCTCATGGCGTCGGAGCAGCCGCAGAGAATGAATTCCCGATATTCTTCGGTAAATTTAGGATTGTTGGTGAGGCCCAGGTGCAGGGCAGACAGTATAAGGATCATATGGAGGAAGTAGTCATGCCGCATGGCTAACTGGACAGCTTGATCACGCCAGAAATAATTGAAGCCTGGGCTGACTGCAAAGGACTCTGCCACATTCAGAATCCAGTGGTGAAGAAGCTCAAACTCCCAAATGCTCAGCATGGACCTCGGTTGGGTCCCACCTGTTCCGGGTGTCGCTGCTATTGATGCTTGTCGCGCCGGTGAGGCCTTTGGTGATCGTAGAATGCACGGTACATTGTACCTCGCGCAGGCGCCACAAGTAGGCCGTACTTCGTCACACTTGGTGCGCTTTTCCCTGCATCGAAGACAGCCCAGTCGGGACTTGGTGTGTGGTCTCCGGGTTGCCATTTCAGATGCTGATGGACACGAGATACGGATAATAGATATGTGGTGAAGGAGAATAGTTATGAACGTTAGTAATATGTATCAAAGTATCTATCTGCCTAATGAGTGGAGACACCAGGTACGAATCCTGCGCCATGTCTCATCTCTTGGACAGCCGGGCACGCCTGTGGAGGCGCAGCACCAGAGTCCCTGACAAGACTTTCACTTTCAAACCTCGAATACCAATAAGAATATCTAGAATCAGTAAATAGCCCTGGGTTACCTCATTTTTTTGAATTGGTCCCCTGCATTGTATACAGCTGCCTGGTGTGCCCGATCTGATGTTCCACATTTCAGCCCCAGATCCGCACACTGGGGATACGAGATACGATGGAAAAGTGGGACATGGGCCATATTCCTTCCGGTGGTGCGCCACGAGGAAATGGTTCAGCTTGGCCATCGTTACTGGAGGGCTTCGTCCGTCCAGATCCTGCTCAGCCTCCTCGCCCCAATTCTGTTTGCCCTCTGTTAGGGTTGCATCCATGATGTCTCGGCCGCTTGACCTGCGCATCGAGGCAGGTCCAATCGATCCTCGTGCGGACCAGCTGGCTCACCAAAAGTAAATCAATTGTCATTAAATTCTTCATTAAAAATACATGGTCCCATTCGGATAACCTTCAAACCAAATAACGTATAGTCCGCCACTAGTTCGTGGATCTGCGGTTTGGCCTTTCCACGACTAATCCCGAAAAAAACGGCCTGATCGAACCCCTGGTGGAGATCATTTTGCAGAGGTCTGAATCAAGGAATGCCCTTATCCTGGATTGAGTCTGGTGACACTGATTCAGTGGTTCATTGGCATGTTTCATCCACCTCTCGACCCACTGGCACGGATACACGATACGGAACACGGCGCATGAACTGGCTGGGGCGAATGCGCGGACTATCCTCCAGACCGCAGGCTTTGCATCTCCATCTAGAACAAGATGTTGTCAGTAACGTCAGAACCCCCCAATAGAGCTGCCATAGGGTATCAAATACATCGGTATCTTGCCGTTGTGGCCGGTCGCCGTTAAAGGCAAGGTATATCCGGCGAAGGTTTGTCTCCCTCACACTTCGCATATAGGCAGCTTGTTCGTGGGACAAGTTCAGCCGTTGACAATCAGCTGGCTGTGGAGTCCATGGGCGAAGAATTGCTGCTGCAAGTGCGACGGATGCCAGGCAGCAGACTAATACAATAACAACGATAGCAAAGTTGCTTAAGGCCATTGGGTCGTGAATTGTCCAACTCGGAACGGTGCCATTGGCATTTATTTATGTACCTTTCCATTGACTGCCAAGCGGAGGATGGTGCACTGCCTTCCCTGGCAGTGGCATCAGTGGGGACCAGGGCGCTCTTCGCCCTCGAGCCGGTGTTGCATTATTCTCTTTTTTAAAGTCAGATCCTTGGTTAACCGCCGTGGTCCATTTCCCTGATCCGTCAGAATACAAGAGCTGACCAACTGATAACCAGATGCTGTGATTTTACCTCCTGTCAGACCCTAAGGAAAGACTGTTTGCTATACCAGTATATCGAAATCAGTCTGGAAAGTACTGGAATGGCTGGGTTTGCTATTTTCCTCCTAACAAGTCACGAAAATAGTTATTAATTACAGATCTATTTAGCCAACGAGCCACTGGCATACAATGAACGTCTAAACCCCCATCCCGTCTAACTCTTCCTGCGAGGTCCAGAACGCGCATCTGGCAGCAAGACCATCATACCCATACTTGCCGTTACTGATCTTTCGACTCCCACTATCTGGCCCACTGATGACACGCAAATACTCATCCTGTCCAGCACCAGCAGAATCAAAAGCGCCCACCCACCCGTCGACCGTCCCATTCCCAGCCGAAGGACGTCCAGTCTTCGCAAATGCAGTCCAGCTCCCGCTCATCTCACTCGACAGCCTCAGGTCCTCCTTCGCGGCATACGGGGCCCACGCCTCAGCAGACGCCTGGTTGAATACATACGGGATATCACTGAAATGGGAAACACCAAGATACGAGACATTCGCCGCGGAATACGCCTCGCAGAGGATTATCTGGCTCAGGGAAAAGGGATAGTTCGCTGCATCCGGTGAGACTTGTGGTTCATCTGCACCGTGTATAGACTTGCGCATGTGAACTCTGCATCACGCTTAAGCTGGCTTATACGGAAGTAATGAGCGGAGATGTTCTCGGATGGAAAGTCCTGGAAGGACGAGACTGGGTAAAGGGCCATGGCTGCTTTGATTGTTTTATTCGACAAGGCCGGGTACTCGTATTTAAGGTATGCAGAGACGTCTTCCTCGGACGAGAGAGTGGGTAGGGTAGAAAAGGATCCGTCGTCCTCGTTCCATCCAGACAGTGTGTCGATATTCCGCGAGAACCGCCCTGTTGCTAGCAGCTTGGACGGACTGTCGGGGATAAACCTGGATGGCGCAACAGGGATGAACGCACCCATACCTGCATTGCCGCCGACTTTCTTCTCATATGCAACAGCAATAGAGTTGATTTTGGCCATGGGGATACTGCGCAGACATTGCACAAGGCTTGTCAGTTGTTTGGTATACGACAGGGACTTGTCTCCAGCGGTTTCCCTGTCCGCTATGGGACCGCCAGACTGCATGATGTCTCGCTTAAAGGGCGCCTTCTGCTTGCCCCGATATGCTGTGATCTGGAGACCAACACCCGTTGCTCCATCACTCTCGCCGAAGATGGTGACGTTGTCTGGGTCACCGCCGAATGTCGCAATATGGTCTCAAACCCATGTCGCTGGTCGAGTAGTCCTACATTCAGCGAGTCCGTGGCATTCAGGGCAGGTGAGGCGGCGAACCCAAATACCCTGACGCGGTAGTTCATCACGACATAGATCACTGGGGATCATTTCTCAGGTGCACCGAGCACCAGCCCCGTTGGATCGTACGCGGAGTCATAGATCTGGCCGAAGGTGTCGCCTCCGCCGTAGATCCACACCATAACAGGGAACTTTGCAGATTCTGGAGTGCCAGCTGGTCGATCGACTCGCAGCGTCAGGCAGTCCGCAGACATGTGTGTGACATTGTCGAATAGTACAAGATGGATGCGGGTTTATATATCGAAGCACGGAGTATCTATGGAGGTTAAACTAAGCACAACAAGGAAGGCAAGAGACATTGCAGCCCAGCCCTGATATCTCCACGAGGCTGAGTCTGCCTTTCTAGTTAGCGAGTTCTCATTGGCTGAACATCTCGGTTACCTTTATGGGAATGCGATACGTCGATCGTGATCCACCATCCACCGTTCATTCAGCGCAGTTTGCTTGGATAACCTTGACCAGACACTATCAAAACGAGGAAGAAACGATTAAGACGATTCGAATTGTGTCTAACTGTATATATATAAAATGGTTAATTTAAGTATCATAAAAAATAAATTCGTATAATATCTGGACGTTATAAACGTTGAGAATATCCAAAGGCACCAATATATATACTACAACAACGCTTCATAAAACCCCAGCCAAAACTAACAATTAAACACCCTCAACCTTCCTCCCCAGATCTCTAACCCGCACAAAGTCCGCCTCACGCACAGCCAAAACCCCAAGAACCATAGTCACAACCATAGCAACAATCTCCTCCAGCACACTCATACACAGAAAGACCGTAGGGTCACCGACAAGAACCGTAAAGCGCGAGTCGTGCCCGTAGTCAGCGACGGCAGAATAAACCAACCGGACAATCAGGAAGGGAATTGAAAGGCCAATGGCGAGGAATAGCTTCTTCTGGAATGCGCGCAGCCTGCCCTGCAGCTGGACGTAAAGAAACACCGTGAGAAGGAGGATAAGCGCGAACACGGCGAGGAAAATGCCCATGGATGCCTGGACGATTTTGCTTGGGTGGTAGGTCCCATCCTGGCTATCTGCTGAGCTGAAGCCGGCGATACCTAGGATAAGGCCGATGATACAGATGATGGTTACTGCGGGGATGAATCGAGGGGGCATTCGATTTTCCGTATCACTGTATTGTTATTAGTCTACATTGGTCTTGAATATGTAAAGTGTATGGAGACTTACATTTGTCTCAGTATTCCAATATAAGTCAACAGAAGAGGAGCAATGCCGATGAGCTCGCATACTGCGACGGCGATTTCAGTGTCGTGGGAATCGTGATCGATCGAGATAAGTGAAGCAATGCAGCCGGCAATGCGGATGAGGGAGAGTGTAACGGGGTATCGCCAGATCTTGCTGCCGACCCTCCAGCCTGCTCCACTCCAGATGAAAATACCAGCAATAAGGATGAAGGGAAAGACGATCAGCTGGAGAATGGCAATGCCATGGCGGTAGGTCACAGTGCCCATTGTGTAGTTGAAGGTTGGATCAAACCAAGTGGCTGAATATAAGAGAGATAATGAACTGGATACTTTGAAATGACAGGAGAGAGTCCCTTTTATGTCTTTTTCAAGCTTCAGTGTCTTTGTATCAACACAGCCCTATGGACCATACAATTCAATCAGAGCGTTGATTGGCCGGACATCTGAGATACCAAAAGGAGACTAGCGGCACACCGACAGGCGGGTCCATTCGGGATCGCCCGACCAATAACGACGGGGAAGCTTTCAGCTCCAAAAGGGGCTGAAGTGAAGACAAGACACGGGCCTCTGGTCGAGCGACACTGACGACGCAACTGGATCTCTGTGGCTGCAGATTGGGCAGTGGCCCAGCTGAGAATGCTTAGCGTATGGGGGCCAGAACTGCCATTGGCAGCCTGATAGCCGAGTATTTCTTCACCCCGCGTCAACGCTGCAAGACGAGACTGCCGAGACACAACGCCAGGAAGCTTGGTTCGTCTTGACTTTACACATTTCTCTTGGCTGTTTATCTCGCATCTTACATATCTGGACTGTGTTGTTGGGCAGCGATGGCACCCCCCATCCGCGCAAGAGCCTCCCGCAACTGTGCCAACTGCCGGGCTGTTAAACGTCGAGTACGTGAAGCCTTCCTATTTTGTCTTTCCTTCATCGGAATGAGCACTAACGTTCCACACGAGTAGTGCGACAAGCAAGTTCCCCATTGCGGACAATGCACCCGCCTGCGCGAGAAATGTCCTGGATACCGGGACGAGTGGGAGCTCGTCTTCCGCGACCAGACCGGGCAGACCATCCAGCGATCCAAGGAAAAGCAAAAGAGTAAAAATGCGATATGCCCTGAGACACAGCATACCAAAGCCGAATTGGCCATGCCACCCCGCAGCCTCAGCCCCAGCATGGGCCAGAGAGGCGTCAACTACTTCTTCCACCACTTCGTCACCGGCGACCACAGCCCAGAACGCGGCTATCTCAACTACATCCCCGCCGTGCTCGGCGCGGACGGGGACCACCCAACCCTCGTAGCAAGCATGGCAGCCGTGGGCCTGGTCGCGTTAGCAAACTCCACCCGGCAGCCCGAGCTGGTCCGGCACGCGCGAGCCAAGTACTCGCAGGCGATCTGCAGTTTAAACGACGCCCTGGCGTGTCCTGTGGAATCATGCAAGGACAGTGTACTGATGTCCGTGATTTCGCTAGGTGTTTTCGAGCACTTTTCTAATTTCGAGTCTTGGGTGCGTCATGTTAAGGGGGCCGCGGCGCTGGTTGTCGTTCGTGGCAGGGGTCAGTTCCGGAGTAAGGTCTCCATTTTGATGTTTAATCAGGTCCGCGCGGATATGATAATTTCCTGCCTGCATACGAATAGACCCTTTCCACAGGATATGCTTTCGCTGCAGGAGGAGGCGTGCAACTACACTGACCCCATGAGCACGTTCTGGCTACTAGGGGTATATGCAACTCGATGTGTAAACCTCCTGTTTGGCGTGCACAACAAGGTCGGTGGCCTTCCATGGTCACATTGGATCGAGGAGGCGTCAACCCTGCAATCCGATTTTCAATACATCCTGGGCACCCTGGCAATTCAGGAACCGTATAGCACAATCCGCCAATCCCCACTGGACCCAGCTGCGGCATATAATGGGCGGTATGATGTGTACAGCAGTCCGTGGGCGATCAGGGTCTGGAACCATGCTCGCCTCATGCAGATGATTGTCAGCGAGATTATGTTCTTTCTGCTGAACGGGGTTCTCAGGGCCAATCCGCCTCCGCCTTCCTCAGCCATAGCAGCTGCGACGGTGAAGTTACAAGATACCGTTCAGATTCTGTCCGGGCTGGGAAGTGACTTGATAGCCACCGTTCCACAGGTTTTAGGCGTGGTCGGCCCAGACCGTCTCTCCGCTGCCTCGGATGCAGGAGTCTCTGGAGGGTACTTACTTATCTGGTCCCTCTACATGGTAGGGAAATGTCCAGTCACAACAGACAAGGCACGGAAGTGGGTCATTGGACACATGCGACGGATCGTGGGGAGTTCAGGCATTGCAATGGCGGAGCGGTTGCTGGACGATGTTGTTAGGATAGACAACAGCTGTGCGTCGGAGAGGACTGTGTCGTATACACCATCGGAGCTTGAAACATAAGTTCAATATAGAATATAGACTGCATATATCGAGATTACCAAATTGTGGAGAGCTGAATAATCCACTCCATTCCCCACGCTGAGTTATCTAAGCCTCGAGCATGATTGGTAAGCAGCATAAATTTCTTAGCAGCATCATATAAATGTGCACTTTCAACAATGAATTCTAGACCAATAGTTACGGAAAAAAGTTAAAATGGCTCGCGGTGGCTGTTTCTGCGGCAAGATCCGGATAGAATACGTCGGGCAGCCCGTTGCATCGGTGCGTCTATTTTTCTAATCTGGATATCACTTGTTGAATCTGTTAAGCTCACTCCAGAAGGGACTCTGCCACTGCAACGACTGCCGCAAACAAACCGGCGCGGTATTCAGCTTCTGCCTGATAATCAATAGAGCCGACTTGAGGATCACCGGAACACCCAAGGCAGTGGCCAAAAAGGCAGACAGCGGGAACCACATCAAGAACTATTTCTGTGAAGACTGCGGTACGTTGTCCAGGTGATGAAAGAAACTACGTGCGACTGACAATATCAACAGGCACACCGATCTATGGACAGAGAATAGAAAAGTCTGGAGAGCCTGCCAGCAGCGCAGTCTTTCGCGCGGGCATTTTCGATGACCCTGAAGTGCTGGACCAGAGAAAGCCTGTGGTGGAACTGTACACGAGCAACAGGGTGAGCTGGCTCAACCCTATCGAAGGCGCCGAGCAGTTCCCTGGTATGTTGCCTTTGCCGTAGTTATTCTTATACGCATTTATGAAGGACCTATGATATACAATGTCTGCATTGGATGATTAAACGCTCCTGAACTTTCGCCATAGATCGATTGTAGCTTCAGAACTCCCCTATCGCCTCGAGGAACAGATTCACAGTTTCATCAACCCTACTCAAAAATGGACTGTGGCCGGAGTCCAATCGCTTGGATGTGATGGATGCACCAGCCTTCTTTGACGCGGCAACCAATGCTTCCTGGGCGTGCACGGGGAGCGCATTGTCGTGGGTGGTCAAAATATAAGAGACTGGCACATCCAACCAACCAGGGTAGAAATTCTCAATATCTTTAACGCAAGCAGAGGACTGCTTGACCAGGCGCCCTTTCCACATATCAGCTTCCTCGGGGGAAAGATCGTTATAAAATAAATCATTGATGTCGACGTTGGGTTCGATATAGTCCCAGCCATCTGGACTCGAATAGTGAAAGGCCGCGCGAGATTCGACGATGGGACCGAAAAATTCGTACTCGGCGGATTTTGGCGGCGGGGTGAAGGCGCAGAGCTGGATGATGCCAACGACGCTCCCAGAATTGTTGTCCAGTCGTGATGGATCCTTCCGGGTGAAGCCCTTGACAGCTGAACAGCCCACGACGCCGCCCAAAGAATGGTTGATCACGACCACATTGCGTCCGTTGCTCGTCTCGTCGATTATGATGCTTTGAATCTGGTTTATACTTCCAGCGGCAGAGGTGACTGGGGTCTCTGTACCGGAGAATTCAACCTGGGGGGCGACACAACGATAGCCGTGTTTCTCCAGGGCAGGGATAACCTTGGACCAACAGTCGCGGGTATGCCACGCACCGTGGATAAATAACAGTGTGGGTGTCTGAGCCATGGCTGATGGTAAACATAACGGGGAACATCAGCGGAGAACTGGCTTTTCATACCTCTTGAACTTAAAGGCTGCTTACTGGAGTGTACTCCGGAGTACTCCGATTATATGGATAAGCGAGCAAACTGGATCACAACCCACCAGAATACCAGCCTATTAGGAGGAACATACCTCGGGACGCTTACCGGATGGACGTTAGGCATTTGCTTGGCGATCCACTTTGCTGTTTACGTGCGGCTGACGACGTGGGGGCGAAGAAGTATACGAAGCAAGGCCCCCGAAGATGCCATCTGCCAGATACTGCGTCGCTTATATTGATCAGGCGGGTCAACTTCACGTTTCCGTTGATTGGCCATCATATGCATTCTAGAAATAGTAAAGATGAACACTCTCAGTGCAAATACTGCGAATGCAATAATGGGGCGAAGAACGCCAGCGATGAACATTTCCTCAAGTTGGCCTATTATGATAACTCAATGATGAACCGCCAGGCGCAACTGTTTCTACGGTATGGTGTTGACAGCATTTTATAATTTTGAATTGCTCACAAGGCCGTCTCTGATTACTCGTCGCAATATCTTTCCAGACTACGACATTAGGCGTCAGCATACACAACTGCAACAGGTTAGCAGCACTTACAGGGGCTCTTGGAATGGTATTAATGAAGAAAACACCGCCAGTGAGTCTCTTGATTGTAGACACTTTACTGTTAACGAATTCTATGATCTCCTCTGCGGAAATGGACGTTCCTGGTGCTGCCACAACGTATGCCCGGGGGTACTCCTCGTCACCCCTATTTTGTTAGCCCCAGATGATTATATAGCTAGAGGGTATCAAGTCTTACTTTCTTACACCGATCACGGCGGCATCATTGACAGAAGGATGATCGAGAAGAAGCGCCTCGAGTTCAGCAGGCCAGACTTGGACGCCTTTTACCTTGATCATTTCCTGCCGCAGGACGTTAGTTGGCCATTCTTATATGGTCTTTATTAACAAAACTTGCCTTCTTTCGATCCACGACGTAATACCACCCCTTCTCGTCCTGACGAGCTACATCCCCTGTTCTCAGCCAACCATCTGCAGTGATAGTCTCACTGGTAGCCTTTATGTTCTGCCAGTAGCCCTGCATGATATTCGGACCACGAAACCATATCTCGCCGCTTTTCCCGCGTGGAACCTCATTTTCGTCATCGTCCATTAACTTGATCTCACAGTTCGGCATTGGTTCGCCAACGGAGCCGGGCACGGCCGTTAAGGTGGGATCCCAGCCGAGAGAGTTGCAACAGGATCTATGGGCAGTTAGGCTCTGAATACTGCCAAATAAAAGGAAAGGAAAAAGGACTCACTCAGTTGAGGCAAGGCCCTGTTTGACATTTACCTGTCCATTGGGCCAAAGCGCCTCGTACTGTACAGTTGGTTCTGGACCGAGCGGTGCCGCACAGGAGAAGGTCTTGGTGACGCTGCTGAGATCATACTTTCCACTCTTCACGGCGGGATGTTTGGTCATGACGACGATAATTGGTGGTACGAGGTGTAGTTCTGTTATACGAAACTTCTGGATACTCTCTAGCATATGGGTAATCTCATACCTGCGCATGATATACGACGGGATCCGTCGAGCGATGGAGATGGTGCAGAAATAACATAGAGCCAGGCCGTGATAGAGTGGAATAGTACACAACCATCTGGACTTTCGAGCTGCTAATTCTTTCGTCGAAACGCTCGGATCTAGGTTCATGACGAAGTCTGTCTGCACGCAATTTGCGATTATACTGTAGTGCGATGCCTCTGCTGCTTTCGGGAGGCCGGTTGTTCTGTTCAATATACAATAAATACGACTTCAGACTTGACAGAGAGGAAAACGAACCCAGATGTCAATATCGTGTATGCCGTTGTAGACTTCGATTCGCTAGGGGTTAGCCTTTTCCATGCGAATCGTCCACCGACCTCTTTTGGCGCGAGTAAGTGCTTCCAATGCTTCACGCCAGCGTTAGCATTGTCGTCACCACCACCATCCCGGAGAAGAGGAGCATCGTTGAAGACGAAAACACGCTCCCGGGCCGTATCCACCATGGCAGCGGCCTCAAGAGCACAGGCTAAAGTTTCCTGACTCGCCAGGATAAATCTCGGCTTTGTAAGGCCTAGTTGGTATTCCAGTTCACGAGGATTGGAGTGCGGATTCGCGGACTGGTATATACCACCAGCCATGAGAATGCCCAGGTTGACGACGGGGAACAAGACATCGTTGCCGCTCAGGATAACGACCCGATCGCCTTCCTGTAGTCCGGCAGCTTTCAACCCAGCTGCGAACCGCTGCGACCAGAGACGGAGTTCAGTCCATGTCAGACGCAGTCTCTCGGGGTCTTCGGCGTCAGCAAAGGCCACTGCATCTCCTAGCGGGGATGTAGGGCTGCCGAAGAGATAGGTGGGAATGTCGACCTCTGGAATGGGAACGGTCCATCGTGATTTGTGTGGCATGGTGGTTTTTATTATGATAGAAATATGCTAAGGGTAGAATAATGAACAAGGGAAAAGAGGTCAAGACGTCAGATTTGGTTTGGTTCCGCACGGACCCTGAGGCTGGAAATCAGGAATAAGCAGAATAAGCAGACCAAGCACAGACAGGCCTATTAAGCTTTGAGTAGGTCGTCGAGTCGAGCTTGTGAGCTGCTCCGCCACCTTGCGTCAGTTGGACGCCTTAAAGGTGGACTCGGCAAACAGCGGAGCACAAGTGGTATTCCTAGGAGGGCCAGATTGTTTATGGTTAAGCAGCCTAGAGATCATCATTACACTTACTCAGCCAAAATATAAACTCTCAAAACTAAACCACAGACGCCTCCACTCCTTTCTGGTACATATCATCCCTTACACAACTAGATCTATCTTCCGACTTCTCAACACCGTCAATAACATCATCGACCTCAATAAAAGGCCCAGTCTCATCGATGCCTGCAACAGGGAATATCCAATTCAACGCCCAGAATACCAAGAAGGCGATCGCCAGCCCAACCAGGAAGGTGAGGTTATACAGACGCACCCAGCCAACCCACTGAGGAGAGTCCCAGCCGTTGACGTTTCCTGCCAAGCCGGCTTTCATAATGTCAGTGGAGGTGATGCTTTATTCTATACTTGGGACATGCATGAATTACAAAACATCGATAAGGGTAAAAACTCACGAAGAAGCGGCCACATCCCAGCCGTGAACGCTGCAAAGGCGCGCCAGTTGACCCCGTGCCGAAACCAGTAGATGCTGGTGCTGTCGCCGCGGTACAGATCGGACAGTTTAAGTCGATACCTTCGGACGAGGTGGTAGTCGGCCAGCATGAGGCCTCTATAAACACACATTAGCACTATGCTCTAGAGAAAGTAGCTAGAGGGCCGTCATACGTTGCAGGCGCCATAAATACGCCGAATCCACTGAGCACGGAAAGGAACTTATCTGCCGTAGAAAGGAGCTGCCATGGTCTAATAAAATGTTAGTACAGACCAGAACGTGGATAGTGAGGTTTACTGAGTGGCGATCCCGATAACGGCCATAATATACCCTCCTCGTCGGATATTGATGTACTTCGGCCATAGACCCGCGAGATCCATACCGCAGCTGACACTGTTGAGGACAACACTTATCTATCCTCTGTTAATATCCAAGAAGCACGGGACAGGTATATAAATGGCTCACTGAAAACTGAGATGCAACCATACCCAAACTGGCAAAGAACACACCGGCACGCACCCGAGGACTGGAGCCGTAATACTCCTGTATATCAGCAAGAAGGTAAATGGGATTCCACTGGATATCACCGCCCATAAGTTTATTGCTGGCGCTCGTGACGATGATGCCAATCGTTGCCGTAATCGCAATCGTAGCTGGGCATGCAACCAGCTGCGAGAGGGTAGGCGCGTATCGCCTCTTTGAATATCTGACCCAATCGGATTGGCCTAGTGTTCCTGAGCCCCAGGATCCTAGGATGGCTGTAACGCCGAACATAAAGGCCCATCCAGTATTAGGTGCTGTGCCGGGCTCGTAGAAGAGGTCGCCGGGTCCGTCAGCCTGAGACACGGCCCTGGTCTTGTTAGCTAACATCTACAGGAACCCGGAGCAAATATACCAAATTAACATTCCAAAGCAAGATCCACAAAAGAAAACAAAGCAAACAACGAACGGAATCTGCAATTTCTCTGGACGGATTAAAACGGCAGGTATAAACCCGCACATCCAGATGAGCAGTCCAATGAAGTCGTTCGTCTGGAGGTGGGAGCTTTCAGCAAAGTAGTTTTTCATATGCGCGAAGCCTTTCCTGTTAGTATAAATTAACACTATCGGGGGCATAGGGATCTCTACCTGGGATAATTGCACCGATCAGAACACGCGTTGCTTGTCCTCCCCAGAAGGCTTGCATGCCGAACCACATACACGAGACGAAGCTGCGGAGAATGACGGGAACTGTACATCATTAGCAGCTTGGATGTGTCCCATAATAGCGGGTTGAATACAGTAAGAGCCTCGCATCCCCCACGAGAACCGGCTAGAGACAGTGAACCCAATGTGGTGTATCTCGCCCATCCATCCGCAGAACACGGCCAGTAAGCCGGACAGGAACCCGCCAAGAATCTACATCATCAGTTTTATACTTGACTGGAAGGGAGGGAAATGTACAACTACTCCAATTGCCTGCTGTGGACTGAGTCCAAACGAGAGGAGTGTGCTCCCTGTGGACCAGGCCGAAATGCAAGACCCGGACACGGTCCAATATCCTGCAACTTGTTAGCGAAACGATGTGCAGCAAAAGAGACCAAGAATACGGGCGCACCAAAATACGACCACACGCCATATGTTCTCCGCTCTGGGGGAATTGGAATCAAGTCCCGATTGCACCAAGTTGTGTTCTCATAATCTGCGTCCTCGTCCACAGGACTAAAGAGTTAACTTAACAGGACATGTAACATTTCAGGAGAGTCAAACCATTGAAGTCGCTGCTTAATCTCAGGCCACGACCAAGGCATTGTGATCGCCACTGCAACAGCAATAGCTCGAACGTGGTTGACGAGGCAGCTGGCGTTTGCTGAAGACTGGAGATGCATCATGCCGACATTTTAGAAGTCCCCGCTTATCGTTACACAAGTCATTCAGCATTCCTCATTGGAGGCATATTCCCTGTTCTGCCTCTGCCGTGTCTGGGCTGATTAGCTATCATCCCAAGTCATTCATTAGAGTTAACCGATCATGTTGGCCGATCTTTCTCCGCATTTCTCAGCTGGACAGGACTAGGGGGTAAGCCTAGCCTGCAATGAGTTAGGCGAGCTGTGATAAGAGGATTTGGAGAACCCATGTCCAATTCTCCCTATCATGATCGGCAGATGCTAGCTTTGTTAGCTGAAGGGAGTTGGAGAGCCTGCATTTGGAGCAAGCATAGATATGGAACTGTAGTTGTTCTAAACCAAGTTCTCAATCTACCATATACAGATCCTCAAGATGACCACAAAGACGTACCCCCTCCCAAATGGCACCGGTGCCATTCCCGCCATCGGCCTAGGAACCTGGCAATCCAGCGCGAACGCGACCCGCGACGCAGTGAAACATGCCCTGCAACACGGGTACAGACATATCGACACTGCGCTAAACTACGGAAACGAGAAGGAAGTTGGTGAGGGAATCAGAGCATCTGGTGTCCCACGGGACCAGATCTGGGTGACTACCAAGCTCGATAACCACTGGCATCATCGGGTGCGGGAGGGCCTTGATGCATCATTAACTGCTCTGGGGCTGGATTACTTGGACCTGTATTTGGTACATTTTCCATGCTCGACCGATCCGGAGGATCGAGGGAGATGTCTCCCTGACTGGGATTTTGTGAAGACTTGGTATGGAATGTATCCGCGGGCTGGGGAAGGAATGTTTATACTAACGGTCCTGGCAGGCAAGATATGCAGAAGCTCCTAGAGACTGGAAAGGTCAGGAATATCGGGGTCTCGAATTTCCAAATTACGCATCTGGAGAGACTACTCAATGACCCATCCTGCACGGTTGTCCCAGCAGTTAACCAGATCGAGGTATGCCGTCCACTGTTGTGATCTGATATAATTTGCTAATATCTCAGCTCCATCCTTACAATCCCTCGTAAGTCTGTCCTGACACATCAATTATCCAGTCTAACAATAAAGTCCCAAACTCCTGGAATACTGCAAGTCCAAAGGAATCCATTGCACGGCGTATTCCTGTCTAGGCGGCCACAGCGACTCCCCTATAAATGGGCAGACAGATCTACTCAAGGATCACGTCGTACTGAGGATCGCTGAGGTGAAGAAGAAAACGCCGGCTCAAATATTGTACGTCTATATCCTGTTTTCCTATGTCTACACCACGATACTGACAAAATAGGTTAATGTGGGGACTCCAACGGGGCGTCAGCGTTATCCCGAAAAGCATCACCCCTGAACGGATCGAAAATAATTTTGACCTAGATGGGTGGAATCTGACAGAGGAAGAGTTTGGAGAGATCAGTGGAATCACGACAAGGGCGAAAGTCGTGGGAGATGCATGGATGCCTATTCGGGTTTTCGTCGGTGGTGATGAGTAGATAGCACCTTCTTATGGATGGGCCTTATGATGAATAGATTCTTGGATATTTGTATACACTCTGCTGAATATGAATTAATAATGATATAAAGAAAGGTTCCAACGCTCGTATCAGTACGTCGCGTTCATTCTCATCGCAATATAGTCACTACTAGTAATCGGCTCGTACATTTTCGGCCTGCCCTCGCCATGGCAGTTCGGCAGACATTCAATCAAGGAATCCCTATCTGGACTGATGAAATACGGAATCGAATACCGGGGCTTCGTCATCCGGCCATGACCGCCACCCTGCCCTTTCCCTTCACCAAGTTCATCAGCATTAACGAGCGGCGGAGCGCGTACACGGTGCATCGTGGACCTCAACTCGTGGTTACTCCACCGCATCAGTAGGTCACCAATATTCACCACCGCCGTGCCGGGGATGTACGGTGCAGGGTTGAATTTGCCCTTTTCATGTATATCCTCTACCTCCAGCCCACCGACGGCATCTTGGAAGAGGATTGTCATTGTGGCAAAGTCCGTATGTGCGGCGATGCGCTCCGCCTTGCCATGTATCAGTAGTTCTTCCTCAACGGGCGGATAGTGCAGAAGGCGACACTGGTTCGTGCGGTCTTTATGGTAATCCAAGAAGAATGCTTCGTCGAGCCCCATCCCAATCGCCGTTAGCCTCAGCATAAGCGTTTCAAGACCGGAGCACGTAGTGAAGAATTTTGCAAAGAAGGCTCGAAATCCTGGGAGGGATTCCTCTGGGATCCAGATATTGCGCATCCGCTTGTCATTCTCGTTTCCTAGTTCGAAGGACTCCTTTACGTCGGGGATCTTGCGGCGCTCCGCGATGCCGTCGGAGTCGAAGACCATCTGGACGACTTTTTCACGTCCGATCCCGCTGTATCCGCGGTGGTACCAACCTTCTGGGGGGTGGGGAGCTTTGTTCTTCTCGGAGTCAGGGAGGGCGAAGAATTTCGAACTCTACCAGGTAGGAGAAGGTGTTAGCTGAGTATGTAATATTCTCAATCGATATCCTTACCCATGTGAATGCCTCATCAACCAGGTCTTCAGCTACTCCATGATTCTTAATATAGGCAAATCCAACATGCTTAAAAGCCTGATACACCTCGTGGGCGACCTTGGCTACGTCTTCCGGACCTCCAGTGCGCGCTGGCTCAAGATCGATGATTGGAATGTTCGAGACGGTGGGCAGCATGGTGTCTGTCTTGCTGTACGTGCGTATTCCACAATGTAAATTCCATATCAGCGACTTTATGTCGTATTGGTTTGGACACTCTGCATGCCGCAGCCGAGGCTCCCCACTTCTCTGGTTGTTGATACATACCTGCTGTCCCATTGGTCTGTCGGCCAAGAGAAGTTGTTGGCCGATCACGATCGGGTGACACTGTTGGAGTAACGCCATCCCGCCTAATCAGACGCGAGACTCCAACTGAGAGGTAGTTATATGACATCCCCGCAGTCAATGCGCCAGCACTCATTATCCAAGTATTGACGACGACCGGTATCACAATATGGGGAGCCAATCAGACCAGAGGTACCGCATCGGGGTTGATGTCGGCGGTATGTCCCGAATCAGGCCAACAGTTGTAGGACACAGCTAATGCACTATATCGCAGGTACAAACACAGATGCAGTGCTTATCGATCTCGACTCGATGAGCATTATAGCGTCGCACAAATCAGCTACAACACACGATGTAACAACCGGGATCACCAGTGCCGCCCGGAAGGTCATTGAAACTGCCCAGGTTCCTCTCAGTGCTATCGGCTGCGTCATCGTCGGCACCACGCACTTTGTCAATGCTGTCGTGCAACGTTCGCCATCCTTACATCCAGTTGCAGTGATTCGACTCTGCGGTGGACGAGATGATGGCTTCGGTCGGGGAATTCCACCCTTCACTGACTTTCCGGTGGATCTGCGATCTTGTATCGAGTCCTCCCGGTATTATTGCCACGGCGGCTATCAAATCTCCGGCGAGGAAATCAGCGCCGTTGATCGAGATGAACTTCAGCACATAGCGGAACAGCTCGTTGCGGAAAGGGTCGAAAATGTGGTTATCTCAGGCATGTACGCCCCGCTTAATCACGCCCAGGAAGTAATTGTTCGGGATATTGTCTTGGAAACGATACAGCAATCTGAAAGTACTCCATCATTCAAACCACGCATAACGCTGTCCCATGAAGTCTCAGGCCTGGGATTCCTTGCGCGTGAAAATGCCGCAATATTAAACGCGACGCTGCGCCCTCTCGCGGAAAGAACGATCTACGGATTTAAGAAGGCCATGTGGGATATTTTCCAGGGAAGCCCGTGTATGTTGTATCTCACACAAAACGATGGCAGCGTACTCAGCGCCGAGGACGCGATCCACTATCCGATTCGGACGTTCAACTCTGGCCCGACAAACTCCATCCGAGGTGGAGAGTTTCTCTGGCGCGCTACTGGCAAAGAGAATGGCCGGGAACGGGATGAGAGGACAGAGCCATTAGTTGTAATTGATATCGGCGGAACTACCTCGGACGCGGGGCTACTGCTTCCAAATGGTCTACCCCAGATGAGTTCCATTACAGGACTAGTTGGGGGTGTGAGGACCAACTTTGCACTGCCAGCGGTCGAGAGTATTGGGCTAGGCGGAGGGAGTATCATTCGGGGCACGGGCGAAGACTTGGCTGTTGGGCCTGCAAGTGTTGCTTTGGAGCTTCTGCAGAAGGCAAAGCTCTTTGGTGGTGAATACCTCACGGCAACGGATATTGTGGCAGCGTCTGCAATCCACGTCCCCGGTGAGCCGAATCCCTTCCAGGGTATGGGAGAACTATCGCGATTAGCGAATATCACACCAGACATAATATCCCAGGCACGCGAGAGAATGAGGCAGATGATTGCGGCGCTGGTAGATAGAACAAAGACGCAGAAGGGAGACGTCGATGTCTTGATCGTTGGGGGAGGTGCTCCAATCATCAAAACTGATCAACCATTGAGTGGCGTCCGCAGCCTACGAACAGTGAAGGGTGCAGAAGTGGCAAACGCTGTTGGTGCTGCCATCTCGCGGGTTTCAGGCGTTATTGATACGGTCGTCGATACGTCCAATCAAACAGTCAGGCAGGCGCAGGAGCTTGTCTCCAAGCTAGCGATTGAGAAGGCTGTCAGTAATGGCGCGAACCGTGATTCAATTCAGATTGCTGAAGTGACAATGCTTCCAATTCAGTATGTCGACGCGAAAGCTCGAATTGTCGTTCGTGCAGTCGGAGAGCTGGCAGTGGTTTCCCAGGGATTGGCAACAGAAGCACTTCCCACTTTTGAAGAGCATGGCGCAGCCCAGGGTCAGGGTAGGACTATACCTTCTAATGTCAATGAGGCTGTCGATAAACCTGTCGACATTCAAACCTATCGCCCGTTAATCCAAAATCATCAATGGATCATCTCCCCAACGGATCTCGAATTCATCGCCCAGGGCTGCAAGGTTTTAGGTTGTGGAGGCGGCGGCGACCCATACCAGGAGTATCTAAAGGTCAGCGCTATTGTCAGAAAGAACCCGGGTTCTGTCAAAGTGGTGTCACCCAGCTATCTTGCAGACGACACTCTCGTCGGCTGGACCGGATGCATGGGCAGCCCAGAAGTGAGCATGGAGCGTCTTGAAAACGAGGAATGTCTCAAGGCACATGAAGAGCTGATCCGAGCCACCGGCCTTCCTCCCGTTTCTGGATTCGTAGCTCTGGAAATTGGCGGGGGAAACGGTGTTGTGAACTTGGGTGTCGCTGCGAAATTAGGAGTGCCCTGCGTTGATGCCGACTACATGGGTCGTGCGTATCCGACGGCCTGGCAGATCACGCCAAATGTTTACGGGACGCCCCGTGGTGAGGCACTAGTTCCTATGACGATAGCCAGTGGTGATGGCTCCGTTGTGACCATGACGGCTTCGCGAACGGACAAACTTGTCGATAAGATCCTGCGTGCCTCCTGTGTCGAAATGGGCTGTCGCGCTGGCAGTGCAGGTGCTCCCAAGTCGTCCAGACTCGTCCGTGAACAAGCGGTTACGAATACAGTATCCCTCGCATGGTGGATTGGACGGGCGATTGCCTTGGAGAAGAACATCGGTGACAGAGCCAAGCGGATAATTGATGAGGTTGGTGGTTCTGGCAGCGCTGCAATCCTTGGAGAGGGGAAGATTACGAGTGTGGAGCGCGTGCTGAAGACCGGTCACACTTATGGAGTATTAGAGGTAGATGGAAAACTTCAGGACGGAACGAAAGGAACTCTAAAAATTCCGTTTAAGAACGAGAATGCTTTTGTGGAGGCGCTTCTGCCGACTGGCGAGGCTAAGATCCTCGCCTCAGTGCCAGACCTCATCGCCGTTCTTGATGCTGAAACAGGTGCTGGTTTGGGAACGCCAGAATATAAATATGGCTTGAAAGTAATGATCATTGCCATTGCTGCGTCTCCGCGGTGGACGGACACACCGAGGGGTATGGAAGTAGGAGGTCCAGGGTCTATGGGATTTGAGGAGATACAATATGTGCCCATTGGGAAATACAGTGAGCCACGAAGTGTTATTGACGCCTTCGCTGGCTTGGAGGGGTAAGGGGCCTGGCTTGTATAGAAAACGCAGTATACTCGTAAACTATGTTGTATAATTACTCAGATGGGACCTGTGGAGCCATTCCATTCCTCATTATTCGTGCTGCGTGAAGGAAGAAAGAGTCAATGCGGAGGGCAACGGGCCGTAGCAGAGCAAGGGAAGCATCGTCATCCGCCCATTCCCGTAATCGTTGCAGTGATCCATGGAAGCTCCCAAGAAGCTCAAATGCAGCATGAACCTGTTCCGGGCTCGGGGCCAACAGAAAGAGGTATATTAGGAAATTCCCACAGAGTGTCATCTGAGAGCGGGCGTCTATCACTGGTCAGCATAATCAAGCACCGGGGCAACAATACGTACGGCCGCCCCAGAAGGCATGCAGGCATGCGCTGGTAATCCGGTCCATGAACAGAGTGAAGCTGCGGAACTCGTTGATGGCCGAGTCGAAATATCGGCAAAGGGATGAGTTTGGATCTGATTTAGCATACATCCGTGCAGGGCTCATTAACGCGCGGAAAAGAAGGGCCTGGACTGCAAAATAGGCCAGATTAAGTGGGCCTATCCTTGTCAGTCTGAGATGTAATGTATAGAAACCAAGTCATACCATTGTTGCGAAAGGAAGTAGCAGTATCTGCATTATACGCCATGGTCACACAGTTCGGGACCATCGACGACCAGGCCTCGAGATCCCGCTTGATACCCAGAAGATTGGCCTCTCTGAGTTGTGGTTGGGCGATGGATTGTTGATAACTGGAATCCAGACTACATAGATTAATACTGAGTGTAACAGTATTCAAGGTCAACCTACTAGTAGGAGTCAATCAACTCGTGTAGGATCCGGCTCAGTTTGACCATCTCCAAAAACCGAGCAGTGGTAGATATATCGATGCTCCGACTAGGAGAGTCTACTAGGTCCCCAAAGTCCACGGACACCTCTTCGTCAAATGCGAGGTCCTCCATGAGCGGCGGCGTTGTAGTAAATGAGCCTGGGTATACTAGCGGAGGGTTCCCATGGCACACAGACGACCAGATATCACTGATGTAGGTTGCCCACCACAGTTTCTTTCGCAGCTTTTTCTCCCCCGGTATAAGGTGCCACGCGGATGAGTCCCGGTGAAGTCCGACCATCTGCGCACATGCGACAAGGCGGGAAGTAAAAATCCACGTCCGAGGTGTTTCAATAGTAGCATTGTCAGCTGGTCTTTCATACAAAAGAAGGAGGCAAGCCTGTATTCCCCATAAATTTGGGGCATGCAGTTCCCGCTGCAGGCATGATTGGGCAGCTTCGAACAGGTTATGGAGATCGAACTGCAGTGAGCCTGCAACGTCTGGATCGTGCTTCCAGAACATTGAGCCGAGTCCGTATACGGCACCTCGTAGTGAGGCCGGGATCTTCATCCTGTCTTCTGAATATGCTTTCAAGAATCGTCCCTTGGATACCACGCAATATACCGGATGGACATGTTTGAAGAATAGTCGAACAAGTCCTGCCCCGTGCGGTGAAACCATGCTCTCAATTTCGTTAGACAGCGTCTGTTTTGCTAAATCGTCTGCCGGCTGGAACTCGTCCATCAACAGGTTAAAGTGGACTGGAAACGCGCTGTCCAGGTCCCCTGCACTCGCCTGGATGACGTCCGCACTTATGCCATCTCTTTCATTGGTGATGACGGACCTAAAAGAGGCCAGCAGGTCCGTATCTTGCTCGCCAGCGAGTCCTACTGAATGCGCTGTGCGGTTTTCGTTGTCCTCGAGGGTATCAACCGTAGGGGCATTATCGCTGATGTACGTTGCAGGCGACGTCTGCGAAGCTGCCTCGGTTCGGCTGCCAGGTGAAGTTATATCAGTCGGCAACCTTTGAGGAGACGTAAGTGCCGGTATCCTGGTGAAACTCGTGTCGATGGCTCTGTTTTCAGTCGTTCCCGTCTCGCGGGATCTCTGGCGCGGTGGAACCGTGGAACTATCGGCGGTTGACCTGCAGGCCTGGCCTTTTGATCGACAGAACCGGCCTGAACTGTTAGCTTTCATGATAGAACTACCGGAATTGGAGCAACACACATGGCGGCGCTGTCTCGATGATGCAGGCAGTCTTGCGCCGACGACAAGTGTCACAGGGGGGGTTCTTGCGACTTCTCCATTGTCGGGAAGCGCCAAACTTGGTTTTGATCTTGAATCTACGTCGTTTCTGGGGGATAGATCGATCCATTCCGGAGAAATGCATCTGCCATCTTGCAGATAAGGAGTGCACTGTTAGAAGTGAGAGACAAGTGAGGGGACGGCCAGGCAGTTTATTTGGGGTATTGAAGCTAATCCCAAGGGAGACTAGTCTAATACACCTGATAACACACCCAGTCGCAATAAACAGTTGATTAATCAGGAGTAGTATTTGAAAGGTTCTGCAGGTTTTACAGTTTGTTTGGGCTGTAGGAATATACATGAAAACGAAGAACGCTGGCCGTACACCAACAACAGGGCAACCACCCAACGTTTCACAATATATAAAACTAACTCGTTTCATGTCCCCCAGTTTTCCAGTAAATTATCAAAAAACATGAGAGGGGAGTAGAATCCAGAAGGAAAGTCGGCTAAGTGATTTCGTTAGCTGCTATCGCTACAACGGAGGGTGCTTCTCACATTGATTAGTGAACGTTGCGCCAAATTCATTCAAAGGAATGGGATCAAAATCGGTCCGAAAATCATAAGACACAGGCCCGTTCCCGTCCTCAGGAGATCCTTCCGTGTGGATTCCCAGAACGATACTCAGAGCTTTCGCTACTTTCCCAGCTTCCGCAGACGTCGTACTCATTTGACGCCAAATCTTGTGTGAGATCGTTAGTTGTTGTCGAATCTCTTCAACCTTAGGTAGCCTCGTTGTCTGTCCTGCAGTCTCAAGCAAACCAAATTTATCGATGTCCTGGAGGTAGAGACAGAGCACACTCGTTGCGAGCAGAATATCCTGGTTGAAAAGATGGGTGACCTTCCATCTAAGCTGGCACAAGCGGCCAAATGGCTGAGACTCTTCATGAAGCATCTCTTGAAATGATAGAAGCTTGTGCGCGGAATCTAAGCAAATTCGCACAGACTCCCTGTCCTGCTCTTGAGACTGTCGACCTGGATAGCTGATCAGAGCTCTCCGGTACAGGAGGACGCGTGATTTGTAGTAAGTTGTTTCTACACCGATTCGTTGTAGTACAAGATTTGGGCTATTCGTGATGGGGTGTGGCATAGTTCCCTGGCGTAGTACGGGCGGAATACCATGGCTGTGCACGTCTTGAAGAAGTGCGTCGACCTTGACCACCTGGTCGTAGGAAGGGGGATTAATATCGGCGTTGACGTCACAAATCAGCCCGAGGGCTGTTATAAGTCGCCCTCTTGCGACGAGCGGGAGGATTGGCGTCCATTCTGTTTCGGGCCTCGGAGGAGGCATTTCGGTAGTGTCCTCGTCAAAGTCGCAGTCGCGTAGGTTACATGGCTCTTTTGTATCCATGTGCGTATCAGTGGCGTTTCGAGGAAGGCCCGCCTCCAAAGAGAGAGTGAGATCTAATTGAAGGATTGAAACCCAGATCCGTCGACGCATTTCAGCATCGAATGGGGTTATCCCGGGAAAGTGATCCGGGTCCCGATGATAGCCCATGCGCATTGCAATATGGAGTATCGTACTAATGAAAAGCCAACCATCGGTAGCGCTGTCTTTCAAGAGTACAAACTCCCCAGTAAGAACCATCATGAGGGTTTCCAGCACATGTGGCCCTCCCCTCGTATACTTGGCCAGGATAAGACACTGAACCGCCTTCTCCCGGAAGGCATCCTTCATGGTAAGATATTCCGCCTTGAGCGATTCGGCTCGTCCGTCGGCCGAGTCGATGGTGAAGGTTTGCAACTGCGCAGCAATATACAACATAGAGAACATCAGGCCGATCCAACCGATGGAAGTTGCAGACGAATCTTCCCAAAAGCTTTCGTACTAGTAAAAGTCAGGCTGCCTGTAATCGGCCACATTGGGAAAGCTCACCTCTCGGAGAAACTTCTTGTGATGAATGAAATCTACATCACATCAATCCTCTAAAAGCGGAAACAAAGCTTCAATATACTGACATGGAGTGAGAATGTGGGAATCGAAATGAAGGACCATCAGGCGGTCCACAACTGGACGAGGAGGAACAGCAGCCAGGATCTCATCTCGAGTTGCATGACGGTTTGGGCCATAGAACAAGTGGGAACCGGGTAGAGCCTTGCTACCAGGGACCATGTCCTCTTTTAGGCCTCTGATTTTGGTCAAAATGGCCTCCCAATGGACACTCTGGATATAACTGGTTCCAGACTCGTTCAAATCTAAGGTGCCAGGGTCTGCGGGGTGCGCAGCTTCATCTTGGGATTTATTTGGTCTTCGGATTCGAGTCACATCTGAGAACGATGGTGGGCTTGGATCCGGCGATTTAACTGCAGCCGGAAGTGACTGGCGTTCCATGAGCGTCACGACAAGGCTCTCCAGTTCAGATATTCGGCCATGGAGATTGGCGGACTGTCGCGGAGCAACGGACCGCTGGGCATCAGGCGTAGATGCCTTCGCATAAATGCAGGAGCTGGTGATGCCGCGCCTGGAACAAGCTCCGCATGGATGGTGTCGGTCGCACCTCAACCTGGCAATGTTAAGCGCGCATGACCTGGTGGTGGCTATCGAGCACGTACTTTCGGTGCCTGCAAGGGTCGCAGGAAAGCTGGGCTTTGTCTCTGCGTCGGTTTGGCGGCGGCCGCGGACGATGAGGGTTATCGGCCATGGTGACTAGATTTAGCATACGAGCACCTATGTCCAGAAAGTGGAGATGGAGATGGAAGTGGAAGTGGAAGTGGAGGATGAAAGCGAGATGAGATGGAGATAGCAACGACCCTCCGACCGTCCGCCCACCCTCCGCTTCACCCTCCGCGTCGACCGTCCGTGCGCCACCCACGATGCCTCCCCGTCGATTAAGCAACCTCCTGATTTACTTCGTATTTACGCATTACTTTTCGGAGTTAATAGCCGGCGGAGTTATCCCTTGCCCAAACAACTAGCCATGGCTCTTCTACGCGGCCCTCGTCATCCGAGCATTGTTGGGCCGCCTACTGTTTCTTCCAATATATATCAAGCAGGCCCGCCAATATCTGGGAGCTACATCACCCCCGACCAAGTACCATGGCTGATTTGGAATCCGCCCACGAGAAACCAGTTATATCGGACGATGGCCGTAGCGAGCCTGACCGAACAGCAATTGAACAAGAGACGAAGGATAATGTCGTCGACTGGGATGGGCCAGACGATCCCCAAAACCCGCGGAACTGGCCAGCATGGAGACGATTGACCCAAGTCGGCCTGGCCAGTGCTTTCCTGCTCACTGCGTAAGGCAGTCCTGCGCTCGCTTGAAGTAAATCCGTACTGACTACCTACTACGTATACAGAAACCTCGCCGCCACAATGTTTGCACCTGGAGCTGCCGCGCTTGCTCAGGAGTTCCATATCACAAGTTCCACCGTGTCCAGTCTCACTGTTTCCATTTACCTTTGCGGCTTCGCGCTTGGGCCCATGTTCATTGCGCCGCTATCCGAACTGTACGGACGCCTTGTGGTGTACCACACCTGCAATGTCATTTACATTGGTTTCGTCGTGGGATGTGCGCTGGGTAAGAACACTGGCATGTTTCTCGTCTTCCGATTCCTTGCTGGGTGTGCTGCTTCGGGCCCATTGACTGTTGGCGGAGGGACCGTTGCGGACGTGGTCCCGCCGGCCCAGCGTGGGAGGGCGATGTCTGTATTTTTCATGGGGCCTCTTCTGGGACCAGTAGGTGGAATACCCCATGCAAACCCCATGACACTGACCGTTGTTCTCAGGTGTTGGGCCCAATTGTTGGTGGTTTCGTTTCTGAATCAATTGGCTGGCGGTGGACGTTTTGGATCATCGTAATCCTAGTGAGTAGAGCGTAACCCTACTATTCTCGGGTTGCTGACGTTGAGCTAGGCAGGAGTATTTTTTATCATGTCAATCTTCTTACTGCATGAGACCAATGCCGCTGTACTGCTGGAATGGAAGGCTGCGCGTCTGCGGAAAGAAACCGGCAACACTGCTCTCGTTTCAAAGATGGATCGAGGTCTGGCCCCTCGCGAGCTCTTCATCCGCGCCATTACTCGACCAACAAAGCTTCTCCTCCTCTCGCCCATCGTGCTGCTCCTTTCCCTCCTGTGTGCGTTCGTCTTCGGCCTTCTCTTTCTGCTCTTCACCACCTTTCCCTCGGTCTTTGAGGAACAATATCACTTCTCCGCCGGAATTTCAGGCCTGGCATATCTCGGCGTCGGAATCGGAATGGCCGTTTCTCTCGTAGTCTTCGCTACCGTGAGCGACAGGATGCACAAGGCACTTGGGGATTCGCCCAAACCCGAAGGACGCCTAAAGCCCATGATGTGGGTCATGCCCACTGTGCCTGTCGGCATCTTCTGGTATGGCTGGGCAGCCGAGAAGCAGACGCATTGGATCGTGCCTATCCTCGGCACCTTGTTCTTTGGATTCGGGTTTCTCTGGGTTGCAATGCCGATACAGCTGTATCTGTTGGATGCCTTTGGCCCTGAGGCTGCTGCGTCTGCTTTGGCTGCGAATGTGGTTCTTCGGCTTCTTTGCGCGGCTTTTATTCCATTGGCGGGGCCGTCCTTGTATGCAGACCTGGGACTTGGGTGGGGGAATAGCGTCCTGGGTTTTATAGGCGTGGCTTTCCTTCCAGTGCCATATTTCTTCTATGCTTACGGAGGGTGGCTTAGGGAGCGTTTTGCTGTGGAGCTATGACAGTTGATTTTGAGGCTGAGGTATCTAAACCTACGCTGGATAGTACAGGATATAGACCATTATTTTCAACCACGGATGTCGTTAGCATGTTGCACTCTGTAAGTAGTGACCAAAAGGTCAGTGAGATTCTGAGTTAAACCATGTAACCGATTAACGAATTATAGATTCTAGACTAGCTTGAGATCCTTGTAAGGCACTGAATGATGCCAACTATCAGTAGTATAATAGTTGGTAGTTACTAGCCAGGCCTTGCTATATAGACAGACCGGCAGTGGTCTATGTGAGCTACGGAGCGTCTAATGGAGGATTACTCAGCAGGAATCGAATCGCTATAGAAGCTAGATTGAATTGAGGCTTGATCCTCTAAAGAATAACTATCTAGGAGGTTTATATAGCTTTCTAATGGCTTCAGGTCCTTCCTATTCAGGATATTGCACCTGGTTTCTCTATCCATTTGATATAGCAAGTTGACGTAGCAATTTGATAGAGCAATTCAATAGAGCGAGGTGCTGGATCTTGGCATGACTAAGCGTGGATCCGACCTCCACGGGTTGACAGTCTACAGGGGTCACATGGTACGCGTCACGTGGCATGGTCTTGGCAGGCCGTGACACTACTTCTATTAAAGGGGTATAGGGAAATATTATCCGTAGTGTATAAGAGAAATCGGGTGCCAGGTGGGTCCAGGTACCAGATGATTAAGCACGGTAGGTCCACGCCAACCTCACCGCCCCCGACAGTGAGAAAGATCAACATAACATTAACACTCAATCCCGAAGTACCCCAACAAAAGAAATGTCAAAACCAGATATGAGTATGTAGATTACACTCACCAACGCGGCGAGGGCATTGGAGGGTCATTAAGAAGCAAATTGCCATCAACTCCAGGCATCGATGTCTGACGCCGAGAAGTGATGGAAGGTGAGTCCATATTAACCCCTGTCGAAGCGGCAGAAGGCCACAGACTCAAGGTAGGTTCAGGATATCGGGAGGATGGACTGTGGAAAGGCCAAGTGGGATCGGAAGTTCTTGTTGGTGATGGGTGGCTTGGACGTACAAAATCTGTACTATCCAAAGACTGGGGAGGCCCGGCGCCCATTCTGGTTGGTTTGGTTTGTTCTTCGTTTGATCTAGAGGTAGTGGACGAAGACGGCCTGGAAGATGGACGTCTTCTCCGAGGTTTGGTGGTGTGCTGAGGTTCGGACACAGCACCGTGCTGTATGAAGTAATCCCTGGTTTCACCAGGATGTTTCCCAATAGTTGTAAGTGGTGTCGCCCCAGTATCAGAACGCGTATTCACATCCGCCCCCGCTTCAACAAGAGCCTTCACGACCTCGATTGATGCAGCCCAATGCTAAGTTATTCAGGTCAGCTCTTAGTACCATTATGAGATAAGATAGGCACCGTCTCGGGGGTTGAAGCTTACTAGCGGAGCCCACAGGCAAGACGTTTTAATGGATGGGTTCATCCCTCGTCGAAGCAGAAGACGGACGTCATCGATATGACCACCAGCGGCAGAGATGTAAAGATCGTTGACGGAATTAACTGTGGTATTCACATTGGCACCGGCATTGATCAAAATCTGAGAGACTGTTTCATGCTCTTCCGATACACAAATCTGAGTCCACACCGTGTGGCCGTCGCGGCGTCTATTATTGACATTTGATCCTCGGGCGATGAGAAATGAAACCATCGCTGGGTGATTATGAAGTACAGATAACCCAAGGCATGTCTGTCCATTGGAGTCACGAGAATCTAGCTTGATCTGATTGTCAAATAGGGCTGCTGCCGCACTGACGCAGCCTTTTGCCGATGCGATGAACCTCGCAGCACGGACGGTATCAGCGTAAATATCCGGCGGTAAATCCCGTAGCTGTAGCTGGACTCGTTCAAAGTTATCTTGGTATGAGGAGTGCAACACGTCGAATCCTAGAACTGGCAGAAGACGAGGTGTATGACGGGGATGCGATTGGAGATCCCAAGTGTCCGTAATGATCCGCTCAGCAACTGAAGTATATAGTTGACCCAGATTCTTCCGAGAGGTAGACACATTCATTTTACCCCATAGAGAGAGGAAAGACCCACAGTCTTGCATGACTTCAGCAATCAATTTGATTTCGGTCGGGTCTCCTTTGTCTGTTATGTCACTTTGAAGTGACGCAGGTTGGCTCGAGGATGGGATCTCGCTTGGTGTCGCCGGAGTCTCTTGGCCCTGACCCGGGGTCGAACCAGCAGGCGTTTCGATGCTGTAGCCTTGAGGCGTTGCTGGGCTTGCAGCTGGAGAATGTCAGTATATGCCGGATACCTATATCAGTCGGGCTTAAATTACTGACCTGCCGCGCGTGCTTGAGCATAACTCGACACCTGCCGCGGGATATTCTTCTGAATAGTTTTCTCATCGATCGTTTTTCCGTTCAAGCGGATCTTGGTCTTCTTCTTGGGGTTCGCATGGCTGCGCTTTTCAATGCGATGGCTGGCCCAGACGTAGAAATCGCAATTGTTGTTTTTACGCAGGTCCCATTTCTTGAAATGACGTTTGTAGGTGTCCTTGCTATCCAACCGATAAATGTCAGTGGGGACGGCTGTAATGGAATCGGTCTGGGATAGCAGACATACCTCGCACGAATGCCGAAATCCCTCTGCATGGAGCTCATCAGCTCGTCGAGAGTCAGGTCTTGGTCGACGTAAAGCCGTTGGATGGTATCTTTGTGGTCGGACAGACTCATTTTCGGATTTCGTGGAGGACAGAAGGCTGTGATTAAATTTCAGGGTTGAATAGAAAGCTCGATGGTGAACTACTTGATCAGAGAGCCAGAGCCTTCTTATATTCCCTCCTTCCCCTTGCCCAAGCAGGGGGACTGCTGGTCAGGAGCTCACAGCCTTATACATCGTACATCGAGGTGGGTCGCACTTCTGGCCTGCACCAGTCGCGGGGTTCTCTGGCGACTCTGGCTCCACCGCATGGGCAAATGCTCAGCCACCCACATGCTGTGTGTGCTGCCAATTCGCTCAAGCCAGAAGTGCGACTCCTCTCTGTCCGTCTTCATTGTAGCAGGGATTAAGATCAATTCACAATGGACGCCGGTTTTCGTGGGTTCTGTAGAATCTGTAGAACCCTTTATGATAAAAGGCAGTAAACCCAATGCATCCGTTCGTTTCCCGCATCCAACATCGCAACCAACGTTTCCGACGAGAATGTCCTTATCAGCGGAAGCAATCATAGCTCTATTCGCTTTATTTGTCGCCTGCGTTCCTGCAGTGTGTTGCATAATCCGACACCAAACACGGCCAGGTAAACTTCTAACCCGTCCAACTTCCATCTCCACATCCTAATCCCAGCTGTTAATTCCCTCCAGGCCATAACCGTCATCACAACCCCGAGACTGACCAAAGCGATCCCCCTTCCCTTCGTCCCCGTGAATCTTGCCCCCCGTTTCAATCGGTGACCAATCGATCATTCCATCAACAATCAAATCATACCTCTCTGCCGTCTCTTCCAGAGCTTCTGCACATTTTTTTCTCCCAGAATCGCACCCCCAACCGCGATATAGAATCCGGGATCCTGTTATACGCCCGCGTAAGATGCCTTAACACAACGATTGTTGAGTATTCGACTGACCGGGTTCACAAATGGGCCCAGACCTTCAGCTCAGATCGATTTGAACATATGGAGCAATTGACAGGGTCTATTACCACGACTGGAGGTGCTGAACATACGGACCAGCATGATCAAGTTTAAAGTGCCTGAAGAACGGACGCCAAACCTCCGACACACCAAAGTGATCATTAGTATTATCATCATCATCATCATCATCTTATTCTTATTCTTATTTAGCCCCCGCTCCCTCATCTCTCTCGGTTTGCTTCGTTTGTGGCCTTATTTAGAAATTGTAATTATACACCAAGGAACGCCTCCCCCTTTAGGTAGACTAACAATCACGTTATCCGACTGGATGCCGTCTTCCTTGCTTAAGGAGAACTAGCACATCTCCGAGTATCCCACGATTTATTTAGGGTATGTCGATGATTCTGGATGTGACAGGCGGACATGTATAAGAATAACAGGGTGGTCCCCTCCTAGAATAACTCTAAGTGGAAATCCTAGATTCCATCGTAGTCAACGCCGGCCTATTCTCAAGTGCTTGCTGTTTGAATAGCTTCAATAATTTGACACGTGGGAATTTGACGAGGTGGCCCGATCACCCGGGAATTACGTTACTTCCCTCGCGGCTGACAACCTGGCAGCTACATATAAAAACCAGAGACTTGGGAAGGAGGTAGAGGAGCTGGAAGTGCAGGTATTGGAGGTCCATGGTCGAGTTCTAGGGCCGGAGCATCCAGAGACGTTTGGTCAACCTGGGGTATCCCCAAGAAAATATTCATGAAGCTATCATGATGATGGAAGCATGTGGTAGGGTTCGTGGGAGATTACTTGGGTCTCCGCACCCGCACACCCAAAACTGCGCTCCATATTCCAAGGACCGGGAAGAAATAACCGACGTATGAACTAATCAACATCGGTCTCCCGCTCAACTGAAGTTGATCGTCGACCCATAGGACCTATCACTGTATCGGGAGCCCGATGGCTACTAGAGATATGTGCACTAGAAAAAGTCCCTGATTGAAGGCGCGGAGGTTTGAAAGGTCTTGGAGGTCGAGTGTCCGACACGCTTGGGGGCGACGATGGAGGTGTAGCGGGCGAAGGTGACGAGGTCGACATATCACTAGAGTGGGTGCCTGTCAAGTTAGGTTGCTGGCAACATTACGACTGTTAGCACTGTTCTTATCATCTGTGATCATAAGCATGTAATGACATACCAAGGACGACAATGACCGTTCTGTACTTGGCGTGTGAATGGGCGGAGATGGGGGTAACAATACGCGCCCAAGCCCGTCAGATGTATAGGATTCCGTTTCGTCTCTCGTCAACGGGGATGAAGCTGGTCGTGGCGGCAAAACTGGCCGATTCTCCCTTATCGAAGTCGTAGTAGAAGGACCCCGAGGGGGCAGTGGAGGACGCGCTGGGTTGATATCCGGTCGTGTTATGCCCGGGGTCCCATTTCGTGGCGGGAGGCGTGGTCTTCCTGGTGTCGTATTCGTGCTTGTCGGGGCTGCACGCACTCCCATATTTGGTGGTGGGGGGGCCAGGACGCCTCTCGGTCTCGCGGTTATTCTTGTTGAAGCCGTTCTGCCCTGGCGGTTTGCAGCCGGGGTTGATCTGCTATTCGCAGGCGAGGACGTTGCGTTTCTGAAGGAACCAATTCCATTGAAAAGCGTCCGCACCATACTTTCGGTGGCATCAATTTTTCGGCCGGTTGCGGCAAGCCCAGGATTATTCGTGACAGTGGCGACGTTATTAATGGTCGCCGCGGTAGAGTGTAGGGCGTCTGTGGTGAATTTGGTTCTCTCTCTCAAGGATATAATGTCCTTTTGTGCATCGTTCTTGAGGCTCTCCCACTCTTTTCTTTCCTCCTGCGGACTTTTCTCTTGCTGTTTCTCAATCTTCGCACGTAGCTCGTTCAGTAACTTCTCCATGTTATTTTGCAAGGCCTCAATATCGTTCAGCCGGCTTTTGGTAGCATTCATTGCAGCTTCATTCGCGGAGTTGAGATTTTTGAGATTTTGAGCACTTGTTTCGGACAGAAGGGTGAGTTTTCGGACGGTATCTCGGATCTCCTCCATGGCCGCCCCTGCATCATCCAGCGTCAAACTGCGTCCATCCGCAGGAGGGAACGCGACTCGCATGACAGTTTGGACTACAAGATCAATATGCTGGCGCAAAGCCTCTGTATCGATATCATTTCCTTTGGCCTGCGAATCTTCGTACGGGACCGTGAGAAGGAGGCTCAGTGCAAAGACAGCAGCAATGGCCGCAGCATATCCTTGCCATCTTTTGTTCTTGTGCGAGTCGGAGTAGTCGCAGATGCCTCGAATCGGAAGACAAGGGAAACCAGCCATCAGGCCAGCAGATTCCATCTCAAAGCAGAGAAGATCAAACTCGCCAGCCAGCCGGTCTCTTTCAGTAGCATCCTTTACCACGCTGTCTGCCGAACCGACCGCCCCGCAATGCACTTTGATGCGATCATACTGCTTGCGAGAGGGCCTGGCCACTAATGAGGTTAGGGCAAGCGAGTCGTCCTGTAAGCAGTCGCAGGTGCTGGTATGTTCGTAGCCCGGTTGATACAGACGGTCATACTTATCGTCCGGGCGCTGGAAGATATCTCTGATTTGCTCTGTTTCGACAAATTTCTCCGAGATGATGCTTTCCAGATTCAAGTGGGCCTCTGCGATATTGGCTCGAACTTTGTGCGTGGCCGACAAAAGCTTGGTCTCCGACATGATCGGAACCCCATTGAACTGTGGTCCGTTGGCGTACCTCTTGTTGACCGAGTAAGGGATCATTTTGGTTCCAACTACTACGTCGCCCAGCCGCACGTCATTTGCCGCTGTTGGTGCTCCTCCTGCGACGCCGACCATGAGCACAAACTGCAACAACGGAAAGCTGCTTTTCATGCCATTCAAGACAGCTGCGGCCGGGTGTGTCCCACATACCCCGCTAGGGAGTGTGGCTATCACCACATGGTGTTCTCCGATACGGCCGAAGGTGTAGGCGTTGACATCCCCTTTCGAGGCATCAAAGACAGGGTCGTCGTATTGAACATCAAGCACCTGTTTAGCGGCCAGGTACTCGGTGTAAAGCGCTGCTATCCAGCCGACCGTGAATTTCCCATGTGGGGGGCATTTATGTGTCTTCATGATCAGCCAAAGGCAACAACCAGCAGGAAGAATAAAAGATAGTCTTCGAACCCCGAGTAGGGGACTCAGTGGAATATGGTCAAATAACAATAGAGTATGAAGAGGGAAAGGAAAAGACCCAGGGCGCCTTGCAACGGGTACTCTCCTTGTCAATTCGCGACGGGTCTGGGAGCATTATATATGCCGCAATCTGCTCGAAGGAAAAAGCCCAAACCCTACAAGCAGCCTTTTCCTCAGCCTGAAAAAAGGCGAATCATGCGCTAAACAAGGCGGAACAGAGTGCACTTCCCGGAAGTGCGGCATATTCCATTGTATGGCATAACATCGCACAATGTATTACCGCACGTAGGCAACAAGGCTAACCTCCAATTCCAGACTGCGCCACCAAGGGCTGGGGTTTCTGAATGTGCAGGGTTTCTGAGGAAATTGATTCGCAGACACGTCAGCGTTTCCATCATTCTCAGCCTCGCCTCATGCATGAATAAGGGGTCACCCGAAAGGCTGAGACCAAGCTCAACCCCTCAAGGCACAGTCTGATGGCGGTCAACTCTGAATGGAATGATCAAGGTTTTAGAAAAACAGGCTGCAATCATGGCACAGAGTCCTTGATTCAGTCAGGGTCTGCTGCTGACCCTTCTGGACGATCTGGTTTCCCCGCGCTCCACCCTCCCACCAGCGGCCTCTTAACCCTAAGAGTGGACTTTTTCGTGGTGCTAAAGCAATCATGAATGATATATCATTATCCTTTGATCGTCCTCTTGGTATCATCCTTCAATATCGATGCGTCCACGTGGATCTTCGTTCATCCCAGTGGAACATGATCGGCGGTCCTGAGGCTGGAGGTCTGTCTTTTGCCATGGGCCTGTGGCTGTGCTGAGGCGGAGAGTAGCAGAGACAAGGCGTTGGAGTGGGTGTTTGCTCTAGACAAATTAAAACCAGAAGTGGGCTGAAGGCGCTGGTGTTTCAGCAGAGTCCATCTAGTGACTCTGTGCGCGATTGCAATAATATTAGACGGCCGTCACAAGATAGGTGCGAGATCGTAAGGCCGAAATAACCTCTAGAAGGAAACTGCCAGCCATAGTTCTCTGCCAAAAGTTCGTATTTCACATCTGGGGAATACGGCGTACACCCACACTCCAGGCCAAGGCTGTGGAGAGCATATGAGTCGGATCGTTTCTTGGGAGAGACTTGAGACCCCTGCGGATTAGCCTTGTTAAGAAACGATCTGTGCGAGTCCAAAATAAACACCCTCGCCTCGCAACGCTACAGGGACACTGAATGCTCCACATTCCCAGACCCAATACCCCCTCAAGCCCCATCCCAGACACTCTACAGACAATCCTCTCCCACAGACTCTGCCGCGCGTTCCTCCCCGACCCTCTTCGAGCCGGAACCCTCGAAACACTCCTCACAGCCGCCTCAAGCGGTTCCACATCCTCCCTATACCAGACCTGGTCGGTAGTCGCCATCCAAGACCCAAAACACAAAGCAAGTGTCGCGATACTAGCAGGGAATCAAGACTTCATCCGCCAAGCCCCCCTGTTCCTAGTCTTCTGCCCTAACCTGCGGCGTCTGCATACCCTTTCCACGTACTATGGACAACAACCTGCCAGAGCGTTAGATAGCATGGATATGTTCATCATGAGTACAGTTGACGCCACCATTGCCGGGCAGAATGTTGCTATTGCCGCGCAGGGCCTGGGGCTAGGGATATGCTATGTTGCCGCGATCCGGAATAATGCGGCGGAGATGTGTAAACTGTTGAATCTGCCGCCGCTCACTTGGGACGTGTTTGGGATGGCGGTTGGGTATCCGGATTTACGGGATAGGAAGGCTGGGAGGAGGGTTAAGCCGCGGTTGCCGATGAGGGATATTGTGTATATGGAACGGTGGGCGGAGGAGGGTGAGCAGATGGAGAATGTGCATTCGTATGATCGTGCGCTTGGGGAGTTTTATGTTGAGGAGGGTAAGAATGGGCGGATGGGATGGGGGGAGTTTGTTGCTGCTAAGGTTGCGCCGTTTGAGCAGGATGGGAGAGAGAGGATTCGAGCGGTTATTGAAGGACAGGGGTTTAAGCTGGAATAGAGTAGAGTATGCCATCAATGCGATATCTAAAGGACCTCCAGCATGACATATTAGATTATTGGCGCCACAGGATAACTCAATGTTCATCTATACCAAACTCAGAGCATTGCTGATCGGCACAACATACTGCTCCCAGTCATTTGCTTCAGAGATAGAAGGCCTCTTCGGTTCACTGGAATTTGATAAACTGAAGTCCCGCGCTTTCCAGACCTGCTCGATAACCACCCGAGTCCTAGACACACTGGAAACACTGCTTTTGGCCATCTTCTCGAGCAATTCAAAGATAAGCCTTCTTCCGTCCATGGATGGAGCATCTGGACGTAAGCGCAGGTCAACATCAAGCGGATCTAGCTCTACTGCCGCGACGAAAAGAGGCCAGATAACGTGGCAAGAGGGTTCCAAATCTAGCAGCTCAACGATCTCCTGCAGCGTCTTGTGTATGTAACTCTTGATCACAGGATCTGATGGCCGTCCCCCGAATAATGCGCAATTTAAAAAGACAATACAAGCAAGTTTCTTCAGCTCGGCGACCCGTTGAATCGTCTGGTCTTGTCCACGGTCACAATTATCTTGCTGGAGGCGTGTGAGCTTATTGTTCAACGCGTTGGCCCTAATACTAAAGGTCATCTGGTCCTCGTCCGAGACCATGTCCCTCCGTGACCGACTGAGGTCCATGACTGAAAATAATATGGAGACAAGAGCCGGACTGCATCCCATCCACGGATTGATTTTCATGTCGTCTTGACGCCAATAGCTCGATCCGAAAAGGTCCGCTTTCGCACAGGCAGTCCGGCCCATTACATCCTGGAACGCAAAGAAAAGTTCCACAAATGAAGATACTTCATCCTGCTGTGTGCTTTCACTGCTATCAATCAAGAGCTGTTGTTTCTTTCGAAGTCGAATGATATCCTTCGCCCCTTGCAGGTGAACAATCCACTGTTGATCGCAGTGATCGACAATATCGAAGAGACACAAAAACATTGCAATCACCAAGAGTTCCGGGTCTTTGGAAACCAGAGCCTTTCGGTTAGAACTGATTTGCTTTCGAAAGTCTACTAGAACACGGGACTTTAGGCGTAGGCTGATGTTCGTATATTGCTGGTCGTACTGAGACCAATGACAGGCAGCCAGCGCCTGGATTGCTCGCAGCACTGTGGGTGGAGCTGATATGCAGTAAGGAAGAATCACTGATGCAAACGGTGATTGCGACATCGGACCGTGTCCCGTCCGTGGGCATATTTGATTGATATAGTAGTCGAACAGCAGTCGATTTCCTACCACATCCAGCGACGGAAATAGGCCAGGAGATGATGGTAAGGTGGTAAACCCTTTGTCGATGTCTATTGACCGAGGAGATGATATCAACCCACGACCCTGCTCTCCAATAGCCACCTTCGCATCAAAGGCCGGCAGGAGATGCCGCTTGGCATGGTCGTCTTCTTCCTCCAAAAGCCTCTGGATAAACGGCGTGTCGCTGTTGACAAAAGACCACGGTTGGATGGCCGGAGTCGCAAGCCATGTAGTGTCCTTGGGGAAGGAATCTTTCTGCCCCTGCCCCTGACCCTGACCCTTCTTTGGGGGGCTTTTCCCCCAGACCCCAGATCTACCAAAGGCGACTCCACGATCACAGTAGGCAGATTCCCATCTCAGTTGCACCGGGCTTGAACATTGTAGGTCTTTTTTCCAGCACCTGGTACAAGTTGGCTTTTGCTCATCGCACTTGACCTTGCTTCGGCGACAGTTTGAGCACCCATGCGGAGAACGCATAGGCGACTTCCGATCCACATTCTTTGGTGTTTGTTGCATTCTACCCTTTCCAGCTGTAGCCGACGAAGGCTATCGTGGGTATTTCATCATTCACTACTCTCAATGTCCTACACGACTTGAGTGCAAATTAAGGCGGACTGGATGAAATAAAATTCCTGTCCAGCGTAGTGAGGTGATGTGTGAAGGAAAGAATCAGGCACAAGGGAACAGACTGATGTCAGCAATTTGCAGCGAGGAAGGTCGACGCGAGGACAAGGTTTGTTGTGGGGCCGGCGGATTCTTCGCTAGAAAGAATACATTCGGAGTACAAGCATCAGTACTGAGGCAGGTCGATTCGGGACCACCTGGAGAGAACCCCGCAGTGTCGTGCCATCTATCTCGTTGATAAATATCCTGGCTCTCGCGAATTTCTCTCCTGGTTCATTGTCCGCTGCAAACGATCTTTCTGCACCATGGCCTACAATCTTCGATGGGGAATCCTCGGTAAGTTTGATGAATGATATCGTCTTCGTCATACTGACTGTGGTCGCTTCAGCTACCGGAGGAATCGCAGAGAGTAAGATTCAATCTGCCGGTTAACCGTCGCCGATAGTCAAAACTAATCTTGCTATGAAGCTTTTGTGCGGGACCTGCTGCTGGATCCAAGTAAAAGAGGAGTCACAGACGTTGCACACACTGTAGTAGCGGTAGCATCATCCTCATCCAAGTCCTCAGCAGACTCGTTCGTCGAAAGACTCCAGATTCCCGGACCATGTGCGACATACGGCTCTTACAAAGAGGCCGTCAACAACCCCGATGTTCAAGCGGTCTATGTGGCCAGTCCACACTCGCACCACTTTCAACACGCCATGCTTGCTTTGGAAGCCGGTAAGCATGTTCTTTGTGAAAAGGCCTTCACCGTGAACGCAGCCCAGGCCAAGATCCTGTGCGACACTGCGCAGAAGAAAGGCCTTTTCTTGATGGAAGCTGTTTGGACCCGGTACTTCCCACTTAGCATTCAGGTCCGACAACTCGTACAATCCGGAGCCATCGGCGAGGTTCTGCGTGTTGTCTCTGACTTGAGCATTGGTGTCGATCCCGAAACTGCTTGGAACAGCGACCACCGCATGGTTAACAAGGATCTGGCTGGTGGCGCCCTGCTTGACCGTATGATCCCCCTACCAGCCTAAGCATAAGTGACTGACAGATGACAGTGGGTGTTTATGCCCTTACGTGGGTTTTCCAAATTCTTTACCACACCCTACCTCGCGATCAGCGTAAAGCGCCATCCCAGATCATATCTCACATGTCCAAGTATCCTGGGACTGGATCCGATGAAGAGACAACAATGATACTAACATTCCCCACGACAACACCATCCGCCCTCCCCAATCGAACCTCGCATGCCGTGGCAATGACTGCCTTCCGTGTAGGAACAGACCCCGACGGCCGCGGCTCTGCTGGACCTTCTATCCAGATCCAGGGAACTAAGGGAAGTATCTTGATCTTCGGGCCCGCGTATCGTCCTGAGCGGTACAGAGTGGTGCCAAAATCCGAGGCAGGCGAGGCAGCAACCGTCCAAGACGTTCATGTTCCTTTCCCTGGGGATGCGCGCGGGATGTTCTGGGAGGCCGATGAAGTTGCTCGTTGTGTGCGTGACGGGAAGCTCGAAAGCGAAACCCTTCCTTGGGAGGAGAGTATCGTCATTATGGAAGTTATGGATAAGGTGCGCCAACAGGGAGGGTTGGTTTATCCAGAGGGTATCGAATCGACAACGTACCCACTGGATCTCTAATAATTTAGGGCAGTGTCGCTCTGGAGTGGAGTCGAGCGCAGCGTACGCACTCTTACGATGCTAGATAGCTTTTATCGTGAATCAATTCGATGAGGTTACACAGTGAATGCCTATCAACAGTGTTGATAGATTGGCGAATGCCCACATTTACAGTACAAACCGGCAGTAATTCCAACCAAAAAAACCCCCTTTCCAAATTTGTGCTTTTTTAATCTTCGAAAGAGCCAGCCAGACACGACCAAACCAAGAAGGACGCTCCGACTCGCTAAGAAGAGTCGACTCACTGGCCTGGTCATCGGTATCAGTGATGGGGTTCGGTATGACATTGAAATGAGCTCGAGCTTCTTCCAAGTCTCGGCGCTTTTTGAACACTGTCGTGAATGTAGTGATTAATCCACTTACACCAATTATCCTAGCAGGTAAGCAATATCATACAATCTCCTTGGGCTTTGCTGCCCGAAGTCTTCGGAATGCCGCTGTATCTCCGGTGTACTTGCAATTCCGATGGTCGTTATGCATCATTATATCGTGGCTTAAGCTCCACAAAGCAGTTAGCGCTTCCACATGGACAGACCCATTTGACCATGGACGAACCTAGATCGCTTATGCGAATGGAGAGCTTATCAGGCAGGCAATATAGGGGCCGATGGCAAAGGCCGCCGCCCACGCTTCAGTGAACCATGTTCCGTCTGGGATATTTCCACTAGGCATGGTGTGGAATGGAGGACTTCGATATTCGGGTTATGGGTATTATAAAATCACAGATTGGTTCTTTGTCACGTTGTGTTGTTGATGAGGTGAGATGTTCGATGTTGGATTACGGTTTGTGCCAAATCCGGAAAGCACGTGTCTACTCAGGCTGTATGCACCTTCCTCTTTCATATCCCAGCAAAATACCAGCCAATGGTGTATCGCTGTTTCAAGACAATTCGCTGGAGATTACCAGGCTATACCAGGGTCTAGCCGGGAAAGAGGCAATTGTTCACATTGTATGTATCATTTGCATTCTGTCCCAGAATGCACTTACGTACATTACATTTGGTAACGAGTAGACGCCCGATCCTTTATTGGGCGTAGATTTTCTACATCCAGAAGCACCTGTAAGTGGGAAGACATCGTGTCTCTTGCCATCTACATGGATGCTCTCCTAATGGGCATAATTGAAATACAGCCGGTATTTAACGATAGCGTACCCGCATCTCTTTTCTGGTGGACGGAATTTTCAGCTGCATAATTATATATTCAAGCAACTATAAATCATATGCCACGTTCCACATAGTATTCATGCTACTATTCCCGCCTCCAGTGCAAGGAACATCTCATCAGCCAAGGGCACCTCATCCGTAAACGGCACCTCCAGCCCCGCGATATCAATATCAGACGGGTAAAAGTTAAGCATATCCCCAAACATATCGACACCTGTATCCGGGCTCAGAGTGCTAGTATCGAGCTCAAGCTTTTCATCTCCGCCCGAACTACGCGACGCTGGTGTTAATGGGGTCTGGGTCTGAGCCGGAGTCAGAGTTTGTCCTGAGCTATTGCGCGCGTAGTCAACTGCCTGTTTGAAGTATGGGTCCGTATCGCCGATTCTTTCAAACAGCGAGGGTATATACCCCGTATCAGATGATAATCGTAGCCAGAACGGGGTACTCCGATTCAGCATGGCGCACAGAAGCAACGGCCGAACGAGGGATGGGGCAAGCAGCTGGATATGCGCGAATGGCTGCTGCGCGGGCGGATTGTCGATTAAGTGTATTATGGGCCAGGTAGTCGTCCAGAGGGACTTGATGGAGTATTCGGATACATCTAGGGTAGGGGAGGAGACTTGGAACCAGCGGAGCACGGCCCAGTGGTTTGAGGCGATGTGGTAGAGAAGCATTAGGGAGGTGATATGCACCGAGAGCAGGCTGTTCGTGTCCCTCTGGCCTTCAGCATAGCTGTTCGGTTGTAGGCAGGCGATTTCCATGGGCAGGCTGGCCACCCATTTGTCTAGCAGTTGACCAGCTTTGAGTACCTCCGCGGAGTCCGAGACTCCTGGATGGATAGAGGGCCAGGGCTGGTCGCGCTTGTCTGTGATGTTTGTTGATATTGGAGCGAGATTCCCAATAATGACCGCTAGTTTCGACCGTTCGATGAGCATAAGCGCCAGCTTCCGGTGGTAACTGGCATTGTGCTCTGGTGTAAATATGTCTTTCGTGTTCATATCACTACCCAAGGGGTCAAGGGCGAAGTCATCTAGTGTCAACATCGGCACATCGAGGTCTCGGTCGTTGATAATCCAGGGAGAACCGTGGTCAAGCAGAACCATCCGCTCGCGAATATACAGACTCCACCATAGCTGCTTGCGCCGACTTCGTTCATACGCATCTTCTGAGAATCGCGCCGGGTTTCGATGCAATCCTAGCACATATGCGTGGGAAACGGCCTGTGCTATAAGATTGAGCGAGCTCTTCGGACTGTCGATTGGCTGCGGGTATAGCGACATCAAAAGCAGACACTGAATCAATACGGTCCTATCAGTTTCGTACCCCATATCGAATAGCACCCGGACGCGGTCGAACATGGCACGAAGAGAAGCTGGCTTGGTATGTCGGCCCTCGTGGGCATCAAGGAACAGTCGGGAACTCAGCATGACGCAGTGAAAGAGCAGTAGACTGATCTTGGCCGACCCCGCTGTGGCCTTTAATGATGCGACCGTTGCTGCGCGGTCTAGGACAGGCAGAGAGGGATGCACCAGCTCGAAATAGCTTCGCCATAGCTTGTCGCGGACGGCTGGGCTGTGCAAACGCAGTGCGCCCTTTGCGCGCAGGTATGTGAGCTCGTCATCGCCGATATGGGAGGGGACAGGCTGGATGTATGCCGGCAGTGGTGACTGGAAGTGCGACTGGACCACGGGCGCCTTTCTTCACATTGGTCAGTCCAATCGCAGGTACAAAAGCGGATATTTCTCACCGAAGACGCCGTCTGCCAGGAACAATCTCACAGGGAACCTGATCGAGGCTGCAGTTCGTACACGGCGACCCAGACACGGCGGCGTCGCAGCGGACTTTGCGCGAGCGACAAAGCCTGCAGGCTATACTGGACCGCGGTCTCTTATACCGCGTATCCGCACACACCGAATGGGCAGAGCTGCTATCTGGGGTATCCATGGTTGAGTTCCTGCTTCGTGGCTTGCCCTCTTTGAGCTTTCCCCGCTGCTCTTTTGTATGGAGAGATGTCGGTTGTCGGACCGAGATGGAGCAGTCGCGGCGGCGGGACGCTACCCCGTATGATCGACGAGCTATTCCCGGGGAAATGGATCTATGAAGTGACACTGACTCGGTCCGTATCGGATCCTTTACGGGGAAATCTTAAAATCGGATCCGTCATCCTCGATGGAGAGATGTGGGACAATGTGCGATCGGCCCGACGGCGGGACAGCCAGCTGTCGACGATGATAGCTTGGCCGATACCACAGTCGCGAGTTCGCAGGTAGTAGTCTCTATTCATTCTACCCATTCAGGATTTATTCTGGCTATTCCCATTGGTGACAGCCTGACAAGAGTCTTGGTGCATGGTTAGCTGGATATACCCTGGTGCTTATACAACAGCCTGACTGAGCCCACACTTCGTGGCCACTATGAAATGAAAAAAAAAAAAAAAAAAAAAAAAAAGCATACGAAACAAAGATAGGCCAGCATAATATTCAGTTTTATATAGTAGTGTACTTCGTTCAGCCTTCTTGTCCGAGAGCTGCCCTCAACAAGGTCGGTCCGATCGGTCCGATATCCACTATGCACGGTTTATGCAGTGCACAGACTCAGTTAAGCAAGAATAATGAATTCAATAATTTTCAACGAAACATAACCAAATATTCCGATAGCAGCTCAATCGAACTGTCCCTTATACGTGCACTTGAACTGAACATTATTGGACCAAGTGAATCCACACCACTCCGAGAAACTGTGGTCCTCCTTGACACACTCGTACCCGCTCACCGAAGTATCATCCATCGCCGTGATGATAAGACCCTGCTTCCCATCCTTGCCACAGTTCGAGTCTGGCTGGAAGAGGCCCTCCCCCATCGGAGTGTCGATCTTCACCTCGTCGGACCCCTTGATGTCACAGTAGTCCTCGAAGGCTGAGTTCACGGACGGATCGTTGCAGTCTCCATAGTCTCCTTCCTTTCCCCATGCCATGGTGATCAGGTCCCTGCATTGGGGGAATCCACTGCCTGCTGCGAAGCATCCGTGGCTGGAGACCAAGTACCCGACCTGATCTTCCTTCGGTATATCGTCACGGACGACCAATTTGGATGAGGACCCTTTGCGGGATAGGATGTCCCTTGCGATGCTGGCGTCGTCGGGGTGTGGGAGTGCAGCCACCATGGGAACAGCAATGGCTGCTGTAAGAGTGATAAGGACGGAGCGCATTGTGGAGGTTAAATAATAGAGGTATTCAAATCAGGACGTTGCGGTTGGCTTTTTTTTTCCCACGAGGAGTAGAGGGTAAAGGACTGATGATGTCCTAATGAAGGGATGTTGCTGCCCTTATATAGATGTCAAGCTTGACTGATCTGATAAGTGAATCCGCAGCTGTTCTGCAGCCCTGGGTCTGAAGCTGAATGCAGCGCAACAAAGCACCATATTCAGTAATGTATACTCGGGCCATAACACTGGCCTCGCTAGTGCTTAGCCCCATCTCCACCAAAAACGATCGTCCTCCGCATTCTGCAGGGAGTTGGGCTAGTGATATTCATGCCAAGATTGGCTATGTACGGTGGCTATGCAATTCAGCTTAGGCAAGCTGAACAGCTATGGGGCCAACATCTGCCTCCGGCGCAGAAACATACCCAACCTCGTTAGTAAAGCGACCGGGGGATTAACCTTATTGCCTTCTGCAAGGCAGAATCAAGACCCTGAATTAGACCGATCTGCGGGGGATTGTCACCCTGAAGACTCCAGAGTCCAGAGCTCTCCTGCCCCAACGCGGCCCCTATTCTCACCACATGCTGACATCTGGGGCCGTAAATGAATGTGACAGCTGGAGTATTGGCTGGTGATAGCTGCCCCGTTCTGGTGCAGTGGCAAAATCCGCAATAGGACGCGTACGTCATCCGACTGCTTCTGAAATTATCTTAGTTAAATTTGGAAGATCAACAAACTATCCGCAGGGACTTCAGGTACTTACGCACAGGCCGATACCTCTGTCAGAAGCCAGAGATCCTGCCGCGGAGCTATAGGCACAAGTGCCGCCACTGCCCTGGGGGCCTAACCCGCCCAGACCAAGTGATCGGGCATGCTATATCCGAGCGCACGTGGAAATGTAAGTGTGCTGTTGAATTATCGGATGATTATCTATTCAGGTGTGTAATGGGGTTAGCGGCAGGGAGGGTTGGATATGGCTGAGGTTGTCACTATGGATTCGGTGGCTTTATGTCTCTGTGGGTGTGGCTCTTTGCAGATATATAGTAAGCGCACAACAAAGGTGGAGCCGGCCGTCTCCAAAATATCACAGACTGCTGATTTACTAAGCACCTGAAATCTTGCAAGACAATGGTGGAAAAGCTACTAATCAAACCGTAGGCTGTACCGTATGGCCGCAGCAGATAACCAGTTGGAGATTGGAGACAGTTGGAGATGTGGAGAATGGATAGATAGTGATTACACAGCAGTTGGTCTATACAATGATTAGATTGCTCCTCTGGAATCATCAAGCACATATAAGGGCGGCATCCCGACGATGTGTTCGCTTTCATATTATCCCAGTCGGTCAAGTAGGATCCAACATGTCCCTGGTTGAACAAGGCTCCAAGTCCACCGTCCGCGTCGCCGCCGTCCAGGCCGAGGGCGTCTACTTCGACCTGCAGGGCGCCGTCGACAAGACCTGCAAGCTCATCGAGGAGGCCGCAAGTAAGGGCTGCGACCTTGTTGCATTCCCCGAGGTCTGGATTCCGAATTACCCAGGCTGGATATGGTATGTTCGCCCCCTACCGAGTCCAACGGGTATAATCTGATCGTATCAACCAGGCAACGGCCCATCGACTTCGATATGGTAGGCGAGTACATGAAGCACTCTCTCCGCCGCGACTCTGCAGAAATGGACAAGATCCGCAAGTGCGCAGCCACAAACAAGATCGCGGTCAGCCTCGGATACTCCGAGAACCACAACCACTCCCTGTACCTGTCGCAGTCCTTCATCGGCAAGGACGGCGAGATTAAGATGCACCGCCGCAAGATCAAGCCCACGCACGCTGAACGTACGATCTATGGAGATGGCAGCGGCGCTTCGCTGCTGAATGTCGTTGACGAGCCGGGCATTGGCAAAGTCGGCGCCTTGTCCTGCTGGGAGCACTCCCAACCACTCCTCCGCTACCATACTTACTCCCAGGGTGAGGAGATTCATGTCGCGGCTTGGCCGCCCATGAACTACTACAACTCCTTCCCAGAGGGAACGGCGCTGTGGTCCCAGTGTCGAGAAGGTGTGTATAGCTCTAGCTTCCTGACTCCACGCGCCACCTAAACTGATCACCATGCAGGCGCGCATAACCTGTCGACCACCCACGCAATCAAAGGAAACTGCTTCGTTATCCTGTCCTCGTCGTTCTTCAGCCAGGAGGGAATCGAGCGTATGAAGCTCGGCGATGGCAAGCTGTACCACATCCCCGGTGGCGGCTGTGCTGCTATCATCGCGCCGGATGGCCGTAAATTGACGCAGGATCTCGGCGAAGAGGAGGAGGGGTTGCTGATTGCGGATCTGGACCTGGACGAGATCCTGAAGGTGAAGACTATGTTGGATGTGCACGGCCACTACAGTCGCCCTGATCTTCTCTGGCTCGGGGTGGACTATCGCGAGAAGAAGCAGGTGCGCCCGCACGGGCCGGAGCTGAGTGAAGCTTAAATAGTCTATTATATAGATATATAGTGGTATTGAGTAGGGAATGTTGACTACTCCTAGAAATCGATTCCCCTTATTGATTTGGAATCAAGATGTAGAACTCAAGCGATGATAATGAATTTATTCAATAATGGTAATTAAAAACGACTTATAAACACGGATTGAAATTACTTTCATTATTTGCAACTGCAGGCTGTCCTTTATCCTTACTGCCTTGATTAGTTTTGATAGAATTTGTTTTCTATTGATGTAGAAATGTTTCTTTATGGAACCAAACAACGTACCACATTCAATCAATTACTGCGACCGTATAGAACGCTGTCCGAAGACAGAAGACGCATCCAAGGTGAATACCGTTGCTCTCTTCGCACGCCTAGACCCTTAGATAGTAGGTGCAATGCTCTCTGTGACCATTACAACACAGATAACCTGTGCCGCTTAGCCACACTGACCTCATTGGAGAGCGAGTTGGAGAGGGAGATCGTTGGAGAAATTATCAATCCTCCAATATTGTCAAGGCTCGAACCGGCCTCATTTCGCGGATTACCGAGTCCTCTCCTATTCCACGTCAAGATGACTATGTGGTTCGTGGCATCTATTGCCGCCTAAGCCTTAGTTACGAGCCGATATTCTGTACTTATACTACCTGATATCCCCGAACTATTCAGGATCAACACTGGTTTAAGCTACCGTCGCAATGGCCCAGCCCTATACCGATGCAGAGAGGCCCGGCTCTCTGGACGACATTACTTTCCTCAACCTGACATTCGATTCAAGCCTCCCGAGGCCTGCTATGTCCAACACTCCTGGCCATGAAATCCCGGCGCCGGACCTGTCCAAGCTGGGCTCACCATACGACTGGTCGCCCTTCCATAAAAGCTTCATAACCTGGGTATCCTGCATTGCTACCCTCTTCGCCTCTTTCGCAGCCAGCTGCTACAGCCCCGGTGCCTCCCAGATGTCCAGTGAATGGCATACCAGTGAGGTTGCAACGTTGGTCGGTATTACTACCTTCTGCTGTGGATTCGCAATCGGACCCATGTTTCTGGCCCCGTTCTCTGAGATCACAGGGAGGAAGCCTGTGTTTGTGGCTACGGCGATTCTGCTTATAATATGCCAGCTGTGCTGCGCTGTCACCAGACTATATTCTGGGTATGTCCGCCCCCTATTACATCTTTACCTGCTTCTAATACTCCCCTGATAGAATGCTAGTCGCTAGGTTCTTTGCCGGCATCGGAGGCTCAACCTTTTCCACCATGGTCGGCGGTATTATTGCAGACATCTATACGCCCCAGGATCGCAATGCACCGATGACACTCTTCTCTGTTAGTGCGTTGTTTGGGACAGGTCTTGGTCCGCTCGTCTGCGGGTTTATTGGGGAACATACAACATGGAGGTGGATCTTCTATATCCAAATCATCATAGCTGGAATGATCACCATCTCTGTGATTCTCTTCTTCCGCGAGACCCGCGGTACAGTTGTCCTTCGCCAGAGAGCCAAGGCGTTGAACAAGTACTACGAACACCTCGAGGCTTCCGGGTGTTCAGGGCTACAACCTTCCCCAGAAAAGCCGTTCCAGCGCATTCGCTGGAAGGTAGCAGAGGACGAAGAGCGCGCCAGCCTATCCACGATGCTGAAGACATCAGTCTCACGCCCGTTCCTCCTCCTCCTTACCGAGCCGGTGGTGTTCTTCTTCTCCCTCTGGGCTGCCTTCAGCTGGTCCGTTCTCTATATCAACCTCTCCGTGATCCCGCTGGTATTCCAATCCACGTACAGATTCAGTCTCTCCGAGGCCAACGCAATTTTCACAGCGGCCTGCACAGGGAGCCTACTTGCCATGGTCTTGTCCATTATCCAGGACCGGCTGGCGTCACGCCGCAAGGGCTGGAACTCGCTCCCCGAGCACCGGCTCTACTTCAGCTGTGTGGAGAGCATTCTCCTCCCTATCGGCCTGTTTATGTTTGGCTGGACCTCCCAGTATCATGTTCACTGGATTGTGCCCGCGATCGCCGTGGCCATTTCGACGATGGGCATCTTTGCTATCTACTTGGCTGTCTTTAACTACCTTGCCGACACGTATCATCGATACGCCAGCTCCGCGCTCGCGGCGCAGAGTTTCTGCCGGAATATGATGGGTGGGATCTTCCCGTTGGTGTCGAAGCAGTTGTTTAATAATTTGGGATTTGGACCTGCTGCGAGTCTGCTTGGGGGGATTGGCGCCGCCCTGACGCTGGTGCCGTGGTTGCTGGTGCTGTTTGGCAGCCATATTCGGTCGCGGAGTAGACTTGCTAGTGAGATTATGCAGTGAAGGGTTGCGTGTACTATATAGACCTTTATAGAACATATATACCTTTCTCTCCCTTTGTACAAGCTTTACGGAGTCTCGCTATCGACAAAACCAGACCACGTCCTCATGTAGTTGATGAACGGCTCACTCAGCCCAGACCGTCTTAACCAGTCTGCTGTCACCGGCAAAACAGGCGTAGAATACTTTCTATCCCTACTTGTATTCTCCGGAAAGCTCGGGTCCAAAACGGCCGCCTTGCCCAGCATAACAAAATCACAGCCGGCATCAAGCATCTCAGCGGCCTGTTTCACACTCATAACATGCCCCGACGCACCGAGACGCACCGACCCCCTCGGTAGGTCTGTAAACACACTCAGTAGTGTCCGGCCTTTGAACTCGCCCTCGGTAACAGTCTTCCGATAATCCCAGACAGCCAAGTCCAAATAATCAACAACCTCCTCCTTTAAGACCCGGGCAGCAACCCACCGCGCATCCTCAACGGAAACCCCATGCCTCTCCATCGAGATCCGCAAACCAATCTGGAAATCCGATCGACACGCCTTGCGTATCCCATCAATGACTTCGAACAGCAACCGGGCCGGTTCTCAATTCCTCCCCCATACCTATCCGTCCGGCGATTGAATGCCGGCGATAGGAACTGCATCAGAACCCACCCAAACGCCCCATAGACCTCGACGCCGTCGAATCCCGCTTCCTGCGCGCGGAGCGCCGCAGTGATAAAATCATCCCGGAGCCGTTCCACCTCTGCAACTGTGAGACCGCGCGCCCCAGTCCGTACGTCCTCGGACGGACCCTCGGAAATACCGCCAAGCTCAGGACTCGCGCGAACACCACCATGATGAAGCTGCACGGACGATACAGCCCCGCGCGCGCGAATACTATCAGCGAGTTTCCTCAGCCCAGGGATGTGTTTATCGCTGAAGATCCCCATTTGGCCGGGGAAGGGTTTTCCGGAGCCCTGCACGTGTGCGGCGCATGTCATGACCATGGAAAATCCACCGGCCGCGCAGCGCGAGAGCCAGCGTTCTTCATGCTCTGATGCTGTACCGTCTGGGTGGCTTTGCCAGTTTGTTAGGGGGGCGAGGAGTAGGCGGTGTTTAAGGGCGGGGCCGCGCTTCAACGGTAGGGGACTGAATAATGACGCTGCCATGGTGGTGGTAGAAGTTAATTTCACATGCGCTGTAAGGTTAATTTTTACATTATCTGCGCGGTGTTCTGTTCTCTTCCATGGTCTGGCTCCGCTACAGGGAGTAATTGGAGAGACCCATATACACTGAGCCAATGTCCAATCAGATCACGTTATTCATGTGCCTCTCAAGCTGCCAAAGAATTGGAGACTGGAGATTGGAGAAGTTGGAGAAAGAATCGGACGTGGACGTGGACATTTCCATCCACTACTGGTCTAGACAATCACCCAGCCAGTAGTGATGGACGAATCAACTCGGCATACCGATCGAGACTCTGTCCGATGAGTTGCACAATCGGCCATGGACTGTTGCACAGCTTGAACATCTGCGCCCACGCCTTGACGACGGCATAACTCAGCTTCTGCGTCGATGACTCCGGGCTCGTTATCTCGGTGTCGCCGATATTAGATACAATATCAATGGTATCGTCATGGGATAGCAGGGCTTCGCGGACGACACGGCCGATCCATTGCACGACCCGGCTTTCAAGGTCTGGGACGTGGATTAGCGAACCGCATGTTTTCTATAGGGAAAAAGGAAATCAAACCTGTCAAAGGTAATGAGGAGCATGAGGACGAAAGAGTCAGCAGCCATTTGCTCAGGAAGGCGGCGCATTCGATGTTGCACAGTGCATGCTGGATGCTCCAGGAGTAGGACTTGCAGTGCGTGTAATACGATAGTCCGATTTGAACAGGAATATTAAGGGCATGTACCGAGTGAAGAATGGCGTAGATGGTCTCAGGCCCTCGCCGTGGCGCCGGGGCTTTCAAAAGAGTCGCGGCTATTGTATCGGGATTGCAACTCTGAAGATCCCGCCACTGGCCCAGATTGCAGTGTAGACGTATATGGGCGGCGCCTAGGAGGGCCGTCGATGTGAAGGACATCGATCCGTAGGGGTTATGCAAGTCTAAGCCGGACTCAGGCGATGTTCGCCAAGTATGTCGCCATCGGGTCAACGCGAGTTCAAAGTCTGCGATATCGCTTGGGGTGAGGCTTTGGGCGTAGGGATCATGGGATAGTTGTTGCGCTAGGTATATTCGTTGGATCAGCGCATGGACAAGGATGTAGTTTCCCATGGGCGAAAGTCCTGGTGCATGGGGACTACTGGCCGTGCCTAGGTGCGAAGCATGTACATCCTTGAACGTTGCACGGTCCGGGGCATGGGCTCTGGCATTCTTCCACTCTTTCTGGTTCCGGGCAACCCATTCTTTGCAGGTCGATGGAAGGAACAAGTTGATCTCCCGGAATAGTAAAGCAGGGGGCGTGTCAAATGCAATGCTGTGTAGGCTGATCAGACACCAGGCAAACAGCTTCGTCCGTCGGTCTGTTTCATCCCGAGCCCATTCTGTCCAGTTGTCCGGTTCCAAATCCGACTCCTCAGTGAGGCGGACCTCTCGAAGGCAACGCGCTATGATGCCCTGGTACTCGAACGCCTGGTTAATGAATTCTGGTTCATTTTTCCATGAAGAATACACGAAGAGAAGAACCAGCGTTCTAATCCGGTCCATCCACCCGTGGGGTGACAGGTCGTCTTTCGCATTAGTTTGATCTCCTACACTGTCTTGATGTGGGCGAAAGAAGTCGCCTCGCCGTATCCGCTCCAACACAATAGCCCGAGAAGCGTGGTACAGACCATGGGCCGTCTTGGTCTCATATCGATACTGAGCACCGATCGCCAGGATTGCTAGAATCAATTCGGGCGACTCCAGGTACGATACAAGACGCAAGGTCGGGATATGGATAAACGGGTGATGGTGGCTGAAGCCATCCACATACCCGCTGACATACCGAGCAATTGCAAGGCGTGATGGGAGCACGAGTTGCGGGAGAACATGAGCAAACTGGTCAACGGCCTCTTGAAGCTGTATTCGCTGCGCTTCTGGCATCATCCATGGACAACGCACCGGCTTCAGTTCGCGAAAGTCATCTAAGAGCGAGTAAGCTCAGGCCAGCACGTCTGATGGACGTTCACCTACCGTCTCCGTAGCTGTCATCTGGTATTGGAGGCGAGACAATAGGACTGGGAGCAGCGAACTGCGGTGGATCCAATCCATCCAACGAAAGGTTCTGCTGGTTAAGCATAGGGTCCATTATAAAACTGCTACCATCCAAGTTCATCTCCGGTGCGTTTAACAGCATCGTGTAGTCCAAGATTGGATCATCTTGACCAGTCAGCATCAAGCCACCCAGCGACTGATGATCTGCGACTGGTAGATAGTCACTCGGGAAAGAATCAGTGGCGCTCGACTGCACATTGTCATGCTGCGAGCCACTGGACGGCGTGACAGGCTCATTGGTGCCTGCAGTCGCTGGAGTTGAACGGCGGCGGCCAGAAGGGGAGTGATTCAGCCGCTCGTGGCGAGTCAACAGGTCCTTCCGAGTAAATGAGCGCCCACATCGACAGACATATGGCTTCTCCTTCGTATCTGACGTCGGTCAGTACACATTCTCACTGAGAGCGCGTCACGTACGAGTCCGCGAGTGGCGCTGCAGATGTTCATAGCGGCCGAAGCTCCGCGAGCACACGGCGCATGTCAGTGATCGCACTGGGTCTACGCCGGCCATCGAGAGCGCCGAAATACAAATCCAGGTTCTTCGCTGGATAGTTGTAGACGCTCGAGCAGCAATCCAGGACAGTCGGCTGCATTGCGAGTCACATGATATCACTGCTTATGTAATTTTATATCATGTGACTTCACATGCCAGAGACTCCATGGAGGTTGTATCTGTCATCTGTTAGAATGATAGAATCTAGTAAAAATGTAATTTGAAATGCCATTTCGTGGTCCTTGGGTATCAGATGCGTCCAAACTCTTATCCTTATTCCGTAATCTTTCTTTCGTGGGTACCCAACGTGCCCGCTCGAGCTGTATATATATTCCCGATTGTATAAGGGAAGCGCTGTATACTTCCATTCAAGCATACAATACGACTATTACAGATTCATCATTCGATAGCCGAGAATGTATTTAGCACTTCCATGAATCTGTGAACGCACCATATCCCCCCTCTGCGGGGTTCTGGCCACCACCGGGAAGCCTCCCGATATCTCAATAGAATCTCCACAAAGTCGGGGTCAACTATAAAACCCCCAATTACACACAACTCTCACTACACCCAAAAGCCGCTTGTGAGAAATAAACAACAGATAATGCCCGTGAAACGCTCAATAAACGTCGTTGGCTGCCACTGCGCCGGCGAAGTCTGCGATGTCATCGTCGGCGGCGTGCTCGACGCCCCCAGCAAGTGCTCAACCATGTACGAGAAACTGGTCCACTTCCGAGACAACGACGACGATATCCGACAGCTGCTTCTCAATGAACCTCGCGGGCGTCCGGCCATGTGCACGAATCTTGTCCTCTCGCCGTGTGACCCAGCTGCTGATGCCGGGTTCTTGATTATGGAGAGTGAGGAGTACCCGCCTATGTCTGGGGGGAATACTATTGCCACTGCGACTGTGCTGCTTGAGACGGGGATGGTGAAAATGAAAGAGCCCGTGACGGAGTTGGCGCTTGATACGGCGGCGGGGCTGGTTCGGGTTACCGCCGAGTGTGAGGATGGGAAGTGCAAGAATGTGGCGTTTGATAATGTGCCTGCATTTGTGTTTGCCCTGGACTTAAAGGTGTATGTCCCCGGGATTGGGGCCGTGAATGTGGACGTCGCATGGGGAGGGATGATCTATGCGGTTGTTGATGCGGCGTCGGTGGGATTATCGATCGAGAACAAGAATGGCCCGAAGCTGATTGAGGTTGGAGAGCGGATCAAGAAGGCCGTTCAGGACGCCTATACGCCTGTTCATCCAGAGAACCCTGAGATCAAGGGTGTCAGCATTCTCGAGTTCACGGAGCCGATGCAGAAGGGACCGGATGGGAAGAAGTTCGCAGTCAACACCGTCGTTGTCTCGCCTGGAAGATTCGATCGGTGTCCGTGTGGAACTGGCAGCTGTGCGAGGATGGCAATTCTACATGCAAGAGGACAACTAGGTGTGGGCGAAGTATTCGAGCACCGTAGTATCATTGGGAGCACCTTTGACTGCCACATCCGGGGAACAACGAATGTTGGAGACCACGAAGCTGTGCACCCGACGGTCAAAGGGAGTGCTTGGATTACGGGGTATAAGCAGATGCTGCTGGATGCCTCTGACCCTTTTCCGGAGGGATTTAGGGTTGGCGACCAGTGGCATATTGGGGATGCATAATATATAGAATGCAACAGTAAATACAATAGTGCAAATACTGAATAACTATTTCCAGCCCTTCATAGACATTTCTGCCATATGTATCTACTTGGGGCATTCAGTCTGCCCCTCCGGCAATCCATCCGACGTGGGGTCTCGGCTGTGAACATAACCGACTATCAGTATTGCAGTTGTCGAAACATTCTAAAGTTAATGCTATTATCACGCTTGACTTGGCTTCTCCGCATTTATCAATCAAATCGGGAGCCCTCCCGGTCAGCTCTGAAGCTTCAACCTGTATAAATATTCGTCCCTCGTTACATGTACGAAGTCCCTCCACGCTTGTCTCGGGTGTCTCAATCCAAAATGGCCGATATCAAATTCTTCGACAACCCCGCCATCTATGACGTGCTGATCAACCTCTCTCAGGAAGAGGCGATCGGCTTCCGCGACATCGTGGAGAAGACATTCGAAGATGTCTCTGTCGGCGGCGAACGCCAGTACCAGCCCATGCCCAGTGTATCCAACCGAGCAAACGGCCAAAACACTCTCTTCCGCCCCTTCACCTCCGATTCCAGCGTCGGGACCAAAATCACCGTCGAGCCCGCGCCAAATCCCGACGGGACAAAAGAGGCCCTACACGGGACCATCATCTTAACCGACGGCATCGGCATCCCAACCGCAGTCCTCAGCTCTGAAGAGGTCACCGGCTACCGGACCTCCATGAACGTCATGGTCCCGTTCTCATGGCGCAAGCACGTCGAGAACGTCGTCATATTCGGCGGTGGCATGCAAGCCCTCTGGCACACGCGACTGATCCTGACCCTACGCGGGCCCGAGGTGAAGAGCATCACATACGCAAATCCCGTAGAGGAGCAGGTAACGAAACTGATCGCGACAATCAACAAGGAGAAGCAAGGCCGGTGGACTACGAGTGCTTCCTTCCATTTCCTCAATACCACTGCGTCCAACTACCAGACGGAGCTGCAGACTCTGCTCAAAACCGCGGATGCGGTATTCTGTACTACGCCCTCCCGCAAACCATTATTCCCTGCTAGTTACCTGACCCAGGGCCGGACGCGCCAGCCGTTTATCTCGGCTATTGGGTCGTGGCTGCCGGAGATGTGGGAACTAGATCATGGACTGTTACATCATGCAATTTCTGCCGGGGATGGGTATAACCCTGTCTCTGGGGACAGTCGAGGGGTCGTACTGACTGATGACCGGGACTTTGCGTTGCAGAACTGTGGTGAGCTGGTTAATAGTGGAATTGCGGCGCAGGATGTGGTTGAGCTGGGTGAGATCATTTCTCTACAAAAAGACAAGAGCTCAACGAAGATTGAACAGACAGCCAAGTTTATCTCAGAAGGGTTTGTCGCGTATAAGAGTATTGGGGTTAGTTTGACGGATTTGACGGTCAGCAATGGAATTCTGGAGTTGCTGAAGAATAAGAGGAGGGAACACCTATAGGTACCTCCTATTCAAATTAATGCTCATCGATAAATGAATTCGGAGCACATCCATCTACAGAAGAGAGTCCATCATGACTGCCGTACCAGTAAACTGAGTCTTGGTCACAGTCCTAGCGTGGGATGGTCCTTCGCTTGACTAGATGTATATCATCGGACATGCTTCCAGTGCCAGATCCACAGGCTATCGGTCAGTGGGAACGCGGGGTGTCCAGGGCAGATGTAGAGTCTCGCCTTGATGTGGAATATACAGCTTGCTAGGTGGCCATCTTATACTTATTATTACTCGCAGAATCCGGTTTATCTGTATTCTGGAAAGGGCCATATCCGTCTCACTTCTTCCGGTGACTTTTCCCCCTCCATTGGCGCAATATGATTTATGTTGGAGGTCAGTCGAGGATGTCAAACGACGTCGGTGCAGGTTGCCAGCCAGTGGCACCACTAATAAAGGAGAAGACAGGCGCAAGCTAGTATATGACTGGAAGTGCTTCGGAGAATTGGATTGTGTATTTTTACGGCAGACCCTGGAACAAAACAATAATAAAATTTCATATAAATAGTAGTGTTCAGTAGAATCAGTCTATACTTTTGCAGGTCTATATGAGTGTAGATGCCATATTATACATTATGTTTCCCCGTGTTCCTCAAACGGAAGCCTCTCCTTTCTCTTCATCACTGACCTTCCCACTCTGACCCCCCTTCCCACTATCGTTGCCCTTCTTCCTCAAATCCACCCATCCCATCCCCCACCCCGAGGCAAAAGAGACAACACAGAGCGCCGCAACAAGGTAAAATGTCCACCCCACAGCCCTGGAGTAGCCTTTCAGCACACCCTCCAGATCCTCGCCGGAGACAGTCTGCCTAAACCCTGTCGCACCAGCCGCAATCACCACATCGGGATGTACATTGGGTGCATACCGCGGGATCTGGCTTTTCAATCCCTCGCTGAAAATCACATTCGCGACGGCTAGGAATACAGATCCGCCAAAGGTCTGGCAGAATGTTAGAATGGCCATTCCGGTGGAGAGGTCATCTGGTGCGATTCCGTTTTGGACGGCGAGCATGGGCTGTAACACTGTTAGTAAACTGAATGCTAGGAACGAGCTGATGGGACATACGGCTTGTGTTGCGCAGCCTCGGCCGAGACCAGCCAGGACCTGATAGCCTGCCCAGGCGGCTGTGGAAGTTGTAGGTGTAAGAGTGGAGAGGAGACCGGAGCCAACAGCGGCAATGACTGACCCGCCGACGGACCAGGGGATATAGTAGCCCAATTTTCCAACTGGTTCAAGGTCAGCAAGTAGAACAGATATATATAGCAAACGACGGGATCAACATACTGAGAACACCAGAAATAACCGACGCAACAAGCTGCGATAGAATCTGCGGGAGGAGATTCACACCGCTAATAAGCGCCGAATCGTCCTTGACTGCCTGAAAGTAAATCGGCAGATAATATGCAATAATCATGGTCAAGCCAAAGATAACAGCAACATTGGCGTAGCTAGCATATGCAATGCGCTGGGTAATAAGGTGGAACGGAATCATCGCGTCACGGCCTTTATAGTACTCCCATCCCAGGAAGACAATCGCTGTGGCGCCGGCGCCGCAGAATAAACCGATGATCCGCGAGTCGTTCCATGCGTACTCGTTGCCGCCCCATTCGAGGGCTAGCAGGAACATGATGGCCGCTGGGGCGAAGAGGACGAAGCCGACCAGGTCGAATGTTTTGTAGAACGTGGGTAGGACTTCCAGGGCAGGACTCTTTTTGCGTTGTTCGGGCACGCGGGTGAAGACGAGGAGAATAGCGACTAGCCCACCGATGGGGAGGTTGATGTAGAAGCCTGAAACGAATAAGTAACATGAATGGTATTTGAGGTGAAGGACGTACACCATCGCCAGGTTGTGTATGTGGTGAGGGCACCGCCGACTAGTGGGCCTATGACCAGACCCAGCTGCGTGAAGCCCATCAACATTCCAATAAGCGCTGCGATTATTAGCTTCTGTGGATGAGAGTAAATTCACACGACGTACCTGGTCTTTTGTGCATTGGGACAGCACCGGCAATAATCGTCAATGCCCCGTTGATCATGCCTGAAGTTCCCATCCCTGAGACGGCGCGCCCTACAATCAACATCTTCGAAGAGGTCGAAACACCACAAATGAGCGACCCAAGCTCGAACACGGCGATGAAGCTCATGAAGACGATCTACACCTGTTAATATTGTGTATAGCAGGCAGTAGCTGGAGACGTACCTTGGACTTGAAATGGGTGTAGAATTTACCCGTCAGTGGTTGCAAAGCACAGCTAACGATGTCAACAATGGAAACCCAATTGATGGATAATAATGACCTTACCTAGCTAGAGTATAAGCACTGCCATACCACGCCACATCTTGCAGCGAATGGAACTGGTTTGTGATTTTGGGAACAGCCTGCCTAAGTCAGTCTTTAATAGCTCGCACCATAACTGCCGGGAAACCATACCGTCGCAACAATGGAAGTATCCAGTAACATGAGAAATATAACCAATGTAATACCAGCCATCACGACGAAGAGCTGAAATCCTTCAATCCATTCCTGGTGTATTTCCGCGCCGGCGTCTACAGTAGGGCTCGGCGCATCGTCGCGCCCAGCCTGTGACGACAAACGTGCATCCTGTACAGCTTCGCCCTTTATAGACGACGCCTCCTGAGTGGTGGAGGAGCTATCCTGGTTTTCACCCGTGGTGTTTGGGTGTGAAAAAGATTCTCGGTGTTGATCGGGTTTTAGGGCCGCCCCCTCTATCGCACGTTTTTCGTCCATAGAAGACAATAAAGCTGATGAATTGAGAATCCCGAAAAACGAAAAAAATCAGGCATTTTAAATCAGCAGACGCAGGGTTTAAAACTTTTTAACCACCATCCCTGTGAGTCGTCGCTAGGCTTCTTCTCCGTGCAGTGCTCTAAACTCCGAGACGGAAACGGAATCGGGGTCGGGACGGAGTTGGTCCAATTTCGCTCTGACTCTTTTCAGCCCCCAACCCGCCTCTGATTTGTGACTCACTTGCGTCTGCTGCTCGAGCCTGCTATTCACGGATGTCGGCTTAATGAATACGAGTTGGATCAGTTGCTAGGCCTTACGTGGCAGGTGTCATGAGGTACGCCGGAAGAGAATAAGTCGGGCTATTAATACTGGAACCTAATACCACCACGCGCCTCCAAACGAGGGGTCCGAGAGAAGGGACAGGTCTTGAGAGGAGAGCCAAGTGTCTATAAGCTCCTGGTTAATATCCGGTAGCGGTGGGACTTTCTCCACCGGCGGGGCCGTGGTCTCTATATTCGGTAGTTCGGGGAGCCGAGATGCCCACCCTGCTCTCAAGCCTAGTAGTATTCGAGATGCCGTGGTGAAGCAGTCTGCGATTTCGCTATTCGGTGGGTTCTGGATGCCTACTGCCTCCGCGGCCCTGAGGAATTTGTCCGCTACTTGTTGGGTGAGGGACAGGAGGTCGGCAGTCCGGCGGACCATCACTGGATCCCAACCGGGATATTCAAAGGTGGATAGACGGAGGAGTGAGATTAGGGAATGGGCAGTGGGAAAGAGAATCGTTGAGGGTATGTATGCGAATTCGGATGCTGGGAAGCTGAGAAGCACATCGAATCGCTTCTGGACTGCGTTGAGACAGGCATAAAGATGGTCAAGCCGAGTAAAATCGATTTCGTCTGCTGCGGCGGATTTCACCATTGCCGTTTCGTAGATGGTCGTTTCAGCGTGATACCAATGTAAAGGCAGGATGTCTACTTGTGTCAATAAGAGCATCATGACATGAAGGGGGATTACCTACTATTCTGGAACAATTCCGGGGGCGTGGAATTTCGCACATCGTTGATCTGGGCCTGCAACCCGTTGACATATACAGAGAGCGGTGCTTTCCGTTCCGTATCACCCACTGCCTCGAAATCATTGCCGAGCTCTTTTACTATCTTGTCGACAACTAGCTGAGCGCGGACCATCTGCGCCAGCACAGCGTCGCCGGGTGCTTCTTTTGCTTCTTGCACGACATCCAGGCACTCTTTCATATGTGGTGTCCACCGTAAAGAGTCCGTGCGGCCCAAAGTATGCGACAATCTGCCAGGGTCAGATAGGCATCACCAACCAACGAGAGGGAACTCACGCGGAGCAAACAACGAAACAGCCAAGAACAGCCCTGCGCTCATCCATGCTGCGAGTTAAAGACACCCACGGCCGACAGGATCCCGAACCGGTCCTGATAAACTGTGCACCTGGTATATCAGGGGCTTGTGGCGGGGGTCTATTAAGGCCTATATCCAAGACTAATCCAGTGACCATTTGCATGTATGGGCCGAGGGAGATCTTGCGCGGCTGGCATTCAAACCCGATCCTGGCCAGTTAGCAATTGGTTAACCACGAGTACCGGAGGACATACCAAGCAAGGTATACGATAAGACACTGCAGGAGGTCAAAACTCCGATGACATTCTACAAGCAGAGCATTGGCAGCTGCAGCCTTAAGCTCCGTATGGAGGGCCATCCGCCGCAGAGTGTCCTTGCAATGCAGCGTAACCATGCTGCGCCACAAGAACGGAGACTCCCGCTTGATCTTATCCACCGGGGTATGAGGAGGGATATATACAAAAGGTAGGTAAGGAAGTCTGTTTGCACAAAACTCATCGAGAATCTGTTGATCATCGGCCTCATAGTAATTGTCACCAGGGACAGGATGAGCAGCCGCAAGCTGTGGAACATCACCCGCATGTCCCTGGACACCAGGTGGAGAGCACCCAGGCGCCTGAGACGCACTGCTGAACCCCGAATCCGACAGCGGAGGGTCCGGGCCAGCAGCAGTGGGATTAATCGCGGTATTTGGCTGCGCAGCTTGGCTCGAAAGCAAAGTGGTGAGTTCATCCAGTCTGCGCTCCAACTGCGCCGTCTTTGCAGCGACTGATCTGCGCATGGGATTCATCTTTCGTGTTCGCCGCGCGGGTATACACTCCCGGTTCAGCCGGCGACATCTATTCAATTAGTCGAAATCCGAGTATACACCGTAGACCAACTCACCGCGCACAGCTTTCTTCGCCATCCGCAACCAAGCATTTGCATTTCGCCTGGGCACAACTGGCGCAAGCGCGGCCGTATGGGGCAGTCATCCAGGCGGAGTCGACCATTTCGGGGATAATAATACGACGCCTGGAGATATGAACGGGGTTGGGTTGAGAAAGAATGACCGTGTCGATGTGAGAGAACGCCGGGCGGGATTGGCGAACTCCGGGCCGTGTTCGAGGACCTGTAGGTCACGTGACTAGAGCGGAATTCGACTAACCCCGACGCGGATTCTGGAGTTTACGCAGTTTAGAATGTCAGATGTTTATCATTAATAACTAGTTGATGTATCGAGTACATTACAAAGCTGCCCGGGCGTTGATATCGACCTCGATCAGGCCTAGCGCCTCGCCAGCAACGTTGGTAACCTCCTGCTCACTGACTTCCCTGCCCAACAGCCAACCCACACCAACAAGCATATCACGGCGAAACCTCTTCGACGACTCCAGCGCAGGGAAAAAGGCATGATGGCAGTGCGGAACGCCAAGATATATATCTAGACGAGTCTTAACCCCGTTGTCCCGGAGATAACGCTCATAGATCAATCCGTCGTCGCGAAGGGGATCCAAGCCCGCAACCTGGATATAGGCGGGCGGGAGCTGGGGCGCAAGATCGGCATACATGAAGGGTGAGAAATTGTCAGAGGTGGCGTCAGGCTGGTATGCATCTTTTGCGACGTTGATGTCAGCGACGTCGAGGATGGGTGCGTCTTCGTTTTGGGTTCGGGATACCCAGTCGCTGCGGTATTGGGACGGGATTCCTGCTTCCGTCAATGTTGTGACGGGGACAGCCAGCCAAACACCGGTCAACGGGGGCGAGAGCTTCTCCTTGACAGCGCGTTGTGCTGTAAGGGCGGTCAATTGTCCACCAGCTGAGACACCCCCGAGAATGAAGCCCTTGGATGGGTCGGCGCCGAGCAGGGTTGCGTGCTGGGCTATCCACTTGAGCGAGTCCCAGATGTCTTCAGGGGCAGTGGGGAAGGGGTGTTCGGGAGCAAGTCTGTAGGAGACCGTGATTGCCGTCGCATTGTACATGGCAGACAGAGCTCGTGCGGACGGAACGAGCTGCATGTTGGTGCCAACCAGATAACCGCCGCCATATATCAGGACAATGACAGGGCTTCCATCATCAGAGAGGACCCTAGGTCTAAATATACGGATCTCGCTTTCGTATCCGTCTCGCATGCGGATCTTGCCTACATACTCCGCGGTTCCAAGCGTTGGGGTTGCTTCGTACTCTTGCTTCTCGATAGCAGCGTACTGGGCGCGAAGGTCATCGAGGGGGGCACTGGTGAAGAAGCCCCCGGAGGGAAGAGGCAGATCACCAAACAGCTTGACCGTCAGTATACTCTTTGGAAAATGTGTTCTTGACCTACTGCAGCGAACTGAGGGTCAGGCTTGCTGAGTGAGACCAACTCCTCCTTGAACCTAGTCTCAGGCTCATTGATTTCGTCCGGAAAACCGAAGTCAGCCATGTTTGATGCGATTTTCTACAATGGTCGGGAGCAGAATTTGAAGATAGAAAGAGATGGGCATAGAAAGCGATGCCGTCAGAAGACTGAGTGTGGTGGTTTCTTATAGTGCAGCTACAACAAAATTCAGCCGCGCCAGTGTAGTGATACAAAAAAAAAAAGTAATCTAACAATCATGACCATGTGTTCCTCTCAGATATCCAAGGATCATTATTGGACACTAAACACAGAAAGAGGCCAGCCTTGCAAGCGCCTGCGCGTTGCAACCTCATCACAGTATCACATCCATCGAACCAGCTCTATCCCAGTTCCCATAGGCCACCAGCCCCAACAGGCCCAACACCAATGTTTCGCACCACCAATCACCATCCCTAAAGTGGTTTCTGGGCGCTGATTATATGAAAATCGAAGATGGGATGGATGTCATTGCGCAGCGACTCCGCGCGCACGCCCGCATTCAGCGTCTCGATCTCGTCGCGCGTCCACCCCAGCACATCGCTAAACAGCACAGACGTAAACCCTGATACGCCCTCGATGAAGTTCACGCGCAGTAGGGCGCCACACTCCTTCAGCCTTGCATCCTTGGGCCAAATGCCCACTGGCAGCTTTAGTTTCTCGGTCAGGATCTGCCCCTTGTCGAAGCCAGCCTCGCGCACCCAGCGCTCCATCTCCGGCGCGGGGTTCATGGTGCGCCCAATCTTATTGCAGGCTTGAATCAGGCCATCCATCATCTTGCTAATGCAGCTGTCGTCCTTGAGGCTCCCGTCTTCGCTGTATGGCCTGTTCGTCGTCTCCTGCAGTTCAAGCCACCCGCCGGGCTTCAGGTTGTCAAAACACTGCCGTATTAACATGGGCCAGTCTTTAATACTCCCGGCCATATACCGACAATGAATAAAATCATACTCCTCCCCGGGAACCCAGGGCTTCTCAACATCATCCACCAGGAACTTTACATTAGGCGGAACCCAAGCGGGCTGGATCGGACTCAGATCATTGCCTACAATCTCAGCAGCCTCGGGATACCAGTCCCCAAACTGGATTGCCCAGATGCCCGTGCCAGTGCCGATATCAAGAATCCTTTTCCCTGCCGGGTCGAAGGGGGCCAGGAAGAGCCTGTTGTTAAGCGCGCGGTAGTATATGTGGTTCACCATATCCAACCGGTCCTGCTCGGGCTCGTCATTGGGGAACGCATAGCTTCCAGCCTGGTATGCGTGATAGCGGCGACCGTTCTTGTATTCGTATTGCAGCACGCTGTCGGCCAGTGAAGTTCCGCTGCTCGACACGTCGGTCAACGAGTCCACGTCCTCGTCGATGGCGATCTCAAAAGGTGTTGTCGCAGCCATATTCATTCAATTTCTAGGCGCAGACCAGGTCTCAGAACACAACTCTCCCAAGGCAGGGAATGGATGGAATTTTCAATTAAAAAGGGAGATCGAGAACAAAGAACTTGGTCTGCGAACGCGGGGGGGGACACTTGTCGGGCGCAGGATTCAGACTAGAGGACGCTAGGGGCAGTTGTCGGTGTCGGCTTCTTCTTGGCTGTGCAACGGGAATCTGGAATCATTCGAGCTTCGTCTCTCTTCTGGCTCGTGCACTGACTGACTCGTGTTGTGCTGAATCTGATTGCTTGGATCGAGATGTTGCGCTTGGATCGCGATCGCGATCACCCCAGTCTCCCGCATAATGCAGCAAGGAGACCTGATCAGGCTGGAAATCTCTGGAAGAATCGTCGGATTCTGACCTGTCAAGACAGACTAATGCAGGCTGCTCCGCCCGCCAGCTTCTGAATGCCATGATTGGGGCGAAAAACCGCGCTCCGGACGGGATGTTGTATCATAACTGGTGTATAAAAGGTGTATAAATATTATTCTATTCTATGAACTCCGACACCGACAGGAAGTGCTCGTCGAACTTCCGTTCCCCCCTCTCCAGGATTCATCACCGACATCCACCATCCCCGGCCATGACCGACCGTCCATAGTCAACGATCTGCCACTGGACATGGATCCCTGTGCGCCCGTCGCAAACACCACCAACCGCCCCAGGATCGCATACTCCAGCCTCAACTTGATACTATACGCGACCGGCTTGAAGACAACCTGCAGCGAAAACAGCCCCGTGTACTGGAAAACCACAACCACAATATCCAGCCCCAGGATTATAATATTGATCGCCAGCAGCTGCAGCAGGATCAGACGGTGCGCGCGCTGCGGGCGCAAATACAGCATCTTGGCCGTTTCCCAGATATACAAGCCCGAGAGGAGCGATTCCTGCAGGCAGAAGACGACGAGCTGGATGCGCTCGATGATGTTGTAGCCCTTTGTGAATGTCTCTTGGACGGCGGGCGAGACGGCGCCGTAGAGGAGGACGGTGGTTGGTATTTGCATTATGATTGCGTTGGTTATAATCAGGTACAGGATTGCGCGCAGGACACGAGGCTGGTGGAGGACGAGGTGCAGGCGAGACCAGAGCACGATCGAGTGGCCCGTTATCATGCAGTACCACCCGATCAGCACGATTGTGACAGACACGTATGCGGTGACATTAACAAAAAAGAGCAGGATGAAGCCCAGGGTGTTCACGATCAGGCTGCATGATGTGATGAGCAGGCTCCAGAAGTAGACGCCCTGGTAGCGCTTGAATGTGGCCAGGCAGAGGATGATCAGCTCTATGGAGTTGTAGAGCGTGATGGCGGAGAAAGCTGTGAAGGCATATTCCTCCTGTCGGCTGAGGATGTCGGTCACGCTATTTGAGGGCATCAGGGGGCATTGTTAGTTGTTGAGGTGAAGAACGGACGTTTCGTATCATCAAGAGGCGAGCAGTGGCAGTTATCCCCGCTGCCCAGCAGACTTTTCACCGCTGACATGGAAGGCTGTCAGTAGAGTTTGTATATATTTGGCTCGCTGGAGCTTATAGCACAACTCCATGGAACCAGAAAGCCAAATTAGCGTGTCTTGGTTGGTGTCTCTACTGCGTTTGTGGGCATTTACGAGGATTCCATATCACATAGTGACAATTAACCAGCACCAGAGCCAGATATAATTGCCCCCAGTTGACTTCTCCGACTTACCTTGACCATGCTAATAGTCATTTCAATGCTAGTCGGCTGGGAAGACGTTCGACGATCTCAGATGGCCAAGACAGCAACCATGGACCAAACAAGCCCTCCGCCGTGGACCAGCAAGTCTAGAACCCTAAACCGCCATCCCCTGCAGGAAAACTCGTAAATCGACCCATGGAATTCAGCATGTCAAGCCACTTCCGGCGATAATCGTCGTGATTCCTTTAAACGGATATGAACGCTGAAGCTGACAATGCATCCAGCTGGCAGAATAGCAGGGCCATGCATATGCGACTCCTTCGATTATTCTGAATAACAAATGGATAAAGGCTTTGACGCCCCCCTGCTCGCAATAAGGTGGTTACTGGAATATACAAGTAACAGCAAACTAAATCCCCATCGGAAGCTCCATACCCGGAGGAAGATGAATTCTTAATGTCTTCCCAACCGGTGTACCTCAGAATACAGGAATCGACAATCCCTTCGGTTGAAATGTGTCAGAATGGGTGGAACCTCACCTACAATTCCAACTTGGCTTATTCCTCCTCAAATGATTCTCGACGGGAAATCTCCGGTATAGCACGGGGCCAGTCCGACAGCCTAACATCTAGATATCCCAACACCGCAGTGGACAGAAGGTAAGTTATATTGTACAGACGTTTTAATATGAAGATCTACTACGCGGTATCGTAGTCGCCCAGTCTATATACTCGGAAAGTAGCCTCAGTATGTACATATTGACAGGGCTTTCCTTATATAAGTTGGTAATGGGGAGGACAAGCTCAGCAAGACCAGTTACGGGTAACGTCCGATGGCTTCGGACCAGGAAAGTATATAAACTACTGAAAATGTCGTCTTCTGCCAACATATTAGATTACATTGTCACCCTAATAAGAAAATGCCCAGCTCTGAAGGACCAACCCCCATTCCCATAACCGTCGCCGATTTCAAGGAGACTGCGAGACGGCGACTCGACAAGCCAGTATGGGACTACTATAATGCCGGAGCTGATGGCGAAACCACAATAAACCGCAACGAGGAGATCTACAAAGAGTTCGTATTCATGGCTGAAGTACAACTTAGCTCTGCCCCATCTCTAACGCCGACGCAGGGTTTTATTGCGACCTCAAGTTCTGAGAAATGTCTCCAACGTAAGCACAGCAACAACACTATTTGAAAAACGCTACGATATCCCAATAGCTGTTGCTCCCACTGCATATCAGAAACTGGTGAGCGACGGCGGGGAGATAGACGTCGCTAGGGCATGCCATGCTCTCGGCACCAACTTCATCCTCTCTACCAATGCAACGACTGCCATGGAAGATGCCATAGAAGCCCTGCCTCCGCGCGACGATAATTATCCTAGTCCCTGGTTCCAACTCTACTTCCTGGGAGATCGAAACATGACGGCAGGGTTGATTCAACGCGCCGAAGCCGCGGGCTATGAAGCCCTTGTCCTTACTGTGGATACAGCTGTCCTAGGCAACCGATTACCAATGAGACGAAATCCGTTTAAACTTCCACCTGGTCTTAGTATGGAAAATGTCAAGTCGAGGTCGGCAGGTGGCGTGAACAAAGCCCGGCTGCTTCTGGAGGCGAGAACAGCTGCCGATGCGAAAAGGGTGGCTCAGGAGCATACCTCAGCCCTCGTCGACGCAGGTTTATCCTGGGATGAAGCCATTCCTTGGTTGCGATCTCAAACCAAAATGAAAATCGTCCTTAAAGGTATAATGACCGCTGAAGATGCCATCCGAGCAGTGGACACCGGAGTCGACGCCATAATTGTTTCGAACCATGGTGGAAGACAGCTGGACGGGGTTCCATCCACCTTGGAGGTGCTCCCCGAGATTGCAGATGCAGTGAAGGGCGCAATACCCATTCTGTTTGATGGTGGGATCAGCAAGGGCAGCGATGTCTTTAAAGCACTAGCACTAGGGGCGGATTTGTGCCTTATAGGTCGGTCGGCACTATGGGGGCTAGCTTATGACGGTCAGAGCGGATTGGAGAATGTTTTTCATATCTTGGAAAGAGAACTTTCTCGCACTATGGCGCTCATGGGGGTGGACTCTGTGGCGAGCATATCCAGATCTATGCTGGGACGAGCTAGAGAGAACGGGTTTGGTGTGGCGAAGCTGTAATCAGAATGTAGCAAATTCTAATCCGATGACACTGTTATTGGCTTTGAAATAACCGCAGTAGCTATATCGACTATATGGCGGATGCTAATGGAGTGCGGAGTGGTCGGTCCCAGGGGATGCCACTGGTGAAGCCATTTTGAGAGTGCCTGAGCAGACTAACTATTATGATAGGCTAATTTATATGTATACTATTGACTCCATTGTAAACTGTTTTGATAGCATCGACAATAAGCTACTGCAGCCACCCCGAGCAGACTCGGCTCGGAACCGTGTTTCCCCCCGGTGAAGATTGGAGTAAAGATCAGGCCAAGAGATTAGATCGCCTTGAATAGATGGAAATTCCCGCAGCCTCGGACTGCACGCAAGGCACAAAGCTGTGCAATCATAGCGTTGAATAGGTGAGATCGTCGCGGCTGCCGCTCTTCTCCAGCTGCCATCCCCGCATTCTGCTCCCCGGCGGCTCCGATCCGTTTTCCGCCGGTAAAATAAACACTTGAGACGGGACAGGAGAAGGTAGATAGAAGATAAGAGAGGGCCCTCATGAAGTGGGTTTGGTTGAAATCCGTCTCCGCAGTGTCATCATGCCCAGCAATCAACCTGCGGGAGGATCCCTTCTCGTCATGGACTTTGAATTTTATTCTTGTTATCTTATTCCTTTAATTCTCTCTTCCCCTCATTCCTTCCGCTGGTTCCGGTAAATAGTCGGTAGAACTTGGTTGGTTATTGTGGGTATGCGGAGGTATATATCGCAGCTGTTATTGCTAACTTTATATCGACAGGACACACCAGTTAATGAGAATCAACTAACTACAACTAAATAACTCATACTGCAGATCACCGAGTACCTTTTGCTTTTCCCATCGGAGTATCTCCGGACAGCCCAGTCACTTTCCGTTTCAATTGCAACCCACCCCGCACTCCTTCAAACTCCTTCACTCCAGCTTGCCCTAATTCACCTCAAACAGACCCCTGTACACCTGCATTTGCCTTCCGCTGTCTAAACACCGCAAACACCTCCCCCCAAAACGAATTCTCACTCTCCGTCAGCAGAAGCACCTCCTCATAAGCCGTAATCCTCGGCGCCTCCCAATACAGATCCAGCTCAGTCGGCTTCAACCACTTCGTCCGCTTCAGCACCTTCCACCCCGTAAACAGCACCGCCCCCACAATAAGCATGGTATAATGCGTAAAGAACCCCGTCGTATTCCACGGCTTGAAGCTCTCGTAGCCATAACACGTTACAATCAGCGTCATCCACACCAACCCGATGTACGCGCAGTATGGCTGGAACCAGCCCTTGTAGGGGAGAGTGTTCCTATCGAACCCCTGCGCGACACAAGCGCGGTAGAAGCAGATATACGTAACGCACATGACGATATAGTCAATTATCCCCGCCGCCGTAGTAAGACTAATCAGCCAAGAGAGCACCGAGGCAGAATTCTTCGACAGCTGCAAGAACGACAGACAAGCGAAGAGCATGGTCATGGCGAAGCAGTAGATAGGGATTCCCTGTTTGGTGCATTTGGTGAAGATGGCAGGGGCGCGGCCGTCAATGGCCAGGCCGTAGAGGGTTCTAGTTGCGCAGTACGTGTACGTGTTCCCGGCGGAGAAGATGGTGGTGACTAGCAGGGCATTGATGAGGTGCGGCAGGGCTTGGATTTTGAGATTGCGCATGGCGATCACGTAGGGCGATGCGGCTCCCGACCCGGATGATTCACCGGTTAGGGCTTCGATGAGGGCTGGGTCGTTGTAGGCTACGACAATACCGCAGGAGAGGGCGCCGCCGATGAAGAAGACCACGAAGCGGTAGTATACGGTTTTGAACGCTGTTTTGATGTATTTGCGTGGGAACTTGGCCTCGGCGGCGACCACGGAGACGTACTCGGGGCCCACGCAGGTGAATGAGGCGGACCAAAGGGCGCCGAGGAAGCCTTCGAACTGGCCGAGGGTGCCTTGGGAGTTGTGCTCGGCGAAAGCGCCTGGGTCGTTGAAGTAGCGGAAGCCGTATGCGTCGCCTTGGGGGTTGCCGCCGGCCATGGTTATGAAGGTGAAGAAGAAGAGGATGCCTATGAGGATCACTTTACCGCTGGAGAGCCAGAATTCGGATTCACCGTAGGCTTTGACTGCTAGGATGTTGAGGACACTGAACGGTTAGCAAAAAGGAATACAATGGTGCAGGTAGACCCACGCATATAGGACAATGCAAGCGGCACAAATCGCCCCTACTGGGATATTATCACTCCAGAACCCAAGCACCAGGTTCAGTGCCGTGATCTCAAACGGCACAAGCAGGGCTTCATAGAAGTAGAAGTTCCATCCAGCCATGAAACCAAACGCTTCGTCAACCCATTTTCCAGCGAGCCGGATAAAAGCACCGCTGATGGGCATGTACGTGGACATTTCGGCTATTCCATTGTTCACGAGAGATAGCATGAAGCTGTAGACTGCATATGCAATGAGAAGACTGGCAGGACCGCCCTTGTGGAGACCCTCGTTGATACTCACGAAGAGGGCAGTCCCGATGGAGCCACCGATGGCAATGAGCTGGATCTGGCGGTTTTCCAGTCTACGATGTAGACCGTTCTCCTCTGTCCCATGTTCGCCAACCAGCTCCGGATGGCTGGATAGGATTGAGGCAGGCTTCTCCTCTTTCCCCTGGGGATCAGGGATCGGCTCCTGTGGACTGGCTTTAGAGGGTGACATTGTATGAATGCAAGTTAAAAGTATGGTGCGATGAAGTGCACCAATACACTACAAGAACTAGGGTTAGGGTACACTACTACACCCCCTGATATATGCTCTCCGACTCTACAAGATCGACCAAGGATCCACGAGGGTATTCCGCGGGAAGTTACAGATAGGGCAAGTCTTGGTTTCGGGGAAGGTCTGTAATTGAGGGATATTAATTGGACATCCTCGCCCTTATCACCATGGATTTAGGGCAAGATTTGCACCTGGTATATCTCTCATGCCCTATCTGAGTCTGGGGAAACTGGGGAAGCAGATATTGCCACGCTCTGGTGGGTCGCGGCCGCGGAAAAGCCCCATATCGGCAGGTCGGCTCATGAACCGTGTCCCGGTTCACCAGCTCCGTCACGGGTCCGGAGGGGCTTGGGGATCCTTGACATGGACTGTTCCAGATGGGAGGGATGTTGAACGAACTAGGAAACTGGATGGCTCGTGGTCCGTCCTCCTGATTATGATGCAACGTGGCGGCCGGAGCGAAACCGTTCGATGAAGGTTCGTGTGGATAACCGTCAAGACGAGGTTTAGAGATAGATCATGCTTGAAGGCTATATCAAGGGCCTCGTGTCCGCTGATATCTTGCCAATATAACAGCCTGCTTAATAGAGCATTCCTCTGCTACACATACAACGCATACAATGGCCTCTCTATTAAACTCCCTTGGCATCAAGCCTGAGACCACAGATGACGGAGCCAACACCGTCAGAGCCCTACCAGCCTCTTGGTATACGTCACAGGAGATGTTCGAGCTGGAGCGCCGGGCCGTCTTCTCTCGAAAATGGCTGCTGACGACCCACAAGCTGCGACTCCCAAACACCGGCGACTGGCTGCGGTACGATGTAGCCGGCTTCTCGTTCGTGCTGGTGCGCGACCGCCAGGGTGAGATCAACGCCTTCCACAATGTCTGCCGCCACCGCGCATTCCCCGTGGTCACGGAAGATGGCGGGACGTCGCGGATCTTCTCCTGCAAGTACCACGGCTGGTCGTACGGGCTGAACGGGAAGCTAGCCAAGGCGCCTGGATACCAGGATCTGGAGGGGTTCGACAAGAGCAAGAACGGACTGCTTCCGATCCATGTCCACATCGACGCTAATGGTTTCATCTGGGTGAATATGGATGGGAAGGAGAAGCCGGATATCGCATGGGAGGACGACTTCAAGGGCATTGACCTGCAGGAGCGCACCAAGGATATCAAGTGGGAAGACTACGATTTCGACCATGTCTGGGAGATGGAAGGGGACTACAACTGGAAGGTCCTGGCAGACAACTACAACGAGTGCTACCACTGTGGCACTGCGCATCCGGATGTCTCTTCGATTGCTGATCTGTCGAGTTACTCGGTGGACACGAAGGATGGGTCTATCATCCACGATGGACACACGACGCCCGAGCAGATTGCGGCAGGACTGAAGATTTGCAGCACGTATTACTTTCCCAACGCCTCGATGACTGTCTCGTAAGTGACCTGCCGGTATTTTTTATCTTAGTGACAAGCTGACGATTTAGCCCGCACTTCTTCTTCATGCAGCGCTTCGTGCCTGTTTCCGCGACGAAGACAAACATGAAGTACGAAGTCTACCGCAACCGGAACTCCAGCGAGGAGGACTTTGAGAAGATCAACAGCATGTACAAGCGCATCATGAATGAGGACAAGTACCTCTGTAACCAGGCGCAGAAGAACCTCAACGCCGGGGTGTTTGTCAGTGGCGAGCTGCACCCGACCATGGAGAAGGGGCCACTTTACTTCCAAAAGTCGGTGCGGGACCTAGTGGTGCAGCACTTCGAGAAAGAACAGAAGGAGGGCCGAGAGATCTGGCCCTCGCGCCAGTCGCTGCCCAAGGAGGCGTCCGTGAGCCAGCAGGACGAGCAGTTCTGCCAGAGCCTGAGCTGCAACCCTAACGGGGGCGAGTGCTGCTCGACGATTGGCAGCCAGCCGGCGGCGGCAGTGGCCTGGTAGACGATTGTTACAGTAGATAGTGAATTAGCGTTATGAATATCATGTCTGGCCATATCGTGTTCTCCTTATTGGGGTTAAACAGCCTGTTATCTCGGGCACAGTCCGAGCGTACCAAGAATGCAGAGAGGGGAACCTGCGCCCCAGTTAAGCCCCAGTTAATTTGCGTTTCCCATTGGCAGCGCCCCTCGAGCAGTTAACTGTCTCCAGTTAAGCGCGTGGCAGACACTTGCCAGAGAGGGTGAACTGATCCTGAACCCCGCAGATGGCCCATTCATTCCCTCCGTCATGTTGATGCCAGTGCGCCGAGCACTCCCATCTTCCCAGGCTGAACGCATTCTTTGGTTGCGGATCTCCCGCAGTGTCTTGTCTCTATCCCTACTGCATCCTTCTTTGCCACCCTTTGCGTTCTGTCTGCATTGTGTGTTTGTGTGTGTCGAATTTCTGAGATAATGACCCCGAACGAGGGCGCTGGCACTCGTCGTCGCCTCCGCTCAAATCATGCTTGTATCAACTGCCGGTCGGTCGCTCCGCCTATTGCCTTGGTGCAGACTGACAGCCTCCAGGAGGAAGAAAACACGGTGTCCGGGCGAGAAGCCGGCCTGCTCGTGCTGCGTGCGTCTCAACCAGCAGTGCTCGTACGCTGCTGCTGGAGGCTCTACCAGTGGGCCAAACGTATGCCCTCGTGGAAATACAAGTCAGAGACAAATCAGAGCTAACTTGCGGCAGAGCGACCGTCTAGCGGAACTGGAGGAGAAAGTCAATCGCATACTGCGAGGAGCCGGGTAGGAATGAATGCATGCCTCGTTGATATACAACATACTGACTGCCCAGATCCGGCCAGCAAACGCAAGAACAAGTTCAACTCGACGACGCGACCGAGTTTTCCACCCAGACTGCGCATGGCGACATCAGTTATAACCAGGAAAATGGATTTCCATCGATATTTGGGCTCGACGACTCCAGTCCGCCGGCCTCGTCGCTCGCCGTCGCCAGGGCTGTCGATCTGTACCTGGAGTTCTGTCATCGCCAGCCGGTCTGGTGCTTGAATATAAAGGAACTGGGGAATCTGGAGACCCACCCCGAGGAGCTCGTCTGCAGCATCTTTGCATTGACGTCGCGTTTCCTGCGCGAGTCGGGGGACCGCTATGCAGACAGTGCGAAGAGCCTGATAATGCTGCGGATTGCGAATGGGACGGTGGAGCTGGTTACCATTGAGAGCATCTGTTTACTGGCCTATTCTGCGTTTATAGGTGAGCATTGCTAACTGAAAGCTATGGATGTCGCTAACGATAATAGACGGCCAGTTGCAACTGGGACGGTTCTATCTAGGGCTTGGGTCGCAGCTCTGTCGCGCGGCCATGTTGGATACTGAAGCGGCGTATACGAGAGAAGACCGACAGGCAGAACGCAAGAAGCGTATATTCTGGAGTCTACAACTACTAGAACAGTCGTACGGTCGACAGACTGGTCTCCTGAATATCCCGACCGCAACCTGGAGACCTCCCTATCTGTCTAGGTCCAACCCTAGCGACCACGAGAGGGACATGACCCCCAAGCCCCCTCCAGAGCCCAGAGATGCCGTTGGATGCTCCGCCCCAGACGATACCGGAGTCTGGAGCATGTCCATCCATTTCGGCTGGGTCTGGAGTAATGTGCGAGCCTACGTGTCACACTGCGCCAACAACCGACTCACGGAGCCCTGGAGACACGAGTCGATGTACTCCGTCGTGCTATCAGACCTGACGGAAATCGAGAACAACACGCCTTTATGCCATAGATACGATGCTGTCCAGTTCTACCGACGCACGGCAGAAGATCTGGCCATGAACCGGGCATACTGGGTACCCTGGCTGAAACTGCAATTCACATATCATGCCATTCTGACCGTGCTGAACCACCCCTTCCTGTACATTATGGCCTCTCAACACAACCCCAAGCTCGCAATCCCAAATACCTTCTGGCGGCGGTCGTCAGAGGTCGTCCTCTTGCATGCCACCTGGATTGTGCGTCTGATCGACATGGTGGCCGAGAAAAACGTCCGACTGGCAGATCCATTCTTCGCCCATGTCGCCACCATCGCAGCCACCGTGCAGTTGTACTTTTGCTGCGCTGATGACCCCCGGCTGAAGTTCAAATCGCGGGCCGACTTTGCAAAGTGCAACGACTTTCTACGAACCTTTGTCCCGTTCTCGCGTGCCTGCGAAGCCTTGGTAATGTTATCGTGCATCGTTATCTGAATCGTCTGACCATCTATAGAGCCGAAAACTGGACGAGCTCACACGCATCGCCTCTGGCTCCGACATCCTCGATCTGGACGACTGGGTCCCGTCTAAAATCCACCTAAACATCCCTCTCATGTGGGATATCCTCCAATTCAACGTCGCTGACCAGTCCTCAGGAAGCGAAGGCCTGCTTCACCAGTCACTAGCACCGACCTCCATGCCCCCTGGCCCTAATGAAATCTCTACTCTAGATATAATTGTCACAGCCTCGCCGGAAGTCAGCGTGAACACAACAGACGGCGGACAGGCCGTTCCAATGCCACTCTACCGCAGCCCGACAGCAGCAACGGCGGAGTCCCTGCGCACGACCTCACTGCGGGACCCCCTCGTGGCACCCGTCGACAGCCTCATGCTCAACACGCCCTGGCTGTGGGCAGACTCGGCCAATTTTGGGAACATGGACGACGTGGAGTACCACGGCAGCAACGGCAGCAACTCGGGGGCGCTGCCTCCAGGAGAAATAGAGGGCTCGGCGTGGTGGAATCTCGGGAATTTATAAGACTATCTGATCTGATCTGATTCTTCCTATCCTATCCTATCCTTACCTGGAGCTTTGAGCTTGAGCTTGAGCTTTACGATTTGACTATGGCCATAGCAGATGTTTATTCTCGCTTCTCGCGCTTGCTTGCTTGCATTGCTTGCTGAGAAAAGAAAAGAAATCTTTCGATTGCCCTAGCTAGAGAGCTGGTGCGAGCTGGTGCTCGCACACTCACCACCACGATGCCAGCAGCCAGCTATATACCCTGCTCCGGTTTCCGTCGATCTGGAAGCGACCGCAGCGCCGACATCCATGCGAACCATCCATTGCGCCGTTCCCGGACAGCCCTCGATGGCAGGAACCATGCCCAAAGCCATGCCAAAGCCAAAGCCAAAGCCAAATCCAAACTTCCAAGCGCCACGCAGACTCGCCATGAACCGGATTACTCCAAGCGCCAACTCGCCCATAGCATGCAACAAGCACCGGAATCATCCGACGGCCTCCTCCGAACGACGGCCCAGGTAGCTACTGTAGCAGACGATGACCGTCCACTGCGCCTCCCAGTCCACTGTGTCCACTGAGCTCCACTGCTCTGCGGCCCTGTACAAACAGTATAGAATGATGTTGACTATCTCTAGGGCTCCACGGTCGGTTCGTAACGGCAGTTCCTGCCTCCTTGAGTCTCCTTGAGTCTCCGATGATTCACCGTCCCCAACGGACAATGCTCGGAATTGATGGATACTCAATACCAGGTAGGCCGATATCTAGACCCATGGACCTCTGTAAGCGCCGTGATGGCAACAGTGGACTCAACTCCGTTGGAGTGCATACAGGTCCCACATTCCTGCCTATCCCATATTTGTCTTTCTTCCTTCCACGGAGTGCTGCTATTGACACGATATCACGCTAAATGCGGCTGTGAATAAATTCAATATCAAAGTTGCATCCGATCTACCGAGTATTCACTATGCACGTAATGTATACCTCTATATTTAGAACTCGATTCTTCAGACATAGCTTCGATTCACCCCGGCCTGCACCCGACCTTAGTTGCAGTCCAATCGCCATCATGATTAACAAATAAATCCAAGTCGTTAACATTTCCCAGTCCAGTGCGGGGATCCCCACCATCACAGACACGACCCACATGGACGTTATCAATACCGCACATAAAAAAAGATATTCTTAGCAACAAAACAGGAAACCAGGACCAGATGCCTTAAACAGGCAAAGAGCAGCCGAGCTTAAGCTCCAGCAGCTCCAGGCTGGACATGTTCCAGAACAGGCAGAACCGCAGGGTCTTGTGCGGGGGTCGGAGTCGGACACGGTTCGCAGCCGTGCTGAGCCGTGTCTTATCTCATCCTTCACTTCCTTTCCCTTTTGGGAGGGAAGCTTGTCTTCCCTTGCTTTACTGATCTGGGGAGAGTTCGGTTCGGGAGCGGTACCCGTTGGAGACGTCATTGTCATTGTCATTGCTATGACCATTACTGGCCATTCTGGACTTGTGTCCAGCCACGGTATCGGGTCCGAGGAGGGGTATACTGTAGGATGGAGGGGCAGTCAAGTTAATGCTCTTTTCCGGCGGGATTCGCCCAGCTTGTATATGGTTTATAGGAGCTACTAGACGCATTCCCCTCTCTTTCTCTTCTCTTGTTAATTTCTAAACACAGACACATCATGACATCGCAAAGCGTCGTAATAATCGGCGCCGGCATAGTCGGCACAAACCTCGCCGACGAGCTCCTTACCCAGGGATGGAATCCTACAGACATCACAGTAATAGAGCAAGGCCCGCTCTCCATGCCAGGCGGGTCAACATCGCACGCCCCGGGCCTGGTCTTCCAAACCAGCCCGTCAAAGGTAATGACGCGGTTCGCGCAGTACACGGTGCAGAAACTCCTCTCCATTAAGCTAGACGGACAGGGGTGCTTTAACCAGCTGGGCGGGCTGGAGGTTGCGACGACGCCGGCGCGCCTGCAGGAGTTGAAGAGGAGGCATGGGTATGCGAGCTCTTGGGGGCTGGAGTCGAGGCTTATCTCCGCCGATGAGTGTTTGGAGATGTATCCGCATTTGAATAAAGATGTTGTATTGGGTGGGTTACATATTCCGAGTGATGGACTGGCGCTGGCGGCGCGAGCGACGCAGATTCTGATTGAGCGGACGAGGGCGAAGGGCGTGCGGTATCTGGCTCATACGACTGTGACGGGGATTGAGCAGGATGGGGGGAAAGTTACGGGTGTGCGAACGGGGAGCACGACCATTCCTGCGGATATTGTCGTCTCCTGTGCTGGGTTCTGGGGTGTTGAGGTCGGTGCTATGGCTGGTGTCTCGATCCCGCTGCTTCCGTTGGCACACCAGTATGCGAAGACGGCGCCTGTAGCAGCTCTGGCGAACCGCGATGTGAATTCGAACATTAATGGGATGAATGCGACGTTACCGATTCTTCGACACCAGGACCAGGATCTATACTACCGCGAGCACGGCGATAGATACGGGATTGGGTATTATGGACACCGGCCGATGCCTGTTGTCGCGGGCGAGTTAGGGCCTACTGCGGCCCATGTCGACGAGAAGAACATGCCCTCGCGGCTGGACTTCACAGACGAGGACTTTGCCCCGGCGTGGGAAGAGTCAAAGAAATTACTACCTGCCCTGCAAGGAACTCAACTTGACGATGGCTTCAATGGCATCTTCTCCTTCACGCCAGACGGAGGGCCATTAATCGGACAAGCACCCAACCTGGATGGCTTCTACGTCGCCGAAGCAGTCTGGGTGACACACTCCGCCGGCGTCGCAAAGGCCGTAGCAGAGATCCTCACACGCGGCTGGGCCAGCCTCGATGTGGCAGAGTGCGAACTATCCCGCTTCGAAGAAGTCCAGCTGAACAGGGCGTACGTCTCCGAGACATCGCAGCAGAACTTCGTCGAGATCTACGACATTCTCCACCCACTTCAGCCCAAGGAATCACCACGAAACCTCCGAACAAGCCCATTCTACGAGCAGCAGGTCCACCTCGGCGCGGTCTTCATGGAACTCGGCGGCTTCGAGCGGCCCTTCTGGTACGAGGCGAACAGGGACCTCGTCCGCTCTCTGCCTGCACACTGGCGACCTGTCGACCGAGACCCCTGGTCTAGTCAATTCTACTCCCCCATCTCAGCAGCAGAGGCATGGAAGACGCGCAACGCAGTCGTAATGTACGATATGTCCTCGTTCCACCGCTTCATCGTATCAGGGCCCGGCGCGACATCCCTCCTCCAACACCTCACAACCAGCAACATCAACAACACCAAGCCAGGGAAAATCGTATATACTCTCCTCCTAAACGATAACGCAGGAATCCGGAGCGACATCTTCGTGACTAGACTCAACGCATCGACATACCAAATCGGCGCAAACTCCGCGAACGATCTTGCATATCTCCGCCGCGAAGCACGATCCCAATCGACCAAGTCACCCAGCTCCTGGACACAGGTATACGAAATCACAGGAAGCACCTGCGCCATCGGACTCTGGGGTCCTCGCGCCCTAGACGTAATCAACAACCTACCAGGGGGCGTCGTCGACCTAAGTCCGTCGTCTCTACCATACATGCACGCCAAACCGGTCACGATAGCCAGTATCCCGGCGCTTGCATTCCGCAAGTCCTACGTCGGGGAATTCGGATGGGAGATCCAGACGACAGCCGAGCACGGACGGCGACTGTGGGATGCATTATGGACAGCAGGCAAAATCCACGGTCTCGTTGCCGGTGGTCGGGCGGCGTTTAATGCGCTGCGGATTGAGAAAGGGTATCGCACGTATGGAAGCGATTTGACGACGGAGCATGACCCGTATGAGGCTGGATTGGGGTTTGCAGTTGATAGCGGGAAGACGGGGGAGTTTGTGGGGAGGGCTGCGCTGTATCGTCGGCAGGGAGAGCCGTTGAGTCGGCGGTTGAGATGTTTGACTGTTGATGATGGGCGCTCGATGGTTATGGGCAAGGAGCCTGTGTATAGTGCTGGCAAGGTTGTTGGGTATGTCACCACTGCGGCGTTTGGGTTTAGTATCCGGAAGCCGGTGGTGTATGCCTGGCTGCCGGCGTCGTTGGGGGAGGGGGCAGGGGTCGAGATTGAGTACTTTGGGAAGAGGATCAGGGCGAGTGTCGTTGCTGAGCCGGTGTATGATGCTGATGGGAAGAAGCTGCTGGGAGAGGTCAGCGTGGAGAGAACCAGGCGGATCAGGGCTGTTCTGTAGATATCTCGATATGGTGTCCAATGAATCAACAATATACACCTCGCACTCGGTTCTCTTGTAAATTGCATCAATTGTTTAGACTTATAGATCTGCAGTGGGTCAGTCTGGATCTGGGGGGATGTGCACTGCAGGATCGGAGCTGACGCGTCTGTCGTCAGTCTCGTATGATCAGTCTCAAATAACTAGGAAAATTAGATATATAGGCAGGTGCAGAGTGCTTGTATCATGAAGTAGTTCTTTTTAATTCGAGGCCGCTATGTATGGTTTATGTATGTAAACACCAAAGAAAGGTAAAAAAAGAATAAAGAACGTCAATCTTCCTCCTCCAATCTGTAAGCCTCCATCAGCCTGTCCTCCTCCATCAGCCTCTCCTTCTCCGACACAGTTTCATCCGCCTCAATCCAGACCTCAGGGTGTCGTCCAGCGCCTGCCCTGCGCTCGCGGAAGCAATAGAACGTCGCCACGATAACCTTGCCAACAATGAATCCCGCAACGCAGGCAATAATCCCAGCAACCATACCCATCACAGCCGGGAGAAGAACCGGTCGCAGATGTCTCATGTAATGTCTATCACCGGCCCAGTCCGAGACACGCTGGCGGCGATGACAGTGCGCGTGTACACCATCCTTCCCATTCCCACGGGTCGATCCATCCCTGCAGTGTCTGGGCTTGGTCATCATATGCAGATACCTCATATACGCCGACTTCCACGCCTCCAGATCCCACCAGCTGCCGCGTTGGTTACCGTGGGTGTGGTGGAATCTGCGATGCGGACGGCCCTCTTCCACCGAGATGATCTTGAGATTGCTGTCTGCGTCGCGCACCAGTCCTAGCGAGACGGGACTCTCTGTTGCAGTGCGGCCCTGCATGTCGACGAGGGTGAGTTTGAGGCGGTAGAGGTCGTTGAGCTCAGCGTCGGGCTGGTGGGGGAGGGGCTGGACGTCAAGGGCGTAAGCGACGGGCACGCTGTCTTCGATGTTGCTGTCGGTGGTGCGTTTGGCGTTGAATTCCATGGGGAATGGGGTGGGGAAGATGACGTTGTCGTTGGCGAGGAGGGTGTCGTTTTGCGTGTGGAATGTGATGGACTACTGGCCGGTTAGTAGGTTTCGACTGCTTAGGGCTATGGGGCTTACCAGGAATGAGGGCAGCTGGACGCTGTTGACGCACTCGCCGTATGCAAAGGCACATTGTGCGCAGGAGAGGTTGAGGGTGTAGGGCTTGGAGGTGGGCAGAGCAGGTGGTGAAGCGAAGGAGTCGATGTTCTCAGAGACAGCGAGGCTGCTCAGAGCCACAAGCAGTGGTTGCAATAGTAGCAGTGGTCGCATTTTGTCAGTGGAAGTGTAAGCATGTTCAGGCATGTTCAGGTTGAAGTGGAGGAGAGTCCTATATATGACCGAAGACTGCTGCGCCTCCCATGGCAGCTCCACCAGACCCTGGAAGCGGGCTGCAAATCAGCGCTTGGCGGGCGAAATACTTCAATGCGAGTAAAGACGCCGATTATTCCTCTTTCATGGTTGCCTGTCGCCACATCCAGTCGAGGCTCGTATTGGCAGCGATCAACGGGGCTGGCGCGTCCAGAGGGTTTGACCTGCTTGGTTTGGCGAATTTGCTTCTGATTGTTTCAAATTTGGTCTCAGCTGCTGCTCTCAATGGCCAATGGAATCCGGGAAGAACTGGAATTACTGACATGACTGGCCAGAATCAGCAGTGGGCCTGTGTGTCCTTGGAACCGCCGTCAGCCAGATGGGCGGAGCATGGAAGGGACCCAAAGCTTAGCAGTAGTTTATCGCGCATTCATTAAAATAGTCAATGGTATTGATAAGTGGTAACTCGTCTGCCTATTCCTTTGACTCTACGTGAAGATGACCCCCCCATCCACCAGCATTGTCTGCCCCGTCACATAGTCCGAGTCTGGTCCAGACAAGAACCCAACTAGACCCGCCACGTCCTCTGGCCTGCTCGTCCGCCCCAGCGCGATGAAGCGGTCGGAGTACAGCTTGAGGCTCTCCCCTTTTCCGCGGCCCTCCAGCGCCCCCAGCCCGTCGTCAATCTGCTCCCACATCGCCGTGTCCACAATTCCCGGCGCGTACGCATTGACAGTTATTTTATTTGGTGCCATTTCCATCGCCATGGCCTGAGTCAGACCTCGCACCGCCCACTTACTGGCCGAGTACATACCCAGCGTTGGGAATGGTTTATGCGACACGATCGATGCCGCGCCCAGGATCTTATACACGCCCACCCCAGCTACTTCAGTCGGGTTGCCCTGCGCGATCATCTGGCGGGCTGCCTGCGTATAGCAGTTAAACACCCCCTTGACATTCACCGACAGAACACTGTCAATATCCTCCTCCGTCACGGCCAGGAGCGGCTTCACCTGCGCGATTCCGGCATTGGCGACCATGAGCGTTAGGGGACCCAGTTTCTCCACTGTCTCCTTCACGAGCCTCTCAACTTGCGTGGAGGAAGTGACATCTGCCGCGACTCCAATCACGCGAGATAGCGCTATTTCAGCTGGTTGGTCAGGCTGACGGACGGCAGTTCTGAGTTCATTCACTGTCGCGTCGATAGCGTCCTGGCTGCTGGGGATGTCATTGATGCACACCGAGTAGCCGTCTTGTACGAGCCGGAGGGCAATGGCTTTCCCACTGCTCAGTCGTTAGTAGACAGGTCTATCTATGCTGCTCGGGTATCTATCTGCCAGACTTACATGCCCCGTGCCGAACCGGTGACGATCGCAGTGCGCTGGACCATTTTGCTTCAATGAGTTGAAGAGGATAATGTCTCTCATCTCGCAGCTCGAATGTCTACAGAGCGGGGTAAGAGGGGGCAATAGTACCTTGTTGATGGTAGTTATATTAGGTCGATAAATGGGCAGGGATTCTCCAACTCCAGCGTATCACAGACAGTATAAACTCTGGCTGTTGTAGACGAAGTAATTGTCTCAGCATGCTTTCTACATATAAGTCCCGATAGCCTCGGAGGTTCATGGTTTGACGTGCCCTTGTTCAGAGAGAGTTGTACAAGATTAGATATTCTGCTGTTTCTGTCTGCGCTCTTTATAGGTACCCCTATAACAGATTTAATTTGTATAGAACGATTAGCAAGATACTCAAAATCCGGCCTAGACGAAATTGTAGGTGCCGCCTACCTTGCATGGAGCCTGGTCCACCAACACAGGCTTTTTTCTGGTTATGCATTCCGAGCCCGAAAGGCTGCACCGGTCGGTCACTGATTGTCTTAATTGCACCAGTAACTAGCATTCGCTCTTCACTGGTGCTGGACCCAGGCTATGCAGTATATCACCTCACTAAGACTGATAGTGATCGCCATTTTAGTTCTCGGCTTATCTCAACCGAAAGCCCCATTTTCTTCCAGTTCACCGTTATCCTGATTCAGTTTTCCCGTTGGCATGGAGCCTACTAAGCTCAACGACCGATCCTGATGTGGATCACAGAGGCAGTGCAGTTCGTATATTTCCAGGGTTGTGATTACTTTATCTGTCCATCCAATGGCTTTACAATCTGATTGCGTTCTCTGATTCTGTCCCCACTGGGCTTCTGGCTGACAGTCCATGGATTTGAGTATAAAGTGTCAAGCTTACACCCCGAATGCAAAGTCAATCAGGGAATAAAATTGGGTGTACCGTAAATTCGGCAAATTATCAACTGGCTTACTACACTGCCCTAGCCCACTATATCGGAGACAGCCTCAGCCTCGGGACCCGAGGATTCCGAGTGCATCACCGTTTGAGACTGACACTAGGGCGAACCGTGGAGGGTGAAGAATAATGTTGTTGCCTGCTGTTTGTACGGCGGTTCGATCTCCCTGTTCCAGCTAGACCGTGGGTCTTCGTTCATATGTGCTCTCATTACCCCTACCACCTTGGTAGCTGCACGTGTCCGTGGCCGCTTTAGTGGACGGACCACTGTCAAGTTGGAGAACTGATGCTAATCCCATCTCGTGAGACGATTCGTCATTTTAGGCAGATCCTTCGAGGCATTCTGCATACTATACATTGCCGGAGATTCTCCGGTCCAGTCATTGCTCCAGGAAAGTTGCAAATTGTGATATGTGCCGACCAGGATGAGCTGTCAGTCGGGCTGGAGCTGCCTACCGTTCACATTAATTCCTCTGGAGATTATCTATTACAACGAGTCGCCCAATCATCAAGAATCATTACCATCCGCCGCTCGCCTCGTTGCAGCTATTCGAGCGCCGTCGCTACTATTCTAAGCCAGCCGCAGGATGTCCATATAAAAACGGTACTATTGCGAGCGGTGTATTCTAGTCCATACATTGCCCATAATTTAGAAGGGTGGACTTCAGCGGGCCTTACAGCACATACCTTGTTTGTTTTGACATGCCCTTGAGGTCTTTACAATACTGTGCACGGTCGGATTCGACGCCATACTGGAAGCGAACACACTCAGTGCATGTGCTGCGGGTACATAGATCGTAACGAGTTGGAACGATTGCGGCTCGATGCTTCTGGAACTAAATCATGAGTACAGTTTGAATATTTGTTGTAGTGCTAGTTTCATTAATCGTTAAATTTTTGGAGCCGCGTTGGTCCTACTTTGCATACATAGTTTGGGTAACGCGATTATTTATATATCATTCGGGACAACGCCCCCGATGTACACAAAATATATAATGACCATTCAATCATTTATCATCCACTTCCCGGACCTCAAACGCTATCATCCCATTAGATTCTACCGTATGCTCATTCTGCAGTTTACTGGCTGTATCTGCACCAGCCGCCGGAACCCGATACTCAAACCGCTTCCCAGGCCCCGGTAGTCGGCCATCGGCCAACGGATACGGGAATGGGAGATACTCCGGTAGGAGGCCTAGTTGAACCAGGACTGTCGCTTGGTCCCAGGCAATGTGTTCGTGGTACAGGCGGTCGCCGCGGATGTTTACCACGGACGTGAAGGGGATTCGCAGCGGTTTGCCGGTTGGGGGGATACCGGGGATTCTATCATTATTAGTATACCAGCCAAACAATGAGTGGGTTGAGTACATACAGCCAGTCGACGACTTTATTATGCGCCAGACAGAAGATGAATTCATCTACCACACGGTCAACCCCCACGGTTCGGCTGATGAGTTCCAGACTCGTGTCGTCGGGGTTGTTGAAGATGAAGTGGTTCAAGTAGAACTTGCTTAGGCGCTCTCGGCCAATGCCGCCGGTTAACTGAACATTAATACTCTGCTTTAACGGTAGATAAACTTTGACTTACAGTGGGAACATGATTGACGTATGGCTCCTGGACCATAGTCGCCATCGTCTTCTCGACTGAGCGATCACCAAACTCAAAGTACGTGTGCTCGTCCCATATCTTCTCGAGATCAAAGTACGGTCCGTTCAAGTGCTTCTTCACGAATGTCAAGGAGCGCGTGTGAGCCACGCCGGCGGAGGACATATTGAAGTCCGCATGGCCGGGGATGATGAACCCGGAAGAGGATACCTCGGGGTAGGAATAAACCCTCAACGACTGCGAATCTTTTGTTTCCGGTTTTGATGCATCCAAATGAAGCAAAGCCGGGGTCACTGTGACGTCCCAAGTATCGAAGAATACCCCCGCAGCGAACTTCCCCGCTTCAGATACTGCTGCACCGTAGAGCAGATCTCCAAACCCCGGCGCGTAGTCGGCTTGAGACCCGTATACTGCATTTATTAACAGAAGTCTCATGGCAGTAAGTCAGATTGACAGACCTAATAATCCAAAGCTAGACTTTTTATCACATTCCGCCAGAGAGGCCAAGGCCTGGGTGGCATGGCGGAGGAGATCGAATACCGCAGTCGGACTTGCGCTTGACTCAGTGCCAAAGGTTATTTGAGAAACTGCAAAACTCTCTTCTGCCCACTTTTGGAGAGGCTCAGGGTCCAGTGTATGGTTATTGGGCTGTGATTCTGCATGGCCGGCGGCTCTGACCAGGACTAAACCAGGCCCTCGTCCGCACCGTGATAGAGGAGGCTGCAGGATAACACCGGCAGTGATTTCCCTGGCGGGAGCTGAGGGAAGTGATGTGGAATCAGACATGGCGATCTGTTGTCTGGGTTCAATGCGGAAATCTGAGGGAGCAGACTATATGGGCGGATATGTTCTGGCGGATGGTGTTCGGGGCGGATCTCGGAGTCTCCAAAGTGAGTCGGACTTCCGATTGATGTACAATTACTGCTATTGGGCAGTTTTAGACAAGTACACCAGTGCAGTCATTAATGTTTGCTTACAAAGTGAAAGCTGTGATGGGACGATCTTCAGTACGATGCGGGGAGCACTGCCTCAGGTGTCTACGGAGCACAGCCGGTCAGGTGATCTGACAGCTATGTCACGTGCAACAGCTTCATTGCGACCGGAGCTGCAAGTCAAGACAAGTTCAAGACAACAGAAACAACTTGACGAATTGACGGTCGCTCCCTCCTCTACCCCTTCCTCCTGTACCCCCCTCTCGACATCGGCAATCCCACCTCAGTGGAAGTGCAAGTCCACTGACACGTCCCCATCCTTTATGAGCGATTCTCACTTGGACGCCCACCAAAATGAACGCCGAAGTCCAAAACGCGCTCTCAATATTCGAAAGCAGACTGAATTCCCTCGTCACAACACTTACAACATCGCCGACAGCTTCCGGGGCACCCACCGCAGCGGTGAACCTCCTCGCCGCCGACGACACTCTCACATCCACGGTTGAGACTTTGAAAGAGCACCAGGCCAACTACGCGCGCATTCTACAGCTACGAGCGGAAGCACAGAGCCTAGAAGAGCGGGTTAAGGATATCGTCCGCCTAGTCGTACGCTACGAGAAGGACATCCGCGAAGCATGCGGCGATGACGGGTCAGATACTGACTCCGACGACTCCGAATTCGATTCAGACGAGGATATGGACGGACAGGATAAACCGGAGCGCGTTCCAAGGGCGCGAAACGAGATCGACTATAAGCTTCTGCTTGACTTTGCGCGGCGGATAAGCAAATATAACATCGAGGCTGCGGCAGATGCAGCGGCGGGAATGACGAAGAAGGGCCACGCGATACCGGGCAAGGACACGGAAATGGGCGGGACAAATGCAAACGGGGCACAGAGTGGGAGCCCGGACGCAGAACCTGTTGCTGCCGTTACGAAGGACGCTACGTCGTGGCTGGATGAGTCGGCGAATATGACACGGCAGGTGTACATGCTTCCTTATCCGATGGAGGACAGGATACGGATGGGGCTTATGGGGCAGATACAGCTTGCGGCGGCGGAGGGGAGGCCTGGGTTTGATTCAGACAATGAGGTGGAGAGGTTGATTCGGGAGGCTGAGGGTGTCGGGGCTGCGGATGCTGTCGCGCCTGCGCCGGTTGCGGAGGAGACGAAGCGTGTGAATGAGGCTGCAATGGCCGCTGCCCATGCTGGGTCTGCGGCAGCGACTAAAGTGTCGGTTGCTCCAGCGCCGAAGCCCAAGGCTGCACTAGATTTGGATCTGTATGATCCGGATGAGGACGAGGATTGATTGTTGACAGGCCATAGCTTGAAAAGTCCCGACTGTATTACCAATACGAATACTTATAATCGTCTGAATACTCTACAATATTTCTACATTCACCATGAAAAGTAAGCTTGGATATACTTGAGGCATATTTCAGTATATAAAACAAAAGAAGGAGTATCGTGGCAAGATTATTACCGCACCTGCGCCCAGAACTTATTCTTCCTCTCCTGCCATGTCTCGCGCCTTCTGAGATAATCCTCATCATTTGCCTTTGTCCTCTTATTCTGAGACAGACACGGTGATGCCAACTTGCGCTTCAGATAAACAGACGACCGTGTCCCCGCTTCAAGCTCCCTGATCCTCGTCTGGGCAGACTCAAGCTGGTACGCATCCCACTCCCTCCTCTCCCTCAAGTTGCGAATCTCCTCACCCGCAAAATCAAGGTGGTCCATCGCACAAGCCTTCTCAGCCTGTAACCGTCGTACCAAATTCTCAAGACGATCAATCCTATTGAAGGCCCCGTCCAACTCCCGCAGCTGGTCATTCGCAAACCCGAGTTGCCATGCGCTGCGCGACGCATCGATTTCCAGCTCCCAGATGCGTTTGTTCGCACGGTCGAGCTCTTCAAGCGCCTCGTCACCGGTCAGGGCCTTCGTTGAACGGTTCTTGGTAGAGCTCTCTCTATGCGTCTCGTTGTCTCTGTACTGTGCGGTCCAGAAGGGACCGCGGCCTTGGTAGATGGGGCCGGTGTACTCGCTGATAACACTCTTTGGAGCGGGAGGTGCAGCTGGGACGTTATATGCCATTATTTGATCCACGTCGCAGGCAATAACCACATCGACTGATCTTCTGCTAGATGATGCTGCAGACAGGGGCCTGGGCTGGCGGCGTGGGTCGGCGGCGGAATTGACTGCTTCTCCTCTAGAAGGTATTTCCTTGCAGCTAGGAGCGGCAAATGTATCCGAAGGTGTGAGAGGCCTCTTCGCCTGTTTCTTTATGACGGTTGCGGGCTTCGTAGCTGATGCTGTGTCTGTGGATGTTGAAGTGCCCGGTCGGGATATAGTAGAGACAGGGAGGGGTGGGAGAGGTCGATTGGGCCCTTTAACCTTTCTGTTCTGATGTTTGCTGCGCTTCTCGCGATTAAACTTGGCCTTTGCTGGACGAACTGGTAGGTCTGAGGCCCTGTTGTCCGTTTGCCGTTGACTCCTTGTATATGTCCTCTTGTTCTTTGTCTTTGAGATGATCTTCACCTCAGAGTCTGGCCTGGTAGCACTGCTCGTCTTGGGCATTTCGGTTCGGTCTAACCATTCGAAGATAGTGCTGTCAAGTGGAGATTCCTGCTTCTTGTCTCGGTTCGCAAAGTCAATGACTTTCGTAGTTGTATCCTCCTTCTCTGCAGTTCTGTGTGTCCGGCCAGCCCGTACAGCCGCCGGTGCCAGTGCCTTCAACGAAGGTTCAAACAGCCTCTCATGATAAGCATCTTCAATAGCCTTAGCCCTCGTGATAAGATCTAAAGGAGGACCGAAGAAAAAATCATCATCCTCGCGGTACTCAGACAGGAATGCGAGGGGATCCTCTTCAGAATGTGGCACTGTCTTCACTTCGATGCTGGGAATTGGGCCTTCTGCGCCAGGAACAAACCAGTCATCTTCTGTTGCGCCTGAGACGGTCCTCGAGGTATCAGAATTCTCCTTGTTTGGCTTGAGATTTTTTCGTCCTCGGTAGACGACTTCCTCATCGTCTGATGGCTCCGGAGTCATTTCCTGGCTGAACAGAGTGGCTGCACTGTGATAGTAAGGGGCGAATTCCGGCTTTTGGCCGGGAGTTCGGGCCTTCATGGCGTGTAATACCTGTAAGTTAATATACATATGTGTATATGTGGGACTGTCTATTGAATGGCGATAACAGTCTGGTAACAGGGGTGTCGTGATAGGAAATGATGAAAATGGAAAATGTGCGAATCTGGACATAGAGAAGGTTATGTATGCGCTCCCGAAGCGGTTTTTATTCACAACATATAAAGGGCTTTTGACAGAGTTGTTATAAGAGTCTTTACCCATTTTGACGATATGAAAGATGGTTTGTGCAGAGTGTGATTGTCCCTCACAAAGACGTCAAACCACCCTGGAATTGTGAGACTGGATATGGATGATTCAGGTTGAGAAATAATGGACCGTAACCAAATTTCAGAGCAAGCTTGGCTATCTCGGGGTCTCTAAAGGCATTGGGCTTCCTCTTTTGGGAACCAACGCCACACCCATAGATATGATGCCCAGAATCTCCATGGGCCTCGACGTCGAGATCTAGACCTTTAGTCCAAGGCCCGGCTGGGGAGCCGCTCTATCGGACTAAATCCCGGTGTCCGACGCAACGTAGTAGTATTGCTGATATAGGTTCTACGACTGGCAACTGAATATATCTATCCAATATAGGGTTGGAAGCCACGAAAATGGTCCTTGATATTCAGCTACAAGGGTGGTTACGCTACCGACATACAAAGGGAGAGTGACATCTATGTGACCCCAGCTATCCGGTTCCCGTATTTGCGAGTCAGACAAGGTACATTCCAGATGTTGGCGTTATGTCTAAGGACGGTCAGATACAGAGCAAGACACACCCTGCTGCGACTTTACTACGCAGGGAACTGCCGTTTGTCGAAGCAGTTGAAATGCAAGTGTCATAGATTGAATATACGCGGCGGAATAGTATGCCAATGAGGCCAGGCCCTGGTCCTGGTCGAGATGATTCACACGTATCGTAGGGAGGATTTCCCGACAGAATGGTATTCGGGATAACCCCTTCTATCAAGCGCGTAGAGGCTGACATCGAGAACATGGTGACAGTATCATGACCCAGAGTCGAAGCATGTATTCCCCATGGAAGGGCGCTAATGGACATCCAACCCACGAACCAGGAGCTCTGTGCGAGACGGAAATGGCAGGGGGCTGATCGGTGGCGAAACGGTGCGGCACATAACAGGGACCCCATTGCCGGGTCGCATGAAGAAGGCATCCTCAAGCGAGAACGGTGCGAGTGCGATAGGTCGTCTTTTACAGACTCCCCAGTCGATTAAGCTTCTCATCATGACAGATCCATGGTACTGGAATATGACACTGTCAAATGCTTACGGGGATACTGATACCCTGCAAGGCCGGGACATGCACCCCTGACATCTGCCGCGGAAGCAGACCCTGGGCCGTGCGCACGTATGGAAAAGAGGCAGGATGCGGGGAAATGACAGCTTTGACTGGGGCATCTGGGGGATTGCCACCAGTCAGAATCCGAGACGAAATGCCGGAGCTTGCCTTGCCTTTTGCTCCATAGCGGATTTATGCCGTCCCCGTCTCCCCGCATTCTGTTATGGGGTGCTACTATAAAAGGGGGCCATGTGGGTGTTTGATCAGCTCCTACATAGGACCACCCTACGCGCAGTGCCCAGTATCTAGTGTCCACTGCTGTGGCTGGCCGACACGATGAATCCTAATTATGACAATGTAAGTGCCTGAACCTGGTCGTGAAATGCAGTATTGACAGATTCTTGCCTGTAGGAGCGCAACGAGTCAGTGCCCAAGATAACTACCTTCCACGTACAATTACTGACAGATCAGACTGGAGCACGAGCTCCATACCGAGATCATCCCCGGGACAGAGATCATGACGGATGTTGGGTCACATCATTTCGTGAAATCATCGTCTCATCCAGACCGAGTACTCGTGCCGCAACCATCGAATGACCCTCATGATCCACTTGTACGCTCCCTTTTGCTTTTAAGGGAATATAAATTGACACTCTTCTAGAATTGGTCAAAGATGAGGAAGCTCGTCGTGATGGCCAGCGTCACCACCGTGACCTTCAGCCAGGGCTTCGGACCGCTAGCCCTAGCTCCCATGTTCCCTCAGCTGATGGAAGCTTTCGATGCCGGCCTCGCCGACGTCGTCAAATTCACTGGTGTTTGTATTTTAGTATTGGGCTTCAGTAACTTCTTCTGGTAACGCTCCCCGAATATAACGACCTATTTCGTGTCTAACTGTCCAGGATCCCAATCCAAACCACCTTCGGCCGACGACCAGTCCTAATCTTCTCCACACTCGTCTGCGTCGTCAGCAACATCTGGCGCGCCACAGCCAAAGACTACGGGAGTTACATGGGCGCCTGCGTCTTGAATGGCTTCGGCGCTGGACCGGCAGAGACATCCCAGCCGGAGATCATCGCGGATATCCTCTTCCTCCACGAGCGAGGCGCATACAACACCTTGTATTTCACCTTCTATTTCGGCTCTCTCATGGTCGGACCCATCATCTCCGGTCCAATGGCACAGCGCGTCGGCTGGCGGAATTTCTTCTGGTTGAACGTCGGTCTCCTGGGACTTGCTTTGCTGCTGGTGGTATTCTGTTTCCCGGAGACGAAATGGAACCGTCTCCCACCTATTGACGGCAGAGAAGATACAGCTCAAAGTACCGATATGAAGCCCGATCCCGAGAAGCCGGGTGAAAGTACATTCCACGAGAATGTTACTGGCGAGAGCGACAACACAACTCCCGTTTCGCTTGTAGGGAAAGGAACCCCGTCGAAGCAACAGTTCAAGCTGTGGCAACCACCAAGCAATGGGTTCAAGACTCTTTTGACCAGCTTCTGGATCCCGTGGAAATTGCATATATTCCCTATTGTTGAGCTCGCAGCATTCAATGTCTCATGGTCTGCCAGTGTCTTCCTAACCCTGAACCTGACACAGAGCCAGGCGTTCGCTGCACCACCGTACAACTTCTCCAGCGAGACGATCGGGTTCTTCAATATTGCTATCCTAATAGGGGCCATAATTGGGCTGTTAACGAACGGTCCGTTATCAGACTGGATCTCCATGCGAGCGACGATTAAAAATGGGGGTATCCGTGAACCTGAGATGAGGCTTCCAGCTGTGATTCCCTACCTGATTATCAGTATAATCGGAAACTTCATCGTCGCGTTCGGATATCAATATAAATGGGACTGGCGGGTAAGACCATTTCCACACCCACCCACCCACTATCCAAGATACTAATAAGCCCAGGCAATTGTTATAATCGGGTACACAGCCGCCGGAATCCAAGTCGCCGCCCTGCCAGCAATCATTAGCACATACGCCGTCGACAGCTACAAACCAGCAGCGGGATCGATATTCGTAACAATCACCGTGAACAAGAACCTGTGGGGGTATGGGTTCAGTGAGTTCATCACGACCTGGATTGAGAAGGATGGCTTTGTGAAACCGATTATGCTGAATATGTGTCTTGCTGTGCTTTGGTGTCTTTGTTGCATTCCATTTTATGTTTATGGGAAGAGGCTGAGGAGGTTGACGGCTAAGTCCAAGGTGCATTCTATGTAGATTGGGTTTACTTGGTGGCTGGGAGATAATATCGATAGTATAATAGGCGTTTCATGTACTAATATATCTTTGTTCGTAACTGTGTTGTTGGGCTCAAGACGCTGCTACACTTGCCAAGGACCGGGCGAAGTCGAGGAGCAGTACGGACCGTGTCAAATCTACAAGGCCGAATCCCAGTCTTCAGGCCGAGCTCAGAGATCTACGAATGGCATCAGAAGCAGGGACTCGAGCGCTGCAGCGCAAAATAAACTAGACTGCCAGGGGGCGGGCTAATGCCAGGAAGAACTTCGTCGGTGTTGTTCGTAAGCAGAACAGGGCTGCTATTGACGATACACACCGTCTTGCAATGTTGCAGGATGAAATCGTAGGTCTTAAAAGAGGAACTGGTGACGTGGATGAAGTTGGAGAATGTGTCCGAACGCGAACGAGATCGTCTGTTGAACGCTCATGACGACCTGCTGGAAGCTCGCAACAGAGAGTCAGATATGAGGTTCAAGAAAATAAGGCACATTGTCGAAGAGAAGGACGATGAATGGGAGGCAAGTTTGATAGGGAAGGAGCCGAAAGACGTGCTGGAAGGAGATGTCTCCTATAGTTGTTAGATGCAACATAATATCTACTTGAAGAATAAGTTCAGAACTATATCCAACCTCTGTGCAACCGTTAGTGTTGAGGCCTCTGCTGAAGCTGGATCCTCATTGTTCAGGATACAGGTCTCTCAATTCAGAGCTGCTGATGCAAGCACAGCTATATTCATAGGTACTCAATGGCAATGGGTCTATCGAATTCACAGGACACTGTTGAGGAGAGCACGCGGTCTTGTGACAGCAGATGCTATATCAAAGACGCAAAGACGAAAGAGACATGAAAAGGTATAGGGTACAATGAGCCCAATTTCCAGTTACAAATAGTCCACAAGCCCACACTTAGCAGTCTATCCTAACTAAGGTGGACAGGATTAACCAGGGCACTCTAACTATATCAGTTGGATCTACTACATCATTTCATCGCCCAACATGACTCGCTCCATTGAACCTCCACAGCGCGATAGGAAAGCCTTCGAAGCCAAGACCATTTCTCCCGCCGAGATACTGGATATCTGCCTAGCTATCGGAGTTCAGTGTGACAACGATGAGTCCACTGGGGCTGGCATATCCGAGGCAACCTCAGGTGAGGAGAGCTCGATCATGCAATGCGCTGGTGAGGCTAAAGATAGAGGGACTATGTCGGATTATGAAAAGACAGAGAACCTAGATACAGTGTCTCAGGGGCTGCTCAGCTCTACAGCTCAGCCGGTTGTCCCAACGAAGGCACCTCCACGATCCTGCGTGAAACTCCGCTTCCAGCCCTACCCTTGCACCGGATGGCAGGGTAGTGTAGTGAGTACCCAGCCTGGTGATATCCTCTGCAGAAGGAAATGGTGTAGAGGATGAGGCCTAGATTGACCTTCGTTTTTAGCTGATTTCTTATTAGTGTTCACTATTACATCATCTTATATTGGAGACAATCCATAGTTAATGCTCCGTAGTTTAAGAAATATATCATTTTATGGCCCAAATTAATTCGCGGAAAATAATTTTCTTAAGCGGGACCAAAGCAAGCCTTAGTTATACCAGGTAGCATGGATCGATGCATAATAAAAGGACATGTATGTGTAAATACGAAATATGTCGATATTTTGATGCAGGATATAGAGTAGAGTCGGGATAGGCTTTGAACCCTAAAGACAGTCACATTACAACAACGGTTATTTCCACTTTATCGGAAGTTTCAGGATACTGGGCTGAGAATCGCGATGCAATAGCCGGTGCAATCGCATAAATGATAAAGCCAATGTTAACAATCCATCCTGAACAGAGGACAAAGGCGCAGGAGAGCATCGACTTTTTATGCTTCCTTGAAATCCAATGAGCATATGAAACAACAAGCCTTAAAGTAGCTGCAACGTTTCCTTATGAAACATAAGCCAGCCAATAAATCCTGCGATGCTTTAGTTCCTTGTACACAAGTCATAAAGGGGCGTTAAACTTAGAGGATAAATAGTCTACAAACCCTCTGTCATCGCCCTCACGGTATCGATCGAGTACCTGCATCGACATTATATCCGAAATTATACCTCAACGTCGATACTATGGACTCACCGTTGCCGAGATCATTCAGTCCACTATTCATTCCCTACGGTCCCACCGTGGCCAACCCTAACAAACAGCAACCAGAAAGGAAGCATCCTGCTTACCCTAAGCGGATCAGACCATACAGCCCAACGACTGTTGGTCTTCCAACAGACCTGTCATACCTGGGAGATGACGAACGGGACCCTGCGGTTGACAAAAACCCTCTGCAGGGAAGAAAGATTGCACGCCCAACCCGTGCCCTCAAGTCAAGAATAGGCAAGACCGCTCGCCGTGAGAGCCTCCAAAAGCCTGAGAGGACTGGATATTTCTCTCCCGAATCGCAACAGGAAATCACAGGCTGGACAAACTGTTTTCCACAAGTGCAACAAAATGTGGAATCTCCGCCCTATTTCCTTTCGACCCCCATACCCCAGGACGGCCTTCCAACGCCACCCTACCCCATGGGAGATTTACAAATCGGTAACCCAGGCGAATGGCGTCTATATCAGGCCAGCAATGGCTCTATTTGGGACCCCAAGAGCGTTGATCTGCAATCTCATCCCACGCCCCCTCGAACGCCGTCAATCGTGAGAAACCTCAGCGGTAATGAATCAGATGATGGCCACGCGGCAGACAGCGAAACCATGGACGGGGACCTATCTGGGAGCCTGCACCGAGTGAGCGAGCACATACGGCTTCTTCGGAAGACAAGAGCGGACTCTCGAAAGCAAGTAAACCGCCTCAGAGCACAGACTCGCTCTGTAAATGAGCGGCTCAGACTGGTCACGGCAGAGAACGCTCAGCTATATAGGGATGCTGCTTATGAACGGGACCAGAGGATGTTCTTTGAGCGTGTGATGCATAAACTGAATTACATGGTGGAGCAGGCCCGGGAAGATATTGCTAATGCGTTAAGGGAAATTGGGTCTCTGGAGGATGAGGTAGCTCGTTTGAAGAAGAGGCCGTGTGAGTTTGGTGATGAGGAGGACCGGTCGACGAAGAGGGGGAGAGCGTTCTAGTATCTGCGTGATATGGCATCGTTGGCGTTTTATAGAGGTCTCATTCTTCATGGTTGGCGTTTGCAAGGTCCAGTGCGTTGTTAAGATCCTATTCCTGTTACCATTCCTTCGGTCTCCGATAGCAGAAGTGTAGTCAGCTAGGCAGTGTAGCTACCTGTATAATATAATTAAGAGTAATAATATATCCTCTGGCGCTTCTTCATATTTGACTAACCATATCACAGGATTTCGTGTCTTAAATGCACGACGTCGTGCTTTGCATTCCACTTTATTATTCTACTTATTGTTACTCAATATCATGCGCAGCGCCTTTTCTCTGTTCAAGAAGCAAAAGCAGATGCCCTCCTATCTTCCTGGCAATTCTGGCCCCCACTTGGACAATTCTGCCCCTACTAATGGGCATCATCTATGCCTCAGACGCCCGTTTGCTTGTCCGTCACAAACCATAGACGGTTGTATTGACTGGCAACACAGTTCCATTTACAAATGAGTAAGACCTCTCCTCACTGAGTTCGTAGTTGTGTGTTGCTTTGCGTATTACCAGCCAATTAATGATCTTATCAGATGGTGGTGGGCGGCCCAGGCGTACGATTATCATTCAACTTGCGTTGGCGGCAAAGCGGCAATCTGACGACACCCCCGCGCAGGTATACAAACATAAACAGAGGTCTGCAAGTATAACTATTCTCCTAATAGCCGATCCTCTTTCTTGCCAAGGGTCCAGAACGGTGATCACTTTCCTGAGTGCTGTCATTCTGGCCACTAGCCCTGTCACTGAGAGCCTAATAGCGGCCAGGTGGGCTGTGGAGAAAGGCTGGAGGACCAGAACGAGGACCAGAACAAGAACAGGCTGTCTCTGGGATAACGAAGCTGCCGGTTTGAGGGGCATGTAGCTGGTAGTCCATATGCTCCCAGGACCCGTCATCGGCAAAGATTACCGGGTCAATGGAAATATCACTATATTTCAGTTGACCAAGGAAGCCCCTGTTCCGTTCCCCCCTTCATCCTCCCACTCACGATACGATCATTGGCCAGTACGGTGCCTGGGTATCCGTCCACCGCTCATTCTGCTCATTATCCATTGCTTCCTCCCTAACGTCTCTCAGATTTTACAGTGTGCAGATCTTATTACATACAGTATACCTGTGGGTGCAGAAAAGAGATGGAATTTGTTCCAGTGTGCTGAGCGTCACAGAACGAATCTAAAGACGGCTTTTGACCATTACTCGTCAGAGAGTGGAATTCTATATGCAATTGCGACTACTACTAGCTTCCCTGCGAGCTTCGGATCTTCTCAAACTCGGGAATAGCCCATTTCACCATCCATTCCGATTCAAGAACCTGCTGAACAGACGAACGATTCTCAGGCTTGAAAGAAAGCATTGGACGCAACATCGCCAAGAGAGCATTTCGCTCACTCAATTCAAGTGGCGGCATTCCCGCCTGATTCCGCGGTTTCTGGATATTTAATTCAAAGGCATCCTCTAAGGACCTATACTGGGATGTAGCTCGGTTATTTGGCTCGCCGTTGTCAGTGAAGTGGTTTCCACGACCCTCCCATTTTTCCCACCATTCAGTCGGGAGCGGGCCCAGTGCTGCGATTTGCTGGCAAGTCATGTCGTCTTCGTTTGTGAGGAAGCCTTCGAATAGGGACCGTTGGGCTACGATATCCCAGATAGTACATGCAAGCGTCCAGATATCAGATGAGAAAGTAAGTGGCATTGTCGGCTCAAATCGAGCTTCGGGGGGTCTTATTAAAGGGGGTGTATGTGACTCAAATCTCTTCTCTCGTGTTGGCGAGAATGTTTGGCCAAAATCTGCAAGAATGATCCTGGCTTCTGGGAGTGTAATCTTTTCACTTGATTCACCAAGCCAGATAGGTACGACGCCATATTGTGGGACTCCTGACGGAGGCGTTTGGCCATCTAATCGATTGACTGGCTCAAGTTCCGGCTCCCCATACAGATCATATAGCTCCTTAATAGATAGGTTATCGAAGTTGGATTGAGGTTGGAGGAGGATGTTCCCGCGATGAAGGTCTCCATGAACAAAGCCTTCTGAATGCATATACCGAATCACCGTCGCGAGCTGGGCTACTAGTGCACGAGCCACATCAATCTGAAAAAGGCCTATCCATGATCCGTTCTTTGCCTCAGATAAGCTCATCCTTGCCGGGTTTGTCACCAGGCAGGCGTGGTTACCGTTGGGGCCTTGGATGTTTAATCTATCCAAAATCGAAGGTATCATTGTTGTGCCTATATCTGACGACTTTAGAGGCTCTGATAGCTGGGACAGTGCATCGGTCTCAAGAGGGCCCGAATCCGCCGTGCAAATCTTAACAGCAACATATCGGTGAGATATCTCGTCCCGGGCTAGCCAGATTGTTGAGTATGTGCCGTGGCCGAGTTTGTGAACGACACGGTAGCGATCGTGAAAGAGGTCGCCAATTTCCACTGGGTGGTAGCCACCCTGCTGATAATATTCCATTCGTTCCACGCTCTCAATAGGCTCGTACAAGACCTGACTTGTGCTCATTGTCAGGGCCGTTGATTTAGACGCAGTGAAGGAGAAGGCACGGCAGGGCTGACGATGGAAATATGGCAGGCCTGCCCTGTGCGTAACGAAAAAACAATAAGGAAAATACAGGCGCAAGGACAAGGTACGTATGGGGAAGAAACATGGCCTCTTCATCGTTGCTGGCTGGTACAAGAGGGTAAGGCCCTTGGCTTCGAACGGAAGATGGACGCATCCGGGTGAACTTTGCTCCGAGACCTACTCTAGGGCACGGTTTGCAGGGCAGATTGCCTTTTTCACAGGTTGGTTTCTATCGGCCATGAGCCTCTATACCCCGGCCTTTAAGCCGTAGTATCTACTCATTGAATAGATTGATAATATCGAACAATCTACAATCCACACAGAGCTACATGAGGACCGAGATGGACAAGGAAAGGTCCCATCAACAAGAGCTACGCGGTCATTCTTGGGATACCTCACACTGTATTTGACAATGCTATAAATAGAAGCATTAAAATATCCGGAAAAGCTGTTGTAATGAAGAGGTACTCTCCGACAGTCCTGTTCCATACCCGTCACATAATACAATAGACCAAAACCCGATGCTGGGAGACAATGCATACAAAAATGGCTTGAAGTTTCACAAAGAGACATCCTGGAATAACTTTTGACAACAAGTACCTTTTGAACAGGAAAAACTAGTTGTTATAAGTAACAACAGACCTCTGCAATCTACGGCTCAGGCACGGTGGGCATAGTCTGAATCGTGGTGACTAACTGCCAGAGCATGTCTCGGAAAGGCGACATGGATGCGAAGCTAGCTACCGCTACCGTACCGGTATCTTTAGCTGATCGTACGATGGAAATTTTAGATGACTTTCAAAGATATGGCATGATCGGGTCAAACCCCATATTCCAAGGGCAGCATGCGGATGCGTCCTGGTGCCCGGATCTTGGTTCCTGGGTCATGCCTGATGATGGCACTGGGTGCTCTCAGATTGCAGATGCAGTTATCATACATTGGAAGGTATTTAATGAAGCTTGGAAACAGTCCCGGAATGTGACGAAGAAAGCCAGTCGTGATCCTGTACCTAGTTTCGCACTAGAACAACCACCATTTGCTACTGTTAATCCACAACAACTCATACTCTGTAGCTCCCTGTCTATAGCCGAACAACGGCATCATTCTGATAATGCCCGACAGAGCTTGAATAGTGATATGCTGCGGCCCAACAAGGCTGTCAATTCACCCCGAGGAAGCAACAAGACCAGCCCTAGTATCAAACCCGCAGCTGCCCCGGCAAGCAACCCTAAAAGCCCCGAACGCACAGTTCGAAAAGCCGTCGGTCCTCGGAATCAACCGATCACTACCAAGCCCGATCTTGTGCAAAAGAATATAATGCTGGTCCCTATGTCAAGTTGGCAAAATGGATCTGCTGCGCGGGGACAGGCATCAGGCCTCGATAGCATGGCGCGAGGGCAAGTCGCCCGCAGAGTCGCTACACCGGCTAAACATCATGCCGGGCAGAATATAGGACCCAGCACAGTCCATAAATTACGGGGTAGCACCAGCGCAAGTATATCCGCCGAAGTAGTCGCCAGGCACGTTTTCCCAGCTGGCGGAGAGCAGAACTCCCAACGCCCTCCGCAGCCCATCGGGCCCGAATGCGTGTTCAAGCCAGGAGACCATGAAAGAGGCTTTGTTACAGCAGTCCGGACATCTAGCAATGAAATAAGGCGCCTCCGGTAGATCCTTCAACGACACAAGATTCCTTATTGAAGGGCATCGGAACTGTGATTATAGGTAAAGTGGAACCAAAAGGTAACGTGGGATCTATAGGTAGATCCATGAATTCAAACTATTCTCCTAAAGTATAGACCCCTACGTCGTAGTGTGGTAGGTAAAACCCATAGTTGGATTTTCAACGGTAAGGCTGCGGATATTGCTGGCATATCCCCTGTACGCATCAGAGGGAAGGGTAATTTGGATAAAGGATAAGCTGTTACCCCTCGTCGCACCATGAAATATATGGTTCATGTCATACAAGGAAAATGAACAGCGATTCACGATTAACCATAACGCAGAAGGGGTGCAGACTAACGAAGGGATTGAAACATATAAACCAAAACCAGTATCGTTTCAGACGGGACAGAGCCGAGTAGAGGAAGTTATGGATCGGCTTTGCTTCTTTGAGATCATCATCCTTTCGCAACCCGTCTTAACGAAGTTGATATACCCCTCCTGCTGTCATGATGAAAGGCTAATCGGTGCACAAAGGAACAATAGCTCTACTGAATGGAATGTCTGTTTTGCCATGACACACTCTGTAGGGTAAAGGCCCGCACTTAAACGTGCGGTGTATAAAATGATCTTTTACCAGCCAGCCAGCCGAACAGTGACGGAATATCCTTCCCAACTCGTCTTGGAACTTTTTGGTCATACGTAGTCCTCATTTCTCGGTTTATCGCGCATTCCATAGTTCCACTTCGGCACCGACTAAATCGCGGATCAGTGTAAGTCACAGGAATGAACTCAACCGCAATGACGAGCAACACCCTGCCGTCTGGGGAGCGACGATCCAGTCTACGGGATACGCCCGCCCGTTCTGAGAATGTGATAGGCACCGGCGATCGCAACACGATGATGTGCGAGGCTGAAATCCAGGCACTGCGGACTCATGTCAGTGAGATGCAGACCACTCTCACCAGCACCGCACGGGGTGTGGCCCAGCAAAGCATCGCACTATGGGATCTGCAACGCGATAACAAGGGGCTAGACGATAGGTTAAGCGCCCTGACCGAGGCACAAATAAAGTCCACGATTGCGAGCGCTGAAGAGCAGATTGAGATCGGGATCCTCAAAGCCCGCGTGGATGCCTTGGAGATGGAGCGCGCTGAAGGCGAAGGACTGATTAACGTGTTCAAGAAGCACCACGAGGATGTTATGAGCCAGCTCGCACGTGCGGACATGGCTATGAAGCGTCAGCAACAGCAATTCCTCCGCCTTGCGACCGTTAGGTATAACGATCAGCTTGACTACTTTCCGGTCTCTGGGGGAGAGGCCAGCCACGACGCTGGAGAGCAGGACCAGATTCATGCCCCGAAACAGCACCGTCGAACAACCGAGTCGAGACCCAGGCGAAAGGGATATAGCAAAGGCCGACCTATACGAGATGCTCATAACCCTGACCACTTGGGGAGGAAAGGTCGTTCGAAGGGCGAAGGCGAAGCTCCACGACGAATTCCTATACAGAGCAGGCCCAGGACGAAGCATTTTCGACCATTCGACAGCCCCCCGAGTGTATAGTTTAGAGAGTTTATATCATTGATATGTTCTTAGCCAGTTTACACCTTAGGCCTGAAGTTGAATAAAGGAATAATGTCCGTATACTGTATTGAAATATTGGTAGTACTGAATAGCCAGTGTAAGGACCATATAGGACGCTATCAAGACAGGCCATGCAATTATTCTATTGCTCGGCATGACATGCGGGACAGCATCGTAAGTAGAAGGTGGTATTATGCCCTTCCTCCCTGAATGATGGTGTCATACTTGTCGGAATATGCAAACTGTGCTGGTGAAGCCAGCCGTATAATATAGGAGCGCTATAGCTAGACTGAAACATATTTGCTAATGACCCTCCAGCACTCTCCAACCCAACGAAAGTTCTTTATCGATCTTCCTGATTAGAACAGGCCTTGCCCCCGCCTTTAGGCTGAACTCTTTGTGACTCCTGCAACATCGCCAAACACAGCAACAGGCTACGATTCGCTACATCGAACAACGGAATAAAGCAAGAAATAAACACCATTTCATTTTTCTCGTTTAGTAAACAATAACAAAGAGTGTCATTCACCGTATATGCCAGTCAATGAGACAAGCGAGATCAGTAGACAAACACCATTTGTAGGAAGACAAGCATAAACAAGCGAGACTAGTGTCACTGGCACGCCATAAGTCCTATAAGAAGCCTGCTTGTGGCCTGGAAGAGCTGATTCTACTGCAACTGCTCCAGGAAGACTTCATCCTGACGTTCAAGTCCTACGCTCTGTCCACAGGCACCTTGCAGGCTATCAACTGAAAGCCATCGCTCCGCACGAGAAGCCTCAAAGACTCGTACCAGTACACCATATTCCGCAATCACGATGGCACCGAAAAATGTCAGCTCGCATATTGTCGTGGATAATGATCAACCTACAGCTCCACCTCCTTCAACTAGGGCGAGTGTTGCGATGAGTATGAGATCCTTGCCAGAGGCCGCTCCTCCGGCCAGCCAGACCAATATGAATACTCTCCCCAGGCTCAGCAACCCCATGGCCACCATGCCGCAGCAAGATCGAAGCAAAAAGAGGAAGGCCTTGACTATTGACACCCGTGCCGAAACAACGCTGGACAAGTCTCAACGGCGTCGCCAGAACTCAAACGCAGACTACGTTCCAGTTGCCCCAGTCCCTTTACAAGAGGCGCCCGCCTCTCGTCCGGGCAGTCCGTCCAGGGTTTCGTTACCTTCGTTCATGCGGCCTTCGATGAGCAGTAGCCGTCAGAGTTCTATTTCGCAGCAGGGCCTGAATCCGGGCATAGCGCCGTTCTATCCTGCCCAAAGCACTGCCCAGGTTGGCACGACCCAGGCGAATTACGCCACTGGCCCTAGCCCTAACCTAGGTTCACGGAACGCAAGCATTTCTAGTGCCCAGTTTGCGCCCCAGTACCAACTGCCCCCTATTCGAACCAACCCAACACCCAGTCCGAGAGCCACCCAAATGCCCCCACCGCCGCAACAGCAACCACAGCCTCTATCAGGAACGCATCGACCCAGTGCCTCATCGCCGGAGTTCGAGGTCCTCGCTCTGAGGTCTCAATTGAACCTCAGCCAGGCGGAAAATGCCGCTACGGCGAGGAACCTGTCAGACTGTGCGTTCCGGCTACGGCAATGCGAGCGTGCGAATGCCGACTTACACAGGGCACTGCACAACGCGACTCAGGCAGCAACACGGGCTCCACGCCGAGAAACACTCAGTTCTATTCCAGCGCCGAGCGAGCAACTGACGCAATCCATGATTGAAAATCTCCAGCGGGAGAAGAATGCCTTGCTCGCCAAAAATGAACAGCACAAGAGTCAGATTCGGCGTCTCAATGAGGAGCTCAATAAGGTCATCAATGAACTTCCGAGCGACAGAGAACCCTTGGTTCGAGAGAATATGGAACTACGGGCCAAGTTACAGCGCAGTGCTGGGATTCTGACCTCCATCGAGAAGAAAGTGGCTGCAGCGATGAATGATGAGGGCAACGGGGATGGCCACACTGGGAAATGAGCTTTCTGTGTGCAGAGGTACATTTCATTTGTTTATACCGTTTTTAATACAGAATGACAGTGTTTGATTTTAATAATATATGCTCCTTGTAACGTTGACTCGGTGACGAGTACCGAACTTTACAGTAGCCAGAGTACCATTTAGATTAGACCTGAAGCTCAAGTAACTACATTTCTGGATTATGTTATGTATTTTGACCGTATTGAATCCGTAGCCATTGGTTCCTCCTATTTCTTCGAATGGATATGTAACCCCTGATACCGTGAAAGAGGTCAACGGAATAACCCCCCCATTGTCTGAGGGTTGGGTATAATGGGAATCTTTGTTCGGCCAACAATGACCTCCCATACTGTTGTTTGGCCATTTTAAAGCGTATTGTGCTAGCATATCCTTGGTTTAGTGCTAAGGGGTAGCCATACAAAGGGCGTTTAACCCAACATAAATGGTTCTTGTGCAGCCCTAATTTTTTCTGGGTTCACGACGTAGTGGCTCTCCTACCCGGTACTTGTAAACTGAATCACGATGTTCCAAGCTAATCGGGTCCCAGGCGAAGAATGCATCTCTCAGACAGAGTACCCTGACCCTCCTGAGACCACAGCCTGCGGCAATACGATCTTCAAGCCGATGAACGTTCAGTCTCAGAGTGGTAATTATCACAACACAGGCTCGTCGAGTAGCACGAATGGTACGGATGCAGCAGACCCTGCCTTTCTAGGAGGTCACCCTGAGGAAATAGATGTGGCAGTCCCTCTTCCATCTGTCTACCCTGTACAGTATCTTCCAGATGGCACCAACATTGGAGCCCAGTGTGAAAAGGAATACCAGACATATCCGGCTAAATTGGCATCGGACCGTGATACCCTAAAGATCCGTGTGCGTGAGCTGGAGAGGAATGGCTCTCAAATGGGCAAACGCCTTCTATTAGAGTTACAAAAGTCTCGCAACGCTGAGACCAGATACAGGGATTTAGCCAAGGACCTTTTTATCTCAAACCGGAGGATCCACCACTTGGAGCATCTGGTTAGCTTGCAGGATAAATATATTGACCATTGTCTGGTCAAGACGAACAGGCTTCAGGGTGATATTGCGCGGACTGTTCGGAGTGCTACCTATACAAGAACGCCGTCACAGGTTCGCAGAAGCGCCAGGATTAGAGACAAGGTATCGAAGCAGCGAAGAGCGAAATGCTGAGCTGCTGAGTTCTTTATTTGTCTATCATGGATGTTTATTGGGATATGATGTATACATAGAATGACTATTTCAATTTCCACATTGTCGTGAATCACAGAATAATATGTGGTTTCTCTTAACACCACTTTTGTAGCCTATCTCCAGTATTATCCCAATGAAACGGATCACCGGGTATCCTTCTTCTTGATCGCTGTAGATTCAGATGATACCCAAGATGCTATTTCAAAGACTCATCCGCTACGTGTAAAACCGACCTTTGTCCTGAGTGAAAGGGGGCCCCAACTCCATAAAGATTTCATTGACCCCTTCACACTAACAATTCAAAGCAAGTACATAAAGCCGTGCATCTTTACCGTTGGACAGACCATAACACCAAATGCCCCATAGCGAAACAGTCTCAAACAATATTGATATCATATAAAACCCCCGAGCCCATAAAGCAGTCGATATCAACTTACTTCCAAATCCACCATGCCTTACATAGCTTTCTGCGGCGTCTGCGCCAGTCGCGCACGCCCACACTGCTACGAAGAACATCGAACTGACATGCATAGCCAGTACATCCCAGACTCAGATGCAGACTCCAGTGTTTCATCGCTGGCCGCAACTCCCACCGGTTCAAGAACTCCCCGTCCTGGGGTTTCGGAGGCCCTTCCGGATGTCGAGCTCTATATAGCTGCTCACACTCGCTCGAGTCCTGTTGCCCAGGATGGATTGCCAGGCCACAGGGCAACCCCAGTACCTACTGATGTCGAAACCGCGTCAGATGCGGACCCGTCAGCTTCCATATACGTACATGTTGATACAGACAGAGAGGACAGAGCCCGCTGCTGGGTTATCTTTGAACGCGCCATGCGATCCCTTGGGATCCAGGAAAAGGCGCATGACCACGATGTCGCAATCGAGGTTTTGCGTCGGATTGGAGATGTGGTTGGGGATGAGATTGAGACGGAGAGAAGGGTGGTTGAAGATGTCCTAAATGACAGAAAGGAGTCACTGGCGAAGGCAAAAGCAGCGGAGACAGAACTCCACTTGGCGATGGAGATGATTGACGAGATTCCGAGGGGTGAAGTTGCGGCTTCCGGCCGTTTGGAGTTTGAAAATACAGTATTGCGGTTGAGGACAGAGCTTGATGATTTGACCCGCAAGTACGAAGAGTTTGAGAAGTTGTATAGAGACAGGAAGAAGGAGCTGCGGATGATGATCTTGCTTCATGAGTACCTCACGGACAGATATCCCAATCCATCACCAACCACAGCCTTAGTCTAGGTGTCGAATGGATTGAACGTGCCAAATAATTGTATAATGCCTTCCTAATTCCTGTTATTCCTCTAAATTTACTCCGGTTTTGGTTCCATGTACTTGTTCACTTCTCGTAGTTCCTTTGTGGGCTGATCCATGGTATCCCGCAGGCAGGCAACGCAAAAGGCACCCACAAATATAAAGGGCTTCATCTCCTAGTCTATAAAGCCCATTCAGCCGTGGTAAGTTCCAGGCAACAAAAAACGGTCGTCACATCCCCTTGTCACAACCACGATATGACTGATATAAACCCATCAGTCAATGCCCCTACTAACTAAGGGACACAGCCTTTGTGCTCTTCGACTCACGGACAATGGCAATTGTTATGCCCTGCAATTTCACAATAATCAATCCAGAGCGTGCGGATGAAATTTGTGGCTATATAATAGTGTACCGTACCGTTTACCTATTCGCGACAGCGATTGGCATTGCTCATTTATAGAGAGTTTTTGCGAATACAACTACCCCCTCCTCAGCACGATGGCCACTGAGAGTCAACCGGATTGCATTGACATGTATTGTCTATCATGCATGACATGGGCCACGGGCGAATGCCAACGGGACCACGGATTGAATCTCACTGAGCAGGTCCCAATCAGCCACTTTGAAGAAGCCTTCCTTCCGGAAATGCAAAGGCTTGTTGATAACATACCTGGGAGACTCCCCGTATTTGATCAGGACGATGAGCCTAGCTATATCCCGGTCTTTGATCCTTTCGACGACCCAGCTGATATGCCGTCGTTTGACGGTGTGATAGATAGTGATATGGAGCTTTATGTCGATGACCCTGGTGTTACTTTAACGGAGGCCTCAACTTCAAAACTTCCTGACCTTACTCGCAATGACAACCCGGATCTCGCAACGAGCGTGCCCATCAGCCCCAAGACGCGCGGACGCAGCAAGTCCGATCCCACAACGTCCCCCGAGGAGGATTCCATCAAGCAAGCCAAGATCGACAGTTACGTTGCGGAGGCATACTCTGTCGTCACCAGAATGGAGCGATTCTGCCATTATGTACACCATAGCTACCAGATTACGGAACTTTGGTCGAAGACATTGGATGACATCCGAAAGTTTGTGGCAGAGCTCCAGCACGATCGAAATACACGCCCTGCGATGGTGGATACCAAGGTCATTGTGGAGTGGATAAAGAGTCTACAGGACTTTGAGCTCAAACTCGCCGCAAAAATCAAGGAAGGCATTCGTTCGGAGCTGGAAGAGGTTATTCTGGATGAATGTTGTTTTGAATGCGCTCGCTGGTGTGCACAGCAGCATTAGCTACTGCATTTACAATACATCTCATATCCACATCTTTGTATGTAGTTGATTCTATATACGCATATGGTATATATTGGCTGATCTATTGGCGTCTGGGAAGGAACACTATCTTTATTTCACCCATGTTACACTCCAAGTGTAGAGGATTCCATTGTACGGCCCTTTCTATAAGATACTACACCAGCCACTTGAAAGGCCTCTCAAACAATTAGAACTCACAAACGGTAAATTTTATATCAGTCACCTGCAGACATGATACATGGAATCGACAAAGACTAACAATCCAAAAAGGCTTTGTCTTTTCCAAACACCGCGAACATAAATATCCCAGAAGTAGCCTCTGTATCCAAGTTCGTCACCACGTTCTATATAGCAACAGCAATACCGAAACCCGAAACCTGAAGTAAGTACTCTTGCGATACCCTCTTTTATATATATAAATATACCATCACTATGTCTCAGCAAGCGTCCCACTGCGCTATTTGCTTCCTGCTCCGCCACGTAGCCAACTGCGACGCCAGCGGTGATGCATACTCCCGGCACTCCTGGGAGTCCGGTATGCCAGGCCAAATGCGTGGTGATGCAGAGGGGACGTACGGTCAGAACTATCGGGGCAGCGTCTCTGACACCGATGGCGAAGACTCAGTGATGGGTGAGGAAGATGTTGCTGATGTCCAGGTCAACCCCATGCGCGACCGCGAGGATGACACCGTGATGAGCGACTCAGATGATAATGAATCTGTAGAGCAAGGTGTTTTCCAAAGATCCGATATCATGGAAATCGACGATGCTAGCTGGGAGTTGCTTGGTGGTGTCAGCCTAGTGTATGCAGATGACTCGATGGTGATTGACAATGGGAGTGACCAGCTTCGAAAGAGCGAGATTGTACGACGATTCAGCGTCGAGTTGCAGGCTGCTGTCGCGATTTGAAAATTCTTCGTGGGCTGTTTATTAATGCATCCCACCAAGGTCAAAAATATCAGAAAACTAGTCAAAAAATACCAAAAAAACTCTAAAACCTCAATCCAATATCTCTGTATGAACCGTAGACATATTGTGCCATATATAGCCCTTTCGTAGTGGCAATACCTACCATTTTATTCTCCTGGCTAGAGCTTAATTTCAAAAGAAGCTTTACACTATTTCCTGGTCTTTTGCTACGGGCCATCGATAATTTGCTATTTTCTAACGTGCCAATTCCCTAACACTTCCTGTAGTGCTCCCGCATAGTCCAAGTTAGGGCACAACAGGAAGTATATTCAACCTCGTCAACGCCCTCTGCGACGTGATACAGGAGTTCCCACAAAGAATTGCGAGATCTAAACGAACGGTTCTTAGACAATCATGCGTTGTTTAGATAATGGGATGATACGATTAGCCCCTCGGACGCCTTTTACTGGGTGCTTTGTTCAGTTCCATATCAATATTGTCATTGACCCCTGAAACAGTCCAAGTATACAAAGCAACAACATCAGTAACAGCTTAAAAACTATGCACTCAGTCCTTCCCCCGAAACTGTTTGTTAATTAGCTTACACCGACAAATCCATTACTGGAGAAAGAATGTACACTACAGCGACAATGTTGCCCCGTCTACGCTCATTCCCCAGCCTTCTTCGCCTCCCCAACGAGTTAATTTGGGAGGTTGCCAAATTTTCAACCACGCCCAGTCGAGCAGCGCTTGCCAGGACCTGCAGAACCGTAAATGGAATCGTGCGTCCCGTTCTGTACAAGATAACGGACGAACAGGTGCTGGAAGTTTTCGTCCGGTCAGGAGACAACCAGTGGGAAGATACCATGGTCGTTCTCCTAGACAGGATCCTTCGCATAAATACGCAGGACCCACGACTCGGATATCAAGCCCTGACAGCTGCATCGAAGTGCGGCTCCCTCAAAGTGGTGCAGGCGCTGCTTAAGGCCGGAATTGAGCTCGATCCTACACCAAATCATGACGAGGATGATTCGAGCGACATGTCGACAGACGATGACGATCTCGAGCGATGGGCTATTGGCGGCCTTGCAGTTGATAACGTCTCGGATACGCCACTAATAGCTGCAGCCGACGAAGGCCATATGGAGGTGGTCAAGCTGCTGCTTCAGCACGGGGCAAATCCAAACTTTGCATCACTAGTAACCTCACCAATGGAAGCTGCAGCTGGAAATAACCAGGTGGATATTATGAGAGTTTTGCTTTCCGCTGGAGCAAGCCCCAACTGTATTGGCCTCCCTTCCCCGTTGACTGCTGCAGCCCGCGAAGGTCATATCGAAGCAAGCCAGTTCCTGCTTTCCGCCGGTGTACAGCCAGATAGGGAGGGACGTTCCATATCCCCTATGATTGCAGCTGCGCAGTTTGGACATACGCACATTATCCAAATGCTACTATCGGCTGGAGCGAATCCGAATATTGCAAATGGGGACGACAGCAACCATACAACACCACTAATAGAGGCAACCAAAAAGGGGTATCTCTATACAATGGGGACTCTCATACGAGGAGGAGCAAATGTTTACCGCGCAAACCATTTCTCGTCTGCCCTCCGTGAGGCCATTATAACTGGAGATATACCCGCCATGATGCTGCTTCTACGGCCGGGCGAAACCAATCGACGGGAGTTGTTACCCTTTGGGGAGGAATATACCCTACAACTGGCCGCTTCCCTGGGCAGTGCCGAGACGGTTGAGTTTCTCCTCTCACAGGGCCTTCCTGTAAACTCTGTGGACCCAACTAGAACCACAGCAATCTCACGAGGAGCGGCCGTTGGAAATGCGGCCGCAGTGCGTGTACTCCTGGCACACGGAGCTGGCGTCCACCTTGCCAACGCCGCGGGCTATACACCATTAATATATGCCGCTAGCTCTGGTGATGTCGAGACTATCCGCCTATTGCTTGATGCTGGGGCCGATCCAAACGTTACGACCGACGAGGCATTCTGTCACACTCCACTGCTCAAAGCTCTGCTCTGCGGTCACGGAGAGGCTGCCCGTATCCTCTTAGAGCACGGGGCAGATCCACATGTGAGTGACAACCAGAACCGTACAGCCCTATCCCACGCTGCTGGATGCACGGACGAGGAGACTGTCCGCGCTCTGCTCGCTGCGGGTGCTGATATCAATGTTGGGGACGCCACGGGCTGGAACCCGATTGATTATGCGACAATCCGTCCTGACGTCGGTATCATAACGGCACTGATAGGTCCGGGCCGGGGTGCAAGCTCACTTACTGACATATATTTCCCACTTGCGCTTCGGGTTGCAATTGGAAATGGTGACGAGAGAAGTGTTGCTGACCTTGTCCTCCGGAACACGCCTGTAAATCAACCCGATCAAATGGGCATGACCCCGCTGATGTCCGCGGTGATACAAGGGCGAGCCCCTATCGTTGAGCTGCTGATGGGTTCCGGCGCAGACCTGGACTATACCACGCCCATCGGCCAGACGGCGTTAATGTACGCGTGTCAGTGGGGGCGGATAGGAATTGCCTGGATCTTGGTAGTTGCTGGCTGCGATGTCGACATGAGAGACCACGAAGGAAGAACTGCCCTTGATTATTTCGACGCCGATTCTCCTCCTCCTACTGACTTGGTTAACCTCATTACAGTTGCACGTACCGCTGCCTCCTAACCAGCGGATCAACGTCCGTATTCTGCTATATAATGGGTGGGTGTATTTTGCCTCAGTGTCCAGCTCATCTAGCTGTAGAACTGATCCTTCCTCTCCTTTCCCGATTGATTCGACTCAGACTAGAAGGTGTAAACATCGCGGTTAGATTAGGGCATTGCGTCAATGTCTGTAGAGACTCACCCCGAGTCTTGAAATGTGAACACCCACTGTCCGTTCACAAGATGTATGTACATTTGTGACCATCTATATTTCTACTATATTACTAAATTCACTCCTCGGCCTTTCTAATTTACAATTGCATTGCCCTTCATAGTCTACAGCAAGGTTATAACGCATTATCTAAGAAGTCTCATACTCGCCCGGATCGTAGAGCAGTTTAAACGCTTCCTAAACTGGGGCCAGAGTATCTACTTTCCATGATATACAGAAAGCCTGTCTATCCTTGTAAGACCACGATTTATCGTCAAGGCTATTTAATCAATTCACCCTGGCTAACCAAATCTTCAGCCATCACGCAGAAATTCACCCAGATATTCATATATCAATACACACCCGATATAAAAACATACCATTCCCCACTCATCATCCACTTTACGCAACTCTTCAACATCATTCATCAGGGAATCCAAAAAAAATGAGCAACCCATACGCACTAGACGAGCCCCTCCGCCGACCAAGGCAGATGTGCCCCATATGCCCCAGCCAAACCACCACACCGTGCTTCAAGCCAGGCCATCTCGCCTGGTGTGCGTACTGTGGCTCTGAGTACTCCCCACTCACTTCTCAGCAGTGTCCTGGCTGTAGAGCTCTGGGGGTCCGGATGACACATGGGCAGATGATGCGATTTATTGACGATACTACAAACTTCGTTAATCGGGCTACAATCACCACGGGTGGTCCACGCGCTCAGAGGCCATCCGCCCAGACTCCGAATCCTCTTGCCGGTCTCTCCTTGGACTCTACAAACCCTCAAATCGGCAAGTCGATGGGAGGTCCAGCTTCCGGACAGTCCACGAAGGCCCCGGCTGGCCAGGCTTTCAGTAATCCATCCTACCCCAATGCCTTCAGGCCTACTAGTGCTGGCCCTACACCATGCATCAATCCGGCTCTTCTTAGCTTACATGGTGATTCAACGTACCGCAGCCCTAACCTCAAACGGGATACCAGCGCTGGCAGTCAACCAGCAACGCCCGCCCGTCCGTCCGTTGCACCCTCCAGTGCCTCTACAACCTGTAATACCGGGACAAATACACCATCCACCGTTTCAGGCAGCCCACCTCGCGCTAATTCACGATTTGTACCAACCAGCGGTGCCACACACTTCCATACCATTGGAAACAACCTGCTTGCCGGTGGTGGAAACCAGGGTATGCTTATGCAGAACGCTACCAGACCTCGTGTGCCCATGGGACCACCATCTATGTCTCGGACCGGCGTTGGCTCTCGATCTCCCACTCTAGGTGGAGGTACGAGCATGCGCAATGCCAATGCAACACCATCCCTGCCACCAGCCGGGTCTAATTCAACTGTCGCAAGTGGCGTTAATTTCAGGAACTTTGGGCATGATAACCCTCCACTGCGAGGATCCACTGGAGGAGGTCGTGGTGGAAATGCATCTACTCGCGGCGGCAGAGGGTCCGGTTGACGGCGTATTTCTCCCGATACTGCTATCCTTGGTGCAACTGTTCCTCGTGTTTTACTAAATGAAAGTCTTTGTTCAATAATGAAGTCTCCTTTGTGAGTGCAAGGGGTAATATGAAATTATTTTAATGCAGAGTCCTATCCTATTGAACCAACAATCATCTTGGTTCGTAATAAACCCCATTGAATGATAGTGGTACTCTTTTGTATTTCCTAACGGATATCACTGCAGAATAAACGCATTACACAGGCATTTGCGAAGGGGCAAATAACTGTAACTCACTTTATAGTCACTCTTTGTACTGCCCTGCACATCCACAATGCCATACACTCACAACACCCTTACACCCGCCCTGTGAGTACCAACGAAACTCCTTAAATAATAAACAATAGTTCTCAAAGGACTGCATCAACAAAGGATCACTACAATAATAACGACAAATTACAATAACGTGCAAGTCTATAAATCCCTGCTGGAGCCCTGCCCATCTGACAGCAGCGCATCTCTCGCTGGATACCAACTTCCGCGTCTCCGACAGAGTTTCATCTAGAATCAAACAAAATGTCAAACAACGCATACGTTAGTGCAGTTAGGTCACCACCCACCATGCGGCCAGTGCCAATATGCCCGGTATGCACAAAAGGATTCCAATACAAATGCATCGAGCGCGGCCACATCCAGCTCTGCACGGTGTGTACAGCGACATGGTGCCCCCAAAAGCAGCTCAACTGCCCACACTGTCTCCCGATCCCCGGTGAGGAGGCCATCTGGGACCATTACTACATGGTGAACTGGTTCCTCGACTACGAGGGAGATGTTACAGTAAGTGACGATGACAATGAAACGATCAGCGACTCCGGTAGCTATGACGGCCGTGTCGAGTCTGATGTCTTGCAGGCCGCCCATGCCCTTGTTGAGTTGAGCACGGAGTGGAGACAGGCTGCGATGAACAAGAGCATGGGCGTTGCATCGTTGAGGTACAGTAAGGCTACGCAGGAAGAGATCCGGTATGCGCTTCAGGGCATTCAAAACCCCAAGCGCCGTGGGCGTAAAGGGAAGACCCCGGCCTCCATTCTGGCCCGGGATCGCTCCCTCGCTATAGAGCAGTATGTGAAACTTATCTGTAAGACGCTGCCACCCGGCGAGAACGAGGTTGAAATCGCAGTTAGGGAGATCGAGGCCCTCATGGGCCAGCCCCCCAAACAGCTTGTTGATGCCGTTAAAGCTATTCGCGTTGTAAAGGACGAGTGCTTCAGGCTTACGGGTCGAGATTACTGGGCCAGATACTAAATCCTTCAAGTGACAGACAATACACGCAGTACTTGCATATGTTTCCTACTCCTATTCTATATGAATATATTTGATCCATGAGAATATTATCTTTATTTTCTAAATCTCTAGCTCTGGTATTCGTAAGTGGTGATCTCAGATATACTAGGTATCTTCACCGTATGTCGAGAACGTATTCCTTGCTGGCTGGTAATCCTTCAGTTCTTATATACTGATGCTCATGTGGGGCCGGATTCGGCAATGGGGCATCGCTCGGGGAGAACAAGCACGATCTGCACAGAAAGTCGACTCGCTGCCCCGCTTCAAAGATTGCCATTAACATCTGTCCCTCCCTCTTGACGAAAGTCGTGGCTCGAGCTTCCTGGGGTTTTACTTCCTTCTTCGAAGCGACACAACCGGATAAGGTGGCCCGTTCTCCAATACTCATGCAAAATGGGCATCCCGACTAAAGCATACGTTGTCGATCGTAAAGGGGCGCCGTTTGTGCTGAGAGATGTCGTTCTCGACGCACTGCAGCCAGATGAGCTTCTTGTCGAGATGAAATATACCGGGTTGTGCCATACTGTTGGTCTCCACCCATGCCTAGATGCCCTAAGTCTAATGAATACAGGATCTTGTCGTCCAACAAGGGGACCTCCCAGGAAGCTTCCCCGTTGTTCTCGGCCACGAAGGAGCCGGAGTCATCCGCGAGGTGGGCTCAGGAGTGCAGAATAAGGCGTTAAGAGAGGGGGACCAGGTTTTTCTTAGTTTCCGATCGTGTCAGGAATGCACCGCTTGTCTCTGTGGCAAGTGCGGTGCGTGCATTCACACCACTGATTACAATTTCGTTCGGTCTCGCCTGGACAGCTCCAAGCCCTCGCCGATTAGTCTGCCAGATGGAACTCCCGTTCATGGGCAGTTTTTCGGGCAGTCTTCGCTCAGCCGATTGGCGGTTGTTTCTGAATGTTCTGTTGTCAAATGCGACACTGAGTTTGACCTCCAGACTTTCGGTCTATTAGCTCCTCTCGGGTGCGGTTATCTCACAGGGGCTGGGACTATAGCAAATGCGTTGAAACCGGACGAGACATCCACGGTTGCTATCCTGGGAATGGGCACGGTAGGCATCGCGGCACTCCTTGCAGCCAAGGCCCTTGGAGTTGCGAAAGTAATAGCTGTTGATATCGTCGATGAGAAGCTCGAACTCGCAGCTTCCCTTGGGGCCAGTCCTACAATTAATACTAAGCACAACCCTGATCTGTCAGAAGCCATTCGCAAGCATGTCCCCGAGGGGGCAGACTTCATCCTGGATGCTACGGGTATTCCCTCTGTTATCCAGGCATCTCTAAGAGCACTAGCCCATGGGGGTACATTCGCGCTGGTTGGAGCGATGCCCCCGGGTACACAGCTTCAGGTTGATGCGTTGGATATATTGACGGGGTGCAAGAAGATCATCGGTGTTATTGAGGCGTGGTCAGATCCCCAGGAGGTATGAGCTTCCTCTACTATACTTACTTGCGTCTGGCTATTTACTCTCTTTAGCTCATTCCCCAACTTGTGCAGTGGTACAAGGATGGAAAGTTTCCCGTTGACAATCTTGTCAAGGTCTATCCAGCCGGGGATCTAGATAGGGCACTCGATGATCTCAAGGCAGGCCGGGTAAGTAGATGTCCCGTAGCTCTTGTTTAAATATCCTAACAATTGTACCAGGTTATAAAGCCCGTTTTGTCGTGGGACGTCCTATAATCTAACGGTAATTCTACTGGACCTCGACGTTTAGTACTTTGATTTTCAATGATCGCTGTGCAGAAGTAAATAATGCGGTATATAAAGCGTGTACTGGGCATATATATATTTCCCTGTCACACCAAAGGGTAACTTAACGCCTGAGGCGAAGGCTGTTGTCCATAGCACTCCTTGGCCTATCTAAATCTTGGGTTTATAAGATACGTGCATCTGTAACCAGCCAAGGCAAGAGTAATCAGCATCGCACCTGCCTCGTGCTGCCCCAGGTGAGTCCAACATGACCGTATATGGAAGCTACGACCAGTCCATTGCCATGATGGGACGGAGCAATTATTGCCACCCAATCATAAATTAGCTATTAATACTTTGTAGCCACTATTAAACACAATCTGGAGTGTATGCGACTGTCGGAGCCGTTCCGCGGCAGTCGGATAGATCCGAACAAAACAATTCCCAGTATTCCCAGTTAAAGCAACGGGCAAGGACAGGGTCAATCCCCCCAGCAAGTCACAACCCCGGAATTAGCAAGATGTTTGTGTCGCGTCGGTCAATTCAACTACAGCGGTGCGCATCTCATCGCGGGCTGGCGACGGCGGCGCTGAGTCGCTTCGAACCGGAGAAGCGTGTGGACTTTGGTAAATTCACATCCAAGATTCGAACTTTACGTGAGAGGTAAGAAACTGCTATTTCTGCTTCATGCCTATGCTAATATTGCCACAGGTTAAAGCGACCATTAACCTACGCAGAGAAGGTCCTGTATAGCCATCTCGATGACGAATTCGACCAGGATATCGTTCGGGGCCAGACGCAGTTACGGCTCCGTCCTGTCCGTATTGCCTGCCAGGATGCCACCGCGCAGATGGCCCTGATACAGTTCATGTCAGCCGGTATGGACACAGCTGCAGTGCCTACAACTGTGCATTGTGACCACCTGATCGTGAGTCGTGATGGGGAAGGCCAAGACCTCCCGCGAGCGCTAGAGGCACACCGTGAAGTATATGACTTTATGGGCAGTGCTTGTCAGAAGTATGGAATGGGGTTCTGGAAGCCTGGGGCGGGTATTATTCACCAGATTGTGCTGGAGAACTACGCTTATCCAGCCGGTATGATGGTTGGTACTGATTCTCACACGCCTAACGCGGGTGGAATGGGCATGGTTGCTATCGGTGTTGGGGGTGCAGATGCTGTTGATGTTATGGCCGGTCTGCCGCTCGAATTGACAGCACCTAGAGTACTTGGTGTACGACTCCACGGCGCATTGTCTGGATGGGCGTCGCCCAAGGATATTATCAACAAGCTTGCCGGCCTTATCTCTGTCAAGGGTGGGACTGGGTCTATTATTGAGTACTTTGGACCCGGTACACAGACCCTGTCCGCAACGGGGATGGCCACGGTGTGCAATATGGGCGCTGAGACTGGTGCTACAACCTCGATATTTTCCTATTCCCCCTCCATGGGCCAGTATCTACGTGCCAACAGGCGCCCTGATATGGCCGCAGCTGTGGATGGGATTGCAAATGAGCTCCAAGCTGATGCAGGGGCGGAATATGACCAGGTCATCGATATTGATCTGTCAACACTCGAGCCCCTGGTCAATGGACCCTTCACCCCTGACCTGTCTACTCCCATTTCAGAGTTTGGTGCGGCTGCAGAGGAAAATAAGTGGCCATCCTTGACAGCAGGCCTGATTGGGTCTTGTACCAACTCATCATTCCAAGACTTGGCTAGGGCAGCGAGCGTTGCTCAGCAAGCACTCGACGCTGGGATTAAACCTGCCATGCCATTACTGCTGTCCCCGGGTAGCCTGCAAACACGCCATACACTAGAGAAAGCCGGTATTCTGCAGGTGTTTGAGAAGGCTGGAGCCACTATGCTCCCCAATGCTTGTGGACCGTGCTGCGGGTCCTGGGATCGCACTGATATGAAGAAGGTATCCCAGGCCGCCCTTTCTGCTCGAGCAATAGACTGACCGTTTAGGGAACTGAAAACTCCATCATCACCTCATATAATCGTAACTTCTCTGGGCGCCTCGACAGCAATCCAGCTACGCACGTCTTTCTCGCCTCTCCTGAGATTGTCATGGCTAAAGTCTTCTCCAAAGACCTAGGCTTCAATCCAACAAGTGACACTCTGAACACACCATCGGGAAAAAGATTCCAGTTTAATACTCCAAGCGGAGAGACCCTCCCAAGCGAAGGGTATCTGGACTCGGATAGAGCATACATTCCACCTCCGTCTGGCGATCGCTCCAAGCTAGAAGTCGATATCCACCCCAGCTCCCAGCGTCTTCAGAAGCTGACGCCTTTCAGCCCTTGGTCGGGGAAAGACTTCAACGATTGCCTGGTGCTTATCAAGACCAAGGGCAAATGCACAACAGACCATATCACACCTGCCGGCCCGTGGTTTCGATTCCGCGGACACCTGGAAAACATCTCTAACAACACACTCATCGGCGCCGTAAACGCCGAAACGGGGAATGTAAACAAGGTCCGCAATCAACTCACGAACACAGATGGAGATGTCCCGGGTACAGCACGACACTACCAATCCCAGGGTCGACAGTGGGTTGTGATAGCCGACCATAACTATGGGGAAGGGTCATCCCGTGAACATGCTGCGCTCCAGCCGCGATATCTGGGAGGTGTGGTTATTATAGCGAAGAGCTTTGCACGTATTCACGAGGCAAATTTGAAGAAACAGGGGATGCTGGCTGGGACTTTTACTGATGAGGCAGATTATGATCAGATTCGGACTTCGGATTTGATCAGTATAGTTAAGCTGGGACAGTTCGCACCAGCGAGACCATTAACCATGAAGGTTACTCCTACTGATGGGCGAGAGGCTTGGGAGACATCATTGAAGCATACGTTTACGCAGGAGCAGATCGAATATTTCAAAGCCGGAAGTGCGCTCAACTTGATGGCCAAGGGAATATGATGTTTGTACTATACACTTTATAGAAGTTGTTTTGTTTCCAATGGCGGGTAAAAAATAATATATACATTTCTAGCTAGCTCTCATAACCAATTCATCTTATTTCCAGAATATCCTCCCCTCAAACAACCGCCTCGCCGTGCGAAACACGGTCGCGTAATCCAACCCCCCGTCCGCCCCGAACGTAGCCCCAACAAGAACACTCCCACTCGCATGCCCAATGGTAATTCCCGCAGGATCAACGGCTTGCGAGTTCGTAACGTCTGCCACTGTACTCCCCTGCAAACGCGCCGCCGTAGCCAGGGCCAAGGCAACGGTAATCGGAACCGCCTTGTGCGGCTGGCCCACCGAGAGGGCCCGAACCACCAGATCCACTTTAAACCCATCTTCACTCTCTTTCTGTGGCGTCGATACGATTCCAATCTTTGGAACACTACCTGGAACACCCTCCGGCGTAGAGGCAAGACCCATACTCGCGCCTGCCTGGCGTCGAATGGAATCCAAACGCTGAAGAAGACCAGGTGTATTCGTGATCTCATCTGGTGTCAATGTACCAGATACACCGAGATCCTCGGCCTTGACGAAAACACAGGGATTGGCAACATCGATGCAGGTTGCTTCAACGCCGTCGAATGTATCCTTCAGAATACCTGTAGGGAGAAGCTTCCCCGTCCTCGAACCAGCCGGGTCCACAAAGTCGAGCTGAATGGGCGCGCCGCTCCCAGCGACTCCGTCAATCGCTAGATCCCCGCCTGCAGCAGCCTCGCCGTTAACAACGGGGAACGTCGCATTAATGATTTTGCCGGTATTGGTGTTGTGGATGCGCACGAGCGCAGATTTGGCATCCTTGCCGGCTCTGAAGAGTCCCGTATCAACCGCGTAAGGACCAACTGCGCTGACCATGTTCCCGCAGTTACTGGAGTAGTCGACGTCCGTGTTCTTGACGCCCAGCGCAGCGAATGTGTAGTCCACGTCTGCGTCGGGATGTGTTGAGGCCCCGACAACGCAGACTTTGGATAGACTGGATATTCCGCCACCGAGACCGTCTAGCTGGCGACCATATGGATCAGGACTGCCGATCACGCCTCGGAAAATGGGATCCCATTGCGAGCGGTTGTGGGGGAGATCTTGTTGGTTGAAGAACACTGCGCGGGATGTGCCCCCGCGGTAGTATGCTGCTGAGAGCGAGTTCTGGCTCCCGCTTGTGCTGGATGCGCAGCGCTTCCAGATCTTAGGGTCCTTTAATGACCTTGGGACTGCGCGCCGAAGCATTGTGAGGTATTGTGTTGATGGGGAGTTGGCTGGATGTCGATGATCCGAGGGCCGGCTTTAAGGAGCAGTGCACGTGATATAGTTGGCGGCTATATCCGAAATCGGCGGTTAGGGTTGGCAGAGTTGACTATGGTCTCTATATTACTTGCTACATAGTGTATGAGAACTGGAAAGGCTAGCAAGATACCTTGCTTCGTTATGGGTCTCCTCAGAGATTGCCGTTTCAGTAAAGACCGCTGTAACTTGCGCTTCGAGTTTCCTCGAAGCCTCTCATGATATTCAAGTATCAGGGCTGTCAATTTAAAATTGCTTGGCTATTATCACTCGGTACTAACGAGTTAACATGAAATTTGCCTTTTGTTATTCGCATCCCAAGCGCTAAAAAAATGTTCCTCGTACAATTCTACACAACACGCCGTCGCTTGCCATTTCGTGTTCAGCCTCCACCAAACCAAGGCAAGCATCCAAGCAGCGTGTGGAAACTCGAGGCCGCCATTGAAGCCTCCGGGTCTGCTATGCTCACCTATTGCTAAATTCGGAACACCCTGTGATCATACTAGAATTCATATTACAAATGGAGGCGATGTTAGCTTCGGCTGCCCGTCGGATGCATCCGGGCATCAAAGGGTTCTCCGCAAGTCTTGGCTATCAGACAATCCGGGGTTGAACTATGTAAAAGGCATGCATTCTCATATAATTCTGCGGTCGAATATTATACGTTTGGCTAGTCATTGTTATCCAAAATGGCCAAACAACAAGCCTCATTGGTGAAATACATCAACGCCATCAAGCAATCGCCGCGGGAGATATACAACCGCCACCTCTTTATCTCCGTCGTTGCATTTGCCCTAGGTGGTTGTGCTAAGGGTATTATTCTGTCCTATAAGCTCATATGCCGTACCTTGAACGTTAGCTAAAGATATCAGGCTGGGATGAAGGCTCGGCTGCTTCCATCACAGAACTCCCCTCGTTCCAGAACACATACCAGATCGATGACAACACGGTTTCAAACCTCGTTTCTTTTGTCAACCTCGGGGCTGGAGTAGGAGCTCTGCTCTCCTTCCTGGTAAACGACTGGTTCGGCCGTCTTTGGTCCCTGCGACTGTACCAGGCTCTCTACATTATCGGCTCTCTGATCTCATGCTTTGCATACGGCCATGTCGGCGTGCTCTATGTCGGTCGTATCGTTGCAGGGCTAGGGATTGGTGCTCTATCAGTTGTCGGTCCAATGGCCATCTCGGAGATTGCACCCAAGACTATCCGTGGACTGATGACTCTCTGGTTCAACGTCTGCATGCTGACATCCCAAATGAACGGGGTCTTCACCGTATACGGCTGCTCCATCCACATACCAGGCGTCGGTGATCTCCAAAACCAAATCCCTTGGTTCGTGCAGACATTTTGCCCGGCAATCAGTATATTCCTATCGTTCTTCAGTGTCGAGTCTCCGCGGTGGCTCCTCCTTCGCAACCGCCAGCAAGAATGTCTGGCGGGGCTTGAACGCCTACGGTGCCTCCCCATGAGTAACGCATACGTTGCGGAAGAATATCACGGCATGACAACCCAGGTCGAACAAACAGATAGCAGCTATCTCACTATCGTAAAAGAAACCTTCTTCGTCCGCTCAAACCTCCGCCGCGTCCAACTCACCATAATCGCCTACATCCTAGCGCAGATGTCAGGAGCCAATTCAATTACCAATTATCTACCTACCATATACGGTCTGATTGGAATAACCGGCTCTGGGGTAAAGGTTTACTCAACAGGCCTCTACGCTATGGCCAAAGTAATATGTTGCATCGCCGCATCCCTCGTCCTTGTCGATGTAATCGGGCGACGCAAGTCAATGATGACGGGCGTCTGTATCCAAACTGTCTGTCACGCCTACCTAGCGGGGTATCTTGATTCTTACCTAAAGACACCAGAAAGCGTGAGTAAGGGAGCATCCGATGCCGCCATTGCAGCAGTCTTCATTCACGCCCTCGGCTGGGCAATAGGGCTGTACAGTCTCCCATATCTCTTCGGCGCGGAGCTGTGGCCAAACCGGATTCGATCGTTTGGAGGCGCCCTATCGCAAGGGTTTCACTGGCTGTTTTACTTCGCTATTACGAAGGCAACGCCGGCTCTGTTAGAGAGTACACATCAATGGGGGGCTTTTGTGCTCTTTGCGGCGTTCTGTGTGATTGCGTTGGTGTATGCCTACTTCTTCGTTCCTGAGACAAGCGGGCTAAGCCTGGAGGAGATTGATATGATTTTTGAGCGACCGGTTTACCGGCTTGCGCAGCCACTTATTCGGGAGGATGAAGCGGAAGTCAAGTAGGTGGATTGTTATGTCTGTTCATCGTTTGGTGCCATTCGGCTAACGCGGTACAGGGATGGGGAGAAGATGGAAGCGGGGAGTACGTGGGTTGAGAGGGCATGACGGGTTATAGAGAGGTTCATGAAAGGCTGATATCTGTATATGGCGACATGAGCTACGCGGGAAAGCGTGTATTATATAGGATTTCAATCTTGAATTGACTTTATATGGCTTACAGCAAATAATACGAGTGTCTAATTGACAATTAGCCATGGGGGAAGACAGGAACGACAGATATGCTAATGGAAGTCAAGGACTCCTTCTTAATTCGGTAAATATCGTTAAATACAAAGCAAGCACGACGAACGTGAGAGGGTTGCTCCTTCCCAGTACGAAACCCTTTACTGCAAAGGCGAAATTTTGGCTAGAAAGACCTGTAACTGTCGGGGGAGGGACTACTTCCTCAATCTCTTGATAGTCGGCCCCATAAGCTGGCCTGCCTTCAAGGCCTGCACGGTCTTCTCATCTATTTCCCATCGCTCCCGGCACAGCTCAACAACCTGTTCACAGAGCGAAGGTGGTACAACAACAACTCCGTCTTCGTCTCCAACAATCACATCACCAGGATTAATCCACATATCTTCTTTGAACTGAAGTGGGACATCGATCTCGGACGCACGGGTAAAGCCACCGGAACCAAGAATAGACGTATCGCGTGAGAATACCTATACCTATATCAGTCACTCATTCAATATCTAAGGGCGCTATGGGGGAGCCGCATACGGGAAAGCCCAGGTCCCAATGCTCTCGGATATCCCTCATGCGCCCATCAATAACCACGCCCAGCGCGCCGGCGGCCTTTGCGCGCGTGGACATGAGCCCACCCCAACAAGCAGAATAAAGGCCCTTTGGTTGCTGGATATACATGACATGGCCAGGTTTATTGGCATCGGCGAAATGCAAGTCGGGAGTTGGACCAGATTTACTCGTTTCGATCATTTTCACAGTTACAGCGGGTCCGTAGATGCGAAGTGGTGAGGGTGACTCTGGACGCAGCGCAGGAGAGCGCATGCGCAAGCCATCAAGGAAGCCTCCATATGGATACCGGAGTTTGACGAGCGCGTCGCCGATCTATATTGCAACCCTGTCAGGAATATCCGTCACCGAAAAGCGTGGGACTTACATCGCAGCTAGAGAACTGTCTGAGTGCTTGGAAGGCCTTTGATTTGGTGGCCATTTTTGGTGGGCAAATAAAATAGCCTTTCAATAATGATAATACAACCGTGAATTGGGATTCGGTACTGGTACTGGCAGTACTGTTCAGGTGGAAGCGGGCGTCGGATGGATCCGAACAATCGGACTGTCTGATTTACGGCGAAATCGGAGCTCACTCCCAAGATTCTGATAGCGTTGCTGCCTTCGGAAGCCGCTGGCAAAGATGTTGCCATGTTAATAGTATTGGAGTGTTTTATTGGCCGCCTACGAAAGAAAGCTCCAAGCGTCCGTCGAGCTCAGACCGACACCCTCAGTAAATAGATCCATCCAAGGAAGGTCAACTCGAATATCCGGCAAGTCCAAATGTTCTTGTCCGGTGGTTAAGCCTTCAACCAAATTCCCTGGGCTAGGTGTGGGGAATGTATGCGTTTGTAGCCCAAACCATGATTGAAACTCCGGGTCCAATTCCACGCCCGGGCTATCGTTTGCATCAAAAAGGGTCAATATGGAGTTGCCCAACCGTTCGATAATTGACGAGCACTTATCTCCTACTGCACGCCCATTCGATATGCCCCTAAAGAGAGTGAGAAACGTGAGGATGTTCGTCTGCACGACTGGCTTGGTCAACTCGTGGCGCAACACAGGTGATGCTCGGAGAGCATAGAGCATCGTTACCGCAGCCATGAACAGTGAGTGGATCGCAACAAATGTATACTTTATCCGATTGCGTGCGTATAGAGAGCTATATGAATTGATCAATCCGATGGCGGACTCCATGCATAGTCGAAGGTCCTCGGAAGATGGCATCGGAACCGCACGGGAGGGGCGATAGAGCGATAAGACAGCATGGTGGAACGCAATCTGAAACCACTCCTGAGATTGGAATGTAGAAACGGTACGAACGTATCTCGGGGCAGTAATCAGCCAGTGATTTAATTCCGAAAAGAAAGAGTTGCGAGTCGCCGCGAGGTCGGTCGGATCAGACCTTGTCCGGCCGATGGAATGAAACGAACCGTATACTCTGGCGTTGATTTTTCGTATCTGAATGATATGTATAAACGTCGATGTGTCCGACACTTGTGGTACCAGTGGCGGGTCAGATGCGCCTGACGTCTCGTCGAGTTGCTCATCCGTCAGTTGCAGGGGCAGCGGTGTGGTGATATCGTCTTCCTGAATCCCTAGAGGGCGGCCCATATTGATCGCCATGCTGCAACTCATAACATACGCACACCAAAAGACGCGCTTTGACATTTCTGCCCGACGCACATTTAAACCACTCAAACTTTCCTTGCGGTGAAGATCGATTCCTAAAGCTAACTGCAACGCGAGGCCAGTCGTGTACCACATATTGACTGACTGCGGCTCATTGTGGCCGTACATGCATAACAGAAGTAGACATTGCACGCACTCAAAGTCATCAGCCTGGATAACAATGTGCAGGACCTGTATTGCTCGGTTGAAGAAAATACGGTGGTCGGCATTCCCTTGCCGAGTTGGGGCTTTCTCTGTCGCGGCAATTGCACAGACCATGTTCACCAGAAAGCTTGAAACCGGTCCTGATACTGACCTAGTAATGAACGGATTGAAATGGTCCTTTACAAAGCTTGGTCGATGCAGAACAGGCAAGTATGGCCACCGCCGTTCAAAAAATACATCGACCAGGGTGGGAAACGCTGCGTCATCGAGGCCAGCCGGCGCGGGAGCATTTTGAGAGTTCATATTGACCACAAACTGCTCTGTGCTTGTCGAATCATCACCCCATAAATCCCAAGCGCTACTTAGCGCACTGCGATACGCATCTCGGAAATTAGGCTGTGGTGCGAAAGTCGGTCGCAGGATGCGGCCTGTGTACGATAAATCAGAATTCTGAATTGAATTGACCAGTTGCGGCTGAGCACGAACGGCAGTAGGTACCGCACGTTCGTGTGGTGTATGAAAAGCTTCAGCTGGGGGTAAGTCAATGACAGCAGTATCAAACTGGACGGGCTCGGGCTGCTTTTCAACTTCGAAACGTTTCTCGGCTCTTAACTGATCGAGTTGGAGCACTAAAGAGTCATAGTCCTGCTGTAGGGAGACCAATCGATCTCGCAGCAATTCACATTCACACTCGCGATTTCCCGGCTGGACAACTAGTCGGCGTGATGGCACACAGTTTGCCCCGACAGTCTGACAGGGGCCACAGGTTGGGGTTCTTCCGTCACACTAATACCCTGGTTAGGCAGGTGTTTGTGTAAGGTACAATGATACATACTTTTTGTTTCCGTCGCCGGCAGCGCTCACAAGCCGCTGCGCTGCGGCTCAATCCTGGCCGATGTCTCCTTACAGACGGAGGTGTGCCAATACTGCCACCTTTGGTCATGGCATTGAATCTGTCAACAAATAGCCTGGGGTGGAGAACGATATTGTGGGATATTAACAGAGATGAGGGAGAAAAAGCTGGAGGATTTGGAGAGGAAAGCACGTGCACATTATCGACACCTGAGGCATATTAAATTACTATACTATCGAACCAAGGTGCCCGGAACATAAGTACAGCTTATATTGGCCAAAATTGATTCACAGGTTATTTATTGGAATAGTCTAGATGGACTTTCCACCATTATTTTTTGCCATGTCTCCTCATCCCCAACCCACTCCTTTACCTTCTCCAGGATAGCAGTATCGTCAATAGACCGAAACGGCTCCTTTACGCCTAAATCCCCATTTACACGGTCCTTTCCTTCTCCAGTGTGTGGCCAATCACTCCCCCATATGCACTGGTCTGGTACCTTGTGGGACAGTTCTTCGATAATTGGGCGGACATCATGATAGCAACTGCCTGTGCTATCTGACGCTCGATATAATCCAGATATCTTGATTATTACCTTCGACATTTGAGCAAGACGAACCAGAGAGTCAAGCCCTGGCTGCTTCAGAGGATTTTCTGCGAATTCTGGAGCCAACTTGGATGTACCTTTCATACCTCCCAAGTGGTCCGCGATTATGGCAACAGGCAATGTGCGAATACAATCAAAGATATCTGAATACACACCTGGATTAGCTGGTACTACTAGTATAAAAGTTTATTAGCACTTACTATCCCAGACAAGTCCCGGCACGAACAGTTGGATCATCCAGCCCTTGAAACGTGCGATTCTAGCGGCATGTGTTCGAATACTCGCCATTAGACCAGGAACGTCTACCCCTTTCCCATCGGCTTGGAAGTTGAGCCGAATCCCTCGTATTCCTAGATCATGCATTCTTTCAAGCTCTGTATCTGTAGTGGTCTGGAGGTCTACCACTGCGATGCCATATGCTGTTCTTTTCCGGGTTTGTAGCTCTTGCAGACACTTCAACAGTACGGTGCAGTCGCTTCTATAAGGTGACGGTTGAACGAGCACGATTGAACTTGCAGAGTCACATTGCGATATACTCTTGTTGAACGCAATTAGTCGATCCAGCGGTGCATCCTCGGGAGTATATGCCCGGCTGCAGGCATATGGGCCTATTGTGGGATCGAACACGTGGACGTGGGTGTCGAAAGCGCCTGGCGGCAGTAGGGATCTGAAGACATGCATGTTAACAAGTATTATAAATTACAGTGTTCTTTTGGACTTACGCGGATTTGGGGATGTGGGTATCCGATGTGAGTACCTGAGTTGTAGCCATAGTGCGATATGTTCTAGCGAGCGCGGAGAGCTTGATAATGAGCTTCATACAAGATACAAAATGGACACCATAAGCGATCGTAAATCTACCCGACAATCCATAACAGTACGCCGCCTGCTTGATGCTCCCCACTTCCTGTCGCCGGTCATTATCCGTTATCGGCAGTGCCGGCTCGAAACATGGAGGACGTCGGATGCATCCGATGGACCATTGAACCAGCTCCACAGCAAATGAAAACCAGAGATAATATAGCGGGTGGCTTGTAACTAAACGACTTGGTTTCGAGAGAGGTGAAAAATATGGCTTTGCAGAACACGCCTTTGCAACAGTTGTCGCCAACGACAGGGCCCAGCTCCGTCGAAGAGAGGAGGCCCATACCCTACCGCAATCTTGCGGTCGGGGCGTTTATGAACATCTTCCAGGGTAAGTAACGGAAGGTCAATAGTGTTCCAGTGGGAAGTCTAATAGCTAACTTGTTTTAGTTACGACATTGGGACAACCAATGGAAGTGCTTAAAACGCACGTATGCTGCTTATTGCCCTAGTATACAAAAAGGGCCAGACCAGACTAATATGAATGCACAGCTAGCGGCAAACAGACACGACACGATCAAAGACGCTGTCCAAAAGACCTGGGCACGCGGGCGATGGATCGCCTATTATCAAGGTTTAATACCATGGGTATATCATTTAACATCTCGCTACCATCAGGACGCCAGTACTAAATATCCTATAGGCATGGCTTGAGGCCTCCACCAAGGGGGCCATTCTAGTTCTCACATCCAGTGAGATTGAATATCATGTGCGTACAAAGTTGCCCAACGCATCATCAACTCTAGGTGGTGTTCTCGGTGGCATTGGAGGTGGTTTTGCCCAGGCCTACCTAACTATGGGAATGACAACGTGCATGAAAACCGTTGAAGTCACCCGGTCCAAAGTTGCTGGGCAGGGCATCAAGCCACCAGGACCGTTAGAGGTGTTTTTCCAGATTCTTCGTGATAAGGGTATACAGGGCGTCAATAAAGGTGTCAACGCCGTTGCGCTGCGACAGGTTACGGGCTGGTCGTCGCGAATTGGGATCTCCAGGTTCGCGGAAGAGAGCATTCGCTCTACGAGAGGAAAGAAGACAGGTGACAAGTTGTTATTTGGTGAAAGGATACTGGCATCAACTATCGGCGGAGCTTTGAGTTGCTGGAACCAGCCCTTCGAGGTGTGTTGTGATACTTATCGCCAATACATATTTGCATCAAAGTGCTAATTTCGACACAGGTCCTACGAGTCGAGATGCAGCCTATGACGAAGGACCCAATGCGGCCAGAGAAACCGACTATCCTATCAACTTTTAAGCATATTGTTAGTACTTCTGGTGTCAAGGGACTTTTCCGTGGAGTTATTCCTCGAATTGGTGTGGCTACGTGGGCAACCATCTGTATGGTAGGGTTTGGGGATACTGCAAAGGCGTTGGTTGCACCAAAGGCGTCACGATAATGGGCCTTGGGTGTCATCGGCTAGACCTTTTCAAATACATAATGATACACCCCAGGGCATAGTCTACAACCCGTACGATCATAGAGTTTCCTACTTGGTTAGACCAGTGGGTCACGACGAGTACATAGATTGAAGCGTATCAACTGGGAAAGGGTTGGGATATTGCATTTAGAACAGGAAGGAAATTATATTTTACACTCCAACAATAAAAATCCTGGTTGTTATACACCCACACCGTTTGCCTAGCCATGACCACCATGAACATGTAGGGCAGCAGGTTCCCTCGTACTGGCGCCAAGCGTGCCAGCCACTCTCTCCTTGTGATGGTCATCTAATGCATGGCTGAGCTCCTCCCACCAACTAAGCCAATAATCGTGGTCCCAATGGGGGCTGGATATTCCCCAGCATACAATGCAGCGGCCATGGAGGGACGGGCAATAGCACCACCCGCATCTGTCACATCGCTCGACATGCCTTTCCCGGAAGCAAGCCTTGCGAGGTGTCGAGACACAAATGGGACAGTAGCGAGGATACACAATAGACATTTTCATGGACTGATATAACATATATAAAGAAAGAAAGGCCGAGAATGGGTAATATTACATATGAAGATCAGGCATGGAGACGGGCTTATGTATTCATTCCAGAATTTTTTTATGAATTATTTCATCTGTGAAGAGTGAGCAAATTCTTTGGGTGGTTAATCTTTCACCCTATTTGCATATAAAGACATTTGCTCCACATGAAACAAAGGTCCAAGGCATCAGTCACATCGCCTTCATGGGGCAATGTAATGACGCATGTATTAGTCTGGGTATAGTAGTGCCTAGTTTCACTTGTGGCTTGTATCCATATCATCCGCGCCGTCTCTACTAGAGGCAATTATGCTGCTAACAGCGCCCTATAGCACCAGCGGAGTACTATGGCTATCAAGAGGGGCAGTGGTGGTAAGATATTTCGGCGGGAGAAGGGGACGAAGCTCTAAAAGTGAGTGCTCGAGCTAAAGCAGTCACGGTCAAAGATGTCCTGTGCACATATCACACAACCCACCAAGGGTGAACCCTTCCCCCAGTAATCAGCAATGTGCGTTGCGTCCTAGACCAACAGATTGGATCAAATTCCGGGCTTTGGTGGCAATTTTTGATCCGAGGTTGCTATGCCAGGTGCTCTCGTAGCGATTGGTGAAAAATCGAAATCGCCACAACTCGATCATTTCTGCAGCTTCTGCACTTGTGTAGCGGTCGACCATCCCAGATCAGCTTCAATACCCCGCAATAAGTCAACAACAACCTGCTTTTCCTCCGGTTTCTCCATGCATTGTCCAACCGCATATAGCATGGTTATCATCTGCACGCGCGCACCGCTCGCTGGCCTGCCGAGTGCGATTCCACATATTTCTCGGCAACGGTGGTCGACCTCTTTTGTAAGGTCCCGGTAGCCCTGAAGACGATCGAAGGAGGTGCTGGGCCCTGAAACATCATCCGATGGGCGGTTAAGAGATAATGCAAGACGTCCAAAATGGTACTGTTGCATGGCAGCAGCGCAGGACGTCAGACTGTAAAAGATCTCTGGAAATGTTGGGAACGGGGTTGGTTTCTCCAGGCGCAGGCAGGGACGGAATGTTTCAGGAACCCTTTCAACCCAGGACTGGAATTCAAAAGAGAGTTTAAGCCACGTCGCACTGTTTGGATAAGAATCGGAAGAGCTGGGAGTTGAACGACTCGAGGCGGGTACTTCAGGGGATGCCCCTCCGACCCAGTGCTCAAGTTGTGATTTCTTGGAAGCGGCCAGGAAATTCGTCAGTTTATTCAGGAGGCGTGTCAGATAGTTTGCTGCAATGTCTTCTTGCGAAAAGGCTTGGGATCTGGTCAAACTGTCGGGCGAAGATAAATTTCCTTGATCATCAACCGAAAGACCAGCAGCTCGCCATAACGCACAATCGTCGGCATCGAGGTGGGTAGGTAGTCGGTTATAGTACGAGGCTAAATAATCTATCCTGGCAAAGTTCCAGAAAGCCGCGGTGACGCCGGAGGAAAAGCTGCTGTGATCTCCACTGCCCTGGGCAAGCAGATTAAGCAACTGGGAGAAAAGCGGCTTGACTCCGGAAAGATAACTACAAACAAAATCAGTGCTTTGAAAACGATTACATATGGGGCACCATACGACTGCCAATTCTCTCCTGGCTCATCGAGGATCTTGTATAGGGTAAGTATCGTCGAGCTAGCCAACAAATTTTCAGTTGTCTTCCATGTCGCATCGCTGGTTTCTATATGGCTTTGGGTTTGCCTCAACTGGAGATTCAGCCACCGGTTGGCAATGGATATCGGCGGGTCAAGGACGTCTGAAGTGGACACGGCCGCATAGTCTGAAATAGAGGAGTTCATATGTGTGACAGCCAAATAGTAGTAATTGGCGGCTTTCAGAGGCCAGTCAACTTGTTGGGTATTTGGGTAGGCCTCCATCGTAGCAGGAGATGTAAACATCCCAGCTAAACCTGCCAATTTGATGCCTTTCATTCTTGCCAGGTGTTTTGCCGAGAGGGCTGCCATTGCATACCGCAATGACAACTCATCTATGCCTCGAACTGGGACAGCAGCAGCGAAGAATCTCCCGCTATCTGAAATGTCCAGCCTAGAAAGGAATGTTAAATTTCATCAATAAGCCGGCCAGGAACCAAACCTACCAAGGGGCTAGAATTTCGCAATAGTGCCGAACCAGGAAGCATATTTCATGCTCGGTTCCCGTCATCAACTCTGAGAATATGTCTTGGAACTGTTCGCTCTCACCGCGATCAGACGGGGTACCCAGTAAAGGGGGCCCTGTAGGTGAAGCCTGACGCTGATAGCCACCGGTAGTGCTGCCAGAATGAGCGCCGTAATTAACCAAGGGTATAGAACCTTGATTAATACGAGCATTTGGACCTTGCCCAGGTCCGGGCCCGAACGTGTCGTTAACTCCAGGCTCGTTGCTCAAGTTACTGGTATTCCGATCTTGCGCCGGCTGAGAGAAACGAGCGCCCTCCCATGCTGAGGCTACAGGGGGGGATGGCGGTTGGTTTTCAATATCGGCGCGGAGTGGCGGCGACTCCGAGTGATGAGAGCCTTGGGAGTCGTTGGCATTTCCTCTGTTTTGCTCCGATTCTGGATGATGAGTTTTTGCCGCCTAATGATGTGAGACGACGCAATTCTTGAAAGGAGAGCAAAAACCTACGTGAGGTGTGCTTCTCCCTGAACTGGGCTTAGGCGCATGCTCCTGGTATGGAGCATATCTGCGCCTTACTGAGGCACCTTGGTCGATGAACTTGCGCATCTGCACAAACCCTGGGCACTCAACCCCAGCATCTGTGCAGCGCTGGCATCGGGGACGTGTCTCATCGCACTACGTCATTTAGCATGATGTCCAGAAATGAACGTCAGGGACGTCGAACCTTGATGTGACGCTTTTTGCAGCGTTGGCAAGCCTTGTTCGACGGCACGCCAGGCATTGTTGCGGAGGGCCAGGTCGAGAACGTATCAGACACAGGTTTCGCGAAAGAGCATCATCGCAGGATTCCGTCGAAGGGACTGATGCCAAGCCCTGAAAGTGAAACCGCAGATCTGGGCAAATGCTGCAAATCGTCGCCGTGTCCAGGACTGACGTCGGATGTTCGGCAGCGCCACCGGAGATATCTCGGGGTCCGGAGAAGTGATGCTCCGAGGGATTACCCCATTCGGTCGGTCTTTTATCGTCACCTGTCACTCCCTTCATCGACCGTAAACACCCACAATGCTGAAGACACCGTCAGATTTGGGCCTCCCTGCAGGGCAGACAGTGCCAATTGATTATATGCGATATGATGTTCCAGTAGGGACATCACTGCATCATGGATTTACTGCTAATGAGCCATCCACTATCTTGGCGGATAGGCATCAAATATATAACCAGTGGATCGGTGTGTTACCAGCATATATTCTTCATCCATGTAATTTGAACTAACCCACTTCGCAGCATCTGGGAAACCTCATAATATCATTTGTTCCCAATGCCGCAAGCCCAATAATCTGAAATTTTGCGAGTCCTGCTGTAGATCCTACCACGCGTCATGCCTGCCCCCGCCTGACGTGCCTCCTCAGTCGATGCGGTTTTACTGCCCAGCATGCAGCAGCGGACAATGGAGTCGTTCGTCGTCGGCTGTTGGCACCCCAACCACAGTATCTCCTGAAGCTTCCCGGTCCGGCACACCGGTTGTACATAGTACACCGAGGGACATCATGAGTCCTGCGCAACCAATGGGCAGATCCACGCAGTCAACACAGGCAACGCCGCATAGGATGCACGCCCCGTCATCTACTGACGGCCGTGCCGAGCCAGTACCAAACGTCTTTGACCCTCGCATATTAACCCGAGCCCAGGAATTTCTCCGTACTCATGGAGGCTTTCCAGAGTCTCAGGAGTTCTCCGCGGACTTTCTCTTGAAACTTGGCTCTATGATGGCAGAGCTTGACCTTAATCGGGAACGAGTCCAAGAGTTGGCATCCGAAAATACACACTTGCGACAAGATAACGCGAACATCAGAGCGTACTTGGACTCCAACTCGACGACAGGAATGCGGATTGCTCCTCCTGGTGGTGATTTATCTTCCATTCAGCGACCCTCTACTGATACGACTGGGAAATCATGGGATAGAATCGTGATGGATTTGATTTGAGCGCTCAGAAGATAGAAGAGACAGGCACCTTATGTCACGGCCACACCATTAAGTACGAACAGAAGTCTGGCGACGACTTTTAATTTCGGAGACTTCATTCTCACCATGTCGCAGCGGAGAGGAGAGGCTTCGCGCTATCGATGCTGGAATACGCGCGCCGTGTCTCCTTTGGTTGCACACCCTGCCCATAATCGAGGCACCAGCCAATTAGCGCCGGGCACTGCACCAGCTCCAGACCATCCCCGACGATCACTCATGGGCGTGCCTGACGGCAGTTACCGTAGGCGAGGTGCGACGCCAGCATCCCAGACGATCCCCCTCATTTCGATGTAACATCCGATCGCTTTGTTGTGCTTTGGTTTAGCGGGGTTGCGGAGATTCTGTTGATATTTTCTCTTCCCTACCCGAAACGCTGGAATGCTGCATTTTTCGGAATTTTAGCGACCAGGAATGCAGTCAAGAACCACTGAAATCACCTTCAAGCATCGAGTTTAACTCCCTCTTGGTATCTTTAAACGTCCGAATTGCCTTCGATCGTCATGAAACCCGGGTCGTGGGGAAGGATCCCCGTAATCGCGACCAGTGTGTTGCTGTTTACCTCAGTGACCTTCGCGCAAGATGGCGGAGATTCTGATTTTGACGTCCTGGATTATATCGATCCTTTCATCGGCACAGAGAAAGGAGGTAGATAAGCGCTCTTCTGCAAATTGATCGACGTACATCATGAGAGAAACTTATCGCCTTACTAGGTCATTCGTTTGCTGGGGCGACCTTGCCTTTCGGTATTTTCTCTAAACCAAACGTGTTTCAGTAGCTAATGCGCATTGAAGGCATGGTCAAGGCAGTTGCCGATACCCAGGGTGAAAACCAAGGCGGCTTTGCCTACGATACAACCCATGTAACGGGGTTTTCGCACACGCATGATTCTGGGACCGGAGGAGTAAGTCTCGCTATTCGCATGGGTTCTTGGATACCAAATTAAGGTCTTAGGCCTCTTCAATGGGAAACTTCCCGATATTTGTTCAGCCAAACTGCCCAGGGGCCAACTTGACAAACTGCAGGTGGAAATCGTCGGACAGAGCAAGCGCATGGAAACGCGACTCCCCAAAGGCACGGCCTGGTTATTTCGGTATATCGCTAGAAAATGGCGTGCATGCTGAGATGACTGTGACGAACCACTCTGCCCTCTATCGGTTTGGCTTCCCTGGTGCGACTGGCAATCTTAGCCCGGTAGTGCTTCTCGACATAATCGATCTACCGGAATCAAGGAACAATGGTACCGCCTCCGTAGACCCAGATACAGGCCGCATAACTGGGAGTGGAAACTTCAATCCTAGCTTCGGACAGGGCACGTACGACCTCCACGTCTGCGTTGACTTCAAGGGGGCCGACATTCACGATACTGGTTCGTGGACGAATACCGCTCCGAGTGTTGGCAAAACCGATGTATCAGTGAACTCAGCACAACCCGCAAGTAAATTTTCCGCCGGGACGTTTGTTAGGTTCGATTCTGTACCAGCTGGTGATGTGATTACTGCGCGCGTTGGTGTGAGTTTCGTAAGTGTTAGTCAGGCCTGCTCCAACGCAGAAAAGGAGCAGCCCGATTTCGATTTCGACGAAACTGTTGCTGCCGCTGAGACTGCATGGAGGCGCAAGATGGATGTCATCACTGTTGACCCTGTTGGCGTGTCAGCTGAACTCCAAACCGTGTTCTGGAGTGGTGCGTACCGCGCAATGATCAGCCCCCAGGACTATACGGGAGAAAATCCACTTTGGGAAAGCGATGAACCTTACTACGACAGCTTCTACTGGTGAGGAACTAATCGTGCGTATTTGGAGATAAAGCTGATGATATTTGTAGCATATGGGATTCGTTCCGTGGAATTCATCAGCTGCTCACCCTGATAGATCCTATTTCCCAGTCGAGGATGATGCGAAGTTTAGTGGATATATATCGACATGAAGGCTACCTGCCGGATTGCCGCATGTCACTCTGCAAGGGTTGGACTCAGGGAGGCTCAAACGCAGATGTGCTAATCGCAGAAGCTTACCTGAAAGGTGTTGTTGATGTCGATTGGGATACTGCTTACGAGGCCATTGTGAAGGATGCGGAAGTGGAACCCCAGAACTGGAATGTGGAAGGCCGAGGTGGCCTTAAGAGCTGGAAGAACCTTGGGTACATCCCAAAGAACGATGTCGATGTAGGAACCGAGGGCCTTCGCACGCGCAGCGTGTCACGCACCCTCGAGTACGCATACAACGATTACTGTATCGCTCTGATGGCAGACGAGCTAGGACATACCAGCGACCGTGACAAATACTTGAAGCGCTCCGGTAACTGGCGAAATGTATACAAGGCCGACCAAACATCCGCGATCAACGGCGTCGACACCAACTTTACTGGCTTTGTCCAGCCTCGTAATGCCGATGGCACCTGGGCATACCAGGATCCGATCTTTTGCAGCCCTCTTCTGAATTTCGAATCTTGCTATTTGAATGAAGATGGCCACGAGACCTACGAAGGAAGTTGCTGGCTTTATACTTTGTACGTATTCTTTTTCTTCTGTATTGGGCTCTACTAACCAAACGCAGCTTTGTGCCGCAAGATATGGCAGCGTTGATCAAGACCCTCGGAGGTGCAGATAGATTTGTGTCTCGCCTTTCGTACTTGCATGACTCGGGTGTTCTCTATCTTGGGGATGAACAGGCATTCTTGACGGTGTTCCAATTCCACTATGCCGGTCGACCTGCCGTGTCAGCGAAGCGGGCGCATTCGTACATTCCATCGCAGTTCAATACCACCACCGGAGGGATTCCGGGCAATGATGACAGCGGCGCAATGGGCTCCTTCGCCGTCTTTAGCATGCTAGGGCTCTTCCCAGTTCACGGGCAGGACGTTTACCTTATTACCCCACCGTTCTTCAAGGAAGTCAGCATCCGCAACGATATCACGGGCAAGGTAGCGACGATCCGGAACGTCAACTTCGATTCAGGCTACAAGTCTATCTATATCCAGAGCGCAACTCGCGATGGAAAACCATGGACCAAGAACTGGATTGGGCACGACTTCTTTGCGGAAGGTGGCGTGTTGGAATTGGAATTGGGCTCGAAGGAGAGCGACTGGGGGACGCGAGTTGTAGATTTGCCCCCGAGCATGTCGGAGTACGCTGCAGAAGATGCGCCAAAGAGTACATCAGACCTTTGATCGGCACTCCTCCGTGCACCAGGAATGGTTTTGAATGGTTTTGCAGGGGGGCAGCAGGGTCTGACGTATGCCGCTGTCGGAAGAATGCGCCCGAGCCGGCTTATACATCGTGGGGGTTTCCCCGCACGAGCTGCATTAAAATCTTTTACAACTCTTCCAATTCCTCGTAATTGCCTTCTCCATACTCAGTATTCCTATAGACACCCGCTAGACAGAGCTGCTACACCTAGACAATGGCCTTTGCCCGCAGACTAGCCATCATCCCCGGCGGCCTCGGTGCGATATCCTCTACAAGCATTCCCAATCTATACTAACATCACCAGGAGGGTTGGGTTCTCACATCGGCAAAAAGCTGCGTGCAGAAGGCGCCCGGATCGCGATCCTGTACGCTCCCTTCGAAGCCTCGAAGCGCGATGAGCTTCTCGCCGCAGGATACAGCGACGCGCCCGCCTCAGGCCCCAACGACATCCGCACGTACGAATGCGACATCACATCGCCCGACTCCGTACGCAACGCATTCACCTCAATCACGAACGAGACGACCGCCGCAGACCTCTCCGACCGCACGTTCCCCAGCATCCTCATCAATACTGCCGGTTACGTCTCCCTGAGCGACATGCACCTGACCCCGCCCGAGGAGACCCTCAAGCACCTAACTACGAACGTCTACGGCCCGATGCTCTGCGCGCAGGCATTCGCGAATCTCTACTTTGCTGCATCCCAAGCAGCCTCAGCGGATGACCCCGCGCCCCCAGGCCGTATCGTGAATCTGGCCTCCAAGGCGGCCCATGTCGCGCTGCACCAACACGGCGCGTACTGTGCGTCCAAGTCTGCGGTGCTGGGTCTGACGCGGTGCATGGCGAGCGAGTGGGGCCCTAGAGGGATTACGGCGAATACAGTGTCGCCGACGGTGGCGTGGACGGATTTGGGGAAGAAGGCCTGGGGCGCCGAGGGGGTGAAGGAGGCCCTGCTGGAGAAGATCCCTACGGGGAAGGCTTGTTTGCCTGAGGATGTTGCGGATTCGGTTGTTTTCCTCTGTCGGGTGAGTCTCTTCTTTCAAAATATTTTTTATTATTTTCGTTCTTGTTTTATGTGGTCTAGCAAGCTAACTTTGTTATAGGACTCGAGTGGCATGATTAATGGTGGAGATATTAAGATGGACGGGGGTTATACTATTCGGTGATTTAGGCCTTGGTGTGCAGAGCGAATAGACGAAGTATACATGAACTCCACTAAATAGAGCCTATTAACTCATCTCATTATTTATTATCAGTTACAGTGTACATACATTAACTTCAGTCATCCACCCTCGGTCCACTCCTCGGATATCCTAATCAGGCGATCCGCGACTCCTTCGGTAACTTCCTACCTGGGTCTTCCGGTATGGTCATTCTCCCCGATATACTGCCATTAAACCGCGGGTGTGTCAGTGTAAGGGACAGGGACCGTCTGTGCCAGTGGCCTCCTCAGCCCTAATCGAAATCGATCGACTCTCGACATCTTCTCCAACACCATCGTATCAACTCGCAGCACACTCTCCTTATACAGCGTCTGGCTCTTCCAGTCATACGAACACAGCAGTCCCCGCTGCATGCCGCCCTCGCTCCCACACAGGACAAGCGCAACAGGCGGCCGCACAGCAGTAAACAGCGTAACGGTCATAAGATTCGTATCAACAAGCGTAAACACCTTCTCAGCGCCGTATCCAAGCCCCTGGGATCTGGCGATGGTCTCTCGCACCACAGGATCAAGTGTCGGATCAATACCAATACACTCGGCCTGTACACTCTCATGTCTCGACAGCTCACTCGAATACGGGCTCCACTTGAACCTATTCAGATTCGTTCCGAAGATCATTGTCTCGATCTCAGCTTTATCCATGTAGCCCTCGAACCCAAACAACCACGGTTGCGCGCGCCACGGCTTCCCCGTATATAGAGCCCCCAGGAGGTACGGCGAGCACAAGACGGCAGCAATCGCCGGTATCATAAGCAGCCAGCCAAGTACAGTAAAGGGCACAAGCATTCCGCCCTCGGATTTGCTCACTCCAAGAAAGAAAGCACCTGCTACGAGGAACGCGGGCACACCGCGGATGGCAATCTGCGCAATCATTCGCTTCAGCGTGTTTCGGAGCATGAGATTGACAGGCGTGAATGACTTCCAGCGGATTGGCGCCGCGAATCCACCGCCTAGAATGACAGTGTCGTTCTCGCCGACGCCGTCGACCTGGCATAAAGGTGTAATATCCCAGAGACTCCGTGCCCAGGCGTCGTCAATGTGGTGCCAGGGTTGGTCTCTGTTCCGAGGAAGGAGGCAAATAAGGCGCTCGAGGAGCCGGTTGCTATCGTTTGCTAGGGAGAGGCGGCAAAACTCCTGGAAGGCAGTGTTCTCGGAGTTGACTCTTGGTCGTCGCCGGAGGAGGCCCATGAGGACGTATGTCAGATCACCCTTGAGGTAGGCCGTTGTGTTGTTTGCGCGAGTGCTCAGGCACTGCAAGGCAAGCGTGACCAGCTCCAATGGACTGAGAACAACAGAACCCTCGTAGTGGTCGACGAGTTGTCTGGAGTCTGGGGCATCGATCCATGCTTCTGCTGGGAAATTGCGCTTGGGCAGGAAATGAGGGTTCCAGATATCGCCACCGCGAGTGTAGATGGCGATGGGCCTGTCTGTTGGACTGAGTAGGACTTCTGGGAACGTCCACATGCGCTCTCCCCAGTGTTGCAGCATGGTCTTCATATCTGGATTCGAGGAAGGGTCTGTCGCCGGGGGTCCTAGAATGATGGCTAGGGAATGTGCTCCACGGACGATATCGCTGATTCTGTAAACGTCTTCGGAGACCTGCTCAGGTTCTGGCATGCAACTGCATGAGATCCAGTACGCTGATACTCCCGCCGTTTGTGCTGCGGCTGCAGCAATAACATGAAGCTCGTCCCAGTCCGCTGGGCCCTGAAATTGCGCAGAGGTGTAGGAGATGAAGAGGTATTGCAGGATAGCATCGCGGCCATGCTCTTCTTCCCAGTCGGCGACGCTTCTTATTTGTACTCCGTCTTCAGACAGGAAACACAAGTATCTCGGTCGCAATGGCCTCTCAGCAATGCCATTGATCTCCTCAGCTGCTTTCAACGAAAGCGCCGATGACCCTTGAGCCGCCTCGCGGGGGTTGCTAGGAATATATGGGTAACCCCAAAAATGATACTTGAACTGCTCATATCGCCCATTATTCCGTACCTCACCACCAAGATCTGCAGGCACAAACAACTGCCATGGATTAGCCCCATCCAACATCAGACTGTCAATGTGGAGATTGTCCAGCTACTCACCAAAGCCAGGAGCGCAAGGCAGGCTGGAAACCATTTCAGACAGAGCTCCAGGGACACGCTATCCTCCTTTCCTTCTATTATATCCTTCATGACCCAATACACAACGCGCATATGGATTGGAGTGACGCTTCGAATGCCCCTCCGCGACCAGGTTCCGTTCTTGGGCCCGCGTCGGACCTCGTCGGTTGCTTGGACGATAAGCTTGCGAAGCCGCCCATCCGTAGCACTCAGGTATCGGTCATCTTCTGGGCCAGTCCATATCCGGCTGAGGGCGTCGCGGTGTCTGTATGCGTTGCGATCGGCGTAGGCCAGGCCGGGGTTCTCGATGGGTCTGTCTACCCAGGGGAGGTTGGCGGTTACGCTGTTATTGTTGAGGTAGCGAGATACGTCAAGTTGCTGAAGAGGGCGCTTTCTTTGGTAGTCTTCGGAGGTATCCTAAGAAATTGGTTTCAGTTAGTTTAAGCATACTAGTATATTACACTGGGCAGCTTCGTTACCTCTGAGTATACATTGGCGTGGCTGCCAAGCTGACTGCTGCTTTGAGCTTCCATAGGATAGGCGCTGAGATCAATATGGTGTTCGTTTGAACCCGTCAAGCTGGGTGAGAATGGTTTTCGTGGTGCTGCTGGCTGTCCTTGAGGCTATGAATTGTTAACCCGGAAGACGCCGATCATGTCAAATATACGAGACTTTACCAGCTGGGATGACGCGCTTGGCGCTAGATCTGTCCGTGAATCCGACATATGGACTGGTGAGTGTATACGACTTCAGCAGGAGTCTATCTGGGATGTCAGACAGCGCTGAGCGGGCGAGACCAGGTCGACTAATAAGGGCATGCGACCTAGGCACTCGAGCCTCACTCGCCCTCCCCAGGAAAGAGGGTGAAATGCGCCAAGTGACATTTTGCCCTCACCCCACGACGAGGCTCTGGCAAAATAAAACATACTGTCTAACCGTGGAGGGACTGGTTTAATGAGGATCAACACGTCAAATTGCCCAACAGGAACGCCGAGAAGCTTAGAGGGACTTAAATCTCGTATTTCCCCATTATTTGCCCTCTGGATGGCGCAAATCATTTTATCATCACACCCTCCTGCATCAGCTTGTTACACAGGCGGCGCAGGCGGCGCAGGCGGCGCGGATGCGGCTTGCGCAATTCTGGTTCAGCTTTGCCTTATCACTCTGAGTACGGGGAACGTTGCGGCACTTTGTATGAGTTATTGCACGTATCAACTGTATGAAATATTTATTCTCATGGTTATTTCCTAATCTTCAGGTGGCTCCTTTCTCCTGTGCAAATGGCCGCAGCGCACGCATCCACGCGGCATGGCTTGCCACGAGCCCGTGCTTCCGCCACAAGGTCCATCCTAGCAGGACAATAAGTGTCAGCGGGATCGAAACTACCCAGAAGATCCAAAAGTCCTTTGACACCTCAATGGCGGAGTTGTCGTCGGTTACGTTGAAAAACTGGCTGCCAAAAATCGTCTGCGCTCCAGTCAGTAAACTTGTTGGCAGGGGCGTTGATGGTTGAAGTTCTTACTGATACAGTGGTTATGGGCAGGAATACTAATGTGACGAACGCGATTGTCGCCATGGTGTTGCTGTCCGCTTGGAGGAACTCATTTCCCTCTTGGGTTACAAGATGGAATGACTGGGCATATGAGCTACTGTCATTTTAGTTGATGGGTGGAGCGCGGCCTCACCAGGGCAATCACGTTCTGCATGCGTCTATCCAGACTCCTGAGGCGCAGCTTGACGCCTTTGAATTCTGCCTCGACCTGTGCAATGGTTCGCCTCGTTGCGTGGCCAGCGGCCTGGTCTGTAGTTCTCGGTGAGAGATCCTGGTGGTGACGAGCTAGATTCTTGACCGTCTCAAGAGCCGCTTCTGAGCTCTCCTGGAGGAATATGACGTGCTTTGAAATATTGTGAAGGCCAGTAAATGATTCTCTGTCATGACTCAGTCCGAGCGCTTTCTGTGGCGATGTTAGAAGAGTCCTCACTTGCTATATTGGGGAATGGGGATGCACACCATCTCAATCCCTGCAAACACTTTTGATAAATCCCACACTGCGTTATTCATGTGTGCCGACAACCGGTTGAGTATCACGACAAACAAACTCAGTGGATCGTGTGTAATCCCATTTTTTACAGCACTGTAGGTCAGGGTTTGCAGGCGGTTTATCACCATCTGTCCTCCAAAGCATATTAGAGTCACACCAGGGGAGGCTGTAGTAGGCTCAATCGGCCACCGCAGGAAGAATGCTGATTTCATCCACGTAAAATCGCTTTGCCTAATGGTGTCTTGATTTTTATCTTTCAGCCTGGGGTCTGCGATGACTGGCTCTGGTCCTGGGGTGACTGTGATGTTTTTGCAGAGATAGTTGAACCAGCAGCCTGAATAAGTCAGCTCTCTTGTCGCGATCGGACCGGAGTAGGTAGTTTACATCTATATCCATCATCTGAATCCAATGACCCAAATGAATGCGTCACTGCGCGATATTCTCCCTCCAGAAATGCCGTTGGGATGGAGTAGTGTTGAACCAGCCATAACACGCCATCGTCTTGCGCACTTTGCGGAAATCTATCTCTTCTCGTTAAACGCAGTCACATCTTTTAAAGTGGCAAACTAACATAATTCTAAGCGGGGGTTGAGAGTTCGCCAGCTGCCCAATAGACAGACTCTGGGCGACTGGATAATCAGCACCCTCAACCCAGTCTAGAGCCTGGATGCGGATGTCAGCGGCCGAGCGAGCCCCCAGTCTATTCTTCTCCAGAATGCAGCCCTCGAGGACCGTCGGATCATTGAATACTTGATCCATTGTGTGGCCGGTTGGAGATTTGGCAGGTAGATCGGTGGGATGGGTGACTGCCCCCCTTAATGTCGGTGGCAGGGATTAACTATCTTGGCTGCAGATGGACTGGTTGAGGCTGAGCCCGCCTGGGCAAGGCTGCGCGTGATCCTCCTTAAAATGCCCGGGACATTTCCACGTTCTTGTCCATCTTGCCAGAGGCTTGAATCGCTTCGTCTCGTGTTCACTGTCTTCCAAGACCATCATGCCCCCACCAGAAAAGCACGGCGGCGGCTATGTGCCGGCCCTCAGTGGACGGCTCTCGTTCCCCATCCAAAGACGATCTACAACCCAGCCTGAACAAAATGCAAAAGCGACTCCCAGAGACAGCTACCAGTACTTGGAGGGCTCAAAAGGTGTCTCTCACTCCACGAGAAATGAGCTGCATGGAGGGCGCTTTCATCCCCCTCCTCGAGCATACACCAGCAACCCCAAAAACAACCACAATCACAACTACAACCAGAGCCAACAGGCTCATCTTGGACGTCCAGCACGAGTAGAAACGATGCCTCATCTTCAGTATCATGGTAAGAATCATGGCGGTGCTTACGTACCCAATATTGCATGTTCGCCGTTTCACACGCGGAATCCCGCCGATTATCGCTCGAATACAACAGATGGCGCCTTTCCCGTCAGAAAAGACGGACCATATGGAGTGGGAGCGCCAGAAGAGGCTGGTCGTCGAGATGAACGGCATGGGGGAGGTTATGTTCCTGGGTTCAATACAGCTGGGACAAATATCCCGCGTTCGCAGGATGAACGAAATAGGTTTTTGAAGTACTTGGAAAGGTGAATTAGAATAGTCTTGTGTTTATTGAGCGTGTACGATAATTTAACAAATCTAGTGAAAACAGTCACTTGTCTAGGATCACGCACAGCTTCATCTTTTACCAGGAAAAATTCCCCAATATTTCAACTACTTTAACTGGATTAATATATGCAGTGCTTTGATGTGGATATTACCGCCTCATATACTGCTATTGCTGTATTGCTGCTTAGTGAGACCAGCAACCCCACTTCCATCATGAATCCTGCAAGGGTGCCACTTCCAACACTCACCATATGGAGCAGCTGAGAACAATAACGAGGATATTATGGGGCCCTCCCAAACCCTCCATACTATCTACCCTCCCAGTCGAGATATTGTTCATAATCGCGGAATTGGTTAATCTAGAAGATGTCGCGCGCCTCAGGCAAGCATCCAACTTCCTAGCCACTGCTCTAGAACCATACCTCTACGCCCACGCAGCAACACATAAACTACCGGGCAAGTCACGAATGGTTCTGGACTGGGCCGCTGAGAAGGGTCACATATCCGTCCTCGAGAAAATCGACAAATACGGGAACCAAAACGACAACAATCACCACGCTAGAACTACTATCCCACCCAAATGCAAAACCCGAGCACTCTCCCACGCCGCAAAGCGCGGACAGACAGACGCAGTAGCTATCCTTCTCCGGATGGGCGCAGAGATAAACGACACTGTCGCAGTCGAAGACAGCTACCAATGCCCAGCTCTCCATCGGGCCGCGAAGCACGGACACATTGAGACGGCGACACTCCTGCTCGATCGCGGGGCAGATATCCATATTCGATGCAACGCGAGCGATTCAGCGGCACTGGAACACGCCGCGCGGCTTGGGGAGCAAGAGATGGTTCTGTTACTCCTCGATCGGGGCGCTGATATCCACGCACCCGCGCTCGTAGCGAACGCTGTATTCGCGGAGAATATAGAACTCGTTCGGGCCCTGCTGGATAGAGGCGCCGCGATTGATGATTCGTGGCATTATCGGCGGTCTGCTATTCATTGGGCTATGCCGTATGGGAGGGTTAATATGCCGATGTTGAAGTTGTTGCTTGAGCGCGGGATTGACCCCAATGTGAGAGAACAGGAGCGTGGTGAGACGGTTTTACATTGGGCTGCGTATGAGGGAAATGTTGAGGTCGCCGCGCTTTTGCTGGGGAATGGTGCTGATCCTGATGTGGCTAATCAGCAGGGTAAAAGACCGTTACATGCTGCCATAGAAGGGCCCAGTAGCCAGAGTGATAGGGAGACGATTATTCGGTTGCTTTTGGAAGCTGGAGCGGACCCTGTCTGACGGCTGTCCTAACGGGACTCCTGTTGATTTAGCGAGGCGTTTGAGAGTACAGGGCACTATCATAGGTCTGCTGGAGACAGACACTCGAACTGTGAGAGAATATTGCAGGTTAATAAAGTCACGGTCTGGATACTTGCATAAAAGGCATTACATGTTGGAGCGGGGAAGTTGCGGATATCAGTTGGCCTGTCCGAATAGTGACTTCTCTCCTTAATCCGGGCTGGTCTCGCTTTTAAAACAGGGTCAACAAGGAGGCACTATCGAGTTAACAACAATCATGGCAACTTCTGAATTGTAGCTATTAAAACATTAAATTACTGTCGGTTATAGTTATAAAAACCTTTACTGGACCGTGTGGGCTATAGTTATTGTGACCAAGTGACTCAACACCTTATTAAGAGTCCAACTACCACTAATATATAACTTTAAACCTCACCTCGAATACCTTTATTCATCATCTCCCTTCGTAAACCGCTGTGGCCACAACTCAAATTCAACTACATTATCTCCAAATAAAAAGATAATCATGCCATTTATTCATCTATTCATATTTGACACATTAAAGCATTATCGTGGAAGAAGCCGGGATTTCGTGAGATTGACGCGTCTGCCTCTCAACGCGTCAACCATCATAACAAACGAACCAACGCCAAAAATACTTCACCGCCGGGACACATCCGAGCGGACTATCTCTCCCATCACCGCTGCTCTTCCTCAGACGATAGAGAATGAGCATATAGCTTACTGAATGCCGAATCACGCGTCAACAGTGAATACGGATCCTCGCACTCTATTACCTGTCCCTGGTCCAACACCACAACCTTGTCATAATCCAGAATGGTGTCCAGCTTGTGTGCCACGGCGAGAATGGTGTGGTTCGAGAATTTCTCCCGAATCACTCGTTGCATAGTCTGATCAGTCTTACTGTCCACACTGCACCACAACTGTTAATATCGGCTCACAAATGAAGGAGGAAGGGGTTATCATACTTGCTGGTGGCCTCGTCTAGGACGAGAATCTTGCTTGGGTGAAGGACTGCGCGCACAAGGCAGAAGAGTTGTTTCTGTCCGTGTGACAAATGGAGGTCATCAATGTTTACCGTGAGACCGCCCTTGTCCTGGACCACGTTCATTAACTGGACACTCTTCAAGGCATCCCAAATCGCCCGATCGGAGCTGGAACCAGTCGGGTCGGCATTCAGTCGAACGCTACCCTTGATGAAGACCGTATCCTGTGAGACCCCGTTCAGGCGGGAGCGGATTTCCTGACGAGGAATTGTCGAGATATCGAGACCGTCAATATCGATTGTACCCGAATTGAGTTCAATCATGCGAAATATACTTAGCATCAGAGATGTTTTGCCACTGTGCTTATCGTTAGCCTGAATCGGGTGGGACGGTTTTCTAACAGTTCTCACCTTCCTGTCCTCCCGCAGATTCCAACCTTCTCCCCTGGTCGAATTGAGAGGGAAACATCCTTCAACACAAGGTCCGAACTGTTTCCATGTTGTCAGCCTTCTAAATTATGTACAAGCCTCCCGCTTTTACATACCTGTATGCTGCCGAGACGTTGCGGAACTCAATGCCCCCCCGACTCGGCCATGTGGCTGGCACGGCATTGTTTTCGCATGACAGATCTTCCTTTTCCACCTTCGACGTGAAGTCTTTTACCCGCACGACAGAGCCGATATGCGTTTCCATGTTCGTCCAGAACTGGACTAGGAGCTTAACGGTCTGGCTGAAAAGGATTACGTTGAACAGAGCGACCCCGACGTAAGCGGCGTTGAGCGTACCCCTCAGGGCAACCACAAGGATGATCAAGACAGCGGCGATACCCGCAACAACAAGATCCAAGGTAAGGGTTAGCCAACGCTGAGCCGAGTACATTGAATAGAACGGACGCTGGGAGTAATCGAGTATTTTCAAGCTCCTTTCTTCCATTGCATCCTGCCACCCAAATGCCCGAAGAGTGACCAGCCCACTCAGGCAATCAGTAAAATGTGACAGTAATGGCGCCTTGGCTTCGATATCCAGAATTCGGAGCTGGCGAGATGTTCGCAAATACACCTTTTGTATGCCGTATAGCGATAGCAGGATCACGGGGAATGCGATCGCAGCATACACTGATGCCACGGCGACTAAGATCATTTGTGCGACGCATAGGAAGAACGCTAGGTGGATACATTTTAGCCCAATACTTCTCTTAGGGGGATCACTCCGGTGAGTACTTACTGACAACAACGTTGATGGCAGCAACGGGGAGCTCCATATCGATGAGCTGCAAATCCTGGCTGAATCTGTTGAGAATGGATCCGCTGTCCGTAGTAGACAGGAATCGCATCGGTGCACTGTCAACCGAATCAGTGACGAATCTTTCTCTTCAGGAGAGACATAACACACCTTAAAACAGTATCCAAAAGAGAGGCATGGAACCTTTCGCCTGATTTTGGCACCGAAGTTACGATCACATCCCAGCAGCTGACAAGCAGACAAATCATGGCCAGTCCTCCTTGCACAAAATAAATACCGACATAATGCTGGGTGTGCTCCCCAGGCTCTGCTGCATCCGCAGCAGCCCACCATTTCAGCCAGATACCTATGAGTCAACAAATTAGCCGTGCCATGGTCGAAAGAGCGAGTGCCTTACTTGGGAATGATATGCAGAAAACAAACCCGGCGATGGTGACTAGAAAGATCAAGGTGGGTATCCAACCGACTGCACGGATGTAGAACAGGTAGGTCCCCAAGCTGCCCCTATGTTTGTGTACATTCTCCTCACTCCAATCTTCTTTCTTGACTGGTTGGACCGATGTCCGGGAAGGCTTAGACTTGGGGACGTATTCCGTCTCGACAGTCGCATCCCAGTTTGGAGATGGCAGAGAGAAGCTTGAGATGTAGCCGGATTGCTCGGCGAGCTCGCCAAAAGACCCCGACTCTGTTAACCTCCGCTCTTCATTCAACACGACGATGTGGTCGGCATACGGGATGCGCTTGACCGAGGACGAAGCAAGAATAACTGTGGTTCCAGCTTCCCGCAGCAGTCCGTTCACTCCAAGCAGACTGCAGAAAATATGATTCTCCGTCGCCGCATCAAGACCACTAAATACATCATCGAGGATTAAGAGACGCTTTCGGGCGTAGATTGCCCTTGCCAGTGCCTATTTTAGACCGTTGTTAGTATCATACCCTTTTCCACGGGATAGAAAACAAAGTCGTTAACATACAATTCTTTGGCTTTGGCCACCGCTGAGTGCGACACCTCGACTGCCAATCATAGCCTGATCTGCCTGCGGCCATTGTGCAAGATCTTGTTCCAAAGCACATGCTCTGATGACCGTCGTGTACCAGAGGAGGTCGAACTCAGACATGGCCGTGATACTGTCACGAATAGTGCCATTCATGTGCCAAGGAGTCTGGTCGCAGTATGCGATGCTGTCTGAAGACATCTTGACCTTACCTTCAAGACACGGAACCTCTCCAAGTAGACCCTTCAACAATATCGACTTACCAGATCCGGAAGGACCGACAATAATTGAGAAACTCCGCCCAGGTAGAGTCATTCTGATAGCCTCAAGAATTGGCTCAGCTTTGGGGTCGAACCCGAAGCTTGCGCTCTCAACCATGATCATGTCCATGAGGGGGAGCGCGAATTTCATTTGACTGGATAGTGTGTTCTTGTCTTCGGTGAGTGTGAGGGTACTGGATGTGCTTGAGGTATCTCGCTTTTCTCGCAAACTTGTTACTGAGCTCCATCGAGGTGGCTCAGAGTCCGCTTGATGCGTTTCCTTGTTAAGGAACTCTTGGATTCGGGCGAAGGACCCAATAGACCCGAGGAACCCCATGAGGGCCATCACGAGAGACAAGAATGGATCGGCCAGGAGTGCGAATAGTGACAGCGATGTGTATACCATGTTAATATCAAGTGAAGGGCCATCTCCTGACTTTTCGGATATGGCAACAAATGCTGCGAATGACACAATGGGAGCGAAAATTCGGGTCAGCCATGCTGATTACCAAAGTTAGCAAGCATGCCCGACGGTCAGTGTATGGAGATTGGAATGGTTACCGAATGCCATGTTCCAGACCAGCAGCTTTCTAAAACCCCTTGAGATGTCCAACTCTTCTAACCGCAGGTTTTGAATCGAAGCCATGAGGGTTGGTTTCAGCCCTAATAACTTGACCCCCTTGATTGAGGCAAGCATGGCCCCAGTTGAGGAAATCCGTTTTTCAATAGCCTCAAGCCATTTTGCTTGTTTGGCCATCACACCGGACATGGCAACCATGGAACCCAAGAGAGCGACTAATGACGACAGTGTTAGCGCGGCCGTTCGACACTATTCACACCAAGCTGGACGGAGCTTACAGATGGCAACCCCAATGGGAACAGCACACGCGATGCCCAGTTGTCTTTCTAAAAGAACAATAGCAAGCGCGATCTCAGTAGCGTTCGCCCAGATTTCATGCATCGTCTGCCATCCCTGGACGATCCTTTCAATGTCTGCTGTCATTAGGGTTAAGGAAGCTGCCGGATCGGCATCCTGGATCGACAGCACGCTTGCCTTTTTATAGATCAGCGAAACCAACGCACCACGGACCATAGTGATCGCACGGTATGTTAGATGCTGCTGTTGACTCATCATAATCTTGATGTCCACTGTTAGTGTCTTATTTGAGGACCGGAGATATGCAGGTTCAACATACAGCCATTCCAACGTAAACCAGTACATACGCGCCGATTAGTCCATATCCGATGTGCGTTGATTCAGTCGACACTTCCTCCGCAGACAGCTCCATGGCCTTGTGGAGAAGAAGGGGCTGGCAGAACGTCAATCCAATCATACACAGCCTAGGTGGAATAACTGCCAAGATCGACCATTTGAAAGTCTTGAAGACAACGCCGATGAGCGAAGATTTGCCGTTTTGGTTTTCTGGACGAAAGGTTAGCGTTGTACGAAATGTCTTGTCCGGATTATCAACCTTTGCTCCATCGGGAATCCAACAAATCACGCAAACGAGGCGACTCTAATCTCTTGTCTAGAGTATACAAATCTTCGACCTGCAGTGTCTTGCGGAAACCCATGAGGAACAGCGGATTTAACCACCAGAAAAATGCCCTATTGGCGAGGCCCGCGCATGCTTCTGCTGGATAGTGCTTATACTTGTCTTTGAGGATGGCTTTCTTCTGCCATGACTCCAACAGGACAAGAAGGGTCTTGATCCCGATAGCGAAACTGGCGACGACTGCCATCAATTTGTTAACATCCCCGCCGTCGCGCAGCCATAGCGTTCTTGTCCGCGCAGCATCAAAGGGGAGAGTGACCAGCAAATAGAGCTCCAACAGGAATGCCGGACGCACACTGCGAGAGTGCTCTATGTATGAAAGGACACAGAGAATTATGGATCCACAGCCCATAATCAGGTTGGATGCAAAGGAAAGCCTCGTTTTTTTAGCATTTGGCAGGGCCCACAGAACCGCTTGCAGGAACTGCAATGCGCTCCAGAGAATCCATGCAACCTGCTCAACACAGCTTGTTAGCATGAAGACACCGGTGAAAAAGGACACAGCCAGATTCAACACATACCGCCTTGTAGATTGGTCGCTTTGAGTGCTCGATCTTACTGGTGGTTCGAAGTAAGCCATATATCCGAAAAGGAGATATGACTATGGCGAGGACGATTGGTAGGATACCTAGAACGACTTCTTCGAAGAGCAGCGTGAAGTCGAACCCTCCTCGACAGGTCGATGCGTGAACCTTCCAAGAGTCGTCCACGCCGGTGCAATAAGTTGCGTGGTCTGTCATATTGAGAGGTAAAGATGAGGGTGAGGGTAATCGGATGAAGGAAGAGGTATGTCGATCTCCTTGAACTTCTTTCGGGGCCTCGCAGAGATATATGGCACACAAACTCGGCGCCGTGGATCTAACCTCGAGAGGATAATGAGGGATAGAGTCAAACAAATCTATTTTCGTCAACTCGTCATTTGTTCGAATATGGGATACGAGATGCTACTTTGTGGCAATGTCATCCATGACGAGCGACTGAGAGCTCAAGTGGATGGCCTCTGCTCATGGTCATAGTTCTCTGGCTCAATGATTCGCCAATGTGACTTCTGGATGGGGGCGATGAGGGGAATCACATCCTCCAAATTCTCCGCAGCAGACAAGGCATTGCCCTACTCACGCGGCCAGAGCTTGCTCCAGCCCGTGGCCGATAAAACCCTTTGAAGCGGCCCTAGGAGCGAGTACGAGTGAGTGTCCACACGTATCTAACCATGATTAGGGTATTGCATTGTAGATCGTCCTATGTATAGATATACAACCGGGATATCCATTTGGCCTCAGCCAGAGGTGGCTTGATTTGATGGCCCGGCTCGCGTGGTGGTTGGCTTGCTATGAGCTTAGCATTGCACACCTCGTATATCAGCGCAAACTAGAGCAGCAACGGAAAGCAAGCGAGCTCAAAAAGCCATAGATTCCTTGGCCGACGGGGAGGGTGCACAAATAACGGTGAAGGCGTGCGCCTCGTGGGGTGTGATGATCTGGCAAAGCCGTGGAGCAGAGCTCATGGCGTGCCGTTTTTAGAAGCCATGGGATTATTTTCCGCCCTCATCGTCGATATACGAGAAATAAGATGCAGGTTGCATATAGCAGGAACAGCCAATACTTGTTCGCCTTAACTGCCCAGCTCATCCGACACCACATTCCAGCTAAGGCAAGGGAGCAGAGGACACTCCCTCCAGCCAACCGGAACACAATAACGACACGGAACACGACCCGTTGACTAAAATAAAGCAGCTCCGATCAATCTTAGTGGACCTGTGCATCTGCCGCGTGCTGACTATGATTGATCGGGTGTCTCTCCGCTGGGCTGTGTCAAGCCCTACGGCAGGCTTAATGCCTCCATTTGCAGGCTTCGAGCATGCATTATTTTGGCCCCATTTTGGCAAGAATCAGGTCAATCTGGCTTGGCTACAGGCCATGGCGATTCTCTGTGGATCGTATTCGTGTGGGTGGTGCCGGTGTGTCATGCCGACGGCACCACGCAGATAGAAGGCATCTAACCGACTGTGGATGAGGTATCAACAGTTCTATTCGGAACTGGCTGTTAGCCAACTCTCGCTGTCTCTTGCCGTTTCGGCCGGATTGCAAAGGATCCGACTAACAGCGAATATTGGACCTGGATATCCGCAGCAAGTAATAGGTGGAGTCAATGTGCAAGTACAAGTCCGTCTTCCCGTGACTACCGTTAACAAACATGGAAAATGAAGCTACAATTTCCTCATTTTCAAGAGAATAGCACCAGAGCCTTGATGTCACAAAACTGCCCCGCAAATTTATTTTTGGAATCTTGGTGGAGGGCTGCGGCCTGCAATCGGATACGAGGTCGCCCTCCAATGGAGATGCACCTGTCAAGCTCTGCAGAGGTTTGTCGAATACGAATATCCATTTCGGCTAGTAACCTATCAGAAATTGTTTACCGACAAGACGTGGACTGCCGTAATGGATACCGATACTTCGGGGTAAAGGGAAAGAGGCTTTGAATCATTAAAGTTCACGAGTTCGTATCGCATCGACCTGGCTTTGCATCTTGCCCGCCATTTGCTTTTACCCGACTGGTGACCCTTTTTTTAGAAACAGAAAGAATGAAGATGGAGAAACTGCTTGCTGCTGCTAGTAGTTGGTACTCACTAGGTGCTGGAATAGCTTGGAGCTCGACCGATAGATAATGCAGCTGGAAGCCGACGATCAGGCAGATCAACCACGATCTATACTTCGACTTTGGTCCTCAGTGCCTTCAACTTTCTATACTCAATTTGAGCGAGCGACATTCAACGTTTATTGCATCTCATACTAGACTTTATCTTGTGCACAATCTTCTATCATACTTCTCCTATACCACCTCACTTGCGCATATACCCACACCAATATCCTGCACAAGTTTAACGACGCCAACGCCTCTCCAATCTGCTTACCAACAAAGGCAAAAGCATACTGCATATACCGCCTCAAAATACTGATATACTCCCTCGTTGATACCCTCTCAATACCTAAACAATGGCCCCAATTACCCCTTGCTGTTTGCCCAGGTTCGGCTCAGTCACCGAACTGTCACAAAGACCAATGTCCCTCCGCATCAATCCCAATGCTGGCGATGATGCTCACTTGTTGTCAGCGTGGCGTGACAACAAGCTGTGTGCAGTCATCCAAGTTACCTGGGGTCTGATTCTTAGGTGTTACACGGGTTCTGACGATGTCTGCTTTGGCTATCGATATGTGGACGCTAATGAGCAGATCAACCCCACCGAAGGATCATCCAACACAATGCAACCAACCACGGTGCAGTTGGTGATAAACGAAGGAGAATCCGTCAAAACGATGCTTGCTGGAGCCAATGGAGCAACTGTTGTTGACGAAGGCCGAAATGCCATCGTTGACAGCTACCGGCTCTACAACAGCGTTGTCCTGATCCGTTCGTACAGACCTGACTCTCAGGGAACTGTGGAGCGGTCGGGCGTTTCTCCCTTGACCCTGACTCTCCCGCAAGAGGTATGTGAACATTCTGAAATGCTGCTCTGCGCGATAGCCCTAAAATCTCGGTTACAGTGCCTCCTACGACTTCACGTTAAGGTTATTCGCGACAATGTCCGCATGTTCCTCGAATGGCGGAATGATGGCATGTCAATGGAACATGTGAAAGGTATCGCTACTCTTTTCCAAAACCTACTGACCAAGGTGCTCTCACCGGAGGATATCCCGGTGAGCAACTTGAATTATTTTACAGACCCAGATTCCCAGCGGATCAGCACTTGGAATGGTCCTGAGCCCCAGGTGCATGATCGTTGCATCCATGATATTATTAGAGAACAAGTTATTTCCCGCCCCCACGACGAGGCTATCTGTGCCTGGGATGGAAGTCTCTCCTATCGGGAGTTTGACCAAGAAGCAACCAAATTAGCCTACCACCTGCAGGAGCTCGGGGTTGGACCCGAAGTGCTTGTTCCCCTCTGCTTCGACAAATCTGTGAGTATAGGTCCCACTGCCTGCTGTTCTGCATGTCTAACGGAACATACACCTAGATGTGGTACTTTGTGGCTCTGCTCGCGGTTTTGAAAGCTGGAGGAGCTTTCGTTCCGCTCGATCCCAAGCACCCACCAGCTCGACTTCAGTCACTCATCAAAAAGGTGAATGCGAGGCTTGTGCTATGCTCCGAGTGGCACGCAGACCGCCTACTCGGCCTGACCGAAGTTGTCATTCCGCTATCACAAATGACTTTTGATCGCATTCCATCGGCACCAGTTGGTTTCATTTCCTCGGATGAAGTAAACTGTAGTAATGCTGCATATGTCATTTTTACTTCTGGATCGACTGGAGAACCTAAGGTCGGTGGCACTTACTGATGTGGTTTAATGATAGGAAACTGACATTTATCGCAGGGCACACTACTTGAGCATCGTGCATATTGCTCTAGCGCCATGGTCCACGGCCCCAGGCTTTTAATCTTCCCAGACTCAAGGGTGCTGCAGTTTGCCGCTCACACATTTGATGCGAGTTTGGCTGAATCAATTTCGCCTCTTATGCATGGGGCTTGCGTCTGCATCCCGAACGAAGAGGATCGGTTGAATGACATCGTCGGTGCCGTAAAGCGGCTGCGCGCAAACTACGCCTCACTTACCCCATCTTTCATTGAATTCATCGAGCCCTCTATGATCCCAGAGGTGAAAACCTTGATTCTTGCTGGTGAAGCAATGAGCGAAACCCACCGCACCAAATGGTCAACTATCAACTTGGTCAATGGATTTGGTCCCACCGAGGCTTCAGTAACTGCGGCTATTAATTCCAAAGTTACCGCCACTACCGACTGCAGAGACATTGGCCTACCACTGAACACTCGCTGCTGGATTGTCAACCCTGAGGATCACAATCAGCTTGCCCCTGTTGGTGCTGTAGGAGAAATGCTGCTGGAAGGCCCGACTCTAGCACGAGGATACATCAACAATCCGTCGAAGACCGCGGAGGCGTTTGTTTACAACCCGCAGTTTGTGAGGTGCATTCCCAACTCCAACCAAGGACGCCGTCGGTTTTACAAGACAGGGGATCTTGTGCGATACAATAGCGATATCGGCTCCTTGACATACATCGGCCGAAAGGACAACCAGGTTAAGCTCCACGGCCAGCGAGTGGAATTGGGTGAAGTAGAAGCTTGTCTGACATCAGACGCTCTTGTCAAACACTGCGTTGTGTTTCTACCCAAGGCAGGCTACGCCCAGGGCAAGCTCACGGCGGTCTTGTCTCTCACCCACGGTGATGGCCGGCAAAGCAAAGGAGAGCCACTGGAACTAATCCCACGAGAGATCCACAAGCAATCAGTTTCAGCCCTCAGGGAGAGGCTATCAGGTCGTCTACCTACATATATGGTACCTGCGATTTGGATATCGGTGGGCGATATGCCATTCCTTCCTTCAAGGAAACTTGACCGCAAGGGCATCCTGGCCTGGCTAAGCGGTATTAACCGCAATCCATATCTAGCCGAAACGGCACAAGCAACAGCCGACGCTGCAGTTGCACCAGTAAACGATGTGGAAAGCAAGCTCGTCCAGGTTTGGAGCCGGCTTCTGAATATTCCTCCTGAACAGGTCCCCTTGCATGAGAGTTTCTTGAAGCTTGGTGGTGATTCTATTTCAGCGATGACCTGCATGAACCTGTGTAAGAAACACGGAGTTACAGTCACCATGCAAGACGTTATTCGGAGCTCATCTATCAGGGATTTGGCCTCTCGAGCCCAAGTAACATCAAATATACCCTCTGCCTCTCACGAGGAGAAAGCCGAGGTGCCATTTCCCCTCTCACCAATTCAAGCTCTTCACTTCAAAGTTCGTCGAGAGGGCCAGGGATACTTTAACCAAAGTATCCTAACTCGGCTTAACCGACCCATCGAGGCTGACAGCCTGCGGAAGGCAATCGATTCATTGGTGCGTAAGCACTCGATGCTTCGTGCTCGCTTCGAAATTTCGTCATCCGACAATGAAATAAAACAGCGCATCACAAACGACGTCACTGGCTCGTACCGATGGTCCCATCATCATGTCGACTCCGAAAGCGATATTGATCCTATTGTTGCTGCTAGTCAGGGATCCATTTCTTGCTTTTCTGGACCCCTTTTTGCTATCGATCTCGTCGATGTCAGAGGTAGGAGGCAAGTTCTGTCGATGGTTGCACACCACCTCGTTGTCGATATTGTTTCCTGGAGGGTGATCCTGCAAGATCTGGAAGACACTCTCTTGAACCCTTCCCAAAACCTAGCTCCATATATGCCATTCCAGACTTGGCTTGAGTTACAAAGCCAGCACACGAAGCGAATTGAAGAACAGGAACCGGAGTTAGAGACGTTACCCGCCGCGGACTTCAACTACTGGGGGCTCGCACCAGCGGATATTGTTTATGGTGATGTTAGCTGCGCATCATTTTGCTTGGACGAGAATACAACGTCGCGCCTCATGTCTGACTGCCATGCACCTCTTCAGACTGAGCCTGTCGACCTCCTGCTGGGTGCCATGTTATTCAGCTTTGGCCAGACATTTGTCGACCGACCCCTGCCTGTCATTTACAATGAGGGCCACGGTCGGGAACCATGGGATACTGCAATTGACATCTCACGGACCGTCGGGTGGTTTACTACACTTTACCCCATTATGATAGAGAGCCCGAAGGATGCGGTTGAGGCTCTCATCCGGGTGAAAGACCGTCGCAGAAAGGTGTCTGACAATGGTCGCTCGTCCTTTTCGCGTCGAACTCTTCAACAATCGTCAAGCCAATGTGCCCATGACTGCCCAATGGAAATAAACCTTAACTATCTCGGGCAGCACAGGGACCTCCAAAGGGCTGATGGCCTCTTTCAGCTTGCAGAGCAGATGGTTGGTGAGACCCGAGAAGGAGGTGGCTCTGCTGACTTTGGTCGTGATACACCTCGCTTTTCCCTCTTTGAGATTTCCGCGGCGGTGGTCAATGGCCAACTGCGATTTGTGTTCTCCTTCAGCGCCTCTATGAAACGCAAAGACGATGTCCAGCGCTGGGTAAGATCTTTCCAGGACGTTCTGGAATCCTTGGCGATACAGTTGCCCACCCTGCCGCTTCAGCGAACCCTAAGCGACTTCCCTCTCATGACGATGACCTACCCAGAACTTTCCTTGTTGCAGACACAGAAGCTGCGCCGGCATGGAATACACTCAATGGATGAAGTGGAAGATATATACCCTTGCTCCAAGATGCAACAAGGTGTGCTTTTGAGCCAAGCCCGAGACCCCATGCTTTACGCTGTTTCAGGTACCTGGGAGATCCGAGCAGGGCCCAACGCGTCCCAGCCTGATGTGCAGCGTTTGGTGGACGCATGGAATAAAGTGGTTGACCGCCACGCTATGTTGCGTACAGTATTTGCTACTGGGCTTAGCCGACGTCACCCGTTTAGCCACATTGTTCTGAAGAAATACACGTCGACTCCAGTGCTTCTTCGGTGCACCAATGATCAGGATATCATTTCGGTGTTCAAGGAACAATCACCGGCAGACTACCGCTCAGCAAAGCCGGCTCATCGTCTTACGATCTGCCAGAGCGCCTCTGGAACCACTGCCTGCAAACTGGAGCTTAGCCATGCAGCTATGGACGGTAATTCTATCTCACTATTGCTCCACGACCTCCGAAGCGCGTATGGCGGTGGCTTAGATCAGAGAAGGAGGCCCCTGTTCAAGGATTTCCTGCTCTTGCAACGTCAGCCAAATAAACAAGGGATCAGTCACTGGTGCGACTATTTGTCTGGCTTACAGCCTTGCCACCTACCGTCGGACATGAACAAGACGACCGGGCGTAAAACTCTCCAGTCCATCCGCCTCGATTTTACTGATTTCAATAAACTGCAGTCATTCTGCTCGGCCAACAATATTACCGTGGCCAATGCGTTTAATGCTGCATGGAGTCTTACTTTGGCTGAGTTTTGTCAGACAAAGGAGGTATGTTTCAGCTACCTTACCTCGTTGAGAGATGCCCCGGTCCCTGAAATCGAATCCATGGTCGGCCCGATTATAAACCTTTTACCATGCCGTCTAAGAATCGCCTCACCCGACGTTGCTGAGATCGCACGACGTATTCAGGACGACTATATGGTGAACTATGCATACCGCGACGTCTCGCTGATCGATATACAACACGCCATGAAGTCATCCAGAGTGTCGCTATTCAACACCGGTGTTTCATATAGAAAACTCCCAAGTGAAAGCGGAGATGAATCATCGATGCAGTTCAAACCCGTTGGACGTATCCATGACCCTGCAGAGGTTGCCGTATACATTAACGTTGAAGCCACCGACAGCGATGCCCAACTCGACTTGAACTACTGGAGTCATTGGCTGTCGGACGCCAAAGCTGAAAAAGTTGCGGATTGTTTCCTCCGATCATTATCAGAAATGGCCAGTAAAGCGACCTTAAAATCAATTGAGAGGCCGGCTTCTTTATCGGATGATATCACACAATTTGGTCAACGAAGTAGACCTGCGGCACCAGAACCCACCCATTGCGTCCAGGCTCTCATCGAATCACAGGCAGAAAAAACCCCAGATGGCTTGGCTATCGCGACTGGGAAACGAGACCTGACTTATGGACTGCTGAACGAGTTCTCATCCGCTTTAGCTAACTACCTAATCAACTTAGGGGTGTTTCCTGGGATAGAGGTGCCGATTAGCTTCGACAACTCCGACTCTCCATGGGCTATAATTACAATCCTAGCAATTTGGAAGGCAGGTGCAATCTGCGTCCCCCTTGAGATGGATGCCCTATCGGAAGACGCCCACGCTTGGATGCAGGAAGCGGATCTTCAGGTTGCCATGTCCTCCCTGAACAGGGCAGAGTCTCTCGAGGAAATCACTCCCTATGTTATTCCGGTCACATATGAATTCCTTGAGGCCCTGGAGACCGGAGACTATGTCTCTCACAACACACCGCTAACAGACTCGGCCTACATTGCATTCCCACGAGAGCTGTCAAAACGCATTGTGCTCAATCACCGCGAGGTTGCAGTCAGCTGCCTTTCGACCGAGGAGGGGTATGTTCTGAATCAATGCCCCGCTACCCCGGAACTTGATAGTGTATCAAGCTACGAGTTTTTGGTCAAAACGTTCGGTACCCTTAGCCGCGGTGATTCTCTCTCTGCGCCAAGGAGCACGAGTGACCTGGTTCCCAAGGAACATCTGCTCCCATCTACACCACTTGTCCCTACGGCCACGGATGTACATGAGGCTAGTAACACTAGTCCAAACATTAGCAGTATTGGTACTCCTGCCTTGACGCCTCGCCACTCACAGTCAAGTCTCAGTTCTGTCTCCGAGATCGAGAATCGCGATAGCCACGCAAACAAGGACTCGGCAGAAACAAAACTTCGACGTATTTGGGCTGAGGTATTGGAAATCGATCCTGAGGACATCAACGGTGACGACAGTTTCTTCGAGCTAGGGGGTGACTCTTTGACGGCCATGAGCCTTGGAAGCGCCGCTCGAGCAGACGGACTCACGATAACGGTTGCTGATATCTTCGCTTATCCAGAGTTAAAGGACATGGTCAAGTGCTGTGAGACCGTTGAGATTCCCGTTAAGTCATCCCAAATAATTAAGCCATTTAGCCTTCTACTGGGTACCATAAACCGCGAAGAGCTGCTTGCCGAAGTGGCGAGTATCTGCGGCGTTTCGAAGTCCACAATATGCGATGTGTATCCATGCAGTGCACTCCAAGAAGGCCTGATCACTGCGTCATTTCGACAACCGGGGGCTTACGTCGCGAATCCCGTTTTGAAACTTGCACACAACGTCGATATTGACACGTTCAAGGCAGCCTGGCAGAAGACTGTTGACGAAATCGATATCCTCAGAACAAGAATTATCCATACTGCCGCTGCGAACTTTGTTCAAGCCGTCCTGAAACCTTCGCCAATTGACTGGGACCAGAGTGCATCTGATGTTGCTACTCGTCATGGAGGGCACTTGGCCGGGTATCGCATCATGGACACTGGATATTCACGGACATTCACCTGGTCTATTCACCACTCAATCTATGATGGATGGAGCTTGCCTCTCGTGTTTGGGAAGGTAGAAGAAAACTATTCGATTTGTCAGAATGCTTCACGGCCATCAGTTGGCAAGCAGATGGTTCCTTACAGCGCTTTTATCGACCACCTTCAGAAGCGTGATGTAGCGGCATCTGAAAACTTCTGGCGAACTTACCTACGCGATATCTCAGCGCCCCCATTCCCTGACATAAGAAGTGCCGGAGTGTCCAAAGTCATCTCCTCGAACCGCCTTCAAGTTAGCACCCACATTACTCCCCAGAGGAAGGATGTCACACTCCCGGCTTTGGTAAGAGCGGCTTGGGCAATTGTCCTTTCTCTGCACACTGAATCCGGGGATGTTTGTTTTGGAGAAACAATCATGGGGCGAAATATCGAAGTCTCTGGCGCTGCGGAGATTGCGGGCCCGCTGCTTACCACGGTGCCGACTCGAATTGCTGTTGATTCCAGTATGAAGGTAACCGAATACCTTGAGCGTGTGCATCAATCTACAGCTACAATTATTCCTCATCAGCACGTCGGACTCCAGCGTATCAGGAAGCTAAGCGAAGATGCCCGCAAGGCTTGCGACTTCCAAAGCCTCCTAGTCATCCAGACTGCCATGAAGGAGATGGATTCAGGCATTTGGTCTGTCGAAACTACCGAGACAAACCAAGAATTCTTCACGTACCCACTCACAGTCGAATGCAAAGTGTCCGAAACGGTGAATCTTACTGCGTACTTTGATGATCGGGTGATTCCAGCCTCGCGTCTCAAACGAGTCTTGGGGCAGTTCAGTGTCGTGTTGAACCAGCTTGCTGCTTCTCCGCAGTTTGATACCAAGCTTCTTTCTGACCTGGAGGTAGTTTCCGAAGATGACCGTACAGATATGGAGGCATGGAATCGTGAGAAACCAACGTTCGTGAACCGAACCATCCACGAACTTGTCAATGACCAGCGGTTGAAATACCCTGACTCGCCATCCGTAGCATCCTGGGACGGCAACCTATCGTACGAAGAGCTCCTTGACACGGCCTCCGAATTTGCAAAACATCTTTCAGGACTGGGTGTTGGTCCCGAAATGCTTGTCCCGATATGCATGGACAAGTCCGTTTGGATGATCGTGACGATAATGAGCATCCTTATTGCAGGTGGTGCATTCGTTCCCTTGGATCCTGCGCACCCCGTCTCCAGACACGAGGAGATCTTGGAGGAAACCGGAGCAAAGATATTGCTGTGCACACCAAAGTACCAGAGCCGCTACCTTGGTAAGGTAGCAACGGTGCTAGGCGTGGACCAGAGAACAGTGAAATCATACCAGGCTTCCCCTGCGAGTGTTTCCATGCGTGCCACCAGTTCCAATGTTGCATACGCGATCTTCACCTCCGGCTCAACTGGTAGACCAAAGGGCATTATTATCGAGCACCGGGCATTTACGAGCAGTACCATGGCATATGGTCCCATAATTCACCTGAAGCCTGGCATTCGCGTCTTCCAATTCGCATCTCTCACCTTTGATGCAGCGGTCATGGAAATCTTAGGCACCTTGATATTCGGTGGCTGTGTTTGCATCCCTAGCGACGAAGAGCGCTTGAATGACATATCAGGCGCTATCAAACGCTTGGATGCTTCTTGGCTTTTCTGCACCCCTTCACTGGCCAGCATTATGGAGCCATCGTCAGTCCCCTCACTGAAAGTCATTGTGTGTGGCGGGGAAATGATGTCGCACGAGGCTATGACCAAGTGGTCAGACAAAGTCCACTTCATCAATGCATACGGCCCAACTGAGACATCCGTCTACGCCACATTCAACCCGAATATCGGCAAAGACCGCAACCCGGCTAATATTGGTAAAACCATCCCATCTACTCACGCCTGGATTGTGGACCCGAACAACCATGACCGTTTGTACCCTGTGGGAACAGTTGGGGAGCTTGCATTGGAAGGCCCAGTGCTTGCACGGGAATATCTCAAAAACCCTGAAAAGACTGCAAGTGCCTTCATAACGAACCCTAAGTGGGCACGAGCCAAAGCCCACGGCAAATCCAATCGTCGTATCTATCTCACGGGCGACCTAGCACGCCTGACCGTCGATGGGTCACTTGAATACGTCGGTCGTAAAGACAATCAAGTGAAACTCCATGGGCAACGGATGGAGCTGGGAGAGATCGAATACCGACTTCATGAACACCCACATGTACGACACGTCGTGATTGTTCTCCCCAAGGCAGGGCGCCTACAAAAGCGCCTGGTCGCCATCCTTTCTCTGAACAGCCTGTCCACCGAGACTAGCCTTATATCCTCTGCCGGCTGCAGCCTCGTTGCAGAACACTTAATGGAGCAACAGGGTATGGCTGAGCTAATGGAGGTCCAAGGTAACCTCGCCAGCCAACTTCCACCTTATATGGTACCCCAAACGTGGGCGGTCATCGACTCGCTTCCAATGCTTGTTTCCGGCAAGATTGATAGGAAGAAGATCACTAGTTGGGTTGAGGCCGTGGATGATACCACATATAACAGAGTGATGAGAGGTTACGACAAACTCAAGCGCAGCAAGGCCGCTGTGTCAAGAACATCCGTATCGCGCAAGAAAGATGACACATTGTCCGTTTTGCAGGAAATATTAGCCCATGTTCTCAATACCCCAGCAGATAAGATTGACGTTGGCATGCCATTTACCAGTATAGGTGAGTATCAAGCAGTATTATTATCTTCCTGTGTGTGTCGCTGATAGAGTTCAAGGTGGCGACAGTATCACCGGAATGGCCCTTGTCTCCCATGCTCGCAAACGTGGTATTACCCTTTCGCTTCTCGGTATTCTTCAGGCAACGTCGGTGAAAGAACTAGCGAAGGCTGCTGAGACGGGTGTTAAGAGTCTGAACCAAACCGAAGATTCTGATAGTTGGTTTGATCTTTCCGCTATTCAAAAGTTTTACTTTGAGTATGCCGCGGAATTCAAAGGGTCAGCTCGCTTCAACCAAAGTATCACTCTACAACTGCCCCGTCGGATTGAACCCTCAGTTATCGCCAACGGACTCAATGCCATTACCAAAAGGCATGCTATGTTAAGAGCTCGATTCAGGCAGGTTAATGGAAGGTGGGAGCAGCAGATCATCGCAGTAAGTATCCAGACCTAATATTCCAGTCCCCTAGTTGTATCCTCTAACTCTATATTAGGCTGGTGAGCGTTGTTACAATTTCCAAGTCACTCCCTTGCGAGAGGAGCATGACCTTCAGCGCATGATTGCGATAACACAAAACAACATCGACCTTCAGAACGGCCCTGTTTTCGCCGCCAATTTATTCGAGGCCCCTGGCGTCGATCAGATCCTCTTCCTTGTCGCCAATCACTTATGTGTTGACATGGTATCGTGGCGCCTCATCCTTCAGGATCTCGAGGAGTTCGTTCACTCTGGCTCTCTTACACCCGACTGGCCGTTCCCATTCCAGAACTGGTGCGCGAAGCAACTTGAACACTGCAGAAAGGGCGACTACCAGAACCATCTCCCGTTTTCTCCAAAACCAGCCATGCCAGAGTACTGGGGCATGAAGAATGTCCCAAATTGCTATGGAGATGTGAAGATGAAGAAGTTCTCGTTGAGCACGAAGAAAACCGCTCTGGCGCTAGACAAGTGCCATGCACGCCTTAGAACTGAGCCACTAGACTTGTTTTTGGCCGTGCTGATGCACTCCTTCCGGAGGACCTTCGCTGATAGGGAAGTCCCAACTGTTTATAACGAAACCCATGGTAGACATCCCTGGGATGGTGATATCGACCTGTCAGGAACTGTCGGTTGGTTCACGTCCATATGCCCCCTTCCATCAACTCTGCCATCTGGTAAGTGCCCCACGATACGTTCGGATGATTTTGGAGCTAATAGAACCACCAGATGACATTATTGATACGCTCCGAATGGTCAAGGACGCGCGTCATAAGACCATCAATTTTGGGTCTTCCTTTTTCGCCCAGAGCGTCCTTGCACCCCAGAACGGAAATCAATCCTTACCAATGACCCTTCCGTTTGAGATTGTTTTCAATTACCTGGGCAAGCTCCAGCAGCTAGAGCGGAGTGACTCCTTGTTTCAACACTATGGTAGGGCCTATGATGAGAATGACTTCATGGTAGCCGGGGATATGGGTCCGCACACTCCTCGGTTCTCATTGTTTGAAGTCTCGGCGATCGTTATCCGAGACCAGCTCCAATTCTCGTTTACTTATAACAAGAATATGCAACACCAATCCCGGATCAGCCGTTGGATATCCGAGTGCGAGTCGACTCTTTATGAAGCACTCGACATTCTTCAGCATGACTCGCAGCTTGAAGCCATGCCCTCAGATTACCCGTTGTTGTCGACCTCACAAAAGAATCTGCAGGTACTCTTTAAAGAAACTCTACCAAAGCTCGGAGTCCACGACCGCGACCTCGTTGAAGACATATACCCTTGCTCGTCCATGCAGGAAGGGATTATGTTCAGCCAGCTCCGCGACCCCTCCGCCTACATTCTCCATACCATCTTCAACGTCAGGGACACACGAAACAACGAACCCATCAATATTCCACGGCTTCGCAAGGCATGGCAAATGGTGGTAAACCGCCATTCTATTCTGCGAACTATTTTCGTCGATAGTAACTCGAAGGATGGATCATTCGACCAAGTTGTTTTAAGGAATCTCCATGCTGACATGGTGGAGCTCGAATGCAACGACTCTAATATACTAGAGCAACTCAACAAGGTATCCCTTGGAGAGACAAACCGCAAACACGGTATGAAGCACTTGCACCAGGTCACTGTGTGCAAGGCATCCAACGGTGCGGCTATAATGAAGCTCGAGATGAATCATGCAATCATTGACGGAGCATCGGTTGGGGTCCTTCTGAGAGACTTTTCATTGGCATACGAGCGTCAACTCCCCACGCAGCCCGGCCCGTCTTATCGTGACTACATCGCACACATGCGCAGCCACGCCAGCGAAGACGGCCTTCAATTTTGGACTAAATATCTGCGTGGCGTTCAACCCTGTCATCTCCCAGCCTCTGGGCAAGGTACAAAGGAACTAAAGTCTGTCAAAATGGACTTCCACCGCTTTACAGAGTTAAGAAAGCTAGGTCAAAGAGAGTCAGTTACTCTCGCGAACTTGATACTTGCTGCATGGTCCATCGTGCTTCGGGAGTTCACGGGTACCCAGGACGTTTGCTTTGGTTACTTGTCTGCCGGACGTGATGCACCCGTTGCTGGTATCCAGGAGGCGGTTGGAATATTCATCAACATGCTCTGCTGCCGCGTGCAATTCTCACCGGGCCAGTCGCTAGCAGATACTTTCAAAGGAGTCCAGGATGACTTCTTCCGCAGCATTCCGTATCAATCCTGTTCATTGGCAAATGTACAGAGTGAGCTCGGCTTGGATGGCCAAATGCTATTCAACTCCGCTCTATCTATCCAGAATAAGATGCCGTCTGCTAATTCTGGGGCCGATGCATTGTCCTTTGATATCCAACAAGCGTATGACCCTAGCGAGGTAAGCGCGCCCCCTTATTCATATAGTAGTTTCCAGTACTGACCTCCAATACAAGTTCCCCGTCACGGTGAACGCGATGACCACGCAGGGCGGCGAGGGTATACTTCTCCGGTATTGGTCTACCGCTATATCGGATGAGCAGGCAAATCTCCTAGTGTCAGGAATCGCGCGAGTATTTGTTGCTTTTATCGAAAACTCATCAGGCACGGTTGAAACCGCCGGGAACCTTGTCGCCCCCGAGCCTCAACAACTCGGGCAGATGAGCGCTCAGGGCAGTCTTCGCCGGAGAAGCAGTGTCAGATCCAGATCTCCAAGGCTTTCAGTCAGCGATCCTCTTATCCAACAGCAGATCGATAAGCGGGTCAATGAGATCCTAAGCCGAGTTTTGAAGAAAGAGGACCTAGCCAAACTACAGGAACCCAGCCGTGATGAAACCACCCAACATCCAGCCAACACAATGTCCAATTCTGATTACCCAAGCGAAGTCCCGGTCTCGCCAGTCTCTCGTATGTCTTCCATACGCCGTCGTTTCTCAGTTATTTCTCGAACAAGCCGCCACCGAATGTCCATGGACCTCGAAAAGAAACTTTTGATGCTTTGGTCGTCGGCATTAAATCTACCCATCGACAGCATCGACCGACAGGACAGCTTCTTTAGTGTTGGGGGTGATAGCGTCAAAGCAATGAAGATGGCCAGCGCAGCTCGTGACGAGGGACTCGTAATGACTGTGGCAGATGTCTTTCGAAACCCAGTCTTTGACGATATGCTAGCCGTCATATATTCAACTGCTATTGTCCACACTGCTCCGATGGTCCCCAGTGAGGCCATTCAAGAGGAATACCACTCAGGGTCCAAAAAAGTTGGGGAAATCGTGGACGACAGCTTTCCCTCGGGCACGGTCTCCCGCCAGTCTCTTCATATTACGAATGTTCAGGACATGCCAATTGACTCGCTGCCTGACGATATCTGTCCCAAGGTCGGACTTTTCAAGGGAGGCATCGCCGACGTCCTTCCGGTGACTGATTTCCAAGCCATGTCTCTGACGGCCCAATTATTTGAATCCCGGTGGATGTTGAACTACTTCTACCTCGACGGCGAAGGGCAGCTTGACCTCAGACGGCTTCGCGAGAGCTGCGCCCGTATCGTTGATGCATTCGATATCCTTCGAACTGTCTTTGTGTGCTCAGGAGCCAATTTCTACCAGGTAATCCTCAAAAAGGTCCGGCCGTCTATCGCGATTTACGAGACTCAAACGGACCTCGACACCTTCACGGCTAGCTTGCAGCAGCGAGACCGGGACCAAGGCTTGCCGCAAGGCGAACAGTTTGTTCAATTTGTGGTGGCCAAGCGCCAGGGCACAAACCAACACCGTCTTCTCATTAGAATGTCGCACGCTCAATACGATGGCATGTGCGTTTCCAAAATCTTTGAAGCTCTTAAGCAAGGGTATGAGGGGGGCACTTTAGCCCCGGCTATGCCGTATTCCAGTTACATGCGCCTGCTACCAAGTTCCATTTCCGCCGACCATTACGAATACTGGACAAACCTCCTAAAGGGATCACGGATGACAGAAGTTGTGTCGCGAGATTATCCCAACAGATACCAGACTATGGGTGCCTCCACTGATGTTAGCACAACGATCAATATCGGCCAGAATTCAACGATCGGAAATATCACGGTTGGGACAATTGTCCAAGCGGCGTGGGCTCTTGCTCTTGCGCGATTATCTGCCGACGCCGATGTTATATTCGGTTTGACGACCAACGGGCGTAACGCATCTATTCTTGGAGTCCAAGATGTGGTTGGCCCCTGTCTCAACATTATCCCCGTGCGAGTGACATTTGGCAATAGATGGACTGGGCTTGATCTAATCAGATATCTCCAAGATCAGCTGGTTGCTACGATGCCTTACGAATCCCTTGGGTTCCGCGAAATCATCCAGCGTTGCACTGATTGGCATTGCAGCACATTCTTTTCGACCGCAGTTCTTCATCAGAACGTCGATTTTGAGGGTCAAATGAGTCTAGATAACACCCAGTATCGTGTCGGTGCGGCCGGGGCAGTCGACAACTTGGCTGATCTCACTCTGGTCTCCAAATCCCTAACACCGAACCAGATCAGCCTCACATTAGGATACTCCTCTACGGGGCCCATCACAGAGATTTTCGCATCTCGAGTACTTCATCTGGTGGCCGACACCATCGTCACCCTTACTACCAACCCTACTGCTCCGCTTCCATCGCCGACCACCCTCCGCTCCCTCCCTCCCCAAACTGTCCCTGATCTCCCCAGGATCCCTGACCACGAGATTCTAACTTCCCAATTGAAGAGTCAAAACATCTCCGACATCCTGCTGCATTCCGCCATCCTCAGCCGAACCTGGCAACAGGTTCTGCCTGCTATGCAATCCAACCAGAAGACATTCCAACTCGACACCTCTTTCTACGATTTGGGCGGTGACATCTTTGCTCTCGGTCAAGCAACATGGCTTCTCCAACAAGAAGGGTATCAAATCCGCATCGAGGACCTACTTGATCGACCCACGTTTCTGGGACATATGGCAGTACTGGCGCACGATGCTATGGGTCAGGCTCTCCACGAGGACTCGATCAATGCGCAGCGAGAAGAGGCTCCCACTCCGGCCGAGAAGGCCGAGAAGAAGGTTCGGTGGAAGAAGGCATTCGGTATTATGGGCAAGTTCTCCAAGAGGGAGAGTATTTCATCATAAGCATAAATTGCTTTTCATATGTTGTTGCATTTGGAACCTGGAGCTTCCCTCTTGCAAATTGCTTCCTTGTTTTGATTTTACTGTCAAACTTGTGTTTTTCATGTTTCCCTTTTAACTAGCTTTTTTGGACTGTTATTTAGCGTATTCAGTTTAGCGATTTCTAATTACAAATGGTAGATATTTATGTACCGGGTTCAATGAGTTACAATTGTTGCTCCTTCCTTATACAACAAAGTTCATCGTGTCCCCGGCTCTTTCCCTCGCCCATAGTGTGAATTTCAGCCGAAAGGGAACCAGCTATGGATTCCCGTTCTGTCCCAGGCAGGATCGATAGGGCTCATCGCTCCTTCCCTTTCGTGTAATCTATATTTGCTACTAGGCAGCCAGGTTAAAGCTCCAGGGGAGTTCGATGGGTTCACATGTTCCCCCGTTGTGGTGAATGAAGAGGAGAATCGTGGTTAGAGATCTGCACACGGAAATGTGTTCGAGCAGCTCCTTCTATTAGGCAGACGTAGTACTGCTAAGCTAACGAGACTGCGCGTGTTGCCGGTCATACCGAATGACAACAAGTGTCGGCCATAGCTGCAACCCGACAGCACCCAACATCAAGCAGCCCGCAAATATCTGAGCGCGCAAGAAATATGCCTCTGATAAATTGACCAATGAGCCCGCGATGGGTGTCCCAATCAACGAGCCTATAGAGCTGATACCCCACATCATCCCCATTCTTGTTCCGAGCATTTTTATATCCGGGCACAGAGCAGGGTGAGAGATAATGGATGTTGGTCCGGTCACTATGACGCCGGTCAAAAACCCCCAGTAACAGCACCACACGATAAAGCCTGGAGTGTTTGTCGCGGGGATCCATGTGAACATGGCAATTGCCGCTCCCGCCACGCAGGCCAGGAGTGTGCATATGGGCTTTACCCGCTGGCCCAATAGGTATGGTACTGTTCGCCCAAATGCTGACGCGCCGTTGATGATGGCTAACATGTAAAAGGAAAGACTTGTTGATGTCCCCAATACTGTCCGTGCATAAGAGGCGACGTAGAACAAGGGGATCCAATAACCAAGCATCACAAGTAGCAAGGAAACCGAGAACATCATATATGGAACGTCCTTAAACGCTTTCCAATCGACGAGACTTCGAGCGCCGACTTTTTCACCCGATCGGCGACATAGCACCGCGCACGTAATTATGGCGAGGAGCAGGTTGATGAATGCGATGCAACGCACCGTCCATGGGAATCCAATTTTTGGTTGGAGCTGCCGGAACATGATCGGAAATATGACGCTTCCCACACTCGATCCTATCGACGCACAACCAATGGCAATCGGACGCTTAGTAGTAAAATACATGGATATCACCACCAGTGCGGGGATGTAGGCGATACCGCCACCAATTCCAACGCAGAAGCCTTGGGCTAGGATAACTTGGTAGTACTCCGAGGCCAGGCTAGTCATCATCATTCCAAACACAATAAGAAAATTTCCCGAGACGATGAGGATACGAAGGTGGCCCAGGTCGACCAAAGGCCCCGAAACAAGGCCAACCATAACAATGAGCGTCGCCTGGATACTGCCAACCCAGGATACCGCAGATGGTGACTCGTCAGAGAGTAATTGTGTCTGATAAAACTCCTGAAAAGCGCCATATGTACTGATTATTCCCCTGGATAAAAGTTAGGTTGCGTTTTCAGGCCTGCTCGCTTCCGACTCACCAGGTATTGACAAAAACGCAAAATACCGCCCCAACACTAAGCCATGCTTCAAAGCCACCGTTTGGAATTACCTTTTGCGACGGCACCTGTCCCTGAGGCTCGGCCTGTGGCCCAGCCAAAGACTTTTCGCCGCCTTTCCTAGAGATGTTGTCTTGGTCTGGTGATCTGCCTCGGAAGTCTGCCGATGTGATGCTCCCTCGGCCATTTGGCGACATCCTAATTGGACCGCGACTTGCGTAGCACAGCAATGTCCAAGGTTCCTACCTCTGGCTTATATTTCAGGGACTGTTGCGATTTATAATCACTAATCATTGACAATGGGGTGCGAGAAATGGCGCCATTTCCCCGGGCGGGGGAGTCAAGGACCCCTGGAGGTTCAAGTTCGGCCAGCGCCGCCTGCTTGTGGGGTATCGGCTAAATGACAAGCTGAGCCGTCGTTCGGCTGGGTGTACCGGCATTTGACAATAAATTAGCTTTGGTCTGTCATTCGCGTCGAGCGCCCTTAATCGCCATTATATAAACCGTGCTCCTGAGCGTCGACACCGACCACTTGCGTTAGTAGTGTTGCGGCATGGGCACCAAATGAGGTTTATTGACATGCCATCATGTTGGCAGCTACCGTCATGACCATGGATGAATTGCCAATACAAGGTAGGTATTTCCAAATTGCCCTGCCCGATTGAATGTCTCAACTGAACGGCATGTTATAATATGCATTCTGCCATAACGCCGTTTGGCCGAAGGGCTCCGCCATGAGAGCATCGTCTAGGAGATTATTACCAGCATCTTCAATAGACCACGAGAAATCCCCCCAGGGCATATCCGGCCTCCCATTACCGGCCATTAGCGCGTCCTGCATGTAGGTACTTGTATTGAGTCGTGGGTTATATGCAGCGGATACCATTTGCTCCTGGGGAACCCAGCTGGTTGATTGGGGTATCGCGTCTGAAGTTGCCTGCACATGAGATTGACGGGGTTGGGCTGTGGGGAGGTTACGCCGAACATGGATCTTTCCCAGGAGAGGCACAACGACCGTCAATTCGCGAATAGACTCCGCGTTACTGTCCTCTTGTTGCAGAAGATTCCGTAGGGCACGAAGCGAAGTGGCACCATGCCCTGCAAAGCCAGAGCCAGCTCCATCTTTCGACTTTTCTTCCATTAGTTCAATAACCCCCTCCACTACGCCCTCGAGGCGGGCCTTGTCAATTTGAAAGCTACAGTTATCGGCGGAGGGGCAGGAATGAGCTGTCAGGAGTAGGGACACCATAGCTGCAAAGGCCTGCAGATCAAGCAGTCGCAGAGTAAAGAATCCAGATGGAAGCTTCCGCCGGAGGAATTTGTATCGTTGTGCGATAGACTCACAGGCGTCCATACAGGCTAAACGACTGTACAGATACTCCTCACTTTGATCTTGTCGGAGGGCGACTGGAAGGTGTGCCTTCATGACAATACAGTAATGCATATATTGAACAATATGATCCGGTTTCAGGTCATCATCCATATTGATGACCCACCAAGACTTTGGGGTCTGAGAAGCGAGGTCCCTTGCCTCGCGAGCAATTTCCAGCGCCGAAGTGTAAAGCTTTGTGGTTGAGCCTTGTGAGACGCTGAGGTCTTCCAGATCGTAGATTTTAGGCGTGATATCGACTAGGCGGATCATATATATCGCAGGCTGAACAACACCGCCAACCACAATAGGATCGGGATTCCGCACCGGATATCGTTTTGTATACGGCGGTAAATTGATGAGCATTCCGGCCAGCCGATCGACGGTGCAGATCATCTCCCAGTACTGGAGCTTCTCGTTCTCAGCAGTTTGATCTGCAGCTCCATTGGCCTTTTTGATGCGAGCTAGTTGTGCTGCTTTGGGCAATCCCATGAGCTCAGCAAGGGCGATAAGATGCCGTAACCTAAGCCAGGCCTTCTGGGGATTGCCTCGTCCCATTTGCCTAATTATAATTCTGAGTCAGATTCGTGCCGTTTTGAATGTGTAGATACGATCGTGCTTCAAGCATTCTGGAGAGGGAAATCGCGGAGATCGCTTACAGCCGAATAAAGTGTATGGTCATTCCCAGACCTTCAAGCGTTCCAACTAGCCGATCGTGGGTCATAATGAAGTTTTCAACGATGTCCGAGACGGTGCGGGCAAACACAATTCGCTTTTGATAGCTTGCAGCTTGGGCCTCCGGCGTCCTGGCCCCTTCAGGGACTTGTTGAGCCGTAATCGATACTGTCAATAGCCATGAAGCCAGACGTATAACACCAACATCTGGTCGACACATCTCTTCATAGTCCGCAATTACCTCCTGATTCGAATTGAACTGGGATGGCTGGGGAAGCATAGAATGTATCATTTGTAACCAGTCGTAAGAGCAAGACAACATTTCTACTGTCTCCTCTTTGGTTGGGATCAACTTTTGCAATGATGGTCGCAGACTTTCCTCAAGGTGAGCAGAGGCCTTCGCCCGTCGCTCCTGCTGCTGCTCGTTGCGCCGATCCGTATCAACACTCAGCCACTCGTTTTGAAACAATGAGCGTAGATGTGACGGCTCTTCTGCAATCAGCATCTCTGACGCGGTGGATTCTGCATCAGAGTCGTCGGAACCGGGCGAATGAGTGGTGGGTCGGTCAAGTTGAGTCGACCCAACACCCCCGAGTTTAACCTCGATGTTGTTGACAATCTTGGTTAGTCTGCTAACCTGAGATTCTAGCTGCGCGATCCGGTACCGCGAGGGCAGCCGCTGCGATTGTCGCGGCCGGCCACTTGACGTCTGAGCGACACAGGCTGTATTGCGCTCTGTGCACTGGCGGCATGTTGGGGCATCCTCGGGGATGCGAACGCAGCGAACTTTGCGTCTTCTACCTGCATGACTTTAGTCTGTAACTAAATCCGGGGAAGCGATTGATAAGAAGTACATTCGGTGCAGCTCTTGGTGCCCTTTCGGACGGAGGCAGGACTCTGTGCGAGCATGGCGGCCACGTGGAAGAAACAGGCATTCGTCCGAAGCGGAATCCGTTACACTGCGGTCAACGGTGCGAGAGGGCAAGTATGTGCTAATAAACCAATAATTGGATAATGATAATGCAGGGAAGAACGTGGAGAAGGGATCGTGAAAGGCGATCGAGGCGGCGACGGACGAAAGCGGACGAAAGAGTCGGCCTCGGACATCGGACCACGCGAGTCCGAGCAGGTCTTTCCCCATCGGGCAATCGCTTCATTATCGCCGGGAGTCTGTCGGTGTCACCAGTTCCCTCGATTGGCCAAACCTTTGTCTGGCATTCATTCACTTCTTGTCAGCAAGATCCATCGCTTCTCTACGAAATCAGATCTGTTTCGAGTCGGAGTCGGCATCTCGCCCCTTCACCGACTCCGTGTTGTGCCTTCCCAGTGCCCAATATATAATGGACAAGGTACCCAGTGTCTTTGCACTTTGTTGACACTTCCACAAGAAAACCACAACCTTCCTTCTCTTTTCTCTGTTCGTCGACTCGACCACACCCCCCTACCCGAATCGTCGCCTCGTCCTCCTTCAAATCTAGTTCGCGTCGAATACGGCGCCCTAAACACATACCGCACCATGTTTTCATCCCTCGAGAAACGCGGCGGCCCCTACGCCTCGACCGCTGCTGGTCTAGGGGGGCTTCCCAGCAATATTCCCGATACAGCTATTTGCGCAGTCTTCATGGCTCTTTACATCTGCTTTGCAGCCATCAACATGACGATCTTGCAGAAGAACAATAGAAGAAACCATAAATTCATCTTGTCTGGCATGATGTTTGGTTTCTGTATGGCTCGGATCACAACCCTCGTCCTGCGCATTGTCTGGGCCAATCGCCAACACAACGTCCGCGTTGGAATCGCCGCAAATATCCTCGTCAATGCTGGTATTCTGTTGGTCTACATCATCAACCTGATCCTCGCCCAACGTATACTCCGTGCCAAACAACCTCGCATCGGTTGGCACCCGATCCCACGCACCGGTGGCAAGGTCTTCTACTATTTGATTCCCGGTGCCCTGATCATGGTTATCACGGCTACGGTGATCTCGATGTATACACTCAACCCAACGGTCCAGGTCCGATGCCGCGATGTGCAACTGGCCGCGATTACCTATTTGCTTGTCTTCACTTGCCTCCCACTACTCCATGTCATTCCAGCTGTTGTCTTGCCACGGTCCAAGGACGAAGAGACATTTGGGGAAGGCAGCATGAACGCAAAGGTGCTCATCATTAGCCTTTCCAGTTGTATGTGCATCTTGATTTCGGGCTTCAAGGCTGGTACGACGTGGAGTCCCCCGAGACCGGTGTCAAACCCAGCTTGGTACCATGGCAAGGCAGCCTTCTACGTTTTCAACTTCGTGCTGGAGATCCTGATTCTGTGTCTGTTAACTTTCAGCCGCATCGACAAGCGATTCCACATTCCTAACGGATCCACCAAGCCTGGCGACTATAGTGGCATGGAAAGGAAAGAGTCTGAGGAGCGGGAGATTGCAGCCGAGCCCAAGGATCAGGCTTAATTGCTAGTGGCGGCGACGACAGTAACGAGATTGTACATGTATATTCATTAGACATACCCCAGTATAGATAGCGGTTACATAATACCTAATTAGATGACCTCATAGATTCACATCCTCATCACAAATCTCCCATGCTGTTGTGCACACACACTAAGCTCACAAGCACCCTTTTTGCTTATTATCTGCTGGCCAAGGCCTGGGGCTGCAGGAAATCCCCGTTGTCGCGTGGATGCGGCGACAGCGTAGGATCGCGGCGAGTCGGCGCTTAAATCTCCGACTCTCGCTCGCACGAACGGACCAACACTTTCCGGCTCCTTTCGCTCTTCTTCTTCGTCCGTTCTCCGTTCAGCCCGACGTCTTTAACTCTCTATAATAAAACCTTTGCGATCGACGTGTCATTCGACGTCAGAATTTTTATTCTGACTGGGCTCAACATGAAAGGTGTGACTCTGTGGCACAATGCCCCTCTTTGTTTTGGAAGGTTGGATGACCGATGCCCTGCTAGCGACGCTGTCTAGGCACTTATTTGACAACAAACGAGGGTTTGTTCTTGATCGCATTCCAGACTGGTCTGGACCGGTGCTATTTACGGCCTAGTTTGCAAAAGCATGCCAAGGCATCTTTGGCCTGACCTTTTCGCTTTTTTAGCTACGTTCCCCAAGATTAGGCCCGATTTCGTTTCCCCACTGGAATGGGTGCAAGATCTCGTCCATTTCCTCGCGAGTCGCGACCTCTGCCAGTGATGTTCCTTCGTGTCAAAAATGAGTATACAATGCGCGTTCTCCTCCGCAGCTCCCGAGATATTCTTTGGTGAATTTGGTCGTCCATTCAATGTGATACATGTGCAAATGGTTGGAGACTTGCAGCAGCGCCCTGCATCAACACGAGAAATGCAAGAGTCACCACTATATCGACAGGGGACAGTCAAACCTGTCCTCTCGAAAATCGACGAAGCTGCACGATCTGGGCTGATGTCTCACTCGGAAACCAATCCCCACGAGTGCCAAGGGCGTCTTGTTGCAGGCAATCTGCATTCGCGTGTTTTCCAATTGCAAAGCTGCAGGTCTCGTCCAATGGAATGTCTCATGGATCCGAGCTCGATTTTTGGCCATTGTCGCGAAGAATTATAAATTGGGGGGCTGAACTGCTGCTGTTTGCTCTGTCTCCTCTTTTCAAAGTCATATCCTTGCCAATGTTGCTCCTCACGCTGTTTTTCGGCCTCGTTACCGGCCAAAGCGATGGTATGTTGACTCTACTTTGGGTGTTCCTAACATACAGAGTTGACTGGTCTTAGGAATCACCAGCGATCAGTGGCTCATAACTCTCAACACTTCAATCTTCTGGCCCACGTCTACGGACTACTTTTATGGCCCGACTACTGGTCCCAGCGCCTCTGTGGTGTCATGCAATGCTGCCTGGGTGGAATACCTTGGACGGTCCTCTGGTTTGCGGTCTCTAGGGCCTACGGCCACCACCACCTCGTTGGGATCATATGCCACAAGTGAGGGAGCGTGTCGTACCTCAGTCTCCGCTGAAAGATGGTCAAATTCTCATGCCGGGCCTCTCACCACGCTATGCGATGACATCCCTCGCGCACTAGGACCCAGAGAAACGGTAACAGCGTACTACCCCGGCATGGGCCCCTGTGTGACGGGATACACTACTTACACTAACACCGACACCCTTTACCGCGAGCCATCACCCGTCCCGGATTGTCCTCTGGAAACAAGCGAGTGCATTCCTATCTGGGAAACATACTCAAGCCGTTCCAACTCTTACTGGGACTCAATAGTCACATCAATTCCTGGCGACACTAACAGCCCTATCCGGCCGGGCGAATGCCCCCAAACATTACGTCAGTACCCAGAGGAAAACCCCTGCTCGAATTGTCACTTCCTCCCCGGGACTGCCACTCTCTTCTACTGGCCTGTCACTACCGCCGATGGGGACCTCTGTCTGCAGAACGGAACCACCCTCCCGGCATCGGGTCCCAGTACCGCTGTTGTCAACGGAGAAACCTTCGTCTCCCCAACTGTTTACCTGTCTTTTACCACCATATACGCATGGAGTAACCGCCGCGGTCACCCGGGGAGCCAATGTGGTGTTGACCACAGTAATACTGTCATCTCTGTCAACCCAAGCACGCTATCTTCCATACGCGGCCACCGGAACGCTAAATACCCGGTTATCGGGACTTCCTATCCGTTCAACTTTGCCGAGTTTATGACACAAGATGTAGGAGAGTACACTCAGTCGCTGGTCCCGTGGCCCCAGTACCGAGGGGGGCAGCAGTGCCCACTTGGTGACAGCGACACCTGCACAATTATCCGCGATGACTATACGCCCTGGGTTAAACTTCCTGAGGAGGTCCGCGGCATCGATGAGGGCTGGTCGGTGTGTGACGATTCTTGGTATATTCCACCTGTGACGATGGTTGCGCTTGACAAGGAAGAGATTGTGATTACACCCACTCCGGCGCCCACTGAGGAGGCTTTTTCAGTGGCGGCAGCTCCTCATGAAAGACTCACCGCAGCCCCAGAACCAACCCGTGGTTGGTAGGGATAAGATGTCTTCCCAGTAAACGTATCAGACTAAGTAAATCAAATCAGCGGATAAATCTAAAAATCACCCTTAACTCTATATACTGTTATCTACAAATCCAAGTAAAATATCACCGAGGTTCCGACCAAAATTCAACCATTATATCCCCAACTGCTCAACTCGCAACTCCTCTTCAGCTTGCACCTGCATCGCGACTCCTCCCGCAGCCATCGTCCCGGAATACACTGCCGGCGTTACAGCCTTGACCGGACCAGCAACGTCTCCTACTGCAAAAACGCCCGGTAGGCCAGTCTCGAAGAGCGGCTGCGATACCTGGATGTCACCTTGAGCAGTCACTTCCAGTCCCAGCTGCTCCGCGAAGGGTCCATTGATTTCACTTGCTGCGGCGTAGACCTGTAGGCATTAGTTCCCATATAACACCAAATAAAAAGGAATATAAGAGAACAAAAGAAACAACATACAAGGAACCCCTCAACCTTGAAATTATCCCCATTCTCATCCCCATCCTCAAAGTGCACCTTCACCTGCGCACCAACATCCATCTTCTCCAACCTTGCAATCCGTCTCGTATCAACCACCGCATTAAGCCCACCAATGCCACCACGAAGCTCAGCAGCAAGCTTATCATTCCCATTCGTGTAAACAACAACACTTTCAGAAAGACGCAATGCCATCCGAAGAACATGCAGAGCCTTGTGAACATCCGCAAGAGGACCCATAGCTAGAAAGCCGACACTTTTCTGGCCGCGCTCTTCGAAGCCGTCACAGAAGAGGCAGTGGAATCTGGATAGGAATTAGTTAGAACCGTCGTCAATGCAGTTGGGTGCCGCTATCCTTGAAATAAGAACAAACGTACATTCCCCGTCCCCAACACTCATCAAATCCTTCAATATCCAACATCCGATCCTTGACGCCCGTCGCAAGAACCACTTTCCGCCCATGCCAGGCCCTCCCGGTTACATCGACGGCCTCAAATATAGAGAGTTCTTTCTTCGCATCCTCGCTGCTGTTTCTGCCATCGCCGCTAGTGCCCTTGCCAATAATCATCTTTTGGATACTCGCAACAGCGACATCGGCAAACTTCACCGTCTGATACCGGGCCAGGAGGTCTGCGCGCCCCTTCTCGCGGAGCTTTGCAGGGCTGACATGGTCCCACCCGAGGACGTTGTGCATATGCTCTGCGCGGGCATTACGATAGACGGCTGAGTCGAAGACAATGGCTGTATGTAGTTGTCGGGCGAGACCTATTGCGGTGGATAGACCGGCGGGGCCGGCGCCGATTATGAGGGCGTCGAAGAGGGTTACTGAAGAAGACATTGCTAGGAGGGGGATTGTCAGGTTCATCAGGTGTATCGATTAATGCGTGGGTGAATGCGCAAATAAATTATGTTTGCTCGAGAGCAGGGTGTACTTCAAAGGGGGAGAAAGGGCGGGTTTTATAGATAGTGAGGCTGATTCGTGCTGGGTGATTCATAGTACACACAAGGCACCCTGATATTCGAGTCACGAAAGTCTGCGGAAGTCTCCGAGTGGCCAGAAGGGGTTTTCTATTGGTATTCTGTCTTGAAGTATAGTTACTAAGTATTATCAGGCGATGTTTGTTGTATTGACTGGAGACGGAGACATTCCATAAACGCTCCGAGAGTTCTCAATTACGCTCATTTCTCACCTCCAGGGTCCTTTTTGGAACTCCAGTTCTCAGTATAGTGTAGTTGATTTTATCATGTCTTCCTCGAAATGTGTAAGAATAAATACTCCTGTAAGATAACCAGAGAAAACAACGGGACTCAGCAGAGATTTCCGATTTTAACACAGCCAGCAAGAAAAAAACCAAACAAGAGACATATCACATCAACTTCGCATAAACCTTCCCAGCCTCATCCAACTCCTCCTCGCTGTGCCACATATCCTTGAATCTCTGGAGTCTGGAATTCCTCCGCTGGCGGCGCAGCTGGGGTTGGTTCTGGTTCTGGTTTTCGTCCTGGCTCGTCGAACGCTCAAGGCCCTCGGGCTTTTTGGTATCAGCCTCTCCCTGGCTGGAACGACGCGAGAGCATGCGCTCCATGAACATCTCGTTTTGTTTGCGATCGGGTTCTGCCGACTGTTAGTCACCGGTCTGGGAGTCAAGATCTGACAGTCAAGAGAGCTACAGCGGACCTTCAGGCATGATCTCGTCTCTAGTGCGGTATAGTTGTAATTGTCCAGTATCAACTTGTCTTTCCTACAAGGCTGAAAATGCGGGGAAGCTCAGAGCTCTTGTATTGCAGCTTCACGTGCGGTCGGTCTCTCGTGGCAAAGGCCCAGTTGGACGCAGTCGCCATACACGTCACCACCGTCACCAGTCTAGAAACACAAAACAAACGGAACCAATCGATGTATATTACCCAACCTGATATTTCCAAGGATAATCCATCTATCCAAAATCCAATGAGATCAATCAAAGCTTCGCCCCTCCCTTCTCCAGCTCCTGCTCGGTCCACTCCCAAAGCCTCTTCCCCATCTCCTCCCCCACAACATACCGGTTACAGGTCTTGCTATTGCCTACGGGCATATAATACGCCCCGTTAACAAGCGCGTCCTTCTTCGCGCCAAACCCAGCCCAGAGCTGATTCCATGCGCCCTGCTCAACCGCTGTCGTGACAAGTCCAAGTCCTTTGATCCCGGCCCGCACAATCGGGTTCGTCTGTCCGACCGGCCCATACAGATCCGTTACAATGATCCCAGGGTGCAATGAGACAGCCGTGATGGAGGGGTGCCGACGCGCGAGTTCCGACGCGAAGAGGATATTCGCGGCCTTGGAGGCGCCGTAGCGCGCGTGCGTGTTGCAACTCTTAAGCCGCTGCTGGTCGAGGATGGTCTCGAAGTCCGGCGCGAGGTTGTGCCCGATCGAGGAGAGAGAGACGACGCGCACGTCGGCGGCCGGGTCCTCTGCTGTGCGGAGGAGAGTCGGGAGGAGTAATCTTGTCAATAGGAAGTGGCCGGTGTGGTTTGTCCCTAACTGGATTTCATGGCCGAGATCGGTTTCGCCTGGGGGCAGAGACATGACGCCTGCGTTGAGGACGAGGACGTCCAGGCGGTCGGCTTGCGACTTGAATTTCTCAGCGGCATCTTGAACGGACTTTGTTGATGAGAGGTCTAGTGGGATCCAGGTGATTTTGGCATCTGGGGCTGTGGATTGGAGCTCGGAGATTGCCTTTTGCGCCTTTTCTTCAGACCGTGCGGCGAGGAAGACTTGCTCTGGGTTGTGCTTGAGAACTTGGCGGATGGTTTCTTTTCCAAGACCGGCGTTTCCTGCGACTTGTGAGCTTCGCGCAGTTTGCAAGCTGGGGTATTCTACCAACCTCCTGTAATGAAAACAACCTTGCCCGAAAGGTCTGGAATATCGCGCTCGGGGCGAAAGCTGACGCCGCCAATGTAGTTGGTGGGGTTCACGTTTGCCCAGACGAACTCTGCTGCTGAGGTGATGAACATGGTCGCGATAGTTGAATTTGGAAATTTTTAGAGATGGACGCCGGTTTATTTAGCAATGGACAAGTCCATAATATGCCGAGCCGGTGGCGGGTCTCCTGCCCGGTCACAAGGAGGTGGGAACGTCATCTTGCCATTAAGGGTCTGGATTCTGGATGTCGAGCTATGCAGATCTGGTTCATTTTTGGAGAGACTAGCGAGCATCCGAGGTTGACTGTCGGTTGCCAATCTTGGCTGAGGTGGTGTTGCGAAGCTCGAGCTGGTTCCATCGAAATCTATCCATAACTATGCACAATATGCATAATCCCTCTTTAGGATTATGCATGTTTCTATACAACAGCTTCATTTACTGTCCCTGATCTCTTCCAATCTCCTCACCTGCCTCCCCTGCTCATCGAAATTCCCCTCATCAAGCCAACCCTCCAGCCCCCTCTTCACGCCCTCCCACTCCTCCCTCACAATCGAAAACCACGCCGTATCACGATTCCTCCCCTTGATAACCATATGCTGCCGAAAGACACCCTCAGGCTGGAACCCCAGACGCAGGGCCGCACGGCGCGAAGGCTCATTCAGCGAGTTACACTTCCACTCGACCCGCCTATACCCCAAATCATCAAACGAATGCTTCAGCAAGAGATAAAACGCCTCCGTCGCGCCCGTTGTGCGCTGGATCGCCTTGGTGAAAGCCACATGCCCGATCTCGAGCCTGCGGTGTTCCGGCACAATACTCATCAGCGAAAGGTACCCGATCGGCTTCCCGGCTGTGGGAGAGGCGGACGAGGGTCTGCTGTCGATTACAGTGAAGAACACCGGGTCTGACGATGTGACTCTGGCAGCGAATTCCTTCCGCAGCTGCGCCGCGTCGTCGTAGGGGCCATCGGGCATGTAGTCCCACAGCGCTGTCTGGTCAGGATGGTTATTATTGACGAGTGGGAAGAGTTCGTCTGCGTGGGATTCCTCCAGAGGGATTAATTTGATGGATCGTCCCACCAGGGTAGTTGGTGATGGACGGGTCGCTTCTGGCAGCAGAACGCTGTCGCCTAGCGGTCGGTGAGACATTTTCGGCTTCTATTTTGCTTCTTCGTCTGGCCCCGATCCTGCAAGATTTGTGTAGAAGTGAAGAAAGTGCTGCCTGGAATCCTTATAAATACGCAGGTGTTGAGTGAGACTGATCGATCTTGACTCATAGACGGCCCGGCCCACTTGCCCGATTTGGAACATACAGATTACCCAGACCCAAAGGTACAGACTATGCCTTTCCAGGGACTCTACACGAATTACTTGGGCATTCGATGCCATAATACATCCAAACGAGCGGAGATGAATTTTTTTTATATACTTAGATAACTTGGGTTCCTATAATCTAGGCCCAAAGCAGTACAATGAGAGTAAACATGAGAGTAAACACTATCCAGTGCCAGTACACGTCTCAACATGAGGCTTGTCGGTAATAGCAGTAGCTATAGAGAAACAACAACTCATAGCTTAAAGGTCCTTCCCGTCACGCTCAGGAACACCAATGAACAGGTACGGCTTGTTCTCAAACACCGTACAGTTCGACTCAATAGAACCAGGGCGATCGGAGCGAACGTTCACATCGACAAGATCACACTGGGTGCATTTCGAATCCGCACATCCACCAAAGTGAGTTGGCTCCTCGGAATCGGGCAGCTCGGCATTTCCATATAGGACGGCGTGGTAGCTTTCGGCGTAGACCTCGTGCTGGTTCAGGTCGAGGCACAGGTTTCCCTCGCTCGGATCGTAAGAGTACTTGAGCTGGTCGCCCTCGGAGTTGGGGATGGGGCAGGAGCCTCTGTTCTCGGAGACGATTCTGCCGCTGTACTGGGCGCTTGCGAGAGCAGTGAGAGTCGCGAGGATGGTGGTGGTTGAGGCCTTCATTTTGAAAGATTTGAGGAAATGGATAAGATAACTTTGTGTCTTGGTCTTTGCAGAGATCGAGGAATGATGGAGAGTTTGCTTTGGATGATTGAAAACGACAAGAAGGGGGTATTCGAGCGCACCTTTTATATCTTCATTCCAGTGATCGCCATCGCTATGTGTCCTCTGAAGGAGGTCGCTAACAGGTGAGACATCTATCGCAAGGTGAAGCGAGAGCTTGTCTCACAGCCACGTAGTTATTAGTGCTTCAAGATCTTGTGTTGGGAAATAGAGGACTATGATTGGCCCCCACCGTAGGATTCTTAGTGCAGGGTCGCGAACGACATCTAAGCCTACGCAGGCTGACAGATTTATCAAGGCAGAAAGAATATCATTGGGGCCAAAACTTATGATTGTCTACAGGGCCGTCGTCAGGGACCAGTGTGCAGGATCATCGACTATACTTAGGCGTGCAGGCACACCTTCGTACTCCACGATCACACCGCATTCCTCGTGCGATTGGGTTTAGTCTACGCTGGAAGGATTAAATGATGACAACATATGATGTGGATCACATAGGCAGCCTCATTTCGAGGACTGCACTGAGTGCATTGAAGCTCAGTTTGATTGCTTAAGTGTTTGCTATTCTGGGTTTAGCTATCCTCCGCGATAGCCTGTTTAGACGGTGCCGGAAGCAGAGACGGCGATCTTCTTCTTGGTAGCACCGCTCGAGGAGCCGAGAGCCTCGACAGCCTTGACGACATCCTGGCCCTCAACAACCTCGCCGAAAACGACGTGGGCACCATCGAGCCAGCTGGTGACAACGGTCTAAAATCCACTTAGTCAATTTTCTTTAGCAAAAGGGGGCCAAGGGCACACTAACCGTGATGAAGAATTGGGAGCCGTTGGTGTTCTTGCCAGCGTTGGCCATAGAAAGAAGGAAGGGCTTGGTGTGCTTCAGCTGGAAGTTCTCGTCGGCGAATTTCTCTCCGTAGATGGACTTGCCACCGGTGCCCTAGATTGTACCTTTAGAATCTGCTTGCATTTATCACGGTTGTGGAGGCCGACTCACGTTGCCCTTGGTGAAGTCACCACCCTGAAGCATGAAGTTGGGGATAACACGGTGGAAGGGAGATCCGGCGTAGCCAAAGCCATGCTGGCCAGTGGCAAGCTCACGGAAGTTCCTCGTGGTCTTGGGGACGACGTCGTCGAAGAGCTTGAACACGATGCGGCCAAGGGGCTCTGTGCGAGAGTTAGAATAAGCGAAAACGAGGCAAAACCGACATTCGGAAACTTACGGTTATCAGCCGTGACGTCGAAGTAAACGTTAGACATTTTGAGGATGAATTGAGTGTTCTTGGGGGAAAGAGGTGGACGATGTGAAATTTGCAAGAGAGCAGAGTTGGGGGGAGCAGCTCCTTATATCATAAATTCTCGGTGCGGGGCACAGAAAGAACCCCGCCTTTGTCAGCTACAGCCCACCTTGTCCTCAACACCAAGCACGTCAATCCGTCCGGCACTCCGAATTGATTCTCTTGATTGATGCTCTGATCCCTCATGCGGGCCGGAAAAAAGGTTCCAATCGGCCAGTGAGCTTCCGTGGACACCCGCGTCGTGAGCCACCAAGGTGTTTTCATTCGTCGTGCCCAGTTCCAGACCACGGAGGCTGGACACTCGCTATCTGCGTCATTTTTGGGGAACGTCGATCGTATAACAGATTTTAGATTAAAAACATAGCTAGAGCTCTTTCAATGCTCGTAGAACGCGTTGTTGGATAAAATGCCTTGTACCCCTCCAGTGCCCCTCGACGCGTCACCAGGTCAACAAACTCCCGCCAAAACAGCTTCTGCCTCAGGCCTCCCACTTCCGAGATTTTGCCGCCTCAGGCCACAAGATCCCTCGCGAACATCTGCCTGAGGCTGCACACGTTGTCTGACAGTAAACAACGCCTTGTACAAGGACCACGGGGGCTGCTAGATAATTCAGAACCTCTCTACGCTACTATTACCAGGATAGCTAAAAATAATAAACGGCCGTCTCCTGAAAAGAAGATCATTTCGGAAGTTAACGAAAAGGTGGAGCACAAGGCCTGCTTAGTTCGCAATATATAAATCAAAACATGAGGGCAACATGCAGAGGGTCATGGGGCAACGAAGCATTTTAATTGAAATAAAATAAGCTATCATGCAAATGTGAATCGTATATTAAGACTGCTGCTATTTTTCAGTGTATCGCGTGATCAAGCTTTCCCCGTTTGAATGCAGGGCGATATTCTCTACCATTCTCTACAACATTCTAGAACCGTTTCCCTCTGTTGACCAAGTTCTGGTGTTGCTTCCCTGCCCAGACGCTTTCAATTCGTCGCCGAGCAGCTTTCTGCGCTCCGATATTTTGCCTCGTGTTTTCTTTTTTCTCCGCCGTATTGCAGGGGCGGATCGGTAAGTGCATCCCCGCAGCTGCAGGGCCATGCGCAACCCCTCAATTCCTGCGTCCTCGTCTTAATCTAGACTACATTGTACCGGATGTGGGATAGTGACACCGAATCTGGAAGCAAGGCGTGTTGGAGTGGTCGCCAGCGAGGACCCCTACGCCGATGGCACTGTTTATCTTTCCCTCAAGTGGACTGTCGGTAGTCTTTTGAAGCTGGTACATTCTGATCCTTTTAGGTAGATACAGGATCGACGTTAACGTAGAGTTTCTGTCCGAGGTAGTTCAGCGCTGTCAGTGACTAGACCTCGCCCAAAACAAGGAGGGCGGTTTAATTTGATACTAACCAGCTTCCTGAATGACAACCTTACACCATCCACGACGAATAATTATGCGCATATACAGCCGGATAGTGACCAATTGGACATTATGCACAGAGATACAGTCGTTCAATGGTTGGAGCTTGTGATAGATGCCAATGGAATCGGGATTAAAACTGCTTTTTAGAAGGTAAATTGTGTTGTCCTCTGGGTCAATTCCACCGTGGTGGATAAAGAAGCAGGAGAATGAAGAAGAACCTTGCGCAGATGATATGGTTAGCTAGGGTTATATTAAAATAGTTAGGTCTCTCCATTCCGGGAGCATGAAAGGGAAACAACGAGTGCGTGAAGGGTTTGGCAAGTGAGACGACATAAAGATGATAGAGGATGTTGTGCAGCCCCGAATGCTGCATTCTAGGAATATTCTCTCTGGCTTCCTGTATCTGTCAACCCCGATATCGGGCTGAGGGAATTCCTAACTGTGAGACAACACTCACATCTTAGATAGAATAATAAGTAAACATAGCAAGCTCCATCCACGCGTTTTCTCATAACATCCTATTGTTTCCACTGTCTATACCAATCACTGCCGTTCTTCCACCTGCACCAATCAAAGAGTTGAAGAAATACCCTTTTTATTCAAATCATGGAGACTCTGACCCCCATTGTTCCGGACGAGATCATACTTGAAATACTCTATGTAGCAGTTGAGGACTTCACCCTGGAGGAGGTTTTTGACCTCAGACGTGTCAATAGTATGACCTACTCTAGCAATCAGGAGGACACCATACTAACCGCTCCTGTTGTCTAGCCCTATTCGCAGATGAACTCCTCAAAGGAATCGTGCGCAACCACCGTCTAGAAGATGAGGGCTTCTACGTCCGCCTTGGGGAATTCCAGGAAATCCAGAAGGCTGCATGGGAAAGCTGCCCAGTCACACTCCGAGTACAATACCTGCGTCTGAGGCTTGAAAGCCACCAGAGACGACCCACCGCGTTTACTACCTACATGACCGAGGTCTTGCAGTTGGACGAAGTCAAGAACGCCGATCCTGCAGAGCAAGAGGTGATACTTGACAGACTTCTCTACGGCGCAACAGCCACTCCAATGCTCGAATACACCAGATTCATCGAGCCCTACGATACTCACCACTCTGCCACACACGCGAACGAACATCCTTTAAATCCCAAGCTATCATATGACACCCTTCTAGCCGCTGGGGCCGTGCTTCGTGGCGACGAGGAAGAATTCGCCCGCATCTTCGACGACGATGGAGATATACCCCAAGAATGTGGACACTTTTTCGTCGTACCCCTCTACGTTCTGGCAATGTATGGAACTCTCAGCATGGCCAGGGCCGTAGTCAGAAAGAGCGTTATATTCCGCAACAATCCAAAGGTGAGTGTCTCACCGCTACTTCACCTCTCGGTTGCGAAAGGGAACAAAGAGCTCGTCAATGTATGGATGCCCATACTGAGGGCAAAGTTGGAAATCGATTTCCTAGACGAAATGGAGGCCGCACTCGTTGGCCCTCATGGATTTTCAAATCCGGACATGGTCATATTCGTGCTTCAGCGTTGCCTGATGACAGATCACTGCCTCTATTACATGCTTCTTGGGACCGCTGTGGAGTACGGTCACATCGACATTGTGGATTTCATCTTGCAGTATGAATATTTCGATGCATCCGATGCTGAATTCCACTGTTGGAGCCTTCCCCTTGAACTAGCCAAGGATATTGAGGACCGCGACGACAGGAAACAAATGATCGAGTTGTTGGTCAGCGCCGGATTCGATGCAGAGGTCTTGGTGCGTCGAGTTGAGGGGAGGCGCGTGGTGTTGGTGACGACCAGCGAGTCCGATGACCTAGACGACGACGACGATGAGGACAGCGACGGCGAGGAAGGTGAGGATGACATGGAGTGGGAAGAGCTTGAAGCAGTGTTACACCCTGACATCGAATTTAGAGATGATGAGTGGCATCTGACGGTAAGGATGTCTGAGCTGAAGTTTTGATCAAGAATAAGTCAAAGGGGAATGGAACAGGATGGATGAAAATACGGATACCGATCTGTCATTGGATTTTGAAACCGAAATGAGGATTGGATTCGTACTGGCAACAGTCGAGGTTGATATTTAACGATGGCTCCATGAATTTGTATTGAATATGGAAAACACATTCATAGCAGTAATGACAACATGAATATAAGAAAATCGAAAGCCTTCGGAATTCGGGATCTCTAATATCATAGGCGTCAGATTTGGTAAGTTAAATTGTGAAGGTGAGGTACATAGTCCCGTCTGTCTGTCCGTTGGCATCATCAAGGTCTCGTATAAGATGCAAGAATACATGGTCCATGAGCAGGTAATAATCCCAAGAGTCAAATTTCCCTGGATCCAAGAGTTCAAAATGATTTAATTGCTTACAGAGGTGAAGTCTGTGTAAAGCCGTTAATACCGTCACTCATAGCCCTATCCAGCTCTTGCCCTCTCAGTTACCGGAATAACCAAAATAGAAAAATACACAATACAGCTCACTTCGATATTAACTGCTATTAAATGGTCTTACAGTCCGTATTCCAGAAGACCCCTGCGATATGGACCCTTCAAGGCACAAACCAATGCGGACCACTTGTCTCAAGGCACCCTCCTGGTGCAGCCTCGAAATTCCGAATAGATGCTTCAAGACTGTTTCGTCAAATCTTACCCGGTATGAATCGATTACAGACCCATAACACCTGTCACCGACCGGCTTATTGGATAACGCTCTTTGGGAGGCGTCTGTGGCACAGCGCTATGCAAATCAGTGCTGAATACAACAACTATAACATTCACAGTTCGTCAGCCCACAGTGAAAGGCGCTCTAAATTCAGACAAAAATTCCAAGAGCCAGGTAATGATAGGTTGGTGTATTCACTACCCAGGGTGTTGGCGGTTGCCCTGCATGGTGTTTGCCGTTGGTACTATATAACCATACTGAACACTGATGAGCTTGCTTTCCCCTTTCACTCTTGAACCTTGTACTTGTTCAATTACTATATTATTTGCTTATCAAGACCACCTTCTATCTGCCCAACACAGAGACTCTTTTTGCTTGCATGCATACCTACCCGTCATCCCCAACGTGAAGGAAGATGCCGAACGAAGGCATTAAGAGCGACCACCATCTCCCGCTCGAGATACTTTTTGAAATCGTCGACATTGCGGTCCTAAGATTTCCGACTCACGAGGTCTTTGGCGTTTGGGGAGTAAATGGTATCGTCATTTTCGTACTTCTATTGCTGTGTCCTAATTAACTAACCAACACATGCAGAGACTTTCGCATATCAGGCCGAGAAGACTCTGTTCAGACTGCTCGACCGAGAACCCAGAAAATGGGACTCTGTTCCTCATTCTCTGAGGGTCAAGTACCTGCAGCGAAAATATGATCCAGACCCGGACTGCTGCTACCTCTCCGAATTTATACACGAGATGCTTGTATTGGAAACAACCGCGGACAGGGCTACGTTGACGAACAAGCTCATCGAGGGTATTGCCCACGGACACTACCGGCTTAGATACCTCTTAGGACCCAAAGCTGAGATGCGATCCACCCCGTGGCTTAAATCCTGGACCCATGGGACACTCGCGGACGATTTCCACGTTCTACTCGCGTGTAGGGCTATACACCGTCAAGATGTCAGCGAGTTTCAAGCGATATTCCCCGCATGCAATGCCGTCTATGGATATCGCTTTCAGCTATCCATCTTGGAGGAGGCCGCAAGGTCAGGAAACCGAGAGATCGTGACCATCTTGCTTCCATACACCATGACGCAAGAGCTCCATGCCAGCCAGACCAGTCGAATCAACTATGTTATGGGGAATGCCACTCGGCTCCGCCACCAACCAAACCACAGTGGGATTGAGACGGGATTTACACGTGCATTGGTACCCATTGCCATCAAGAGTGAGAACCGTGAGGCACTGGAGGTGTGGTTCGAGGCATTGAAGAAACTACCTGGACAAACTTTTGAGGCTACCACCGTCAGCATTATGAAGGCCCTGATGGTCGAGCCAGAAGCTTACAGGACAAAACTGTCCGAATGGTTCTGGATGTCACTATCCCAAACGGTGACAAGCAAGAACATACAGCACGCCACCTTCGTCAGCGCTATCGAGAGCAATGATATCGCAACAATCGACAGCGTCCTTTCTGATGAGGATTTCGACCCATGCTTCGTGCCCCCCGGCAAGGACGGAAATCTACTCCTCGTCGTTATCAGAAATTGCAAGAACAAGTGGTATAGATCCAGCGTGGTCAAAGCCCTTCTCGAACGCGATGTCCACCCCAACACGAGCAAGGGGAACGATCCAACTCCACTCCACCAGGCCATTAGCGAGGAGGACCATGACCTTGCATCACTTCTCTTAGACTTTGGAGCAGATGTATACCCGGGAACCTCCAATTCACCTATTGCAGGCCGGCGGTCTCAGCTGCTGGTTGCCGCAGTGCTCCTTGGGCACTCCAAGATCGTGAAGATGCTACTCGACAAGGGTGTGTCACCGTACATCAAGGGAAGCGCAAGCATCCATCGAGTGCAGCTCATTACTGGACCATCACCGGGCTCGCTATGGGGTATTCTGTGGCAGTACTGCGGGTCAAACACTCTACGACGACAAGAGTATGATGAGCGAGTTCGTGCTGGTGCAATTCCTCTGAATTACTGGGAGGCTGGCCAGCTCCATGCCGCAGCTTATTCTGGGATAAATGGACCAACAGCTGATAAGGAGGTCTATGAGACTCGAGTGTGGTATAGGCTGTTGGAGGTTGAAGCTTTTCCACCCCAGACTGCAGTCGCAGGATACACCGCAGGTAGATGATGGAACAAGCAAGGTAAAAGTGTTTACAAGAGGGTTTCTGTATTTTATCTCATCTTTAATTTGTATTCCTGAAGCTTTGCAACCTGTTTTAGAATTAGATCTCAACAAAGGCTATCCAGACCAGAGCGGTATCAAGCTGCTTTGCGTATAAGCAACAGTAATGGATTGACTGCCGATAAAGATTGAAGATTCACTATAGAGAGTTGACTCACAGTAAATTCGTCTCCGGTGAGGAAGAGTGAAGCAGAAAGAGCACGTGCTTTAGGGCAAGTCAGAACAAAGCGAAGCCGACTAACACAATATCAACACCAAAGCACCTGTTATACACTGCATTCTAAATTGTGTCTTCTCATCCATGGGACTTCATTGCGAGGTCAATTGGCCTAGGATGGACTCTCTCCCTCCGGAGATCTTCCACGAGATCCTTCGATACGTGATAGAGACCCAGCCGACCGATCATGCTGTTAACACAAGGCTGGTGAACCGTACGTTAATCTGGATTCTTACCCCCAATTTGAAAGGAAATCTGAGGTTAATTCATGTCGCTGGCCCAGACTGCTGGGAACTGTCCATCACAGCCCTCCTCATCCGCAGCGCACGCCTAGAAACCGAAATTGGCATCGACCGTTCAAGAGCAAGAGACGGCCGCAACTCCAGATGGTACCCATTACCCGCAAGAATGAAGATGCTCTACATGTGGCACAAGATCAATCAGCACTCTCGCGCACCTACAGTTTTCTCCGTCTGGGTCGAGACGATGCTAGAGCTCCGAGGCATCGACGACTCCGACCCCGATTTCCAAGAAGACGTTATCCAGCAACTGATCGGCGGAGCTGCAGTCGGGAACCTGGTGCCGGCTGAAGTGTTTCGGGGCGCGCAAGGGCTTCCTGTGGAGGAAGACATTCGGGTTCCTGATTTGCTTCGGTTTGCGTGGGAGCCGCTTGAGAAGACGTACTGGGTTTTGATTGCCGCAAACGCGATGAGTATGGGGGATGCGGAGGCGCTGGATTATTTCCTCACCCATGGCTATGACATGACAGAGCTGAGCATGCGATTTCGGGTTTGGATTATGAAGAGCCGTGGGAGACTGGTCAGCGAAGAGATGGTTCGTGTTTTGGTGCAGCATCGCGCGCCGTTCACCTTTGAGGGGTTGCAGTTCACGATTGACAGGCAGTATCTATTCAGGGCCATTGAATCAGGGGATCAGGCGCAGCTGAATTTGCTTTTGGATCATTTGAAGAGGTGCTTTAGGCGTTCTATGGGTCTGTTGGTCAACGCGGGCATAACTCATGCGAGGTCGATCGGGAACAATAACCTGGCGACGGCTCTTGAGGCTCGGCAGATAGACGACGCCCTGGAAGAGTTTCCAAACATGAGTAGCGTGCCGTGGATTGACGCGAGGGCTCAGGCCATTGCTCTTGATTTGCTGTTCGAGACTTGATGGAAGAAGACAAGCATTGATGGACCGCTGAAATGTCCCTTTTGTATTTTTGTATGTTATGCTTGAGCTAAAAAATAAAGTTCCGCTAAAAGAGACCATGACTGCTGATCGGTGTCCCAAATACGAGGCCGATGGCACAATTTGAATCCTGTGGATGTTGGCTCTCTCGACAAGACCGTTTCGCACGTCCAATATCGTTTATCATGGCCCTTGAAGGCCTTGTAGTTTCCGCAACTCAATCCCTAGGAGTAGTAGAATCATTCACCTTCCAAACTCCTCGACCAGCCCGATCACGACCCACGCATCTTCCCATGGTTCTCAAGCGAAGATCGTTGCCCCTGAAGTGACAACGTCCCACGAGGCCGAACAGCCCCCAACTTGGCGCACCAGAAGGCCCGAGCAGCAGCTCAGCCAAGAACCTGGTTTCACCCAATTGGCGTGACGAGCTTTTCCAAGATGGAGAAACGAGGCTGTCACCTTTGCCCGAACCGCTTGGCAGCTAGTGGTGCTTGTTGATGTCTGAGGAGGTTGAGTTTTTGAGCCCCCGACCTTTCTCCATATTCGTCGCTGTTGCTGCTGCCTCTCGTCGATACGAGCGTCTCTTGAGTATTCAGGACCGCTGTCAAGGGCGAGGCCATGGCAGAGGTCATCACCACAGTCTTAACGACCAACACTACATACGAAAATGGCGCAAGCTGGGGCATCCTTGGATATTACCAGACTGACGGCACGGGTAAGTGTAGCACAACCGGGTTCCACCACCATTCGAAGGTCGCCTAACAACCAGGAAAACAACAGTCGGGTCAGTCCAGTGCCAATCTGGGAGTATATACATCACAAATACCGCCACCAGCGGCTTAGGCGCGTGCTGCCACAGCACAGCAACAGGATGCGCGTTTGGTGTTTCCTGTGACGGACCTGTGATTTTCTGGGCAGGTGGATCTAGTAGCTCTACATGGTACGATGAAATGGACAGCTCTGCCAGTGGGCGACGAGACAGCTACAGCTAATACGCGATTTACAGTTCGGAGACCTGTCGTGGAAGGACCGTCGTTGGAAGCGCGATCGACTACGAGCCCTGGACTGCATCGTCGTATGTGTGTATGGAAGAGGATGATTACAGGACGGATCTTAGTTGGACTCTCGAAGTGCCGGTAACAACCACAATAATAGGTTCAGGTATTTATTCCCCCGGTCCCGGCAACTACGACCGTGCCAGAACTGACGGAAGATTGGTATAGCGTCCTACATCTCCTCCGTGAAAGACGCCGAGACCTCCACTGCTACGCCGGCACCTCCACCATCAACTGTGGCCTCTGCAACGGCCCCGCCAGAGTCCGGGAATGAAGACGACGGGGGGGATGGAACGAACGTCGGGGCAATCGTAGGAGGAGTGGTAGGAGGCGTGGCCGGTCTGACACTGATTCTGGCGGCGGTGTGGTTCTATATGCGACGGAGGAAGCAAAAGGAGGGAGAAATGAGGGAGCTTGGAGCTGGTTATGTGCCTCCGACGCAGGATAAGTGAAGTGATTATACTGGATACCCTATTTTGTTGTTTATATCACGCGTGCCCTGCATTGCATATAGGCCCGGCACGACTTTACATACTAATCACATTTCATGATCAGCGTATTCCGCTGAAATGATATTATTTTGCGCTGGAGCTCTATCCACTTGGAGATTCTCCGCTCCATCCTCATCCGCCGCCCACCGGTGGTCTTTCAGGATCATCATGCAACCGGGCCAGTTCTCATAACTGAACTCCAGGCCCACAGATCGCAGCAAAGCACCAGCATTATCCTCAGTCTTGGTCGTATTTGTTCCAAAATCAGGAACTCCGCGCGATAGAGGACGCATAAGTCCAGTAATACCACGACTCTCAATGTCCGGGTATAAGGGCATGGCTTCGTATGGGCTGCGCAACCCGCAAACAGAGTCATAGTTCTGGCTGGAGACTGGCCCGACGGAGTGATCCTCCGCAGGGACTGCTCCAAGATCCCGATGAAGCGCGCACTTGGCGTACTTACTTGGCAATAAAAAAAATATCAGGCATTCAGAATTCGCTCGAGTTAATGGGGGTCATTACAATGACGGAAGTCTCTCCTCGCGGTGGGCCGTATCCAGTTGCATCTCTGACAGCACTTTAATAGTGATGGAGGGAGAGTGTTGGAGGTGATTCGGCTGAAGAAGATTCACGCAGTCTGGGATAGACCTCGTATTCAGCCGCGTCACCCTGCAACGTGGGGAAATGACAGCAGCCCAATTACCAGAGGCCAAAGCAGCGACTTGGAGGCTCTGTTCTCTCTCGCCATCTCCACCTGAAATAACCAACATCTGCAGGTGATGAACCGAGGGGCTGTCTGGACTCTGGACCACCAAGAGCCCCAGCCCTGCGACAACAGGATCGATGTGCAGGTTGAGAGATGTTTGTCTGTCTCGAGCTCATCCGTTAATTTATTTCATTTCCTGTCGTGGCCAACCCCGTCTCGCGCCCGGAAAAGCGGCAGCGATGCCGAGTCTTGGAAGGCCTGGGCTCTTGAACCAACGCATATTCATTGGAAACCTGTCTTGTCCAAGCTTGGAATGTCTCAGGGCGAGGCTCGATAGCAGCCTGTCAATTCTCCGCGGTCCTTGCCTTCAATGGGCCAAGGTCAGCCAGGCTCTGTGCCTGACGCCACACAAAGTTATCTCAAGCCAGCGCGACAAGGTTGTTCTGTTTTCCGCCACGACTTGTCAATTCCTCCACTGGGAGGATGCCGCCAGCTGCACGACCTCGTATTCCGGAAATGAGCCCAGCCTGCAGAAGAGGGGGTGGAGATGATACTGTTATCCCGGTCATTGGGGCTCTGTCTGCCAGCTGCAGATGCCCTAACGCCGCTGTATATAAGGCCCGGCCGATTCCCATCTGCGGTGCGGAACCATCGCCATCTGTGTACTTTGTTCGTCTTTCAGTATTTCTCTGGTCACTCGTTCCAATATGTACGCCTCCATCATTGCCCTCGGCTCTCTTTTGGCTGCCCAGGCTGTTGTCGCCGACAACAACATGCCAGTTCACCGTGTCCTCAGCAAGCGACAGGACCAGTCTTTCGTTCCTCCCACCACCCCTGGTTGTCCATCTGACTGGCCGATGTGTGGAACTAGCAACATCTGCTACGACCCTACTCGTGGAGACACTTGCTGCCCCGATGGAACTTGTAGGTACTCTCATCTTCGTCACTTCGTGGTACTGACAAGGCTATATAGGGGCCTGTCCCGGCGGCAACTTCTGTCTGCAGCAGGGTCGCTGCTGTCCTGATGTGCGTATCCCCTACCTGCACTCTTACAGACGACGATAATACTCACAATATGTAGGGCATTGACCCTGAGACTTGCGCTGAGAACGAGGGTATAACCCTCACCTCGTCCACCAGTGAGCCCACCAGTGCCCCAGAGCCGACCGAGACCACGTCGTCAACATCGTCGCGCCCCGTCATCCCAACTGGCACCACCGAGACTCCCACTGGCACTCCCACTGGCACTCCCCCGGCCAGCTCCTCCCCTGCTCCCCCAGAGTTCACTGGCGGTGCGAACGCCCATCTCGTTGGCGGCGCTGCTGCTGTTCTCGGCGGCCTGGGAATGATTGGCAACCTCGTCCTTTAGAATCGTTGTCTACGCTGTACAAGAATGTAAATGGGTGATAGTGATTCGATATGCAAGCTAGTAATTAATGGTAATAGGGCTTAGCTCAATGAAGACCGTGTAGTCCAGACTGCGAGATCTGCAAGTGGATCGTCCCCACTGCATAAATCCCACTTCTCCCACTTCAACTTCTCTTAACTTCCTCTTAATCACCCATTCCCTGTAATCTATCCCCAATGGCTACACCATCAAATCGCCGCATCCAGATTCTGCTCTCCGTCGACTTCGATGCCGTCTCCGGCTTTCTCGGAACAGGAGCATCCCCCACCAACGGCCTGTCGGACTTCAGCAGCGGTTATTTCGCGGCGCAAGTGGGCGTTCCCCGCCTGCTCCGCCTATTCCAGAAGCATGGAATCTCATCCTCAGTAACATGGTTTGTGCCGGGACACTCGATGGAATCCTTCCCCAAGGAGACGCAGGCAATTGTTGACTCGGGCGCTGAGATCGGATGCCACGGATATGCGCACGAGGGCGCCCCGCAGCTCTCTGAGCAACAAGAGAAGGATGTCATTGAGAAATGTGTTCAACTTGCGACAGATTTAACGGGGAAGAGGCCGCTCGGTTGGAGGGCACCGCTGTATCAGCTGAGGGAGCATACGGTCAAGGTTCTTGAGGAACAGGGGTTTCTATACGGTGCGATACCTAATACCTCTGAGTTGAGATATCTGCTAAACCTGGCTAGACACATCTCTCACACACCATGATTCTGCGCCATACTTCCTCCTTTCCAGAACTACGCCCAAGCCGATTGACTTCTCGCCATCCGTCCCGGCCTCCTCCTGGATGCACCCACTGCCACCACCAGCACCGCGAACAGCGAGCACGTTAGTCGAGATTCCATGTAACTGGTACATGGAGGACATGACACCCATGCAATTCATCCCGGCTGCGACAAACTCACACGGCTTCGTCAGTCCCGAGACGATCGAGCAGAACTGGAAGGCCCGGTTCGAGTATCTCTACCATGAGACTATTGATGGCGCGAAGCAGGATTTTGTATTTCCGCTCGTTCTTCATCCCGATACGAGTGGGATGGCACATGTTATTGGCATGATTGATCGTGTTATTGAGTGGTTGAACAAGTGGGATGGGGTGGAGTTTTCTACGTATGGTGACTGTGCGAAGGAGTGGAAGGGGAGGCAGTAAGTTAGTCTTTCAATACATTTGTAGCATTTATCTTTCTGATGCGATTGAAGATTGTAAACGAGAGAATAGCTCCGCCCTTGACATGCAATTGATTTCCATATATCACCCTATGGGCGGAGACTGATGCATACCCCTGCCTCAATCTCAGATACTCAAACTGGCTTCTCTGTTGCGTCCTTTCCCATATGCCTATCTCCATTAGCCTACCATATCATCCAAACCATAGTATCCAAACCAGACACTCACCTCATCTGCACCTTCCTCAACCCCCTCAGCAACCTCTCATACTCATCAACATTCACCCCCTTCCCCTTTGCCTGGCGAATCTTCACCTCCTTCCCCTTCTTCACCCACCCCCTCACACTCCCCGCCGCACCCAGCCGATCCCCCTTATCCCTCCCCACAGCCCGTCCGTCCAGATTCGGATCCAGCATCTGGCTGAAATCGCGATTCGCAGGGGAAATAAAGAGCGGATCCACCGCACCGTCAACACGCACTTCTTCTTCGAAGCACTGGAACTCGCCCTCGGGGTTTGTTATCGAGGGGTCGTAAGCGTAGTTGTCGCAGCCGACCTCGTTGTCCGTGCCGCTGTAGGCTGTTTCGGCACGCTCGGGGGATAGGATTTGCCGCTCGAGGGTTTCGAGCATTTCTTGCCGTTCTTGTGCTGTTGTTGGTGGGCGGATGGGTTCTTTTGATTCTGATAGGGAGGGGCGGAGAGCTGTTGGTGTTGTTGATAGGGGCCGGATGTAGGAGAGTGTGCTGCTGCGTGGACGTAGAGAGGTAGATGTGAGGCCTCTTAGGCCTTGTGTACAGGGTCTGATTCGGAAACTCATTTCGACAGCTTGGTTCAGTAGTTTGGTAAGTCTCTATTCTGTGAGAGCTGTTTGGCAGTGGAAGTTGCAGGCCCCGTGCACTATTTATTATGGGCAGGGAGCTGCTGGTCCATGGATGGTGCTGGTTTTGACGTCACCGTACCAGATATATGATGTGTCTTCCTTGACCTTTTCCTGCTTTAATACTGCATTATATAGACTGCATATATGTCAGTATCTCGTGTCTCCTGGACTATATATGCCCAATCGCGGTGAAAACGTTGGGTAGTAGACTTTGACGGATATCACTTCATGAAGAGAACTATAATTCCACATACAATTCTCATATATCGCTCGCGTGGGCTGAGGCTAGAACGCTGGATTCTGGAGAAAGCTAGAGCTCTGTCCCATGGATCAAGCGGGGAAGCTCGCCACCATGATTCTAGCCATTTATTCATCCAAGTCTTGTGACTGGCAGGGATGTTCTCCGGCCGAAATAGATGGCAAATACTAGGTTTCATCATATTCATTCGTTCTCATTAAAGAGTGTCTGCGCAAATCATGCCCAAAAACGCCAGCCCTAAGCGAATTCCCACGTCACCTATTTGATATACTTGAAAAACCTCATCGAATTGAAAGTCCTGTAGACACCGAACAAAGTCGATGCGACTCCGAATCCGCCGGCAGTCCAAGCAGCCCCCTGGCGGTGCAGCGAGCTGTATGGGATCTGGTTTTCTGGCCGGACTTTCTAATCTGATATCAGTACCTATCTCATAGTTGCTCCCTTCGAATGTCGACGTACTGATCGGATGCGTCGGCTGACGACTCCTGCTTGTTGGCCTCCGCGGCCTAGTAGGATTTGATACATTGTTCTTGTGGTAATTGTTTGTGATGATGCTTGATTTGCAAAGGGCCTCGGGTGGCTGTTGGCCTGATATATAGCCGTGGTTCGCCAGTATGACGTGGAATCTCCCAACTTGGATGGTTGTTCCACGGTTGTTCCACGGTCGGCTGCTTACTCGATATTGGAAGATTCTCGTTCTTTTATACTATAACTTGCACATGTATACACTGTAGTTGAGGCTCCAGGCTCCAGCTCCAGGCACTGGCGTATTGCCCGATGTGGTTAGGGCGGGACGTGGCAGGCTTCGATTTATTTATTCTATTCTATTTAATTCCTGCGTCTTTCTTCAACTCTTCGAAGATGCCTCGTTCATTCGATATCCTGCCCTATGATATACTCATTGTCATAGTATCTCATGTCCCAATTCTGGACTACTATGCTCTTAAATTAGCAGGCTGTCGTCCGCTCACCGACGTCATCCGAGATGTTCTCTCGCGGATACCTAGAACACAGTATCTAGAGGCCATCCGACGAGAAGATGCCCGCCAAAAAGGCCTCTCCGAGCACCAAGGAAGACGACCGATGGAAATTCTAATCGAGAGGGGCCGGTTGTATCTAATACTGGACCACAAGGACAGATTTTCAAGGCGCTCGAACGCACTCAAGGAGTACGACGCGGGTGAAAGCGAGCTTGTTGTTGCCGTGGAGAAGAGCTCATTATCGCCTGTTCTGCATTGGGTAGCTCTCTATGGCAAAGAGGAGATTGCACTGTTCCTGATCGACCGAGTGAATCTCAGGGTGGGATTCCGCAACCGCACGGCCCTGCATTATGCAGTGGTGGGCAACCAACTGAAGATGGTGCAGCTTCTCCTCGACCATGGGGCATATATAAACGCCGCAGACGATAAGGGGAAGACACCACTCGCTCTTGCAGTTGAACATCGTGCGGATAACGTGGCGGCTCTGCTCCAGTCGCGCGGGGGCCAAAGTGACTGGCTGGCGATACTCAGAACAGAGGAGTGGGCTCGCCCAATCACCAACTGGAGAGACGGTGATCCGGACCCTATGGATTCGCTGGAAGCGTTTCAAACCCACCTGACAGAGAAGATTCTCCGTGGCTGCCCTCAACTGAAAGCTTACCTGAAACACTTCCACCTCCGGCTATTAGGGGACCTGGAGCAGATACGCTCTCACCAGACTTGGGTCGTACACCAGAGCTTGGTGACCAACGACACTCGTATGATTGAATTCATGATTGACGAAGGTTGGGACGTTCATAAACACGACGGCTACTTCCTAAATGCACTGTACATCGCGGTTATTGAGAACAAGTTTCGAGCTGTGGAGCTGATGCTTGATCACGGAGCTGATCCAACAATTCCGGGGCCTCGTAAAGACTATATACCCCTGCATGCCGCCGTATATCGTCAGACCAGAGAAATCCTTGACTTAATGCTCTCGCGGGGGTTCTCACCCAATGCACGGAATGGAAAGGGGGAGACAGCACTTCACAAGCTGGTGCGCCTGGGCACTTGTGGAAGCCCGTTCGACTACGCCGTAGCCCAAGGGGTTGACCTGAACCTGAGGGACTCCATGGGAAACACACCCTTACGTCTCGCTGTACATCTGAGCCCCGACCACATCGGGGGTTTTGGATGGGGCGTAGTAGAAAAGGCCGTGAAGCTGGGCGCTGACGTCAACATAGCAAACAACCAAGGGGAAACTCCATTCCTGTCCGCCATGCGACGGCTGGGACATGGCCACACCGTCAAATTCCTCATTGAACATGGGGCAGATGTAAAAGCCGTGGACCATGCGGGACGGGGTGCATTTCACTACGGCATATCAAACACCTACGGCGCCTTCGGTGAGTATTTCAAGTTGCTGGTTGACTTGGGAGTGGATATCAATCTACGAGACGAAAACGGATGTACGCCTCTACATGCTGCAGCTGAGGATGCGGAATATTGGTATTCTGGGATTACCCTTCTACCCCTAGGTGCAGATACCAATGCCAGGACTAATACGGGAGACACCCCTTTGCATCGCCTTTTGCGTCGTCCGTCTATAACTGCCAAGCAGTACTCGTTCTGCTGCAAGATGCTCGAATTCGGGGCGGATGTGAGCGCCGGGGATGCAGCCGGCTGCTCACCATTACTTCGCTTCCTGCAGGCTTGTGAGGTAACCGAAGAAAGCGTGGGTTACTTGAAGAAGACTATGGAGCTATTGCTACAGAAGGGAGCCGACTTGGATGGGTTTGATGAGGACGGAACCTCAACCCAGGATGTGTATATAAGCTGGAAGAAACAAATAGAGGCGGTAGAGGGGAAGCTCTACTCATCCACAATAGCAATGAGATAAACTCAGAGATAATCTAAACTAACGCCCGCTCCTATTAGGAGCCGATCTGCCCAAGGAACGTCAGGGTCAGGGTTGAAGCCGTAGCAGGGCTCTCTATATCACTGGAAATTTAATATTTATGTGTCTCCAACACTGCTTATTGGTTTTTCCTGCAATGCAACATCACCCCGCAGTTGCTACTAGCTAGGTCGCGGTATAAAGTAAACAGCCCCTCCTGCCATTAGTTTACTTCTTTCATCCAACCCATATCGTATATCTGCCCTTCTAACCATATCCAAAACACAACATGTCTTCACGCCCCCGGATTCGAGATCTCGGGTACAGCCCCGGCAAATTCACCCCAGGGCCCAAGAACTCCCTCCTCGACGTCAACGGTAAGCATAGCCTAATCACCATCCCTACTAGCCTTCCTCGTACCTGCAGAGTAACAATATGCAGGCGTCACAGTCGGTCAAGTCACCATCCACCGAAACCCGAGCATCCACACCGGTCTCACGATGATATTCCCCCGCGGCGTCAAACACACCAGGGACGTGCCTTGCTACGCGGGGACGCACGACTTGAACGGGATGGGAGAACTAACTGGGTCGCATGCGATAGCTGAGTGGGGATATCTTAACACGGTAAGCATATGTCCAGCACCAGGGCCTGGCCATTCGCCTTTGTTCGTTGAACCTGACAAGAATCAGCCGATCGCTCTCACAAACACGGTCAGCGTCGGGAAGGTATATGACGGCGTGTTTCGGTGGGAGTTCGAGCAGGCTGAAAAGTCCGGAGAGGATGAGCTGCAAGCCGCGAGGAGGATGAACATCCCTGTAGTGGGGGAGACGTACGATGGGCTTCTCAATGACATTAGTGCCTCTGCAATCGACGAGCATGATGTCTATGACGCCATCTGGGCGTCGAAGAGACAGGATGACATTCTAGAGGGAAATCATGGTGGGGGAACTGGAATGCGATGCCATGGGTATAAGGGCGGGACCGGGACAAGCTCGCGGATTGTTCCCGGAATTGAAAGGGACTATACGCTCGGTGTTCTTGTGCAAGCTAATCATGGACAGAAGCAAGACCTCAGAATCGGAAATGTCCCCGTTTACCAGCCGCAGGGAGGGCGGCAGAGGGAAGTAGGTATCCTCGTTACCACGGTAAGCATTTATACTGATATACATGGGTTTCAGGTATCATCGTAGTTGTGGTGTGAGTTGCACCGCTGCCATCTACACTTCCACACCCTAACCAAGACCAGTACTGACGCCCCTTTACTCCCACATCAGCTGCGACGTATCGCACAGCACGCAGGCATGGGCGTCACCCAGGTATATACAACTAATGCTCTTTATTTATATAAACAAGAAAATAACCAGCAACCAGGTCGGCGGCCACTGTGCAGGGCGGAACTTCTCCGGCGAGATATTCCTCGCTCTATCAACCGGGACATCGCCCAACGAACTGGCCACGAATTCCAGCGGATTCGACTATCTGCCTCCAATTGAAACACAGCGTGTCGAGACTGTTAAGAATGAAGTTATCGATTCGTTATTCTACGCGACATCGGAAGCGACGGAGGAGGCAATTCTTAATGCGCTCTGCAAGGCCGAGACATTGACCGGGCTCAAGGGGCGGACGCAGGAGGCGTTACCGGTTGACAGGGTTAAGCAGCTGCTGGACAAATATATGGTCAAATTAGATGCATGAAAGAGGGAATGTATGATTTAAGCGTGCAGCCAGTGCATGGCTTTGTATAGCGTCTCATCAGGTGTTGGGCTCGAACAGGCAGCAGCGACTGGAGTCAGCCGCACCTTCTCAATCTATTCAGCTCGACAGACGTGGGGAGGCACGACTGCCAACGAGAATAAGGAAGGAGCGACCCACCGTAACCCAGGCGCGCTTGCCTAATGTCTCATTCAAACAGTTTCAGTCTACTGGGAAGGAGCAATCGGTCTTGCACCTTCCAATGTGGTGTGATGTCACATCAATTAAATCGTCCAGGTAGATAAGTATGAAGCAGGGACTCACTGAGTGCAGTGGATACTAGGCACTACTTATAACCGACGAATTGCTTGTATGCCGGAGCATAATATTTGGATATTAATCGCTAAGTAATTCAATTATACAACGTAAACGCAAGCAATGCTGAGCCGCATGCTTGAAGAGAAGAATCAAAGAATGGACAGGAGAACAAGGGTAAATAGCACAAATCGACGTCTGTAGACCGTCGTGCGTTATATTAACTCGCATCGGCAAGGAAATCACAGAGCAACAGCAATAGTCAAGACACCAACAGCACCAACGACACTAGCGAGGACAGATGGGTTCAGCATGCCGGCGGCGCCGTCTTCACCACCACCGCTGTTGTCGGACGAGTCGTCGCTGGACGAGTCGTCAGAGGAGTTGCTGCTATCCTCGTCACTGGACGAGTTGGTCTCACTAGGACCAGAGGACGAAGAGGAAGACGAGGAGTCATCGTCATCGCTGCTGCTGCTGCTGTCGGATGAGCCAGTCGACTCCGGGAGCTCAACACCCCAGGCCGAAGCGATATAGTCCTTTAGGCCATCAGGAAGTTCGGCGGCCCATGCTGGGGGGTGGCCGTCCAAAGCGTCCTGGTATGCCGACGAGACTTCAGAAGGGTCGGTGAGTTTCTCCCTAATTGACGACGGGAGGTCCTGGATTTCGGAGACAACGGAACTGGGGAGGTCGATGCCGGCGAAGTCAACTTCGTCGTCGGAACTGGAGCTGGAGCTGGAGCTAGAGTCAGAGCTGAAGTCGGAGCTGGAGTCGGAACTAGAGTCGGAGCTGGAGTCAGAGCCGGAGGTGGAAAATGAACCAGAGCCGAAAGTCGTGGTGGGGATGTCGGAGCCGCCCTGCTCCGAAATCCAGTCGTCGAGTGAAGGAACGTCCTGTCTTGGGAGGTTGCTGGTATACAGTCGTTAGTATTGGATAGCGGCTTCATTGGAAGCACGGTTCGATAACTTACGCTGGCTTGGCTGCCAGGGCCACGGAAGAGAGGGCCAGGACAGAGATGTATTTGGCGTGCATCTTGAGTGGTATCAACAAGGGTATCAAGTGGAAAAGTAAAATGAGCGGCGGAAGAAAGGGTGAAAGAGAGTCAGATGGTGAGATGGAAATGCTTCAAAAGTCTTCCTCAACACTTTTGCTCGCCATGGGGAAGGTCCCTTTAAAATAGCATTTAGATCACGTAGCAGCCCTAAGACCCTGCGCAGAAAACAAACTTAGATCGACGGCTCGATCAGTCGAGCCAGAGGTTGATTAAATTGCAAATGTCCATCTCTCGTATTCAGCCTCACCACTCAGCGTGGCTTCGACAGGGATCAGCCCCGGCTCCTCGTATTCAAAGTGGATTCGTTCTTGAAGGTTGTTTTCCATGGACCGCCAAGAGGAGAAGCGAAGGAACAGGCCTCTGAAGATTGAAGGCTCTTGAAGAGGGTAACTTCGTCTTGCAAGTTTTACCGGTAGAGTGGTAGACTTTGCATCGCGGGAATTCAAGAATTGAGCACTTGTAAATCTGCACCTACATCTGCACCGGACACATCGCACACCTCGCACTCACAGGGCCCTTGGACCCGTGTCTGGGATTCGATTTTCGCATTTCGAGGTGGGGGCCGTCTTGAACCGTTGCAACTCGTCAATCGTCGGCACTGGCCCGAGATTGCTGGAGTTTGAGTGGGCGCGAGGATCAGGGAAATCCTTCTAGAGTTTGCCAAGCTATTAAACATCGTGTTCAGATCTTGGCAAATCAATGTCTCCTACATGCAAGGTGCCCCTGGGGTCGTCGCGGCTCAAGAGCCCAGTCCCAATGTGGTCATTCACTGCGAGGACCTGTTGTTCACCTCACTTGGCCTGGAAGAGGAAGTCCAGTCCGCCAATCGCTCACTGATGTGATGGCACCAGAAAAGACGTCTTGGTCCCTTGAAGAGCTGAGCAGGGTCGACCGTCCGTCAGCCCCAAGCCAGTGTCCCTTTGGCGAGTCATTGCACCCTCGGCTACAGTGTCCAATGTCGCTCGAGTCTGCTCAGACCGCGTCCTTGATTGTCATTTGAACTTGAAAGGTCTTTCTGTCCGTCTCATAAATACGTGCGGCTGATCATGGCACCTCCGTTTCACCAGAAAAGCCACCAGTCCGAATGCACGGGTGCATCCCAATCGAAACTAAAAAGTCAGTAATCGTCGTGGAGGGAGCTATTGAACTAGATCCTATATATGCTTACAGCGCGGCTAGCAGGTAGTGAATTGTTTGGGTCACTCGGACACATTGCTGATCAACAGGTCTATTTCTATTAAGGTAGATTCATCTAGGTTTCGAGGTCAACCTGAAACTTCTCACGGATCTTCTTCCCATATCGCGTGAGCAAGATGGCAATGGGCACGAACGCCAACGCTATGAATCCGAGCAAAGAGTTTCCCCAGCCTAGACCAAGGGTACCGAACATCTTCGGTCCGGCAAGCGGTAGCAACGCGCCAACAAGCGACCTGGACGCCGTCAAAGCCGCATTCGCAGAGGCGGCATATGCGGGATAGCAGTCGATGGTATAGATCTGGATAGGCATGTACACGCCCATCATGCCAATACCAAACGGAGCCATTCCAATAATAGGCACAATCCAATGCACCTTGTTCTCGGCCGTCCATCCATACCAGAAGAAGCTGATGGGGAGCAGGCACGCCCAGAAGACAAGTGCAGGCAGACGCATTTCAGGCTCCAGTTTCCCGCCATTGCGAGCCGCGAGCTTCATCAGGACTTTGTCGCTCGTCAATGCTGTGGTCACCAGCCCTGAGAAGAAGCCTACTCCGATACCGATATATGCAAGGCCCGTGAGGCCAGGCGAAAAGCCGTATTGGTTTTCGAATACGCTGGGGATTGTCGTGAAGAACAGATAGAGGAGCCCATAGATGAGAGCCATGTACGTTGCCAGGAACAGTACAATGGGGGATTTGAACAAGAGCACCATAGGGCGCTTCATGCCGAGCTTGAGAGCGCTGGCAACGGATACGCCGCGGCCCTCCAAGTCATAAGCACTGCGCAGGTCAGTTCGACCCAACTCTTTCGCGAGCTTCGCTGTCTTCCAGCGCGTAAGGACCGGCGCATACGTCTCCCTGTTGAATATCTCAATGCTTAACGACAAGACGCCGCCGGCGATTAACAGAATCCAGAAGACCCAGCGCCAGCCCAGTGCCTGGCCGACAAAACCTCCAGCGATAGGACCAACGACCGGTCCAAGTAATGGACCCATACTCCAAATAGATGTTGCAACTCCGCGTTGGTGGACAGGGAAGAGGTCTGCAATGACCCCGGCGCCCAGGGTGATACATCCAGAACCGCCCATCCCAGCGAAGAATCGGAAGACAATCAAGCAGGCGATGTTCGGCGCCAGGGCACATCCGATCTGCCAGATGACAAAGAACCAATTTGCACAACTCAAGATGAGTCTGCGACCGTAGATCTCACTCAGCGGCGCGAGCAGCATAGGGCCAATCTATGGTGGTTTGATTAGCATGCTCTCTCTGGACCGGGCACGGCGCAACTTACAGTATAACCCAGCAAGTAAATGCTGACGCTTAACGAGAGCAGTGTCTGATCCGTGATGCCCAGGTCATCCGACAGTGACTTCAAAGCCGGCGAGAACATGCTAGAGGCTAGGGGTGAGATGAAGGTGACGGCGCTCACCAAGCCGAGCAGCGTCCATTTCCGCGATGGAGGGAAGTTCAGGGGATGCGCCGGGTCATCCTGGCCCTCCCAGCCGACAATTCCATGATCGAGGTCGCTTTCTGGCAGAACCTGGCGGGTTGGTGGTTGTCCCAGAACTGACTCGGCAGTTGTGGGGGTTTTCTCCAGGTCGAGATCCTGCGGGGGATCTTGGGGATATTTCTCTGCGGGGTCGGCCAGCGTTCCCTCGGGGCTTGGGCTTGGGCTGTGTCCTGCCATGTCTGCCAGTTATCCAGTCTGGCTGGAAAAGCTTTCGGTCGCAAGAGATAGTGTAGCCGTAAGAGCGGACGCAAATTCTTATTATCTCTCAGATCCGGCTAATGGGGCCGATCGCTGGCGGAGCTCCTTATGCAGACAAAACTGGTGATAAGGCGGCCATATGCACATTAGTGCCGGCTCTGACCACCATCGGGGCTGGTCCGCCGCCCCAGACTCTGTTTCTGGGCATGGCAGCGGTGAATCAGGCGAATGGAGTTGGGAGAAGTCGAGAAGCTGTTGGCTGCCCGGTCCAGGATCATCGAGCAATCATCGGTGTCCCGTTTGTTGGTTGTGAATATGTCCTTCTATCTGGCCCATACATCCAACGGAACCAGAGTATCTCACAACGGGCTTCATTTTCGAACAAGACTTCATCTCACCCTCTCTCCTCATCGAAGGTGGTGAAGAGCGGAGAGTTGCAGGAAGACAGCTGAGCAGACGCTATTCCCCATATGGTAGGGGTCCTCCACCCGAATCCACCAATCAGAAACGCCCCCACGTCCGAACTTCCCCCATCGAAAACATCAACATTCAACCCGAAGCCGGTCTCCTCAACCGGGTCTGTAAGGAAACAGTCGGACCGAACCTGAAGATTCACTCTGCCTTTCACTCGGGATTCCCTTGAGGATTATGTCAGGCATGATTCCGACCGGCACCAACACGAGTCATTCTGTGTAATCAGTCCATACCCCCTATCGACCGTGTATGAATAGTAGGGCCTCGAAGTCGCACACTGGATCCAGCGATTAACACATCTTGATAAGTCGTTGCGCACTGTCCATAAAGGTCAGATCTAGACTCGTTATCAATGTAATGTCGAATTCTCTTAGTGGCCATGGGTTAGCTCATTTCGGGTCATGGACGCTGGCAAGTTCGATATATATATATTTGTATCCCCGTATTGTTAGTTGCTTGGCTGACACCGAAGGACGTAGGAAATAATTAAACAGTTGATCATAACTACAATCGCAGGTCACTCTACCCTATAATGTTATTCAAAACAAACCAGATACCTTGACACGTGAAGAGAGGCGGTTCTGTCGGGGGGCTCAGATAAGATATAGCGAGCATAAAAAAGCACATCGTGCATGGTCACCCCCATTTGGTGAAAGATCATTAAAGTTGGACGTTATATTTGTCCTCGAGCTCTAAGCTAAACATTTAACTCACATATCAGGCGATACCCTCCTCTGATTGATCTTGTATGCCATCATTCGCACTAAGGATGATGCAATCAGGATTCTGCAGCGATTCGGATCAAGGTACCTCCACAAATCAGTCTTTCCCCAAAGTAGTCTCGGACATGTCAGGACCAGGCTTTCGGGAATATCAGGAGGGGTATGTTGCCGTTGATGATGAGGTGCTTGCCCAGCCCGCAGAGCATTATTTAACAGCATCCACAATGAGAGTCGAAGTACACCATTGAACAAAACAAGGAAAAATTAAGTTTACTGAGCAGAGGCTAAACAGGATTAGATATATGCAATGCCGCCTGTGGTGGCTTGCTGGCGGCAATTTGCTCTGCGCAGGCCTTGGTATCAAGGATCGAATCCCACGATGTCGTGATTGAGGGGAGATGATTCGTCATACAACCAAGAGGACAATGTCTCTCAAACAATCATTCACAATTCCTGTATCACTCCACGAATTTATTGAAGCAAATAAAGTGACTGGCGAGAGAAGAACGCCATTTCATGATGCTGCTACTATAAGAAGGCAAAGGCTTAATGTGTAATGCAATTGCGTATACTATAGACTGGTCATATAACGTTAAGCTTTTGGACCATGGGTTATGGAAAAAGATATCATCTCCCAATTCTAGAGCAATATATTCTCGTAGCCGCTCGTGCCTGATCCATATAAAACGTCATTGAGCTCTGGATTCCTCCTCGTCGCACTAAGACGCCGCGCCGATGTCAGCAGTATCGAGCGATTGAAAGCAATCCTGTAATTGGCTCTGTCCATTTAGACTCCTGGCTGTGATCCGCTTCTCAGGCGCGATGATAAAACATGACAGGCTGATAATTCCGTGCGAGAAGGACTGCATGGCGAAATTGGAGGCAACCGCTTCCCCCTAACCACGAGGTGTGCTTAAAGACGGCATGGATCCATTGAGTCCACCTGCTCAAGTCTGGTCAACAAAACACGCAATAACATTGAGCAAAATGTCTGCAAACACTGATGCCCTGAAGAATAACGACAACGTAGCGCTCTCCCACGACGAGAAAGGAACATGGACTCCTTCGACTCAACCCTCGATCCATGCCGCCATTACCGAAGAGCAACACCTGCAGGGTTTCCCTCCCCAGGACCAGCTTGGGTCCGTTGAACCGCATGTGTTTTCGGACCCTGCGCGTGCAGAATACTGGAGGAATCTTTATGAAACGGTCAGATATGAAGGCAGATCCAGGCTCGACCCAGAGTTGACCTGGACTGCCGAGACCGAACGACGTTTGAAAATGAAAGTAATTCCTTTTTCTTTGTGCTCTTGATCTATTGATGGATATTGCGGATTTGGTGTTTTCTTTTTTTTTTTCTCCCTGAACTGGACTGATTGGTGTTTCCACTATAGCTGGACCTGAGGATCATGCTATGGGTTTGGATCATGTTCTCGTCTTTGGACCTTGTCCGGCGGAATATTAACCGTGCCGTGTCGGATAATATGGTAAGCGATATACAATATGCAGATTGAACAAGTATGCTGATACGATTAGCTGGACGACCTGAACATAGATACCAAGTACGCTCCACCCCTATACAACCATGTCCGGCCCTAACCCGAACAGCGACTACAACACCGGCCAGACAGTCTTCTTTGTCTGCTTCCTCGGCTCAGAACTCCCCGGAAACCTGATTAGCAAGAAGTTCGGACCCGATCGGATTATCCCTATATGTATTGTGCTCTGGGGTGTAGCTTGCGCTGCGCAATCTGCCATGACCGGACGGGCGTCTTTCCTCGCGATGCGTGCGATTATCGGGGTATTACAAGGAGGATTCATCCCTGAGATGGTCCTTTATCTTTCATACTTTTATAAGAGCAACGAGCTGCCGATTCGACTGTCAATCTTCTACACTGCTATCCCGATCACGCAGATATACGGCGCGCTCCTTGCTAGTGGGATTCTGGAGATGCGAGGAGTGAGAGGATGGGCTGGATGGCAGTGGCTGTAAGTGAAGCTGCAATAGCTGAGACTCAATTGCTAATAGCTACCTAGTTTCCTCATCGAAGGCCTTATTTGCATAGTCGTGGGGTTGATAAGCGCCGGAGTCATGTCGACCTCCATCATCCAGCCCGCACTATTTTTCCGACGCAAAGACGGAAGCAACAAATGGTGGACGCAGGAAGAAGAAAAAGTCCTGGTGAACCGTCTCCTTCGCGATGATCCAACCAAGGGCGACATGAACAACCGACAGCCCGTGGGCGTCAAGCAAGTCTTGAACGCCATCACCAATATCGACGTCTGGCCCATCTACATCGTATGGATAGTATACCTTCGAATTCCCGATCCAGGCATGCTAACTGCCCACCAGCTCGGTCTAACCGCCTGGATCCCATTCCAACCCGTCGCAAACTACCTCTCGCTCATCCTCCGCGGCATGGACTACACCGTGCTGGAGTCCAATCTCCTCGCAATCCCCGGCTACGTGCTGTTCGCCGTCAACATTCTCATCGCAGGCTGGCTCTCCGAAAAATTCAAAGAACGGTCTCTCGTCGCCGCCCTCAGCAACATCTGGATGCTGCCCTTCTTCATCGCCCTCGTCTGCGTCCCCGACTCCGTGAGCCCCTGGGTCCGCTACGCGATGTTGACAGGTATCAACGGCATCCCGTACACGCATTCCATCCTGGTGGGGATGACGTCCGCGAATGCGAAAACAGTCAGCATGCGTGCTGTTTCGACCGCTATATACAATATGTCCTACCAGGTTGGGAGCATTGTTGCTGTGAATATTTATCGTGAGGAGGATAAGCCTTACTGTTAGCCCCCCTGACCTAAGTAAATACATGGCTCATGCTGACTATTGCTTTGCAGACCACACAGCAAACAAGGCATTGGTCGGTCTCTGTGCTGGAAATATTGCCCTGTTTATTGGCATGAAGCTGTTTTATATCTGGCGCAACAAACAGCGTCAGGCGCGTTGGGATGCGTTGCCTCCGTCGGAGAAGATCAGTGGTGTCGATGTTAAGTACCTGCACTGAACGTCGCTCGCTATATGTCTAGCCATTGCGCGTCCCATAGACTCGGGTTGTTTGAGATAGAGGCTAGATGTCATACCATTAGGAGGACTGGAGGAGATGCTTATTATTTGTTGCCGTCATTGCGAAAGAAGAGGTGGATTTAGTCTGTTCTGTAAGTGGATTTAGTCTCTTCTGTAAGTTGATTTCTATATATGCCTTTTTTTAGTTGTGATTTTCAATTGAATAGCTCTATTTTTGCTTGCACCGTCCTCTTGTCTAGTAACGCCTGTATAAGCACTTTTATAACATACCATAACAAATGCACTCCCCCGTATCAGGGGGCAGAGAGAAATAAAACTGCCGTAGCTTAGTCCAGCTTCAACCCAATCCGCCCCGTCTTCCTCAACCCAAAGTACCCAATAACCGCACACAGCATCATAAACCCAAACATAGCCCAGAAGCTCGCACGGTACCCATCCATAAGCGCCGCCGTCTCTGGCTTATGACTCGCCTTATCCGTCGTGATGGTCGAGATAACCTGCAGAACAGCGAGACCGAGCGCGCTCCCGAACTGGGCGGACGTGTTAAAGACCGCACCAGCGACAGCCTGGGTATTGTCTGGGAAAATATCCGTGATCATGATGAGTCCGACGGTGAAAAGGGCATCTACGCTAATTGGCTGGAGGAGTTGCGCGACAAAGGCGTTACCCCAGTATGGCCAGGAGGGTTGGATGACGGCCATGAGCAGAGGGGCGCCGGCGCAGAGAATTGATGTGACGCAGACGATCCAGGGGGCTGGGAATTTGTGGACGAAGAAGCCCATGATTGCATTCACTAGAACGCCGACAACGAGACTGGGTAGAATCCGGATGGATGCCTGGAGTGCGGACAGGTGTTGGACTTCTTGGAAACTGTAGGGGGTTAGTATACTCTTCTGGATATAATGCGAAGAGTACATACAACAAGCTAACGAACAGTTCCATCGAGTTGATCACAGCGAATGAGAGGGCAACTGTGGCGCATATACTCGAGAAGGAACTGTTCTTCCATAATTTGTTTGGAATCAGAGCCGGTTTGCCTCTCTTGACCTGATAGTGGGACCAGGCGAAGAAGCAGGGAAAGGCCGCCGCGACAATGCAGAGAATAACAATACTCTGGGCTGTTTTGATCTGAGAAGGATTCGCACTCAAAATGCTATTGACTATTAGTTTCTGATACTTTCTCGCTGCCAGAGAACTTACGCGAGCAGATAGCACAGCAGCGCCATGAACACCGACGCAATCCCAGCCCCAACCCAGTCGATCCTAGTCCTGATATTCAAAAGTTTATTCTGATACTGGGCGCCCTCGCTCTTCGGGAATGCCCAAAGGCCGATCATCGTCATGAACAGGGTAACCCCCCCAGAGATGTACCATCCCGCCCGCCACCCAATGGTGTCAATAATCACACCACCAAGAACGAGACCCAACGAGAACCCAATAGGCTGGCTCAATCCCAGAAACGAAAAGGCCAGGTTGCGCCCTCTCCCAGGCGAGAGCATCTGGGTGATAATGGACACCGACGACGCCAAGTGGAAGGCCAGACCGACACCCTGGAGAGCGCGCATGACAACCAGCTGTTCACCCGTCGTCGATGCACCTTGTCCGATGATAAGGGCACCACTGGTAAACGACCCGGCCAGTTCCGTCCAGATCGGCCCGATCGCATCGGCAATGGATCCTGCGAGAAGCAGCGTTGATGCGGTTGCCAGGCTGTTTACCGATGCGGGCCAAAAGGCTAGACTGGGCGGCAATTCCAGTTGCTTGGTGATTGCAGGAAGACCGACGGTTACGAGACCGTTGATGACGCTGCCCATGAGCGTGATACCGCACAGCTGGATGATGGCCATGACCTGCTGGAAGCGGAAAACGCGGGGTGCGGGGTGCTGCGAGTGGATGGAGGCAGCATTGGGGGCGCGGTTGCTGTCATTGTTTTCTTTTGAATTCACGAGATGTAATTCAATTGACTCGCGTGGAGCTGTTGCGGTGATTGTGGTCGACATGGCTGTGGTTATCGAGGCACACGACCAGCTGGGAATCCCCCGAGGGCAGGAACAGCATTTTAATAAAGGCAGAAACGGTGCGTTTTCGTTGTGGAGATGCCAAGGGGTATTAGGTAAAGAGGATTAAAGATTAGATGAAGAGGATCCATCGCGATCCAGGCTTGGTTGACCCAAATCATGACTCACTTGTCAGCCGTAGGGCGTGTCAACTTATACAGTAAAGCAATGGCTTACATGCAGTTCTCCATCGAGGTCAATTAGCTTGTTCTTGAAAATGCACAAAGTGTCATAATTCCACTGGTATCATCTAGCTATATTACACTCATGCCTCTCCCGGAGGAAGAAGAGCATCAATTGGTTCCCCATCCAATCGACCACCGGTTGTAATATGGAATATCTCAGCCTGGCCAGTACCAGTATAAAAGTCAGCCATCCACTCGGTCACAAACATCGCATAGTTCGTCCACAGAAGACCTGGGATAGCAGTTTTGAAGGTACTACAAACGAAGGACATTAGTGAGATTCATACTCTGTCATTGTAAATAGGAGATCTTGACGTACACATATCCGAATCCATGAAGCGCCTCGTTGGCATAGGTAACTGTTCCAGTTATCGAAACTAGAATACGGTCATTGTCGGCATTAATGAAGACGAGGTCGTCCTCCCATCGCTATAGCCAGAGATATTAGTACAGGGACTCGCAAGATAATTTGTCTGTCACGCACAGTGTATTCACCGTCTTCAGATGGAAGCAAGGTCTCGCGCGCCCCGGTCAGGTTTCCAATAATCTCCCCATTGAAAGCACCAGAGACTTTACCACCCCTGTTAGGAACTATTGCGACGTTATCGCCGCCGGGCACTGTGATGTTGTATGGGAGGCCTGACAGTAGTTCAACTTCAAAAGCAGGTTTCGCAATGGGATGGTGGAAGATCCCCTTTGTCGCCAGGGTGCCAGCGGCGAAGGCAAAGGCAGTTAGAGGGACTAGCATTGTGTACCTTGGTGATAGTAGCTGTCACTGAAGAAGTTGAATTGTTTGGCATTGACTCCTCAGTTCAATTGACATTGCTGGCAATATATAGCCCATGCGCGCCGAAAGCATCCTTCTCTGGTAAAGGCAGCTTGGCGACAGCTCAAATTGCGGTTCCTTTGAAATTTGGGAATGGCCCTATAAGTTCCCTGTATTCCATGAGGCTGTGGAGCCTGAAGCTTGGAAATAACATGTCCAGGGCTGCGCAGCTCAGCGCGCAAAATGTCGCCCGATTGGGCCAGTCAGTCTTGGATTCGATAATACAGTTGCCAGAACGGAGACCACTCAGCCCACCTAATATCGGGACAGCTCACTCTGGAATTTGAGATATGGACATGTAGCGCGGCATCAAATCGGACCCATGGGAGAGGACGAATTCAGCGTAGTTATTGCATCTGTGGCTATAGATGTGTTTTCATCATCAAGAGTAATTGCTAGGCTGGTAGATCTCAGACTGCAATCTTGGAATTAAAATAAAAATAAAACGAAATAAAATAAATTAAAGACGCAAGTTGAATGAGTTAAACACGAGTGGACCCGATAACGTGGAGAAAGTTCCCCGCCCGTTTGATCTCGCATTCTCACTTCTCTCTGTTTCCTGCATTCTTGCAAGCCATCGCCATCCCATCGCAATGCCTCCTATCAGACGGCAACGTTCAGAGCCCATTGTTCGCGTAAGAACAGGCTGCTTTACCTGTCGCCGCCGCAAGAAAAAATGCAACGAGTCGAAACCCGTCTGCGCGGGGTGTGCGCGGAACAAGCTTGACTGTTCCTGGCCGACATCGACACTAGAGTCTGACAGGATACCCAGCGGAGGCTCCCCAAGTTGCACTTTGCAGAGGGATAGACAGTGTCAGGGTACCTCGCCCATTCCCAGCTCGCCTATCTCATTCGACTCGCAGTCACCCCTGACCGGACCGTTTCCCTCGGAGAACCAGTCACTGTATACAGCTCTCGCTGATCAGGATGACTCGATGGGGCTTCAGCTAATGACCCCTATGGGAGAATTGATTCCTAATACCCTCGGAACATTGCAGAATGACTTGGCACTCGTGAATATGCTCCCTCAGACGCCCTCAATGCTGCCAGGCCGCGACCCCGAGTGTTTTCAACTGCTGAGCCATTACCTCGGGACTACTGCAGACTGCATGTCCAACGGTTCGACCCCGATTAATCCTTTTCTGGTCCAAGTAGTCCCGCTCGCCTTCTCGAGTGACTTGGTGCTGCAGCTAGTTCTGACGCAGAGCGCTGCCCACCGAGCATTCCGCTCCAAAAAGGGCGTGGACGATATGGCCGAGAGTCAGTACACGAAGGCCCTGCGACTCTTCCGAAAGAGCGTTACGGAGTTTATTGATGGGGAAGAATCGAACCCGCTCCTTCTTACGGTCGGGGCGCTCATTATGTGTTTTACAGAGGTCGGCACTACTATGAATCCCTGTTGCGGCATTATACTGACCGTTACTAGACAGCAAAAGGCGATATGAACGGGACAGTATTCGACCACCTATCTGCAGCCAACTCTCTACTGATACAGTTTTTACTGCGGGGCAATACTACCATTCCACAAGATCTGGACGACTTTATTATCGATTACTACACGTACACCGCTACCGTGAGCATGATTTCCATCGACGCCCGCGTGAGCTCCCAGCGTCTACTTGATTCCGATATGGAACAGCGCGCCCACCGCCTCATAAGCTGCCAATACATCGGAAACCTCTCCGGATGCTGGCTAGAACTCCTTCTAGTGATCCCTCGAATCTTCGACCTCGGGCGGCGATTGATGATGGAAGACAATCAGCCAGGTACCCCAACGGCAGACGATATCGTCGTGTTTGGCTCACTACAAGCGGAAATTATGCGATGGACGCCTTACTCGTTCGCGTCTGAGGAAACACAGCTAGCGGGTTTGATATTTCAGCAGGCCATGCTACTATACTTAGTCACATCGCTCGGCATGTTCTCGGAAGACGCGACTAGCGCAGGCAGTGCACTGATGAACTGTGCGATTGGAGAAGCAATGGCTCTCCTTCGCCGTGTGTCGGCGACATCGCGCATCAACTCTGGGCTCTGCTGGCCTATCGCCGTTGTGGGATCTTGCTTGTCAGATCCAGGACTACAAGAGGAACTCAGACAGCGCCTTACAACTATGGGAAATACATTTGGCCTGGGGAATATGCACAGGACTCTTCTCTTGCTTGAACATATGTGGAAGCTACCTCTTCATGATGCGGGCCCGTGGAATATTTGTCGCGCAATGCAGCAGAAGCAAATATGGATATCGTTTGCTTGAAGAAATGACATCTGCCAAGGACAGGGATAAATGGGCCATATCCTGCATTTATTAAACCTGGAAGCTGGCAAATGTACTATGCACTGCCCAAGTTCTGTGGAGCCTTCGTCGCGGGCCCTTCAGGGGTGACATACGCCTTGGTGAGACCACCATCAACAACAAAGTCCGCGGCATTGACGAAGCTGCTTTCGTCACTGGCCAAAAATACAACCGCATGGGCCTGTTCAATGGCCTCTCCAAACCGACCGGTCGGGAAATGGACCTCCCGCCGAAAGCGCTTTTCCTTGTCATCGCCGAGCCAGTCCTGCAGGAGAGGAGTGTTGAGAGGCGCCGGACATAGCGAATTAAATCGGAAGCCTGCGATGCATATCAGCTGCTGATCGGGCGAAGAGATTATAAAGGTGAGTGGGATGGGGAATGGTACCTTCGCGCGCATGTACGATTGCCAGCTCCCTCGTCAAGGCTAGGACAGCGCCCTTGCTCGCTGTATACGCCAACTGCGGCGTCGCGGCGCCCACAAGCGCAACCATGCTCGCCGTGTTAATAACGCTGCCTTTGCTTTTACCGTTTTTCCTGAAGCTCTTGACGGCGTGTTTACATCCATACCACACGCCTTTAACATTAATATTCATCGTGAGGTCCCAAATACTTTCACTCGTCTGCTCGGCATCTCCATCCTGGGCGTGCATGATCCCTGCATTGTTAAACAGGACATCGAGTCCACCCCACGAATCTAGATGTGCAATGGCACCTTCGACATCATCTTCCTTGGAGACATCGACGACGCGGTATTCGATCTTTCCGTCGTGCGTGGGAACGACGGTGTTGACTTTTGCAAGGGCGCGCTCGAGTCCAGGGGCGCTGATGTCGGTCATTAGGACGGAGGCTCCTTCGCGGAGCATCAGGATTGTGGTTTCGAGGCCGATGCCACTGTTTCATCATGTTTAGCATTGGAGTTCTGTGGGATAAGGAGGGGAGCGATGTACCCAGCAGCACCGGTGACGATCGCATTCTTCCCGGCGAGTCGGCCGACCATTTTATTTCGCTTTTTTATAGAGAATACCTAAGGAGGCAGAGAGAAAAGAGTTCAAAGTAGATTTACTGGAGTATTGGTTTATTTCGAAACACAAGAGATTGTTATATAGACGCCCCGCTAGCAAACGAAAACGATGACATAGTATCCCCCGCTATTACAGTACCTGTGATATACTCCCTCGAAACCGCTCTTCAACCCATAATCCAGATAGCATTAATGAGGCAATGATCAAAATCAGGAACGCGGCGTAACCGCGGTAGAGCGCGGTCTCGGTCCGCGCTGTGGGGTCTACAGCGTCGTCAGGAAGCGCGGCTGGAGATGACTTCGAAGAGACCGTTTGAATTATCACATCTCAACTCTACCATAAACTGCATTTACGTGACTTGTCATATCCTGGGTTGACACCCACGCCGTGATCACCTAATAGTAAAGTAAAGGAGCTGCTTACTCCGCACATTGCATCCCGAACTTCGCAATCCCATTGACGATAACCTCCATCAACTCCCTAGATTAATATCCTGTCCGATGCATCGACCACTCCGAATCGCCGTCCTTGAATGTGACACTCCCCCAGAAAAGATAAATCTCAAATACGACGGCTACTATGGGGTGTTTTCCAGATTACTTCGTCGCAGTGCTGAAACGCTGCAGCATGAACAGCTGAATCCCGACTCCGGACTCGAGATCTCACGCTGGGACGTTGTCACAGAGCAGGCGTACCCAGAGCTGGAAAGCGTAGATGGAATTGTACTAACAGGGTCAAGTAAGTCTTACCTATTGTTTCGATGTAGAATCTCCTGTACTGAGTTTCCGACTACAGAGCACAACGCCTTCGAGGACGCACCATGGATTCTGAAATTAGTCGAGTTTACCAAAAGGGCTATTCAAGACCCCCGCGTGAAGCTTCTGGGAGTCTGCTTCGGACACCAGATTATCGCCCGCGCCCTGGGGGTGCAAGTCAGCCGCAGCGCTGCAGGATGGGAGATTTCCGTGTGTGAAGTCAATCTTACACCGGCAGGAAAGGAGTTATTCGGTCTTGACACGCTTGTATGCCTTTGTCTGCTATGGTACTTACGGGTTTGAACTTCCAACTAATCTTGGCTCAGCAACTTCACCAAATGCATCGGGACATCGTGTCTAAATACCCGCCGGATACCATTCCCCTGGGTGATTCTCCTATTTGTCAAGTGCAGGGAATGTATCTACCCGGTCGCTTTATTACGGTGCAGGGACACCCTGAGTTTAATGAGGAGATTGCTACGGAGGTTGTGACATTACGAGGCGCCCAGGGCATTTTCAGCAAAGAGCAGACTGAGGATGGACTCAGCAGAGCAGCGAAGCCGCATGATGGGGATGTGGTGGGAATGGCTTTTCTTAGGCTGTGCATTGAGTAATTTAGTTTGGCTAGGATAGCATTGGGCTGTCAAAATCAAAGGTATAATGATAGACAGCCTGAAATGGGACAAGGCCAATAGTTCCAATCCCTGCTACCAGTTCAAATAGATGTCTGAAAGATAAAATCACCAAGTTTCATGCGCCGCCTCTACCGACGGCAGTCCAACATATACTAAACCCCGTTAGCCACAAAACACTCCATATAGGAAACAAGACATACCTTTCCTCGCATAGACAATATACCAAATCGCGGCCAGGACGGTAAGACCTGCAAACACTACAGAGGCATAATTCATCGACACCGCCGTCACAGGCAGCACGGTGGGCATACTAAAGATGACCAGCTCAAACGCAATCCAGGCCAGGGCCAGAACGTTCAATATCGTCCCCAGCACATTGCCGCAGTTCCAGCGAGCCTTAGATACCTGTGTCCGGCGGTCATAAAACAACGAGATACTGATTGGGATTGCATACGTGGTCGCAAGGGCAATGACACTGGATGAGAGGAACGCCGTGAATGCGCTGCTGCTGCCTAGGTTTATGAGCCCCAGGAGCATCTGGACGAGGGTTACAAGGCCTAGTGCCCAAAGCGGGATATGTCGGCGTTTGTCGACGTGGGAGAATAGTTTGGATAAAGGCATGGCGTTGTCGCGGGCTAGGGCCCAGGTCGTGCGAGACGCGGCGTTGGTTATACTGATCGAACAGAACAGTCCACAGACTAGGATAAGCGCCACCAGGCCTACTGCACCATCGCGGCTGCCCATAACAACTTGCAAAATATAGGGTACGGCCTGACCGCTTGGTGCTTGCGTGATGTCTACCAATGCTGGGAGGGTAGCGCAGAGCGGGACGACGAAGAAAAGGCCTGCAATGCAGCCGACGGGGATGCAAAGCGCAATGGCCCTGGGCATTTTGATTGCTGGGGAACGGACCTCCTCTGCCATCGAGGTGGCCATGCCCATGGCGCAGAAGCAAAAGGCTGGCGGTAGGAAACCGATGCATAAGGAGAAGCCATTCCAGCCGGATAATGTGGTGTCGTAATTCCCCAGGGTGTGCCCGGCATCATGTCTGCCGACTTTGGCTGTGACGGAGACAGATATCAAGACTATGATGATGGTAACGAGAGTCCATGCGGCGCAGACAGTGTCGACCATCGGGAGGAACTGATTACCGAAGCCACATATCAAGAATGTCAAAACGCAGATAGCGTAGAATACGAGAAGCGTTTGCCAGTCGTTTGCCTCCCAGGTGCTGAAGATCGATACAGTAGCAACGAGCAGTCCCGCGAGGGCAAAGTTGACGGAGAGAGTGACGGTCCAGTTTCCTATCAGCCATATCCACGCCGTGATGAAGGAGAGCAGCTTTGCATGTTTCCCGCATAGTTGAAAGGACCAGTAGTACGGCCCAGCAGATGTGGGATATCGAGAGGCCAGCTCGGCGAGGGACATGGCAACGGTCTGGTCCATTACGCAGACAATAATCCAGCCAAGGAATATTGAGAGCTGGCCGCCGCCGTAGATTGTTTGCATAAACGCCCCGCTTTCGCCAAATGGGATTGCGGCTATTGATAATGACTGGAAAAGGAGCGTGAATAATGATCGGTTCCGCCGGAGCTCTGCGGTATATCCCAGCTCCTCGAGGGCGGGCTCGGCGCTATCCTGAGGTTTACCTCCATCTTCTTTGGAACCATCTAACGCTGGTTTAGACTGCAAAGACATTAATATTATAGACCGAGACCACTCCGGTTACAGAATAAAACATAATAAGCACGAGCGCTGGATACGAGGGACGAGGGCGCATCTTATACGACCACTCAGGCCCCATATCCGTACAAGGCCATACTCTCCCCCAGGATCCGCGATACTTCAGGATCGGCATGACGAACAAGGCCAGGAGAACGCGGGGTAGAGCAACTTTCTCCGCATCTAGCTGACGGATCTCGGACATATCCACCAGGGATGGATAACCCTAAGCCTGGATGGCCCTTATATTGCGGGGAAGGACGCCACCGCTAAACCCTCGCAGGAAATCTGAGCCTGCTTCGTGTTCCCCTGCCTTCTTGATGGACTCTTTCCATCTGCCATTTCGCAGGCTCGTCGTGCTATGACTGAAAGTCTTTGGAATTGGCAGCCCCCGTGTCAAATGTGAAACTCTTGCTGGCAGGACTGCTGTGTATCATTGATGACGATGTGAGTCCTGTGCAGACAGCACATCAATGCATTCCTGTACCACCAAGGGCTTGCGTCGGACTGTGTAACGTCCAGCGCACAATTATGTCTGCCTGGCCGAAGTACGTACGACTGACCTGCTGTCAAGTGAGACCAAAGGACTAGGCCGTGGACAGTGGCCCCTCATATAGCAGCGGATGCACACGAGTATGGGACTACTGAATGGGGTATTGTATACCGAGTATGCGTGCCGGATGCGAAACTCAAAGTGATATTCAAATACATGCGAACTTCCATAGACGTGCCTTCTCCCCCAAACCACCGGACGTCGTTATAAAGACAAATACTTTCAGCTGTGATTATACACTATTATACCAGACAGGTTGTCTATTTGAACCACCATTGAAGCGCCAGGAATGTCCCAGAACTTCAAGAGGCTGCGACTTGGCAGATCCCCGCATAATCTGATCGCCGAAGATGCGATCGGGCCAGTCAGACTGAACAGACTCCTCATAATCTAACGCAGCTCGGCATACTGACCCGGGTGTGCAGATCAAAATTAGGAAAGTTAATACTGGATGACGTCGTTTTGCTGGCATCGCGGCCTGTATCAATCCCAGGTTGATTCCGTATATACAGCAATTCTGCAAGAAGGGTACCGAGCTAAGGATAGATAGAGACAAGGATTAAGATGAATATTGTAGTTCTTAAGCATTTGACCTGTTCTATATAAGCATGACAGGGATATCATGCTATGGATTGACAATGCCCTATACGGTCTCAATATACCGTTTAAACTCCCTATTGCAGTCAGCTTCCAGTCAAAGCAAGGTATATCAATAAACAAACCAATCTGTCACAGCCTCACGCCATACACGCAACTCATGATCACGCGTAGCCGTAAAAAAGTCCACAAACTCGTCGTTGAGGATTTCCCGCGCAATGCTCCCCTTTGCACTGAACCTCTTCAGCGCCAGCTCCAGCGTATTTGGCAATAGCCCTGGCTTTGGCATATCCAGCGTCATGGCCGATAAAGGGGGCACCGTTATATTAACTTCCTTCTGCACACCGCGCCATCCAGCGGCTAGAATTGCACTCAGCGCGTAGTGCGGATGCAGGTCTGCGCCGGGAATACGGATCTCGAAGCGAGTGGCTCCTGGTTTGCACACGGGCGGGGCGATAATGCGGATAGAGGCTGTGCGGTCCTCTAATCCCCAGCTGATATTTATCGGGGCCCAGTAGTTCTCGACGAGGCGTTTATATGAGTTGATGGTTGGTGCGAAGAGGGGCATGATATCGGGCAATGCCTCTAGAAGGCCTCCGAGGAAGTGTCGGCCTAAGTCTGATACTGCAGCGACATCGGGCCAGGGAGCTTCAGGGTCTTGGGATTCTCGGGCGAAGAGATTCTTGCCATCTTGGGAGCAGAGCGAGATGTGGATGTGGCCAGAGCTGCCGGGTTGGCCTTGTATTGGCTTTGCCATGAAACACGGGGTGATGCCATATTTTAGTCCAATTGATTTTGCCAGGAGCCTGATAATGTTAGATGGGATCTGAAGATTATGTAGAGGCTTACTTGAAGAGTGCTGTTTTATCTGCCATCTCGTTTACTGGTGATACTTTTAGGGCCTGGACTGTCAGTTACTTATACTTCGATAACAATATACAGCATCGCAAACTCACTGCTTCGTATACACCCGGTCCCCCTTCTGTATGCCATCCTTCAATGGGGCAATTGAATTGACAACTGGTATTGAAAACGTCATAGAAGTATTCCTTAAATGCGACCGGGCGTGTTGCGCTGTAGGAGAAGCTGCCTGAGGTGATCGGCCGCAGGGCTCGAGGGGGATTATTCTCCAGAAATGCAGCAAGATCATGAATCTGTCCCTGGCCTTGTCCATACCCATCCTGCGATGGAGTCTGGAAGTTCATGAATTCCAGTTCCACTAGACACTGATCAGCAATCCTTCACTACACGTTCAATAGAAGGACGCACCCCCAGCCAACGCCTGGCAATTCGCTTCCTCCAACCTGTCCGATATTTCCTTCAACATATTCCGACCATCCGCGACAACTTCCTCTCCATTCTGAACAAACCGCACGAGAAAGAACGGAATGTCATCTTCCCAGGGAATGCGCCGGAAGGTGCTCAGGTCAGGAACCGCAATGAAGTCGACATATCCTTCCTCGGGGCTGGCGATTTTGGCATCATTAGAATAGAGCACGTCCTGCATATCCCATCCAAATACGGCGGAACTGAAGCCGAATCCTTTCTCTGCGATTCCGAGGAACTTGTCTTTGTGCATTACCTTGCCGCGGAGGATGCCATCGCAGTCGATGCCGGCGACTTTGACGGCGATATCGGTTGCAAGGAGCCTGGGCAGGTCCTCTACCGTGATAGCTGCGGCCATGGTGGACAATACTGAATTCTTCCTGGATAGAGTGCTGGAACTGTCTTTCACTCAGGTGTTGAGGTCCAGGCGTCGCGAGTTAAAAAGAACCGGCTCTGTGTTAATGCGGTCGAGCGTTGGCCGGCTGATAAGCCGCGGTATACAAGCTGATCATGACGTATCATCGAATATAACCGCGTGGTTGAGTATAGCTTGCTGTATAAATCATGATGGTTAACCGCGCTGGGCGGACCGCGATGGGAGCGCGGAGAGAGAGCGCGCTCCGAGTGGGACACGCGCACGATCATGTCCTGTGGGCACGTTAACAGGAAACTATAGCCGGCGATGTTCATTCAGACGAACCAACCCATTATTCGTAGGATACTAGAATTGAATATCTCGCACATTCATAAGGCGCAGTGAAAGTATCCATCAGCCAGATACCATCCGCCGTGTATTGCTACCATAGGATATCCCAGGCACTTCTACTACGAACGCAAAGAAGTCACAGCACGCATTAATTATTACGATGTCCAACCAAATCCGAACCCTCTCGCCGTCCACAGGAGAGGTCATCTTCGAACACCCCGGCCACTCCGTGGTCCAAGTCCGCCAGATTGCGGCCTCTGCAAAAGATGCCTGCCACGCTTTCAGATCCCTCACACTTGGAGAACGCAAGTCAATTGTCGCCAGATTCCTGAACATCCTGTCTGAGAACAAAAACACCCTTGCAAATGAACTAACACAGCAAATGGGCCGTCCAATCTCTTACACCGCGGGCGAAGTCGACACAGCATGCAAGCGCGGAAATTACCTTCTCTCCATTGCAGATAAAAGTCTGGAAATAATCCCTGGAGAGCCAGAAGAAGGTTTCCGGAGATTCGTGAAGAAAGAGCCCATTGGGCCGGTTCTGATATCCACAGCATGGAATGTATGAGTCCGAGACATCTTAATCTATCTCAACGGCCACTAACAGAAACAATGCATGCTAGTATCCCTACCTCATCACAATCAACGCCTTGATCCCAGCCCTCCTGGCAGGAAACCCCGTTATCTTGCGCCCGTCCCCTCAAACGCCACTCGTGGGTGAACGGCTGGTGTCTTATTTCCAAGAAGCGGAGCTACCGAAATCATTCCTGCAGCTGATCCACTGTGCCTCGGGCGAAGTCCTTGGCAGTATCACCACCATCCCGCAAATTAAACTGGTTTGCTATGTGGGATCCACAGCTGGGGGGCTTCAGCTTCGGACAGCTTCCGCGGGACGAGTCTTGCCACTGAACCTGGAACTAGGGGGTAAAGATGCGGCATATGTCCGTGAAGATGCGGATTTGAGATATACGGCGGCCCAGATCGTTGACGGGGCCGTATTTAATTCAGGACAGAGCTGTTGTTCCATTGAACGGGTTTATGTTCATGCCAGCGTGCATGACGCCTTTGTGGAGGAGGTGCAGAGGGAACTAGCATCGTAGGAATCCCCGTAGTCTACCTGATAAAGCTAACAGCAGCAGGTATGTTGTCGGCGACCCTACTGATAGGGCCACCACCGTGGGGCCTGTCATCTCGCATCAGGCTGTCAGAAGTATAGAGGGTCACATCGGAGATGCTCTTGCCAAGGGTGCGATTGATGTTACGCCTGACAGCCCTGGTTTAAACCCGCCCCCAAAGCTTGGCAGTTATATTAAGCCTAGGGTCCTGATAAATGTGAGACACAATATGCTTGTGATGCGTGAGGAGACATTCGGGCCGGTAATCCCTATTATGAAAGTCAACAGTGACCAGGAAGCAGTCGCTTTAATGAACGACAGTGAGTACGGCTTAACAGCAAGCGTATGGACAAGGGATATCTCGCGCGGCGAGGCGTTAATCGACCAAATCGAAGCCGGGACTGTTTATATTAACCGATGCGATTACCCGAGTCCGGTATGATTTTTCTAACTCTCATTGACCCCCATTTAACCGGCATTTACTAAGTGTGGTAGGACCTCGCATGGGTGGGCTGGAAGAATTCAGGACTAGGATGCTCGCTCGGACCACAGGCATTCGATGCGTTTTATCAGTTGAAGAGTTTCCATATTCGTGAGAGTCAGCGCTAGGCTAGCAAGTGTCATAACATCATGGATCATAGATACATGTGAAGAATGGTATCGTTATACATCATCTCGTCTCTACATGCCGCGCAGAAGCAAAACCAAAGCAAAAGTACAAGGACTAAAAAGCAAATCATCAGGCTCAAAAGGAAGGAAGGACCAAGCCTGGGTCGTACATCCTCTCGTAATGCAGTAATTTTCATCATCATCGTCCACACATTAGCCGCAACGGCAGCTTCCTTTTTGTCATTCCCTCACCTTAACTATCAAAGATAGCTCCATAGGCGGGAATCCCCCTCGTCTCCATCCCATAAACGACCTTCTTGGTCAGCTTCTCATTCGAAATAACAATCACCGCCTCGGCGTTGAAATCCCGGACTGCGTTCCAGGTAAGTTTCACCAGATCCGGGCGTCCCTGTTTCTTGGTGTCGTGGACAATAGCCCCTGGGTCGGCATTGTATACATCGTCCATAATCCCCTTGCCGAATGTCTGCATTGGGTTCGAGGTCGACCAGACCAGGCGGAATGGACACGTTGGGATCTGGATGTGGCCGAGTAAAGGCCCAATTCCGGATCCTGTGCCTACCAGGACGACGCGGTTGAAGAGGGTTGCGATGCGCATTACGCCGCAGGCTATTTTAGTTAGCAATACATCAAAAAAAAGGTAGAAAAAGAATATAATGAGAACGTACTGGGAACACCTCGCACCCAAAGATGAGTAGGCGGTTTACTGATGCGAGAACCCGTCCAGTCACCAGCACGAGACACAACAAGAGAGTACCCCCTAGGCCGGCCATTCTTCGGCACTGGGGCAGGAACAGTGGCAAACGAGTGCCATTCGATCAGCGGGCGCTTTGACAGGCGGGTGAACGAGCCATTGACTGGCATCGTGTAATCGAAATGCAGACGGACGGCGTGGTTGGAGAGGACCTCTGCGTCGACGGGGACCTTGCGGAGGAACAGCCACGAGCTAGCAATGCTCATCGTAATGACGATCACCATCCAGAAGCTCGGGGTTTTAATGACCTGCTCGCCGAGAGATGTACCGGGCGGTCGTTGATCTCGGATCGAGGACATATTCTGGACCCAGATAATCACCAGCGCGGTCCAGCCGGCGAATCGGTGCACGCGTTCGAACAGGTCGTGATGCTTCTTTCGCATTGTCGGGTATGCCAGCGTAATCATGCCAAAGAAGATGAATAGCGCGATCAGGGAGAGCACGATTGTCAGCACTGACGGTCGGAGGGGATCGTCTGGCCGGGTCGCGAACACGACGATGTTATAGCAGATGCCGCCGGCGTACCAGGCCACAGCCATCACTGCAGCGCCTGAATGGGCGCCTCCGAGGTGGTATATCTTTGCGCATCGTTTCCGGATTGCGAGGGGCCAGGACTTTGGAACGGAGCACGAGATGGTATACAGGATGTTGATGACAACGTCTTGCCGGACCAGAATCGCGATTGTCAGGTTGACGAATGCAATGGTTGTGATATGCTGGCGAGGAATTGTTGGGACCGTCACAAAGGCAATAAGAACAGCGATATTGGCCAGGAATATAAGCGAGAATAATGTCCGGTATACGATAAAGATGCGATGTCTGAGGCCGCGCCATGGCTTGCCCCAGAGTTTGTCTGGTACAGGAGCCGGCTCCTTTTTGGGGTCCGTCAGGGAATCGGATCCAGTGGACATTGTGCTTGTATACAGCTCCTTTTTGTTGTCGAGAGCAGAGTAGAGCTCTGTCTGGGAGTGTCTGGCCTCCTGGACCTGTTTCGCGAGGGCGCGCTTGTCGACTTTACCGTTAAACGTCAAGGGGAACTGGTCTACTTTGTGCCACTTGGAGGGGATCGCATAGTACGGCAGTTTGGTCTTGAGGTCTTCTGCCAGCTTGTCACTGTTGCACTGTTTCGGCGACACGATGCCGGTCAGTTGGCCCCCGATCATTAGGGCTGTTGCTTGCTGTACGCCGGGAGCCGATGCCAACGAGTGGCTGACACCGTCAAGCTCAACGCGGAAGCCCTGTAATAATTAGAACCTTCCTCGTTGGTAAGAGTGAATTGCAAGCTTACTTGAAGTTTGACCTGATCATCGTCACGACCGAATGTCTCAAGGTTGCCGTCAGGAAGCCATCGGGCGAGGTCGCCGGTGTTGTACATAAGAGACTTTCTATCCGCAAGTTAATCAATGCAACCTGTCTGTCCCGACATGGTAACATACCCATCATTCAAAAACACATCGTAGTGGTACTTTTCCGCAGTCTTCTCCGGCTGGGCAATATACCCCCTTGTCACACCGGCACCACCAGCCCAGATGGTGCCGACCTCCCCGATTTGGGACGGGGACTTGTTCCCGTCCAAGATATAGATGTTGTTGTTGGGCGTGGGCTTCCCAATGGTAAGCGCACTGCCCGCAGTGTGCTTATGCATGGTGTTTATGATGGTGATCTCTGTGGGCCCACAGCAGTTGTAGTATTCCACCCCAGCCAGTGCCCATTTGTCCGCCAGACTACCCCAACATGTGAGCCAATGATAGTCTCAGTAAAAAAAATAATGGGCAGGACTTACCTCTGAGTGGACGGCTCGCCAGCCGTGGCCACGCACCGAATATTGGGAAACTGATCGGGGCTGTATCGGTTGAGAATACTCGGTGTGCAGATCAGAGTGTCGATCTGAGGGGCAGGTCAGTCCGATTATCGCGCAAACGAACCGGGGACAGCCAATGGGCTGGCGCAGTGACAAACCTTTTGCAAAGCTTTATTCCAGTCGGATCCTCGCAGGACCAGTGTGGCTCCATTCGACATGCTGCCGAGGACCTCCCAGGCGCCTGGATTCTGGTCAGCGCTTCTCTCGTCCCCACAACGTGTCTCCCACGAACTGAACTCTTTTTGTTACGAACCCATATCGAAGCTCACGGACAGCACCTGCCCGACTTTTGTGCCGCGGGTCATTCCCAGATTGCCGGGTGCTTGGCAGAGGATGTTGGTCACATTTTTGTGCGTCACGTAGACACCCTTCGGAGTTCCGGTTGTACCTTTGCATTGTCAGAAAAAAAATAAAAAAAAAAATAAAAAATAACCATAAAAAGTCAAAAAAACCAAATAAACTTCAATAGTGAAAATCCTGAAGAACTCACCAGACGTGTATATGAGGTAGCATCCGGAGTTTTTGTTGCCCTCGCAAAGCAGGTTCGCCTGATCCACAGCAAAGTCGGTAAAGGCAGGGCTCTGCAGCAGGTCATCCAGCACCAGGACGGTGACGCCAACAGTCCCCAAGAACCGGATCCGCTCCTCGAACGGGTGGAGACACAGCACGACCGTCACGCTGGATTGCTCGACCGCATGTTGAAGAGTGTGATCGGGGACAACCCCGCCATCCATCGGGATATACTGTGCCCCAGCCATGAGAATCCCGAGGATCCCAGCCACCATCTCTGCGCTGCGCTTGATCAGGAGCATCACCCGGTGTCCTGGAATCACTCCGTTCGCCCGGAGCTGCGTAGCAATGAACTGAGCCTGGCGCAGGAGCTCGCCGTATGTGACTTCCTTGGGGGTGCCGGGGGAGAGATCCACCAGGGCAACCTCTGAAGGCGCCTGTGTAGCATGGTGTATGAAGGCTTCATGGACAGTGCCGAATGGAATCCTGGTCTTCTGGCCGAATCCAAACTGGCGGAACAGAGTCATTCTGTTGTCCTTTGGCGGCTCCGGCTTGGAGTTTATATCGGGGGCGACAACAGCCATTGTTGTAGCTGGTGAACCTTCAATCTGACGGCTCATATGCAGAAAAGAAATTTAAAGTAAGGGCCCTTACATGAGGCGGCAGCGACGGCAGCCCCTCTATATAGCTCTCGCGCAAGTTACTCGTCTGTTATATGGGTCTGTCAAAGCAGGCTACCCCTCCTCAAGGCTTGCCCGTTCCGGAATGATGCAACGTATATCCCGATCCCAGTGGTAGTGATCAACCGAAGGAAAAAGAAAACAAAATCAAGAAAGGGAAAGGAAAAAGTCTGATGCCCTAATGGGTATGGTGCGCCGGGGGGGGGGGTGGTGATGAAAGCGTGCTGACAAGTGCAACCCTCCAGGGAAAGCTGGCCAAAAGCGTCATGGAGCCAGTTTAGTTTAGATTACGGATGGCTCTTATATCAGTGATTCTGTTAGTAAAGGGCAGGGCAGGCAGTACAGGCAGTACGGGCACAACGGGCAGGCAGTGCACGGTTGCAGCGCCCCCTGCTTTAAATACAATTAATGACTCCCTGGGCGCTGCGACTGGCAAGGATAAGTACTCCGCCAGGCAGGCAAGTGGAGGCCCCAGGGAGCGTGTTTGACGTTGATTACTGCGTCAATGCCATTCCCTGTTCTTCCTTGAATTACGCAGAGCAGCGACGTGGCCGGCCCCTTGCTGGGAAGCCACGATGAAAGGCTTGCAGCTGCGGCCAGCAAGGGCCGATGCAGCGGCACCAGCAGGCAAGTTTAACTTTGATTTGTATCTTATCTGGCCTGATAGCCCGCCGGGCCACTGGCGACCCGACAACACAGCAGGTTAGGCGGCTCCCACGGTGCGAGTGCCATTCGCCAACCCTAACTCAGTCTGTGCCGCGCCCCCGCACGCCATCCACAGTCGATCACTGGGAGTCTGGGACCAGCTCACAGCTGCACGACCCAGGTGGGCTGGACTGTGGACTCGAGGCAGTCACCAGTCTACACCGCTGGGAGCAGGAATGTCTTGGCTGGACCGGGTTATGGCACATTTCTTTTTCCGTCACGGATGGAGCTGCTCTGCCTGATTGTGCCAATGAAGCCTGCAAATGCCGCGGTGGGCGTGCTGCATGTCGACTCACGTAGGGCTTCCTCCTGTGCGCGTGGCGATCGGTTCTCGACCAGCTGTCTCTGTCGTCCCGTGTAACCCCCCTCTGCCACCCTTGCCAGTCTCTGCCGGTCTTTGGCCTGTTTCTGGTTCTCTGGGTCGCTGCCTGGGTCTCTCTGGTTCTGCGTCTGCCAACCGTTTTTTTCTCGCGGGCCCGCTGCGAGACGTCAATCGAGACAGCCGATCTGATGTGCGAAATTCTGATTCAGGCCATTGCACCCCCGTCTTTTACGAACCGGCCAGTCGATCTCGACCTCTTCGGTGCGCCCGAAAAACAGCCGATCGGGATCCTCTCGACGTCGAGCAAGTGAGCGTCCCCAGCGCGCCCTCAGCCCTCCACCACAAAGTTAATCAAGGTCAACAAGTTCAACCCTAGCTGTTAAATCCTCGCCCGTTCCCATTTTGGCGGTGCAGCTAAGCAGCTTTGTTCATTATCGTACTTTCTTCCACCATGAGCCAGCCCACCGATTTAGTCATCTCCACGACACCGCAGCCTGGCACTCGCGTCTGCACGCTGAACCGCCCGCCCAAGCGCAACGCCCTATCGCAGGATCTCATCGATCAACTGCTCCGTCAATTGCAGCTAGCCTCGGCTGATCCAGAAGTGCGATCCATTATAATCACAGGCGCCGGGGGTTTCTTTTCCGGTAAGCCGTGCCACCAACCCACTCTCCTCCCCAGCCTCCTCCCAGCCTCCCAACAACAGCACACACAGCCTCAGCTGCACACACGTGGGGTCCAAAAGACCCCACCAAAAATAGCAAAATAGTAGGAAGAGCATTATTGACAGGGATCGTGCACAGCCGGGGCCGACATCAAAGAAATCTCGCACCTCGACGCCGAAGATGCCCGGCGGGTGCGCTATCTCCAGGACCTGTGCGACGGCCTGCGCAACGTGCGCAAGCCCGTCATTGCCGCCGTCGAGGGCAAAGCTGTACGTTCTTTTGTCTTCCGATCCACTCTTTGAATCCAGATATGCCCCGAGCATTTCCGGACCTAAACCCTTGATTGGATGCACCCGTACTAATCGTGCAGCTTGGGGGCGGATTTGAACTGGCGTTGATGGTAAGCTGGTCTCGACACTGACCATCCATACTATTTATGGATATACATGGTGCATGGCTAATTCGTGACAGGCGGATTTCATCGTCGCTACACCCGACTCGCAGTTCGGCTTACCGGAGGTCTCTATCGGTCTTATCCCCGGGGCTGGGGGCACGCAGAGACTAACCAGCGCCCTCGGCAAATATAGGGTACGTTCATGGTTGTTTTACTATTTTCCAGGTCTGACGCGATATAGGCAATGAATGTGATCCTTCTCGGTGAGCTTCTTTCTGGGTCAGAGGCCCACAATGTCGGCTTGGTGAGTCACCTTGCAGAGGCTGGGAAAGCTGGTGAACGTGCCCTGGAGGTCGCCGCGAAACTGGCATCGCGAAGCCCTACTGCTATTCAGTTAGCGAAGGAGGCTATTTCCACCGGTTAGTGAACTTCAACTCCTTCTACTATCTTTGGTCTGATACGTTCTTCAGCGGACCAGCTAGGCCAGGATGAGCCATTCGAGCGGTCCCTCTATTACATGTCCTTCGGGACCAAGGATAAGAAAGAAGGCGTCTCTGCCTTTCTAGAGAAGCGCGCCCCTGTTTGGAGCAGCTAGGCTTAACAGGATCGCTATTACATTTAATATTCTGCGATTAATCGATCTAGAGCGGGTCGATAGTCCATAGTATATAGTATATAGGTACATATGCAGGTACACAGTCAGCAACGCAGGAAACCTCGCCACGAAACTGCCGGGTTCGTGGTAATGTGGCACTAAATGAAAATACTATTGGCATTTACCAAGTCTCGATATAATGCGTCCAAACTTAGTAGCGCTTATCTCACGCCGGCCCACGGCCGCACATCCCTTCAGGATCTGCGAGCGAACATGTCATATTCCAGAAGCCGGTTTGCGACCGGGAAGGGTTATGGAAGGGACCTAGAATATCGAAAAAATAAATAAATAAATAAAAGTGGAAGAAGGAAGAGAGAGTGTGGGACGGCCATGATTCTTAATGGAACATACTATAGCTTCCCCTGCAAGGCTTCCAATCCCTACGTTCGTTCACCTGATGAGCCTTGCAGTTTCAACTCTGCCGAGAGTCCGAGTACCCCTGCATCCAATGCAAGCTTAATCCCGTCTTTGCTGTTGACTTTGCCACTGTAGTCCACTGTGTCGCCGAGGGCTGAGTATAACCGATATCGGCCCATCTAACCTGCATGGAAGGGGCAGGAAGAATTCTTCGAAACGGTCCAACGTTAGCATTACAAGACATATCGATGCCGTAGTAATTGCTGAGAAGGCTCTCATGGGTTTCATCTCAGCAGCTCGATCATTGGCCGAGGGTTATAATCACCTGGCCAGGATGCGTACTTGCTGACGGATGTCTCTGTGTAACTTTGATAGCCAGTTTCCGGTGCTGACAGGATTCATTCTCATAGTTGAATGTCTGGTCTCTTCCATATTAATCTCGTCCAGTCGATGACAAATGTTCTCTACATCCTTTTGGCAGCACTGGCAACTCCCTTGGACGTTCGACAGGTGTTGAGTATTATAACGCAAGGTTCTGTGATATCGTTCCTCCCTATGCTCCTGCACCACTTGCTGATCAGCATGAGCATGACCATATGAAAAGACTATCCAGATGACCTTGTGCATTTCGACTGAAAAGACCTGGTCAGACTTCCACCTCGAATCTTGGCAAGAATAATGAGCTCAGCAACGATGAAGCGAGGTCTTGATCATCTGGTTCGGAGACCATGCACCGCGTGATTGTTTCGCCCGGACATTGCGGATGTAAACGGGTGCTGGTAGATTTTTGAGGCAGGAGTTTTCTTTTGTGTATATTTAGAAGCAGAAAGATACAGGTGGAGGGACGAAGCACCCCCAGTAGTTAAGCCCTAAGTACCCAGCAATTGTAGTTACGGTTCGATCAGTCTCTACAATGTATTATTCGCCAGTGGAAATCACTAACAGAGGTGATTGACTTTGTAATCATTGGCTACCACCTTAAAAGATATATAGAATGTGCCATCTATATAAAGAGAACCATAGGCAGGAAGTTCCAGCGAACGTCGAGATATATAATTGTCATAACGAATCGTCGGCTGCACACCCATAGACAATAACGAACATCAATTGTGAAGAATGTATCCTGGCGCCCGGTGTCTTTGTGGCTGGAATGCCTGATATGTCGCCTAACGAGAAGGGGCTACCCCAGGGGTGTAACAATGTCAATGGGCAGTGGGAGGTCTGATTAGCTGTAGATCTCACACATAAGGCATTTTCTTGAACGCACCGTGCGGGTTTCCAGAGTAGGAAGAATGAGTACTGTAAGGAGTGGTGGTATGTTGTGTGACAACTGCCTGTCATAGGCGCAGGAGTACAAGCTTAAATGCCAGGAAACCCGTCTTTCATCCCATCTGCTTCTGCCAACCTATCTCAGTATTATTGGACTCACCTTAGCAACTATGAAGATCAATCTTGCCTCGGTTTCTGTCCTACTCACCGCGCTCGCTCCAGCTGTTGCGGGACAAGACAATAACGACCCATCTGATACGGATCTCACTCTAACGATGATATCACTGGTGAATCTATCGATACTAACGTCGGATGTCTCTCGATAGTTGTACCTGTGAAATACTCGTGAAGGTTCCTTTAGAGCTGTGGCATGGACGGAATGCAAAACGGATTTGAACCCGTAAATCCTCGAGAGCACCACGATGCAAGTAATTAACTACACTGGCTGATAAATTCTAGTAACAGATATCCATTGACCATTGTCTGATTGGACGCACATATTCCTGTACCTGGCATTCTATTGGCCCGTTCACATTGGAATTCACTCAGTCGTATTTTCAATGTTGTGATCCCGCCACTTTTTGCCGGATAACACAACCACTTTCGACAACGCAGGTCGAGGAGCGGCTGTCCCTCGATGTTGTCCAAAAGAACAACGGTGTCGGACTCCAAAGGATAATTCCCTACTTCTCCGGCTGTATACAAACGCGTCCGGTCTTTCCGCCAAGCATTTCGCGCAGGTAAGCCACCCCTTTACTTCACTGCCGTCGGGCGTCGCATAAAAAGACTAAGGTGATTGATGGCTAACTGGGTTTCGCTATCAAAACAGAAATATGAAACCCGTCTCCCCGGTCGGACTTTAGCCAGTATCAGCAGGCAGCTCCTCGAACTGGTGAGCTACAAGCCCGCTAGAGGACTGAATGGGGAACCGAGATGCCACAGCCTACAGTACCTGCCAAACGACCGGTTGATGACAGTGACGACCCAGACTATACCAGCGAAGATTTCTCGGATCCAAAGCCTCACACCAGGAGGAAGACGAGGCAAAGACTACCAGCAAACAAGACCAAGCCCAATATGATTATTGATAGGCACTTGGACACCCGCGAGTCCGACTCTACAAGTGAGATCGATGTTGATAGTGATCCAGATGCCGGGGACATCACAGCCGATGGCGAAATAACACCAGTAAGCGATGCAGAGCTCAGTTACATAGTTTCTATCATCTTACCTAACATGTTCATCTACTGAATAGTATACCCCACGACGCAGAATGAGACGATCAGGTCTTTACCGGCGCACGTCTATGCAGTCTCCTTCAAAGCACTCAACAGCAGCTGCCACCCAAGGCCCCATCGACAGGGGCGTCTCAGATGCAGTTAGACCTGAGGCAAATGAGAACATTGATCGATGTGTCCCTCCCGCGCCGCCGGCCAAACAAAGCGAACGTCTTCACAATTCCAGCAAGGGTCTAATGAAATTACGGTCAAGGCCTTCGAATCCGGGGCCTTCAATTCCATCCGCCCAGCGACAATCTTGTCCCTTGGTTCTAAAGCTTCCAATGCCTGAACCCAGGAAGGGTCGATCTCAGGTAGCAACACACTCGCCCGCCGTCCAGACTCAACCAGACAGAAGTATGGCGGAAGAAACAGTCAACCGGTTAAACGCCATCCGGCGAAAGTGGGACTCATCCGTCGGTCCATCCTCAAACCGCACTATATCAGTGGAAATACCTCCCCTCTCTCGCACTCAGCCCGATTCTGCATCTGCTTCGGATACCTCGACTTCTAGCACCGAAGATTCCCCCGCAGTGTCATCGTCCCTCACCGGTACTACCGAACCTATCATACACCAAAGACATGGGCAGGAAAGTATCACTGCCGCATCTGAGCCGGCTGAAAGAGGGGATGATTATGCTCAACCTCCAACACCAGAAACTGGCGCCGGAAACACCATTAGCAAATCCACAACCCCGACCGCGTCAGCCGTGGGTGCAGTAGAGCCTGGGACAGAAACAGATGATGTTGCCGCGGGTTATCGGTGCCCAGACCCAGCCGCTGAACCGAATCGATATCGCTTCTACAGCGAATTAAGATCTAGACTTGCACGAGAAGCTGCCAGGCATTCAGGATCCCTAGCTGAGAGGGCACAACTATTAGCAAGAAACACCTGCATTGCGCAAATATCGGCAGATTCGTACGCGGCACAGGCGGGAGCATTGGCTGTCGAGATTAAAGGGCTCGAAGCTCGCAGGAAAGATGAGATTGCTGATTTCACCCGACATATAGATGATCTTAACAAGATGGTAGACCGGTACGAGTGCCAGATCGAGAAGCTCAAAAGAGATGCCGTCGATCCTAGGACAATACATGAGCTGAAGGCCACGTTAGAAAAGCGTGACGAGGAGCTCCGTGTCCAGAATGCCCGGGCTGAGGCCCTCCTGCAAGGAGTTACAGAGCGCGATATTCACATAAGCGACCTTGAACAGGGCATAGAAACCCTCAGCAGGCAGGTCAAAGAGCGTGATAACCGTATTGAGGAGTTCAAATCGCTTACCGGTAGTATGGATCTCAACCAGATGGTGGAGATGGTTTCAAAGATTCAGAAATGGGGAGTTGTTGATAATTCAAATACTTCGGCTTCATAGCTTTCTCTATACTTTGGATGCTCAAAATAATGATTAAATTGTTGTCTTTCTTGTTGGCTAACGTCTCGATGATTCATTCTGTACAGGGCAGTTAATATCAAAACCACCGTCTCTTCCGGGATCCCGGCGCCCGCATGAGTTCTAGAAGCTGTCGATCTGTAAATGACTGCCCATATCACGCCGCTCCCTGCCTATAGCGCCTTCTAGATGACACTTCCTGCGGCCCTGGCCACGCTCTCTGTCTCGTGTAACTTCATCGGTAATACAGAACCTGAGGTAACGTTCACTTTTTCCTAGCTACTGATACCTGAAGAAATTAACTTTCTGAATCTACCTTAATCAAGGGTCCATAGATAGTTAGTCGGACACGCGGATTGTCCTGTTTGTACGACTACCGGGCCTGCATATAACGTAAGCTATATATCGTCTTTGATGACTATTTCGACCTTTAATACACTGTGGCAAGGAGATCATTACGTTAGTTGCATCGGTTTAATATTCTTTTCTTGAAGTTACTTCGGTAGGATCACGGTGGAGGTATCTTACATCCAAAATTATTCACTCTATATATAAAAGTTGATATTGTTCCGCCGATATATATACCGACCGACAGGGATCAAACTCGCCACACACCTACGATGGCAGAAAAAGAAGCTGTCCCGACCATAGACTCTATTAAATTAATAATCATCACAGAAAACCATTTAGACTAGGCAGAAGTGAATAAGGCGCCCCAGCTGAACACGACAGGGCGATCAGCGACGGAGATAACGGGCTTAGAGGACATAACGGGACAGCCTCATCGCGTCTGACATTCGCCCCCTAACCACCACCTCACCGTTACTTTGCAACTCCAACCCTGCTATCCAAAATGAAGGTAATTATCGCAGGCGCAACAGGCTACATCGGCCAAGAAATCCTCACCCAATGTATCGCCCACCCATCAATCACCTCCATCGTCGCTCTGACCAGACGCGACCTAGACATCAAAAGCGACAAGCTCCGCACATACCTCATGAAAGATGAAGATTTCCTCTCCTATTCAGACCCGAAATTAAGAGATGAATTGAAAAATGCAGGTGCTTGCCTGTGGTCCATCGGCCTTCGCCCATCCCAGGCAGGGAACGACGAACGCACCCGCGTCATTTCTGTAGATTATCCTGCTGCAGCGGCGGCGAATATGGCAGAGATTGCGTCGACTTCAGCCCCCGGTGGGAAACTGCGGTTTGTGTATATCAGCGGTTCTGGTGTGGAGCGGGACCAGAATAAGTCGCTTTGGTGGATGGGTAATTTTCGTCGGTTGAGGGTTTGTTTCCCCCATCTTCACCTTATTGTCCACCTTTTATGTTGTTATTTGTTATGGACTGTACTGATAGACATAGGGTGAATCGGAGAATGTTCTCCTCAGACATGCTGAGGCGAATCCAGATGCGTTTGAGGCGTATATTATGCGCCCCTCACTAGTTCCGTCTACGCAGGGGACGATTCGCGATCGTGTCTGGAGCATGTTCCCGTCTGTTAGGATGGATCTGCTGGCGCGGGCCATGGTTGATATTGCGCTGAATGGGAACAAGGAGACGACGATTGAGAACCAGACGATTAATGAGTGGCCGTGAGAGATTGGAGTTTACCGGGCGTTGGAGTAATATACCTGTATATATGACCTTGCGGGATTAGATTACGGCCTGGATTCTTCAGTCTAACTGTTTACAAATGACCAATAATACGGATGATACACCACGACTCCATAGGAGAGCCCTACAGAGCCCGCCGGGGCTGTACTGTGCAGTGGCTAAGCTCAGATCGGCGGCTTGGCAGGCAATTTGGCTCAATCGGGAAAAGACGATCACCAACAGAGGAATACTTAAGGAGAAACACTTCTCGTTGTCCAGTTTATCCTATCCTAGAATCGTCTTCTTACAGCTATCGATTTCATTTAACATTAACGGCAAAATGGCCGACGGCGAAGTTGGTAGGTTTCTTCACCCCAGTCGCAGAAGCATACTGACCCGCGCAGTCCCGCATAGTCTCTATGTGTATGCACCCAACAAGGGAGCGCCCATATTCTTCACTATCCTCTTTGCGATCTCGGCAGTCGGCCATCTTTGGCAATGCTGGTGAGTAACAACTCACTGTTCAGAAGCACCATCTAACAATCCCAGCCGCTATAATTCTTGGACAATCATAGGGTTGCACCCACTCTGCGCTCTTATATTCACCACCGGATATGCCCTGCGCGAATACGGCGCATACAACTACATATACACCACAGACACCCCTCAGCAAACCATGACAATCTACATCATGAGTCAGGTCTTCATCAACATATGCCCGTACGTCAGACCGTGCCACACTTACCCCAAACCCTATTAACTTCGACAGTCCTCTTCTCGAACTCGCAAACTACCACATCCTCGGACGGATCTTCTACTACGTCCCCCATCTCGCTCCAATAGCCCCGAACAAAGTCCTCGGCATCTTCGGCGCACTCATGGGTATTGTCGAAGCAATCAACGCCTTAGGTGTGGCATTCACATCGAACCCAAAAGGAGACAAACAGAATCTCGGAAGCACCCTCATCCTCGTCGCGATTAGTATCCAGCTCTGCGTGATAACGATATTCATCTGCGTCGGCGGCCTCTTTCACAGACGATGCGTAACAGCCAGAGCCGCAGTGGAGAAGAGGAAAATCCCCATGCTCATGATAACGCTCTATACCAGCATGGCCCTCATCTTAATCCGATGTATCTACCGGATCGTCGAACATACCGGGAATACAGCGCTCGATACGGACGATGCGGAGAAAATGGAACAGCTTAGCCCACTGCTGAGGCACGAGTGGTTCTTCTATGTCTTCGATGCGGCGGTCATGTTGGCGAACTCTCTGCTTTGGAATGTTTTGAATCCCGGTCGGTATTTGCCAAGGGATCGGACTGTTTGTTTAGCTGAAGATGGAGTGAGCGAGACAGAAGGTGGGAATAAAGCTGGGTATCAGCCGACTGCTGCTGAGCTGGGGAGGGCAGCTATGCAGTTGTTGACGTTTGGGGTTTGGGGACAGTTCTTTCCACTGCATGAGAAGGATGTTCAGTCTGTTTCTTCTTGAGTTGTTTCTTTCTTCTTTCTGTCTGTCTGATTAGCGTGGTGGTATATTGTATTTTCATTTGCGTCTTGTTTCTTTCTATGTTTACCAATATAATCCTCGTCACTTAAGCCTGTAATTCATAGATGGATCCCATTCGGCGAACCAATGTTTGATCGCCGAATGCCTGGAAATCGAACATTTGACGTAACAGAAGCCGAGCTCGGCAATTGACAACCAATCCAGCTGCAGCTTATAGCTGGGAAATTATTTGACAGCTGCTTAGCAAGAAAACGCAATCGAGACTCATTGTTCTATATAAATCTCTTTTACTGGAACTCGATGCAACACCACGAAGCAACTCACGACATCACCGCCAATATGCTAACTGAAATCGACGACCTGGAAATCCACGTCCTCGTCAACGACGAACTGGACCCCATAACACCGAGCATGAACCCCGCTGTTCAAGTTGCCAGCCAGTTCATGGGTATCCCTCTCTCGCCCTTACCCGCCGGCACGCAGCGCCATGGCGCAACGATGGAAATGCGCATGGGCTGTCTCTCCTTTTAGTTTGTTTACTCCCTTCAATTCTATCAAAAGAATGTAGACTAACGACAACCAGATCGCAACAAAAGGAGGCAAAAAGCATACGCTTCTCTTCGACGCCGGACCAGAAGGCGAGGTCTGGGAACGGAATTCCCGCCGTCTGCGCTCGGAAATTGGCCAGATCGAGCATATCGTGCTGTCGCACTATCATCGCGACCACTCTGGTACGCTTCAATCCCATCCATCGAGCAACTAAAGTAAGAACGAAGAGAGCTAAGAAACCACAGGCGGTCTAATCCGCGCCATCGAACTAATCCAGGAGAACAAAGGCCCCAACAAAAAAGTCATAATGGATGTCCACCCCAATCGTCCGGATTTCAGAGGCGTCCAGGCTGGCGACATGGCTATATCGCTTGAATCTGACCCATCGTTTGCTGAGCTGGAGGCTGCCGGTGCTACTGTGGTCAAGAGTGACCAGCCACATACAGTGCTCGATGACTTCTTCAGTATTTCGGGGGAAGTACCGCGCGAGACGCTGTATGAAGATGGTATCTATGGCGGATTGCGGTACGAGAACTCTAGAGGGAAATGGGAGGAGGATACGATGATCATGGACGAGCGCTATGTGATGTGCAATCTCAAAGGTAATTTCAATTCACAGAATCCTGTGTAATGTCAATGGTTTTCTCATGATTAACCTCCACAGGCAAAGGGTTGGTCGTGTTCACAGGCTGTGGCCACGCCGGGGTTGTCAACACCTGTCGCGACGCCGTAATATCAGGCAACGGGGCGCCTTTGTATAGTGTCGTAGGTGGATACCACCTAGCAGATGCAGACGAGGCAAAGCTCGAATCAACGATGCAAGACCTGAAGAAATTTGATCCAAAGGTCATGCTAGCGGGGCACTGCACTGGATGGCGATTCAAGTGCCAGATTGCGCGCGATATGCCGAATTGTCTGGTTCCTGCTTTTTCAGGGAGCAAGTATACATTATAATAAGGTCTGTCTAGCTTGCTGGAAGAAAGAATCCATATCAAACAAATCCAAAAACAAATACCCGCAGCTGAAGCAACAATAATAATAGGGATTGTGAATGCAGAATCCAAACCAAAACTCCACTGCATTAAACCAAGCTTAATCTCGCAAACCATCACCCTTCACAAGCACAACTCCAAGGACTATCAAGCTAGCCCATATACCGGAAACCACAACACCAGTCGTATCCTTTCCACCGGGCCTATGTTCTATTGAGGCGCGGGTGGGCCGCCCTGCACCGGTGCTGTTGTCTGGGCGGGCGCAGTGGCCATGACAGGTCGCGGAGGTTGGTCTTCTTCGCCGGTCTTCTTCCCTTTCGCGTCGTGATGCTTTTTGGCATATGAGTTCATGAAGCCAAGAGCGAGACACATTTTGGTTATTTTGCTTGTTTGGTGGGGCTGTGAAATTAAGACGTTGGGAGACCAAGAGTCTGCTAACGAGGTCAGTACTGCATCTAACCAGATCGGCTGTGAAGCGTACCTGAAGCAGCCGAGGGGTTGGTATAGAGAGGAGTAAATATTGGTGAGAAAAAGATCTGGAAAGCAGGAAATCTTCAGCTCAAATACCTCAACTCTCAAGTCCTCTCTTATCAGGGGTGTTTCAGCCCCGCCGATCAGGCTGTGCTGACAGCAAACTACCACCGCTAAGCCTCGCTCTTTGCCCAAGAGGGAAGTTGATGTTGCCAAGACGGTGATCGGCGAGGCTTAAATAGGGGCTCTAATTGGTATTCAGGGGCTCAGCCAGGGCTGACGTTGTTATTCAGGCGTACCTGGGCCCGGAGCTGAGTACATACGTACCGTATATTGGATTAGGAGAGGCGGAGTTAGGGCATTTCTGTTTTCAAGCTGAGAATTATGCTAAGTCCATGCGCGAAGGCGTCTATCTGTCGAAGATAAACGGACATCGTAAATAAAGCCATAAGAAAAGCCATAAAAATAAAAAAGGAATAATGGTAAAAAAAGGATAAAAAAACCATACGCATCAAATAAATAAATGACAACATCCACCGGGAGAACGCCAGCATCCCCAGATCCAAGCCCAACACCAAATCTACATTGTACCCAAACACCACTGCTAATAGCCAAACCAACACCTTGTCCCCTTTGCAAACCGCCAACCATGTGAAATAATCCTAAACATTTTCATATCGCATCGTGATGAAACTAAAACATTGCAATGAAGCCATCGAACTGTTCGAGAATAAGAGAGTCATTCGGTGGGTCGCGATCTAGCACAGGCTGAAAGTCATTATCGTCGTTACCATTCATATTGCCAAATTGCACCGGACCATCTGCAGGCCAGCCTTCCTCAAGGGGGTTATGGGGAGAATCCTGCTCTTCCTCGAGCAAGACCTCTTCGGCATGCCCACGCAACCTTTCTTTCGTCGACCGCAGCGAAGTATCGCGGCCGGCTATCTCTGCCTCATCTCCATTGCCGCTGGGTTCAGGGTTGGCAGCTGCACTGAGTCGTGACATCCTCGCTGTACCCTGCAGTTTAAGAGCGGGGATAGCTTCTCCATTGACATCATAGGACTCTAGTCGAGATCCATTCGATGTATTTTCGGTGTTGAGCTGCAGAAAGTCTGGATATTCCAGTAGGCCTGGGTCGATAGGGGTTTCTGAGGGCTGCTGTCCGAATTGCTGGAAGTTTGAGGGAAAGACAGTGAATTCCGGTTGCAGTTCGAATTGTGATGAGAAGAACGGCTGTGCTGGACCTTGATGCGACATGTTATTGTGTGATGGTGCCGAGGTTGGTCCTAGATTATGTGCGGCAGAATTGAACAACGACGAAGTGTCAGTCTGATTGTGGATGTTATGATCAAATCCAGCGGACGTTGGTGATTGCCGATGCACTTTCGTATCCAAAAGCCCTGATCCCGGGCTTTGATGCTGGGTGTTATAGTCAAACCCACTCGATGTTGGCGTTACATCTTCCAGGGTGCTTTCGAACAGCGGAGAGGTAGGGGTGACAGGGTTGCTGTGGGAAGCTGTAGCTGTATTTGCAGACTGCGACTGCCGGCGAGAAGGAAAAGGGGCAGGGCCTTGCAAAGTAGCAGGGGCACGCTGGATAGGAGCCAGTGCCACCAGGTCTGCAGCAATACTGGTGTTGCCGCCGAGTCTCTGCACTTCAGCACGAAGCTCAATGATCGCATTCATCACGATTTCCCGGTCGTGGATAAACGGCCTCCCATGGCCGAGCTGAGAAAACCGTGGCTGTAGTCCAAGTCCATTGTTTCCCTGATCGTACTGTGCGAAAGTAAGATTGAAGCCTGTTGAGTCTGGCGGCATGGGGTACTCGGGATGCATCTGATATTGTCCACCAAATGGCAGCCCCTGCTGGTTCTCGAAAGAGGTATCGTCTGGATAGAGCTGTGGGTCAGCGAATGGGTTATTCGTGTACGATCCGTTTTCGAAAAAGGTTGTGGGGTTCTGCTGCTGAACTGGAAGTTGCTGTGAATTCCTCATGGCCAGATTCCCCCGGGCACGACCAACAGAGTCTTGTTGAGGGACTTGGGTAGAGGGACCAGCCGTAGCTACACGTCTTTCTTTCACTTCGTCATCGATACCAGCATCACTACGATGCCTTTTTGCCGGCCCCTTTGGCAACGGCGGCTGCTGGTCGGGGGTACACCATGTCACAAGCGCACCTGGATCTGACAAGGGTTCGTTGGCATTCAGGTCCCCCCGAAGAATCCGAGTTTGTGCACTGCGCTTGTTTGTAACTGTACATTGCACGCCGTTCCGGACACAGCCTTTGCATCTATCAACTCCGTTGTGCAGACAACCTGTCTGGCCCCTGGCCTATCCCAACACAACCAGCCGTTAGCAAAAGAAAAACAAAACATATGAGAGAGGCAGCCTTACCGAACATCGGTCGCAAGTCCTCCCATTAGAGCTAGGTATATGCCGATATTTGCAAATGTTCCGGACAAGCAACCCGTAATCCAGCTCAGTCCTGGTCGTCGGCATATTCCACTTATACTTCTTAATCCAGAGGTTCTCAAGAGCAGAGAAATGGTCCCGGATAACACCCCAGACCTGGCGGTTCTGCAGCCGCTTGAAGTTTCTGCGGATTACCTTTAGGTCCTCTGGATCTGGAACGGGGATGTGGAAGACATGAGTCTTTCGCTGGCCACCTCTGGGGATTCGCTTCCTCTTTTGCGGCTTCTTCTCATCAGCGTCGGGGTCGTCGTCGGAATATTTTCTCTTTATGGAACGTCTCCCTGTCGTTAGCTCGTTGAATTCCGGCTCTTCTTGGGTTTTGTGGTGCTGGAGGGCATTTCCATGGGTTGTGTTGTTCTCCTCGCTGTCGAGCGAGTTACGTGTTGAAGACCGAGTTTGCACCATTTTGCTTTATCGGTCTTTAGATCTGGGGATGTGGATAACAATATTAGAGAGAAGGGAGAGTGAAGGAAAAATAATAAAAAAAAAAAATTGGGAAAATCTGAGAGATCGAGGACACCCGCCTAGACAGAGTGTGGGTTATAACTGAAGAGTAACACCGGCGCCATAACAATGTGGTCTTGTTTGGCAGATTTGGTCGAGAACATCTCAAAGGCTTATTTATGTCCAATTATAGCATGGCTACTCTTATCTGGAACAACACCACAGGGGATGAATGTGATTGACTGAAAGGCATGGGACGTCGTCAAAGATATCAACGGTGACCAGTCTCCCATACCCGGAATCAATGGAACTGTCCAGACAGCTGTCACCAAACTCAGCAGACCTCGATGCTTAGCAGCTGCAGAACGAGGGGCAAAAAGCACCCCGCCAATGGCCGTGCCAGGGCGACATCTGAACCTGCATGAGAGGCTCATGGTCTGCTTAGCTACGTCGGTTTGTTTGACAATGAGATATTGCTAACAATACAGAGTGTGATGAGAGATTCTCCCGATCGCGAGACTGAATTGAAACTACGTTCTTATCTTATGAAACAGGAGGGCGGTTGTTGAGATAGAGATCTCTTTGTGCCTCTGTTCTTTGTTGCTGTCTGAAGATTTAAGATACAAGACACCCAAGTAAACTCCACAATGGCATATGACTGAAAGAAACACATAAGAAAATATGAAACTGGTCTCAGAATGGGGACAAAGAAAACCGAGGTTGCATAAAGACAAGTTACTGAAAGAGGGAATCCGCTGTGAGCCGCCTGATGGGAGTAATCCTGGCAGAGGGTAGAAACGGAGCTCGAGACTCCAAACATCGAACAGCTCGAGGAGAACCAGACGCCACTGGATCATCATCAGGAATTGCGGAGAGATTTCATGTCAGCCTCCTCTGACGCAGAAGGGCGCTTCCAATGGGTTTCATTTCACGAGGTCCACCGTGAACACAGTGGCGGGGGACGACGAAATGCGGAAATATGACAGTTCACATACACAGTGAATGTCACCCACCAAGAAAGATCCTATCATTGGCTAATAGCGAAATGGCTGTCTTGATGTGGGTGGAGCATTACTCCGAGTCATCAGACTGGACAGTTCGCCCGTTGATAGCCAGCAGTTCAACGTTGCTGCAGAAAATGAGCATCCGGTCAGAAGAGCTCAGGTGGGACTTACAAGACCAGCGGGGAATTTCCAGGAATAAATGGAGGAGCTCCTCTGCAGGGAGTCAACACATAATCCAACTCAATACACTCACTCAATACAGAAATGCAACGTACCTTGTGCCGTATCCGTAGTGTCTGCCCAGGTCGCGTCAGCCAAGTGCCAGAAAAGGGAAGGTCAGAAAAACATACGGGCCGAAAGTGAGATAGGACTTTTCACCGAGGCTCATGCCGAGAATCCCAACTTCCCATCCTGTTTTCATCAGTGGCGGATCCAAACAATGCGATGGCCGAGAACTGACCTTTGATCACTTTGCCCATCCCGATCTGGAAGGTAAAAGGTCTGCCTCGCTTGATGCTACTGTCAAATCTGCATTGGCCAAGTCAGAACATCAGTCGTAGGCCTAAGAATAGTAGACCAGTTGCTTTGGCCTTTATTCACATACCGGCGCCCCCTATTCCATGAACGCGTCGGATCATACAGGTAACCATGATAGTGGACAGTCACCATATCCCCTTGTTTGGGATAGTCGACGCCATTTCCAGGACGGATGATGTCCTTGATGAAGTCGATGACGCCCATTGTTCGAGTCTTGATTGATGTCGAGAGTGTGCAGCGTGTGTCGTCGGAGATGCAATTTTGCTGCTGCCTGAGGCCGTAACATCAAGCAATCAACTGACTCCGCCTCGGCGCCTCTTTGATTGGCTGATTTCCTGGTCTCCTTTGAGTTCCTGATCGGCAGAAGAATGTCAATTATCAAGGGTCAACAACAAACCTCCCTACACCTTGAACCACTGTAAATCTTCAATTACAATACGGAATCCGTTTCCTCTCTACAAACCAGCAGGCTCCAGGGTCCTCATATGCTCTCCCAGAGTGCCGCGAACCCTCTCACATCAGCTTCTGCTGAAGAAAGACGTGACCTTGCATTTTTTTTAATTATCCCCAACATTTCGCCTTTGGTTAGTGTAAGAAGTGTGAGTGAGTCGTGGCTGATTTTAATATGGTCGACTTTCCTGTTAGTATCTCCGAGGCCTCCAGGCCTTTATGTCCCGAGCCAGATCCCCCATCAGACAAAGATGGATACAAGCCCAGCAGCCTTTCACCTGAGTGGAAGTGTACTCGAGATAGTAATAGATACTACAAATGATTGGTGTGGTGGAAATGACCCTCTCTTGAGTCTTACAGTTGCTGGTTCTATATAGCAAGTTTTGCTGAAAGGGAAAGCGGATCGGACAGCACCAGCAGTTAAAGGATGTGTAATTTCACCACTATTGACCCGTATGATGGGAGGTCCAGCCAGAATGATGCCATTTTTCGGGCAATGTCATTGTAGCCAATGCAGCACAATGGGCAATCGCCGAGTGGGTGGGGCGACGGTTTGTATGTCGGCCTGAGGAATCCATCCCACTTTCCACCACTCGCTGCTTTCTTCTTCCACAAACAATCCATCCTCCATCTATCAACTCCAACTGTCCACAATGCCTGTCATCACGGACTTCCCTCTCCCCAGCTCAGCTGCAGCACTGCAGCTGTCTGCCGAAACCCCAGTCACCTTCCTCTCCTTCCACGCCTCACCCGACCCCAACACCGGAAAGCCATGGTGTCCTGATGTCGTCGCCGCACTGCCCCATCTACAGGAAGTCTTTTCCACGCCCCAAGCGCCGCAGGTTGCATTTGTCAACGTTGGCCAAAAAGATCAGTATGTTAACCCCAAATACCATTGAAATTCGCTTCATGCTAACTACCACATCAGATGGAAGGATCTCTCTAACGTTTTCCGGACAAAGTGGAATGTCAACGCCATTCCGACTTTGGTTCGCTTCGAGCTCGTTGATGGGAATGTCAAGGAGACTGGTCGTTTGGTTGAAGGCCAGACTCTCGATCGTGCACGGCTTAGCAAGTTTGTTCGTGATCGCTCGGCAAGCATATAGGATATCCAGTTTATTTTATTTTTTTTACTTTTTTTCCGCATTGATGGATACATCATGCTCCGAAGCGATGGCCCGTTATGTAGTTACGTCTGAATGAGTACTATCTACTATATTAAAACTGTTAAGCTAGCGCCTGACCCAATTCCACAGCGAGGCTGTTCGCGCGCGCATTACTAAAGAGCGTCACAGGGGCACAAGCCCCCTCCTCCATCATTGATATATTCACAAAGACCACCCGTGGAAGACCACCCGGCAGCGAACGCCCTATAACACCCCCAGATGCCCAAACCCCAAATTAATAGTTAAAGTGGTAGTCAGTCCTCACAACACATCCATTGTCGAGGTAAGAATGTCCGCACTTTTCAATTTTCGTCTCATCTTGGTCGAACATATCTTGGAGTCTGTTGGTGCACACAATCAGTAAAAGTCCTTCGGTGAACTCTACAGAAGACTTACGCCTTATACGCTTGCAATCCACTCATTCCCGGGCTGTCGTCATCGCACTCCAGGACTGCTATGCACGTGTAGTCAAAAAGCGCAACCCACTTATCAGACGAGTGGTGGTCAGTCCTTCCAGTCAACAGCTCGTATGGGTTATCGGAGTCTTCCGCATCATTCTTAAAACCTTCGGCTGCCTCCACACACATGTCTTTACTAAGGTTGTGGCATTGGGACGATCCGTCGTTATCAATAGACGTCGCACTAGGCATTGCTGTCTGAAGAGTGGTTGGGTCACCAGCCCCTGTGGTGAGCGTCATCGATAACGTGTAAACATCAAGAATCGAGTGGCTCAGCGAGGTATAATACAGCACTTCGCCATACTCGCTGTTGCTGTCAGGAAAGATAGTTGTCGTACAAGACAGTGTATCAGGCGATTCGTCGGTTGTCGATGGAGGGGGTGTAGTGGCAGGAGATGGAGAGCTTGTCTCAGAATCTGTGGCTGGAGCTGTAACAGGAACAGATGGCGATCCAGTTGGCTGGTTGGAAGATGTGCTTTCCTCAGTTGTTGATGAGCTTGTCTCTGTAGATGTAGAAGAAGTCGACACAGGAGTGGACGGCGAGCCAATCGGAGGCTTGGAGGATGAACTTGTCTCTGTTGGTGTGGACGAAGTTGACTCAGAAGTGGATGAAGGCATCAGAGATGTTGACGAGGTAATAGGAGGCTTGGGGGATGAGCCCATATCAGCGGATACTGTGGCGGAAGGTGTCCAGGTAATATATGGATCAGTAGTGTCTGCGATAAGCGCCGAAAGGACTGATTCCTGCACTTGGTACCACGACGGCATAGCAGGATCCCAGGCCAAGAACCTATCACCAATGGGTCCCTCGGTAAGTACTGGTTCAGCAGATGTTGAGGTTGTGCTAGAGCTTGTTATCCCGCTCGAAGAAGTAGTTGGCGTCGTTGAAGAAGTGGTTGGTTCACTAGTTGTTTCACTGCTCGTGTCGCTACTGGATTCAGTGGTTGATTCACTGGTGGAAGATGTAGAAGCATCGTCCGGTGTTGTTTCGTCACCACCATCATAGGGCGGGGGAGGGCCGCCTGGGGGAGGGAGTGTGCCATCAGGGAGAGCTGGCGGAGAAAAGCCACAGCACAGACCCCAAGAGTTGCCGAGGTCAGGTGAGTCGCAGAATATGGGGACTTCGCAACCGGTATTGCATAGTGGGCCAGTGCACATCCAAGCGGCCGTAGGTTGACCATCATCAACGCTTGTCTTGGTAGAGATATACGTGACGGGAGTTGTCGTGTCCGAGTTGGTCACGTCGATCACGGTCATTGGGATCGGGACAGTGGATGATCCTGATGTGACTGTCGACACGCTGCTGCCTTGCGGCATAGACGTAATGGAAGCGGGATATGTTGGTGACCCGGCAGTCACAGGAGTGGAAGAGGGGCCAGCTTCAGATGTCGATGTGCCAGCTGCGGCGTGGCTGCTACTGGAGCTAGGAGATACGGGCTCGCCGGAAGATGTAGATGCAGCTGGAGGGATTCCAGACGAGGCAGGGTTGGATGATTGGGAGGTAGCGGGAGGAATACCAGTCGAAGCAGGCCTGGTAGGAGAGGTAGCCGGAGGCGTGGTGGATGATGGACCTCCAGGCAACGCACTGCCGCTTGTTGGAGCAACAACAGGACTGTTTCCAGGTTGACCTGAAGAGGGCAGGCTATTCACCCCAGACGAAGCACGAGTTGAAGTTCTGAACGTGGAATGCGGCTTGCCGGTAGAAGAGAGGAAGCCTTCCGGATCATCTGCTCGGCTCAAAAGAGACCCATACAAGCCCCTTTTGGCTGGAGGGGCAGGGAGGGCTTTGACACTTCCGTCTTCCATGGGCCGCTGGCCCTGTTGGGAAATCATTTGCGCGGCCAGGCCAAATATGGCGTAACTGTCTGCGTTGTTCGTGCCCGCTTTCGCCAACTTCTTGCACTTCTTCCAGCCATAACAGTCGCCTTTATCTAGATCTGCAGTTGCGGCGTTCGGAATCGCATGCGTCATTTCGTGCAGCAAAGTGGCATCAAAGGTATATGCTACATCAATTGGCGTCCGCATTGGGTCGTCCAGAAAGTCCGACAATTTCTTCCAACTCCTCGCCAGGGCGGACTCGGTACCCTGGTCCTTCAAGGTTTTGATGTTACTCTTGGGGAGCTCTTTCAAGAAATCAGGACAAAGCTGAATCTCGGACGCCTTTCGGGCTCCTTTACTAGCGAACTCGTACGTCCAGGCCTGCCATCGAATCAGCTTAAAACTCCCGTTTGGGTGCTCCGGAGAGGCTAATATAAAATTGCTTACCTGGACAGCACTCGAGCTGAATATGCCATGCTTTTTGCAATCCTTATATATATCATTCATTGGCCAGTAAACACCCATTTTCGTGTCGCACACATAACCCTTCTTAGGGTTCCCGTTGCAATCTTTATTCTCGGCGAACCGCTTATAGTCGCAAAAGATGACAACTTTATCGGTCGAGAGGGCTTTGTAATCAGGAGGCGTTGTCTCAGGCTGTCCATCGTTGGTGTTGTATCCCAGAACCGACGAGAACTTGTTGAAGGCTGTCTGGTAGTTAGGGTCTGAGCTACTTGCCTTGATATCAGCGAATAGCCAGGAAACCAAGTCTGAGTGAGCCTGGGCTTTAGGGTCCCCAGGAGAATTTCCAGACGCAACATCACTGAGAGCGTCACGCCCTTTCTCGGCCAGATCAAATGCGCCCTTCATAACATCAATCACCGTAGATCTATATGTATCACAGGATGAATCCAAAACATAGCCATGGCTAGTGGCAAGCGAGCCCAGGAGGGCCAAAAGAATGGGAGTATACCTCATAGTCGCAGCCGCTCAACGATAGCTAAGCAACAGCAAGGAGGATCAGGCCGCCAATGTACGCGGTAAAGGAAGCAATTATGAAGCTTCGCATAGCGGATTATCTACCCTTCTGCTGCTCAATGGCCCCCATCCCATGCGCCGCTGCAGATGGGGGCCATGGCCGGCTGGAAATAATGATTTACATCAAAGTCCACAGACGCAGAGGGTGAAATCCGATATGAAGGTCTAAAGGGCCGCCTTTGTGTCAGTTTGACGCTCATCGTGTGGAACGGTGGCGATGCGGCGCTGCAGCATGGGGGCCGTTTCTCGCCTGAGATATGATTTGGAAGCATGATAGCGAAATAAAGTACCGCGGAGTATCCGCAATCTGCGTGGATCGTCAATCACCAAGTTCAATGATAGGATGCAGATATTGTGGGTGGTCAATGTGTTACCTTAGGCGCTGACCGGGCTCGTACCTACTAACTAGTTAAGCTATAGAGCCATTACTGAGTAAGTGTCTCCATACGCGTGGCCCAGGAGCTTAACTGCACCTCTAAATAAAACAAGCCTCTCGGCGTATCACTTGCTTCGCCTGGAGAGTCTCGAACGACCGATTGCGTGGTTATTGACTTTGTTGGTGGGTGGCAGTGCTCAGGCTGATAAACAATCACCACAACTTGAATAATTGACTATACAGGAAGAAGTAGTGATAATCAAGGAACTGAGTAGAACGAGATATAGATAACCCCTGAATATACCTGTTATTATACTAATCAAGTAATTATATGATGATCAACTGCGTAGATAATTGACATTCCGGTTTCCTTGCTGGCACTGCTGACTCTTGGCATTTCATCATCCAACACTCAGTCGGATTCGATATTTAACCAACTTCTACACTACAAGCTCTTACTCAGTAACCGCGCCCTTTTTAGTCAACTGGTAAAAGTGTTGCACTCTCCTTCTGTCCTTTCCCCTTGCATCTTCAGATTTTTCAATTTGCAGGATGTTGTTTCGCAGGCGCCGGAGATGTGGAAACGCCGAAGACATCAAGAAAACACAGAAGGACCGCAAGACCAACACACCACGAAAACTCCCCGGAGTGCGCCCCCGTGCATTGTCCAATCCACGCTCCGGCGAGCCAATACACCCGTGGAATCCATTTAGCAAATCTATCCAGCAGACATTCGATCAATCTCAATCGCCCCTCTTCCAATTACCAGGAGAAATTCGTCTGCAGATCTGGGTCGAATTCCTAGGTGGGCGTCTGTTACATATTGCTCGGGCCCCAAAGAAGCTCCTCGCCGTCGAATGTGTCGAGGAGTGGGATCCTGAGCTCGACACAGGCTGGCATTGGTGCTGGGGTAGCACACATGATCCTCTGACTCTGGGGAAAACGCCTGGCTTCTACTGTGGACCGAAGAGTCCTCATTCCGCAAAGCCGGCCAATCTGCTCCCTCTGCTGCAGGCATGTCGGATGATATATAGAGAGGCAATCCCGGTGCTTTACCAAAGCAATATCTTCGACATGAACCATGTCGACACGCCCTTGTACCTCCGGCGGTCAGTCCTGCCGAAACACCTGAATCAGATTCGTGACTTGCACTTTACCTGGGACTTCAAGGATAATATCGAATGGGCCGACGATGCTCCCTATGATCTTGGCACCTGGCGTGAGAGCTGCAACGCTATTGCAGGTCTTGCCGGGCTACAGAAGCTCACAATGCATTTAACTGGAGAGACAGATCACATTCCGGGCATGAGCGGAAAGGATTACTGGGCCCCATGGCTTGACGAGTTAGCGCGAATTAAACCAGCAATGGAATTTCGTGTCTTCTTGCGTTGGCCAGAGAAGGATTGTATGGAAGTTGAAAAAGAATGCAGATACCCGTTCAAGATATTACCAACGGTCAAGAAGGTGCTGCCGCTAGTTCAATTTGATACAGGTGGAATATAATTTTGTTCAGTTAGGACAGAGTACCAATCCTGAAGTAGTACTGTGTTCCCGGCTTTGCTGTCTCTTCTCTGCGAACTGGGGTGATTTGTGCTACGGACCTGCTCGCGTCCCCTTTGTCTATATATCCAGTTAGGAACATCGGTTCGGCAGGGTTAAGAGCGGGAGACAGCGCCAGACTGAATCTCCATACTCCGTGTGCTCTCGAACACAGCCTGGCCCGCATCCCCCTCATAAACGAGGTATACCAGGGCTCGCGATCCCTGCCACAACCATTGTGAGCCCGTTCTACCTGGCAGTGCTCTGCTAACTGATGTGGATACCGAGACGCCCATTGTGCTCCGTACACCGGTGTGGATGTCACTGTTGATAAAGGGTATTGGGAGATTACATGGACTGGAAATATTTTCACCATATGATGAGTGTTGTCTCATAATATATATATATTTGTCAACAGAGAGATAGAAGAATTCTCAGTACCTGTAGTACCACCTCACCTTCATCGTATCATGACAGAAGAAACAATTAAAATGGTCTAATAAATTCTGTAGTATTATTTCATGGATATAAACCAGGTGCGGCGTCTCTTTGTTGGGACTCGGTTATCAGCGGCTGTAGAAACCGAGAGAAGAATGAGTGCTGCGAGTTGGAGTAAGTGGGAGACTGAAGTGAAACTTCTCCGTCAACATCAACCTGTCCTCTCCCAGCTGTCAAGATGAGGATAACAGCAAAAGCCATCGTCCACGGCGCCGCCTCAGGCGAGGTGCTGTACTCGTCAACGCCCCTCAGCTTCTGGGGAGGCGTCGGACAGGACACAGGCGAGATCATCGACCATCACCACCCTCTCTTCGGCGAGAACATCAAAGACCGGGTGCTTGTGTTACCATCAACTCGCGGATCTTGCACCGGAAGCCTAGTGATGATCGAGCTGCTGGTGAACAAACTCGCCCCTGCAGCTCTTGTCTTCAGAGACGCCGAGGAGATCGCAACAACAGGAGTCCTCGTCGCGCAAACACTGCTCAGCCTCTCCATCCCCGTCTACCGAGTCAGTGCAGAGCAATTCAACACTCTCCGATCGCAGAAATATATCTCTACTTGGAGTTCTCACGGCCCCGACCTGCAAGGCAGCCAAACACCACCCCCACCACAACCGGAAGACTCGCCACCACCCCAATTACCAGATCCAGACATCACAAACCACATCTCCCTAACACCAACCGACAAAGCAATCCTAACCGGCGCAAATGGCACCGCCGCATCACTCGCCATGCAAATCCTACTTCAATACGCAAACCTCCAAAACGCCCACCAACTCACCCCAGTCTCCCGCGCCCACATCGACGCCTGCATCTACACCGGCCCAGCAAGCAACCTCGTCGCACAAACATTCCTCAAACAGGGCGCGCGTGTCGCCGTTCCCACAACCCTAAACTCTATCTCCATCGACCAGCAGCGCTGGCGCGAGCTCGGCGTGGACGAGGATCTCGCGCGCGAAGCCAACCGGCTCGCGAGTAGCTATATCGCCATGGGCGCAACCAATAGCTTCACCTGTGCGCCATACCTACTAGGAGATTCTGTCCCGCAGACTGGCGAGAGTATCGGCTGGGCGGAGTCGAATGCGGTGGTGTTTGCGAATAGTGTGCTTGGAGCGCGCACGCAGAAGTATCCGGATCTGATTGATGTCTGTATTGCGCTTACGGGGCGGGCGCCACTTGCTGGGGCACAGACGGCTCAGGGCCGGGTTCCTGCGAGTTGCATTGAGGTGGATGTAAGGCCGGAGCGGGTGGTTGCGATGGAAGATGCATTTTGGCCGTTGTTGGGGTATGCGGTTGGGAAGGTTGTTGGGGGTGGAATTCCGTTGATTACAGGGTTGGAGGGGATGAAGAGCAAGGTTACGATGGCTGATTTGAAGGGATTTGGAGCGGCGTTTGCTACGACGGCGTCAGCGCCTATGTTCCATATTGCTGGTGTGACCCCTGAAGCGGCGCAGTTCTATCCCGCTGGACTGCCGCGGATTCGGTTGACGGAGACGAATCTGCGCGCTGCGTTGGATGGGCTGACCACGGCGAGTGACAAGACAGTTGGGCTCATCTCGTTGGGAAACCCACACTTCTCCCTGGAAGAGTTTGCGCGGCTGAGTGAACTCTGCGATGGCAAGCGCAAGGTATCATCTGTGCAGATGATGATCACGACGAACCGGGAAGTCTACGGCCATGCTTGTACTGCTGGATATACCAAAATACTCGAGGCCTTTGGAGCTGAAATCGTCACGGATACATGCTGGTGTATGATCTCCGAGTCGGCGATTAAGGCAGATGTGGTGAACCTGATGACGAACTCGGCCAAGTATGCGCATTATGCACCTGGGATTGTGCACCGAGGGGTGCACTTTGGGAGTCTGAAGGACTGTGTTACTGCTGCAGAGATGGGACGAGTTGAGGACCTTATGGTAACATAGAGATAGAGTCATGAGTCTGTCATCGCCACCAAGGTCCTTGCTTGGGTATATAGATACGAGTGAAGACGTCTTCCCTCTTACTTTCCCTCGTCACTTTTTTGTGGCTTTCTACGAAGTACTGCTGGTCCGGGAAGTGGACCGGGAACTACAGGCTCTGCCAGACACTTCCACGGACCGGCAAGGCAGGAGTTGGAAACATCACCTACGGACGAGTTGGGCGAAAGACATACCGGAGAATGATTGACCCCGCGATAATGACCAGAAAGTGCGACTGAGACCGTTCGATCGGCGACGCTCGGAATGCCGTCGACCCCTCGATAGACTCCTCCTCACTTCGCCAACTCGGAATGATGCACACCGACTCGGTCGCGGGACAGCTCTCACGGTCGGAAACCCGGCCACGCGACTCAACCTCGGCCAAAATGTCGCACAGAGGACGTTGGTCAGCGATAACAGCGACGATCAAGAAGATGAACTGCACGTCCTGGATGGAGCCGTGTAATGGCGATTGTTTCGGCGACAACTTGGGTTATCGGCGTGGATGATCTGAAAGTCTCGCCAGCAATTTCGACCGAGCGCACCAATGACAAGCACGAACAAGCATAACGAGGGTTTCAGTAAGGAGTTTCTAGAGGGTTACAACGGTGATTCCATGAGGTCATGCGGGTTCCTCCATCTCCTTCGCTGCTGCAGTGGAATAATGTGGAATGGATGAAGGGATCGTGATGTCATGAAGTAGTATACTTTCAGCCCATTTATCGCTCGCCAGATCCCTCAACCTTACCAGTTNAGTTTCTAGAGGGTTACAACGGTGATTCCATGAGGTCATGCGGGTTCCTCCATCTCCTTCGCTGCTGCAGTGGAATAATGTGGAATGGATGAAGGGATCGTGATGTCATGAAGTAGTATACTTTCAGCCCATTTATCGCTCGCCAGATCCCTCAACCTTACCAGTTGAGTTGAGCTCAAGTTAATCGAGCATTCAAGCCAAGATGTCGTTCACAGTCTACAAAGGATCCCCCGACGGGATCATTGAGTCGAAATCGAAGAAACCCACTTCTCTGAAAGGCGACCAGGTCCTCATCAAAGTCACCCACTCGGGAGTGTGCGGCACCGACCTGCACTACCTATCCGCCGACATGGTGCTCGGCCACGAGGGCGTCGGACAGGTCGAGGAGGTCGGCCCGGACGTCAGATCGCTGAAGAAGGGGGACCGCGCAGGCTGGGGTTACGTGCACGACTGCTGCGGCTCGTGCCGCCACTGTCTCACAGGCTGGGAGACCTTCTGTCCGGAGCGCAAGATGTACGGAATGGCAGACCTGGACCAGGGATCATTCGCGAGCCATGCCGTCTGGCGCGAGGCATTTCTCTTCAAGATTCCCGACGCCCTGGACAACGCGTCCGCGGCGCCCCTGATGTGCGGCGGAGCAACGGTGTACAACGCTATGGTCGTCGCGGACGTCAAACGCACCAGCACCGTGGGGATAGTGGGCATAGGCGGGCTGGGCCACTTGGCGATCCAGTTTGCGAACAAGATGGGGGCCCGCGTTGTGGTGTTCTCAGGGACGGACTCGAAGAAGGACGAGGCGCTGAAGTTGGGCGCACACGAGTTCCACGCGACCAAGGGCGCAAAGGAGCTGAAGCTGGACGGAGCACGCAAGTTGAGCCATCTGATTGTGACGACGAGCGCGCTGCCGGACTGGGAGCTCTACCTGGCCGTGCTGGATGCGCGGGCGACGATCTCGCCGCTCACGGTTTCCGAGAAGCCCTTTACCTTCCCGCATATGCCGCTAATGGGGCTAGGCTTGCGTGTGCAGGGGGGAATTGTGGGCGCGCGCCAGGTGCACCGCGACATGCTAGAGTTCTCCGCGTTCCATGGCATTAAGCCCATGGTGGTGAAGTTTCCAATGACGGAGAAGGGCGTCCGGGAGTGCGTGCAGACGCTGGAGGGGGGGAAGATGCGGTACCGGGGGGTGTTGGAGGTGCAGTAGGCGCCTTTTAAGGCCTTTTCTCGTTTTGTCAGTTCTTCAGTAGTTCAGGGACCGTGGGGACTGGGGTTCGAGGGGCGAGTTTCGCACAGCGAACCGTGGTTGGCGCTTGTGCCGATGACGCCAAGTGATGACGACGCTGTCGATCCTGATCAGAATCTATTAAGTCGAAAGCTATCCCTTGCATGTCACTGCTGTCAGTGTAACTGGACATTCCTGTCATCCCTTGCTTGTAGTGTGCCTGTCCGATGTGATGTTGTCGCTGTCGCAACGGGCGTACCGGCGCCTCTACATCTTCGTAGCCCTCGTGCTGCTGCTACACTTCTACGGCGTCTACTACCACTACCACCCCAATAATAGCCCCGTCTACTCGATCGACGGGCGCATCCCCGCCGACTGCCCGTCTCTGCCCGGCCTATCCGACGTGGTGCTGGTGCTCAAAACCGGCGTGACAGAGGCACACTCCAAGCTGCCCATCCACCGCAACACCACACTACGCTGCATCCCCAACTACATCGTCTGGTCCGACTACGACGAGGAAGTCGCCGACATCCCCGTCCACGACGTGCTCTACAATGAATCCTCACACCTCCACGAACTCCCCGACTTCAACCTCTACACGCGCGTCAAATCCTACGGTCGCAATGGGCTGACCCAAATCGACCTCTCCGACGACCCCTCAACCCCCTTCGGAAAATCCAACCCAGGCTGGAAACTGGACAAATGGAAATTCATCCCCATGATCGAGCACACGTTCCGGCTCTTCAACAAACCATCCCTGAAATGGTACGTCTTCATGGAGGCCGACACATACATCCTCTGGTCCTCGCTGCTTTTCTGGCTGGAACGCCTCGACCACACAAGGCCCTACTACATGGGCAACCAGATGCAGATCCGCGATGTGATATTCGGGCACGGCGGCAGCGGGTTCGTGCTCAGCCGGCCTGCGATATCGCAAGCCGCGAGCCTGATCGACGCGCAGCGCAGCCACTGGGACTCGGTGACTGAGTCCGAATGGGCGGGTGACTGTGTGCTGGGGATGCTGCTGCGTGACGCAGGAGTGAATCTGGAATGGAGCTGGCCGATGCTGCAGATTGCGCCGCCCAAGGAGGTGGAGGCCTTTGCGGGCAAGTATAGCCGCACGCCGTGGTGTTATCCTGCCGTGTCGTTCCATCATTTGAAGCCGGATGAGATCCAGGAGATCACGAGGATGGAGAGTACTGTTGCGAGGCAGAGTCCGAAAGGTGCGAAGGAACCGGTGCTATGGAAGGATGTCTTTCTTGAGATGAACCGGCCGCGCATGATCGAGGGGAATCTGGTCGACTGGGATAATGAGGGCGAGGAGGAGCGCACGGTTGTCAGGAGTGTCGAGGCTTGCAGGCAGCTCTGCGAGAAGGACCGGAACTGCCTGCAGTTCACGAGGAGGCCTGATGGGATGTGTCTCTTTGGCAGAGATGCCCGACTGGGGGAGGCCAAGAAGGGATATGGGTCTGGCTGGATGCTGCAGAGGATTGATGCGAGGGCAAGGGCCCTGGGGACCTGTCCACAGCCCAAGTGGACTTAGCTTTTTGTATAGATATACCACTTTACTGTATAGACCTTTAATTCATGAATCATGATTCCTATATCAGTCCGAACCATCGCAGCGTCGAGTCCACCTGAGTTGGCACAACATGGCCAACACCCTCTGCAAGATACGCTTCAAAATGACTGCCATCTCCGAAAATAGACCGCGTATACCCATCCAGCGGGCTATCCTGCTCCTCTTTGGTAAGATTCACTCCAAAAACAGCCGACCACTGCTTCACCTCCTCGTCGAAGTTGTTCGGCGAGATGACCGAATCTGCCGTCCCATGCCACACCTGCACCTTGGGATAACTCCCATTAAACCCAGGCCAGGCCTGGCCCACCTCATCCTTCCACTCCGACGCCGTCTTACTCACCTCACCCTGCGCACAGGCCTGATCAGCCGTAAACGGGGACGAACCGGGCGAGCCTCTCAAACAACCATACGGAACTCCACTATACGCCGCCACCCCGGAAAAGACATCCGGATACGCCGCAGCCAGGACAAGACTCATCATAGAGCCAGACGAGGAGCCAGTCGCAAACACCTTGCTGCTGTCCCCGCTGTATTTATCGAGCGTATACTGAACCATATTGACGATAGACTGGGAATCGCTCCCCCCATTATGCGTCAGCGATTCAGCCGTCGCAACGTCCCAGCAGTGGAAGTCATCGTTGGAGCCCGGGTACACGAGGATGAAACCGTTCTCGTCAGCAGCAGGGGGGAGGTCTGCTACCTCGCTGTAGTAGGCCTCTGCAGAGCCAAGGCAGCCGTGGAGCTACTTTACTTAGCTTGGGTGTTACTTATTTGTGTCAGGGAGAGAGGGTGATACCGCGACGATGACAGCTGGAGTGTCAGCTAGTTTGTCGGGAACGTATATCCACATCTCATTGTCGCCTGGGTTGTTGCCAAAGTCGAGGACCTGGGATAGGGTTGCGGCAGATCCCGCGGTGGCGGAAGCAGATGCAAGGAAGAGAGTCGAGAGCTTCATTGTTAATGATCCTGCAGGATGTGGGGGAAACCTCTGGGGAACGGGGTGATCTTATAGAACTGCTGTCTCATGTTGAGGCCGCAGCGTTTCAGTTAAGAAGTGCCGAGCCGAGGGCATATTGGTATATTTGTTCGTTATATAGCTGGGATGCTCGGCAGATTGTGCATTTCGGCAGTTGGAAATAGGGAATTGCCGTATGGCCAAAGCCCTTGTTACTTGGGATGCTCTAGGAAGGACTAGTAGATGTTGAATAACCCTGGGCTGACACTGCAAAGTAGACTACTGAGGCTCCAACCTGATTGCCATTCTTTAGTGTACCGATATTCATACTAGGAAGATGCAAAGTTTGTGTAGCGGCTGAGAAAGAACGACCCCTTAGAGGTAAAGCCCTCTATGCCCTACAGTATCCAATACATAAACCCTCTATTCCTACGAAATGGATCGGATTAGACGGACGGGTTTAAATGTCATTCATAGTACATGCTAAGAGACAGAAAAAGGCAAAAGATAGAATGCCGCACGCCCCTGAATCCTGGTATCATAAATATCACAAACAGAACAAAATATCAAATCTCAGAAGGATAAAGAAGCCGACTGGTAACTGCATGCTCCAGCTCCGGATCCGATTCATACTCTGGGTCACTCTCCAGCCCCTGAACAGACACATCCAGCTCCCTCAGAAAGTGGACGAGCTCATACTCCTTGAGCACACCCACGCGACCCAACCGGTACAGAAAACTAGAGACGAATAACTCCGCCGGTTGCGGTTTCGTCTTCTTGAACGCGCGCAGAAATGACTTCAGCTTGGTCTCGTGCAGAGCGCCAATAGGCACCCTTCTTTTGAACGTCGCATCCTCGAATGTCTTTGGCGCATTCACTATCCGGCGGTAGGGGCTTTCTCGCGATCCTGATCCCATACAGTGGTACCACGCACAGTCGCCGCCGTCTGGGTGGTGTTCTGGGAAGCGCACGATGATTCCGAAGTGGGCCGGGGCGCTGTCGGAGGCGGGCCTGATTCCGAGGTAGAGCTGGTGCGAGATACGGGTTTTGGGTGGCTTCGGTGGTGCTGGCGGGGGGTACACCTTGTATGGGACTTTCTTGGTGCTGTTAGACATCGTGGCGTCCTGCAGTTGTGGGAGTGTCGTCGAGTGTCGTGGCAAGGAATGTGGGGTGGTTAAGGTTGCGAAGCTGGTCCCGAGACTGGGTCATGCGGGATCGACCGTACATTTATACACGCCCGATGGATTGCTTTGGCGGATATTGGCCATATTAGCCTGTAGACGTGAACGCTTGTCTGTCCGTCATTGTGTGATTGGATGCCGCTCTTTATACAGGGGTCTGATCCCTCACGGCCTCGCTCACAGTATGGGCATTCACGAATGGCTCTTCATTCCTCGGTTGCCGAGTGACGAGAGATGGTAGACATGCCCTACAGGGAGAATCTCTGAAGGGGAAATCACATCCATAATAGCCCAGTGTTATGCTCTGAGCTTCGAGCTGTCATTGAGTTTATACAATGTAGTCCCTTGTTCGTTCCCCCAAGTCCCAGTCCAACAGGACCTTCATAGTTGGCCTCGGAGTAAGTCCGATGCACTTTCCGGAATGTAATGATTTGGTTAAACACAGCTGAGGCGCTGCTCCTAAGGCTGCTGAGTTGGGGGAGTGGCAGCTATGCCCCAGTCTGAGACATTCACTTACTGCGCACTCACCCCAAATCAACCCCCCCAGCCCATTCACAACGGGATTACGCTCTCCGTTCCTCGAGGCGTTGAAGGATCAAGTAAGGACAACAGCAACGGCCCTGCTCGTGGATTGAGGGTAGGGCTGTCAAACATCCATACCCTAATGCACGTCGCTCTTGATCGGCAATCTGGACTCTTCTCTAATTACAACGGGACTACTGGTTAAGATTGTACCGGTGGGAATTGCCATAACCCCACAGCCGAATCACTCCCATAGCCCTTGGCTCAAAACATCAGTACAATGTCTCGAATATCACGTTTCAATCTCTGGCATCAGGATATCCATTTCCCGTGCCCATGCTGGATAACGTATCATTACATCAGATATAGGTGATCCAGGATTCAGCTAAGGCTACCCTTGCTGGATTCAGATATATTTACGTAAATGAATCCTTCAGCAATGCAGTATGGCTATCGGCCGCTGATGAGCGAGAGGGGATCGAGCAGTGCAGGTCTTTGGAGCGCAGGATGAGTTGCGCTACCAGCTCATGGTTTCCCAGCCAGAGACCATCCTGCTTGAGGGTCCCTGGTACCGTGATGATTGTTCGACAGTCTATATTTCCTTATTGATAGACATGCAGCTCGTTAACCGCACACGACAATGCACATTGGTGACACAGAGGGACTCGACCATTGCACGGAGACGCTGAAACCCCATTCTTTCGCCTGAAGCTCACCGTGTTCGATACACTCCTGTATGCCGGTGTCATGATCTCTAGCTTGACCAAGAGTTTCAGTGGTGCGTCCCATGTAACTGGTGGGAGCTATGTCTGCAGCTCTCTTGCCTCCTTATCCCAATTAACCGGGCATAGTCTTGTCCTAAACCCTGCATCCCGGTACGATATCACCCTACGCAACCTTCTAACAGACAACTACGAAAGGACATATTTTCCCCTTGACGTCTCCCAACTCTTATCAAACTTTTAGAGAATGGTGTGGCTCGCTAAGAAATGCAACGATAACATCGTCATCCCGGTAAACCTATTCGTTCCACACCCAACAGTAGCAACAGTCCACCACCCATCCATCGAGCCAACCTTGCGCGTATTCAAATGCATGATGCCTTAATACGGTGGCTTCGGAAACCTCCTTCCATAACCCCAGCACCGCAGAGAATTTCTATAATATCCTGGATATCTGCAAGGGCTCGAGCCCCGGCACGAACTTTACCTTGGCACTGCCGTATATCTAGCTCGCTAACTTCCGGAATCAGGATAAGGTGGCGAAATATGGTGTGCCGTGGCATATTATTCGCACAGGCGTTGGTCTGGAGGATCGGGAGAAGCTTGCTGAGGTGTTTCTAGGGCTCTTGATGATGTGGTAGAGTTTGAGGCGCGGCCTGAAGAGAAGGTTGAGAGGTTGACGTGTAAGGAGAGGCATGCACTTACGGGGTCAAGGTGTAAGGAATAGTACAAATCTAACCAGTATTCCTATCAATGGGAGATAATGGACATTCGAGTATAGCACCCTGCCAAATCATACTTTGAACATTGCAAATGCAGCTTAACCACCGAACAGAACAACTGTGCTGCATTGCCGCCTGCCATTCCTGACTATGTCATGACCTAGACAACCTCGCGGGGGCTCTATGCTGCAGTGCGACTCTCATCAGACACCCTAAGTAAGAGCCTCCTTCGCAAAGTTCCATCAACTAGCACAGCCTTCATATTGGTAGGTTTACTACTCCTTGAGAGCGAGGAGTATGGTGTTCACCCTGCTGATCAATGTGCGCCGGAACCAGGCAGGCAGAGAAAGCCCAACGGGCGCCCGTATTTCGTCCTGCATATCGACCGACGAAAATTGCGCGTTCTAAGAGTGGAATAACCAGTTGTGTTCCGGGCCTTCGCGATATCGACATGTCTAAGCCTCCCACTTCTAGATAATACCTAATTCGGAGACCCAGGTTGACCTCCCCTCCCCAGAACCTGGTTATGGATGCCACTCTAGACCAACGGGCAATTCCATTCCCGATGCCTTGACCCAGATGAATCTCCATGTTGACTGTTGGTTCTGCAAGATTAACAAGGCTGAATCGCAACTTGCTATTCAGCCTTGCGATCTCCCCTCCACGAACCGACCAATAACAGAGCCTCGACCCCAACTGTAAATAAGCTCTGCGCCCGGTTCCCGTCAGAAATACTGCGGCTCAAAAGATACGCCCGAGAATGCAGAGCCGCATTCCTTTCCAGGTAACTCTAAACGAGCCTCAACGAACAGGGCGCTGGATTTGCATGCTTACCCGCATTACCTCGTGCTAGCTCCCGCAGCAGGGCAAAACAAGGGCACCGGTGCCGCATATTCAGGCCCGCACAGGCCTGCGGCTGAGAAGTAAGACGGAACTCCCTCCGGATCGACCTCGTATTCATCTGAGCCTCGGGCGCACCGGGTCATGCATATGCAGGGGATCCAAGGACCACCTGCTCTTACGTGCAGACGCCAACGGCTGCAGCCCTGGTGTTCAGCCGCATGGGCTGGACTGTGCTCGTGGCCTTACCCTATGATCTGCGCATGGGGGACAAGGCCGCCAGCCTTGTTCTGACTCGAAGCCTGCTGGGCTGGAGGTTGTGGCCCGCGAGGCTTGTCGCGAGCTTTGCTTATTCAATATTAATAACGGTCACTTAAGCAAGACCTGGGGTATAAGTCGGGGACCTAAACTGGATTTTGACTGGACTGTCGGAGTAATAGGAACTCCGGGACGAAGTATGATGGGATCTGTGTATGGATTTGTAGTCTATGTATTGCTAAGTTATACTCTAACAATATGATTAGTGATAGTCTGCTTGTACTACATCGAATCCAGCGCAGAAGACGACTGGATTAGTTAGTCACCGGCGTCATCTTCGCCCGCAGATGCGGTCCGACATAATCCGGAAGAAAACAGTCTCTCCATTCCAGTTTCTTCGGACTAAAAAGCTATTAACACCAAACCAATGGACAGAGAGATAGTTGGACGGGACAAACCTCGACGGGTCCATTTCCACATCAAACTTGCGGAAGAGATGGCCGAAACACAAATAAAGCTCTAACCAAGCAAGACTGTACCGATATTAATATAAACTGATTCCGACTTCAATGCAAGAGAATTTGCAGAGGACTTACTGCTGCCCGAGACAACTACGCGGGCCCCGCGAGAAACTAAGCAGCCATCTATCCAGCGCCCGTCCGTTCTCACCGAGCCAGCGGTCAGGGATAAACTCGTCGGGGTTGGCAAAGACGTCAGGATTGCGGTGGACGAAGTGACTCGCGTGGGCGACGACGGTCTATTGAGGGATTGTTAGTACGTGCGCTAATGCCAATTGCCACAGGTATGGAGTAAGTGGGTAAGACGGGAGGAGCTTACACCCCCGGGAATCGGAGTCTTGGTTATGACAGCGCCGGTCGCAGGAACGACCCTAGGAAGAGGAGAGGCAACTCCCGGGCTCATGCGGAGAGATTCCTTGATGACGGCAGTCTGGACAGTGAATCAGCATGTGTATATTGTAGGTAGTTCGCATAGATCGGCGCAGGATGTTATGCAACTTACCAGATACGGCAACTTCTCCAACTGCTCCCAGCTAGGCGGGGGACCATCCAGAACAGGCCATGCGGTGAGGAGTTCGGCCTTGATTTTGGCGTAGACTGCCCTGGAGGACAGAATATAAAAGCAGCCGTGCATTAGGGCTGTGCCGGTTGTGTCTGCGCCACCGAACATCAGAGCTTGCGATTCCTCATACAGACTCCCACTGCTCGGGGCAGTACCGGTGCGATATGCCTCCGGTCGGAGTAGCTCATGATAAATTGTAGTGGAGTGCGGGAGCTTGGCCAGCTTTCCAGGGTCGGTTGTGATTTCTTCGATTTGGGCTTTGAGGAGCTGATTCAGTCAGTCGGGGGAATGAGACGAGAGGCTGAGCTGGCATACAGTCTGCAGATCAACAAGGCCAGCAGTAGCTGGGCTAATTATCTTTGACAGCTTTGGAGGGCAATTCATGATCATGTTCTTGTAAAAGGGCGAGTGTTTGAATCGGACAAACACCGGGAGCGATGCGTCCATGGCCAGGATGATGGGCGCCTCATAGTTGGGGGCATGGACAGCGTCCACCGAGTTTGCAAAGCACAAGTCTATACAGGTTAATTGTGATCAATATCGTGATTATGGGTCATCTCACAAGTAATGACATCGATAGACATGCAGCGAAAGGCGTAGAAGAGGTTAATGGGTGACGCGCTGTTCTGCTCAAATGTGTTACATAGATCGAGCACCTATCCCGTTAGTATCCTAGAAGCGAATAGAAAACAGGATAAGCCACTGACTATCCCCTCCACAATCCTCTGCGCCTCCTGGACAGCTTTCTTGGAGAATCTCCGAGAGAGCACATCCTTCCTCTCCTTCGACTCGCGGTAGGTCAGGAACCCAAACGACGAGCGGTCCTCGCCAAAGCTATGGTACAGACTCTTCTCCTTGTCCCACCGATGGTTCGCATTGTATATTTCGAGATAAGCCGCGGGGGAATGAAAGTGCAACTAGTTCTGGCGTAAGCGGACCGGGTTGGCCTGGTCGGTCTGGTTTGACAACGCAACACAACGCGCCCACTGGTTCATGCAGGAGACGGAACTCACCTCATTCGGGCCGATTCGGACGATGTCACCTGAAACACGTCAGAGCCGATCAGCAAACGGTGTGAGGATCGTACCATATTTCTCGTGGAGCTGGCCCAGGGTGTGGACGAAGGAGCGGCTGGGCGAGCAGTCGATGTACGTCCGATAAAGCCGGGTCAAAGCCGCGAGTGGAGGCCCGGGGAAGCGAGCGAGCGGGTGCCAATAGAAAGTGTAGAAGACGTTGTACACCAAGTAAGTGAGCAATGCCACCGGGGGCAGCAGCAGGTAGAGTGAGGCGTCCATGGTGCCAATTCGAGCATCCGATATCCGGGCACTGTTATAACACGCGAAACGCGGTGCAGGGTTTCGCCAGCCACCGTCGCAGAAAAACAGGCTGCTTATTTAAAGTGGACGACATTTGGAGAAGAAGGCATGGCGAATCAGCGTGGTGAAGGCCATCGACACCACATGCACGGGGGCCACATAAGGGGATTGTTCCATTCGAGTTCCACAGATGGACGACGTGAATGGCCGAGATTGGACGGTGGATGCGGGCTGTCAAAAGGACGAAGTGACCAGGATCAGCAGCCAATAACAGAACATTCACCAGGACGTTGTGCCGGCCCGCACCAGCCGAACCGCCAAGGGCGACAGTTAGTGCCTGATAGTTGCTGTTCACTGCGTGTGTTACTGCGTTGGTGTTAGTTGCTCGTCCCGCTTGATCCGCCCGCCCGTTTTTCTGTCACTTTCTTAATTCCCCAGCCTGCGCTGAAACCTCTTCAAAGACTTGGATGGCCGTGCTGCTCTCAACATCCCTGTCGCTGTCCTTTGCTGTCCACAATGGCTGAAGGTCGCAACCTCGAGGTCGACAACGTACGCTGTCCCCAGGGCCACGGCAGCAGCTGCCAGTGCTACACGGGCCTCTCCCCCCACAGTATTGCCAAATCGGGCTGACTTTTGATTCCTCACATTGCAGACGCAGGATGACAACTCGTCCGTGTTCAGCGATGACTACCAGTCGTCAGTTTGCCTCGTTTCGCCTTTGCTTGATGGCTTGATCCTTCAGGCCCAGCAAGCATGATTGGCTGACCGCAATTAGGGAGTTAACGTCGCTGCGCAGCAGCATCATGGATTATCGCTATGAGAATGGAAGACGTTACCATGCATACCGCGCTGGGTCGTACTGGTATGGTGTTACTCCCGTAGCGGGGGAAGAGGGAAGGATCACTGACGGATCAGGGGACCCAATGACGCAAAAGCCCAGGAACAGCTAGATATTGGGTACGCTTATCTCAGATCGTCTCGTGTTGTGCAGGATCGGCTAAACTCAGGCAGACACCATCTCTATAACCTTATGCTGCACGGGAAGCTGTACCTGGCGCCCATCTCAGATGATGTCCAGGTAGGGATCTTCCAGCCCTGCGAAAATATCCACTGACGATGGTCTCAGAAAGTCCTCGATGTCGGTACCGGGACTGGTATCTGGGCAATGTATGTTCGTTCCTATATAATGATTGTCCGCAAAACCGGCCACTGCTGACTCGGACAGGGAATTCGCGGACCTGTTCCCATCCGCCACCGTCATCGGCACCGATCTTTCGCCCATCCAGCCCAGCTGGGTCCCGCCCAACGTCCAGTTCGAAGTCGACGACTGCTGCGACGAGTGGTTATACGGCAAGGACACTTTCGATTTCGTTCACATCCGCGGTCTGTACGGCTGCGTCGCCGACTGGGACAGTTTCTACAAGCAGGCCTTGAAGTACCTCCCCTTGAGCATCAAGTTCTGGATCCATAACTAATAGCCACAACAGCGCACTCAAACCCGGCGCATGGATCGAACAAGCCGAGCAAGGCGTCGTCCCGAAATCCGACGACGGCACCACCAACGGCACCGCGCTGCAAGAATGGGGCGACGTGTCCGTCAAAGCCGGTGACGAGTTCGGCAGAACGCTCTGCGCCCTGGACACCTCGCGCGAAGGCATGATCAAGGCCGGGTTCGTAGACGTCGTTGAGCGCCGCTTCAAGGTCCCCATTGGTGGATGGGCGAGCGATCCGCGCCTGAAGCAGCTGGGCCTTTACAACCGTCTCCAGTGGGAAGAGGGTGTGGAGGGCTGGTGCATGTTCTTGCTCACCGCCGTCCTTGGGGTATGTTTCCATCCTTAGACCTGGATTAATCCGCATATTAACTGACTGTGATTAGTGGTCCCGCGAGGAGGTCGAGCTGTATTTGTCGCGCACGCGCACGGCCCTGCGCAACCCCAAGATCCACGGATATCAGGAATTGTACGTCCACGGAACAACTTTCTAGAGTCCAGAAACAGAACTGACATTCAATAGCACGGTCGTCTACGGGAGGAAGCCTGAAAAAGCGCCTGGAGCTGAATGAGGCTGAATCGCATGGTAAAGGTGGCGATATAGTTGGGAGGGATCATATCAACGCAGCGTAATTATTTTGCGAATTGATTTGAAATTGAATGGGGCGGTGATTCAATTTAAACGTTTTCAGTCTTGGAGCGATGCTAAGCTGAGCCACAGTGTCGAGTACTATTAATTGAAATTGATTGGTCCAGATTTCACCTTGATTGTGTGGCTTAGCCCTAGGAGTGCCACCTTCTAATGCAGAAGTGAGGCAAGCCCCCAGGGCCAGTATTAACGTTGTGCAGTGCTATTCATGGTGCCAGCCTCGCGGATTGTTGTCCTCGGTGTTCAACCCCACCTTATCATCGTCGCAGTGCGTATCAAACATGCCTCTATTTCGCGGCTGAGTGAGGCATACCGCCTCATATCCTGCATCATGACTACACCATGAAGCAATATGTTTGCCCCCTTGATCGAAAGACCCGACTACCATACATGATAGGTCTAGGGCGTCCCGGGAGGCCGCGGGAACAGTGGGTATATACCATCACAGCACAGCACAGCACAGAATGGTAAGATCTGTCGCAATCCGGATGTCTTGGAACCACGCCATTTCATCGATGCCTAGATATAACAACCTCAGCTGACATATCTGACGACGCCATCTGCAGCTATTCCTGAAATTCGCATACGCACAGCAGGGAAAGTTCACGGTGCTACTGAGGGCACAGGCTTGGCCAACACATTTGCCAATCTTAGAGGCTACGCGGCAGGTGGTTCTCTTGTGCGCTGACTCAATGGTGCAGGAAGATCTAACGCGAAGGCTGTTTCCGGATCTGGGGTAGACTGTCCGCCTGGTGAAAACGAGGGCTGTAGGGGGTGCCACGCCGTCATGCCCATGTGTCTCAGTGGATCACCCGGTGTGCTGGGCACAATCGGGAGCTACCACGAGGGTAGGGAATCTTGTTTCAAGCGGTCCTCGTGGGGGCTCGGCGGGGTCTAAGTTGCGAAAGGCCTTTCCGGCTGGGATTTGCGAAGGTTGATAATAGGTTGTAGATAGAGCCTTAGGGCAGTAGAAGGCAGTCTGGGTTAGGCATTCTTAACCTTTTGATCCTGGGTGGGCAAACTTCGCACAGCTGTTGGGTGAGTCAACCCTTGTCCCCCACAAGAATGTGGATAAGGCGCAGGTACTTCCAGCAATATGAGGGTATTCGAGGTCGAAGAGCCGCTTGTACTCAGGGCTGGACCACCACTACACGGGGCGAGCTTTGCGGGCACAGTAATCCAAAAGGGGAAATTCAAGCCTAGACTAGCCCAGTCAATTGACTTGGCCAGAATATTACCTCAGAAGGACGAAGACTATCTCCACATTATCAGCATCTCGCGCATGAAATCCCTTGCGTTGTTTGCACTAGGAGTCGGTGGACTGGAGAGTACCAAGCGCGAGCTAAAGCGCTCGTATGCGATATTATTATGACTCTGGCTAAATATAGTTCGTAAACATGAATGCCTTGATGTCTTGGAGTCCTTGGGTGACCATATATTGCCTGGCGTGGTGCTTCTTCCGCTTCCTCTTCTGCTAATGCGGTTCAGCGCCGGGCAACCATTTAACTATGGCACTGAAGGCCTGCAATTCAGCGTTCGCAAGGAAATCCCTGAGCACTTCAATATCGACCAGGATTTCAAGCGAAGCGTACCAAGTCTTGATGATGAGGCTGTGCGCCTCGTTTGCGCCCAGGCAAACGGGTGAAACATTGTGATTGGCTAATTTATGTGATAAATGTCCCGATACTTTTCATCCCCGCCCTCCAATAAAATTAGCATCAGCTCGTTGCCCTTCTTCGCCACGGCGACTGTGTAGAAATTCATTGTATAGGGGTAACTTGGTTTGACGGCTTGGGAATGGCGATGGTCAATCGAGTGAATATGAGCAATTCAGTGGTTTAATTAGAGGAGTTGGATGGTACTGATCGTATATATTCCATGGGACCAGGAATTATCAGATTTGAGGCGTTTATGCGAAGGGTAGCCTTATTTCCGGCGTTTTGAATACCTCGTTTAGCCTTTTAAGCCGCGCTACACTTAAATAAGTGATATCGATATAAAAGCGGCCTGCTCTTCTCCAGTCTAACCTTTCTTCTCACTATATACGCTGAATTCACGGAGGTCTCTGTCAATTTATGTCTTCATCACGAGCATTGCAACACCCCGTTCTCCCTTCATAATGCCTGGTCTATACGTCGAGCCCCCCAAACCCCAATGTGCCCTCCCCTTTGACCCCAACCCCCACCACCGACAACATACGCCCCTATTCAATCGCAATTTCACTCCCAGATACCTATACCGTCTTGTTGCTCCCCAGACGGCGGGTTCAACCACGAGCTCAACCGCCATACCCTCAACTTACCCCCAGCATCAAACCGATATCTTCCATCTCCCGACTCAGAAAGCAGCTACTCTTCTCCTTAACCACCTACTCTGGCAACGCGGCCACGAGAATGGCTGCAACCTCATGAGCTGGACAAGCTCTCTACTGTTCGCACTCCAATACGCACTCTACCGCCACCGCAAGGATGGCGACGACCTGAACCAGATCCAGCTTATAGTCTTAGACACCACCCTCTTCCCCCGGGGCACCTTCATGCAGGACATGGAAATCATGCGCTCCTTCGCAGGCAGCGACTCCCGACTCCAGAAATTCGTCGAGTTCCGAGAATCAGAGTACTATTTCGGCGAGTACATCACCCAAGGCAGACTCTCCATCCAGGACCGGTGCGTGTGCACCTCTGTGCAGAAGATGATCGACCTGGGCCTCTTCGAGCTGCAGCCGCTCCTTGCAGATCGGACCCAGTGGCAGTGGTGGCCGAAGCGGGTTCTGGCATTCCGTGAACAATTCACCAGTGGCAGGCTTGTGGCGACGCCCGATTCGCATGTTGACATTGCGGTCGATATTTCCAGGCAGTGCTTTGGTGGGCAGTGGGCTGTTCCTGTGGCGATTATGCTCCTTGCCCTGCTGCCGCGTAAGGTAGATGATATCACTCTTATGGAGGGTTTCAGGGCGCGATTTACAGGTAGGCCTACATATGCCTTGGATTGCGGCTGAACTGTGTGCTGATACTCAGGTCTCCTACAAGATGCGGATATCAGGCGTGCTAGGCTGGATCGCATGAAGGTGGATAGCACACGGCTTCCTGAGGTTGGTCAGTTCCTGGGCCTTCTGCAGTCTGTCCAGCGTAACTGTGTGGACTCTGAGTATAGCAGTCTTGCTGCCCAGGTGCAGGGACTTCAAGTTTGAAATCAGATTGGGGGATTCTGGGTACTCTAGGCGTTACAGCCTTCCACAGCATTGCTTCCTGAAGCGAATTCCCTTGCGCTTTGTTTATCCTATTTGGGGTTTGTGATTTTTTTGCTTTTCGGCTTTTCGTTGTTATGGTATACATTGGGATGGGTGGATATACGCGCACTTGTAATAGTCCGCATGGAATAGATTGAAGTATTTCGGGTTATTATGTTGAGCTGATAATTGTAATTGAATCCTTTCATAAAAGTACTTTGTTGCCTTTCCTCCGGATCTGCGATTTGACTCGTCCTTTTGGCTAACCACCTCTAGGTCTATGAGGATCTCCTTGTCTATCACTCAAGCCCTGTCCCCGCGATGTTACTCAGTCGCCAATCTGCTGTCGACATCCCGTCCCGACCTGCCGTGTGGAAGAGGCGACCAGTAGGAACAATCGCCTCACCTCGCAAGTCTGCAGCTCAAACATCAACTCCAGACAAATCAGGTCAACTCTCTCGGTGCCCATCGGAGTGTTGTCTCGACTGTCAACCCCGAGTTGGACCATTAGGCAGCCAGAATCGCATGGCTGCCCTAGTCAGGCCAGCCGCGTCATTGTCTGACGAGCTACAGGCCTATTTTAAGATGCTGAGTATCATCATCTCGTGCATATAGTTATTCCCTCAAATTATGTGGCAATGTTGGTATTTCCTGCGATCTGTGGATTTCCTCTGGTGGCTGTGGCTGCGCATTGTATCGGCTCAGCTGGTGGCGAATGCAGAATATCGGTGCCTCCGACAAGATCTTGGTCAGCTATTGATAATCATTTGATCAGCATTCATCAGCTCACTGTTAATTGATAAGCTGTTATGCTATCTAGAGCTGGATGTGCTAAGGGTGTTGGAAGTACGGTAGGCGGAAATATATTCTGTCGCAGCAGTGATCACATTAAACAAGCCGGAATCCCAACTCCAACATTGAAAATGTTAGAAACGCTAATTAAAAAGAATTTACAGATTCGTGGCCATTCAGTCAATATGCATCCTTCTCCCCGCTACCATCTACTTACCCATTTATCGACAATCAAGCTATCCCGAGTGACTTACTACTGTTCCAATCGATGGACGAGACCAAAAAGGAAGGAGCTTCGATTGCTGAATCTCATGAAGGCACAACTACACGGCTGATATACCCCTACAACTGGGGATATATTATCGAACTGGTATACAATTCTAAATCTATCGGATTACTAGTCTAGGACTTGAGGAACATCTGATCAAACCGGACTTCCTTCCACTCGCCAGTCTCGGTATTGAGCGAGACATCACTGTGCTTCAACTCGCCCTCCTGAACAAATCCCGCCTCTACCTCACCCCCAGCCAACGGGCGCTGCAGATGGCTCTCACTGTGCTTGACCGTCCAGTTCGCCAGGGGCAGCTCCCAGCTATTCCTTGTCGCGACCGTGGGACAACCAAAGTAACGGGCTTCGGCCTCTTCCTGGCGCAGGTGCAGCTCGAAGTACCCGCGGTAGTAACCCTCCACCCACTTGAGTTCCGGGTTGATGTTGTACGTGTTGGCCTTTTGTTCACCGTGCTCGCGGGAGACGGTGCTCAGGCCGGTGCTGGAGACGGCAGTGCCGGCGAACTCAACGCCCACTGCGCCCTCGCCGGTGATGTTGTTGTAGGGCTTTGTGCCTTCCCAGATCATGTCGGATACCTTCCATCATCAGTTCACCTTGCACTAAAGGGAAAGAATAGAGAACATACCCAGTTAACGTGTGTATCTCCCGCAATGTTGATGTTATTCGTAATCTCATTGTCGTACATATGCTTGAGCGTTCTGTTCTGGTTCGCCCGGTACGCCGTCCAGGCATCGGTACTGAACGTGATGGACCCGTCCTCTTCTTGTTGCTCGATGTGTGCAAAGACCAGCTGGTTCCCGATAACGCGCCATTTCGCGCCTCGGTCCTTGCTTTCGGAGAGCTGGCGGTAGAACCAGTTCTCCTGGCGCGGGCCCATGATGCTCCGGCCGGCGTCGTCGTGGATCATCTCAATGTAGTCAGAGTTGTCGCCTATTATCGTTAGCAAAAGTATTCTTCAAGTCAGATTCATAAACAGGCGTACTGATATCCGTGATTGAGCGATCGTAGTGCCGGGTGTCGATCATGATCAGGTCGAAGAGGTTGCCCATTTGGAAGTTTCGCCAGATGCGCAGGCCATCGTCCATGTCAACTTGGCTGGGATTGTTAGCTTGTATCCATGTACCTGTACCCTGGAAGAACCTACCGGATAGGCATCCACTCGAAGTAAGCACGGACGGCATTCAGCTTGCGCTGGTCAACGCTGATCTGGGGCCCATAATTCAGGAAAGAGTCTTCAGTATTCCGTAGACCGCTGAAACCATCGCGGTAGCCGTTGTTTGCAATTTCTACCCTGGTTCAGCCTTATCCAGATACATAGTTTTGTTTAAGAGAGGCATACCATGGTCATCCCACACAGTAATCCAGGGAAACTTCTGGTGAGACGCGACAAGATCCTGGTCCGTCCGGTACTGCCCAAGGCGAGTCCTGTAGTCATACAGAGAGAAGATCTCTCGCTGGGGAACGACAGCACGCTCGTCGACGCCCGGGACGCCACTTTCGTACTCGTAGATATAGTCGCCCAGGTGGACGACGTAGTCAACATTGTCCTTGCGGGCGACATTTCCGTATGCGTTGAAGTACCCATTGGCTAGAAATATTCAGTATTTCATAAAACCCTCTCCAAAGAAAGGGGGAAAACATACGGTAGTTGCTGCACGAGTGCACAGCAAGCTTAACCTCCTCAATATCCTCCTTCTCCGTTGGAGCAGTCTTGGTCCGTCCAAGCGGCGAGACCTTATCCGAGTTACAAACATTGAACCGGTACCAGTAATTCGTGAACGGCTTGAGGCCCGTAGCCTCGACCTTGACAGTGTAGTCGATATCACTACTGGTCAGGACGCGGCCCTTGTCGACGACATCACGCGCGCTCTTGTCCGAGAAGACGCGGTACTCAACACAGATCGGGTGTGCAGATGCCTTGGCGTAGCCCTCGTTGTCGTGGTCGTATAGAGGCACGTCCCCCGAGACAGTGGTGTTGCTGTCTGAGGCTTCCAGGGACGGGGCGATGCGGGTCCAGAGGATCACGCTGTCTGCGTAGGGGTCACCAGAGGCGACGCTGTGGGTGAAGTTTAGCTGGGATGGTTGGAAGGGGACCTCATCACGTTTGGATAGGCTGCGGCGTTGGATGGCGTCCACGTTGATCCCCATGTTGGTGTGATCCTGGTTTAGGGAAGGGCTGCGGTAGTTCAGGTTGCCTCCATATTTTGCGACGGCGCTGGTGGACAGCGCCAGCAGCGAGAGGAGGGTGCTGGTATAGACCATCTTGCCTACTAATTGCAGTATAGCTAATGGCTGTCTACAACGTATGTCTCTAAATCTCCGGGTTTACATGAATGCAATCGCCGCCTTTATATCTACTGCGTGAGCAGCCGTATATTAAACGCATGTAGTACAGGTCTGCTATATCCGATATTTTCCACAACCAATAGAAGAACCATCATCCCACACATGCCAGAAGCGCGAGAGATCCCACTATCTTCGTGCAGTCACCATTCAAATCCATTGGACACTTGACGTTCTCTCCGCTGGACCACCCCGTATATTTATGGGGGTAAGCGAGGAAGGAAAATGAAGCCAAGAAAGATATGGAGAAAAGCAAGATATATGAAGCACGATATCTATAGATCCGAGTCCCCGTGGACGCAATATTTAATCTGATTGGCCTTGAATACGATGCTGATCATCTCTTGTCCTTGTGGAAAGCGTCCCTGCCAATCCCCGGCCAAGCATTGGCGCTGTTTCTCCCCGAATCGCACGCAACCGATCGCTAATCAGGAGTATATCATGGCAAAGAAAAACATGAAACATCTGGAATAAGCCGGTCCATCTCATGCCCCTTAATACGCATAGCGATACGTGCACGCCAAGTCCCCCAGTTTGTCTTCCTCCTCGGCTGTCACCTCCACGCCCTCTGCTAGCATGCGCTCGCGCTGTCGATTCTGGTACCATAGCCCAAGAAAGTAGACTGTAGCCATAGCGGCTGAGAAGCACGCGAAAGAGAGTCCGATAGTATAGCCATTTCGGTAGAGCGGAGCATCCTTCTCCAAGAACGAGTATGTACCGACAATACCCCCAACTGTGCGTCGCGTCAGTCATCGGTACGGTGTACGCTTTATAAAGTAGAGTAAGCCACTTACTATTTCCGATTCCAAGCTGAAAGGCTGTGCCCACGCTTCTCCTCGTGCGACCTCCTAGGTTCATACCGAACCAGCAGAGGTATATCGGAGAGGCGCTGAAGCAGCCGCAGGTGATAAGAAACAACGCAAAGTATTGCACATTATGATGCACGGTCTCACGGAGGGTGAGGAGAATGCAGTATCCACTTATCGAGATGATGATAGAGACCAGGGCGAATATGTATCTGTGCCGAAAGTAGTCTGATAGACATGCAACTACCAGGGAGCATCCGAAGGCGGCAACCCATGGAGGGACCGAATATAGCTGCGTTTTGATTGCTGTCTATGTCAGTGGTGATACCCTTCTTTATATGGTATGGGTTACTCACGTCCATAGCCATATGTTCTGATAATAGTTGGCGCAAAATACGCGTACCCTAAACACCGTCAGTCGCGTGCTTTGACATCATAGATGGCACTGTACCATAGCTACTAACAACCTGCCCAAAGAGCATGAGTGCCGCAATGAATATCTTCCCTATGCCAGGTCAGCTCAACACCAAATGAATACTCCCAAGAAACCCACAATCCTTGAACACATGCAAGATGTCCAGCCATCGCATCCTCGCACTCGGGCTGAGGGTCCCATTCTCCCGGGCCGCTCTATCACGAAGGAACTCAAACTCGCTCTGGGTAAGCCACTTGCAATCCTGCGGGAAATCCGGCAATGCAAAGAATACTATCACCGCCATAAGGCAGGTCGCTGCGCCTTCGATGATAAACACCCATCGCCAGCCGCCATACCCTCCGATTCCATCCATCTTACCGAGTCCGCTGGCCAGGAGACCCCCAAACGCACCGGCTAGGATGGTGGAGCATCCAAATACTGAGTACCTCTTCTGAGCCTCGTACCTTCTGTACCACATGCTGAGGAGGTATGCGCCTGCGAAGAGTTAATGGGACATCCTTGTAAATGAGGATATATACCAACATCCTGGAATTAATCCGGCCTCGAACACCCCTAGAAAAAAGCGGGTTACCATTAACGAGGCCCAGCTGTTGACGAGACCTTGGAAGATCGTGATAAGACCGAAGCTGAATACACAAAACGACACTTAATACAATTGTTAGTAGCGTTCTTAACTATGGAAGTGTAACATACGCCAAACATGGGGTTTGAGCTTCACGAGGACAATGTTGGATGGGATCTCAAACACGACATAGGGGATGAAGAATATCATCAAGGCTGCGTTGTATTTAGTTCCATCCACAATCCCGAGATCCTCTCGCATCCCGAGGACGGCGGCGTTTCCGATATTGACTCTGATATGGCTTAGTATCGTAGAAAGGGGGAGGGATGCCGGGGAATGTACCTATCGAGGAACGTAATCAGGTACATTGTTACCAGACATGGCAGCAGACGAAGGTCAATCCTCATCAACAGTCTCCTCTCATTGATATGAGTCTCCGAGACTTCACCACTCTCGATACTCTCGACGATGTTTTCTAGGGCAATGTTACTTGGGTCGACCTGGGCGAGGTGATCATATGTGACTGACCTTGTTTTCCCATTTCCCTGGAATGTTCTCGTTGTTGCACTGAGAACTCAAAGATTTCGCTGAATCTGACGGCGCTGGCAGACATATATACAAATGTTGGCCTCATTGCCCGCGTGAATAATTATCTTATGCATACGTACTGCGTCCAAAGGATTCCACCATGAATACCCTCCTTACCAGCTGGACATCAGAATGGCCACTTCGATATAGTCGCTGCATATCAGATTGGCCAGATGGCAGAATGTCACGGCGTCAGGTAGGACAGCGAGGGATGGACAGGGCGGGATCTGCTGATAAACACCTTGCTTCCAATGTTGTACTGTCTATGGGCCATGAATAGCGAACGTGGTTCTGTTCTAGAACGTGGGCTGCTAATGTCCTTCATCTACCCCAGTATGATAACTAACTTATTGCCAGACTGGCTGTTTCTATGCAGCTTCCTTGCATAGTATGCATGGATATGGTCTTATGAGCTGTTCCACTGGAAATGAGACATTTGCATGGTGTATTTGTCTGCATACACGTTGATATCAAATGAGACAACATAACGATCAATCTGGCTGCCACCCCGCATTCCACTCCAGCTGATACCCTGTTCGTTTCATACTGCCAGGCTATCCATTTCAGTTTTCGCCAACAACTTCATCATCGTACTCGCCGTAGCTTGCATAGTCGCCATAATTTCCGTAGTCCGAGTAGTCACCATAATCGGTCGGCGTGGGAGATGGAGAACGAGTGGAAGTCGAATCAGTACAAGTACTGGTCGTAATTGGAACCGGCGACGATGTTACAGTGCCAATTGCAGTTGGAGAAGGGGGGAGGATTGGTTGGATCGATGGCTCTACCTGCTCGATAGCAGCATCGTTGGACGGCTGCTGGTGCGAGTTCCTAAGAATCCATTTCCGCTCGTGCGCCATTTCCATCATTGGAGCGGCGGCATTGGGCATGCAGCTTCCGGACTCCTCCTTCGTTGCTCTCGTGCATAGTTCTGGGCTTGATTCGGCTGGGCTTCGCACCGGCTGGGCCAGGGCCAGAGCTAGGTGTACCAGGAGGGTGAGAAGTCCGGCAGGGATGAGCTGCATGGTTGCTTTGGCTGAGTCTAGGCCTGACAGGAGAAGTGTTCAATTTGGTATAGGAACTAAGAGGGTGGACGGAGGGACGGGGTTTGTAGTCTATACCGTGGGAGACGCTCGCAGTATTTATACTTGATATCGACCGCCCCGACGATCTTTTGTAGTCAAGCTCATGGTACCTCGCATCGATACGCGTAAGCTAGAGACCCAAAGGAAGACTGGAGCTTGTCCAAGAACCTCCCAGGCATCGGTCCATTTGTCTGGCCTCTGGAGCGGCCCAACGCGGATGCAGTGTCACCGCGCCCTTCCCATCAGAAGGCAGCTTTTCAGCCAGCTTGGGACTCCTTGCTGCTGCTGTTTTATCTTAAGACATTTGAAGGCTGTGCTGTCCAGTCTCTGCTTCCTTAATATTTCTCGTGCATTGATCCAGACTCCTTACTTCCCCGTTGCACCATAACCCTCCTCGCCATAGTCAGTCCTCCAATCTTACCATAAATCTCCACACTTGATGGCTACTCTTTGGGTTCTACCGCGACTGACTCAGATCTAGTACTCCCTCCCCCGGAAGATGAAGCGGTTCTGCAGGTATGCGATCCTTGTCCCACCCGTGATAATCAACGGTTGAGACCCGATGGCAACTCGCATGAAATCGAAACATGCCGATGTTGCACCGGAGGGTCTCTGCCAGTTCCACTATGATTATCTCGTCTGGCCTATTCCTTGATTTCGCCCAATCTCCTGGCAGACGGACTGCAGCTCCCACACCCCTTCCTTCCAAGCCAGCATCCCACTTGCCGCAGACCAGGTCAAGGAATATTCCCTTCATTGTTTTACATCATGAACTACCTACCACCTGTCTCCATAATCGAGGACAAAATGCCTGTCCTGGACCACGATCTGGATACCCATGACAGTGACAGGCTTCTCAAGGACAGCGAGAGTGTATATTCATGGACGTATTCAGACAGGGAAGATGACCGACATCGCGGATTCTGGTGGATTGTCGGCATGGTCATTGCAATCAGCGCGCTGTCCTGCTTGACTGGCTTGTTTATTGGGTATCAACACCATCACAGCGATGAGGCGTGCTCACGGCGCACTTTGCATTACTGTATGCCCCTTTCTCAGGCCTGAAGTCGAGTCTAGCATTCTTGCTTATTCCAACAGCTACCGTCATGTCCAATGTCCCAATAAGATACCACCGGCAGCGGTTCAACGGGTCCCTGCTGAAGGAGAATATCTTTCGCCAGGACGCCGGTCCGGAAGTAGACGCCGCATGGGAATCTCTCGGTGTGAATTGTGAGTTTGTGCATTATAAATATCACGAAATAGTCTAATGAGCATCCAGTCCGACCGATCAGTGTCCCCGCTGAAGACGCAGCACGGTCCGGTATCGCGCCAGACCAGGTCCAGATAAATGAAGCATATGGTGGTGGATATCCAGCGAATGTCGAAGGACTGCATCATCTACACTGCTTGGTTGGTATCCTTCCAGGTCTCCGATGCTAGATGTTTATTTTTTGACTTGCAGAATCTCCTCCGTCAATCTCTCTATTACAACCACGACTACTACCGCTCTCTAGGCACGGGTGCATTCAAAAACGAGGACTTTATCGTGCGCCACCATGTCTGTATGTACGCTGGCCAGTATCTCCAGTCTGAAGCTAGCTAACATCGTCAGCACACTGCCTAGACATCCTCCGCCAGCAGCTGATGTGCACAGTCGACGTCGGCGTCCTCGGCCAGATCTGGGTTCACCCTGATAAACCCTCACCCTTTGTGGACTTCAATACCGAACACCAGTGTCGCAATTTCGAGCAGATCAGGGATTGGGCGGAGAAGCACCAGCTTCCTGAGCGTGTACCGAAGGATTTCCTCCGGCCGCCGCGGGAGGGAGATCGGATATACGACGAGATTCCATGAGTACAAGGTAACTTATAGTTATGGAGGATGCTTTGTAATTATCCAGGTATAACTAGGTAAATCGAATTCGCTTATAATACAGTTTAGCAATTGGAATGAAACGAAAACATATCCACATCAACCCTCACCGCAAGCATCACCCCTTTACATCCCAGCCCAGCCTATTCTTCGCCAACTTCATATTCGCCCTCGACGCATCAACAATACTCCCCATCCACTGCTTGGACATTCCTTCTTTCTCATCACCCCCGGCAGACTTCACTGGGAACATCGCCGTCGCTAAAACAAACCACATTAGCAATCAACCCCAAACCCGTAACAAAACCACAATAGGTAGAATACATACCCAACCCAACCGGCTTATAATTAACATAAATACTCTCCCAAGCCCCAGCAGGCGCTTCATAGACTTCATGCATGATACTGATATGCGGATGCTCCTTGACAGTGCGATTCCACCAGTTCCAGCCGGCGCGGTGCGCAGGCGCGTGCGCGAACTTGTGCAGCCCGGCCATGCTGCGGAAGTAGTATACGGTCATTATCCCGCGGGCGGCGTTGCGTGTTTCGTCGTCGTTGGAGATGTAGGAGGAGCTTGTTAGGTCTGGTTTTGTTATTCCTGTCTTGACTTGAGTTGAAGGATGGTGGTGATTCTTACAGCCGTATTCTTCCCTGTTTGCCTCGAGATCTTTGACCATGTCGTTGAAGTAGTCGCCTACTTTTTTGAATCCGGGCGAGAGGATTCCGAGGGGGCTGTTTTTTTAGTTACTTAGTATTTGTTTCATATATTCCAGGATAAGGGAGGGGCATACTGGTTGGATTTGGCCCCCAGCAGGAGAACAACGACACTATCGCGCGACGGGCGATCGCCGAAATCGCCGTCTTCGTCTGGGATCTGGGCGGAGAATTTCTGCGCGATGACGCCGTCCATCGCTGGGTTTGATTTCAGGCCGTAGGTCATTAAGAGAACATCGACGCCGCGGTAGGCGAGGATGAGCACCGCTGGGATGAACGTGAAGGCTGTCGGGAATAGCCATGTCAGCAGACCTTGCAGGGAGGCTGCGAGGAGGAACCAGCTGGATGGTTGGAAGTTGTTGAGGAGGAGCTGAGCTGTTAGGTATGTTCCTCAACTACTTGGTTGGTTTTGATTAACGTACTGTCTGGCCGGGAATATTCTGGCCCAGGCTTGACCCTGGGGGAGTAGTGGTCGGGGGGAACAGAGGTTGAAGAAGTGCCATGTCTGTTAGTTGCGATGTAGTTTGAGTTGAGCTGTGTTGATGTGAAGTTGTGGTCGGGAATGTCCTGGAATGCAGGTGTGGCTCCTTATATACCTGATCCAGCGTGTCTGCCTACCGGATGGGGGAGTTGATTCGGCGATGTTTATCCATCCGATGAATGTCGGGACGCAGTTCAGTGGCTGAGCAGCCCAATGATGACCACTGAATTAGCGACGCCCCATAAAGCTTGAGCGGATGGGGCCAGATTCCCCCGTCCTCCGTCGACGGTTTGGGGACTGAGGCCGACCGAGTCCGTGTCCGTGTCCGTGTCCGTTCTATAAAACTGAGTGTCTCCCCAGTATCTCAACAGCTATTGTAGGCAGTCTTTGCTTCAGCAATACCCAAATATTAATTCTATTCTAGGCAGATAAACTGTGTTTAACCCCCAAAGAGTCTAGCTTCTAAGAATTGAGAACATAAACCAAATAGTCTAACAATACAGCATCTACTCAACGCATCAACAGCAGCCCTAAGCCAACCCCCAGTCCAAATCCCAGTCCAGCAACCAAACCCAATGCCGCACCAACCCCAAGTCCAACCCCAAGTCCAACACCAAGTCCCCATTTCCTCCCGCCCATCCAGCTACTACTCGTACTCGTGCTCGGCGTGTACACACCGACAAAACTCCCCCCGTCACTATGACTCCCCTCATCAGGAAGCTCGGTATACAGCGCCTCCCCACGCATCACCTGCAGCCACTCAAACTGCATCATCTGCACCTTGGAGTACCCGAATCGGCGGGTCATGTACGTCCAGTCGCCATCGCTGATGAGATCCTTCGCGTGCCGCACTTTGGCGTGCATATGGAAAGCCTCTTCCACGGTCTTGGGCTTTCCCCGTATTGTAGAGGCGCAGTTGACGAAGCCCGTGGCGCCGCTGTAGTATTTCACTTTGAACAGGATGGTGGGGATGTTGTTTAGAGAGGGGTTGTAGAGACAGCCTGCGAATGTGAGGAAGCATTTTATCGTGTCCAAGAGCGGGATGTCTAGGATTCTTGTCTGCTATCGTTAGTGGTTTCATTAAGTAGGCATCAGAGGTTCAAGGGTGCGTACTGGTTCGTTATGCTGGTGCAGACTGTCGGAATGCAACCTCTGTAGTATTGATGTGGCCTCTGCGGTCTGGAGTAGCGGCTTGGCCTCGAAGTTGACCGACTTTGTCATGTTGTTCGTCTTGGAAAGTCTAACTAATTTTGTGCAGGTGGAGTCGCAGGGATCAATGATAAGGAATAGGCTAATATAACGCGCTGGATGGAATAAATGTATGTAAATGGATTGGCAATGTATGGCGCCCCGCTCTATCGATGTGGATTATATAGCCAATTATTGCAGATGAGACGAAGGAAGAGGGTGAAAGCAGTAAGGGTCGTATTTATGTAGCTATGAACAATCTAGACCACACGCCTGCTGTATTCACTCTCTAGTGGAATGTGAATATTGATCTATTCCTAGATGCCCAGTGTATGTTCTCAGTGTACATTCCCAGCCAACCACACTGCACTTATTCTTCTACGCTTCTAGCCAGGACCCCATCACTAGTGAAGAACCACAGTGGGGATGTGTATGTGCATAGCTGGGGCCAGGCCCACAGGCTGCACTCTGAAGGAAACAGTCACACCTCTTGCGAAAGCCGCTCACCGGCTGTGCCATGACGTCGTCACAACCCGATAGCCTGTCGGTTATTGATTGCCAATAGGCTAGGGTTGTCAGGGTAACACGACGCTCAATCTCTTGGGGGATCAAAGGCCAACAGAATCGCGTATGATCAACGCATTTGTGCCTTAGCTGCAGGAGGTGCGCTGACTTGCAGGACCCCGTGAACGGATGGTGCATTTAGGGCTATGATTGGGCGCGGTGAGACGCGGCGGCAGTCGATGACGATGGCGAGCATTTGCTGGCGGTTATAAAGGTAGACTCAACTGTCTGAAATGACAGAAAGCCAGCATCAACTGAATATCTCCCAGGATGTCTACTTCGAGATCGCAGCGTCCGACATCAAGGTCGTCAAGAACGGCGACACATGGCAGGTCGAGGGGTGAGTCACTTAATCCCGCTTAATACTGCTTATATATTAATATCGTCAAGTCGTCCCCGCGAGGAGGTCACAGTCCTCAATGTCTTCCACCCTTCCAACCTCCCCGGAAAGCAGATTGTCGTGGTCAAGATCAGGCTGGGCCCTAACGCTGCCTCGCCGCCTCACACGCACAGCGGCGCCTCCATCGTTGCTGTTGTGACCGAGGGGACTCTCCTCAACCAGATGAACAACAATGACCCGCTTATCTCGTCGCCGGGGGAGATCTTCTATGAAGCACCCGGGTGCCACCACGTTCGCTGTGAGAACAACACCCAGGAGGGGGGTGCCTTTGTGGCGGTGCTGATTATCGACGATGAGGTTGTTGAGAAGGGCTACGAGAATATCTTTGTCTTGGATGCTGAGAAGGAGGGTCGTTAGCTGTAATATTTAGTATTGAATATATCGCGGGTTATCGTTCTGCATTCGAGTGCCAACCATATCGATATCATTACAATTATTCAAATAACCAACTAATGATTCAGTCCGAAATCAATGATGACCTTCCCCCTGGCATGTCCGCTTTCCACTCGCTTGAACGCCTCCTGGAAGAGCTCGAGCGGCCACACGCTGTCCATAAACCCGCGACACTTTCCCTCCTCCACCAGCTTGGTGATAGCTTCAAGATGCTTCCCAACAGGCTCCATAATAAAGAACACCTCCTTGACATCTTTCGTTTCACACTCCTGCGGCCGCACATCCCCCGGCGGCTGGAAGATACTCATCACAATGCCCCCCTCTCTAAGCGCCCACCACGCATCCGCCAACGCCTTGCGTCCAATACAGTCCACCACAACATCCACCTTCCTCCCACCATCATCAGCAGCAACCCAACTCTTCAAATCCACACTCCGATAATCAAGCACCTCATCGGCCCCCAACCCGCTCACAAACCCCAAATTATCCGGCCCGCACGTCCCCACCACGCTCGCCCCCGCCAGCTTCGCCAACTGCACCACCCAAGCCCCTACACCCCCCGACGCAGCGGTAACAAGCACCCTCTTCCCCTTCCACGCTCCACTCTCCAGACTCCCAACACCCGCCTGCTCAAAGAGCGCCTGCCACGCCGTCATACTCGATAGCGGTATCGCCGCCACACCAGCCCAGCTAAGCTCATTCCTAGGCCGATGCGCCAGCTCCTCCGTCGCGAGAAGCGTATACTCGCTGGCCCCGCCATTGCGGGCGTAGTTTGCGCGCGTGTACACCGCGTCCCCTGGGCGGAATGGCGAGTCTGGTGGGGCGCTTACCACTGTCCCTGCGACGTCGGGGCAGGGGATGAACACGCGGGGCCCGGATGAGGGGGGGAAGAGAGGGGGCCAGAGGAGTTCGCCCGCGCAGGGGGCGACGGCTTGTACGCGGATGAGGTGTTCGGAGGAGTTTGGGGATGGGGTTGGGGTGGGGAGGGTGGTGAGGATGAGGGATTGGGAGTGGGCGTTTGGTTGTTGGATTGCGCGCATGGTTTTCGGAGGCATTTTGGTGGTAGCAAGTAAGTATTCCTGGTGTTGGGTATTCACATGGAAATGGGAGAGGATGGGGGATTTATAGAGTTGTTGGATCTGGGAAGGTCTAGATGTGGCGATGTAGTTTGGTTGAGTGGATGGATGGATAGGCTATTGGCGGATAAATCTGCCACTGACTCACCACCACCTATTGCTGTCTTTGTTCGTTGATCAGATGGGCTGACTGCCGGTCGGGCAATGTCAGACTGGGTATTGAAGAGTAGGCTATTGCTGCCGCGTATAACGGAATCACATCCGACCGTTGGATCTACTACGAATGGTCAAGGAACACTCTCGCTCGAGACAGGAGACGTGGTCATTATTCATTAATCGAGTGGAGATACAGTCATCTATACCGCAGCCATAGGCACATTCATATCAAACAGCCCACAAAAGTCAAAGTTCGTATCCAGCAGCTGGATATCAGCAAACGACGGCGGATCCATAAACGCCGAGACATCCGGCATTTCCTCAGACCCAGGCTCAAATGCACGCTCTGGCTCAGGAGGAACGTACCCAGGACTCTTTACAACTGGCTTCCCCTGTGTAACCTGCTTCAACCCAAGAATCTCCCTCGCAATAATCCCCACCTCCTTATACGTCCTCTGCCCCATGGGCCAGTACTCCCCCAGCACCTTCAACGCACCCATACTCAGCCGGACCCGTTCACGCGCGAGTTTCAGCGGCTGCCCACTGTAATGGAATCGACACGCCGCGAGGTGCGCAATCACCAGGTTCGATATCATACATATGATAAACGGGGTATGCGTGCTGATGTTCGTAGGCAGCGTAAGCAGGTCATCGAACTGGTCTATGGCACGCAGCACCTTGGCCGTGTGTAACTGGCACTGGGCGGAGTTGCACCCGCGCAGGCTTTCCGGCGGTGCAGGTGGCGAACAGTGCGCTATTGCCTCGATGGGGCTGTATGCAAGGGTTGAGAGTTGGCGGTGGATGTCCACGACGTATCTGGCGGTGTCAGTAGGTAACCAACTTTACCATCGACGAAAGTGGACGTACGTCTGGATGGCCATGCTGGCTTTGAAGAGGAGCTCGTCGACGGTCCCGTCCTCTCGCACAATCTCCTTCTTCGAAGGATGCAGCAGCGATCGCCAGGCCGTCACGGCGGCATCGGCATTGGCGCATATCGTCGGGCAATTGGTGATAGTCATGCCCTTGCGCGCTGCAAAGGCAAGATCAAGACCGCGCGTGAGCCCGACCAGTTCAGCGTACGAGGAGAACATGCGCTCGTCGTCGTCGAGGAACTCTCGCATATCGTAGTCTTGCAGCGTCCGCGGCGTAGGTATTTTCTATCTCGTCAATACACCACACATTTGACCAGGGAAAGAGTCATACACCACTCTCATACGCATCCTCATCACAAGGTAAATCAACGCTCATCTCCATCCCACTCGTCCGAAAGGGATAAGAGCTCGTACTCCCCGCAATATGCGCATCCGTCATATAGATCTGCCACCAGGTGCGCCGCCAGCACTCCTCCAGCAGCGGGTCATTCTCGCCATTGGTATGCGCATACTCCCTCGACTGCATCCCCAGCTGCAGAGCCATCGCAACCGCTCGATCAAGCAAACCCATCGACTTCTCCGGCTCATTGGCCCAGTGGATTGCGATCGAGAAGAGTAACACCGCCTGGACATCGAATCCGGTAAACGTCCCATTCCCATTCAATGCAGAAACTGCCTGCTCTGCCTCGGCCTTTAGCGATGTAGATAAGACCGACTTTGCGTACACCGAGCCGATGTACTGTAAGACCGCGACAAGGGTCTGCAGCGGTCGCCCGTCGCTTGCAAGACGGCGTTTCAGAGCCCACTGCGGGAGAACACATGGATGCGCGAAATGGAAGAAGGAATAGTATCGCGCGATGAATTGCTCTGCGAGCGATGAGTCACTGAGGTCGCTATTGCTGTTGCTATTCCGCGATATGCTGGTTGATGAAGTGCTACGGTCGTCGTCTGTTGAGCTGGGCGGACAGGGCGCAATAGCCGGGACTGAAATATTTGAAATTGGTCGCTGGGCTGAGAATGAGTTCTGCAAAAGCTGAGTTGAGCTATCCGGTTGAGTCGGATTTCGGGTCCGCCGGCCGCCGCGACGAGATTTGGCGTAGATGCATTGGAGGCCTTCGGTGCGGCAGCGGGCGCAGACGGGGGTCGTTGCGTCGCAGCGTAAGTGCTTGGAGCGGCAGGGAACGTAGGCGAGCGAGACCCGGCGGGTTGTCGGAGTGGCCTTTTGGCTCATGAAGATGGAACCTTGAAGATATTTGGTGAGATCGAGATGGCTGTGGAGGAGACGATCGCACGAGGCGGAGGGGCAGAGATGCGCTGGCTCGTGACTGCATCCGGCTTATCCTGCATGTGGCTGTCGGATTCTCGCTTTCCGGACCTCTTGATTCTGCCAGACTCTGCTAATGATTCTGCCAATGACTCTGAAGTCGATCGATCTCAGTCAAACTCTGCTTAAAGCTGGTTCGGTCAATCATGTTGCTTGTTGGGGTTTTAGGGCTGTGGGGTTTGCAATGGCGCAACCCCAACATTGCCAGTATGTAGATAAATTCATTACCAGATAATAGTTCAAATTCACCAGTCATTCTTATTCTGTTAACGGTATAAGGAACAATGATCACGGTACTACCACGGCACAAGAGCCATCCCAGCCAGCAGAGAAAGCGTCAGAATCCCAGCCATCGCCATCCTGGACGCCCCATTATCCTGGTCAGAACCAGAATCGCCAGAGTCATTGTCCGAGTTTGACGAATCACTGTCATTGTTATTTTCATTACCATTCCCATTGCCATTGCCATCTCCATTGCCGTCCCCATCCCTAGGCCGGTGCACAAGATAAATCGGCCCCGCCAAAGTCGCAGCAACCAGCTCCTCAGTCTCGCGAGCATCCAGAGTCCGAGTCGTCGTGCGAGTCGGTGTCCTTGGAACCGTCACTGTAGGCACAAGGATATTACCAGTATGGGTGACGCCGAAGAGAACGAACGTCGTGCTGACACGCTCCAGATCCGGGTCCCGTGCGCCAAAGTCAGCGAAGCAGGCTGTCGACATGCTGTGCGATGGGAGCGTGGAGTAGCAAACCCCGTTTCTGCCGACTGACATTGAACTATGACTGTTAGCTTGTTACGAAGTACAGCCGTATATCTGTTTCTCCTACCTTGGGCAGCAAGCGATGGCTGTTTCGCTGGGATCGAGGAGTGCGCCGAGGGCGCCTTGAACACCCAGTGCAATATCGCCACTGTCATCGTCGCTCCAAGTACCTGTTGGTAGGGCGTCTACCGTAAAAATGCCAGTCGTGCTGACTTGTCCATCGCTTGGGCGCGAGGCAGCCCCGACAGATGTCCACCCCGAGGGGCATCGGACTCCCGGGGACCAGTAGGGGATATTGCGCTGATCGCTCAGAAAGTCGTCAACCAGGTCTGAGTTAGTGGGCCGCGGTCCGCAATCGTCTAGGGTCGTGGCAGGGCACGACTCAAACATGGCGGGGATAGAGGGGATGTCGTTGTCTGCGTAGTAGATCTGGCTGGGCTGGCTGCATGACGAGCTTGTCCAGGTGGCTGGCGCTGAGCCCCAGTTGGCCAGGGTCCATCCAAGAGTTGTGCTTGCAGTCGGCATGATATAAAGGCAATTAATTGCTTGTAGATACTGTGTTGGCTTCGACTCTATCTGCGGATATGCTTGGTATACTTATAGTATCAGTCGGCGCAACAATTGGGCTCTCACTACCAAGCCCATTGCAAACAAGACCATCCTGCTCTTAGGCAGCAAGAATACTCGACACAAAAGACACTGGTTTATTGGCGCGAGGGCAAACTTGAACAAAACCGCAGTCCTGGCTTACTGCGCCTCAGGAAGATGCAGTGATACCTTCGGCGGGCATTCTAGTGGTTGCCAAAGCCCAGCCAAGAGATTTTTTTTTTTTTTTGGCAAGGTCCAGGTCCAATTTAGAGTCCGTCAGGATGCCCACGTCAATTGAGTGACCGTGTGATGGGAGACCTGCAGATACTCAGCCCGATATGCATTCTTGATTGGAGACATCTGCACGGAGGTCTGATCCAGCAAGGATAGTCTCAGGCTCCAGTGTAGCTTTAAGCGATTGCAACTGTCGAATCATCACATCGCTCATGCACATCGACATGGAACCGCTGAAATAAAGGCGGAGGACGCTTTCATCTTGGCGTACTTGGTGAGCTCTGGATTGTACTCCGAAACAGAAATATCGGCAATTATCTGATCTATTTGCGTTATGTATCTGGTAAATCTTGACCTGCCATTTCTTTTAATAATCAACCAGTCACATTCAAGACATCTTAGATGCGAAAGCCCAAGGGAATCTCCATCCCTATAACGGGCACTTACTACCTAGCTATCCTTTTGTCTCCATATGTGTGGAAGACTTTCTCAGAGTTGCCCTGTTAAAGTCCAAAACTAGGGTCAGTGACGTGCTCGTTGTGCGTTAATAGATGAATTTGCTCATAGCAAAGCAAGCCTGATCATCATGACCACCCCATACAGAGAATATAATGGTACAGATGATGATCCAGTGAATGGCGCCTCAGGCTACAGCCCGTTTGGATGTTCTGGCAAACGGAGGGTGAATGTGTTACTGCCCCTCAACAAACAGACTGTCCTTGTCACTTACTCTACCAGGCCTCTCTCAGTATTCTCCCTATACCCCTTCTGTTACTTTACCTTCTACAATATCTAGTCCTACATGACACGCGCCCAGATGCCGAAGCCAAGCAGGACGAAGAAGAGAAAGCACTCGCAGTCCGACACCGGCTGCAGAAAGAACCGTCCTGAGAGCCGTCCTGACACCCAAGCGAAACCAGAATGGACGCCTACTCATCATCATCGAGAAGACCAGAAGCTCGCCAGTATCCACCTCCCCAGTTCCGCCGTCAATATCGCCTTGAGTCCGGACGATAAGTTCGCTGCGGTGATCATCGGTGAAAGGCAAAACGCACAAGCAAAGCTCCAGATCTACTGTGTGGAAAGCTTCCTACTTGTCGAAACAGTTCAGGTCGGGTCGGGCCATTTCTTTGGACTTTCCTTTGCGCCCAGCTCGCCACACCAGAACGGATACATGGTTGCTGTGTCAAAGACATGCGGGGGTGCTATGCTCTGGTACTTTGACGACTGTGGGAGACTGCGAGATCCAGCAGATGTCAGCCAAGATGTTGATAGGACTGGGTTATACGAACGACTGGGTCAGGATATCATCTCAGTTCTGATAGATTATTACAATAAGGAGGCGAACGAAACGCGGGGGCCCCTAGAGGGAATCACAAACACGCTGCGTGAAGCCTTCGAGCTGGGTCAGAGGGAACACAAGATACCGTATCGACTAGGCGGCGACAAGGTGATATTCAGTCCCGACGGCACCTTCTTGATCACAGCTATAATGTACGACCCTGTCTCGACTTCGAACGGCGCGCCTCTAGTGCTATGGGACCTTCGGACACGGGTGATTCGACACATTATCCCCTGCGTTTCGAGCAAGATCTGGTGGGTTTCCATAAGCCCCGATTCACGGCTGATAGCGTTTGGGGAAAGCGACACTTCCGTTCAGATCTGGGATTCGCAAACAGGTAGCTTCATTCCTCCACTGAAAGTACGCGGAGCGTTCATCAGGCACGGAGTGTTCTCGCCTGATTCGGCGCATATTGCGCTGCTCAACCGCCCCGGCGATTCCGACGCATCGGTCTTTGTCCACGGCCTTGCGGGTGGAAAACGCGACGCTTCACTGCAGCAGGTCGCAAATTGCTCCGAGCCTATTTCTTGGAATCACGACGGTACTTTGCTGGCGGTGCTCCGTGCAGAGAATGAGATATCGCTGTGGGATCCCTTCACAAGCCAGCGGCCAACGAGGATGGAGTGGTCTCTGCCTTCTTATACCCACGCATATCCCAATTCCATTCAGTTCACCGACCAGGGGAGGAAGTTGATGTTGGTCTCAGCTTCCGGGGCGACTGATGTTTATGACATGTTGTCTCTTACGCTGCACCGATTCCCTGGTGAGACGGGCACCGTTCGCAATGCGCTTTGCGCCAGGGATGGTTCTTTTTTGGCTGTGAGGGAAGGGAAGGTATTGACGTTTGGGGGCTCCAAGTGAAATCTGCTGTAACCAGGAAGCTTTCTTTAATTTGAGTCAAGATAAGTGTCAAGTAAATGATCAAGATTCTGTTGCCTTTGTGCTTTCCTTAGCTATACATCAAATGCAGCACTCATTTTGACTCAGTCAGCCTTCGGCGGCCGATTGGCATTAATCGCAGCGAGAATTGAGCCCGCTCCCTGTTTCACAAGTCGCGAAGCCAATTCTTCGCCGAGCGCAGTTGCTTCCTCCTCAGTCCGTATCGTTGCGTCAATGACATCCTGAACGCTTTCCGTACCATCAAGACTAACAACAATCGCTGAAATCTTCAACCGGCCCAGAGCGTCATCAACCCACTCCGTCTCAACACCGATGGGGACAGTGCAACCACCCTCCAAAGTGCGTAGGAGAGCCCGCTCCGCAAGACAGGCGAGGGTAGACTTCCGATCACCTAACTGATTCAGGAGTTCCAGAGTTTTAATGTCTCCCTTGCGAATCTCCAGCCCCAACGCACCCTGACCAACTGCGTGTAGAATCCCGCCATCCTTCGAGCCCATGTACTGCGTAATCCGATGCTTCAATCCAATTCGTTCAAGGCCAGCGGCCGACATAACCATGCAGGTGTACTCGCTCTCGGGGTTATCAACTTTCGCCAGACGAGTTTCGACGTTGCCGCGGAGGTTGGCAAAGCGGAGGTGCGGGTAGAGACGGCGAAGCTGTGCAGAGCGTCGGACGGAGGATGTACCAACGACGGCGCCTTCGGGTAGTGTCTGCAAGCTTGTATATAAAAGGCCGGATTTGACTATCAGCGCATCGCGGGGGTCATCGCGGAGGGGGATGGCGGCCAGATCGCAGGAGTCGGGGAGCCTAGTGGGCATATCTAGTCAACGGTTTAAGGTCGTTCGGAAAGTGTAGGACGAGGTAATTGGACAGGATATACCTTTCAGGCAATGCACAACAACATCGATATCACCGGAGTTCAGCTTGTCCTCCAGTTCAGACGTCCATAGATTCTTTGCTCCGAAGTTGTACAGCTCGGTCGACTTGTCTTTGTCGCCTAGTGTGTGGAGAGTTTCGATCTCGTAGGTCCGATCGGGGGCGATCCGGCGTAGGCTCTCGCGGATGCCTTCGGCCTGGACGATGGCCAGGTTCGATCGACGAGTGCCGATTCGCAGCGGAGTGGTCTCAACCATGATGGGCTCTGAAGTCGGTGTTGACGTTGCAGATCGTTGCGGGGCGTGGATTTAATTTCAGGCACTCGGGCTCGGAAAATCAATCCCCCATAAAATGTATCCCCACGCACTGGATCCTATATCCACGTAGTTTCTCACTTCCAGTTCTGAGAACAAATATGAGATTATATATAAAATTGGGCTAAACTAGTCTATTTTAAAGTCAAGAAACAGGATTTAGCTTTCGGCAACATTTCTAGATTCCTGCCTGACTTGTGAAAACACAATCATCAAGCTGTCCCAGACAATATACATATCTATATATATATAGTTGCAATGTAGTTTAATCCTGGAATTCTTTCCACTTAACCATCCTGTCTTGTAAATCCAGCACTTCCCCGTCTACAGAGAACGTCCCATCTCCGCGATGATGAAACATTCTTCCAGTTTCCCTAAATCCAGGGCTCACCCAGGCCTTGACAACTTTAAGAACCCACATCCTATACTTCTTGACTATACTCCTATCCACAACAACACACTCAACATTCGCAATAATCCCATCATCACCAGCACTGACGAGTGGCGCTTTCACCGAAGCCGCAGGAAGCGCACCCATCCCAAAGGCCTCCCACTTATCCACCTCATCGCCATCACAATTGCCGATGTCCACGACTTTCTGCGCGATGCGCGCATCTGGAATAGCGAGGACGCATTCCCCGCTTTCCTTGAGAGCCTCGAAGCTTGTATTCCATGGCCCAATGCAGGCGCTGATTAGGGGCGGGGAGTCATGCTGCAGCATCATGTGGAAGCCGATTGTCATGAGGTTGTAGGTTGATTCGGCGAGAGAGCCTGTCGAGACAAGGAGGACAGGTCCTGGTTCTATGAGGCGATAAACCTTGGATGGAGGGTATGGTTCGAAGAGATATTTGGTGTTGTTGTTGTCCTGTTCGGACTTCTTTGATGATGATGGGCTCTCGGTTATGGGCGATGCTTTGCGCTTGCGTGGCATGGTTTAGGTTCGATATCAGTGTCTTTGAGTGATGAAAATGTTTATGCTCTTGAATCGATCGTATCACGACTGGTGATGGCTTCGAAGGTGGACTTTTTTTCTTGTAGACGACAGCAAGACATCATAGATCGATGAAGTATTGCCCCACGTTCCCCACCCCGACGCTCTTCGGATGATACGACTGCAAACATAGATAGTTTACAATTCTCGTATCCTGCCGATGACTGAGTATTCTGCGTCTCTGGGATATCAGCTGGGTGCTGAGCTGGTGGCGCCGGGAATTTTGATATCCGATGAAAGGAGATTCATGGCGTGGACGGCTTGATGTAAGAAAAGGGATGTTCGTTCACAAAATGGGTATATTCGATAGAGAAATATATACAATATATCAATAAACAGATGCCAATTTCAATGTACGCCGGATTAGAAGTTTCAGCAAAATCATAGATCACCCAATCTTGGTCCCATTGCCTTCCAGTTCCTGCAGCCTATGGCTATCGCTCATCTCGACCATCCCCGCATCACCCGGAAGTTCAGAGATAAATCGAGCAGGTGGATAATGGGTCGTATTTGACGTCCCAAGGGGCGAATATGAGTGCTTGGCAATTTCATCGTGGTGGGCCCCGCCAACTGACTGATATACCGGCGCCGAGTCGAGTTCTAGTTTTCTTTCGTACGAGGATGCATCGTAATGCGGGTGCCCTGCCACAGCAGGTGGAGGCACCGATGGTGCGGATGGCGGCGCGGATGGTGATGGAGTAGGTCTAGATGTAGAGTTCGCGTTGTCTGGACCGGATTCTCGAGGCTCAGGATCGGCTTTGGGCGAGCGTTTGCGACGGCCTAGGTAAAAGAAGAGGCCGCCAATTGCGGCAGCTCCGGCAACACCACCGACGACACCACCTGCAACTGCACCAGAATTGACCGATGAGCCGCCTGGGGGTTCGCCTGTAGGGGTTGCGGATGGCGTCGCTGTAGTAGATTCGGACTGGGTAGAGGTTGATGTGGGCGTCGGCGTAGGTGTGGAGGTACTGGTAGGGTTCTCGTTTTGGTCCGCCAAGGCAACGCGAAATGAGAGTAGATCTCTAGTTGAGATGTGCTGCCATACTGAAGGTGGTGAGTATCCTGCTCGGGAGCCTTCGCATTTGTCGTTCTCGAACAGCCAGATAGAGAGCCCGTCTTCGTCTGGGGTCCACCGGTACTCCTCGCTCTCCGCCTGCTCAATCTTTCTACAATCGACGGAGCTGTGACCTTGCTCGACCCACGATTTGCCTTTCGAGTCGGTCCACGTTAGGGTCCAACTAGAGACTGAGGTGGTGGCGCTGAGCAGCAAAAATATCAGCGAGAGAAGGCCCTTCATCATGGCGGAAGGGACGCGTAAGGGAGAAACTGGAGATCTTCGAACAGGCACTGGGCGTCGACATGCTCAGCTCGTCTTTAAGTCGCAGCGAGACAGTCGCATTTCCCAGGTGGACTGGTCATCCATAAGCAAGGACGACGATCGCCCCGTGCGAGATCTGTGACTGGACGCGTGCCATTCGTGTCCCACAGGGCAAATGGACAGACCCTGAACTCTCAAGGACTGGCCCGTCTCCAGACTGGGTCTCGCAGCTCTGACCCTACGGAAGTTTCCGTGAGGAACAGACTGTCCCTATCCTCATGGTGACGGCCGAGACATCGCATTGTTTGCCCTTTTTCTTGAAAACATCGTTACAACTCGCCACTCTCGAGCTGTGCTCTTTTCATAGAACTGGAAATGAAGGAGAGAAGGGATCTCCGAGCGACATGCTACAGACGAATTTGATTGGCTGCTTTTTCTGGAATACGAGGGCTGGTGGAGTTAGTGTAAGGCAGATCCTCGCGGAATGCACATCATCTGGGTAGTGATCGGACTCTTTCCATGATTGAATCACTTTCAAAATCTTGGCAGAAATGCCAATAATTCTTGTCAAAGCCAAGGACCCGCTCGCGATAAACGGCAACGTGGAGTTGATATCTGTTTCAAAAACGCATTTGTCGAGGTGGGCGCCGGTGGCTATTGAGATCAGGCGTTGAGATTTGTTGCCCGATTTCGATAATAACTGGAGGTGGAGAGAAGCATCATCGCAGCGAATAATTAGAGTTTGTCAATGGAACAGGCCCTTTGTTTCGGAATCCGACCATTGAGCAGCTGGTGTTAAAGCGAGGAGGATTTCCACTGCACCTGCAACGAGCCAACGACCCAAACCAAGACCCAGTCTCAATTGCAAGGCTGAATGACGATGGCACTTGAATGTGCTCTTTCTGAAACGAGATGGACAAGGCTCCGGAAGCTAGCACGTGGTGATTCTGCACGTTCTCTTTCGACATTCTTCAGACTCCCACTGACGGCGATCTCCGCCACTGCAAGATCGGACAGCTCTTTGCTTTTTCTTTCCCTCGGCAGCGTTACTGGCTGATTAGAACAAGGCACCAATGTCTATGTGAGAAAAGTGAGAGCTTCCTCACTGCAAGGGGTGAATCCCGATTTTCGGCTGTTTGAGCCGACGCGCTGCTCGAGTCGCTAGCATGTTTGGAGACATCTTACACTGCAGGAAAAAAGTTCTGACCTGAGCTGCTCGCCGTGTTGTAAGCGCCAGTTGGATTTCGTATCAATATCAATTTCGACCGGCTACCCATCGAGCATTGGCCGGGCTTCTGGAGCAGAGGTGACTCGACAAGTTTGTGAAAGGTTCCACAGAAGGCGTCGAGATAGCGTCGCTTGACTTTATCTTTCACTATCCATGGAAAGCTAATGGATGCACCTTCGAGTCACCGATATCAGTCGCAGACCCATGGAATAGGTGTTGATTGGAAATTGTTCGTGCATCGAGACCCAACATGAATTCAGCAACGGACTTGGGGAATCTAGTTTTCGAGCGACTTATTCGAGCCTCTCTGCAACAGCACGACCCAATAGTGGCGGCCACGAGAAGCTCTCAGCGCTTGAACGATACGATAAAACATGCCACCCTGTCCCTCTTGAAATAGGGGGTGTTTTAGTCCGATGACTCAATCCAGCCGAGGCAACCAAATTGCGAGAGCGTCAAGGAAAGAAGTCAATAGTACAGCATGATCTGGTGGTCCTAGTACGAAAGTTGTCATATATAGCATCATCTAAGGTTGGTGGGACACGCATGAAAACTGTATTATGGTGGGATACAGCTTATCTGGGTGCTCCGTAAGCGGCGAAGAGGCTCGATGTCATCCCACCCGTATCGAGGTATCACCATAAGGTCGCACAGCGCACCGGGGAGTCCATACTTTATGGAGCTTGGGCAAAGCCGATGACTCCATGTCCCAATTTCAGGGTCGTGGGTTTCAATCCTCTCGATCGTGCCTAGTAACTGGTGGATCGGGGACTAACACAGATGCCTTGCTCTTTTGTTTCAGGCATCGGCGCATTTCTGCGGTGGAAATAGGTGGACATAGTTGGAATTGAAAGGGTGCGCAACGAGATGTCAGTTGAAGCCCGGTATCCCAAATATACCCTATGTGGCGAGAGTCTCCTAATACCCATGTAAGGCTTCCAAATTGAGAAATTGCACACTGTCAGCCAGCATCTTCTTTGAGTCGTTAGATGTCAGCACCGGAAGCGGTTGACACGCATCCCCTTGTTCCTTCAAGCATTGACCTGCTGTATTCGAACGACTGACCATTTGCCCCTTGGTTCCTTGTTCTGCCAAGAGCATACCTACGTGTGGCTTCCACTCTGTGCAACGAGATGGCCAGAAAGGAAGCAAGATGCGCGGAAACAATCAAATTATCGCCGCAAAGGACCAATTATTACCTGGAATCCTACACTATGCACTTTTCACATTTCGGTTTATTGTTTATGATCATCGTCCTTTCTCGCATGTGAGTATTTTGGTATGTCAGGTGCGCCGCTGCTGTCGTATGTAAACAAACACTACAAGAGCTGCGCCAAGCCTTTTCCAGCCAAAGAACCCGGATACTTGGTATGGTGTCCCGCGGATGCCTGATGTGTGTTTTTGCTTTTATTCTTGCTTCTTCCCTCGGGCTGGCTCGGGGTTTCGGACAGCGGGCCGAAATCCTTTTGACTGCTGGATCTGAAGGACCATGGCAAATCTCACGGCGGATTTTCATGGCTCAACAAGCTTTCGAAATGGAAGACACAGTCCATCTATGTATGGTGCTCACATTTCATCAGCACGCTCGCCAACAGTCGTATCGCCCATTATCCGCAAAAGGGCGGGGCGTGTGTGCAACGTCATCTGGCAATTTTTAAATATTCCCGTTAAACCTACGATGTTGATAGTAGCGAAGGCCTGGGTGATGAATCACATCGAATCATGGAATGCGAGAATTTTATTCGATGCTTCTCAGGGGGAGCAGAGCGGCGATTCTACCGCAGCAAACAATAAGCACCGGAGGATCTCCTCCCCGGCGGCACACTTCAATACGTGGTCACTCACAAGCATTCCATTAGGGTCTTCATATCGGCATTATGCCTGATTTGTATCTTACTGCGAATTGTACCGCTCGTTGTCACGAACCCCGCAGGTGAAAGCCTTGAGGCCAAATCTTGTGCGGTTGCCTCACCAGGAATATATTTTCTTTTCTCTCCACAGTCTCGCTCCCAAAGCACATCTAGCCACAGGGCAAGATCAGCATCCCACGTTAGCGACGGAGAGCCATTGTAGTGGACATACTCGTTCGGCAAGATTGCCGTAAGAGCCCTCCCCCCCAGCCAAACGGTTGGACGAATGGTTTGCCGATCGAAGGCTGGCTCATGGGTATTTGTCAACTACCTACGCACACAAGGTACAAGAGAACAGTAGATGGAGTAGGCGGCGTGGGGGCTATTGTCGCGCACCTGACCCGTACTCGAGAACATCGGGGGTCTTCTTGGTAGCTTGATCATCGGCAAATGGTGTTTTGCAAGATGGTATCGAGTATTATGGTGGGATGGTAGATCCGTGTCGACATGACCCAATGACCTGTCTGCCGGCTTGGTCATCGAAAATGCGATGGATGTTTGAAGTTTATGCACGCAGCTGATCCCCGAGAGTCGTCGCAACGCCACCAACACAGAACTTACTTCACGAACATAGCCGCCCTCTTCTGGTTTCGGAAAGCTCAAGGTTGGCAAGACCTGGAGTCAAATGGGAGAGTTTCGCATGCATACACCATATATCGATCTGTTCTGATGTCAAGAGAACAGCGATATGGGACAGTTCCCGCCAGGATCGCCCGATGGGCCAAGCAAGCTTATAACGATTGCAGTTCGTCTTGTTTATGACGGCCGCCTTGGCCACAGCGACCCACGGGATGGGTTGTTTCCAGGAGCTTGGTAGTGTAAACTGACCAATAGTAAGGCCCCAACCGGGGCTGACTTGTATCTCCCGACGCATCGCATGGGGAAACGGTAGGCTCAATATCCTGGTGTAGATGGGCTGGAGATGTCGAAATGTCGATCTTGCCAACACGCTTGTTCAGCCAGTAATGCGCCCTGGGCTGCCAATGGCCCCTTGGAGGGTGACTTGGCCAAGAGGCGTCCGAAGAACTGGGAAGAGGGTATCGGTTGACAGATAGCTGCTGGCGCAAGTCTCAAAAATAGACCTAAGCCATATTAAGGCAATGTTCATGGAAGCTAGTCCTGATCGAAAGGTGGCCAGGGTCGGCAGCTGGTAGGGCGAACAACAGCTCAAACCAACATATCCAAGTCAATCCCCTGTTCGTGGCAGTGTACTTGGATCTAATGGAGAGGGCAAACCAACAGCATGTCGGCGAGAAACAAATGATATTCTGGCGGAATCCATTCGCCAGTCACTGGTGCATGATAATCCTGGCCGCCACAGAGGGTTGGAGGTCTTTGCATTGATCCTGCACCCGAATCACTAGTTCTGCTATGCGTTAGCCACTGCAAGCTCGCCAGCTCCAGGCTGATCGACGTACCACAAATTGAATGCCATCGTGCCCTTGCCCATTTGGGTTACTCATAGCTAAATCAGTGCTCCCCTCTGGTCAGAAAAAGCAAAAACCTAGCACGTTAGGGAAGGAGGAGATAAGTACACACAACAGGGCCCCGGATCGGAGGTTGGCCTGGCCACTCTAATGTTGGACAGAAAAATAACAAAACCGGCGGATAAGGCATGATGTGCCTATTCCCACACATTCGGACTTCTCCAGCGTAAGCGCCCTCTATACCTTTCCATCTGAATACAACGCCCCCCGTCACCTCGATCAGCTCGACTCTACTCAAATCCATCAGTTAATCATGACGGACTCCGTCGCATCAGAGTCTACTTCCTCGCAACCTAGTCCCCATCGGGTACCCAACGGACAGCAACCCCGGAAGCTCCGTGACAGCTGTATTCACTGCGCTAATTCAAAGGTCAAATGCAATAAGGAGAAACCGGTATGTAGTCGCTGTGCTCGACGTCGTCTGGATTGTGAATATAAGGTATCCCGCCGCACTGGTCGAACCTCGCGGGCTGTAAACCAGTTGCCGGGAATAGGCGCTGCGACAAGGACAACAGGAACATCAACATCGCCAGCACTTCAGCCGGCAAGCATCGGTATAAGTGCAGTGGCAAGTGTACTTTCATCCAGCGTTGCCACCAGCGGACAGTCGCAAAGCTCATTGTTGACGCCGATTTCGACGATTCCGGTCATTCATCCTTCGCCAGAACACTGTATAGCACAAACTCCAGATCTTTGGCGGTCTCTTCTGTCTCCCAGTGTATTCAACACAGATGTTGGAGACTTCTCCTCTCTCATACCCATGGCGGATGATGTCGGGGATATATTTGCATCAGTCATGCCACCGCCTCAGTTCGACAACTGCGCCATTGATTCAACCCCCGGGATTGCTAGTTCTGTTTCGGTCACCGAGCACCGATTATTTCCTACACCAGAGCTTTCAGACACAAGACCAACGGAGCCATGTGAGGCAACAACCAACCATTTAGCGTGCTGTTTGAGCATAGTGTTGGATATTTTCAAGGATTTGTTTCCGAATGCCCCAACGGCGTGCAAACGCCCAGGTGGCCACCAGGGGTCTGGTCCGGCCCGGACAATAGAGTCCGTTATTTCACAAAATAAACAAATCATCGAGACTATCAATGCGGTGCTAGATTGCCCTTGTTCTCATGATGGATACGTCATATCAATGGTCTCGCTCGCCGTTTTTAAGGTCATGGGCTGGTATATCGCTGCCGCGCGAGACAAGAGAGTAACCCCGGATGATGTCATGGAATGGGGACATGACACTGTCATTTATCCAGGAGTATCTGACCTTTCAGCTTCCAATAAACGAGTGCTGTGCTCCCCCATGATTATAGGGAGCCACTGCATAGATTCTAAGAGCCAGAATCGCATGGCAGCGCAGCTAGTCCTTAGCGAGCTTCACCGCGTACAACAACTGGTTAACGTGCTTTCATCGCGGTTGGAAAGTATTCGACTAAGTACTTGTCTGGCCTCGGATTCTACCTTTGGTTCAGCAACTTCTGAAGCTCTTGAGAATTCATTGTTCACAGCGATGCAGACATCGCCCTTATCAGGGTCCACGTTCTCTCAACTAGAGGAAGACCTTCGGAAACGCCTTCGTGCCATATCTTCTGAAACAATCGAGATACTGCGCCGAGCATGATGGTGTATGTATTTCGAGAGGGGGTTGATGCTGTTGGCCGTAGTCTACTGGATCCCAATCCTCATGAGTATAGGGCTTTCTCAGGTCGAATAATAAAATGTATCCCCAGGTGGGAGCGGGCAGCATTTATTAAGGGTCTGGGGGATATGGAGAGAATTTGGTGGGTTAATGTTGGTTCATTGTATTTAGGAGTAATGAAATCCTCAGGCCGGTTGTTCCGCGGGGATTGTAGAACATCAGTGCAAAGTACAACCGGGGTTGACAACCGTCCCTTGCAGCTCGTGCTGGATATTCCATGGGGTGTCCCAATCACAGACTGTTGTAGAAATTGATCACCGATCGCTCGCCTTAGCGCAAGGTAATAGCCCGATTGGCTTTCTTCACTCAATTGCTCACTTGTCAGACGAGAGAGTACTTCAGTGGCTAGATCAGCGGATAGGCACTCGCTCACGACCCCATTTTGTTCCGGAATAGATAATTTCTGGGCAGAATGGACATTGTGTCCATGCAGCTGATATGCTCAACTGCCGTCCAGGATCATGCCGTTGTCATTTCTGATCCTAGAACGCCAAACGGACTTTCCATCTGGGCGGCGGCTTCTGAGTATTTCTACAGCCTGATCTCCGACGTTGCCGGTTGTGATGCGTGTCGGATATTTTCGCCAAGGTGGCGAAAATACCGTATCCTTGGATGTGTTCAAGGCAATCAACTGCATGGTAGATAAAGCCAAGTCCGAAATTCACGGTTATACAGGTGATTAGAAATCGTTAACGTTCGGGAAAAAGCCATCTCAGGCAGTCGAGGCTTCGGATACCGGCGCTCCATCCGAAATCCGTAGACCATCCCATATTCCTTCCGGGGATTTTTCTCAGGCCGTTATTTGTACAAACGTCAGCAACGGGGCGGAGCGGCGTTCAGCTGGGTAAGGGACCAAGCTTAATCGACCTTGGCTACCCTTCTGTTTCACGCCACTACTGGGTATCGGCTTTATCTCAGCGACCCGGTACATGGTTCGGAATGTCAACATAGTTACCTCGCTTCAAAAAAGACCGTCCTCGTTGCGAATTGTGTAAAAGATCAGTCGGGAATGAGATCTACACCACGAAGCCAGTCAGTATGGCAGGATCATCGACCGTTCTGCAGGCTAAGGACTCGTCACTCAACGAGGCCTTCCAAAGAGAACTGTAAAGTCGGACATCGCGAGCCTGTTTGTTTTGGTGGAAAACAATATCATCGTGCACTGGATGAGGATGAAGATGATAGAAATCGTTATTGTTATAGAACATGGAAGGATGGTGCGGTGGCCTTACGCCATGAGATGATTGAGACTACTCGACTGTGGAATAAGCTAGGATTTGAAGGTCAATGTCCTTATCCGTTACCCACGTAAGAAGAACTTGAGAAACATAAGAAGGAGTACAGACTTTTTGAGGCGGCAAAGAATCTGCGGACTGATTTGTCTAGCTTGCTAAATACAGCGTCTGATGGATGGGTACCCCCGGACGGCTGGAAAGCGGCACAATCAGGCCAGAAGGAACTCTTTAATGGGATGCTGCAAGCTGTTTTGACGAACGCAGGTTTGGATAGTGATGATGAGCCGGTAAGAGATGAGATGACCCTGAGGTCAATCTGGCCGTTTGACATCGATCAACGAGGAGATCAGAAGGATTATTAACGGGATCACAGCATCCTGGAAGCCTTTGGTACATTTTCAATACATCCTACAATCAAATACCTGCACGGCTGCGACAACAGCTTGTGGCATTGCGCTTGGGACTTTTATAGAATAATATACTTCAATTGCTCCTGCACTCCTATTCTAGAAGTGCTGCTCACATCCCCTCATCCACACCCCTATCTGGAGCCCCCAGAGGCTCTGATAGCTGGGGCAGTACATCAGTTTTGAGAGAATCAGAATATCCTGTGCAGATTTCACAGACTAGAGCACTTATAAGTGATATCGGGACTTGCTCTGAGAGGGTGCCATTGCACCCAGATGCATACATCACTGCGACATCCGAGTACCGGAGACCGTAATGAAGTCCCACGTCTCCAGATACGCGTCTTCGTTACACAGTGATGGATGCAAAAGCCTGACTTTCCATTCCCTGTTCTTTGGACAACACCCCGGCCCTTGTTCTCTCTAAAATGCGAACCGTGAGGGGGGATTGGGACTGTGGTGCCTTGCACGCCTAGCTTCTACCGCAGGGCCTAGTGGCAGTGCACTATCTTGCCCTCATGTGGCATCCTTTGTCTTCGTCCGAGGCGACTATGTATACGTGATCTCCAGATTAGAGGTCAAGATATAGGTTGGATGAACCCTCCAGATGCATTTCAGATGACATCCGCTTGGGAGTGCTTCTCGACTAGGTAAATTAGGGACGGGTGAATAGTTGATTCGTAGTCTTTAGTCGCATGAAAATTAGATTTATAGCTGGCCGCAGAACCCATGTGGTATTCATTTATTGTATCATCGATTCCTTTTCCAGGTGGGACGTGGATAACGACGATACGGCAAGAAATGACTTTATTTTGTTGAGCACAGCGGCGATATGCGAAGCCATAAGCTCATATATAAGAAGGTAAATGCAAAAGGTCGCTAAATGGCTAAACAAAAAACAGATGCTGGTAAGTTGGTGGTAGCGTTGGACAAGCGATGGTCCTCCCAAATTCAGGCAGCCGCGCCAACATTGACATATTTCTTCAGCTTCGGGAACGTCGCAGCCCACTCGGGTGACACTTGCCAATTCTCATATTCGTACAGGCCCGTTTCGAAACCCTGCGTTGGCATCAACTCTCCGTTCTCGCTGGTATAGATAAACTCCTGGTCCTCCGGCCACCGGAAATGAATGGAACGCATATACATCATGACAGAGTGCCGCGAGTCCTGGATTTGTTGTACATTGTGAATCAACCGGTCGCGGAGGCCCGGCCAAGGGAGGAAGTCGATGCATACGGGGTGGGGGATCGTCTTTTGGATTTCGGTCGGGTACAGCCAGGCCGGGACGTCGCGTTGGGTTTCTTCGTCGGGGCAAAGGCGCCACTAAGTAGAGAAATGAGTTAGCTGGGCGTTACTAGAGCGTGACTGGAAGACGATAGGCAAGGGAGCAATCTTACTCGGAGAAAGCGATACATCACGACGTAGCATGCGAAGAGCGTTCGGACATTTGCCGGTCGGACCTGGCTGAAGACCAGGCCCAGGATCTGGATGACGGGATTATCGGTCGAAGTTGGGCGGAAGACGTGGACAAGTGAGGGTGTGCGGGGGAGACGCGTGCTATTCGAGATACTTTTATTGAGACCCTGGTGAGCCCGCAGCAGGATGGAGAAGGTTGAGTACTCGAGACATTCGTAGTAAGATCGATGGTCAACTCCACACCGACAGTCAACAGGAACGTTGTTATCAGGCTCCCCCATTGCCGGCGTCGGAACAAGCATCGGTAATTTATCTGCCGGCAGGAGCAGCATATCGTGTGCATTTGCCAGAGGCCGCGGCTGGCTGAACGAGGCCGATGAGTTGCCGGCGGCAGCAACAGGACTTGGTGTCTCACCAATGTCGAAGCAGGAGAAATATCGCGTCTGATCCCGCAGTCGTTCGTTGAGAACGCGTACCTGGTCTGTCAGCGACTGCACGGCCTCCTGCAGGTTTGTGACTTGTGTTTCGAGGCTCTCCATCTGGCGCTTCTGTTGTTCGCGCTTCGCCTTGTGATTGATGCGGTCAGCCTGGCGCTTGCGGGCCAGCTGTGCTTCGGTGCGGCGACGTTTCTTCTGGGCGCCCTCGGTGGGCGTGTTGGGTGAGGACTGCGAGATTTCCATGGTCTCCATGGTCCTGACTGCTTCGGCGGGAATTAGAGAGGAGAGAGAGTCTGGAGGAATGGGGGAGACAGGGACGATAAACGAAGCCGGGAGGCGGCCGGGATGATTGCGCAACCCCGCATTTTGGCGTCCTCATTTTCCCACGGGGTCGCTTGGCTGCCTGTCAGCCACCACTGCTTGTTCCTGTTTGCGCCGTTCACGAGGCTATTCAGAGCTACGAAACCTCGGGCGCCTGCTACATTCATGGGCCTTGATGCATCTGTGAGTATACATCTCTGCCAGCTAACCTGCGTCTGTGTTCAGTTGATCTGTTACGGGTGGACCCGACCACGTCGCTACTCCGGATCTCTGTGATAGCTGTCACTCTAATTGCGATTCGCCTGACTGGATAAGCCACCGACATCAAACACACCCAAGGACCATTGTCTCCGTGCCACGGAGTGAAACAGCAACGATCTCCCGATCTTCCCCATACGCTACCCCGGAACAAATGCCATGCAGCCCCCCCCCGCGCGTCTCCGTCCCGAACGCGAATAATCTCCCCGGTATCGATTTAGGGTGGATATAACGGACGCCAGGAGGCTATGACTGCCGGGTGCAATCGGCGATGACTTAATCGAGTTGCTGACGTGTGCCATCACATCACAATGGGACTTCGGTCATACAAAGTACTACTCTATTATGGCCCCATGGGCAGAAACACGAAGCCAACGTTGTATTGCAGCACAGTCTCCGCGCACTACTCAGTTGCGTCCAATCATTGCCTTGAAATGGCCAACATGACATCCTCAAAACATGGTGGCGTCGGGGGATTCCGACGCCGCGTGATTCTTACAAAAAAACCTGTGAGCTCCGAGGGCCATGGTGGCCTTGTCAGTAGCGTCTCATTTCTGAGCTGAGCAAAGAGCTTGCTGGTCCCTTGCATCTGTAGTTCCCGGGGCGTTCCTGAGAAGCTGGCTGATAGAGTATGGATGGATTGTTTGGGGACCCGGGGGACAGCACGTCGCGCCAACACGTGCCTCGGACGTTGGTCGCTCACATGGTCGACGTCGACCCAAACACGATTCTCCAAATCTGGGGAAAACTGATCCACAGCCAATGACCATGTTTTATAACCGCTCCCAACACGCCGAGAATCGTGCAGTAGACTCGGCAAAACTTGGATAGCGCAGGTAAATTCTTGCATGGGGTGTCGATCACCTGTGAGCAACCAAGTCGCGAGAAAACAACAAGATGGATTTTTAGCATGTCCCATCCCCGAATGGGATGCGACTGTCTCACAACAATGCTGCCGGTCTTATATGAGACACTTGCGCACTTTACTTGAGCGATCCCCAGAGCGCAGTGGACTCACAACACATACGAAGAAAAAAGAAAGGAAAAGAAGCAAGATTATAAACAATGACAAACGCCCTTGAATGATATCAACAAATATCGGAGGCCTGTGGCTCCATTTCCAGCTTACAATACATACCCTTCATGACATCAATAACCTCTCCCCGAATACTCACGGCGGCTCTCTGCTTGGAAAAGCGCTCGAGATGGGAGGAAGAAGCCCCTATCACGGCCTGGAATAATGTCCGGCGGCTCATTCCCATAACCAGACAAGACGACCGGAATCTGGATCTTTTCTCTCATCTTGTCGAGGAACCTGCGACTTCGCGAGTTTGGGCGTTCCAGTTTGGACCGACAGTATGACTTCGGGGTGTCATCTAGCACCGACACTCGTCGAGATACGCGACCTGCATGTTGTCGGTAGTAATTGCTCTCTGGATTGCGGCGGAGACTGTGTACTGAGGATTGAATGCTCTCCTGTGATGCCCACGGAGACTCGATGGCAGCACTTTGTCTGTGACCCCGGGCCGATGTCGCAGACGGCCGGGTCTGACCTGTGCCAAATCCCGAGGATTTGCGTTCGATGATGTCGGCCTGCAACGTCAAAAAAAAAAGAGTACCAAAGTTAATTTTTGACACGGCGCGTTTAGAAACAAAATGACCCAGGAGCTGGGACGTGGGGCATACCGGATTGGTCGGCCTTGATGCAGCAAGACATGCACCTGCATTATTCCTCGACTGCCTATTCATCTCAACGATATGGCGCGATATGGCGGTCTCAACGCCGGCAAATATTCAAGGTTTGAGAAACCTCTATTGTCCATTACGAGACCTGTGTGGATCGAGAAGGCATGCGACCGCTCAAATATGGTCTTTGTGATCGAGAGATCTACCCCAGCCTCATACATTCCAAACAGTGTCTGGGGCTTGTGTCCTGGAATGCATAGTGCTTGGACCACCCAACAACCCTTGATTGCAATCGTACGAGCCCGAGTCATGCGCGATCTTACAAGGTCAGTTGGTGAGCCCTTCAATCGTCTGTCGCAGCGACCGACGTCAGATCCCGGTCGTTGGAGGGTGAGGGAGGGATGGTAGCTCGAAAGGCTGTACGAGGGCAACCCGCCCGCGCCCCATGGAAATGACACATCAGAACCCTGGGATTGCGAAGAAAAACATCACGACAAGACTTCCTGCGTAGACAGCGAACCACGATGAAACATTCCTAGCGAAACGGTTTGCAACATTGTCAGGAAACCGGTTCTCTTTCTCAGAAATTCCTTCCGGAGGCCCACGGGTGATGCAACCAGATAGAGTCTGGCGTTCTCTCGGCTGGCGGTGATGAGGGGAAACGGGGAAATACATCCAGGGCATTCCAATGGCCTTATACGACTCCCAGGACCCATAACGTATTTTCTGCCGGATTCGGATAGCTGCGCCCGCGCGATGATCGCCACCTTGCAGCTCCAGCTTCTGACCCGATAAGTGGCTGGATCTTCCTTCCCGGACTGCCGCGTGTTACTCTACCAGACAGGTGGCGGACTCATCGCCCGTTTTCGCTGTTTGTCAACTTTGTCAGTTCCATGCCTCCAAGGTTTCCCGTGGCTTGCCTGAAACGTGGTCTCGACTGTGCACCCTACAATGATTGGCGGGAGAGCCTCCGAGATGACGTTAACGGCCTGCATATGCAAAGACAGGAGTCATCGCGACTGTTGAGAATCTCTCTCCCGCCCTTTTTCGCTGTTTAACAACAACCCGAATAGCCAGTGTTATTGTTTGCTGCTTGGGGCCTTTGGTCCTCTAGCGAGGCGATTGGTGGCTTCTGCATCGTGCTCCCTCTTTTGGTCGCTCGTGGTCTGATATGACAGCCCCGGAGGAGCTCTGAACTCTGGCGAGAAACGCTATTGTGGCCCCATCCAAGGTCGAGACAGGCAAGGTTCAAAACCAAAGTAACCTGCGAGGTAACGATGTGCCTTTCCTGGGCCCAGCGCTTCAATCCTGGAGCAGATTCAGCCCGCCACGCGCACCTTTTCCAAACACTCTGATTGATTGAGAAGGTTGAACTATCACTGGAGTGAGATATGGAAGCGTCATACTGACTTTAATATACCCACACCCCTGGGTCTCAGAGCTATCTACTGTGTAGCCATGATCGACCCGTCTGTGCCGCCCTTCTGGTTGATTGGTGACTTTTCCATGGAAAACGTCAAGACCTTAGCTAATCTAAGTGAATTCAATACTTATGGTGGGATTCCCCGCCTTCGGCACGCTGTCGAAGAAATCAATGTGTAGGCCCATCTCATGTCTACTGAATCCATTGTTCCCTCTCTTTTAAGAGCTTTTTGCAACCGTTATTGTCGATCCTACACCGGGTTTGTCCTTTAGTTGCAGCTATCCCAATTGATCAAAGGCCTGCCTCTTCTTCCTTAGTCGGTACCAGGCTACCTCGAGCCCTTGTACGGAAAGTGTGTATATCACAACAAATTATTGCGATCGAGCAGCAATACCGCAAGCAACCTGCCCTCGATTGCCCGCCCTTCTACATACACGGACCGTGAGGGCATGGTCGATACACACTGCCTAGTTGACTACGCATACTAAACCCCCGAAGTCAAGATTCTGCAATCCGCCAGAATGTCTGCCCAGGCTGCGTTCTACCCCAGCGACCCGTCTTTGGACCCGGCGATCGCCCCAGAGTCCCTACTCATGGGCAGTGGGTTCTCTCCCGAGTTTCTCCCTCTATCACTACTCGAGAAAGGAGGCCACCAAGACATGGGCATTCAATCTATTCAATATCCACCCAACCAAGCAGGACCTGCGCCAGAAGTAGCGCGAAACATGTCAGGCGAAGGTGACGACACTAACCGACCACGCCTCCGCAACCGCGCTCTCCGACCAGCTCCGCCTGACAGCCGCAAAGGATCAATTGACGCCGAAATGAACCAAGGCGCACCGTTCATGCACTCATACCCATCAGTGCCGAGCTTCTCAACATTTTCATTTAACAACGCCGACCACGACCCGGAATTCGGCTTCGATAACGAACGAGTCTCTCCACATTCAGACGTGAGCAGCAACAAATCTTCGTCTCCACTGCGCTGGCAGAACGGAGACACAGACAAGCGCGCGAAGCACCTCGAGCGGAACCGCGCAGCAGCTAGCAAATCCCGCCAGAAGAAGAAGCGGGAGACAGCCCAGCTCCGGAACAGATTCCAGGAGGTATCCCGCAGAAGGTCTAGCCTTGAGGACGAAATCAAAGCCCTGCACAGCCAGCTACTTTCGCTGAAGGACCAGATCCTCATGCACTCGCGGTGCGAGGACGAGGCTATTCACATCTACCTCGGCCGCATGGTGAAACAGGCGACCAAGCACGACTCTGTCTCGTCCGCCTCAACGGGTGAGCCTGGTGATGAAGATGCTCGTAGCCACGGGCAGGACTCGGCGGGTTCGATGTCACCACCTCAGGGTTTCCATTCCCATGCAAGCCAAATTCCGATGAGCATGGGTGATACGCGGGGACTGCCCTGCGGTGTTGAGAAGCCTATGATGCACCACCAGATGTTTTCACAGCGACCCGATGCTAACATCTTTGACTTCCAGATGAGTATCTCGTAATCCTTCTGTTTCTATATTACTGCAATTCTGCCTTTACGGCCTCTGATGTCTTCTTCTATACTGTCTGTCTTTTACTTACGAACTCTGGCGCATGTTCATGGGAGGTGGATCTGTCATTGAAAAGCGTAAATGTCTGAATTTAGCCTATCCTTTGTGTTTTTGGTATATAGCTGTTACGATGTGTATGTATCTGTGCGACATATATATTACCCTCATTCATTTGATATCTAACTCAACAGCCCTCGTGAATATGTCCCTGCTTCCCCATCCCTGACCAGCAATTGAACACCCCAGAACGGTTCCCACAATTTAGAGATTGCTCCCCCAAGGGCCGTATACATCCAACTTTGGACAGCTTCGCCGCTGACGAGAATGCGGGAATATAATATAGTATTCCATTGGCTGAATATCCCAGGGAAACCAGGAATAACTGACAGCGGCATTTATCTGTGCCACGGAAAAGTCTCCGGGTCCAGGAGCACCGGTGGATTGGCTACAGAGGCAGGGGGAGTGTTGCGGCTCGGAAGATGAAGGCCAGGGTCCTCTTTCTCTAATTCAGTACGCATTGCGGAGTTACGTGGGGCCCGTGGAAATGATTGTCGTCTGGTCAATATGCGGCATGCTTGAATGCGACACATAGGTACCGTGGGTTTGGAAAGTGATTCCACGAATTTTGTATGGCTTATACACCGAAGAAAAAGAATATCAGGTTGACGTCAGGCAGACCTGATCTGCAGTACGAGGATCTTAGTCTTAACGCCCATGTGGCCCTAGAGATTATCTTAGGTAGTCACGATAGACGCCATTATGCGGTCAGCGTGGATACACGGAGTTCATATCGAGGAGATCACGGCCCCGGATCGACACGGATAAGACCCTCGCAAGAAGGTTCCTTACTGGTATGATTTTCTAAGCTAAGATTAAATTTTGTGTGAAATGATACAAGATAGATTATACACAGTAAGATGGATTGTAGGGGGTGATGTAGGCGTATTGCTATCCTTATTGTGCTGGTCTCTTCGGCGAAACAGTTCCCTTCAGCTTCGCTGATTCCGTCTCGCCCTCGCCCTTGACACTCTTTCCAGGCTCGTTGATGTAGGGGTTACTGCTGTCGGCATTGTCCAGCCCCTCCTGCTTGGACGACATGCTGGCACCTCCTGCTGGGGCCTTTCTCGTTGCGGGCTGGTCGACCTCTGAGGGCGCCTTGCCACGGGAACTGTTACCTTGCAGCAAGTAGTAGGCAGCTGGGATACCGAGAGCGGCGGTGATGATCATCCTGGTCGTGGTTAGCGTTAACTCGGTGAACTCTGTAAGAACGAAGGAGTACCATGTTGAGTTGTTGCTTCTCTGAGGTGGAGGTGGTCCCCCCTCGGTAGTGTAGGTGCGGCGGGCTGAGTTGATGCCAATGGCTCGTGAGGCGCGGAGGAGACGGAGCGCAGTGAAACTCATGGTGGTAGATATTGGATGTCGTGTATATCAGATCCTCGCCTACTGGGAAGGAAGTACGATCAAGGCTATATGCATCGCTGCAGCGTGTATGGCATGATCAGGGTGATGATGTAAAGCGATGAAGCTGTCATGATGTATTGCTCCACCAGGGCTCAATCAGGCATGTAGCTCATACGGGGACCTTGAATGATCTGCATGGAGCAGGACAACCCTTGCTATTTTCTAGACTAAGTGTTTCTACCTCGTATGACAGATTGAACAGCAAATATCTTACTCGCTGGGACCGCCAGCGAACTTCTCCTTGGCCTTATCCATGACGCTGGGATCAAGTTAGCGACAGACACGTTGACGCCACGAACGCACAGAACATACCTCTTCAGAGGGTTCGACTTCTGATCGCCCTGGCCCTGGCTCTGGCCCTCGCTCTGACCTTGCTGGCCCTTATCTCCGCTGATCTTGTTGCTGATGAACTCCTGGCCCTTTTGCTTAGCGGACTGGGCCATGGGGTTGTTGGCAGCCCTAACTGGTCAGCTCACGATTTCGACGTCAGTCACAGGACACATACCCCTGCACCTGGTTGAGGATGTTGTCAGCCATTTTGTTTAATGTGTAAATTTGTTCCGATTGGCGGTATCTTAATGTCCTGAGCTTGTTTGAGCCTTAATTTTGCCAGTTAACATGCCAGACTTTATACAATTGGCTGCATTGGCGATGGCTGAGTCGAGGGTGTCAGCTCGACGTCAGTTCCAGAGTTGGGCCTATATGTGACTCTTATACTTGGGGCTCCCCAGAGTTTGCGACCCTTTGAATCTTCAGAAATGGTCCTTGAAGGGACAGAGCGAGGAGTTGTTGGATGAGCGTTGTTGGTTGGGTTGTTCTGTGTGCAACCTCGTGACGTCATGGACACATCACCCTTGATGGCATCAAAAAGCACCTCCTGACTGTATCTTGACCATTGCCTAGATAGACAAGGATATTCAGATTAATAGAGATTCAGGGACTGGCCCTAGGCTAGCCAAGACTGACATCACCCACGCATAATTATCTCATCCGCACTTAAACCAGCGCGATCTGAATAGGAAGCATATAGGACATGGTGCATGTGAATAGAGAACATCCCTATCAACAGGTTACATTTTGAGTCTACAATATACACAGCGTTCTAAGCAGGCAGCAAATATCCAGTCATGGCCAACCCCGACGACAAGAAGCGCCAGGACGACCAAAAGCGTCAGCTCGTCATCGTCTCCAACCGCCTCCCCCTGTCCCTGAAGAAACTCGACGGACACTACGAGTCGACTCTATCCAGCGGAGGCCTCGTAACTGCGCTCTCAGGAATCAGCAACTCCACCAACGTGCGCTGGTTCGGCTGGCCAGGCTTGAACATCGAAGACCCCGAGGAACGCAACGAGGTCGCCGAGGCACTGGCTGATAAAGACGCAGTGGGGGTATTCCTCGACGAGGAGCTCGCGCATAGGCATTATAATGTGTTTTCCAGTACGCACGCGTTCCCTTCTCCAACTACTGTTGTGGTGACGACAACGATTATGACGATGTGACTTGCCCTTACTAACCGAAACAGACGGCATCGCTTGGCCCATCCTGCACTACCAATCCGGCGTCGACTTCAAGGAAGACGCGTGGAAGGCCTACCAGCGCGTAAACGAGATCTTTGCCGACTCGGTTGCCGACTCTGTGCAGAGTGGCGACTTGATCTGGGTTCATGACTACCATCTCCTTCTCCTGCCGGCTTACCTGCGGGATAGACTGGAGAGGCAGGGCAAGAAATGCCCAATTGGGTTTACCTTGCATACGCCGTTTCCGGCGCAGGATTTCTGGCGGGCACTTCCGGTGCAGAAGGACTTGTTAGCTGGGGTTCTGGCGTGTGATTTGGTCGGGTTCCATACGGATGAGTATAAGCGTAATTTCGTCGAGTGCTGTTCGCGAGGACTGGATGTTAAGGTTGACGGAGATGATATTGAGTACGAGGGGCATAAGGTGCATACAGGGACGTTCATCGTCGGGGTCGATCCGCATAAGTTTGAGACAGGACTGATGGATAAGGCTGTCCAAAAGCGGATTGAGGAGCTGGAAGACGAGTATAGGAGGAAGATTGTCGTTCTGGGTGTTGATCGCCTGGACTATACGAAAGGCCTTATTCAGAAACTGCAAGGATATAGCTATTTCTTGCAAAATCACCCTGATTTGGCGCCTCGTGTGACGCTCATCCAGGTGGCCATTCCCAGCCGCGAGGACGTCAAGGAGTACCAGGAGCTGGAGAAGGAGCTGAGTATGCTCGTGGGCCAGATAAACGGCGAGCATTGTACGTTTGCCTTACCTCAATCCCTACCCCAATTCCTATATTCATACTGATGTTAATTGAACAGCAACCCCCGATGGATCCCCGATAATCTATCTCCACCACTCTGTCCCCTTCAACGACCTGGCAGCACTCTACCGCATTGCCGACATCTGCCTGATCACATCGCGCCGCGACGGTATGAACCTCGTCGCTGCCGAGTACGTCGCCTGCCAAAAGGATCGATATGGCGTTCTCGTTCTCTCTGAGTTTGCAGGCGCCGCGGCATTCATGGGCACGGGCAGCATCACCTTCAACCCGTCTAGCGCGCAGCAGCTATCAGATTCCATATACCAAGCCGCGACGATGGATGTTGAGGAGAAAAAGAAGCGGTATCTGGAGTTGGAGGAATTCGTTGCCACAAACACTAGGTATGTTTCTCTTGGATATCAATGGGCGAAGGCGGCTAATCATGTACAGCGCGAAATGGGGCGAATCTTTTACTCATACTCTTTCGGAATATGCATAGCTGGTTCAGTTGGATTTAGTTCATTAGATTGTTTTCTTTACAATTTCGGGTTGGATATTATACAGTGATATCGTTAGCATTGCTTGGGCTTTCATTCCTACGTCGATATAGAACTAACGAAACCTTTGGCTTGATTCATATTTCAGTAGTGACAGGCTACTACATATCACTCAGCTATAACTAGACTGCGAAATAAATTAAATTGACGCAAATGAAGTTACTAGTAGTACATGACGACGGTAGCCCGGGCTCCTGTCGTACGAACCGGTCAAATACAACAAACCAAACCCCATTTTATCTTCACTTGCTACAATCAGATACTAGGCTAGCTACTTGGAAGACGGATTCGGCATCCCAGAGGTATGCGGCCAAGTTCGAAACAGATCCGCCAGATGGTCAATCGGCGCCGCCAACAAGCCAACAGCCGTCTCAAACGGCGGCTTATCAGGGGCACTCGGATGCGAGCGACTAGGAACAAAGATTTTAGTACGGCCAAAGGATGTTGACAGCTTCTCGCTTTCTTCTCTGGAAATCGCATCCTCCAGCTTCGGCAGGTCCTGTTGCTCTTCCTCTTTGATGTGGCTGGAGAGATCCGCCATTAGGGCTTTGATGGTCGATTCGAACTCTGGGTCCGTGGCTTTCATATTTTGGAATTTCTTCAGCTCTTCTTTGACCTGTTAATCTGTAGTTAGATGGGAATGATATAGATAGAGGGTGGTGTCTACTGAGTTATGTTCTCTCCGGTCCTTGTCGGCCATGGCCTGGCCATCGGCGAGGCTCTTCTCGAATACAGGGTATACGACAAGTTCCTCGCCGATGGAGTGCCGGGCGAGTTCCCAGGTAAATTGGTTCTGCCATTGGGTCTTTTCCTTGTCGGTGCTCGCGCTGAGGATCTTGTTATAGTAGTCCTCTAGCTCGCGATGGTCTTTGGTGATTGCGTCGGTAATGGTGGGCGCCATAGCGATGCGTGACTGGGATATATAGCGATACTGAATTGGAAATACAAATCTCTTCTGTAGAATGCGTGAGCAATTTACAAGACGGGTTGACATTTTGGCTCAATCTGGCCCTATATACCTAGTATACCATCGGTCGCGATACATATGGACAGCCATCTACTTAAAAACATTAACCCTGGACGTCATGCTGAAGCTCCCTGACGTGACCGATACAATCGCTATTGTAATTATTACGGCCAAGATTTGGATAGCTTGAGCGATAGGGCTGGGATGCTGGGATGCAAGCCGAAGCGGCCAGTGAGGGCTAACGCTTTATTCAGCTGCATCACCATGATCAGAGAGCTGCAGGTCTCGATGCGGGAACCAATAGCTAATTAATAATTACAAGCGATCGGGAACCTGATCGGCGGGTCTGGAATGGCAGCTTTGAAATCCAAGGCCGCAGGCAGGTTATTCAGGTTGTCTGATGTTTTTTTCATCATCCTCACATCATTTGTATACAGACAATGATGTCACGACGGCATCGCAAGTAGCCTGCGCAGAACCAATATATTCTGGCATACCTAGCACATAGGACTTCATTAAACAAACCTAATTCAATCAATTTTGCATGAATCATTTATCCTCTTAATTTGTTTCCGTAAAAATGGCCACTCACGTTGCCGCCGGCCTGCAAAAGGCCCAGCAAGCAGTGCAGGACACTGCCACCAAGAACAAGAAGCTCGTCGACCTCGAGGCAGAGACCGTCGACGGCACTTCAAAGCAGCCCCAGTCGACAGACCATGGCGTGGGAATCACGGATCCCGACCACTGGCTGCGCGTTGCCAATGAGCAGCGATCAGGCCCGTCGCTGCTAGAGGACCAGATTGCGCGCGAGAAGATCCATCGCTTCGACCACGAGCGCATTCCAGAGCGAGTTGTCCATGCCCGAGGCACTGGGGCCTTTGGTAACTTCAGGCTGCACGAGAGTATCGAGGATCTGACGTATGCCGGTGTCTTGACGGATACTTCGCGCAACACGCCGGTGTTTGTGCGCTTCTCGACTGTGCAAGGCAGCAAGGGCAGTGCAGATACCGTGCGCGATGTCCGGGGATTCGCAGTCAAGATGTACACCGATGAGGGAAATTGGGACATTGTGGGCAATAACATTCCCGTCTTCTTCATCCAGGATGCCATCAAGTTCCCCGATTTCGGTACGTTCCTGTCTCTTCAACCAGTTCCAATATAGCTAACCCTCGCAGTGCACTCCGTCAAGCCGGAGCCCCATAATGAAGTCCCTCAGGCGCAGACGGCCCATAACAACTTCTGGGACTTTGTATACTTGCACCCTGAAGCCACTCACATGTACATGTGGGCCATGTCAGACCGCGCCATTCCCCGGTCTTTCCGCATGATGCAGGGCTTCGGAGTCAACACATACTCTCTCGTCAACAAGGAGGGCAAGCGACACTTTGTCAAGTTTCACTGGACTCCCCATCTCGGCGTGCACTCGCTCATCTGGGACGAGGCCCTCAAACTGGGCGGGCAGGATCCAGACTTCCACCGCAAGGACCTCATCGAAGCCATTGACAACAAGGCATACCCGAAATGGGACCTGGGCATCCAGGCCATCGCCGAAGAAGACCAGGATAAGTTCGAGTTCGACATCATGGACGCGACCAAGATCTGGCCCGAGGAGCTCGTGCCCATCCGAACAATCGGCGAGCTCGAGCTCAACCGCAACGTCGACGAGTTCTTCACCCAGACCGAGCAGGTCGCCTTCTGCACATCCCATATCGTCCCCGGCGTCGACTTCTCCGACGACCCTCTCCTCCAGGGCCGCAACTTCTCCTACTTCGACACCCAGATCAGCCGCCTCGGCGTCAACTGGGAAGAGCTCCCCATCAACCGGCCCGTCTGCCCATTCCTCAACTTCAACCGCGACGGCGCAATGCGCCACCGTGTCTCCAAGGGCACCGTCAACTACTGGCCAAACCGCTACGAAGCAAACCCTCCCTCAGCACCAGGCCAGCAAGGGTTCGTCTCCCACCCGCAGAAGATCACTGGCACGAAACGCCGCGACCTATCCCCCAAGTTCAAGGAACACCACAACCAGGCACAGCTCTTCTACAACTCCATGTCCGAGGTCGAGAAGGTACACATGCGCAAGGCTTTCTCCTTCGAACTCGACCACTGCGACGACCCAATCGTCTACGAGCGCCTTGCCGGCCACAGACTCGCAGAGCTAGACCTGCCCCTCGCCCAGGCCGTGGCTGAGATGGTGGGCGCGCCCATCCCGCAGAAAGCCCTACGTCCCAACCACGGCAAGAAGTCCGTGCGGCTATCCCAGCTCGAATTCCCGCCCAAGACGCCGGGAATCGTCAGTCGCAGGATCGCTATCCTGATCGGCGACGGATACGACAAGATCGCCTTTAACGGCATGAAGGCTGCCATTGTCGCTGCGCAGGCTCTGCCTTTTGTTATTGGAACCAAGCGCTCTCCTATCTATGCCGATGGCGAGTCTAAGGAGTCTTCCAAGGGTGTTATCCCGGATCACCAGTACGATGGACAGCGCTCGACCATGTTCGATGCGACTTTCATCCCCGGTGGATCCCATGTCAAGGCCCTCAAGCCGAACGGGCAGTTCCGGTACTGGATTTCCGAGTCGTTCGGCCATCTCAAGGCTTTAGCTGCTACAGGGGAAGCTGTGCAGCTTGTTAAAGAGGTCCTTGGTAGTGCGGTCGATGTCAAGGTTGCTGGTGCGGACTCGAAGGCGCCGGTTGAGTGGTATGGCGTTGTTACTGCGGGTACGCCGCAGAAGCCAGAGAGCTTTAGTGAGGGGGTCAAGATTGTGAAGGATGCGACGGACTTTGTGGGCAAGTTCTTCTACCAGATTAGCCAGCATCGGCACTGGCAGCGCGAGCTGGATGGACTGGCTGCGAGTGTTGCTGTTTAGTTTGTGGGGTGAGTTCAGTGTTTAGGCGTTGGCGGTTATGTATAACAAGGCAATAATAATTGATTCAATTTGTATAATTAATACTCTCTACTTCCCATCCGGAACTCGCGGAGTATTTCGCCCCCATGCTTCCACGTAATGAGTGCAGGAATCTCTGACGATCATGCACGCACAGCCATCATGTTTTCCTAATCGGGAAGTTGACTGTACCCCGCCAAGAACCCTCAGGGCGGCGCCTGAACGACCTTGCTGAGCCTCACAGCTAACATCAAGGCCGTCTCCCTCTGCGAACGTAGGATGAGACACACTGTTCAGCCAGGACGATGCTGACCTTCACCCGCTCGGAGGATTCACAACCCGACGAAAAGCCCGGCTTTCGCTCTCGCTTCGTATCATGGCCATCAGACTCGCCGGAAGCTGAGTTCAAGTCCCCGTCAGAGTCATGGCAAGAGTCCATAGATGCATGTCGGAGCCTTCGACCGCGCCCTCCCCATGGCCGTGCCTGGGTCAAGGGTATCATGGTCTGTTCCTGGATCATCGCCCTGGTCCTGTGCATAAACATCGTGCTGACGATTATCGCGGCGGGCCTTGCGTACTCAAAGAACGGCGAAACAGACCGCTCCTTTGCCGCGTTATACACCGGAAAATGCGGGCTCGCAAGGAACTGGACAACAGGCCTCCATCTGGCCATCAACGTGCTGAGCACGGTCATGCTGGGCGCCAGTAACTACTGCATGCAATGTCTTGTATCGCCGTCCCGGGCGGAGGCCGATGAGGCGCATAGCAGGAGGAAGTGGGTGTCCATTGGGATACCGAATATACTGGACTTGGTATGGAGGCAGAGAGGCAGGAGACAGGTGCTGGGCTGGATCTTCTTGGTGACCTCATTTCCAATTCATTTGATGTTCGTTCCATAAAGGAGCTAAGCGGTGCTGCTTTATTCAATCCAATTCTGACTTTCTTCCAGTTACAACTCGGCGATATTCTTCGTGTATGGGCCGAGTGAGTATGTCGCTGTTATGGCGCCACCCGGCCCCATGAAAGGGGATGGAACGGAGCTCTGGGACAAGTGCATCGATACCAACAGTTTGATGGACAAGACGACATTGGCCGCTGAAATGAGCCGTCCTGATCTCCAGGTTCTTTCGAGTGAAGAGTGCTTCGATACGTTCGCGCAAGACTTTGTCTCTGGGCAGAGACTGGTTGTGCTGGTGACCAACGACCCAATGCCAGCAGGAGAGCCCGTGGTGTTGATGGGAGCAGGCAATTCCGGCAACGTTACTGGCAGTCGAAGCAGCAATTATATGTGGATGTGTGGTGACCATCGCTGCACCAAGGAGATGGCGAGCCAGATGTGGGATAGAGGCACATGGAATATGGGCCCGGATCATTGGGGAAATATCTCGTTCCCAGACAGTGTCCCTATCCCGGGAAATGCGTCGTCCTGCAGTATGGCTCAGGTGCCAGAGCAGAAGTATCGGATTGAGTACTGCTTGACAGTCCCAAAGGAGGAAAGCTGTCAACTGGTCTTTAGCCTGCCGCTGTGTCTGGTCGTTATCGGATGCAATTTGGTCAAGCTTATCTGTGCCCTGTTTACAGCGAGAGACAGCAGAGATGAGGTGCTTGTCACTACTGGAGACGCAATCGCATCGTATCTTGCGTGTCCTGATCAGACCACAGAGGGCGTCTGTCTGCTTTCCAAGCCTCTAATCGACAGGGGAAGTCAGGACTGGCATAACAAGCCACGACTGCTTCGATGGAAGTCCGCGGTGCCAAAAGTTCCAGCAGCATCATCAACGAATCCTCTGCAACTGGAGCCTCGAAAGCGATGGTTAGCAGCCGCCAGTACTGGGCGATGGGTCCTTGCAATTGAACTGTAAGTCTCTCCACCACGATGGCGACTGACGCTAACATCACAGACTGATCGGAATCATTACCTTCGGAATCTACGTTCTATCCTTAAGCATCGTCGACTTTGAAGACTCCCTTCCAGAAAACGACAATCGCCAGTCCATCTGGGGCGCCGGACTGGGCGAGGCACGTCCATCGACAATCATGGCAGGGATGCAGCAGGATCCCGGCGCCAGCACCAGCAAGATATTCGGCAAGGTTCTCCTGCCCAACGTGCCCCAGCTCGTCGTTTCAAGCGGGTATTTCATGCTCAACTCCCTGGTAACCGTCATGGTCGGTGCAAGCGAATACAACAGCTACGCGAAGCAGCGCAAGCCGCTACGCGTATCCTGGCCCCGCGGCGCCCAGCGCTCAACCTACTATCTATCCCTGCCGTATAGATACAGCATCCCGATGCTTGTAATCTCCGCGTTTCTGCACTGGCTCGTGTCACAGAGTTTCTTCTTTGTGCAGATTGTTGCATCGGATATCGACGGCGTAGAGCGCAAGATCATCACCTGCGGCTACTCGCCGGTGGGGATTATCTTCACGGTTGTCGTTGGCATTTTGTTTCTCTTTGGTGTTCTGCTTATTGGATTGCGTCGTTTTAGAGCGCCTATGCCGCTCGCTGGACAGTGTAGTGCGGCCATCAGTGCTGCTTGCCATCCGAGCTCGTCGAGTATGGATGATGAGGCGAACCATGCGTTGAAGCCGGTGCAGTGGGGTGAGATTCCTGTTTCTTCCTGGCCTTCGAGGGGTATTCCGAGTCAGATCAGTGGGTATGAGAATCCTTTTGGGACTGGAGGGTTGGATGTGTTTCACTGTTCGTTCACTTCAGAGGAAGTAGTCGAGCCACAGAAGCAGCGGAATTATATATAACAGTGAATTTAGATTCAATAAAAATATGAATGCAGCAAAATAGACTTCCATTCAAATGAGATCATAGAGGCCCAAGCAACTACCTATGAATAATGCCAACAATATCTCCAACTGCATGGGTGAATGATAAGGCATCGTGGCGTGCATACAAAGTGTAACCAACCCCGCACGACAGTGTCATCCCTTCATATCCTTTATCTTTCTCATTTCTCTCACTTCTAATATCATCTCTGTTATAAACATGTCGGAAGAAATAAACACCCTCCTCACCCTGCAAGCCGTGCGCGCCAAAGCCCACCGCGTCTTCGACCTCGCGAAGAGAAACGCCCTCATCCACTTCGACTACCACCCAGACCGACTCGATGCAACAGTCGACTACGTGACTAGCATAATCAAGGTTATCATCACACCATTCTATCAAAATGCACCTCAAACTAATTTCGTTAATGACAGCGCGACTACGGCCCGAATAACTACACCGCCATCCCCCCGCACGGCCGCTGGCAGCACTTCGACACCGGGTCCGTCCCGCGCGTGAACAACCTGATAAACGAATGGGACGCGCGCGGATACGATTCCCTCGAGAAGGCCCGAAGCCTGGTTGATCTATTCTTTGTTTCGGTGCTGCTGGATGCCGGGGCGGGCGATACATGGCGGTTTATAGAGCCCGGAAGTGGGAATGTTTATACCCGGAGTGAGGGAATTGCAGTTGCTAGTTTGTATATGTTTCTGAATGGGGATTTCTCGGGAGATGACGGGCAGAGAGCGGATATTGTTACTGGTAGGTTCCTTATCTACCGATAGGGCAACGTCATAGGGTGGTGGATGCTAATACAGAGACTGTGTCCGTAGGTCAAGGCCTGAAAAATTTCTCTGTCCCGGTGTTATCAAAAGGATTCCAGATCGACGAAGCAAATCCGCTCGTGGGCGCCAGTGCAAGAGTCGAAATCCTGCAACGGCTGGGGGCGTCTTTGTTGGGGAACGAAGACGTTTTTGGACCGCAGGGAAGACCGGGAGGAATTGTTGGTACGTATCCACACAAATAATTTTGTCAACGGTCCCGCTAACGTGCAAGACTATTTGACCCGCAACGGGAGCGAGAATCCAAACCTTGACTACGCCGAGCTCTGGGGTGTCCTCCAGCGACTGCTTATTCCGATCTGGCCGTCAGACAGGACAAAAGTAGCTGGACAGCCCGTCGGCGATGCCTGGCCTTTGCGTGTGCTCAGCAAGCATGAAGGAACGGCAACAGAAGCCGTTGAGACGGGAACCATCGCGCCGTTCCACAAGCTGACCCAGTGGCTTGCATATTCGCTCAAGGTCCCTTTCGAACGGCTACTAGGGGCAACGTGGACGGATTCAGAGCTGGGAACGGGCCTTCCTGAGTACCGAAACGGTGGGCTATTCGTCGACATGGGGGTGATCACCCTGAAACCCGAGGCGTTGGAACGGGGTCAGCGGAACCAAGGCGGCGGGAAATTACCGTGTTTTGGCGCGGGAGACGAAGAAATTGTCGAGTGGAGGGCCATGACGGTTGCGTTGTTGGACGAGGTGCATGCACGTATTCTGCAGAGTGGGGACTTTGGTGATGCGAGGCTTTCATTGCCGCAGGTGCTCGAGGCCGGGTCGTGGAAGGCAGGCAGGGAGATTGCAGCAGCGAAACGGCCGGAGACCAAGTCGAGTCCGATTCTGAATTCGGGGGATGGGACACTGTTTTGATATCTAAAGTTCAATACTAGACGGTGGAATGCTACGTGGTATCAGCTCCACTGAAGGATCGGGGCCATACTCATCTCCAAGGGATTTCGATCACATAGTCTACTCTGGGTTGGAGACATGCATGATGATGACATCCGGCATCCTGATGGACCTGGTGTCTTACATTTGAGGGCAATCACGCTCCAGTACGTAGTATCACGCTCACACCAAGCGGGGCAGGCCAGCGGGGCAGACAGCGAGGCTGGTATAGCATCACAGTGCCCAATTTCGGAAACGGGCCGACACGGCGGGGCATTCCGAACGGTGTAAACGAAGTCCAGTCAGCTGGGCAGACCTAAAGCACGTCATGGTCCAACGGGGGCGATGGACGGTATCGCGGGGCCCTGATGGACGCAGTGCGGTTAATGTGGTATGCCAGAAGCAGAAGCAGGGGCGGGATGGCCAACGCATCATCACCCACAGTACCGGGCTCACAGGCTCACAGCTCACGGCCCACGGCTGATGACTGATGTGCTCGAGCCCTGCTTCTGCAGCTCGTCCCCGCGGCGCTTTTGACTGATAAGTGTGCGGATCCGATCGCTGCACTGCGGAGTGCGGACTCTGGACTGCCGAGGGCGCCCAAATGGCTGCGCACAAGTATTTTCCTACTGGCGGAGGGCGACAAGGATGGTGCGGGATGGCGCAGGGGTGTCTCGGAATAAGAATCCATGGCACCACGGGCAGACTGGCAGAGAATAGCATCACGGCATGGAATGGATGGATGCTGGAGGATGATGCGCGAAGGACACAGATCGGCAAGGGTCAACAACCTGAAGAAACGGCTCCACCGATGGGCGACATGGATGCCCGGACGGGCAGGTCATCAGGCTTAATTAGTATTGTGCTCTGGTGGACTCGGCCGCTGCGTCTGTTTGGGCGCAGGAGCAGCCTGCCGCTGATTGGCTGGCTCTGACGGCCGCCGGACACAGCAAGCGCAAAAGTTGGTCCTCCTCTCTGGCTGCTGTCCACTCATCGCTGGCTCGCGTCCCTCCGGCTCTGCTGTTGGGTCTTGATACCAGCGACCTGGGTCTGACGATGACTTATTAAAGCGCCTGGTGGGACACTTTTCCGAGATGTCCGTTGGGCCTGCGGACTTTTTGTCAAAGACACCACCATCCGTTCACCTCCCGCCCCCCCTGCCAGCGCCAACTGCTGGTCCAGACCAAAGAACCCAAGAAGTCTGAGGTAAACGTCTGGCTTTAGCTCCTCGCCTCGTCTCTTTGATGTCCAACTCGCTGTCGTCGCGCAACCCCGCTCCGCCCCTGGGCGTCGAGGCCCAGAATGCCGCGACTGACGAGGGCGCCTCTGGGCGCAAGCACAAGACCACGGCCTGCGAGGAATGCAAGAAGAAGAAGCTCAAGGTATGCCGTGTTACTCTTTAAGCTCCTGCTTGATTCCCGCCGCCTCCCTCGTGTTAACCCCGCGGGGCCTTTAGTGTCGGGGCGACCCGCCGTGTCAGCACTGCGTCGCCAACAACATTGAATGCCGCGTCGACGAAATGGCCGATCAGCGCCGCAAACTGCCCCAGAAACGTAAACTTGAGGGTCTGGAGCAATCCAATGACATCCTGATGCGCATTCTCAGCGCGATCCGCGACAGCGAGAACAAGCGCGTCGCCCAGCTGATGAGCCTTATCCGGAGCCACCCCTCCATGTCCGAACTGCACAAGTTCCTCCAGGAGAACTTTACTCGGTCGGACATTGAGAAATCGCCCGAGTTACGTGAGGTTCAGCTCCATGTTATGCGCTCCACTGATCCTGTGACGGAGGCCGGGGGGCCTGCCCCGCGGCAGCCGCGGCGGATGCTGGACGTCCGCCGCCTCGCCGATAGCCCTGTCTACAGGGTACCGGCCAAACCCTGGACTACTGTGACTGACGACGATGACCTCGTTTCTCACCTCGTCTCTCTTTATTTCACCTGGAGCTACCCGTTTTTCTGCTGGCTGGACCGGGAGGTATTCATCAGAGAGATGCAACGGGGCGACCTCAACAGCCGGTATTGCACGCCGTTCTTGGTAAACGCAATCCTCTCTGAGGCCAGTGTATGTTAAATAAGTCTATCGTAAATGTCTTGGGCCGCTATATGGCTGGTTTACTAACCGAGCTCCCGTATAGTATCATTCTGATTACGCAGAGGCCTTTACCAAGCCGAACGACCCGATGTCGCGGGGCCAGCACTTTCACGATGAAGCACGGCGGTTGCTCGATGAGGGAGAGACGGAGGGGACCGTCAGTATTGCTACTATTCAAGGTCTTATGATCTTATGGGTCAGGTCAGTTCCTTACTTTGAGTCCGACATACAGGGGCTGATGGAAACAGGCTGGTTCTGATGGGTAAGGATCGCGTGGGCTGGGTGTACCTGAATCTTGCATGTCGCGCTGCAGAAGAATATGCAACCTCACATTCATCACAAGCAACTGCGGAAGAGAGGAGGATAGAGGAAACGGTCGTGAATTGGACACTCTGGGGCAATTTCAGCATGGCGGCGTATGTTTTTTGCAGTCCGTGATCTGATATCCTTGCTAACTGGCCCAGTACCGCCTCGGCGTCGCTCATGAAACACATGCAAACTGAACCGCCTCGACGTCCCCGCGTTCCTATCAACCACCAGGACCCAAGGGATGTCTGGTCCCCGTATCCTCGTTGCATCGACCCGGTGCCAGGTCACCACATCTGCGTCTTTGACCAGTGGTGTGATCTTTGCTGTATCGCGTTTACCGTCAGCAAGGCGTTCTACTCGGTTGAGCACCGGGTCCCAGCCTCTGAAACCGTTGTCATGGTCAACGATGTACATCGGCGATTGCAGGGTTGGTATGCCAATTTGCCGCCGTGTCTTTATACTGAAACCGCCGAGGTGCCTCATGTTGTCGGTGTCCAGTATGTACTCTCCAGCCTCCTCATGATTGCCACGACTGACCTTTCAGCCTCTTCTACCACACTACCATCATTCACATATTCTGGCTACTTTCGTCGTACTATGACTCCACCGGTGAGTACGATAAAGCTACGTCGGCTCGACAATTGACTCATGAGAACGCTCGACGCGTCGCTCAGCTTATTGGTATTCACCGTGAGCGTTGGGGAATCGATCGGATGGCCCCCTGCACTATCCAGTGGGTTACTACCGCTTTATACACATTACTAGGAGCACTCGACTCACTCGACAATCGTAACGCTTTCACCGAGCTCTGCATTCTGGCCCGGTCGTTCTCTAGACAGTTCCCTCTCGGGAAGGGTATTATGCGGATGCTCCAGCTCACCGCGAAGCAAATGCAGCTATCCCTCCCAGAGGAAACCGACTCACTTTTCAGCGAATTCGCTGCCGAGAACTGGACCGAAAAGGACCGGGAAGCGTTTAGCAGTTTCTATCCCCACTTCCAAACGGTAATTCGGAACGGCCCAACAAGGCCGGATGATCTGGCTCTCGACAGGTTCCTGGAGAAGTGGGACAAGCTGACCATCTCCGATCCATAAGGGCCTTTGTGCAGCCGCAATGGATTATGACTGTCAGTGCGGCGCATCGCGATATAGCCGACGAGTCGCGAGAGTATATATTAGAATTGCGCGATGTAATTTCTGGGACACTACCCTTCATATATACCCTAATTATAGTCCTGGGGTCACTTTTCGGCATTGTTATGGTTTGGGACTCGCCCTCCAGCACCTTACCCTCACTATCCGTTGGCGCAGCACAGTTCACACACAGGGAGTGTGTACAGCAGGCTTTTGCTTCGCGTGCACCGCCAACGCACGATTACGGCGATATGATTTATACATCCACTTAGGCTTCATCTGGGGCCCTCCTGATCCGCCACTTTCCCGAGGCAGGATCTTGGCGAGAACGGGCAGTGCGTCGGGGCCGGTGTGCGTTTTTATGACCATCTCAAGCACCCCAACGCACGGCCCAGATGGATATAGAATTGCAGTATATAGTAATACCACCTTAATGCTCGGCGATCTCGCCATTCTCTGTTTAACTCATGGCACCCCACTGTCTAAGGCTGAAGGCACCAGCCAAGGAAGGCCCTTGTGTCCAACTAGCACCAGGACGGAAAGGATCCAACAATACGAGGTTGCGAGGCCTCTCACTGCTCAGCCTGGTGCATAAAATGGATAATGGCAGTGCCCGGCCACTCAATTTCATTTCCGCATTTTTAAATAGCAAACCTCCCCGCAGTCGCCCATCGCTGTCTCCCCGACGATGCTGGCTGTTGAATGCGATCGCCCACAATGACCGACGGCTGGACCCCCGACATTGTTGTCGGGGTCGATTTTGGCATGACCTGCACTGGTGCTTATCTCTCCTTAAAATTTTCACTTCTTGTTAAAATAATGCAGTAATTAACTGGGCATAGGTGTTGCCTATTCACACGGACCCGACTGGCCGCCCCCAAAACCAATACAGCACTGGCCCGGTCTAATCGGGTCGCAAATCGCAACAAAAGTGCCCTCCCATCTTTTGTACACACCCACTGATCTAAAATGGGGCTTCCAATGCGAAGAAACCGTCTCGGACTCACGCTCCACTTCAAATACCCCCTCCACCTCAACCAGCGACACCGTCGCCGCAAGGGCAACCGACATCATCAAATACTTCAAACTAAACCTCGACTCGGACTTCACGGACTCACGGCCCGATGCGCCGACGCGCGACCAGGCGATGTGCTATTTCCGCGACTATATCGGCTGCGTGTACCGGTATGTGGTGGACTACTTCTCGCGCAGCTTTCCGCGGTTTGAGGGCATGAAGGTCGAGTTTGTGTTTAGTGTGCCGACGACGTGGAAGGATCCGCGGATGGTGGAAGAGTTGAGGAGAGGCATTGAACTTGATCGCGGTCGAGACCATAGGGCTGTTATTGGGCTAACAGAGGCGGAGGCTGCGGCGGTTTATGTTTCGGGATTGCATTACCAGGTTTGTTTTCTGTATTGACCGGTGTATTTTGATAGTGGGTGGCTGATGGGGATAGAAAAATGATGTGATCCTGGTTTGCGATGCTGGTGGAGGAACTACGGACGTGAATGTTCTCAAGCTAGCCAGTGGACCTGGTGAACCTACGGTTTATGAACCGCTAGGATTTGTCGAAGGTACATCGACTGTTTTATCATATCCTCTCCTTCCTGTCTAATGTACCTCAGGGAAGCCTGTCGGGTCAGTCTTCATCGATGTCGGCGTCCAGCACCTCATACGCACCAAACTCGAGCCCATCAGGGACTCTCTTCCGGCACCAGTAGACGAGATCGCGTGGCAGATGATGGGAAGTCGGTTCGAGCGCTACAAGTGCTCGTTTGGAACAATGGGCGGAGAACTTGAGACGCTGAGGCTCGACCTTCCCGCGTCAGTGTCGGAGTCGGATTTCCCTGAGCAGGGGATCTGGAATCGGCAGTTACTCATATCTAGGTTAGGATTCAGAGTTCTACTGGATGCAACAAACTAACGAGACTTGCAGAGCCGAGATACAAGAAATCTTCGACGAAAAGATCACGGATTTGACCCAGTTACTGGATGACCAGGTCCGCAATCTACAACTCACCCACCCAGCTCAGAAAATTGTCTGCTCCCCATATCGCGAAGTCTATTCAATATCTAATTGAGGAAACAGTCCTTTCTCGTCCTCTCCGGTGGCTTCGGTAGCTGTCCCTACCTCCGCAACAGTATAACCGAGCGCTATGAAACACCCACGCATCTCTGGCCAGAGGGCATTAAAGTGCTCACTGTCGATGAACCGTATTCTCCCTAATAACTCCCATTGATACCAGTGTTCTAACAAGCACAGACAACTAGCCGTCGTCCACGGCCAAGTCATGAACCGCACCCAACAAATGCGCACCCACGCCACAGTCTTCAACCACCTCTACAGCCCCGTCAGCTACGGAGTAATCTGCGACTGGATTTACGATCCGAGTAAACACTCTGGGGAAATAACAAGATTCGACGAGCGCAATATGAAGACTTACGCGGTGAATCAGATTGATTGGCTTGTAACGAAGGTACCATCCGCCCACCACCGACATAGCATCATGCTGATCTGCTTAATACAGGGCGACCTAGTCTCAAGGAGTGGAATATCCAAATCTTTCCCGCGCAAAATCTCCCCGCGCGATCTATCCCGGCCTTTTGTGGCCCAGATCGTCATGTCGCAGCGCCCACGCGACCAGCTCCCACAAAGCATGCTGCATGGCGACGCAAAGCTCATCTGCGAACTCGAAGTCGACACCGCCACCGTCGAGAAGAAGATCAAGAACAACCACTGGTATAACCGTTCGCCGGTATACTTCCTCGTCAATGTGATTGTGAAGCTGCTGATTGAGCCGGCGGGACTGCAGTTTGAGCTTTGGAATGCGAATGGGGACCGGATTCCTGCGCGGTCGAGGATTGCGAGGACGAACCGGGATGGCCCTCTTGCTAGTGTTGGTGCTGGGGTTGCGGATGCGCCTATTACGATCTGGTGGGAGAATATTGCGGAGTTGCAGGGTGGGAGTCAGCAGGAGAGGATCAGCCCGAGGCTGCCGTTACAGAGGGCGAGTAATGTGCCCTCGGAGGTTGGTGGAGGGCATACGTTTGAGTTGATGGGAGATGCAGGGCTGCCGCAGCAGTCGGCGGGTGGTGGGAAGATGAGCCTTCCTGCTTATCGATAGTTCTTTACGTGCTTGCATGGATACCCAAGAGTTAGTACCTAGTATAAGTCTAATCTGAATCTCTGTTCTTATCAAGTCTGTATTCCCTGGAGGGTCTCCATGTTGTTGCCAGGTCAGAATCAATGGATTAACACTGGCGTAGGCGCTATCCAGCCATCTTCTACCTGTCTTAACCAGCAGTTTCACTATGCTCGTCAAGCAAGTCCATCCAGCGATGCAGAGTAGATCCACGGAGAATTCGGGCAAATAACCGTGTCTCCGCATCAAGAACGCAAACACCAAGGTCCAAGCAGCGCCACAATCCAACCACCGACGAAGGTACTTCGAGGAGACATCCCAGCCCCATTAGATCTGCTGTTTATCTAAATAGATTTAAGGCGTCACACACCAATCACGTCCAATATTCGCCGCCCGGCCAGGACGCTTCGGGACTAGCTAGGCCGACGCTCGTCTGCAGACAAGATCGACTGATCGGTAGAATTCTAACAGGTGGAAATACACGGCAGATCGGAATATATCGAACGGTTGCTCTTACATACTGCAACTGGAAGCAACAACGGCCATCACAACTCAGCACGATGTATAAAATGTTCCTCTGCCCTCTCCTATGCTCTATTCCATCCACAGCACTCCACCAAAATGCATCTCTTCCCCACGGCCTTAACTTTCGCATCCTTAGCTACTGCCTCTGTCGAGGTTATCTCAAGTCGCGACCGAACCACCTGTACCGTCAAGGCTCTAGGAGACGAGCAGAACGATGTCCCCAACATCCTAGATGCATTCGACAAATGCGGCCACTCCGGCAACATCGTCTTCCCAGAGGGCGAGACATATTGGATTGGAGAGCGTCTGAATCCACATGTTTCTGATGTTACAATTGACTGGAGAGGCACATGGCTGGTACGCTGATACCTATATTCGATTCACGAGTACTGACTCTGGCAGTTCTCGGATGACCTCACCTACTGGCGAAACAACTCGTACCCCATCGCCTTCCAGAACCATGCAGCCGGATTCGTCCTCTCGGGTCGTGACATCCGCATTAACGGTCAAGGGACCGGTAGCATCAACGGTAATGGCGACACTTGGTATACAGATGAGGCTGGGGAGACGCAGCCCGGACGTCCCATGGTACCTACCTACCTTCCTTGCCCTACAGAGTACCCAGACTTTCTAACAAATATTCAGCCATTTGTCTTCTGGAATGTAACCAACGTGCAAGTCTCCAACTTCGCCGTCGACCAGCCGCAGCTCTGGTCCATCAACATCATGAACGGCACGAACATGGACTTCACCAACATCACAGTCACCGTAGATGCGAGTTCCGCTCCAGAGGGCGAGAACTGGGCTCAGAATACAGACGGATTCGGTATTCACCCTTCCCTGGAATATTCCTTGCAATGGATGATAAAATGCTAACGAGATAGACACGATGGACGCGCACAACATCACACTGCGAAACTTCACCTTCACGGGCGGGGACGACTGCATCGCCATCAAGCCGCGCTCGTCAAACATCCACGTCTCGGACATAACCTGCAACGGCGGAAACGGAATCGCCATTGGCAGTTTGGGCCAATATCTCGAAGACTCGAGCGTGACCAATGTCCTTATTGAAAATGGTAAAGTCCCTGGTACTCGGTTCGGGACGTACATAAAGACCTGGGTTGGCGTGCTCGTTGAAACAGATAGCTACGAGTCCGAGTATCTTCCTCGCGGAGGGGGATGGGGTTCTGTGAGGAATGTTACGCTTTCGAATATTGATGTTTCGGACGCGCAGCGTGCGGTTGTGATTTCGCAGGATAGTGGGGGTGAGTCTAATGAGACGGCTCAGGGTACGAGTAAGATGGATATTTCGGGGGTTCGGTTTGAGAATTACTCGGGGAATTTGGCAGGGGGTAACGAGGTTACTGTGAGCTGTAGCGAGGTGCATCCTTGTTTTGATATTGAGTTCACGGACTTTGAGGTCGTGTCCGAGGATGGGGATGAGATTACTGCGAGCTGTGAATGGACAGAAGAAGGAGGTGTTACTGGGATAGATGGCTGTTAAGCTGTTGGATTAACATTACTATATTATGAAGCTACATGTATATCAGGTCTAGATCCAAGTTATGCAAGCTTAGAAGAACTCTGGACCACGCCAGCAGATGCCTCAATATCATCAGTCTTGGGCGTAATAGTCCCCTCGCTAGCTCCTTTACGCAGACCAACAAGGGTAACAGGGTCGGTTTGGACAAGGTACATGTACCAGTAGTATGTCCCTGTATCAATTAGCACCAACCTAGAATCAGGAGTATACTCGACCTACCCACGAACAGCCCCCCACCAACAATATTCCCTAGTAAAGTCGGAATAATCCCCTTCCAAATATACAACCCCACCGAAATGCCAGGCGCATCAAGCCAGATCGCCATCGGGATGAACGCCATATTAGCGACAACGTGGTCGAAGCCAAGCGAGACGAAAGCATAAATCGGTAACCAGATTCCGATTATCTTCGAAGCCATGTCGCGGCCTTGCAGGGCGAGAAAACATGCTAAACAAACAAGCCAGTTGCAGCCGATACCGCGCAAGAAGATACTGTGGAATTCGGGCGTGACTTGTTTCTTTGTTGCGAAGCTAATAACGGCTGATTTGTACGGGTCTGCACTGAAGACCTCTCCATCTAGTTTTGTTAGATATGGAAAATGGGTGTGATATATGGGACATACAGCCAAAGATGATAGCGACGACAAACAGCGATCCACATAGGTTTCCCCAGAAGGTGACAAACCAGTGCAGAAGCATCTTGTACCAAGGGATCTGGCGTTGGAGAGCGGCGACGGTGGTGAACTAGCAGTCAATTAGCATCAAGTATAGTCAGCTTATGATAGAGAACGGACCATAAACGAGCCCGTGCAAAGATCAGCGCCGGTGAGGATGATCAAGGTCAACCCGTACGGGAAGACCAAGGCACTGATGGTGCGCATCAGACCTGGTGCATTTTCCTGGTACCAGGGGCTGCTGTTTGTGCTCAGTGTTGTTCCACAGGCCAGAGCCAGCAGGCAGCCAGCAGACACAGCGCTGAAGAAGACCTTGTCCAGGCGCATCTTCCCCTTGAGGGTGCCGGCCCGCGCGACGGCCTCGGTCACCTCGGCCGGGGTGTAAGCATCTATCGAGGCGGGCATGATGTTTGGTATTGTTAACCAGATTATTCCAAGCCTCCATGCATTGAGCGAGGGTCATTCCTTTAAGAATTCCAGCATGGTGCATACCCGTCCAATCAGAGTGGCCAGATCCTTATCTGGATCGTCTTATAGTGTCCAAGATCGCCATGCAACAAATGATTCGGGCACAGAGAAAGGGGCCGCTATCAGTGATTCCATTCTCGGCTTGGTTGATCCAAACAAAGTGAAGGATTTTTGCTTATCATGAAGCCGCGGAGAAAGCAATCGCAAGACTAAAACTCCGGGGCTGATAAGACAGATAACAACCCTTCGATCGGGACATATGGGGTTCGATTCGAATGATCTCCTTCTTTCGTCCTGGCTTTGGGTCTATCTTCTTTATCTTTCAAAGCTTGTTGGCGAGAAGCTTTCTGATGGCAGCTAAGTGATGCACAGAGCTTTCAGCTGATATTCTGAAAAGGGTAGTTTCAGTGCTATCAGTCGGGCCTATCTGAATGAGGCCAGACTGTCAGCCGGTCTGGAGTATATGGCAGCTTGCCTGCGACAGAGGGGAATTGCCAGTCTTCCCCATTATTCCATCACTTCGGACAAACCACTGGGGATTGTGGCCTGTCCTTATCTTTAGTGTCGTTGGGTATCCTTATCAGAGCATTAAAGCAGATTAAAGTTCGCTATCTCCCTTGATGATTTTGATCGACACTCCACTAAATCCCATTATATCGAATATAATGCCGGAATACGTAAATCTGATTTCTTATTATATTCTGACATGCCCAGGCTGGGCTATTATGCCATGGTAGGTCCAGTATGGACGAAAGGTGTGCAGTATGATTGGCGGAGAGCTGCCGAGCTGATTAGAATATCAGAGTTGGGCCGAGGATCTGCGGCCGCTTTTAATCATTAACACTTTCCCCCCAACTTCTCTCTCTGCATCTCCACTTGCATAATATCATGGCCGACAATCTCTCGCAAACCTTATCAGCCCGCTGCTTCGTCCCAAACAGCCAGACTCGCGCCGGAAGGGCTCTGCATCCACCCAGCAGCCTTCTTCCCGATGCAGGCAAGAAGCGCGGTCGGCCAAAAATGGCACCCGACGCCGACACATCGCGCATGGTCTGCACTCATTTAGTTCAGTAATAGTTGCATATGCTAATTCTATACAGGACCGTCGCGCGCAGATCCGATATGCCCAGCGCACGTACCGGCACAAGAAAGATGTCATGTACCGGAACATGGAGACCCGCCTCGCAGAGCTCGAGAGGACCATGGGCCGTCTATCGGACTCCATCGCAGACTTCCATGACATGGCTGTCGAGTCGGATCTACATGTCACTCATCCGCATCTCTTCGACCATCTGAGTGTCACTCTGTCCTATGCGAAGCGGATGACAACTGGCGTACAGAATGAATCGTCCAAGGATCTAGATCGTCCCTCCACCATTCCTACCAAAACGAATTCCACAAACCCATCTTCGTTTGGATATATAGTGAACCGCAGTGACGACACAGAATGCGACATAAATCTAAATGACATCCAGAATCTCACTGCCGAACCTAATCTCCCACAGACGACCCAAGTTTATTGGTCGCTCCCTGGCAGTTCAAGCCACACCTACAGCTTCCAAGAAAGTGATCCATCCAGAATGCTCCAGCGGTACTGTCTCGAGTACATATACCGCCTGTTCAGCGACCCGCGCTCCGATCCGGGGGAATTCTACCGCGTCTTTCGACTCGTTCCCTGCGTCAAGTACAAGGAGAAGATGGGCCGCTACCTATTCTGCCTTGTGCGTTCGGACTCGGATCAACCGCTTGAGTTTCCTGCTCTACCGTTTTATTGCATTGGCGGTGCTGGAACGCATTATCCAGAGGTTAAGGATGGGAAGGCTGTCTATCCCGAGCACATGCGTCTCCCGAGACGTGTGCTGGCGACGGTGGCTAGCCTGTGTTCTGACGAGGATATATCATCAGTTGATCGACAGAAGCTGTTGATGCTCGCTGGGTTAGATGGGACTTGGCTTGATTCTCGCGATGTGATCGGGTATCTTAAAGAGAAAGGCGTTCTTGACCGGGATGACCAAAAGTCCACGCCGGAGGGTGCGGAGCAGGTATCGTGGACACTGGACATCGAAGGATTCTTTCAAGGTAAGATCCCTGCTAATATACCAATCAGAATGACACTAATCGTTTCTTAGCTATCCTGGCCAACATGGTCGTTCTCGGAAGGTCGCCCGGTTTCAGATTCATCGACGTCGAGGCTGCGTTTACGGCTAACTTGCGATATGACTCGAAGTGATCCATGAATTATCCACTCGTCGACGCTGTCAGATAGTTATTCTAACTGATGGCGTTAAATGGATAAAAAGGAAATGTTACGGTGCACTCTGCACCTGCAAGGATGGCACTGCCTCCCAGCGCACTTCGCCTCGCCACAACCGACAAATCAACTGCCAGTTTAGCATTGACGCTCTCGCCGATTCCCAATTGGCAGACATTTGAGATGCATACCGAGTCTGGGAGGACTACGGACTGGAAATCGGCCAGGCGTTGTTTGGCCATAGGCGTCCACCGCCGCTTCAGATCGTCAGACCTAAAGAAAGCAGATTCAAGCTTCTCACTCAAGGCGTGATTTATGACCAGTCTCAATAGACTTGAAACGCCCATATGCGGGTCGTCCCGGTCCGTCTCCGATAGGCGACAGGTCAGAAATTATCAGTGTTCAGGTCGTGCAGAGCACATACTTGGCATGGATATACTAGGAGTACGTACTCCGTACATTCCGCAGGAATCAATACCTGGAATCTTTACAATACAAGTCCAACTCACTATGTACTATGATCAAACATACGAAATTCGTTTCATTCTCACACAAAAGCTTCAAATCAATTGCTAATTGGCAAAAACGCCATATAACGAGCACAATTCACCACCGCCGAACCTCGACAATATCATCCCCGGAAACAAATATCTCCTCTTTATCCAGACTTGCCTTTACAGGGCTGGGCTGCTGGAAGATCACAGTCAGCTCCTCGAGTGTACGCTTGCTTGTCTCGACAAAGAGGAAGTAAATAACGACCACCTCGAGCGTGTCCCAGCAGACAAACAGGAAGTAGTATTTCCACCGCGCCCGCGTGAATGCAATTCCCGTCACAAACGTATTGTAGAAGGAAGCGATGTTTATAAAGAACTATCATCGGTTAGCACACTAGCCCAAGCAAAGTAAAGCCCTTGAGTAGAGATAGAGGGACATACATTACTCATCCCCATCCCCTTCGCCCGACTCTCATACCTCAAACACTCCACCGGATACATGGCCTGATTCGGCGTCCACCCCGCGGAATACACAAACCCAAAGATGAAAATCATCGCAATCTGCGCGCGCGCCGTCATGCCGCTTTTAGCAACGACACTACCGTCCGGCCCATCCGTGACATTTGTGGCATTGAGCCCCGTGATGATCGCGAACAGGAAGACCATGATTATCGTCGAGCAGAGGAGCTGAGGCCTGCGCCCGACGCGGTCTGTCATCAGGGCGCCGAAGATGGCGCCGCTGAACTGGACGACGTTTTGCAGGCCCTGCAGCAGGAGCTGCGTGTTGTTTGAGGAGATCCCGGCGCCTTGCAGCATTTGCGGGTAGTAGTAGGACACGGGGCCGTTGCCGGACCATTGGCCGAAGAATGCTATACAATACATATATTAGCTGGATATTGTAGAGCATGGAAGGTGGATGGCATACCCATGAAAACGACCAGCATCGAGCGATAGCGCACCTCGCGACTGTTGAAGAGCTCGCGATAGTCCCACCAGCGCTTGTCCGAGCCGACGTTGGAAATGTCCTCCACCATCTCGCGATATTCGAGGCGCACCAGCGGGGAATCCCGGTCACCTTCGCCGTGGTATTCGGCCAGGACGCGGATGGCTGCTTCATGGCGGTTGCAGGAGATCAGCCAGCGGGGGCTCTGTACTCGTTAGTCTACACATAACCTGGAGAGGATGGCTAGGTTACCTCTGGAATAGTAAAGCACAGCAACAACACCAATCCCGAGAAAAACATCTGCAGCCAGACTGGGATGCGCCAGCTCTGTGTCCCCTCAATAAAGCTCGTTCTCCATGGGATGAAGGTCCCTGGTATGCCGCCTCCAAACCACAGTACGTTGTATAGCCCCGTCATCACACCGCGGTAGGCTGGGTGTGCCATCTCCGAGACATAGGCAGGACCAGCAGTCGCTGAGGTTGCAACACCAAAGCCAAGGATAAACCTCCCAGCCATGAATCCACCTAGGTTTGTGCAGGTTGCTTGTACGATCGTTCCGATTATGATCCATAGTGCGCCAATGGCCATGCCCACGCGACGACCTAGCTCATTAGTCTGCATCCAGTATTGAGAGCAAGTATCTGTATGGTACCTTTGAAATCCGTAAACGGCCCAGCAAAGAACGAGCCCACAATATTGCCAATGGTGTAAATCGCGTACACAATCCCCGTTGTTGGCGTTCCATCGTTGATGTCGAAGCCAAAGTACTCGCGGTACTGGCGGTAGCTGTTGATCGAGCCCATCAGGGAGCCATCGTATCCGTTGATGCAGGAGTTGAGGGTTGCTACCAGGATACACCAGTACAACTAGAAAGGTCAATGATGGCTTCACGCAGACAGGCAGCAGGCAGGTTACCTTCATCATCCGCTTCGTGAGCAGTCGGGGCTTAGCCCTCAGTGTAGCGATGTGCAGCGCCGCATTACTGACGCCAAACACGCGTTTATCGCCATCGCTGGAGATGGTAGTCTCGAACGACTGCATGGTGTATGAGCATGACAGTCCGGCACTCTCTATCCTGATGAACTGATGGGGAACACGAGGGGGGCGAGGGATGTCAACCGGATATATAGGGTAAAACAGGGAAATCGGGACGAAACTACCCTGGAGGGCTGGCTAGTTCCCAGAATGACAAGGATTCCAGACAGGAAGGATTGGGATGCATGCTCCTGGCCATCCTTCTGGATTCAGTTTCAGGGCCTAGTCCCAAATGCATGCCAGACAAAGAACCCAGCTGTGGCTCAGACTCCAGATTCCCAACATCATCTCCGTCGCTAAAGGGGAAATGGCTGCGGTGTGTTTTATTACCCCAAAGCCACAATGCAGGGGAAGGCAAACTTGACCACAGTGTACATTGGCCTGGGTGAGAAATAAGATTCGGGCAAGCGAAGATTCTGGAGTATGAATCTCGTATCCCGTAGCAAAAAGCTGGGGTCCCACGCGAAACCTAGCCCAAACAGCCAAGTGGGCTGGGGAGGAGGGGGAAATTGTCGATTAATGCCTTCTCCGGTGAGGGAGTGAATCCTTTAACCCGTCCACTCGAGAAGGCCGTCAGGGCACTAATAGTCTTAGGTTATATAGAGGCTTGGCTGATGGGCTTATGCGGGGACTGGTTTCATCACACTGCTGTGGCATGTGTCAGTGCGCCGGCCCTTTGCCCGAAGGAGTCTGACAGGAACCAAAGAGGCAGCGGACCTGCATCCAGCCTGGAGGTCGTCAGTTTCGACTGAATCAGATGACCATGGTGGTGGTGGTGTCTGCAGTCTACACCGTGGATCCCGCTATACCAAGCGTAACAGCCAACTACGGAGTACAGCGTGGGGGATGACCCCCAGGACAAGCATGACTTCACAAATCGAATATGTCTTCTATCTGTAACAGATTCTGCAAATGCCGGGTCCAACTTTTACCCCAGGCAACGCAGCCCTACTCCGTAACTCCAACCCAGTAACCAGACCAATCATACATCAATAACCCATAATATACATAGCACCCCTCATGAATTCACCGCTTGACTCATAATCGCCTCCTTCTCCTCCGGACTAATATACAAACTCAGCGTGTACTCCCTGCCGTCAATCAAATCCGACTCCCCCTCCAACCCCCCAGCAAGCACCAACCTGCCCAACCCAGCAAACGGAAGTCCGAACCACATCGGCGTCCCCCGGGAATCCGCTCCCTCCCAGTAGTCCCGATGGCAGGACATACTACTCCCCACCAATAACGGGTTAAACCCATTGCAGATCGCCTCGGGGATATGCAAGACACCCTCCAGAACAAGGACATGCGTACCGGGGTCATTGGGCGCCCTCCGAACAGGCAGATGGACATTCCCCACCCCCGCAACGAGTTTCTCGTCATGCGGATTGAAGGTGTTGCTCTTGACCAGCGTGTCCACGGGCGCATAGGTAGCGAATGAGGCCTTGTCGCGCGCGTAGTGGCAGTTCCCGGACACGATCATCCAGTCGCGGCATATCGACGCGGACGGGTGCACGACCCGGGTTTTCTTGCGGCGGTCGTATTCTTCTTCTTCTTCTTCTTCACCGTTATGTTCCATGACGTCGGCAGTTGTGTTGCTGCTGTCCGCGAGATCGCGCATGAAGTCATCGTGCGTGCGCATCGTGATCGGATCTGGGAGCGGCGCCAGACAGATTAGCCTCCGGCACTCCGGCGGGACTTGCTCCGTGCGCAATTGGGGAGGGAGGGACGGACCGACCGGGGTTGTGTGGGGTTATTGGGTTGGTATGGGCGTGGGAATTTTTTTTTTAGGGTCGAGACAGCGTCAAGAGGGCGTTGTTGAAAGAGAATTGGGTTGAATTGGCTGTTTGTCTCAGCTTTGAGGCTGGTCCTCCGGTTGCAGATGCGGCAGAATACCGGGCGGTCTCTGCTTCGTCTCACCGCTTCTGCTTTGGGAAAACGGAGGCGTGACCGTCCAGGACACCCATCCGTATATCCTTGAAGTCTACAAAACGGAGCATCAGTTGAAAATACAGAGAATTACCTCTTGTGAGTAGTGTGAATATTCTGATACATTGTAAGTGGCTGGTTATGTGAATATAAAACTATCCCAACACAACTATTGCACGTCTACAAATATATATCGCTGTTATAGTTGGGCAGTGAAGCTACGGAATCACTAATTCTGCGTCATGATGGAATGGCACAAACCAGGCTGCAGACCAGACTAGCCATCCACTTGGATTGATCAACTCGTGGAAAGTGTCCCGAGCAGAAAGCGTGGCAGCACATGGAAGTAAATCCAACACTAAACCATTTTGGTCGATTCTGACTAGAATGCTTGAATCTCAACATGTAAACCGAGGCACACGGGATGTATTGGTGGAGATGGTTACTACAAGTGAGGATTAATCTAGCTAGCTGTGTCCTTAACTAAGTCGACAGTTCCTGTCAAACCAAAGCTACAGACGACATTCACTCTAGGGGATATACTTCGAGTGAACTTCACTTGTATATTGATTTCTTAATGATGTCTGCAGCAACTATATTCACCTACCCCTATAAGACACTGAGTTTGGTCTGCACTCGTAAGATGTGTGGATGCAAGTTCACAAGATCTCTAAAATTGGCTTCGTCGATGGTCTGGACCTTGCCAGCATATGTACATGAGAAAACTGTGATCTCTTCACAAATCCAATGATGGGTGAATTCATTGCTATTACAGATCTAGCAGTGATATATATGGTGCTTGATGCCTTAAATAGTCATCCTTTGCTCCTGCACCTCATCCCAACAGCGGACAGTCTAAAGATGGGTTCTCGCAAACGGCCATCTCGAAGAGGCACACGGACAAGGAGGAGTCAGGCCTCAAATAATTCGGATTCGGATTCACCATCCAGACCAAGAGACTCACCTGGATCAAGAGGGCCTCCAGGACAAGGACCTGAGAGACAACAATCGGGAAGACAAGGACCCGCGAGAGCGAGTGGGCTACGGGGAAGGAATGGTTCACCAAGGGGAAGAGGAGCAGCCAGAGGGAGGGGAGGTAGAGGAGGAGGAAGAGGAAGAGGACAACAAGGATGGAGAAGGTCATTGAGACTACAAAACCGGGCGAGAATGCAATCACAGGCAGGGATGCAAGTACAGGGTATCGCCCAAGCAGGGCCACCAGCCTCACCGTCCCGTCTGGAGTCACTGCCTCCTGAGCTTCTCCTATCCATCATGGATATCTTGAGACCGTCTGACATTGTCTGCCTCAGCCTTTGCAGCCATTACCTTTTCAACAGCATCGACACGCACTGGTTGTGGGGGAACAGGGCGTTGAACGTCGACGTCCTCTCCCAGATAGCAAACCAGGACCAGTACTGCTGCCACTATTGCATAGGGCTGCACAGTACCAGATTGGTATTCCCTCCAGGGTCATGGGTTACCGGCGGCGACTGGTGCAGAGGCAGTTTGGCCCTTGGATTCCGCGAAAACACGTTCGAACCGCTGGGACACATATTCGAGGCTCATTGGGCGCCAACAAAGTACAATTTCAGGCACAACCACCTTCTAATAGCCATGAAAAATTACTATCGTGGCATCAATACCCAAATCACAATCGAGTCTCTGTGCTATACTGAGGTGCTCAACTGGAAGCATGACCGCTTGGTAACTACGCTACTCTGTGTTGACGCCTACCCTTGCATACTCGACAACGAACGCAGAACCCTAGTCCTTCAGATCCAACAATGGGTTGTTTATCGTGGTGGCCGCGAGTCCATCGGTGAATTGGGTCTCACAGAAGAGGTTGGTCGTCTGGCCATTTGTGCCCACAAATTCCTCAGCTCCCACGACGTACGGCAGTATATGCTGCATGCCCTGAACAGAAGAGGCTGGCGAAGGGGTCATCTGCCAAGTGGCCTGAGATGCTGTCCAATCTGCTGGGTTGACTTCACGATTGAGCTTCGCGAGTTCGAGACGAACACCAAGGCAATCGTCATTACCAAATGGGTAGACCTTGGAGATGGACTGGAGCTCAACGATCCAAAGTGGCACTTGATCACCAACCAGCGGATCAAAGCCACCTTGGCTGGCCGCATAATGCGTTCTCCAGGTAGGGCCCGTAGGGCACTAGAGGCTACCGACCCCGGATTCGCGAAACCACCGAGCCTCATGTGTCTGACGGCTTACAACCAGGCCTTTTTGGAGGGGGATAAGTACCTGAACTATATGGGCTGGAGTACGAACGGCTACTACAGTTGGAGCGGGGAGTTCTACCCACGAAATCCCCAGGATCTAATACTCCGTGTGATTCCTTGACCAACCCAGGCGGCTCTGTTACTGAGGTGGAGAAGCTTCACTCTGGATAGCGTCTTTGTACAACAGCAATATCGATGAGAAGAGTTATGGGAGTAAGAACCTAATGTCGGATAGGGAATAAAAATGGGACAAGTACACAATGTGAAATCTTAGACCTAAGCTACATCAATCTATCAAGATGTGGATATTTCAGGTGTCATAATAACTCCCAGGTATTCTGAACCGTTAAACCAACCCTAGAAATATAAAACTAACCACCATACAGCCTCCCAGCGTAGTCAAACCTGCCCGACGTATAGGCGAAACAGACTCGTCAACGTCAGACTGGCCATTCCCGTTGTCTGTAGATTCGGTAGCAGTCGGTGAAGCCTCATCAATACCTTCCGTTGAGGTTGGAATGTCCGTGGTCGTAGAGGAGCTGGCAGTTGTAGAGGTAGAGGAGCGCGTAGAAGACGAAGAGGTTGTGGACACTTCAAAACCAGGATCCTTCCACTCTATCGGCAAAACATCAAACCCAGACTTGCACGAAACGGTCCCATTATCCTGGACATACTCATTCCCGTCATCACTAATACCAGAAAAGTAAGAATGGAGACACCCTCGCTGCTCTGCATCCAGCAGCATCGTATCGCACATCTGCCGCCTGACCGAACGCCCGTTATCATTCTCTGCAAGAACCGGACAGCTCGAAAGAACCGATTCCGCAATTGTAACCTGCCCAGCAACTTTAGGACACTTGTCGATCCAGTCCTCCAGATCGCCGACATTACCCGCATTGCCGGAGACGATGTCGACGAAGAACGAGTCCGACGCAACGACCGTCCCACTCTCGATTGTCGTTAGACTACCGCTGACCGTGCATGGAACCATCGAGAACTCCCAAGTGAAGTTGTATCTCCCCGGGTCAACAGTGGCGGTGTTGCTGTTGGCCCCGATCACGATTGCCGTCTCGGAATCGAGCATTCCGTAATGGAATTTTTCAAAACTCGACGAGGTGTAGGTCTGGATGGATTCGAATTCACCTCCACCTTCGGGGTATAGAATCCAACTCATGGTGAACCCGTGGAAGTACGCTGCCTCGGCATTTTGGATCGCGAAGACAATGGGGAGCCACTCATCGCGGGCCTTTGCTTCGGGACGTGGATAGATGAGGTCTACTTCGATGGTGACGGGATATTCGATTTCTGCCTGAATAAGGGACATCCAGTGAAAAAGCCACAGGGCGGCTATTGATATGAGTGTGAGTGCCATGATGTCTGAGTTCCTACGTTGATAAAATTAAATACGAAATTGACTTCAGTCTAGGAGTCGGCCTAGGCCCCAGCTTTTATCATCATGGGGCACAAGTTATAAATGAGCTATAAAGGGACAAGATATATGCATGAGCCTTTCAGCTTACCGTCGCAATGATATCTTTCTTCGGAGAGCCTCACACAGCTGAAAAGGTCGAAACAGCCCATCCTGTGAAAGCGGATATACCCATCCAATAGGACCTCTAGACAATTTAACTTGGAACTTGGCACATGGGCCTGAGGCCTGAAACCAGGCCAATGAGAAACCACAAACAGCGGAATCACTGTTGTCGTTGATGACAGAGCGCTAGGCCGCTAGACCAAAAACCTTGCAAGGCTGGCTGCTAGCCAGCTATCTCCAACAGTTGATTCCAGAGGCAGGCTGCGGCCCCCCGGAGTACGCTAGAGAAGCCCTAAGGCGGCCAAGAACGTCCCAAAGGCTGCCATGTCACCGTGGCCATTGATCACTCTGGTCGGTGTGAATAGCGTCAGGACCGAGTCATGGTCCTGCCCCTGTCCCTTCTGAGCATTCTGATTAGCCCGTCTGCCTACCAGCTGTAATTGGAAGGCTTCCATGTCTCCCTTAGTTATATTTTCAGGGGTAGGGCAAAAGACATTATCCTCATCCCAACACTTGACCCCGCCTCTTGATGTACCAGCACAGGAGCGACAATGCAAGGCAGCCAGCACTCGCGGCATTGGACTGGGGAAATGACCCTGTGCAAAGCTAATCCCGCTACATTTGCACCACCAGTCCCAGCGTCATCTTGAAGTACTAATTTAATTATTCCCATTTTGGACATAGACCCTGACATCCATTGGGGTCAGTGGTATTGGCAAAGGGTTATACCTGGTGACTGTCCCTGAGGGATATTGCAACCCACTACAAAGAGCAAGAGAGAGATACAGATAGAGTTCCTTCCAAGTTCTGCATTTCGACCATCGCAGCTTCCTTAATAGATGCAACTGTTATTTTGGAAGGCGCGATGAAGAACACCGCCTCCATGCCGCTCCTTCCTATTTTATAACATGGACAGTCGCACCTTCCGTAGGTATGAACTGCAATAGAACCATATCAACTGGAAGGTACGATCACCGCCGCCGTTGAATATTGAATAATATGAAAGCCCTGATCCCGAGCAATCGCCGATGGACCAGCCAATCGGGGAATATCATTTGAAGCATGCATTTTTGCCTGCTAGCAAACCAAACAGCTCGTGAACACGCCCGGAACCCATTTCATAGTAGCTTTTCATCGATATATCTTCCTATTTAGCCACAATGGTGGCCAAATTGTCCCGACCCTAGTCCGGAGTATCACCATAGCGCAATAAAACCCAGTCGCCGATTGATCGGAGGTGGGAACCCAACAATTTCACGTAGAAAGTATTGGTTTGGAACGTTTCATATGTCTAATCTATAGATGAAGAAGAACTTGTTCGCAAATAAATCTCATTAGTTTCAGTATTTCATTCAACAACTTGAACAATGCTTGATAACCCGGTGAGCTGTATCAACCTGTCATCCGTGCCCCCGGCCCCCGAAGATCCCCTCTATCGTCTGATGAGGGAGTATCGCGAGAACCGCAATGCTAGAAAAATAGACCTGGGCATAGGTGCCTATAGAGACGAGGCCGGGAACCCCTGGGTTCTGCCGGTAGTCAAGAAGGTATCCCATTCCCATTTTGAGGTCAACGGCCAAATCCATCGCTAACCTCGTTCGAAATATTACTATAGGCTCAAGATATGCTGCACGAAGACCCCCAGTCGAATCACGAATATTTACCCATCAGGGGCCTAGATTCTTTTCTCAGTGCTGCGCAGAAGCTAATTCTCGGGGATGACAGCCCTGCTATCAGGGAAAAGCGGGTGAGTATTGCTATACTATGTTAATATCATTTCTAAACAACACAGGTATGTTCCTTTCAAACCATATCAGGTACCGGCGCGGTCTACCTCGGAGCCAAATTCCTCGCGCGCCATCATTCTGCACTAGAGAAACCGGTTGCTTTGATATCGAACCCAACATGGCCAAACCACCATCAAATATTCTCCCAGTGCGGATTCAAAGTCGAGGCCTACCCCTACTACTGCCCGGCGTCAAAAGGCCTCGACATCACCGCAATGCTCGATACCCTAAAGAATGCCCCTCGCGCCTCCATCGTCATCCTACAAACCTGCGCCCATAACCCCACAGGTATAGACCCAACCCAAGAAGAATGGAAACAAATCGCCACTGTCATGCGCAACCGCGGGCACTTCCCCTTCTTCGACTGCGCATACCAGGGCTTCGCATCCGGAGATCTCTCCCGCGACGCATGGGCCTGTCGCTATTTCGTGGAGCAGGGACTGGAATGCTGCATCGCGCAGTCCTTCGCCAAGAATCTCGGGCTCTACGGGGAACGAGTCGGGGCTTTCCATCTTATAGCTGCCCCAGGGAACGATGCATCGGCGATTTGCAGCCGCGTAGCTACTCAGCTTGCGATTCTGCAAAGAGCCCAGATCTCGAATCCCCCTGTCTACGGGGCACGTATTGCGAGCTGTGTTTTGAATGACGAGGAGCTATTTTCTCAGTGGCAGGGTGAACTGCGTGTTATGAGTTCGCGCCTCTCGGGGATCCGAGAGACGGTTAGGGCGCAGCTGCAGGCGAGGGGGACGCCCGGTTCCTGGGACTTCCTGGTGGTTCAGATTGGAATGTTTAGCTATACTGGGCTGACTCGGCCTCAGATCCTGCATCTAAAGGATAAATGGCACATATACATGGTAAGTCTCCCCCGGTCGGAATATGTGGACTTTGTTTAACGCCGAATGACCTACTTATAGACCGAAAACGGACGGGTCTCGGTGGCGGGCCTGAATTCTCGAAATATTGATTATTTTATTGATGCCATTGATGATGCCGTGCGAACTTGTCATTAGCATTATTTTGGGGGCTCTTGTTCAATAGTTGGAAACCTTTGGGCTTGTATGAAAGTGATCCTGCTGCCTATAAAATCCATAATGAGGCTGAAAGATATAAACTCGCGGTTCAGGAAAAAAAAAAAAAAAAAAAGGAATCTCATTTTCATCAAAATACATATCATAATCAACAGACACTGTACCCCTTACCCCATGCTTGGTCAATGCTTGGTCCAGGATGCTCGGCAGCCCTGTATTGCGTGACTCACTGTCCCACCGACCCACGACCGTCACTTGCAATTGACGAAATTTTTACTTCTTGATTAATGAATACAAAACCACTCTAATTGAATATCCCGTTGTAAATCTTCAATACAGAACGATGATGTCGGGGTCCAAACGAATGCCGAGAGACCCGATCCAGTCGGCGATTGCTTCTATTCCATTATTCACCAAAACAACCGTCACATCGGAGTCGGCCTATGACATCGTCAAATGGAAAAGTTTTATTGGATGTCGGCCGAGATCCAGAAGTATATTTGTTTCTTAATCCATGTTCTCCCCTCCGTTGCTTGGAACAGTTCATTCGCCACTACCGCTGCTTTTCCACTTCGGTGACGCCTCAGAGTTCTATATAGAGTCTTTGCCTTGACTTTCAGTCCTGCTCTGTCAAGCGAAAATGTTCGACTCGTTAGGAACACCAGCAGCTACACAGCAGCCATGCCCTAGGCAACAGGGCGCAGAAGACGCCAAACCATCACAATGGCGATACATTGTGCAGAACTTTACACCAGCGTAGGAATCCAAACCCAACCCACTGAGACATCTACTAACGCACCTCCAGCTGGTTCTCTGTGAACATGGGAACAGGGATTGTATCGATTCTTCTCCATACTCTGCCCTACAACGGAACATGGCTTTACTGGATATCGGTCCTAATATTCGCCCTCAACGTGCTCCTCTTCGGCATCTTTCTCTCGATAACCGCCGTCCGTTATATCCTCTACCCTGACATTTTCCCTGTCATGGTGACCCATCCAGCTCAGTCTCTCTTCCTTGGCACGCTGCCCATGGGCTTCGCTACGATCGTGAACATGTTTGTGTTCGTCTGCGTCCCGGCTTGGGGTGAATGGGCTGCCTACCTCGCCTGGGCTATGTGGATCGCAGACGCTGTTGTGTCCGTCCTGACGTGTTTCGGGATCCCATTTATCATGTCAGTATACTCTATCCTAACCTAGAATAAAATCAATGCTAACCTCACGAACAGGATGACACGAAAGTCCGAAGCAAACCTTTCTGCAATGGGAGCCGCCTGGTTACTACCGATTGTATCATGTGTAGTCGCCGCAGCGTCAGGGGGCATAGTCGCCGAAATCCTGCCTAATTCCCAATATGCCCTGGCTACCATTCTCGCCAGCTATATCCTCTGGGGCGTGGGAGTTCCGCTCGCGCTCATGGTGATAGTCATCTACCTCCAGCGCCTGATGCTGCACAAGCTGCCCCCAAAGGCGATTATCGTCAGCACTTTCCTACCTCTCGGTCCTCTTGGCCAGGGAGGATACGGGTGAGTCAACCCTTAGAATAACTACACAGCCTATACCGTAACTAATAAATTACCTAGAATCCAAAAACTAGGAAACGTCGCCCGCGAAGTTTTCCCAAAGACGCATACCCTTCATCCCGGAACAGGAGAGACACTAGACGACATGGGTTTCCTGATGGGACTGCTGCTCTGGGCCTTTGGCTCACTCTGGCTCTTCTTCGCCGTGGGATCCATCCTCCGCGTCCGGAACTTCCCTTTCAATCTCGGCTGGTGGGCGTTTACTTTCCCGCTGGGGGTGTTCACGACATGCACGACGCAGCTTGGGCGGGATTTGCCGTCGAGGTTTTTTGCTGTTTTGGGAACGGTATGGCGCTCTGCACGCCCCTGTCTGATATACCTGCTAATCGGTTTTATAGGTTTTCTCCGTGTGCGTGGTCTTGTTGTGGATTGTGGTTTCAGCGCTCACCGTTCATGGTATCTATAACCAGACTCTGTTCGTGGCGCCTTGTCTGAAAGATCTACGCGAGAAGCGAGAGCGTACTGAGACTGAGAGGTGATAATAGTTCTGCCGCATCTCAAGCATTTAAAAGATATTTTTGTTCTATTTGCCAAAACCGTATACTTAATATCCGAGCCCGTTCTAGCAAGATAGACTAATAATACACTGCAATAATTCCTACCATGACGTCGTCTTATTTCCTTCGTCCAAAATAGGAAGGTTGTGCATTCGCCCAGCCCTAACTGAGCCAACTCAGGCAATTACCTGGTTAAACCTCGGAAGAGCATCATCTGGAGAAGGCAGGATTAAGCGCCATGAATGGTAAATGGGTCAATGTTCCCCCAGTGCCCCGCAAAAAGACGGAAGCCCGTCTGCAGCGAGGGAGATTTCCCGCGTATGAGGTGACGATCGACGAACTACGATGTGGGGATGCGGAGTTAGTTCGCTATTCCCCCACAGATGAGGTATTGCAGAAACCCATGGATAGAAAGCCCGTTTTGGCAACTGGAGCCTACGGAGGGTTGCTGGTGGGAGTATTAAATAGGGCCAAGTAGCCAACGGAGTTGGAATGGAGAATGTGACAACTGCTAGTTACCTAGATACTCCGCTATACAGATACAGGTATACACAAGATGCAGTCCCTACTTCACCGTCTATTCACCCTCGGCCTGCTGGCCATGCTCTTCCCCACGGCTCATATGTACCCGGTCAACAACACCAATACCAACCCTAGGCATCAAATGCCGCGCACCGTGGTGACAACAGACATGGAACAAGACGACCTCGCCTCTCTAATCCGATACCTCCTCTACACCAACGAAATCGACACCCAGGGCATAATATACTCCTCCAGCCGCTTCCACTGGTCCGGCGACGGCAAGGGCACGAAATTCTTTCTCCCTGATCGCGAGTACACCAGCCCGCAGTGGACATGGCGCTGGACCGGCACGCGGTATATCCAGGATATAGTCCTGAAGGCGTACGCCGAGGTGTACCCCAACCTGCGGAACCATGATCCGTTCTATCCGAGCCCCGAGGAGCTGTTGGATAGCGTTAAAATCGGGAATATTGACTTTGAGGGCGAGATGGAGAAGGATACGGAGGGGTCGGATTTTATCCGGGAGTTGTTGCTAGATAACAAGGATTCTAGGACGTTGTATCTACAGGCCTGGGGCGGGACGAGCACGATTGCGCGCGCGCTGAAGTCTATTGAGAATGAGCACTCAGCGTCGTCGCAATGGGCCAGCATCCAGGACACCGTCTCTAAGAAGGCGGTTATTCTGGCGAGTGGCTTCCAGGACGAGGCGTACGAGAAGTACATTGCGCCGGAGTGGCCGGACATCCGGGTTGAAAATTTTGAGACTGCGTATGCAACCTGGGGGTATAACTGCGAACGTGGGGATGGCAATGTCCGCGGTTTACCAGACGACCACGTCTACTTCACAGGAAACTGGACCAAGACGAATATCCAGACCGGGCCGTACGGGAAGCTCTACCGATCCTGGCTCGACGGGCAGTCCATGCCCGGAGACCAGAAGGACGTGTTCGGTGATCTGGAGAAGCTAGAAGCGACCCCCGACCAGTTCTGTGAGCCGCTGGAACCGTATGATTTCCTATCCGAGGGCGACAATGTGGTGTTCAACCCGTTGTTGAAGACTGGGATCCAGGACCCGGCGAACCCGGCCCTGGGTGGCTGGGGTGGGCGATCGGAGCAGAACAGCACGTCGCCGAATCTGTGGCAGCTGGTCGAGAATGAGAAGAACCAGACTGGGGCTGAGGACGCGACTTATACCACTGATCGTTGGATGGCAGCTGTACAGAATGATTTCGCGGCGAGGATGCAGTGGACGCTTACGCCGGATTATGCACTTGCGAACCATGCGCCGGAGGTGAGCATTGCTAACGGGACCACGGTCAAGGCGAAACCGGGATCGACTGTTACTCTTGCAGGTGTAGTAAGTGATCCGGATAATGGCACTGTCACTACATCCTGGTGGCAGTATGTCGAAGAGGGCTCGTACCCAGGGAAGGTGAATGTGACTGAGTCTGGTAACAACCAGGCAAACGTGGCTGTTCCTGCAGACGCAAAATCCGGACAGACCATTTCAATCATTCTGCAAGGAACTGATGATGGACATTTCCCTCTGACTCGCTATGGTCGTGTTTTTATCCATGTTGCATAGTCCAGTATACTCAGCCATCATTCGGTGGCGCCGTTTTAATGTATGAATGAAATGATGCATATTTTCCTTGTACGCTAAGTAAACACAACAGATAATGGAACGCCATCGCTAGAAGAGAGGGGAATTATATCATATTCAGATCCGGAACCGCTGTAAAGAACGAAGCATTGAAGCAGGCGCGATCAAAGAAATTCGATGGTAGATCCGTCACCATCAGGTCCTGTCCATCCAAAGCAGAGCTTGGCCGCGTCGGATCTGACGGCAGCGACTCAGTTGGGACGAGTTGATTGAGAGGGGCACAATTCCACTGGCACCGCTCAAGCGAATCAGACATTAACTCTGCGGCGGACGATCTGAGACTTTGATATGTTGACTCGGCCAGTTCCCAGGTCCGCCGCGCACTCTTAAGACATCCCAGGATAAGGTTGACACGGTTACAATGATGATCGAAGCATTCGTCTGAGTGGAGAGTGGACGTGGCGAGCTGGATCAAGCCGCATAGTGAAAGAGAAGGGATGATAAAGGGGCTGTGTTTGAGGATATTGGGGCATACGGAGATCGAGTCAGACACCTGTCGCGAGGCTTCGGCGGCTTTAATGCTATGCACAAGGCGAGTGGATGTCGATGAGAGCTGCAGATGGCATGAAGCTCCAGGCCAGAACTGGCTTCTTTCCGGCTGTGCCAACACTGGTTGCAAGTCGCTACGAGGGAGATGGAGCAGCATGGCAGCGTAGCCTGTTGTCAGATGGGCCTGGAACATCATCTCATCGACGTTCCCATACGCATCGACAATGTCCAACTTCTTCGCCGGGAGGTGGTTGGTCCAGCTCACCAGAGCATTTTCAGCCGCTTGGACCTGGTCGCGATGGCACTCGGGGACCCGGTTTAACACGATCACTCTGGACAGAATCATCGTAGCTTCGATCCGGTAACTGAAAGAAGAGAAGACGGGATCCCCAGCGGCAATGATGCGCCGTCGGAAATCAAGCATCATGCTCGGCGTGGGAATATCTCTGCCCCCATTGTAGATTGATTCTTCGCATGGGAGAGCCACCTCTGGAGGAAGAGCGCTGCAGCGGAACGTGAACGAGTTGAGCGATATGGCCAGGTAGATTTCAGTGATCACCAGCTCCCACCACGTTCGGCGCATGCTCTCGGCTTCTACTGAGCACAGTGCATGAGAAGCTGACGCGAACCCAGCCCTATTCATTCCCAGGTCCAGAGCTAGGTCGATACTCTGGTTCAAAGCAGCCTGGGCTTCATCCGCCTCTCTTCGGGCATTCAGAACAATGGCGTATATTAACCACGCCTGCACCGTAGCGGGAGACCGCTCGGTATGAGATCCCAGCTGCTCGGCGACCCTCTTCTTATACTCGGTCGCGCGACCGGTCGCACTATAATGCGATCCAACAAAATGCACTACAGCGTGAAGACAGGCCGGATAATTCTGCTCGTTGTACAGCCCGCTAGGGACAAGAATTGGGTGAGCAGCATGGAAGTTCTCATAGTACAGTCTGCGGAGGCGGTCGTCATTTTCAACGCTTGGTTTGTTTGAGAATGCGCCGGAATTATAGTCATTAGCAGGGAGCATCCCCAGCCATGAACTTTCATCTCCAGCGGCATCCGGCAGGTCAGCACTGGCCACCTGCCGCGAGAACGAAGTATTTGTCGGAGTCGGCGCCTGCGGATTAGCCTGGATGGGCAGATCGGGGGTGGCGCTCTGGAAGACAGGCTGCATTGCTGGCAGGCTCTGCTGATACGGAGTCGGCGTTGAAGGGTCGCCTGGCTCTTGGGTGCGACGAGACTTGCGACGACCGCCCCGACGCGAAGCGACGTACTGGCAGAGAAGTCCGTTTTGCAGACAGCGAGAGCAGGCCGGGCGCTTTGCATCGCACTTGAGATGCTGCTTCCTGCAGTCGGTGCAGGCCACGGGGGTCAGACCGCTTTCCTTGGTCGGTCGCACGGGCATTGCAGGAGAAAAGTCATAGGGCGATGGTAGATTCAGTTGGAGGGGCTATGAAGGCTGAAATGAGTAATGTGGATGAGGGAAGGACAGTTCCTTGATGCAAAGTGAAGGCAGTCATCCCCGGTCGCTCCACCAATCAAGTCGCCACATCGGCCGACTCGTCTACGATGTACGAGAGCATATGTACACACAGATAGATTCAAAGCTGCCAAAGAATAGGACCATAAGAGTGAATGTGAGTTCTGTCCTTTATCTTTATCGTCATAAATGCACCAACTTTGTTATCTCCTTTATCTTCACCGACATTCCCCTGCACCTACATTCCCTGCCGGTTGAAAGCGTGACATCACATTTCAATCGCCGATTGCTCAGTCGCCGATTGACGGAAGCCCGAGATTGTGCGACAACACGACCCATAAAAGAGATACACTGCCCTGGCAAGAACACATTGCAATTTCCATCGAAATCACACCTCATCGCTAAATCCACGATGTCTATCCTCTCACGTCCCACAGTGCCGGTGACCGACAAATTCGGCCACCGCCACGAACACCTCCCGAAGAAATACTCCCTAGACGACCTCGTCCGCGATGTCAAGGCCTATCTCGGCGATTCAAACGGCATTTCCTCCTCAGATGTCGACAAGAACTACCTGATATCGCTGGTGAAGAAGTATGAGGCGAGCGACGGCGGCTGGACACAATTCTACCACAACGATCCGCAAAAAAACTACACGCGTAATGCGATCGAGAACATCAACCGCAAAGCCAATATTGTAAGTGACGCCGAGTTCCACAGTTCTCTCTCAACTTCTAACCATGTTATTGTATAGCTCCTGCTTGTATGGAACCCGCAAAAGGGCTCGCCCATCCACGACCACGCCAACGCCCACTGCATCATGAAAGTGCTGGCAGGAAATTTGACAGAGACTGTTTATGCTGCCCCAGAGGAGTCCGGTTCCACACCTCTGCAAATCAAGTCCGAGACAACGCACTCCCCGAATGATGTGACCTACATCGCCGACGATATCGGACTTCACCGCGTGTATAACCCGCACCCTACCAAGGTGGCTGTTTCGCTACATTGTACGTTTCCTTCCTTGTCAACCGCAAGAATACTGTGCTAACTTTAACAGTGTATACTCCGCCCAATGCAGCTGACTATGGGTATCACATCTTCGATGAGGCTACTGGGAAGTCCAGCTATGTGCCCCAGGCGCGGTCGATCTTACGTCCGAACGAGGCCTCGGAATGATTGCTTTTCAATATTTCTCGAATCAATGTTTAATGACTGCATGACCCATTCTTCTCGATTTGGCGGTATTCTCGGTGTTTGTTTTCTAGCAAGAATCCGCTGGCGGAGTTACATAGCTATGCAATAATATTTACTTCTTCAATATGGTTAGCACTCTATTACCTGCTTTCTCATCCTCTTCCTTAGTAGTATCGCGGAGGTACTGCCGTGGAAACACATAGTCTAAGATTTTTTCCCTGAAGTCCGTAGCATGCTGGTAAAGTTTCCTTGGTGTGTTTCAACAGTTCCAACGGCTTTGAATCCTAACCTGGAGTACAGCCCAATACCAGCAGGCGAGGACAAAACGAAGGCACCCAGTGCATTGTCGTCAACATAATCACAAAACATCTTCAAGAGCGTAGACCCAACACCTTGACGTTGATGGTTTGGATCCACAGCCATGAAAGTGATTCCTAACAGGGGTAAGTGAGCAAGGCCCCAGAACATTCAAGTTAACTGATTGCTTACGGCATATTCCATTGCCTGTGTAACCATGAATAACTCTTTGCCTCTCTTCTCGAAGTCTTTTTGAGATACCAAGCCACGATGCAACATCCAAAGAGACAGGAGTGAAGCTATTCCGAGCTTTCCTTGCCAATCCCCCTGAACTAGTAGTCCAGCCTATAAGTCCAACAGGTGATCCATCCTCTCCACACGCCTTGTACAGTGCTTGATCAACCGTCTCAAGAAGTTCATCGATCGTCCATCTAATCTCCTCCTCTCTCTGCTCCCAAAGTTGCTCCGTTGAGCGCGGGAACATCAAGCGAGAGAGTGGGCCGTCTTGGTGTGCAGGATATTCGACTTTTCGCACGAGCAAATCCACGTCCTCAGCTTCGACGGGCGATATCGAGAGTTCCATTCTGTTGGTGATAAAAGAAGAGAGCAAGGGGTCCGGTTGAACCAGAGCTGCTCTCCGGGGGACGCTGCAAGGTATTTATAGCAACACGGGAAACGAGTTCCTGCGGTCAGGAAGGGAATTGGCTTGGCCTGTTGGTGTCTTATCTGATGCCGAACGTACACAATTCCAGATACAGAGGTCATCCCAAATACATTGCATCAATATTTACGTTCAATGATCCCCTAAAACACATATCCCACATACTGCTTCGCTCTCTTCACCCATTTCTTCCTGTTCCCATTATCACCCAGACCAGCAGCTCTGTCTTCCCTTCCCTGCCAATCAACGCCATCATCAACCAAATCATACCGATCCGTAACCAAATCCATCTGCCCCAGCTGCACAATCTTCGTGTTCTTAAACAGCTTCCAGCCCAACAACATAGCAAGCAGTATCGGAATCTGGACATAGAACGACAAGAAATCCACAGCCTTGAACATGGGGCTGAAGCTCGTCCAGCCCTGGACCAGGATGAGAACGATGTTCAGTATTATCGTGAGGATTGGGCCGTAGGGATATGTCCAGTTTTTGAAGGGCAGGAGGTGCTCGAGGTTCTGTTTGCGAACTGCGGCGCGGAAACGCAATGAAGTGATGCCGATTATGGCCCAGGAGACTTGGTTGGATACGCCGACGATGCTGTTTAACCGGCATGTTAGCCCCATATTCAATATAAAGAGTCAATAGGAGTTGTGAAAATAATGGATCTAGGCAAAGGGTATATATAGAAAACCAGTTGTTTACTTCTGTAACCAAACCCACAACTGGCCGGCCCCGATATAGCTCGCCCCAAAGCATAGCCCACTGATAACAGAAGTCCCCAACACAGCAAGCCAGGGTATCTGAAACCGGTTTAACTTTGCAAAGACCCGAGGGGCGTGACCCTCGAGGGCGAGCGTGTATAGCAGCCTTGACCCAACGAACAACGCGTGGTTAGCAGCAGAGAGCGCACTGGTAAATATCACAGCATTCATGAAGCTACCCGCGACGCTGCTCCCGACTTTATCGAAGACCACTGTAAACGGACTGGTCCTTGACGTCTTCTCGTCCAGGTTGGGGTAGTTGTAGGGCACGTCGAATCCGACGATGATGATTGACAAGACGTAGAAAAGGAGGATACGCCAGAAGACGTTTTTGACGACGCGGGGGATCACTTTTGCTGCGTCTTTGGTTTCGCCGGCTGTGACGGCGATGGACTCGGTCCCGCCGCTGGGAAGTGGTTAATGAAGGAAAATAACACCGTAAAGGTTTATTTACTATGCAAATGAGGCTGTCACAAATACTGAAGCAAAGCCACCTATGCCACCGACAAACGGGGCCTCGTCCAGATGCCAGTATTGGTCTCCTATGTATTTGTGCTCAGTGTTGGCACCGCAGTTGACAGCAATTCCCACCAAAATAAATGCCTGCACATGGAGATTAGATAGAATTAGATAGATTCCCAAGCAAGGGAGAATGGTAACTCACGATAATGGCCACAATCTTGAGCAGGCTCAGCCAGTATTGGATCTGTTCAAGACTATTAGTACTGGGTCTTTAGATAAAAGTCAATACCGTACGTACCTCGCCATACACACGGACAGAGAACAGATTGAACCCGATTATAAGGAGAAGAAAAATAAGGCTGATCGCCCAGCCTGGACAATTATCCGTCCAGAACTCCATCAAGAGCTGCAATGCCAGCGTATCCGAGGCCGTTGACACTGCATCGTTGAACCAGTAGTTCCAGGTAAGCGCGAACGCAAGAGCATCATCTACAGATCGCCTAATAATATGTCAGAATTGGCTTTACTATGTATCATGATCCACTCCAACATACCCTGCATATGAACAAAACGACCCGGAGACGGGGATAAACGCCGACATCTCGCCCAGGCAAAGCATAGTGACGAATATAATGCCACCACAAATCACATATGATAACAGCATTGATGCAGGTCCGCCAGTGGCCAGACTCTTGCCCGTACCCAGGAACAGACCCGTGCCGATTGTGCCTCCAATGGCAATCATAGAGACTTGCCGCGCAGACAACCTTCGGGCGAGTTTGTTGGTTTGTAGGGGAGTTACCTCGCCTTTTTCATTGTCGACAGTTGGGTGAGGGTGCTGGACAGGCTCTTTTTCGCCGGTTTGGGGCTGTTCCTCGATATCATGGCCCATGGCTGGGTGCGCTTTTGTATAAAAGGAGTTGAATGATACCAATAAACATAAAATGGTATTGGAGTGCAGAACCTGGCTGATATCAACGTAGGGCTTCCATTTTATGCCATGGAGTACAGACTATCATACTCCAACACTTAGGGCTCACTGTTAGAATCCGGGGAAGCGGGGTTCGCCGACCGTCATCTCCTCACTAAACTCTAGTAGTGACCTACTCCAGTCTTCAGTATATTTGATGCGGGGATAGCTAGCTAGTCTCCATCGGCGTTTGGGGAGTATACGCAGTGCCACCATTCGGCGATTGACGGTCGTATCAGAGACAGTGCAACAACATCGTGGTGTTCTTGTAGGGCGCGAGTTACTCCAACTTGGAGTTTATATGAGCTATATGAAACCCCCTTTCCTCACGAAGGGCAGAAATCAAGACGGTATCTTGTCCAACGCTCAATTGGTAACTTGGCCCTATTCGCAATGACTGTCGCCCACAAAGAACATGAATTTGGATTCGCGACGCGAGCAATCCACGTCGGTAGCCAGCCAGATCCTGCTACAGGCGCCGTGATTCCATCGGTGTGGGAATACTTCGAACCAAGGCCGTTCGTACACTTCCGCTAATTTCACAGCTCTCCCTAGCGACTACATACGCCCAAATCAGCGTTGGAAAGCCGGTCGGAGAGTATGAGTATACGCGAAGTGCAAATCCCAACCGGTAGGCTGCTTGCTTGTTACTCGATGGTAAGATAGACGTCAGTACTAAATCCATCAGTGACAACTTCCAATCCGCCATCGCAGCAATCGAGAATGCAAAATACGCCCTGGCATTCTCATCGGGATCCACGACCACCGCTGTAATCCTGCAGTCGTTGCCCATCGGCTCCCATGTCATTTCCGTCTCGGACGTCTATGGAGGCACGCACCGCTACTTTACCAAAGTCGCCAGCACCCACGGCGTAGATGTCTCGTTTACGACTACAATAGAGAAGGATCTAGAAAGATTAATCCAGCGAGACCGCACAAAGCTGGTGTGGGTTGAAACTCCGTCAAACCCGACCCTTGGCCTCGTTGATATTGAAAAGATCGCGGCGATTACCCGCAAGCACGACCTGCTCTTGGTGGTCGATAATACATTCCTCAGCCCTTTTATCCAGAACCCGCTGCAGCATGGGGCCGATATTGTCGTTCACTCTGTGACCAAGTATATCAATGGGCACTCGGTAAGCACCGTATTCTCTCACGCCCGAGTCGCTATCATATAGTAACAGCCTAGTCTAGGATGTCATGATGGGCGTCGCAGCTTTTAATTCAGACGAAATCAAGGACCGCTTAACATTTCTGCAAAACGCAATCGGTGGCGTCCCGTCCCCGTTCGACTGCTGGCTTGCACAGCGGGGTCTTAAGACATTGCATCTGCGCGTCCGAGAGTCATCTCACAACGCAAAGATAATCGCAGAGGCACTCAACGCATCGGACTATGTGATTTCAGTCCGATATCCGGGTCTAAAGACACACCCGCAACACGCGATCACTGTCAAGCAGCATCGGAATGCGATGGGCGGGGGGATGGTGAGTTTCCGGATCCGTGGTGGGCAGGAAGCAGCCCATTTATTCTGCAAGTATACCCAATTTTTCACCCTTGCGGAGAGTCTAGGTGGGATTGAATCTCTCTGTGAAGTTCCGGCTAGCATGACCCATGCCGGAATTCCTCGTGAGGAACGAGAGGTCTCGGGCGTTTTTGATGATCTGATTCGGCTTAGCTGTGGGATTGAGGATGCGGAGGATTTGAAACGTGATGTACTTCAAGCTGCGGAGAGGGCGGTGTTAGCGGTCATGAATGGCGGGGTCCAGCCGTAGCAAAAGGCTAGATAGACGAATCGAAAAATCCAGACGGTCTTGGTGAAATATGCGGTCAATGATGCCCCTCCCAGTCCGAGCTGAAATCACGTAGCAAGGGACGGTCAATCCGACGCAAACCGAGCTGCGTCTCAATCGCCGACTCATTCGATGCCCCGTCTTTTTATAGTAATAATTTATTTATTCACATGAGCTATGACCAAACCCGTAAACAATCATCCATCACGCGACCCAAGGCTAGTGTGATGCTTCTTCATCCTGCCGTCGGGCTGCATAGCAGTTCGGGATATATCGAAACGGAGTGCTGTAAACATTGAGGAAGGAGTCTCCAGCCGGGGTCGGGGTGTGGTAGTTTCATCGCGGGTGGTATCCAATTCTTGACTCAATCATCGAGGCAGTGTTGCATTCTCCAACTCTCATCAGAGAAGAGCTTAGCTCAGTTTGTCTTCGCGATAAGAGTTGCGCAATAGATGGTAATGGTGCAAACAGCCCGTTGCTGCCGCTGAATACTGCTCTGAATGATTCGAACTTGTGTCCATGTCACCAAGGCTATTGAGAAATCAGTCAAGTGGCAGTTTCCTATCTTTCATGGCTTCTTGGCCATCGCCAAGTAGCTGTATCTCAACGCAAAGCTATATGGCCGGCGACTATCATCATGGATATTAGTCCGGGAGTGCTTTCCTTAAGGGCTATCATAAGAGCGCGACCAACGCGTAGGAAAAGCACTGGACCCTGTACGTTGTTTGATAATGTCTATATATGTTGGTGTTGTCCGTGAGGGTATGATATCCCAAATAGCCAATGAGCCACCCGCTAATCATTTCAAATTAGGTACCCAATCATTCTTCCATTCATGGCTAGAGAGCCAGAGTCAATGGCTGAGATTGAACCGTCCTTTCACGCTGATCTCTGTACCGTGCAATCATCAGACCAGAGGTTATTCCAGGCAAACGAGTCATAGTCGGTTCCGAGTACGCTTTACAAGAAGATACAATTCAGCCCTGAATTGCCCTAGGCAAAGCCCTTCTTGCCAAGGAATCTACCATGGGCTACTATAGCAAAATGGTTTATGTGTTCGAGAAGCCGTGGTGGCGCAATGCCGACTATCAGGGAATCCAGTGCCAGGCCGGCCTCAACCTGTTCTCGCGAGACACCAGTGTCCCAAGTGATAGAGGTTATTGAGGTTCTTGCGAGTAAATAAACTTCTTTTATCCAACCTCGTTTGTCACCTCTATGTTGCCGATATGCCTGGATTATCAACAAATTCTAGGTCTTCATCAGTGCTTAAGAGTTGAATCATAAATAAGAGCTGCACGTCCAGTGTGATCAGTCACACAGAGTGCATAAATTATCCCGCAATTACGTTCATAGTGTTCACTAATCACTATATTTGGTCCAGCCGTGTGGGCCCGTATCCATTTGTCTTCAAAAATTGGATGCCGCTCGGACAATGTCTTGGACGGGCCTCAGTTCCACCGCGGTTCTTTGTAATCCAAACTGGATTCAGTAAACCCTCCGCGATCTACGGAGTAAATGGGATTTGTAATCGTCATGAGAGAGTTACTAGTTTGTTGTTTAGAGTTCCCACAAAACCATCCCATCCCCTCCAACGTAGTCCGTAGTCTACCGCGCCCACTACCAACATCCCTCCTTTCAAAATGTCTACCCAAAAGGCTGTCATCGTCGCATCAGAGAAGCAGGGCGGTCTTGTCACCGACAGACCCATCCCCGCCCTCCGGGATGACTACATCTTGGTCAAAACCGTCAGTGTAGCTCTGAACCCCACCGACTGGAAGCACATCGCTTTCCTCGCACCCGTCGGTGTTCTCGTCGGATGCGATTACGCCGGCATTGTCGAGGAAGTCGGCAAGGACGTCAAGAAGCCCTTCAAAAAGGGTGACCGCATTTGCGGCTTCGTGCACGGCTCCAACGCCGTGCAGCCCGAAGACGGCGCATTCGCAGAGCACATCGTCGTCAAGGGCGATGTGCAGATGAAGATCCCCGATAACCTCAGCTTCGAAGAGGCCGCGACTCTGGGTGTCGGTGTCCTCACTGTCGGTCAGGGCCTGTACCAGAGCTTGAAGCTCGCTCTGCCCACCGAGCCCACTAAGACTAATGCGACGGTCCTTATTTACGGCGGCTCAACGGCCACTGGTACCCTGGCTATCCAATTCGCCAAGCTATCCGGTTATACGGTTATCACGACCTGCTCGCCGCACAACTTCGACCTGGTGAAGAGTCTGGGCGCGGATGAAGTCTACGACTACAAGGATCCCAGCGCTGCTGCGAAGATCCGCGAGGCCACCAACGATAACCTCCAGCTTGTCTTTGACACGATTTCTCTCAAATCTAGCACGGAATTCTGCGACAATGCAATCTCTACCAAGGGCGGTGAATACAGCGCCCTTTTAGCTGTTGGGATTGAGCGTGAGAACGTCAATGACCGCTGGACTCTAGGATATACGTCCGTTGGGGAGTACTTCGAGTTTGGCACGACTCCGTTCGCTGCTAAGCCCGAGGATAAGGAGTTTGCTGAGAAGTTTGTTCCTATTGCGGCGAAGCTTCTGGCTGATGGCAAGGTGAAGGTGCATAAGCCCAAGGTCTGCCCTGGTGGCCTGAAGGGTGTTTTGGAGGGCTTGGAGTTGTTGAAGCAGGATAAAGTCAGTGGGGAGAAGCTGGTGTACAATGTTGCGGACACTCCTTGAGTATTTAATGATGATGCCCAATCAACAGAAATTTTATATAGCAAATTGAAATCTATTTCAAGCCTTACACTTCCCAGTTGGACCCTTCGGTTTCAATGCGATGACGACATTGACAGCCGAGGCTTCCGCAGCCAATCACATTCAAGTCTCTAAAGCTGCGGGCCCAGCTGCCTGTTTAGGATTAGACTCCGCCTCAGGTTCCGCCCTCTATACAAAATGCTTGTCAATCAACCCAGTTCAAGCACCACATGATGGCAAATTCGTACATATAAAGGGCGTAGAGATCCCCAGGTAGTAAAATACGATCCAAACTTTCCATTTGCTGCATCGCTGTCATGTTCAACTACAACAAGGTCCTCATTATCGGTGCCACCTCTGGCATCGGCAAAGCCCTTGCTACGAGGCTGGTTGAGAATAACATCCCCTTGGTTATATCCGGTCGCCGAGAGGAGAACCTGAGGGAGTTTGCTAGCCAACATGGAAGTGACAAGGTGAAAACCAAAGTTTTTGATGTCACCAAGCTGGATACAGTACGATATATATATCTCGGAACATCTACTACTCAGATATCTAATTAACTCCTTAGATCCCCCAATTTGCCTCAGAAATCCTCAACGAAAACCCTGATATCGACTGCATCTTCATAAACTCCGGAATCCAGAGACCTTTCGACTTTTCCAAGCCCGATACCGTCGACCTATCCATCTTCGACCAGGAGCTGGTGACAAACTACACCTCCGCAGTTCACCTCACCAAGGCCTTCCTCCCGCACCTGCAATCACAGAGAAAAGAAACCACTCTGGTATTCACCACCTCGCAAATGGCCCTTGTGCCAATGATGCGCTGTCCCAACTACGGCGCCTCCAAGGCGGCTCTTCACCACTTCATCCTCGCCCTCCGGACCCAGCTGCAGGATGGCCCTGGCAATGTGCGGGTTCTCGAGATTTACCCACCGGCTGTACAAACCGAATTGCACGATGCGAAGCATCAGCCTGATCTGAAGGATGGCCATCTGATTGGCATGCCGCTGGATGAGTTCATTGATGAGGTTTGGCGTCGGCTAGGTCAAGGAGAAGATCAGATTGCGGTTGGCTCTGCGAGGGATATTTTTGAGGCTTTTGAGCTGAAGAGGCAGCAGCTTTATCAGGAGATGACGACGATGTTGTCGGGTTTGATCAAACAGTTTCTGCGGTAGTCAGCTACGTAGTTATAGAATGACTTGTATGTACGGTGTGGAATGAGGACCTGGATTCCCATATCAATAGGCGAACTGGGATTATGGATCTCTAACAGGTCCCCATAATTACTATGATAATTATATAGATTGTCCTATATAATATTTATATTAACAGCACCAGTCCCTAGAATATATTCTGTATGTTGCTTGGGCCATCGATACTACTGATAATCATGATACATACTTCACCTGACATAGGCGCCGACTCAATTAATAGATCTGGCGGGCATTTGTAGTTTATAAATATAATCCCTGGGCTTGATGGCTGACCGCACTTTCGTCAATATTGTCGATATTGTCAGCTTTAGTGCATTTGCTAGTGCGGGGCACATTGATCGTCCGCAGTCATGTTTTGCCATCCCGGCATTGCTTGTTATTCTAGGACTAGGTACATTATTGAAGCGTCAAACTACGATAAATGCCTTTCCGGGCTCGCGACGACTACACAGCCGCCTGGATATGTGCGCTTCCCCTGGAACTGGCCGCGGCATGCGCAATGCTTGACGAGCGCCATGATCCACTGCCTCTCGAGCTGGATTCCCGGGACACTAATAATTACGTCCTCGGGCGCCTGGGACCCCATAATATCGTCATCGCCTGTCTTCCGTATGGTGTGACGGGGACCATATCCGCGGCGCGAGTCGTGAATCAGATGCTCGCGACCTTCAGGCGCATCAAGTTCGGCCTGATGGTTGGAATTGGCGGCGGCGTCCCGAGTGCACAGCATGATATTCGACTAGGTGATGTCGTCGTGGGCAGCCCAACGGGGCTTCTAGGAGGAATCGTTCAGTATGATTTTGGGAAGACGGTGCAGAATGGCCGGTTTCAGCGGACGGGGATGCTCAACAAGCCGCCAGAAGTCTTGCTGACGGCGCTGTCCAATCTACAAGCACGGCACTTGATGGAGGGGCATCGCATCGAACACAGCATCAATGAAATGGTCAATAAATATCCGGTCATGAGCTTCCAATATGCCCGTCCCGCCATCGATAATTTGTATCGGGCGGACTATGAGCACCCGGAGAGCCAGCAAACGTGCGCTTCCTGTGATGCTTCGCAACTGATACACCGTACCCCTCGACCTCCAGGCGCCTTAGGGCTATGTATTCATTACGGGCTTATCGCGTCTGGTGATCAGGTGGTCAAAAACGGCCAGATGCGAGATGCGCTGCGTCAGGAACTCGATGTACTTTGCTTTGAAATGGAGGCCGCTGGGCTCATTGACAGTTTCCCCTGCTTGGTAGTCAGGGGAATCAGTGATTATGCGGACTCGCATAAGAATGACCTTTGGCAAGGGTACGCAGCAGCCACCGCTGCGGCATACGCAAAGGAATTGATGCATGTTATACCGACAGCCAGCAATGAACAGCAACATGTACAAGTCGGCGTAGTCGACAGTGGTGAGTCGCCAATCCAGCAAGATTGTCCCTATGGCTTGCTTACTATAAAGCAGTATCGAGCGATGTTCGCTTCCGAGTCCAAGAATGGCTGTCGCCTGCCAGTTTCAAAGACGACCTGTACAATCACCAGAAAGAATACATGGACGGCAGCTGCGACTGGGCTCTTAGCCGGCCGGAGATTACTTCCTTCATGAGTACGAGTCATGATTCACAAATCCTCAGGATAGGAGGGCCACCCGGCATTGGCAAGTCCACACTCACGGCCTTTCTCATACAACGGCTTATCGAAGCTCGAAATACTGTGTTCTACTTCTTCTGCAAAGACACTGAAGGTGGTAAAAGTCATCCTTTCCAGGCTCTCCGGACTCTGGTGTCCCAGGCTCTCAGTGTAGACGACGGGCATCGTCTTGTTGCTTGGCTGGAGAAGCTGCGTGTAGAGAGTGGACAGAAACAGGCAGAGTCCTTTGCGACGCTCGACGAATCATTCTGCTACGCACTTAGTGTTCTTTCCTCCATACAAAGACCACTCTACGTTGTGGTTGACGCACTCGATGAATGTAAAGACGGGCTACTTTTGGTGTCTACTCTGAGCACTGCCCTAAATGCATCGAAATGCCCATTCAAGCTTTTAGTAACGGGTCGTGAAGAGCCTAGAATCTTGGACTTCTTTCGTCAGTATAAAGAAAAGAGAAGTGGATCAAGGCTTGCAACATTACGCGAGGTAACAATTCTTCCATCAACTGTCCAACAGCCTATGGTAGCCTATGTCAAGCAACGCGTCTCTCAGTTCCAGCACATCCGGGCCACTCCCCTGGGTGAGCAGCTGTTCAGAGAATTCTCTGCTGCAACCGAAGGATCCTGGTTATACGCAAAGCTCCTTCTGGATGAGATCGAACGCCTGCCCAGTCCTGCCTCTGTTGCCCGACACTTGAGGAGCATACCCACGGGCCTTGTGCAGCTGTACCATACGGTCTTATCCACGGCTGAAAAGTCGCTCTCTCCTGCAGAGCTTAACATGGCGCAGCAGCTCTTCATTTGGATTGATTTGGAAGACTTCGTTCTGGTCGGGCGGCAAACATTGGACAGGGATATTTTGGATCTTGTCTTCCAGGCTGCAAACTCTGGAGACCAAGTTTTCAACTCGATTGATCTCGCACGAAAGCTCTGCTCTCCTTTGATTATACTCAAGTCGAAAGGAAGGGATCAGGACACCGATTTGAACGTAAAGATCAGTTTTGTTCATCACACGGCTATGCAATTCGTACGCCAGAGCGCTGCCCGAAATGAACCCTCCATGGCAGTACCGGCAATTCTCAAGCCCCAGCTGCTCAAGACTCTCCACCGCGCAAACACCGCGATTTGGTACTTTGAAAAGAGCGAAGAGTACCGTTGGCTGATGGAATATATCATGGACGATCCAAAAAACCGTCTTACGCTTAATCCAGGCACCTACTTTGAGATGGCATACGCACTCTGGGGTTCATTCTTTCTCGAGGATCTACCGGAGTGTTTAGACGCCGACGATAAGGAACAAGCATCCTTACTGTGCAACAAAATTACTGACTTCTTGCTGTCGGGTCGATGCTTACGCTGGGTTGAAATCGCCATCATCGTCAACTATCGATGGGGGTATGTCAACCTTTTCGATAATGTCCTCAAGGCCTTGCAGGCTGCGGGGAAGTCCATGTCAAGTACATGTGCTCTGCCTGCATTTCAGGTGTTCTCAGCTGCTAGGATGGACTTCTTTGCTGATTACTTATATGTGATCTCTTGTACGGGCCCGGCCTACAAACAGAAACTGCCCGTCCCCAAAGGGTTTGAAGGGCGACCGATAGCAGGCGCTCTAATGAGGCTGGGCAACTCATGGGCCCATCTATACACAAATAAGCTAACTTAGACAATGGACTCTTGCCATATATTATCTTATTAAATATAAATTTAGTTAATGAATCTGCATCGGACATAATTTGATGTCTTGATTCCATGTATTTATAGGCGCGGGCTCATTGTCCATTTCGGGTTTAGTCTCCGCTGCTTCCACCGAGTTCTTAACTCCGAATTGACTTCACTTTTATATCAACGCAGTCTGAGATCTTGCATTCTGTCACCCTGGTCCAATCGTCAATCTATCTCGTGCGAATAATGGATCTATCTGCTTCCAAACCAATGACCCTGCGCCGAGCCTGCCAAGCTTGCGCCCGAGGGAAACGCCGCTGCGACCAGCGCTGGCCGCGTTGCAGCAGGTGCCAGACGCGGCGAATCAACTGTGAATACGCCAATGTGCCTCTGACGACGGAGTCACCATCATTCCTGCCAGCCAATGCAGGGGCTGCTCCCTCCATACCGCGACCCCTGCGGATGGAGATCGTCAAGGGCTACGAGCAGCGGATCATCTCGCTTCTGGTAACCGGAGTATCCTCTCTGCCGCTGCTCTTTGCAGAAAACATGAAAACCCACTTCATCCACCCCGAGCTCTGGCCTGGCAAGCTGGCCCCACCACCGATCCAGGACGTCCACGCCATCTGCCAGCTCTATTCCCACTCTAACAACACCGCTATGCTCCTCCCACTACTACGACAGACACTGGCATATTACCACAGGCGAATATCAAACCCTATCGATTTCGAAGGTCTTCTCGCCTCCGCCCAGGCTTTACTCCTTATCCAATGCATGCTCATCGGCATGGAGAACCCCTCCATTCCTTACTCTGAAGCAAACCACGCACTGTTACTCGCTGTTAGCCACAGGCTATGGCAACAAGCTCCGATCCAACTGCCCAGCACGCTCAGTCCCCGACGCGCGTGGATCCTTGCTGAAAGCGTGCGCCGCACGATCATTGTTGGCTTCATGTTACGAAGTGTGTACTCACTCAAGAAGAGAAATTACTCTGTACGCACGCCGTTCGTGGACTCCCTTCCGTTTGATATCCGTACGTCACTATGGGATGAAACTGAAAACAGTGCTGCCGATGGGATGGGGAGTCCGGCTGACTCGATTGTGTCCCTTCATCAGTACTCGGGCATGTTGGAGAACGGTCTAGTTCATGGGATTCCCCCGTTCGGAGGGTTAATCCTTGCAGCTTGTAGAGGGAAGGCGGTTGAGGATATCCCGTATCCTTCTGTGAATTCTCTCTAGCATGGCTATTTGATAGAATGGCCCCGTCAGAAACCCAGACTTGTACCGTATATTTGCAGCATCGCTGGGTTTATAATGGAGATGTGCTTAGGTGCGATTTGGAGAGAGTCCCCATACTGTGTGCAAATCAAGCAGTCTGCGACCTCTGCCCTTGTCAGCATTGCAGGACTATCCAGACAGGAGATACTTGGCGAGTAGAGGACCTGGATAACCTCGCAGGCGAGGCTAGAGGGGTATAAACAAGGCAGTTATACACGAGCCGGCCAGATGCATGCTTGAGTACTGCAGCACTCGCCTCTCGAAGAAAGCAGGTGCCCTCTATAAATAATTACGAATACACATATTATAACTATTATAGATTTATGAAATACTCAATGACTATTGTTTCTAGCCAGGTTGACCAGCAACGCAGCTCCCTAGTTACAGCACCCAAACGCCCTGGCTATAACGAAATTTCAGTCGTAGACTCGTATGCTAACAGTTAACAATGTTTTTCGCTTTTCTTACCCTTCTCGCTCTTTCCTCCCCCAATAAACTCACACATACTGCAGTTCCACCTGCTGCCCGCGCTGCATCATTCTCATCTCGCGCTCCCTGCGCCACTTCTCGCCATACTTCCACTCCACCCAAATCAGCGGCATAAAGGCTACCATAATCCCAGTGACAATCAAAAACGCACGCATAGCCCTCACAGCCTCAAGCAAAGGCTGGATAGCACTGACACCAGCCGCCCCCAGCAAACAGCGGCAGAGGTTGTTCAGCGCCGTCGCACTAGCCGGCTGGTCAGGGAAGCAGTCGATCAGCAGGGTAGAGTTTATATTAAAGATCGCCGTAGAGGTGAAGCCAATAAGGAACTGCAGAAGCAGCGGCGCAACCAGGTTCGGCCCGTATCCGCGGCGGATGTCATTGAGCATGAAGCTGGGGCCATAAAGGCCGAGGGAGATGGCGAGGACGACGCTGAATAGGGGCACGCGGCGCAGGCGGGTGTGGGTGAGTGGGAAGTCGACTCTGGCGCGACGGGGGATGGGCTGGTCGAGGGCGATGCCGCGTCGTTCTTTGAATTCGGCTTCGGCGAGCCGGAAGTCCTTGTCGAGGAGGTATCCTGTGGTCATGGAGCCTGCGATGCAGCCGATGCCGTTGGGGAGGAAGCAGATGCCGATTTGCCATTCGGGCATCTCGGGGAAGCCTAGGAGGAGGAGGGTTGTTCCTGAGGCGGCGACCATGCTCCATACTGTGAAGGCAATGGCGCCCCAGGCGAGCAGGGCGGCAATGTCCTTCTCGAAGAGGTGGGCGAGGGGCTTGTGGATGTCTGAAAGGGATATCTCGCGTTTTCCACTCTTTTTGTATTGGGTCTCGGGCAGGAAGACCAAGAGGCACACAAGGATGATTACACTCAGGACGAACAGGAGCCAGAAGATACTGCGGAATCCCCAGGCGCTGTTAAGAAGGCCTCCGACGACTGGTCCGATTGATTGTCCCATCATGCTGGCCATGGATTAGAGATGTTTCCGAAGTATGCTTGGATTGACCTACCGAATACCTGCATTCAACCCCATAAAGCCACCACGTTCCTCTGGGAAGGCAACATCTGCAATAGTACCTGCACTGATACTGATAGTGGCAGAGGACCCCGCTGCCTGTATTCCTCGCAGAACCATAAGCATTGCATAATCTTTCGTAAAGGCGAGTGCCAAGTTGGCAAGTATAAAAATCGTAAGACTGATAGCAAAGGCAAGGCGGCGGCCACACGAGTCGGACAGCGTGCCGAACAGCGAAGGAGCAATACCCTGGACAATCATATAAACAGTAATAGTCAGCGAAGTCAGAGAGGTGCTGACTCCAAGATCCTGCGATATGGTTTCCAGGGCGGGGAAGTAGATATTGGACGACAGGGGCGAGAAGGCGGCCGCAACAGAGACAAGAATGACAAGATTCCACTTCTGCTTCTTCGAACACTTGGTATGGGGTGTCATTTCGACTTCGGAGGGAGGAGTGCTGGAGGCAACGGCCTCAAGGGTCGGCTCGGAGGTCGTCTTCTCGCCCATTGCTGCTTGTCTTCTGCGCTGATGCTTGTAGATCCTAGCAGAACAGAGCCCGACAGGCCGGGAAGGATCATTTTATAGACAGTTGAGCGCGAGCCTCGAGATAGGAGGTTGCAGATGCGTTACGGATGCTGATAGCAAGCGCCAATCGGCTCCTGGCCATCGCCTATACATGGGGATGGTCGATCATAGACAAGAATGAATAAAGGGGATGTGACAGACACGTATCTTGGTACAGGTACCTAGCAGGTCTCCACGGTGATCATCGGTGCTAATTTTTATTGCCTTATTCGAGAGTCTAGACTCAGCACGCATAAACTGAATCTGGGAACACGGTGCAGGGGGAGTGGCCAGGGCTCTGCATATCATGATTCGCCATGATGTCTATAGACGCTGGCTCAATCCACCAATCTTACAGCCTTATGTTTATGAGACACGCGCCGCCTACAACTATGGGTTCCATGTCAGAAGTACATTCAGTTCTCTAGCCAGGGAAAAATGGATATTCTGTGATAGGAAATCAGTAGCAGTATCCAATGCTTAACCCCGATCAACCTTGACAGTACACTGACCTCAGTTTCACAGAAACGTGGCTTCACATCCGGCTATTCAACCCTGAAACACGAACCCTGGCGTTTCCCTATTAAGGAAAATACAGGGCTGGAGCGTGCACCGGCGATCAACAAGCTGAGGCAACCCCACGGACTGTGCCACACGATCGTCCTAGACGAAAGACGAGTCTGAGCCACACCAGAATCAAAATAATTCAGCCCTGGATCATCCGATAGGCTATAAGGCCCTGATGTTTGTAGGTTAAACGAAAACGTGCGTCTCTACAGCTCCGTCCGCAGTGCCCTCCCACCCGGCCAATTATTTCGTTCTCATGCATTACAAGCCACCTCTCCGCGAATACCAGTCAGAAAACATCAGATAATGTAGGAATGGGGCTTGTATTGGACAGATCGCATTAGGGATGCCGGGCCGGCGGTTATGCTGCCCTGACTCACTTCGTTAGAGTTTGGCCATCTGCATGCCTGCGACACTCGCGTGGCAGATGCTAATGCCTCCAATGTACATATGCGGAATATGCTTGCAGCAGGTCTTTCTTGATAGTATTTTATCATTTCGTATCTAATATATCGATTGCAGGCTGAGATATTCAGTTATCCAGGCCGGTGGACGGCGCAGGATTGAAAGGGGTTCATAGGTGCCATAATTTCGCAGCGCGCGGCGGAATCCTATGGCTGCAAGAACAGACCATGTTGGCCATGTTGGGGAGTTGTTGTGGCTGTGGTTGTTGAAGTGGTAGGGGAAGTGGGCTCTTTGACGATGGACCTGATCTTCGCATCTCAGCCTCGGGTCTGGGTTCTGGGGCCGACAATCGAGAGCTTCAAGATTCAGGAAAATGGATAAGATCCCATTGGCTTTGACGAGAGCCTAGTGGAGAAACAGATTCAGAACATCTTTTACCGGATCCCGATATCAAACCACGGGGCGGCGCCTACCGCACCTAAGCACGGACTAAGTGAGGGACCAAGCTTCTGGTAACCATCCCACATGCCCTAAACAGAAAGAGGTTCTTGCCTGATTACCTCTGGTAGCCACGTTGTCAACAACAGAATAACCGGATGAACGTCATTAAAGTGTGAAAGGCCCGTGGCTGGAACGGCCGTTAACGCTGTGATCATACGAATCCCTTGCTCCGTTGCTCCCGCCAGATGGGACTTTTCTTTTTTTATTAGCATATATCATTACAGATTCAGAAATTGCAAGACACCTAGCAGGTGGTAATGGCTTTTGGGCGTGCAACCTATACCAGGCCATCCTATATCAAGCCACTCCGTAACTGTCTGGGGTTCTACACGGGGTATACTGTCCACAAAACTCTACAACAAAGAGGGAGTAAACAACAGATTATTTAATTATGCCTCTTGTAACCCACGTGTCTGCAAACGTACTTTTAGCCTGCATCATGGATGCACAGTGCCCCATAACCAACGGCATTCCCGATTTGGAATAAGGGCTGAGGTCACGTGCCGGTTGCTCAAGAGGCGTTCTCAGCCCCTGATTGGCCAATTCCCTTTCTTCCACATGGACGCAACAATCTGCAGCTCTCTCTGTATTCTCCTTTTTCACACTCTGATCTGCCTCTGTGTGTGTTCCTAGAGTCCGGCTTGGCACAGTAACGCCGGAGATCTTTCGTTATGCGTCGACCCGAACCCCTGCGTCTAGATGCGTAGTTGCAAGCACCACATCGAGCCCAAAGCAATACTTACTCTCCACTACTAAATACTGCGGTCCCAGTGACGAGTTTTTAATTTCACACGTGGCTGCAGTTCTGTAGACGCTGAGTGATCCGTTTTGACTTGAACAAGCTCGCACCAGCCGGTACACAATCTCTTTGGGTTGAGTGCGGTAGGGTACACGTTTAATGATTAGTGTAAGACGTGCGGCATATCTACCTTCAAGTGTAGTTAATATTTGGCGAGTGTATAGGACTATATAGATATATAAGCTACCACATTATATAAATCAAATCTACCAGAGTAAACCTCCCCACAGAAAATAGTCTACTTTATCCCCAAATTCTTCCACACCAAGCTCCCCGTCGCTCGATCCCCAGTCTACCCGATCTAAGAAGATCAGAAAAGCACAGCAGATTCAGTCGGTCCAACATACCTAGATCCAGCCATAACCGATTCAGCATCTCAGCATGCTCAACAGCAACCCTATCCTGTTGCACCCGAGCCGCATACTCCTTTTTACACCAACGGTCACTTAAAATCTGCCCACGACCTGTACAGATATAGTAATAACGCGCGAGATCCCAGAACACAAGGTCAAACTCTCTCTTTGCATCGCCTAGCCTTTGCCTCCATCTCAGGAGCGGGTTCAGGCCATCCCGGATTGCCACGCTAAGAATCACAAGCACATACAGCACAGTGGGCCAGTGTCTCGGGTCCTGCGTATTCAACAGGCGGAAAGATACATGCACGACGTGTTCCAGGATGCGATGGAATTCCCTATCCAGATACAAGTGTCTCTCTCCCGTTCTCTTAATGCTGGGCTCTGGGTCCAATCTCGGGACTGGGTAGTTCTCTGGCTTATGCACGCGTATGGTCGGGAGAAAACGCCTTTCTTCATATTCCTGTTCCATAACAACCACAGGAGACCCGTCGCGGAAGAGCTCGGTTTCTGGTATATTTGGGTTATAACCTTCGATCCCTGCCATGAAGTGTATCATCGCGAAGCAGTGCAAAGCCAGCGCGATTACTGTGGTGTCGCCAGAAAGGTCCATATCTGTACCTGTATCTGTATCCAACTCACATAGAAGTTGGGACTGGAGTCGGGCTGCTGCCGATAACAATTCCGTGGTTATATGTTCGTAGTGGCCGTTCAGCAAAGTGTCCAGGTCGCGGAATTGCGCGAGAAATGCGTCGCAAATCTCCAGGAATGAGCTTTCAGTGTGATTCGGGAGGCTCTGGATGGTAGTGAAGTCTCGTAATGCAGAGACAGATGCATCCAGAATCTTTTCGTCTTCAACTTCAAACAGCATGTACTTGGATGAGTGGGCACTCTGGAGGAGCCAGTTCGATGGCGGCTGGCGGATTAGCACTGATACACCTTTTTTAGCTACTTTAACTACTAATAATGGTCCATGTTTACCAGAAAAGCCCTTGTCTAGGCTGTGGTTGAGATCCTGCGGTGCATCTGCAGCTGAGCAAAGGATGTCGATTTTGTTCTTGGGGGCTGAAAATAGATTATAAAGGTGAGAACATGAGTGGGCAAGGTTTACAGCATCCCTGATTGCTGGCATTTGGTGGAAAATAAGCAGAAGGATCTCGTTTGGCATCTGTAGAAGCACCCTCGAGGGAGACATCTTATCCTTGCTAGATGAATAAACAGGGGAAATAAACAGAAAGTAAACAGAAATCAGCCAGTTATATCACGTGTGAGGGGTTTAATACGAGTAGCAATTACTGTTGAGTATTAAACTGTCGTTTCTCGTATTGGGTGAATCAATTTATGCAGCCCAATCTATACACAATATAAATATAAAAATATCCTAACACCAAAACACCCCTTCCTGAATACTAAATCCCGCGCTGGCAAACATATCATCCCATCTACTCTCGTCGCCCAGAAGAAAGTCCCAATTCTCGCTCACCTGGTTCTGCATCTCAAACCCCCCGCCCAGCGACTGATCCAGCCCGTCTCGACTCTGCGGAACGTGTCCATGATATTGCGGATATACCGCAGGGACCGCAGGCTGGTGGACATGCGGCACCCCTAACCCTGAATCTCCAGCCTCCTGCAATGGTCTCGAAGGCATTTCGGAATTTATGATACTCGGGTACTGCTCGCGACGGGGTGGATTAGGGTTACCTGCTTGAACAGACGACGGCGATTCTATTTTGGAGCTGACATTCTTTAACCGCCCTTGACTGATGCGTGCGAATTCTTGTAGCGCTTTATCCAGGAACCGCGCCTGGTAGGTACAGCTGGAGTTGGGCGGTGCTGACAGCGCAGCGAACGCATTGGCCGCGTCGCGGATGGCTTTCGTGGCAGTGGGCTCGATCTCTTGTCTGACGGCGTGGGGAGAAGAAAGAAGGAGCTACAAGTCATGAAGCTTTGGTTGATATATGTAATGAGGTTACATACCTTGATTAGGAAGATGGCGGCGTATGCAGTCATAACGTGGATCGAGTCCTGGGCTAGATACAGCAGAGCCGACGACTCCGCTACGAGGTCGAGCATCGCGAGGGCGCTCTGATAGCTCAGCCAGAACGGCTTCAGGTCGTAGATCCGGTCTACGTTCTGGATCCCGGTTTCCTGCAGCGGCGTAGAGAAGAGCTGCAGGCGGAGATGGAATCCGTAGAACCTGATCATGAAGGCATGGCAGCGCGGCACTGGGTCCAGGTCGTCTAGTGCTCGACCTGCGCATACGATCCCGACCCAGTTGCTCTGCCAGGCGTGGACGCGGCGGTCCAAGACAGCGACGGTGCGCTCGAGGCGAGACATGGAGTTCGTTGATGACGGGATGAGCAGGTCGAATGTGTCTGCCGTGAGCAGGCGGAGGGTAACGAAACTGCAGAGTAGTCGGTCGTTGAGGATCGAAATGGGGTCCTGCCACCAGTTGTCGACACACTCCGTCAGGTCGTTTCGCTCGATCATCCAGGGCTTTCCTGTCTGCAGGCCCAGGCTGCGGTCGTATACGAAGAGCACCAGGAACGTCCGCTCGACATTTCGGATTTCTCGCCGCTCGAGCTCGGTCAGGCCGGGCTTGCGACTGGCTTGCGGCGAGAGCTTATGCCAGCCCAGGTCCATGGCAATGCGGATCGCGAGGCCGACAGAGGTCCATGCTCTGGTGTCGTTGGGCTCCTTCCAGTACGTGAGGAGGCAAATGCCCTGGATGACTTCAGTAGACTTGTCACCGCGTCGGAAGCTCTCGACGAAGAGGTGCTCAGCATGAGCATGCAGGCCAGGATACAGGGACGACTCAAAGGCCCTTGCAGCAGCAGCAAGCACAGCAGTCAACAGGAAGGGGGATCTGCGGAGGTAAGAAAAGGAATGCAGGGCCGGGTCCAGCTGGCTGATGTAGGGGTTGATCTTCTGCATGAAATACTCCAGCAGGCAAGATGCAACGTGGGCATTCACCAGATCGAGCACGATCGGATCCTCCGGGGAGATCGCACCCGAGTCTGACGGCCCACGCTCCGCTGGGCCAGGGCCATGGTTGACGCTGAGGATGTTCTGGAGCGAGAATCTGCCCTGCATGGCCTGGTGGCTTAACAGGCTGTGCGGCTGGAATCCCTCCGACTCGGCCCAGAAATCCGAGTCCCTTGCCTGACCTGAGGGGGACGGATCGGGCCCCGGCGCCTCTTTCTTGGACAGCCTTTTTCCTCGTGAGCGAGTGGTAGCAAATATGCGAAGGGAACGGGCTCCTACCGGGTCCCCGGCTTCCTGCCGCGACAGTGCTGCTGGAAGACGCAGGGCAGCGACTTGCGGGCGCAGCGGCTGCATTTATCGCCGGCGGCCCCTGACGAGACACATTTCATCTTCACCTTCCGGCATGGAAGGCAGGCGTTGGTGGCACTGGGCCTTTTAGCCGTCATGCTGGGCCTCCCCACAGCGAGATGGGTCTGGTTACACAAACCACCAAGAGGACGGCGGTCGGCTGAGAGCTGGAGCGGCATCTCAGACTGCCAGGGTGGAGAGTTGGAGACCAAGAATTGGAGCAGGGATTATCACCGGCGATCAAGCAGCTGAGGGACCGTGAGACGCCGTTGGAGGCCGGTCGTTTAGCGTCAGACAACTAGATAACCCGGCCATCGGTTCTATCAAGTAGAGAACAGAGTTCCACAGTTCGACAGTTCGACAGCTCGACAGTTACTACAATGTCGCCCAAAAATGGCCATGTCAACATGCTGACCGACGCCATCATCGCCAACCTGCCGCTGGATGGCGTGCGGTCGGTGATGCGTGGCGTGCTGGCTGCCCAGCCGAGCCTCACCCCGGTCTTTGAAGAACTGACCCGCAACTATCTATACGAGACTGCTTCGAGATACAATAATCAAGTAGTTACAGCACAGAAAGCAGATGGGACCTTCACCACGACGCCCGCGTTTGCAGCCCTCCGCCAGCGCATCTACTGCATGGTCGGGTGCGGCCTCTGCTACCAGTCTCTACCTCTTCTACGCGATATCGTCAATCAGGTTGCCAGTCTGGATTCATCAGACAGGTTAGATGCTGTTCTTAAATCCCAGATAGCTGCAGTGGACGGCGACATCATCCAGACCCTCACGGCTATCCAAAAGACGCTCTTCGTCCCTGCAGGCTCAAGAGACCTCTCAGAAAGCGAAGCACAGCCAGTCCAAGAACTTCTCCAGTCTCTTCTATCCTGTCGAGAGTCATGGGAGCGTAACGGACAGTCTTTCCTCCTGCAGCGAGGGCTAGACTCTACAGCCCAGCTCCTAGGCCCGTCGCGAGCCCTCTATACCCCCAAACCCACCAGTATCAGACCACCATCTGAGCTTCCTCCTTCGACTATCAACGAGACCTTCACCCTGGACGGAATAAACCTGCCCCGTATATTCACCGGCCTCTGGCAGCTCTCCAGTCCAGCCTGGGGCTCCGCGCCGCGAGAGAAGATGATAGAGCATTTCTCCAACCATGTCCAGCGCGGCTTCACAGCATTCGACATGGCCGACCATTACGGCGACGCAGAAATTATATTCGTATGCTGCATGACTCAAATATTGAGCCGTCTGCTAACAGAAGCAGGGCGGATACCGTTCCTCGAGCGCATACTCGGACTCGATCTTCGCAGCGACGAAATACTGCGTCTTCCACCCGATGACGGTCTCTGAGGAAGCTATACGGGCAAATGTAGACCAGCGGTGTCGGCGGCTGTCCACGGATAGTATCGACCTGCTGCAGTTTCATTGGCAGTTTGTGAGTCTCTCTTACCGGGTATAACATGCCATTATATCTTCCCAACTGACTTGAATAGTACAACGACGACCAATATATCACTGCCCTCAAATACCTGCAGCAAGACGAACGAGTGAAACACCTCGGCCTCTGCAATTTCGACACGGAACACATGCAGAGAGTCGTCGACAGTGGTGTCGAGATAGTAACCAACCAGGTCCAGGTCAGAATCCATATTTAACTAATCCTATCGGGCTCGCTAACACAGTCAGTTCTCCCTCATCGACTCAAGGCCAACGATCAAAATGGCCGAGGTCTGCAAGAAACACAACATCAAGCTTCTCACATACGGGACACTCTGCGGTGGCCTTCTAGCTGAAAAGTGGATTGGTCAAGAGCCCCCAGATCTGTATAGCGACGAGGCAACCCCGAGTCTGCGCAAGGTATGCCATTTCCAAATACCCAATCAAGCAGCCCTGTTTTAGTATAAAGGATATCTAACATGTACAGTACTACACCATGATCCGCAGCTGGGGCGGCTGGGCTCTCTTCCAAGAGCTTCTACGCGCTCTGCACGCCATCGCCCAGAAGCACGGCGTGACCGTCTCAAACGTCGCAACGCGGTGGGTGCTGGATTTCCCGTACGTCGGGGCTGTTATTGTTGGCGCGCGCATGGGCGTGAGCGAGCAGTCTGCAGTGAATCTAGGGAGTTTGGGGTGGACGCTCGATGGGGAGGATCGGGCCAGTATCGATCATATCTTGCAGCGCAGTTTGAGGGGGGAGATGTTTGAGAGTATGGGTGATTGTGGGGGAGAATATAGGTAATATAACAACTATATTAGTACTCCACAAAACTATCTTGATGCAGACTATGAAGGTATCTAGACTAAACCCAGTGAATGGCCCGCTTCCACCAGGGCTGGTTGTTCTCCGGCACGTACTCCCCTGACAGCTTCTCAATCTCGATGGCATCGAACTCGGATTGGAAATCGATTTCTCTCAAGGGTGCTACCTTGGACTTGAGGAATATCTTGAAGAAGATGTATAGTCCTGCGGTGGTTAATATATATCAAATCCGCATAAGGGGCTTGCATACCAGCAAAGATGGCAATATTCAGATAGGACGTCAGGAACCCAGAGGCCGTGAAATTGCCGGTTGTAAACACATCGAAGCCTGGCAACATCAGTACCAGTGTTAATATCGTTTTGACTGAGCGTACCAGAAAACAAGATAACCATCACAACCATAAACAGCGTCGCCCACGCCACATAGGGCTGCATGAAATTCCGGCTAGGCAGTCCTGTACACTCATCAGCAAATACACTTATACCATTGTACACAGTTAATGTATATATACTCCGTCTATCAAACCCCTGCAGTTTCAACCCAGCAAAGAACCTGAGATACGTAACCTCAATAACAACCCACCCAATCAGCCCGGCCACTGTCGTGATATTCACAAACCACTGAAACACCGTCGCGGCCCTGCTATCCCCCAGCACCATATACGCCAGCGGCATCAAGGCACAGGACAGTCCCACGGCCAGGTACGGCGTCCCGAACCGGTTGCATTTCTGGAAGAAACGGGGTGCGTGGCCGTCGCGGCTGAGGCCGTAGAGAGTCCGCGAGGCGATGAAGATACACCCCGATGCGCTGCTTATGGCCGAGGTGCACACCACGCCGTTGATGATGTGCGGGAGGACGGCGACGCCGGCGCGGTCGAAGGCCAGGACGAAGGGGGATTGCTGCGCGGTTCCTGTTTCGTTGTTGAGGGCTTGGTCGTCGGATCGGCTGGAGCAGTTAGCTTGGGACATTCATATAAGCAATAAATAAACATACACAATAAGACCAACGATAAAGATGCTCAGGACATAGAAGATGAAGACGCGCAGGAAGGTCTTCCTCGTCGCGCTGGGGATGATCTTGCGCGGGTTCCGCGTCTCCGAGCCAGAGATGGCCACGACCTGGATATTACCATAACTAAAGGCAGAGGTTAAAAGGACCTTCCAGAAGGCGAGGAACCGTCCCGCCGACCCCGTCTCGATATACGCATTGAATGCGCCGGGGTCTCGCCAGTAGCGGAATCCCAGGTACTCGTGGTTAGGGCCGCCGCCGGCGTTGATGACGATGCCGCCGATGATCAGGCCGACGATGAGCATGATCTTGAGCGTGGAGAAGAAGACTTCTGACTGTAGGATGTTAGACACCTCCAGTGGTTCAGATTTGGCTACTCACCTCTCCATATACACGGACGTCGCAGAAGTTGACGGCCACGATGAAAACACCAAAGACGGTGATCCAGACGGCCATATTCACGTCCACCTGCCAGAACTCAATAAGCGTCGCCGCGGCAGTGATCTCCGTCGGAGCCGTAATCGACATCGTATACCCTGCCCTGTCAGTATATGCAAAAGTGTCTCCAGAAGAATCTCGTACAAAAGTTCCATCCAGTCGCGGCCCCCAGCGCAGGCTCAACAAACTTGGTAGCATGACGAATAAACCCGCCAGTTGTCGGCATAAACGCCGTGATTTCACCAGTCGTGTATGCAACTCCAGCCGTGACGAGGCCCATGACAATATACGCCAGCAGAGCTCCCGCGGGGCCAGCAGTGGCAATGACCTGGCCTGAAGTGAGGAACAACCCCGTTCCCTTGACGGTGTTAGCGAGGAGTATTCAGAGTATAGACATTATCCATTCAGGAAATCTCACGATCATGCCCGCAATGGCGATCATAGTGATATGCCGCGACTTGAGATTGCGTTTGATCTCCTCGTGGGTCCCAGGCGCGACATGCCTAGGACCTGGCCACATCTCCATGTCGGACGCAGTGGCGCCGCCGACCTTCGTCTCGTACCGGTAGGGCGACGAGTCCATCATGGCAGTGAACTGGCGATCGCTCCAGGGCATCGTAAGCAGTAAGCTCAGGCCAGCTGCCGAAGTTACCTTATGTATGGAGAGAAGGCTGAAAGTCTATTTTCTCCACAGGACACAAAGGGATTGTGAAAAGGGCACAGGCAAGTCAGTCATTGGAAAAGGGGAAATCGAATCGATCGTTAGTGTGGCTCGCCGGTGTTCTATCCTGATTGATATCTAGAACGCCGACATCCGACAATTAGCCGGGCATATTTAGCTTCAACACCTGGCTGCTGGCAGATGCTCGGTTCTTCCCCTCATCAGCGACAATGGCCCCTCATGACGCTTTTCAGCTGTACGACCTGCGCGTCGAGGTGATCTGCCCTGAGGGGAAGCGCATCCTCTGCGGCGCAAAGCCAGGCGACTACTTCACCCTCAAGGGCGAGATGATGCATCTCCCAGAAGGCCAGGGAATTAGTATATACAGCTTGGGTGCGTTTCGTTTTTTTTTTTTTTTCCAAATAAGTAGGGCTTTACTGAGTATATCAGCATCCGTCCTCCCTCTGCTGGCTTGCAAGCAGCGAATGACCCATGAACATGACTGGATGACCACGGATTCAATCATTGCGTGCCCTGATCCAAACTGTCCGTCGCAGTTGAGGATTACCAGGACTGGTATCACGGAATTTAGGCACTCGGAGACCACGGCGGTGCCTCTAAAACCTGAAAGCTAATGAATCTATCACTGTTACCAGAGGTCAGACGTCACAAACAAGTTCCAACACTAAATGCGATAACATCTCATTTAAAAGCAGAATGTTACTTTGCTTAAGCCAGTCAACATCCAATCAAACGTGATAGACCCAAAGCCAAGCCTACAGCAAGCTATCTGTGTCCCATGCTGGGGATGTCTTGGTCTGATTGGCATGTCTGGAGGATCGGCTAGCGCTGACGATGTTCTATTAAGTGTAGACAATATAGACACGAACCAAAGAATATACAATCAAAACAGTCCAACTTCAAACATAAGAGATATACAATATCACCCCCTCTCAATAATGGTCTCCTGCACAACCTTGATCCCCCCCATCTCCCCCACCAACTCTTCATCCAAACTCCCACTCCCACTACCACTACCACTCGTAACAACAGCCCCAGCACCCGATTCCTGCTTCCTAGCCGGGAACTCAAACCCCTCGGCACTCCTCTGCCTCGGCAGCGGACGCATATCCAGCATATAAGCCTCATCCCCCGTGCTCGTCTCATCCCTCCACTGGCTCTCTGGCAACGACAGCGGATGCCGGAACCTCCTCTTCTTCGACGCCTGCGACGCACCGGGGCTCTTGAACCCTACTTTAACCTCACCCCCGTCGGAAAGTGGGTAGCTCTGGCTGCGGCCTGAGCGCGTGCGTGACCGCTGCGTTGTCATGTATATGCCTGCGCTTTTGGCCGCGCGCCGCATGTACGGGTAGATCATGGGTGCGTTGCCGATGATCACGGCGACGAAGGTCTCGCGGCAGGCCCAGCTGCCAGCTTGGGAGGCGCCGTTTGCGCCGGCCTGGTGGTGTTAGTTTTGTTTATTTTGTAAAAGAGTAAGGAAGGGTGAGTACAGTAAGGATGAGAACGCAGCGCAGGATTCCAGCAGCCATGACGAATGTTCCGCCGGAGAAGAGGATCAGTAGTTCGAGTTTCTCGCGGAGCGGGAGGCGGGCTTTAAATAGAATCTGATATCATATGTCAGTTGTGGGCTCCATGGCGGAGGAAAAGAGAATCAGACGCACCGGAGTGGGAATGGTTATGAGATACATGTCCGTCGCGACATTCAAAATCACCGTGACATAGACGTCAATCTTGGACACTGCAGGCTGACAGTAATTCCCAGGGTCGGGGTGGATCTGCCAGTTCTTTTTCATCGGATGGCAGCCGAAAAGGATGGAGCAGATGACGGCGATGTAGGTAACCCCGATGAGGACGTATGCGACCTTGACGCGGACTTTCATGTTGATTAATCCGGCTCTATTCACTATTAGTCTTTGTGTCTTCTTCTAGAGTTTATGGTGGCGAACGTTAGTCGCGAGTAGAAGATGGCCATGCAGATCTTCAACAACCACAGCAGGGTCGTATACAGAGACCAGCCGAGGACCTGCGTCTTGGACCCGCCAACACGCAGGGCATACTCTTGCGACGCCGGATCGAGAGCGGCGCGCTGCTCGTCTGTCATGGCGTTGTTGGCGAGGCCCTGCCACCAAGCTCCGACGCAGAACGCAGCGCCTGTCTCGAGGCCGTACACCACCTGGTCAGGTTAGCATTCAGTTACAAATGAGTAAAAGAAGGCGTACCCCAGCCAATGGCATGAGATAGTCGTCGAGCTGGAAGTTGCTGGGTCCCGCGGTGGTCCATCGTGCAGCGACACGGATGGCGATGGCCACGACGGCGATGGCCAGCAGAGTAAACGCTTCGACTTCAAACTGGGCCATTTTTTGCACAAAAAGAGGCTTGCGGCAAGGAAGCAAACGTGGAAGGGTACCTACATGATATATTCGACTTCCCTCTCCCCCCCTGGAGAGAGGAAATTACACATCGCAAAACAGTGCGCAGCCGATCCCCGCCCCTCGCTCGAGAAGATATAGATCATAGGTTTGCCGACCCGCCGGGCCGTTAACATTACTAGGAACGGCCGGCTCGAAGAGTCGATAGATAGCAATCGAAGGGACAAGCCGGGTCTGTGTCGCTGCGATCGGCATTGGGACTTTTGACAGCGCGGAGCACTAACAGTGACAGCACAGACACCTGCAGAGGCTATTTTTGCCGAGAAAAATCTGCTTCAGATGCAGATCTGCAGTCATCTGCAGTCTATCTGGTCCATCTGCGTTCCTCTGCGGTCAGCCTGCAGGACGTTCGAGCTAGCTCTGCATGCAGGGAGGTTTTTGCGCCGACTCAGGCCTGCCCCTCGTTAGTACGAATCACAACCTTGAGAACGCACAGATCGGCCAACAGATACCTCACAAGCTCACGGGGAAAGTTGGCCCGAATGCACAGCTCTTATTCTCCGCGGTCGAGCCTGCAGAGGGCCCCCTGCAATCAAAGGAGTGGGACGCGGGCTGGACCCAGTGGCACAGAGTGACAGAGTGGACACGGTGGACCAGCAGCGACCGTTGGCGAAAGAGCAGCCAGAATAATTAACGGGCGAAAACGAAATGAGACGGCCTGTGCTGCATTCTCCATGTGAGCTGGCCACAGAGCGTGCATTTATATCCGTCATTTGTTCCTCCGTCTGCGCCATGCACATTCCACCGTACATTAGTCGACGACACAATGGAGACCCTGGATCTCCTCGTCATCGGCGCTGGTACGTCTCCCTCAACTGACTCTATATATCCATTCTAAGATAACAGGCTGGAGCGGCCTTGCTGCCCTCAAGACATACCGCGAAGTGCACCCCTCTGCCTCGGTATGCCTGCTCGAGAGCGCTTCCTCAGTCGGTGGCGTCTGGGCCACGCACCGACTATGGGACGGACTCAAGTCCAACAACATGCGTGGCACTTATGAGTACTCGGACTTCCCCATGGATGATTCTTACGGCGTCAAGCACGGCGAGCACATCCCGGGCCATGTCGTCCAGCGGTATCTCGAGCGGTACGCGGAGCACTTTGGCATCATGGAGAGCGTCCGGCTGCAGTGCCGGGTGACCGTCGTGGAGCACCACGACGACACAACCTGGACGGTGAGATACGTTGATATCGCAGGCAGCGGTCTTGAAGTCCAGGTGCGCGCGCGCAAGCTCATTCTGGCCACGGGCATCACGTCGCAGCCCTATCTGCCGCACATCCAAGGGCAAGAGACATTCGACCGGCCGCTCTTCCACACGGTCGACATGCCCATCCACCACAAGTCCACCGTCCAGCAGGCCCAGAACCGCATCGCCGTGCTGGGAGCCACCAAGTCCGCCTGGGACGCCGTCTATGCTGCTGCCACCGCCGGCGCCCAGGTCGACTGGATCATCCGCGACAACGGCCACGGCCCTTGCTGGATGGCGCCTCCCTACGTGACTCCATTGCACCGCTGGCTTGAGAAGCTCGTCACGACGCGCCTCTTGACCTGGTTCAGCCCGTGCATCTGGTCCGATCCCGTCGCCGAGCAGCCTGGCTCGCGCGTGCGCCGGTTCCTGCACGGCACCTGGCTGGGACGCAAGATCACCGACACCTTCTGGGCAATCCTGGGCAACGACGTCGTCTCGCTCAACAAGTTCAACTCGCACCCTGAACTAGCCAAGCTCAAGCCCTGGATCTCGCCCTTCTGGGTGGCCTCGGGGCTGTCCATCCTCAACTATCCCACCAACTTCTTCGACCTCGTCACCGAGGGCCACGTCCGCATCCACGTCGACCACATCGACCACCTCTCCCAGGGCACAATCCACCTTGCCAACTCCCCAGCCCCTCTATCCAACATCTCCGCCCTCATCGTCGCCTCAGGCTGGGAACCCACCCCCTCAATCACCTTCCTCCCAGCCTCCCTCCCCTCCCTCCTCGGATTCCCCAACGCCCCAGACCCCCTGCCCCAGTCCCTCATCAAAGCCGCCGACACCGAGATCCTGCGGCGCTTCCCACGCCTCGCAAAGCGTCCCGCGCACGCTTCCCCATCGCAATACTCGCCCCTCGCCCCAGACGCACAGACAGAGTCCCAGTCGCTGCACCCCTACCGTCTAACGCGCTTCATGGTCCCAGCGTCGTCCCTGGCAGCCGAGCGCAGCGTCGCGTTCGCGGGCATCGCTATGACGATCAATACCCCCTTGCTTGCACAAACTCAGGCACTATGGATTGCGGCATTCTTTTCCGATCAGCTGAGTCTGCAGGGGATCACCACTGAGCGGTGTCCGGTAGATATTTCCCCGAGCCATTGCCGGGAGGGTGATGCTAAGAGCAGCGAGAAGAGCGTGAACGTAAATGTGAGTGAAAAGGAGACAAATGCAGACGCAGACATCCTGTACGAAACGGCGCTGCACACGCAGTTCGGCGTGCATCGGTACCCTGGTGGTCTTGGGCGGAGGAATCCGGACTTTGTCTTTGATGCGATTCCGTATGTGGATGTGCTGCTGAAGGATCTGGGGATTGAGGGGGCGAGGAAGAGAGACCGGGGGTGGAAGAGATGTGTTGAGCCGTACGGGGTGGAGGATTATGTTGGGCTTGTTGGCGAGTGGAAGGGAGAAAAGGCTGTTGCTTAATCCATAATCCATAATATCTTGTTACTATCTCAGTGTTACTCTTAACTTGAACTACTTAATAATCCCTCAATACTCAAACCGCTCGAAAATGGCCACTCCCTCCTCGTCAACACCTTCAAGCATTCCCCTCGCCCTCCCATTCCACCTCACATGCGCTCCTCGTCCTCCTCGGTCCTCAATGTCAGTCGCTACACTCACCTGCGCCCCCGGAATCCCGACCTGGAACCCACTGACCAGTCCTCCCTCCGTCTGTTCTTGTCCAGCAACAATCGCCACAGACCCATCCGCACACCCAGCATTCACAGACTCCCCGTCCCGCGCCAGGAACGAACTCACCACCTCCTGGCCCGGGTTGCTTTCGCTGGCATACGACAGCCAGAGAACCGAGTAGAGTCCTAGATGGGCTCGTCCGCGCTGCAGTGATTTCGTCGACGAGGTGAACGGGCGAGATGACCAGACCTGGAAGCAATTAGCTTCAACCTTCTTCTTATCTTCTGATATAAAAGCGGGAAAGGAGATCGCCTACCTTGTCATGATACCCATACCCCTCGAACCTCAGTCTCTCGCCATTCACAGTGACATCCACCCTGGCAATCGCATCCGGCATAACAGCCACCCAGCCAAGCCCCGCGTCTCCGATTTCCAGCGCATGGCTGAACTCCGAGGCCGTTGAGCAGCGGGAATGAGAGGACGTTATCTGCCATTGTTAGCATCACCAACGAACCAGATAGAAAGAGATAATGGCAGAACGCACCCTCTCCATACTAATCCCCCCAGTAACATTAACGCCCGATGCACCATCCCCAACCGCAAACTCAACCTCATACCCCTCCTCACTGCCCATCCACCCACCAGCGCCATGCCAAATCGCCACGCTGGAATCCCCACTGCCATGCATCCGCGCACTCTCCACGGCCTGCACATGACTAAACCGCCGGCCGTCTTCAAAGGTCACCCAGATATGCGCCCAGAGGGCGTGTCCAGCCACAGTGGTCGCATTCCCGCCCGGTCCAGGTACAGTAGGGGGTTGGGTCAGGTTGCCCGGGATGTCGAGCGGATATCCGTCCGGTCCGGCGTTGGAAAAGGTGATCGCGGCAGTGGCGTTGGGGTTTTCGATCCCGATTGCGTCGAAGTGCCACCAGTCGAAGGTGGAGGCGTTGGCGTGCGAGAGCTTGGGGCTGTCTAGGTCGGACTGGTCGAGGGAGGGCGTGATGTAGTCGGCGGCTATGGGGCCGGTGTAGAGTGTTGGGGGGAGGTTGATGGCGTAGCGGGCTGTTGCTAGGGTGGTTAGGCCTAGTAAGCCTAGGATGGTTGGATGCATGTTGAAAGGAGTCAGGAATCAGGAGTCAAGAATCAGGAATCTTTGGATAGGTTAGTTTGGTAGAGCGGTTGAGGTGGGCTTATATACCGTGGTCTGGCTCTATACTCTACCTATTCTATGGATAGTGGGTATAATACTACAACGTCGTGCAGGAGGTCATACAGTGACACAGCATAACGGGCCAGTACAGAAATGCTACTTAGTTAGTGCTCCTGCTATTGCATACAGATACATACATACAACTCAAAAAGGGCGAGACACAGACAGACTCCAAACACCAGCCAAATCCCAAGCCAAGCCAATCTCGAGCAAAGTCACAATAATCCCGGACGTTCCACGTGTGGAATCAATCAATCCGTCTTCGGTACATAAAAACGCCGAACAAACATGCGATTAGGGGGGGACGGGACACCTCCGCCGAGACTCCTTTCTTCCATCCATCCATCCCTGCTTGCGTCAGTCTGGTTCCCCTTCTGCTTCTTCTTCTCTTCTTCTCTCGATTCCTGGTTTTGTTTCATTCCAGGAACCCATTCCGGAGTGGGTGCGACCGTTGCTGGTTCGCTCCACTTCCCCGGGTAGGCGCCGAAGAGTCGGTCGCTACTAATACTAGCTTTGTAGTAACCCCGTCTGAGTAACGTGACATGCACTGTGCAAGCCCAGGTTCGTCTCGACGGGGTTGCAGAAGTTATAACGATGGACAATCCGAGCAGTTAGTGATCGTGCTCGCCGGTTTCCTCAACCTTGACTTCCTGCTTGGTCGGTTTCTCCAGTTCATCCTTGCAGCCTTTGACCAGTTGGTGGCGCTACTCATGTCAGTAAATTGTCGGAATTCAGCGAAAACAAAGAAAAGAATACCTTCAATGCGTCCTTGCGCGAAAACTGCTTGTCGCAGTTATGGCACGGATACGGCTTGACTGCAAGATGGATGCGGCTGTGCCGCTTCAGGTCGTGGTTGCGGTTGAAGCTCTGCGGACACTTGTCGCACTTGAACGGCCGGTCGTTCGTCGGACCCGCGCCTCCGTGCATTGGATGCGGTGGGTGTCCGCCATACATCTGCTGCATGCTGGCCACATGTCCACTGTTGAAGCCTGGGAGTATCCCCGACTGCAACGGTCCCATTATCGACATCTGCCCACTCGGGCTGTGGACGTTGGACATTACCGGCCCTGTCATTGCAGGCAGCGAATATGACGGCCACGGCTGGCGTTGATAGCTTAGGTGAGATGGTTGCTGCGGTTGTGGCGGCGGAGGCGGGTTTGAGGCAACCCGTGGCGGAGCGTGATGCATCGCCAGTGGTGGAGGATGTGGCGGTTGTGCCCCTCCGTACGGCTGGTAGGCGTTTGGCGGGCTCGACAGCTGCTGGACGGCTCCGTAGGCCGGTGCAGACGAAGATTTAGACATGTACGGATCGTTCGACGGGACAGACGGATGCGGCGCAGCGCTTATCATCGGAGGGACCATCCCAGGATGCGCGGGTGCCGTTGTTCCCATCGGCTGATGGAACGGGGGTAGTTGATTCATATCGTACCCCGAGGGGATGGTATCGGCGCCGGGGGTCGAGGTCGCTGGGTTGCGATGGAGAGAAGGGTTAAATGATGGTGAAAAGGGATCTCGATTTGAATAGGACGAGTTAAGCCCCGGGGTCCAAGGCTGACGGCCTGCGCTCCCGCTATACGAGCCTTGGGAGGCCCAGTAAGATGTCGACTCGGGAGAGGACGAGATTCCGCCCAACGTCGGCGCAGTCACAGTCGTCGTAGCCGCAGTCGCCGTGGTCGCAATCGAAATGTCGCCAGCATGGGCTGTTTGGGTAGCGATGACGTTGCCGACACTCGATGTCGGCGGAGGAAGATGCGGGTGATGCAGGGGATACTTCAAGGAGGTCGCTGCGCCGTTGCTGAAGGAGGGTGTCGGCAACTCAAATGTCGGCAGCGGCGGAGCAGCCGGTCGACGTGCATTCAAGGGCTGTTGGACCTCCAGGCCCGTCCCCGGGGGGATCGCAAGAGTCGCCAGGTTTGCAGACGCGTCCCTGGGCAAGGCTGCGGGAGCGACGGCCAGGGCCGAAGAGAGCGACGACTGCGAGGGTGGAAGATGAAATGAAAACTGCTCAGCAGGCTCAGCACTAGCACCCGTACCAGCACCGAGGTGCCAGAAACGATGATTCCCAGAGAGGGCCCCCGAGACGTCGGGAGGATCCAGGGCGAGTGGGATCGCAGAGCGCGATCTCTCAGAGCAGTAAAGGATCGGCCGAGATAAGAGCCTGCGATGCAGAGGCTGGAGCGGTGGAGATCTCAGCTAACAGGCATACCCGGGAGATTCTAAACCAGCAGGACTTGGAGTTTGATAGCGAGAACCAGCGGAATCAGGACAAAGACATGGCGTGGAGAGACAAAGAAACCGTCAGTCAGTCACCCATGGGCGAGAGAGAGAGAGAGGAAAGGAGAGAGGGAGAGCGAGGAGGCGGCGAAAGAGAAGAGAGCGGTCAGATACAGAGCGAGAGGAACCAAAAAGTGAGACTGCAATAATAATAAAAGCTCGATATCAGCCAGAGTCTGCGAGGGTCTGGCCAACGCGGGGTGCAAATGGTGAAAATCAGTGAAAATTGGGAGGGAAAAACAGAAAACAGACACGAAAACCAGAAATAGAAAACTGAAAAGGAGACGCGCAGCGAAAGGAGGAAAAAGAAACGAGAGGAGCGAGACTAACGACAGCGATGGCCTCGTCCGTCCGCCGGCTTTCGCTCACAGATCGATTGCCTCGATTTGCCTTCTCCTCTGATCTCGATTCTTTTCTTTGTATCCCACGATGATCACTCGGCAACGTGGTTGACAGGGAAGAGGTCCACCGTTCGGCTTGAAGTCTAGGGGTGCGCACCACAGTCCAGACAGAGTATGGCTGGGATTCGCAGGACGGGGTGAATGCTAGTTGTAATAATATCGCAAGCGAAATAACACGACTCAAAAGTCAGATAGTCAGATAGTCAAATTAGGGGCTCCTTGCGTCGCTACTGCATGACAGCTGAGGCAGATGTGGTTCTGCTGGTAGCGAATCTGCGCCAACAAGATCGATCAGACAACCAGCCTTTGACTCTGACAGCCCCAAGCGAGCGCTGTGAACTCAACCTGTTCCAACGCTGGGGTTCGCTCGTATCCGTGGCACGGACGCATGGTGGGCCACCCTCGGCATTCCAATCCCATTCCACTCTGCTCTTCCCTCCCATTCACTCATCGTATCCGGCGTGGTTGGAGTTGTTCCAGTTCAATCTCAGAAATCAAAGCGAGTGGCCAGCGACCGCGCGAGTCACCTGCCCAGTCACCTGCCAGTACTTCCCGGCCCCGGCCAGTCAGCGGCCGGCGTGTCCGGCGGGTGGGGCGCTGGCTCCCAATTGCATTCCCGTGTGGTCAGCACTAGCCGGATGCGGCTAGCGTTGTTTATACTCCTGATTGGGTCTCGTGCATGATTTGTCGGGAAAACGCGGTCTCTTCTGTTTCTCCTCGGTCTCTGTTCTCTCACTTTCGCAGACTCAGGCGATCTTTCTTTCATCCATACGAGTATCGACGGTTCTGCATTCCTGATTCTGGATTGAGCCTGTCCATCACACGGAATGGCTCGCTCCGCACCAGCCTGTCGGTGTCGGTGGGTCGCGTGGCGGACGACACTGACAGCGCTCCAGAAAACCGAATAAAAATAATTCCCCCCCAATTAAATCATGCATCGACCTGGGATTGGACCAGTCAGGGCTGTTGAATTAACTTTCTGCTGGCATGTCTCGCATTTTACCTGTCGTTGCCTCCCTCGACCTGGCTTTCTGAAGCTGACCAGTCGAAACAAGCTAGCCAAACTCTCGCCTGAGATTAGGATATTCACTATTCAGTCTGTGTTCGGGATGCGCTGGCCCCATCATATCGCTCGCCCTTTGGTGTCGGTGAGCAGGAGCAGGTTCTCCTGAAACCGTCCGCTCCAAAACTTGGGTCGCATGCCCATCCTTGCGTTTCTTTGACATCCAGGAGGTCCGAGAGTCTAGACTTTGCTCCGCCCTGGCCAGGAATGCGCAGGCCAGCCTGGGCCCTGCTCTCCTGCGCTTTCCATGGATTAAGCTGCAATGGCGCTGTGGCTGCACTGTCGTGGCGTTTGCTCTGGCACTTTATTGTAGTTTATTCCCCCATGGCGGTAGTTTATTCAACATTGGCTCCAGCCTATTGCCATGTTGCTGTTTGTCGCTGCGGTCGCTGCTGTGGAGATGTTGTGCAATAGTCGACCGTATACAGCCTTTATACATATCGGTTATATATATCGCCTACTATACCGTCTATTGCTATGACCATTCCAAAAGTTGTCATGGCTACAGCAATCCTCCTTTAGACGCCATCGAAAATAATTGAAATGTTGGAATCTCAACAGCTACCTAATAATTTGAAATACTTGATATGATAACAGTGTAGCTGGTAACCGAGCGACCGACGCCGAAATGACGTCGACGCGGGGCTCGGGTAAACGTTCACCACCCAGCTCGCCCTCTACCACCTCATCTCCTCGCTCCCACCTCTCTTCCAACTCGTCAACTGCTGTCGATTGTACGTCCATCTCTATTGCCTCTCAATTGTCTATGTTCACCCGCCAGCTTCTAACCTACCCCCTCCGTAGGTCCATTATCTCCCTGAGACAACCCCGCCTCTCGAGCTCGCCATTCCAATTCCAACGACCACTCCACTGCTCAGCTTCAAACATGTCTGGCGTTAGTAAGGCCTGCTGCTCGTGCGTCCCGTCCCTGGAAACCTCAGCTGCACAATCAGCTAACAGAACCGTGTGAACAGCATTCCCCCAATCGTCTCCAAGGGTTATCAGCCCAAGGGCGAATACAAGACCATCAATGGCCTGAAGACATGTCCGTCCTCCATTCCAGCTATTTGAAATTACTCTAACATGACTACAGACGTCACGGGCCCCGAATCTGCCACTAAGGCTATCCTCGTCATCTACGGTACTTTCCGCTTCCCTTCTGTGTAACACTAAACCCCCAGCTAACCAAGGTACTAAATAGACATCTTTGGCTTCTTCCCCCAAACCCTGCAAGGCGCCGACATCCTCTCCACCTCCTCCTCGCAAAAATACCGGGTCTTCATTCCCGACTTCTTCGAAGGCCAACCCGCCGACATCTCCTGGTTCCCCCCTCAAACCGACGACCACAAGCAAAAGCTCGGCGCTTTCTTCCAAACCAAGGCCGCACCCCCCAACACCCTCTCCAAGATCCCCGGCGTCGTCTCCGAAGCCAACTCCCTCGCACCCCCAACCCCCTCCGGCGGCGGCTTCACCTCCTGGAGCATCCTCGGCTACTGCTGGGGCGGCAAGATCAGCGTTCTCTCCTCCGGCACCGAGAACAAGATATTCAAGGCAGCCGTGCAGTGCCACCCGGCCATGCTGGACCCGAATGATGCCAAGAACATCAATATCCCCATGGCCCTCCTGGCGAGTAAGGACGAGAACCCCGAAGATGTGTCCAAGTTTGGCGCGGGACTGAAGACAGATCACTATGTCGAGACTTTCCCGACCCAGATCCACGGCTGGATGGCCGCGCGGAGTGATCTTGAGGATGAGAATGTGAAGAAGGAGTATGAGCGTGGTTATCGCACCGCGTTGGATTTCTTGGAGAAGCATGCCTAAGCTTCCATGCTGCCATGTTTATATTATGATATGACACATAATGATATATATGATCCCTGGGGGATGTCTGGGTGGAAGGGCTTGGGTGGACCATGGTGTTGACAGGTAGCTACAGTATAGTATAGTAGTATTTGTCTGATATGCTCCATGCATAACTCCATTCGTTTAATCAATTGCTCTGAAATGAGGACCAAGGTCTTTACTTAAATCATAATTGTACCGCTTTTCATCAAAACATGTGATAGTCTAGATGGACAAAAGTGCAGACGTCACGATAAACTACGGGAGTTATCAACGTCAAGATCTCAACGTTAAACCTACCAAACCTACCTACCTGACCTACCTGACATGCCTAAAGCATAACCGAAGCTATCGACTCGCCCCTCCACCTACCTACATTCCCTACTAGAACCCTTAACGAGTCGTGGCTGACAAGGGCCGCTAGACGACGGAGTACGAGCCCCAACTTCCGCGTTTTGATGCCAACTCGATTCTAGGGATCGGCTTGGCTTCTGGCAAGAAACCGGAGGGATTTCGACAACGCATTTCAGTAAGGAGGTGCACGGCTGCATCAAGGTCCATCTTGTGGAATGCCGGATATTTACTGCCGAGGTCAGTGCTCTTTGGAGCCAAGCGGTCATTCCTTGTCTAAATCTCCACCGAAAGAAGGGTGTTGCACCCGGAGCCGACTCGGTAACATCGCACAAGACCCTCGGCTGCAGTACTACCGATTTGTTTTCAGGGCGCTAGCAAGGGGCGCCGTTGAAATGCTGCCTTCTTGCAGCAGGGGAGCACTGGAAACCGGTATCTGCATGATACCTTGCAGCTTGACCGCCATAATGCTGCCATCATGGTAACGGCTTGTTTTGCACACTCTGTATAACTTTGTACCATTCATAGCATGTCTCGATTCCAGGCCGGGTAATTGAGGCAAATACGACAGTCCGAGGATGCATCTGTCGAAAGCAAGCTCTGGTTTTGGCCATTGAAGTCAACAGGGCCTCCTCCCCGGAAAATGCCTGGGCTTGTCGGGCTTCACCTATCTTCGAAGACGCGAGTGACCACTTCTGCCGACTTCCCTGTTTGCCCCATACCAGCGCAAAAATGGTCAGCCCTTTGAGAATTTCGGGTTTCTCCGCCCATAAAGGCATCGGATGGCCCTACACTACGGTGGACCAAATGAACCCCGCAAGAACAGAGGCATATACGACAGGGATATTTACTCAACGGATTCCCCACGTAGAGGTTTGCGATTGACTTGGCCTATTTGCGTACGGGTATGGAAGCGTAAACACATCTCGTCACGAGAGAAGTGATAGTTAGTTATTTGCGGGTATTACCCTTTGCAACGGTGAGTCCCTTGACCCTGTGGCTTGTATAAAGTGGTACTGTATGCAGAGATACGCCGGGCCAGCCGCAACTGCTACAGATTAGTGTTTGCACACGTTGCAGGATGCGCGAAATAATGGTGTGAGACGTTTTAACGCCTTGAAACCGCAGACTAGTATGGTCGTAGGCTCGCGGTGCACTATCAGTGGACAATATCGGCTTCGCCCACATCTTCCTCCGTGCGAAAT